TTGCTATCGACGCTCAGCTGAGAGAGATCCAAGGGGAAGTAGTGACTGGCGAGATCCACACAGCTAAGCCATAATCTGGAAGTGTACACGAGCATCGTTCCGCTACATTCCGCTACTCTCGCTCTTGCCTGTTGTTCCCCTCCTGGCATCATGCCTTCAGGTCTAGTTTCCGCCGGCTCCCCGATGCACCGGCGAGATACGTAGACGATGTCATCGGACGACTCCAGGACACTCCATCAGTTCCGACATCGACAGGCTACGTTTCGTGATCCCGCTGGGTATCGTATTAGTCTAGGCGGGAGAGTGAGTAGTGTCTCTGTCGATATCTGGTGTCTCTGGGTAGGTATATGGTATTTGACTATAGAGAAGAGTTGAAGACAGAGATCTACCTAGTGACGAGAGCCTCACTGCGATGATCGCCGATCTATATACTGACAGTCTCACGCCGTGAATGACACAAGGCTTGCTGCATGGGGCTGTATCCCTGTATGTTGTAAACTCGGACCACTTGTATATCAATTTCAATGTTGTCTCAGCATATTTAGTGCTCTTGAGTGAACACCTATCTTCTGCTCTATAGACTAGTCTGGCTTGTAGACCTGGGCGCTTCTTCATCATACAAAGCTGAGCCTCCAGGTAAGCGAATGCATCGCTTCTTCAACATACACAGTGCTGAGCCTCCAGATGACCCAGCTTGAAGCGGACCATACTGCCCCTTCTTACAACACGATGTTCTGGGAGGCATCTAAGGAAGCCGGAGTGTTACATTACAGGTCTATCTTTCTGACTCCTAGTACTACGCGCAGTCACTCTTATGACTACGAGCAACATGTTTGACCTCCGCAAATCCACTCAGGATACCATCCTCAGGTGATCCGGTGAGACCCATGAGCGATCCTTGACAAGATGAGGAATGTGTTCCACAGTTGGTAAGCTTACGATAATGATGACATGAAAAGTCGGGAATCAGCGGGAATCAGCGGGATCTAGGGGGGCGACGCTGCTGTATAGTTTCAGTATATAGCTTGGCCGTGTTAGCTAGACTTGTAGCTTTTCCCATCGCTTCTTCCCCGCATCTCTTTGGATCTAGCTGAGCGTCGATAGTGATCAGCAGGGGAAGTGATCAATATCCGGGACAGATAGAGTAATTCACCGTAGTTCTGCTAGCTCTCTCTTTCATACATCTTGATATCTATTGCGACCTGACTATACGTCCCAAAGTCTGAGTGAGCTCGACTTCGCACATCTATGCTTGACCAAATCGTGTTCGGTCCACCTATGGATATCCGCCTCACGAGTTGTCCTATGTCAGAACGTGAGTCGCTGTGTGATCAATCCCATGACGACGTGTAAAGATGTGATGCATTATTCTCGTCATGCTCGTGCTGATCCGCCTTTGTTGACGGGATGAAGCGCGGCTTGGGCAACTTCTGTCTCTCGACAAGCCCAGCATCTCGATCCCGTGTACAGTCTGACTCTTCTGATTCATAGTTGATACGCTTGAAATATCATCGACACCTCATAGAGAATCAGGCAGTAACACTTCACCGCATTTTTGTTGGAATCCGCTGAGTACCGGTGTCAGTCTAGGCGGGAGAGAGAGGAGTGTCTCAGGCGGTGAATGGAGTTGGGGCTTGCTGTACGGGGCTGTACCCTTGTAGGTTGTAGTCCTGACTCACTTTAATGTAGTTTTACTTATGTCTCGGCCTAGTTAGTTGCCTTCAGTAAACACTTGTCTTCTGCTATATAGTTCGTCTTGTAGGCCTGGGGGATCAGCTTGTCGCTTCTTCATCATACACAAGCTGAGCCTCCAGGTAAGTCAATGCATCGCTTCTTCATCATACACAAGCTGAGCCTCCAGCTTGAAGCGAATCATCCTGCCATTTCTTACAATTTTTACTAGCTTTCCCTTTTGTACGTCTTTGCATCTGTTGCAACCGCCGACACCTCTTCTTAAACAGATGCCCTCACTCAGCAGACTGGATGCACTGATAGCATCCGATCCGCCCCGGTGCGACCGCGATGAGCTATCCTCGTGCTCTGCCGACCATGTCGTCGTGCAGACTTGTTGTATTCCGCTGAGCACCGCTGTCAGGCCAGGCGGCAGGGTGAGGTCTCTGGAGGATGATTGACGAGCGTACAATATCTGTTCCGTGGCAGACAGTCTGGCTCAAAGTATCTGGGACAACAGCGGCAACGCTTCTTCATTCGCACAGGCGTACAGTAAGGTCACTCAGTCTGAAGCGTACTATCCTGCCGTTGCTCTTGCCATTTTGGAAAATCTATGTACAGCCCTCGGGGTCTATGTCCCAGCACCATCGATTCTTGTGGTGTCTCATGTTCCCCATCCCGCTTTTGACACCTTATGCTTCGCTCGGCACCAATTTTCACTTCTCTTCCTCGACTCACTGTGACCCCACGCTCACAACTCGAGCCTGAAGGGGTATAATTTGGTGGTCACGATTACTTTGAAGTGGAATCTTCCTCTGTCAGGACTCAGTTCACCATCTTTCCTCGCCAAGCTCTCAGATCGCTCACACGTCGATCTCATCTATTCCCGTTTGCGGACAAGCCAGTCCTGCCTAGCTAGTGTCAGGCACACCGCTCGTCCGTCATTCCCTTTCAAACGCCATTCCGATCACCCTTGTACGATCTCAAACGGTCCCGTCCGAGTCCATATCGCTCTCAGGTACTCAGTACTTTGGGAGACAGGGTGACCAAGAACCAACTCTCTTGTATTGCTTCTTCTCTTAGGATGCATTTTTCGTAGTCACTGATCTAGCACTGCCTTAGCCCGATATATCCCTTGCCTTGCACACCCTCTGAGCCTCGAGATACCGCAGAGTCCTCCTCGTCCCCATCCGTCTATCTTCTCGCACGTATCTGTTTGATACAAGACCCGAAACCCCACGTCCTCTGGAATCTATACCAAAGTCGCCCTTCACAACCAGTATCACGCCGATTCCGGTCTCAGATCTTCGGGTACGGATCGTGATCCCATAGCACCTGCTTCACGGCTGGGCCAAGGTGCGTCCGATCCTTTGTTAGCCTGGACGAGTAGAAATGAAACGCATCACTTGCCTCTTCAGGGACTTACTCTCACAGCTGAAGCTGCTGATATCGCACGCCTGGCTACCAGTATACACGTATCCGGGATCGTGGCAAAGAGTCCAGAATCAAACGAAGATGATTCAGGGGCGGCACTCGGTGAATCTGTCGACGGTGTTGTGAGGGCGAGCTAATTCCGTTGGGACTCAAGGTGGCTCCTCCAGGTCGTGATAATGTTATGCCTCGTGACTCGGGCGCTCATATCAAGCGCCAAATTGGTGCACAGAGATATGTAACGCAGTAGCTCACATCGCCGTTTCGAATTTCCGATGAATGGGTCTCAGTCATTCTCAGTCATTGGCAAGCATTGATACTGTACCCTCAACGATCAGACGAAGCCAGATATCTGGCTTGTCCGGATTGGTGGATGGCGTCTGCAGATGTCAAGTCTCCACCCTCGGTGGCGTAAGGCTCCGCATCGGATTGACGCCGAGTCTGCCAGGTGACAGTAGCGTCGAAGGCTTGCAGGTTCAAATTGGCAGCCCGGGCCACGCTGTACTAAGTCGTCCACTTAGCCTACAAGCCCGTAGAATGGTAGAGCGACCCGTTCCACCTGACTGATCCAGCGAGATCGGACTGCTTGATCCAGCGTGAGCGAGACCCGGCAGAGAAATGCGATATGAGGTCAACGATATTGATATGGGGGCGTTTGTGAGCTGCCGTGACTCATCAGCAACGTCTGATCAGGGTGAGAAGAAGTATTTTGCGGGCCCTGCAGTGCACCGAATCGTAGCCGCCTCCACGGTGTGTGCCCGTGAGATGTACGTTCTGAGCTGAGGCCGGTCCCAAATGCTGGTCCAATCGAGTTTTACACGGAGCGGTACCCGGCCGGGCCATGCATCGAGGAGTCGAAATGGGCATACCGCTCCGTCTTGATTTATACGAGGCCGGGGTGACAGCCACGAGCGACTAAGCTGTTCGTCGATGCGCAAGGGCGGCCCGATGAACATGGTGTTGCCTGGACCTCATGTGGAGGCACGAGTTGGCTCGAGTTTAAGTGGACCCTTGTATCTTGAGCGATTTGTTGAGCGGCTTCTTCAGGTACTGAGGAAACTGGCGTAGACTGCAAAGAAGATTTTGCAAGCTACTGACCTCAGTAAGTGAGATGTCGCACTCATAAGTCAGGTCTATGTGGACCAGTTCGTCGGTGGTGAGAACAGCGACACCGTAGGCGTGTACGCTCGAGGAGGAGCCACATGGAGTCGTCGCCAATGACGTCAACCCGGAGTCTTGTAAGGCTGAAGGCCTTGACCCATCCCGCCTTGTATAGTCAGCAGGCCGACACGTTGTTGCCATCCACTTTGGCCGCGAACACACATCTTCCTCCGCGAACGCACATCTTCCTCTAGCATTACCAATGCCGATCCCCCTATTCACCAAATACTGCACCACTCCATCCTGCTCGGCTCTGACTTTATCGCCTAGAAGCAGTGGGAGGATTCGGCCAAGTGGAGGGTTTGAGAACGAGCGACACATTCCAGGAGCCCGGCCTAGGTCAGAATGACCAATGGCAATGGCACGTGAGCTAGACGGAACGGTATCGTCGACAAGGCGGGCGACCTGTACGGTGACCTTCACCAGCCAGCTTAGTCGAGCGGACTCCTTGCTATCAGCCGTCTATCGGTTGCTGACGAATTCAGACAAACGGGCTGTACTTCGTAGGGGCACAAGATCTGAGGCTGTATTGCGCTGGGCGACGTCAGAGTAGGCCTCTCCCGCTCTCCATGAACGCTGCTGTGGTCGACGCTGGATGACACAGCCTCCGAGGGAGGGTTTTCCTGCTGTCATCTGAGCATCTCACGAAGCCGAGAAGTGGGAGTGCCATCGATATCAGCAGCGGCAGTAGAGGTCCAAGCTGATGGCAGCGAGCTGCATGTGCGTTAGCACAGACCCTAATAAGGGCTATTTACAACGTCGCTATGCGACTTTCGGATCTTGGACGCGGGTGTCGATAATTGGGATGCTCGCGGAGCAAGAGAAGCCCGGGACGGCTGAGATGTTAGCGACACTGAGGGAGTGGAGTTATCGAGCAAGTCACCTTTAGCAGGTCTTTCTTGCTTGCCATGAGGACGTTGTGCTCGAGGGCGACGATGATGTTCTTGTCGGCGCCGAACTTGAAGTTGTCGGCGACTACTCTGGATTCGTATTGCTTGATCTGATAATCGTCGGTGCGACCCTGCTTTAGACGTCTGAAGTTCCCTGATGTCAACGTAGCCTTTGACGCAACACTCACATGTTATCACGTATTTTCCAGTAGATGTCACGATAGTTTTTTCGTTGTTGTCCGGACCGGTGTTAAATCTGCGAGTGAGTCGAGGCCCCTGCTTGTACGTACCGAGCAGGCGTGAAAGACACCGGTTCAGTCATATATGCAACGTGTTCAGGCTTAAGCTGAAGTCGCCGAGGTAAGGGTTTGCTGTCGGCGGGGAAGCTTCGGTCAAAGCCAAGAGAGCCCTTGTATCGTCCGTCGCCAATGAGCGTATCGATTAGCAAGATGTAGGTCTTGCAAGTGGCCACCAGCCATCGACCATCCGCTGATACGTCGACGCCGACTATCGGATCACCGAGTGCGGGCAGGGCGGTCTGTCGTCAGAGATAGACAGCGCGGGGACGCACCTTTGCATTCTTGCCAATCTGGTCGAAAAGCCGTATATCTCCCTTGTTGCTCGCCAACGCCAACTTGCCAGACTCGGTGGTCGCAGCGGCAGAAAAGTCGTTCTTGGAGGCGTATTGCTTGAATTGACTTTCGACCAATTTGTTGCCTCGTACTCGCGGGTCGATACGGAAGAGTCCATTATGAGCTGCACATCAGCCTTTGTGACGGTGTCCACTTACAGTGACCAATCAGAGTCTGCTGGGGATTCATTTGTGCGTATTTGGAACTGAACTGTAAGCTTGGCGTTCGCCCAGTGAAGGTCAGACTTACTCGGGGATGATATTCTGCACTTCAATAGTGTCTGACACCTTCCATTCATCCACAACCTTGCCGTACTCGAGATCCATGCGATAGATGGCGTTGCGGTTGTTGGGATCGAGCATGAGCATATCGCTGTCCTGGTTATGCAGCATGACCTATCGATCAGCGCCACTCCATGTGCGTACTCACCTTCTGCGGCACAAAGCTCTTGCCTTCGGTAGTCTGGATCTTGTCGATTGTCGTCCTGAAGCGTAGTTTGTCGTCCTTGGGGGCAAAGACGCCGATCATGTCGCCTCGGGTGACGTATGAAAGGTCGTTCTTGTATCCAACAGCGAGGTGTTCGTTCCTGCTACCGCGATGGAAGGTGTCCGACATCCCCTCGGCATCGTCTTCCGCCTCAGAGTTGTCGGCATCTGCCGAATCTTCGGCTTCCTCCTCCTCTGCTTCTTGCTCCGCCTCGGCATCCTCCATCTCCACATCATCGTACGCGTCCTGTATGTAGCGTTGCTCGTCGGCTTTCGCCTTGCCGTATGATGTCCTGTTCTTCCCCTCCCAGAGGTAGATAGTGAACGCCTCCTTCCAGGGCGAAAAGTCGGCCGAAGCGAATTTCAGACACCACGTCAAGCCGGGGAGGCCTTCTTGCTCGCGGAAGGTGAACATGAATGCAAAATTTGACTAGGTGTCAGCGAGACAGCGAGAGCGATTAGGAGTACTTACTGGATCGAACCGGGGGATCATTTCCGAGTCTACAGGTATCGAGATGAAGGGTGTTGATTCGTGCTTGACCACAATCCAGACTGGCGGGTCAGACAGCGACAGCCGCGGTTAGATTTGGACTGACCGTCATATTCTCCGTTCGATGCCAAATCAACCGAGACTGACTTTTCCTGCAGGACAAAGACGTCGGTGTCGGTGTCGAATAGGTAGAGCTCCGCCATGGTGTGGTGGAGGATAGGAATGTCTTTGAAAGGATCTTCAACCTCCTGCTCCTGTGCGGGTATGGCTTGCTCTCGCTTTGGCCCGTCTCGCAGAAGCTGAAGGTCCTCGTCCGACGCTTCGTCGTGGGACCTAGAATGTTTCTGTCATCAGCAACGACCACGGCGTTAGCTCACCCTCTCGTAGACGCAGTTGAGTATTGTCAATTCGAACAGACTGTTTGTGGCGCGAGGTACGGACTATGGTCAGTCAGGTCATACCCGCAGCACTTACTTTGCTCGTCACAAACTCCCACATGTCTCCTTCGTCGCCGCTGATATCCTTCCAGGAGCACGTCGGATCCCCGTCGAGTGAGCCAAAGCGAAAGCCCAGCGCTTCATCAATAAGGAACACGCGCTCGTCATCTGCTACTCCAAGTCAGTGGCTAGCCTCAGGGGTATATGATTTAGCTCACACTCTGCATCATCGTCCAACAATTGCTCTTCACCCTCCTCGTAGGCTCTCGTGACAACTAGCTGGTATTGGTATTCCACGCCTGTCCTACGTATGGTGGCTACGGCATCTTTGAAGCTGGAGCTGTCAGGGGTGTCTGCATCAGAGACCAGCATACTCACATGCACTCTCTCGACCCTTTGACGCTACCAGGCCGAACCAAACACAGCTGGCCTGCTGGAATTTGAATGATCTCGGGGTTAGCAGGGTTGCCTAAGAGAGTCAGACCCTAGGCTGTGACATCTGCCAATTTAAGATGTAGCCTTACCCCACATCTTGCCCAGCACTACATAGTCAGTGGATGTTCCAGTAAGGGTCGGCAGCTGCAGGTAAGGTATCAACCCACAAGATTTGATCACAAACATGGTGCGGAGATGTCGTTGGAGATGTAGATAGCTGTATCTTGTGTTTGATATGCGCTTGCTTGATGAGACTGCCTGTCCCGGAGGGTGACTGTCGCAGTATACTCTGAATAGTGTCGAGGTAGATAGGCAGTTGACACGAGTTGAGTTGCAAGAGCTGAGCTGAAAGCTGGGTGGCAAAGAAGGACGCACGGATCAGCTGATTACGGAGATTGATCCCTGTGTCCGCTTATAGGAATGTGAGGAGGATCGCCTAACGCTTGCGACGACTGACTATGTTGAACGCCTTCTCTCTCTCCTTCTTTCATCGTACTTACTACCTTGATAGCAGGTGGAACAGCGCACATTTTCCGAACACACCGCGCCAATCCAGCACAAGCCATACATAACTGAAAGCCTTGAGACAATATGGTGAGCAAGAGTCACCACGATTGAAGGTATCACGATTGCAGGTTGAGACTGACTTCCAGGGTCAAACCCCTTCCAGTGCGGCTCCAGGCGGAGGTGGAGCGGGCAAGGATGGCAAGGATGGAGGCAAGGACAAGGTGAACTCATCTCGACGCATCATCTTCGCGTCGTATCACCTCTGACCTATGCAGAAGCAGCAGTCCAAGTGGGAACCTCCCGTCCCTACGCGCGTCGGCAAGAAGAAGAGGAAGGGCCCTGATGCCTCGAATCGTCTCCCCGCCGTCTTTCCCAGTACCCGGTGCAAACTCAAAATGCTCAAGATGGAGAGGATCAAGGATTACCTCTTGATGGAGGAGGAATTCGTCGCAAACCAGGCGGCTCAGGCCGGAGAGGACAGACAGGCGGCGGATCGGACCAAGGTTGACGACCTTCGCGGATCGCCCATGGACGTCGGATCTCTCGAGGAGATTATCGACGACGACCACGCTATCGTCTCGTCCGGACACGGCCCGGAATACTATGTCGGCATCATGTCGTTTGTCGACAAGGACTTGCTCGAGCCCGGCTGCACGGTACTCCTCCATCATCGGACCCATGCCATCGTTGGTGTTCTCGCCGATGACGCGGACCCCATGGTATCGATGATGAAGGTGGACAAGGCGCCAACGGAGAGTTATGCGGATATCGGCGGGTTGGAGAAGCAAATCCAGGAGATCAAGGAGTCGGTGGAGCTTCCTCTTACTCACCCCGAGTTATATGAAGAAATGGGGGTCAATCCGCCCAAGGGCGTGATTCTCTACGGGGTGCCCGGTACCGGCAAGACCCTGCTCGCCAAAGCCGTCGCCAATCAAACCTCAGCAACCTTCCTGCGGATTGTCGGCTCGGAACTCATCCAAAAGTACCTCGGTGACGGACCCAAGCTTGTGCGGGAGTTGTTTAGGGTGGCGGAGGAGAACGCGCCGAGTATTGTTTTCATTGACGAGGTGCGAGGGATTCTCTGCGTGTATATAGCTGATAGCTGACTGTCAGATCGACGCCATCGGGACCAAGCGATACGATTCTACATCTGGCGGGGAGAGAGAGATCCAGCGAACCATGTTGGAATTGCTCAACCAGCTCGACGGATTTGACAACAGGGGCGACGTTAAAGTGATAATGGCCACCAACAGAGTGACTCAATTTTGCCTTCCGCGCGTCTGGATCCCCTAGCTGACTTTCAGATTGAGACCCTGGACCCGGCCTTGATTCGCCCTGGTCGAATCGATAGGAAGATCGGTCAGTCTAGCCAGCGGTGCTCGGATGAGGTATCAGCTACTAATCTACAGAGTTCCTCTTACCCAACGCGGTCGAAAAACGCCACATCCTCAAGCTCTTGACCAGCCGGATGACTCTAGCGGATGATGTGGACCTGGAAGAGCTCGTGGCGATGAAGGATGACTGCTCGGGCGCAGATTTAAAGGCAATCGTTTGTGAGTATATCATAACCTCAACCGGCGCGAGCTGACGGCACAGCCGAGGCAGGTATGCTAGCGCTCCGGGAGAGGAGGATGAGGGTCACATCTGCGGACTTCACTGCAGCGAGGGAGAGAGTCATGGACGGGAAGAAGGATGATGGCCCAGCTGGATTGTACCTGTAGAGATCTCTGTCCCCGACTGGCTTCATGCATCTCGTCTCAATCATCCGAATACTAGTTAACGAGCAGATTGAACGAGGCCGGGTGGCAAATCCCCCGATGCCGTAATTGCGCGTGTCGCAGAAGTTGGATTACAGATCATGATCAAGCTGAGGATGCATCCATCTCTAATATAGACATCCTCAACATGTCGGCGCTCGCAGCCCCCTCATCCACTATCCTCCCCTCTACAGTACCGGAGAATGCACCTGAGCACTGTCCCGTGAGTCTGAACTGTTTCCCTGTCTTCTTTCCACCTCCACCAACGTCCACCCTCTCCTCCCTCCTCTCTCCCCCTGTTCTCCCCATCTTTCCATCCCCTCTCCCGTCTTATCTCTTATCTCTTCCCTCTTCCCTCTTCCCTCTTCCCTCTTCCCTCTTCCCTCTTCCCTCTTCCCTCTTCCCTCTTCCCTCTTCCCTCTTCCCTCTTCCCTCTTCCCTCTTCCCTCTTCCCTCTTCCCTCTGCACTGTCATCTCCCTCAGCGTACACAATAAGCTCGAGTCGCGAAGACTTCTCAGCTCTGTTGTTCAGCCGTTATTGCAGGGTATAGCGGACGGAGGCGGGAAGTTTATGGGAAACGCGGAGAGTGTGGTGCGCGTTGCGGGATGGTCTGTCGCGAGCGAGGCTGTCAAAAGTCCTAGCCCCCCTCCCCTCTGTCCCCTGTCCCCTCCCCTCGACTCCCCTGCCTTGTTCCTTATCCCCTGTCTCGCACTGTTTTCTCCACTCTCTCAATATCTGACAATAGGGCGTCGAATCTACGGACGCCGGCAAGGCCGATGCCTGCGATGGCTGTCCGAACCAATCTGTCTGCGCCGAGGGCCCGAAGGGCCCAGACCCTGACCTCCCCCTTATCCAGGCGAGAATGCGATCGGTCAAGCGCAAAGTTCTCGTCTTATCAGGAAAAGGAGGCGTAGGGAAGAGCACATTCACTGCTGGACTATCTTGGGCGTTAGCTGCAGATGAAGACTGTCAAGTAAGTCCAACCTTGACTTTGCTGATCAGACCGGCATCATGGACGTGGACATCTGCGGACCGTCGATCCCCCTCCTCATGGGCCTCTCCTCGTCCTCCATACATACCTCTGCTTCGGGATGGTCACCGGCATACGCTCAGGACAATCTCGCCGTCATGTCCATCGGCTTCCTCCTCTCTTCCAGCTCGGACGCGGTCATATGGCGGGGGCCCAAAAAGAACGGCCTCATCAAGCAATTCCTAAAAGACGTGGAATGGGGAGATCTCGACTACATGGTCATCGACACGCCGCCCGGTACCAGCGACGAGCATCTCAGCATCGTCCAATACCTCAAAGACGCCGGGATCGACGGCGCCATCCTGGTGACCACCCCGCAAGAAGTGGCGCTGCAAGATGTTCGCAAGGAGATTGACTTTTGCCGCAAGGTGGGGATACCAATATTGGGGCTGGTGGAAAATATGTCGGGCTTTGTCTGTCCGAGCTGTAAAGGCGAGAGCCAGATATTTGCGCCGACTACAGGAGGAGCCGAGGCGATGGGGAAAGAGCTGGGAATAGAGCTGCTGGGGAGAGTACCATTAGATCCGAGGATAGGGATGACTTGCGATCAGGGATTGAGCTTTTTAGACGAGTTCCCAGATAGCCCCGCGACAGCAGCATATCTAGACATAGTACAGCGGCTCAGAGAGTTACTAGGCGATGCATGATTACGGCTCTGGCTCCCCCATCAAGTCGTCGATATCCCCGTTCAGATCTGCGAGCTGGTCCTCGACCCAGGTAGGATCTTCAATCTGAGGATTCGCCTTTTGGATGCTCTGACTGTATCCCACTCGCATCTTGTCGACGAATGCTTCTTCGTGGCCCCGCTATCATCAGCCCCGTCAGTGATGCACTCACCTTTCTCGCCTTGCGCAATAGCGTGCGCATAAAGATCTCTTGGTATTGTGCCTTGCCGTTGTCGAACGTGAGCAACACCTCCTTTTGCGGTTTGACGGCAGAGACCGTCTCGTAGGTGCGCGCCCGCTCATAGTGGGTACTCTGACGTCAGTGCCGCTCGCACGCAGACTCACCGGCAGGATCTCGTCAATCCGAGGATCCGATGCGTCCTCCTCGGCCATACCCTCCACTTGCTGAACCACCTCCGGGTCTACCGCCCTATTATAGACATCGTCCAGTCTAGGAATATCCTCCTCCTTGGGCAAAAAGTATTCGATCTCTTGTTGGCCATCATTGTCCCTGGGAAGAAGCAATGCTCTCTTGAGTCTGGGAGACGACGGACGAGGGGCAGTATTCTACAGTCAGCTTGTAATAGGCCGCACATACCATAGCTGCAGACACGCCTGAAGGTCGGTCGGGAAATTTCATCATGATGCACGACACCTCGCCCCAGTTGTCGTCGGGGATGATGTCGAAGCTCTACGCGTCAGAAGGTCCTTGTCGGACTCACCTCGATCAGTTCTCGTGTATCTCCATGCGCAACATCTGCGAATGTGCTCTCTATTGCGTCCAGCTGCGCGGCGTCTGAAGCATCCACGGCCACCTCGTTCCTATCGTCAGCCGGATCCTCCCCTTACTCACTTGAGCTTCTCGTGGTGTCGTTTATTCTGAGTCTTGCGCATGAACAAACTCGAGGTCCGCATCCACGAGACCTCCCCCGTCGCCTCAGTAGCCGCTGCGGCGGGCGCGAGCAGCGGTATATCTTCCGCGTGCACTTCCTGTGGCTCTGGGTTGAGTTCCGAGTCGTTTCCATCCCATACACCGTCAAAGACGTTGAGGTCCAGCGCCATTCCCATCTCTGAATCAACGAGCATCGGTAGTGGTGTCCCTGATGATAGCTGCGAGAGGTAGCTTGGCTCGCCGAGGCGAGCAATGTCCGAGGGAATGTCGAAGAGTTTGGGCGGGAAGGGGGGTGGGGGAAGGGGGTTGAGGTATCTGACTCGGACGAGCAGATCTAGACGACTGGAATCAGCTTTGTCTAAAGAGTGGGCTTACGCTTTCTTGGACATCTTGGTTGGAGTGGTATGTATAGTAGAGTAACAGCCCTCGCTATTCTGCAGCATGCAGCTGCAGGCGACCAAGATGATTCAGATGTGACGTAATTTCCCGACTGATTTCAACGCGCGCGCGCTCAACTCATTCCTTCCTCCACCATCCATCCATATTCATCATGTCCATAGAGACCCCATTCGAGCTACTAGATCAGCTCATCGCACAAGGTCTAGCACCTAGTCATCAAGATATAAGCAAAATACGACAGCTCGTCGCCATCCTCATTCAAGCTTGCCTCCTTCAACCACTCGCAGACCTCCAACCACTGGCAGACGACACCCTCCGACGCGCACGCGATACGCTGCGAGTCCTGCACCAACACTCCCTATCCCATCCCGAACTCCTCCTCCACACATCCGAAGGCATACCCCTGTACAAGTTCCTACTACCTCGTATCATCTTTGCCTCAGCTCAATGCCAGGACAGCGATCTGGCGGAGGAGCTCGTCGCAGCGGGGGATGCGATGTTGCGGGCGATGTGCACGGTTCCGCCAGAAGATGGCGGCGCATATTCCAAGGGCAGGCATGCGGCCAGCATGGCAATCAAGGCTCTCCGTCTCTTTGCTGAAGGTACGTTTCCACGTTGGCCAAGCTGACAACAGGCGGCTGCCTTTACGGGTTCAACGAGCTCAAGTCAAATCCGGACACTGCTGTGATCGCGGTCCACATCGCTCTCAGCTCCCTCATGCCCTTCGTCGATGACGTCCGGCGAGACCTCTTCCGCCTCCTCGCAGCTGCTGCTGCTCGGCCCAGCAGCGACCGGACCAAAACCGCTATATCTCAAATACTCTCCGCCTCCAAGCAGCCAGCCCTTCAGCTCGAACCTATCCTCGCGATCGTACAGCCGAGTGTCGCTCGCGACTCCCGCAAACGCAAGCGCAGCAGCTTTGATGATCTCTCTGGTGTCACATGGCGGGACGGCGCCGAGCCCTTCTCGTGTATAGTAGCCAGCCTGGATGGGTGAGTCCCCCTTATGTGCAACGCTAATTCTAGCATGAGCAAAGAAGCCCTGGATACCCTTCGTCACGAGCTACCTCATCTCCTCCACCCTCAACTCCCCTCAGAGATCCTCGATATATGGCTTCACCTCGCGGCCGACGTCCCCGAACTCAAAACGCTGGTCGCCATCCTCGACAATTGCGATGATGCCATGCTCGCCGGCGCCCCCTCACTCAATCGATTACGGGCCAAGGTCCTGCCATTCCTCCGAAATGCCAACCGCACAACTCGTCTGCTTGCTGGGTGAGTCATATCACAGTCCCGGCTGATGATAGACAAGTGACAGTGCGCATCTTTCCCTTCACCAAGCAGCGGCTCGTAATCAACGAGATTCGAGTTGCTCTGGACGACTCGTGGCCGATCCGGGCGACGACAATCGCGATCACCGGGGCGCTCGCTAGAAACGCGACTCAGGATGTCCTAGGACATCTCCTCGAGCTACTCTTTGGCCAACTCGGTGTCCCCCATCGGCCTATCGTGTCATTGGCATTTGCAGAGGTGAGCACGCACTAAGACCACTGCTGATTTCAGTTGATGGCCATCACCAAATTCCGTCGAGTATCAGCCTATACGCTCATTTCACCACACCTCGAAAGGCTCAGCGTCTTTCTCGCATCCAAGCTTATCGACAATCGGCTCCTGGTCGGCGAGGCTATGCAATTCATCGGCATGCCCCGGAACAGCTTCTTCTTTATCACCCTGCGGTACACCCTCCCAGCGATGGTCGCCCAAAAGCGCCGCAAAAACCTCGATGAGATTGCTGGAATCGTCCAGGATAATCTCGGCGTCTTGCTCGTGCACGAAATGGCGGGTGTTCTGGCGCAAATCTTCCTCATCCCCCAAGATTACACTTCCTCGCTTTACTTTTTGGAGGACGTTCTCCGCAGCCAAGCCCACGACAACAGCGATTTATCTCCAAAATCCATTGTCAACACCTCTGTCGTCCCCTTCGCCGTCATCCTCCTTATCGACTTTGGAGACAACGATCCCGCCGTCCGCAGAGCAGCCAAGATCGGTCTAGAGCGTGCCTACCACGTACAGGACCCGGCAAATAGCGCGGATCTGAGCGAATTTCTCAAACCCCACATGCTGGGTATCGTCTCCCAGCTCAATGATGCCTTGCACGATCTGCAGGGGAAAAAGACGGTCGAGTACAAGCGGAAGATAATAAGGAGTATGGGGAGGTTGATCAATACGATCGGTGACTCTATGTCTACCTTTTCACCACAAGTGAGTGCATCCATAACGGTGGCTGACTAGATTATTGCCAGTCTACAAGGTACTTTGAGTATCGCCGAGCTCCGCTCCGACACTCTAGCGACTTGGAAAGTCTTCATCCGGGAGCTCCGCTACGCTGATTCAGGGCCATTCATCGGTCGTACAACCGCTGCGTTGACTGCCAACTGGTCGGACTTCGGGGAGGACGATCGGCGCCAAGCTGTCGAGATGGTCAGCGAGATCACCGAGAACGCTCAGCAGCTCCTCCCCTTTCTCGACGATGTCGTTGACATGAGCCATATCCCGGAGCTCGCCTTTGCCTCCAAGTTGTGGCAGAGGCGAGACTGGCCGCTGGTCAAGCAGATCGATCGGATGCTCGAGCGGATCGGCAGCAAGAATCCGGCGGTCGCGGTGACCGCCATGACGGAAATGCGGACCCTCCTCGCCTCTTCATGGGTACCGGTCCGCGGAGACACGTTTGACCCCTTGGCCTCCCGTCTGATGCACGGCCTCATCCAGGCGGTCGTGCACGGCGAGGCTGCCGAGCTCCAATCCGCGGGATTCGAGTGCCTGGGTATCGTCGGCGCACTCGACCCGGACCGGCTCATCAAGGCGCCGGAGCCCGAGTCGATGCTCATCCTGTCCAACTACGCCGACGAGGAAGAGACGGTCTCCTTTGCCATCCACCTCATCAAGGACCTCCTCGTCGATGCCTTTCGGGCGACGAACGACACAAAACACCAGAACAGTCTGGCATATGCTATACAGCATTTGCTCAACTTTTGCGGCTTCACCGCTTCCAACTCTACGTCCATGTCGGGTCGGCTCAGATCACGGTGGGCCCGCTTCCCCAAGGACCAGCACGAAACCCTCACTCCCTTGCTCGAATCTCGCTTTTCGTTGGTCAACGATTCGCAGAACGACGTCGATCATCCCGTGTACAAGAACACCACCAGCTACCGCAACTGGATCCTCACGTGGACATTATACTTGCTCAAGCAGGTCAAGGAGTTTCCGGCCCCACACAATCGCTCCGTCTTCGAGGTCATGATCCCCATCCTGCGGTGCAACGATGTCACGGTCGCGCGTCACATCCTACCGCATCTCGTCCTCCATGTCCTCTTGCGCGGTGACAAGGCAACACAATCGCAAATTGCGGTTGAAATCAACACTGTCCTTCACGACCAGGTCAACCACTCGGGCGCAAACGACATGCGCATGCTCAGCGCCCAGGTCATTTTTGATCTAATGGACCACCTCAGCAGGTGGCTGCGTTCTGCCCGGTCCAACAAGGTCGACCGGAACTGCAAGACGGTCGAATCGGTCCTCTCCAGCGTGGAGACCGAGCTGCTGGCGAATGCAGCCTTGCAGAGCAAAGCCTATGCTCGGTCTTTGCGGAATTTCGAACAACGCATATCGGATCTTCGGAAGGAGAAGAGGCAGACTGCCGAGCTGCAGACGTACTATGAACGCCTGCATGAGATTTACGCAAGCTTGGACGAGCCGGACGGGATGGAGGGGGTATCGACCTTTGTCATCTCCCCTTCGCTGGAACACCAGATTCGGGAGCACGAGAGCACGGGTAGATGGACATCCGCGCAGAGCTGCTGGGAGGTGCGCCTCCAGCAGTCTCCAGAGGATCTCAATCTGCACCAGGGACTGCTACGTTGCCTGCGCAATCTCGGACACTATGGTGAGTTGGTGCTTGGTGGAGCTGATCCAGATACCCTACGTACCCACATCCGCGGCATCCTCAGTCGACATCCGCACTGGGCGCCCAGTCTGTCCTCGTTCGAAGCCGAAGCTGCCTGGATCATGGGCGACTGGTCCACGGTCCGGTCTATTGCCGACCAGGGACATCCCATGGCTCGCGTCATGGCCGGCTTGCAGCGCAGGGATCTGGGTGATAGTATCCAGCAAGCTCGCCTCGAGATCGGCCGGCAGATTACCTCGACGCAGTACAATCGTGTTTACGAGCCGATCCTTCAGCTGCACGTCCTGCGGGAGCTAGAAGAAATCGAGTCTGCTAGCAAGCAGCTAGACCGCAGCTCGCGGACCGCCAGGATCCATCGGGAATTACACCGCTCACTGGATCTACGATTCGACTATACGGCCCCAACCTTCCGGACCCGGGAGGCGATTCTCAGCGCACGCCGGACTGCTTTTGCAGTCCTAAAGTCGCCTGCTTTCCAGCCCGACATTGGCAAAGCATGGGTCTCGAGCTCCAAAATGGCGCGGAAGGCAGGCTATGACCAGACGGCGTACAGTGCTGTCCTTCAAGCGCGGGAGGTGGACGCCTCATTCGCCTTTGTCCAGCAGGCAAAGCTGTCCCGGACCAGAGGGGGAGCACTCAAGGCATTGACGGAGCTGGAGAACTCCCTCACGCCATTGCTCCAGGCTGTCGTCAATCCGGACATGAGCGCGGACGAGCAATTTGCGAGGGATCGAAATATGGCCAAGGCAAGTAAGGACGCTGCTTTGCTGATATCAGGCTGTTCTCCTTCAGGCTCGATGGATGCACGAGTCTGACCGGTTCGAAGGCAACATCATCATAGCCAAGTTCACCCAGGCCATCCAGCTCGCTCAAGAGTAAGTTGTGCGGTAGCAAAGCTGATATCAGCCTCGAATCGCCGCACTACCATCTCGGTCGCTATTACGACAGCTGCTCATCAATCGACCCATCTCAGTGAGTGCATCCGCTACCAAGCTGATAGCAGGGCGGCATTCTTCCTCCAAACGTGCTCACACTACGTCCAGGCCCTCAAGCATGGTGTCAAATACATCTACCGCACAATGCCAAGGACATTAACTATCTGGATGGACCTAGGGGACACGGTCAGGGAAAGGGAAAAGGATAAAAAGTAAGTGACGGCTTGACCAGGCTGATGTTAGGTCGCCGCCTTCCGCAGACCTACAGAAGAGCTTGCATAGCATCACCCACTTGATGGACCGATGCCACAGGGAGCTCCCAACCTTTGAGATCCTCACAGCGTTTCCTCAAATGGCGTCTCGACTCGGGCACAAGACTGACACCATCCGAACGACGCTCGTCAGGCTCATGGGCGCCGTACTCGTCGTCTATCCTCTGCAGGCGCTCTGGCCAATGGTCTACCTCATGCAGTCAAACCGACCAGAGCGCAAGAAGCTCTGCGGACAGGTCACCAGTCGCACTCTGGTAAGTACTGCTTGGGAGCCAGCTGACGAGCAGCAGAAGAATCCCGGTTTGACCACTCTGATCAAGGACGCGGAACGTTTCGCCGGGCACCTCTTGCGACTTTGCAACGACAAGGTCGAAGAGAAGCGCAAGGAAATGTCGATTGAAGCGCATTACCCGTACATGAAGCAGGCGATACCGACCCAGATGATGGTACCACTACAGGATGCCTTGACGGGTTCGCTTCCGTCTTCCGCCGAGAACTTGCAGACGCACAATCCCTTCCCCATTGCACCAGTGGCCATCAATGGTGAGTTGTTGGTACGCCGAGCTGATCTCCAGGGATCGAGGATAGGATCGACATCATGCAGTCTCTGATCAAGCCCAAAAAACTGGTCTTTACGACGACCGATGGCAAGCGGTACCCCTTCCTGTGCAAGCCTCACGACGACCTCCGCAAAGACGCACGTCTGATGGACTTCAACTCGATGATCAACAAGCTTCTTAAATCCGCTTCCGAGTCTAGAAGAAGGCAGCTTTGTGAGTGAGCTGAATGTCGCCGCTGATATAGACATCCGGACCTACGCCGTCATGCCTCTTAATGAAGAGTGTGGCTTGCTCGAATGGGTGGCAAACACCAACGCTTTCAAGAATATCCTAGAAGCGGGCTACGCTCGTCACGGAAGGAAACTTTACACTTCCGAGCTGCACAATACCGTCGAGACCAGCAGGAAGCAGGGTACCCAAAGGCAGATTGATGCGTTCTGCAATATCATCACCCCTATGTACGTCTCCAAGCCGTCTCAGCTGATGGCAGGTTCAAGCCAACCGTGTTTGGCGATTGGTTCTTGACGACCTGGCCAGAACCCTCAGCATGGCTGCGCAGTCGGACCGCCTACTGTCGAACGCTAGCAGTCATGTCCATGATCGGTCACGTTCTAGGGTGAGTGGCGGCCGGTACAGTGCTGATCGTAGATTGGGAGATCGTCACGGCGAGAATATCCTCTTTGACGGGTTGACGGGAGACACTGTCCATGTGGACCTGAACTGCCTCTTTGAGAAGGTGAGTCGAGGCTGGATATCGCTGACCCAAGGGACGTTCATTCGAGATCCCGGAGCGAGTACCGTTCCGCCTGACGCAAAATCTGGTCGATGCAATGGGTGTTACGGCGACGGAAGGTGAGCTATCGTGTTGTTCGCGCTGACATCAGGTGTCTATCGCAAAGCCGCAGAGATTACCATGGACGTTCTCCGTACCAACAGGGAGTCCCTCATGAGTGTTCTCGAGGCGTTTGTGCACGATCCCTTGGGCGAATGGACAAAAGGCGTGAGTACAAGTATTGAGCAGTGCTAAAGTCAGCTGCGGAGCAAGTCGGAAAAGGAAGTCCGCGCAGCGGCCGATAAGAACCTCCAGCCCATCAAGGACAAGCTAAAGGGCATCTCCGCTCAGGGCTTGATCATGACCGTCCCCAATCAAGTGGAAGTCCTAATCCAGGAAGCCACCTCGCCCGCCAATCTGGTAAGCCCTTCAAGACAAGTCGAGCTGATCCCCAGGGGCTCATGTACCAAGGCTGGACCGCATGGCTGTAGTCGTAGTCATAATACATGCATCCTCTATGCGCCTAGAACTTGAGCTCGTGGAACCGGTCGCCCTTCGAAAGACCCCAAGTGGCCTTGAGGTACTTGCTCAGGTGGTCGACCTTTTTGATGGCCGAAAGAAGGGGAGCATCCACCGACTGATATCAGCGCCCCGTCTGGACTTGGACGTACCTTCTGCTCTGACTTCTTCTCCTCTGGGAACGCCTTCTTCTCCTTGCCCTCCCCAAAGAACTCTCCCTCCTTCGACGACTTGGCCGACTTGGCCTTGGCAAAGTAGGCGTCGTTGACCGACTCGGGAATGGAGAGGCCGCTGAGCTCGACCTTGGTGGAGGTAGCGATAACGTAGGCCTGGCTGACTCGGCGGAGGGGAACGCCGTTGAGCTTGAACGGACCGGTGACGAGCAAAAGACCCGAGTCGAGTTGCTTCAGGAAGACGACACGCTTGCCGCTGAAGCGACCGGCGAGGAGGATGAGGACGGTACCGGGAGTGATGCTGGAGCGGAGGGCAGTCTTGCCGGGGGATTTGCGCGAGACCTTGGGCCGACGAACGTCCTCAGCGGGGTAGTACTTTGACGCCTTGGCGTTAGACACCAATCGCTTCTCCCCGTTCCCCTTTCCTCCAATTGGCTTCTCGGTGGTGGTGGGCTCCTCCGCCTTGGGAGCGGTGGTCGAGGTCTTCTTCCCTGGGACATCAGCTATAGCTCCCCCATCGTCTCCATCTTCCTTCAACTCACCCTTGTAGAGACCTCGCTTCTCAGCGACCTGAGAACGGGAGAGACGCCCAACGTTGGGTGCAGCAGCCTTTGAACGCGCCATCTGTAAGTCAGATAATTGTCGGTATGCAGTGTCTGGTGTGCGACTGACTGTGTTGAATGTGATGTTGATGGATGATCAAGAGGCCGTTGGAGTCGACTTGATGGTCGGTCAGGCTATCGCTCAGCTTGCCTCGGGGCAAATGGTGCACGGACTAGAAAAGGCAGACAGCACAAGATCCAAAGCGGAAGCAAAATCGGCATTTGCGGCTTACTATCTAAGCTTGTGGCAATCGGGGCGCAGGTTGACCTTATCGGATTTAACAGATCACGCCGCTTATCACCGAAAACCTCGCAAGTGATGTTTGAATGCTATCCGTCCTCTTTGATTTACCCATCTCTTCATGGCGGACCCCAACTTTCCTCCCAATCTCGACATCGCTCCTCTCGCTCTAGACTCAACACATAGCGAGGACCAATGGCTCCAGCATGAAGCTATCCAACAATATGGGATCGCAGGACGCATTTGGCACGTTCATACGTCCGAGTCTCGCTGACGCCTAGGGAGGCTACTGAGCTCCTGATGCAATACTTTACTCCTGGAGCCAGTTTTGATCCCCCTTGCTCTGCGCTACTCACACCATCTCCCAAGCGGATCATCGAGCTCGGGTCCGGCCAGTCCGTCGCATCGTTACATCTCGCAAAGTCTCTTGCCCCTAGCGACACGCTCATCCTCACCGATCTTCCCAATGTGATGCCATTGTGCGAGCAGAGTGCACGAAAAGCGGCTCTGCCGGTCAACATATCCCCGCAACCCTTGGCCTGGGGCTCTTCATCAGATCATCTGGACCCTCATCGCCCTTTCACTCACGTCATCATGTGCGACCTCGTGAGTTGCGATTCGGACTGCACTGACGCAAGATTTACTTTCCCGAGCTGTACCCCGCCCTCCTCTTCACTCTGCTAGACTTGACCCGCCCCGAATCCATAACGGATACTCCTACCTTTGGACCCGAGATCATCCTGGCATGTAAGTTCGGGAAAGTCAACGCTTATTCAGACAAACCGAGAACCCTTGCCTTGGAGCACTCGTTCTTTGACGCATTCGGCCTGTACTTTAGCATGAACCCAATCATTGGTGGCGACTCATTGGTGCGGCTTTACTCTTGTCAGCGTTGGAAAATCAACGAGCAGTGGGAGATGCCAGCCATGGACACGGTGATGAATGGGGCGCCTGGGGTGGAGCGAGGCAGGGATTTTGGATACATTGATCAACTATTTGCTTCTATGGAATGGTGAATTGCTATCTACAAAAAGTACTCGATCGCCTTGACATCAGCATTAGCATATTGATGGCTCACCTTGGTCTGCTGTTGCTGCTGATTTGGTCCGTCACGCTCGTTTTCTGGGGCCGCATCAAACACGTTAAAATATCGGCCACCTCCTGGAGACACCTCCAATACGCTCGCCATGTTGCCGCATCTGACATCAGCACTCTTCATCGTATCGCTTACCTGTAGCAGTAATTAGGAGCACTCCACACCGTGCTCAGTCTGTCGTCGTAGAGCACCGAGTACCCCTCCATGCAGAGTTGGTGCGCGCGGAGGATGTGGTTCATGCCGTTCAGGTGTAGGAATTTGCGGACAATCGAAGATCCAAAGGTGTAGCCCGCGCCCCTGCCATCAGCTCAACCATCGTCAAGCCTCACCTAGGGCTGATGGCAAAGTCCTCTTTCTCGGGATCTGGATCAGACCAGACCAGATCCGCCATAGGCCCTTCGTGCGGGATCTCTCTAAACCGATCTATTATCTTGATTTGGTCGATGTGGTGGATAGATGGGCTCAGACCGCCGTGAACGCAAAAGATGGCGTCGTCGATGACGACGCTGAGGGTGAGAAAGTCAAACATGTCGGTAAAGTACTGCCACACGGTTGGCGAGCCGTATTTGCGAGTACATTCAAGGTAGAAGCCATACGTCTGAGGGATCAGCGATATCTCAAGAGCATCAGGAGAGGGGAGCATCAGATTTCCGTTCTCTCAATCTCAGCACAGGGTTCCTCAAAGAGTATACCGCTAATGCCTCGACGCGTCTCCATCGGTTTACACCTAAGAGTCCTCTTTTGAATTGATCATCACGCGCTCCCCAGGATTCTTTGGGGAGGAACCTACCTGTGTGACCGCCCTGGACTCGTGGTTTCCTCGGATAAGTTGTATCCGCTCTGGGTATCGCAGCTTGAGGCAGGTGAGCAGCGATATAGTCTCGACCGAGTGAAGACCGCGGTCGACATAATCACCTTTGAGATTAGCCGATGCTGAGGTGTCTACCCACCTAGGAATAGGTAATTGGTCGTAGGAGCTGGGCCGCCTATCCGAAAGATCTCGATGAGGTCGTGGAATTGCCCGTGGATGTCGCCAACAACGGTGACGGGGGAAGAGACGTGGACGACGTTGCTCTCTCGCATCAATACCTCTTTTGTTTTTTCGCATATCTCTCGAATGAGAGCTTCTCCGAGTAGCTGCTTATCCCGCAAGCGGTCGATGCAGGCATCGAGATCGAAGGGCGCCATGCACGGTGGTAGGGAAGCATGTAGTGGTAACTAAGAGGTCAGATCAGAGGAACCGAGCTTGGACTGCACAGCTGGGCGGGGATTCCAGTTACGTCATAGCGCTTACCCTGTCACCGGCAGCTGCAGGCATGGCTATCCCCCGCAGCTATCTACTTCTCTCACCATACATACACTCTCTCTTGCTGCAGGCATCGGTTGCACAATATGCAGATGTAAGTACAGCTCGCTGCCGCCCCACTATCCCAACTCATCAGCGTAGGTTCAATCGGAACAACGCCGATTACGAGGACTATCCTCCGAGCGTCCGGGCATCTGCCAATCATCAACCGACACGTCCTGTTGACAAGGACAAGAATGAGGCAGAACTTGCTGTGCACATCAAGAAGGCGACATCTGCCGAAGAGACTGCTCCCAGTGAGTACCAGAGAATGGCCAGAGCTGACGAATAGAACAGAAACACGTCAGAAGTAAGCCCAAGGCAAGTCTCCACTAACGCTCAAGAGTGTATCGTTTACACGTGGGACTACCACTCCTCGACATCCGTATGGAACAGCCTGAGGACTCAGCCAATATTGGCAGACGAGGTCCAAACCTTCAAGAGTCTGATTGTCGTGCACAAGCTCCTGCAAGAGGGTCATCCGGTCGTAAGTCCAAGGACCGACTCTTGCTGACTGTAGACCTTGAAGGAGGCACACCAGCAGACTGGCTGGATTGAGACCTGCGGACGCACAGCTGGTGATGGCGTCAAAGGCTATGGTCCCCTCATCAAGGCGTACACGTCCTTCCTACTGTCCAAGCTGCGCTTTCATCGTCACCATCCCGAGTTCAACGGGTTGTTCGAGTACGAGGAGTATATCAGTCTCAAGAACATTGACGATCCCAATGAAGGGTGAGTACCGTCTGCTCCATGTGCTGACTGTAGATACGAGACCATCACCGACCTCATGACTCTGCAAGATCAGATCGAGTCATTCCAAAAGCTCATCTTCAACACATTCCGTGGCTCCAACACCAACGAATGCCGTATCTCCGCTCTTGTTCCTCTGGTCAAGGAGAGCTTTGGAATCTACAAGTTCATTACGAGCATGCTCCGAGCGATGCATCGACGTAAGTACAGGACTGAAACGAGCTGACAACAGGGACGGAAAATGAGGATGTACTCCAGCCGCTTCGAGAAAGATACAACGCCCAGCACTTCAACCTGAGGCGTTTCTACTATGAATGCTCCAACCTCAAATACCTTACTGGTCTCATCAATGTGCCCAAGCTCGGACAGGTATGTCGATTCCGATGACTTCGCTGATTGTAGGAACCGCCCAATCTGATCGACTCTGGCGAAGCTCCCGAACTCCCCAACCGACCCAACATCGAGCCTCGAGCAGAGCCAAAGCGGAGCGAGTCGCCCGCGCCCACAGCAGGCGAGATTGAGGAGCAGCGTCGAATGCTGGAAGAGTATGAGCGCAAGCAGGCCGCGCTCGTCTCCCAGCGGGAAGCTGCTCAGCGCAAGCAGGAGGAGGACAAGCGTCGGCAGGAGGCGGACTATGCTGAGCAGCAGCGGCTCCAGCAGGAGAGGGAGCGACAGGCGCAGGAGCAGCTTCTTCGGGAGCAAATGAACCAGCAAAACCAGCATTACAACAGCCAGCAGCAGCAATACGGACAGGTCGCCGAGCTGCAGCAGGAGATGTTGGGTATGCGGGGACAATACGAACGCGACCAGATGCTGCTGGAGCAATACGATCGGCGAGTCAAATCCCTCGAGAGCGAGCTCGGTCTCATCGGCGCCAACGTCGGTGCCCAAATGTCGGCCAAGGACGATCTCATAATGCAACTCCAAAAGCAGATCGAGATCTGGAAGAGCAAGTACGAAGCGCTGGCCAAGCTCTACTCGCAGTTGCGCGGGGAACACCTTGATCTTCTCAACAAGAGCAAGGGGTTCCAGCTAAAGGCAAACTCTGCCCAAGAGGCCGTCGACAAGATGGAGAGGATGGAGCGGGACGTCAAGGCCAAGAACCTGGAGCTGGCCGACATGATCAGGGAGCGAGATCGAGCTCGTTACGATGTTGACCGTCTTCGATCAGTGAGTGGAAGAGAGAGCCCGGCTAATGTCAGAGCCACAAGGAAGAACTCGACCGAATCAAGCGAGACCTATCTTTTGCCCAGGAACGCGCAGAAGACTCATCGCGGAACAAGAGCTCCGAGGTGTCTGGCATCATGTCCAAGTACAACCGCCAACTCAACGAGCTGGAGGACTCGCTACGCGTAAGTTGTGACCGTTACATGGCTAATGAATAGGCCAAGCAGATGCAAATCGACGACCTCCTGCACCGGATCGACGAAAAGGAGGGCGAGGTGGCAAGGGTTGTGGAAGAGAAGGAGCAAGAGCTGTTGATTATGCAAGAGGGCATGGACTCTACGTTGAAAGAACTCAGCGAGATGCGCATTGTAAGTTGTCGTCCAGGCTGAGCTGACTGTAGACTTCTGGCGACACCAACCAAGCCTTCGATGCCCAAGTCGACACCCTCATCCTCGACCACCGCAAAGAGCTCAACGCCATCATCGACTCCATCCTCCAAGCATGCGTACAGAAGGTGGACGACGCCATGTACGAGCTGGAATCCCCAATGCAAACTGGCAACACCACCGCAACCCCCGAGTACACCCTCTCCATGATCGAAAAGGCCATGACAAACGCCACCGAGTTTGCCTCCACCTTCAATCTCTACCTCGCCAAAAAGAGCGGCGGTACCCATGTCGACGTGATTCGGTCGGCGAATGAATTTGCGCAAGCACTTTCAGAGACCCTCGTCAGCTCCAAGGGCATCACGCGGTTCGCCGAGACCGACGACGCCTCGGACAGGCTCGTCAAGGTGGCAAAGAGCTCGGGCGACGCTGGCCAGCGGTTCTTCCTCAACCTTCAGTCTTTCCGCTTGCTTGCTGGCGGAAAGACTGAGGACGTTGCCCTTCGCAACAACGCCGAGACACGCGGGGCACTTGCCAAGCTGTCCGAGTCGGTGGAGAAGCTTATTCCCAAGGCGAGCTCCACCCTGGCGCGGTCCAACGGCGATATCGGGGACATCGTTTCGCAGGAGATGCAGAACGCTGCTCGGGCAATCGAGCAGGCCACTCAGCGTCTTCAATCTCTTATGGCGCGGGAGAAGGGGCCAAAATACAATGCTCTGGACATCCAAGTCCATGATGCCATCCTCGAGGCTACCTTGGCCATCACCAACGCCATCGGTCGGTTAATCCGGGCGGCGACCGAGAGTCAGGAGGAGATTGTACGGGAGGGCAAGGGGTCCAGCACAACACAGCAATTCTACAAGCGAAACAATCGGTGGACGGAGGGTCTCATCTCGGCTGCCAAGGCTGTGGCGTACGCTACCGGTCTCCTCATCGAGACTGCGGACGGTGTAATCTCTGGCTCGCACTCGCTCGAGCAGCTCATCGTGGCATCCAACGAGGTATCGGCCGCAACCGCTCAGCTCGTGGCTGCATCCCGGGTCAAGGCGTCGTTGATGTCCAAGACACAGCAGACTCTGGAGGTGGCGGCCAAGGCGGTGACGGATGCTTGCAAGGCGTTGGTACGGCAGGTCAAGATCATCTCCAATCGGGAGGGAGATGAGGATGCGGTCGACTACAAGTCGATGCCGTCGCATGAGTTCAAGATGAGGGAGATGGAGCAGCAGGTGGAGATTCTGAAGCTAGAGAAGGATCTAGGCGCGGCTCGGCGGAGATTGGGAGAGATGCGGAGGGCAGGATATCATCAATACGCAGATTAGTTGTAATTAGTACTAGGAGATGATTGGCTTCTTTTGGGGGCAGACAACGGATATGCGTACCCAAATCGACAACTAGATACCCAAGAGACTCTTGACCTGTGCCCGTACCCTCCGCTCGAATTCGGGTTTATCGTCGCGGTATAGCTTGGCACACTGCTACATCAGTCTAGATATGGCTGGGTACATACCTCTACATCAGCAGGGCTGTCGCTGTTGGGCGCATGCATCAAGCTCAGTACACTGAGGAGGACGCTTCGCACCGACTGCACTGGGCTCCATCGCTCGGAAGCGGTTTCATACCGCATAGGATCGTCGCCGGGGGCATGGAGGATGGATATGCAGACATCGCCGTTGGGATAGACTGGTCTCAGCGAGACAGCGGCCGGGACCTACTGTTCGGATGGAGTAGAGGTGGATCAAAGGTCATCTTGAAGGGGTTGAGTGGATAGTCGGATGGCTGGCCGTGAGCTAGTCCAGTCGTTCGTACTTACAAAGCGCAACTTGGCCGCAAATATACCACCTTCCTAGATGTCAGCTCGGTAGTAGGCCGTACTCACATATGGAGTTCCCTCGGGTCCCTGCACCAGAGCTTCCCATTCCAACATGTTGTCCTCGGATATCGGGCCGGCTGTAATCATATCTTGCAGCGGGTCTGCTGTTAGATCGCGATACTCCTTCATCAGCCTGGGGTCAGCATACGCGACGCTGGAGCTCACCTTCGCGCTGCCGTCGATGATTGTGCTCTGGTGTTGTTGGCGAACATGGCAGATGGACAAAGGCAAGAGGAAGGAATGTTGGTGCTCGATGAAACGCCTCCACGTCGGATGAAACCATCTCAGGAAGGGGTGCTAATGTCCTGTCTGATATACATCTCTCTACGAGCCAATACATATATCTAGTTCCGCCTACAGCACCGACCCAGCTGCCTCGTCACCCAATAGTACAGGCACTGCTGTCAGTCAAATCTCTACAAGGACTTACGCCTACAAAGCGGACGGCGGATAGACCAAACGTCCCCCAAAGCAGATACATGAAGTAGTACTGCTGCTTGTCCTCGAGATCCTGCGTCTGTGAGTTGATTGCTCGAGTGAGGCAAGTGGCGTTGACCGGGACGATGGCGGAGCCGTTGATGGGGTTGTAGTCAGCGGGAAGACAAAGCTCAACCAGGCGTCTCGTTTCGGGAAGACCATTCAAGGTCTGAATAGAGATTGCGAGGGCGGCGTTGGAGATGAGCCAGAAGCAGACGAGTCTGGTTCGGAAGGTACGGTTTTGGTCCTGGCATAAGCTTGGCTGATCTTACACTCACGTCTGGATTTGGCAAGTCGGTGCCGTCGGCCTCTTTCCACGGCGTGACGGCGCGCGATACCGTCTGCTGAAACGCCTCGTCGAGTTCCGCCATGTTCTGATCAGCTCAGCCCTAATTTTACTCACTCGCTGAACATCCTCCACCACTGCCCCGCCCTTCTCCTTGCTCGATGTAATGGCCGGCAATGCTTCGACCTTGTCGGAACCTGTCTCAGCCGAGTTTTACGCTGCCGTACCCTTTGTTCCCCATCTGTCGTCAGCGCGGCTTGTACTTGACTTACGAGACGTCGTGCAAGTTGCAGAATGCGTATACGTTCAGTACGTTGGTGAAAGACGGGGCGAGAAGCTAATCAGCAGTGTTGATGGAAAGCTTACTAGATACTGCGGGAACGAGTGGAACATGTGCCAGGGATCGCGCTAAGTCAGCTCCATTTAGCGACTACCCACGTATAGTATGGAAGCAAAGAGGTAGATTCCTATTGTCAGCTGAGTCGTTGACGCACTCACCGACTGTTGACATGAGGGCTGCAACAAGAACGCCGTTGGTCTTGCTGAAGAGATTCTTTAACTTCATGCCGAGATCGCCGTCTACATTGAGAGCAAACTGTCGTCAGCGCCATCGAGGAGCTGCTTACCTGGAACGCTCTGATGGAAAGGATCAGAGAGCACGTGATGAGGTATGCTGAGAGTATCGCGTATACGCTCAGCGTCAAGAGGTATAATCCCCTCTCTCCTTTCGGTCGGTTCCCAAGGGCCAAGACGAACTGGGTGAGCTGTGCCTGCTATCCCCTTACCTGTAACATGAGGAATGCTAGATACACCCACAACAAGACGAGATTGATCCAGTGAGTCTAAGTCAGCTTTGCCTGCTGTCCACTTACGACCGTCTCGCCGCCAAAGAGGTAGATGTGGGTCGCATCTGGGACGAGATTGATGATGATTGAAAAGGTGAGCCACAGGTTGGCGAGCGCGAACCAGGAGAAGATGAGGTTGAGACTAATTAGCGTTGTCAGAGTAGAACGTACAAGTTGTACTGTTGTCAGCTAATTTCTCGCCGGTACTTACGATTCCCTGGATGTGGAAGAAGAACATTCGGAGGGGATTGTGCCCGCTCTTGTAGAGCCGAAAGAAGTGGATGAGAGCGTACTACATCAGCTCGGCCTGGCCTCAACTTACGACCGAAGCAGCAAACGAGCCGTTCAACCATCGCCGACGCTGGCTGATCAATTCGGCTGCCTCCTCTGGCACGTCCGTTTCGGCCTTGCTGGGTTTGACATAGGACAGTACCCATTTGTCCCCCGCCTTGGCGACGAGCTCAAAGCAGAGTATTCTACGTCAGCTTGATCGTCTTTGGACTTACCGATCTTCGGCGAGGAACATGTTTTTGGTGAAGATGTTCATTCCGTGTATGCCCTTCTTTCCGAGACGATCGGCCACTGACTCAGCTTGGCCTTTTGCGTACTCACTCGTGTGGTCCCCATGGAAATACTGCTCCAAGGGTCGGCCCTGGATGGCTCGGAACCGATACGCCGAAAAGGCGCCAGGCAAGACGCTTACACTACCGTCAGCTAGTTCAGCGGTCGACTCACTATCCAAAGCTGCTCTCCAGGGGCTTGTCCAAGATATTGGACATTTTATACTCAAAGTTCTGCGCCGCGACTGCGTCAGCTACGTTTGTATTGACATACCTAACGGGTTTAGCAGCTTGGCGCCCTTTCTGATCATGGCGTGAATCTCTCCACAGGCACCACCGAGGTTGGGGTTGTTCTACGTCAGCCCGCACGGTAGTCGACCTACGTAGAATGCTTCCCATACTAAAGTCAGCTCGGTCAGCTATGAACTTACAATGATAGATCGCCTTGTGCCCCGGCTTGGTTCCAGCGTCGAGGAGGACGCATATCTCGGGGTTCAGCTGCCTGCCAATGGCATTGAAGAGCCACCGGTGGGAGTTGATCTTTTTCGTATTCTCTTGCTTGAGACAAAAGATGATTTGGACGGGAACCTATCAGCGACGTCCTCGGTGAACTCACGAGATTGTTGGGGTCTCCGGGGTGAGGCTGGACGAGTTGAGGGCTGGCGTCTACAGACAGTTGCGTGGTATACTGACGTCAGCCCGGACTATGGTCTGCTCACCTCAAAGATATGCGCGACGGTCGACTTTTCATCGACGGCCTTTTTGAGTACTCCGTCTTGGTAACAGCCAATAGTTGCCAGCACGTCGAGGACGTTGGTGTCCATGGGGCCGATCCCATCGGCAATGAGCGCCACGACGATCCGCTGCCAACCGGGTCTGCCTTCTTCTGCTGATCGCCGCCAGTATTTGGAACTACATCAGCCAGGTCTGTACGGGACTTACGCTTTGGTATTGCAAATGTCCCTGATGTTGAGCATGACATTGTGCAGGGTGCGAGCGTACAATATCTTGTCCTCGTTGTCTAATTAGCTCGATACTCGTTCGACTTACAGCTCGTAACGGCGATGAGGAGCTCTGTTTCCCGTCCGTACTTGCTGACTCGAAGGTTCCAGCCGTTCTCGGGCGTAAAGTCGTCGGGATCGCACGTCGCTGCAGTGTATCGCATATGACTATATCAGCCCAGTATGCGCACAACTCACGTGAACTCGCGCGACTTTGTCCCTGACGTCCACTTGGGCTCGACCACGCTTGAGATGGGGGTCGGGACGGGGTATCTATCAGCCTAATCCAGAGTGGACTTACTCGTTGATCCAGTGCCCCTGGGTGAGCTTGACTTGTCGAGTCGTAGCGGCACGCCTTGGCATGGTCTGACGCCTGATAAAGTCTGCACCGGCCGACGGCAGCGTGCGCAACTCGGTCGATCTACCGTCAGCTTGTTCGAGGCGGACTCACCCAGTGAGAGGCTTGAGCTCGTCATCCTCATCCGCAGCTACCCAAGGGACGTGTTGTCCGTCGATCGTCACCCCACCACCCGGAGTTCCGAATCCCATGTCGCCGGAATCCGCATACTGAACGGTATGGACGCCAGGGGGGTAGCGAGGCTGCCCTTGCGGAGCCGCAAAGCGAGCATGGCGGTCGTCAAACGGGTCCTGAGGAGTCGGCTTGTCGCGAGGCATCGTCAGCGTATGATATGTACAGTGTTAGCATGTTGGTATCGGGTTGTTGGTTAAGTGTGAATGATGCAAAGTGAAACATCACCTGAAACACTGGAATGAGAGGATAGGGTATGATCGGGACCGTTTGGTAAAGCTAGCTCGTGCATGATATGTATCCCTAGACCTATCTACCCAATTACTACCCTATTATACCCTACGTATGCACAACTAATCCAGAGGAAGCATCTTGCACTGCGACTCCCAATCCGTATACTCCAAGAATCTGTTCTCATCCGCCTCTGCCAACGCCTGCATGACTCGCAAAAACCACCTGCCATCAGCTCGATCCATATCAGAACTTACATGTCGGCCCTGTCACGAACACCTGCATACTCCCCTTCCACATCCAGCTCGTCTGCGCTCATCCCCGCCGCCTTTTGAATCGCATCGCTCGCCCCCTTGATGGCTGTTCCCGGCCGCCGCTTGCGCGAGGGCGTATACGAGACGGATGCGAGGTCGACGACGCTGCCGACTTTTTCGTCGCCGTGGAAGGGGTTGACACCTTTGGGCTTCTTGTCGGCAGCAATCTCCGCGGCGATGTCGTTGACCGGGGGAGCGTACATCTTCCCCACCTCGTTGGAGAATTGCTGCGCAATGTCTCGGTAGACTGCGCCACGCAGAATCATGGTCTGCGCCCGGGACCAAAGATTCCAGGGCGAGTAGACAAATGGCGCCGGCGGCTTGTCCCAGTCCCGCCGGGTAGAGTCCAGCTGGGGTACCTGGATCCCCGAGGCGCGTGTTTGGACGAGGGCGAGACCGTGATCGGGCGCCGGGAGGATGACCGAGAGAAGGAGCATCTGCGCTGGGCGCTTGGTGTCCGAGTCGCTGGTGGGGAGCTCGATGACGTCGGGCGAGAGCCGCGCTTGGTCGGGCAGAGTGGGCCAGACCCGCATGGCCGCGATGAGGGACTCGAGCGAGACGCAAAGGGCAGCAAGGAAATCGTAAAAGATCTCCTGCTCCGCCGACTCGGCAGTGAGCCGACTCGATGCGTCATCGTTGAGGGCTTCATTGCAGCGTGCAAGAAGCTGGGCGAGGGTGACGTTGTGGCAGGATTTGAGCCACGCGAGGGACCGGGTGTTGAGCGGCATGGAAATGTCCGGGAGCCGATAGGCGGGGATTTGGTGACGGGCAAAGTTGTACACCAGTACGTCCAGTCCGCCCTCTCCCGCTGGCCTGACGCCAAAGAGGCCCAGGTAGACCCCTCCCTCCTGCACCACCGGCTGACTGCCCCGCTTGGCATACGTCTTACAGGCGTTGAGATATACGTCCATCTCGGCCTTGCTGACCCCCATGTAGTCGGCGAGCAGCTTGGAGAAGAAGCGGGTCTCGGCGAGACGCCAACCCCGCTCGAGATAGTAATCGACCGAGTCGACCTCCTTGGTGGCGTCGTAGTCCGTACCCATGTCGGCCGCCGCGGGTTTACCTTTGCCGAGTTCCCGAGCAAAGAAGCACATGACGCCTTCCGACGAACCGAGCTTCATGGTGATGCCGTGGATGGAGCTTTCGTCGTCGGTGGGCATGGGAACAAACTTTTCAGCTTGCTCCTGCTCGTCAAAGACCTTGGTCCCGGTGTTGAGGACGCGGTCAAAGAGGATGCCGATGGAGTCGACCGAGAGGTCGAGCGAGTGGGCGAGGCGGACAGCAGCTTCGATAAAGCCGCTGCGGAATGAACCTTGGGCTTTGTGGTCGACGATGCGGGGGACGAAGGGGACGACGGCGAGGCGCCAGCAAAAGGAGAGCTGGTACAGCCATTGGAATGAGGCGAGTTGAGGGTCGAGCAGAGCGGACAGACCCTGTGATTAGCTGTGTTGACGACGGGCTCACCTCGGTGTTGGTGTCTGTCTGCATGATCTGCATGGGGATGGTTCCGTCCGGCTTGACCAGGATCTTGCCGTACTCGTCAAAGGTGACGCTGGCGAGAACGATGTTTTTGGCCTTGGCCTTCATTTGGATGCGAGTGCGGAGATCGGCAATGGCGAGGAGGATGGAGATGAGGATGATGACAGCGCACATGACCGAGATGGCTAATTAGCCGAGTTCAATATTGGCTCACCTATGATGAGTCTTGAGTTCTGGCCGTTACTCGCGAGAGCTTCGGGTTGGACGTCTTGACGAGTGCGGTACGAGGTACCACCGAGACCGAGGTAGTGCATTCTGAATCAGCGCGTTCGAGCCAAGACTCACCCGCAAACCGCTGCCGCCAAGAATAGACTGCAGATCCCGCGCTTCCAGAAAGATTCTTGCCATTGCTGTCGAGCGCGGAAGAAGAGGGCCAATGCGGCGATCGCGGCGATACAGGCTAGGACGAGCGCAAAGACAACGGTTACCGCCTGAGTAAGCAATGTCTAACGCCAACTCACTGTATAGGAAACATTAAAGTTGGGCAATTGGAATGACGCCGAGTAGTGCATGAGACCGACTATTGTCAGCGTGGTCAAAGGCCGACTCACTTGTGAGGCCGAGAAAGATGCCACCCGCTAGGACACGCCACGATTCGAGCAGGTTCCTCGGTGTCAATGCCGCCTTCCACGAGTCGTCCTTGTCGGCCACGTAGGATGGGTCGTCGCCGAGGAACCAAAAGGCACAGACAGTGGCCACGAGCGGGACAAAGAGAGATAGGACCGTCATACCAGGGGAGAACTATATCAGCTCTGAAGTATCGGTCAACTCACCATAATGGCCCAGCTGAGATTTGGACTAGGGTCGAGCCGGACACTGATCATGCTGACAAAGTGCATGCCCCATACGGCGACGGCTGCGAAGCAGATGGCCGACACGGCGAGGAAGCCAAAGTTACGGAGACCGCGGTTGCTGGTCCGTCGTCCGAGGAGGAGAAGGGTGGCATAGGAACCGAGGATTGAGACGATGATGGAGAGGACGAGGAAGCCAGGTTGGGGGCGCATGGGAATGTCATGGTCGGTGTAGTAAGTGACCAGGGCGGATTGGTCTGTAGTTAGTGTGGTCTTTGTGTGCACTTACTGCTCCAGATGTTTTCGGGGGCGGACATGGTGGCGATGGATGGGGAGGGGAAGGAGGGGAGGTTCACTGATATGATCGCTGTGAGGGTGTCGACGGTTTCGATAGCCGAGACACTGTTTCACTGGAAATGAGGATGCAGTGTGAGGTTGAATGGCGATGGCTGATTCGAATTATTCGGATCCCCCTTGGTGAGTAACAGTGTGACCTTGAACTCGCCCCTCGTGATCACTGATTGTGAGCTCTCCCTGCCTGCTGCCTGCCCGCCCCCGGTGCCTGGATTGAGCTGCTTAAATAAGTTTTCATGGAGCAGGGGACTCCTCATTCCGTGCCTAGCTCGTCATATCCTCGGGCCAAAGGCGGCACTGTCGCTGGTCACTCCGCTTGTTTCAGGGTCGTCACGCAGGATGAAACAGTAAGGGGTACAAGTCAGTCAAGTCGGTGCATCTGCTTTCCGCTATGTACATGCAGCGGATCACTCACCGACTACTACTCATTCTTGCTTTACTACCTCCCCTCACTGCTGGGACGCTCTCGGAGACTACATGCTCGTGGTTTTATCAGTATAGCGGAGCTCGGTAGCAACAGCAAGAGCTGGTCCAGGCACCTGGTCAAGGTTTCGTCGTCAGGTCCGAGGGTGCTGCCGTACACATTGCCCCGCCCTTTATGTCATCCCCCCATTTTGTAATGGCCGAGGCCGAAGCGCTCTGCGTCATGTTCGCCACCTTGCCCTTACAGGCCTCCACTTCAAGCACTTAACGCATTCGCTCAACATACAGCAGCCGCTTCAGCATACGTTACAATGTCGCAGAGATCAGAGCCCTTCTGGCTATGCCATGAGGTAGGACCTAGGATTTGGCCAAGCTAACAAGCAGTGTCGTGCTGAAATGCACCCGATTCGAGTGAGATCCTCCCCAACACATTAGCCTTCAGCTGACTCTCAGCGCAACGGCACCCCGCAATGCGCATCCTGCAACAGCGAATTCATAGAAATAGTAAGCTATACCTTAGCGCGGCTGATATGAGCTCGATGCAGAAGCCAACGAGCGCAACGACATGCCTCCCGAGCCCGACTTCAACCCCTCCGGCTTCTTTCAGTCCATGTTCAGCTCGCTCCTGGGCGCTGCCTCGGAAGGTCAGGTTTCCTCATCCCAACCTACTAGCGGATCTGGTAGAAGACAAGACGGGACGCGCGAGTTGTCATTCAACTTTCCAGGCGGAGGAAGGGGGAGTGTGACTTTTGGGCCTTTAGGCGGTGGTAGCCGAGCAGGTGACCCCGGCGGCGGCTTGGATGCGTAAGTCTAGCCTTGATCAAGCTGACGATAGATTCTTTCCCGGTTTCCCCGCACCACCGCCCGGACAGATGCAAGCTCTTGGGCCTGGTCAAGACATGGTAAGTGCTTGTACGATCGCGCTGACTCAGATCGGTGCACTCTTCCAGATGCTAGCGCAAGAAGGGAGCCTCCCCAGCGGTATGCGCGGGCCAGCAAACTTAGGAGACTACGTCATGTCAGAAAGTGAGCTGAAGTGCGACGCGTCTGACCGCAGATGGCTTTGATCAAGTTCTCGAGCAGCTCATGCACGCTGCGGGACCGCAAGGACCCCTACCTGCCACCGATGCTGTGATCGAGGGCTTACCCCGTATCGTCCTGGACGAAAAGACCCTAGGTGAGGGCCTCCCAGATGGAGCTCATCCCAGAATCCAACATCCACAAAGACTGCCCGATCTGTCAAGACGACTATTCTCCCGGCGACGAGGTCATGAGAATACCTTGCGAGTAAGTATTGCAGCGGCATTTCTAACCTCAGACACATCTTCCATCCAGACTGCCTACAACCCTGGCTAAAGACAAACGGGTCATGCCCAGTCTGCCGCTTTCCCCTCGTCCCAGCGGATCAACAGCCCGCGCCTGTCCCTGGACAAGCAGTACAACCAGCAGTCACCAATATCCTGAATCGATTGTGGGGTCAGGGCGGGTCCGCTGCCGCGGCTGAACCGGCGACCGAGCCCACTGGCACGTCCACCGGCCGTTCCGATCCCTCAGCGGATCCGCCGGTACCCGCGCTCTCCTCCGCCATCCCGGATGAGTATCGAGAACGGCATCGACGGCAAGAGCGGGAGAGGGATCAGGCGCGCGAGAGGGAAAGGGACGAGCAATATCCGACGTACTTCAGCTAGCGCTGGAGGCTTCAGATCTGACTAGTTGTATGCATATCCTATGTACGAGCCCAGAGATCCGCCGTCGCCAAGCTGAGCAGAATAGACTGAGGCTCTCGTCAGCGTATCCTAAACATATGCAACTCACAGTGTCCCATCTGCTCTCCCTGACTGCCTGCTTGACGCGGGGCGCCCTGCTCGTCTCTATCATGGACCGACACCGATCTGATCGAAGGGGCTTGATGCGAAGCGGGGCTGTGTGATGATCGACTGGCGTGCTTGGGTCCGGGACGTCGTCTTCGGCCATGTACTGACGAGGCGGTAGGATGAGAATGACGTTTGGCGATAGCTCCCCCTCAACGTCGAGCGCCTCCGCCGAGATGTGTTCTGCAGTTGTCTGACTTCTCCCTCCCCTGTCTTCTCCCTCGTTCGGACCCGTTCTTCCCCAGTCTCGCCCGATTTGCTTCCCTCCCTCATCCCGCCGTCCCTCTCGATTCTCTTCCCCTTGCCGCCCTTCCCTACCCACCCGCCACACCCCAACCCTATGCTCCGCCATCTGACACTCCATTTGCCGGATCTGGTCATTGCAGACGTACATCTGCCGCGCCACCCGGTCGCACCGGCTGATCTGCTTCTCTAGCGTCCGAGCGATCCGCACGACCGCCGCAGGTTCCAGCTGGATCTGGCGAAGCGTCTCATCGCGCTGCTCGACCAGCTTGGCGTACTTGCGAGTCAAGCGGTCGAGCTCGGACGTGAGGCGTTTCGACTCGCTTTGGCACGTCGCGAGGATATGGGAGGGGAGGAACCGCGGGGAGGGAGGCGATGCGTCTTGATACTGCAGGAGGGAGGTGGGAGATACGGAAGATGTGGGGACGAGAGACCAGGGGAGAGGTATGTTTTGGAACGGGTTCGCTTGGCGGGATGTAGGTTTGGGCAAGCTTTTCGGCGGCTGAGAAGGTGTGTCCCGCAGCTCCTCCATCGACCCGGCGTCTCGCTTGCTACTCGGCGGTTCGGTCGTCAGGTTGCTAACGAGCAAGGTCAAAGCTGGGGGACGCCGCTTGCTGTCGATACGCTGAGGGGCTGGGGACGGGGAAGGGGGGCTGACGGGCCGACTGGACGGAGAGCGGTCGTCGCAAGCGAGAGCAGACAAGGGGCATGATGTACTCTAGGCATCAGCTCCATCTTGCGTGTACTCACCCTCACATGCGAGACCTTGCGCTCCAACCGGATCGGCGCCAGCAAATCTCCGGCAGATCGGCTCCGCAGCTCAGGCTCGTCATACAGGGCATACTGCGGACGCGGGGGCCGAACAGGTGAAGGACCCGGTAAGGCAAAGTCCCGTGCTTTGAGCGGCGCGGAGACGGGGGTGGTGCTGGTAGGTAACGTGGTACAGGATGCGAGGGGGGTCTTGCGGATGGGCGAGGGTGATGAGCTCTTCCCGTCAAAGATGGGAGTAGTACGTCCAGTCTTGAAGAAGGTCAGGCGTGCCATTGTGCGATGTGGGGTGCGAGAGACAAGACAGGGTGTCAGCTTATGTACCCCGCCTAACCAAACCGCCGATCTGTCGCCTGGCGAACAAAGCAGATCGTTACCAAGGCGGAGCATCCGCACTAGCAACGGCAAAGCACCGCGCTAGCAGGTGATCAGCGACTCAGATCTGTGCTCCGCTGAGCCAATCCGTCGTCAAGGAGACCGTCAGCAGCCCGAGGTAAATGGAAGGGGAAGAACAGAGATCCCGATCGGTGGTGCCGAAGCAGGCTTGCTTCTGGATCGTGCTGCGAGTCACAAGGACAGACTGGTTAATCAGGGTAGGATGGCCAAGACTGTGCTGCGACAAGAGTCGAGAGACGCTATATAGACAAATGCAAAGCCTTCAGCGCGTCGACAAGGTGGCAGCTGAACCGAAACTGAAATTTGAGGAATGTTGGGAGTGGCACCTTCTTTGGCCTCCTTTGGGTGTAGGGACGGCCGGACAGGCATCAAGCCATGACCTGTGAGTAGAGACAATGGACAATGGGAATGCATCAACCATCACGACAATTGAGGCGATGAGCCCGCACAGAAGCAGGCTGGGGCAAGGCATGGGCGACATACAGAACGCTGAGCAAAAAAGATAATTTGGGGTACCCTGACATCAGAAGCCTATAGTGCAGTGGCAACGACATCGTGGCGAGGCGTGTAGCAAGCTACAGAGACCTGCCGGGCTCAGAAAAATCTCGCGAGAAGAAGTCCCCGTAGGGACGTAACGCTTCTCACAGCGTTAAGAACAGATACTACACATGATCTTAGCCAAAAGAGGCCAGAGAGGATACTTTACAGGCGAGTTGACCTCGGACGACGCGCTGCTCACAGGCGACTATCGGCGTTTGCAAAGACCGTCTATGTGGCAGATGGCTGTAGATAGCCCAATTTGAGGTATTGGGCTCCCATATTCGAGGTACATGTTGCGATGTACATGAAGCTCCAGTTGACTTTTTAAGTACTCAGACTTGTCTGATTGAGTGGCGAGCAATCGCGACGTTCAGAACTGGCCTAGGTTTTCCAAGTTGACGATGGTTGATGCGGACGGTTCTTACGGCACGAGGAATGTGTTTTGATTCCATGTACCTATGCATATGTAAAGCAAGCGCTCTCACAGCAGCCTAGCTCAGCCTGCTGCAAGCTCAAGTGCAAGCTGCAAGGCTCTAGATCTGCATACTTCGACCCTGACCGATACCGGCTATGCTAAGATGCGTGCACGTCTTGCCGTCTTCTGGGCGTACTTCACATCTTGTTCAGCATACTCCACTTGGTGCGGAAAGTATTATGAGCTGGCAGCGCCCCACACCCCGCCAGCTCCCGACAGCTACTTTGTCTTTCCCAAATCATCCTCCACGCCTCTGCTAGACTTTCGTTGTACCCCAGCCAGCTCCATATACATCAGTGGGGACCTTCATGACCTTCCAGAGATCATCATGGACGCGAGTCTGACGTATGATGTGGGACTGCCAGGTGGGTCGTAGACTGACATTGCTGATTGCCAGTGAAGGGCATTCGAGGCGAGCTCCTTCAAGTCCAGATCTTTGTCGACGGCGTCCCAATTACTTCAGCGATGGTTCCTCTCGGCTCTATAGGTCATATGGTCTCCATCCCGCTGGAAGGTGTTTCTCCGAGGGTACAGGCGCGGTCCCTCCGCTGCACTGTGAAGCTGGGATCCCATGAATACACCTCCCACGCGGAGCTCCGATATATGCCCGAGAAGAAGGCTGGATCCATTGTCAAGCTGGACAGGCGGACAGGCGGTACATGGGCACGGAGAAAGGGAGAGTGGAAGAGCTTCATCCCCTTTGGCTGGTATGATGTAAGTCTGACCCGCTTTGTAGCTCATTTCAGAGCATCGATACTGCCGAGACGCCCTCGAGTCAACTATTTGACTGGTGGTCGCCTTCCCGTCCCCCTACCAATGCCCAACGCCTCGATAGGGCTCACTCGCTCGGCTCCAATATGATCCACCCGGTGCCTCCGGGTAAAACTTATCAACCAGATGGACCCGCTGCCATCAACGCTTATTTCGATCGTGCTGAGGAGCTCGGCCTCTGGATCATGTACGATATGCGCCACGGTAGGTCATCAATAGGTCGCGCTGATGAGCAGCCCTCCTCGATCTAGCGTCAATTGAAGAACAAGTTCTTGCCTTTCGAGACCGCCCCAATCTCCTCACTTGGTATATTGCCGATGAGCCGGACGGACCCCCCACCCCTCTCGACGCCGTCATCAAAGCTCGAGACCTCATCCACCGACTCGATCCCTACCACCCGATTTCCCTTGTCCTGAACTGCAACGATCACTACTGGACGGCCTTTACTGCCGGTACCGATATACTCCTCGCCGACGTCTACTCGATTGCCATAAATCCCATCTATTCCAAAAAGTGGTCGACCCCAGTTACGCCTACATTCGGTGCCAGCGGATGCGACGGCTGCCAAGGCAACTTTTACGATCTTGCCGATAGGCTAGATAGCTGGGAGGAGAAGAAACGGGTAACGGGGAGGAAACGGGATCTGGTCACTTGGGTTGTACCTCAAGCCTTCGACGATCAGGGGGAGGAGTTTTGGTGGCGAGTACCGGAGGGAAGGGAGGAGGCGGTTCAGGTCATTCTCGCCTGGAACCATGGAGTCATGGGGCACTGTGCCTGGTTAGCGTCCAGCTCTACCCCTGACCTCCTCAATGTGAGTATAGAAGAAGGCTCGGCTGATTTAGAACGCTTCATTTATCGCCTCTCACCTCTACTCTCAATCCTCCTTCCTCATCGATCGAGCTTACTCTCGGAGGCCCATCCGTACCACCCAGCCCCTAGACGGAGAGAATGGGATAGATGTGGCCTCTTGGACAAAACCCCTTTCTGGCGGGATTACCGAAACACTCGTCATGGCGGCTCAGCTCAACTACATTGGCCCAGACGCCAGAGTGGACTTTGGAATTCTCGGCGTCAAGGGCAAGATCAAAGAGGTGTTGTTCGGAGGCGTGTATCAGGATGGAGGAGTGCGGTTTAGGATGGGACGAATCAGCGTGGCGGCGGTGATATTGCGTCACGTCCCTGAGGAAGACAGTCTGTTAGCAATCGGCCCGCCGCAATTGCGAATGGGTATAGGCCAGCCTATGTGCATACTCTAATGATGGTCTCCTACCAGCGAACTCAGCAATACTGGCAGCAACATCCCGCCCAGTAGCAGCCCGATCCGACTGTACTTGCCCAATTGCGCCGATTCATGATCATCAGATGAGGACGCATGGGTGTGTTCGTGCTCTTCTGGATTGGTCGAGGACAGAGGCTGTATGACGGTAGCAACGTAGAGGAAGGAACCGCCCTGTCGTCAGCAACGTCTAACCCACACTCACGGAGAACAACAGCGCGATGCCCGTCCACCATTGCAGACCGTCCACCTCGGATTTGGCGGATCCTGGTGTATTGCCGCCAAACAGGTTGATGATGGTGAACGTCAAGATGGCGCCTAGTGGCGCAGCAAAAGAGAAGATCATGAGTCGCTTTCGGATGCCAGCGTGGTCCAAGCCCAGCGAGAGCAGCGTCGTGGTGAGACCAAGCGCGGTGGGTCCTGACATTAGCCTGGCCACGAGCCTACTCACCCTTATGCACAATCACAGCGAGAAACACGATCAGGCCCAGTCCTCCCTTGTCGCTCATGCTGCTCGCTCCCAACGCAATCCCGTCCGCCGCTCCATGGATGACCAGACCTAGGGTCGCGTTCAGCCCCCTGATGGCGCCGCCAGTCGCGCACTGTCTCCCTTCATCCTTGCCGTCGTGTACATGCATACGTTTCGGTACTATCGGCGAGCGTGAGTTGAGATGTGCGAGGTTCGGACGTCCGTCTTCTTGGGAAGTGCCTGTCAGGGGAGTAGAAGGAGAGGGCGGTGTAGAAGCGGGAGAAGCGTCGTGAGCAGAAGGAGGGTGAGGAGTGAGCGTCTCGATCCTGTCATCAGCCAGAACTAACCAGGACCTACAGTAGCATCAAAGCGAAGCCAGAGAGGAGACTCAGGCCGATGGCGCTGACGGTATCTTGGCTGTGCTCCGAGGCGTGCTTTGAGCCGTGCGGTAGCGAGTCAAATAGAGTCGAAACGCCCCTACTGGTCAGCCGTAGCTCAGCGAAAAGTGATTCCACTGACTCTGGTATGATGATGGTGAGGGCTGCCCCCACCAGTATACCCATCCCGAGCACGGAGACGGCTTTCAATTGTTTTCCTGGTCGTCAGCCAGCTTCTCTCGATCGGGACCTACCGGAAGAAGCTGATTTGAACATCAACGGCAGACTTCCGACCAGCATGCTGGCGACAAACATGGCGACGCATTGCGCCAGGAGTACCACAAGACCCATTGTGCGGAAGTACGAGTGTGAAGATGGAAGAGTGGAAGCAAGCGCTGTAAAAACAGGAGGGGACCTGCGCGGTCTGTAACGCTGAGCTGCGCCTGAAGACGAAGAAGATATGCTTTTCGATCCTTTCTGCTTCGTCTGTCGACAGTGGCGAGGGTGTAGGTGAAGCCTTTGAAACGGGTCCCAATGACAAGATAAGATAAGAAAGCAAATCTGAACTTTGCGGGCGAGCCGACAACTTTTGACCAGTGAAGTCATCGTCATCGCGTCGAACGTCCCCGGAATGACCCCCTCAATAACAGCTCTATCACACTACCATCATGTCGGACTCAGTACAAGCATCAAGTAGCCAGCCATTCTCCACAGAAGCCTACTTTCAATCTCAACAACCGCCGCCAACGCTCGCCGCAAAGACCGCTCAAGTTGCAGCATTTGTCGAGAAATGGCAGGGTGTGAAAGGGAAGCGAGTCGTCCTCATTACTGTAAGCCCAGGACTCAGGCCTGACTGACAGTCAGAGCGGAGGCACGACTGTACCATTAGAATCCAACACGTACGCTCAGCCTCTCCCGAGCTGACCTCAGCGTTCGTTTCCTCGACAACTTCTCTGCCGGTACCCGAGGAGCTACATCCGCCGAATACTTTCTCGCGGCGGGATACGCAGTGGTCTTCTTCCATCGCCTCCATTCGCTACGCCCATTCTCTAGGCACTACTCGCATTCGCTCAATCCCTTCCTCGACCTCTTGACCATCAAGAACGGTACCGAAATCGGGGTCAAGGCGGATGATGCGGCCGGCCTACTCCCGGTTCTTCGGGCGTACAACCAGGCGCAGGAGAGCGGCTCCTTACTGAGTATGGACTTTCAAACGGTCAACGAGTATCTATGGCTGCTTCGCGCCATCACTCGGGAAATGGCTCCCTTGGGACGAAGGGGCATGTTTTACCTCGCTGCAGCGGTGTCTGACTTTTTCCTCCCCGACGAGCGAGTGGTGAGTCGCTCATCGGTCAAGCTTACAGGACAGGCGGAACACAAGATTCAATCCAGCGTTGGAATGTTCTCACTCGAAATGGACCAGGTACCAAAGGTCCTCCGCCCGCTGGTACAGGAGTGGATCCCAGAGGGGTACATTGTCAGCTTCAAGGTAAGTCCAGCTTGGGTGTCGCTCACACCCAGCTTGAAACCGACGAGAACCTCCTCATCCCCAAATCCCGCGCGGCTCTTTCAAGGTACGGCCACCAAGTCGTAGTTGGCAACGATCTTCACCGGCGCAAGCAGGAGGTAGTCTTTGTCGAGCGGTCAGCGAAGGGGACTCCCGCAAAAGGGGCGGGCAATAGCAGGCTGACGGGTGTGCAAACCCCACCCGTCATGGATGCGGATCTGCCTGAGGTCGAAGAGTACGCAGAGACGTGGTTGAAGCTGGATCAACTGCAGGGGAGCGAAGGTCGAGAGGTAGAGATAGAGGAGTTGATCGTCCGAGAACTTGTACTGCGGCATACCAAGTGGACCCAGGAATGAAGCAATATGTACATTGGCTAAAACACGCTCTAGCGGACTTAGGTGGACCTGTTATCAGCGATGACTATCCAAGAACTCACTTTTTACGATCCTTCATGAGGTTCACGATCATCGCCCGAGGGATGTGACTTGTTACCGGGAGATCGAGCGAGATGAGTGGCTTGAAGCGGATGGGCAGCGGCTTGATTGGCCGAGCGTCAATATCTTTAAGGATGGTCTTGAGGTGCGTCTGTGACTGGAGGCGAATGATGGGGGCGAGCTTGATCGGCTCGGGGGAGTTGACTACCGTCTCGCCGTCGTCTTCGATATCGACCAAGAGTTGGGTGACATCTGCTCGTGAACCGATGCCGAATATCGCTTCATACTCGTCAAATTCCCGTTTGAGTCGCTGCTGTCAGCAAAGCTTTCCTTGAACTCACCTTGACGTGCTCGTCACCTAGCGGGTGGTCTCGAGGGCGAAAGACCAAAGAATCGATATGGGTAGGATGCTGCGAGGTAATCCCCGCGGCGGTATATAGGTCTGGCTTGACACCGACCGGGACGATGCCGTGGCAGCTGATGAGGGTTTCGAGTATCTCATCAGCGCATGCTGATTTCAGCTCACCTTGACGGAAACATCAACGTCATATACGTCTGGCATATACAGGTAGATCTGGTGTTGCTGTCGTCAGCTCCGCCTCGCTTGGACTTACCTCTCCGGCAGTAGTAGTTTCCACCTTGGCGCCAGTGACCCCTGCATCCCTTAGGGGACCAGAAGCTACCGAGCCCGCGATACTGGTCCAGACTTCATCCACCGCATCATGGTTCTCTCTCCACAGCCTACGACATTAGGTGTCTCCTCCGGGAGACTTGCCATTTCCCATGTGTCCACTTGGACTTGAGCATGATCACCTTCAAAAGGCGGACGGTGCGATCATGCGCCTATATCAGCACATCCCGGTTGCAGCTCACCTGGTTCTTGACTTCTCCCCTACTCGACGTCCCGCCCTGTTGCTTTATTGGGAGATTCTCATCATGATCAATTTCTGCCAGACGCTCGAGCAGGTGGTTCACTGCATCAGCTCAGCATGACCAGTGCTCACATTCTTCTTTGGCCTGCTCTACCGCTGCGTCTTGTCGAAGATGTTGCTCGGGATCGAGAAAGGCGCCATGACTGGGATGTATCCAGAGACACTGCTGTCAATATCGCTCTGTGGTAAACATACTTGAGTAGTTTCGTGAGAAGTCTTGCTGGGGAGATACTGCTGTCAGTGCCGTCTCCACAAGCTATACCTTTTTCGTAAACTCCTTGATGGACGATGAGCCAGGGGTCCACGCGTACTGAGTAATCTCTTGAGGTATCGTGATGGTCTCGCATTCTCGAGTCATATCGAAGCTTAGTGGGGAGCTGAAGCTGCGTATCGTAGTATACTTATCAGGTTGAGAGGCAGTTGCAGGAGGAAGGAATGACGTCAAATCGACTTGACCAAAATGTTCAAGCTGCTCGATCTCCTTCTCCACCATCCATCATCATGCCTAAAGCAGGCAAATCCTCAGCCTCGTCCGGCACTCGCAAGAAGCACGCCAAAAAGTCTGGCAAGGGCGAGGAAGACGCAGCGGCTCCCCAGCAGCCCGCTCAGAGGGGTCAAAAGAAGCTTAGCAAGGCACAAAAGAAGGCCCAGCCAAAAGTCAAGCAGTATATCCCTCCGCCCAAACCGCCTGCACCGCCTATCCCGGATCCACTCGATGGGCAGGGTCTAGCGCGATCGCTGCCTGCCGACCTGGTGGTCATCCTGCGGAGACTAGGGAAGAAGGACGAGGTGACTAGGCGGAAGGGATTGGAGGAGCTCCGCGAATGGGTCTCGAAGGACGGCGATGAGGTGGAGAAGGAGCTTCAGGAGACTGCCCTCTTCTCCGCAGTGCCTGTCTGGGTGAGTGACATTATGAGCAACTCTGACAGTAGCTGCACAACCTCGCAAGCCTCCTCCAATCCCCCTTCCACCGCTCGCTCTCCCTGCAGCTGCAATCGGACCTCCTCGCTATCCCCTCCATTCGGTCGGCTATCCTCGACTCGCTATCGCTTGGCCTCCTCCCAGGCACTCAGAACCGCGATGTTCTCGGCTCGTGGCTTGTTGCTGCTCTCGAAGATGGGCGTCGAACCGGAGTTACTGCTAGCTGGGAGGGCAGCACCAGCTGGACGGAAGCGGACGGTCGGATCAATCTCGCAGAGCACTTGGGCTCTCTAGTAGAGTACTTGTCACTCGGTATCCTTGACCCCGCTTCACTCCATGACGACATACATCCTGCCCCAGTCTCCAATGCCGTCGCGCCAGCCGTCAAGAAGGGCGGCAAAGCCAAGTTTGTCCTCCCTGCGGAAACAGCGCCAGCTGTTCCAGAAGAGGACACCTCGTCCAGTGAGCGCCTGGCCCGCTACAGGATCGGCGGGCTCGTCGGTCTCTCCCGAGTCGCCCAGGACATTGCCAAGAACAACATCCCGTTACCGGAGGAGCTCGTCGCGCTACTCCGCCATTCGGACGTCTGGTCCTCGCTATCCTCCGAACCGGTGGATGAGGCGGCCAACCTCGGTCTCGAACAGCCAGCCATACGCAAAGCTGCCTACACACTTCTTGATACCCTCATCGACACCTATCCGGAAGAAGTGGGGAGGGAGGAAACTTTGAAACTGCTATCCGTTGCGGTTTTGGCCAGCTGCTGGTCAGAGAAGGACTCGTCGGTGTGGCAACAGGGGGGTCAGGCGATCGTGAAATTTCTAAGTAGTGCGTATCTGTGCTGGCAAGGCTGACCCTAGAATACCGAAACAGCTGGACTATAGCATGTCGAGACGCGACGGATACGCCATCGGAATCAGACGAGGAGAGCGACGAAGAAGAGGAGGACGAAGAAGAGGCCAAGGCATTCAAAGGGGAGGATAACGAAGACGAAGAGCCCAAGACATCATACCCCAAACCCTTTGCCGACTTCCTGGGGTGGGTGTCGACCATCTGCCCTAGCCTTCCTCACCTGACCTATCCCCTCCTCCTCGTTATCGTCTCGACTTTACCCGATGAGCTCCTACCGCTCGAGGGAGGACCCTCGGAACCGCTTCAGAGCTTCCTCACCCATTTATGGTCACCCATGGACGCTCGACTTCTCTCGACCCACTCCCTCCCCAATCAGCAATCCGCGTTCCAGGCATTCTTCCAAGATGCAGTGGATTGCACGGTCTTCCTCCTCGGAAAGGCGATGCGGCGGCAGGATGGTCAGGGAACGGCGGAGTGGCTTGTCCAGGAACAGCTTGTGGGGCGGGCATGGGGAGAGGGAGTTTTGGATATGGGAGCGAAAGGCGGAAAGAGGCGCGGACAGGATACTGCGCCAGAGTTTGAAGCAGACGTCTTTGGCAAGGCGCTGGGCAGGATTGCCTTGCTCGACGAGCCGGTACTGGACAAGGCGGTGGTACAGCTTCGTGACATCCTCGTCACAAGGTGCGGGCAGCTCGAGAGCGACGACTTGTCTAAAGCGTCGAGCAGCTTGTTGCTTCGTACTCCGGCGATTTTGTCTGCCGTTCGAGGCGCGAATGACAATACCGCTGTTCTTGCGGGACTGGCAGAGGTAGCGAAGGCGGTTCACCAGGTGGCGGCGGACGGACTCAGCCGGTCTGCGAGTGCGCAGAGTACCGACGCACCGATCTACGCCGAGGTCCTGCTCTCTGGACTCTCGGGCGGGATTGTAGACGCAGAGACGATACAGGTGAGTCTAGCTCCAATGTTGCTGACCTCAGACCTTTGCTGGCGGACTCAGCAGGACTGCCCCGACCCTAGCTACTCTTCTCTCCCCCTCCCTCTTCATCGGTTTGTTCGAAGCCACGGGAAAATACGCCCCCAGCGCAAATCTGGCGACCTCACTATGGGCCGTCATCGACTCTCCCAACACCCCTCGGGAGACCAGGTTTGCGCTTTCCAACATTTTAGCGGCCACGGCCGACTCTACCTTTGTGGGCGAAGGCGCGCTGGATCAGATCACCCTGGAAGCTACCGAAACGGCCTTGTCCACTTCGGCAGGCGTGGAAGTGGCTGTTTCTGCTATCAAGCGGTCGAGTGAGTGGTCCCAAAGCTTGGCTGACTCCAGATGGATTATCAGACGATGCGCTGCATACCGTCCTCGCTCTCGTCTGCACCTCCATTCACGATCAGGTTGACGACATTATCAACGGGTCTGAGGAAGCCATCATCCCTTCAGCGGCGCTCGACATCTTTTCGGCGTATGCCCAGCAACACCCAGAAGAGACTGCTCAATCCGATGTCCTCCTCCATGCGCTAATCGCGGTCCATCATTTGATCTTCCTCCTGCCCCGGAACTCTATGGAGGAGTTCCAAGCCCCAGCGTCCGCTTTGGCGATATGGAAGACGGTCCAGCAAATGTCCGAGGACGGGCAAGATATTGTCGAGTACAAGGTGTCGGCGGCACTGAGGGATATGCTGGGTCAGGTCTCGTGTCTCATAGAGTAAGCAGAGGACTGGCGTTGCTGATCCTAGACCTGGTATTCTTGTGGATGTCGCCTTGTCCTCCAAGATCGGCAAGAAGCAGCAGTCGCCGTCGGACGTCCGAGATTCGCTACTGCCATCAGCGCAAGCTCTCCTCACCCTGCCCACCGCTCCGGCGTACCCATCATTGTCCATCATCGACCCCCTTGTCCCCGTCACCGATAGCACGGTCGACAGTACCGGTACGTTCGACCACCAGGGCCGATCTCTGGCCGCGCGGTACGCCGAAGCAGCCTTAGCCATCCTTCGCGCGGACCGACAACTCGCACAGACCAGCACCGATCTGCTTGTATTGGTTTTGTTTGCCGCAGTCTTTGCACAAGACACGCTCGACATACCCGTCGGTGGACGCGGCTTCTATGCGCCTTCGGTCAGTCGGATACTTCTCGAGGATCTCGTTCGGGAGGTCAACGGCGCTCTCTCCATCGCTCTGGCGAGCGTGGACGAGGCTGTCGTCAAATGGCACGAGTCTGCGGTTGCTGCGCTGGCGACGAGATCTCCCTCCGAGCCACAGGACTTTCTCCAGCAGCTATTCGTCTCGCTCAAATCTGCATCTGTGGCGAGCCAGAGCGATACCGCTCCTCGCGTCCTGCGCGACGTCCTCAGTCGTCACCTCAGACAGAGTGGAGCTGGCGAAAAGGAGGCCGAAGTATGGCTCGCCTTTGGCATGTCAATGATGGAAAGATGTGAGTCTTTGTCAAGCACGAGCTGACCTCAGCTGCACCCATCTTCATGGCCGTCATTTCCGCCGTCAAGCCCCTCTTGCTCGATTCGGAACGCCTTCAGACTGCTCAAAACCGACTAGCATCGTATCTTACCACTATCAAGCCATCGCAAGCGGCCAAAGAGGCTATTCCCGCACTCCGCCGCCTCCTCGCCTCCGCTCCACCATCAGACGCCCCCTCCCTCTTCCTCCCTCAGCAGCGCGCCATCTTCGTTCTACGGCACGTCGGGCACTGGCTGACCTCCGACGACGCCGACGACTTTGACGAGAGCATGGAGGTCTACGTTGCCCAATTGTACACTGTGCTGGCGCCGGTCGTCCAAGATGTCAGCGGGGGTCACTGGGATGCCATCTTTGATTTGGTCGAAAGCGGTCTTGAGGTGAGTCTAGCATAGGCCGTGCTGATGCAGACCGCTTCAATGGAAGATGTCTCGACCCATCCCTTACTGTACCGCTGCCTCGAGCTCTTACAGCAAGTCCGGGACCTGGCATCGTCAAACAAGGCTCTGCGAGCGCTTTGGGTCGGCAAGGATCGCCAGCTGGAGCTTGTTCTGAAGCTGTTCCTGCAATGTCGTCAAGGTGAGCATGATGTAGACCGCGCTGACTTCAGCCAACACTACTCCGCTTCGGCTTATACACGCGGCGGTGCTCGACCTCCTCCAAGATGTTCCCGATAAAGCTACCGAAGCGGCGGATCTCGGCCAACTGTGCGAGCTGCTACGTCAGTCTACCTCCAGCGCCATCCAGAGCACGGCATACCGGGTCTTGGCCAAGGTCATCAAGACTCGTACCATCGCTCTGGTCGTCGAGGTCGAGGGATCGGTTGCGGAAGCCGAGGAGGGCCATGTTCCAAGGGAGATCCTCCTCCCGGCCGGTCTCGTTGACATTGTTCGGTCTCCCGTGGAGTGGTACAGCGAACTAGCTGTGCCGACCGCCTTGGCTCATCTGCTGGGCTGGATGGCAATCTTGGACCACTTTGATGATGCCGTGAGTAAGATGATTGGCGCGGCTGATGTCAGTCTCGAACTCTGCGCTGGGCATATCTTGACCAGATCAACTCGACCAAGCTCATGGAGGAGTCGTTGATTCCCATGCTCTTTGCTATTCTAGGCGTAACCGAGGTCGGCGCCTGGAACTTTCCATCCAGTCAATTTGGCGTGGACGAGTTTTACCCAGATCGTAAGTCCATGTGTAAACAAAGCTGACAACAGTGCTCGACCCGGAAGAGCTACCGGATCTCGCTCCACTCGCATCTCATCTATTCTACCGCGCCCTTACAACCCTCCCCTCCGCCATGCGCACGTACTACGAATCGCTCAAAGACCGTCAACTCAGCATGTCGATGCTAAACTTCACCGCTAGACACTACAGTCCCGTCATTATCCGGCACGAGTTCTCGGCTCTTCGCGAGCCCTCGGCCATGGCCATTCTGACCGAAGAGGGCCTAAACGTCCGGATCGCTCAGGGAGGAGGTGCTACCGTCGCTGCGGGGACAGGGTCGGCCGAGGCTATCGCCAGCTACGTGGTGGACGAGCAGCCCATGGAGATCGGGATCCGGCTTCCAGCCGAGTTTCCCTTGCGCGGTGTCGAGATCAGGGATCTGAAGCGGGTGGGCGTGCCGGAGAACAAGTGGAGGGGGTGGTTGATGAGCGTCCAGCAGACCATCACGTCGCGGAATGGGTTGATCTTGGAGGCGTTGACAGTGTTCAAGAAGAATGTGTCTTTGCACTTTGAGGGGGTCGTCGAGTGTGCGATCTGTTACTCGTGAGTTGTTGTTGTGGATCAGGCTGACGTCAGCATCATCTCTCTGACGGATCGGACCTTGCCTACTAAGCCATGTCGGACATGCAAGAATCGATTCCATGCCAGCTGCTTGTTCAAGTGGTTCAACTCGAGTCACTCGTCAAGTTGTCCGATGTGTAGGGCGTTATTCTAGGGGGTATAATCATGTGAAATGCATAATCTAGACTAGCAGCTGCGGTCTCGCTCACTTCCTACCCAGCGAGACCGAGAGCTTCCCGAGAGCGCCATTCCGGGGTGACCTGCGAACGGGGTTGACGCGAGGACGGGGTGATGATGCTGCCCTGCGATTGCGAGCCGACTGTTCCTGTTGGCACCGTGGTGTTATCCCTTCCTGCCCATACGCTCCTTCCGGCGCCTATGGGCTGAGGCGTATACCCTTCTGCTGCCGCCCTCATGTCTCCTTCTTCTTGCTGTTCTTCCTCTTGCGTTTCCTCCCATCTGTTTCTTCCTCCTCCTCTCCAGCGCGTTTCCCTCCGTCTTCATCCTCGTTGTATGCGAGCTTTTGCTTGGCCTGTGAGAGCTGATGCTGTCGGATATCAGCCAGTGCGCTTCAGCGCGCTTTGGCAGTTCCAATCCCAAACTCACCTCTCTGTACTTTGCCAGATAAATCTTCAAGACCTCTTCATAGTTGTCAAAGCCGAGTGCCCGCATGGACGTGAGGATATCCTCCCCATTGATCGTTTTGCGCTTCTCGGTCAAGGTCTTGTCGGCCGCTTCGCTAGTCTACATGATCAGCCAAGGAGTCGCAGATGAGAAGGTGAGAGGCACTCACGATGAAGGCAATATACTCAGAGACGCACTCCTGCACACACTCCTTGGCCTCTTTCGACACCTTTGCAGAAGGCGGAAGGGCGTTCTTCATGATCCGAGCGACATTCGCTATCTGCCTGGATTAGCCTCGTGGCTGAAGTGGATAGACACAGGTGTCTCGGCCAAAAGAAGAGCTTTGCGAGCGCTGGAGGGACTGACCGGTAACCATCGGTCCTGTTCTCGGAACTCGTCCACCTGCGCATCGGTAAAAGGTTCTAATTCACGGAACGTCTCGGTGTTGACTGCCGGAACTGCGCCGATTGGGGCTAGGCCGCGGACTCTAGGAAGCGATTCGTTCATATCTGACTGGAAGTAGATGTGGATGGACACGGTGGAGAGAGAGATGCAAAACAAAAGTCGCCGGCTGGAGGCGTTTCATCCTGCACCAGCTCGCACTCACCCAGATACCGTCCCGATGAGCATCTTTATGGATACAGCGGTCGATCCGGGAGCAAAAGGATCATTGCGAGCGAGCTTGATGGTGCTGCGATGTGCATAGCGGCGTCGCAAGACTGGCGAAGGGCGGACGGGCCTGGCGATGCCAAACAGCAAAAAGGCGGGGTCTAGGGAGATTCGAACTCCCGATCTCAACTATTTTTCGTCTTATCGGCCCAAAAGTTGCGGGTTAACCACTCCCCAATAGACCCGGGCAGTGGAATCGGGGTCCGCCAGCGTAATATATAAACAGAAAAAACAAAGGAGGTGACACCCGTTGATCTTTCTGGCTTTCGGATCTGCAAAACTCATCCACGTCTCATCTATCACGTCTATCTGTCTGGTGTCCAGGTCATTCAGATGTGCAAGCTCAATCATGTATCGTCTATCAGGTCTATATACATTACAGGCTAGCAAAACTGTGAATATCTTCTGCCTACTCTGCCTACTCTGCATCCGGAATCTGCGCACACCACTTTGGATCCTCCCCATGCTCAATCGTGTACTTCTCGTGCACCCGCAGCTGGTGCTTCCAGTAGCTACCAAGCTCGTGCGCCTTGACCCCGATAGCGTGGTTGGGCTGCGCCGCTGTGACCCGCTGAACCGCCAAATCGGCCAGGGTGAAGCGAGACGTGTTGTTGAGGCGAAGCATAGACCAAGGGGTAGTGGTGGTACCCTCCTCGATATAGCCGAGGACGTCGAACCGGGATCGGCCAACGTGGGACTTGCGGGAGAAGAGGAGACCGGCAATGTCTTTGGGGTAGCCGTGGAAGTTGACAATGACGGGCTTGTCGGTGGTGAAGAGGGAGGCAAAGGCCTCTTCAGTGAGGGCGTGGGGGTGGGTGCCGATCTCGCCGAGAATAAGGAGGTCGTTGATATTGACGACCCGGACCCGGAGACCTTCCTTGCGGAGGATGGCCGAGGCGGCGATGACTTCGAATGTCACTTCGACACCGCAGCCGACGAGCACGACGTCAGGGTTGATACCGTTGTCGGTAGAGTACCGGGTCCAAACGGACGCGCCGGCGATGCAGTGACGTTCCGCCTCGTCGACCGAGAGCCAGGTGGTACTGGGGTTCTTGGAGCCGACAATCAAGCTGATATCTGAGGTTTAGCTGTGATGGCATTTGGACTCACTGTTCTTGGCGCGGAGGCAGTGGTCCATGGTGCTGATGCTGGTGTTGGCGTCGGCGGGGAGGTAGACCCTTGCCAGGTGGCGGGGGAGGGAGATGAACGAGCCGATCAGGCCGGGGTTTTGGTGAGAGTAGCCTGGATATCAGCGTGCGTTAGGACCGTACTCACCATTGTGCTCCTGTCGCCAAAGAGTACTGGTCTCGACGTAGGTCAGGCCAGCGATATCGCCTCTCCACTTGGTCTCCACCGCCATCTTGACAAACTTGGCGTATTGCTCAATCATAGTAGTGACGATGCCGAGGAAACTGTTGATCAGCCACATTAAAGCTAGACTCACCTCTCGTAGGAAGGGAACAAGGCGTGACGACCAGTCAAGGTGTACCCCTGCATCCACCCCTGCAAAGTGTGCTCCGAGAGCATCTCGATGACCCGACCACCGTTATTGGCGGTCTCGGGATCCCACTGGAAGTTGCGGTGGGTGATCTCGAAAGCAGCATCGAGCTTGTTGGAGGTGAGCTCGTCGGGGGAGAAGATCCGGAACGAGTCGGGGTTCATCTCGACAACGGTTTTGACAAATTCGCCGACACTACCGTCAGCTGAGACCAAAGATAGACTCACGCTTTCATGTTGGACATCTCCTTGCCCTGCTCGATACCGTACTTCTTCCAGTCGGGAGTCTTGAGCTCCTTCAGGCCGCGGTAAGTCCAGTCGACCATCCCCATTCGGCGTTCCTGGTCGTTCGGGATGATCCTGAGCGCCTTGTTGTCGATGAGTGCTTTGGCGCCGAGAGTAGCGTCGTGCGCGCCGGGATGGGTAGAAGTGACATCGGTGTTGAAGATCTCGTGCGGCTTGTAGGATTCGAGCCATTCGCCGAGGAGTGCAAACTCGTCGTCGTCGGTAGCAGCCAGAGGGAGGGGGACTGAAGTCAGCACTGGTCTCGAATAGAGACTCACCCTGATGCGCCCTCCAGCTCCCTTCAATGGCGTTCCCATTCATCTTTCTCGGCCCAGTCCAGCCTTTAGGGCTGCGGAGGACAATCATAGGCCACCTCGGTTTGGTGATGGGCTGACCAGACCGAGCTGCCTTTTGGATCTTCCTGATTTCGGACAGGGCCCACTCCATCGACGCAGCCATGTTGTAGTGGATTGCTTCGTCAGACTCGGGGTCGGACGAGTCGCTTCCGTACTCGACGATCCGGATTTGGTAGCCGTAGCCGGTGAAGAGGCAGGCGAGCTCGAGGTCGTCCATGGTACCGGTGATGGTGCGTTCTCCAATCTGCAGTCAGCTATGATGCGGGAGAGCTCACCTTGTAGCCGTTGGCGTGGAGGATAGGGATGACAGCACCGCTCTCTTTGGGGTCAATGTACTGCCGTCAGCAGAGCCGCTGTATTGGCCTACCTTGTGGGCGTGCCAAGCAGTAGCAGTAGGGCCGGTCTCGGACTCTCCGTCACCAATGACAGCGACAGCGATAGCGTCGGGCTTGTCCATGATACTGCCAAAGGCAACAGCGAGACAGTAGCCTAGTTCTCCGCCTTCGTGGATGGCTCCTGGAGTCTCGGCGTTCACCTGCAGATTAGCTGGAGCTCAGAGTCGAGGGGGCGGAGCTCACGTGAGAAGGGAATCCGCCGGGCATAGAGAACGCCCTCAAGAAGGATTCGGTGCCTTCCACGCTCATCGGGTACTCGGGGTAGAAGCGAGTGATGGCGCCTTCCATGAACAGCGTAGCCAGCAGAGCGGGTGCACCATGACCAGGCTAAAGGTCAGCCATGACACATCGAAAAGGGGAGGCACTCACCCCAGTCAGGAAGATGAACTGCGGGCAGTCCTTCTCCTCTTGGTGTTTGGAGATGAGGTAGTTGGTGTGTGCGTAAGCAAAGTTGAGGCCGGGGCAGGTGCCCCAGTGGCCTAGAAGCCGACGCTTGATGTGGTCCTTCTCGAGCGGCTTGCGGAGGAGGGCGTTACTTCGGAGGAAGATCTACAGATGAGCTTGGAACGCGTCACAATCGGAGAGCTTACCATGGCAGCAGCACTGCATGTCAGCTCTAGTTTGACGACATCAGAGAAACGCTTACAGGTAGTTTGCGACCCGATGGTAAGCCATCACCCCCTCGAGATCAAAGTCCTTGTTCTGCTTGAGTGCCTTGATATCATCGTCGAGGTTGACGAGGAGCTGGCTGACGAGTTGAGAGGGGAGGGAGGACGCCTTGGGAGGGGTGACGGCGTCGAATTTGGATGCTGCCGAGGCAGCGAGACCTGTGGTAGCCATTCTGGATATAGCTGTTGATGGGGAGGTTGATGGGGGAGAGGAAGTTGTGTGTGGTGAAGGCACCTTTATAGTCTGTATAGTGACGGAGAATCTCGCACTCTCTTTCGAATTCCAAGGTGCTCTTTGTAGATCTGTGCTGGAAATCAGTACAAATGCTGACGCGGACCTTTGCGGGTGGAATGTTAAATTACGACATACTCCGAAGGGGTGACGTCAAATACGCTCGGCGGCCGAAGCCGGTCCCGCCACGTTACTGGCAGTCCGTGCGTCCGCGTGCCTGAACTCGCGCCGAGCTGCTGCTCGCCAGCTCGAGCGACAAAAGTCGCCTATTGTTCTTTGACCTGACTTTACAGCTGCAGGAGACAGACAGACACCCTCTCTATATCGACGGCATAGCTCCGATCTGGCTGTCAATATCTATACCTCATCAACTTCAAGAATGGTGAGTCGGCTTGAAGCTCTAGCGTAAGGCTCGAGCTCACCTCACAGGCCGCGACCTCGTCGTACATTCCCCTCTCAGACCGAGGTCAATGGGCGGGCATCACGCCCATACCTCAAAATGACGGACCGAACCCACTAGTGGCCATCATGTACTCGCCAGAGTGTGAGCGCCAACGTTCCACGAGAGACATCTGTGCTCGACTGACGGACAGACCGCGATGCGATGGACTTCTTCCGCGCTGTCTCTGCCTCCGGCGAGAAGTCGGAGCGCGCCCTCGAGCTGACCGAGACCATCATCCGGATGAACCCTGCCCACTATACTGTCTGGCAGTACCGTATGGCCATCCTGCTGGAGCTGGGCAAGGATCTCGAGGTAGAGCTGGAGCTCATGAACGAGTTTGCCAGGGAGAATCTCAAGTCGTATCAAGTCTGGTGAGTCACAAAGCAGACGGCATCTGACTAGCAGGCACCATCGTCTTCTGCTCATGACTCACATATCTCCCGCCTCGCCCCAAGCCGAGATCGACTATATCCATACTTCCCTCCTTCCCGACCCGAAGAACTATCATACCTGGGCATACCTCCACTGGCTCTTTTCGCACTTTCACACCCTCGGCCGAATCACGCCGAAGATGTGGCAAGAGGAACAGCGCTGGTGTGACGAGATGTTGCGCGTTGATGGTCGGAACAACTCGGCGTGGGGATGGAGGTGGTTCCTGACGATCGCTAGGCCGGAAGCGGGGGGATTGGCAGATCAAGGTCGAGGGGAGATCATGTGAGTCTGCACCAAAAGGTTCTAGCTGACCCACAGATACACCCTGAAGCAGATCCATACGATTCCGCACAACGTCTCTGCTTGGAATTATCTTCGAGGGTGGGTCCTTCAGGACCGCTGCACGAGCTGAGCTGATTGACAGCCTCCTCAAACACTTTTCTCACCCCTTTTCTCCAATCCTCCCCGCACTCCACCCGTACCTCGCCCACCCAGACCTCAAGTCCCTCATACCATCCCCACCCTCGTCGTCTTTATCGAACCTCCCGGCAGCTCGGGATCCCCTCCCGGGCGATACACCTCTTCCCATCTCCCATGCGGTGGAGTTTCTGGCGGACACGTTGGTCGAGATGGGCAGACTAGGAGACGCAGGGTTGATATTTGCCAAACTCGGCGAGCTGGACCGGATGCGAGCAGGATATTGGGAGTATAGGAGGCGCGCCTGCGCGGACTAGCCCTTGTGCAGGTTTTGGATTGTAGCAGTAGGATATGGGCATGAATGGTACAGACCTGTCTTGCGCTAGCCCTTTCCAATGTCCTGAAGCTCAACCGAAGATACATAACGATCATGATGGATGCTACAGATACTATTGTGAAATCGTATGTTCGGCCTAGATACGCGTACACTCCTAGTGCCCCTACCGCTGCATCCCAAACGCAAACGGCCCCTCCTCTTCGATCCGCTTCTCTCCCCTATCCCTGACCCCCGATCCAGACGTGACCGGTCTCGCACCCATCCCGCCTGCATTCCGCGACTTTCCATCCGGAGTGAGAAATGCCATCCCTCCTGATAAAGGTGGAGGGACGTTGCTCTTCCCGCCCATCCCTAGACTACTGCTGGCGCCGCCGCTACCCGGTGGAAAGGCCGAATGGACCGGAGCGGTGCGTGGACGACGCGGCCCCGGATCGTACTCTGGCACGGGTGGCAACCGCAGCCCGAGGACGTCGAGTGAGGGTAGACTAGGCCTCTCCCCCGCTCGCAAGGGAAGGTCGGTAAGGCCCCGGGGAAAGGAGAAGAAGGGATTCTCCTCGGTGTCGTTGAGGCGAATCCGGCTGCGGCTTGGCTGCATCTCGTCCTCTTCCGAGGTTGAGGTGGAGATGCGCCGACCGGAGGATTGGAATTGCCGGATGAGGGACATGTCGGGGTATACGGGTGGAGAGTACAAGTCCGGCGGGAAGGTGTCTGTAGGAGTGGCCGAGGGAGATGGGGGATGGATGAGCGTGGTGATCGGTAGCGCCGGTCTCGAGCCTTTCTTGGCGGGAAAAGCGAATGAGATCGACTGGGGTTGGGGAGTGGGGTTGGAGGGGAGCAGTATAGGCTTGACGCCTTCTATGGGTGACGCCGGCGAGGCGGATGGAGCTGTTTCGTGCCGCCGACGCCTACCAGAGCTTGTGCGAGGACCGTGAACGACCGGATCGGCGATATCGGTCGTTCCCTCGTGCATGTACAGCCCCCGCCGAGATGACCTGTGCCTGCGCTTTGGCAAGGACGCCTTGGGATGCGCTTCCGCCTCGGCCGCGAGGATGGCCTGAGCGGTAGCACGCTCCGTGGAGGACGTTCCGACGAGTATGATGGGTACCGGCGGACAGGATATCTCCTTGGCCGATTTGGACTTGGTCTTGAGGCTGACCTTGACCCGACACTCGAATGTCGTCCGCGTCACTTTGGTCTCTCCCGTTTCTCCCGCCTCCCACTTGCCCTCCCGCTTGGGTATCATCCCCGTCATCGACACCCAATACGTCCCTCCGCTCCCTGGTACCGCCTCATCTGTCGTCATTTCCATGATTTTGGTTGTATGCGTTGAGGGCTCTTCGAGCTTGGTATAAGGTTGGGGAGAATGGGACCGGCGCCAGGTGGGAAATGAGGGGGATGTTTTGCGCGCTTTTCGTTCGGTGGGGACGTCGATAAGCTGGGTCCGCCGTTCGAGGATGAGGGTGGTGCGCCGAATGGACGCACTAGGATCGTCCGGTTTGACGTGAAATGAGACGGTGAAGGGGTCGCCGGGTCCAAAGACGCCGTGAGGGGGATTGAGGGAGACCTGAGCGCCGGGGAGAAGGACGGCGGAGGGGGGAGATGGGGGAGGGAGGGGGACGTGGACGTAGGAATGGAGGTTGAGAAGGTAGGTCTTGACGATTCGGTTTCCGACGTAGGGTATTGGCTTGTGGTCGAACGCCACCTGGAGTTGCCAGGCCACCTTCAGATCCCGTGTCCACTGCGCCGACGCCGCCTCCCATGCCGCCTCAACAGGGACGACCACCTGGAATGGTGAGGTCCAGTCCCCCAGCTCCTCGTACTCGCTCTCTCCTGCCGGCTCCCATAGCCGCTTCGCCTTTTCCCATAATACCGCCTCGACCTCCGACCCGATGGTCCGCGTTGCGACGCAGCGAATGGTGATGGTGACTTGGCGAGTGGGAAGAGTGGCATAGAGAGGGGGTAGGCGAGAGACGATCGTTCCGCCCACGACAACAGGTGAGAAGCCGAGGTACCCTATTCATCAGTATGTGCAAACACAAGGTGAAACAACTCACCTTCGTGTGGATAGAAACGGCCAAATCCGGCGCTCCCGCTTGCCTTTGGCACCAATCCTATCTCGAGCATTGTACAGCTACTGCATGGAAGATGGAAGAGCAAAAGAAGGAGCTCGAGCTGCTCTTATGTCCTCGTTACCAGTAGCGCCGATGCGCAATGGGCCTGGCCGGCGATCGGACTCGAGGTAGTCACCTCCTTTGGCGGATGAAACGCTGTCCGTGTTCGAGGAAGCTAAGTAAGAGCTAGAGGCGGAAAGGGAGAGGTGAAGGGAAAGGGGGGTTATCGTTTGGACCGCAGCTAGACCCCCGGCGAAGCTGCGCTTGCTGATGATGATGCCCGACTTTCACGCGCAGATCAGTCCGAATTGCACGGGTTTCAGCTTGCCCGGCGGTCGACCGGGTACAAATGAGCCAGATCTTGAACAAGGACTAATCTAGTTCAGCTTGGGAATGGGAAGATGAGAAAGGGGGCTCGTTATTAGCCAAATCCTCGGACGCAGCGCCGACTCTCATGCTGTCAGCCGCAATGGTGCCAGAGGCGTAATAATTGGGGTGAAGGACTCAGGAGGCGGTTTCCCGTTCCTGTTGCCATGGTTCAACGTCATCACTAGCGTGGATTGAGGGAGGAATAACGCGCTAGCGATCAGGCACGGTTTAAAGTATTTCCCGCTTCAGGCAAGTGTGGATTAGCTTCAAATGATCGACGCTTACAGAGCATGCAGAAGGACCCCGAAGTCCAACTGAGTTTGACGCTAGAGATGTGTGCTTCAAGCCGACAAGCTACGGGGGAAGCGTAGGTTATGGCAAGGTTGGCGAAGGCCGGTCGGGCTGCTCTTGTTCGGGTCGCTATGAGCCCGCTCGCTGAACGATGCATAATTTCGTGCGCGTCGGTAATTGCTTTGATCGGGAGGGCATCTATAGTAGATGAAGCTGAGGGGTCAAGCGGTATATTATATAGAGGGCGGTGGCCTCAGCGCCTCAGCAGCCTACACGACGCCGTGTTATCGTGCTTGATCTCATGCATGCAAGTCAGGAGCACCCTACCGTAAGGGGAGCGCCGTGGCGCAAGGGTATTGAGCAGCGCGCAGCGGGCTACTCAACTCCCTTCTCTCCATGGATGGCGATCGCAATGATTTAATGAGCAGCCATGAACGTTGTGAGGGAGCCGAATACCCGCATGGAAAGGCCAACGGAAGTGAGAGGAAGTGAGAGAGGCAGTCCCCAGTCTCACTTGGAAATTTGGCTGACTCTTGGCCAATGCATCAAAGCCACGAGCGATCATGCATCATGCGTCTTAGCCTAAGCTCTTGCAATGCGTGCCTTTCCGTGCCTGTCATCCATCTCATACATGGCGCAGTCGATCGCGAGCCTCTGTGGCGTTCGGACATCTTCGGGGGAAAGGCGGGGGAAAGGCAGGTGGCGGCTGCTTTCTTGTGCAGGTTGAGTCGGCAAGTCTTTCTGTGGCAGTACCAGCTTGCAAGTGTACTGGTAGGCGGGGTGGAGGAGCTGCCTGGAACTATGCACAGTGAGGAGGATCGTGCTGCCTGATTGACCCTCTATTACCGAGCTGCACCGTACACGTCCGCGTAGAACCGGTCGAGCGGTCACGGCTGACCCTAATGGCTTGTGTGTGCTTGTGCTGATCAAGGTACACCCACAGCTACGGTATAGTAGTATACTCTGTGTATAGGGTCCATGATTTAAGTGTACTTTTCCGTGCGCAGTGGATGAATCTCACGCACTACAGCAGCACCAGTGACAAGACCGCCTCGTTTGGTAGCCACGTACGCTCATACCCAGCCCCTCGCAGCTCGGAGGGACGGTCCCGTCGCAACCAAGCAGGTGTCGTGTAACTTATATATTGTGACTGCCCCTCCTGGCCATGTACCCGGACGCTGTAACATACCCCATGCAGATCCTGATCCCTGCTGTCCCTCCCTCCGCGCACAATGGACGTCAACCCCGGCCCACATCCTCCATACCACTGTATCGACCAGGGCTGACTATGATCACACGCTTATGCCGCTCACGCCAAGGTAGACCGTAAGCATCATTGCACAACCGACTGCTTCAAAGGGTTAGGATCCCGTAGCTCAGTCTGGATCGCCTCCAGGCCAAGTTCTGAAACGTAGACTTGCATGCTTAATCGCCACCGCTTTCTGACGCCTAATCGCCACCGCTTTCTGACGCCTGATCGCCACCGCTTTCTGATGCCTGACCGCCACCGCTTCCTGATAGCCGCCTTCACGCATCATCCTCAGGGGCTCGTTTCTAGATCTCAGCGGGAATCTTGTCTTAAAGAATCACTTACACAGGGGATTGAATGTTAAGTTTTCAAAAGCAGACTGGGGATGCATACGACTCGTTTGGCTCTTCTTATATATTCCAGACCTATCGATAGCTAACCTATCAAGCTATCGATACCTAGCGACCTACTGATAGCCTATCGATAGCTAACCTATCGATAGCCCTAAGCTATCAACCTAGCGATAGCTAACCTATCGCTAGCTAAGCTATCGCTAGCTATTGCCTATCGCTTCGATAGTCCACTGATAGCTACCACTTCCGGTATGCCAAGCTGATGAGCCTTATCATGCGCTAACTTTAACATTGAAGAGTTGCTCGTCCCCGCAATGGCCACCGGCGTGTGAGCAGGAGCCGATGCGGAGCTCGCAAGTGTCTTGCTGTCAGAAGCAGTCTTGATGCAGTCAGCGCTGTAGGAGCATGTGCTCACCTTTGATGCTACAGCATCAGCCAATTCCACCGAGTACTCACCTTGGCCTGCGCAGAGCTCAGCCTGCGTCGGATCCGACATGTGGAAACGTATACCCGCCTCGAAGGCGGCTGCGAGGTCAGTCTGGATGGACTTGATCAACGTACCCTGCTCCTTCGGCGTCTAAAATCTATCAGCTTCAAGTGTATAGGGGATAAGGGCCGAACCCACGATATCACCACGTTCGAGTCGCTCGGCCACCGTCCCGGTCCTGGACGCGAGCTGCGCCCTTAGATCCATGATTTCCATGCTCTGATCAGCGCATTGTCGTTGAAACTGTTCCACTGTCGGCTGGCAAGTCAGCCCAGTCCTTTTCAGACTCACCTGTGGTCGTGCCCTGAGGGTATCGAGCTCCTTTTGCATCCCGGCGATCTGGTTGTCCTTGCGCAGAAGCTAAAATCAGCCACACGCCACACATGGACTTGCCTGCTTCTGCATCTCCCGCTCCTTGGCCGGGACAAACGTAGGCAGGTCAGCCGAAGCAATCTCCTTCTCGAGCTGCTCGATCTGGCGTCAGTCGCGAACCAAAGGAGCTCACCTGCGTCATCTTGTCATCTGCAGCGTATGGGGGGATATCTTCAAACTCCTGTCGATCAGCTAGGAAACGGAAAAGGCCTACCTTTTGCAGACGAACGAGCAGCATCTCGCGGACAGTCCGAGTCCGTGCCTGCAGCTCGAGCCTCAGGTCCTTGACATGAGCTAGATAACCAAGGAAACGCACCTTCTCCGCCTGGATAGCCTTGGCCGCAGCTGCTCTGTCCTCCATTACGATGGTCTCGAGGGCCTGAACATGAGCTATGTCATCCACAGATAGGTCGAAGCGCGTACCGTTACTTCCTTTTCGACCACACCAGTCATCGCGGCCGCGGCCTGGTACGCATACAGCTTGGAAGCTCGGATCTTGATTTCGGGATCATCCAAACGTTTGATCGCCCCAGCACTGTCCTTTAGCTTTGGCCAACTCTGGCGTTCACGCAGGGCGCATATTCCCGACAAGGAATAGGATGGCTGGAAAGCCAGGGAAAGTATGGTCCGGGACACGTACCGTTCTTTGTTTCGGACAGAGGCCAGTTCGGCTTCGAACATCACCAACAGCTGCTTGATGGATGGGCGCTCGCCGACTGCGTCAGGCGTGGACGACTGCATGGCTTAGCGAGTCCTGAAGAGAGGGTGACTTAACATGGATTAACGCACTGAAGCTTGATCGTCCGACATTGTTGTGGTAGAGAAGGAAAGTCAAGTTGGTGAGTATACACACACGATAAGGTCATAGCGTCGAGCTGACGCAGCGTACCCCATGGGGTATTGGGCGCCATCAGTATGGCTTGTGCACACCGAGAGGCAGATAGCATGTGGGGTGGGCCCATGCTGTGCAGGCATGTGGGATGAGCTATCAAAATATGTGCGAGTCAAACAAAAGTCGGCTCGGTGCTCAATACCAGCTTACCCTTTACCTCCATGCATCAACATGTACCCCCGCTTCCCTCCGCCGAACCCTCTGCCAAGACCACACTGCCTTGGCTCCATATCGCAGACCAGAGCCCTTGACTCGGATACTCGTCCCCGCCAAGGCTGTCCATCCGGTCGTATATCAAGCAAATGACCGCTCCTCCTGGTCGTCGAGTGAGTCTAGTGAGTACTTGTCAAGTACTAATTTAGTATGGGTGCAAGTAGACCGGCTAGATAGTGAGCGTCTGGATGATGGAGCTGACTCAGGTCATGCTGATACGTCAACAGCATTGTTCACGATCGGAAGCGACATCAAGGTAAGTGGTCAATGGTGGGTTCCAATCAGGACATCCTCTTCGCTCTGCGTGATGAAAAGCCCCTGCAGAGTACTCCCACCCAAGGCTGACAAGCAGCTTACCGCTCGTTCTGCAGATTGCCGCCGTATTCGATATCTAGGTGTCCGAAAACGAGCCTTTGGCATCATGAGAGACGAGCTTCAGCGCTTATCCTTTGGCGGCACACAGGGGCAAGTGTCGTCGAGCTGATTCCACGTATAACGATGCACTCGCGTCAAGGATGTTTGTTTACGAGCTTGTCTGAGTCTCTCAAGATCTCAACTGCTCACTCGTACTGATCTGCATAGCCTGCCCCTTAGCCCGCCCCGCACTGGCAGCCCCGCTCACCGCGCGACATGTCTCACTGGGTGGCGACGCGACTTGCTTTCCTTGGCGTGCACGCCCACCCCCATCTTCGTAATTTCGGACACTTTTCGTGCTGCGGTGTCCCATCCATAAGAACATCTCACTATCGTCCAGGCTGGCTTCTCCTCCACTTGTCCTCTCTTGTTCTTGACAAGCTATCTTCGTACTCTCTTGTTCGGCTTGGACACCTTGGCCGAGATCGATAACGACTTGAATCAAAACAACAACTAGACCACCTAGATATATAGACTTGATCTCATCAACAACACCATCAGTCATCAACTCTTTCGCCCAACCCTCACCTTCTCTTGCAGCTCCTTCGATTTCTCTCCATCGCAACTTCACCCGACGGTCAACAACGTACCAATCGCACCTTTTTGGCCCGAAACGCGTCAGAGCCAAGCCTAATCGCCCCTGGCCCAGCCAACCTTTGATACGCCCAGCTCCGCTATCCTTTCGGCCTATACCCCGCGACCCTAGCTGCTGGCCCACCCACGCGCCATCGCAATCAGTCACTAGCATAAACGGCGGTGTTTCAGACCTGCCCAGTCTGAGACCGGATCGATCATCCAACTTGACCACGTTCATTTCTCACAACCCATCTCCCTTCTACACCACCTCTCCACCATGCGCACCTCTACCCTCCTCACACTCCTTTCCTCCCTCCTCCCCATCGCCATCCAGCAAGTCGCGGCGGCGCCGCTGGCCGAACGAGGCGTCAACGTTGGATGGCCATACGGGAGCCAAAAGATTCGCGGTGTCAACCTTGGCGGTGTAAGTCAGAGCGTCTCGCACGGGGATCTAGCTAATTAGCAGTGGCTCCTTCTTGAGCCGTGGATCACCCCTTCCCTCTTCCGCGCAACCAACAACGACGGGATCGTCGACGAGTACACCTTTTGCCAGTACCAGGACCGGGGCGTCGCCTCGGCCGCGCTCAAGAACCACTGGGAGACGTTCATCGTTGAGAATGATATCAAGTGGTTGTCTGGTGAGTAATGCCACTCGTCATAGCTAACAAGTAGAGGCCGGCCTGAACCACATCCGGATCCCCATCGGGTTTTGGGCGTACGATGTCTCTGGCGGTGAACCCTACATTCAAGGTGCTGCCGAGTACCTCGACCGCGCGATCGGTTGGGCGCGCAAATACAACGTCAAGGTCATCCTCGACCTTCACGGTGCCCCAGGCAGTCAGAACGGGTTCGACAACTCGGGTGTCCGCGGTGCCGCCAACTGGTACGTACTATACTTAGATTGAGCTGATGTCAGGGCCACCAACTCCAACAACGTCTACCGCGCCAAGAAGGTCGTCGAGACACTCTCCCGCAAATACTCGGACCCCTACTACTGGCAGGTCGTCACCATGCTTGCACTCCTCAACGAGCCCGCCACATTCCAAAATGACCAGCTCCTCCAGACCACTCGGCAATACTGGTACGACGCATACGGAGCTGCTCGGTACCCCTGGGTCCCCGAAGGCTCGGCCTCCAAGTCCGGTCTCGCCCTTGTCATCTCGGACGGGTTCCAGCCGCTCAACACCTTCAACGGGTTCATGACCGAGCCCAACTTTGAGTCGGTCTTTATCGACACCCACAACTACCAAGTCTTCAACGACGACTACCAGACCTGGGACCAGAACAGGCACATCAGGGTCAGTTCATTCGGTATGTTGATGGTTTTTGCTGACTTTTAGGGCATTTGCGACCGCGCAAAGACCTACGCCCAGTCTCCCCTCTGGCTCATGGTCGGGGAATGGTCCCTTGCTTCCACCGACTGTGCCTTCTGGCTCAACGGCCGTGGTATCGGTGCTCGATACGACGGTACCTACCCCTACTCGCCCCGCGTTGGCTCATGCCAGGGCAAGTCGGGCAAGGGCGGTGACTTCTCCCAGTAAGTCTTCAGGTCGGTCTTGGAGCCCAGCTGACAAGCAGGGACTACAAGAACTTCCTTCGCCGATTCTGGGATGTCCAGACCCAGTCTTACGAGGCCAACGGGCAGGGATGGGTCTTCTGGACCTGGAAAACCGAGGAAGCCGCGGAATGGTCTTACCAGACCGGTCTCATCAACGGCTGGATTCCCTACAACCCCAACGAGCACCTCACGAGCTACCAGCAGGTGTGCAACTAGGCGCGGCGACGGCGGATATGGGTCAGGCGGGAGAAGTAAATACCTAATCTGACGATATATGCTGTTTGATCTGTACGAGCCGGACATTTATAGATGATGCAAACTTGTTGGAAATGTACCAGCCATTTTCCCGACTCCCTCACTGTCCCGCCTCGCACAGTCAAGTGCGTCAAGGGACACATCCTGACCTGATGGCTGATCAAGATCTTTTGAACCCATGTCCAACAAGTTCATCTCAGTACAGCAAATCCACCCCCTGCAGTACCCATTGCTGATCTGCCTCTTACCGAATACAAAAACCCAGCTTCGCTCAACCCCATGAACCCCTCTTCGACCCTCGGTTTCCGCTGTGCCGCATCGCTGTCCTCTGAATCGGGATCGTCAGACCTCGCCAGAGCCCCAAAGCTTAGTCTTGACGGCGACAGGGGTAAGCTTGTCGGTAAAGACGATTTCTGCATAAACTGAAGGTCAGCTTCTGCCCGATGTGAAGCGGGTTGCCAGCTCACCTGGACAGCCTGTCCCTGCACCAACGAATCCTCCATCTCTAGACTCAAGGCCCCCTTGCCCGGATCCCCACCCATAATCTTGACAGCCTCCCTTATGCCCCCGCCCTCGCTCGCTGGGTTCAAAAGAGCGAGATAAAAGTCCTCTTCCTTGCTGATCAGGCCGGCGCCGCCTCGTTTCTGAATTGCAGAGATCAGGATTTGTGCGGGATTAGGATGAGATACGAGCGATAGCAACATGTTGCCTTGTGATCTGATCATCAGTAGAGTCGCTGGAGGTCTGGATTGGGACTCACCGATCAACGACCATAGGCTCGCCCATGGGTTCTAGGCCAAACTCGACGCCCACGTCCAGCTTGTATGGGAGTGCTAGCCCAACCGCGCCTGTATTGTGGATTTTGTCATTCAGGAGGAGCGTGTGAGGCCGACCAGTGATGAAGGGCGTGGGCGCAGTGAGAAGGCCCGCCTTGACCGCATGTGGGAACTGAGCATCAAGAGCTCTCAACACCGGTCGAGGCGAGGCATCCGTCAAGAGCAGGATGGTCTGCGCGCTACCGATCAGCTGTACCCTCGGTGCGGTAAGGGGCGACTCACTCTACACCCTCGAGACCTTGGACCCTCTCATCCGCCGCTCCCGCATCCGCCTCCCAGGCCTCTCCCCACCCTCCCAGACCCGCGCCCCGTACATCCCCCAAATCGCCCATCTCCCCACCCTTCAGATCCTCCTTCCCCACTCCGTCCGGATGAGGCCTGTGCCATCGCCCCACCTCTACGGGCCGTCTCCCCGTCAGCGCTGTATGGAATACTGAGCCCCCATTCCGCGGGAAATGCGCAAGGGAGATGTACGGCTGGTTCTGCCCGGCTTGGACCGGTCGGGGATGCGAGAATGAGCCGATGGAGTTGGGCAGCCGTTGGAGGTGCGGAAGAAGCCCGGGGAGGGAGGGAAGGGTCGTACAGATGGTATAGAGCGTCAGGGAGTCGGTCGGGGCGGGGTTGGACGCGAGGTGTGAGGCCAAAAAGTCGGGCGTGGGCGAGAAGAGGGTGGAGGTGATTATGAACGGTCGAGCGCTTGATGTCGAGTAGGCTCGGTTTGCTAAGCTTCGACTTGGTGCTCTTTGGGCTAGCTGGATAGCACGGATCAGACCCATGGTGGCAGAGCGAGGCTGGGAGACCCAAGGCAAATGAAACAGTGCAAGAGGTGGTGCCGATCTCGAAATTTCAGCTGAAACCGTCATCACGATTTGAAACGCCTCCTCTGCAGCTTGTTCCCCTGATTGATATCGAGTACCTCGTCTACAAATCCGCCATCGATGCATCCCGCACGACTAGCCCAGACATCCTACAATGATGGCGTCATCTACCTATATACACACTACCACCTGGACCCCCCTCCACCGGCCGCACCTCCACGCGTCGACGAGGACGGCGGGGGTGTACCTCCACCTCCCGACGCACCACCTCGCGCAGCACTCCACTTGCCTCGACCGGGCTGGTAGACGCCCCGAGGTGGAGCATCGCCGTTCGCCGGTGTGGACGCGCCGTGCTTGGGTACGGGTGCGGGGCTGGACGGGATCGCGGGCGATTCGGACCGGGGAGTCGCAGCGGCCGGACGCGAAGGAGCGGGCGAGGAGGTACCGTTCGCCCGATATGGAGGGGCCGACGCGGATGGGGTAGGCGAGGCTGTACCGGTGCTGCCGCCCTGCTTGGCAGCGAGCTTGTCTCTCCATCCGCCAGCAGCGGCGGGTCGAACCAATGTAGGCTGGACACCTACAGCGGCGGGCGCTGGGGTGTGATTAACGGGTGCGGCCCGAACAGGCGCTCCTCCTCCAGCCGCACGAGCACGACGACGCTCTTCCGCCTCCTCTTCCCTCTGCCTCTGCTTCTTGGCCGCCTCTTCCGCCGCCGCCCGTTCCGCTTCCCGCTCCTTGCGCCTCTCCTCAGCCTTGGCGCTCGCCTCGGCCTGCCTCGCTTCAATCTCCGCCTTGGCCGCAGCCTCACGCGCAGCCTCCTCCTCGGCAGCCGCCGCCTCCGCTTCGGCACGTTCTGACAATCAGCAACACCCCAACCCAAAAGCCAAAAGACCTACCCTGTTCCTCCCTGGCTCTCCGCTCATCCTCTTCCTGCTCCTTTTGCCGCCTCGCCTTATCCTTCCTTCTCCTCTCCACCACCTTGGCCCTAAACTTCTCCTTTTCTTCCGCAATCTTGGCCTGAGCCGCCTCGCGCGCCTTTTCAAACTCTGCCGCATGCACACTCTCCACCTCCTTTCTCGCCTCCATGTAATCCGACAGCATCCGCCCCAATCTCTCCTTCAACCCCTTCTCGGCCGCCTGCCGCGCGATCGCCTCTTCCCTCGCGACCTTGTTGGCCTGCTCGTGCGCCACCTTATCATTCTCCTTTTGCCTCGTGTAGTCGTCCGCCAGCAGTGGTCGTTCCTCTTTACGCATGGCGCGCTCGAGGTGATCCACCCTTTTCCCAACAATCCTGAGCCGATCCGCCATCTCCCGCTTCTCCTTCTCCAGGTGCTGCACCTGGAGCGCAAGCACCTGGTTACTATCCAGATCCTCAATCTCCTTCATATCCACCTTGAGCGCACCCTTGGCCGCCAGACTCTCGGCGAGCTTCTTGGCCTCCTCGCGCCGAGTCGTCTCCATCTCCTTTTGCAGCCGGTCCTTTTCGGCCTGACGCGCATACTCCTTCTCCTTGCGCGTCGTCTCCTCGAGGAGCTGCTTGGCCTTTTCAGCCTTGGCGGTCGACTCCTCCTTGACTCGGCGGATATTGGCCTCCTCCAGCAGTTCCCGACGCTTGATGACGACCGCACGGCGGTGCTGGGCCGTCTTGCGCTCCTCCTCTGCCTGGGCAATGGCAGCGGCAAATGCGTCCGAGCGGGAGATGATGGGTGCGGGGTTGAGGTATTGCATTGTGTTGTAGAGACACACGGCAAGATTAGAAAGACGGTTGGTGTCGACGACGGGGGTGGTAAAGGTGAGGGATTGAGCGACGTGGTCGATCGACGCATTGATCTCGCCCCGGCTAGCCGAAGTCATGAGAAACTTTTCCAAGGACGGCATGTCCGTCTTCCACGCCGTCTCCTCGAACGGCTGGACGAGGCTGATGACGTGCGAAAGCGAAACCGTGTCGTAGACTTCCGAAAGACCGGTGAGGAGGCGAGAAAGCACAACCTCGCGGAGGGCAGGGAGGTACGGCTGGTACTCGGCCGGAAGGGACGAAATGACCGGTGCGAGAATCTTGGCCGCCTTGAGCGGCTGAAAGTCGACCTCGAGCGCATTGTAGATTTGGCGGATAGCGGGGTGGACCCGACGGAGATGCTTGGCCGCGGCGTCCTTGACGAGGGCGTCCCGAGTAGGCATCTTGGGGAGATTGAGCAGCGCAATCAAGCGCTGCTTGGTCTCGACATCCCCCAACGGCACCGCCAGCGCTGACAGCAAGACACACCCCGGCGCCTTGTCATTCGACATGCCCGCCCGTTCCGCATACTGCAGATACCGCGCCCATGCCGCCGCGTGAAACACGGCCGTCTGCTTTCCGCCCTCTGCCTTGAAGATTTGGGTCAACTTTTCGTAATAGTTGGCCATCATCGACGGCTTGGCCTGCTTTTTGCCGGCCACCAGCCCGTGCACATCCTCCACCGACCGGAACGCCTCCTGCCATAGCTCGAGCTCTACCGCCGTCTCGAGCTGCAGGAACCGAGTATCCAAATGCCGCGAGAGCGTCTCTGAGTCCGAGAGATTGATGGCGTGTTGCTGGTGACCGTACTTGCTGGCGTTTGCAAGATCCTTCCGGAGCCGCTGCTCGCACAGCCGCCGGAAATCCGTCTTGCGCTGGTGCACCTTGCAGAATTTGAACGCCCGGTGCGCAATAGACTGGTACACCAGCTCCAAGCGGTCATTGCCCTTGCAAATATCCAGCGAGGTGTCGTAGGCGTCGTAGCAAGCCTTTTGGGCCGGTCCGATCAGACGCCGCTCGATACGTTCCCGGTCGTTGGTGTTGTCGATGAACGTATCGAGGAGCATCGCCGATGGCTGGAGCGGGAGCTCATCGTCGACGGTAGGATTCTCCGGCAACGCCTCAACCTCCTTCTTGGCCGTCTCCGTAGCGCTCGTCAGGCGAGACTCGGCCTGGGCAATAAAGTGGTTGAGAACCGTCTCGACCGAAGCAACGTTGGTGGTCTGGACGGCGTTGCGGTAGGAGAGGAGAGCGAAGCGAGCGTGTGACCGGCGCTGGAGCTCGACGCATAGGTCGAGGAATTTGAGGACGATAGGTTCGAGGACCGAGACCGGGGTCATCTTGAAGCGTTTCCTAAAGGTCAGCTTGGTCCCGGTAGGTCGTGGAGAGCTTACGACTGGAACACCTCAAAGAGGTTCTCAAAGGCCTGCTCCCGCGAGGTGGCCGTGCCCAGAGCGAGCAGCTCTTCGGAGCGCTATGGGTCAGCTGTGCTCTATGCCTTGGGGGCAATTGCCAACGAACCTTGAGCGCATTTTCGGGTTTGATGTAAAGAGGCGGCATGTTGGGTGGGTATTCCTTTGATGTTGTAGGATGAGCAGACTACTCTCTTCCTCCCTCTATAGATAGCTGTGTATAGCTGTCTAGGGGATTTATCGATTGTTGTCGCTAGGTATGAGCTGTATAGGAGCTAGTAGAAATCTTGGAGATGGCTGAACGCGCTGTCTTTGTTCCCAGCCAAAGGGATAATCCCGTTAAATGCCGAGAGTGTGGCACTGAGGTCCGTGTGTCGCTGCAGCGGGCAGCTGGCTGCGGATCGGTTGCTTCACCGCGGTGAGGTCATCGCAGCGTTAACGTTGTTGCTGTGGCTGCACTGACTGCGTGGGACCATCATATAATCATCCATCTCATAGTTCAATCGCTCTCACAAGACACCATGTCGGCCTCCTTACAGCACTTGTAAGCTAATCCATCTACTCCCGACCTAGACTGAGCTGACCCCTCTAGCGGACGAGGAGGTGAGATATCGGTGCCCGTGCGCTGCTTCTGACAAAGTACTGACTGCCAGCTCTCCGAGTCGCAAAGAACTATACCAAGGGTTACACAGACACCCAGGTCAGCTCACAAGTCTACGAAAGCGCCATGCGCTTGGAAGATCAGCTTGAGCTGACACCTGGCAGACCAAGGTCCGGGATGCGACGTCGAACGATCCTTGGGGTCCATCCGGGACGCAAATGAACGAGGTTGCGCAGTTGACATACAATCAGTGAGCTTAGCACTGCTGTTGAAGCGATCCCAAGCTGACAAACAGGAATGACTTTGTGGAGATTATGGAGATGCTGGATAAGCGGCTGAACGATAAGGGCAAGAATTGGCGGCATGTCTTTAAGGTGAGCCTCACCTCGAGAATCTGGAGCTATACTGACAGTCAGGCGTTGACTCTGCTCGACTACTGTCTTCATGCCGGCTCAGAGAACGTCGTCATCTACTTCAAGGACAACATCTACATCATCAAGTGAGCTCAAATATCGGTGTACTGTCCCAAGCCGAGCTGACTCCCAGAACACTAAAGGAGTTTGTCTACACCGACGACGACGCAAAGGATGTCGGCTCAAACGTCCGTCAGAAGGCCAAGGATATCACCAACCTCTTGGCAGATGAGGATAGGCTTCGAGCGGAACGGCGGTCGAGGGGTGCGATGCGGGATCGGATGTTGGGGAATATCGCGGACTCGGGGTTGAAGGGTGAGGAGGACTACGGAGGACCCAGGCCAGCAGCGAGGGAGATCAAGTGAGCCATGTAGCCTGTATGATACGTGGGCCAAGCTGACATCTAGTCAACGTCCACCAAACCGACCATCCAACAACAACGAAGAGGACGACCTGCGGAAAGCTATCGAAGAGTCCAAGCGGATGATGGATGATGAAGCGACCCGGCGGAGTCGGGTGACGCAGGAAGAGGACGATCTTCGGCGGGCGATGCGAGAGTCTGAAGAGGACGAGGCGAGGCGGAAGCGAGAGAGGGTTGAGGCGAATCAGAAGGCGCTGTTTGACGATTCGAACAATCTGTGAGCTGACTCCCACGCTTGGTAGCGGGCATAGCTGACGATGCAGGCAATCCAACAATCAGTACACTCAGCAACCTCAGCAAATGGGTTTCGACAATGGATATGGCCAGCTACCACTTCAGCCCCAATTCACCTCGTACAATGTAAGCCAGCCCTCACAACTGCTTGCTCTAGCTGACATACAGCCCTTCCACATGCAGATGATGCAGCAAGAGCAGCAGCGGCTCCAGCAGGAGGAGTACATGCGGCAGCAAATGCTCCTGGAGCAACAGCGGCAGCAGGAGGAGTTTATGCGCCAGCAATACCTCCTCCAGCAGCAGCAGCAACAGCAGCAGCAGCAACAAGCACTCATGGCCCAACCTACCGGCTATCGCTCCAACAACCCCTTCGCACCCTCCACCTCCTTCCTCGGCGCCAACAATCCCGGCTCGTCCTTCACCCCTCAGCCCCAGCAGGCATCGAGCAGTTTTCTGCCTGTTCCAAGTATGCCCACACCCCAGCCTGAACCCCAGCAACAGCCGCAGCAGCAGCAGCAGCAGGCGAAACCGGCCTTCCAGGCTCCGGCGCGGAAAGACGATGGGCAGCATGCGGGGCTGGCGAATTTGTTGGCGAGGGGGAGAGAGGATGGGATGGATACGTTTGGGAATACCGGGAATCTGCGTATGTCCAGCTTCTGCAGCGCGAACAGGGACTATGGCTGATGGCTCAGGTGTACCGACCGGATCGGCGTTCCACCAGTCCAACAGACTACACGTCCAGCAGACCGGGTTCGGGGGAAACAACCCGTTCGGTCAGCCGCAACAGCAGGGCCAGCAACAGCAGCAGCAGCAGAAACCGGCCGAGCAGCCATTCTTCTCGATATAATACGTTTCTGTGTGTTGCGGGCGTGCCGAACCGACGCTTGGGTTTCTTGGTTCTTAGTAGTTTAGGGATGAGTTTGTATAGCATGAATGAAAACAGGAGCCACCCGACCGAGCTACTGACGTGCACGCGAAGGCATTTGACCTTGTTCGTGTGTATTGATGATTGAAGTACAAAGTAGATACTGCTACAACTCGACAAGACTGCTCCGAGCACAAGATTCCCCTCCGCTACGCTCTCCTATAGGTCCTCCCTCAACCACGATGTCGCCCCTTCGTCCCTTCCACCACCCACGACCGCCTTCCGCATGAGCAGCACCGCCAGCATCGAAACGCACGCAAAAATGAGCGCGTCGAGCCAGAGGGGCACGCCGCGCCTGTTTTGCTGTAACAGCGCCGGGAAGTGGGTAGTACTGGTCTGCTGAGGCTGTGCAGGGGAGGGCAGGGGTATAGTGGGCGTGGGTAATGGTTGAGGTTGGGGTGTATCGTGAGAGGATGATGGGGTAGGAATAGGTACCGAGTTTGGCGTAGAGCTGATCCCGACTGATCGTGGCTGCGGGACGTCCCTCTCCTCCTCTCCCTCCACATGCGGTATTGGCACGACAGAAGCGAGTGGGTCTTCCTCTCTCCATGGAACGTCAGGCTCCGGCTCTGGAAGCGTGAATGAAGAGACCAGAGGGCCTGCCGACGATATCGAGTATATCGGCGGTCGATGGGGCTCTTCCCTCCTGGTGTCGATCTCCGGCTGGAGCCCGTCCTCGTTCGTATCCAGTGGTCTCCCTCCAGCAGTTTCCGCAGTAGGATCTGATGCCTCGCTGCTAACTTGAAGCGCCGGTTCTGACTCGCTCGATGCCGCCTTGGTGACCTCGGATGACTCAGGGAGGAGCTCGCTATTCCGGCAAGCGCAAGTAGGGCAGACCCATTCTTTCGAGCTAATGCATCAGCTGAAGCTCCCTATCATTACGCTGTGGGGCAACTCAGTTCAAAGCGGCCAACTCACAGCTTGGCGAGCCGTTTCCGTTCTTCCTTTGAGGTGTCCAGCGCACCGATCGCGGACAACGCTTCACCGCCTTGCATCCAGAAGCTGCGGAGTCCGAGGATAGCTGATAGAGTCAGCATAAGGAGTGAAGGAGCTAGCGATTTGTCCGGACCGAAACGGAGGAGCAGGATGAGCCGAGAGATCAGGGTTGGCGAAAGAGCTTACCCGTTCGGACGCCCCATGCGGGCTGCCAGGACCCAGCGTGAAAGCTTGTCAAGCCATCGATACAAATCTAGGCCATCAGCTCCATCATGAGCTGCAGGTCGAACGACCAAAAGCGTCGGAGTGTGGGTGTGGGGCTCACCTTCTTGCCGAGCTCAAATCGACCATTCGGCGTCAAGAGGATGATGTCCGGTGCGGACATGGGGTAGCTCGGCGGGAGGAGTATACGCAGGTGATACAGACCTTGACAGTCAGCGTCTGGTATCGCGATTTATGCACGATGCGGAAGTGCCAGCTGGAGCTCTGGCGGTGAACAGAGACATACCTCCTTCAAACTCGCTCCCTTCTACCCCGCGCATGGTACAGTGCCACTCGAAGATATCAGTCTGGACAGTCAGCTCCGAATTCATCGCTGACCTGCTCATCTGCAGCTGTATGAAGAGAGCAGAGTCAACAGAGTGCCTATTAGCTGAACCTCCTCTGATGATGCGCAGGTCAGAAAGCAACGATATGACCCACCTCCAGCGGCGCAGCGACAAAGTCCCGCTCGGACGGGTCCGACAGCTCGTTCGCCTCCTGCATGATCCGCTTGACTGCTGTCGAGCGAAGATTGACCTTGGGTCTGGAAGAGCCTGCGGAGGACATCTCTGCCAGTATGGTACGGGTAAGAGATCGTACAGCTAGATGTATGACAAAGAGATGAAGAGATGCAACTTTCCTTTGTGGTCGCTCGACACTTCGACGTGGATCTGGACATGACGCGCTCGCCCGGAATAACGTTTCTCCGCCACTCAGAAAGTCAACACAAGCTGGTCGCTGCAACTGGACGCGTCCGCTTTTGCTCTTCGTCCCATCGTCTTTCGGTTCAGCTGCACATCATGCCACGCAAGTCATTAGCAGCTACAGTAGCTGCAGAGACCGCTCCATCCCCCAAATCCACCTCGCACTCTTCCAGAAAATCCCGCAAATCGCTCGCCCTAGCTACCGCACTGGACCCCTCCTCGCCTGACCCTATCGCCCCTTCCCCCGAAGTGGAGCTAGGCAGGTCCAGCCGGAAACGCGGCCGCAAGCACGTCGACGAGCCGGAGGACCTCGTCGGTGTTCTTGTAGAAAGTAACGGCGTTGCCCAGCCTCAGTCTAGTGGAGGCGCAGCGGAGCCAGGACAAGAGTTTACGCTAGAGCAGCAGCTGGAGGCGTGGCAGGACTTTGCGGCGGAGCATTATGAGATGGTAGAGCAGCTACCGTTGGAGCTGCATCGGAACTTCAGGCTGTTGAGGGAATTGGATGATGGGTGCATGGGTGAGTTAAGCGCCGAGAGAAGCGGAAGGGGGAGAGAAAGGGCTGATGTGGATAGCGCAAACGAGCAAGCTGGAGGAACAGATCCGGGCGTATATCTCGGCGAGGATGGAGCTGGTCAAGCGCTTCTCGGCGGTGGCGGATGCGATACAGCCCGCGGCGGATGTGGAACAACCTGTCGCTGAAGGGGGTGATGTTCAGGCAGCTGCTGCTGGGGCGGAAGGAGAGGGGATGGAGGTGGATGCGTTGGAAGAGGTGGCGCCGGCCCCAGACGCGGCAGGAAAGGCGATTGTTACCGATGGAGCGGGAAAGCCGGAGAAGGCGGACGGGGACGGGGATGCGGACAAGCAGACACGAGACGAGGGGGAAGTCGAGGCGGAGGACGAGGTCATGGCGGATGCACCTCCGGCGGTGACTTCAGCTCAGCCAGAAGTCGAGGCAAGGGTGGGTACGACGGAGACGGCCACGCTCACCTCGGACATGGCACCGGCTGTAGCCCCGGAGGATGGAGCAGCAACATTAAAGCCCACCGCTTCTGGGGAGGAAGAGCCCCTCGCCGGCAACATGCCACTCCCAGTGGCCGAGGCACCCGTGCAGAACACGTCGATCACAGCTGTCGACGAAGTTGCGCCTTCCGATCCGACCTCCGATGCGCCCTCTGCCGTCTCGACTGCATTCAATGATACTCCACTCTCCTCGGCCCGACTACCTCCCGCACCCCCCATGCCGAACCTCCCTCCCGACATGGGCGAGGTCGTACCAGATGGGGAGGGGGGACTGGTCGTCATCAGCTCGGAAGGCCTGCCGTCGTCTCTCTCGCCCAGAAATGGGTCGTCCCCTCCGGTTGAGCAGGCGGTGGGCTCGACGGAAGTCCGAGGCGCGTCAATAACGCAGGGTCCAGAGGAGCTCATCACGGCGGCAGAAGCCGCAGCGATGCCAACGGATACAGCCGCAGCCGCAGCCGCAGCCGCAGTCGCAGAGGATACGACAGCAGGGGCGGTGACAGCTGAGGCGCCTGCTTCCATGACCTTGAACCAGCTGCGTCCCGCTGAGCTGCCTTCGCGATATCTACCTGAGATCGGGCGGCTCGCGAGGGAGATCGTACGGAACTGTGAGGAGAAGGTTGCGCTGGCTGTAGGAGCTTACAACTCGGTACGTGTCTTACCATCCCTTTTATGATGACTTGCATGGCTGATATCCAGATCGATCGGCATATCCGCGCTCTTGACTCTGCCCTATCTGCACAGGAAACATCCCTCATCCTCGGCCTTCGACCAGACACCTTACCCTCGGCCGGGGTAGATCAAACCCTGAACCTGCCAGGGGATACCTCTGGCATCTCGCACGCAGCGGGAGCAGGGGATGACGAGGGGGCCATGGTATTAGGTCTGGGAGGTGGCGGCGGTACTGGCGGTCGAGGGGACAAGAGGCGCAAGAAGAAGGGGAAGAAGGTGGAGGCGGTACCGGAGGTGCCCGTAGAGGTGCCTGTGGTCGTACCGGAGTTTGAAGACGCTGATCCGTATGTCCCTCTGCCGCGGTGAGAAAGCGAAAGCTGATGAGCAGGAACGAGCCAAGGTATTGCTATTGCAACAGGGTATCTTTTGGCGATGTGAGTTCTTTTGGCTTGAGGATTTATGGCCCAGCGCTGACTTTGCTAGATGGTCGGATGCGATGTGAGCTCTGCCATGCGGCGATACGTCCGGAACAATTAGCTGACGCCTCAGAACGACGACTGTCCGATCGAGTGGTATCACCTCGCCTGCCTGGGCCTACAGGTCGCGCCTACGGGTAATTGGCTCTGCAACGAGTGCAAACCAAAGATAGGGCTCGGGATGGGCGGAGCGGGGACGGTCCAGCCTGGTAGAATGGAGAAGAAGGCGGGCAAGAAGCGGAAGCGCATAAAGTAGGGCTAATCTGTATATGGTGCATCATCTATATGTAAACTAAGCGAGCTTCTTTCCTCTTTGGAAACCTTTCCTCTCTCTGATCTGTCAGCTGCACGCCCAGCTTCCTGTTGGAACTGTAAACGGACGGAGTGGGCACGGCGCTGCTCAAACCGGACGCCTCGGCATTCTGCCCCGTCTTGAACGCCTCGGGGTGCGCTCCGATCGTCTTGGCCCCTCTCTCGAATGCGCGCTGTGTCGACGCAATATACTCATCCCTGCTCGGCGCGGGCCTATCTGTCTTGACCGACAGCTTGCCATCTACCATCGTCACGCCGCGCTTCTTGAGGTCGGATTTGGTTTGTTCGGAGGAAGAGGACAGGAGGCCGGAGATGCGGATCACGGCGTCTAGGCTATTAGCTGTAGTCACTAAAGGGGAGGAGACACAGTAGCTCACAGACGACACCGAGGAAGATGAGGAGTGGGAGGGCCGAGGTGATTGTATTCCATATTGAACTGAGGGTCAGCTTTGGCATGGCGGACCTTCTCGACTCCGGACATTGTGAAGCTCACGCCATCATGGACCGTGTGGCTGAGCTAGCGGCTGTCGTTCGTCTGGCTGTGCTGAGTAGTGGAAGATATTGTATGGTTGACCGTCAGTTGCCAGCAGCTGCAGCTTCGAAACGCGTGAGCGGAAGCAGATTTGTTTACCCCGAGGAATGTGGCGGATTGGGGTTGTGGTCGAGTGCCGAGGGAGGGCCATGAACTTTCTGCTGGTGGCGGTGGCGAAGCGAGGGGACTCGTCATAAGAAAGGGCAACTTGAGGCATCGGGGACAAGACTCTAACTTCAGCAGAACCTTTCGAAGATCGGACAGCTAGAATCAGATGCCTCCCGCTGGGCCCCGGTCGGCCGTACTGATCGTAAATGCCGCAGTTGAGCTTGTATCAGCTAACCACTTGCTCCCATGATGAATTCGGTGAGCGCACCGCGCAAGCTCATCAAGCGTGCGGTATCGTATGCGAAGACAGCAAGAGGAAGATCAATTTCTATTGGGAACTCATTCGCCACCGGGTGGCAAATTCTGTCCACACCAGCTACAGCTGTTCACGACGGGGCTGGTCGCCTGTCTCGATTCTCTGCCTCAAAAGAAAACTCCGCTATTACCGATACTCGCGTATGAGCAGTCCACCAGTAAGGGTGAAACATGGTACTCAACAGGGATCTTTCGGAAACCTCATCTCTCCCAACATCATCGAGCCTGGTCTCACATCCTCCCAACAACTACGGATACACCTCGGCATCTCGGATCCCTACATCTACAACTACATCTATCGATCCGTATCTCCACTCTCGGTCTCGGACACGGATACGGATACGGAACTCGGACACGGCGGAACGGAGGACGGACCACACAACTACGGAACTCTCGGACCTCGGACCTCGGACCAACGGAACTTCGGAATATTCCCGAGCCAAGTCTCCATCGGCGATATTAAGCCAAAACATCTATAAACATACCGGTGGTGCGGTAGACCAGATCAACAAACATCCTCAGGATCAAAAAGCGGAAAGGCGGAAAACAACATCAAGGCGGAAAGGGAAAGGCGGAACGGAACAACTACAAAGATATCTACCAGACATCCAACAACATCTTTTTGTTATCGGGCATGTCTTCGAAGCATGATGATCAAGTCACAGACATAAAAGTGTCTGCATATGCTCCCCCGGCTCCGGTCGATACAGCCTGTTGTGATCTCTTGTGCCGGCGCCGATGTGCGGACTGCCCAGGATAGGTCAAGTCAAAGTCTGCCCCTTCTGTGCCGCTGAAGTACGATGATTCCGGTGAAAGTCTATCTTTGACCGCCATCTTCGCGCCCTGCATGTCAGCTATCCCCCCAGTCCGTCCTCTCCCATATGACCCAGAGGCTCAGCTTCGACCACTCTCGCCAACAGAGTGACCATCACACCACGTGGGCTCGGCGAAGGCGGCGTGTTACGGCAGAGCAGGAGGAGGTCCGGGCCGGGGCGGACTTCCCTTGCTGCCTCTTTGCTGCTTTTGCACCTTTTCGTCATTCAGCGAGCATAGAGCTCGAAGCGATCTATCAACAGGCCCCTCTACGACGGCAGACTGGTCACGTATGGAGGCCAAGATGGAGCACGCACTCGGTGGGGACGCGGCGGGGCAGGAGGACGAGAATAAGAAGGATGGAAGTGAGTTGCCTCTTGACCTCCTCTTACGGTCCGGCCGCTGACTCTGACCAGGTGTGCCAGGTAATGCTTGTGTAAGTATCGGTTGGATACTTGAGTTACTGGCGTGTGACTGATGATTCCCAGGACTATTGCCGGCGCCTCAAGATGAAGTGTTTGGGGAAGGAGAATCCGCCATGCCAGCGGTGTCGGGGAGCGAAGAAGCCATGTACCTTCGGTGCAGAAGCCAAGGTCAAGCAGCCTTCCGGGACTCAAGCCATTGATAAGTGCGTCATCATACCTGATTACCTGGCACTAGCTTACCTAGCAGGCGCCTGCAAGGACTCGAAGATCAAATGGGATGGATTCAGTCGTCTCTCCAAGCGATGATTCATAACCAGCAAGCGATGGGTATGGGCGGTATGCCAGGAGCTATGCGAGGACCTGGTCCTCCCGGCTCCGCAATGCCTCAGCAGCCATGGCCGCCGAGTCAACCTACACCGATGACCGCAGCTATGCCTTATCCGCCTCATACCTATCCGGCGTTGCCTGGCATGATGAACCAGACCGTGAGTGATACTTTCGATAGAGCTGACCCAAGCCTCCCATGTTCAATCCCTCCCCGACCTCGTATCCTGCCCAAGCCTCGCCTTTCCAGTCCAGACCTTCAGGCAGTCAGACCGCATTACCGCCCCGACCGCCATCTCCCCGAGTGAGACCACGCCATCCCCTCGAGACCCCCGACGAGAACACCGATGCCTCACCCGACATCCCCCTTCGCTCGCTCGCGTCCCGACTAGAAGTCGCGCGTCTTGTCGCAGACGGGCATGTGCTATCTGCCGAGGACGAGCATGGACGGGAACCATTGTCCCGCCAAATGTCTCCATCTCCGGACGCGGTATCATTCGGACACGAGCCAGACGGACGACCTGTCAAGCGGGCCCGCTTCGAAAGCGATGCGTCAGCGAAGAGCGGCAAGTCGGCGACTGGAGCAGTGAAGCCGAAAGGTCTAAGACAGGCGATGCCGACGCAAAAGGGGGATCTGGCGAGGGCATTCAACGATCCGGTGGATATGGGGATGTGCTCGGATGAAGAGGGGAGGAAGCTGGTTGATCTGTAAGCGAACCTACCTGGACTAGAGCGGGAGTAATGCTGACGCTTAGATTTTTCTCGGCCTGCCATCCCTTCATCCCAGTCTACGACCCGAACATCGATACGTGGGACAGGTACGCACATTCCACACGATATACCCATAGTGATCAGAGCTGACACTTCAGCCTGCGTCACCGATCCCCATTCTCCGTCTCCGTCCTCATGCTCGTTGGCAAGCATGTTGAAGACGCTGGGGGACCACCGAGCGCGCTGCAATTGAGGTGCAAAGAGCACGCCGAGCTTATCGGGAAGAGTACAGTCTTCTCGCCAGTCGCGAATGTCGAGGCGGTTCAGGCGTTGATGGTGCTGAGCTGCTGGGGAGATACGGTATGGAGACCGGGACGTGAGTCTAGCCCGATCTTGATAAACGAGAATCCGCTGACTCTGTAGATCTCGCTTTCAGCATTGCGTAAGCTAGCCGAATGACCTAGATGAGCTGTAACTGATATGATAGGGTGGACATGGGCCTGTATCGATGCCTTCCTTATCTGGCCGAGACTGGCATGGGCGCTGGGAAAGACCCGCAGAGCCTGGAAGAAGAGCGTAGTCTGGTCATAGGTGCCAGGGTATGGATAGCTGTGAGTTATGCGACGCAAAGCTGTATGCGACAATCAGCTGATCTCTTAGCTGTTCAAGCTGCGTTACGAGTAAGCAGAACCTGCAGAGCATTGCAGGTTGCAAACTGACCTTGCAGAATGGCATACAATCATGGCCGGCCAGTTCTTATGACCGACGACGATACGCTCATGTTTGCGCGCAAGTTTTTGGAACATCCGCTATCCTGCCCGTCTGATAGCCGTTTGGTGGCTAGTTGCGAGTTACTAGCACTACGACGTATGTTTAACAGCCATCAGTAATTCGAAGCGCCTGCGAAGCTAGCTGACGTGATAGTCTCGCTGCATCAGCCGTTATCGTATCGCCCCTCAGTACCAGTTGTCAACTTGGACGCCAAGCTCGTCGAGGCTGACCGGGATGTCGAGGATTGGTTCAGGTACTGGGATAGCTTCTACGGTGCGTCGTTACTTCTCGGCTAGAAGCTTAGCTGATATACGGAAGAGTCGCACGGTCTGCCTATTGGTCACTTCTTGAGGGAATCATGTGAGTCCACTTCCGCAGAGCAGCGCGCTTTGAGGCTGACCTTCCAGTGATCAGTCAAATGTGTCACGCTATGTAAGCTCGATAATGCATCGCTCATAGCTCAGCTGACAAATATAGCTTGTACGCAAATATGCGCGTCCTGCACACCGTCAAAGATCGAAAGTCGGCTGCGGCGCTACCGGAACACAGACGGAGCCGGGTGGAGGATGCTGTACGAGCTGCACAGAGGTTGATTGACATGACTCTGCGTGGGAAACAGGTGAGTCATCTTTTTTTCCCGTAAGATCATATCGCTGATGATGCAGTACAAGACCACATTTATCTACGGTATGTTCTCCGCGCTTATCTTGAGATATAGCTGATCCGAAGCCAATCACTACCAGCACGTCGGCGTCGCCTTTACCGCTCGGACACTTATCCGCCTCGCCTCGCTCTTTCCGGACATCGTTGACCTGCGACAGGCTAGCCGAGACCTCGAACAGCTCGTTTCCCTTCTTAGCCAAGTACCTGGATTCCAGACAGGCCAGATGATCGAAGAGGTCCTGCGCCGTGCTCGGCGGAAAAGGGTCCTTCCACCACTATCAAAACCCCCATCACCCAGGATGGGCCATCAGCGCCTGCACGGAGTGGCCGCCGGGGTCGGGCAACATGGGATGGGGCAGTACAGTAGCGACCGGACGTCTTTGGGCGGAGGCTATAATCCCGCCGAACAGCAAGCTGGCATGGGGACTGGGTATAGTCCGGATGTGGGCAGTGTCGACAGTCAGCCGATGTTTGACTTTGGACTTGCAGAGGAGTTACTGGCTGGGCCAGTCGCTGCGATCCCAGGTGTAAGTCCTCTCACCCTCCGCTGTGGCGAGCATGAACTGGATCCAGCAGGCTTCCGTTCAAACGACCGACCCGGGCGTCATGGACCCCCTATTTGACCCGAATCTCTGGTTCTCTTTCTTCCCTAACGGTAGGTCTTGGCTTCTCCGACTTTGGCCGGGCTGACTCTCCAGCTGCTGCAGAGTTTGGTGGCGGGCAAGGAGGAGCGGGACAAACGCACGGCGCCTTGAACGAACAGCAGAGATTCGAAGCTGGTGCGACGGACCCTTTTGCGTTCAATGGGAATGGGGACGCTCCGCTTTGGTGAGGGAGCTAGGCCGAGTCCTTGATGTATGTTTTGCTCGACATATTTCCTGCTAGATCTTGAGCTAGTCGGCAGCACATGAAAGCATACCAACTCCTGTCTTGCAGACCATGAGCTGCACCGCGCCGAAGATCGAGAAAGCAAGCGCGACTGGTGCTGACGTAACGACGAAATTTGCACCTGCATGCGAGATTTCGCTGGGCACACCTCTTCAGATCAACATTCACTATATACTCTACCGTACTCTATCGCTACGATGGTCTCCCTCACAGAGGTCAAGCTGCTCACGCTGCTCAATGTCACAGCGATCAAAAAGCCGTTCGAGATGGACGTTCCCGGCGGACATCGCGGCTCGCCAGCTCTCGGAGGTCGGTCCGCTTCTGCCAGCACCAGCAGTCCAGCGCCGACTGCTGCCAGTCCAGCTACGTCCAAGGCGAAAGCATCAAAGGGTGTCGCGAGCCCAGCTATGAAGAAGGGAGAGGCGGGCGCGAATGGGGAGAAGACCAAGCGACGCAAGAGTGTCGTGTTCGGCGGTGAGGTCGGACCGAGTGGGAGTACATTTGCGGGGAAGCGAAAGCGGGCTGGAGGTGATATGGGCGTGGAAGTGGAAGATGGGCCTAGCAAGAAGAATACCGCTCAGGCGAATGGGAACGGGCATGCGGAGGTCAGGGCCAAAGCGGCGGGCTTGGAGGTGGAAGAGGAGATGTCGGAGGATGAAGGCAAGGGGCGAGCAGGTAAGTGTCTCCCTTCCTTGGATGGTCTTACGGGACTGACCGTCCAGTCAAGCACGACACTTTCAGCACCCACTTTGCCGAAGCTCCACCCCAGCTTACAGATGAGGCCATCGCGCAAGCGGATGAGGGCAACTGGAGCGTCGACCGGAAGCTGCTGTCAGGCTTTGGGCGAGTAGCCGAGCTGCAACCTGGTCGCCAGACTGAAGGATCAACGGCGTCTTCTTCTTCATCCCTTACTACTGTAAGTAATGCTTCTTACAAGACACCGCAGCCAGACGCTGACCAGAAGATCACCCCATCACTCATGTCACAAATCGGAGAATCAGCTACCGACGATCCGCTATTCTCGACTGCTCTTTCACAACTCGGGACCTACAAGGATATCTACCTGCACTCCCTCGACGGCGAGGCAGAGGGAACCGAGAAGAAGCTCTTTGGTGAGCAGAAGGAGGCTATGCGGAAGGCGGCTGTGGTCCACGCCTTGAATCATGTCCTGAAGTAGGTTGCCCAGCGCCATACCTCGACCACCGCGCTGACTCGCAGAACCCGCCGAAAGATCATCCGCAACAATGAGAAGCTTGCCCACGCTGCCGCTGCCGGACCAAACGCTGCTATCCCCGACTCACCTCGCGATCAATCCTTCACCCGACCCAAGGTCCTGCTCCTCCTACCCCTCCGCTCCATCGCCCTGCACTACCTCACCGCCCACCTCCTCCCACTCGCCCCGCCCGGCACACAAATAGAAAATCAACGACCCTTTATCAACTCTTTCTCCATCCCCTCAGACTCTACCGACCCCCTCGCGTCCACCTCCGCCGTCTCGCAATTCCCCATCGACCACCTCGTCAACTTCCGCGGCAACTCGGACGACAACTTCCGATTCGGTATCAAAATCACCCGCAAGGCATGGCGTATTGTCATGATGCCCGCCAACGAGGCCAAGTTGATGGACTGCGATATCCTCATTGGAAGTCCGCTGGGCTTTAAGATGATGGCTGAGAAGGAGGGGTCGACGGATCTGCTGGGGAGTTTGGAGATTGTGGTGGCGGATTCGCTGGACGTCATGATGATGCAGAATTGGGACCATGTTCAAGTAGGTTTGCAGTGTTGAAGTTACCGACTTTGAGCTGACTAGCAGTACCTGTTCCAGCACATGAGCCTTGTTCCGGAGAGTCCACACGGGTGTGACTTTTCCCGCGTCAAGCCTTGGTACCTGGACAAACAGTGAGCTAGTCCCGCTACGAACATTTCGGGCATAGCTGATACCTTCAGAGCCAAGTACATTCGTCAGACCATCCTGCTATCCCGCTACGACTCGCCCGAGGCTCGCGCGCTCTTCTCGCATCAGTGCCACAATCTCGCCGGGAAGGTGAGGACGGAGAAGGCGGATTATGAGGGCGTGATGACGCGCGTACGGGAGGGTGTCAAGCAGACCTTCGAGCGGGTGGATATGGATTTAAAGGGAGGAGAGGGGGCGGTAGAGGAGGTTGAGAAGCGGTTGGCGTTCTTCACGAAGAAGGTGAGTTGGCGGCAAGTCGATAAATGTCCAAAGCTGACCTCGTAGACCATCCCAGCCCTTCTCCGATCTGCTGTCTCGCGTCAAAACACCCTCATCATCATCCCGTCCTACTTTGACTTTGTCCGAATCACCCACTTCCTCCGCAAGAACCAGCTCATCTCCTTCGCAGCCATCTCAGAGTGAGTCCCGCCTCAGGTCCTCGGACTCTGCTGATTTACAGATACTCCTCCAACTCTGAAATCTCCCGCGCCCGAACCCTCTTCTTCAAAGGCAAGAAGCCTTTCCTGCTCATGACGGAACGATTCCACTTCTACCGGCGATACCGTATCCGAGGCGCCAAGACTATTGTCTGGTATCAGCCACCAGAGCACGCCCAGTTCTACTCGGAGACGCTCGAGACGCCGTTCTTGCCGTCTCAAGGTGGGGGCGCGGCTGCATCAGGGGCGAGCGAGGATGGGGAGGCGGAGGTAGATGAGGGGGAAGTCAGCGCGAGGGTGCTCTGGAGCAAGTTTGATAAACTCAGACTGGAAAGGATCGTGGGTGGAGCGAATTGGAGAAGGATGATCGGAAGTGGGGAGGGTAAGGCCGAATTCTTATAGGTATGACATTGGCTGAAGTAGCTGGCGCATTGAAGCTCCTAGCTTTCAAAGGCTGACGTGACCGGCACTGTTTTCACGGTCCCGTCCAACTGACTATTCACGAGCCGAAGATGATGCATGGTGGTATAACGGAAACTGATACGACGATTATGGTACGCGCGCCTGATCGCTCTCTGTTCGTCCACTGATTATCAACGCGTCAAGGCGCTTGCTCCCCCCTTGAGTTACTGATTGATCAGCTGGAAGTCACACAATTCTTCTCCAACAGGCGACTTACCTCGAGCGGTCCAGTGCTGCTCGAACCGGGCCGTAGGGAGGATACCCGAGGTGTGGACGGAGATGATTGTGGGCGAAAGCCGGATAAGGATGGGGCTGCCTTAGCGGGGCTGGGGAAGGGCAGAAGACACTCGAGGCGGCGTCGGGCTCCTTGGCGATCGTCGAGGGGTCCGGAAAAGGCGCCGGCGGAGCAGGGAGGTCGCGCGGGAGAGTCGGCGGCGCGACACGCACGGCGGCCAGCTCCTGCTCCAGCGCCTTGATCTTCTCCCTCAAGTCCATCTCCACCTTGACCGACCGCCTCCCTATCACGTCTCCGTCCGCCGTCTCCGCCGTAGGCTCGACAGCCGCGACCTCAGCGGTGCCTGAGGCGGCTGGAGCGGATCCCACCGACCGCCGCCAAGTCGGCGCAGCTTCGCTTGGTTTTTCGACTCGAGACCGAGGAGCCTTTGCCGCCAAAGCGTCCTGCTGCCTCTGGAGTGAGTCCGCCATGTCCTTGATGACAAGGAACTGGGCGTCCAGTCGAGCCCGCTGCTGGTCCGCCTCCTGCCGGCTCGCGGCCAGCGCAGCCTGGAACTCCAGCTTCTGCTTGTCTGCCTCCTCCCGAATAGCCGCGAGACCTGCCTCGAACCCCTTCTTCTGCTCTTCCGCCTCCATCCGAGTCTTTTTGCGGGCAGACTGGAGTCCTATCACTCTGAAAACTGCGCAATTGTCCTCCCCCCGGTCCACCCTAGCCTCCAGCGTCGCGATATCGTTTTCCGCCTGGCTCATCCGCCCGCCCATCTCTTCCTCGTGTCTCAGCGTCTGCTCCGACAGGGCTGCCCCGTACGCCTGGACCTGCCACCTCAATTCCGCCCGGATCTGATCGTCGATGTGACCTAAGTCCTCGTCGCGTCGCGGAGGACGGAGTGGAGACCGGAGGAGTCTGATGATGGCTTGGAAGTGGGGCCTCCTGTCGGGAAACCGACGCCCGTTCTCCTCCTCCGCGAGGATGGTCCCGCTCTCGACCGCGTCCACTACGGCGATGTAGTCCCGATTCAGCGAGACGACGGCCCGGATTGCCCCGAGAAGGCTCAGTGTCGGCTCGAAGCCGGTATTCATGGAGTGCATTGAGATTGCGGCCAGATTTACGGAGCGGAGTGACCTTTCAAGTGAGGTGAGCGTTACCGGCGCTCGCGGGTGAGGGCCGTCCGCGCCGTCCGCTGGCAGGTGTGAGCGAAAGTGTTCCGAGAGTGTGGCGCTTCGAGTCCAGAGGTCGCTGATGTCGGCGTCGGTGGGAGGGAGGGGATCACGGGGCGATGGGGGCCTTTGGCTCATCAGCTGTGGCACACGGTTGACGGCGAACGGCGAACGGAAGCTGCAACTCACCAGCCAGATGGAGACATTGTGGACAGATCAGCTCTCTGATGGGGCAGAGGTCTTCGGGGGGACAGGATGACTCTAGCGCTTGGTGATGGTTGAAGAGAACCTCAGATGGAGAGGCGGTGCTGGGTGAGACTTGAGCAAGTGGTCGGATCCAGGTGCAACAAAGCTTGACGACCAAGGCGGAGCAAACCTTCTTACCTTGACTCGGCAACGGAGCACCGAGCGGAAGTGTGTGTTATTGCCCCTCGCCCGCGCCGGGCACACATGTCATCAGGATTAGGTTAGTGTCAGGCACACCAAGCGTGGGCGCCCGTTTCCCTATGCGATTGCGGACAGGACCAGCGGCGCGAGATCGAGCTGATAAGAGCGCTCAGCTCTCAGCATAGCATATACGTAGACCAAGAGATGAAGTACATGCCGAAGCTACAAGATGCTACACCGGCGTGTACGTCTGACCAATCACCCCGAACGTATCCTGCATCATCTCCCCCAGATATCCCAATTCCGCAATCACTTCCTAATCATTAGCTCCATACATCCGCTAGACGTACCTGCATCGCCAGCGCATATGCAAAGTACAGCAGGTGCTTGTTCCCGCCTCTGGCTGAGCGGCGCTTGACGACGTCTAGCTCCCTGATAGCCGCGACGAGCCGTTGGCGATTCAGCTCTGCGGGTGGCAGATAGGGCGGAAGGGGTGTTCGGAGCTTGAAGCCTGCTGAGATGGTGTACAGCTGTCGTCAGTCGACTCGAGGATAAGACGTACATAGAGGATGACACTGCCGGTCATTTCGATCCGCTCTTTACTGACGTGCGCGTCGAACTCGGTTCTGACACTCTGAAAGTGAGCTTGAGTCAGATCTGAGGTCTCACCTTGCTCCTGAACATCAGCTCTGTCCTCTTTAGGTACTCACCACTCGCTCCGAGTCGTCACGCAGCGCATGCTATGTAGCCTATCCAGCATCCGCTCCAGACTTAGCAGTACCTCGCTATAGAATGACGTCGGGAACGGGCCCTTCAGGCGAGGCTCATTCTTCGTCAGTACGAGGAGGTCCCGCAGGGTCGTCAGCTGCGATTGGAGATGTAGCTCCCTGGATGTCAGCTTGGTCGTGGCGCGGACTTACATGGCAAGTAATTGCTGAACAGAAGCTGTAAGATGTGGATGGGCGATCTTTGATCCAGCGACCAACGGCGTCTCTTCGGTATGACCATTGGACTCGGCGATATCTTGGTTGTTGGCGTCGACAAGGCGAGAGTAGAGATATGACAAGTCGACACAAAGACTACATCAGCAAGGCCAAAGTGGGACTTACTCGCTGATCCCCATCCGCAACTCTCGTCTCGCTGTATATGGCCACCAGTATCGCGAGACCACAGCAGCCCAAAGCGCGCCGATGATGACTGTTCCTGAGCGGTATATCGCCACTCGCCAGACCGAGTAGTTGCGCTCGCGCGAGTTGTACGCGTATAGGCAGGTAAGATTCTGAGGTCAGCTCAAACCTAACGTCGGCTTACGTAGGCAAGTAGGGTGAAGCGACCGGTCTGAGCATGATCTGGGATCTGGGTGACGATGTAAAAGCAGGGTATGGAGAATAGGAAGCCGGCCATTGGGAGTAGAATGGCATTTTGAGGGAACCTGAGGTCAGCTCAATCATCAAGGTTGACTCACAGATGATATACGATAACGCCGACGAGGGCGCCGATACTAATGATCAGCTGATGCCTCGGCGAGCACTCACAATGTCCCAGCACACCGGTAAAACGACCTAAACATCAGCTACGGCTTGGTTTAACACTCACATAGCATTGGTCTGACCCAGTGTTGGGTTGTTAACGGAGAAGAAGGCGATCAACGCCCATTCTCCCCGGAACTCGAGGAACCAGTATCTCCCCCATTCGGTGTACGCGGGAGCGGCAAGTATAGCTGTCATCAGCCTAGGTCACTACCTAAACCCACCTCCTCCGATCCAGATCTTGATGGAATAGCGGATCTCGGGCTGCCTCAGCCATTCTCCAAATGCCCACCATCGCTGGCGCAGTCGAGCGTACAGTGACACCTGGCGCAACGGAGAGGTGGTGTCCGTTTTGGCGCGGGGGAAGACTGGCGCTTGCAGCTTTGACGGATCTATCGGGACAAGATTTTCAGGCGTCAGCCAGGCTCAAGCTTAGACCTACGAAGCTGCTGATACAGGAAAGTACGCCTGGGCTGTTGACGGCGCTGGCCGAATGGCAAGACAGACCGAATATGGTCCAGCACGGAAGGGGTCTCGGTATGTACGATCTGGAATTAGCGAGACCGGACATCCACTCACCTCGATGACGGTATCCAGCAGAAACAGCATTTCCCTTGCGAACTCTTCGAATGTGAAGAGAAAGCTACAGTCAGCTTCGCCAGGGAATTACTCACAAGTAGATCAGGAACACAGTCTCATTTGGCCCATCAACGATCTCCCCGATAGCTGGCAAGTCCTCGTCTTCGCTGTCGTCCCGCTCGTTTTGGTATACGCCTTGTTCCCTCCGTGGCCCGGCGTAGAGACGCTTAATTGCCGAGCTGGATGTGTGGGAGAAGGTAGCGAGCGAAGTCGTCAGGCGCTGACGAGTTGCGGGAAGGTCGACATTCAGGTTGCTTGCGCGTGTCAAGACCTTGACCGCCTCGAGTGCTTCATCGCAGCATGCCTGACATCAGCTCTGCCAAAGGCGGACTCACATTGAGATCATTCATCTCGTCCCCCGCCATCTCGCGGAAACGCATGAGCAGCTTCGCACTCTGGGCCAGCTCTGCATCATCCGCAGATGTGCTATCCATCTTCTCCTCGTCCAAGTTCAGCTTCCCCTCTCGAACTGCTCTGATGAGACTTTCCTGCAGCTTGGTCGAGCTTCTCATTCCGCTGATGTGCTGAGCGAGGCGAGCGAGACTGCCGATTGCCGCGTCGTACAGCTTGAGCTTGCGCCCACGGACGCGAGGGTCAAGGACCCGCTCGTGCTTTGCCTCGGCCAGGTCCGCTTTGAGCGTTTTGAATGCCTTGGCGTGGTCTGTGATGGCTTGTCGGAGGGAGGTCTGGGTGGATTTGAGGATATGCTGCTCGAACAGGAATGTGGAGGTGAGGAGGTCGAGAAGAGTGGAGAAGGATGTGAGGGAGCGGGAGATTGAGTTTTGGAGTCGAGTCGTAGCGGTGGTGGGGAAGACGACAAAGCAGATGATATTGGAGATGATCACTAAGGTCAGCTCGGTAAGGTGTGTGCTCACCTCCAAACATGACAATCAACAGTATCTCGACCAGCTTTGGCATGTTGCCCTCCTTGATGACTACCGAAAAGATCGTGACCGCTGCCATAGAGCAACCTGATCTCAGCACGGTCGGACTTTTTCTCACCAGAATTGAAACTGGGATTCCCGACCCAGATCTTTGCCCAGGCAAGCACGCCCATGCTTCCTCCGATGTACAGAAAGTTGACGACCCAGTCGCCTGTCTCGCTGATCCAGTCCCACTTGTCTCCTAGACTTGGCGAAAAGTGGTCGAATAGTTGGACCGTGTACATGGACAATATGCACATCATGACCGCGAAGAGCATGAGGATGGAGGCGTAACGGTCGGCGAGGAGCATATTTCCGGCTGATTTGGCGGGGTGAAACTACATCAGCTAGACCAGGGCGTAGCTTACATAGACAACGATGGTAGCGACCATATGGGCCGAGTAGGCAGGCTTAGGGCGGACCCGTCCATGAGCGTCCTCTTGAGTCCCGGTGGACAGTATACGAGCGAGTTCGGGGATGAAGGTGAATAGTGAACCGATGAGATAGGCAATACAGCACTTTGTGACGGCGACTGTAGCAGGAGATGGTGGCCAGACTCTGGACCACTGAGAGATATCTACATCAGCTCGGTTGGGCGCAGAACGTACCGACTGGAGGCGAGGCCTTTGGAACTCTATTTGCGGATGGGTTCCTGGGAAGAAGAGGACGGCGCTCAGCGATGCGCTGAGGTTCCTCCAGGATGCGCTGAGGTTCCTCCAGGACCTCCTCGATTCCTCTCGCACTTGTCTGAGGTGGTCTGTAGAATTCTTCGAGACCGGACATGGCAGGAGGGGACGACGAGATTTGTCCGGTGATATTGCTCTCGGCGTCCGCCGCAACAGGTCTTGGGCGGATAGTAGTAGCGGATGAGATGGAGCGGTGCGAGCGGATCGTCGAATAGCTAGAGGCTGACCTTGGGAGCATGCTCCCATCCTCTCCCTCGTCGTCCCCTTCCACCATCTCCCTCAAAAGACGCCAATTATCGTCGGCCTCTGGTTTTGCTCTTGGTCTCGCCCAGCTCGGCGGCCGCAGACCGCCGTCATGGTCCGAACCGCTGACGCCTCTTGCTGAGGGATAGAGCGAGTGAGGGCGACCTCTGGGCCTAGATAAGAAGCCATCGCGGTCGGAGAAGGAGGTCGAGTGCGCTGCTGAAGGGACGGGTGCGGTCGAGCGGAGCTGTGGATGCGAGCGTACTTTGCTCGGGCCTGGGCTGTCGATGGGTATTGGAGCGGGCATTTTTGGGGCTACAGCGGCCCTCTGCCTATGATAGATATGGTCCGATAGATCATAACAGACTGAAGCTTAGGTAGGGACTGTTTCATGGTCGAATGTAAAGGTAGGCGCTGCAAGGTGAAACACGCCAAGGAGAGGTTTAGCCGAGGTTTATCCTGATGTCATCGAAATCCTGCGATGTGCTCGACGATCACCTTGTCAATGCACCCTTATAGCAGTCATGTCAGCACCAGGAGCAGGCAACCGCTCGGCGGGGAGATCGAAGCAGAACTACTTCAAGGCCGCTCGAGGTGGAGGTGGCGGCGATAGGGGCCGCGGCGGAGGAGGGAGAGGACGGGGACGTGGCAAGCCTCCAGCACCAGGAGGGGCGGGCGGGCCATCCTATACTGCCGAGGATGGCAGGGTGGTTAACCCGCTAGGACGGTATCGCGAGGGAATAGCCGTGAGTCTCAAGCCGTATGTCTCGGCCGAGAGCTGATCGCTTAGTTGCTGGGATTGACCGCACCGGGGATCAGCGTAACGACTGTCCAATTCAAGGAGCGCTCGGCGGAAAGAGAGGTGATAGAGTATCTGGAAACAGTAGGTCTGATCAATGGCACGGCTGATGATAGATAGTAGACGAGCTGGAAGAATCAAATCCGACTTCATCTGCAGAGCCAGCAATGGACGATATCGAGGCCGAGTTGAAGCAGGAGCTAGAGGGGTTGTCAGGAGCTGCCAAAGTCAAGTCGACCCGCTTCAGATTGTGCCAACATGACACGCCCTGCGGTATGTCCATTGTGTCTTCGATTGTGCTTAGGCTGATTGCAGTGATCTACATCAACGTCCTTGCTCCGCTCGACCCGGTTCAGTTGGTACAGCGGATACTCGAAAAGGTGGAGAGGACCGGACAATCGCCTTTCAAGTGGGTCTTACCTTCATGACCCATCGCTAATTCAGATATGTCAAGCGTCTGGTGCCCATACTGGCGGTCGGTGGAGCCACACTGAAGCAAATCGGCGATGTTGCTGGGCCACTAGTAGCTGAGCGCTTTGCTACTCACGACAACAGACCCCTCAAAGTAAGTCTTCATACTTATGCGTTGCCTTGCTGATAGCTAGTTCGCCATTCAGCCCAACTCACGGAACTCCAACAAGCTGGACAGGCTCGAGTTGATCAAGAAGATAGCGGATGAGGTGATTGCGCTCCCGGCGGGTCACACGGTAGATCTCACCCATGCGGACCGGACCATTCTGGTCGAGGTTGATAAGGTAAGTGTAGTCTTTCATCACAGGCTAAGCTGACATTTAGAATGCCTTTGGCATCTCGGTAGTAGAGCACTATGACCGGTTCAAGAAGTACAACCCCTCGTCCATCGCCGAGGCACTCGCCAAAGCTCGTGCTGCCGAGGAGCCTACTTCAGCCCCAGCTACAGGCGAAGCATCCGCCAAGAACACCGCCAATCGCTCGGCTCGGGCAGCTGCGATCAACGCCGCGTCGGGGGTAGGAGGCGGGGAGAAGAGGAAAGCAGAGGAGCAGGACTCGGAGGACGTTGAGATGGGAGACGATAATGCAGACTCGGCGGATGTCCCGGCGAGCAAAGTACAGAGGACAGTATGATGCACCTACCTCGAAAGACTTTCCAAGACCCTTTGGCTGTCAATGTCAGAGACTGTGATCGGGGTATCACCTGCCTGAGGCAGATCGTAGGGGATCTGAGTTGGTCGTCAATTATATACCACCAGGCAACATCCCCAACATCCAAGAGATGGCAAGGGCTCTTGATCTAGTGGTATGATGTCCGCCTACGAATTTGTGAGCGGGATGTCGTGGGTTCGATCCCCGCAGGGCCTTGATATCTTTTTTGCAAGTCCTACGATCCCAGGGATCGATACAAAGTCTTTTTGCTGCTGGGGAAGGTGGTGGCGCAAAGCGCCACACCGCCACTCCCGCGGTTGGGTTCCGGCTCCGACGGAACCCATTCTCATTTTGGTTCCGCCCTCAAGTCCCAGAGCATCACGATACCGTCCTTGCCTCTGGGACGGGGGGCGGCGAAGTGTTCGTCGAGGGACTTCGGCGGGGCCGGCGCCGAGGACAGGGTGTTGATGTGCCCGGGGTGGGCAAAGTGGTTGGTTTTGGGTATGAAGCGCACGGTAAGCCACACTATCAAGCTCAAGGGCCACGACGAGCTCATGCTGCAGTGATGGGGCCACCAGCCGCTGTACGCAGCATCGGCTGCACCTTCAGTAAGTCACACCGCGCCCCAAGCTTCAAGTGTGCTGATGTCCTCTGGGAGGCCCGCAGGAAGTTCAGGAGTCGGGTAATTATGTGAATATGTAGCTACAGGTAAATTCGGCTGGCGATCGATGCATAATCTGAGGGAGGCGAGCAGCAGTATAGGCTCTATATACAGGGAGGACCTCGCCTTGAGACGTCCTCCTTCAGTCGACACTTGTACTTCATCTGAACACCTCCTCTTCTACACATGCCTACTTCTTACCTAACTCGTCTCGTTTATGCACGTATAAGTCCAGTGATCGGTGTTGAAGCGAGAGCTAAGTACAGCTTGAGCTCTTCGTCAAAATCAAAAAGTCCAAAAAGTCAGTCGCGTTGCCACTCAAATTCTGAAACCACCTCTCATCCTCTCTGACCATGCCGACCATCGGCCCTTCTGTGCTCTTTGCAGCTGGTCTCGCCCTCGGTGTAGGCACTGGCGTGTTGATCCCTAGGCGAAACAAGCCAGATGTCTTCACCCCACCTGCACCGCCCAGCGGAGAGAAGCGGGACTTGAGCCCCATCAAGACTCCCGGTGGAGGGGTGGTCCACCTCCAAGGCGGCTTTCCAGGTGTGTAGGGATCTGGCGGAGCTGATGATAGGTCCCATACCGGACATTGTCAAGCGAGCCGCATATACTGCGGCTTATGATAGGCGTATGAAACACCCGGCATGGGTAGGTTGACAGCAGAAATCGGCTGATGGCAGACTGCTGAACACCTGACTGCTGCGTCCCTTTCGCGGACTGCACCGGCATCCGCCCCAAATGCTAACCCGATCCCGCTCGAGACTGCCCGAGCGGCAGATACGGCGCCCGTGGTTAAGGGTGACAGGTCCAAAAGCACATTCATGGAGGATGCAGACGTTCCCGAGGCGTTCCGAGCGAGATTACAGGATTGTAAGTTGCGCAGCTCGCTGATCGATGTCGGCTCATATGCGCCTTCCAAGCCCCTGGCGTCCCTCTCAGCGCGAGGGACTTGGAACGAGCGCAGTCAGCTGAGGGTCGTCTGCAGAGCTGCCATGCTGATAGGTAGACTTCAAGAGTGGCTATGATCGAGGACACATGTGAGTAATTCGATGTGATGTCGATACCTGGCCTGGCCGGTATGCGGCCTCTACTGATCGGCATTGACGACCAGGGTACCCGCCGCCGACGCCAAAATCTCCCAGCAAGCCATGAACGAGACCTTCTACCTCACCAACATCGCGCCTCAAGTGGGAGATGGCTTCAACCGGCATTGTGAGTTCCCCGCCGACCCAAGCTTATTCAGATTGGGCATACCTCGAGGACTTTTGCCGGAGACTGACGACCAACTTTGAGGACGTATATGTGTTCACGTGAGTCTACACATAGCCCGGCTGATGTAGTGTACCACTCTACCTCCCCACCCAACAGCCTGATGGCAAATGGCGAGTCGTAAGTCCCTGCTCGTACTCGCTGATGTAGACCTACGAAGTGATCGGCACCCCACCCTCCATCTCGGTCCCCACCCACTTTGCCAAGGTCATCCTCGCTTCTCGACCCGACTTTGCCCATCCACAGACCCCATCGGCCGACAAAGGCCTCACTTCCAACTCGACAATCAAGGAGCTGGCAATGGGAGCGTTCATCCTCCCCAATAAGGAGATTCCGGATCAGACCGACCTTCGAGCCTTCATTGCGCCAGGTAAGCCTCGCTCCTTCTCAGCTGACATGCAGTGGAGGCGGTAGAGAAGGCAGCCGGTTTGCAGCTGTTCAATACGGACTTGAAAGCCAAGTCAAAGCAGCTCTGCGCGGTGACGCAGTGCCAAGTGATTGTTCGGCGGTTTGACGATGCGAGGAAGATCAAAAAGTAGTTAGACGTTGTACATCATGCCTCCCTTACTCTTTCCGCTACCAACGACGAGCCTGCTCTCGCTGGGCGGGAACACATTCATCGACCCGTCATCCTCGCATACTACGCACTTGGCGGATGCGACACAGGCGCGAACCAAGTTCCAAATCGCGCTGAAAGCGGTCGCAGACAAGCAGCCCGGAGCCAGTGCTGTTCAGGTGGTGGACGTAAGTGGGATGTGAGGTGGAGCTGACCCCAGGCTATACTGGGCTACCTACCATATGTGACAGGCATAGCGACGTGCTTGGACAACGACGAGCTGCTCTGGAAGTCCGACCCAGCGTTCCAATGGCGTCCATCTCTCACTTCCTACGTCTCCCTCCCGACACTACCTCTCCCGTCCATTCACGCCGAATACCTCTTTGTCCTCCTCACCTATACCCTGGCGCTCAGTAACTATGCCCATTCGATACTCGCGACGCTGCCTACGCCCAGCGACCATGTCACGGCGGATGAGGAGAAGCGGATCACCGCGGGATTGGCGCGAGCGGTGGATCTGCTGTGCCAGGCTGCAGGTTTAGCAGAATGGACAGCCGAGAACGTCTGTCCTCTGGTGGATAGTGTGAGGAACGCGTCAGGAAGGCTGGGCAAGTACAGGTGGCCGGTAGAGACTGGAGCAGAGGCGTTTAGAGGTCTTGCAATGTGGGTCTCCCCTACTTAGGCGCAGACCAAGCTCATGTTCAGGACTCTCGTTGCCGACGCCCATGTCACAGCCATTCGCAAGCTCCTCCTGCCTGTCCTTCCACACACGATGTTCGCTCCTCCTGGGCCACCTCTTCCCGCCAACCACCCCTCTCCCTCCCTTCTCGCCAAGCTCTACCTGCACGTCGCGTCCCTTTACACCTCCGCAGCAGGTCTCCTCCGGTCCCACACCGATCAATCCCGCAAGAGCAAGAGCGTCGAGTCTGTCGAGGGCGTCGAAGGGGAAGTCATCCCGGAGCTGAAGCGATATCTCCGGAAAGAATCCCTCCTGGCTAGCGCGCTAGCGCACAAGTGGCTCGGTGTGGATGCAGGGGAAAACGGGAAAGGTGCCAAAGTCGGCGAGGCGGTAGCATGGGTGAAGGAGGCCCAGTCGCGGCTGCAAGAGCTGGAAGATGGGAAGGTGCGGGAAAAGATGAAGGGGTTGAGCTTTGGAAAAGGGTCGGACAAGAAGAAGGAGGAGCGTAAGGCCAGGCAGGGAAGGGTGGATCGCGAGCTGGAAGATATCGCAGCGTGGGTGAGGGCGTATACGAGGATGAACGATACAGTGAGTCAAGGTCAGGGATCAGGCTTACTCAGGTCGCGTTCCAGCCTGTACCGCCGATATCTACCCTTACCATCCCCTCTGGTCGGCCCATCTTCGCGGCGAAACCGTTCAAGCCTTTACCGTCAAAGATGGTCAAACCAGCGGACGGGCCTAGCACGGACGACTACGCAGGCAAGGGCAGCTATTACTAGCTGGTCTGTCCCGGTCTCGCATATGCGGTCACCTTATTCTTACATTCGATTTCGATTACAATTCTTACAATACTACGATCCATTTACAGGCTCAACCCATCCACGGAGCTATAGCTACCCCTCCTCGGCCCCGCCTCACTCCCAGCCTGGCTGTCCGCCTTGGCTCGCTTTCTCATCTCCTCCTCGACCTGCACCAACCTGCCTCGCGCCTCTTCTACCGCCTTTTGTACGGGGAACAGCTCGGCACTCGCACACGCTGCTCCGCCGTATTCCTGGAACTCGACAGACTGGTCCTGCGCGGCCTGGAGGGCGAGGAGAGAGGCACGGAGCTGGAAGGACCAGTGGATATGGGACTGGTGAAGGTGGACAGCGGGGAGGGCTGGAGCTCAGCGGTGGTCTGCCAAGAGAATAGGGAGCGGGGCGACACTTACGGGAGAGATCTACTCGCTTGATCATTGCACGGTGATACGGAAGTGGCCTGAACTGACTTGTACTTCTCGCTGGTACTGATTTGACTGGGCTGATCGAGACTGCACTGATATTCACGTTGATCCAGAAGAGAGGAAGAGGTCATCGCTGGGGTGTCGAGCGCCAGCTTATATGGCCATGCCCGACAGCTATGCAGACTCACTACTGACTGGCCGTTCCGTTGCACCCTCTCCGCACGGGAGTCAAACCAAAGGAGACTCTTGGCTGAAGCATGCTTCAGAGCTCCCCTGACAGCACTCTGGCGTTTCAAAGAGATCCTTTGTACCCATCGCACAAGCTCCCCTGAATGGCAATCATCGGCTGAGACGGGTGTCATGTACAGACTGCATGGCTATCATCGTCTGTACTGTGTCTGCCCGACTCCTGCTCTCAACTTGCTAATAACGGAAATGGTCAACCTATAGCTGGAATTATCCCCGCCGCACCGCACTCCTCGATAATAGCTGAGCTGGCCTAAACGGACCTTCCACATAAGATCACCTAGAAGATACCTGAGTGGTCGCCAGCTGAGCGGAGCCGTAGGCAAGGCCACATCAGCTGGAAATCAGCTGCTGAGCATTAATTTATGGACTACTCATCATCGTTCCTACCCAATTCAGCCCAGTATAACGCACTATTCTGCCTATTATCCCTCACCATCCACCCATCCCCTCCACGCTCCTATCTACTGATGCGTCTCCTGCTCCCTGTACCGATCTCCCGCATGCTCTTCCCCTGCCTCCCCTGACCCGCCCCGTTTCCGCTACCCTTTCCACTGCTACGCCTACCGCCCAGGACCGCGATGTCCCTCCTAGTCGCTCGCCCTCTTCTCCCTCGATCCCTTCTGCTCCTTCTTGCCTCTCTGCCTGGAACCGACTTCAGCTGACCACTTCCCGCCTCCCCCTCTCCCACATCCGCCCCTTTCCCTTTTGACAGATCTCCGCCCCCTCTTACTTGCCCCCCCTCCGCTCCGCTACTCCGCCTACTCCGCCTCGATATCCGACCATCTCCCCCCCAGCTATTCCGCCCTCATCCCCTGCCGCCTCCCTGCTATCCCTCCCTCATCGCTCAAACACCCACCCGCATGCTTCGCACGGTGGGCTGCGATCGATGCTCTCCAAGAGATCACATCAGACGATGACGCCGCCCAGACACCCTTGTTCAATTCTCCCAACATGTCGCCCGTGAACTTGTCCACCAGTTCCCTTTCCTCCTTGGCGTTTAATTTGACAGGCTCCGAAGTAGGCCGAGGGTCCTGAAGGGTGGTGTAGGTCTGGCACGGTCCGAGCTGGCATAGATCTCGACATCGTAGCCGGTCTGCGGTGACTGAGCTTTTTCTCGCCTCTTCTTGATATCGCCGAGGAGACGACCACTCTCCTTGCAGACATCCCTCATCTCGTCCTTCGGGTCCAGCTTGTCCGCCCCTTTGGATTCCAGGAGCCAGCGGACCGGATGACCGCGGACCGCAGGCATCGTGGTCGTGGCCAGGTCGAAGTGGACGTTGACGAGGGGAAAGGGAAGCCGCCGGTCCGAAGTTTCCGCCCTCCAATCCGCCGAAGGCAAGAGGGAGAGGGGACCTGCGCCTGCCCGGAAGCATATATGCGACGCGGACGAAGCGTGGATGATGCCCTCGATGAGTTCCGCGCACTCAGCGATGCGATGACCGATCATGCCCACTTCGTCGACAATCCTGGCATTGCTTTGCCAGAGCTTGTCTTGTGCGCCGAAAATCGCCCCGAGTGCGACGTGTTTGAGGTTGGGTAGGATTTTGGGGGAGGGCAGGGCGCGGAGGCGGGGGAGAAGGCGGTCGAGGTTGGTCCATGCCTGGAGGGAAGCCCAGGGGAACTTGAAGCTGGGCAATACGTCAAACCCAAACCAACTCATGGGGATGCCGCCCTGTAGTAGCTCCGGGTACGAGATGGGTTCGCCGAGCCGTGGGTATTCGACGTGTAGGTAATGGGTGAGCTCGAGCAATTCCCGCTTGCTTTTGACGTGAGGATGAGCCGCTGGGCGGTCGAGATGGGATAGGAAGCCGAGGAGGTCGTCGGTGATGACGCGATCGTAGAGGGAGGGGGCCGCATACGCGTTGAAAGCCTGAAATGCTGTCAGTTCGATTATCTTCTACGAGAATCGAAAAGAGGTGGATGATGCATTGATGCGCTGACACTTACGACCGAAGTTCTCATCAAGACTGCCAGATCGTGCGCCCTGATATCGCCCCGTCCGACCGTTCCGGGCGCTCCAAGAAGTGGTAGAAGCTCATCTTTTGGGTCATGGCCCTTCTCGTCGGTATATATGAAAGCCTCCTCTTGGGTGAGCCCGGAGAGGGGTTTGGGGAGGGGTTTGATGAGATTCGGGACAATCAATGCCCAGACCTCCGAAGGGAGCTGGTCGAACGACATGCTGATGGTTGACTAAGTGAGCAGGTGTGAGTACAATGGAGGGAAGAGAATGGAGAGGTTGAGCGAAGTGGGAATGCATCAACCCAAAGGAGGCTCGAGGTGTGTGTGGAGTCCGGACGTGGCTGAATCTTAATTGTCAGTGCCCCATTTCGACCGACCCTCGGGAGAGATCGGGACTCTCACCATCTCAACGAATGCTCGCAGCCGCGGCTTGGGCATCTCCTGACGCCCGCTGACTACTTACATGGGATCCGCACTAGCATTAGTGGATCTGCGCGATATACCACACCCTCGAGCGCAGATGTCTCTGCCGGGAATTTGCTCCGCATCCCTTAGCACTCTATTTGACCCTCCCTCCTTAGTTCAGCTCGTAGCTCTACCCGGCTCCCCCGCTCTGTCCGCGCCTTCTCAGCGCAGTTCACGCAGTGATAGACATTTGGGATGGATCCAGTGGGTGTCAGGGGGTATGGTCACGAGAGGTGGGAGACAAATGAGTAGCCACACCAGCCACAGCCTCGGAGCCGCAAAGTCGGATCTGCCACGTGGCTGATCACGTTTCAAAGCGTTTCAGGTCCAGCTCCACATTCCTCGCCCCTACTTCTTCCCGTCTTCCCTCTTTCTACCTCCTATCGAGCAGGTACTAAGGTCCCTTCATCCCATTCCATTGACTCTACTCAATCAAAGTAGAAGTGTAAAGACGAGTAAATAGCATTTCGCATATATGATATACAAACAGCAGGCATAAACTACACAACGATATGGGGTACGTGTACTGAGGTTTAAAGTATACAAGAAAAGGTGAAACACCCTAAAGTGGTGGTTTTGGTAATACAAAGCTTGTCCCTCTAGCTCGCCGGCTGAATCAGCCAGTTTAGGCGTGTCGCATCGCCTAGAGCTCATCCCCCGTCTCATCCTCATCCTCGCTCACAAAGTCATAATCCTCCTGGACGCTCTCGCTCGTCGTGGTCGTCGCCGCGCCCTCGACGTCAAAGAAGGAGCTCCCATCCGAGTGGACCGAGCTCGTCTCGTCCGCATCCGGGTCGACGGCAGTGACGTGCGAGGCGGAGAGGTTCGGGGTGGCCGATCGGGGAGTCGGGAGGCGGAGGGACGAGAGCGACATGGAGTGGCTCAGATCGGGCATGATGACCGTAGAAGAGCCGAGCGAGTCGGGCTTGGTCTCGGCTTTAGGCTCAACCGTGAACCTGCTATCAGCCACAATCACCTGAAAGAGCCATAGAACTCACCTGAGCCGGAGTGGCTGGCCATAGACCACTCCACGCTCATCAAAGAACTGCCAGTACTCGACCACCTCCCCCTCGACGTCCGGCACAATCAACCCCTCCAGGCTAATCTCCATCTCGGCTCCCTCCTTGATGTCCTCCCGCTTGATCTCGACCGACGGCTTGACCGCTCCCTGGAGCTTCCCATCGACCGACTGGTGCAACAGCACGAGCTTGTCAAAGGTGAACTCTGACCCGTCGGCAAAGTGCTTGATCTTCCACGTCTTGGTGAACTCTGCGCCGACGGGAAGGACGCAGCCGGGGGCGATGGTGACGTGCCGGACCCACGAGCAGAGGTCGAGGTGCGAGACGGGTTCCTTGGTGGGCGGGGTAGGGGTGTTGTCCGATTCCGAGGCGGGCGTCGGCACTGCCGGAGCCGGCACAAACTCCCTCGCCTTCTTCTCGACCATCCGCTTGAGCCCCTCCACATCCCCCAATACCTTGTTGGTAGCCTGCTCCTTGGCCAGCATGACCGCCGCGACCGCATCCTTGGTGACCTGCACCTTGGCGAGGTTGAGCGCCGCAATGATTTCCGCCAAACTCGCCACCTTCTCCTCTGGCTTGTCCTTCTTAGCCTCCGCCTTGGCCTCCTCCGCCTTGGCCTCCTCCGCCTTTTTCGCCTCCTCCATCTTCTGCCTGCGCTTCTCCTTGAGCCTCGCAGAAATCTCGGCCAGCTTCTTGTCCGTCTCTGCCGCCTCTTGCACCCGCTTCTCCTCCTGCGCCCTCTTCTCCAGCCGGTTCGCGCGGTGCGCCCTAGCCTGGTCCGAGCTCATCCTGGCCCCAAGGCTACTCTTCGCATCCACCACCGTCGGCGTCTTGATCTTGAGCATCGCGTGGGTATCGGGGTGCGACCCAAACGGCATGCTCTCGCACTTTTCGCACAGATCAAAGTCTGGGCAGTCGGGGTGCATGCACTTGTACCGAATGCCAACGACGAGCTTTTCGCACCCGTCACAGATGATATTCTTGTGGACGGCCGGCGAGGCGGTGGCGACCCGAATGTGGTCCGACGCCTTGTGGAACTGGCCGAATGAGTGACCGGGGTGGGTCTCGCCGAGGCTGGCCGAGCATGACTGGCAGCAGTCCCAGTCGGGGCAGTTGAGGCATTTCCACCGGACACCAATGATCCCGGTGGAGCAGAGGTCGCACGTGGCCGGGTGGTGCGCGTCCGCGTCCGCCGTGACCTTGACGCGATCCTCGAGACCGCGGTGGAGCATCGCCTTGAAGGTATGGTGGGCGGGGTGGAGATCGCCGGTGTGGAGGAGGGGGAGGCAAGAACCGCATAGATCATAGTCTGGGCAGTTCTCGCACTTGTACCGCATCCCGCGGATACCGGTGAGGCAGCCGTCGCACGAGATGTGCTTGTGACGGTAGCCGCCTTTGCCTAGGGCGGACGCGGGCTTGACGGGGGCAGACTCGGTGTATGCGCCCGGAACCGACGGCTCGTCCCGGGTGACGGGCGGACCGTCAAAGGTGGTCTGGAGCTGGTTGGAGAGGTTCTGCAAGAACCCATCCAACATCGACTTGATCTCCTGTGCGGGGACGAGGGATTGTTTCTGAATAACCTCCGAGACCTTGCCGACGATGTGCTTGAGCGCGTCGTTCCGGTGCTGCCGGTGTTGTGCCCAGGGTGGGGGTGGGCGGCTGAGCACCGACTCCAAAGGGGGAAAGTGCTTGTTGTCCTCGGACCCAGCGACCCAAGCGGCGAGCTCAGCCTGGGACTGCTGGGTCCGCGCCTGCTCCTCCTTGTCCTCGGACTCGGCGTGAGCCCGGAGCGATTCTCCCGGTGTGACCTCGCCTTGAAGCTCCTCGTTGAGCACGCTCAGCTCGGCCCGACCCGCCGAGACCATCGCCTGGAGGGTCTTGACCATACCGCGCTTGTCCTCGACGCGGTCGCCCCAAAAGGCAACGCCGAGCTGGTCGTTCTCCTTTTGGCAGGTGGCGAGTTTGGCCTCGAGGGAAGCGAGGAGGGATTGGCGCTGAGTGAGGAGGTCCTCGTACGACGCCGTGTTGCGTTGGAGGTCGGCAGCCGACCGAGTGAGCATCTCGGCCCGGTGATACTTGTGGATGATATCCAGGCGGGGGTCGGACGAAAGGAGGACCGAGAACGCCAAAGCGGGGGCGTGGAACGCGTTCCGACGGAACGTCGACTGCGCAGCTTCGTACCTGATATCAGCCGAGTCGAGAACATGACTTACTCGGTGGCATCGCAGATATGCTTCTTGAACATGATCTTGGCATCAACCGTCTCGTCCGGGAAGAGCAGGACGTTCACCCAGAAGGTGTGGGTGGTGGATGGAAGGTTGAAGGCTGTGCAGATCTGGTCGTTAGCAAAGTGGCGAATGGCTGATGCGACTACGAGAGAGCGTACCTTTTGCTGGATCTCTGCGTATTGAGGAAATTTGGTGCTGTCAAAGGAGAGACGGCGAGTCTCATCCTTGAGCGTCGCCTTGATGATGAACATGGTGGCGACTGCTGACGATAAGGCAGAGTTGGGAGGGCTCAGGGCCGGGGAGGTTGTTGTGGCTTGTGGCCTGGTGGGTATGTATATTGTAGGCAGGACAAAGCAGGGGGTTGGAGTGAGGTATAAAGGAGAGATATGAGTCGAATGGTGATGGTGATGTAGAAGCGGAAGGTACGCTAGGGGGAGGCCACGCGTTGAGTGAGTGGTTGACAGCGCTTCGGTTCCGGGTATAGATTCTTACCGCTTCCGGCTATTCCGGCTGAGTGATAAGGAAGTTACGTCAGCCATTCCTCATTCCTCATTATTAATTGCTTGATCCCCCCTTTTACCGGCCCCGGGTCAGATGACCCCAACCATTCCTTGCTACCTTGACACCATACACACCCAGCTTCCCTTCAGCTAACTCGCTCCAGCTTACATGTAGTGGCGACTAGACTAGAGCCTTAGATATATAGATTCCCAGACCTACTCCCCGTGCTCGACCACTCACTATGTCGTCGAACCCACCCCCACCCTCCAGCGACAACTTTCGCCCCTCCGTCATGCGCGCCGCTTCCCTCCAGTCCTACTCGTACAAGACGCGGGCGGCTTCACAGCCCGCTGGCGAGCGTATACCAATCCCGCCCGCTACGGCTCTAGGCGCCTCGCCTGGGCGGTCCAGCCCCATTGTCGGCGGCGAGCGGTTCGGCGTGATTGGCGGTACTCGAGCACCAGGGCGGTTTGCCGGTGCGCTCGCTGCGGGGACTCAGACCCGAGCAAATAGCTTCTCCGCGGGTGAAAGTAGGGATACAAGAGTGAGTCATAAGGGAGACTGGAGCTGATGGTAGAATACACCACTCGGTCGCACGTTGTCTAGCCATACAGAGGAACACCCATCCCGAGTATCCTCGACCAGCCCCTACCCCACCTTCTCCCCCTCCGACTCGCCCTCCGGCTCCCCTCAGCCTTCGCATGCGCAACTCCCCCACTCCCCGCCTAAGGCAGGCGCAAACGTCTCCCGCTCCCGCTCCCAATCGCTCGCAGCGGGACATCGACCCGACCGGGGGTTGCTCATGCCCATGACCAACCTGGAACAGCCATTCCGGACATTCGACAAGGGCTGGGACACCTCTCCACCGGACGCGGGGAATCACTCGCCATTCTCCCGCCATCCCCCGTCGTTTGGCGAACTCGCTAATCAGCCAACACCAGCACAGCGGTTCAAGCCACACGACTTTACCCGCGGATGGGGCGTGCCCGACTCGCACGCCTTGTCCAGCTCGGTCGCGCATGCCCTCGGCAACGTCCAGACCGCTTCGGGCTTTGAGGGCGGGGGAAAGTCTGGCGCATCGTCACGGCGTCACTCGGTATCGGTCGTCGGCGGGTTTGGCAGACGGGACTTTTTCGAAGCCGGACAGGGAATGTCCATGATGTCTCCTCCGGGCAGGAGTGGATCATTACATTATACCGATGCGGAGCTTCTCCCAGATCGGCTCAACAATGCGCTGAGTCTGGAAATTGATCAGTCGAGGCGGAGAGGCGTCGAGATTGAAATGGCCAAGTCGCCGCAGGGAAGGGATATCCCGCTCGCGTCGAGTTTACCGTTCGACCGGCCGTTTGGACCTCTGGCGCATGAGGGGTCGTATGGGCTAGGCACGTCTCCCGCGCGGGGAAGACTGGCGGGGTTCCAGCCGGCGGATGGGCGCGGGCAGAGTGGGGATAGCAGGGACGGGTCGAGCTCGCGCAGCAAGTTTGCGTTTGAGGGGCAGCCGGTGGGGTCGCCCGCTCGACAGGAGGTTCGGCCTAGTCCTGGTCGTCCGCCATCCGGACCCGGCGCGATTGGTGGTCCGGCCTATGATCCTCGATTCCAGCCGCCATTCGGGACCGGTCCAGGCGGGATGTTCCGTCCTCCTTATCCACCAGGCCCCGCGTCGCCTATGGGTCAGTATCAGTACGCTCGCCCTAATTCTGGCGCATACCCCTTCTATCCTCGTCCCCCTGCGCCAATGTACCCCTCCCACACCCCCTTCTCCCCGCCCCATCAAGCCCCCTTCTCTCCCGCCCAATCTTACGCACCATCATCATACCTCGCGCCCTCACCTACATCCTCGGCTCTCCCTCTTCCCGGCTCGACATCCCCCTCCTTCTCCTCCCTGTCCCTCTCGGACCTCGGGAAGGGTCTGCCTCTCACCGCCCTCCCGCCTTCCACACCCCTCTACGTCGTCCTCTTCAAAGCCGGCCGGCGGGACGTGTACTACTGCCCCGACCCCACCCTCCTCATCTCCAACAACGACCGTGTCATTGTCGAGGCCGACCGCGGATCGGATCTCGGAACCGTCATCTTTGACCAGCTTACCCCGCTCGACGTGCGAGAATGGCAGGAACGCCAAGCGACCGCGGCGCTGCTCAGTGGTGCGAGCCAGCATATGCCACCTGGAATGGCCGTCGGCGGGATCGGCGCGGGCGCCGGGTCGGAGAGACCAGAAGCGCCAGAGGGGACTGGAGCGCGTGTCAAAGAGGGAGAATTGAAGGGTGCGGACCTGGCGCAGTTGCTGAGTGGGTGCGGACCCAGCGGGAACGCGTTTGATAGTGGGGTCGGAATGGTACAGAGGGGTCCACTCGCCAAGGAGATTATGCCAAAGCGGATCTTTGCCAAGAGTGCGCAGGGGCCAGATGAGCAGGCGTGAGTCTTTTCCTAAGGGTTAGGTGGAGAGTGCTGATGAGATAGACGGATGATTGATAAGCGACGAGACGAGTATGACGCGATGATGATTTGTCGAGAAAAGGTGATTGAGCGGGGGTTGCCGATGCAGATCGTGGATGCGGAGTATCAGTGGTGAGTTCTGGCCTTTGGAGGTAAAGGAAGGGAAAGAGCTGAAATAGTAGGGACCGCCGGAAATTGACATTCTACTTTAAAGCGGATAGAAGGGTGGACTTTAGAGAGTTAACCAAGGAGAACTTTAGGATCTTCAAGTCGAGAATCTGGATGAGTATGGTGGGGCGGGATGGTGAGTCGTTGACTTTGCTTCAGGTGGAGAAAGCTGACGAGTAGTAGATCCAAGATGAGGAACGAGCCCGAGGGGGTGGCAAAGGCTGATGATGGAATGGGGGAGGCAGTCAGCGAGCGATGAGCAGGAGCTCAGAGGAGGTATCTTGTACGGATAGTGGGGCTAGGGTTGGAGGTGTACGATACAGAACGAGGGTCTTGGTCAGTCGCCTTCTCATTTCATACTTAGTACAACAAGAGATCAGTAGATAAAGAGATTATAAGAGATAATAATTAGTTTAGTTTGCATTGCAGGGTGTATGAATAGGGCGTATCAGACGACTGGAGGAGGATAGGACAAAAAGTTGAAGTCCATGCTGATCGGTACAAGAGCTCATACGGGTACATCACGATTGACCTATACCCAGCCCCAAATGTCCCACTCCGATAGGCGGTGGTCTGTGCCCTCCCGCGCCTGCGCCCGCACCTCCCGCCCCTACTCCCGGACCACCCGACGCGCCGACTTGAGGCGTCCCACCTGCTGGCGTACCTATCACTGATGGTGTAGGGGGCTGCTGCGTCGACTTGACCGTCCGGATCTGGAACGTGCCTATGTTGTCAGCTCAATCTCATGTAAATCTCCTAGATGGAGGCCAACAGCTGAGCGGGTGAGGGAAGAGACAACGCACACTGCGGCAGACCTGAACATTCCGCTGTAACGTATGCGGCCATACCCAGACGGGCTAGTGCGCCTTGAACGAGCGCTTGGGGAAAGACGAGGTGCTATTTGTCAGCACGGTCCATACTTGAGAGGTTGAAGCTTGAGGAGGGGGTAAGATGACGTACAGCTTTGGCAGCTTCCAGATCGGCTGCGGGGCCGCGGTGAGATGAGAGGGAGGTGAGTGGTGGGAAGGCGTGTGATTGGAGTACAAAGACGCCCTGTGGTATCAGCTGAGGGATCTCATGCCAAGGGCTAGGTCCTGCCAGCTTGATGCACGTACGCGATGATTCGTTCGCAAATTATCGATCTGTTTCGAGTATACAAACAGAAACAAGTCTTTGCAGATGAACTTGATGATATCCAGATGAGAAGCCAGTGGTTGTCTAGCGACCATCAACCTGATCGTCAGCTCATACTCTCACCCCAAACGTCATAGCTCACTTCTCGGCAATATACCCCCCCACCATGAGCCCGATCCGCTCCACCCTGTCCGACCCCTCTTTATCAATCATCTCGCGTACATCCCCTTCTGCCCTCCCCTTGCCCTTTCCCCCGCCTGGTATAAGCCCTTCCGCCCGGAGCTCCTCCTCGCGGGTTATACGGCGCCGGACGACGTGTTCTGCCGATTCGCGCAGCAGGCGGACGACCTGCGGGAGGAGATAGCCCGGAAGAGCGGCGTCGAGGAGGGTCGGGGTAGGGGCCGCTAGTAGGTGAAGAGCCGAGGGGACTGTAGGGGCTGATGCGTACGCGTGTGATGTGGATGAGGGGCGGGATGACATTGTGGGTGTACGGTGAGAGAAGGTGAGGAATGCGGAGTTGGCAACCACGGCTTAAATGGGAGGATGTGATAGCTATAGGTCAAAGCCGAGGCGACGATCACTTGCGAAGCTACAGGTCCACCTCCATTCAACCTGCATCTACTACCCATCACCTAGAATGTCGGGACTATGGGGTAACATCACATCTAGCGTAGTATCACGCTTAGCCACACCCCAAGCCCCAGGCAAGCTGCAAGAACACCTCGACCCCCACAAGACCCTCTGCGACGTCCTTCATGACCTCCCTGTACGCTCCGGCTACTCGTTCAACCACGCAGCACACGGCACCCTCCTCCGGTACCTCTTCAACACAGTCTACTGCCGTGCCGAGTGGATCCCTTTTCTCTTACCCGATGACGAGCCGGTCCCTCTCCCTCGGGACGCCGAGAGCTGGGCATGGCGCGAAGGCGGGGAAGACCGGGTCTACTCGCTCAGCCAGACTCAGCGGGATGTCAATGCGCAGCGGCTAGAAGGGGGCAAGTCGCCCACTCGGCCAATACTCCGTGGGAAGGTATGCGGAAAGATGATCAAGCGGTCAGATCGGACATACACCTGCAGGTGAGTCTTAACAACGTCAGAGCTGACGACAGGACGTGCGCACTAGACTCGAGCTGCGTCCTCTGCGTAGACTGCTTCCGCGCGAGCGACCACGAAGGCCATGAGGTCCTCTTCAACCAATCCTACTCCTTCTCCTCCACCTGCGACTGCGGGGACCAGACCGCCTGGAAACCCGAGGGCGTACTAGGTTGCGCCCACCACCCCCGGAATCCTCCAGACCAACCCCCTGCCGAGCACACCCGCGACTTTCTCACCGACTATCCCAATATTCCCCCAGCCCTCATTCAATCCATATACCAAACCCTCGCAATCGTGCTCGACTACATCATCATGGCGATGCAGTTCGCGCCCCTCTCGGCGGACTTTGGGCGCTTACCGGCGGACGAAGTGGCGATGCGCAAGCCGGAGCCGACGACGGGGGTGGCGAGGTTGTCGAGGGGGAACGGACCGTGGTCGGTGGTGATATGGGGAGATGATCGGCATACAATCAAGGAGGTCACAAGGCAAATTAGGGATGCGTGCGGGATTCCATGGGAGCAGGCCGAGGAATGGGCTAGAGAAGTGGACGAATTGGTAAGTTCAGCTTTGGCCGAGCTGACTCCAGGGCCGCAAAGTCATCATCACCACGCCAGACGCCAAGCTGGCCTTTCACGTCGCGTCCATGTTTCAGCAAATAGACATTTCCGTTTGTCTCCGTCCAGCGTACGATACGTTCCGGGAAGAAGTGGCCGGCGCGCTCCTCAGCTGGGTCCTGGACATCTCGCACAGCGCCGTCGGACTCGACCAGGATCTGGTCGGCCGGCTACTCTGGCGCGCGCTCAACGAGTCCCGCCGGGAAGACACCGTCCACGGGGGCACCGGCGTCCCTGCGGACCTGTACGATCTCGCGCAAAACAAGGCGCGCCGGATCGACTGGCTTCTCATGGAAGACCCGCGGTTCTGGCGGAAAGCCAAGTTCGATCTCCGGTCCATCTACTCTCGGCTCTACTGCGTCGACTGGGAGATGAGGCGGGACCTCGCGGTGCGACTCACCCACAACTACGTCCGTCTATTCGAGCATTTTATCACGCAGGACCGGGAGCTTGATTCGGGATTGCTCTTTGGCATCTCGTACATGATCTTTGGGAACGGTCCTGCGTGCGCTTACGCCTGTCGCAAGGCCCGGCTGTTCGATATCGTCCTGGACGTCGCCCAGTCGTGGTTCACCGGCCAGGCACGCGCGGGGCAGCTCGTGATACCTCCAGAAGATGTCGACCGGAGCGACCCCCTCACTATCCGGATCGTCCCGGAGCAATTCCCCGCCTTTCGGGGAAAGAAGGGAGGGACGATCTTTGGCCATATCCGGTCCCTCCTCCGGCACAACGAAACCCAAATCCTCATCGGGTCCAATCCGGTCATGTTTAACCGGGCGTGTCAGCTCCTCGAGGTGTTTTGCGGGATGCAGTCCCAGCGGAAAGAGCGGAACGAGCACGTCGAGTTTGAGGTCGACTGGCCTCGGACATTCACGTTCCTCGGGGATCTGGCCAAGGCGTCGAAAGAGCTCGGCGAGAGTTTGCGGTATAGCGACAAGCCCCACGCTTTGCTTTCCAACATCAGCAATGTCGGGCTCAGGGTATGGAACGATATCCAGCTCAATAGCAATATCCTCGATCCGGCCAAATACTCCAAGCCACGAGGACACATCGTCCACAACCTCTTTGTCCCCGGATCAAAAACCACTTTGATCGAAAACGACATGATGGTCATTGATGCGTTTTCGTTCCATCACTACATGAACCTGCTGCTAGCGGAGGCGTACAAGGCGATGGGGATGCTGCAGTGGAGGCGGATAGAGCAGGATATGGGCGATGGGCTAGAGGTGGTGCCCGTCACCGAAGTGTCTGGCGCGCGTGGCGAGGTGGAGCTATACACTCCGACCGGTATCATCGAGGAGATTGTCTTGTACGGGACGAGAGGAGACCAGAAAGAGCTGGACAAGTTGTTGTTGATGGAGTTTCCCCTTCAAAGTGAGTTCAAGCTTGGACTTGACTAATTAGAACACGCCATTCTCTCGCATATCCGGGCAGACCTCTGGCGGAAGAACGGCGCGGGCATGCGCGGCCAAGCCCACCACTATCGCGATATCCAAAATCGCGACGCGACGATCGACCAGGAATTCTTCTTTCTCCAAGCATCCCTCTGTACCATCCGCCCCCTCACCTTCTTTTCCGCCCTCGCGGACCGGTACGGCGTCGCCGAGTTTTTCTCGCTGCACACGGATCGACCGGAGGTTTGGGATGACCCCCAGATTGAGCCGCGTCAATACGTCCAGATCCTCGAAGACTTTATGATGCTCTGCATCTCGCTCGTCACGGATCAGTCGGCCATCAACGGGTGGACGACCGACCAGTACACGCGCAAGTATATTGTGCAGGTGCTGGGGTTGGGTCCGTTGACCTTTTCGGACCTGATGAAGAAGCTGCCGGAAAAGACGACGGATGGGTCGGTCTTGCCGTTCCTGGTGGAGATGGCGGATTTCAAGGAGCCGACCGACACGGCGGCGGGATCGTACACGCTCAAATCAGAGCTCGTCGAGTCGATCGATCCCTACTGGCGTCATTACTCTCGTAATGAGCAACGTCGGGCGGTCGACCGCATCCTGGACCATCGGAAAAAGGACAAGAACGACGACACCCTCATCCTTCCCCCTCCCATCACCCACCCCAACCCCGACGGCCCATGGTACAACATCCACCACTGGATGTCGGAGCAGGTCGCGCATGAAATCATCCACTACGCGGTGGCGCACTGCGGACCCATCGCCAATCCCGAGGCATTCCCCGGTCTCGAGTATGTCCGCACAGACGAGTCTATGCCGTCTTTCGACCTCCTGCTCGACCTCGCCCTCCAGCTCATCATGCTCATCCTCTCGTACGACGCCAAAACCTTTTCCCTCTGCTCGGTCCAATCCCACCCCATCTCGGGCTCGCTCAGCACCTTCCAGAACCTCTGGCTCATGCAGACCACCGAGGCGTTCAAGCCCTACAAGGCCAAAGCCGACTACATCATGTCCATCATCGTCCAGAACGTGCCGGAAGCGTACATGCGCGAGTACCACGAGCAGGAGGCGATCCGGAAACAGGCGGAAGCGGCGATTCCCAAGCCGGACGCACGGATCGCAGCGGCCGAGCGGCAAAAGCAGATTATGAAGGACTTTGCCAAGCAGCAGGCGAGCTTTGCCGCGGCGTTGCTGGATGAGGAGGATGATATGGAGGAGGATGAAGTCGAGGCGGTCCCGGAAGAGACGTACGGGTCGTGCATTGTCTGCCAGGAGGACGTGACGCCGTCACATACCGGCGGGTTGCTGGCCTTGTTTCAGCCTAGCAGAATCATGCGGGAGGCGGTACCGGATAGGGACTGGTTCGAGGAGAGCGTGCTGGCGCCGTCGTCGCTCGACCAGGCCACCCGGTATCATCGGTACGGGCTGGAAACGACAGGCGAGCCGTTATCCACAGACGGGTACCCCGCCGCCAATCACCGGTTCGGCGTCATCGTCTCGGCCTGCTCCCATCTCATGCACGAGTCGTGCATGGCCCACTATTTCGACGCGACGCGGTATCGCCATACCCAGCAGGTCCAGCGGCACCACCCCGAAAACGCCGCGCGGTATGAATACCTCTGCCCCCTTTGCAAGAGCCTCGGCAACATGCTCGTTCCCCTCGACTCGACCGTCACGCGTCTCAAATCCCCCATCACCGCCCGCGCCGCCAGTCTTTCCGACAAGATCCGCGAGGTCTCGTCAGAGGGTCTGCTGAAAATCCGGGAATCGGCCAAGATCTGGGACCACCACGTCGAGACGGGCGAGCTCGTCCCGTGGTTCTCGGACTGCTCATTCCACACCGTCAGCCTCGACCCTACCTTCCGGCGGGAAGTCAAAACCACCGCCAAAATGATTGAGCGGTTCCGCTCCCTCGTCCGTCCCCTCTCGGAACAGAGTCAGCGGCTTCGGAATCGCAAGACGCACATGTACGTCCCGGATGATGTGATTGCGTATACGGTCTCGACGACGGAGATTGCCCTGCGTGGGCTTCCGACGACCGGGCAGAGCGTGGCGGAGCAGGTGCCAGAGACGAGCATGACCCTGATCAAAAAGTTGATTGGGTTGATGCAGCTCGAGCTGGACTTGTACTTTGGTCCCAGGTGGGATCGGACCGCTCTCCGGGTCGGGCTGTTCGCGCGCTTCCTCCCGGACTGGTATCGCGCCTCCACCCTCCCCTCCCCTTTGTTGCTGCGCAACCCCCTCGTCCTCGTCGTCGAGACCGCCGCCATCGCGCCCGACCTCCTCCAAGCCGTCATCCACATGGCCTTCTTTGCCGAGCTCACCCGTACTATGCTCGGCATCAACATGTGGATCAAGCGCTGCCTGTCCTCCCGCACCAACCCTCAACCCCGCTCCTCCCCACCCGCCGATCCCGGCCTCGCGGAAGCACTCAACCTCTTCCGCGGCCTCAAACCCATCATGCGAAATCTCCTCCGCAACAACGCCGGCCCATTCACCGATACCGAGAACGTTCTCTCGATGGTATCGGACGAGACCCTCGCCAAGATCATGTACTCGCATACCCTCCCTTTCCTCCGTCGATGCGCCATCATCTTTTACTCGGTCGCCGGCCAGTATCCCCGTACCGACCCTGCCAGCTCTGGCTGCGAGTACGCCCGCCTCCTCCACCTCCTCGGGATCCCCGAACCCGTCCCCGTCCTGTCCAACCCCCAAGCGACTGAAACACCCATCGTCGCCCGCTGGCTCAACCAATGGGCGATGCAGGGCCGCGTTGTCCCCTCGCTCGAATACCCGGGAACGTACGAGCTCCTCCGTCTCCCGCATAAATGGGAAGACATGATGAATCGGTATTCCGAAACCAAGTGCGAGACGTGCGGGACTCGACCCAACTTTCCCGCCTTGTGTCTGTTTTGCGGGGCGCTCGTCTGCCTCGCGGGCGATTGCTGTGCCGAGGGAGAACAGGGCGAGTGTAATATACACATGAGATCGTGAGTTTGGGTCAGGGCGAGCTGACGGTAGATGCGGAGCGGTCGTTGGACTCTTTGTCGATATCAAGCGCTGGCTGGTTGTGTATCTGTACGCGGGGAGCGGGAGCTTTGGGCATATGCCATACCTCGACTCGCACGGAGAGCTGGACATTTCAATGAGGTATGTCTTTGGCAAAGGAGGGGACGGGGCTGATGAGCAGACGCGGGCATCGCCAGTACATGCATGTCGGACGGATGGACGAGCTTCGCCGGACGACATGGCTGCAGCATATGATCCCGCATTTGACGGCGAGAAAGCTAGAGTTGACGTCGGATGGAGGAGGGTGGGGGAGCTTGTAGCGTTACGGCATGGAGAGTGGGGAGGGCACGACTTGTAACGATTCCTTGTAGATTAAAGTGCATGGCACGATGCGATGATGGTCTTGGTGCTGACAACTCTGACGCCGCTCACACTGGTATACTTCTGACCGGTGCCCAAGGCATACGTTTTTCTCTAACGCAATGTAGCCGGTCGCCGATGCTAGGCAAGCTAACTTACTGACGAGGTACCTGCCTTCTTTCGTGGCCGCCTCTTGGGAGACTCTGAAGAGCTGGAGTCTAGTCAAAGCATACATTTGCACCCAAAGGGGAACCTGCCGACATAAAGCAAAGACCGGTGGCCCTTTACCCGCGTCCGTACTCCCTCAAATCGACTCTTCTTCTCCTTCCAGATCGAGCATACCGCGTTCGCCGAAATCGATGATGACCCATGGGCCAGCTGTCCCGCTCCCCCGCTCAACCTTCAGGTCTTCTGCGTCCTGGGCAGGAACTTCGGAGCCCCACCCCTCTTCCTCCACAAGCGTGTAAGTCGACTCCGTAAGGGCCTCCTCTTCGAGCCGTTCTTTCTCAGCCTTCGCTGCCTCCTTGATGCGTTCCTTCTCAGCCTTCGCCTCAGCTTGGAGCCGGGATTTCTCAACCATCTTCGCCGCTTCGTCCCGGATGAAGACATCTGCGAGGCTGGACAAGGCAGCGTTGATGGACTTGTCGAACTCGTTGGTAGTTGGTGTAGATCTTCCGGAGACTGGTGTTATCAGAGCGTTTCTCCATTTCGCGCAGATTGTTCAGCGCGGGGCCACGACCCGCGTACGTCCAATTGTAGAGGAGACTTTGGTCCAGATCATTGATCATGTTGGAGAGAGCTCGACGCTGGGCCTCGCTGGGCCAGCGTGAGCTCAAGGGAGTTCGGATCCTGGACGAAGTGAAGGATGCAAGCGGCCTTGGCGGCAGCCCTTGTCATGATTTCTGATATTCCAGCGGTGGCAGCAGTCGTGGCAGCAAGTTTGCGCTGCAACTCTTCGATGGTCCCGCTGTCCCTCGGAAACAGCCCTGACGACCGAAGGGCAGACCGACCGGATCCAGAGGAGGAGTTTCCGAGGTACCGGCACATGTCAGGCAGTCCCAACGAATGATCGCACATGATGAGGTCAGGTGTGGCGATTGCCATCTCCGTCAGGAAGGGGGACATGGCGAGCGCGTGGTGATATAGGTGGGAGGGTATGATATGGAGGAGAGCGAGAGGTAAGTGGCGAATCCAGGGGAGGTGACGGCCGTGGGCTGCGGCGTGTCAATCGTTCACAGTAGAATGACAAGGAGCAGAGCAAAGCTGTGCAGCATGTGAAGGGATGTTCTCAATCCTTTAGCGCGAGGATGACACGCGTTCGGGCATCTGAGATCTAAGGATCACCTAGCTAGCTGGGCGTTGCGCAAAGGCAGCTGGGCGCGATACGGCGCCTTCAACCTTGCCGAATGTCATGGCAAGTGACCAGAACTCTCGGGCGACATACTCACAGCATATTGTCGCATGGCATTCGTTCGGCGAGGAGCAGATCAAGCAGGCCGGGAGGAAGACCATGAAGACCGTTAGAAGGAAAGCGGCAAACGGCCTTGACATGGGAAGTTGAGGCACCCGGGTGGCGGCATTGAGCCATCCGCCCGGTCCGCATTCGCCAGCACGAAGCGGTGTATGGATCAAGTTGACCGATTATACCCCTGATAGCTACGCTCATACCAAGTTCCCCGCGCTCAGAGGGACGGTGTACCTGATAGCGACGTTCAGACACGTTCAGACACGTTTCAGCATGTAAATGTTCTAAGGATCGGGTCAGATCTAGACGAGCCGAATAGCGCTGGGGCGCAACCAAGGAAGCGTCTCACGCATCATCAATCTCTCGCCACCCAGAATGACTTGCCAACTGATCTGTTCCCGAGAAGCCTATCGGAAGGCGGAACACCAAATTAGACCGCGTATGGCTTGGGGGGGGGACGAGAATCTAAGGGTGCCATTCACGAAGCCCGTCTGCATAGGGTTCAGTCCGGGTGCTCAGGTCGAGAAGTCATCCAGAAGGAAGCGTGGACAGCGCTGATACTCTGTATGTAGGTGTAACTCATCATCGTACGGATAAGCTTGATTTTTGACATCAAGAGCGTTTACCCCAAGACTACACAGGCTACTCGATCTAAGGTTTGTACAGTATTGGTCTCAGCTGGGCGGGAGCTGGTCGCGATACCAGTGCAGTCAGAGCATCGTCAATTTCTTGATCCCCTCTTGATCCTTCACCAGGAGCTCCGCCGCAGTCCTCAGCAGATGTGATGCCTGCCTCCCTCTTGTGCCAGACGCTCTGTATGAGTAGCGTCAGATTCTTCGTCAGGTCCGTTTGCCGCTCCACACTCAATGATCCGTTACTCGCTTCTGCCCGGAGGCAATCGGACAAGCTCGCGAGCTGACTGTAACCGAACGAAGTCGACTTCATCCTGGATACGATACAAGTAGCCTTGGCAAAGGCGCTTTCCGCAGCGCATTGGCGTTTGTCCGTCTCCGCGATATCTTCCACGAGCGCTGGCCAATCCTCGAGGGAGATCCGAGTTGTGCCTGCCTTGGATCGCCAGGCTTCGGCCTGCTCGTGTGGGGACTTCCCTTTGAGATTGTCATAGAAGTCGGTCAGTCTCTGGAGCCTCAGCATGTCGTTGAGCTTCGCATCGGTTGTATAGCCCTTGGGCCACACGTTCGATCTGTCGTACGCGCCTCGACCCATGCTGAAGGAGGAAATGATGTATGGAAGGAGTGGCGTCGTCTCTCCGGCAACCTATAGGACGGTGATGAGCGGATGATCAGAAGCTCGACCAAGGAAAAGCGATCCTTGCATCCGGGCCAGACGTTCCCTTCACTCACCTGGTGAGTAAGCAAGGCGTGATCACGGCGAGATGCCCAGTCCCTGAGGATAAGTATACCCTACTACGAGTCTGCCCGTCAGGTCTGCGGCTGTCAGAGCCATAAGTCAGATCTCTGTCAGCCCAGATATTGGTGTTCAGGAACCCGCAGCCTCCTGCTGATCGCACCTGCGCGCACAGCGCGGTCAAAAATGATGAGTCGGAAACGCCCATCTTGAAAGGCGAGACTGGTCAGCATGTGAGTACTGCCTTAGTGTTGGGCTAGTCTACCTACTATACGCGAGAGGCCGGCAGCTTGTTATGACAGAAGGGTCTCTAAGCCTGGAGAAGGATGATGGATGGTGTCAAAGGCTTTCCGCGAATCTTGATTTGTTTTGAGGTTACACATCAACCATGACCTAGCATGGCTTTCCTTACAGGGCACCCTCAGCGGTCCTCAACAGCCCGCCCCGCAGTCACCTACCGGCACCTGCTCTCCTCCTCCGCGCTTACCGTGCACAACCCCCTGCGCACCATCGCCCACTGCGACATTGACGCCGCCTACGCGCAATTCGAGCAGGTCCGCCTCGGTCTCCCGGACGATATCCCCCTCATTTGCGCACAATGGCAGTCCATCATCGCTGTCAACTACCCGGCGAGGAAGTTTGGGATCAAGCGCTTCAACACGATCGATGAGGCCAAGAAGATGTGCCCACATTTGACGGTCCAGCACGTTGCAACGTATCGCGATGGGGAGGCCGAGGCGGGGTACTGGGGCGAGGTGGACTCGAGGACGCATAAAGTCAGCTTGGACCCTTATAGGCGGGAGAGCTTGAAGATACTGGCAATCTTTAAAGAGATGATTTCCAAGGGAGAGATAGGTAGGTCACTGGCTGAGCTGGACTGACGAGCAGAGAAAGCGTCTATTGACGAGGCGTTCCTGGACCTCACTCCCATGGTCATCGACAAGCTACTGCTACTTCATCCTCAATTAGCAAATGTGCCGGACGACGCACCAGATGGACTGGACTCGTCTATACCTTCCCCTCCGCCCATAGACTGGACAACAGCCGGAAACGTCGTTCCGATCAACGGTGAGCAGGCGGAGAAGGAAGTTGGAGAAGACGTCGATAAGACTTCAGCGGAGCCTCCAGACACATGGGAGGACTGGGCGCTGTTCGTTGGAGCAGAGATCATGGGAGAGCTCCGAGCAGAGGTCTACAAGCAGCTTCACTATACCTGCTCGGCGGGGATTGCGCACAACAAGGCCATAGCCAAGGTGAGTCCTGCGTAGTGTGGGCGGGTACCTCAGCTGACATGCCACAGCTATGCTCCGCTTGGAAGAAGCCCAACGCTCAGACTGTCCTTCGAGCTGCAGCTACTCCAGCTTTCCTTCGGGATATGGAGTTCACCGATGTGAGCCAGCGCTCTCTACTCAGGAGGTCGAGCTGATTGCAGATCCGCATGCTTGGTGGAAAGCTGGGTACCTCCATCGCGACCGAGTTTGGCGTCAAGACTGTGGGGGATTTGCTGTAAGCGCACATAAACCCAGAAGCCAGACTCCTGCTCAACTTTCAGCACTGTTCCGTTGGAGGAGCTACAAAAGCGGTTTGGGGAAGAGTCAATCTGGGTGTATAATATCGCTCGAGTAAGCTCTAAGATGCGTCAACGTGGACCATAGCTGACTATCAGGGTATAGACCTCTCTGAAGTCACAGCTCGAGTCGCTACCAAGTCCATGCTCGCCTCCAAAAACACCCGGCCGGCCGTCACGACTCCCGAGCAAGGCCTACACTGGATCAAGATTCTCGCTGGCGAGCTTTGCGTCCGCCTGCGCGAGGCCAGGGAGGTCACACCGGGTATATGGCCCAAGACAATCGCCCTGGGATATCGGACGGGGATCGAGTCGGTCAAGCATCGCCAGATTCCGTTCCCATTCTCTCGGAATCTCAATACCGAGTATATTGTCAAATTCGCGAAGAGGCTGTGGGATGAGGTGTGTCAGCCCATGGCGAGGGGAGGGATGAAGCTGAACAACGTGAGCTAGGCCGAAGCCTTGTCGACGAAGTAGGCTGTAGCTGACGAGCAGATGTCATTGACATTTTCCGGTCTAGAGCGGATGGAGGGAGGGCAAAAAGGGATCGAGGGGTTCTTTGCTGCTGCTCCGCCTCCTACCACCTCGGAGACGCCTTCTGCTAGTATCGCCCCTTCCATGCCCACCTCGTCCAAAGCCGCCGTAATCAAGCACTCCCGGTCCCGATCGCCTATACCCACCTCCGAGACCGCTCCACCCCCGCCGAAGCGCCGACTCCCCACTCTCCACACCGGCAAGCCCAAGAACCCCCTCCACGGCTTTCTGGTCAAGAATGGCGAATCGTCCAAGCCGGCAGCTTCCCTTCCCATTTCGCAGGCTACCGACGTCATATCCCTTCTCGACGATGAGGACGAGCACGAACCGTCATCCGCATCGGGACCCCGAGCAGCGGTCGAAGACGACGGGACGAGCTGGACCTGTCCCCGCTGTTCGACCAGCCTGTCGGTCAAAGCTGGATCAGGGCAAAAGGCGCAATTGGCGGAGAAGAAGCAGGAGCACGAAGATTACCACTTTGCGCTGGACCTGCAGGAGGGAAAGAGCCCAGCAAAAGCTCGGCCGCCTGCCAAACCTGGTGCAGCCAAGGCGGTAAAGAAGGTGAAGAAGCCAGAAGGGATCAAGGCGTTCTTTGCTCCAAAGCCAGGTGGGAAGGGGGCATAGCTTCTGTTGTAGTATTAGCCATTGTTGTACAGTTTCAGTTGATGCAAGAGCGATACAGGCTACGCTACGCTACGAAACTACGGAATGCTATCTACTATGATACTACTTTACACCCTACACGGCCTGCTGCCTACACTAACGCCACTCTGCCTAACTCTTCCAGCTCGGCGACGCGCTATATCCCGCATTCCCCCATCCGGGCTTCTTGGGCGGTACAGCCGCTCCCGATCCCGACGCGGTCGCTCCATTCCCAATCCCATTTTGCCCCGCTGCGCCATTCCCATTCCTCTGCGCCTGGGCCCCATACGCCGGCGATGCTGGGCTGAACGCTGGGCTCGCCGGGCTGTAGGCGGGACTAGCGGGCGAGTACGCCGGCGAAGTAGGCGAGTATGCTGGACTAGCGGGCGAGTATGTAGGGGAGGTGGGTGTGAATTGGGGAGAGGTGGGCGAGTACCGAGGCGAAGTAGCCTGGAAGGCCGCTGGAGATGTGGGCGAGTAGACTGGAGAAGTGGGGCTGAACGCCGGGGAAGCGGGCGAGTACTTGGGCGAAGTAGGCGAGTACCGCGGCGAAGTCATACCCGCCAAAGGCGAGGTAGGGGAGTAAGCGGGCGATGCCGGAGAGTACGGCGATGCCCGAGTGGCACCGCCAGCATATGCCGGAGAAGCGGGGGAGTAGGTGGGTGATGAAGGGGAGAACGAGGGAGAGGCAGGCGAGTACTGGGGGGAGGTAGGCGAGTACTGGGGCGACGAGGGCGAGTAGGCCGGGCTCGTTCCGCCATAGCCACCACGAGGGACCCAAGGGGATGCCGCACCCGCACCCTGGAAGGGCGAAGTAGGCGAGTACGTTGGGGACGTGACGGCAAAGGGGGAGGTGGGACTGTACCCCGCAGGCGAGGACGGCGAGTACCCGCCTGGCGACGCGCCACCGTGCATGGGACTCTGTCCGTATCCCATATAGGCAAAGTTGCCACCCTCGTCGTTGTTGCTGTTCTGCATGGGCGAGAACGCAGCATTCCCGACTCCCCCCGGTCCTGGCCACATGGGCGAAAAGTTGTCGTAAGGCGTCATGTTTCCGCCCGGTGTCATCCCGCCCGCCATACCCGCCGCGAGCATGTTTTGCACCGGTAGACGATGGTCCACAATGACGTCCTTGAGCATCGTCATGTCGAGCGACACGTCGAACGCTCCGGTCCCCATTGGCGCCATCTGCCCCAACAGCACATTCTCCGCCACTCCCCGACAATCATCAATATCCCCGACCGCTGCCGCCTCGAGCAGGATCTCGACCGTCTCCTCGAACGAGCACCTCGAAAGGGCACCCGCGTCGGTCCGGTTGATACCGTGCCGAGTAATGGACATGAGCTGACCCTTGTTGCACATGAGGTCGCACAACAAGCCGAGATGACGGTAGTTGACCGACGAACCACCCGAGAGGATTTCGTACAGCTCCTTGAAGAGAGCGTTCCGTCCGGCCTCGATACCGAGGGTCGTAAACACCTCGTAACAGTTGTTGGAGTATGTCCTGACCGCGTCTACGCCGTCAACCGCGAGCGCCTCTCGCAGGTTGATACCGTCTGTCTCGAGGTACCATTCCTTGGCCTTGACAAAGAGCCCCGACTTGTCTGGCTTCATCTGATTGCCGTCCGAGATGAACACCCGCTCAATCCCCTTGATACCACTGAGCACGACCGCATCCAGCAGCGTCCCCTCAATCCGCTTCAGGAACATGTCCTCATCGCCCAGCATCTCCTCATCCTCCTCGGTATTGACAACCCGGATCCGGATGATGAGTTTCGGCGCGTTATCTTCCGAGTGGATGATAAAGACGTCCTTGCCGGCGGTGGTCGCGATGGCATTGACGATCTGCGACATTTCGTATCCTCCTTCAAGAACCTTGGCCCGGTCCAGCTCGAGACGGAGGAGCCAGGGGGAGTGGGATTCCAGCCGGATATCCTCGTCTGGGATGGCAAAGAAGGCATCGACGAAATCCTTGTCCTCCTCGATCCGGGTAGTGTCCAGATCGGGATCGTAAAAGATCTCGACCGACGACGTAATGTCCCGCAGACGCGTATAGGTGAGATGACGCATAATCTTGTGCGCATCCTCCTCGGTCTGGCTGTATTCGTCGTGAAGGTAGATATTGAGCGCCGGGGTCCGGATATTGACCGCGACGTTGATGATCTCCTTGAGACGGGGCACACCACCCGTGACCGCCTTGGAGGCGACACCGGCCAAATGGAACGTGTTGAGCGTCATTTGTGTGGCCGGCTCTCCGATAGACTGCGCCGCCAGCGTCCCCACCATCTCCGCCGGATCGACGAGGGCTCGGTTGAAGCTCTGCTCAATCTCTCCGACGACCCAGTCAAACGCCTCCCGGTTGAGATGATACTCTTCCAGGACCCGCCGTGTGGACAGCTGCGACCGGAGGAAGATCCGGAAGAGGATAGTTGCGTTGGCTTGGTGGGTCCGACTGAGCTCGTCATCCCCGCGAACGACGATGAGGCGGTCAATGAGGGCTTGACGCTGCTCAATGATGGTGATGGGGTCGAGATCCGACGCGAGTCGACGATCAATATGAAAGATTTGCTGAGAGTTTTTGATGATGCGCTGGAAGCTGACGGGGAGGGGACGACTGGCGTATCCGTCCGGGAAGATGGTGGTCCGAAGTTCCGCCCGGTCCTCCAGCAGCTGCCGGTACTCCTCATCCAGCAGCGCCTGCAGCTCGACCGATTGGGTATCGATATGAGACTGCAGCACGCCCTTGCTGAACCCTCGACCTCCGAGAACGTCGATTTTGTAGGTCGCCTCAAAGTCCTCGTGCGACGCCGACAGCGTATCGAGAGTCTGTTGTCAGCCAAGTCGGGCATCAAGCTTACCTGACTCTCCACAGCCGTCGCATCCATCCCATCTTCTCCATACAAGAACTGGATGATGTCTCCGTTCGAATTCCGCACCGTCCCATCGTATCCCACCTTCAAATCCTCCATCGCCTTGACCAGCCGCCGCTGAATGTACCCCGTCTCAGCCGTCTTGACAGCGGTATCGATCAACCCCACACGACCACCCATGGCGTGGAACCAAAACTCCTGAGGTGTCAAACCACGGAGGTAAGAGTTCTCGACGAATCCCCTCGACTCCGGCCCATAGTCATCCCGCGAGAAATGAGGGAGCGTCCGATGTCTGAACCCGAAATCGATCCGCTTTCCGTCAACCTGCTGTTGCCCGACGACACCCGCCATTTGCGAAATGTTGATGGGATTTCCCTTGGATCCCGCCTCCATCATCTGCTTGAAGTTGTTGGCCTCCTTCAACTCCGCCGCGGCGTGCACACCCGTCCATCCACGCGCCTCCTCCAGCGCGACCGTCGCGAGCTTCTCCAGCGTTTCTCGGATCGTCATTCCCGGCTTTTGCCTCATGAGATTGTTCTCCGCCTCGGTGATGAGCGCCTGCACCGACGCCTTGGCCTGAGCCATCCGGTTGGTGATCTCGTCCATCGTCTTGGGCGCGACGACGGCATCTCCAATACTGACCGAAAAGCCGTTGTGGAGGAGCCAAAAGTTGACGATTTGTTGACAGGCCGAGAAGAAGTCCCGAGCGGCAACGTGTCCGAGTTGACGAAAGATGACGTGGACGAGACCCTTCTCGGACGTTCCCGCCATACTCTTGTTGATGATCCCCCGGAGTAATTGCCCGTCGTCGATAATGACAAACTTGTCCTTTTCGTCCTCCCAATCCTCCTTCTTTGCGGGCTCGACCGAGATGTTGACGCCTTTCGGGATGCACATCGACAAGAGCTGCTTGCCCGTCCACATTGGCTTGGGCTTGAGGATCGCCGGCGGTGGGATCTGGCCATCCCAGTCCGTCACCCATAAAAAGATGTTTTGGACTTGGAACCAGTCCAGGAGATTGTCCCGCAGCGTCATTTTCCGGATACCGAGGAGCGTATCTTGCACGATGCCCATGACAGGTTTGTTTGCTTGGGGCGAGATGATCTAAAGGCTAAGCACAAGGTTCTGACGAACTTGGCAGGACAATGTACCTGTCTTGGAACCCAGGCAATCTGGCTCAACTCTGCGCGCGTTTCCTCGCTCTGTGGGACGCTGACGATCAGCGCGATCCTCCTGTCGAGATGGTGACTTACTGCAAGTTCATTTCGTCACCATCGAAATCGGCATTATAGGGGGATGTTCTGAAAGTCAGCTAGAGCTAGAAATCATTGAGGAGGCCTACACAGAGAGGTTCAGACGGAAAGCTGGTCGTCAGCTTAATTCCCTATCTTGACAGCTTCACTCACTGGAATAATTCATCAACTTGACACGATGCGACATCATGGACATTTTGTGCAAACTCGGCTGACGGTTGAAGAGGACATAACTATCGTCAGCTCGCCCAGACCTAGACTCACTCTCCATCCTTCAAATGCCGTTCGACAATCCACCCAAACTGCAGCGATACCGGCTCGGTAGTCTTGCGGTACTTCAAGTCCACCCGCTCTCCTGTATCCTTGACGACATATCGGGCACCGGGGTACGTGGCGGGACCGTTCCCGACTAGTGTTTGGAGGTAGACGATATTATAGGGTGTTACTACCGTCAGCTCTGCCCACCTCTCAACTCACCTCTTTCTGGATATGTCAAGGTCATGGCGATACTCCTCGGCACACCGACTTGATCCAGCTGTAAATTTGGGTCACCGGTAATGACGGTACGAGCTGAAAAGTCGACACGCTTCCCCATCAAGTTCCCCCGCAACCGCCCCTCCTTCCCCTTGAGACGCGCCCGGATAGCCTTGATCGGCCGACCGGATTTCTGCATGTCCTGCGGGATACCGGCGATATCATTGTCCATGTAGGTAGCGACGTGGAATTGAAGGAGGTCAAAGTGGTCGTTGATGACGGATGGGGGTACACCTTCCGCCTCGAGCCGCCGGACCGTCGCCGAGTGCTTCAAGATCTGAGCAAGCTTGTACGTCAAGTCGTCCTCGGACCGCATTGCACCGCCATCCACCGAGATCGAAGGTCGGACCGCCGCAGGAGGCACCGGAAGAACCGTGAGGATCATCCAGTCGGGACGGGCGAACTCGGCGTTGAGACCCATGATGTGGAGGTCGTCCGCCGGGATCTTCTTGAGAAGATTGTGAATCTCCCCTGGAGGGACCACCTTCTTTTCTGGATCCGCCGCCTCTTCCCCCTTCTCCGTCACCGGCTTGTACACCGAAATGAGCTTGAGAGCCTCTTTCCGCCAGAGCGGCTGAGCATGGCCACATCCCCCATGTCCCGGCTTCGCCGCCTTCTTCTGATCTCTCTGGAACTGATCCTCTGCCGTCGCGTCCCCATCCTCCTCCTCGTCCAGAACGTCCGACTCGCACACATGCTTCTTGACCGCCAATGCCCAGATCGCCTTGAGCCGGTGCTGCGCCTTGACTCGACGGACGACATTGGCTACAGCCGGATCGCGCTGGGGTCAGATCTTTCCACAACTATACTCACAATATCAACCTTGAGCTTCCCGCATGAAAAACAGATACACTCGAGGATCTTCTTGACCTTGATCATGAAGCCGGCATGAAAGACCGGGCGGGCGAGGTCAATGTAGCCAAAGTGACCAGGACATTCCGACATGCCTTCGAGACAGGTCTGACACTTGAAGTTGCGGTCGATAGCTGTAGAGTTGGCAAAGCTCAACCGACAAAAAAAGTAGACATACTGCCCATTTTGGGATCCATCAGTCCTCCAACCTTCTGCCGTTGCCCACTCTCATCCATGACTTCCGGGTGCTCGATCTTGGCCACCGCAAAGGCTTTCTGCGGGTGTCAGCGCGTGTAGCGCCAACGAATCTCCCTCATTCCTCCTGACATTCCCATACATAACGCATCATATAGAAAACACTCACAATCTCCTCTGGACTCATCACCCCAAACTGGATCTCCCGAATCTGGCGCACAGGGGCGGAAGAGTACGGGAATGTGACCGTCATTTTGGATTCCGAGTTCGAGGAGGAAGTGAGGTTGTAGTCTTGGCTAGTCCCTTCTTAGGCCTGTTTTCCCCTTTTCCCGCCTATCTGCGCCCTTGCTAACGCCTGGTACGCCGGAGAAGGTCCGAGAAGCGCGATAAGGGGGTCGGTGGCGAGACCAGAAGGCTGGATTGGTTGTTTGGGGGATAGATGGAATCCGAGAAGAGAACGTATAGGGTATCGTTACAGCCGGGAATGCGACAATCTATGGCCAGAGAGGCGCCCGAGAGGATGAAGAGTCGTACAGAACCGAGAGAGACCGAGAGAAACCGAGAAGCCTGAGGGTGGGATAGGCCGTAGGATGATTTCTCGTCCGTATCTTTGCCCTGTTTTGGGATATCGCCAAAGTTCGAATTAACGATTCGGCGATATGAAGAGTCGTCTGATTGACGACTGTGGGTAGCTTATGACCTAGCTAGTCTATATAGACTATGGATGGGTAAGGAGAAGAGAGAGAGGAGCGAGGTTGCTTGTCGCGCGATGAGTGAGTGTGCTTGCTGGTAAGTGAGTGTGGCACTTCAGGGCAAGGCACCAGCCAACCAAGGTATTTCCGGGTATTCCCGAAAGTGGCGCCAGCGACCCCTCCTTTCCAGCTTCGGATCCGAACTCCGCCACTCCCTCACCTGCCTCTTGACTCGCAGCCACAATGCACGCCGAGGTATAAGTAAGGCTCACGAGCACGACCGCTGGGCTGACCTCTGACCTTTTCTGACAGTCGCGCAATGTCAATCTCGAGCTCCACCTTCACCTCCCCGCTCGGTCCGCTTCGTCGAGGTCGGCACCACATCGTCAATCCCCAAGACCCCTCGGTACTCTCCCGTACACCCACCCCATTCGTGCTCGGTCCTATCGACCTGCTCACCCTCTACTTCATCCCAGTCGCCACGGTCCTCATCTATGAGCCGTCTTCAGATGGTACACCCCCATTCTCCCTCGACAGACTCCACACCGCTATCTCCTACCTCCTCAACTACTATCCCCACCTCTCCGGCCGGTTCCGCATTGATACCGCAGCTGGCAAGCACGTAATTGATCGTCATGGTACTGGCGCCTTGCTTCACGAAGCGACCATAGACGTCCCTCTGTCAAGCTATACAAAGGCGGGCGTCTACTCAATCCTGGACCAGCCTGGAGCTGGGAATTACCTCTTGGCGCCGTACGACTCCTCCCTGGAGGCGCTGGGCCGTGATCCCATCTTTACCGTCCAGTACACACGGTACGCGTGCGGAGGTGTCGCTCTTGGGATCAGGTGTCCCCATATCGTGACGGATGCAGATGGGTTCTTTAGGCTGGCGGGGGATTTGGCGCGGATATATAGGGGATTGGACGGGGCGGACAAGGGAAAGTTACCAGTGAGCATGGAGCCGTGTGCGAAGCCTTATCTGGCTGGCTGGGGCGACGACGAGGAGCTGGAGGAGGCAAGGAGATACCGGCCAAAAGACTTCCACATCGTTGACCCTCCGGCACCGGAACCCGCATCGACCGAACCCGCTCCCCCTGCCGCACCTCCCCTCCCTGTCCTCGGCCGCGAGCTCCCCTTCTCCTCGGCGGACCTAGCGGAAATCAAGTGCAGAGCTAGCGACCCTGATTCTCCGGACAAGCCCATATCCTCCTTCGTCGCCCTCTGCGCTTGGCTACACCAGCAAATCTACAAAGCGCGGCTCATCCTCGAAGCCAAATCCCCCTCCATCCACAAAATCGTCACTACCGACTTCCTCTCTCCTCTCAATCTTCGCGCAGCGAACCGCCTCCCTGCCCTTCCTCCCAACTACTTCCCCAACGGCGTTCTCACGCACTACACTACCGTCCCTCCCACAGACCTCGCCTCTGCACCTTTGCACCGAATCGCCGGCCATCTACAGGCGATGATGACCACCCAAGCCGTCGTCGGCGTCGAGGCGGAACGGACCGTCAAGTGGCTTGCGGCCCAGCTGAACCTCAACCTCGTCACCTTTGGGATGAAGTTTGGGCAGGGATCCTGCATGATCTCGGCGTGGAACAAGTTTGATATGTACGGAGAAGGGGCGGCGCAGTTCAAGGAGGGGGAGAAGCCGGTGTTGGTTAGCCCACCGTTCACGCCTATATCGCTCATGGATGGGCTGGCGTATGTGCTGCCGCCGCATCCGAGAGGAGGGAAAGAGGGAGATGGGGTGGTGGTGTATCTGAGTTTATTGGAGGCAGTATGGGATGTGATTGAGAAAGAAGGCCTGTTCGGCTTGTAGGGATGAAGCTGTAGGTCAGACGAGAGAGCATGGGGGATCTGCTAATCTGAAGATACTCATCATTCATATATTGCCCGTGGCTCTGGCACCGGCCTATGCAGTATCGTTAGAGCCGATGCGATTCTTTGATCGCTTCTACATACGTGTACGGGCGCGCTCCAAGCTCTCCCTAGACATGGCTGCATCCCTGCTTGTGCTCAAGGACTGCAGACGAACGAATACGACACCACTCTACGTACACAATACCTTCCGAATGCCTAAAATGCTGCCTCCCACGTCCTGCTATCTCGTACCCGAGTTGCGCAGGGGTCTAGGCAGTCAGTCAACTCATCGTGGCGCAAGTGGCGAGAAGGCAACGCCGTCATGAGCATCAGGGAAAGTCTGGACGGTGTACGTGGTGGGCAAGTCCTAACAAGTGGCCAAGTAATTAGGCGGTACAGGATTTATCGTTTATCGTTAATCGACGAGCCGGGCTTGTTGACGAGACTGAAGAGATGGGGTTGAGGATCTCAACTACTGTAGTACTCCTAGAGGTACGCGGGGGAGACAGGTGCGAGCTTCTGACACCAGGCATACAGAATCATCCACAGTCTCTCATCTATAACGAACAATTGAGATCAACACCGCTAACAGCTCACATACTCCTCTGGCTGCGCCAGCTCCATCATCATCCTCGGCCTCGTATAATGCACAGACTTGTACCGCGAGAGGCGGTGAAACGTCGAAATCTCAGACATCTTCGGGTTTTCCGGACGAGGTTGCCGTAGCGCACGACAGGGAGGACGCAGGTTTGCCCCGTCCTGACTGTCCCGAGCACCCACACCCTTCCGTTTTGCACTGCAATCTGAGCCATGAGAAAAAGTTGAAGCAAAGTGGGGACTCCTGGCACGCCTGCTCCACCGCCCGTAAGGGCTCAGTGGGAGTTGAGCTCAGCTCCCTCGGCCGGCCTTCAACCTCCCTCATCGTCGCTTCACAGTCCAAGCCAACGTCCGCAATGCCGCGCAGTGTCTCTGAAACTGCGTGATCGACAGCCGTCCACCCCGCCTTGACACGGTCATCTGCCTTGGTGCCGTTCTTGAGCCAATTGGGCGACCCCAGGCGCGTTCGGGCGGTCGAGATCCTTTTCCTGCTCGACGCTTGCAATGTGTTGTTTGGGTCCGTCTCCTTCAGGTCGCCAATCATACGGTACAGCGACCGGGATTGGTGCGGTGTCAGTGTGTCGGGGAGAGTCCCCAGAGACTCGATGAGAGCGGGAAGCTTGAACATCGATACCAGTGCGCTGTCTTGGAAGCCTTGGGAGCTGTCTGCGGCTGCGGTGCAGAGCCTGGTGCAGGAGCTGAGGGGGACCAAGGTGGAGCCGTGCTTGGACCAGTGGGCTGCTTGATCTACCTCAATCTCCATCTGTGTCTGCACGAACTGCTCTTAGAGGATTTTGACGATACCGTCAAGGGGCTCATTGAAGGAGGTAATGCGATCGTGATAAGCCGCAGTGAGCTTCTTGAGCTCTTCCTGCTTCTCAATGTAGGTCATGTTGGCGTAAGGGTTCATTGCGGCTGGGATTGTAGTGGAGGTGATGGGATTGAGAGAGCCGGGGGGTCAAGGGGAAACTTCGAGCTTTTGGACAAGCTTATGAGCTGCACGTAGACGGGCAGGACTGAGCTCTCGGATGGGTGGTGAAGGGATGAGCTACACAGCAGGACGAAAGGAGCACTCAAGCTGTGCAGAGCACAAGAAGGGCGCAATCTGCTCATACGCGCGCCATCTCCACCTGTCGACTAGAAAGGGCGAGTGCTCTATTTTGAAGCTGTGCTCAGTGCAAAAAGATCGCAATTTGTCCAAACGCGTGTCACATCGATCTTCCTTTCTCTCAAAAGCCCACCGTCAGCCCGCCGTCAGCGAGTGGGTATGAACCGTGCACGTCTTGCCCAGGGGGCCAATGCCATCATGTGCTACTGGCCTGGTACCTTCTGTCCACCGAACGCGCTGCACCGATACTATATATACAAAGAAACGTACTGATCTCGGCTGCTTGTAGGACCGCTCAGGCCCGTTTCCTCATGAAGGAGAGCGAGCCGAGATCGCTGCAAGAGCGTTTCACCGATCTCTGTGACCCGAGCGTTGAAGGTCTTCAAGCCCGTGATGAAGTCTTTGCTCACCTCGTCAGCCTTGCGCGCATGTTGGCATGTAATCGTGGTCGTAATTGATTCGGGAGAGCTCATTGTTGCCAGGTTGGTGATGAGCTGTGTAGATGTGGAGGGGAAGGGGATACAGTGGTGAAGTGATGAGGACGAGCTGCAACTCCCGGTGATCTCGCCAGTCAGATATGCTGCTGGCTCAGTTGTGTCTGCCTCTCCTGTGCATCGCCACAAGAGCCCGATCGCACAGCTTCCACAAGGGATGCACATCAAAGCTGTGCAGAACAAGGAGAGCTCGCAATCTGCTCGAATGTGTATGGGCCCTACCTGCACAGTCAAAGGGCTCCAGACGTAGCCATGCTCTGGCGCAGAATCCAGATCATGAGGGGCCGGAGGGAGATCGCATTTTACTGGTACGTGTGTCATACAGCGTTTCCTTTGATGGGATATCTGTACACCCTCGCGGTCTGGATGGCGGAAGGACGACTGCAATCAAGCCCTGAGGATAGCCAGATTCCACGGCCAATATCCCGAGATCCAGCCAGCATGCCGGCCCGGCTAGCTGCACGTGCCAGTCGCCACCCTGCTTATCTGGCGGCGCGTTGGAGACAGAATGGGCGTAGATCCGTCAATCAGCTCACGACTACGACTGTTCCCCACGAGAGGGGCTCGTACGCTTCAGTTGTTTGTGAAGCCTGATAAACGTGCTTGCGCGGGGAAGTACAGGCCTATCATGCAGACAATGTTAGGGTCCGGTTGTGGAAGCTTCACATCGACGTATACACATGGCCACTCTTGCGCAGACATAATATCAGGGAGTACTCAACGAACCAACACATCTCCTAGCACCCGCCGACTCCGCTATAATACGCAGCGTACCTCCCGTCTCAAAAACATACCCACATCAATCATCATCCGCAGCCGTCTCCGCTCCCTGCTTACCCTGCCCGCCGGCACGTCTGGCGATGGTCATCTTGCCGGCCGCCTGTGATTGCGAGAGCCCCAAGAGCTTGGCCAGGTCCGTATCATCGCCCCTGAGAGACCTGGAGACTGCGCTAGCCGAGCGGAGGGACAACTCGAGCGCCACTGCTCTCTGCCACAGCTCAGGCCGACAGCTGAAGCCCCTCGAGCAGGAAGTGCAGTTCCTTGGATACGAGCCGTCACGGTGGTCGACCGCGATGTTGGCGAGTTGGGTATCCAGGAGATCGAGACGAGATATAGTCTCCGCCATGACCATCGGGAAGAGCTTTGAACGCTCAGAGCCACCGTGTGATGAGAGCCAGGCACAAGCGGTCTCCAGCCAGGGATGGCTTTGAGGGACTTGGGTCAGCATGCGCAGATCATCTTGAGCGATCTTTCTGTTGAACAGTGCGGTGATTTGACTCTGAGCGCCTGCGATCTCACTTTCGAGCTCTCTGAACATCTCGACACTCCGGTCGTCGGCAGGCGGACAGAGAAGGGGTTGGTCGTCGTCCAGGAGCGTACTGTCCTCCCGCAGCCTTTGGATGAGCGTCTTGATTCTCCTCGAATGCTCCAGAAAGGTCTTTGCCTTGGCACGATCCATGACTGTCGTATGAACAATCTCAAACGGATCCAGCGCATCGCTGGCGTCAGACATGGTCGATGTGATCAGGGGTGATGATTCGTATGTGGCAAGCTCTTGTAAGCGAGTCAGACGGTGGAAGATCAGCGAGAGGGGACGGCGCAAGAAAGCACGAGCGGCGTCGCCCTCATGTGACATGCCGAATGGCAAAATCAGCGTGTCCATCCTTTCTGTGGTTGTGCCAGCCTGATGCCGTGCTCAAAAGGATGATGGTCGCAGTCAGCCACACATCGGCCAGCCAGGCATTCAAAGATAAGATAAGCTGACCACGTGGCTTACCGTACCGTAACCTCCGCGGGCCGCGGCGAGCGCGCCCTGGCTGCTTACAAGGATTTCCAGGGACGAATCGCGATGTCCAACGCTTGTGAGCTTGCCTCAAAGCCTCCCCTGTTGAGCTGGGGTACGGCTCAAGACCTGTCATACCTTGTCATACCGTACGCCTATGTCACCAGCTGTGTAAGCGGCCGAGACGAGCACGAGTTGGGTGATGACTCTCCCACCAACATACGCCAGGACGAGAGGAGCAGTGCGCACATTGGAGACAGACGACATCTCCCATGTTCCGTCCGCTATTACAGTGTGGTGTATTCAGCCCACCCGAATCAGCCCTAAAGGAACACTCAAGCTCCACGTTCCCGCATGGTCCGGCTCTCTTCCTCTCTTTCCACTGCACGCTGTGTCGCTGATCAAACAGGGGAGTAGCCCTCGTCCGCCCCATATCAAGCTCTACGGCCCTCGTCCCTGGAGATGACACGATCATTTCCGGCTCCCTCGAAGTGGTCATGGAATATCGAAGGAGATGTCGGGGTATATCGGTATTTGTGCAGGGTGTTTCCAGGGTGTGGATGGGCGATACGAGGGGATGGGAGGAAGATGGGATATTTGAGCGGGTGGTGCAGATCCAGAATGAGACGGAGCATGGGATGTGGTTAGAGCAGGGGAGTCAAGGGTGAGTCTCCTCCTTTTCTGTCCGTTTCTTTTTGCCTTCAAGGGAGCAGCTTATGCGCCAGCTTCTCCTTCAATCTTGTCCTTCCCGCCTCGCTCGCAACGCACGACTGCCACAAATACGGGGTCATCACATATCACCTCTACGCGCACGTCCAGGGATGTGCCAAATCCTCCAGCGGCGGCATACTCGGGGCGTTACGCGGACGCGGAGCAGCAACAGCTGAATGGCTGGATGGGGACCTCTTCGTCAAGCGAAACCTGCTCGTTCATGCCATTACGAGCCCCAATGGCGGTGTGCACCAGCTGAACCTCGAGCGGAGGGGCGAGATCCAACATTTAGGCTTGTGGGGCATCAGTGCGGTAACCGATCTGGTACGCTACGGTGCTCCGAAGTATGTCCTGCTTACTATTATCAGTGGTCAATATCTGCCGTATTCCTGCTCACAATCTCCCTGCCCACCCCTTCACCTCAAACTACCATCTTCCTCATCCGCGTCGTTTTGGCCCAGTCATACACCATTTCCTCTCCCCGCTCGCCGGACGACCCGCCAACACATCCAGAACCGACGCGGTCGATGGTGCTATACCAAACGGGTCGCACTCACGCTTCAGGCGAAAAGTTCCCGGGACATACCGTGAACAGCCTGTGGCGCGGACCGGAGGCGGGCGGATCGCGCGGAGACGGACGATGGGCAATAAAGGCGATAGTGAGGGTGCCGACACACGAAAAAGTCCGGCCTAGTACGCATGAAGGGTGAGTCAGATCCCGCTCCGACAGCGCGGCTTTCTGATCAGCAGCACGATAACGCCGATACGTGTCACACATCGGCTCGACCTACAAGTCTTCTTCTCTGTTGAGGGCGAACTCGCCGATGGGGACCCCTGCGATGGTCCCGGAGAGCTGCAAATGATGCAGGTCGGCTCGCCAATATCTATCCCTTCTTGCTGTTGCACAATACCCTCGCTCGATCTTCCGCCATGTAAGCTCGATTTGACTGATTGGATGCCAAAAGAATAAGCTGAAGTGTTGGATACGCAGAATGACGCCGAGGGCCTCAAGGAGTTTGATCAGCTATTCCAAACGCCCGCAGCGCAATTGGGGTGCATGTGCGGCTGTACGCTGGAGGAGCTTAGTGCCCCGCTGGAGCAGCGGATGCTGTCAACCGACCCCGACGATTTCTGGAGACATGAGACTGGGGATGAGGGCTCAGCGACGGAGGAGGGAGTCGTCAGCGGTTGGAAATACACCGATATGAATCCTGCCCTTTAGTCTCGTCAAGGTTAGCCTCTTGAAGCGGTGTCTCCGATCATCGTACATCCCCGCTACAATCAAGCCTGGGTCTCCGAGCTCGCGCTCGCTGCGCCACCTCCTCGTTGCTTGACCACCGGATCCCATGCCCTGATCTTTGGTACGACGGTTGAGTATGGCTTGTACGCGCCTCGTGTTCCGGTCAAGTTCTCCTTGAAGTCCTAAAATTTCGTCAGCAATTCCCCTTATATCACGTCGAGTTCAAGTCTTTCCATTCCCAAGCCAGTGTCCGTTGATTTCTCCCCACTGCGATGGCAAAAGCAAACTCACAGCAAGCCATGGTGGTCGGCTGGCATTCATGATCGGGTCGGTAGGTGGCGGGTCTTTCCTGATGTGGTGCAGCCATGAGTGCCACTCTGGAACGGCTTGCGAGGCGTTGAAATCGTCTTGCGCATAGTCTACCCAGCGTTGACGGCCTGCCACCGTCAGTATGTATTCAATTAGGCGTCGGGCCATGTCGGCAAGATCTGGGCACCTTGACATACCAGGAACCTCCTCCATGGGGTTGTTGTTCTCATAGTATCTGTTCCCCATCTGATCCGTTCCGACATGTGTCCCCATCTTCGCATCTCCGATGTACCTATCATATCAGCCCACTCCTTTTGGCGCCTCTTGACCCGCGCTCTCTTAGAGGGAGGCTCGCTCTCCCTCGGCAACGCCCAGACTCACGTCATATTTCTGAACCACTCCTTGAATCCCACCGCGCGCATGTTCTTGATTGTCCGTACGATACTCATCCTGCCCTTCTATTTTTGATGTAAGGAGTAACAGTAGCAGATGAGGATCGTCCTTGGGCGGATTGGCTGAACAGAGCTTGGGTGAGGGACGGAAGTTAATTTTAGGCTTTGGGATGGTCCGTGCGTCAGGCACGCACCAAATAGGTTTTGAAAGTTCGCCTCAGCCAACGACTTGCTGCATAGACACTATACCTCTATCTTCACCGACCATCTCTACAGCAGCATATATCATAGTCCACCATGCCCCTCTACGAGCTCTTCTGTATCGCCTCGCATAATCCCACTTCGCCGGTACGTACCACTAGGGGGAAGAGAGGGGATTGGGGAGGCAGTCCATATGAATCTGCCTGTTCTTCCTCTCCCGGACTACCAAGACTCTGCCTCAGCTGATCCTCAGGCAAACTTGCGACAACTTATCGATGGTATCGCTAGGCAAATACATTCCTCGGGCGGTGTCGTACGGGATATGAAGTCTCTGGGCGTGGGATTGACATTACCGATGCGGATGCGGGCGAACCAGCAATATCATACTCGCGGAGAGTGAGTCCGGAGTTCACTTGGACCAGACCACACTCCTCTCTGAATGATGGAGCCGAGTTGGACCATAGGCTGGGACAGTGTGCTGACTTACAGCCATTTCACCATGCTGTTCGATACATCACCACCTGTGCTCAAGCGATTAGAGGGGACATTACGCGCCGACCCACTTGTCGTCAGGTGAGCTGCGACATTCTCGATAAAGGATAACTCCAGCTGACATGTACAGGTGGACAACGTTGAAGAAGGGCGAAGCAATGTAAGCTTCCTCAATCACCTCAGAGAGTCGGATGACAGCTAACACCTTTCAGAAAGGACCTCAACCCGACACCGGACCCAACGATAAAATGGGAGCATCCCACCAACAGGTCGTACTCAGAGTACTAGCGGTCCGGATTGCTTGTCTGGAAGGATCGGGGACGAAGTGCTCTACTCGATCGAGAAGGAAAGGTGGTTGGGCTGGACCACAGGCGTAGGCACGCCGGGATCGGCCGGAACGCAAGATGTACATGCAAGGTGTAACGATCGCAGCCCCAGACAGCTACCGACTCTGAGCGATCAGCTGATATCCCCTGGACTCTGCCTTCGGACCAACTCACAAAGATCGCATCCTCCTTCCATCTTCTCTGTCTTCCTAACCAGCCCACCGGGACAGCTTTCGACTGACTCCGCTTCGCCCCGCCCAAAACAGCCGCCAAATGCTCGTGAACCACCTTGTTCCCAAGATCATGCCACGCCGAAAGCATCAGATCCTGTTCGAGCTTGTACCGCTTCTCAGCGGCGCCCAACTCTGACCGTGCTGCGTCCAGGTCCACCTGAAGTCGGGCGATTTGGGATTCGTATGATTTTTGAGCTTCCTCGAAGACAGAGTAGTCGGGCTCAGACTCTGGCGGCTGAGATGTCAGCTCGTGGCTGTGGAGCGTGGATATATTGGGCGCCTCGTAAGCTGACTCACCGCAGAAAGATCATGGCCCATTGAGCGATCTGCGTGTAGCCGTTCCACCTCCCTCCGAAGCGACTGATTCAGCTCGACGAGGTCCAGAAGCCTCTCGCTGGTCTGGGCAGATACTCCGCCCTTCGCCAACTGTGCCTTGAGATCCCTATAACGTCAGCTTATGGCTTAATATGCCCGGATAAGCTGTACCCACCCAAACTCCATCTCCCTCAGGACAGCTTTCTCGCGCTGATCAACATCGGTCGCCTGCAGGTCCACTTTCTGGTTGAGAAGCCTATACTATCAGTCGCTCCCCTTCGAGCATGACCGATTGTTGCCCGTCACGTACACTTTGATCTCCTCCAGCCGGAACCGATCCTTCTCCTTCAGACCATCAATTTGGTCGCGCATATCCCCAAGGCGCTCCTCCATCGCTCTTACGTCCTCACGGGCCGTCTGCCGAAGGGCTAGATATATCAGCTGATACTCCGCCGTTACGACACCATCTAGCTGACCTTTCAGCACATCTCGCTGGTCTATGTCCACCAGCGTCACTGTCATTATCAGCTCCCTTCCCTCCCCTACAGACTGAAGTAGACTCGCAGTCCTCCCTCGCATCCCTCAGTTCCCGCTGCACACCCTCCGCCTCCCGCCTCACCAGCTCGATCTCCTCCTCCAAACCCTTCGTCGCCCGCTCAACCTCCTCCAGCTGCATCTGCAACGCAGCAGCCATCGCAGCAGACCCTTCTCTGCCTTTTGTGATAGCGTCCAGTCTCGCTTCGAGCTGGAGGTTGTCTCGACTGGCGGAGAGATAGTCTGCTTGGTAGCGATCCCGAGATTTCTGAGCGTCCGCGAGTAACGATTCCAGCACCGAAGTCTGGGAGCTTGATCCGCCGTTGGGATCAGAAGTATGACTGGCAAGCTCGCGCTCCAATCGGCGGATCTTAAGCTTCAGGCTAAACAATCAGCTTCCATACCTCATGGGTGGTAGGTTGGTAGCTCACTCGGTCCTCGTCTCTGCCGGGCTCGTCAGAGCGTCCAGCTCAGCATCAAGACTGCCCTTCACGCCCTCGGCCTGATCACCAGCCAGAGTCTTGCCCTCGCTGTGCACACCTCCGCTCGAACCGAGCTCCATCTCCCGAGCTTTCTGCCTGTACAGCTCAAGATCCTCTTTGTCTAGCTCATGCGCCAATTCTGTTTCTGCCAACTGGATCCGGACCGCCTCGAGCTGAGCTGTGAGACCTGCAAGCTAATCTATCAGCTACTCCGCCCAGCGTCGAGATGGAGGAGTACGAAGCTCACCTCGACCGTCTGCTCCGCCGTCTGCTTCTCCAGCGCGGCGATTTGCGCTCGACTACCCTCCGTCCCTATTTTACTCTGACCAGCCCGCCGCAGCTCGCTCTCCAGGCCATTATTGATGCTCAGCAGCTGGGCATTCTCTTCTTCGAGATTCTGTCAATCAGCGTGCTGTCTTGATGTCCACAAACGTCGCCAAAATGTTAGCACGTACCTTGAGTTCCCTCCGGACGGACGCTGCATCGTCAAGCTTCTTCTTGTACTTCTCGATGACGTTCTCGCTCTTTTGCAGCTTCGCTTGCATGCCTCGGAACCTGCTATGTGAGCTTATGGTCGCCAAGCGCCAAACATCGAAGCTCACTCATCTAGCTGATCCTTCATCTTGGCTGCTTCAGCCGCTTCCTCCTCTAGATGCTCCATCGCGGTGCGCAGATCTTCCAGCTCGGAGGTCTTGCCAGAGAGGTCGTCCTGAAGCTTTGCGACTGTTTCTTCCGCTTTGAGCCTGCCGCATCAGCGCAGTATCAGAAGGGCAAGAAGACGGGCAGAGTGAACGTGCAACTCCGCTCGGAGACTAGCAGCATCACTCCCTGCCCCTTGACTGGTCCTCAGGCTGGCTGCTCCCGTCTCACGGGAAGAAGCTAATCGAGCGAGTGCGTCGTCTCTTTCAGATTTTGCCTCTTCCTGAGCTGGTCAGCTATCTCACACGGAGCTGTGATGGTCGGCTTACGAGAGTAGCAGTCATCTCGTCGACCTGGTCTGCCATGGTCTCGCACTTCAATCGTAGCTCTTCGTTCTCATGGGAAAGCCGGTCCCGCTCCGCCCGCAGCGCTCCAGGAGGAGAAGCCGGGCTTTCTTGTCAGCTTGTTACCGATATCGACCAGCCAGGCTAAGCTCACCGCATCGTCCCCTTCTTCACTGGCGAGTCCTTCCGACTCAGCCTCCCCATGATCCCTCCAGCCTCGCCCTCTGGCTCCCCCTCTTCCCCTTCGCCACTCTCCTCAGGCGGCATACTCCCCATGACCTCCTCAATAGCCTTCATAAGCTCCGCCATGTGCCCCTCCCCCAGCCCCTGGATCTTGGCTATCACCCGCTCGTTCCCTGGTGCCCAGACTGCCACGCATAGGACCATACGAGCGAGCTGGAGGAGACCAGCTGTGCCTTCTGGTGAAGAGGGGGATTTGACGATGGCGGAGAAGGGGGGTTCGAGAAGGGTGGATGCGGAGAGAGGGTGATGGGGCGGAGGGAGTGGGAAGGAGAGGAGGAGGCGATGTATACGTTTGCTAATCTGTCAGCTGATGCATCGCCTGAAGTTGGCGGGTCTAAAGAAGCTGACGTACAGAGCATTAGTCTTCAGTACCCAATTATCAGGACTGCTCGGTCCAGCTCCAGGACCTCGAGCTGGCGGGTTCTTGAAGTGCGTTGGGTCCCTAAGCGGCGTCAGCTGAGTCAGTTCGCTACACTGAGATCCCAATGTGCAGCTGCGGTACTCACACTGAGCTGAGCAGCTCCATGAACGCCCGCCCATCAGCGAGGTGGTCAAAGGAGGTGATTCGCCGAGAGGGCCTGAACGAGTTGATCCACGCTACGAGCGCTGCTTGTTCTTGGCGCGACATGATGAGGTCCAGCCTCTCCCTGGTAGCGTTCGATGCTGGCTGTGCGACGAAGTGGATAGCAAGAAGCGAGGGATAAGGTGGATGTCGAGTTGAGGAATGCGGAGGCGCATGCGGGGACCCTTTGGTTTCAGGTATTACATAATTGTGATTAGGAAATGGGCGATTATTATTACGGTACTCTATTGTTATTGTGGGCGCGAAAGGGTGACGCGACTTGCTTTCCTTTGGCTGCAACTTTTGGTTGTTCTCACATATCACTGCACAGCTTGTTCTCTTCTTGTTGCTTGACAGCTCTCCCGACCGGTCCTCTTGACCATCATGTGGGCCAAAACAAAAGCCGAGCCGCCCTCGCAGGGACAAGAACGCCCGGCCAAAAGACCCCGTCTTTCGCAGGACGACCGCGACCGGGGGCGGGATATCAAGCCCAAATCACACACTCCATTAGCGCCCGGACCTCGCCCAAAGCAGGAGAATGCACACCGGAGCATCACGTCCATGACCAAGGAGGAACAGGAGCTCATGGATACGCTCCTGTCGGGACTGGAGGCGTCCATGTTTGACGACATGTCGTCCTCCCAGCCTCAGCCTCAGCCCCCGGCTCGGTCGCAGCTGTCGCGGTCGCCGGTCAAGGCCAAGCGGACGCCGTTGAAGCCGAAGGCGGTGCGAGCGATGAGCCCCGTCAAGGCAAATATACCGCGCCCGCTTCCTTCGACCAGGCCGGCGTACGCGAAGCCAACGGCGGCGGCGGGGGTGGTCAAAGCGCAGCGCGAGCCCTGTGCGGTCAAGCTCGAGCGCCCCTCTCAGGCGGTCACGGTCAATCTTGAGCCGCCTCAGCTTAAGCTCGAGCCCGTCCAGGTCCAGGCCAGGCTCGAGCACCCTGCCTATCCCTCTCCTCCTGCTCTGGTCCCGCTAGAGAAGGATGCGAACTCAGAGAAGACGCTACTGGACGACGACGACATGTACACTTTCGATTTTGATCTTTCGGATCTGTCTGCTTTCGATGCGGATCTGCTCATGGCTCCACCCCCACCACAAGTCAGTCAGATCTTACTAGGCCATGGAGGTAGAGCTGATAGGCAGGTCCGATACCCCATACTTCATCCGGACGTACCTCCGCCTCCCGAGGGTTTTACATCCACGCCCTGGCTTCGGTGCACGGTCAGGCACATTTTCCATGGTATCCATTTTGCCGATGGTAAAGCCCCGGATGCTACCGCTCTGCTACGCGCATCCTCCTCGTCAGCCGGGGGCTCGGCTTCGAGCAAGGTGAGCTTTAGCGCGCAGGAAGATACAGCGCTGTAGCTGATATTTCAGACTCTTCTCGTCGAAAATGCCAAAACCCCGGCACTCTTAGTCGTCCACCTCAAAGAACGCTGGATCGATGTCGCCGTCCGGGTGGACGACACCGTCAACATCATCTCTCCCTCACTCCTATCTCCCATCTCGATCACCTGCAAAGACCCCTCCACCTTCCTGATCCTCCACCCCGACCTCATGTTGACCATGACGACCATCGCGAATGCCATGCCCTGTCCCCGGAAGCCGATCCTCCAGTCGCTCATCCGCGTACCTGGCCCTTCGAGCAAGGCCGTCCTCTACGGTAATCTGGGGCATGCGCTTTTACAGGGCGCTTTGCAGGATCAGGAGTTCAAGGCGGCTGTGACGGAAGAGAGGCTGGAGAAGGAGATGCAGAAGGAGCAAACGCGGATGGAAGTATGGGGGGCGGGACTGAATGTTCGGGATGTGCAGGATGAGGTGGGTGGACGGGCTGGGAAGGGGTTCGAGACGTTTGCGGACAAGTGGGTGGGGCCGGAGCCCAAAGTGAGTCAAAGCTCTTCTGGAATGATCATACACTGACTCTCAGGCCGATGGAGATCTGCACTCCATGCCAGGCGACGCCCAGTCCCTGCTCAGTATCACCGGCCTACACGAGATCGAAGAGGACGTCTGGTCCCCCAAGTGGGGCCTCAAGGGGAAAGTCGACGCCTCCGTCCAGGCGTCCATTGTCCTCGACCGAAAGATCAAGAATCCAGCCAAGGAGATCCATGTCGCCCCGCTGGAAATCAAGACGGGGAGGTCTATTGGGGTGATGAATCATCGGGCGCAGACGATGCTATATACACTGTTGATGGAGGATCGATATGGTATGTCTGCTGGCTCGAACACGATAGGGTTCTGGGAGATAGCTGACGGATGTAGGCGTACCTGTCCCCGCTGGACTGCTTTACTATTCTCAGCTCGATACTGTTTTGCGCGTCGAAGCGAGACCAGCGGAGATCCGGGCGTTGATCACAGCGCGGAACGAGCTCGCCTCGTACCTCATCAAAACGCGAAAGCTCGCGGTTGCGCCGGACGCGGTGTCAGGCGGAAGCACGCAGCCTGCGGATCTGGAGGATAGCTTCTTACCGCCTACGATCGACTCGGCGCGAGAGTGCAAGACGTGCTATGCGGTTGATACTTGCATGCTGTATCGGAAGGTGAGCTAAAAGGCGCTGACGTTCCCCCCGAGCTTGTCAGCACTAGCTAACGGGACAGACGACAGACAGAGTACCGGTAGAGGAGGACGATCCGATCGGCTCGCTATACGAGGAGAAGATGGGGCATATGACGGAGAAGGATAGCGAGTTCTTCCGGAAGTGGGAGAACTTGTTGACTGTGGAGGAGCAGGATATTGGGCGGTTGCGGAAGGAGCTGTGGACGATGGGTGCGGAAGAGCGGGAGAAGCGGGGCAGGTAAGCTAGAGTTATCAGTCCGCACGATTCGAAGTTCACACCACAGATGCTTCGGCAATATGGTCATTGACTCGTACACCAACGACGTCGGAACCTCCCTCGCCAAGATCCACCGACACACCTACACCTTCGCACGAGCGGCCTCCGTCCTCCACACCGCGACCCAGTCCGGCCGGACCAACCTCCTTTCTGGCCACATCACCCGCGGCGACCCCGTCAATATCTCCATCGAGCCCGATCTCCTCTGCCTCCAACGTGGCTTCGTCACCGAGCTCACGGCCGAGCACATCTCTATCGGCGTCACCTACACCATCGACACTGCCGCCCTTCTCAAGCGCACCGTCCACCGCGTCAAGCAGCGGGATACGAGCAGCACCGACCAGCTCATCTTCCGGATCGACAAGGACGAGATGATGTCTGGGATAGCCAAGATGAGGAACAATCTCGCCCAACTGTTCTTTGCGGGCGGGGACGAGAAGCGGCGGTCTCTCATCGTTCACGATGCGGTACCGCGCTACGACCTGTCGCGCGTGCCTATTCCCGAGGAGATCCCGGCGTCCCTCAATGAGGATCAGGTAGCGGCGATGAGCAAGGTCTTGACTGCCGAGGACTATGCGCTGATTCTTGGGATGCCGGGGACGGGCAAGACGACGACGATTGCGGAGATTATCAAGGCGCTGGTGGGGAGGGGAAAGAGCGTGTTGCTCGCGAGCTATACCCATTCGGCGGTGGATACGATTCTGATGAAGCTGGTCAACGAGAGCTTTGGGATATTGCGTTTGGGTAACATCGACAAGGTGAGCTGCGTCTGATGCAGCGGCGGCCGAATCAGCTGATATTCAGGTTCATCCCGACGTACAGCACCTCACGCTGGAAGCCATGAACAGCTCGACCTCGATGGCTCAGCTCGAAGAGCGCCTCATGGGTCCTCCAGTAGTAGCCACCACCTGTCTCTCCATCGAACAGTATGCCTTCCCTTCCTCCTTTCGCTGCATGCGCTGACTTCCAGCCCACTCTTCTTCCGCCGCAAGTTCGACTACTGCATAATCGACGAAGCCTCCCAAATCACCCTTCCGACCATCCTCGGCCCACTCCGATTCGCAGAGACCTTCGTACTCGTCGGAGACCACTACCAGCTCCCGCCCATTGTCAAGAACCACGAGGCGCGCAAGGCCGGTCTGGACGTTTCCCTCTTCAAGCTCTTGTCTGATCGACGGCCCGAAGCGGTCGTTGATCTACGGTACCAGTATCGGATGAATGAGGATATTATGAGTTTGAGCAATACGCTGGTTTATGATGGGAGGTTGCGGGTGGGGAATGAGAGGGTGGGGAGGAGGGGGTTGGTTTTGCCGATGAAGAAGGGGTGTGGCGGTCAGGAGAAGGGGTGCATGGATCCGGAGGAGTGTTGGGTGCAAAGTCTGCTGAAGGAGAGGTCAGTTTATATGCGTCTTCAGTGGTGCAGAAAGCTCATAAGCCAGTGTCAAGGCTGTCTTTGTCGATACGGACGGACTCCCCGCGGAAGAAACTCGAGTTGGTGATCTCGTCCAGAACCCGACTGAAGCTATCGTCGTCCGACAGGTGAGTTAGCCTTGTCGTATACTCGCGGCAGCCAAACTGACAGTTCAGTTTGTTCAAGCCCTGACTGGAAATGGGATCAAGGAGGAGGACATCGCCGTCATCACGCCATACAGACAACAGATCAAAGTTTTGAATGGGCTGTTCAAGGACAAGCCGAAGGTGGAGGTCATGACCGCCGACAAGTCCCAGGGGAGGGACAAGGACGTCGTCTTGATCAGCTTGGTCAGGTCGAACGAGGTCGGAAATGTGAGCAGTGACTGGAGACAGCTCGTGGTCTCAGAGTCTCAGCTGATCAGACAGGTCGGAGACCTCCTACGCGATTGGCGACGAATCAATGTCTCCTTCACCCGAGCGAAAAAGAAGCTCGTTATGTTCGGCTCGCGCAAGACGCTCGGGACGGATAAGCTGCTCGGTGACTTCTTGGCGCTCATGGAGAGGAAACAGTGGATATATACCTTGAAAAAGGGGGCGGAGGCGGTGCACCCGCTTGAGAGTGGCGTAAAGGTGGAGATGGATGAAGCGGGGCGGAAGGCGCAGAAGGAGAAGGAGAAGGGGGCGGGGAGGAAGGTGGGTAAAGTGGGAGAGGCGATTTTGGCTGGGAATCCGTTTGTCAAGGAGATTATGCGCGTGAGTCAGCTATGCACCACCGATCTACGAAGAGTGGTTAGCTGACCTTCGCAGAATGAGGCGTAGATCATCGACGACCTGTCTTTGGGCTTAATCTTGCTTGAGTCGCCCTGCTCCTTACACAGGACAATTTCTCGCCATCAAAGATTCCAGTAGATCCTGTATGAACAGTGCCCGACTTGTTGTAACTCGTAGATTACAAACATGCATGTCTTGTATACAGTAAATGGACCAGTAGAAGCCGGCGCAAACAGAAAGAGTCGAAACGATCAGATGAAGCTGGCTCCTCCGCTGCCAAGATCAGCTGGGTCCACGGCAAGGGTATTCAGCTGGAAGGCGCAAGACGTACTCGGGTAATCTTTCAATCTGATATCGGTGCTTCACAACAAACATGAGCGGTACACCCGGTACCTTCCGTATCCGGCGGCGGAGATCTCTATCGCACTGTAATAGTCAGCTAGTTGATCGTGCGGAAGGCAACGGGCGTTCGCGAGCTCACCGTAGCTACGACATAGCACTTGTGCACCGTTACTCGCTGGACGAGGCAGTCATCCGCATACGTTCCACCATCTGAAGCTGTCAGCTACCCTCGCTCACAACAAAGTACTGGATTGAACAGCTGGATATAGCCTTCTACTCACGATCGCAGTGTAGACGCTCAAAGCGAGGATCCTTCGCTATCCGCAATGCCAGCCTATACTTCGGTCCCAGCTTCTCCAGCTCGGCAAGCACACAGTCGGTGATGGTTGGTATACCTGATCGGCGTCAGCTCTCAGCTTCTCGGACAGAGTCCAAAGAGCGTACACTTAGCCATCAAGCAGTCCATCATCCCCTGTACAAGCTCAATCTTGTTCTGGATGCTGAAATTGATAAAGTTGGTATCGACCAATACCCGATATGGCGGTCCGAGGTCTGTGTTGTGCGACAAGAACAGTCTGGGAGTCAGTCATAAGTCCCCTACTCTCATGAGCGTGCTGATACGTACGATGAGGATACCTGCGCTCTGATACATCAGCTCCGACCCATGTCCACCGGCAGAGTTGATCGTCAAACGCCTGCTCAAGGAGACCGGACTTACACTTTTTTCTTCTCCTCGATCGCCTTCTCCTTCTCGGCCTTCTTGGCTGCCTTCTCTACATTCTCCTTTCTGCTTCATCAGCGCCCACTCGCCGTTAAGCCCAGAAGCGTCGCGGCTCAACGCACAATCTCGGATCACTTGGCTTGATCATTCGCTTCACCGCTGCGAACTTGCGTGTCTTGCTTGCTTTTCCCTGCAAAGTCAGGTGTGGATCTGAGCACACCGGTGACTTCTCTTGACTTACCATGGTAGCTGATGTTCTGCTCTGTTGTGAGAGTGAAGACGAGAGTCAATAGCAAGCTTGTCGCTGTTGCCACCGGCCAGAACCTTTAAAATCCTGGCTGTGAATTACGGCAACGAGGGGCTCCGAGGCGGAGTCCGGGCTTGATTCTGCAAATTCCACCTCGTCCGGGCTAAATTCTTCCGGATTTCCGGCTCGGCCAAGTGACCTTGTTGAGGCGAGCGAGAAAGCCTCCACTTGGCTCGACCGGCCACCTTCCCATCACCTTTCTTCCTATTCCGCCTACCTACTTTGACACCGTCAGCCCATCTTCTCTAGCTCCACACATCTTGCAGAGATCTGCCAGCCACGGAATACCTCAAAGAACTATGGCACCAGCAGACGACTTCGCCCCGGCCGGGTCTCAAGGGACAGGAACCAACAAACGCCCTCGTCCATCCACAGGCGCCCCGTCCGGGTCTCAAACAGGTACACCTGCCGCGCAGGGTGCGGACTACACCGCAAGCGGGCCGAGAACGAAGCGCAAGAAGCCAGATAATGGGATTGGAGGGGCGAATGAGGTGGCTCCTTCGAGAGCGGCGGGGAGGGGGCGGGGGAAGGCGGCTGCTCAAGGGGACGATAGGGATAAGGACGATGAGGGGGAGGTAGGGGATGGTGAGATTGTGACGAAGGTGAGTGAAGGATCTGTGCGATGTGTCAACGTGGGGGAGGGCGATGTGTGTGGCGCGAGGGGGTAGGTGCTCGATACAAGGGCTTGTCAGGTTGAAGGCGAGCTTGGTTCGGGCGTGATGGCGCGAACCTGCGCAGTCAGATACTTGCCCTAGTACTTTTGCTGACGCTCAGATCGACTTTAAGACCCTTCCGCCAGAAACGCTGTATCGATATCTGGAACAGCACGAGCTACTACCGAAATGGCCTATATCTCCATGGAGTGAGGAGCCAGTGACACAACGTGAGTTTAGACCCAAGGGAATCATCCACCATTTCCGCTTCCTCTTTTGTTCTCCTGATTGCTCTCGATCACCGCTAAGTCATCAGCCCACATGCTCTACGCCCCCGTACTCCGCCAAGCACCCGCTTCTCCCCCACCTACCGCCCCCACCCCCGCGGGCGAAACCGACCGCTCCACCTCCCTCGCACCCGGCCTTGATCCGAATCGCGCATCCGAAGATCCCCAAAGTGCTCTAGGCGACGGGGGAGCCGGATCCATCCTCGGCCTAGGTCCCGAAGACGAGTCCGCACCCGCACCCACCACGCGCTCGAAAACCGCGCCGGGCCGTAAAGCACCCACACCGCCTCCTGTCATTCCGGGCCCCGAGTACCGCACGCGCGTCATGACGCTGAGTGATGTGATTGCTGCGAGGGATGTGTTGGCGGAGAAGGCGAATGTTCATTGGGCGAAGGGGCTCGGAGGGGGACAAAACAAGGAGAGCGAGACTATTGTGAATTTCTTGTACAAGAATAAGGTCGGGGCAGGTGAGTTGTCCATAGCGATCCCATCTGAGACGGCGGGAAGCTGACAGCTCAGGTCGTCTCTTGAGGGTGTACAATCCCGCGTACCCGGCTTATGGCCATCATCACACCGCCTGAAATTAGGCGATCATGTCCGCTCATCACTGGAGCGAGCGGGTCGGGACCCATATTTTGTAAATTCATTACCGTTCCTTCTTGTCTAGGTGTCTATGATCCTCATGAGCGACCTAGCAGTACTGTAACTCCGCGGCCACGTCGTCGCAGGTATCGAAGCTTCCGACTAGTCGTCTACACATGCCATAGCAACAGCAAGCTGTCTCTGGCCAGTCCGTGCGTCATGAAACGTTGAGCTTCAGCCTGCAGCTGGGCGCTGGGCGCTGGCAGCTCGCCCACGAGACATTGCTCTTCTACTTGCACCGCTAGCCATCATCCACCATGTCCTCCCCCACGCCTCAACTCGGCTCACTCCAACGCCGCCTGACCGACCTGCACACATATCAGCTCCCGCGCTTACGCAGCTGTACTGGCCCGATCGGGCTGCACGGGGAACTTACAGACGAGCTTCGGCTGGACCTGGCGGGTTTACGGCGGGGGCTTGAGGTGGCCAGGGAGGAGGTGGAGATGCTGCAGGGATATGAAGAGCGAGAGGGGGGATGGAGAGTGTATGAAGAGCTGGAGAGGGAGTATAAGCGGTGAGTACTGGAAGCGACATTCACTTGCACATCTACCGTTTGCCTTCTGCTGTATTTGATCAGGCCGTTCTCTAGGCTTCAGGCCATGCATGAGACCAAGAATGAAGGCAGAGAGTTCAGCTTATATCCGTAGTGCTAGGACAGAGTATCGCTCCGCCCTCCTCTACTCCAAGTCCCGTATCTCAACCACAAAAGCGCCCATCCCCGGAAAACCCACCGCCGCGGATATGCGATATGAGCTGCAAGATCCCTCTGTGGCTGCTGCATCGTCTTCTTCGTCCGCGTCTGCGTCGGCGGGGAAAGGTCCTGAACGGTCCAACTCGACGACGTACCCACCCCGGTCTGCCGATTTTGGGCGAGGCGAGCAGGATGCTGTTCAGACCAAGACGAACGAGGTGACGGATGCGCTGAGGCGGACGTTGGGGACGATGCAGGTCGAGCTGGAGAAGAGCGTGATGAGTGTGCAGATGCTAGGTGCGTCTGTCGCTCCTCTGACACAGTTGCCATCAGCTTCTTGACAGAAGTATGGGCAATACAGGCTGACACCCCGTTAGAAGACTCTACCCGCACCCTCCGCTCCACATCGGCATTATACGATACCTACACTTCCCTCCTCACTACCTCGACCCAGCTCGTCAAGGCGCTGGAAAGAGCAGACTGGTATGACCGCCTCGTGATCGCCCTCGCGTTCCTGCTGTTTCTTCTGGTGGTCGGGTGGGTCATCAAGCGCCGAGTACTGGATAGGGTCGTTGGCGGCGTAGGGTGGTGGGTCGGCGGCAGTGCGAGATTGGTCAAGATGGGTCTTGGAGGTGGACGGGGGAAGGCGGTCAAGCAGGGGGTGAAGGTGGGGACGGCGGTGAAGGGAGAGGTAGGGAAGAAAGGTGCTGAGAGTCTAGCGAAGACAGTGAGCGGAGTGACGGGGTCGGTTCTGGCGGGGGCGTCGACAGTGACTGCTGCTGCTAGTGTGCTGAGCCGCAGCAACGAGGGGAAGATGGACACAGTAGGATCTGTGGAACCATCTCCAAGTCTGGCAGACTCCGTTGTAGCTCCCCCACCACCCTCTTCCGCATCTGCCATCTCTCCCCCAGATCCCAGTAGTAGCGCACACGACGAGTTGTAGACATATAAAAACACATAGCCCAGATTCATGCACACATCTAAATACATTTCTTGATCCAAATCACCCCCTCTCCTCCAGCTCCATTCCACCTCGGCTACGCCTACAACTGCGCCATCTGCGCCTCTTCCTTCTTGTACCCCTCCACATCCGCCCCTCCTTGCTGCACCGGGACCATCATCTCCGCCGTACTCTTCCCCAGTCCCTCCCTCGCCGCCCCCAACTCTGCAGGCGTCACCTCGGCCGGCCGTTCCCTCGCTTTCCTTAGCAGAGCCTCCACCTCGGCGAGCCGCGCCCCCACTTGTCGCTTATCCCTAAACAGCGCCTGACGCCCCATTTCCAACTTGCTCTGCTCGCGCTCGAGCATCTCTTCCATCTTTTCAAAGAGCGTAAGTTTGAGCTCGACCTTGCGTACTTGGGCAGCGACGAGCCGCGAGACGAATTGCGAGATGCGCTTGTCTTCGTGTGCGGCGAGGACGGAGGCTTTGGCCGAGGCCGCGCCGAGAGCGATGGATGCTGCGCGTTCGACCGCTGATTGAGCGGGTGCCGGTGCCGCCTCGCCGTCCTTTGCCTCGTCCCCATCAACGACCATCTCTTCCTCCCCAGTCTCCGCCTTGCCCTTCTTGACCGCCCCATCCCCATCCTCCTCCCGCTTCCGCTTCATCCCCTTGCCCAGCTCGCCCAGCGCGCTCTGTGCCGCCGCAGCCGCCACCGCGGGCCCTACCGCATTTGCCAAGAAGGCCACCACCGACATGACCGGGTTCTCCGCCCCGTCGAATGGCAAACCATTCGTTCCCGCCTGGAACCGCAGCGGTCCGAGATCCGCCGCGGCATCGCCCGAGATGTAGGGGTCCTCAATAGGCAATTGGAGGAATTTGGCGATACACTGGTCCTTCCCCCTTGTCCCTACATGCACCGACACCTTTTGCCAATCATCATCAAACATCTCCACCCCTTCCAGAAGCAGCAGCGTCTCCTGGTCTGTCCATTCGGAACCGGGACCGGCGGCCGCCTGCTTAAATGCCGCCTCGTCCAGCCGGACAAAGTCGCCAGAGAACATGGTAGACGGGAACCGGCCCGAGACGAAGCATGACGGGCACAAGGTGTACTCGCCATCCTTGAGCGAGTGGTATCGCGTCCGCGTACAGTCCGTGCCGCATGTCTCGCACGCGAAGGACTGGGGCTTGGGCGCGGCGTCGGAAGCGGCAGTGGCGGTGGCGATTTTGGTCGCGTCGTCCGAAGAGATGGATTTGGTCGACTTTTCAGTAGAGTGGTAGATGATTTTACGGAGATCGAGGTTGGAGGGGTGAGGGGTGACGCTCGTGGCGCCAGGACCGGCAGATTGGAGGGCGAGCGCACCAGTGTTGGGCTTGGTTCCCGGATGGAGGAGGTTGGAAAGTCCGCGGGGTGTATCGAGAGTGACGCGGAAATGGCCCGTGAAAGGTGGACCCAGTGCTGCTGGGCGTGTATCCGGGTCAATCTGACCATCAGCTAAACTTTCCTCTCTATAATACCGCTGACCCACCTGGTAATTGATCAAACCCCACTGCTCCAGAAACCCATGTACCCGCATGATACTCCCCACATCACCCGCCAAGTTCCGCCTGCACGCCGTGACCGTGAGATACTCGGCCGGGTTGAGGCGATACGTATTGATCATGAAATCCCGATAGTCCCTGTATATAGACGGCGTCTTGCTGCGGTTCCGAGACGAGAAGAACTCGGGGAGCGAGCGCCGCTCGATAGGGTGGATGACGGCGAAGGAGAACCAGGACGAGTAAGAGGGGATGACGAGCGCGTGCGTCTGCGAGGCGAGATAGGTCGAGGCGAGGGCGTGCAGGTCTTTGGCGCTCGGTTGGGCGGGAGCGGGAGAGTCTACGAGTCAGTGATTGGTCAAGGCGAGATTGTGTGTTTGGTCCTTCAGGCTAGATAAACACCGCCGCTTTTCTACGCTGTCTCCTGTTCTACGTCCACACTTCGCCTGCCGCCTTCCGTGGATCTACCCGCCCAATCTAGCCCTCACCAACGTCGCAATTCTCGCTCAGATAGAAACTTGCAGCTCACCTCCATTCTCGGCGTTCACATTCCCATTGCCGTTCCCATGACCACCCTCCCCTGTCCCACTCCCACTCCCCTCCCCAGTCCCATTTCCATTCTGCCCCTGCCCCTCCCCACTCCCCTCCCCCGGCCCCATATTCCCCAACTCGCCACCATACATCGGCTCCCTCTCCCTCTCTTTCCCCGGCGCCGTCGTCACATCGTGCGTCGTCACGTCCCCCGATGGCTGTTCGGGCTCAGACGTGGGGACGCGAAAGGAGATTTTGGGGGTTGACATGATTGTCGGCGCGTCAAACGGTGTTTTGCCGAGGATATCTTTCCGCTATCTTTCTCGGCGCGCTGGTATGGGGAGGGGCAGGTATGCGTGGTATGCCTGAGCGTTTTGGTGCTTGTAGCAAGGTACGTTGATTAGGGAGGTATGAAAGTCGGTTGGTTGTCTGGCTCTGGCCTGGCGGGCAAGCCATCAACAACCACGGAAGCTAATAAGGGCGGTCATCCCCGGGAGAAGGAATGTGGCGCACATATAGGGGCTCGCTAGCTGATGCATGATGCATGATGCATGACTGCGCCTTCCGTGTCGGGACAGTAAAGCTCAGAGCTCAGCACCAGCCAGGCTGATAGTATGCATGACCGCATGTCCAATTTGATCCGCCGGAGTATGCACATACCTACCAAGTCTTTAGATGCAGTAATCATGACCAGCACCGGTCCACACTCCTCAACTCTCGCCTCGAGCTTGACCTCTCCTCGACGATCATTCACTTATCCCCTCCCCCTTCCTCGTCCTCATGACCCTCCAACAGATTCTCCGTACTCGTCCCCTTCTTCCCCTTCTTCCCCTTTTTCCCCTTCCCCTTCTTTCCATCCCCTCCTCCTACCTTCTTCTCCTCCCCCTTCCCACCTCCACCTCCCCCCTCAGGCACTTCCGGCGACCGACTCGCCGCGCGTCTAATCTCCGCCCCAATCGCCGCCGCTGCCGCACTAAGGGAATTGTGCTCCCTCTCCTCTCCCTCCGTGATGGGACTCATCCCGACAGCACCATTTGAGTTGTCCACTTGACCCACGACGAGCCGCTGGCCGTCTGGCATATCTTCGTGGGCGATGGTGGAGAGCTGTTCGGCGACGATATTGCCATTGTCTATTTGGATGAGGAGGCCGTCGGTGTTTTGATCAGAGGCGGGTTTGGCGTTGGAGCCGAGGGTGGGGGTGTCGCTTCGCTGAGATGATCAGCTTGAGTTTGATTGACGCGAACCTCAATAGTCGAGCTGATAAGGGAGATGCTTACGGATGGTCTGCGCGAGAAAGCATTAATGACCTTGTTCCGCTCAATGATACCCTCTGTTCGTGTCAGCTCTTGCGCCAGACTACTGAAGCATAGCTGAACTGACTCATGATGTTCGCAGTGCCCTTCCTGACAGCCTGCTTCTTCGAGTGATTGTCCTGGAATCGGTCCGTCTCGTCAATCTTGGCTGGGTCAGCTTACGGTTTCGGCATTACTTGAAAGCTGCCAAGGTAGAAGCTCACGATCTCCTCGCCGATAATCTCCTCAATCAGATCTTCCACTAAAGTGTCAATCCTGGACAAATACCGCTCGATTCCACTCACAGCTGACAATCCCCAAAGCCCCACCGCGCTGACCCGGCGTATTGCTAATCAACAACAGATGCGCTCGACCCGTCTGGAAGTAGTCCAAGGCCTGGAAACAGTTGATACTAGGTTTCGCCTCGGGCAGAGGTAAAAGCGGGAACTTGTGCACTGGGAAGTTGTCTTCAGGGTTGTACGTGATGAGCTGTACGGTCAGCTCTTGCTCTACCGTCGTAGGGTCGAAGACAGCTGAAGTTCCAGACGTACCCTCTTGACAAGCAGCATGCCCGTAAAATTGTCTTTCTGGCCCGGCTCATGGATCGGAATCCGGGAGAAACCAGACAAGAGGATCTGGTCGATCGCTTCGTGGTCCAGGACCTTGTCCGAGGGGAGGATGAGGCAGTCGGCCATGGGAGTCATTATTTCCTGGACGTGCTTTTCGTTTAGGGACAACACGCCGTTGAGAATGGCGATCTGCAGTGTCAGCTTATCCGTCATGGAGGGTGCTGTGCCTAGTGGCAGGCTGGAACGACCACCAGTCATTCGAGCGAGGTCAGGCCTAAATCGGATCGCTTCCCCTTCCTCCTCCTAATTGTATATCGCCAAACTCACCTCGTCATCCCTAAGCGGCTCCTCCCCTTCCCTATGGAACTGCAAAAAGCTTTTGAGCTCTGCCTTCTTGTACGTATGTCCCTCATCCTTGCCGAGTATCCTGTCGAGCAGCTTGGCGATAGGGTAGGCGATAGGGAAGAAGAAGTACATCATGCCGAGCACGAATGGGGCGCAGACGCCGCCAATGGCGAGACCGTACCGGACACAAACCTGTATGTCAGCTGTGTACGCTTCCGATTGGTGGCGCTTGGCACAGCTGATGACTATAGGAGGAAGACGTACAGCTTGTGGGATGATCTCGCCAAAGATGACAATCATGGTTGTTGAAACTATGACTGCGGCCACTCCTCCCCCGAGGACGTCGTCGAGGAAGATGGGGAGTGATTCGTTGACGATCTACGTGATCAGCTAGAGTCTCCCAGGGTCGAGGGAATGCCAGCTGATTCGTAAACTGACAACGTTACTCAGAAGCAGCACGACCAACACCCAGTGTCTTCCCCTATTTAAAAGCTTCAACACCTTCGCAGCTGATTTCCGCTCGTTAGGGTTATCTGACGACTGCGAGAGCACCCTCAGATTCAGGTCGTCCGAGCCCATCAGCGCCAGAGTCAAGCTATCGTATCAGCCCATCTCCCCACTTCTCCTCCTCGATTCTCGCTTGGGCGCAGACTCACCCAGCAAACACCCCTCCAAGAAGCACCAAACACACACTGAGCACCAACTTCCACAAGAACTTGGGACTCCCCGGTGGATCTTCCGGCGCCTCCGGTTCCTTCTCTTTCGCCAACGTCGCCAGCTCTGTCAATCCCCATTGCACGTAAGCCCGTTTATCGAGGGACCGGGCGGAGGTTACGGCCGAGTTGAGGGCGGAGGGGATGAGTCGGAGGAGTTTTGATATAGATAAGAGGGTGGGGACTGCTGCGGAGGCGCGGCGGGAGCGCGCTAGGCCGAGGACGGGAGGCATGATTGTTGGTGGAGAGAGAAGTTGGAGACGAATCCCTCAGAGTCATCGCGGTCAGAGCCAGCTGGAGCCACAGCCTGGAGCATCGAAAGTCAAAGCTTGGAATTGCTTCTTTGGGAAATGACGCATACGTACGTAATTAGAAACCCACGTGCACAGTGGAGGTCCGTGTACTCAAGGACGCGTCTCTGCTCGCCTACCCGACTCTTCCTCTTTCCCTTTCCCCCTTCCCGTATGTATCCCAGCGCTTCGAAAAGCAAGCATGAGCAGCCAAAAACAGCACGTGGTACTACCAGCGACGACACTAACAATCCCCTCACTCCCCTCGCCGTCCCGCTCGAATGGCCCGCAGTCCTCAAGCCTCAAGATCCGGATCACCCCGCACCTCTCCGTCCCCTCCCCGCCGTTCGCCCAGGGAGTCAGCGGGAAGAAGGTGGAGGACTGCGTGGATGTGATAGTCGATATAGGCGGGAAGGTGGATCTGGGGCTGGAGGTGGATGAGGATGAGCTGAGATGGGCGGAAGGAAGGGAGTGGGACGTTGAAGAGAGGATCCGAGAGAGAGTGAGCGGGCTGTTTGAAGCGGTGAGTTGTCAATTCCATAGCTTGGTCAGGATCACATAGTTGATACGGAAGAATACGTCGGCTTTGGCACTATCATCAGTCTCCACACCGCCGTTCGATGCACCCCCCTCACCACAGCCCGAAGAATCCGCCTCGTCCTCGTCCTCCTCGCCTGCTCTACCTCGACCGCTCGTCCGCCTCTCGCCGCTTATAGCTAATCCCGCTCACTCACACCTGCTCAAGACACTCACTACTACCGGTCGACCTCAAGCTACGCTTACTCGCTTCGATATCAAGTTGGAATGGGTGACTTCTGGAAGGAAGCAGAAGCAGAGGGGGGACGATGAGGATGGGGAGGGAGAGAAGGAAAGTCAGAGTCAGAGTCAAAGTCAAAGTCAGGAGGGCAGAGGCGCAGAGGTGGATGGGGATGGTGATGGTGAGGAATGGTGGGTCACCGACGAGGCCGGTACTGCAGGGAGGATGGGGTTGGACCTCATCATGAGTGATGTCGAGGAGAGTATCGGCGGAGGGCGGGAAGACAGGGAAGCTGGAGAGCAGCTGGGGCTGCCGAAGTGGGTAGAAACGCAATTGAAGAGTGGAATACACAAGGTCATGCGGACGCACATGATTAGGTCAGTTAACTTGTCCTCTCCTAAATACAGGAAATGACAGCTGACAGGACAGGCGTTTCCCATTACTCTTCGATTCGGCTTTGATCCAAGTAAGCTTGCTCCGTCCTGTCGGCCTCTGAGCTTCTCCACAGGTTCACACTGGTGAGTGACCGCTGACATCCCAGCACGCCCCCTCCCTCACCCTGCACCGCTCCCTCACCTCCTCCATCACCCACTTCCTCCACCTCTCCTCCACACACCACACCTCCCTCCTCCAGCCCGGGCGCAACCTCCTCCGCTCCATCGCCCAAGAACAAGAGACATTTCTCACTCTCAACGTGGACGCCGCCGCTGGTATACGGGGTGTGGCCATCCCGAAACCCGCGGGAGCTGGTCGTAGAGGCAAACGACGTAAAATCGGGGCCGCCGGAGACGGAAATGAGGAGGAAGGGGTTGGAGCGGATGACACGAAAGCGGGAAGATCTCGTGCGTATTTGGATCAAGTGCACAAGGGGGTGATGGCGGAAGATAAAGGGCCGAGGGCGGATGAGAGACGGATAGGGCGGCTGGTAGGGGAGGCGATGGGGAGGGTGGGGAAGGCCAAGTGGGACATGGGGAGGAAAGGGGCCGGACGGATGGCGGCTTTTAGAGTACCGGTGAGCTGATCCACTATCTTTTTTTCAGGAAAGACGTGAGCTGACTTGATAGTTGAAAGACGTTGATCCTGCACAACAAGCGATACCTACCGAAGACGATCCCTCGGGAGGTCTGCCAGCCATCTTCGACCGCCCTGATGATTCCCTCGAGCCAGACGATGCGCCCGAAGATGCGTTTCAGTCGTACATCGACCCTTCCCCTTTTATCGGGCTCTTACACGACGCCGACGGGGAAGAAGCGGACCCGGACCCGGAGGACAGAGACAGCCAGATCCTCCTGGATGACTGGGACGATATCTTTGATCCGGACTCGAACCCTGCACAATCGTACTCGGGCGAAATCGATATCATGCCGGACATCCAGGATAGTCTGTCCTCTACCGAGCTCGAGCTCGAGCAAGACGCGAGTCTCCGCGCATTACATCCGGAGTTCGGCTCCCAGCGCAATGAGGACGAGGACAACAACGAGCTCATCTTTGAGGATGAGCATCTTTCGGGGCGGGCGATACTACCCCATTGGTATGAGGACGACAACGACGGCGGCGGCGGTGGCGGTAGCGGTGGCGGGGCCGAAGGCATCATGGACGTGTGGGAGGAAGAGACAGAGGAGGGGGGGATGATGATCCTGGACGGCGACCTTCTCATCGATATCTGAGTACCAGCCGAGGACACGGATGAAGACAGGGGATCCGCGACACCTAGTGATAGTATCATCCTTGCTTTTGCCCTTTCGCGTCTCATCCTCACCTTCTCGCCATGTACTCGCTTCAACTATGCATCTTCCCCATCGGCAGCTCCACTGTGGCAAGGTATGAGGAGCTTCGATCGCTCCATTCCCGCCAAGCCCAAGCTCCTGTACCGCACCATATGCATCCTTCTTCCCGCCGCGCCACCCCGAGCGACGCGCAGATAAGAGATCAGATCGGCCGGTTCCTGGTTCCTGAAAATCAAGATTCAACTTCGGCTTACCTTTTTGCCTTTCATCTCTTGCAGTCAGCCAGTCAATCAGTCAGTCAGTCTTGTGTCACAGTACATAGCGGGAACAGAGGCTTCGACACGACCTTACGACCAGACGAGGACTCGGGAAAAGAGCTGTACATATATTGATGTATTTTCTGGTGGCGGGACGTTTGAGCTTTGCGCTAGAGAGGTCAAGAGCGGTGCGTTGCGTTTCATTCGAAACATCTACCCCTGCGCCTGCTCCAAAGGTGCTTTTGACGCGCTGTAGGGTTCAGTGCCGTAGCTATTGTATTTAGCAAAGGAGCTGATGAGCCTAGACATCGGATTCTACGGTCAAGTCGAAGCTGTAGACCACCTACGGACCATCGGGGACGAGCACGGGCCAAAAACACGCGGCGGCCTTTCGCTGCATCGTTCAGCCGGGAAGCGAAGAGGAGCTTCGGAATCGACTGCAGCTATCTAAAGTGAGTGCTCTGCTACCTATCCTACGGGGAGCTATAGGGTCTGCTTGGCGGAGGTGGAAGTGGTCGATCGGGCCAAAGCTCAAAGGCGCACCCTTTGCTCGTTTCACACTTCGGCCTCACTACCTGGGATGCTGGCCAGACCAGGCCCGCTCCACATGTCTCCTTTGTGAGAGCCTACCAAAGTGCAGCTTCCACGCGGAAGGTCTCGCTTCTCAGTGTCCTCCCCCCTCGTCGGGTCTCTCATCCCCGCCCAACCGCAAGCTGACACCCAGATCCCGCCAAAATGGGCCTCTTCAGCCGATTCCGCCAGCCTTCAAATCCAACTTCCTCCTCCTCTTCTCGGCAACATGATCGACCCAGCACCCCTAGTTCCTCCCAGTCCCCTCTCGACGCACCCTCTCGACCATCCACCTCCCTCGGCCGCTCCTTCTCCCGGCTCGACCTCGAAGATACAGCGCCCACGCCCCGGCCGAAAGAGAAGGAGAAGGAGCGGGAACGCAAGTTTGGGTGGAAGGGGAAGAGTAAAGCCGATGTGGGCGGGCGGCCATATGAGGAGTATCATCCGCGAGCAGAGTCGCCCGTTCCTCCCAGTCGAGTGATGGGGGCTATCCACGGCTCGGGGTCGGGAACGTCGATGTCGGAAAGGCGGAACGTCAGCGAAAGTGGGAATGCGGAGAAGAGGATAACGGCCATCTTTACCCCTTCTCCCTCTGCCTCTGGGGTCCCAGGAAATGGGAATTATGATCGGAATGGCCCTCGGAGCTCTACGCCTTCATACGAACGCCCAAATCAAAACCCCGGATCACCCATCTCGCCCCGGTCGGACAGAACGGTACATTCCAATTCTACCGAAAGGGCGCGGTCTAGACCCATGTCGGACGAGTTTGCGAAGGATGGCGGAGTGCTCGGGCGGTTGACATTCGAGAAGCCGCTAGCTGCTTCTACGAGTATTGGAGATGCGGGCGGCTCCCCGAGGAAAGATAGGAAGATGAGGGAGAAGGTGCCGAGTTGGTTAGCCGGGAGCGGGAGCGAAGATAATCTGCCCATGGTGCTAGGGGATAGGAGTGGCAGAGGGGCAGACGGACCACCGAGCGCGTACGTCCCACCGAGCGTGTCGGCGCCAGCGGGCATGTCGGGCCTGTATGACCGGGAACTACCGCCCCCACCTGTTCCGAGTCCGCCCCAAAAGCAGCAGCGCGCGGCGCACCTCGACGAACCGCAGAACCCGCAGCAATCGCAGCAACAACGATTCCCGCCGGTCCCGCAGCGGAAGGCGTCGATCGGGCAGCTACCTCATGTGGCTATCCCGCCCCGAAACGAGTCGGCTATCGCGGACGATGACCAGGAGATGGTGGGTGAGGACCTGAGTGCAAAACGGACACGATTTTGGGTAGGGAGGGGACGTCGGGCGTCAAGAGGAGATGAGCTCGACCAGGCCACTTCTGGGTCTAGAGTGAGTCTTGGGTGTTTTGAGGTAGTGGACAGTGCTGATCCACAGCCGACCTCACCTACCCCTCGAAAAGCATCCCAAGTCGCCAACCGGCCCCCAGTCTCGCCCACACCCCGTAATTCCTCCCTCCCACCCAGATCCTACCCTACCTCGCCCACTCGCTCGCCTGTCGTCTCCGACCCTCCCCTCCCCCTTCCTCGAGCCAACGCTCCGCCGCCTAATCTCCGCCGCCCGTCTTCGTCCTTCTTCAGCAATCCTTTTGCCCGGACCACATCCCGCCAGTCCATCTTTACCGATATCGACGTGCAGCCCGCACAGGACGATGGGAGCTTCCAGCTCAAATCCTTCAGGCACGTCTCGGGAATGTCGGAGGTGGACAAGGTGTCTTCTCCTGTAGAAGCACCGGGGCGCGGTGGACGCAACACGTCAGTTCTCGGACTGACGGACACATCCACCGTCTCCAGCCCAATCGCCATGGACTCGGAAGACAAGTGGGATCCCGTACCGCCCGTTCGGCCCGCTATGCTCTCCCGACCCTCGTCGTCCGCTTCTGTACGGACGTTCGATTCGGCCGACTCGCCCAAAGTATCCGTCGCGGCCTTCAAGAAGGGGATTCGGCGACCCAGCGAGAGTTTCCCCGAAGGAAGCAAGACGGCGCTGGACGATGACGACGATGTGCCCCTTGGCGTACTCAACAACAAAGGCTTCGCAAGAGCCCAATCGTCCTTGTCGCTCTCGGACCAGGCGGATGTGCCGCGCCCCTCCCCCAAGCTCATGCCCATGCCGCCGGCTCTGGAGATCAATAAACCGATGCCGAAACCGTACCTTACGCCCAGCCCGCGCGTGGCTCAGCTATCTCAACCGTCATCGAGGGAGGCGTCGCCGAACCCGTCTCACCACCTGAGTGTGGGCAACGGTAACGGGAATGTCAATAGCGGTGGAGGAAGCAGAGGCGGTCATCAGCGGAATGGAGGCGGATCGGGCGGATTTGTAGTGCGCAGTGCGCAGAGCTCGCGGAGTAACGTGTCGATCGAGAGTCAGCGCGGTGCTGGCTCGCCCAAGGTGGATAGCTCGAGGGCGGCGAGTCCGCTCGGCGAGGAGAGGGAGGAGGTGATTTATTCTCCGGTCGGTCTGGCGGGACTGGGACCTCCAAACGGAGGGGACTACTTTGGCTTGAAGACCAATACGGCGGTATTGCCATCCTCGGGCAGCCTTGCCTCGCCATCGGTCGTATCAGAGCGAAACGCCAGTGTTCCCGTTGCTACCCCTTCCCACCAGTCCAAGCCGTTCATCAAAGACAGCTCGCCCGTCAAACTCGACGACGGGCCGGGGCTACACGATCTCATCCTCCCCCCTCGGCCCTCCGAGCTGCCCGATGCGCCGCCACATCCGCAATCTCCCCTCCCCCGCTCGACATCAGGCCAGGTCTCCCCCATTGCTCGGCCCACCGACTTCTCTCGCCGGATATCCAGCTTCCTCGCTCCCTCCCCGACCGCCACCACTGGCGGAATATTCGCGAAAGCGCAAGAAGATGCGAAGGAGGATGGTTTCGACCCTGCGCTGGTCGTCCAGTCACTGGCGGCATTCACGGACGAGCCTGCCCCGCTGCCTCGAACTGGACGGCCGAGTCTGCAGGACCGGCTCGGCAAGGCTGCGGGGCTGGTCAAGCCTGCTGGCGGGATGGAGCAGGAGGATCGCGCAAAGGGCGTCAAGTCGCCAGAGAGCGATACGACCGTCACTGCTTCTTCTGATCTCAATCGGCCAACGAGCAGCTTTATCAAGCCGAGTGGTAATGCGAAGGCAAAGAAGGCAAAGGCAAGAACGGCTACAGCTGCGCGCGGAAGAACGGGGAAGAAGGACGGGTGGTCATCCAGCGAGTCGGACGAGGATGAGGAAGAAGAGGAGGATGGAGAGGAGGACGATAAGACTGTCGAGGGGGCGCATTCGTCGATCAAAGTGGCTGGAGTGCGATCGCCGACTTCTCCCGCTCTCGCTCACGCGGCACTCCCCACTCCTACCTCGACCCTCCCCGCCTCATCCGCAGCGGGCGCGTCGCTGCCGGCCCTACCTGCCATCACCTCCCAGCCGAAGCCGGTCGACCTGGCCTCAGAGGCCGACTCGGACTCGTCAAGCGAGGAGGAGACACTCGCTACTGTGCGCGCGAGAGCTTCTCGGTCCGCCCTCAACGCGGACTATCGCGCTGGAGCGCAAGCCGCACCAGCGCCTGGTCCACCTCAGGGATCAAGAGGTGTTCGATCGCCCAGCAGCCCTAATCTCAGTCTGCCGCCCCCGTCGAGCTTTACAAAATCCCACTCTTCATATCGGATCGTCACGCCTACACCTACGCGCTCTAGCCCACTCTCGCCTAAGAAGACCGGTAAGCCCCTCGAGCTCGGATCGGGGCAGCCTAAAAAGACACTCTCGCCACCGCCTCTGGGCCCGCCGTCGCGCAGGAGCCCGCTTAGCCAGTCTTTGTCGTCTACCCAGCTCAAGCGGGATGCGGAGGCCGAGACGGACGAGGATGGGCATGGGGAGCTGTCGCCTCCTCGGTCGAGTACGACGGCGTCAGCGTCAGCTTCCGCTTCGGCTGTACGCACCGCTTCGCCCGCGTCGAGTCAGAGCGGGTTGACGGGGGATAGCATGCTCCAGCCTGTCACGCCGAGGGAGAGCTCGGTAGGGCCGTCGATCAAAGGGAAGGAGAGGATGGGCTCGAAAGGTCAAGACCGGAACACGGGTCATGGGCGTACCACTAGCCGGGACTCGTCTCAACCTGTAAGCGGCCAAAAAATTTCTAATTACCATGAGATAGAGCTGATAAGTTAGTCAAACGGACCGATCAGCTCAAGCACGTCCATGGCGTCCATGTCGCCATCGACAGAAGAGCGGCAGCGGCGATTCTCGCAAACGTCCATGCCGACTCTGGCACCTCAGCTAGCACCTGCCGCCCAGGCATACCCGCCCAATATGGACCCGGCTATGATACGGTGAGTGGCCGATTCCTTTGATTACAGCTTCAAGGGGCTACAGCTGACATGTTCAGTAATATGATGAAGCAGCAATGGCAAGCCCAGTTCGTCGCTGCCGCGTATCAAGCGGCCGAGGAAGAATGGGAGCGCGCGTCCTCTATCGGCGGGATCGCAGGGAGCGAGTCTGGCCAGGCGTCCTCGGGATACCCTAGCTTCTCTCAGCAAGGCGGAATGGGGATGCCTCAGATGGGCATGCCGATGCCGCCCATGCCATATGGATACGGGTATGGCATGCCCCCGTACATGTCCCCTCAGGGGTACGGTATGCCGCCAGGGCAGGGGATGGGGTCGTTCCCCTCGTTCCAGCTCTTCCCGCAGGGTCAACTCGGACAGGGCGGTACCCAAGGTCCGGGACAGGGACAGGGGATGTACAGCTACGCCCCGGGTGCCCAGTCGGTCTATGGCGGCAACTTTGGTCCGGCCGTCACTCCCCAGCCGTACCCTTTCCAACAACAGCAACAGCAACATTCGCAAATGTACCAGCAGTACGCTCAGCAGTACCAGCCCCACCCCACGCCGAGCTATACCTCGTCCCCTCTCTCGCAGCCGCTGCAGCATCCCCAGGTACCCTCTTCCTCCGCCTCCGCGGCCGGACCGATCAGGCAACGACCTCGCGCGAGCTCGCGCGCTCTGACCTCTCTCGGACATATATCGGAGAGCTCCCCGGTCAAGGACAGAAGCGGGGAGTATGCACAGGCGCAGGTCCCCAGGGTGAAGGATAGGGCGTCGAGCTATAATATTGGCGCTGGGGCGGGTGGAGGTGGCGGAAGGGGCATGTCGAGCTCAGCATCGGTATCCGGTCTGAGCTCGGCGGGTGGCAATGGACCGCCGACGAGTTGGAGGAGAAGTGGGAGTGAGTGGGGCGGGGAGCGCGAGCGCGAGCAGACCGGAGGTGGAGGCGGTGTTGGCGGAGCGCAGAGAGTGCGGAGAAGTAGTAATGCTGCTGGTGGAGGGGGATTTGCGTCATAGTTTTGGGCTTGTAGAGGTGGACTGGAGGGAGAGGGAGCTGAATTGTCCACTCGGTAGAGTTTGTTGTTTCATCATAATCCACATTGCATATGCTAGAGACTGAGGATGGCCTGCTCTGGACAAAACATTGCGTTTTTTTATTCTTCTTACAATTCACATGAGATTAATGGCGCGATCGGTATTCATTGTCTGCTCAGACTGTCAGTCTCGTTGGGCAAGCAAGCACATGCCCGACAAGACTGCGAGATGCGCGACACAGTAATAGGGCTAAGACTGGCATCCCACAAGAGCCTCATGCAAGAAGCTTTGTACACCCCACTTTTCCCACATACAAAACAAAGACTTCTCAAGCCCCCACCCCTGCTGCCTGCGCTGCTTTGGAATACACTACCTCCTCTCGGGTATGCCCACCCAACACTATCCGCTTACTGCCACGCCGCCTACAGCTCAATCAACAGCGCCTCTTCCTTTTCCTGCTTCTCCACCCCTTGAGTCTGACTATGCTGTGGCTGCTCAAACTCCGACTGTGGCGCGTCCGGGAAGACCGCAGCCGGAGCAGGCGGGAACGAGGCGTCATAATAGACGTGCTGGGGTTGCTGCTGCTGCGGCTGCTGCGGCTGGGGAAGTTGGTGATACTGCTGCTTCTGAGGCGATACCTGCGGGAGTTGCCCGTTCGTGACCGAGGGGGAGGTATAGCTCGACCCGTTCGGTCCCGGTAGACCGTGGGTGGGGAGCGCCGATTTAGCGCTGCTAGGTGAGGCGATGGGGTGGGTCGACATGTCCACAGGGGGAGCGGAGGGACCGGCCGAGAAGGAGGGGACGAACTGCGCGGCGTTCGGGTCGAGGGATGTGTGGTCCGCCGAAGGGTGCGAGGGGTATGCTCCGCTAGCTTGCCGCTGGGGCTGGGCATGTGACGCCGAGGAGACCGACCGGATGGACGAGTGCCGCTCAAGAGGAGGCTGATGGGCGTACTGTTGCTGCTGTGGGGGCTGGTATTGTTGCTGAGGCTGGTACTGCTGAGGCGCAGCCTGACCTTGCCAGGCTTGAGCAGCGGGAGAGTATTGAGGTTGGTACCCGTACTGAGCCTGGCCCTGAGGCTGGGTAGGGTACATCCCGCCCTGAGGAGGCATAGCAGGATATAGCCCAGAAGCAGTAGCCGCTGGAGGCTGATACGCCTGCGAAGGGGGCGCATAACCGTAGCCGTTGGTCTGAGCGGGTGGGGCATAGCGCGGATCGTATCCCGCTTGCTGAGGTGGTTGAGGTTGATATGGGTTGTATTGACCATACGACTGTTGCTGTTGGGCGTATTGTCGTTGTTGCTGCTCCTGCAGCTTCTGGGCGGTGTATGCTTGTTGACCGTCCAGGATCTGACCGTACAGCCCGACAGCTTGTGAAAGCTTGTCTTGCATCTCGGCTAGCATCTCTGATGAACGTCAGATCCAGGACGTGCAAGGTACAGTACTGGACCTACGCTGCTTGGTCGTCTTTTCCTCTACATTTCGATGTAGCTTCCCACCTATCCCGTACGCTTGTTCATACAGCACATGGGCGTGCGGGAAGCGCCGCAGATCCCGCTCGCCATATGCCGCCATCTGATCAAGGGTGTTGGAGAAAGTGAGGATGGTCTCTGTCTCCCGGGGCGCAAGATCGAAAGTGGGCAGAGGCTATATGGTCAGCTTCACGTTCTCCACGGACCTGAGGGTACTCACCCTGTACTCTGGCTCATCATAGCCATTCGGCGCACTCGGCCGTGCCCGCTCCGCATCCCTCAGACTCGCCTCGATCGCCATCCGCAACTCCTCATCGTCATCTTCCACCGTCTGCCTCGATCTCGCCAATGGCGGCTCACTCCCCATCGCAAACGAAGGACCTGCCTCCTTGTTGTCCGCCAACGACAGCTCAATCGCCCTCTGCAAGTCCGCATCAAAGTCCTCCTTGCTCCGCATCGTCCTGCCCTTGGGAATTGCCGGTGCAGGACCGCTTGGCGCAGCAACCTTGTTTCCGCCACACTTGACAAAGCAGGATTCGCAGACCCGGACCGGTGTGGTGATGCCGAACAAGGGAAGCGGTAGGGTCTTGGACGAGCAAGCTTGGTCAAAGACGAGACCACAGTTCCGGCAGTGATGCTTGCGGTTCGTAAAGGTGAAGGCAGTCCGGCAGCGCATGCACACGTCCGAATCTTGCCATTGGGGCGCGGTGGTGGTCGTGAGCAGGTGAGAGGAGGTTTGGGCGGGCGGTGGCGGGAAGTCGACACCTGGTCATCAGCTCCATTCACCTCTCCTATGAAGCAGTGTAGGTGGTAGGGATGTACCAGAGTTCTTGAGCTCATTGTAGACATCCACAAAGAAGCTAAGCTCCCGCTTTGGCTGGAAAGCGATTGCCCATTGCTGGAAGTACTTCATGGCCATTTGCTTGGCTTCGGGACTCGTCGTCTAGGCAATCAGCTGAAATCCAGCTTTTCGGTAGGTGTAAGACTCACTGGCGCCTTGATGACTCTCGACATCTCATCAACGAACTCCTTACTTGCAATCTCGCCAAGGAAATGGTCGCCTCCATTCTTGATACAGGTATCGACCAGCTGCCTTGTCAGCCCTCCGTTCTAATAGCTCGAGGCACAGATTCTTAGCTCACCCCTATACCATACATCTGCACCCTGCCATTCGTACTTCCCACTCTCCGCTTCAAGCTCTGCATCGCCGGCTTCGGCTGGACTGCCTTTGACCGGATCATATCCGTCACTTCCAGCGAGTCGGCTATGTTCTCCGACTGCGGGTACGGCAGATTGAGCGGCGAGCATGCTTTCTCTGACACAGGATCAGCAGACATTCGCGCATGGTGAGCAGCTTGATTGGAGCTTACCAACGAGCTCTTCGTACAAAGGATTGGTGCTTGCGCCCCAACCGAGCCACGACATGTCGGCTGATCGTCCAAAGTTCTTGTCGTTCGAAAGCTGTAAGCTCTAGCGCTGATCCGTCCTGTTCACTACCAAGCTATCTGCTGATTGTTGTTCTTGTGATTTGGGTAGTGATACGGTGTGAAGAAGATCAGGTATGGAGCGGCGGCGGCGCGGCCTCGATACGCAAGAGATCGTCATCTCCATCTGCTCACGTAATCACTTCACTGTGGCAGGAGCTTGCAATTGCAATTGATCAATTGAACTGGGTGGACCCCTTGCCCTGCGGCCATCCTCTTTCCTCTGCCGCGGGATCCACGAGACCTTCGGTCTCCTTGCACTCCCTAATTATGATTGCATAGCCACAAATAAAGCGAAATTGTCCCGAGCTCAACTGCCTATAAATAATGTCCTGTCCCAGCTCGACCCAAGCCCCAGACCGGAAGCCGTGTCTCCCGACCTCGACAACATCTCTCCCCCCTCACTCGGCGAGGTACAAGGCGAAGTTCTGCTCATCACAAGTCTCGACGGCGGTCGTGTCCTTGATAACATTGGTGTAGCAGTTGGTACCGGTTCCCGTCCGAACGATAAAGCCGTAGATGCTGTTGCGGGCGTCTTGTCGGGCTGCGCACTGGTTGAGGAGATCCTCGATGGACGTGTAGGTGATAGCATAGCCGATAGGGGTGGGTCCCGCTGTTACGATCAGCATACCGCGGTGTAGACTGATCAGGCAGAGGGAGTGTGAAAGGTCAGATACGCACAGGTGGAGCTGTACACGCAGTCGGAGAACTGGTAGGCCCTGTTGGTCGACTGGATCCTCGCCTGAGGCGGACCAGCGCTTGGGCCGACAAGCCGCTTTTCGATCGTGGCTGCAAAGGTCAGCGACGGTATTCGAAGCAAGATTGGCAATGTGAGGACTCACCCGAAGCGCCTCGAGACTTCTGATACAGCTTGCGCGGGTTGGCAAGTTTGAGACCACTTGACATCAGCGGGATGCCATGAAAGAGGAAAGGAGGAAGTGCAGACGTACCGCTGGATGCGCTCCGCGTTGGTCAACTCGGGAACGAAGCGGACCATCGCCGGCCATGCGGGTAGGCCGGTTGTCCCCTCGGTGAGGACGGAGGTGGGAGTGCCACTGAGCTCGACCTGGCCGAAGACTGTGGTGATGAGGGTCGCCAGGGCAACGGTGATGAACGAGAGCTTCATGTTGAGGAGGACAGGAGGTGGGTAGGTGAGCTGGTTGGGGAGAGGAAGGCTTCAGTCAAGGGGGATGAGTAAGAGAGAATGCATTGATGAGGAGGCTACAGGTGTCCCCTCTTATGTATATAGCCTCAGAGGCAGAACTTGGAGACCAAACATCCGCCATGTCATGCAAGGAGGCGGCAGTGGCTTTGTGCCTGAGCCAGGTTGGTGCATATCAGTCCGTAAGAAGAGCGTTAGAGGTGGATATCATAAGAGGGTGTCAGGGGTTAGACCTTAACAACCCTAGGAATTGGTGACTTACTAGAGCTAAACGCGCAAAACCCCCGAGAGCTTGTTCCAGTCGCATGCTACAGAATTCGAGGGTGCGCCACTGCAGAGAACACCTTGACTTTCAACTGATGCACAGGCACAGAGTGACACAGCCGACATGGTTCGCACAATGTTTCACATGGTAAGTTTTGCCGAACCGGCAGCGATGTACAGGGTAAGTGTGGGTAAAGTTTCAGGGTGGGGTGGCGTCTTGGCGCAGCAGACTTTACCTCGTTATTCATTTTGCCCTTTTCCGAGCTTGTGTAAGCGTGAGAGGCGCTCCGAGTCTTCGTGAGCCTTCGAGCCGAGAGGAGCCGAACCTCCGCATGATTTGAGCCGAGCAGGCGTACCGCAAGCGTATAGTGTGGAGTGTCGTAAAGCTTTGAAGCTTTTACAGACTCGAGGCTTGATGGCGCGTCGCTTCCGCTTATAAGGGTTTGCTGTCTCGTGGAGGGTATTAACGACGCCTGGTAGCCCGCCTGTGGGGCAGTTTTATCGATGTATCAATGGATAGCGGTGCGTGCAGGGCATCGGAGAAGTTAGGAGCTTACCTGAGTTGAATTCGGGAATACCGGATTTCGCACGGAAAACAGCGAGAAAAGTTTCTGCACCTCATTCCTCACGCCACGTGGCTGCTATCGCTCGTTGCGTCATCGCTGTGACGTCTTTGGGCGTGCACAGCTTGCTTGGCAAGGTGGCTGCTCCCTTTGCCTCGTACATTGCATATACTCGTACTGCCCCTCAGCCATATTCACACGTATCAGCGCGTAGCACATCTTACTCTCTAGAAGGACTGATCACTGCTGCGGGCCGCACATCAAGATGGGCATCGCGTCGAAAATGGCGGCCCTAGCCGGACCCTCCCAGCCGCCACCCGCTTCTTCCTCATCCAATCCCTTCTCCGACACCGGCCCTACCTCGACATCCTCCTCCACCACAGCTCAAGCCCCGCACCATCAGACCACGGCGGATCCTTTCCAGTCGGACATCCCGGACGAAGCGCCACCTGCTTACACCCCCGCGGCAGCATCAGGTGATGCGCACCTCGCGGCCGGCCCAAACCGGATGGACTTCTCGGGACCTCCACCGATGTCCCAGTCTCCTGCGCCGAATCGTCTGGAGAACCAGATTACAGGCGTAGGAGTGGGATACGGCCCTCGGAGGGATCATGCGGGCGGAGGGGGATTCGGTTCGCCGAGCGGTCCTCCACCAGCACCGACCATGCCGCCCAAGCACCCAACTCAGAACTATGCCCAATCGCCATCTGGAGGTCATAGTCGGCCGCCTCTGCCGATGGCAGGAGGAGCTGGACCAAGCTCGCAGGATGTGACGCCGACAGAGGTGGCGACGCCGGGACGGCCTCTATTGCGGAATGGGCAGTTACTGGTCTATCCCAAGGGGTTCATGTGTCACAAGTGTGAGTCGGCGTACTGACAGATAGTCATATTACTGCGTACCGAATGGGCTGACATTCTAGGTGACAATACAGGCTACAAGAATTTCGATCCCAGCAATCCGCACGATACGGTGAGCTGGGTGCTTCGGACCCGATCGTAATTCAGCTTATCAGCAGGACTGGCGAAAGTACGGCAAGCGTTACACCGGCGCTCTCGCGACGTCATATACCCAGTCTTTCGATCCAAGGGCGAACCCCTCGACTCAGTCCGCCCAGAACTTCCAGCGGCCCCTCCCTCATCTCGGCGGACCAGGGCAACAAGCGCTCTGGCATCCCCAGGGACACGGCGTATGGGATCATCCTGGCAATCACCGACCTCCACCTCCTCCGATGCAGCAGCATGGGTCATTCGGACCCGGTCCGATGATGCATGGGCCTCCGCCACCGCCGCCGGTGATCATGAATGGGGGCGGGTGGGTTCCTGCGAACGCGATGGTGGTACATCCTGGAGATCCGAGATTGGGTGGGATGTGAGTGGATCCGCTGCAGACGGAACTCAAGAGGAGGGGAAGGAGCTGACGGATCAGGATATGTCGGAGATGCGGCGGAGATGGTCGAGAGCAAGACTGGCTGGGCTTCGATTCAGGAAAGTGTTGGCAGTGCAGGGGAGTGGGGCGGGTATTCTGATATCCATAGGGGCTTAGACGAATTACAGCTGTTCCTCGGAGTACCAGACTAGTACGAGGCATACGAAGTGTATCTATCCGCTAGCTACAGGTCGACCGTAGAAGGTAATGCTACAAATCCTCAACTGATCCGTCCCCACTCTCCGAGCCTACATGCTGGTCTTCATACTCTTCCACCAGTCCCTCAAAGTAAGATTGGAACCTTGAAGACTCCGAGTCTAGCCGCTTGATCGCCTCCAGCGCTACAAAGAGATCGTCTCCCCTATCCCGCATCATCGCCATAACCTGAGCCATCGGAGTTTCCACCATCTCGTCGAATATCTCCATCAACTCCTCGAGCACGTCCTCGTTGCACTCCTCCAATACCTCCGTCAACTCCACCAGCGCCAAGATTGCGTCCTCCCGAGCATTTTCATTCTTGGATGCGCCGCAGCGTTTGACGATGCCTTGGGCCGCTCTGCTCACAACTCCCGAGACCGACTCTACCGCCTCCCACTTTTCGTCCCGCGACAATCGGCTATCCAGGCGATCGATTGTACGGGTTGCAGACTCAAGGAGGTCGCTGTAGTCGACCGGACGCGGTGGGGGCGGTGGGGGTGGGGGTTGCGAATCAATGAAGTCGGCAATGATGGGTACATTCCCAGGGTAGGATTGCGACAGGGTCAGGAGCAAGGCGTGCGCCGAGCGGAGGTCAAGCTTGGCGATGTCTGCCGCGGAGATTGCAGCTCGAGGCGAGGGGAGTAGTCTTTGGGGAGGGAGAGGATCTTGAACCTTGTCGACGGGGGATGCGGCGCGGGCACGCTTGGAGGCAGGGGGAGAGGACATGACGTTCAGATTGGAGTGCGGTGGGCGTGGCTTGAATGATGAGGGCTGATGAAGAGCGGAGAGTTATGCGTTGCAGAGATGGACGAGCTAGAGAAGTCCGGTAGCGGCGCGCTGATAGCGCTGATATAATACCTTGCCTACCGTGCACCGTGCGCACTACCTTCCTCTCAACTTTATGCCTGCCTATGAGATATGATATCTACCTAGTCACTGACGGCCTAAGAGTACGAAGCTACAAGATTTGCACTGATCCCTCTTCCTCGCCCGAGCTCGCTTCCCGATCTTTGTACTCCCCAAACAGGTCATCTAACAGATATTCAAACACCGTGTCCATCACCAACCCTTCGAGCGCCTCCAGCGCAGAGGTGAGATCATCTCCCCTGTCCCACATTATCTCCAACAGCCGCCTCGCCGGCTCCGCGATTGCGTCCCGGAACGACTCCTCTACGAAGCGTTCCAACATCTGCTCATCGCAGACGAGCATAGCCTCTCCCAGCTCCACCAGCGCCAGGACCGCGCCCTCCCCTGCCTGCGAGTGCTTTGACTTGGCGCAACGCTTGATAATCTCATCGGCCGTCCCGGACACGACACCTGCGACGTCGTCCGCCACCATGTAAGCCTCGCGCGGGTAGCCAGGGGAGAATCCATTTTCCGAAATCATTTCGTGCAAGCAGGACTTGATGAGATCGAGGCGGCGCAGGTGGAGGGGGAGGAGGTTGTTGTGCAACGAAGTCCACAATGGTGGGTATGATGTTTGGGTGGTCGCCCGCCAACCTCATTAGGAGTGTGTGCGCGGCGGCGGGGGGAGCTCGAGGATGTCTCCCGCGGGGATGATGGGGGGAGGGACTGGGCCGGCGCGGTTTGAGGGGGAGTTTGGAAGTGGTTCGGCAGGAGAGGCGGTACGAGCACGCTTGGCTGGAGGAGGGGCGGACATAGCGTTTGGGAAAGAGTGTATGAGCGAGACCTGCCCGATGCACAATGTCGCGATGCAATGAGGAAGATGGGCTGTTGAGCGAGACGTGAGCGCGTTTTTTCGAGCTTCAAGCTTCAAGCTCACTATCAAGTCCCTCATTCCCTACAGGATCTTTCGACGCAGCTAATCGGATCGTGGGCTGTCTACCTTATATTTGCTTCTCGCTGTGGAATCTAGACCCCCTCCCGCACCCCATAACTAGAAGCCATCGTCGACATACCCTCCCTCGTCATCATCCTCGCTGTCCCCTTCCTCTTCTTCCTCGTCCGACGTACTCGTAAAAGTGCCATCCAACTCATCCAGCACCTCTGCAAACACCCCGCCCGCCTTCTGGTTGGATTCCCTGATACTTGTCATCGCATTGCGCAAGGTCTCCTCCCTCTTCTCCATCCTCCCTACGATCTTGTTCACGCCCCCAATGACCAAGTACTTCTTCACCGCCGGTCCCAGCCTGCCCTGCAATGTCCCTGGATCCTGATCAGCCTCGTGCAAGCTCTTGGCTATCTCGCAGAGGGTGGAGATGCCCTGCTCGCGTGCCGCCCGCTGACTAGCATCCATAGAGCATCCCAGTACCGTCCGGGCTGCATCTTCGAGCTCTCGCTCAATATCTTGCAAACCGCGGACCGCTTCATGCTCCCCGAGGTTTTTGCCAGCGTAGAGGGCGACGATGGATAGGACATTGGGCTCCAGATGACGGTAGTCGACAGGGGGTGTGATAGGACGTGGAGGAGGAGGCTGCCGAGCGATATGACGAGCGATGGCGCGTGCGTTTATGGAGTGGATTTTGGAGAGTTCGAGGATGAGGGAGTGTGAGGAAGCGAGGGAGAGCTTGGTAATGTCGGACGGTTTTGGGTAGGCGGGCCAGGCTGAGGTGCGACACTGCTGTCGCTGGTTTTGGCGCGTTTTGATGGGGGCAACGATGTCATGGTAGAGGGTGACATCGTCGAAGCTTTCGAGCCAGTCGGCATTGAAGTGATGCGATTTTGAGGAATGTTGTTAGCTGGCGCCCCCTAACTCGTTGAGCCTGATATATGATTGTCTAGCTACGAGTACCTCATATACATATACTACCCGCCTTAATCAGAGCTATAAGAGGATGTCTGGTCTTGGAAATCATCTTCCCCGTCTTCCGTATCTGCCTCCTCCTCCCCGCGCATGCGCAACAGATCATCGACTTCCCCCTTCAACGCCGACTGCCCAGCGTTCAACTGCTCAACCTTCGCAATAGCGCCAGACATATCCTCCCCTCTCTCCTTCATCATCACCAACACCTTTCCAATGTTGTCCAGCATGTACATCCCAAACGGACCACAACTAGCTAGCAGGGAGTGCCTCCTAAAGCTAGCTTCCGTCGGAACCGAAGATAAGCGCGAGGAATGTGGGGCTCGAGTGGGAGCGGAGCGCTTTGAGCGCTCGTTGACGCGTTGGCTCTGAATCTGAACCTTCGTTAGACTCATCGCTTTACCCCTTCTATCGGCCCATTTCCTCCTCACTCGACTTCAAATTGACATGCTAGGCATACCAAAAGTCGCGCGGATCGATTCATCTTACGTCCACAAGGACATCTGGGCCAAAATACAGTTCTTCCGCGTCCCCCTTTCCACTCCCTTTCCCCATTCCCCGGGCGGCTGGCCCGGCAACCCCCACCTTTGAGCTCCGTGGTAAGCGGCGTTACTCCAGCTAAGCTCACACACGCCCGCATACAAGGTGGAATCAAGGTTATGCACAGGGCATGGGTGAAACACATTCCGTCGAACCCCCCTTTCCCCGCGTGAGGGTGGTCCTGATCAAACATCCGAGACCGGAGGCCGAGATCATGGCTTCCCACACCTCCTATTCATCGCCTTCTTCGGCTTAGTCACTGCCCTACCTGCAGACACACAATTGCCCGAGATAACGCTCACTAATGCCGAACGTATCCGTCGCCACATGCCCCTAAACAAGCCTGCTGCACTCTTCTCTCCCGACAGAGTTCGTACCGGTGAGTCCGATTAGTGGCGTGGTAAAAGGGATGAAGGTCATGCTGACTATCTAGCCCGTGACGCCACCGTTTCTCCCCTCCTCAGCTTCCAGTCCTATCTCCAAGCGCGAAAGGTTTCGGATGACTCTGTGGTCGGATATGTTGGACGTCCCCCTTCCGGCTATCAGATCGTCCCTGTAAGTCTCCTCTTTTTCCTCCCTCCACCTCTCCATGTCGTCCGACTCGAGCGAAGGACATGTCGCTGACATCTAGGCTGGCTCTACAACGGCTCTGCTCTTCTCCTACTCTGGCTTCGCCGCCGTCGACTCCAGCATACGCTTCACGCTCAACGGAGCGACTCTCTTACTCGGTCTCTCAGCGAGTACTACTACCACGTGAGTCGCTTCCGGCCGGCTGGCGCTGCGCTCCCGCGTCGGTCCTCTTATAATAGGCGCTGACACGTCAGATCAATCATGACCGGCTCCCATACGACCAGCACATCAACGGGGGTAAAGGCTTGGAATTGGGACGATCCCTATGGTCAAGTGACCACCGCTCAGATCAAAAACGGTATCCGGACCCCCAACCGAATCTACAAACGGGACAGCTCCAGCAGCCCATCTTGCATCTCGACAGGCACTGCAGCTCCTACGGGGTACTATGAGATCTACTTCTACTGGGTGACAACGATGGCTTGAACGGCATAGAAGTGAGTCCATCCACCGAAATGCTGGGTTCAGCTGACAGAATAGATTCCGATCAAGATCTGGGTTGGTGATGGACATGTCTTTGGGCTTTAGCTGTGTTGATTATCCGAGGGACACTGTGGTCGGCCTCTAGAACGGTACTATAATAATGATTAGGTGGACAATGCATTAGTGCATGCGGTAAACAGGACAGATGAGTGCAGGCGGTAGTATCTCCAGTTGGGGGATAGCTGAAGAGTTCGCCTCGGCCTAAACCTCCTCGGACCTGTCAAAGCCGTCACCGTTGCGGGAACTTAGAGTCCGGGAGACGCACTGAGTAGTCTCGCCCTTGACCTGACCAAACGTGACTAGTGACTCCCCACTGCATTCTTATCCCTCAACTCCAGCCCTCCATCATGGCGACATAAAGACTTATAAACGTCCCAAAGATCCAGCCGCCCAAGCTTCCATTGCCGGTCTGTACCCTTGCCCACACCCCGCTCTCCCATCTTGGCCTAGTACCACCGTCTGATCCCTGCGCGCCGATTGCAGTGCCGTTCGATCCGGCGTACTGCACCCCAAGAGAGCTCAGAGCACCCGTTCGACTGGGTTTGCCGCGCGGGTCGAACAGCGTAGCATCCTCCACTACCCCTTGCTGAGCTGTCAGTTCTCGTCAAACATCCGCGAGATATCAGCTCACCATCTCGTACATGGCGCCGAACCAGAAGAACCGCTCGACATAGTCAACGACGTCCATCCATAAGTTAGTAATGTCCATGAAGCGCTGGATCTGGGGGTAGGAGGGTTGTTCGCCGATGAGGGTGCCGGCTGACGAGAAGGTGAAGTTGGTAGGGGCGTACTCTATGCCAGAGTCAGCAGTGACTTGGGATGAATATAATATGCGAGACATACCGGTAACCCATATTGGACGTCTGTAGGCGGACCAGTAATCTTTGACGAAGTTCATAAACTTCCCTGGATCGACATCATACTGCCTGATCAGCCTGGCTCTTCTCTGTCATTCGTTCGTGTGCAGACTCACCCAATGCACTGTCATAAAGTCTGGATCACACCCTCCCTGACAGGCCGCCCACCACGCGTCCAACCACTGCCGCCCATCCTCCCCGTTCGTGACGGCTGGACTGCCGAGCCTATACCCCTTCTTTTTGAGTGGCTGCAGTACCCTTCTCCAGACTTCCGCCGCATCCCCCGGCGAGCAGTTCGCCTGAGCCGCAAGGTTCGGCTCGTTGAAACCCAGTATGGCCTTATCGGTGATCAGATTTTGCCCGTCCCAGTTCCGGGAGAGAGCCGAGAGGAAAGGGTCGACATAGTCGGGCGTACAGCCCCATAGCATCGGTATGAAGGGGAAGGGATTCGGATTCGTGGGTGTCGGCGGCAGAGGTGCCGGACCCCAGTTGTAGTAGGACGATATGCGGGACGAGGGGGCGGTGAAGCCGGATAAGGGAACCCAATTTGCGTTGGGCCATGCGAGACCCCGCTTCGAGCTTCTGTCGAAGGCGCAGGCATTCGGCAGTACAGCGAGATAAGCAATGAAGGCTAGTTGCTTGAGCATCAGAGTCACGGCTTGTCAGCTTTTATAGGAATGGTAGATCGTCCGCAGAGGTAGAGAAAAGGAAGCGTCGACTGGGTCTTCACGATCAGCCTCGTCCTGATCGGTCTCGATCGACGCTTTCCGGCCGAGCGCCTGGGCGCTGCCTGGGACACACAAGTACATATGCCACGGATGAGGATGATGCGTGGTTTGAAGATCAAAAGGCGCCTCCGATAGAGTTTGGCTTCAATGCGACAGCCGAATTATTACGTAATTGACTGGTTTCATCTTTGCTGCACAGAATTCGTTGACCTGAAACGTACGCGTCGAGGCCTCTTTCGCGAACGCATCAATACCTCTATACATCGACTAGACGCGTCCAACAGCCATGAATCTCGTGAGCTGGAAGGTCTGCATAAGCGGCTGGATCAGACGCGTCACGCGGGCGACAAGCTGACGACGAGCAGTCAAAGCAATCCTCCCTCGGTCAAGGCCTGCCCTCGAACCTTCAATCGTCAAGCGGTCATGGCGGTGGTCACGCCCCTCGCGAGGCCAGTGGTGGGGCGTATACGATGTTTGACCCGCAGCAGGTCAAGCAGTTCAAAGAGGCATTTGCTATGATTGATCAGGATGGGGATGGGAGGGTCACGGAGGAGGACTTGCGGACGATGTTGAGCAGTCTTGGTGAGTGCGGTCCGTGCTGGGCGTCACGCCCGAGAGGCGGGAGGGAGGAGGGGTCCTGATGATGGGTTCGGTGGAACAGCAAGGGCGCTGTCTTTCGCAAATGGCGCGTCGCGGCGCCATCAAGCGATTTTACCTGTTTTGACATCTCCATTCTCTTTGCCAAAATCTGACACGACAGGCCAAACACCCACCCCTTCCCTTCTATCCAATCTCCTCACCGACCCTTCCGGCCACCGCGCTCAATCAGTTAACTTTACACAATTCCTCTCTATGATGGGCAGGCATTTACTGGCGCTGGACGCAGAGCATGATCTGCTCGAGGCGTTCGCATGCTTCGACGAGGGAGATAAGGGATGGGTCAAGGTGGACGAGGTGCGGAAGCTACTGGCGGAGATGGGAGATAGGATGGATGAGCGAGAGGTGAGTCTCGTCAAGTCTCACCATGCGTCTGGCCTGGGCGCCCGAGGGCGCGGAAGCATGCAGTAGCTGACAGCGCAGATCGACCGACTCTTCGCGGGGCCATTCACAGATCGCCAAGGCCGCTTCAATTACGTCGAGTGGGCCAAAGTGCTACGGGTGAACGATGGCGAAGAGGAGCGGGACGATAAGCTCAAGATGTAGGGACAATGGGTAGCAGTCGAGATCCAGTAGGGCCGCTCAGGCTATGGACAGTTGTAATGGCATGTAAATGCCTGATGTACTCTATTCTACAATTCTACCGTATACTACACAAACCGACCACATCGATACAATATATGAAATCCGATCAAGCAAGCCAGGCAGATACCGCCCTCCCCACGCTCTCCGCTTTCCACCCTCCCCCTTCGCGTCCTGCTGGCTTTCCATCATCCGCCAGATCCCATACCCTGCCAAGATTCGCCTCGTACACCTTCGCTACCTCCCTGGCTTTCACGGCCAAAACGCCTTGATCCGCGCCTGCACTCCCTTCCGCCCTGACCTTCTCCTTGACCGCCTTGAGCAGCGGCAGGCTCGGCACATGCTCACTGACGATCCAACCAGCCACCTGCTCCGCTTTCTCCCCCCAGCTCTGTTCCACCCAATACGCCCTCTCCGCCTCTTCATCCACCTCCCCGCCCTGCCTCGCCAGCGCAGCAAGGAATGCCGGTCTGAGTAGTGCAATCCGTCGCTCGCCTCCGCCGGGCGTACCGCCCGCATCCCACACTTTTGCATAGTAATGCTTGAGCATCTCAACATGCCTCATCCCCTCTGCACCTCGGTCGCCAGCCATCAAGCCCATATACACGCCGAGGACAAGCGGCTTGTCCAGCGTGACGCACTCGAGCAGGACGGTACGGATGAAGCGCTCGTAAGGCGTATCCCCATTCATCAGGCCGGCTAGCACTCCGTGGTAGGACGTAGGCGAGTGCTGCTTGACCAGCTCGAGCGTTTCCGCCGGGGGTATAGAAGGTGGAGACGCGGGCGAGATGAGGTCATAGTGTAGGTCGAAGCCGGTGACTCCTCCAGCACGGATGAAGATTGACCGATTGCCCTTGGGATCCGAGTTGTAGTCCTGGTGTCCCGCGCGTCGCTTGACGTGGATGGTACGCGTCCGAACCAGGGCCGCACGGTGAAGAGGATCCGTAAAGTCATAGACGATAGGCCAGTATCGCGGAGAATCCACCTCGATAGATACAAGGCTCTCGAAGGGGGCGATGAGGGTAGGGGAGATGAGGTTCTGGCTCCGGATAGTATCGCCCTCCCTGAGCTTGACCTTGATCGGGAGATATACCGTCTCTCCCGAGTCGACATCCCTGGCCATAAGACATCGAGGCTCCGCCGCTAGTGCCCAGAGATGGCGGAACGCCTGTGGGTACGCACGGTTGTCGTCTGGAGTATGCATGAAACGCGGGAAGAAGGCGATGCTCATGGCGGCAATAGCGAGGTTGCTGGTACCGAGCGTGTACTGGCCCCGCCCGAGGAAGAGGAGCCCGACCGACATGTGCATGGCCATGTGCGTACCGTACGTCACGCCGACGCCTTCTTGGCCGTGCGAGATCCGCAGTCGACGCAGGACCTGCAGCTCCCCGGTACCGGACATGACGCAGCATATCGCGATGGTCACCACGTTGAGCGCTTGCCGGGCCGCTGACCGCCGGATCTTAGCTTCGTACGCCATGCCCCCGGATCCCGCCGACCGACTGAGGACGTGGAAGAGGAGCATGAGATTGTTGTGTGCCATTTCGGATGCTGTCCCGGCAAACTTGAGCCCGATGGCAAGGCACGCGCCGGCGACGATATTGATATACGCCAAATCCGTGGCGAGCTCGAGACCGCCGACGCGCTTGTGCCCCTTGACCTGCGAGAGGATAAAGGACGGGAGCTGCTCCTCGATCCAGCTCATCCCAGCGTTGATCGAGTCCCACATGATCAACCCCCTTGCAAAGGTCCGCATGAGGAGTAGGTCGGGACGCATGAGGTCGAGAGCATGGATGCTTTGGGGTATCTCGAGGATATCGCGTATGTCCGTCCGATTGCTCTTGAGGTACATGAGCCCCAGAGCCAGCGTGGCTCCAGCCCCGGTGATGGTCGTGTCGATGGGTACCAGACCCTTGCGCAGGTCCGGGCCGTCCCCATGAATACACCGCCGCAGCCTCCCCAGCATCCGCCTGTCCACTTCAGACGCCGCCTGCCCGCCTCGTCCGAGCATGATGAGCCCGAAAGCAGCCGCAGCGGAGAACGAGTACGCCTCCTGATACTCGCTAAAGTTGTCGATCCCGCCCATCTCCTTCCGCCCGACCTCTCCGAGCGTGACTTCGGCCATACGGAGGTTCTTGCTGCCAGCGTAGACAAGTCCGAGGCCGACGAGCGCCGAGGACTGGACGATCGGCGAGGCGTTGAGCGGCATCGAGCCAAGGGGTAGTAGGGCGTGGGTGTGTAGACTGAGCGTTTTCGTGATCAAGATGTCCTCGCTGCCGGCGTATGACCCCGCCAGGCCGAGTAGGAGACCGACGGATGTAAAGTCGTGCCGAGCCTCCATGTACGGGAAGGCATGGTACGTCTTGAGCTTGCGCAGGTGACCTGTGAGGCCGAGACCGAGGAGGAGCCCGCCATGCTCCGGATTGAGGGGATTCGGCTTGTTCAGCACAATCCAGGCACTGTCGATGCCTTTGCAGTCGGCCGAGATGGATAGACCTGCCGATACGCCATTGTGGAAGCATGGCCAATCGACATGTTCCCCGTGGATCTGAGCTTTGAGGAGGGTATTGCTCGGCGAGAGCTTGACAGAGAGTTCGATGAGTGGGATCTCCCACAGACCCGTTATGGCCGTATTGCGAGTCCCGTACTCGAATATGCCCTGGCCGACGAGGACAGCGAGCGTACGTTGAGCGATGGTGTTGACCATGGACTGCTGGTATTGTCCCACCTCGGCATCCGAGCCATTCTTGTTCTCGAGGGCGATAGTACGGATGCGGCTCGCCTGCATGATACGCTCGACCTCGCGAAGTCGCCGGTCGGCCCCGAAACGGACGTGAGGGAGACCGAGCTGCTGTACCCGCTGGACCGTTCCGCGCATGAGATCGCCGACGCTTGGCATGCCCTCCAAATTCTGATGTCAGCTGCCGGTATGACGTTGAGCTTACATCATGTTCAGGTTGATCTGGAAGATCCGCTCCGCCACTCCTCTGTAGCTCTAAATCCACCATCCCTATCAACTCATACACTCCCCCTGCCATATCTCGCCTCGGCACCGCCTGACACAGCTTCATCATCTCCAGAATCGGCAGCGCTATACACGCCGGTCGATCCGCCAACCACTCCACACCAAGCTGGCGCTCAACCATGAACTGCACCGTCGCGTAAGCTCGATTTACGGTGTCTGTACCGGGTTGAGAGTGGGAGGGGCGACCGAGGCGGTCGAAGATCTCGCAGATGAGTTGGGTCTGGACGCAGGGTTGGGGATGGCCATACTCGGATGTATTGGAGAATGAGGTCGAAGGGGATGAGAACGATTTGAGGGGCCTCGATAGTCGGCGAGTGAGATACGATAGGATATCGGGCGGCTGGTCATAAATGTCCAGAAGAGAGGTGTCGACCGCATAACCTGCCGGATCAGCTACAATCATCCGGTTTGTCACAATGGACATACGTTTGTCGCTTAGCCTTGCCGTGTTTGACGGAGCGATCCGCATCCAATAATCCCACCAATCCGTCCTTCCCACTGCCACCGCCAAAGCCAGCACCACCTCTGCTACCCTCTTGAGATTCGACTGGCTTCCCAGACCGAGTCGATAGTCCTGACCGACCAGGTGAAGCGCCATCAGTGCACTCGGAATAAGCGCAGGATCGAGAGTAGGGTCGCCTTGCACGCTTTCGGTTCCCGGATGAGCCCGAGATGCTGCTCGAGACCGATGACGAGCAGCGAGGCGGGCGATGAGCGGATCCGACGAGTTCGTGCTTTGTTGAACGATCTTGTCAGACGCCGTTGACGCTACGCGTTCCTCAGCCAGTCCAAAGCACCTCCGGAGTGTTCGGTTGAAGACAGCCCATCCATCCCCGTCTGCCACTCCGCTCGCCAATATCTCCCTCTTCAGCGCAAAGAAAGCGTCTGCGGGCCAGGCATAGCTTAGCGCCTCCATAGCCTTCCTCGCCAGTCCCTCCTTGGGCGTGAAGTCCGCAGACCACCGCATCTTGTCCCCGTTTTTCATCACCGCCACAAAGTTCCCCTTCTCCCCTTCTTCTAGCCGCACTACCCCCGGAGCAGGATCCACCGCTTCAATGCCCTCACCAGGGTCCAGCCGCACATGCAGGCTTGATGCTAACTTTCGAGCTACATCGTCCCCTTCCGCCGAATTGGGAAGAGTGAGCGGTATGCTCTGCCCGAAAGAAGTGAGGATCCGGAGTGATCCGTCGGGCTCGAGATTGAGCGTATCGAGAACGGTCAGCCGGGTGGAGAGCAGCGGGACGGCGGACAAGGAGGGGAGGAGGGAGCGCGGGGAGATTTGCCATCGCTCGCCTTCGGTATGATGGGTCGCTTGGAAAGTGAAGAGTTGGCCGAGCGAGGGAGAGTGGATATTGACAACGACGGAAGAAGGGGAAAGATTGTCGGTGATGAAGATGGATGCCTCGCTCGGGTCAAACCCCCTGCTGGGTCAGCTTGAAATGCTACGCGGTAGAGTCGTCAGACCAAAAACGCTTACTCTGGCGGCGTCCAAGCCCATATTCTGTCCAGTACCACCTCACTCCGAACACTTTCCTCCCTGTCCAGGCCCATCAACATTGTCGTCTCCCTCAAATCCCACTCATCCGCTCGATGCAGAGCCGTCCGGACGCCCATGTCCACATCTTCGCGCATGACAACGCTCGCGCCTGACTCGCGCCGCTTCTCCTCGGCAGATGAGGCAACACGCGCCTTCATCTTGCCTTTGCTGATAGTAGACGGCAAGGCCGGTGCTTGGGGGTCGAGCGTCCGCTGTAATTCGCCAGGACCGGCGTGGGCTTCAATGGCTCGGGAGAGCCGAGGAGCGCGGCGTGTCGCTCGGTCAAGAGGGTCCGCGAGGCCGGATGTGCGGCGGTGTTCATTTGCAAAGGAGGAGGGATTGCGGCGAAGGGATGGGCGGGGTCGGGCTGGAGCAGGTTCGGGAGCGAGAATGTCCGACGGCCGCATTGTCCGTGGTGTCAGAGAGGGAGGAGGGGCAGGCTCCGGTATCGAGGAGATAGCTACCGCGACTCTGCGAGTGAAGATGAGTTGCCCCGTTTTGCGACTGTGCAGAATGACGATAGCCGGGTCCGCCGCCGAAAAGAGCACCGACCGATCCGAGTCGATATCGTCCGCATACAGCAATCTGTAGCCGTCCCCCTCGAGACCCACTGTCCCTTCTACGACCGCCTTGAGCTCCTCCAGCGGCCCCATGAGGACGCTCAGCCGCGGCTGGCGCGGCTTGTCATCCTCCATGTCCGCCAGCTCGTCCAGCGCAGACATGGCGCCTCCACCTCCAGCCTTGTGATCGATCCCCCAGAGGACGCTCTTGGACTTTCCCAGCCGACGCCGTTCCCGCCTGTCCAATATCCGCTGAACCATGACCCCTCCTTGTGGGAGTGGGGGTGCCCACGCCCGCTCGACGACGTATGGCAGGTGCACGCTCATGTCTTCGCCGGAAGGAAAGTAGATATGCGCCCGAGTCTGCAAAAAGACGACGAGGGCAGGCCCGCTGCCTTTTCCTGATGAGGTGGAAGTGAAAGGTTGCGGAGAGCCCCACTTTGCCGTATGCGAGGTATGGAAAGGGCCGAAAGTGTCGGACAGCCGAAGGTCGACGTCCTTGCCCTTTCCCGCCGGTGTAGCCTGGGAGGGGAAATGCGCAAATAACGCATAGGCAACGTCCTCCTCTTCCCTTTCGAATGAGTACTGCCGATGTACCTGCACGCCCCGACTCCATATGACGCGCCGCCCGCTCCAGACCAGCTCGTCCCCATCATCTCCGACATGCCTACCTCGGGTGGGCTGAGATGAACCGCCAGATCCGAATGTTGGATACCGGCTCGAGCTTGCTTCAGGTTGCCGGTCTAGAATGAGCGTACCGGGCGAGCTGGGCGATCCGAGCAGGCTAGCGATCAGCATGTTGTCGCTGATGCTGAGTTGGAGGATGAAGGTGAAGTTGAGGAATGAGGATCTGGTTCGCTTGACTTTACGCGACTGATTTGAGGCATTCTTTTGGGAGGGCTCATTTAAAGACTAGAAGGTGTAGTGAGCAGCCGGATGCTGTACCGCGAAGCTGATATGTCGGGGGACTGCACGTGCTGGCTGAACGAAGCCAAGTGCGAGATTCGTTGAGGCACCTGCCGACAGATGACATATAGATACAATTTTGATCCCCACAAATGCAAACTGCTTTGCACGCAAAGCGCACGCTCAGGTACCCCAGATGAAACCCGCAGATACCAGCACGGCCCGCTCAATGTGTGACCACCACCCTCTTCCCCTTTCCATCCAGTATTGGCGCCCGGTAAAAGATGTGGAACCCAACTAAACACGCTCCGCCCCAGGCAAACATGAACCAAAAGCTCGCACGGACATTTGCCCAGTCCTCGATCCCGCCCGGATGGATGGTAAGAAGTCCGGCTTGGACAGCTAGAGCGATGGCGTTGCCTGCTTGGATGGCGGTCTGAAGGATCGCACCGACAACACCGGCTTGCGAGGGCGGGGAGGTGGTCATTGCGCCGACACTATAGAGTCAGCTCTGATCAGACAGGTGTGTAATGTGAGGCTCACATGACTGAAGTCGCTGCGACATTGTTACAGAAGCTGCCTATTGTGGCCCCGGTGAAGCCAAACTTCCAGTATTGAGTTCCAACCTGTCCGTCCGAGTAGATGAAAAGCACGTATGCTGCCATACCGCCGATCTGCCCAAAGGTGTATGTGTAGCGAGGGTAAGAGCAGATGATGGGGAATGCGCTGTCTGATCAGCTCCGCCATACCACTACTCCGCAAGCATGACAGTAGACTTACATTAAGATCCCACTGCAAGCCAAACTGCTGATCCCCTCTGGTAGAATTCGCATCGCCGCAATGATACTCGAATCCCCTCGTTCCCGCACAAACACCTCGATCTGGGGTACCTGGTTGCACGTCCACCATGCCGACGTAAAAATCGCCAGTACAGTCCAGAGCGTGAAATTTGGGATCTTCCAGGTATTGGATGGAACCAGAGCGAGGTCGGCTGAGAGACGAGACTGCCAGTAGAAGAATAGGGGAAAGAGTGGAAGGGAGATAAGGAAGGGTGCCAGGAAAGAGGCTGTTCCGAAGCCGTACGAGGCGCCGAGGGTGAGACCAAGGATGAGTAGGAGGATAGCGACGAGCATGCTGCCTTATCAGCGCGCAACCCGGCTGATTGAGTGATTGCGCGCTTACAGCAGGGTACCTGGGACATCCAGCCGCTTCCACTTATTCGTGTCAGATGCTGCTTCTCCTCGTTGCTTTGGGAAAGCCTTGAGGGACCATAATGAAATTGGAACACTGAAGATCAGCCTCTCTCTCGACCAACCAGATAGTTCCACTCACATCAATACCGTCGTTATCCGGAAATACCACCTCCATCCGCTCAATTGCCCATCCGCCCGGATCAGCTCCACCAGTCCCCCGATCGGCACTCCCAGACTCGCGCCCAGCGACCCACACAGCCCATAGATTGTGAACGCCCGCGGCAGCTCGTCCGCATTGAAGACGGCGCTGATTAGCCGATATGACGCTGGAATGAGGCACGAGCCCGCGATGCCTGAAATGGCGCGGAGGATGAGGAAGGCGTATGCGTTTGTTTGGAACGAGATGACCAGGTTGAGTATACCCAGGGTGAGGAACCCGTACGCGAATACAGGCGTGGGCGAGTAGAGGTCCGAGACGCGACCCCAGAAGAGGAGGAAGGCGGCAAAGGTGACTGCGAAGGAGGTCTGGAGTGTCAGTTTACTGTGAAGTTGGGAAAATAGTGGGACTCACGATAATCCATGTTTGGGCCTCAAAGCGGATATCTAGGTCGAGCGCGACAGGTCCGGTCAAGATGTAGAATGCGCACACGCCCATCACTACATGATCAGCCCAATCTCATCACATGTACGCTTCCCCTTCCCGATAGCCCCAAAGTTGCCTTGCGCCAAACATCGTTCGCAAGGCGCGCTCACCTCCCCGCATTGATTCTTGCGCCGAGTTTCCAGCAGAAAAGAAACAACTTACCGTCAATGAATACCCCTAGACAGAACACCGCCAACAACAGATACTTCCTCCCCTGACTAAGCACCTCTCTTTCCTGCTCTTCCGTCCCAACCGGCGGCTCGCCGACCGTCGACTCTGACCGTCCCGTCCGTCGATCAGGCGACATCCCCGCTTTCCGTATCGACTTCTCCGCGTCCTGCGATTCTGACGAATACATTTCGTCTCCCTTCTCGACGCTCTGCCTCCTGCCATTGGGCGATTTGTCTACATCCCGGTCGATGCCAAGTTCCGGATCGAACATCGTTCTCGATCCGCTCTTCGGCGGAATGTTGGGCGCGACGATGCCTCCTGGAGCTTCGGCGGCTGCTTCCTGCGATAATTCGGGGCCTCTGGAGGGAGCCATAGCTGAAAAGACACGACCTATACACAGAGTAGATACAAGAAAGCAGAGGGTGGACAATGGAGTCTGAGATGTATGATTGAGAGATGGTTCAAATTTGACTCGGTTGAGCTAGCGGATTTTGGCTGGTCGGCTTGGTCCGATCCGGTCGGGGAAGGCTAAGGGTGGGGTAGTGGGGTACATGGGGCGCGGGGGTACTGAGCGGTCAGTGGCTACCGACCATGTTGGAGGTCTCTAGTGATGATCAGACGATCCACCGAGAGTCCTCGCTGCGACGGCAGCGTGAGGCCTTTGTCGGTCCCTCGTTCGTAGGGCTGGCAGCCATTCCACTATCCGCCTCCTTTGTCCTCTGTCGACCGTCACCCAACTTGTGCAGCGAACCGAGCAGGGGTGCACGAGGGTACTGGGTAATTGGCGTATGGCTGACCTCGGGGGCGACAGGGGTGGCACAGCGCAGTGGGTAAGGAACTGGACGAGTGGGCCAGTCTGGTACGTGAGGGACTGGGACTGGATCGGGACGGAACCCGACAGAGGGCTGGTCTCTGCTGCATTGGTGAAAGGTCCCGACGCTACTCTATTGCATGCAAGGCAGTATACTTTCCTGGAGTGAAGCAAGCCTACGGCTGCTCGCGTATAAACATGTCCCTTCTCCCCCCTCTCTCTGGCTCTTATGGCGACAGAGGCCGACCACGGAGTGCAGTTAGGCGCCTCATCAAGCGCGGCCCCTCGAAGACAGGTGTATGGTTTGAGCAGGAGATATGGGGGATGGAGGAAAGAGCCCTTGAGACCGACTCGTACCCGGCGTCGTCGGAGTGTATGGCGACCAGTTCTTTGCCGTACCCGGCGTCGTCGGGGTATATGGCGACCAGTTTTTCGCCGTACTCGGAGTAGTCATTTCGTAGAGGGTGTCACCGGAGGGGTTGTTCAGGATGGTGGTGATCCTGATTTCTGGCCGAGCCGCAGCTGTGGCGTTTTGTTGTCGCCTGGCCAGGGATTTCGCTATCGAATAACACGCCCACGTCCCCCAGACCTGAGCGAAGAGCAGGCATGGCACGGCGATCTAAAGGATGACAGAGAAAGCTTTGTCGACCGGCTGGCTATCTGGGAGGCTTGTCAGTATACCGGCAGACTTGCTGGATGAGTGAGAACCCACAGTGCAACTGCTTCGTCCCCCAGATGACCAGCAGCCAAACTGCGGCGGCAAGCTTCAGGGCCATGGAAACGGTGGCGCCTGTGGTGAGGCAAAAGCGTGTGAGGCCTGGAGACCATTCCAGCCTGTCTGAGCTCGGATTAGCATCGCAATGAAGAGGTGGGGCAGATGATCGATGATGGCTCACAAGAAAGTAGACCGAGGAAGACGACTTGTTCCAGCGTGGCCTGCAGTAGCCAGACTTGGCCCGTCGTGATCAGACTGGGATGTTTGAGCGCGTCCATGCAGTAAATGATCCAGACGATGGCGAATATCGTCACGAGATGGTGTATGAGGAGAGGAATCCGGAGAGTGTCGCGATATGTCAACTCGAATATGTCTGCGAGATATGAGCTTGGATGGTCAGGAGCCGATGAGCTCGGCTTACAAAGACCGCAGATGACGACTGCTGCGAGCCGGGCGCAATCGAGTGACTGCTCGCTATACTCGTACCAGACGAGTGGCATGCTGACAGCCTGGAGAGCCAGAGCGGCGGTTGTGTAGACGATCGAGAGGACATTTGATGTCATCAGCCTGAGCCTGCCGCCCAATCACCCAGTCGTCACACTCACAGACTACCGATGTTCGCTGGTGTACCCAAGATAGCTGTCTGAACACTCGGCTCCGATGAAGAAAGAGTCGAGAGACGATCGCCGAGAACCAGAGGAGGAGGGTCTGCTTGGGTGAGTACTGTTCCATTATCTGGGTCCCCAGAGAGACCCACGTATAACATCGCGACGCTGGGAAACCATCCCATAGTGAACGGGTGGGGGACGACCATATTCGCGTTGACGAGCTCGAGCATACTGTGGTCCGAGATACCCTCCATGGATTCCGGCGAATTAGACGTCGGTGCGATCCAGGTATGCTCGTACATGTCCTGATTAACGTTCTGACTGTAGTTCCTGCCCAGACACATCTTGCCGCCTGACATGAGCCCCGATCGCAAAAGATGACTCATTGGAGACGCCAACGTGGGGACAGTGCTCATAGGGCCTATACTTGAGCATCGCGGTGTGCATGTATCGACAACCTGTCGTATCTTGACCCAGCTCGAACGGCTCGCCAAAGGTCCGATTGTAAACGAGGAAGTTGAGGCAATCGTTCGTTGAATCGTACTGTCTGTTCGCAGGATCTGTACAGTATTTGTCGTGCTCTGAGCAGATGTGTCGAGCCGCATGCAAAGTAATGAGCTCTGACATCATCAGCCATTTACATAGTATAGAGAGGGATATGAGCAATGGACATACCCTGTTGTCCCATCGATCCCGCCCGTACGTGATTCTCCTTCTCCAAATCAGGCATCAACTTCGGAATGACGTCCTTCCAGAACCAAGCAAATCGACGAAATGTCACGTCGTACTGCTGCATCTGGTTGGTCTTGCGGTCAAAGGCGAACCAGGCGTCGAGCAGTATAGGGAGCGTGATGTTCTGCCGAAACGCTCAGCTCGGCACTACCGCTATCATCGACTACACTCACCTGTTTGAAGTAGGTAAAGTCGACAATGTTAGAGAGGGAGACGATGTTGTCTTGTATAGCGAGCGACTGGAGTTTCCCTGATATCGGTACGGGAAGCAGAAACGTGTCTTGAAGATGTGCGTTGGTCTCGTTGACCTGAGCGAAGAGGCCGAAGATGTATTCCACTTGGATGTCAGCTGGACATCCGGCCTCTGGCCTGAGAATTGGTGGGAGGCATACCGTTGAGTTCTGTAGCTTGTCAGCACGATTGACCATGGGAGCAGCCAGCGGTGGCACTCACCATCTCCGATGAAAGCGGTCGTCACGTCCACACGCCCCTTCACATCTGACTGGAAGATAGGATACTTGCCACTCGCCGCGATAACGCCGTTGCCGGGATACAAAAAGCTGCGAGATCAGCTCGTATATCCTCCTTCGACCGATGGGACGATGAGAAGACCTACTCGGCGGAGAATGTCTCCACTGTGGCGAGCCAGTCCGAGGGTTGATGGGCGTACACACTGTTCGTTAAGGTAATGACGAAGAGAGCCAGCTCGACGAGGGGGAACAACATGACGGGCGAGAGGTTGGAGGGGTAGGCGGTAGGAATCTTCCGAGGATCCGGCCTGATATAGCTAGGTTGCGCGAGTCGCTAGTGTAAAAAAGGGGTACGACTTACTGGGAAGGATCGCCCCGCCGGTAGACAGCCTGGCGTCGATCAAAGCCATGACGATCCGCAGGACTACCTGTGAGACGCTCTCACCGTAGTTGCGGCTACATTGTGTGAGCGGCATCCGCTGATGGGGCGCTCCAAAACGACGATCGCAAGCCCTCAACCTAGATTTCCGGTCACAAGTCCTTTGGACGTCATTAACGGTATTCCTGCCTGTGCCGTGAGTGCCGATGAAACGTCTCCAGTGTCTCCAAATTAGAAAGGACGCACTCAAAGGTGGAAAGCGATCGTCAGAACCACGAGCTTGTGAGTTGCAAGGATGCACTTGAGTATCTCCCTTTCGTCGACCTCTGATCTACCCTGATGAAACGCAAGGCCAGCGGTCGAGGGGACCGGTCCCTCCCAGACTCGCTAAGCTACCCGGGTGCGCATGCGTATTCCTTCTCCTTTCTTGAGACGTCAGAGTAGAGAGTCAGAGTCAGTGCCGGTTAGTAAAGACCGGATGAGGTAGGCTCGCGTGACACAGATACGGACGGGTACACATGACGCTTGCGCGCGAGGGACCATCGGCACCGCCATGGAGGTCATTGCCGAAAATAAGTCCAGCACAACTGAGAGAGCCGTTTGTCCATGATCTGAGATACGTGAGGCTCTGGTCAGTGGTCAATTGTCGCGGACCGTTTTAAGTCCGAAGCGTTGCTCACATGTTCCGGTTTTTGCGGCAGCCCCAGCGTCCCCCGCAGCACATACATTGCCCTCGCCTCCTTGAACCTGTGCCTACTCGGGTACAGAGGCATCAAACCCGTTCAGCAGAGTCGCGACATATCGATACAGTCCCACATAATGGACAAGCGAGATCGCTCCGTCCCGCCCGAACGTCTGTGACATTAGTCCTCGCCCCCTTGGACCCTTGCCCCCTTGGCGCCCTGTCCAGCCATGCCATCCAATCTGGGACCGGGACTCACCTCCAAAGCCTCATCCCACAGCTCCTTACTCAACGGCCCCTTCTCCTGCAGCGCAACAGCCACCTTGTAGGCCGTCAACCGCTTCCCTTCGAACGTGGAGGGGCATTTCCCAGCGAGGATTGAGTCGAGCTCTTCCCTTTTGAAGCCTGATACTGGCTCGTGGGCACTGGCTCCTTAGCTCCTACCATATACCCGGCCCTGGTCCGCAAGCGTCAGATGAGAGCTCACTAAGTCTCATACTTGGCCCCCGTCGTAGCGCCCACCACAAGAATAGCCGTCTCCCTCGCCTCCGGATCGAGGCCCCCTATACCCGCCACGGACCCCGTGAGCTGCATATACGCCTTGGCTAGCTCGGGCGTGTGCAGGATGATACCAAAGGGACCGACGAAGCGGCCTTGGTCATCTCGTGCTTTGAACCTGGTCCGTCAGCACCTGAGTCCAGCTCAAGGGGGACAGAAGGAGAAGAGACTCACGCCCCCTTAAACTTCTTCTCGGTGTAAGAGGCGAGGCCATCGTATACCTCAGTCTGAGCAGGGGTGAGCTCGGAGCGCTCGAGGAGGCCAAGTCGGTCTGTCATTTTGCAAGTGAGTGGTGAGGGCGATGTGTGCGAATCAACACCGAGATGTTATGGTTGTGGAATCGCCGGCAATCAAATCAAGCGGGACGCGTTTGACCGGCGACGTCATGGCATGACCCAGTTCCTGGTCGTTAGAGAGCGACCACCATGAGCCTCTCATCCGAGCAGAGCGGAGCCAGAGCTATAGGCAGAAGCAATGCATACCAGGACCAGAACGAATCAAACAAGAACAAGAAGAGAAAGAAAAAAGGTGTGCTAGATACAACAGCCCGAAACGCCCTACCAACCTCTAAAGACCTCCCTTCTAGGGGTACCCCACCGAGTCTATCTATGACCTATCTCATCCACCGCCTAGCCTATCCCGAGCACATCATGCACGCATCCTTGTTATCGATCGAGCACTGGAGGGCCGCCTCTGCGCGCTCGTCCGCCCTCCGCTTGGCCTCTTCATACGTCATCTCCTCCTCCTCGCTCGGACCGGGTGACGAGTCCCGCTTGCTGACCGACTCGGGCACCGCCTCGGGGCCCTTGGGCGCCGTAGTGGCAATGGAGACCTGACGGAGGGGGGCAATGAGCGAGTTGACCGATGTTCCGGCATTGGGCGTGGGTGCAGGGACAGGGAGGGCGATGGCCGCGCTGGCTGATGCCGAGGCGGTAGCGGCGGCAGCAGCGTTGGATTTGGCCTGCTTGGCGGTCGAGGCGTCAATGGTGAATTGGATAGCCTGCGCCGAGGGCTTGGTGCGGAGGTAGTAGATACCGGTCTTGAGCCCGCGCTTCCAGCCGTAAAAGTGCATGGAGGTGAGCTGGGAGAAGGAGGGGTTGGCGAGGTGAATGTTGAGCGATTGACCTGGCCATTAGCGAGAGCACTAACAGAGCCAAAAAATACTCACTCTGGTCGATAAAGGCAGCACGGTCCGCCGCGAGGTCAATGACGGCCTTCTGACTAATCTCCCACACCGTCTTGTAGATCGACTTGAGGTCGGCGGGGATGGAGGGGATGTTCTGGATAGAACCGCCGGCGGCGATGATGAGATTCTTCATGTTGTCGTCCCAGAGACCCAAGTTGATCAAGTCTCGGAGAAGCCAGGGGCATACGACCTGGAAGTCGCCAGACAGCACGCGCCGAGCGTACAGCATGGACGTGTACGGCTCAAAGCACTCGTTCCATCCGAGGATCTGCGAGGTGGAGGCGGTAGGCATAGGAGCGACGAGGAGGGAGTTGCGGACGCCGTGCTCCTTGATTTGGGCGCGGAGGGTAGTCCAGTCCCAGAGATCCGTGGGGACACGGCCCCAAAGATCAAACTGGAGTTTGCCCTGCGACATGGGCGAGCCCTCGTACGTCTCGTACTTGCCCAGATCCCGAGCCATCTCGCATGACGCCTCAAGGGCGGCGTGGTAGATGGTCTCAAAGATCTGTATGTTGAGCTCCCGAGCCGCGGGCGACTCGAAGGGCATGCGGAGCGCCATAAAGGCATCCGCAAGACCCTGGACACCGAGGCCGACGGGCCGGTGGCGCATGTTGGAGTTTTGCGCCTCGACGACGGGGTAGTAGTTGCGCGTAATGACCTGGTCCAGGTTCTTGGTGACGACCTTGGTGATCTCGTGGAGCTTCTTAAAGTCATAGACCCGCTTCTCCATGTCGACGAACGCGGGGAGGGCGAGGGACGCCAAGTTGCAGACGGCGACCTCGTCCGGAGCCGAGTACTCGATGATCTCCGTGCAAAGGTTGGACGACTTGATGGTCCCGAGGTGCTGCTGGTTGGACTTGGAGTTGGCCGCGTCCTTGTAGAGCATGAAGGGTCCGCCGGTCTCGGTCTGGGCCTCGAGGATGGCAAACCAGAGCTTCTGCGCCTTGATGGTCTTGCGCCCCTTGCCCGCCTTTTCGTACCCCGTGTACAGCTCCTCAAACTTCTCCGAGTGGACATCCGCCAGTCCCGGGCACTCGGCCGGGCACATGAGTGTCCAGTCGCCGTCCGACTCGACCCGCTTCATGAAGAGGTCGGGGATCCAGAGGGCGTAGAAGAGGTCACGGGCGCGGACCTCCTCCTTTCCGTGGTTCTTCCGGAGGTCGAGGAACTCAAACACGTCCGCGTGCCAGGGCTCGAGGTAGATGGCGAACGCACCGGGACGCTTGTTTCCGCCCTGGTCGACGTACCGCGCAGTAGCATCGAACGCACGCAGCATAGGGACGATACCGTTCGAGTACCCGTTGGTACCGGCAATGTAGGACCCCTTGGCGCGGATGTTGTGGATGTGGAGGCCGATACCGCCTGCAGTCTTGGAGATCTGCGCGCAGGTCTTGAGGGTCTCGTAGATACCCTCGATCGAGTCGTCCCGCATAGCGACGAGGAAGCAGGACGACATTTGGGGGTTGGGGGTACCGGCGTTGAAGAGGGTGGGGGAGGCGTGGGTAAAGTACCGCTCCGACATGAGGTTGTACGTCTCGATAACCTTGTCAATGTTGGCGCCGTGGATACCGACAGCGACACGCATGATCATGTGCTGGGGACGCTCGACGATTTTACCGTTGACCCGGAGGAGGTAGGACCGCTCGAGGGTTTTGAAGCCAAAGTAATTGTAGGCAAAGTCACGGTTGTAGATGATGGCCGAGTCGAGCACGTCCTTGTTGTCCATGATGATCTTGTAGACATCATCGGCAATCATGGGCGAGTGCTTGCCGGTCTTGGGGTTGGTCCATGAGTAGAGGTTGTGGACGACCGAGGAGAAGACCTTTTCAGTCTCCTTGTGGAGGTTGGAGATGGCGATACGCGCAGCGAGGATCGCATAGTCCGGGTGTTTGGTGGTGAGGTACGCGGCGGTCTCAGCGGCAAGGTTCTGATAGTCAGCGGGAGTTGGGGAAGAGTGGTGAGTAGACTCACGTCAAGCTCGACGGTGGTGATACCAGCGTGGATACCCTGGACGACCTTCTGGGTGATCTCCGCGGGTTCGACGAAGTTGGGGTCGAGACCGTAGGAGAGTTTGTTGATCTGATCGTCAGCGCATGTCCAGGGTAGAGGAGTGGAGAAGCGGTCGTGTCGCTAGGCAGCCAGGCTAGCAACGCGTCGAGGGACAGCGGGAAGGATGGGCACTCACGCGAGCAGTGACCTTGTCAAAAGCGACCGGCTCTTTGCGCCCATCGCGCTTAAAGATCCACATAACCATGTTGGCCGATGTCTAGTGTGGGTGGGAGGGGAAGTAAAGGGAAGGGGAGGTAGAAAAATGAGCGTGAAGTGGGCAAGTCGCGTCGGACGATCTGGCTGAGTCAGCTGAAAATTCGATGTCAACTGTGAGGTATCTAGGTAGCTTATGCACTCACAGAGGTGTCCGAGTGGTGTACTAGCCTTGATAAGACTAAGAGCTACAGATGATCAGACTAGGGGGGGATAATAGTGGATAGAAGGGAGAAGTATGAACGAGAGAAGAGGGGGGATATGGTTTGGACAGGCTAATAGGTCGGCGGGATCGAAAACGGACGCGACGCGCGCTGATAAATAGTTACGGCATCAGGAAATTTCGATACACGCGTTCTGATTGCGGCCCTGACATGATGTGGACACTGAAGCAGGCCGAGGAGGGGCATCCGGCATGCTCGTGTGGGTCAGTTCGGCCGACATGGGTTCACAGAGCAGTGCGGACGCCCCCCTATCGAGCTGCTTTCCAAGTGTAACCACCGCCGAAGCGTTGCGTATCCTTACGGGAACGACGCCATGTTACCATGTAACGCTTGTCGCCCATCGTCACTTACTACCCAGCTATCTGAAGATGGTCCGAAAGAAGCTGCATGGTATCACAAGAAGAAAGAACAAACAAAGAAAATCCCCATATCGACACTCCCCCTCCCACTCCCTACGCAGCCACCTCCGACTTGCGCTTCTTCTTCTTCTCCTTCTCCCCACCTGCCGGCGCTCCCCCTGAAGCTGCCGCTGCCGCCGCCTCCGCGGCCTTCTTCTCCTTCTTCTCCTTCTTTCTCCGCTTCCTCTCCTCCTCAGTCTCGCCCGCTTCCGCAGCTACCGCCGGTGTCGCTGGCGCATCCACCTCCATCGCCTCCGACTTGCGCTTCTTGTCCTTCTTCTCCTTCTTGACTTTGGTGGGTTTGGTAGGGGTCGATACGAGGCCCGCCATCGCTGCGAGTTCGGGGTCCATCGGTGCTGATACTGCGGCCTTCTTGTCTGCTTCGACCTGCGATACCGCCTAATGTTATCAGCTTGTAGTTCATATGGTGATCTGGAGTAAGCTGACCATCTCGATATCCTCCGGCTTGACATCTCCATCCTCATCGTCATCGTCATCCTCCGCGTCCAGGTCGGCAGCGATAGCCGTCAAGGCTTTTTGAATAGCGTCTGCGTTCTTCGATACTGGTGCGCCAGTCTGATAGTCAGTTCTTTTCCTTTCTGCAGAGAGGCTAAAATACCTCAAAGAAGGCTAATCTCTCCTCGACCTGAGCCCGCAGAGCCTCTCCAAACTTCTTGGTCGGTACGTCTGCCCATCAGCTCGGATCACCACAACTGAGAAGGCATTGAGCTCACCAGAGAAACAGTCGATACGGCACGCAATCGAACACTTGTTGGCCAAGAATCGTGATATTCTTCCCTTGTGCTTTGCGCCGGCACGTCCGATAAACCCAGAGTGGAAGATGAGACCGTACTGGTGTATCAGTATACATCCTTGAAAGCACAAGTAAGGGGCCAACCTTTGGTGTGTTGCCCTTGGTCTTGAGGGCTCGGAACAGGGCCTTCTCGGCACCGAGAATCTGAACCGTCGACGCGGGGTACTTGGCCAAGTTGGTCAATGAACCGCTGGAGGCTAAGCTTGGTCGCCCTGTGCGGTCCTGGCTCAACTTACGCATGGCTGATCAACCTCGCGGCGATCGTCTCCCCAATCAAAGCCGCCAAGTTTGGCGCCACCACATTCATCTTTTCGACGAGATACCTCCTGAGACTCTTGCGGTACTCTGCGAGCCTGACGACCCGCTCCGCAAAGTTGCTAATGTTGATGAGATCAATCTCGCCAATGTCGGATCCCATACTCGCGCGCGAGGCGTCAAGGACGTTGCGTGCGCGCATGGAATCGTCGTCGAGGATGGCCTGGATATCGGGGAGGGAGTCGTCGGTGAGGGTGGTCCGGTCACCAATGAGCACGGCGAGCTGAGCGTACTGGTGCGAGTCGGGAACGAGCTTGTACATTTCAGGGAAATGCCAGCCGTACCATTCCCGACAGCGCATGGAGAAGGTGTTGAGGTCCTTATCGAGTTGGTCGGAGAGGGAGATGGCTTGGATGATCATGTTGTCGGACCGGTTCACGTTGAACTACAGGTCAGTGACACACAGACTCCCGAAGAAAAAGGGCTCACCTTGACTTTACTCCGAGAGTAAGAGTGACCCAACCCCAACTGCGCAATCGCCACATCGCCCTTCTGCATCCCCTCCTTGCTCAAAATCTTCTCCTGATGCAGTCTCGCGCCTCGAATCAACTCGAGCGCCCGCTCTCCCGTATCGCACGCAATCCCCATCTCTCCCTGGATAGCACCCGCCAATCCCCTTTCCGCCACGCCCAAGATGACCGCACTAGCCTCCTTGTTGCTCTTGCCTGCCTTGCCAGTCCCAGCACCGGGAATGATGAGGTTGAGCAGCGACCGCAGGTGCGGGTTGAGAATACCCTCCGAGACGTCGTTGGCATTTTCGAGTGCCTGTGCGGCGGATGTGAAGGGGATGAAGGAGGCGAGCTGGACCATCCGGCTGAACGCCGAGTAGTCGGTTACTGCATCCTGGAGTGCTCTAGACTTGGCCGCGATTTCCTCCTGTTGCGAGACCGAGAAAAGGGCGTAGCCGCTGGCTGTTTCGAAGAGGAAGTGGGTGAGCGAGCCGGACATTGTGACTGGCTCTGTATAGATGGTAGTGTAAGGTGTTCCTCTGCTGGTTGAGGATAGGTAGCTGGTCGAGGATCGCTCGAAGATTTCGAAAAGGTCCAATATCTGCGCAAGGAGTTTCATGTATTTCTCCTGGGCAGATCTCGGCGATCTCCGCTTGGTGACCAGGCTGAAACGCGTACGTAAGGTGAAACAAGGGGATCTCGATCTCGATCGGCATGCCCACCGACAGGACTCGAGATTTCGGTCTGCCTTTCTATCCCAGCTTGACCATAGCACAAAGTACCATGGTATCGGTATTGCTAGACAAGGCAAAGGCCAAGCGTCAAGCTCCTGTATCGGTACACTTTGTAAGTGATCCGCATCAACGGCCGTTGCTGAGCTGACAGCTCTAGCTCGGGACATGTAGCGGTGTGTCCAACATCAGATGGTAATACAGGGGAGCTGATCAGATAGGCGGTGGTCCTCTCGTCAGTCGGGCATGCTCTTCGCTAGCGGTAGACTTTGGCAATGATATATGGAGTTAGTCCGTCTACTCACACCCCGGTGCCCCAGCTGACAATCATAGTATTCGATGCCGCCGATGGCACCACCGGACGTCTACACCAGTCCTCCTTGAAGATGTCCAATATCTCCCGGATCTTCATCACGCACATGCACGCAGACCATACTCTGGGTCTAGTATCCATTTTGACGCAGATCATGTGCGGCGTAGGCGTCTCAGCGGCGGATCTCGAGCGTCAAAAGGCCAAGGGGACAGATCGAAAGGTGAGCTCAGGGTCACTGTACCAGGGAACAAGCTGATACATCAGGCGGACATCAACATCTTTGGTCCGGTTGGGCTTCGGAAACTCATCAGGACTTCGCTTCAGCTGGTCGGCGCGACCTTAGCGGGAGCTTATGCGGTCCATGAGTTGCTTGGGGCAGACGAGGATGCGTCTGCGGGATGCTCGGCCGAGGAGATGTTGGTGAACGAGGCGGTGGGTAAGGATATTCGAGCGTCAGAAGAGGGTGTCTGGGAGAAGATCATGGACGAAGGTACAGGGAAGGGAGGGAGGGGATGGAGTGTGTCTGCAGGTCCTTTAGATCATCGAGGTGAGTACGCTTTCTGGCTCTGCTTGTACGCAAACGAAACTAAGCATACAGTCCCAAGCCAAGGTTACGTCCTGAACGAACCAACACCCCGCGAACCGCTCGATACCGCCAGCCTCATCCCCATTCTCACCCAACATGCCGCTGCTCTCAAACAGTACGATCCGCCTGTCCACCACCCCCTCTCGGTTCTTTCCCACCTAACTTCTCTTCCCCCTCCCCCGCCATTTGTCCTTCCCGACGGATCATCTCTGCACCCACCCCCACTCTCCGGCCAACCCCCCCGCAAACTCGTCATCTTTGGTGACTGCAGCGGTGGAACTCCCAACTCTACATTCCAAGCCATGTGCGCCGACGCCAGTCTGCTCGTACACGAATGTACGAACGCGCACATTGCCGAGCCCTACCAAAAAGGCGAGAAGGGACGGCGTCTACGCGTGGGCGGGCTGGAACATAGCCTGTTGAAGAAGAAGGAGGTGAATATGGGGCATCCATTAGGCGAGGAAGCGATCAAGGGTCCGAATGTCGGCGAGGATGCGGAAAAGAAGAGGGAAGAGGTGCAAAAGAAGGCGAGGTCGAGGGGTCATTCGACGCCAAAGGAGGTGGGCGAGTTTGCGAAGGCCATAAAGGCCAGGAGGGTGGTCATCAATCACTTTTCAGCAATGTAAGCTGGCTGTCTCGCAGGTCGTGATGCTCAGCTGACATGCAGGTTCCCATCCCCGCGATATCACACTTCCTCCCCATTCCCATCCCTCTTATCGCCCACTTCACCCTTCCCCGCGCCTACGCCCTACCCCATGACACACTCGTCGGACCCACCAATACCGCCCCTCCCTCTCACATCCACCGAGCTCCACACACGGATAATTATGCAAAATATCGCCGATCAGGTTAATGAAGTATGGAATGGCGATGGCCTCGGGGAGGTGCAAAGGCAGTGCGTGCCAGCGAGGGATTTCATGGTTGTGCGGATACCGGGACATGAGCTTGACGAGGTTGAAGTGGACGAGCAGGGTGAGATGGGGAGGGAGGTGAAGGAGGTGATGGCGAGTTGGGCGGAAGATGGGGGTGCATGGGTAAAAGAGGGCAAGGAGAAGCGGTGGGTTGGGGTGTCGGAGGCGCCTGGCGAGACGTAGCGGGAATCTGTGTGGGAGACGCCTTATGCACCAGACATATCCCGACGCAGGACCCACTGTAGGGGCTGCCACTGCACACTCGTTATTCCTATGAACGGTTGGCTCTGGCGGCACCTGGCTCACCTTCACCCTGAGCTGCCTCCATGCCTCCACCGGCCTCCACCTCCATCCTCCATCGATCATCTCCACCTCCACCGTGCCGTCATTCTTGCGGCAATGTGCCACACCTCCACCCATACACCGGCACTAGGAGCCGAAGATAAAGGCTGACTTGTGAAGTCATGGATGCGCCGCCCCCTTCTCCATCATTGTCACTCACTAGAACATCTCATACCCATACTCCCGACCTTTCAAACACTTACTCGAACACAAAATGGTCAAGCCGTACGAGGAGAAAAGTGCGGCAGACTACGAGCCCGAGTCAGCGGACACGGGCCGTGCAGGTACGTCCCTTGCATCCCTGCCCTCCTTCCCCTTCCCCTCTCTCTTCTGCCCGCGATTCCACCTATCTCTCGGACAGGACACCATGTGCTAATGGCGCTGACAAGTAGGCATGGGCGACATCTTCAAGCCCGCCCCCAAGCCTGACTCGGAGTTGCGCAAGTACCGCTTGCTTAGCCCTAGTGCAGGCGTGCGCGTCTCCCCGATCTGTCTCGGGGCGATGAGTCTCGGAGACCAGTGGACCAAGTTCATGGCTGGAAAGTTGGACGTTAAGGAGGCTGAGGAGTACCTCGACTACTTCTAGTGAGTTGCGCGAATACCTGAATGGCGTTTTGACCGCGGCTGAGACTTTACAGCAAGGCCGGCGGGAACTTTATCGACACTGCCAACAACTACCAGGACGAGCAGGTAAGCTGACGAGCTCCTATCAGCCATAGGTACATCAGCCAGCTAACGTTCAGTCCGAAATGATCGTTGGAGAATGGATGGAGAAGCGCGGCATCCGGGACGACATCGTCCTCGCCACGTGAGTTTTCCCCCTCCTCCCTCCTCTACCTGAGCCTTAGCTTACCCTTTATCAAGCAAGTTCACCACCTTCTTCCCTAATAGACACGCCCAACAGTGGACCGAGAAACGTATCGGAGTCAACTACGTCGGGAACGCCAAGAAGTCTTTGAAACACTCGCTCGAGGCTTCGCTCAAGAAGCTCCGAACGGTGAGTGTCCTGTCCAATCCCTCTGCGGTCAACCCCAGCTGACCAGTGAAAGGACTACATCGACCTCCTCTACGTACACTGGTGGGATCACTCGACGTCCATCCCGGAGTTGATGCAGAATCTGGCCGAGGTGGTGCGAAGCGGCAATGTGTTGTACTTGGGGGTGTCGGACACGCCTGGTGAGTGCTTTTTTGCCTTTTCTTTGGCTCAAAACCCGGTCGGACCGTTGGATGAGCTGATCGGGTAGCTTGGGTCGTTGCTCAGGCGAACGAGTATGCTCGTGCACATGCTCTCCCGCAATTTGTAGTCTTGTAAGTCATACTTGACATCCGCGCTCTGAAACATGAGGAATGTAGCTCATAGTTTCAGCCAAGGGCTTTACAACTACGCCGTGCGGGACATGGAGCGCGACATTATTCCTATGTGCAGGAACAACGGCATGTCTATTGGTGAGCTTTGTCCTTGCCGATAGTCGATATAGGGATCCAGGCTGACACATTAGCGCCCTGGGGAATCATGGGTCAAGGTCAATTCAAGCCAGCCGAAGATCTCGCCAAGAAGGGTCTCCGTGGTGGAGCGACTGAGCAGTCCGCGGCCAACAAGAAGATCTGTGATGCTCTGGAGGAAGTCGCCAAGGAGATTGGAGGGAACACCAAGTTGGCTCACGGTAAGCTTTCCCAGCCTTCTTGAGATCTGCAAGGGTGAGCAGAGCTGACCTGACAGTTGGTATGGCCTGGGCGAGGCAGATGTACTCTGCGACATTCCCCATCCTCGGCGGAACCTCAATCGAGCACTTGCAGAGTAACATCAATGTGAGCTGTCTCTCCCCGCGTAGCCTGGGGGACGCTCAAAAGCTGATACAACCAGGCGCTCAGCCTTACCCTCACCGACGAGCAGATGGCCAAGCTCGACAAGGCCGCTCCGTTCGACCATGGGTTCCCGACTGGCCTATTCGGGGTTGACCCTAGGTTGCTCCCTGAGCAGTCGCCCCAGTCGCCTTTGCTTCTCCAAGTGTGTATCAGTACTTGGCATGGCGTGAGAACTTGAGCTGATAGAATAGGCTGGGCATGTCAAATACCCCAAGGCCGTTTGAGCGTCGCGCAGGGTCGTGAACTTTTGAGTGGAGATGGAAATGTGCAGAAAATTGATGCACCGTATATATACATGTGTCGCCCGCGACAAGCATTCAAGTTTGTCGTCCCTCGCAGACAACGTTAGGGATTCTGCCAGCTGATCGCTGCGTCGGACGTCTACATCCGCACGGTTCATCAATCAATCTGAATCCAAAATGTTGAGCTGGTGAGAGGCGAATGAGCACACAGCATCAAGTCGGACCGTGAAGAGGCCTATGCTATACATTTGGGACTAACTTACGCCGAGGTCAAGCCCTTCTTCTCGAGGTACTCGACGATCTGCGCAACAGCTCCAGCAACGTCCACCTCGTCCGTCCGGATGTGGATCTCGGGGTTTGGTGGGGCCTCGTACGGTGCTGAGATCCCCGTGAACTCTGTACAGTCAGCACATACCCCTGCCGTCTTCTCCTCTGCCTTTTCCTCTGATACCCCCTACTTCTTGCTCCGCAACGTGACTCATGACTCACCCTTAATCTCCCCAGCCCTGGCCTTCTTGTAAAGTCCCTTGGGATCCCTCGACTCTACCACGCTCAACGGCGCATCCACAAACACCTCAATGAACGGGATCGGTCCAGGCTTGTGCTTCTCGTGCAGCTCCCGAGCGAGCTGACGGTCCGAGACGTAGGGGGAGATGAAAGCGGTGACGGTAAGAGCGCAGGATTCCGAGAAGAGCAGCGAGACTTCTCCTATCCGGCGAATCTGCAGGTCAGCCCCAGCCTTTTCGGCATCTACTGCTTGACGGACGCACGTTCTCCACACGCGAAGCAGGATCAAACCCCAAATCCTTGTTGAGCCCAAACCGGATGTTGTCCCCGTCCAGCCGATAAGCGTGCAGGCCCTTGTGCAGGAGGTGCTGTTCCAGCGCGGTGGCAATGGTGGATTTGCCGGAGGCGGAGAGACCAGTGAGCCAGATGGTAGCTCCTTGCTGCTTGAGGAGCTTGGCGCGCTCGTCCTGGGTCACGGCGCCTGATTGATCAGCTCAGCTCAGGCTTTAGACCGATGTGCGAGAAGAACCGGTAAGCTCACCCTCGTGGAAAGTGATGTTGGTGGCCATTGTAGATGCTGAGGCGCTGATCCGGTGAGTGTAATGGGTGAGCTGTTCTGGAAGGTAGCGTTTGTTAAGTGATGATCAAGAAGATGCCTCTGATGAGCCTCCTGCTGTTCAGAAAAGTAGAAATCAATCACGTCATTGCCGGTCACGCGCTCTTCCAAATTCACTTTACGAGATGAGGAATGTGGCGCAGAGACTCTAAAGTTTGTTCGGGCTGGACAGAGCCTCCCTCTCTTCTCTCACCCAAGAGGTCGGCGTTGAATCAGATAGGACTAGACAGTGAGTGAACAGTAGTACAGATGTCTTCAGTAGTCCTGTACTGATATCCGAAGCTGTCGTGGGGGCTACGGGAACCTCTATACAGCCTATCTCCGAGTGATACTTGACGAGCGATGGGTGTATTGTGTCAGCATATCATACACGATTATGCAGATCGCATGAGATGTGTCATATCCTTTGAAAGCCTCTCTTCGGCGTACAGTGCACAGAGCAACTACACGAAGCACCTTGAAGGTATGGTCAGCTCTGAAACACGGTGAAACTGGGCGCGCACGGGTCAGCCTCTTGCTTATGTAACCCGTCATACCGCTAGGCGAAGGCGGCCGCGGCCGGGAAAAGTCGCAGCTAGACTTCACGTCTCTACTCTTTCATAGCAAGCCCATCATGAGCGCATCCAGGGCCTTCCGACCGCTCGGGCAGGCCTTCAGGCCGTCAGTCGCGGCTCACGCCCGAGTAGGGCTCTCGACGACCGTTCGGCAAGCGTCCACGTCGGGCCCGGCCGGTACTGCTCGTCGGTTCGTCAAGACCACTATCCTCCTGGCATCAGGCGCTGCGTTCTTGGCATACCACTATGATTCCCGGTCAATGCTACATGACAAGATAGCGATGCCATTCATCCGACTCTTGGACGCGGAAGACTCGCATAAGCTGGCCATCAAGATGTTGGGGAATTGGTGGATACGTCCGAGGGATAAGGGCGTTGATGGGCCAGAGCTGCAGGCTGAGGTGAGCTATATAGATGCTTCAGATCTGTCTCGATGGTCTGGCAGGAAGCTGACTCGCTCTCCAGCTCTTCGGTCTTCCTATCTCGAACCCCATTGGTATGGCTGCCGGATTCGACAAGGACGGAGACGCTATAGATGGGTTGTTCGACCTTGGATTTGGGTATGTAGAGGTCGGAAGTGTGACGCCGGTATCTCAGGTAAGCAGTGATCTGAACTCTCGAGTCTGGACTGTCGCTGACGAGCAGCCCGGAAACCCCAAACCTCGCTTCTTCCGCTTGACAGAAGACGACGCCGCCATCAACCGATACGGCTTCAACTCACTCGGTCACGCCCACATGCTCGCTTCGCTCCGAGCCCGCGTCCGTGACTTCTCCCGCTCACATCCCTCCCTCTTCCCACCACCTACCAAAGGTTCCATCCCCCTCCCTCCTTCCGGTCTCCCAAGATCACTCCGTCCGGGACACCTCCTCGCCGTCAATCTCGGGAAAAACAAGACATCCCCGGCTGACTCGAACGACGACTATATCCGCGGTGTCCGGCTATTGGGACCATATGCCGATGTGGTGGTCATCAACGTGTCTTCGCCCAACACTCCCGGTCTGCGGGCGCTGCAGGGCAGAGAAGTGCTCGAGAAGCTGTTGACGGATGTGGTGGAGGAGCGGAACAAGATCAAGGTGGATGGGCTACCAAAGATCGCGGTCAAGGTGACGTGTGATCTGTCAGAGGAGGAGCTGGGGGATGTGGCCAGTGCTGTACGAAGCAGCGGGGTCGAGGGTGTCATTGTCAGCAATACGACTATCAAGCGAGACCTTGGGTTGAAATCAGGTGAGCTAGCTCGATACTCCCTGCTTGAGCCAAGCTCACGCGATAGCAAACTCGTCCCAAGTCGGCGGTCTCTCCGGTAAACCCCTCTTCCCTCTCGCACTTCAAGCAGTCAAGACGCTCCGACCCCTCCTCCCTCCATCCATCCCCGTTATCGGCTGCGGCGGTATCGCCTCCTCTTCCGACGCCATCACCATGGCCCGCGCCGGAGCAGCCACCGTTCAGATGTACACCTCGTTTGCATACCGCGGAATAGGCGCGCCCCGTCTGCTCAAAGATGAGATCTCGGCGGATCTGGTCCGAGACGGGAAATCGTGGAAGAGCGAGATTGGGGCGGACTGGGCGGATAGGGAGATGGGATGGGACGAGAAGAGGCTGGAGAAGGAGAGCAAGGCGCTCAAGGAGGAGGCGGAGGACCTGGGGCGGTTGTTGAGAAAGTCGAGTGAAGAGAAGGATACGGCGAGGTTGATCAAGGAGGTGGAGGCGGCGTTGAGCGGGAAGCGGGTGTCTCAGCCGGATAGCTCGAGCACGGGAGGCGAAGCGGCAGAGGGAGGAGCGAGGGATAATTTGGCGGGCGCACAGCCGGGATCTCCTTCCGCCCAGCCTGCGGGAACACCAAAAGCGGCGGAGGGTGGTGAGAAGTCCGCACCGAGCGCAGCATCACCGACACCAACGGATAAAGCGGTCGAGGCGCCACAACAGGGAGGTGTGCACGTCAGCGAGCCATTAGGTGGGCCACTGGGTCCGATCGTGGTACAGCAGGTACGGCAGGTGGACGCGCCGTTTGTGCCGAAGCCGAGCGCGTTTACTGGCGAGGTCCGGGAGGGGAAGAGGCGGTTGGTATGATCAGCGGTGGTGCATACATCCAACACATTTGCACTGATACTCAGCCTCCAGGCTAGCAGGTTGAGCACATGGAGCCTGACTGATTTTTACGTTACTGCTGCTCTGTGTCGTTAGTGATGGCCTCCATTTCAGCCCAAGGATTTCGACAATCGTCTATAGCGAATGCCGCTGACTATTGGCCTGTGGAGGAAGCTAATCGCTACCCGATTTGTGTCGACTACGAGGCCTCGACAGAGAGTTACTGACAGTTGTCAGGGGTAAGGTTCTTCCTTTGACCAAACAGCCGTTGTAACGTGCAAGAGGAAATGACGAGAGTAGAGATAATGGCGAGTGACGCCGTTTCCTCCCTTTCTCTAAGACGGGGCGCCGTACATGGTACGCAAATTACCAACCATGTACCAGCACTTCATACATCCCGGTCTTTGTTGGACCAGAACGCCTGTGACTTGTTTTTTTGATAGACAGGACTACCTGTGCTAAGAGTCCAACGTTCAGGGGCCAGGTCGAATACACAGATATCGATCCGTGGAGGCGTACATATTTTATAGGGGCTACAGCTGGAATCTCTTGCCTATTCGCCATCCGACCCTGAGACATAATGAGATTCTGCCCCAGCAATATGCCACTACTAGCTCAGTTAATATCATGCTGAACGCCTTACAGGAAGTCAACAGGAAATCATACGCGTCGGAGTGTCGGAGTCTGAGGACCGCGACGCGAGACTTTGTGTACTCCGCCCCAATCTATGTCCGACATCGCCTACTTGCTAAAGCCATCCGAGGTGGGTCGAAACACTCCGGATGTCGGCTCCTGTATCCCGCGGAGATACTCTCTGCAGCTGCATGCGCGCCGTACATATGAGCCTCGGAGGGGGGCCTGAATCTGACGCAGGCATTGGCTGCACCGCTGCAGAGAGCTGCACTCGGCGCTCGCCCACGCTGCTGAGACACGTCAACGACTGCTCATCGACTCTCCGACCGTTTTATTTCGTGCCAGACTCGCCCTCGTGTATCAGATTCAGACTGCGCACCACTGAAGTGTTATGTACTTCAACGACCTGCCGACCGTCACTCTTCCCGCCCCCGAATCGCGATCAAAATACCAGGGGAAATTTCACCTTACCAGCTCAAAGTACCTGAGGAAAGATGACTACCCGATCCTCCAATCCCAATCACTCCCAACCCTCCGAGAGATGCGAGTACACGATTCACACTCGTGTGACACCTGCGATGTTGCGCCAGACCGTCTCAGACAGCCTGCTTGCTCGTCCCATACTTGCAGGAGAACAACAACTCTCGGTAGAAGAGGTTGCCGCCGCCGTCGACCGTTCCAGGCATCTGGAATACGTGTACGCAACCACTCCCTCGCTTACGCTGGCCTCAGCTGAAATACGCCTCGAACCCAGGCCGGCATACCTGAGTCTTGGACACGAGGGTGCATGTACTTCCCAAGAGGGTACCAGCGAGTGCACGACGCAGCACATCCCAGTACAATGGCGAATCCTGGCTCGGCCCCTCACTGAAGATGCACAGATGGTATTGGGGAAGACAACTTCCATTTGCGCGGTTCATTCAGGCCAGCCGAGTCTTCTCAAGGTTGACCCCAGCGTGTTACCCTCTCTACCAGCCCAGCAAGAACTTGCGCTCTGGGGCGAGAGTATGTCGCACATCCAAGACAGTGCCATTCGCGCCACATACCCACTCTTCATGGACTCGGTGACCGATGTGCGCAGCGACACAAGCGGGCCGGCAGAAACGTTTGCCTTGTCGACTGGAGAAGAGTACTGGCTGGGCACACACACAGCCACGCTCGTCGGGGCCTTCTGGCGAGGTGGTGAGGCGCAAGGAGCGGAGTGCATCGCTCGGTTTCCGATAGTCTTCATGGCAGTGCTTGAGCCTGCCAAAGACGCGTGAAGACGAAGATGACGTTGTGAACCCTGCGACGCTTACTGTTAGTGGGATGAACATTGACTACGTACCTGGCGCCGGTATGCATGACTCGATGACAGTGGCGAGATTTCAGCATATGCGGGCCACGAGCAGTCGAGTCGGGGAGGGTCTGTAGGAGCAAACATGAGGCGATGCATATAGTCGCGTGAGAAGTAAGGAAGCAAGCAAAGTTCTTGCGCCTGGTCAATCGATTATCAGTCTCGCAATGAATACATCAGTCTGTCTGGGTCCAGGAAATACTTATTCCTTTCTGACTTCATGCACTCGTCATCCTTGCCCAGTCTAGCCCCCTCTCCCCACGTCTGTAAGTATACGAATCTAGGTCCGGAAAGGTCGAGAATCAGTCACAGGAAGACGGACGGGCAAACACTACGTAGATCGTTCATAGGTATCGGGCGGAAAAGGGAACATGGGGTTGTTACTGAATTACAAGAACTGGACGGTCAGCTTCTACGCTTTCCACATGGTCAAGCAAGGCGGAACTGACATAGTCTGGTGGACGCCTGGAAACGAGGGGCTCGCCGGCCCGGGGTGCGGGGTCGAATTGGAGGAACGTGTACTTTAGTGCGTCGTCTACTTCGAGAATCGCAGCTTGGTTGCCGCATCGGTAGCAGTAGTTGGGTGCCGAGAAGATGGTCACGACATTACGTTCTTGCGACCACCTAGAGATGTGAGCTCTGCGCAATTGTTCGGACCTGGCTAACTCACGAGAAACCCTCCATCACGAGCTGATGCGCCCGGGCGACCAGTGTCAGGCCGTTATTGTGGTCTGCAGAGTCAGCTTAGGGTTCCGTCGTACCGGATCAACTAGCTGTACTCACTAAACGCCTCTGAAATGTCTTGCCCGAACGTATATCCCGCTCCTCTAGGACTTATACCCCAACCGCACCGGTCATCCGGGTCTGACCATAACAAGTCACACATCGGTCCTTCGTGCGGCACCTCCTGAATCCGGTCGATCGCGCGGATATGGTCGAGCGTGTCGATCGAGGGGGAGAGACCACCGTGAAGGCAGAAGATCTGTTTCTGAGTCAGCTTGCCTCCCCGGCGATCATAGCGGAGTACCGAGCGCACCTGGTTGTCGATCAAAGCAGTCAGAGGCAAATAATCAAACAAGTCCGTAAAGTACTTCCAGACGTTTGCGTTCCCGTACTTGCGCAGACACTCGTCGTAGAACCCATACACCTGGGTGATTTGCCGACTCTCGTGATTGCCGCGGAGGATGGTGACGCGGTCGCGATAACGGAGTTTGAGCGAGACGAGGAGGGTGACGGTCTCGACGGAATAGTAGCCACGGTCGACATAGTCGCCCATGAAGAGGTAGTTGGTATCGGGGGAATTACCGCCTATGCGGAACAGCTCCGACAGGTCGTGCTGCGGGTCAGCCTGCAATCTGGCACATCTGATGTATACTGAGTCTCTGATCAAGATGCAGACTTACAAATTGACCGTGGATATCACCGCAGACAGTGACGGGGCATCGGACAGGTTGGACGTTGGATTCTTCCATGAGCACCTCGCGAGCCTGGTAGAGTCAGCTTGGTTCCTGAATGGGGCGATATAGGAGCCAAACAAAGACCCAGCGATCTCCAGATACAGGGCCAGACTAGACTCCGCGCTGTCATGGTCAAGATATCTCCTCCTCAGTGGTCCCTGTTGACGAGCATCGGCCGACTAGCCAACCCGCCGCCGAATGGGAATGAAGCGCAAACATCCCTCCTCATTCCTATCCCTAGGCTTCCTCCAGAACATCCACCACCGACCAGTCCACGAATCCCTGCTCGAACCTCCTGCCGGCCTCCATTCCCCAACATGCCCCTTGACATCACCCTCCACACACCAAGGCCACGCCCGAGTTCAAGTCCAAGCTCCACTCCACTCCAGCCCAGCTCAACTCACCTTATCGCACAGCTTCTTGACCTCCGTCTCGCTCAGCGGCTTGCACTGCATCAACTGCGAGATCCACCCGTCAACTTCACCATTCATCGCCATGTTGCCGAGGACCGCCTAGGGGTATAGGTAAGGGGATGGTCGAGGGCGCCTGGGTGGGGCGATAACGGGTTCGACGTGGAGTCGGCTTCGCTCCGCTTTCTTGGTCGTTGCCCGAAGCTCTGTGTGCGTGTCGCGGAACTATATGGACGGCCTGGAGTTGTCCTAGTCGCGTGATGTACGGTAGTTTGAGCTCCTTTGTATGGATGTATATAGGTGTAAAGGACAATAGACTATAGCAGGTAACGCGCATCATCGGAGCAAGCAAGTCGCGCTAGAGCCAAGCGGCTATTCCCGCTTATTCCCGCAAAGTGGCACTAGAGTACAGCATTCCTCACCAGACTTTGTCCTCCAACTCGCAGCCAGACCCCAAGTGACATGCATATACACATCACAAGATGCCAGATAAAGCTCTTCTCAACTCTCTGCCGACTGCTCCTCATGCTGCAACTCCTTCTGGCTTGATTTCACTTCCCATTTTTCACCAAAAGATACCCCTTACTCCACCGCCGCCGCGGCCGCTCCACCCCTCCCCCTTCCACCTCGGCCTCTCCCTCCGCCCATACCTCGTCCGCCTCTTCCTCCCCTTCCGCCTCTTCCGCCATTCTGTACCGGCTCTTGCACATGAGGCTGAGCCTGAGCCTGAGGCTGAACAGGCCCGGCCTGATGCACCTGCACCAGCCCAATAGCCGCTCCCAGGTCCGCAGCAGTCGCCGCCTGCGCAGGCTTCACAACCGCCGGCTTGGGCGCACTGGCCATGCCGCTCCCTTGTCCAGGGAGGGACTTGACGGGCAGATGCGCTCCGCGAGGCGGCATGACGTACGCCATCCTTCCCTCCTGCGCCTGCTTTTGAGCGGACACGATCCGCTGTTGACCGGTAAGGACCGAAGCGAGGTGGTTCTGGTGTTGCTGCTGCTGGCCGGCGCCAGGGGCGACATACTGATGCGGCGCAACGGGCGGGGGCCGGATTCCTCTGGCGGCATTGCCGTACCCCATCCCGCCGTTGACTGGGGCGGGTTGCCGAGCGTGATTCGACAGGACCTGGACGGGCCGGGAAGAGGGGTTGGCTGGCCGGTAGTTCTGCATCTGGACAGCAGGCTGGGGTCCGAGCTGCGGCTTGAATGGCGCACGGTGGCCAACCGGAGCGGGCTGCGTCTGCTCGCCGATGGCGAATTGCGGTCGAGTGAGGTTCAGGCAGGTTGTAAAGTTGACGGTGGAGCCACGGTAGTCTGAGCATCTACATTGTCAGCTTTGTCTCGCACCATGCGGGAAATCGCCAAACTCACCTTCCCTGAAGAGTCTCTCCACCCATGAACGGCACATCCCACACCACATCAATATCCTTGTTCCCCATACCCACCACCACCCCCTTCATCGCGAGCGGCACCCCGCCCGCCGCCGCATCCTGCACCATAATGACCCGGTCTCCAATGGAGAAGCTCTGGCCCTGGAGCCGGTAATTGGCATGAGCGGGCTTGAGGGCCGCTTGGCGTGGGATACCGCGCACGAGCGCTCGCTTGATGATATCGGGGGTCTTGGCGACGAGGAATGAGTCGGCAAGGGCTTCAATAGCCTTGACGGTTTCCTGGGTCGTCAGCTATGATATTCAGACCTCGATCCAATTCTCACAGCTCACCTTCTCGAGCTGCTCCGCAAAGAGCGAGACCGGCTCCATATCGACCAGCCCCTCGGCCTTCAACCACTTCTTCATCTCCTTGATGACCGAGTCCGGGTTCTCAGCAGTCGGGCAAAGCTCTGACGAAGTAACAATATCTACCAATCATCAGCACTTCTGCTCTTCCACCTTTGTCTTCTCCACTTCTGACTGAGAACTCACCTCCACCCCTCGAATCAAAGTAATGGAACGGCTCCGGAAACGCCGCCTTGTACTTTTCCAGCGTCTGCGCCGTAACCTCCGAAAACTCCCAACCTCGGTCATTCCGCCTCGAGTACCCCAGTACCTTCAAACCCTTACTCTCAAATTTCAGCGCAAGACCGATATTGGTCTTGGAGCCGTCGGTGAGCTGGACGAGGAGCGTCGAGGTGATACGCGAGAGGGAGAGGGCGGAGATTCCGATTCGGCGGCAGAGGACGGGCGAGGGGTAGTACCGGCCAGCAGGGCGGTGTGTGACGATTCGGGTGAATTCGGCATTCTCGCGGCTTTCGTTGGGGAAGAACTGGAGAGTCAGCTCTTTCTTCGAATCAACGATCTGCGAAGCTGAGCTCACAGCTAGATTGATATCCATGGCCTTCTCGCCGGTGGAGGTGACTTGAGCAGCCGCGCCATAAGCCATATGGCCCAAGAAAATGACCTTCTCGCCGACCGGGAACTCGTCCTTGAGCGGTGGCGGTGCCTTCTCCTGATAAATGTCAGCTCGTGCTCGCAGATTGCAGCGCCCACTTCAACTGACCATGAAGCGCTCATCCTCAAACGCCACCTCAGACACAGCAAGCTGATACGGCTGGACCAACTCCCTCTCCTGGGTTTCATAATCCTTCACCAGAGCGCCCGTATCGAGCCTCTTCAAACCTGCCTCATCAGCCACTCCCTACTTCTCCTAGTCCTTGTCCTAGGAAACAAACTCACCCTTCAACGGCCTCACATGCAAAACCACCTCCACATGCCCCGTAATTACTCCAAACCGCTTACTCTGATGATGCTCCGCATGATCCGCTGCTTTACGCCACGACACCGCCTGGAACGGATTATGGGGGTTGCTAATCACCTTGGCCGACTTGCCCATCTGTTGCAACTCATATTTGAACATGTCGTCCGAGACGGCCACGACCATCCCTTCGTGCAGGTATGGCCAGGCATGATACGTCTTGCGTCCAATCATCGACTTGGCGATATCGGCCGTCTTGGGTCGATCGGCCTTGGGGGACGTGAGCGTGATGACCATGCTCTGATTACGCGAGTCGGACTGGAAGACGGATACGCCGTGGTAGCCCAGCGCGCCGTTGTGCGGGAGCGTGTTGAGCGAGGGGAAACCCGCGAGGGCGCCAGAACCGAGGTGTACGCCCTCGAGAAGACCGTGAATCAGGTCGACGCCGTTCCCGAGGGTAGGAAGGTCAAAGGGGCCGGAACGGCATCGCGAGGCGACAATGTCGGGGAAGAAACCGGGGTGCGAAGAGGGATAGGTTGAGGCGACAGTGTCGTCAAAGGTGAATTGAGTGCTGAGGACATTGCCGTTGTTTCGAGACTTTTCTTCCCCACTGAGACGGGCATCCCGAGCTGGGTTGTCAGTTTACTTCCCGCGTAGTGGTTCGAACGAAGAAGACAACTCACGAGCCATAGCCTTCAACAACCTCTCCTGATCAATGAACGGAATCTTGACGACCGCCTCCCAATCCTGCTTCTTCCCATTCATGTCCAGCTCAAACTTGGTCGGGTAGAAGTCGATGATGGGCGATGTCTCCTCAGTCATCAAGTCCTGGACGGTCAGCTATCTCTCAGACCACAATGGAGGCCGAATTAGCTCACTCGGTAGACCGCGGGCACATGCTCCTGACTCTCGGCCGGCAGCACACCCATCAACTGCTGATACGGGGTGAACGGCTTGCCGTATTCGAACTTGAAGTCAAACTCCTCGACTCGAGTCAGATCTAATGCGTGAGCTCTCATACTGCCACGTTCGCAGCGCGGATAGCTCACCTGTGATCCTCGGTGCGTAGTGGTATGGGTAGAACCAAGACCAACTCGACACTCCCTTGTAGTAGTAATTCAGAATCCACTGCAACCCCTCGATATACTTGAACGAGACCTGCCGGCTTTCTTCGGGGGTATCACATTCGAGTTTGTCCTGGTTGCATCAGCTTCTTCTCCTGTTTCGCGATCGCGGAATCGAGGCAACTGACCTTGTAATAAGTCTTCTTCCACTCTTCCAGCTTGACCTTCATCTTCTCCTCGTACGTATCCTCCCAGTTCTCATCCACATTCTCCACCACCTTGGCTTTATCGTACTTTGTCAGCACACGCTGGATCGCTACGTCCCCCTCGTCCTCTTGCTGATCTTCGGCCGCATCCGACCACTCCCCATCCTCTTCTGCTCCCTCCGCTTCCCCGTCCTCGCCGTCCTCAGATACACCCTCCATGTTGAAGGTGGCGACGATGATGTTTTGCCCATAATCGTCCGTCTCGTCCCATGTGAGGTGGAGGTGCAGGTCGTCCGATAATTCCTGGAGGAATCGCCGGTCCCGCGCGGCGAGGTCGTTAGGCCATGTCCAGCGATCGGTTGCGGTCGGCTTGGACTTGTTTTTGGAGACGAACTTTTTGAGCGAGGTGTAGATTTTCTTTTGGTCCTTTGTGATGACTATCAGATCAGCTAAGTGCTTGGAAGTATCATCGGCCAGCCAGCTGATACCCACCCATCTTGCCCTTCTTCCTGGCCTTCTCCATCGCCTCAATATCCTTCTGCTGCTTCCCCTTGTACCAATTCTCATCGGCAAACTCTTCCTCAAAATTGTCCCTCTCGAACTGCGCCAATCGATCCAACATCATCTGAAGACGGGGCAACGAGATCGTTCCGTGTTCATTGATGTACCCGCCTGACCCATCAGCCTTTACTCCCTTCTCCCTTCCCCCCTCGGCGAACAGAAGGACTTACCAGCCGTCGGCAGAATTTCCTTGTATATCCCCCAAATCCGCTCGAGCGCCCCTTCATTGATATGCAAATCAGGCAAATGGGGCAAAAAGTCGTTCCCGACGAAAATACCCATCAGGATGAAATCATCAATGATGCGCTCGAGGTCATACCCAAAGGGGATTTGGGCGGTGAGGGACGAGAACTCCAGGTCGAGGTATTCTCGGAGGAGGGATAGGTGGAGGAGGAAAAAGTTGGTCCCGGAGAGGCTATGTCGTCAGCTTTTGGCCACTCGCAACGAACTCGGCAGCTGAACTCACCCAGTAGACTTCTTGGTCTTCCGCCCAAAGGTGACTTCTTCTCGTAAGAGACAGAAGTGGGGGTCATGGCTCAGCAAGCCGAGCATGATGAGATCGGCGTCGAGGCCGTACAGACAGTGTCTGGTGTTGGGGTTGCTGCCAAGTCAGCTCATCTGCCATTGCCGTCGCAGCAGGCCGCGCAGCTCACTAGTCGGGCTGAGCCTTGGTAAGACGGATAAATTCCTGAATCTTGTGCTCGCCTTCTCCTGGGACCTGCAAAGTCAGCTATCCGCTCTCGTCGCAAGACGTATAATAGCTCACGTCGTGTCCGCTCAGGATGACCTTTACATTCCGCCACTCGGCATCCTCTGTGATGCGCTTAGTGACATAATACTTGAGATGCGCCGAAAGACGAGCCATGAATGGAGTACCTAAGCAATCAGCTGTGTCCTCGCTATCGCGATCCGGGGAACGCCAAACTCACCCGGCGTGATACAATTCGAGTCAAACGCCTTCTCCTCTGGCAACTTCTCTCCCTTCCTCTCCGCCTCCTTACGCTGCTCCACCGCGTCCCGTGCGGTCCTGAACCGCCTACTCCGCTGCTGGTTCATCTTGGCCCTCGGCGCAACACCGTCAATCGCCATAAAGAAGACCTTTTGCGGCTTGATCTTGGTAAACAAATGATCGATATATGCGAATATAGCGAGAATCATTTGTTCTTCGGTTATTCGGAAGTGAGGATCGTTCTCTGACGATGCGGGATGGGAGCAGTTGTGGATGATTCCGTTCTGTCGATCAGCTCTGGCGGAAGAAAGGGGGAGAAGGAGGACGCACCATGTCCAAATACAAGTTGTCGAATGTGGGGATGTTGTTGGGTGTGATGAGCTGGGAGGTGAGGGGGTACCTCTCCGAGATCCAGCGGAAGAACTAGAGGTCAGTACGGGCACGACCCCACCGTAAACAGGACGAACCTTAGGGATACCTGTCGCGTCAGCCTTTGTCCCGTATCCAGTCTGTAAGGTATGACTTACCCATCTTGAATGAGAGCTCCTTGAGTTAAGTGAAAGAGTAAAGGGGTAGTAGTGCTCGATGCACGAGGTGGTGGATGAAGCGAAGCCAAAGTCGAAGGCGTGGGTGACGCTAGCGCTAAGACCCGATCGAAGTGGATCGAGAGGGTATATGACTCTAGTTCCTGGAAGGAAAAACGGGGGGTATCTATGCAAGCTAGAGTAGACCTCTGTAGGGGGGTGTACAATGACCGAAGCGCTTAGACAACGAAGACAAGAGAGGGAGAGGGATGAAAGGCAGATAGAAGAGGAGGTTGACGACGAGTAGAGCCAGAGCCAAGCGAGGATCGGAGCCGCCGTCCGATACAGTTCCGTCGGAAGCGGGATCATAATTTCAGCTCTAATCAGCGATCCTCACTCAGAAGCAGCATCGACTATACCTAGCCCTACCTACAGCTATGAACGCCCAAAATGCCCAAGCGGGCCCAAGCACGCCCCTCCGAAGACCCGCACAGACCATCCCGGCCCCAGAAGAAATGCCCTCGGGCTTCTTAAAGTGGCGCTCGGGCCTAGCGCAATTTACGGGCCTCGGGCTGTCCGAGGCGGAGAAGCAAGAACGGGAGGAGGCCAAGGCGAATGATACGCTTGCAAAGGACTGGGATCGGTGTGAAAAGTACAAGCGGGAGTTGATGAAGGATAGTATGTTGTCCACTTGTTTTTGTTCTGGAAGGTGAGAGGAGCTGACGCCTAGGCCCAATGGTGACGTTCATGATGAAGCACCTGGAACTGGCCGGATGTCCCTTCCCTGCCGATGCGATACAATGCCACCCATGTCCCGAATGGAGCGCCGGCGGGTTCTCTGCGGAGTTTGGGGTGCTATTGTGCCAGAATCGCATGCTCAGCAAGAAACATGTGGAGGATACGCTGGCGCATGAGATGTTGCATGCGTTTGATCATTGCCGGTTCAAGGTGGACTGGAATAATCTGCGGCATCACGCGTGTAGCGAGGTGAGCTTTGGTGACCTTGACTTGATGTTTAGGCTGTAAAGCTGATGTCCCAGGTTCGAGCGGCAAACCTGAGCGGAGACTGCAGGTGGACAAGAGAAGTCGGGAGGGGGTTCTACACGTTCAACAAGCAACATCAGGCGTGCGTCAAGCGGAGAGCGGTGTTGTCGGTATTGGCGAATCCAGCTTGTGCGGGCAAGGAGCAGGCGGAGCAGGCTGTGAATGAGGTGTTTGATAGTTGCTTCAAGGATACGAGACCGTTCGACGAGGTGAGCTGGGAAGTGTGGCCGCTGACACATTAGCTGACATGGCGCAGATATATTAGTGCTCGATCGCGTACTTTGCGTACACAGTCTATACTGCATCATCATGCATGACCTTGTACTGCTCAAGTGGTTCTTACCTAGTACTCGACCTCCACATCCCCATCATCTCCCATAATCTGCACACCCTCCTCCGTATCCCTCTCATCCTCCATCTTGGCCTCCCTCTCCACGCTCTCCGCCTTGACCTTTTCCCTCCTGTCTTCTCTACCATCCACCTCCATCCCGCCCCTTGGTGTCCGCCCAAAGTCATCTCTCCCACCACCGCTACCGCCCTTATCAGGCCTAGACTGGACCTGCGACCGCAGTTCCGCCAATTTCGGAACCAGTTCCTCTATCCGCGCTCGATTCCGCTTCACCGTCTCGGCCGTGTCTATCTTCTCCGAGGCTAGCTTCTCGGCTTCTTCAGCGATGAGATTGGTGATATTGGTGATACGCGAGTCGAGCGTGGATTGTTGGTGCGGTAAGAGGATCTTTGGGAGCTGTGGCGTCAGCCAAAAGTAGAGATAGGAAAAGGGGGGACGTACGAAGTATAGTGGGCGCAGTATTTCTGGCTGGGGCGGTTCCCTGGTAGGTCCTCTGTTGAGCGGTATAGGCGAGGGATCGAGGAGATTCCCTTCGAATATGAACGGAGCGGGGACGGGGAGGGAGGTATGTAAGAAGTTGGAGATTGGTTTGAGGCTTGTATGCCGTGCGATCATCTAAAGCTTCAGCTACTGGCATTGGTCCGTAGCTACCTCGACCCAGTTAGCTGAGAAGACTCACCGCCGCCTCTTTATGCCTCAACACATACTCCGCCGAGTCCGTCTGTATCCTCAACGCCTTGAGCTCCCGCTCCGCATCCACCGTCTCATGCAGCAAGGTCGTCTCGGACCGGATCTTCTTCTGGATCTTATCGGCGATTTCTTCTCTTCTCTTCACCTGTGTCCATCAGCTCCTATCCATCTGCCGTGCAAGTTAGCCTCTGAACTGACAGCATCACTCTTCCGAGAGGTCTTGTCGTCCTTCTGAAACTTCTGCAGCGTTCCCAGGATGTTCCCAAAGAGTCGCTTCCCTCTCGCTCTGTCTTCCTTTTGCGTATCCGCTCGTACTCGCCTGGACGCATCAGCTTGACCTCGCGAAAAGATGAGGAGGAGGTAGCTGACTTGGCGGGCTGCTCGTCCATCTCGGGCCTGTCGCGATCTTGGAATCCTCGCATCGGCTCGTCGGCGGGACGTCTGGTCGTTAGCTCTTCTCCCGATATGACGATTGGGAAAGAGCAGCTCACTTTTCGGGTGATCGTGATCTCGACATCGTGCCTGTGGTTCCTAGGAGTTTCTGGAGCTGGCTTTGTTGATACCTCTAGAGAAAAGGGACGTATAGAAGAGCTCGGCCTGCAGCTGGAAGTTGGCTTTCCAGCAGCTGCAAGGTGAGACCAGCTGGATGCTTACGTCATCGGTCCTGCCGCTGCGCGTTCAACGCACAAGGAATGTTCAGAAGCCACTCCTTCTGTTCTTGCTATCATCCACCGCCCTACATCCTCCTCTCTACAGCTCCGGCGCAGTCTGAGAGCTGCTCTAGATCATCCCTTATCAGGACCTGACGCAAAAGGACGGACGCAATCAGCCCCGTCTGCGCGTTTCGGTAGCTTCCTTTCTTCGCCTCCGGACAAAGGCGGCGGTTCGTCGATTCGTCGACATCGCTGCGCTGGCCCATAGCTCACGGATGAGCATTGCCTGTTCATCTGGCTATTTTCTGTCCTAGGAAGCTCTCTACCACTCCGCCAAAATGCTGCGCCCAACACTACGCGGCGTGATGTCCTGCCTCCTCCCCCTTGTTATTGGGTTGCTGGCCCCGCTGCTGGTTGCCGCGGGAGATCCAGAGGTCACCATCACTCGGGTGGAGAACCTGCCAAATCGACTATTCTACTTTGAAGATACACCAGTAAGCTACCAGCATCTCGATTTGAGTCGCTTGAAGCTTACTCCCAGGTGATCCTCATTCACGATCCCGTCTCCTTATCGGTCCTTCGATCGGAGGACGAAGGCAAGACGTGGTCTTCCATCGACAGCGTCGACACTGCCCTCCGCCTCGTCTCGCACCCCTTCGACAACACCATGGCCTTCATCATCGGGCGCGACACCACCCACTGGGTGACGTACAACCGGGGCCACTCGTGGCAATCCTTCGACACGCCGCTCGAGGCATCCCTATCCGGCGATATCCTATCCTTCCACGCCGACAAGCCCGAGTGGATCCTCTTCCAAGGCAAGCGATGCGAAGATACCGGACGGGGTAAATGGGGAGGCGGGAAAACATGCTGGGACGAAACATCGTATACGACCGATGCGTTCCGCTCGGGCGTACAGCCGATGCTGAAGCATACGTCCCAGTGCTTATTCGCGAGATCAAGCGAGACGTTCAAGGACGCGCCGGAGAAGATGGTGTTCTGTGTGGGGTTTGACGGGAATACGACGAGGCAGGACGGGATGTCGTATAAGGAGAGCAGACTGTATAGCTCGAGCGATTGGTTTGAGACCAAGAAGTATGTGGATCTGGGCATTGGGAAGAAGGCGAGGGGCGTAGTGGGGCTCGGGGTGGTTAGTAAGTTTATGGTCGCGGCGTTGAAGGCGCCGGAGGGGGAGACGAAGCGGGCAGATGGGTTCGCGGGCTCGATGGGAGATCCAATGTGAGCTGGCCGATTTCGATACGTCTCGGGTCAACAGCTGACATGCCAGGTCGCTATATGTGACCACGGATGGCCTGACATGGAGACAGTCACGCTTCCCTCACTCTGCGTTACCGTGAGTTAGCGAGTACTACCACGCGTTGGCAACCCAAGCTGATTATAATACAGAGATCTACGCGAAAAGTAAGATCGGCTTTGCTAATGATTGCGGTCTTCCCCCGACCCAGCTGACCCCTGCAGCGCCTACACAATCGTCGAGTCGACCACCCACTCTATCGCAGTCGACATCCTCACTTCCCCCTCCGCCAACATCGGCACCCTCTTCGTCTCTTCCGGCGAAGGAACGTATTTCGTCGAGGCGCTAGCGGATACGAATCGGAACGAGTATGGGATTGTGGACTTTGAGCAGCTGGTGGGTCTCGAAGGAGTGGGCATTGCGAATGTGGTAGGGAATAGGGAGGAGGTGGTTGGGTGGGGAGAGGAGAAGAAGTTGAAGAGTTACGTGACGTATGATGATGGTACGTGCCCCCCGCTATTGGGTTCGGAAGGGGAGAGGGAATGCGGGACCTAGCTGACCTGAAAGGTTCGGCGTGGAGACCTTTACCGGCACCGAAGAAGAAACTCAACGGGAAAGACTTTGGGTGCGACGTCAGTAATCCGGTAAGTCCCCTGCTCCAAGCTCTTCCAGTATCGGAATCCGCGCTGACCATGTAGCTGGAATGCTCCCTCCATGTCCACTCGGTGACCACGCCCCACAACTACGGTCGTGTCTTCTCCTCGACCGCCCCTGGATTTGTCATGGCCATTGGATCAGTCGGGGACTATTTGCTAGACTATGGTCAGTTCAGTGCCCCCTATTCCCGCTTGGTAGGCACGGCAGAGCTGACTCCGAACAGAGGACTGCGATACCTACCTCTCGACCGACGCTGGGCTCTCGTGGCGGATGATCCAAGAAGGAGCGCACAAGTATGAATTTGGGGATCAGGGGAGTATACTCGTCATTGCGGATGATGAGGAAGCGACGGATCATGTGCATTATTCATATGATGGTGGAGTGTCTTGGTATGTCCGCTTTGAACCTATCTGCGTTGGAGTCGTCGTGTGCAGAAGCTGACTGAATAGGAACGAGCTCAAGTTGGGATTGACAGTACGGACTGTTTTGTTGACTACAATCCCGGACTCGACATCTCAGAAGTACGTTGCAAGGGCATCTTCACCGCCGAGCGAATCCAGACCAGCTTACTCATCATAGGTTCCTCCTCCTCGGTACTGCCTCCCGGAAGGACTCATCGGATGAAGGCCGGCACGCTCTGATCTTCCTGGACTTTGCGACTCTCCAGACCCGGCAGTGCAAAGATAAGGACTATGAGAAGTGGTATGCCCGGAGTTCGGAAGGACAGCAATGTCTTATGGGACACAAGGTCAGCTCACAGGCGCTCGATTCTTGCGATGCTGTTAGCTGACGAGGTAGCAATGGTACAAGCGCAGAAAGCTCGATGCGGACTGTTATGTCGGAAACAAGTTTGAAGATCCGGTAGGGCACGAGGAGCCTTGTCCTTGTACCAACGAGGACTACGAGTGGTGTGTCTCCTTCATTAGCAAGGAGGGAAAAGGCTGATGTAATAGCGACTTCAACTATGTCCGTCAAGATGGGGACTGTGTACCTGTCGGTCCGGAACCTGTACCGCCCGGGACGTGCCAGAATCCCAAAGACCAGTATCTGGGTTCATCGGGGTACAGGCTTATCCCTGGCAACTCGTGTGATCGGAATAAGGGGGTCAAGAAGGATGAGAAGATCAAGAAGGACTGTTCGTCTGCTAGGCCGGAAGATGGCCAGGCTTCCCATGTCATCGTAAGTCCGACACGGAAATGGAGGTGGAGGAGCGAGGAACGGTAGAAGCTGACGGATCAGCACGAATTCGAGACGCTCATCAATCAACACTCCTACTTCCCCGAATCACAAACAATCCTCCTCCACATGAACGACGGTACGGTCTGGCAATCCTCAAACGAGGGTTTCTCATGGAAACAGCTCTACCCCGAAGAGACCTTCCTCGGGGTGGTCATGCACGCCTTCTCCCCGGAGCGCGCGTATCTCATAACCAACGAGCGTCGGATCTACTATACGACCGATACCGGCCGTCAGTGGCTGACGATGACGCCGCCCATGGAGCCCAATACCCTCTCCCTCCCTATCCTCGACTTCCACCCCACCCAAGCCGACTGGATCATCTTCACAGGCTCCGTCGACTGTACGTCCACACTATCGACGACGTGCCACGCAGCCGCTTTCTACTCCACGGAGCATGGCCGGCGGTGGAAGAAGATTGAAGAGTATGTGCGGACGTGCGCGTGGGCCAGAGACGCGCGCCTCAAGATTGATGAGCGCGAGATTATATGCGAGAGTTATCGCGATAAGAAGGGGAGCCAGAAGGGTGGGGATTATAATCCCCTGGAGTTGATTGCGGGCGCGAGCTATTATAGTAAGAAGATAAAGCTCTTTGATAGTGTCGTTGGGTTTGCGAGTTTCTCAGAGTACTTGCTGGTGGCGCAGGTGAGTTGAATCTCGCTACCATTTTGACAGGACGTTAGCTGACTTCCTCAGCTCAACGAGATGGCGGGGACTTTGACCCTTCAGGTCTCGCTGGACGGGTACAGGTTCGCAGAAGGGCAATTCCCGCCCAGCATGCGTATCGAGAATAGGGTGAGTTGACGTGTACCGGACTGCCGTTCCGAAGTGCTCAAGCTGACTTCACGCCTAGGCATACACCATCCTCGAGAGCAGCACAGACTCGGTCTTCCTCCATGTCACCATGAACACCGCTGCTGGTAAAGAATGGGGAAGCATCTTCAAGTGAGCTAAGCGATTCGCCGCCGCATCAACGCCGGAGCGCAAGCTGACAAGCGCAGGTCTAACTCCAATGGGACATACTACGGTCTGGCCGTCGAGCATGTGAACCGCAATACCGCCGGCTACGTCGACTTTGAGAAGGTACATTCCCGCTTTGTCCCCATCTTTCACCCTGCGGGGAGCGGTTGCTGATGCTGTAGATGATCGGAATAGACGGCATCGCCGTCATCAATATCGTCTCGAACCCCTCCGACGCCGAAATCTCGGGCAAGAAGAAGCTTCAGACCCGGATCTCACATAACGATGGAGCTACTTGGAAGCCGCTCACGCCTCCGGATCGCGATTCACTCGACGAGGAGTACGACTGCCGGTCTACAGTAAGCTGCCTATCTACTGACCGTGGGGATCAAACTGATCATGTAGTCGTGCTCTTTGCAATTGCATGGATATACGGAGAGGAGGGATCCGAAGGCTACCTACAGTTCGCCCTCGGCTGTTGGGGTGAGTCCGTCGATTCAGATCACCTGTAACCTGAGCTGACGACTTAGCTCATGCTGGCTGTTGGGAACGTAGGCGAGCAGCTGGCCTCCTATACCGACTCGGATATCTTCCTTACACGAGACGGCGGCTTCACATGGGAAGAGATCCACAAGGACGCCCACATGTGGGAATTCGGCGACTCCGGCTCCGTCATTGTCATCGTCAACGACGAAGAAGCGACCGATCATGTCCTCTTCTCGACGGACGAAGGGTGGACATGGACCGAGCACAACTTCGGCGAGATGTTGCGGGTGCAGAGTATTCAGACCGTCCCGCAGGACACGTCCAGGCGGTTCATGCTTATCGGCGTCAGGCCTGGGGAGAGGGGGCAGAGTGTTTTGGTTCATCTAGACTTTTCGGCTATTACGCAGCAGAAGTGCGAGTTTAGGCTCGTCAGGGGAGGGGGGGGCCAGCTGATGGTTCAGGTGTCTTCGATTCGAATAATCCCAACGTTGACGACTTTGAGCTGTGGTCGCCTTCGGCTACGCGTGAAGAGGAGTGCTTGTTTGGCCGCAAGACGCTGTATCACCGTCGACTGAGGGACCGGAATTGTTACATCGGGGACACGATCGTCCAGCCTCACTCTATCCAGAAGAACTGTACATGCACAGTGAACGACTTTGAGTGGTATGTCCGTCTTCTCTTCTCATGCATTCTGAGCTGATCTTCTAGCGAGTTCAACTACTACCGCGACAAATCCGGCAAATGCGTCCTCGTCGACGGAGCCGCCGCGCTCTCGTCCAGCACCCAAGAGGAACAATGCGACGGCTACACCGAGTTCTGGTACGAGCGCACGCCGTACCGCAAGATCCCGTACTCGTCTTGCCAAGGCGGCGAGCGACCTGATCGGGGCAAAGAACATGCGTGCCCCGGTCTGATTGGCGGAGGAGGAATGGGCGCGTTCTTCTGGGCTATGGTGGGAATACTGCCGTTTGGAATAGCGGGGCTCGCGGGGTACTGGTGGTACAACAAGGGCGGGGCTGGAGGGTATGTCTATCTCTTCCGGGACTTGGGACTGTCGGAGTGGGGAATGGAGCTGATGAGCAGGTCTATACGGCTGGATGAACATCGCGCATTTGGGGGAGATGGGATGCTCTCGACCGTGGCGAGCATACCGTTCGCGCTGGTAGGTGCGGGCGTGGCGGCCTGGGGATGGGTCACGAGGCAGGTACCGTACCTCGATGGCTTGTTCGGGGGGAGGAGTGGACCATATAGACAAGTACCGATCGATGATGATGGTGAGTTTTGGTTTCCTCGCCAGAATGTGATGTAGGGTCACAAGCTGATGGGCATAGCGGAGGTGCTGGGCAGATATGACGATGATTAGCTATAGATCTACATGCACGATATCAGACCGAACGAGTGAGCGGTCTCGAGCTTGAGCTTGACGAGACGGGCGAGGGACGCGGACACACACAACTTTCAGGAACCCGACACACACAATCCCGCACAGTCCTCCTCCCCTTCACAGATTTTTCCTCGCTGATCTCATCTCTCTACGCCTCCATCTTTGTTCTGATCTTGTCTACTGGTTGCTGCTCATCTCTAGCATACCAGACGCGCAGCGGTATGGCGCAGGTTCCGCTCGTCGACAAATCGCTCAGCCCCAAAGAGGCCGGACATGCCTTGGCGCTCGATAGATTATTACGGTTCATCGTCTTCGGGGACGAGTAAGGTCATGGACAGGGAGTCGCGGGCGCGCAGCCGGGATCACCGCTTGGTGATGCATACGAGACTGTCAAGGCCGAAGCGGTGAGTCGTCTCCGAATGCTAGGCGTCAGGGAACCGGCACTGACGCGTTAGGAAGCCGGCGCAAGCTCTGACCGATTGATAGATGGGGTGTAAGTGCAGACCTCGAAGAGCTATATGTCTTCCTCGGTGCTGAACCTCCCAGCGCTCAATTCTTTCGATCAAAAGGTACTTCCTTCGAGTCACCGGCGGGAATCTCTTCAGGCCTATTTGCAGAATCAGTCAAGTCCCTTCACCCGACGCGCGTGACCCCCTTCACCGAGCTGATCAAGCAGATTGATACGCGTTTGGAAGGTCCGCGCTCGGGATAATCATGTCATCAACTCCCTCAGCAACGCTCCCTCCCCGGACATAGGCCCATCACCTTCAAACGCTGAAGGGGACGTACCTCGCCTCGCGGCCGCATCCGAACTCGTACCCGGAATTGGAACCGGTGCCGTACCTGCCGGCGGTCCAGACTACATCCTCGTGGAGCTCGAACGCCGTCATGCTGGCGTTCAAGACGATTTCGACGCGGGAATCGATGCGGGGAGCATAGGACAGGTGGATAAGGCTGGGACGTGGTGGTTGTGCTTGGGTCCTGGCGCACCGATCGGAGTGAGCAGCCATTTCCGTCAGATAGACTTGTGACATTGCTGAAGGAGACTGGGCTGACCGTTCAGGGAGCCTGCTCTACTTGCGGGAACGCCAGATCGAAATGTACGACGGACAAGAAGGCGTCCAGCTCACAAGCGATACCCTCCGCCCCCTCCTCCACACCTCTCTCTGCCGATCCCACAAGCTCCACCACCGCCCGATCCTCTCGAAAGCGCTCATCTACCGCGGACACTTCATCATCTCGCAAGCGGAAGCGGAAGGCAGAGAAGGAGGTCAAGGCCGCCGTACATCTCTCGAACATTGCGCTCGAGCAATTCAAGGCGGAGATGAAGGAGAAGGAGGCGCGCGCGTTCCAGGAGAGAGTGGCCGCGGCGGAGGTGCTGGAGGCGACGAGGAAGGATAAGGGGATCTGGAGGCGGGAAACTAAGCTGCAAGCGAAGAAGGCGGAAAAGCTAGCGGCGCGTGTACGCGCTCTCGAGGCGGAGATTGCGCTGGGCAAGGCTGGACTGGAAGGAAAGGCTCAGGCAGATGCGCAGGCGAGAGCGGAGGCGAAGAAAGTGGCGGAGGACAGGCTGGAGGATCTCCGTACGGCGCACACGAAGGATCTCGAGTACGTGCGAGATGAGCTTGACGTTCTCCGGTCCCACCTGGAGAAGGAGGCGAATCGGTCAGCGGCACCCGATCTCCAGCTATCGGCGGCCGAGGTGGAACACAATCGCCTCATGCGGGCTGCGGAGTCTGACACGCGCACAGCTACGGACGAAGCGGATCTGCTCCAGACCCAACTCGAGTCGGTAAACGCGCAAGCGCTCGAGACGACCGGAACCCACCAACAAACCGTCAACGATCTGCGTACCCAGCTGGAGCAGGAGAAGTCGTACGTCGCGGAGATTTCCGCGTCCGTCGACCAGCTCGAGGCGGATGCCAAGCGGGAATCGGAGGTAGCACGCACGGCGGAGCTCGCTCGGGCTAAGGCAGACGAGCGAGTCGGACATCTCCAAGCGGAGCTCGACTCTGCCAAGCAGGAGCGCGATGTGCTGCGTGGTAAAGAGAAGAAGGCCATCGGGCGCATATTCGATATGGCCGCCCAGATCAAGCAACTCGATGGCGTTGCCCGGGCCGCCCAGGCAGCCCAGGCAGCCGCGGAGGCGGGGCGTGCGGACGGAGCGAGGCGGCTGAAGCAGGCCGAAGAGGAAGCGGGCGCCCTTCGGGCAGTCCGGGACAGGAACATCGCGCTGGTCAGAAGGGAGAAGGCGCTGGAAGAGGATTTGAGGCGACAGGCGGAAGAGACGGTCCGTGACCGACGGGCAGCTATCGATCGCGATCAGCTCCGGTCTCAGCTGGATAGCCAGTCTAGGCGGACTGCAGAGCAACGCGGGCGCGCCTACGACCTAGAGCGGAAGCTGGCACGCCAGGTCGACGTCGCAAAGTCGGCCCAGGCGGAAGCATCACGGACGATCGGCGATCTCAAACACAATCTCAAGGCTGCGCAGTCTGCCCAATCTACGGCGGAGGAGAGGCTCGTCCACTGCAAAGAGGTTCACTCTCGCGAGCTCGACGCCATGCGGAAGGAACGCGTAACCCTGCAGATCCAGCTGGACGAGGAGACCGCACGTGCGGTGGCGGCGCTGGATCGCGTCGAGAAGCTAGAGGGGAAGATGGCGAATTGGGCGGACGAGGCGAAGGCGGCGCGAGAGATGGAGAAGGACCGAGATGCTCTTCAGCGCAAATTGGCTAAGGAGGCCGCGTGGAGCAAGGAGTACCAACGGAGAGTACATCAGCTGGAGGAGAAGGGGAGGCGAGAGGCGGAAGATGCAGGCAAATTGGCCGCGCTGGGTCTGGACCGGGAATCGCTTCGAGCCAAGTTGGAGGAGGAGGTTTCCCGGTCTCGACAGCTGGCGGAGCGTATCAGGACGCAGGCGGCGGCGTTGGCGGTCAGCCAGACACCCAACAATACCAACGAGCTGCATAACCTGCATCAACACTACAACGAGCACTACGGCCGACAGATCTCGATTCTACATGACAACGCCGAGTCGCGTTACAACAACGAGACGAAGAGGCTGACCGAGATTATATCCTCTCTCAACAGTCAACTCAATCGGGTGCGCTACAACGATGAACTTCAGATTCAGACCGAACGAGCCAAATCAGGCGCGATTGGGCGGGATGATCAAGGAAGGTGTTGGCAATGGCAATTGCATGAAGTGCCAGCCAAAAGTGGGCCAGGTGTTGCGATAGTACAGGGAGCTGCAGGTGGCAGAGTCATGCAGAGCATAGGGCTGGTCAATGGGGGCACGATGGTATGTTGCGCCCTTCTTCCATCTGAGGGATGCGCTGATCTATCCAGTCTTCAACTGTTTCCTCGGACCCGGAACCTGTCCGAGCAGAAGATTGCCTACAATCCCTCCACGCGGCCAATGCCCTGATGAAGCTCAACTCCTCTCAAAGTCCGGATCGGCTCGATCCACATAGCGCTGCGCAGGCGAGGGCGCTGGAGCAGGCTGGATTGGCGGGGAGGTAATTTACATCTGTATCGGGAGATCTTCCAGGACAATCTCGTATAATGTTTGCTAGCCCTTTGTTCTCTTGACATCTATGATGCTGTAGAGAGGCTGCTCTGAGCCACCTGCATGTATGCGGTACGATATGGTCGACGCTAGTGCTGGCCACCCACAACCCGCAGCGACAAACCGTCAACAAGCCTTTGCACCTCCGCCTCATTCCTCAGCTCTATCAGATTTTCACTCTGCCCTTATGCTTGTGTTCTCTTCCCCCAGCTCAGCTCGCATATCGGATCTGCCATGTAGCGACGATCCTAGCAGCTGAGAGGTGTCATGATGCTCAAGGTCAGGAGATAGCTTGCTGGTTGCCAATGCCCTTCACGCGATGGTTGTTGACGACGTCTGACAAGATCACACACACACAGGCACACACACGAGGCACGGTGCGCCCTCTCTCCCGCGCTTCTCGGCCAGTAAGGATGTAACTCTTGCTTTCCCTGTCATTGTTATCGATACTCTACGCCCCTGCTCACTGCAGCTCATCGCTACACCACCCATCAAGATGGCACAAAAGCAGCTTCCCGAAAAGCTTCTCGACCCCGACCAAGCCGCTCACGCCGCAGCATTGGATCGCCTACTACGTTTTATCGTCTTCAACGATGGGTGCAGCTGGAGCTCCTTCACTGGACACAACGAGGTGGTATCTTACGAGGCAATATACCCTGACATCGTGGCTGAGGCGGTAAGTTCGTCTGGGCAGACCGGGAAGGGGATCACAGCTGAAGTCACAGGGAGTTCAGGCCTCGAAAGACAAGTTGATCGACGGAGTGTGAGTGCGGAGTGATCGCAATCCAGGTACTAGAGGAGCTGATTATATCAGTGTCCGACACTTCGAATCCACAAGGGGTAATAGGGCGTTCGTCGCTGGTATCCCCAGCAAGCTCTTCTCCGTGTAGGTTATCTGCTAAGCCTGGTCAAGAAATAGCTAAACGTTCAGGCTGATTATCTCTTGGAGAGCACGTGCCCGGGACACCTGGTGTACCAACTCGGTCGTCAGCAAGGTCGGCGCTGCTGCTCCGAAGGTCCCCTCTCTGAAGGCTGTGTGCGATATTCACTTCAGCAACTCGAATAGTGCGGCAGCACCGCTGTCAGGCCTCGCGCACGTGCTCGTCCAGCTCGACTGGCGAAGCTCCGGTCTCGACGACTTCCTCAAAGCTGGAATTGACCCGAAGATACTTGGGCAAAATGTGACGTTTGACAAGTGGAGGATGAGCTTGGGACCTGGAGCAGCCGTCAGAGTCAGTCTCTGGTTCTATTCATGGAGGAGAGCTTGGCTGATCGACTAGAAAGCATGTGCTTCGTGCTGGAACACGATGCTACTGTACACCTCGGACAAGGAGGTGTCTAGCGTAGCGGCGCAGCTATGTGAGGACGTCAAGGAGGGGGACGAGCTCTTCGCGCTTGGTGAGCTCAATCCTCCGTACGGACATATTGACATGAGCACCTGCTGATGCAAACAGAAGGTGATCAAGCAATGTAAGTGGCTCTCGGACTTCTATTGTCGATGCTGCTACGGCTGACGAACAGACCATGTCCGCACCCCGATCACGTCCAAAGAAGCGGATCGTCACCTCCTCGCCCTCGCATCGACCACCCTCCCTTGCCCTTGTACAACGCCGTGACCTTCTGCCTGGCGCGTGGTCTAACTATGCCAAACGGCGTTCCCGCTTCTTCCTCGATCAACGGTAACAACCTATCTGTCCCTCCCTCAGCAACCCCAGCTGCGGCTCATCTGGTCCAGGGTGAATATCTGCCCGCAGCTAGCCGCACGCCATCGTCCTACACACCTCGCCCGAATCAGACCGCTACGGGCGTCATCCCCACCTCCCTATATCTCAAGGCGGTCTCGTCATCCAGGCGACTTCACTTCAAGTTCCATCGAGAGCGAGCCGTCGCCGCGGAGCTCAAGGCACAGATCTCCGCCGATCACGCTCGACGGATGCACGAGGAATCCGTCTTCCCTCCGGAAAGCATCGCTCTCGGTCGTATCACCGCCGACTACAAGGAGAAGGAAGCTCGGTCTCTTCGCGATAAAGCCGCAGCGGCCGAGGTTCTCGAGACTGTGAGGAAGGAAAGGGATTGCTTGAGGCGGGAGCTCGGGGTGGAGCGGGGGAAAGTGAAGAAGCTGGAGATACGAGTGGACAGATCGGAGAAGGCTGTGGAGCAGGCGGAGGCGCTGGCGGCCACCGGGCGCAACGCGGCCGAAGCTGCCGCGGACAAGAGGATGGAGGATTTGCGATCGGCTCATGCGCAGGATCTGGGAGAGATGCGGAAGAAGCGGGATAAGCTTAAGGGCAAGCTAGAGGCGGAGGTAGAGCGATCGGCCGGACTGGCTTCTCAACTTCTGGCCTCACAACACGATATCGGTCAACCTGCCGAAACCCTACGCCTAGCCGTAGCGGAAGCGACAAACAGCGTGAGAGCGGAGCTATCATCTCTCCACGCTCAAGCTCTCGGCTCGGTCGAACGGAAACGGGATCAGCTTCGTGTCGACCTCGAGAAGGAGCGGGGCCACGCCTCGGAGCTAGCTGCGACCATCAGCAGTCTCGAAGCGGAGGCGAAGCTCAGCTCGGAGCTCGCCCAGGCAGCCATGGAGGCGGCGCAAACCGCTGCAGACAAGCGCATCGTCGAGCTCGGAACGGACCTCGACTCGGCCAAGCGGGAGGCCGACGATCTGCGGAGCCAGGCCCAGGCCGACGCTGTCCGCTTGACCGAGTCCGCCGCTCGGATCGCCGAGCTGGAAGGGGCCGTCAAGGAGGCACAATCCGCCCTCTCAGCGTCAACGGCGGCCAAGCAGGCGGTGGAGCGCAAGCTGGCGAACAGCATCTTGACCCATACCCAAAAGTATGGCACCATCAAGAACGCTCAGGCCGCCCTACAGGCGGAGGCGGACAAGCGTGACACCCAAGCTTCGAGTCTCTTGGAGACAGTCAAGGCGCTCGAGCGGAAGCTAGAGAGCCAGGACGAGGTCACCAAATCGGCCGCGATGCGGATCGTCGAGCTCGACAAGGACGTTCAGACGGCCCGGACTCAGCAGGCTGCAGCGGAGGCGCGACTCGACAGTGCTATCGCCTCTCACGCGGGGCATGTCGATGCTGTTCGGAGCGCTCTGCAGGTGCAGCTAGACCAGGAGCTCGGTCGGACCTCGGAGCTCCAGACTAGGGTCCAACAGCACATGGCGGATGCGCTGTTGGCATCGGAAGTGGCGGGCAAGTCGCTTCACCAGGAGCAAGCCCAGAGCCAGCGTCAGCTCTCGCAACTCCGGCAAGCGTCCCAGGCGCACTTTGTCAGGGAGAGCAAGATCCTCATGGATCGCATCGCGACGCTGGAGATCCAGCTGAGGGAGAGCACGTCGACTTATGAGGCCCGGACGAGGCAGGAGAAGGCGAGCGGGTGGAACGCGTTCGCCGATCTTGAGAAGGTGTATGTGGGCATGCGGGAGTGGCAGACTGGCTCTACAGATGGGTTCATACCCGCTGCTATCCAGTACGGCGGATCGCTTCAGGTAGGATCTGCTCATAGAGCATCGCAGACTGGACCATCTACGGTAAGCCTGGGCGTACACCCTTGAGTCAGAGGCACACGCTGATTGCCAGTCTTCTCGTAGCACCTCCCTCACCGTACCCGCTCAAAGGGCCCAGCTGGTCTCGTTGGGCTCTGCCTTCTCTTCCTCCGCTATCGTCCCACGACAACGCCCGAACAGCTTCACTGGCCCGATTCCGTCAGACAGGGCACAGGAAATTGAGCAGCTGGGAACGGGAGGATCGGTGCCGGTATCAAGGCGTCCCAGCCCAAGCGGAGTTCAGGTTCAGGCTGTCGTGGTATGTTGTCTTGCCCTTGATCTTGGCTTATGCTGATGAGTCTTAGACCAACCGAAGCTCTTCAGTGCCCGCGCCCATCTTCCCCGCGATGCCAAACTCGTCAAGCTATGCACCTAGCGCTTCGACCTCATCCCGACCTCCTCAGCAAACAATCTCGGCTGGCTTGACTGAATCCACCCTGGCGGTGGAAAAAGGGAAATCGACGAATGAGGGCGATTGTGCCAATGCAGATCAGGCGGGGCCGATGCAGACATGAGCCGCAGCTGTAGGTTCCTCCACATGCGAAGAGATAGTTTCGCTGATGCGCCTCAGGCCTTATCAAGCTCCTCTCTGTCCTTACCTGACCGAACGAGCGGGCTCGCCCCTTCGGAGCACAGCGCTCAGATACCTACACTACCGAGTCTTTCGCAGCAGTCTCTGCCGATGGCCTTGCAGCCCGACACGGCGGCAACCGAGATGGAGGGAGCAGTGCTTCCTAGAGATTCATACGGAGAACCTTACTTATGGTAGCATTTGATGGGTTTGGCTTGGTAGAGCGTTATTTCATCATCGAGTTGTACATGGCAATGACGGTTGTCTCGGCCCGCCACCTCTCTGGGCGATGGAAGATGAACATGAGCACTTAGAGCACAGGGAGGTTCCTCGTGCGGGGCTCCAAGACCCTTAATCTGGCCGGGCGGTCGAGGTCCGTGAACCGTTGCTGCAACGAAACTCGCTCTCAATCGTACATCTTGTCGCTTCGCTTGATGCTGCTTGAGATCACTTCCCTAGGTCAAGACGAGCCGGATCAGGATGACCAGTCCGATACTCGCCTGATGGAGCGGATTTCATGGTCGCAACGCCTCGGCCGCCGTCGTAAGCTCATCTACTCCTGGACTCGGCGGGCCAGCCCGGGCCAGGTCGCCATTCACGACCCCTTGTCCGACTTGCTCTAGATCAAGCTAAGCAGAGGCACATCCCCGGTATCCCCCTTTGCGCTATAAGGCGGTACAAAAATACCTAAAGCCCTTCTGCGTTTCCTGAGATATTGATGAGAGCGCACAGACCCACACACACGCGTCCACACGCATCTTCCCCCGCGGTTGACTTTCCTTCCTTCCTCGCTGATGATTGCTCCTCTCTTCCACCTTTCTTGTCACTGCATCTGACCAGACTCATAATCTTATCGCAAGATGATGGCTCAGCGATACAGACAGCCTCTGCTCCAAAAACAGAAACAGGATCAGAATGTTCAACCGCTCTCCCCTCAGCAAGCTGTGCACGCCTGGTCGATAGATCAGCTTTTACGAAGTATAGTCCTTGACGACTGGCGGCGCTCGGGCAAGCTGGGGGAGGACACGCGGGGCGAAATGTATCGGGACGTCTACCATACCGTTTTCAACAATGCAAGAACACAAGCGGATGTGGGTGGCAGGAGGTGGAAAAAGCGAAAGATACAAGCTGATGCGATAGGACGGCAAGGCGTACATAGAGGAAGTAATTGATGCTCTGTACGTGCAAAAAGGAGTAACCAGAAACGCAGTGGCCTGTACTGACTACTCAGCGAGACGTATCTGGAAACCAATTCAGTCGCTACCCAGTGGACGGTGGCCGGCATACCTCGCCTGTTATACACCCAGTGAGACGCTCGTATTGCCATCACGCGTACTATCAGCTAATCTCTCCGGCTGTCGAGCTCCTGGAGGGCACGGGCTCGGAGAAACCCCTTCACTCGCCGCGTGATTGCCGGAAAAAACCTCGAAGGCGGTCGACACTGCGAGCCCTTGGTCTTCGAGAATCTCGTCCCAATCCTGGTCGGACTCGCCTGCGGAACTGCTGGGCCGGATGACTTTCTCGCAGCCGGAGTCGATGCCAGTATGCTGGTGGAGCTGCAGACTACTGGGAAATGGTATATGAAGCTGGGGCCAAGCGCGACTTTTAGGGTGAGCATCTCCGTTTTCCGACTATCAGAGCAGTGGGCCTTGCTGATGGAGGAAGAGAGCTTGCAGCGCGTGCTATAATACAACAATAGGGCACAGAATACGTGGATCAGGTCTTTGCTTGACGGCAAAGCTATCTCACGATGTCGATGAGGGTGATGAGCTTTTCGTATTGAGTGAGTGATTCTTCCCAAGCTCGGATGGTCTTGTCTGACGACTGCAGGCGGATCTACAGCCAGGTGAGTCAATCATCTCAGCTTCAAATGACGGAGATTCATGCCGACCACTAGTGCTTGCCCGCATCCCAAGCACGCCGAGCGGAGTCTCTCACATGCCCCTCCGCCAGATGTCACCATATCATCCTTCACCGCCTCAATCGGCTCGGGACCTTCTCCAACGATGCCTATTCCCGCTCCTACTACCTCTTCCGCACACATGGATCTCCCTCGGTCCCAGCCGGCAGAATATTCGAGCGCGACGTGCGCACTCCCTACATCAAGTCCGGACTCCTCTCAATCAGCCCCGCGCAAGCGGACCCGAAGCCAAATGGGGAAGCGGGATCTCGTTCCGATGTCCTTGTACCGTAGGGCAGTCGACAATACTCGGCGACTCCAAGTCACACGACAGCAAGCGCGAGAGCGGGTCGACAAACTTGACAATCAGTTGAGGGTTGTGAAGGGGAAGAAATGCGTCCTGAAGCAGAAACTGCAAAGGGAAAGGCAGAAGGGGAATACGCTTGCGGAACGGTTAAAGAGGCACGTACGTGTGGAAGAGGAGGCTAGACTGGCTCGGGCGCAGGCGGAATCTGCGCGGTTGGCTGTCGAGGCGGAATTGACGGCGGAGGCGGAGAAGAGATTGAACGACCTGCACTCTGCGCACGCGCACGCTCTCACCGACATACGGAAAGAGCGAGACCAAGCTCGGACCGATCTGGAGGCGGAAAGGCGTCAGACGAAGGAGCTAGCTGCATCTGTTAGCCGGCTCAAAGCAGATCTCGCTCAGTCCGAGGATGCTCGTCGGAGCTCGGCGGCGGCCCTGCTGCAGACCTCGACGGCGCTGACAGCTGCGGAGTCGGCCAAGTCCAAGGCGGATGCAAGATGTCTCGACATTATCCGGGACATTGGAGCTGTCCGAGGCGAGCGCGATGCTCTCGGGACGCAATTGGCGGAAGCGGCCAAACGGGGTGAAAATCGGGAGAAGGAGGTGGAAAGCGAGTTAGAAGGGGCAATCGCAGCGAGAAAAGAGGCGGATCGGATCGCAAACGAACACCATCAACAGCTTTCGGAGCTTCGTCCGTATTACGCCCAATCACTCAACCGGATCTCGGACCTGGAGCGCCAACTCGAACGGGCGAAGCGGACCGCCGAAGCCCAATTCGCCAGCGAGAGGCAAACGGCGGATACGTTGATGGGAGATGTACAGTGCATGTACGAGAATATGCGGAGGTGGCACGATGGGATTGGAAGAGGGAGTGGAGAGACCTTAAGGGATTCGAATGCAGCTCTGAGCACAGGGGCGCACGAGGTATGTCGTCTCCATGCTCATTTTCGACACAGGCTGATATCATTAGTCTGCATGCCGCTCATCATTCGACATCCTCTGCACCTTGGTATCTCAGGCACCGAGACTGCCCTAGGCAGAATGGTGTAGGCGGAGCTGTACATCGCAGGCGAGGCGTTCACAAGGGACGAAGAGGGGAGAAGGGAAGGTTGGGGAGGTGGCTGTATGGGCAGTAGCGATCCGGGCGAGGGGATCTTCATGTGTGTGACACTAGTATCAACTTAGGTGCTGCTTTATGTACTTTACGCCATGTCTACACTATGCAAGTGATGCTCATATACGACTGAACCGTCCCTCATGGGACCAGAGATCGTGCAGAAAGGCAGAGAAAGGCAGATGATGGTGATGCGGGGCCCCCTTGACTGCACCTGACCCTTTGGCTGACCCCCAAGATCCTTGCTCCGTGTTCCACTTATATAATAGCTGAAAGCTCGCATGGTGATCTCCCCAACCTCCTGACCGTTCCATGAACCTAGCATTCTTCGCAAGACCGAATCAAAACAAAGCAAAGCGACTGCTTGGGGACTCGATGGTCTCGGCGCGCCCGTCGAAGCGGCCTTCTCGAGCTCTTAGCTTCACTTCCGCACACTTCCCACCAACTTGATGAGGAAAAAGGTTGTCATGCCTACACATCTGACGGTGTAGCGCGAAGAGTATGGTCTACCCATGCCCGCGGACGAGAACCTCAAGTCAGTCGCGCGGTCCCCCACCCCTTTGATCACGCCCCACTCTGTGGGTGTGTGTGTGTGGCGTGCCTGATCCAGCTAACGCGCGCCCAAGCTCTGATCCAAAATTTCATGCCTCCTCTACTGATGACTCTTCATATAGCCTGCTCCACTCATACTAGGATCAAACCCTTCGCTATACCCGTCATGAGCATCACCCAGCTCCTCCACTCCCCGCTTACAGTCCCCCAAACCCAGCAGGCGGCCGCCCTCAACGACCTGCTCTGCTATACCGCCATCAATGATGGTCACATCAGCTGGGATGAGCTGCCGAACGCGACCAGTACTGTATCATACGAGGCGCTGTACGAGGTGATTTTGGATGGCGCTGTGAGTCTAGCAGAGCGTTTTTGGGCGGCTGTATCTGAGCTGACGAGACAGGGAAGGAAATCGAGCCTTTGCGCTAGGGTAGAGTATGCGTGAGTTATGATGAGGCAGAGCTGGTTCCCTCTCCTGAAGTCAAGCTGATCAGACAGTGAGCGGTACTTCCAGCAACATGACTTTACGAAGACGACAACAGCTGGTATCCCAAACCCGCTCTTCCACAGGTAGGTCCAATTTAGGGCACATAATTATGGTGTCTGGCTGACGAGTAGTCTGGTAGCAAGCTGGAAGGCTCACGCAGTGGGCGAGCACTGCAGTACATCCATCTTCGACATAGACAGCGCGTCTTCGAGCACCTCAACGACTGAGGCCATCCGAGTCACCGCGCAGAGGGACACCGTCACCCACAACCCGGGCAGGCCACTGCGCGGTCTGAATGTCATCACAGTAGTGCTTCAAGAGACCCCGCAAGTCTCCATCGATGACTTCGTCAGGGCAGGCATTGATCCGGCGGTTCTCGCCAAGGTCGAGCTTTTCGGGGACTGGATAATGATGTTGGGTCCGGCTATGTTGATGAGAGTGAGTCTGACAATGTCTTCTGCGTATCGTCAGCCAGTCGAGCTGATACCTCAGAAAGCATGTCGGGCTTGCTGGAATGTCAGAATGGAGCATCTGGGCGGACCAGCAGTGTCGTCACCGGCGTTGCTGTGCGAGGACGTGGAGGAGGGTGACGAGCTGTTTGCTCTTTGTGAGTTGATCAGCTCAGCTGCATTGAAGGAAGAGCTAACAAATCAGCCGGGACGAATCTGTGTGAGCTCACACCCCGGGCGTATTTGAGTCTAGCTGACGTGCAGGCCATGCGCAAACCCCCATCATGGTGAAAACGTGTATCATCAAAGACGTCGACGCATACCAAAAGGCACCTTCATCACGGGCACGAATCTCCATCAGCTCGACTTTCTCTTCCGGCTCGATGGAGCTTTCGCAGGCGAGACAATCGCTGCAGCTACCGTTCAAACCCCCGCGATCGCTAGGTACCTCTCGGAATCGGCTTCCGATTCGTCCGCTTCATCCCCTCCATCAAACCCGTCATCGCCTCTGTCGTCCGCCCCTTCGCTTTCTCCCCCTTCGCCGATAATCCGCAAACATCCCCTCTCCGTCCTTCCATATCCTCCTCGAAAGCGCAAACTCCACTCGGCCATACATCGGCAAGTCATGCTGGCTCGGGTGGATCTCCGTGCTCGTCAGCTCCTTCGGCAACTCGGCCGAGAGCTAGGCAGCGTCAGTCGGCGGGCCCACGATCTCGGTCTGGAGCTGGAGAGGTGCAGGATGGAAGTCAGTGTCGCCAAGTCGTCGCTGGCTGAGACGGTCACGGCTCTCGCTGAGGAGAGGCAGCTGGGGAAGGAGAAGGACGGGCTCCTTGCGAGATTGAAGGAGGAGGAAAAGACGGTGCGGCGGTCTCTAGGGAATGCGGAAGAGGCGCTGATAGGGGCGGTACGAGAACGGGACGAGCACCGACAGCTGGCCTCATGGGAGGCAGCTCGGGCGGCAGCTCTCGCCGAACGCATCAGCAGCCTGGAGTCAAAGCTGCGGATTAACAGCGACTTGGCTATCTCGGACGCGACTGGAGTGAGGGAGGAGAAGGAGAAGGCCGTTCCCCTGGCGGCCCAGATTTCTTCGGTGGACACGATAGAGCGCACGCGCCAGGCTCAGTTGGCGGAAGAAATACGACTAGCCAGTCGGGCAGAGGTCCTGGAGCACGCGAGGAGACTGATGGAGACGGAGGTGGATGGAAAGCTGGGCGCTTTACGGGCGGCTCGACAAAAAGAACTCGAGGCCAACAAGCAGCAGGTTGACGCGGCGGCTGAGAGAGAGGCCAGCCTGGCCGGACAAATTACGGCCCTTCAGCACGTCCTGGCGACCGAACGCGCGCAGTCGGCGGCGAAGATCAAGCAACTCAGCGGGTCATGCGAGACGGCACAGGAGGTCGCGAAACGGTCTCAAGCTACCGAGCTCGCGCTGAACCAGCAAATCTTGGCGCTTATGACCGGTGTCACAAATCGGCAATCCGCCTACCAATCGTACCTTCACAATCGCGACCAAGAAGTCCGCAGGACCATCCAGGGTCTGCAGGCGACCATCAAGAAGCTCGGGGACGAGGTGGCAGAGAAGCAGGTTGGCGAGGTGCGGGTGCAAGGGGAGCTGGAGAGGGCGTACAAGGGGATTGCAGAGCTCAAGGCCGAGTTGGACGATGTTTGGAAGAACTATCGGAATGTCCAGTCTGAGCTAGTGCAGGTCAGGCGGTCGGTGGCGGCGGGTACTGGTGGAGGCTTGTCCAGGGGCGAAGGAGGAGGACAACTTCAGATCCGGATGCTCAATGGTACGTCTCGTCGTATCGTGACCTAGTCTCGACGAGCTACAGCTGACGATGTAGGCAAACACATGTCGACACAACTGCCCTCGGGATCGATCGCCTTCATCAACCAGTTCACCCTTCCCAACCGCCCTGCCCCCCAATTCTTGGCCTCTTCCGCCTTTGCTCAGCCACCTGCGACTTTCACCGGTCATTCGTCTACCGAACAATCAAACGCCATCGATGTATCGATGTGGGCGCAGCAGTGGCCCTCCGGGACATTATGAGTGACGGAGGGCGGGAGGTGTAGGAGGATGAAACGGGGGCTGGATGTTTCGAGAGGATCACCGGCCGGATCGGAAGGGTGCTTCATGTGTCTTCATAATTCTGAGATCACATTCGTCGTACAATGTATACCATGCTATCAGTCCTACTTTCCTCCCGCATCCCCACTCTAAGGAGGCCCATACCACACGCAAACACCACACACCCACACACCAAATTGGATGGGCACCTGCTTTGGAGCCCCGCAAAAGGGCAGATGAGGAATGTGGTGCAAAAACTGTCCTTGCGTCACGGACAATTCCCCTTCTGCCTCCGAACATAGCACATACCCCACAGCTCTCGCCTATTATACGCTATGCCTCCCGACGCGCTCAAGTACAGGATCCCTCTGACCATCGCGCAAGCGCAGAACGCAGGGGCGCTCGACGACTTGCTTCGCTTCATGATCGTCGGCAAGAATCTCGAGAACTTTAGCTGGGACGCGTTACCCAAGGCCGTTCGGAACGCGAAGACATTCTCTTTCGAAGGCCTACTCAAAATAGTCAGAGCGGAGCAGGTCAGGTCACACTCGATACAGCTCTGAAAGAGAGTTGTACTGACTGTGCAGGGCCCAAAAGCTCAGCTTGCTGAAATAGTCGATGGAGTGTGAGCTCCGCTGTGGATCTTGCGGGCGAGCAAACGCGACATTTGCTGAAGGACACAGGCAGACCCATCTTCGGGCCACCGACTCCTCAGCAAGAGGCACCACAGCAAGCTCGAACGAGAACGTACCGAGACCTATCGCGGATGCGTGAGTTGTATGGCCTTGACGCCCCTTATTCCACAGCTGACTCCCGCAGGCTCTTTGCGGCATGGAAGCCTCGGATAAAGGATGACTGGGTCTTCATGTTCCCTGTGGACCGCGATCCAGACTCAACCTCGGTCTCGCGCGCGACCTGCGATACCAGAGTCACGGCTGCCTGCAATATCGCGCTCAAGACTGCCTCCCAAAGATTGAAGGCTCTCGACATCGTGACTTTCGAGATCGACCCGCGTACATCTTACGCGGACTATATCGAGGCGGGGATCGATCCGGACGTGTTACTCCAGGAGGAGAAGTTCGCGCCGTGGCGCATGGTCCTGGGTCCGGGTACGGCGATAAGGGTAAGTCCGACCGGGTAGGAGTGGTGAGGCGGTTACTGATACCGGTAGAAAGCCTGTCCAGCCTGCTGGAATACCCGTACTGATACTTTGGAGGCGGTATCGGCATTCACATCCCCCACTGTTCTGTGCGAGTCATTGGACCTATACGAGGAGCTCTTTGCGCTATGTGAGTTCTCTTTTGCGATATCGAGGAAGATGCTGATCAGTTAGGTGGTACCTGGACATCGTCCCAGTAAGTCTGCCTTTGGACATATATAAGGACAAGCTGATCGGCAGGACCTGCCCACATCCTCGGCATGAAGAGCGTACCCGGTCGAAAAGCGGGCGCCGAGCCCCACGCGGAAGTCTCGTATCCGTCACCGACATCACCGGGTTCGCCCAAAATTTTCGTCCCCCACCCAGTCCACCTTCTAGCCGAGACCCGTCCACCGGCCCAATGGACGTCGACGCCGAAGCCGGCCCATCCTACTCATCCGAAACCCATTCCCAGACCACACTCCCACTCCCCCGCCTCATCCTAAAATTTCCCGCGCCTTTCCGACCCAAACCAGTCCGAACCCGTAAACTCGACCCAGCCGCCCACCGCCAGATCATCCATGCCCGAGTCATCATCAAGGCCCGGAGGTTGACGCGGGATCTGCGCGAAGAGGTCGCGGACGTGCGGCAGCAGTCGGAGTTGGTTCACCTCGAACTGGAACGGAGCAAGGCCGAGACCCAGCTCGTCCAGGCGCAACGTTCTCAGGCGACAGCTCAGCTGAACAAAGCGCAGGCCACCATGGAGCAGTACAATACTGTCATGCTGGCCTGGCGAAAGCTGAGGGAGGATACCTTGGCCCAGGTGGCGGAGACGGAAGTGGCACTGCGGAAGGAGATCGAGGATCGTCACGCGGATGCCGCATTGGCCGAGGCAGGACAAACGCGCTTGGCGGAGCAGGTCCAGATCCTTGAGGAGCAGCTCCGGCAGGCCGAGGAGCGCGCAAAGGAGGTGGTGGGGCCAAATCAGGCCGAGGTGGACGCCCAGATGGAAGAGTTGCGGTCGAAACACGTCGAAGCGCTCGAAGCGGGACGGCGGAACAAGGACCGGCAAGCAAGTCGAATACGGACATTGAACGACCGGATCGACAAGCTAGAGGCGGCGGAGAGGGAGCTGGCTGCTCTCAAGCAGGCGGCTGGTGATAGCGCCAAGACCGCTACGGAGATCCGAGAGGAGCTCGAATCCGCCAAGACGAGGGAGACTGCGCTTCTCACCCGCATTTCTCTACACAGCGGGGAGAAGAGGGCGATTCGGAAGGAGGCCGAGGATAAACTGTCCTCAGTACGCCTTGAACATGAGCTCGCTTTGCAAGCGGCACAGCAAAATACGGCGGCGCAGCTCGAACGGGATCGGCAGCTCAGCGACCAGGTGGCCACCCTTAACACTCAACTCACAAATATGAAAACCCACTACGAAACCCAGCTCTGGCTGCAGGACCAAGCTGCCCTTCAGTCGATCGGCGCTTTTCAGGCGGACAACGAGGTGCTGCGGGCAAAGATTGCATCAGCTGGGGCTAGCGATGCGGCGGAAATCCAGGAGGCTCGTGCGAGGATAAAGGACCTAGAGGCGGAGCTGGACGACATGTGGGCCAAGCACCGACAAAATCAGTCGGAGCTGGGCCGTCTGCAGCGGCAGAGCCAGAAGCCCGCAGCGCAGGGCGGACCCACGTCGGGAGAGGTGCAAGTGTCCAGGCAGGCGATGATTTTCAATGGTACGTGACACGACATGATCAAAGCTGATAGCTAGCCAAGCAAGGAACTCACGCCGACGGTCTGGCTGTCGGTATCCCTGTCATCCAGTCAGGGTGGCCAACTCCCATCCCCACTCCGCCGGCAACGGCCATACCGAGCAGCACGCAGCAATACGCATATGCCAAACCCACCTGGGCGGCGATGCCGGGCGCCAGCCAGGTACAGGTTCAGCCACAGCCGCAGCCTCGGTCAACTCCTCAGGCCAAGGCTCCGCCAAAATCGCAGAATCAGCAGCTTACTTGGGTTCAAGTGAGCCCAGCCCCTAAGGCGGTCAAGGTGGAACAGCCATAGCTTCCCTGGCGGTGTAGGAGGTCGCAGTAACTGGTTTGCTTTAGCGCCAGGAGGGGAGTATGGATGTCGAGGTTATGGGCGTCCTAATCTAGATCATGCATCTCAATACCCCTGGGTACTACACTAATAGTCTACTAACCCTGCAAGCCGCTTCATCCGCTGCGTCAAGACCGGCTTGACGATAGGTCCAGGCCGCTCGTCCTCGGCGATCTTCTTCTCGATTTGCGATCCCGTCATGCGGAAAAGCAAGGGGTCGTGCGAGGTGGAGATGTGGTGCTCCATAGCGTGCAGCTTGGCGGCCTTCATATCGGGGTGTATATCGGCAGCGGGCTTATAGCAGACATCTGACATGTCAGCTCGCATAACGTCATCAATGCCAAACGACTCACAAGCCGCCACCCTCGGTCTCGAGCCTTGCGCATTGGCGCCATAGTGGATCGTCCTCGAGTCCCAAAGGATGAGATCTCCCGGGTCCGCCTCCACCTTGACCCACTTACACCCTCGGTCGTAGAACCACTGAAGGTCATCGTCGCTGTACCAAGCTGCATCGCGCCAGCTCCACTCTGGCGCATCGCCTGACGCCTCTTTGGCCTTGAAGTACTCCTCGAAGAGGGGGAGCGAGCCGGAGAGGACCATCAACCCGCCGTCGTCGGGTCCGTTCTTCTCCTGATGAGTCAGCGGGGACACTCTCGTGATGGGCGGAGAGACGTACGAGATTGGCGATCCCCTGGATGCAGTTCTTGAAGCGCTTGTTTGGGCTCTGGTCGACGTGAGGCCAAGGCTTGCCGCGCTGACCTTCCATTTCTTCCTTGGGGTAAGGCAAGGAGATGTTGACGGCGTCTGCTATCAGCATGGTCCCATAGCAGGACTCACCAAAAGAGACTAGCAGCTCGTCGGTACCCCAGATCTTGGCAAATGCGTTGATGACTCCAGGCTCGCCTCGGATATCCCAAGCGAACTGCTCGTGGCCTGCACCATTCCTCGTGTAGATCCCGCCGCTGACGATTAGCTTCGTCTTGAATACGGGGGACGTCACGTACCGGTTGAAGTAAGGGACACGATCGATATGCCAAGTAGACGGGTCGTTCCCCTTGAACCCCAGATTGAAGCTCTCGAGCCAGCCGTACATGCGCTGTACGTACTCGGCGGCGCGCTCAGCGGGGATGGCTCCCTTGACGACGGTGTACTGTCTGTCAGTTCGTTCTCCTTTCATTGCGAGGCTGCACTTACGCCTTTGGAATCCAGATCCGGGAAGACCCCAGCTTCAGGTCGACGGGTGTCTCCGCGCAGCTTGAGCGTTCCTGGTCGCATATACTGCTCGGGCGGGTAGTCCCCTCGCAACAGCGTCTCGGTAAGATTCTGGGTCATGATGTGGTAGATGAGAATTGCAGCTGTAAGTGAACAGGATGAGTAAGGTAAGGACGACACAACGTACTATACGTCTTGCTCGCAAGAGTCACCCGAAGTGAATAGCGCAATTCCCCCCCGCGGCCGTCCGGTACCGGTAGTCCTTCCTCCGCCAGCGCTGCATCGCCTTTGTCACCCTCCCCCACTTTGAGCTCTCATGATCTCAGCCCTCGTGGTCGATCTCGGACTTCGGCCTGGATGTAAGCCAAATCCGAAATGCTAATAGCGCACACAAAGGCGCGGCCCCACCTGACTGCCGCACGCGGCGGACCGGATATAGCTGCCCGGCCTCGATTAGGCTCTGCAAGCTTATCGTGCATGAATGGCTGTATCAGTCCTGATGATCTGATCGACCGTCTCGAGCCGCTATCTACCTGTGTTTGTCAGGCCGCCCGCGTGCAGCATGCAGCTGAGTCAGCCAGGCTGGAGCGGAGAGGATGCCGGCATCTCGGAGTTTTCGGTCTTTCGGATCCGTAGCCGAACCCTCTCCTCCCTCTCCTTCGCGCCTGCACCTGTAGCATGTGCCTTGATCTCGCTGGATCCCCCCACTCTTGCTCATCAGCGGCGTGCCCTAGCCCCACTCAGAAGGACTATTCTTGGATGTCGAGCCTTCGAGAGGCGGACTCTGCCGCGGACGTAAGCCCTGTTCTGGCTATCAGCAGCTGGATCTTGGGATCCCCCCACTCTAGCTTGCTTGCCGCGGCACTATGACTGCAGAGATACCCCACTCTACCCCTCTCTCTTATCGTGTGTATAAGTGGACACTCGCCATGCCCTTCTCTGCCCCTCGTGTCAGTCAACCAAGCCGGACTACCTCGCGTAAATCTCAGCACCATGGACCAATCCAAGAGAGACATCGACCACAGTGACACGCCCGAGAAGGATCTCCTCATCGCGGTCCACGGCACTTCTGTGTCCCAGAGAGACTTCGACCACGATGACGCGCCCGAGAAGAACGTCCCTATCGCGGTGCACGACATGTCCGCCGAAGACCGCGCGTATGAGCTCAAGCGCGCTCTCGAGGTCGATCCCGGGATCCCGGTCAGGAGTCTGCGATTTCTCCAGATGACGGGAGTCATGCTCATCGTGTGCATGTGTGGAGGAGATGCCGGTAAGTCTTCTTCGACTCCTAGGATAGGGTCGCAGAGCTGATGCCCAGGCTTCGACGGGACCGTCATGTCATCTGTTAACTCGATGAAGCAATTTCAGACCTTCTTTGGGTTGAGCATCGCTGAGAAGTCCACTGGGATCGTCTTTGTAAGTCTCGCAAGTGACTCAACTACGTCATGCATTTGCTGACGGGGCAGGGCATGTACACCGTCGGCCAGGTCTGTCCAAGTCTGAGTTATTCAGTCGGCGAGCTCGCTGACTGGTCAGGTCTGTGCGTTCTTCCCGACATCTATACTCCCTGACAGGGTCGGTCGGCGCTGGTCAATGTGGATTGGCAATCTATGTCTCTGGTGAGTCGCGTTTCTGGCAATCGCTGACCCCAAGCGTCGGCGCCCTTCTCACCGGGTTGGCGCAGAACTTTGGCATGTTCATCGCTGGAAGATTCTTGACCGGTCTGGGCTGTACTCTGGCCGCTTCGTCCGCGTGAGCCACTCCTTCCTTTCACCTCGTGCAACTTAATCCGGCTGATCATCTCAGCAAAGCATACATGTCCGAAGTCACCTCCCCAGCAACCCGCGGCCGATGGATGGGTCTCCTCAACTCCTTCTACTACGTCGGCCAGCTCCTCGCTAGCGGTATCGCCATCCCCTTTGGTCGTCAAGCCAGCGACTGGGCATGGCGCACCCCCCTCCTCCTCCAGTGTGTTCCGGCTTTCATCAACGTCCTTGGCGTCCTCTTCATCTCCGAGTCCCCTCGCTGGCTCTACTCGCGCGGCCGCCACGAAGAGGCCATCAAGGTCCTCGCGCACCTGCACAGTAGAGACCGTAGTACGGCATCGCCTATCGTTCAGCTCCAGATCCAGGAGTTTGAGGAGAACATCTCGCTAGAGGGCGCGGATAAGCGATGGTGGGACTTCAGGGCGGTCCTGAGGACGAGCGCTCACAGGTACCGCTTTGGGTTGTGCTGTATCATTGCGATATGGGGTACGCTCTCCGGGAATGGTCTGATCACTTGTAAGCGCTCCCGTCGCAGCCAGGCACCTCCTCGGGCATCGCTGATCAACAGACTTCCTGCCTGTCCTCCTTCTCCAGGCTGGTATAACCGACCCCGATAGGCAGAGAGTGTGAGTGAAGCCTCCTTAATCATACCGCTATGCTCACGTACAGTCTGAACTTCGTCAACTCCGTCACCTCCTTCATCGCCGCTCTCACTGGTACCTCCCTCTCTGACAAGATCGGCCGACGCAAGCTCCTCCTGTTCGCCGAGATCGCCTGCGCTTGCGGTATGGCAATCGTCGCGGGTCTGTTATCTGGCGAGTCCTCTAGCCCAGAGCGCGCTACTACCGGGATCGTCTTCATATGTAAGTTGTCCCCTCATCGCAGCTATCCGCTCGGCGCGCGGCTGACACACAAGACCTCTTCATGGTATGCTACAGCTTCGGATATACCCCGCTGCAGGGACTCTACCCCGCCGAGTGCCTTGCCTACGAGAACCGCGCCAAGGGTCTCGCACTCCAGACATGGGTCGGGACACTCTTTGGCCTGATAAATACCTTTGGAATGCCCGTGGCACTTCCGGTGTTGACGTGGAAGAGTGAGCACTGAGCTATAGATCTGGATTGTGCGCTGATGTCCAGCGTACCTTATATTCATGGTGGTCGATATCGTGGGTGTTGTGGTCATCTACCTCTTTGCAGTTGAAGTGAGTTCATCTGCCATCTCCATCAATCCGCTAGCTCGGCACGGGGGACCATGACTGATTTCCAGACCAAACAGCTGTCCCTTGAGGACCTGGACCACGTGTTCACCTCGGCCAAACCCAAGCAGACGAGCTTCGACCTCGCCAAGGCGGCCAGGGAGAGGATGAAGCTCGAGAAGGCGGCCGATCAGAGGGCCTGATGAAGCTATGGTGTTGCTGTGATATCGTACTGAAGCGGATGGCAGGACCGGCGATGAACGTCCTCAATTTGTAGGGAGATAGACCGTTGAAGGTGAAGATATTCATGCAGATCGACCTCGTTTTGAGCTCGCCCACTTTTCGTATACAACGTCATCCTCCGGGCCGATGAATCTGCCCATTAGCACAGGCTGTAGAGGGACCGCAGCACGAGGACTCACGGTCTGACCATCCGATTAAAGCTATTATTTTCCTCTCGTATGCTCTTCGGAGATAGTTCTTCTAGATACTTCATAGCTAATGTCTCCCATGCGTGATATCTGGCACATCAGCCACAGTATCGGGCAGGCGGAAATCAGTATGAGGTGTACATACGCGTATTGTCCTGTTTTGTAGAAATCGTAATCATCCTTCTCATGCGTATACTGTATCTCCTCGCCGTACCACATCGGCCAGAAGAAGGCTCGTTGTGACAGCACTTGGACTTCGTCGGGGTATCGCCGTGCTATCTCCTGCTCTTGTCAGCTTGGCTGAGACACTCTTCGCGGAGATGGGAGCTGACCCAGGGCTTGACGACGCTGTGTCCGGCCCAGACGTCTTTAGTGAAGGTCTCGTAAGATGCAATCCAGCGGTCTATGAATGGCGAGTGTGGCTCAGAGATGATTACTGCGTTCTGACGATCAGCTGGGAGTCCATATGTGGACGATAGGACTTACGCAGAGACCCTCGGGGTCGAGCACGTCCCGGCGGGAGTCCGTGGCGGATTCCATACCGAGCGTAGTGGGGAAGTATAGCAGGTCGTCGAATGACTTGGTCCTGAATCATTAGCTGCTGTAGCACACGGCATAGGTCCGACAGGTCCATATAGCTCACACAAACATGTCGATGTCGAGGTAGATACCCCCAGAGTGCCGCATGGCCAGCAGCCTCAGTACGTCCGCCTTGTGCGCAAAGTGAGATATATGGTTGCCCATGATCGTTTCTGGCGCTTGGGTTCGGATGAGGGTGAACCGTGGCTCCAGTAAGTCCCACCATGGTCCAGTCGGGAGGTGCTCATAGTGACTACTCTATCAGCTCGTGCGTCACGTCGTTGCTCGCCACGTCCGCGGCAGCTCACAAGTATATCTTCTCCGGCTCAAGATGTATCAAAGCGCTCCTTATCGCCAAATACGCATAGTACGGCAGCTCCTCCCCTTTCTGTCCCGCAGGAAGAGGTTTCAGGCCATAAATGTAGTGCAGGCTGTTAGGCACTACCATGCCCTTCTTCTTTGGCGTGAGGGGCGGTGGGAGATAGTCCGGGCGAGCGGGCTGAGCAGGGGGAGGGAGGAACTTTTTGGAAGGGATGACGAAGTGAGAGGTGGAGCGGCCTGTCCGAGCATTGTGGTCGGAGGAGGAGAGGAGGAAGTAGAGCCCGATGAGGAGTGTGAGGGTGAGGATGAGGAGAGTGCGTGGGGTCGGACGGGTCCGGGACGAAAGGGAGGAGAGCTGAGCGGTCAGCTGTAAGTTGTGAGGCGGCGATTGCCAACACGTCTACAGTCCCGACAGCTGACATACCGGTTTAGGTGTACCGTTCCTCCATTTAGGCAGCATAACGAGGCAAGAGGTGATGGAGGAGGCGCAAGAGGGCGAAAGCTGGCATATGCACGCGAGGAATGCGCACGGATATTGCAGAACTGCCCCCGGAACCAGGGGACTGCGGGGCTCCAATCGTCCAACACCACCCAATTCCACCACGATAAAGACTCGAAAGCTTTCACCATTGCCTTCATATCTCAACTCTGATAGATTTATACACAGCACCCCAGGAGCGCTCTATCAGGACGGATTCTGGAACGGCTTTGTCAACCCGACTCGAAAGGGACGCCGCAAAAAGTCTAGTCAAAGTCGTAAAGCCATGTCGACCGAACACCTCATGGGCGAGTTTGGAGGCGTGTTGGACGCTTTGATGGCTCCGGCAGAAGCGCCCAGACAGGCGTGAGCTTACCAAGCCACTTGTTACCATCGATCCGAGCTGTGAGCTGACCCATGCAGCGCCGAGACATACCTACGTGACTTGACAATCGCTCAACCAGGGGATGTCTTGCTGCTCCTTGCGCAGATTGGCGCCCAGGGTGTCGGTGGCTTCCAGCTGGATGTGAGCTGTTCGTTGCGCCCTAGCCATACTCAGCTGATATGTATAGCACCGCTTCCTCTGCCTCATCCTCCTCAATCGACTCGCCTTCCGAACGCTCCCAGGTCTGTACCTCAACTCGACAGCTGGAATCCCCTCCTCGCCATTCGATGTCATCCCAGAACGGACGCGAGGGCGGATAGAGACGGTGCTCTGCGCGGGACTGAAGGATGAGATGAATGTGCGAATGCGAAAAGGGCTGGGAACGTGTTGTGCGGGCTGGGCAGAGGAGTCATCACGGCGTCAACGTGAGCTAAACTGTCAATCTTGCTGTCAGATTGTTCCAGCTGACAATCCAGGACCTGTACTACCGCTCCCACCGGTGCTCATTGAGCTGACAGCCCGAAAAGAGTCGTTCCACCGCTTCACGCCATATCAGGTCATGACGCTCTTCCCGACGCTTCTGAGCGATTCGATGACTTCGCCATTACCGGCGGCGCAGTTCGCCCAGATCCTGTTGGCGGGACTACACGATGGGAGCGTGGACGTGCAGATAGAGGCATTCAAGGCGGTCGAAGCGGTCTTGTCGAGAGGTATGACTATTTCAGAGCGGAAAGAAGTCGGACCAGTGCTAGTCAAGGAAGCCCTTACAGTACGTCCGTCCCTTACTGGCCGCAACGCCTCTGACCAGCAGATCCTCGAAAGAATCCCCCGCGATCTCCTCCACCTAGCTCTCCAACCCCTTGTGGACCTAGCATGGGACCATACCGTCCTCCTCCGACCTTCTACAGACCACCTCCTCCGGTTCATGCCCGCCCTCATCGCACCCCCTAAATTTAAGGATCACGCGTGGACCGCGTACCCCTTACCGCAGACGGCCGAGGATGGCGGAGAGGAATGGCTGGAATATGCCAATCCCGCACAAGAGATTTTGCTGGCGTTTGCGAATGCGTACCCGTCGGCAGTGCGGGATTGGGATGCGGGCAGGCTAGTGCAGGATTTGGTACCCATGTTTGTGGGCAGGCTGGCGGCGGAGCTGGTCTGGGAGGGGGAAGATCAGAGTGACTGGCTCAAGGAGGAAGATGTGAGCTGCACCGCCTACAGCATGAGAAGCGGAAGAAGCTGATGTCGTAGGTCGAGATTGGCGAGTACGAAGCGTCCAGCCCGCAGGATGGGATACAGCGACTTGCATTCTCACTGGCCGATCCTGCGATCTTTGAGGCGATGTTGGAACAGCTCAAATTGGCAATGAGCGCGGAGCCTAGCGAGTGGCAAGTGACATGTGCGGGGTTGATGTGCTTTGCGGCTGTTCTTGTCGAATCGCCCTCGGTAAGTTGCCAGGTTCTGTTCCTCCATTCGGCAGAAGAAAGCTTACCCTTTAGCCCATACGAGATAGACTGCATGAGATCATCACGTGCTTCCTTCGCTTGAGACCTCTTGAGAGTTGGGCTGATGTCCAGATTGATAGCGAAGTGCGCTAGCCATCCGCACTTCCGAGTGCGGTATGCCTTCCTGCACTGTATCGGCGAGATCTGCCACACCGTGAGCCTACTTGACGAATGTAGCTGATGTAAGGCCCGGACAGCAGTGACTTTCGGGAGCGAGCTCATCGACCTCTGCCTGACCAATCTCTCAGATCCTATCGAGCGGTGAGCTATCCACAACTCTAGACCGCTAGCAAAATGAGCTGACATATGTAGCGTTCGAGCGCAAGCGACCACAACCCTGACAGATATCATATCGACTACGCCGGATACTGGACCCGAGCCATCGCCATTTAACCTCCGCCAGATCGTCGAGGCGCTGTGCAATGCCTATAATGCCAGTCAGCCTTTTGTTAAAGAACGGATATTGGCGAGTCTGAGTGATCTGGAGACGCGCGTGGTGGGGGATGTGGACTTCGTTCGTGAGTGCTTGACATTCTTCCGTGTATGCAAAACGCCAATCCTGATTCTCGCAGGTGCATTAGCGGAGTTCTATCATCGGATTCTGCAGCAGAGCGGGGCACCGGCGATGCGAAAGGTTGTTGGCCGGGCTATCGAGTGCTCGACGGTGCCTATGTTCGTCAAAGCACAGTACAAGCATCCGGTACGCACACTCATATTCTAAGCGGGGACTCCAGCTCATGGCTCGCAGGAACTAGGCCAGAATCTCGTCAAACTAGCAGAGCTACTACTTCGTCATCAGAACGATATCACGACAGACGACGACCCGCGATCGAGATACATCATCGATGGTAAGCTCGTCCCTTCCACCTTCAAGATGAAGCTGACGGTCAGGCTGGATGTCGTTCGCCAAAGCTATCAAAAGCGACTTTGCCCCCTTCCTCCCTTTTGCCGTACCGCACGCCCTCAAACTCGCCTCTTACAACCCAGCCCGTTTTGCCCCGCGCCAGCAAGCCTCCTCGCTCACGGAAGATACACCGGACGTCGAGGAAGAGCTGGATGATTGGGGAGATATACCTGATTTGTACGATAAAGCGGGAGCGATGACCGCTTTGGCGACGTTTGGGTCAGAATGCGGGAAGGCGATGGTCGGGTGGGTAGGGGAGGGGATGGGATTGGGTGTGCAGGGTCTAGGAAGTCCGAGTCGGGGTGTCAGATCGGTGAGTGGAAGTCTTGCCGGCGGTCAGAGCAAGGGGTTTGAGCTGATCTTTAGGCATCTTGTGCGCTGATACCGTCCATGCTGTACGTGCATAAAGAGGGCTCAATACCGATCGACGTCGAATCCCTCCTCGTCACTTTACTCTCACATACGACTCGCCAAGAAAAAGACGAAGATACCGACTGGGACCAGCTCGCCAACCACATTAAATCCTTCACCGACTGTATCCGCGTCATTTCGATCCCGCTCCCTCCACCCATTCTTGACGCGTTTCTCGCGCTCCTCAGTCGGGTCGTCGGGTCCGTCGCGGAATGTATGGAGGTGCGGCGGGCGATGGCGGAGGAAGAGGGTGTAGAGGATGAGGAGGAGGAAGAGAGGGAGGTATGGGAGTGGAATGCGCTGTTGACAAGGGTGGAGGAGGCGCTGGAGGTTGTGTTGGAGCTGGAGAAGACGGTGGAGGGGGGGATGAAGAGGCTGGAGGGGATGGAAGAGCGGTGGCGGGCGGTCTTGGAGGGGTTGAAGAGGTTAAAGGCGGCGCTTGATGCTAGGGCATAGCATGACGGTTATGAAAGATGCAGGAGATGCAGGTGTTTCGGACCGCACATTACATACTCTTTACAGTAAAGCATTGTCCTCTATGTTCCATATATCCTGATCATTCCTCCCCGACCCACCGTTCCGCGATCTCGCCGATATATGGGAGGTAGAATCGGCTCAGGCCGCCTTGGGACGCATCGCTCCATGCTCGGAAGGCGGTATATCCTGCGGCGCCTATGCTTCCGAGGAGGAGCAGGAGGCGTAGGAATGAGGGGAAGGGGATGACGAGGTTGAAGAGGAGGAGAATGGTCAGGATAGGTGTAGTGAGGAGGGCGGATTGATAGGCTATTCTGTCAACTAAGATCCTGAACGGGCTGGATTAAGTCACGACTGACCATGAAACCGGACATAGTCGTTCTGGGTTTCGAGGATGAGCAGTATCAGCGCTGTAGAGTCAGCTTGTGACTCATCCATTGGTCGGAACACCATCAGCGAAGCTTACCCGTGATAGGTCCCCCCAAGTACGCCAACGGCGCCATGAAATCCACCCTCCACCCAAACCTCGTCTCCCACGCATTCGCCCGCTCGGCGTCCCCACTCCCATTCCCGCTCCCACTCCCACTTGCAGCCCCAAATCCACCCGTCAGACCCGCTACTTCCGGATCATTGGAGTATGCCTGAGCCACACTCGTTGGGTCCGATAAAGACCCGCCGGATTGGTAGGTATTGCCTGCTCCGAACGAGGAGGGATCGCTACTGGGTCAGCTTTGATCGTGTGCCGAACGGGATTGGCTTCGGGAGAGAGCTGAGACGTACCGATTGAACCAGGGCCGCTTCTGCTTCCCCTTGGACCGGCCGCCGAGGAGTGATTTTGAGGATTCGGATGGAGGGTCTTCGGAAGGAACGTCGGGTGGGGGTTGGTCTGTCTCGTGAGCTGTAGCTCTCGCTTGGAATCGACGAGCAGCCAGCTCACAGGGTGCAAAGTTGGCGCTCATCTCGGATACTGACTATGTCTTTGCCTGTATTGCTATGCTAGTATTGCTATGAGAACGATGGATAGAGTCGCTTGGACACCTTGGTGAGCCTCTAGTCCGCCGCGCCCGGCCGGATATGGTCAGGCACGGGTTTACGTAACTCAGCGGTGCACCGGCGTGGGGATCTGATTCCGCCGGTGACGCAGGAGGCTCAAAGGGCAGCGAAGACGATACAAACGACGACATCAGCGAAGAAGAACCAAACATACATATACCTCCAGCAAATACGGCGCACATCGCTAGTTGGATTACTGCCCATCGGCTCAGCCTTCGAAATAGCTCTCAAGAAGCAGCAGCTACCGCTGATAAACCGCCAACGCTGGTCATACGAGCGATTCTGACCAGGGTTGACTGCGGATCAAGATGAACGCAGCTCTATTATCGCAGATCCAAGGTGAGCGTTCTCCCTCATGCTAATCGTCGTAAGCACGGTCAACGAGGGGGATGATGGCTGACAGACACAGGTGGAAAAGGACTGAAGAAGGCTGTGACGGTCGACAAGTCCGCCCCCGCGGTCACTGGCGCCGTCATCGGAGAAGGTGGAGCAGGGGGCGGTGGGGGAGGTGGAAGATCCGGAGGCGGGGTTGCGGGAGGGATGGCAGCTGCACCGAAAGTACCAGCTCCGAGCTCCGGTGGACCACCTGCGCTCGCTGGGCTGTTCGCCGGCGGTATGCCAACGCTGAAGAAGACCGGTGCTCGTGAGCCACATCCCACTGACCCGGGGGGGACGCAGAGCTGACTGTACAGCCGGTGCGTCGACCCTGCTACCTACTTCAGCTGCTCCATCTCGAGCGCCTCCGAAGCCGTCTGCTGCGCCCCCTGCGCCTCCACCTCCACCTGGCCCACCCAGACCTATGGGTGCTCCGCCAGCCCCTCCAGCTCCTCCGGGGCGTGGACCACCGCCACCACCAGCGCCTCCAGCACCATCTGCGCCGAGCAGAGGACCTCCCGCCCCTCCGCCTCCACCAGGAAGAAGGTAAGTCTGGTCTCGGTTCTCAGTCGAGTATGGCTGACTTTGCAGTGCGCCTCCCGCTCCAGCCCCGCCAGCCGCAAGAGCATCACCGTCTAGGATACCTCCTCCGCCAGCGCCTCCTGCTCCACCACGCGCCCCTCCTGCACCACCAGCTCCGCCGGGAAGGTCAGGTCCCCCAGCCCCTCCGCCACCTCCACCTCCACCCGGCCGGTCCGCCCCACCGCCAGCTCCACCAGGTCGGTCTGGACCACCCCCACCGCCTCCTCCACCACCTCCACCAGGACGCGGAGCTCCTCCCGCTCCGCCGGCCCCGCCTGCACCTCCCGCTCGCGGCGCGCCAGTCCCTCCACCTATGCCTGGACGCAGTGGTCGACCAGAAAGCACCGGACCTCCACCGCGGAGTATACCTCCACCGCCTCCGCCACCTCCAGGTGGCAATGCTGTAAGTCTAAGCTAACGGTCGATCCATCAGTACATGTAGCTGACAGGTTAGCCTCGAGCTCCTCCTCCTCCACCTCGGCCTACTGGTCCTCCAGCCTTACCTACGCGTGTCCCGAGCACGAGCGCCCCTCCCGCCGGACGCAGTCTCCCTCCGCCCTTACCAAACGGAGCTGGCCGGAACATCCCTCCCGCCCTCCCTAGCCGTCCCTCATCCAACTCGATCTCATCCATCTCGACCCCACCGCCACTGCCAGCTGGCCGAAACCTCCCGCCCCCTGCGCCAGCTATGCCGCCTCGCTCGGTCCCGCCCATGCCTGCCAGACCACAGCAGACCCAGTCATACCAGGACGACTCGGACTCGGACTCTGCCCCCGCGCCCGCACTAGCTCCCCGACTCCCGCCTGCGCCGGCTAGGGCACCACCACCTCCTACCTCGGCTCGACCCACCTCAGCACTGGCTCCGCCATTAGCGGCTCGTCCGGCTGTGGGCGCTGCGCTACCTCCTCGCCTGTCTAGTCCGGCGCAGTCAGGGTACGGGATGGATATGCCGGATGTGCCGGAGCCGCCACCTGTGGTGGGGAGCTGGACGTTCCCGATGAAGGGGATGTTCCCGCCTCCTAGACCATTCAAGGGGGGTCAGAAGTGAGTCTTGACTTCTTGTAGGAAAAGATACCGCGGAATTGCAGCTGACTCAACAGGACGTATGCGAGCGGAAGATCTAAAGGAGCAGGTGTTGGTGTCAACTAGAGACCGTGTAATGTCGAATACTGGACAAATGTGACTCTGATCAAGTGGCTAACGCGCCGACTGCACCGGTCGACTCTGTACTAAGGTCGCTTATGATCTCAACGGGTCTACACGGCGCATTCTCGGCCTGATATTTCCGCAGAAAGGGTATGCATGATACTGGTACGGACGCGAAAAGCTGAACAAAGACATATAGACAAAGACGCTTCGTGTATGTGCGAAGAATAACCGGAACTCGGACTGACAATCTCAACGACCCACTCGACGCCTCATTTCCCTACCTCCTCTGGCTGCGAAGTCTGGGTCTCGGGCACCGCATCGGGAGGCGTGGGCGGCTCAGCTTCCTCCTCAGGCTTCGGATACCACACTTGCATTCTGGGGTCGGCCCAAGTGACGAAGCTCGCATGGAGCGGGAAGACCATCTTGACCTCTTCCGCCTCCGAGCTCGCTCCCTCCGAGTCGACATTGCTCACTCGGAATGAGACGTGGAGGGTACCAAAGGGGATGGGTTTGTCTGGACCGCTTGCGTAGCGCCCGCACATGCTCTCCTCGTCCTCGGGATTCCGCATCATTGTACCAGCCCATCGGAGAGGGATGCAGGCAATATCGTCGTCTGTTATCGCGGTCTTGGTATCGCCGTCGTCTGCTGACATGGGTTGCACGCTGATGGACATTGACCCCAGGTTGACGGTGTACTCATGCCCCTCGCGTCCGGATGTAGGGGAGACCTTGCCTTGGCCGAGGCTGACTTGAGTCTCGATGATGGTAGGGTCGCAGAACGTCAGCCGCGATGTCTCAATGTCCTCCCGAGTACACGGCCGTTCGGGATTCTCAGAATGCCATTCGCCTCGATCTGACATCCCAGACAGCAAGGCCATCAGAACGTCAGAAACTGAAGCGCCACCGCGATCGTCGCCGGTATGGTTGACCGCGGTGGAGAGCCGGAATGTGCAGGTGCGATCGGGCACCCTGCTGATCGCTCCTCTCAAACGCGCTTCGACGTTAGACGCCAGTCGCTCACAAGCATCCTCGAGTGTGGGAATGCGGGTCAGTCGAGAACCAGGTCCTCCATAGGTTGACCCGTACTTCGTATTGAGGTGGGCGTGAACCGTGTAGGGGTAGCGCGGCCGCATCTCTTGGTCGGCAGGCGGCTGTATGAATTGCGAGGGGTCGTACTTGGGCTCCTCGTCGGTCCCGCGACCGGTCAAGCATGAGCGCAGGAGCCAGCCGATGGCCTGGCCCAAGTCTCCGCCGGCACGAGAGACGCCGGTCTTTTCTCTCGACATGTCCAGGGATCGGTGAGAAACCGTCTGTCCTGTTGCGCGTATGGGGATCGGTGAAGTACGGATGCGTCAGAGGGAATAAGAGATAGATGGCGGGAAAGGGATGTGGGCGATCAGAGGGATAGAGGGGTTTCATTATATGCACGGGGCCTGCAGCTCTGGGTGGCAAGGCGGTGCAAGAAGCAGAGTACAGTGTCAGGCATCCTTTCACGCCTTACAAGGACTAGACACGATCTATGTGGGCTTACAATCTACTCAAACACTTGACATCCAGGGGCATATCAGGTCAAAAGAGTGAGTGGAGGCGCGCCGCCGCGCGAGGGTTCTCCTGGCGTGTCACCAGCAATCTCATTGGAGATGCTCCTTTGGGATCTGATCTGGCTTAGATCTAGGGACTGAAACACTCCGGGACAGGCGAGCATGCGGATAGGAGCAGTGGTATGAAGGGAGAAGATAGATGAGCTAGCGAGGTCCCGATCGTGTTTGAAGTCGTGTGAGATCGCCAGCCACCCCTGCATTGGCCAACTCGCCGAGCGTGGCATTTTGCCACCCAAGATGCATGTTGTTTCCGCGCAATGTGCAATCTCAGTGTCAACTTGACTTTCCTGCAGCACCAGCCAGAGGACCTAGGTGCGCAGTGAACAATAGCGGGTCAAGTTGATACATGTGTCTATATTCGTCATGATGACCCCTTATGATTGTCCTACACCCTAGATAGAGTCCTAATGATTGTCCTATCAATCTATATAAAACATTATAGTCCAGCGTCTACGAGCGCTCAAGCCTACCACCTGCCCCCATCTACTCGATCTTGAGAGCCCGTACACAGTCAGAGCCGACGAGGACGAAGCCGGGCCTGCAGGAGTGGACGATGCACTGGCCGTTGACGCACGAGACGCTTCCGGCGTTGTCGATGACGCTGCAGTCGACGCCCTTGGGCTGGCCGTGAAGAGGGAATTCGCAACCGCCGCCTGATCATCAGCGCTGGGCATATCAGACAAGCAAGACGGGGTGGAGAGGGGGGTAGCTAGGTTCCACATGGGGAAGGACAAGAAGCAGCAAGCGATGGCAATGGAGGAGGGAGTGGGAAACACGGGCAGGTATGAGGAGAGTAAAGAGGGAAAGTAAACTCACAAGTCTCCACGTCGCTCTTGGTGTCCAGGCAGTCCACCTTGAGACCAGCCTTGACGCTCCGACCGGGGATGGCACATGCGGTGAGGCCAGTGGGGCAGAGGAGGTCGACGTTCGCCTGGTTGGCCAACCACCGACGCATAGTGATAGCACCTGCCGAAGGACCGGAGCATTCGGTGCTACTGCAGAACCTGCCGCCGCCGGAAGTGTTGGGGCAGAGGAAGGGGGTGGTGCCGGTACATCCTGGTCCAGGTCAGCGCAGCCCAAGACACATGACGGCTGAGATGACTCACGGAAGAAGCAGTCGCCGCACTGGGCGGTCGTAGGTGCAACAGGCTCGAAGGTTCCGCTAGTAGGGTAGTTGGCACAAGCGTTGTTGGTCCCACTGACAGGGACGACTGCGGGCAACTAGGGTGTCAGACAGAAAGTAGCGACAGGTATGCAGACCACTCACAGCTTGGATCAAAGCGTTGATGAAGAGGCTGGTAAGGTCCAGACCGAGTGGTCTCAGAAGGTCGTTCAATGCCCCGACAGTGATGGAGGTAGTCACCCCAGGACCGGCGACGGGCAGGGTGGTTACAGTGATGCCCGTGTCGCGGCTGAGCGCGTTCGAGATCGCGGTGGCGGAGGTTGCGGTTGCGACGGGTCCTCCAACGGCGTTGACGGTACACAAGCAAAGACTACTCCGTCAGCATCACTATGTGAGACGGACACTGACTGGAACTCACGTCTCTTGAACTGCCACCTTGATCGAGCCGATAACAGCCACGACGATCGGGGGGACATTTGTTCCGACAGCGACTGTGACACAAGCATTGACATTGGCGAGGGCTCGGTTGACGAGGTATCGAGGGTTGGGCGAAGTGGCCGGCGATGCGCGCCCGAGTACAGATGACAGAAGGGCGAGAGCCGGGAGGAGGTTGGTGAAGCGCATCTTGAAGGGCGTACACTGGTCTAGAGCTGGGGTGAGATGGGAGGTGGAAGAAGTGGGAATGGTAGTGAGAGAAGTGAGCGGGAGTGAGGTCGATGCGAAGGCGAGGAGGGGAGAGACAAGTGAGGGATAAGAACACAGGAAGGAAGAAGGTCCGCGGTCTCTTATATCCATACTCCCTCGCCATCTCGATCTCGCTAGCGGACAAGAACCACGCCATAAGCTTCACTTACTCTCAGCACCCATTCGCGTAGGCTTAGCTATCCTCCGACCTCTTGCCTGTTGCGTTTTTGATATAGCCCCATCGTCGATCTCAACTCCGAGAGAGCGAGTGGATAGCGAGCAACGCATCGACTGCAGAGCGCCAAGTGGTGAAACATTCCTAGAGCTTGATAAGCACTACGTCTAGACCTGGGCCGGATTGATCAGGCACAGCCGGCCGGGTGTGGTATATCTGGCGTGAAGAGAAGATAAATAACTGTTCAAGTGAATGGGGAACGATGTCATCGGATCAGAAGCGAGGATGGTGGTCGGGTGCCTAGAGATTAGTAGCGGCGCAATCCAGCTTCAATGGCTAGAGTAAGTTTACAGTGAAGGTCAGCGACGGAATGCAGACCGGGTTGAATGAGCGGCGGATCCGACAGCCTACGGCTCGGCTCAGGAGCTCGGACGAGCCGTAGCCGCTCCGTGGCTAGAGGCATCTAGAGGCATGCGAATCTACCTGAGAGAGGCATAGTGAGCTGAATGAAGTTGAATGGCAAGGGCGGAATGGAATCTGGGGTTCCTTCGGATCTCAAGCGAAACCTTCCTCAAGTTACCGCTTTGGGTTAGAATCATCCGGCATGATCCGGAATCGCTGAGACATTACGAGAACGCGTCATAGAAGCCGGATTACCGAAGAACCAAAGCAAGCGCTCACGCTGAGCATGATACGCGACGGATTTTTTACTGAGGCGCCTGTGCATGTGGCAGAGTAGCTGGCAGAGTGACCAGGCAGGAAGATGTCGCCAGCTGTACATAGATCCTAAGATGACACGGATGAAGAGGAAGGTCATCTGGGTGGTGAAGAAGAAGGTCGAGCAAAGTGGACATGGTCTCTCAATGAGTCAAGTGGCCAAAAAACGTTTCCAGCTACAATTAGAGATGTTTCTAGCTAGCCAGCCACCAAAGCTGACAAAATCGTGGATACAGACTGTCATATCCATTGGCACCGTACCACTGAGAAAGGTGGGCGCATAAAGCATCGAGTGTATGCCCACGTGAACTGTCACATCGAGCTTCGAGTGCTCGACTCCGCGATACTAGTCTAGGTGGCTGTCAAGGCTGTTCGCAAGGACAGCGATGGGCTTGGCATGGCCGAAATCTGCTGAGACGTGATTATTCAACGAAGACGTCGCAGTCAGGTCAGGGCTGATGGCATCTAAGGATCGGCGAAGTCCTGCATGGAGAAGCGTATACGTTGTGTGTGACTGATCAGAATCTCATTGGACCCCCTTCGCCCCAGCTGGCCCTACCGAAACTGGCGCGCACCACCCATCACGGGCATCCTTCTCTGAGGCTCGTCCGGCACTGCTAGGGCTTTCGCGTCCTCAAGAAGGTCAAAGTCGAATCCCACGCTGATTGAGACTTCCACAGCCACGTTCAGAGTATCCTCAGCAGCCGAGGTGACTCGGAACTTGGCGGTCCCGATGCTCAATTGCGCGTCCGGACGGCTCTTGCAGTGATAGTGTCCGCGGCCCCATGTATCTCGCGACACCAAGGCGGTGAGCCCTGGGCATGTCCCATGACTTCGTGACGCTGTCGGAACATCGTCTTCAGCCTGAGTATGCCAGGAAATGGAGTCTGGCACAAAGCTCCCCAGCCGCCAACCACCGCCTTCTGCTGCAGCGGAGACATCCTCAGAGATGCTGGCATCCCCGAAGACCAGCAGGGGCAGGAACATGGCTTGGCAGGTGTTGTCGAGGTTGCATTCTGCTTCGCCAGAGGGACAGACGCCGGGATGGATCAGACCGCTTCTGCCGTTGAGCTCTGATGACTGGCCAAGTCTGATTTGTGCTTGGGTCTGAAATGGTCCGGTCTGCCCAGTGGGAAGCGTGATGGTCTTCCGGAAACGAATGCGGAATCCTTCTGTCGTGGCCACCTCCTCGAAATCCTTCCGGAGCCCGGTGATCAGCTCCTCGATGGATCCGTGGGGATGCAAGGTCCAAGGGTAGCCGTCCTCAGTCATGTCGAACACACTCAGCTGAATGGTCGGAGACGAGCCATTCGGACCGAACAAGGCTTCTTCTCGTCTGGCGACACGGAATGGAGGAATGCAGCAGAAAGGCATAATAGGTGTAGTAAACGGAGAGTGTAGGGAAGAGAGAGGACCTCAGGGCATGACTCCGCTTCTTATACAGCTCGATGCTAGCTGGGTGTTGCGTAGAGGACTGGGGAATCCTTTGGGTGGCGAACTGGCGAGGATTAGAGACGCACCCCAGCTCGTCATTGGGCTTCCCGATGAATGGGAGCCTCACGTCGACCTTATGCTCTGGTACGTTCTATCGACAATGACGACGGATATGACGCTGGTGAGGCGGGCTGACCTTGACTGATAGCCAGATGTGGACGTGACCAAGCGGCAGGGGGTGCCACACTGGAGCGCCACAAGCTCCGAAAAGATGAAACACGTCGCACGGACTTCGCTTTGGCGCTGAGCTTTGAACGGCCAGCAGCTATAACGCGCTCTTACCACTTCTGCTTAAGATCTCTCGGCCAGACAGGTCAGAAGCAGAGCAGAAGGGCGCCAATCCGCTCCCACATACCGGACGAGCAACACAACGAGACACTCGCATCATGGCCCTCACACCTCGCCGCTCGACCCGCGGCGCAGTCTTCACCCCCTCCCCTTTCCCCTCCCCGTCCCTCGCCGCCCCTTCCGACACCGCGACGACGTACCAATGGCTGTCCCCCGCTATCTACCCCGAAAACTCTGATACTCCTCACTATACGTCCCTGAGGCGCTCGGTGGCTGGCACAAACACTCCCGGCCGGCGGAAGGGGAAAGGCAAGGCGAAAGGGGACGACGATACCCGATTTACAGTGGGTGACGGGGTGGTCGTCTCGGTGGATGGGAATGGTGAGGGAGTGGGAGTGATCACGAAGATGTGGGAGGAGGAGGTAAAGAAGGAAGAAGACGATGATGAAGGGGACGGAGCTGAGGAAGAGGATGAAGGGGAGGAAGGGGAAAAGACAGTCAAGATGGCGGAAATACATTGGTGTTTCCGAAGAAGGGATCTGCCGAGTATCATGAAGAACATCACAGTCGAAGATGTAAGCCAACTATATCCACGTTCTGAGGAAGCGAGCTGACCGTCTAGAACGAGCTACTTCTAGCCGCCTCGCCGGTCCGACCCGTGTCTACCCCTATCCCCGTTACCCTCCTCCTCCGTACCGTCGAGATCTACTCTCGAGCCTCCTGGAAGCAGAAATACGACCCGATCAAGTCTGTCGTCCGCGGCTGGACATACATCCAGAAAGACGTGTACTGGTGCGAGCGCGCGTTCGACAAGGGGGCGAAGGGCGGTCTGGCATGGCGGGTGGATCTAGACGAGTGGAGGGAAGGCGGGAAGAGCGGACAAGGATGGACGGTGCCGACCGTAGCACTGCCCGAGCCTGTGGAGGATAAAGTAGAAAGCGAGGATGATGCGGCCAGCGGGAGCGAGGCGGCAGTGGGCGAAGGATCAGACGACGAGGAGGAGGCGGAAGAAGGCACGCCAAAGAAGCGGAAGCGCCCTGCAGCAGCAAGGGTCAAAGCGCCCGCTCGGCCAGCAAAGAAGCGCAAGACGATCCAAGCGGCGCCTGGGCGCACACCGAAGAAGGGCAAGAAGCTGCCTCATCCGCAAGCCTCGACTACACATATCCCTTCCTCCATACCGGATCTGGATGATCTGCCTGTTGACCCGTATCAGAGAGCTCTGCGCCTCTTACACGTCGGTGCGACGCCAGAGTCTCTGCCTTGTCGGGAGGAGGAGTTTGTGGAGGTGCTGAGTAAGGTGGAAGAAGGGGTGGAAGGTGGCGGAGGGGGCTGTCTCTGTGAGCTTGCGTATACTGCTGTCTGTACACTAAGCTGACATTTCAGATATTGCTGGAGTGCCAGGAACAGGAAAGACAGCAACGGTCCATGCGGTAGTGAAGGAGCTCAAGCGGAAAGCAGAGGATGGCGTGAGCTCAAATGCCCTCGACCATGTTAGGAGCTCGCAGCTAACTCCTGTCAGGAATTGCCTCCCTTCTCATACGTCGAGATCAACGGCCTCAAGATCCCCTCTCCTCAGCATGCCTACACTGTTCTCTGGGAAGCCATCTCCGGCGCTCAGGCCACATCATCCAAGACCGCCCTACGAGGTCTGGAGGCGCACTTCAACCGTAAGACCGGAGGAGCGCGGGGTCCAAGAGGTCATACCTTGTGAGCTTTCCGCTACTTCGTGTAGTCTGGAAGTGAAAGCTCATATGTCAGTGTTGTGCTCATGGACGAACTCGATCAGCTCCTCACCACCAAGCAGGACGTCGTCTACAACTTCTTCAACTGGCCGACTATGCGCGACTCTCAGCTGTTCGTCATTGCCGTCGCGAATAGGATGGACCTGCCTCAGCAGCTCGCAGCTAAAATCAAATCCAGGCTAGGTTAGCTTGACGGACCTGGGCCTTCACCGGGCAATGAGCTGATCATGCAGGTCTCCAGACGCTCTTGTTCCAGCCGTACGACCGGCAGAACCTCATCGAGATTGTGCAGTCTCGGCTCATCGCGCACCCAAAAAGCAGGGAGGAGCATAAGGTGCTTCAGCCAGATGCCATCGCATTGGCGGCGACAAAGATGGCGGGTACGAATGGAGATGCGAGGCGTGTGCTCGATGCGTGCAGGCGAGCTTCGACGTTCAGATTGGTGATCTGTGGCCCAGCTGACCTTCACAGGCGCGCCGTCGAGATCATACTAGAGAAGCACGACACTCCGCACCCCGTCACCGCCAAAGAAATGATGGGTGTCTTAAACCAAATGTCTTCTTCGCCCGTCGCGCTCTTCGTCAAGTCATGCAGTGAACAGCAGAAGATGATGCTGGCGGCTATGGTACGATGTGTCCGGCGAGAAGGTGTGCCGGAGATACAATGGCGAGCAGTAAGCTGGCACTTCCTCGCATGAACGGAGTGTAAGCTGACAAAGCAGGTGAGGTCAGACCACGATAATCTCACCCGATCTCTCCTCGGATCAAATGATCTCTTATCCCCCTCGGAGCTCCTTCTCGTCTTTTCCTCCCTTATCGCGTCGCACGCCATGACAGCCTCGCCCGACCCCAAAATCAGCCAGGACGACCGCAGAGTCGCGCTGGGGATGGAGATTGGGGAGGTGGGCCGGGTGCTGATGGCTGAAGGAGAAGGGTGGAGGAGGGCCCTGGCTGGTGTTTGATGCTGGAAGGGTGGAGTGGTGCGGTACATGCTGTACATATGCTGGATGGAGGGGTTGTATTATACTTGATCCGAATGATCTATCTTGATGCGTATCTCCGACTACGCCTACTACGCCTTGGTCTCCCCGTCGTACTCGATGTCCCCGTCCCAGTTGACCTGGCCAGTCCGTACTGTCTCCCCCTTGGCCTTCATGAGATCCTCTATGTTCTTAAGATTGCCCTCTTCCGTGCTCTCCTGGAGATAGTCAGCCCATTTCTCGGGTTCCTCCTCGGCACTTACAACCGCCGAAGAGATGTTTATCTCTTTGCGAGGAAGTAGAGAGACAACTCACCTTGAACCACCCCAGGTGATCCGCTATCAAGTGCCTGTTCTTACATTCTGGGCACTGCACGAGTACGATCCCCTTCGTATACGCCTGCTTGGAGAACTCGTGCGTTGAGCGATGACCGCAGCCATTGGCTGTACATGTGAAAGTGAGGGATCTGGAGCATCAGCGCCAGCGCTGGCTCTAGCTTGATCTCCTCTGTCCTCTTTCACGCATTAGGCGGATATGATGATAGGCCGCGTGACCGGAGCGCATGAGCGAAGACTTACAGTCTAGGTACGATCTGCCCAAGTTGCTGTGGCTTAGACTCGGGTCCAGGAGCCTCCAAACGCAGATTCTCATCTGATACTTCTTCCGTCCCCGGCAGACGAGACGATGCGGCTGAGCTGTTCCATCTCCTTGTAGCGATAAAATGGACCCTGAGGGTCTTGGGCGACGCGGAGAGGGACCGAGCTGAGGTGGATGAAGGGGTAGAGTATGGTCGGGCGGCAGCTAGAGCTGCGATCCGGGATGGACCTGCTGCCGCAGATGGACCAGCTGCGGCAGCTGAGAGCACCGCATATGGGCGCGAGCGGACAAGAGCGCGGAGTGGGCTGGTGATGGTGGCCATGCTGAGCTGTGGTTCTTGACACAAGGAAGGTGGAAGGTAATGAGCAGTATGTAGGAGGTCAAGCAGGTCGACTTCGCCGAAATTTCCGATGAGTCATTTTGCCACCCAACTCGACCAACGCAACGATCTCTTTACCCTTCCTCGTCCTCACCGTCCCATCAACCAGAGAGCACCATGCACGCGCCCCTCGGCGTCCCAGAGCGTCAATTGGCATGTGCGGACCTCATCACTGCCCTGAATGAGTGCCATGCGCGCGGTATGCTCGTCAGATGGGCGGGGTTGTGTAATGGCGAGAAACAGGCTTTGACCATGTGTTTGAGGAAAGAGGTGCGTCTGTATTGTGAGACAAGCGGAGGAGTATGAAGGGGTGCTGATCTCATAGAGAATAGATCGGACGACACGCAATAGGGAAGATGCGAAGGGGCGGAATATGAAGAAGAATGAGGCGTGGGCGGAGCTGGATAGGGAGCTGCGGACCGGAGAGCAGGGGGGTGGGCAGCAGCAGAGTGCAGAGCGGCCATGAGAAGAGGATGGGAGGGACCACGGAAAGTCTACCCCATTCGAAAGGGAGGGAGACAGAGCAGACCCATCATGGCCTCTAAAGGTGAGTTGGACATCCTCAACTGCCTAATGGACGATCGCTGATTCCTGACCAGACGCAGCCTGCTCATGTAGCTGCCATCGATCGAGCATCGCTTGTTGTACCGTACCACAGGACCAAATGTTGATGACATCTATACGACACATTGTCCATGCATCCCACTCAAAGCCAACCAGGACCTAGACCAAGACTGCTCATTCTCTTCTCTTCACTTCTCTTCTCACAGCATCATCGCCCCGCCCAGCAGAGCTACCGCACCCGCACTCAGCGCCAACATCCCATCCACTACCCCTCTCCGCCCCGCCGCGCTCTTGCCACCTGTCGAAGTGTTTGTGCTCGTGGAATTCGAGCACAAGCTGCCCCGCTTGCTCGTCTCGATCAAAACCCGCGGCATGCCCCCTTCGATAGGTACTGACAGCGCGCCGTTCGAGGCGGTGTTGAACTGCGCGCAGGTCAGGGCGTCGGTGATGGCCACGTTGTTGCCCCAGCCAGAAGAGGTCTGGGGGATGTTGATACTGTTGGAAGCTCCGGACGCGCCGCGGCTGGTCAGGACGGACAGAAGGGGGCCCTTGGCGATGAGGAGGTCTTTGGCGGAGAGAGAGGTGAGGGTCATCTAGCGGATCAGCGGCACGTCGCGTGGCGACCGGGGGATGGACACTAACCTGAGTGGTGTAGAAGCTGGTGCTGGCGTTTCCAGCTGCGGCACGAGCAGCGTTGAGAGAAGCGAAGAACTTGTACAAGTCCTGCTGAGTCAGCTTTGCGCGGAGACATGTAGGCTTATGGTAGCTTACGGAGCCGGTGTTGAAGTTGGAAGTCCAGAGGGGTTCGCGGTTGAGCGGGTCGGCACCACCCTTGAAACCAGCCCTGTTTGGTCAGCTTTGCTCATAGATGTTCCTGCCGCGTATACTCACTCGGAACCGTAGTACAGGTATGGCACGCTGTCCGAGACAAACGAGTAGGCGTGGGCGTTCTTGATGAGCTGAAAATCGTTAGCTGTGTCCTGGCGGCTCCCGCAGTCCCGGCAACTTACCGCCGCGTCCGACACCCAAGACTCGAACCGTGGGTTGTCGTGGTTGTTCAAGAAGCCACCGAGCAGCGTCGGGTCGCTGAAGCTCGACTTGACGCTTCCCGACATATTGATCAATTCCGTCATATTACCTCCCGTCCCGTTGAAGGCGCGGACGAGCGGGTAGTAGATGGGGTAGTTGAACGGGTTGATCTGCGCCGATTTCTGGTACGCGCCCACATAGCTTGGACTACCATCGAGGACCTCGCCGACGTTCCCTACGCCAGCAGAAGCGAGGAAGGAGGGCCAGAATGACTGCGCGACGTGCTTGACGGTATCGATCCGGATGAGATCGATCGAGTAGTCGGAAACGAGCTTTTTGATCCAGGCGTTCCAGTAGGCGCTGACGGTGGAGGAGTCGGTATTGAGGTCAGGGAGCGCGACTTGGTCGTCACCGAGCCAGCACTGCTCGACTTGGGTCTGATTGGTGTAGTCGGTGATCCAGCAGAAGGGGTGGTAGGAGGCGGCAGTTGAGAATTGGCCATAAGATGATGAGGGGGAGAAGGAGGAGCCGGAGGTGGCGGCGACGTGGTTCACGACAATCTAAATGTCAGCTCGAACAGCAGCGTACATGTGCGCGAGTGAGCTCACGTCGACCATGAGGTACATCCCCTTCGCGTGCAACGCAGCGCTCAGCGCCTTGAGGTCATCTGCCGTCCCGAAGTTGTCATTCTGATCGTAAGCTCGTGTCCAGCTGTCCTAGTGCAAGACCTGAAGGTGAGGGTTAGCTTACAAGCTTCGCAGGGTCCAAAGTCCAGTACCCATGATACGCCTGCCCGTGACCCGTCGTCCCCCCGATATTCGAAACCACCGGCGATATCCAGACTGTATCAAATCCCATCCCCTTGATATAGTCCAGCTTGCCGACGATCCCCTTGTATGTGCCCCCGCAGTACGGCGCGGACGCGACGTTACATGGGGCCGAGGAGGAATTGGACGGCGAGGCAAAGCGGTCGGTGACGAGTTGGTACACCCGGCGCTGGCGCATAGCGTCATTGGAGAGTGCGTATGAGAGCAAGGGGAGGCAGAGAAGGTGTAGGAGTGCGAGCATCGTGACTCGGGTGTGATGAGGAAGTAGTGGGGATGTAAAGAGTGTTGGTGCGCTCCGAGTCTCTTGTACTCGAGATTCGAGGTCGAGGCGATGTTGGAGTGGCGGAGTCTGACGGGTGTGTGTGAAAGGAAAGAACGTGTTCTAGATATCTAAGCCGCGAGCTGTGTTGTGTATGAATATGACCAATAGCAGCTTATGGGTCAGCTTGGTGAATGCTGACTTGTGTAGCTAGACGTTTTTCATAAAATTGGGCGCGCCCCGTCTGCACTGCTTCGCACGGAGCCATTCCACCTCGCTTCTCGACCTTCAAGCGCGTCCCTGAGCGTCACATACGAATGCTCCGCGACAAGTATCACGCATGTCATGCTGTCGATGCGGGAGAAACGACGCACTCACAGAGTTGATTATTCGCTACCAGAGCGAGAGTATACACAGGGAATTGTCGATGAAGTCAGAGGGTGGAAGCGATGGAGGAGCTTTCATCAGTAGTCGCGTTTGATTTTCTCATCCTCAGGGAAAGGTTCGATCGGAATGTGACGGCAAACTCTGAAACAAGACGAAACAAGTCGCGTTGGACAGCTGCCACGGGCAGGAAAGGCTTCCACGAGCTGCTGGTGGACTGATGCATTGCAGCAGGCCTCGAGTCTCGACAGCCCCGTCGGATGACATCCTTGTAGGTGTCTTAAAAGTGCTTGGCTTGGGCACGATCAGTAAGCGGCCCAAGTTGGCAAGGACCTGAGCACCTTCAATCCTCCTTTGAAACTCGGCGTCCGTGCCCGAACGCAGCGCTCACTCGCCTCCTACTCCGCCTGCAATTTGGTCGTTCGTACAGCTTGTTGGGCACTTGGTGTACCGTTCATGATCATCCACTCGGTACCTCGCAACATGACAGCTCCCACCTGGCAGCTAGTGAAGCTGCGGACCCGGCGCCATCTCCGGCGCCGGAATTTGATGCCGAGAGAAGCGGTGGACTGTGTGCGGGGTAAGATTTCAGGGTCCAAGCTAGATAAATGCGGGGAAATGCCACTAGTGGTTAGTGGCGTTTTATTATAGCGCGTGTCAGTGCGGAGACCCCTCGGCAAGGTCAACCATGCCCGAGGCAATCATCCTGCATCCTCACCTTCCTCTACTATCTCTCACACTACAACTGTGAGACAGCCACAAGCCGTGTAACTACGCTCGCAAGTCAGTGAGTTAAGCTATGAGAGACTTCGTTTCTCCAAGGACAAGGCTGACAGGACCAGGCGTTTCATCAGATATCAATCACCATTCAATATTCAACGTCCAACCTCCTGTCTCCGCTGTACCTGATCTACACCTGTGTTTGGATTGCGAGCTCGAGCGTCTCCCCTCCTTTCTTGCTGGACCCCTTGGACCTCTATCACCCCTGGCTTTACGCTTCGACAGGGATCGCGACCGGCGGTATAGGCCGTTTCAACTTCGCCAATCGTCTCCCCGCAACCTACAGCATCCAGTATGACCGCCCCCATCCCCATCGGCTCCTCCTCCGGCCCGCACATCGACACCGCCGCCTCCGCGCAACCCGCCCCAGGTCCAGCGGGACACGCACACCACCCCTCCACATCCTCCACCCAATCCTCCTCGCCCGGTGCAAGCCCCCAAACTCCCTTCTCTCCCTCTTTTGCCATCTCCCCATCCTCCGCCACCGCTCCCAACGGCAACGGCAACGGCAACCCCAACTCGTCCATCCTCAAATGGGCATCCACCTCCTTTTCACTCGGTAAATCCCCTAACTCACAACCATCGATCCTCGCCGCTCGGCCCACTCACCCACACCACCAGTCCTTCTCTAGCACGACCAGCGGTGAATATGATCATGGGGACGACCATGAGACGCACGACGCGCTCGAGTTTGGGGATATCTCGGATATGTCCCGGAGCAGCTGGACGGCGCATACGCGGAGGGCGGTGAGCATGAGTAACCCCTCTGGCCAGCCCGCGAGTGCTGGCGCTGGTGGCACCGGGGCAGGTCTCAGTGTGGCCGGCGGAGGAGGTGGACTGGGAATGAGTCCTGGGAAAGCAGGAGGACAGAGCGGGATCAGCGCGATGCTTTCGGGTTTCGGGGGCGGTGCGGGATCAGCGGGCTTACCGAGCAATGGCGCAGGCGTGCCAGTGGGGGGTCCACCCTCAGTGGGCGGGGGAGTCTTCGCGGAGAACGTAGCAAAGGGGCAGGGGCTGCTTAGGCGTCTGAGCCTCGGTGGGGCCGGACGAGGCAGAGTGAGTTGTAAACCTCCCACCACGGGCAGATCGTAGCTGATAGTAAAGCCACAGATGAATCCCGGCCCAATGTCCCCTCCACTCCCGACAGCGAATCCGATGCCAAACTCCTCCCCCGCTGCGTCCGCTGCAGCCGCGGCCGACAGCGGGAAACTGCAGGTTGATTCGGGCGGCGGAGGGACGGCGCAGCGCGGGCGGCGATATAGCGAGAACCCGGGTGCAGGCGGGAAGAAGCGGGGTGTCAGTCCGGTATATCAACTATGTTCACTACCGATATGGAGCGCGGAACGTAGCTGATGGTATAGATGGGCGAGAGGATCCTTCGGGACCACGGTCATTTCTAGGTTGTCTTCTGGAGGAGTTGTAAATACCGTTTCAATAGCGGATCGCGGATGGAAGGGAATACAGCAGAAACGAACATCACGAAGAAGAAGGGGTGCTAGGAAGGGAGGAGTCGTTGTATACATCTCGGGTCAGACTGAGAAAAGACGTTGGGGGATATGGAGGTTGTGCCAAGTTGGATTTCCATGCCCATCATCCTTGTATTAGAAATGGAGATATGTGGAGCAAGCCTAGAAAGGCCATCCATGCAAAAAAATAACAATTAACATGTTGACAGATCCTGTCGTTTCTCCCCATGGCCTATCTTGCACCTGCCAACAAGGTCGACACAGCCGAGGGCGTCATCAACCCCGCAGCGGTCGAAAAGTCGTATTCGGCTCTGACGAGATCATGGAATTGTCGATAGACATCCACGATCGCGTTCTGCCTTGTCAGCCCTTGTTCCTTGCCTCTTTTGCCCGAACAGCGCTGAGAGGAACGAAAGATTTACCTCCGCTGGCGGAACAAGAACAGCCACCGTCGCTTCATCCCCCAAATATCGCCTCAACCCGCCTACCCACTCATCCATCTTCCCCCGGACTTCCGATTTGAACGTATCGTGCGCTTCCGTGACTTTCGACGGGGTCGCGAAGGGCTGTTGGGAGAGGTCTGACGAGGACGGCGGTGCTGTTGACGCCGAGCCGGGCGTGGAGCCGGCGGTTGGGGTGGTAGCGGTAGGGGAAGAAGCGGTCGGAGGACGGGTGTGAAGGTACGTCGTACACTGATTCAGAAACGTCCGGAGGGGAACAGTAGAGCTTCGCGCACAATGGGCGATAAGCTCTTCGCACGCCTTTTTGAGCTCTCGGTCAATGTCCTATCTAGTCAGCTCTCCACTTCGGCCCCCTCGTACTAGGCGAAGAAAAGCGGAAGAAGCACTTACAGACTTGGCATCGCTTATAGGCTCATTCGCCCGCCCACTGCTCTTCCCATATCCAAGCATCACCCCCGCGCCCTCCAACAATGACCTCAGAAAGTCTAGAGATCAATCAGCCCTCCCTCCGTCCACAGCCCAAGAGCCGAAGACCAGGAACAAGACGTACCCGTTATCCCACCCCACTCTTTCCTACCCACCCTCCTCCCCAGATCCAGACCCGCCGTCATCTCCTTCAGAATCAACAGGTGTCGAACGAGGAACAACCGTCCATCTACGCTCTTATCCTTCTTGTTCCCCAGAACGTCCGACGCGGCGGAGAGGGATCGACGACATGTCAGAATCGCTTCTTGTGCGAGATCCTCAAAGACCGCTTGCTACGGAGTCAGCTCTGTTCCTCGTTCTCCTCATTCTGTATGAAGACCATGTGGCAGGCAGCTCACATCGACGTATCGCCATAGACAGCTCAGCACCCAAAGTGTCACCCTCAAGGTCGGATACCACCCCTCCTGCGCTTCTTCATTCGGCAAAGCGAGGAACGCGGGCTCGTCCTCATCATCTAGCGAAACAGCGTCTTCGTTTCGCTGAACGAGGGACTTCCTCCCTTCATCTACGCTATCAGCTCTTCTTCATCCTATAAAGCCAAACAAGAACTCACCCTTTCCGAGCTTCTCGGGATAATCCAGATCCCCCTCCTTGACCACATAGTACTCCACCTCACTAACGAGCATCGCCTGCGCCCGGAACACAAGCCGCGTTTGCGCATCCTGGAGCACCATCCTCAACAGTACCTCCGTATGTAGCCGAGCCAAGGGTTTATGCCGCCGAGTCCGATGTGATCGACTCGGCGTATCGTCCACATACTCCATCTCGTCCGTTTCGTCCTCCCTCTTCCGACGGCCGGTGATCGTCCCGGGCGTTCTCATCCCCGTCCCGGAAGACGAATAGCTCGCTTGTCTTGCGCGAGCCCCGCCACTTCGGCCGCTCGACACCCGCTGAGGCCCCGGGCGGCGAGGGGGAGGGACGGAAAAGTAGTCGTCAGACGCGCCGGGGCCATTCGGGCCAGGCGAAGGAGAGTACGAAGAGTGAGGCGTGTAGATCGCTGTGCCCGTCGCAGTGGCCGTATCGTCATCCTCCGCGTTAGGGTCGATATCGGCCACCATGAGCGCTTGGAGGACGGTGCAGACGCCACAGAGGATTTCGAGGGCGGGCTCGTGGAGGATACGAGGACGGAGGTGGTCGTAGAGCGCATCGCAAAGGGATTCGAGGTATGAGCTGGGGATGTCAGCTGGGTCCACGTTTCATCCGGTGCCCGATCGGACTAGGACAGAAGAGGCACAAGTGGCTGACTATAGTTGCGCTTCGCCGGAAAGGAAGAAGGACTTGAACAGGTTGAACTCCTCCAAACACATTTGCTTCAGGTACCCACACCCAGCTCTTGTCTATCACGTCAGCACGTCTCCTCTGCCCAACTATCCCGCTCTTCCCGTGAGCGGAACGTACCAAGTCCACCAACTCCCCTTTCTCAGGATCGAGCCTGCCCACCTCCTCTGCCACTCTGGGCCCCATCAGCCCCTGCCTCGTCCCTATCCAGGCAGAATGGCATTCTGCCAATAATGGCGCGAGCTCGTCATTCGACCTCGAGGCGCGGGTTTCTAGCTCGTGGATGAGCGGTCGGAGCGATGAGGCGAGAGAAGAGAATTTGGGGAAGAGGAGAGCTTGGGTAGCTGTTTCTGATAATGACTACGGGTCAGCTTCGCCTCACCCGGAGTGCTGTTCTGGAGTGAAGAGGGTAGCTCACCTTGTCATATAGCTTCTTCCCGACTTCTTGTCCGGTCGACCGAACACTGCTGACAAAGTATATCTTGATCAGTGTCATTGAGCGCGTCATGCACTGTTGGTATCGGATCAGGTAGAGTTCGGCGTCTTTGAAGTCGCGCTGCTGCGTGAGCTAAAGTCCCTCTTACGGGAGCAAGTGCGGATTCGAGCTCACATGCTCGCTGAGGTACCCGATACACTCGTCTAGCCTCTTCAGCATCGGTAGGAAGTCCTCGGACAGAACCAGGGTGGGCGAGGGGTTATTGAGGATCCGCTGGGCCGTTTCGAGGAATGTAAAGAAGGTGAGCCTGTGTGAGAGCTGGGAGGTGTGCGTGAGGAGGTGGGTCTGGGGATCAGCTGGAGTCAAAGCTCGCAAACTCTGCCCAGTTGAGAGGACCAGTATGCTGTCCGAGCCGAGGTGTGACATCAACGGCTAGAAACACAACTCACCTGCTCTTCCAACAGGTCCTCGCACGCCCCCCTTAAACTCTCACTCCTCTCCTCCACGTACTCCAACGCCCGCATCATCTCCCCCACCCCTTCACCCGCCCCTTCCAGAATCCCCAGCAGCTCCTCGCACTTCTCCCTCAGACCCGAGATCTCCCCCAGCTGATCCCGATACAGACTGTCCTGCTCGTGTTCGGTCGATAAGGTGAGTGCGTGGAAATGATCTTGGAACTCTTGGGCCGTGGTTATGATCTCGGGGCGGAGAGGATCTGTAATCTGCGTAGTTGATGTGTGAAGAGGTGTGCTGAGGGGTGTGGATGCGCGAGGCGGATGGGCGAGGCGGCGGAGGGGGAGTGGAGTGGAGGGCCGGGAGGGGCCAGCTTCGGCTTGCGCGCGGAACTGCTTGTCAGCTGAGGCATTAAGCGTCAATTATCTGATACAAAGTCAGTCAGCTTGAGCTGCTCCTTGACTTCTGGACCATATCAAAACGCCTTGATCCTCCTCGGACCCTTGGCTCACCTTCTCCGGCATAGGCCGCTCCTTCAGCTTCTCCCCGACCTCCCTAACCATCTTCACCTCCTCATCGTTCAGCGGCGCCCTCGCTTCCCACTCCTCCAGGCTAATCGTCGTCCGCCCCTGGCCCAGCCCTTGCGTCGTATTGGACCTTCCCTGCCCCGCTTGAGCTTGCGCCTGAGCCTGAGCCGAGGTAGAGCTCGTGCTACCGCCCGCCGCGGTGGAGATGGCCGCGAGATTCGGACGGCGGAACTGGAAGCCCGAGCTTGGGGTACTGGAGCGGGACATCCCAGGCGATTCAGGACTGTCAGTAGTGCTGATTAGATAGGGTGAAGAACTGGCGGGAGAGTCGGGTGGGTAGATCCGAAACGCGTTTCTAAAGTGGAGGGAGTATTTACATTCCTCATTCACCCCCAGATGAAACGCGAAAGGTCATAGCGCTGAACCTTGTCCTCGGCGCGCATTCCTCGCACCGACTTGTACCCTTCACCTCCATCTCTTGTACTTCCATCTATCCGCTCAGGAGCTCTAGACTGGCTATCACAGCCAAGTGAAACAGAGCAGTAGCTTCTATCCCACACCGCGTTCCCGCTCCTCTCCAAGGTACTTCCTCCCGGCATCGACAGCGCACGCACGGCCCCCACACCGCACCGCCGCTCACTCAACCCTTTCACCCATCTCGTACTACATTCCATACTCGGCCAGCAGTGTTGATCATGTCTTCGAGAATCAGTCGAGGGCGCAAGCAGGCCAAGAAGGGGGTGCAGCTCACGATTATGGTTGTTGGTGAGTCTCAGGTATCGGATACGGGTCGGTCTGGAGGGGTTTGACGGGGTTGCGCTTGGGCCTTTGGGCGAGGCTGCGAATGGGTCGGTCTGCGAGATCCAGACGTAAGAAAATGATCAACGCGAAGAAGGGTCTTAAGAGGGCCTTAGCCTGTCCTGTTCCGAGTGATTTCCCGCGGAGAACGAGCGAGAATCGCTTCCCATATCCGCCTCCTTTGGCCTCATTCCATTTCCCCTACTCTCCCCTCCCACATCTACCAGCTTCTCCCCTCCACGTTACCCACGCTAACCCCCAGGCGCATCCGGAACTGGCCGCACCACCTTCGTCAACACCCTCATCGACCAGCCCCTGCTCCCTCACCGCTCCGCCTCGCTCCTCTCGGACCCTTCCAACCCGGGCTCGGCGCTCGACCCGAGCCTCGTCCGCCAGGCAGCGGGGGACGCGCACAACGAAGTGCCTATCCAGATCAAGACGCACTATGTCGAGCTGGAAGAGGATGGGGTGAGGATTAGTTTGACGGTGGTGGATACACCGGGGTTTGGGGATGGGATCGATAATGAGGCTAGGTGAGTGAGGTTTGCAAGAGCAGGAGGCTGGCCTGAAGATTCTGTATGGGGTGGTCCGAGTATACAGGCGAGACGGAAGGAGTGTAGGGTAGTGGAGATGAGTACATGGGTATGGGGACGTACCGAAGTACCGCATCTCTGGAACGAGCTTGACAGAGCGACTCTGTTTTGGTTGATCCTGGCTATATGCCTGTCTGAGCTTATAGCTGACTTCCAGCTTCGGCGAGATCTCATCCTACCTTGAACGTCAATACGACGGCATTCTCGCCGAAGAGTCCCGAATCAAGCGGAACCCTCGGTTCAGGGACAACCGAGTGCATGCCCTGCTGTACTTTATCGCGCCGACCGGTCATGCGTAAGCTGCGCCGCTCGCTCCGAGGGGACCCAGCTGACGGCTCAGCCTCCGCGAGATCGACATTGAGCTGATGCGCCGCCTCTCCCCCCTCGTCAATGTCATCCCCGTCATTGGCAAGAGTGACACCATGACCCCGACTGAGCTCCGCATGTTCAAGAAGCGGGTACGTCCCTCTTCCCACTTTTTCCCTTCTTCCCAAGAGCCTGCCTCTGGTCGTCAGGGCTGACACGCAGATCATGGAAGACATCGAGCACTACGGAATCCCCGTCTACAACTTCCCATACGACGTCGAGGAAGACGACGAGGAGACCATCGCCGACAATTCCGAATTGCGCTCCTTGCTCCCCTTTGCGATCGTCGGGTCAGAGGAGGAGATCCTCATGGGTGGCAACCCCGTCCGGGGGCGGCGATACCCGTGGGGCATCGTCGAGGTGGATAATACTAGCCATTGCGATTTCCAGCGTCTCCGGGGGGCGTTGTTCATGTGAGCTGATGACTGTCTGGTCATGTGACGAGCAAAAGCTGATGTATAGGTCTCACTTGACCGACCTCAAAGAGATTACGCACGACTTTTTGTATGAGAATTGGAGGACGGAGAAGCTGTCGCGGTCGGTCGGGAACGGTGATCCGTGAGTCCAGGTTCTCCCCCTCTCGGAGGATCCTTCGCTGACAAGCAGCGACTCGTCCATCCTTCCCGAAGACATGGCCAACCAGTCCGTCCGGCTCAAGGAAGAACAGCTCCGTCGGGAAGAAGAGAAACTCCGCGAGATCGAGTACAAGGTCCAGCGCGAGATCCAGATGCGCAAGCAGGAACTCATGGCCAAGGAGGATAGCCTCAAGGTGCTCGAGGCGAGGTTGGGTGAGTGTGGCCATTTGCATAGGAAGGTTTAGGTAGGATGACGAGCTGACATCCCAGCAGCACAGGGGAACGGGCGGGATGGCTACTAGACGGGAAGAAGCTGTAGGCTGCTGTGCAGTCTGAGTGGCTCTTGGTGTTTCTAGGCGCCTGCGATAATTGGAGCTCGTCCATACTTTGGGGTCTCATCTGGCCGTTCTCGTGCTCTTATTTCTTCTCTCCAGCCTGTCTCTTCTTACCTTATGTATATATGAAGTAATGATGATGATTATGCTGCGCGGGCAGGGTCCGACAGCACACAAACTCGGCTCGTATCCGCGGTAGGGAGTGGCATCATCCACCGGTGCATGAGATCAAGATACACAGAATACGTATAAAAAAGGCCAAGAAAACGAAGAGAGAAGGAGTCTAGTAGCTGGCGCCAGTAACAAGTGTCCATGGTATATACTGTAGCAGGAAATCTGTAGCAGGAAAGAAGGAGATGATAGCGGTGATCGAAAGAACTGAGATCCGTCCGAGAAGAGGAGAAGCTGAGCCGTTCGTCGCGACGGGAAGAGGGATAGGAGCTGGAGCGACGCCGGACCAATTGCGAAAAACACCTAGAAGATGGTCTGGAGCGGCTCGCCTTCCGGCTTGGGTCCCCTCGGCGGCATCGGCACCTATCCGATCAGCTTGTGCTCTCCATACAGTCATATTCCACTTGACGTTCTAGGGAGAAGGTCGGGACTCACCGCATTGACATGCCGTCCAAACGTGAAGCCGACCCAATTATTCCTCCCCGCCTTCCCTCCCTTCTCCTCCACAGCCGCCACGTCCCTCTGCTTCTTGAACACCTCGGCATACTTGGCCATGTCCGCCTCGGACTCGAACGAGTCAAAGTAGCCGACATCCGTTTCGCCGTCGAGCATGGGGACGAAGGGTGGGTCGCGGGCGCGCAGCGAGGAGAAGGGGATGGGGGTGAAGAAGGGGAGGGATTGGACGTCGGGGAGGGCCGAGAGGCGGTCTTTGGGGTGTGCGATGAGCCTGGGGAGGTCAGCTTGGAGTCCAAAGGCCCAATACCACAAAGAGGGGACTCACCGAATCACAGCGTCCCAGGCGATATCGCTCAGGTTAAAGATGAGGTCCTCGGGACGATCATACACCGGCCGCCGGAGGACCTTGTGCCAGTTCTTGAGGTTGGCCCAGGTCTCTTCCGGCGTGTGACCGGAGAATGGCGGGAAGCCCTACATGGTGTGAGCTGTAAGTCATGCTTCCGAATGGACTATACAACTCACGCAGAGGAACTCGAACAGGATACAGCCGAGAGACCAGTAATCCGCCGAGTAGGTGTATGTCTTGCCGCGCAGGACCTCTGGAGGCATGCTAACTTCATCAGCTTCGTTCACAGAGTGCGTCCGCCGCACGGTCAACTGACTAGTCCGGGCTTCCTACGACCGAGTCGGCCTACAAAGTCAGCTGAGGTGTCGGCACCAGTCATCCGCTCAACTGAGCTCACATATCGTGGCTCCGCCATCCGCATAGAGCGGTACATTGTCCGCCTCTCGAGCGTAGAGCGGAAGATGAGGTCTTGATCCTTGACTTGGTCAAGCTGTACCGTCAGCTCTGTCTCGATCCCGCCAATGGAGCGATGATGGGCGGCCTAACTCACCTTGTTCTTCATAGAGTCGATCCTAAGCGGGTTCAAAGCCCCAGTCGCCAGTCCAAAGTCTGTCAACTTGACATGCCCAGTCCCGTCAACCAAGAAGTTCTATCCCGTGTCAGCTTGCGCATCCTCGTCGGGGGTCACTCGAGCTCACCTCGGGCTTCAAGTCTCGGTGGATATACCCCAGCTTGTGCAGCTCATTCACCCCCATAAACATCTCTGCGGCGTAAAAGCGGGCATGTTCCTCCTTGAGCACGCCAGAATTATTGAGCAAAGTCCGGAAATCTCCACCTGGGACATACTCCTATCTCCCGTCAGCTTTGGCCTCCCATGGTCTATTTGGCGAAAGCTCACCATAGCAAGATACACATGCTCCCTATCCTGGAACGCATAAAGCAGACGGACCAACCACGGCGTCTTGACCGCCGTCAGAATATCCCTCTCCACCAATACATGCTTCACCTCGTCCATCTTGGCCAACGTGCCTTTCCGCATCTTTTTGAGCGCGCACACCTCGTTGGAATCATTCTTCCGCGCGAGGTAGACCGAGCCGTACCCGCCTTGTCCGACCTGCGCGATGATGCGGAAATGCTCTACCCGGAGCTTGGTTCGCCGTTTTCGGAGGACGACGCGCTCGCGGCCGTTGTACGAGGCGAGCTCGCGGTTGTAGTCTGAGCCGGTCACCTGGGGGTCAGCTAGACCTCTGCCAGGAGACGTACGTTACGCTCGGCGGTATCCACTTTGAAAGTCTCGAGCCGCTTCTTCCTAGCCGAGAGATATCCGAGCAGGTCGACTGGGATATAAGCTGTGTTTTGCCGCGCATCATGGTCCAAAGGCGAGCTCACAGTAGTAATCCAGGAAATAGATCTGCGCCACCGTCGCCTTCCGCTTCGTTTCCGCCTTATCCAACAGCTCCCTCTCCCAAGGCTGCATCACCCGCTCCTTCGGAGGCGGCGCCGGCTCCCTCGCGACCGTCTTCATATGCACGTCCTCCTGCACCCTCTCGAGCGGGTTATACCGCATTGCCCCCCCGGCACCACCAGGCGGCATCCCCTTGAGCATGCGCGGATCAATAGTGCCCCGCATAGTCTGCATGTGGACATCTTCGTCCGCACCGTACTGCAGCTGCGGCTGCTGGGTGTGCGAGACCGTTGTGGGGTTGTGCGGGATCGTAGGCTGGGCGACCTTGTTCACTTTGACAGGGGTGCCAGGGGCCGAGACAGCCGCTTGCTGTTGCTGTTGCTGCGGGAAGAGGAAGGAGAGGTAGCTGGACCGATCACCGTGCGGCGAGGGCGGAGGCGGGGCGGTCTGCACCCATCAGCTCCAACACTTCGCTGCGTTTATCAGACAACACGTACATTCTCCTTGGCGTACCCATCCCGACCAGCCCTGTCCATCCCAGACCGACTCGACGGAGTCGTCGGTACCGGGATCCGGGAAGGCGACGGCGGAACAGCGGTAGAAGACTGGCTCTGGCTCTTGGTATGTGCGTGGCCCGAGCGGGTCTTTGACGGGGTCGTAGGGGGTTCCTTACTCGGTGGTGTGGGATTTCCCGAGTTGGTGGACTTGAGGACGCGGGAGAACATCCTAGTCTGGGTGTATGGGTGTAGATAGTCTGATAGATATAGATGGAGGTGATAAGAGAAGAAGAGGTATGTGGTGGATGTTGTTGTGGCTGCTGGCGGCAAGGTTGGATGATCGAATTGGCATTCCAAGAGCGGGATCAAACTTTAGTGACGCGTCAAACCCGAAAAGAAAATCAGTCACGTAAGCGGACCAAGGCGCGTCCAGCTCACCGCAACAACAACCTCAACAACCTCTTCACAAGTAGCCAAACCATATACGCCCGAGTAGCATGGCGCCTGCAACTATCATGTCCGCCTCGCAAATCCAGCCCGTCAGCCTGCTCGATATCGTGCATAATGGATCACTGGACCTGCAGTGGGACCCATTCCACTCGCATGTTGACGCTTTCCTCCGAGCTGTAAGCTCGATCCTGTTCCGGCTTGGCGCGCATGTGGATTGAGCTGACACGCCAGATCGACAAATATGCTCAAGAAGCGCGCATCGAAATTGCGAGTCGGGCCACAGAGCACAGCGAACAAGTCCGGGAGTTCAAGGCCGGTAAAGAAGAAATGGAGCGGCGAATCAACAATGAGCGGGAAAAGGAAGCTCAAATGCTAGCTTGTGAGATACCTCTTTGTCACCCTCTGCGGGGGCAGAAGCTCACACCTCAGCGCTCGAATCGGAGCGACACGCACATACCGACCTCCAAGCGGCCGTATCTCACCTCCAAACGACCCTCCAAAAAGTTAGGGAAGAGACCGCCGCGCTCGAAGTGGAGCTCCGGTCCGTCAAGCGCGAAGTGGCCGGCGAGCGTGCTGAGAAGGAGCGGCAGCGCGCGACGCTCGATGATCAGAAGGCGCAGGATCAGCGGGAGGTGGAGGTTTTGGAGGATATACTGGGGTTGAATATCGTGGGCGGGGATCAGCCGAATACGCTGTTGTTCAAGTTTAGGCTGGTGGATCCTCTGGAGCCGGAGAGGGAGTTTGCGCTGGTAGCGGATGTGTCGCAGTATGACTATAAGGGTGAGTCGAATAGCTAGGAAGAACACTCCCCCTCCGGGCGAATATCAGCTGATGGACTGTAGTCACGCGCTGCGACCCTCCGATCCCGAATCTAGGGGTACTGGTACAACAGCTGAATGAAGACCGGAACATCATGGCCTTCATCAAGCGAGGTCAGCTCAGCGATCCTCGACGTCCGTAGGAGTCTAAGCTGACGATACCAGCGCGGAAAGCATTCCGGCAACTCGTACCCGAACCGCCTAAACCACCATCCCGATTCGACGATCTCTCAGGTCCGGGCGCAAAGCCCTCCGCATCGCAGAAGAAGGGAGCCGAAGATGTCTTGGATGGCGCAGGGGTATCAGAGCTGCGACTGGAGTGATACTGAGCGTTGTATTGCGATTTTGATTGGGTTATCTAGGTGTACGTGTACGAGTAATGCATTCTTCGACGAGCCAGCTTACAACTACTGACCTACAGCTGTTCCACAACACACGACGCTGATCTCATACTTACAGTGCTCACATCACCTCATCATCCTCCAGTCGCCAAACGTACTCCTCCTTACGCAGCCGGAAACTGCGTGACGCTAATCCCACTGGCCACCACCCTCTTCCCCATCTTCTCCACCTCCTCCCCACCCATCTCGATATCCGCACCCACCTCCCGCCCCGCGTCCTCCTCGTCCGTCTCGTCCACATCGTCCAGCTCGATCCGCACACCGATGGCCCCCTCCCCTGCGTTCCCAAGACCCCACACTGAGCCCGCCATCGATTCGGCGTCGTCGCTGTCGGACCGACTGGGACTCAGGTCGGGGATGGCCTCGTCCGCTATATCCCCGTCCCCCTCGTTTTCGTGCTCACCGGAAGTGTCGAGGGAAGGGAGGAGGACTGAGGGGAGGGCCAGGTCGATGTCCATGAATGGGTCCGCGAAGGGGTCGATTGCGGTTGCGCCTTCGGGGTCCATCTCGGCCGGGGTTTCCGCCGGATCCGCTTCCATACCCTCCTCATTCACATCGTGCTCACGGGCTCCCCTCTCCGACATCCCCTCAGGACTCTCCTCCCTCTCTCTACTGCCCTCCCTAACCAACCTCCTCCCCCTCTCCTCCTCTTCTCCTCCCTCTCCATCTTCTTCATCTTCCCCCCGACCCACCTCCGCCCCCGACACATAAGCATGCTCCGCCGCCTCGCGCTCCCGCTCCGGACTCCTTTTAGGCACGCCCCACCCCCTTCGCCCCGGACCCTGGACATACGCATCAAACGCCTCCTTCACGCGATCGCAGTACGCCCCCAGCCGCTCCTGGCCGATCCGATCGCACGCGACGCGCCGGACACGGATCGCGTGCCGGTGGATACGCTCGGCGGTGCCCGGTGCGCCGCCAGCATTAAGAGGGTGCGAGAGGCAGGCGATCTCGGAGATGACGAGGAGTTCGAGAAAGTGGCGGTCCTACATCGTCGATTACTGATCAGACAGCAAGACCATGGGCAAAGATAGGAACAAGACGTACGAGAGCAGGATACCACCCTCTTCCCTGGCGCAGTGGCGCCTCGTTCTTCTCCCACTTCCTCCACATCTCCGCGTCGGGCAGAACTTCCTACTCTCATCAGCTTCCATCTCACCATGGCTACCTTATCCTCGAAGACGAGCGCGGACTTACAGCCATGACCACCCTTCTGCGCCGATCCTCCTCAAACTCGGAATCATACATCTTGGAACTCGCCCCCACCCCGAATAAGCAGATCGCAAGGCCGGAATCGACGGTCTGGGCGGCGGAGGCGGGGGACGGTAGCGCGGCGGGTGCAGAGGCGCGGCGATGCAGTGGGGAGGAAGGGGAGGTACGTTTGGAGGAGGAGGAGGTGATGGAGGTGCTGGAGGTGGATCGTTGGATGTGGGCGGGGGCGCGCATATAGGGTGTGAGGCGTAGGCGGGCGGGCAGACGATTTCGGGGACGGAGACGAAAAGAGGGCTGAGCTGAGGAGAGGACAAGGTCTGGCGGAGAGTTGAGTGCTTGAGATGGGCGCTTGGTTCTCGGACTTGCTCGGTGAGATGGTGCTGAGTTGCCTCTTGGCTGCTTCAGGTATGTTGTATTTGACGTTCGCCGTTGATCTCTGCTCACTGTCTTACTGGTTTTCTTTGGCTATCGCTGTTGATCAAGCTGCACAGCAGTATCAGTACACTCTTTTCAGCTTTTAGTATGGTATCTACGAGAGCGACTCCAAAGATAGACTGATATCAATAGCCAACAAGATGTACGAGCCCTCTTCAGGCCCGTCCGTGGCTATATCTCAAGCGACAGGCTGGTCGTGTGCTCACCAGTAAGGGGTATTGCAAGGGGCAAAACACGAAAAGGTAGGACCTCGAAACAGCTCGGCGATAGACCTTACAGCGTCTCAAGCAATCAAGGAGGAATGTGAGTAAGGATCAGCCGGCTCTCACTTACCTGTTGAGCGGTGGGCAAAGGTTGATCAGGGGAATCAAGGGGGACCAGGGGTTATGAAGGCGGCAGTCGCTTCAGGGTGAGTAAGATATAAGGGGTCAGTGAGGATAAGAAGATGAAAGGTGAAGGATCAAGGGCGTGCTACGCTATGATGTGCAGGATCTGGGGAGGGGTGGCATGCTTAGACAGAGGGGACATGTTGAAAGGGTGCCGTGAAAGCTGTGAGTGTCTGAGCGATGTAAGGGAGGGGCGCGGGCTTAAAGGATGGGATAAAGGCTAGTGAAGGTGCAATGTCAATTGTCAAAGGATCTGATCAAGTGCTTTCTAGCACATCATGCCTTGCTCAGCGGATAAGGTGAAGGTTGTGAGCCCTAGCACAGGCTTCGGTATGGCGATACGGTAAGTAGCCAACATGGTATGATTGTGCATAGTCTTACAGGTTTGCACTCTCCCCATCCGCGCTATATCGTCTCATAGCGTTCGGTATTCTTTCCGTTCAAGATGCTGCCCCCTTGCACTCGTTTTAGGCGGCACGGACCCTCCCTGTCGATCGTGTAGTCGCTCGCCGTTTCGTTCCGCTTCCATCGAGGTATCCGCGAGATCTCCACCTATCCCCTCCCCATCATCTTCATCAACGAGCTCATATCCGGCATCCCGCCTCCTCCCGCTCCGCCCATCCCCATACCCTTCATCGCCTCTGTCGATATCAGCTCCGTTCCTGCGTGCTCGACCGGAAAGACTCACCCTGCATCTGTGCCATATCAGGCATCCCACCCCCTCCAGGCCCACCACCACCCATCATCCCCCTCATCATCGCTCCAAAGTCCATTCCTCCTGGTGCTGCTCCACCGCCGTGACCACCTGCGCCCATATCGGGCATACCGGGCATTCCACCGCCCATTCCGCCCATCATATCCTGCATCATCTTCTGAGCGCCTTGTGGGCCGGCCGCACGAAGCTTGCGTAGCATCTCTGGTGGCATGGCTTTCTGATCATCATCAGCTACTGCCTCTTAGCTCCTTGCGGAGATGAAAGAGGAACATACCTGCATAGCCTGTATTTGAGCCGGACTGGGCTGGCCGTTCGGCCCTAGTGGTTTCCCGCCCATCGCAGCCTGCATTTTTTGCATCCCGCTCATCCTGGAATATCAGCTGTGCTCCATGGCGTCGGGAACGAGCCGGCATCAACTCACAGTCCGTTCTGTCCACCAACAGACTTGGCCATACCCGACATCATCCTCGCCTGCGCCAACAGCTCCTCCACCTCCCTCACGCTCGTCCCGCTTCCTCGTGCTACTCGCTTTGCCCGCTTGTTAAGACCAATGGGTTGACCAGATTTATCGTATGACACCTAAAAGTATCAGCTGATGAGGAACAACGTCCTGTTCGAGGCAGCTGGAACTCACAAAGATAAGTCCATCCGAATCGAGCTCATCCGCCCTCATCGCATCCGTGATGAAGATCATCCGCTTCAGCTTGGCCGACGTATCCTCCTCGTTTCCATCCATCATCCCAGCTGGCATTCCTGGTATCATCGAAGCAATCTTGGACAGAGATCCCCTTCTCCGTCAGCTAAATGCCTTCCGCCAATAGCGAAGCGCACCAGAGCAGACTCACATTCCCATGATATTGGACAATTGCTCTCTCCAATCCCGGATACTGAACTTCCCAGCTTGAAGGTTCTTGGCGAGATCTTTTTGTCTATCTGGGTTGGCCATGGCCATGTCTTGCCTACATAGCGTCAGCTGTTGGCTCATGACTGGATCCGAGCAGACCAGCTTACATATGCTCCACAAGACCCTGCATGTCACCCATACCCAACAACTTCGAGATGAAAGGCTGCGGCGCAAAGCGTTCCAGATCGTTCAAGTGTTCACCGGTACCGAGGAAGATGATAGGTGTTCTCGTCGCAGCAACGCTGGAACGTCAGCTCATCGTCAGAGAAATTTCTGCTCGAGGCAGCTCACGCAGAGATAGCTCCACCACCCTTCGCGTGCCCGTCCAGCTTGGTGACGATGATAGCACCAAAGTCCGCTGAGTCCTTGAATGCCCGGGACTGCCCTTCTGCCGCTTGACCTATTGACGCGTCGAGAACCATGATGGTCATATCCTGGTAGTGTCAGCTTTTTGGACCAGATGGAGCGTGCTCCTATATAAAGCTAAACGTACTGGCTTGACAGCTGAGGAGATCGCTACCATCTCCTCAAACAGCTCCGATTCTTGCTTATGCCGGCCGGAAGTATCCACGATGATCACATCGAAGCGTTCTGAAGGGATCAGCTCGGTACAGCAGTTGACAGCTGGCAAGCTGACCTTTCCGGAACTTCTCTACACCCAGCGAAGCGATTGCTACGGGGTCGGTCTCGGTATATGATCCGTAGAAGGGGATCTTTGCCCGAGTAGCGTTCCTACGGGAGGTGAGCTATACATACACCTCAAGGCGCATCTGAGCTCACTGTTTGAGCTGATCGAAAGCACCCGCACGGAACGTATCCGCGCAGACCAGACATGTCCTAAATCCTCTCCGTTGGTAATGTACCGCCAGCTTGGTACAGGTTGTCGTCTTTCCTGCTCCCTAAACAGTCAGCTGAGATGCCTCCGAGATGGCCCGGGTAGCTCACCTGTATACCGACAGCCATAAGCACATTGACCTTCCCCTTGGTTGGCTTGTATGGCTCGATCCCAGGGTCGACCAAAGCGACCAGCTCGTCGAAGACCGCCTGAACGAGTGAGCTTGAGAAAGGCGGATCGTCTTCGGGACAGCTCACCTTCTGCACGACGTTCTTCTTGTTCACTTCCTTCCCGCCTGCTTTCTCTGCTTCTTCCAAGTTCCGCTTGACCTACCCAAGTCAGCTCTTCGTCCAGCGATGTCCTCTGTGGCAGCGCACCTTATTCTTGACTTTGGTCCGCAAGGACGACACTAGCTTTACATTCACGTCCGACTCGAGAAGTGCCGAGCAAAGCTCCTTGAGGAGAGCATCGATCACCTAGCTGATTAGCTTGGCCTGGACTGCATCGGGTCGGGAACGGTAGCGGACCTTATCGTCTACTACGGACGCTCTAGAGAGCTGATTCAAGGCTCCATGGAGCCTCGCTCCGAGATCTGTGAGCACCATGTCTGGCTGTCGGGCTAGTAGGTGAGTATGCGGGGTAAGGTGATAGCTGTATGTGAGAGGCAAGAGCAAGAGCAAGAGAGCAGCTGGTCGACCCGCTTCCAGAGCATCCCGGCTGACACGCCTAATGGCGAGCGTAAATATAGGTTAGGCTCGACCGTGCCACGCCTAAACGGAATCGAGCAGTCCGTGCGAGCATTCCTTAGCAGGTCCGCTGTCCGCTGTCCGACGTCCAAGCAAGACGCGACGAGCGCTTAAAGCTCAGCTTCTACTTTGTGCTCTGACCCCTGGCTCTACTCTCAGCATGACATATCAGCCCATCAACGACGACGCCAACAAGCTCATGTAAGCTTATCGATCATATCATGCGTCGAAGCACGTGAGGATAAGGCTCACACCCTCAGTCAGGCGGACGAGGACGACCTCGATACCCTCTCCTTTGGCGCAAACGTCCCACTTCCGCGCACGCCAGAACCGCCCCTCTCGGCCTCAGGCAATGCCTCTGCGGGCCCATCGAACATCTCGGGGCGGATAGGTCAGACGTCCCAGCCCGGTGGGAGCGGGACGAGGGGAGCAACGTCTACTTCTTGGGGTGGGGTGAAGGTGGAGACGCGGTATACGGGCGAGTCGACATTGGACGAGCCTGTCAGCACGACGATAGTGAGCTCCAGTGTATGAGGGACACCATCAGCTACGAGAGCTCACAAGCCAGATGAGAGACCTGTCTTCAATATACGCCAAATTGCAACAGGTGCTGTATCCGCCAAAAGGAGGAGGAAGCAATCAGCTTTTGAGGTGAGCTGTGATGGACGTCTGTGAGAGGCTATCAGTAGCTGACCAAAGCAGAGACTGGGATCTATGGGGTCCGCTTGTGATCTGCTTATCACTCGCCATTATCCTCTCTATAGACGTAAGCTGACGACTGCGCCTTGCTCCTAAATGCAGGTGAGATAGCTGACTCACAGGCCCCAAAAGAGCAGTCTATGCAGGTCTTCTCGCTCGTCATCTCGCTCATCACCATCGGGTCTGTGGTAGTGACTATCAACTCAAAGCTGTTAGGCGGGAAAGTGTGAGCTGCATCGCCCACAACGAAGTTTGCGAGAAAGCTGACGCTGTACAGGTCATTCTTCCAAAGTCTTGTACGTTTTGCTTCAGCTAGAAGTCTACTTCAAATGAATAGCTGACCCCCTTCAGTGTGTCCTCGGCTACGCGCTCGCCCCCATCCTCCTCGCTTCTATAATATCAACCCTCGTACACAACCTGTTTGTGCGGATACCAATCAGCCTGGCCTGCTGGGCGTGGAGCGTATGGGGTGAGCTGCCTGTTTCGAGAGGAACTCAGGGTCAAGCTGATATTCTCAGCATCAATGAACTTCTTCACTGGCACCCGCCTACCCGAATCCCGGACCTTCCTTGCCGTCTACCCGATGTGCCTCTTCTTCTTCGTCCTAGCTTGGATGATCATGATACAATGACGGACATCTCAGGTTCATGCATTCTTCTTCATTGGGTACTGGACCATGCTATGTGCAGATTGACTGATATATACGATCACTCCGAAAATTTACAAACTTACATACAAGGAGCTCCTCTGACACCCCTCACCTCCCCTTCAATCCTGCCTGCCCGCCGCTCCGGCCCTGCCTACGGTACCTAGCAAGCCACGCTGGGATTGGTGCTGTGCTGATGAGTGTGGGTATGGGTGTAGTGGACGAGCCCGATAGGGACGGCGCGGCCGAGGGCGACCTCGTCGGCCATGCAGGCGTCGCAGTGGTAGTCGTAGATGTGGTTGTTCATGCTGAGGATGGAGTAGGAGGGGCGGTCTTTGGCGACGCAGCCGGGGCAGGCGAAGGAGAGGCACTGGGGGTCAGCAGGTTCCGACGAAGGCTAGGTGGTAGATGTATCGGAGATCGGAGTATGGGCAGTGGTGGTGGAGCACAGACTTGAAGCGGCTGACAGTAGAAGGACATGAATATCGAGACCGATACAGTGGCAGGGAGGGTACTAGGACAGGATACGGGAGGGTCTGAGGATGAGGAGAGCAAGAGGCATCTAGAACGTACGTGGGAGTGACACTCGACGACCTCGGGCACGGCGACACCGGTCCGCTCAGCAGACGCATGGGCCATAGGGGATGGAGGGACAGTCATGGCGATGGAACCGTGGCAGAGCTGAACAGTCAGCTCGCGCTCTTGGGTGGCAAGCAGACCAAGCAGGTCTCGAGAGGGGAGAGACTCACCTTGCAGTTGGCGACCATGATGATAGTATGAGAAGTCTTCAAGACGTTCAAGTAAGATGGCTGAGTAGATTGGTGTAGATTGTATATCTTGGGCAAGACAAGACCGCTCGTCAGGCCAGCTACTTATACCCCGCCCAACCGCCTGTCTAGGTATAGGGTATCACCTGCCCAACATACACCGATCCTTTCATCTCCCTCGCCCTTGTGACCTTCCGATATGGTCGGCGGGGTAAGGAGGACCAGGAACGTGTGTGGACAGGGAGGGTCTGTGTGGATCGAGCCAGTGGCGCAAGCCCCGCGAGGAGAGAGGGGCGCCCAGGGCGCGATTATCAAAGGCACACGTGAGGGGGTGTCAATGGATGTTTAGGTTCTGACTTGCTCCGGCCGTACCGGGGCAAGTGGCAAAAGAGGGTAGGGGGAGTCAACCTTTCATTAGAGGCCTGTAGGCAGGTCAGGAGGTCAGCGAGGGGTTGGCACGTTCGTCCGTCAGCACGGCCGTGTACATACGGCTAGGAGAGACTGGGCCAGCAGGGGCGAAGGCTGAAAGGTCAGAGGAGGTGCAGAGATCCCAAGGAAATTCAAACGATTGTAGCTAGCTGGTGATCTGGGTGGGTCTGTATTCATGGGTACTATGATCGATCTGTAATGAAACTACTCAAAATAGTACTAGTCAGAGCTCGATAGAGGGTGGCAACTTGCGACTGTGCTAATCGCGTCCAGCTAGGTCCAGCTGCATGTATGCTTGTACCTCCAATGCCACGCGGCGGGGCAGAGGGAACTTGTCCAAACTTCAGAGCACGATCTGCGTGGTCTACGCTTGTTTACCCAAGGCCCCAATGCAGCCGGCTGAATCAGACCGCCTCTCGACACAACAGTAGCTAGCTGTAGCGATCGGTGCGCGCCATACAATGTACCCAGCTTACCGATACCATCCTGTGGCTATGGCCGCTGTGACCTCAGATCTCATCCCCCACCCCTATATGAATCACCAATATGACAATGGGGTCAGCATGGTTGCGAAAGCGCCGAAAGCGCAAGCCTGAGTGCGTCGTATCTATATCAGACTCATTGGAGACGCCGACAAGCTGTACAGTGATAAGGGCGCGCCGACTGTATACATGTCGGAGAGCCCACCCCTGAAACTTGCGGTCTAGACAGAATATATATGCACCCTAGACACCCCACAGATGGCAGCAACACACAAAATACATTCCGAGATGATCTGAACTTCCACAGCAGTCGCAGGCCTATCGGACTTCGAGAGATATCCCATAGAGAGGCTCTCCGACTGGCGGTCCTTTTTGCTGAAGTGGATCAGGCGGATCATCTGGTCAAGACTGTACTGGAGGGCCATCGCTGAACTCATGAGGCCAACTGTGTCGACGACGTCGGAGGGGGAGGCGTTTCGGTCGGTCTCAAGAAGTCCCCTCAGAACGTTCTTCAGAGCACTGTTCCTCTGAACCGAGTGCAGGTTGGTGAGTAGGGCCTTTGTCGACTTGTTCAGTGACCTCAAACGAAATTCTTGGGCGTGGGAAGGGACCGTCTTCATATCCCGACCCTCCCTCTGCGCCGATGCGCAAGCGTGTTGGCTTGAATGGGTCCACGGTAGAGCGTAAACAAACAAGGCGTCGCGTTACTCCCATCCATTGGGACAGTGGAGGAGTCGCGACCGGTCGCGACTCGTAGCGACTCAAGTAGATAGCCAGTAGCTAGGACCCCAGTCAGCACTATATAAGGAGCAGTAGTCAAGCCCTATGCATCCCCAGTCTGCTCTTGAAAACTTAACAAAGCGGACATCAGGTCGCCAAACATCGCAGGATCACCGGCTTGACCAGTCAGTAGCTCGCTGAGACTGGCGAGAATCTATAGTATGAGCGAGTCATGTACGGAGAGGGCCAGACGATGTGTACGACATGAAATATGCCGAGGTCAGTACTCACGTGAAGCGTGAGTTCCACCCGTGCGCCACCATGTGAATCTCCGTGAAACTTCTTCAGAGTCTCCCAGCTCACAGCCGCTGAGATGTCAGTGGAGCCATTGTTCCCATCAACATCCGGAAAGGCCGGAAGTGCGAGGTACGGCTGCTTGAAGAAAGGCAGTTCTGGTCCACCGAATTGGGTGGCCTCTGAGGGCAGAGGCGGGGTGGTGCGCTCTAAGCGAACGTCGGCTATCGGATACACTTACCGTCATCTCCATCGGAAGATAGGGTAGGTAGGGCAGGCGGACAGGTCAGCAGGTGGACGAATCGTAATCTGAACTTGCCCATTGTGAAAGTGCGGGTCAATTGTAGGATCGGTGAGTGAGACATAAGTAATGGTATCAGTGATTGCTGATGGGACTGGGCACCCCCGCACAGCATGCCTCTTATATGTTGCTTTCTCGGACCACATCGGAAATGATGATGAAAGAGTGTCGCACACGAGGTGCGAGTCCACCCGAGGGGGGACAGTCATCAATGGAGTGATCAGAGTCAGTGTTTGAGTAAATTGCGACTCGCTCAGTGACGCTGCGCAGCCCCACAGATCCCGCTCACAAAGGATCTTGGACTCGAGCGACCGAGAGTGTTTTAGCCTAAGTATGTATTGAGCGGGCCTGCGAGTGATGACGAATAGATGATGGTTCCCATACCTTCTGGATTCAATATAATAAGATATCCTGATTTGGTCGCTCGAGAGGCCGTGCACGCCGGGCCGCAATGAGTAATGACGTGTATTCTTTTGGCTGACGACTTGAAAGGGGGCAGTGGGGTGCGGATAGCGCGGAGGATGAGGCGTCGGGGGCACATGCGCGGCCTGGCTAGAGACCAGTGAAGTTCTCATCACTTACAAAGAAGAGATACCATCTCGTGAAGTAGCTGAGTGAGCAAGAACATTGGGTGGCAAATCAGCGCTCAGTACCGCGCTCATCTCCGGGACGTCACCGCGCCATCGCCCAGAGCTCCTGTCTGGCCTCTTAGGTGTAGTAGCTGCAGAGCCAGCAGGCATTAGGTGATCCGTCTGCTATCGAGCAAGACTGGAGAGTTTGAGGAGATGGAAATAAACACAAGATAGCCATGTTACTACTACACAACCTTACTACACCTCGAAAGCTCACGCTCATTTCATTATCTGTTACTTCTGACTCCCGCCGCACACCAGCTGACCTAGCCTTCGCCATGCCTCGCCCATTCACTGCCATACCACCTCCGCCTTGCCTCCACACAGGCACCGCTCCGCTTAAACGAGGGGCACACCAGCGGTAACCGCGGGACAGCCGAATGTCTGCGAGAAGATGGGGTTGATCCTGCCCGCAATGCCAGCGAGAGCGGTGAGGGGAGAGGTAATGACTGTCCATCAGCAACGATCACCAGCAATCCGGGGCAGTACTCACATCCTTGGATGGTCGAAGGGATAGCCGCAAGGACCGCCTGCTGGATGACACAAGCAACGTCATTCGCAGTGTTGGGGGAGAATTTGCCGTTAACGATACCGGTGGTGGTGTTGAGGGCCAAGAAGTTCTGGTAGCCGGCGTTGAAACCGAAGAGGACCGGCGAGGCGAGATACTGAGCGTTGATCTCGTTGTTGACGTCGGTGAGGGTGTAGGGGGAGGCGCGGTTGAACCAGTTGTCGGGGATACGCTCGGGTACGTGAGAGTAGGTACCATCACCGTTGTCCTTTGCGCCGAAGAAGGTGGAGATGGTGGCAAAGTCGGGACCGCCGCCGTTGGTGGGCATGAGCTCGTAGAGGAAGGAAGATGCACCGTAGAGGAGAAGGGCTGTGGGGAGGAAGACGAATTGACCATTGTCGGCTGCGGGTTAGCTGGGGTCATCCTGTTGACTTACCCTTTGACTGCTCGTATCGTTGAGCCCTGTACTTGGTCATGCAGGCCCGGTCGAAGACCTTGTTGCATGTGGTCGTCATGAAACCGAATAAAGTACCGTTGAAACTATCCATCAGCCCAAGTCTGCTACCATGTGTGCAGAGCTGACTCACGAATAGTTGTCGCCGTTGTTGAGGAAGTAGTCACTGCGAGTGAGAGATGCGTCCGCCTCGAATTTGTTGTGCGTGGCGAGACCGCCCTCGCGACTGCCGCCGAGGGCCGAGGTCTGGGAGGTAGCGTCTCCGCCGAGACTGAGCTTGGTAGTGATCAGGTCACCGTCAAGTCCGACACCCTAGCATGTCAGCGATGCAAGAGTAAAGGGGGTAAAGGTACTTACAAGTGTAGCCAAGACGACAGCGAGGTCATAGCCGACGTTGTAGACGTTCTGTTGGGCCTGGACGAGCTCGTTGAAGGTGACGATACCATCTCGACTCTGTCCATCAGCTACTATACCACATCAGGGGTCATGACAGACTCACAAGGAAACCATGGTTGGCAGCAGCATTGAGACTACAAAAGTCAGCACAAGATCAAGTGTAGGAGAAGGCTGAGGACAAGTATGAGAGGGAGAGACTTACCCAGGGCAGGGTCCACGGAAAGCACCGGCAGGTGGGTCCTGGTACTGGTGGTCTGTGTCGCCCACGGCAGGGACGAGCACGTTTCCGACCTGAGTACCCGGGAGACCGTCGTTCTTGGCGCCAGTGTAAGGGTACTTGGAGGCTGATGATCAGTCAAGCCCAAGTTCATTGTAGCAAGGATCCACTCACAGATCTCGGCAGCAGAGCGCTTGGCCATGCGACGGTACGTCTCGGTGAATTCGCGCTTCTCGACCTCAGTCATCTTGTCGTAGTTGGCCATGAAAGGGTAGGCCGTGACCGCCACGATGAGCGAGAGGAGTGAGATGAAGTTGGTGAGCTGCATATTGATTGAGTAGATGCGTGGGTAAGTGAGTGGCAATGAGGGTTTGGAAGTGAGTACTCCGGGCTGTCCACGCCTACCTATATACCTCTCCCTCTTGTTTTTTTGGGGGATTACCGGTTATGCGTGCAATGTGAGTGGACCGGGCTGATCTGCATGTGTTGCATTGTCTGTTCTATGATTAGCTGCGCGGTCAAGACGAGGAAACGAACTCCACATTCTTAGCGTCGATCAAGTGGAGTGCCTTTGGAGTCCCCGTGGAGTTACGGCATACGATCGGATCAGCTGTCGAGCGCCTCGAGGTATGGAATCTTGGGAGTGTTCGGAGAGGGGCGGCGACTGCGTCATCTGTGAGTCACCTTTGCTGACCGCCCCTCTGATCAACTGTAAGGCATAGCCTGGCATAGCGCTAAACGGTCACCGCTCTTTGCGGAGCAACAAAACTGCGAAATAACCGGAGGGCAAGCTGACAAATCATGATCACGCAGGAGTCGCTCACGGTGAAACGTCTTGAAACACATTGGTCAATTGACCGAACGCTGTTAAGCGAGATCCCGCCCAGCCTGCCGAGCCCCGCTTGGTGAGTCCGCATTTACATGACGGCGCATGAAAGAAAGTCCGTATGTCAACGGAGTGGCGGGGTTGGGCAGGCGGAAGTGACGAGCCAATACAATGCTACTGCGGATGCCGCGGTGATGATCGATGAAACGCGAGGCATGGCATCGCGTTTCACTTCTTCCTAACCCGCACGTCCACCACTTCGCAGGCAATGCTGAGACGAGCGACATGGCCCGGTCGACTCTGATCTGCATGTTGCTGAGCGCAATACACCAAGAGCTAGACATGAATTTGTAGCAGGTGTGGGTGTGACATGACGGCACTGCCTCGGTGACCGAGCCTGGCGTCTTTGACCATGCCGAGGCCGAAGTACAGCTTCGTCTCGATATGCAAGAGGGGATATCATCTCGCACCGTACTGCCATCGCACCCCCCCTTTACTTTGGCTACAGCGTCACTCAAGCCTCAGCATGCCCCTTCACATAGCCGTCGTCGGTGCTGGGCTTGTCGGTTTAGGCGCCGCCATCTCGCTAGGCCGGCAGGGGCACCAGGTCGACATCTACGAGAAGTCACGGTTTGCGCATGAGGTCGGCGCAGCAATCCATGTTGGACCGATGGCGCAGAGATGTCTGGCTTCCTGGGGACTAGATTTGGAGGAGATGAAGCCGGTCGAGTCTGTGACGCTGAGTCGGATCTCGGTGACCGATGATCACTCAGAAGATATGCATCTTGTGAGTCCAGCAGTCGATCACGCTGAAACCAGCCCATGTCACAGCTCTGCGAGAAGCTCGGTCTGCCCGAGCGCCAGCTCATGGTACATCGCGTAGACTTGCACCAGCTGCTACTCAAGTCCGCGCAGGAACAGCCTACCGTCGCCATTCATCTCGGCTGCGCGGTCAAATCGGTCGATCCCGCCGGTCGGATCACGCTCGCGGACGAGACGGTCATCTCGGCAGACATCGTTGTCGGCGCGGACGGCGTGCATGCCATCTCGGTCGGGGCAGTGGACGAGGTGGACGGCCCTGCTCCCGCCCAGCAAACCATGTACCGGTTCCTTCTGCCCGCCGAGACCGCTCGGGGGCACCCGGTTGCTCGCCGGGCCCTAGACAAGTGGGTCTACTCGGATCGGCTCATCGACCACGCCGACTTTGAAGGCGCCCGTCACGTCGTCATCTATCCCTGCCGCAACAATACTTTGCTCAACGGAGCCGTAATGCTCCCCATCGCGCTCGATCCGCGGGCAGATGAGCTAGAGGACGCGTGGAACAATCCCGGAACGCCCTCGGACATACTCGAAGTCATCCATGACTTTCCGGAAGAGATCAAGGCGCTGGTCTCGCTCGCAGAGGACGTCAAACACTGGCGCTCGGTCAATCGGGAATGTCCCAAGACATTCATCAGGGGGAAGCTGGTGCTGGTTGGGGACTCGGCGCACCCTATGAAGCCAACGTTTGGCGCTGGCGCTGGGATCGGAATTGAGGATGCGGCGGTCCTAGGGCTCTTGCTGGGGAGGGATACGGGACCAGAGGACGTGCCTCGAGCGCTGGAGGATTACAACCGGCTGCGATACGAGCGGGGCGTCACGGTCAAGTACGCATCAGAGCCACCGGAGGCGGCCGAGGCGTCGAGCGCACCGCCCGCGGACACACTTCGCAAGTTGGCGGATGCCGGGGTGCCGAAGGATATGATAGGGTACCTGCTGGGAGAGGATGCGCTCGAGCAGGCACGCAGGGTTGTTGATGGGTCTGGGGGCTGAAAGCACGGAATGGTGAGTTCATGTCTTTGAGTACTGAGTCATGACCTGGAAAGCGCTTGCTGACCTTGCAGGCGTTCGATTAAACTTCTGATTTCCTCGTGTGATAGATCCAGTGTAGTAGATGAGCAATGTCAATACAGTCATCTATGAAGGTCGTCCCCTGGTATGAGTGCCGTCGTGGAGGGCGTAACAACTAGAGCACGCCTCAGAGTGTCTCCCCTCCCTCTGCTCCACCATCCACCTTTCTCCGCTTCTTCTGCGCCTGCTTCTTCCGCCTCGCCCGCTCAGCCTGAGCATCCGTCTTCTCCTTGGCCGCCACTGCCTCTTTCGCGATCGCCTCGGTCTCGCCAGCTGCGTCGTCCATGTCCATGTCATCTTCCGCAGGCTTGACCGATACAGCCGCTGCCCCCTTCTCGCGCTTCCGCTTGGTCGCTCCTGGGACAGATGTAGCAGCTGGGGCAGGAGCAGAAGGATCGGCTTTGACAAAGCAGGATACGAAGAACCCGTTGGTGCTATCTTCAGGGAGACACCGTATGACCGAGTCTGCCCAGTCTACTACATCAGCTTGTGGCCCCAGGGATGACCTCGATATACCCAGAGACTAGGCGGAAGCTTACCCTGCTTCCCGTCCAGGTGCTCCGCCCTTCCTCTCCGCTCCCAACTAGGCAGGACCTCGTCTCTCGGCGCCAACGTCCAGCCCTTCTCCTTGCCCTCCTTGGACTGTAAAGCGGCGAGCACGACTTGCTCGTCTTCTTCTGGGTGGATAGAGCATGTAGAGTAGACGATACGCTTGGCGGAAGGGACTAGCGAGTCAGCTGGATCTCGTTATGACAGCCTGGAGGTGATTTTGAGCTCACATTTGAAGGCATGTAAGATCATCTGAAGCTGGAACGCAGCTAGCTTCTCTAAGCGTTGCGCCTTGACTTCGTCTGCTTCCACACTGCCAGCATCTGTCGGGTTAGCTCCACCCTTGACTGAACGGAAGTCTTCGGCTGTATACTCACCGTTCTCCATAAGGTAGTCTAGCCTATTGACGATACCCGAGCCGGAACAACTTGGGTCGAGTAATCTACACCATCAGCTCATACTCGCCCCTCTATCTAAACAAGACGGCAAACGTACATCCTGGTGACGGTCCTCCACTCGCTACCAGTGGGGTCAGACTCGAGGAAGTCCCCCTGAATCGCCTTGACATTCCGACATTCTCCCTTCCGCAGCATCGTCTCGAGCGTCTGATAACGTTTCGCATCCCTCTCGAAGGCCGTGATACTGGCTGCTGGAGCGAGAGCGGACATGTAGCTGGTCTTGTTCCCTGGAGCTGCGCTGAGGGGTTCAGCTTTGTATCTCACGACAGGGGGTCCAGCACAACGTAGCTCACGTTGCGTCGATACACCTCCCCTCGCCTTCTGTCCATCCCTCCATGACCACCTTGGCCGGCATGCAACTCGCCTTATCCTGCAGTATGACCGCTCCGGCCTCATACCACTCGTCCCCGACCCACCAATTCGTCCGCCCGTTGAATACCAATACCTCCTCCCCCAGATGCCGATCGTGAAAGTACGCCTTGAGCGGTACGGGATGTACCTCCGCCGGCAGCCGCTCGAAGCCCTTCCGCTTGAGGTGGATATGGAGGTGCTCCAGCCCCCAGCTACCTCCTTCATCTACCTCCTCCGCAGCGCCCTTCCCCTTCCCCTTGCCTTTCCCCTTGGCCTTTGCTCGCGCGTTGGCACTCCTGTACAGCTCCACATTCCCGTTGTACCGGACGTACCGACACCCGCCGCCCTCCGCTGCTCCCTCTGCGGTCTTGGCCAGGTCCTCCACCCGGCTCTTGCCAGCCTTGATTTGTATTCGGACGAGCTCGGCGCGAAGTCGAGCTTGATGACGCAGGACGGCTTCTTTTGGTGGCCACTTGTCGCTGGCCTCGATCTTTTTGCGAGGGGAGAGGAGGAGGTCATGTAGCATGACGAGGAGGAGGGAGGGGGATGAGGGTTGGCGATAGCCTGTTTTGCGGGGGAACGTGAGGCGTTCGAGCTGGCCGAGGGGGACGGTCTCCAGTAGAGACGCGATGGTCGGCTTGTCTGACCATCAGCGCGAGGCCATATCCAGCTCAGTATCTGAGACTGCGTGCTGCTGCATCCCAAGAGGTGTACGTGGAAAATAGGCATACATTTCAAGGTCTCAATCACCACTACTCAATCAGTATTTAATTAGGTGTATGCATCAGAAAGGGAGTATGGCGCACAAGCTAAAACACGTTTCGCCTCTCCTCCCTGGACCTGCACCCCCGAGGCATTCAAAGAGCCCTTGACACTGCCCGGGTTCTTGTCGAGGTGATCGAGCACAAGCGCTGCATTATTGTAGAAATTCATGGTGGCCAATTATGGGTGAGAGTGGACAAGACTATAGAGGGAACCGCTAGGCAGTGATTTCAATATCTAAAAGAGTCAGCTACGTCCTGACAGGTCTGCTAGTGGGACAATGCGGAAAGGAGAGGATCAGAAGGTTGAAGACAAATTCGGGTTTGTTACACCATGATTGTGGTCTGACAATGTAGATAAGATTGTAAACATCATAGAAGGGGCCTTGGGAGGGAGAATTCAGGCACCAGTGTGAACGGTCGACTTACAAGGTGCTCGAGACGATATAGAGATGGATGTACAAAGTCAGAAGACGGTTGGAGAGCCAAAGGTCGTCGAAATCAAAATTTGGCGGGCGGCTGGCTGCATACGTAATCCGCGAGCTCATGAGCCAAAATAGCTAGCTAGTCATTAGCAGCTTCCTGCCTATATGTATGAGCACGCGCCAATGACGCTCTGATACCCTGTCGTGATCGAGCGAGGTGATCGCAGCGTTATGAGATTGCATCGCGGTGCATAACATGTACTTGTGACTTCTTCCCTCATCGCCTCCCCCAGCGGCGCACAATACTCTACTTGAGGTCGACCTCCACCCCGAGATCCTTGGCGATCTGCTTCCTAGCGATAGGGTGCTGTCCTATCAGCTTACTCGCCTGATCATTTCCATCTATATGACTCACGTAGAACGAAGCATGCTCTTTGAATGTCCTCCTCGCGAGCTCAGGGTCGACATCGAGCAGAAGCCTGAAGATGGGCCTGCAGAACTTCATCCGGCCCTTGTTGATGACCCATTCTGCCACATCAGCTCTGGTAATCAGGCGCCACAGAGCTCGGGACTCACTCGCAGCCTTCTCGGCGTAATCCTTGCCCGACCTCAACGCAATCACGTAGAACCTCAATCTAATCTCGGCATTCTCCGTCCCGTGAATTCCATACACCTCGTCCAGCCTTTTCACGACAACGGAAGGGTATGGTGCCGACTCGCCAATAAGGTCGAGGAGGACGGTGCGCTGAGCAGTGTTGAAGTCTTTGATATCGTCGGAGGAGAAGCTGGACAGTTTCGATTCGTCCGATTTCACCGCCGCCCAGCGTTCGGCAAGCTCGGCGCACTGCCTGTCAGCTCCACCGATGACTGCGACGCGGATTGCTTACAGGCTTGCTCAGAGTGTCATCGTACTTGACATCGACAGCCAGGTCCGGTCCGTCCCCATGGAGCCACTGATGTATCAGCTTGAGCCTGAATATGGGGTAGAGAGGACCTACAGCATCCCAGTCCAGCTTGCCCAGGTTCTTCAGGATCTCCTGCGAGTTCTCCACCTTTCCGAAGTAGTCGAAAAGATGCGAGCGCCACTGGTCCGTAGTAATAGAGTACCCGTTGTATGTCTTGACGTATTCCTTGATGTATGGCATGAAGACGTCAAGACCGCCAACGGTTCGCTCGAGGTGGAGCAGGAAGTTGGAGCCCTTCTCGTACGGGACTCGAGAGAAGGCATCGTCGGCTGAGAACGTTAGCTTGGATCCACGCTTGGGTGCGCAGCTGACATACGGTCCTGATATCGTCAGTGGCTGTTCTGCTGTTCCTGTCATACTGCAAACCACATACCTCAAACTCGCCGAGCTCACACACCATCCGCTGCAACTTGGGAGTCTTAGCGAATAGCTTGAGATCTTCCTTGAGCCCCTTGCGACCGACGATGTATGACCTGATCAATCAGCCTAAATTCGCGTGCTGAGATCAATGATGTAGACTGACAGTTGCCTGGCACCCTCGCCCCTCGTAGACCGCATGCACAGCCTTTCAAGGTACGTTGTCCATCCCTAAAGGTTAGCGCTGCCTCTCAGTGCACCACAGGACCACTCACCTCATTGAGCCAGAAGTGGCACCAAGAAGCACAGCCGATACCGTTCCCGAACCAGGACTACAAGATCAGCTAGATCTCGCAATCCGCTTCCTGCCTCTAGAGCGGGACTGAGCTACTCACGTGGCTGATCTCATGCGCTACCACATCCACCGAGCTCTTGTCCCCGGCGATCAAAGTAGGAGTCGCAAAGGTCAAGCAGGCATTCTCCATCCCGCCGAAAGGGAACGATTCAGGCAGGAAGAGCACATCGTACACGCCCCATCGGTAGTTGGCCGTAAGCTCCTCCGCGACTGAGACAAACCTGAGTGTCAGCTTGAGCATGATGGAACAGGAACGTCTGCCGCGTAGCTCACTTTGGCGTATCCTCGCTGAACTCCCAGAAAGCAGCATCCATGAGCTCCGGCTCGGTCCATACACCCGTCCGCCAGTTTTTGCCCTCAAGCTGCTTGAATGGCCGATATACGAGTTCTCCGGAAGCGATCGCAATGAGGTAGCTGGGGATAGCGACGGGCTGTCACATCAGCTCTGACGTATTTGGACGAGTTCTGAGACTTCACCTGGTCATACACATACTCGACCACCTTCCCTGGTACCCACTTCTCCTCCTCAGCCGGGCTCTGTCTCCGAGCGCTCATCAACACCGGCATCTCGCTCTTGGTCTTGCTCGAGTAGGTCGCCTTGATGGCCGGCGTGTCCTGGCAAGGAAGGAGGGACCGGGCGTGGATAGCCTGGCATTGCGAGTAGAGGTATGGGTAGTTTCCAGACTTGGTCTGTCCGGGCTCGAGCCAGCCGACTGCGGTACATTCCTTAGTTGTGCTGTAGCGGACGAAGATCTTGGTAGACTAACATCTTAGCGTGATTGTGCTGAGGTGAAGAAGGCGGCGCACCTTTCCAGCCGCGAGCGACTTTTCGAGCTCGATGTAGAGACCCTGGCCGACCGAGCCCTTCCTGTCGCCGACGGACCAGTCCTGGTCATGAGCTCAGCTCCGGTGAACCTGGGCTGAAGACAGACATACCGCCTTCTTCCCATCCACCTCGACAGTCTCGATGTCCAAGTAGCTGACATCCAGTACAATCTCCTTCACCTCCTCGATAGCCTCCATGTACAGGGTAGCACTCCCATGGATGAGCTCTTTCTTCCAGTCGATCTGCCAGTCCAGGTCGATATGGGTGGTCTTAATCGCGAGATAGTTGGAGAACGTCGCCTGATCCGCGTCGAACGGCGATTTGTTCCTGTTGAAAAGAGGGCTGAACGACATCTTTGCTGTTGGCCTGGAGGCTATGGCTTATCTGGGTACTTGGGGAAGATGAAAGGCAGCTTCAGCAGCTCCTTTTGGCGCTGAGAACCGTGTCCGCGCGGTGCGAGCGGAGATGGCGGAGTTGCCCGAAAGCGATGACGAGAATAGCTCCGAGGTATGCGGGCTCGATGTGGCAGTACATGTTGACCTTTGGGTGGCGAAGCGAGAGAGCAGTTGGCACGCAGACAGTACACGTGGTATCAGGGACCATAACTGCCAGGTGTGATCGATGACGACCGCTATCGCAGCGCAGCAGAGGGGGAGCGCCCGCCCGCACGACCGCGGTTTCGCTTGACCCCTTCGTGTCAGCCGCATACTCGGCCGGCCGAATTGCACAAAAGCACCGGAAAGGCTACAGACAAGATCATGACGACATCGCTGCATCTACAGACGCAGAGCGAAGTCTGTCCCGGAAGGGCAGTGGCCATCGTGCCACAGTTTCTTCAGCCGACCCGTGAGCCATAGGTTGTGAGAGTCAGATCTGAGCTGGGTGTCAATGCCCGCAATTGGCAAGTCTGTCACTTCTGTCAACCGGGGTTGCGCCACTTCATACATCTTCGCCCGTGTCCGCAGCAGGCAGCAGGCAGACACTCCGGACAGAAAGCAGTCAAAGATCGGTCAAAGATCGACAAGAGGAATGTCCCACAGGTGATCGCCGTGCCTGAAATCTTAAATGAGCAGCGCCACATTCCTCTATGACGTAACACTATTCGCTTCCCAAAGAACCAAACAAACAAGCTCAGATCTGTGTGTCGCTGTGACGCCGCTTGGGCCATCCCCTTCACAACCATCCATCCATTCATCATCCCTCTCTCTCTGGCTTGGCTTTCGACATTGACGCGCTTCGACTGCGCGTATCGACATTCTTTCCCTCTACGGGCACCACACTCTTTTGATCTCGGATCGACCGCGACCGCCGCTCGGTCCCCTTCGCAAACATGATCTACGCGTTCTTCACCCTCCTCCTTTGCCTCCTCCCTTTCGTCACTGCCGCGGATTCTCCTCTTCAGCGTCATCAATCTCGAAAGCGCGCTCTCCCACGTCGTCAGGAGAACATCACCGCCCATGCCCAGCGCGGCCTGGTCGCCCGTGGCGCACCGGCCGGATGGACCATCTACGTTGCCAGCGGGAATGATGGCTCCGGATGCTACGTCGACAGCGCGCAACGCACTCTTCCGGACTACTACGCGCCTATGGGCTACTCGAGCGTTGAGACGGGCTTGAAGATGTGCCAGGAGAAGGGGTACAAGTTCGCCGGTCTCGAGAACTACAATGAGGTCTACGTGAGTCAACCCTCGTTTACAGTTTTGACACGCGGTCCAAGCTGAACGTGGCAGTGTAGTAACAATCCACCGACAGCTAGCCAGAACGCGCCTTCCAGCGAGTGCTCGGCAAGGTGCAGCTCAGGTGAACTCTGCGGCGCGGCTTGGCGCATCAACATCTACACCTACACCGATCCGAGCACGACCCAGTGGACTTTGCAGGGATGCTACCAAGATTCCTTCTTCCGCAGTCTTACCGGCTACTCGACGTACGACTCTCAGATGACAGCTGCAAAGTGTCAGGCGACCTGCGCGTCCAAGGGGTACCAAATGGCCGGGTTGGAATAGTAAGCGTTTAATCTGGATCAAGTCTGAGACGGAATTGACGGTTATAGCGGGCAAGAGTGTTACTGCGGAAATTCCGTCTCTGGCCAAAAGATCAAGGACGAGTATTGCGATATGAAGTGTGTCGGCGGCGGCGACAACTGCGGGTAAGCCTCAGCCTTATGTACTTGTTGCAAAAGCCATTGCTGACGATTCCTAGTGGTGGCTGGACTTTGTCCCTCTACCAGCTCACCCCCATCCCCGCGGCCCCCGCGCCAGTCACGACTCCATCCACTCAGTGGGCGCTCCAAGGATGCTACCAAGACCAGTCTCCGCGGATACTGAGCGGCTACGGCATGTACGATGAAGGGATGACCATCGCCAAGTGCCTGGCGACGTGCGAATCCAAGGGGTTCAAGATGGCCGGACTGGAGTTGTGAGTCCCACCATCAATGCGAGGGTCTGAAAGGGCTGACAGTCATAGCGGACAGGAATGCTACTGCGGCAACACTGTCACTGCGCCGAGAGTCGCCGACCAGAGCTGTAAGCTGAAATGCGTCGGTGGCGGTAGCGGCGACAACTGCGGGTGAGCCCGACTTCTGGCCATCATGACCATAGCTGACGGGTCACAGTGGGAGCTGGGCTCTTTCACTCTACCAGCTCGGCGGGCCCCCGGCCTTGACACCCGTACCCCCGTCCACTATCCCCGACGGATGGAAGTACGTCTACTGCGCGTCAGACACCGGCGACCGCGCCCTCGCCAATGCTCAGACGCACATGTGGGACCTCACCATCCCCAAATGCCTCAACTACTGCTCCGACCTGGGCTTTACTCTCGCCGGGGTCGAGAATGAGGCGGAATGCTATTGCGCCAACTCGCTCTCCACGTCCAGCGGACAGGGGAAGCAGGTCAGCGAGGGGGACTGCTCGACCAACTGCGCAGGGGACAATGGAACGAAGTGCGGTGGATTCTGGCGCCTGTCGCTGTATTCTACTCTGAGCGGCTCAGCTCTCTCGTCCGCGCTTACTCCACCCGTTACCACTACCAGTACCACCACAGCTGCGACTGTCCAGCCCACCGTCGTTCCCACCACGACGACTACCGCCCAGCCCGTCACTCCTACTACCACCACCGATGTCCCCACCCCTACTGCTTCTCCATCCCCTCCTCCCGCACCTCCAGCGCAACCCTCGTCATACACCATCCCCACCAACTTCCCCAGCGGCGGCGGCGACAAGCAAATCTATGCTCACTTCATCGTCGGCAATTCGTACCCCTACAGCGTCGATACATGGCGTACCGATATCGGCCGCGCCCAGGCCGCCGGCCTCGATGGCTTTGTGCTCAATCTTGGGCCGGACGCTTGGCAGCCCAGTCGAGTGGCAGATGCGTACTATGTCGCCGCGGAGGAGGGCTTCAAGATGGTGTTGAGTTTCGATATGTACGAGTTTGATTGTGGAGGATGGGACCGGTATGTCATTCTTCGTGCTCGTAAAGCCCTCAGCTGATGCAGACAGAGTGCCACTCTTCCAGAACTACCTCGACAAATACGTCAACCACCGCGCCGCCGGCAAGTATCAAGGTCGATCCATCCTCACTACCTTTGCCGGGGAACACTGCTCCTTTAGCCAAGGATCGACCAACGCGGGCTGGAACGCCGTCATGGGCGCCTGGAAGACCCAGATCTACTTTGCCCCGGCGTACAATGCGGATCCGATGCAATTGGGCGGGTTTGATCTGCACGCCGAGGTGAACTGGGGATCGGCGTGGCCGGCAGCGGGGAAGGAGATTGAGATGAGCAGGGATAAGTGGTTCATGCAGCAGTTGGGCGGGAGGGGTTACATTGGGACGGTATCGCCCTTGTTTGCAGCTCATATTCCGGGCAAGGTCAGTCTCAGTCTTCGGCTCTCGGAAGGTCAGGAGAAGAGCTGACGGTCCAGAACTTTATCTGGAGGGGCGACAACTTCCTGTATGGTGCCCGATGGGACCAGCTCCTCTCCATGCGGGACAAGACGGACCTCGTCGAGGTTGTCAGCTGGAACGATTATGGAGAGTCGACGTACATCAATGAAATCACCGGCGATATGCCCCAGGCCGTCAAGGACCAGGGATACGCCACCGATGACTGTAAGCTAGTATGGGCTCGAAGGCGCGTGTATAGCTCACCTGCAGTTACCCATTCTGCCCTCCTCTCGCTTCAAGCGTTCTACTCAGCCGCGTGGAAGAACGGCGCCTACCCCGCCATCACCCAAGACCAGATTTGGGCTATGGCTCGCCCACACCAGGCCTGGGCGGGCGCGAACGGCGAGGTGCCAAAGGGTCGTGAGCTTGTACGTGACTGTCTGCCCTCTGCTCCTCCTCTCTGGAACTCCGTCGCTGATAGAGCAGACCGATGACAAGCTGTACATCCAAGTCCACCTTACCGCTCCCGCCGACGTCATCCTCTGCTCTGGCGGGTGCTCCACCCAACAAGGCCAAGCAGGGATCAACCGCTTCTCCCATCCTTTGCAGGTCAGCCAGACCGCCTCGGCGAGGGTGGAGCGGAATGGGCAAGTCGTTGCTAGGGTGGATGGCAAAGTGGGCTTTGTCAGTAATCCGGCAAAGTACAACTTCAGTACGTATTGAGTGCGGCAGATGAGAAGGGATGGAGCTGATAAGCAGACTACTGGATCTTGAGTTCGGCCTGATCGCTAAGCGAGGCTACCCTGGCCACGTTAACGGCGACTCGAAGAGGGAGTGTGGGAAGGTCGGCGCGAGGTTCTCAGCGTTCGTTTCTGGGTGTGAAGTATTCTTCTTGGTTTCGGGTTCCTGTCTATATTTTTGGGTCATTAGGCGATCTTGCGCTCGACGCGCAACATCTGTGGGGATGCAATGAGTACTGCACAAGAACGACATAGGTGTCCTCCAGACAAGAAGTAAAGTAGTACATGACAAGACTGGAGATGGAGAGTCTGTCGGCTAGCGTCAAAAGCGCAGGATCAAGGTACAAATATCCTGCTGTACCCGTCCACCCTACTCCATCAGCACGGTCCTCGTCCTGAAGAGGAAGGTCAATCACTCACTTTCGCCGACAACACGGACACAGATGTTCCTTCTGCTCCACCCTCGCCGCCAGACTCTCTCGACAATCATTACACAGCGCCAAACACCTGCAGGGCCAAAGGATCGTATCCCTCGGATCCACCGTACAGATCACGCATGCCTTGCGGCGCTCTTCGTCCCAGTCATCCCCTGTCGGCTGGGCGCGGGATGAAGCCGCTTGAAGCCGGCGATCCTGTACGACCTGGTCCATTGCTCCCAGCGGCGCAAGGGACGACGAGCCGGCATGGCGAGACGGGCGCGAAGGGGAGGCAGTGGGTGATGAAGGAGCGAGCATGAGGGCATTGTATCGCCGTCGAGTGAGCGGGGAGGCGGAGGAAGAGGTAAGATGGGCGAGTAAGACAGGTTGGAGATCCGCCGTATCTTCCGTCCCGGTCGGTAAGAAGTCACGTAGGGAAGGTCCCTCGTCTCCGCCCGATTCCGACTCGCCCGACCCAGAATCGGACGAAGCGTACCCGTCCTCCTGCTCCTCGGTGAGATCAATCTCGTCCTCCCACTCCTCGTCGTCATCCTCCATCTCCACCTCGCCCCGCAGATAGCTGTCGTACGGCACCATCGAACCCTGCCTGCTCCGCAGCGCCAAAGCTGTCGAGGTTCCGCTTGACTGATGCTCGCGCTCGGGCTGGACCGACCGCTGGCGCTGCCTGTTTCCTCCTATTGCGCCCAATGCAGCCGCCCTTCTTTGTCCCTCTATCAGCCGGAGCCTGTTCGCCTGCACCGCCGCGACGGGTAGACGCCATGCTGCCCGACGCCAAACCCTCCAGCTTCTTGGGCCGTACCACCATCTCGCATGCCACGCATTCACCGCAAGCGCCACGCCCTTCTTCCCGCCCGGTATAGCAAACACGAGCGTCGTCGCTATATTCACGACGACCACCCATGCGGCCTTCCAGAACGCCCTCAGTTCCCGATGATAATTATCCTGCCGCCTCGACTCCTCTGGCTGCTCCACGTCGATTTGAGTGATCTCTGTCCCGAACCCGCCCTGCGCCGACATTGGTACCGTGACGACCGAGTTTGCAGACGAGAGAGCAACCCAAGGACCGGGTCGCAATGAGACATGGACGAGCTCGTTCCGCATGCCGCCGTATTGCGAGGACCACATGCACGCTGTACCGAGCTTGAGAAGCGCGACGCCGAAATCGTCCTCTGCGCGAGGCATGACGCCCTCGTGTGGGAGCAAGTTGCGGAGGATGGGCGTTGGAAGGTAGCCGAGAGTGAAGAGGTTGGTGAAGGCCGTAAGAGAGACGGTGAAGATGATGATGATGGACAGAAAGAGAGCAAGGAGGTGGGTGAGAAAGGTGAATGAGGGGAATTTGAGGGGCGACGTCGACAGGACGTAGACAAAGTGCATGAGCCCGAGCGAGCCGCAGAAGGCGGTAGGGGCGAGTTGGCGTCCACGAGTCGACTCGAAAAGCTCGATCGTTTGAAGCCAGGTAAGCTGGATGTCAGCTGGAATTGCGTGCCAAGATGCATCAACATACCTCCAAGAGACCGAGCCACAGCTGGAATACAGGATGTATGTCTGGTCGTCCGTATACGGCCGTAGGTGGTGGGTGTTGATGTGTCATAGGCGAAGAGTACAGGTGGAGGAGAAAGGCGTAGCCGAACTGCTATCAGCGCAGCTCGACCTGTCTCAAGTGCACACAATAGCTTACCAGGTTGAAGCCAGAGTTGCCAGCGCCTCGACGTCTGCAGGTCAGCTTCTCGGTCTCCCACAAGGCCTCGTACGAGCTCACCGTGTATCGAGCCCATCCGCCAGACCACTACATGCCAGTCCCGCACAGACACTCAGAAAGACCTGCCAGCAGACCGTCTCCATCTGCATTCCGCCCGCCCAGTCCCCGAGCGCCCGGGCACATCGCTCGATCGGTCCTTGACAAGTCCAGTGATATGTCTCCGGCCAGAGGTTGGCGACCTGGAGAACGAGCACAGTGAAGAGTACGAGGGCACGGGCTAGGCTCAGTATACCAGGAATGCGGAGCAGTCGAGGTGTTTCAGGGGAGATGAGGAAGCGGACCGCTACTGTGTCAGCTTGATGCTATACGAGACAGATGTCGGTAGCGTACCGGCTCGCCTGACCTTCCAGAAAGTAGTGTTCATGGGAGGATGAGGGAATGGCGGAGGCGGTACCCTCGGCCGGCGGACGATATGATGTATCCGGTTCAAGAGTAGCGCCTGTAGCGTGAGCTGACTACCACGCCTAATGAGATCGGAACGCCTAGCTCACCATCAAGACGAGCATCACACCATACCCACTCCCGACAAAAGTTATAGGCCCGATCCCACCCGCCAACGCCCGATGCTCGCTTGGCTGCTGTACCATCTTGGCCATTTCAGGAAACAGCGCATTCTTGCCCGCTATCTCGTCGATGCGTGCTGCTTGATCCTCGGCCGAGGAGTTGCCAGGTGTAGGGAAGGAGAAGATGACGTTGTGTAGGAGGGCCGAGAAGTGCGCAGAGAGGTTGGCGAGGACGGGCATGATGAATGGAGTGGGCCGAAGGGGAATCGGGATGATGAGCTATTTCCGCATGAGGAGGTCTGCGATTGAGCCGATAGTGCCTTGATCGCTCCCTGCCAGCTGGCTGAACACAGGTGGCTGACCAGGAGTGTTGATATTGTGCTATACGGAGAAGGATGCGTGAAGGATGGTCCAAGTCATCCGTTGTTGCCTTGCTTGAGCTCACCACGTCGACGGCCGAACCAAGAACAGGTCCGTGCGTACCGGCGTGATGCCCGTCGGCCTTCTCAGCCTCCGCTTCTGCAACCTTCGGCAGCGGCTGCGGAGCATCACAAGGCTCGAGCGATAGCAAGGAAGACGAGAGGGGCTACAACGAGCAATGCGCCATACATCGCCTACTCAACCAGACTCTCCCTCTCCCCTGCCTCCTCCCCCGGCCCGACCCGCCAACACCGCCACCCCTTGACAGTCCCCCTGACGACCTCCTCTCCTGGATCTTCAGGGAACATCGGTCCCGCATACTCAGACACAATCTGCTGGTATGCCCAGCCATCGCCAGACTGGGCGAGCAGCGGGAAGAATGCCAGGTCGGCTTCGGCAAGGTGCGGGCGGTGGTGCGTCGTAAAGACGAGGATGGATGGTGTGGGGAAGGGCTCGGAAGGTGATGAGAGTGCTGATATATCTTGTGTGAGGAGGGCGTTGACGGTGCTGACCAAGGCGGGATGCTAGACTGTCAGTCGGACATCGCGGAAGGGGCGGACTTCACGCACTTGAGAGTGGTTGAACACCAGATCGCTCAAGAGCAATAGGTCATACGTCGGCTCGTCAAAGGTATCTGACCTCTCTGCTCCAGACCCGGCAAGTATGTCTCTCAATGACTTGACATCTCCTCCCCATACATGTCCCTGCTAGTCAGCTCAACTTTCAGTATCAATATCAGTTAGTAAGACTCACAGCAGCCACGGCTGACTCGCGGACCGCCCCTTCCATATTGATATCCAGATTATACGCCATATTCCGTATCGACTCCTCCTCTGGGTAGTCCGTCACTACTACCCGCTGCGCCCCGCTCAGGGCAGACACGATACTAGGTAGTCCAGCGCCAGCTCCGAGCTCGAGGATACGTTTAGACTTCACGATCGACGGATTCCGGAGTAGGAAGCTTGAAAGCACTCGGGAAGTGTTCCACCTTGATCTCATCAGCACTCTTTCCTTATCTTGACAATCATTGATCGCTTCTTTGCCGGGAGATCAGCAGAACCCACAGATGATGCGCCCATAACGGATGCGTGCTGACTAGCCGCACTATCAGATTGCTCCTTCCCTCAGCTATAGGTAGCTGGATATCGTCCGGCACATCATAAGTAGCGAATGAGTACGGTGCGCGTAGCGGAGATTCGGGTTCCTATCGTCGGAATCAGCCAAGTTCGTCCCAAAGACGTCGGAGTTGTGCCCACCGGGATTAAGTCGGACAGGCCAAATCCACCCTCCTCGCTCCCGCTCTCGCTGCCAGAAGCGGAGGGAGCTGGTGACCGAGGCCTCGATGGTCCAGCGGCGCTGCTCGAGTCACGCGACATGTCTGCTGGTGAGGTGGGAGTCGACTCAAGTTGAAAGATGCAGGTCACAGCGCATGTCTTGGGCCAAATTTTGTTGATCCTTTTTGAGCCGTGCCTGAATGACGTAAAGTGATGTCACCAGCTTTGCGTGCGCACAGGCAGAACAGAGGCAGACAAGGTACCTGTTAGCTGTTGACACCTTCATTATTCATACACCTTAACAGACCTAGACAAGGAGTCTGATAGAAGCCATTGTGATGACAGGAGACCCGACCCCAAGCTCGGATCCGCTCGGCTACCTCGCCCTGCGCAAGTTCTCACAACGCCTACCCAGATGTCCTCGCACTCGACTCCCGGTCTCTTATGCGGATATCGGTGATCCGGATGGAATACCCGTACTATGGATGCTCCCCAGTGGATGCTCTAGATGGATCGGTGCTCCTCAAGGTATGGGATAGCAACGATACAGATGGCATAGGGGAGCTTTGCTCATTTGTAGATCCGCTAGCTAAGCGGTATGGCATCCGACTCATCCTCGTTGATCGACCGGGAGTGGGTGCAACTCCGAGCGTGGATCTGGCCGACAGGATTGATATTAGCTGTAGTGAGTGATATTAACAGCGGGGCTATGTGCGAGCTGACGAGCTAGAAATGATCGTGTCGGTGCTGGAACACCTGAATGTTCGACCAGCCCATATGATCGTCACCTCCGCCGGAATCTAGTGAGTCTCTGCACCATCCCGCCTCATGCTCAGCTGGACGTAAGACTGATGGAGAAGCTACGCTCTACACCTCCTACTCAATTACCCTGAGACCTTCCACTCTGGTCTCACCCCTCCGCCATCCCTCTATCTCGTCGCCCCCTGGTCCCCGCTCCTGCCGGCAGATCATCCCGACTACTACCCCTCATACTTCACCTGGATTCCCTCCCCCGTCATTGCGACTCAGCATATCACTGTGAGCAGCTTCGCTACACCCTGATATGCTCTGAGCTGAAATGATAGCTGCCCCAATTGATGAAGCTCGCCAAGACGGGGACGTCGCTCTGGAATACCGGTCTCAAGACTCTTTGGTCCACCTTGGATTCCGCCCGCTCTATGATCGGCGGGACTACACAGACGTCAGCGGGCGGAAGCGCGCATGGCGCTTCTCCCGATCATGTACACGATAGCGGACTGGACCTAGGCGGCGAGAGCGGAGCGGTCCCTTCGGCAGCGGTTCCGATGAGCGTCGACGGCGTAGAGTACAAACAAGGGGAACCAAGCAGCGAAGTCGCGGAAAGCAGCGAGGGAAGCGGGATGTGGGGCAGATTCCCATGCTGTATAAGCTGTGTAAGTCACCTCCCTCACCCGCTCCGCACCTCCTGCCCAAAACATCCACTGATACCGCAGACTACGACCGACTACTTTCAAGCCGAAAACTTCTCTGGCGTAGGGCAAGAACACCTCATCTGCCTGAATCGTGGACCGGTCGATACAGGCCACATTTGGCTCGAACAGACCATCACCACCCTCGCTACCAAGCTCCAGACTGCCGGTATGGACCGCCCGGGTACGGAAAAGGGGCTGCCCCTCATCGATGTGGATGTATGGTGGGGATGGGAAGATAATATGGTGCCGAGGAAAGGGCAGTTGTGGTTTAATAAAACGCTGGGGAGGTATCCGAGGGAAATGAGATTGAAGGTGCATGATGTGCCGGATGGGGATCATACAGATCTGTGAGTGTAGCAGGTCTGGAGTTGGGCACGGGGAACAAGCTGAAGCCATAGGCTGAGCAGAACGGACGGAATATATGAGGTGTACGACTTGATCCGCGAAAGGGGATAGAGAAACCAGCGGTCAGTCTGTGAGCCGCCGAGGGGGCGAAGGGGACGGGACGATCCGCCGCCTTTATGCTCAGCTTGCATGCTCCGCCCTTCGAGGCGATCCCGCCTGTGACAGCCATCATCGAGTTTCGTCACCCAGCAACGCGCCGACGCAGCTGTCTCGACACCGTGGTTGCATATCCGGGCGTCAATCTTTCTAGACATCTATGCATTCATCTCTACTTGATGCTCTTCGCAATAGCCGCCGCTAACGCTTTGTTCTCCAGCCATTCTGCGGATCTACAGGATCAGCACAACCACTTCTCCATCGTCAATCTCAAAGGGGTGGGAGACGTACGAATCGTCAAGGTGATCGTCGAAGTCGCGAAGAAGCTCGTGTAGCTTCTCCCCCTTGATCATCATCAAAGTCTGCTTTGTCGCATTCGGTCCGGGCGTCGATAATCGCGCTGAGTCCTGAAGATTCTTACTGGGGTCAGACGCGAGCGTCATCTGTATGATCAGTTATGCGCGACACGGCAAGTATGGAGGCAACTGACGACATAAGGGTTGCCGCCCGTCCTTAATTGCTTGATGTCCACCTGTCTTGTTAGCTCTGCTTTCCCATTACTGGACTAGCCCAGCTTACCGTCAACGCAAAAGACTCGGCCCAGCTCTTTTTGATACCACCCAAGAACGCCTTGCCCGCCCGACTCAGCGACACCCCCTCGGATACTTCATACATTCCCACAACCACCAGGCTCTTCTTGCCGGCATACACCTCGACATGCTCCAGCGCCGCCTCAAGCATGGGCGTCAGGGTTGTCTCGGCGTGTAAGACAGGTATAGCCTCGGTGATCTCGAGGGGGCGGCGGCCGGCGCCTGTGCTTGCTGTTCCAGCTGCCGATGGGTTGGCGAGGAAGACGCCTTGGACAGTAGAGGAGGGATGAGCAGCGGCGTGGAGGAGAGGGAGGGAGTAGGCGAGGGAGGAGAGGTTGTAGGTGTACTGAGAGGACGACATGGTGATGTGTATCTGACCGGCAGGATGAAGTACGAAAGCAAGAGACAGACAAGGAAGAACAAGGATGACATATGAGTCACGAGTGGGTTCCTGAAGTGGCGAGGAATGTGGAGCAGCTTCGGCGCGCTTGTCCGGGCCGGACCCAAATATGACAGCAGATACATCCGCCTCGACCTCGTGGAAGAACTGACTGTAGCCAGACAGCTGGCCCGCTGGCTAGCTGAACCGAGCAGACACGCAGACTAGACACTGGTCCGGGACGCATCAGAATCCACATAGTCAAGCAATACAACGTTCTGATGTAACAGATCTGCTCCGCTCTCGTGCTGGGCGACGAAGCCCCCTCAGGCTCGCTGCTTATGGTGGCTCCCCTCCCACCCAGTTCGCGAACCACTTTGCCCACTCTTCCACCCTCCTCACCCCCGCATCACTCCGACTCAACCTCAAATCAGGCCGTAGCGACTCATCCTCCGCCAGCATCCGCGCGGGCCCAGCAGCCGCGGGAGGAGGCAGCATGCTGGAGAACCCTCTACCGCCCCGGCGAGGTGGGAGGTAGTCGGACTTGCTAGCTGTGCGGCGGGGAAGGGTACGGTAGAGGATGGTTATCCGGGGTTGGGGAGCAGAGGATGGTCCGGCGGAGATTACGATAGATGGGGGATCTTTGGCCGTTGAGGGTTTGAATTCGACATCTGCAGATGAGTCAGTCTGTCCCAGCGACAAACCCCACATTCAATGCAGGAGCAGACACTCCTCAGACTCACTCTCGAGGAGGAGCGCATCCCCTCTCCTGACCTTCCGCTCATCCCACTCCCTAGCGAGCCCTTCCCACAGCTTGACAGCACACCCTACCCCACCTCCCTCGCCCGTCTCCCCTTCCACAGGGGGCGCAGTAACCTGCCAACCCCCGATCCAGAGCGTCCCTTCCTGACCCCTCGCCTTTTCCTCTTTCCGCTGCCGCCGAACGGGCGTATCTACCGCCATAACGCACACCATCAGGCTGATCTTGGCGCTGTCGCTATGCTGGAATTGCCTGCGCTGAGGCATACGGCCCGCCAGGAGCGATTGGAGAGATATGAGCTTCGATAGGGGGATGGACCAGCCGGGCATGGGCGGCTGGGACGGCTGAGAGATAGTCGCGGTCGTATTAAGCGAGAGGAAAGATTCTGTTCCGTCCAGGCCCGGAAGGGTGGTCAAATGGCCGTCTGCCCCTGTCAGTGGGATTCTAGCCTGTCAAAGGCGAATAATGGGCTCACCAGATGTCCTGGCCATACGACTCGACCGTCGAGGGCCCAGAGCCCTAGATGTACTGACCCGAGGTTGCAAGTACGCCGACTTGGCCGGGAGAGACGTGATTGAGTCCTCGTCGTCCACTTCTTCCCTCGCCCGCTTGGTACTGGGCTTGTCCATGACCACGCTGTTCTCCCAGCTTTCCACCTCATCATTTTCTATCGCCACGTTGGATCGCGCGGACTCTTGCTCCTGCTCCAGCGCCAGTTGTTGCTCCGGCTCCGGGTCCGATTGACTGGACTGCACAGGTACATCTCGCCGAATGACAGCTTCGGCCCGCCGTTGCGAGAGGGACTCGATAGTCTCAATCCCGCGCGCGGTAGGCGCCAGGGTATGAAAGATGAGCTCGTCCGGGGCTGGTCGAGAGGTCTTGAAGGAAGAAAGTGGGAGGAGAGTGGGCGGAAGGAAGACGTGGAAGCGGGAGATTGTCATGGTGACATGTTTCCCTCCGGAGCGTCCCCAGCCGCAAGCCCTTCTAGGTGAAGTCGATGCCCGGTCCGGCCGAAGTAAGCGAGAGATGCCCCTTCTTCTTGCTTCAAGGGAGAAATAGATGGATGCAAGAGGTAAGGGATGATAAACCCTGCATCAGATATCCGAAATCTACTCCCCCGCACCTTTCACCGGACTTTGACATCGCCGTGGATAGGGTGGAGGGGATGCGAGGAGCAGTTGAGCGAGGGGAGAGAGAAACAGGGTGGATGTAGTGAGTACTTTCGGGGCCTGGCAGGCCTGGACTATCCCACACCTCAACTCACGGTACGAAGCAAGCTACATATCATGCCAGGCCTTCGATTTCTTGCATTTCTTCGCCCTCTGTTTTGCTACTTCTATGAAGGATCCTCCCTCTTCCTCCTGAGTCTCCGTAACACCTCGCTTAACGCAGACCAGTGTTCTTCGCGCCCGCCGCTCCCTTATCATTCGGGTTGTCCTTCTTCGCCTGGCTCTTGCCCGCCTCTCCGCCCTCATCGTCCTTGGTCGGCTGCCCCTGGCTGGCGTCCTGATTATCACCGTCCTCCTTGTCCTCCTTGCTCTCGCTCTTCTCCTCATCTTCCTTGTCTTCGTCCGCCTCAGCAGCCTCCTCGCCGCTCTCCTCCTCTTCTTCCTCCTCTTCCTCCTCGACTGCCTTTGTCCGGTTCTTCAGCCGACCGTACGCCTCGAGCGCCTCATCCTCCTCGACATAGATATCGCCACCAACCGTTCCTCGGAGAGGTCCGGATGGTCCGCCACCCTTAGCGTTCTGCCGCCTGGCCTTCTCCTTCTCCGTGTTGTTTTTGTAGCTCGACTTGAAGCCGGTCAGCTTGCTGTTGGCCGAGAGCGAGTCGGGACCAGACGAGCCAGCGCCGCCGGCGAAGTCGTGTCCGGCGCCTTCTTGGTAGTAGGACGTCCCGGCGAGCGTACCGATGATGGAGAAACCGACAATGATGGACAGGTAGAATCGGTAGGTTGCGAACCATGGCGGGGCTACCTGTCAGCTATGTGCTTGTTGCTTTGGTGACAAAGTACTTACTCCATCCGTTAGACGCAGCCCGCTGATCCATGAACCAGGTCAATGTGAAGCCGACCCACTGGCTGGCTAGCGCCACACCGTGTGAGAGGAACACGGTCGGGAAGGCGAAAAGCAGAGGAAGGGTTCCGATCATGAGTCGGCGGTACCCCTGCTCCCCGCCGAACCCGACGAACTCCATTCCCCAGTGCAAAGCACCAAGGAAGGAGAGAATGACTGCGCCGTAGGTAATCTGAGCGGCCTCGAGCGAGTGGAGGGAGTTGAGGATGGTGTCATAGTCGAGGCCCGTCAGGGAGTTGTGACCTGAATTTGGCCTCAGTGAGTGGAGTCTGGTTGAATGATGAAATCAACTTACCGTTGCCGGTCAGGTTGGCTTCACGAGCGAGGAAGACGGTACCGACAGATGTACCGAGGTAAGGCAAGGTACCGGCCAGACCTGAAAGTCAGCTTCGATCTCAATCCCTCAACTCTGAATGGACCAACCAAAGACAAGGACATGTTGCGGTACAGCCTGCAGAATGCCGGACGTAACGCTCATCTGCGATCAGTCGCGGCTCAAGGACCTCAGGCACGTAATAGCTTACAAAGTCCTCCTTGACATTACCGCCGTGCGAGTGACTGCTCGTCTCCATGGCGGCCATGACGCCCCCGGCAACATTTCCTGGGGTCACGGCGCCTTCAGTACCTGAAAAGGCTTTCATGACCGGAGCCTGACCACCCGAGATGATAGATGCGACGTCCTGGACCACATCTTTGGCCTACAGAGTCAGCTGGCAGCTCGCCCCTTCGACACCACGCACAGAGTCAGCATAATCGAACGTACCTCTGCCACAGCGTTCCCTATGATACCCCTCTCCTTGGGGTGATCTGGTCCTTCTTTCGTCACCACGCTCGAAGGGGTCACGTATAGCCGCACACCTAGCATACGGGGTACATACACCGCAGGCAGCTTGGATGGGCCCGCAATAGGCGAAGCGAGGAAGGGCGATTTTGAGGCCAAGAAAGCGGATCGACCGATCGGGGCAGCCGTGCCCAGTGGCCGGGCGGCCATGGGCCTGAGGAGACGGAGCGAGCGGTTCATGCTGCCTGAGTGATAAGGAATAGATGTTAGAAAGAAGAGCAGAAGAAGACGACTGGATTTGCTCGACTGAGCGGATGCGCATCCAAAAGGTGCGCTAAAGTCGCCATGACGTCATTCCAAGCCAGAGCCGCCGATACCGATCAACCCAGCTGCCAGAGGCTTGAACCAGCCTATCCTTCGCCTTTGACTGCAGTGTGCCGCTTCGGCCCTCTCGCTTCAGATGATGAGCAGGGAGGACAAGGGAGAACGATGAGCGGGAACGAGATAGTTAGGGGGTCTCTCCGGTCCGCGACTCCGCCTTGAGCCGTCCCCCCGCGAAGTCCCAGCGGTACCGATCGAGACGACCTAAGACCGCGGTATGGGTGTACTGCATATCCTATACAAATTTCTTCGCCATGTTCAATGCTAAGACCTCATGCAAGTGCTCACTATCACTCATCAGCTTTTTCCTGTCAACCCGCTGCTCACTGATGTCGAGACTTACCGAGCAATCTTGCCGACCTCCTTGTGTTCTCGGGTGGCGGTCAGATGATCCCTTTCCGACGTCAAATTTAAAAGGCTTTCTTGCTGAAGATTCAGATCATTGCCACCCCAGCAAGGCAAGGAATGATCCGAGTGGACTTACCGCCTGCGCCAATTCCACATCGAGTGAATTAGGGACCGTCTTCTGCCATCTTTGCAATCAGCTTTGCCCTCTTCGCGCAAAATCTGACACAAGACTTACCCAGCATGTCGATCACACCTCTTCCTCTGGTTCAAGCAATATGCTCCCACATCTTCTTCTCTCTCAGCGCCCTCCGCCATCTCCACATCGTCCCCCTCCGCCGGCGCTGCGATCACGCCTAATGGCTTGCCAACTTCCCACGCCTCAACCGCCTCATCTCCCCAAATCAGCGCCTCCACCCATGCACACGGCCGATCATCCCCTCCGCCGACCTTACGCTTCTTCTTCCCCGCTTCATCACCTGGCGCAGTCAAGGGAGGGACGGTATCGCACTGCTCCACCGCCTTGGCGAGTATGACGAGCCGTTTCTCCAAGATCGAGATCGCTGCTTCAGTAGAAGCGATACTCTTTTCCAGGATGTCGATGGGGTCCGACGGTGAATGCGAAGTCATGGTGGTGGAAGAGGTGTGCTCGACGATTTTGACGTCGGGTGGTGGAGGGGGATAGTGCGCCAAGGTGGTCGAGAGCTGTTTAAGCTGTTTGTGCTGCTTCTTGCTCTGCATGTCGGCGACAATGGCGTGCGCGTGTCGGAAGCCGCAGTGAGACGAGCAGAACCTGGCGATGTAAGCTCGGGAATGGCCCAATTGGGTATCCGCGCAGCTCACTTGGACTGCTTGGCGGTAAACTTCTTTTCGCATCCGTCTCGCTTGCATAGCCGCTTCAGGACAGTCTTGTTGGCTGTCGCTGTCATTGTTAGCTGTGTCCCTGCCCCTCAAGGAAGCGCGGAGCGGCGGGGCTTTGAGAGGGCCGAGCTTACCTTTCTCGCAGCTCGGGCAGTAAAAGTTGGCGATAAGGTCAATCTCGCTCTTCGTCAACCCCACACATCCAGCATGGAACCAGCCATCACACCTGTAGCCTTCAGCTTTACTCGTTATTCGGCTGTCTTTGACCCACCCGTCACATCCGACCAGCTCATCGTTTCCATCACTCCTATGCAGCTTCCCGCATGTACAGTAGATCGCGAAGTCCTCTTCCCCCTCGTCGGAGTCCGTCTCTGTAACGGACTCGACAACCACGTTGGATCTGCTACCAGCTGTGGATTTCGACGGTTCTGGGGTTTCCTGGTCATCAGCTCCTGCTCACACTCACGCGACGGACGCTTACTGATATAGACGAAGTGCTGTCGGATCGGCCCCTCGCAGCGGACTTGAGCGCCTCAACCTGACTCGTCAGCTGATGCTTGATCCCGGTATAAACCACCTAGCTCACCTTGCCCTTCTTCCCCACCGCAGCCTTCCCTCCCTTCTTCACCGCCGCATCCTTTATTACCGTCCGAGCATCCGCCTTCCACCCCTTCTTGCGCCCCGGTTTCTGCTTCGGCAGACCCTTCGAGTTCAAGACAACTACCTCTCCGCTCACGGCAGGTGCAGCTGCGGGTGTGCTTGCGCTAGCCACCGTTGAGACATCTCTCGAATCCGCACCGGAGACCGCCTCGGCCGCTTCGATGGTGTCCTCGGGCTCTTGTTCTTCCTCCATCTCGCGATCTTCCGGGTCCAGCTCCTCCTCGCCCTCTTCTTCCGCCGGATGCGGCGTCGGCGAGGAGGCCACGACGGCCGCTAATGCCGTGAAGGGCATGTCGACGTCCTCGTCTGCAGGACCGGCAGGGGTCGGGACGTCCGGGGCGGTAGACAATGACGAGGAGGAGTGGAGGGCGATATGCCTGGAAGGTACGGAGAGCTGATCCGGTGTCGAGGGGAGGACGGGGCGGGAAGGGGCGCTGCTTAGCAGTGTGGAGGCAGTGGTTAGTGGGATGGGGACGGCGGACTGTTCCGCAACGTCGACAGAGCTCCCGGTGTTGATGGCAGACGTCGTGGCTAGCAACGCCTCAGCGGTAGCTGCCGGTGCAAGTGATGGTGTCTCTCCGTGCTCGACTGCCGATTCCTCCTGCGTGGTATGTGATGCCGGCTGGTCCCCGTCCGGGACAGGATCTCCTGCTGCAGTGTTCTGCGCCATGCCATCGCCAGCTGCAGCATCGGCGTCCGGATGACCGGGCACGACATCTTCCGCCTCGATCGTCGCGCCCTCCATCTCGATGTCCCCCTCCGCCTGGTCGGGTCCCGGCTCCGTGTTCCCGATGCTCGGCTCAGCATCCGCACTGATGATGTGGTCGTCCGAACTTTCGTCTGCAGCGACGCTTGCAGCTGCCGGCACTGATGTTGCCGCATCCTCCACCACTTCCGTCCCCGGCCGCTCCAGATCATCGTCCTTGGCCGGATGAAGTGGGGATGGCTCCTCCTCTTCATCCGCCTCATCTTCGACCACCTCCTGCTCCTGTCCGCCGTCCCTTAATGTCGCCACATCATCGACCGCCGATCCTGCGGGTATGATATCGGCAGTCGCTTCTTTCGCTTTTGCAAGTGCCTCCTCCATACTGGCTTCCTCCTTGGCCAGATCATGCTGCGCGCCTGTCGCAGCCATCTCGTCGGGCGCCTCCGCGCTGGCGTTGTCATCCTTCGGGCTCTCGGCCTCATTGGCGTCCGGTATTGCCTCAGCAACCTCCCCTGCCGGAGCATCTTCTCCATCTAGGGCCACCGGGTCTTCCTTCTCCTCCTCGGCTTCTGCAGATTGCTCGTGCAGGAGAGGCGGCGTAGAAGGAGGCGAGCTGGCGGCTTGCTCCGCTACTCCTTCTAGTGCTGTCCCGCCGGTCTCGAGTGTGGGTAGAATGACCATTTTTGCTTTGGCCGCGTCGGCCGAAAAGTTGGCCGGCAGAGGAGGAGTAGCGGGTCGAGAGCTCATCGCGTACTCCTCTGGGCCACCATCATATTGCCCCTCGAGCTCCTCTTCGACCTCTTCCTCGACTTCCTCCTGGCGCCAAATGGAGGAGAGACCGGCAGCCGGAAGTGGAGGTGTGAGGGGCCGAGATTCGTCCACCGTTGCGGGATGGGGAGACGTAGAAGGTGCGCTTGATGGTTGTCGCCTGACCGGGGAGAAGCGTCCGTTCTTGCGAGACGTGCCGGATAGCGATCCCCCTGCTTCCCGCTCATCCCTTTCGATGCCCCTCTCATCTTCTGCCTCGCCGATCTCCACCGTCTCCTCCTCTTCCTCCGGCGAGTCCGGGACGACACGGCGAACTGCCCTCCGTCTCGCTGGGGAGAGGAGAACCGGCTTCTCCTCCATTTGCGAAGGTCGATCATTGATAGGAAAGGGCGTGAAGACCGGTACCGCTGGAGATATCCTCGTCTTCCCCCTTCCCGCCTTCGCTATTGGCTTGGGCGAGCCATCTGCCTCGTCCTTCACTTCCACCATCTCCTCCTCTTCCTCTTCCTCGGATTCCTGCTTGACCGTCCTCCGCCGCTTGCTACTCCCTGACGCCTTCGGCGCCACACTGCGCTTCGTACTACTCTCCCCCATGGCTCTTCGTCGTGAGCTGCTCGCTGAAGCCCGCTTGATCGAGGGTGGAGGTGGCCGGACCGGGGTCTTGATATACACAGTGTCGTTGGATTCAAGTAACGGATCAGGCGAGGATGACAGATGCCGGATACTATCTAGTGGATCGTCAGAGTCTGACTGATAGCTATGAATGATGTTGTCGAATGAGTTGGCGCTCCTCCTAGCCATCCCGAGCAGGCAGGTAGCATCAGTAGGAGAGCAAAGGTGAAGTCAACTCGCAAGGCTGGACGCGAATTTCCTAATGACTCACAAGGAATGAACGGGGATAGCCGATTAGCTTTGTTGATTAGGAATTGCCCCTTTTAGCTTTCTAATATTCAATAGACCGGCCGGTGTGTGTGCAAAGGCAAAGGCTGCTCGGCTCGGCTTCCAGCTCGACATTTCTTAGCTATCTCTTGTATCTTTGGGCAGCTCACACTCATCCATCATGATCTCCAGCACACTCGCACAACAATCATAAGGCAAATCATCAGCTCCAATGTCAGCCCACCGAATTTTCCGTCCTTCAATACCCCGATCCGACCTATAAAACCGAGAAGTTTCGCATAGATACCGCCGAGCTTCTCGCCGCCTCACACGACAACAATCTATACCCACCGACCCGCCCATAACCCTCCTCTTCATTCCTCCTGTGTAGCCCTAGCCCAAGATGATGTGGCGTTTCAGCTTTGCGTCGACCTCCACGCTGGACAGTCTTCTCGGGCGCGAGACACCGCCCAGCGTAGAGGAGATTATGGATGATAGCGATGTTTTGCAAGAGTGCAAGTCGCAGAACAACAAGTGAGCCAGTCGTACCGGGCTTCTTGGAGCCCTCAGCTGATATGGCTAGACTAGTCAACTTTCTAAGCAAGGATGACTCTATCAAATCCCTTCTCCATTGGGTCGTCTCTGGTTTGGACGAGCTGGACGAGCAGTCCCGACAAGCTGAGCGGACGTGCCTCGCCAAGGCTCGAGGCGAAACGGACACGTATCCGATATTTGGCGGATCCACATCCTCAGAGTCTGGAGCGGAGACCTCGGTTGAACCACTCGAGCCAGCTAAGGTCGCCGAGGACAACCTAGCAGCGGCGCAAGAAGGTTCAGAAGGCGGAGACACGGACCTGTCCGCTGGGAACATGGGGATGCTCAGCTCTGCAGCACCGCAGGAGGGAGAAGAGGATGTCGTGCGGCGTGCCAGGTCAGCTTGGTCCCTCCATTCAACCCATCTAGTCTGACGATTAGGTATCCGACCGTAGCGGCCGAAATTCTCACCTCTGAAATATGGGTCATACCAGAAACGATCCTTCAGAACAAGGACACCCTCCTGCGTCCATTCTGGGACACGGTCATCCCGCCAGTCCCGACAGGGGATGATGAGGTGGAGGCCAACTCAGCAAAGTCGCTGTATGAGACGAGCGAGGGATACCGGGCGAGAGTGGAGTACGGGTCGGACGACGATGATGAGCGGGATAGAAAGAGGGAGATCATCCGGGGATTATGGGTGAAGGTTAATGGGAACCTTCTCACCAAGCGGACACACGAGGTGAGCTGAGTAGTCTATGAAAGCTGGGCAAATAGCTGATTCTCAGATGGTCCGCTTTATCCAGTCAATACCGAACGTCATCCCCCGCCTAATGGCCCAAATACACTCGCCCGCTATCCAGGACATTCTCATCCGCCTCATCTCAGCTGAAGAAGCCGGCGTGACCGGCGTCGTCCAATGGCTGGCCGAAGAAGGCCTCATCAAACGGCTCATCTCCTTCTTATCCCCCCTGCAACCCCCACACATCCATGTCCTCGCTACCGAGCTCCTCAAAAACATCATCACGCTTTGCGCACCTCCTCCGTTCAATCCTCTCGGCGGCAATATGCAGGAGCAGCAGTCCGCTCAGGGCGCTACGAGCGGGACGAGGGATAATCGGATGGTCCGCGAGCTGGTCCGCGAGGAGAGCATCCGGCAGCTCGTGGGATACATGCTCGACCCACTCGAGCTCTCCGATGCGGACTGGCCCGGACTGAACGGAGACGGAACGCCCAATCCCGCCGACCCATTCATCGTCCACCCACTCCCCTCCACCGCCAGTGCCGCTTCGTCCCTCTCGCACATCTCAACCATCTTTGTCGAGCTCATCCGGCGGAACAACTCGGACTTTGCCGAACCGCATCTGTTCCACACGCTGCGGAATCGGTTGATGAACATGCGAATGGAGCAGGGGGCACCATTGGGCCATATGGAGGAAGGAGAGGATGCCGAGGCGCGGGATAGGGCGCGGATGGAGGAGGCCGTCCAGGCGATGGCGGAGGCGATGGGGATTGTGCATCTCCGTTGGGTCTTGAATATCTTGGCCGAGCGATTTGACCGCTTGGACTATCTCTTGAAGAATCCAAGAACACAGGTATGTCTCTCTTTATACGCTGATCGTAAGCTGATTAGCAGAAACACTCCGCTTCTCCATCTTGTCCGCTTCCCCTGACACTAGAGCGTTTCCGCATCGTGGAGCTGTATGCCGAACTCCTCCATTCGTCCAACATGGGCATCCTCCAGCGACCGCTCGGCACCGGTCCCCAATACTCGCCTGACGGTATCCTCATGGGCGGCCTGGCAGGTCTCGAGCTTCTTGGCGAGGCAATCGACGAGGACCGGGATATGCCTAGCGATAATGTGCCGGAAGGGCAGGTGACTCAGGCGCGCGAGCTGCCGGTCAGCAGTAATGCCTCGACGAGCGCCAGTCTGAGCGGGGAGGATCTTGGGTCGGATAGCGAGGACGAAAAGATGTTGGAGGATATCGAGGAGATGGGGACACCAAGCGGGTCGCCTTCTCGGTCGGGGAAGAAGGCGGGTGCGGGAGCCCCGGAACATCAGCCACCTCCTCCGAGCGAGGCAGATGCGGCAATATTGCGGGACGTGATGACCAAGGATCCGATATCGGCGGACACGTCAGATATCGGCGGAGCGTCCAATGTCGCCGTGGCGGATACGACCGCTGCTCCTTCTGCCCAGTCAGACGAGGAGCCAAATACGGCCGTCCCCCGACCCTCATCCGCGGCTTCTGTATCGCCCGTCATCTCGCCCCCCGGTATCCGCCTCAAAGAGGTATACCTAGAACGCCGCATCATCCCTGCACTGATCGACATGTTCTTCGAACACGCATCGAACGACTTCCTGCATCATGTGGTATACGACATGCTGCAGCAGATCCTGAATGGCTCACATGCGCCGGGAACCAATCGGGATCTGCTGGAGGAGATGATGTGCGGAGCGAGGCTGGTCGAGCGGGTACTAGAGGCTCAGCGAAGGAACACCCAGGCTGTGTAGGTTTTTCGTCTAAAGGTTCGAGCCTAGCTGACAAGGCAGTACCGTAGAGAAAGGCCCAAGAATACCATACATGGGCCACATCATCCTGATCGCCGAGGAAATCGTCAAGTTCTTGGCCACCAGTAATCAGAAAGACCTCATCGCCACCGTCCTGCCGTTCGTGCCTCAGCCAGCATGGGACGAGTTCGTCGCTGGTCAACTGCAAGAGACACGCGCGCGCGATACTCAGCCGCTAGCGGGCGGGAAGCCACTCATGGGGACCGCGGCGGGCGGGGACGGATCGGGCAGTAAATCTGAGGACGAGGAGTCGGGTTCGGATTCGGATGATGATGATGGTAATGGACAGCTGGGCGGCTTTGGGACATTCGGGGAACCGTTGCAGAGGACCAAAGCGGCGGAGGGATATGCGATGCGGGATAGGCAGGGGAGTGGGAGTGAGGACGACGGAAGTGAGGATGAGACCAACGAGCGGGTACGTGATGTGTCGGGAGGTTTGATGTCGGAGACAGCTGACTGGTTAGTATTGGCGTAATACGGCCGGACTGCGGAGGAATGTTGACTCCGAAAGCGATGATGATGACGATGCGGATTGGTTGCGCCCGACAGACGAATTTGGCGTGAGTAGAATATTCACCCTCAAATGATGGGATGTAGCTGATAGATATAGGGTCTTCAGTCCGGTCAGCGAGCTCAACCGGACGACTTTGACGATGTGAGTTGGCAGTTGCGTCACTCCAGGCGTACGTTTGCTGATTTCAGGATGACACCTGGGGCTCCTTCTCCTCTGCTGGCGCCAACAATGCCGCCGAGAACCCTTTCGGAGACGACAACTTTGCACCCTCCGTCACTGCCGCATCATCCTCTTCCTCCGCCCCATCTCAAGATCTCGGTCTCACCCCTGCTCAATGGTTCGATCGCGAGTTCTCCTCGGCGTGGGACGACGACAGCGGGCCTGGACCTGCTATCGTCGTCCCCGCTGGGGCGGACGAGGAGGACGATGACGAGGCGGAGGCCGAGATGCCCAGAACGCCGGGCTCCACGTGGAGCTTCACCGGAGATGAAGGGGAAGGAGAGGACCTGCCGGCTGCTGTCAGCCCGGTCATTGGCGAGGACGGAGCACCTGGCGATAGCGCCACGGACGCGACAGTAGGAGATCTGTCCGGCGGCGTACAGGGCCTGGGGATATCAGACGCCACATCAACGACACCACCGATTGCTATCCCCTCTTCATCGAGAGCCTTAGATACAGCATCCTCCGACACCCTCTCCACCTCGCCAAATGCGCCCATCCCGGACAGGAATCCACCTTCTGATCCACCCGCATCCCCCAAACCCCATCGATCGTCCAAACCACCCCCTCCGCCGCCCTCTCCACGTCGGAAACGCGCACCAAGCGTGACTGGTCCCAATGCCCCCGCACTCGGTGTGTCCCCGCCTGACGCATCTCTCGGCGCCGCGGCGAGTAAGGAAGAGCCGCTGGGCCCGGGCGTAGGGGCAGATGTGGAAGTGACGGATGATGGCATGTTGCGGCGCGAGGTGGATGGGAAAGAGGTGGTTGTGCCAAAGGATGAGGTGGTCATGGGGGTGGAAGAAGAGGCGAAGGGGTTGTAATGGAGAGGGATGAGGAAATCAGGAATGGGATACAGCTCTATATACATGAGGAGGAATGAGATAGAGCATAGAAGAGTATCGCACGTCCCGTCAGGGGGTTCGCCGGGCATTGCGGGTGTCGCTCGGTTGGTGAAAAGGCTGGTCACTCACTTGGACTCAACTCAGCTGTCCGCAGCGCGCGGATTCTGGTTGTTTACGGGACAAAAGGACGCAAAAAGGCAAAAACAAAGATACACTGCAAGGGACTCGAACCCTTGGCAGGAGCATTCTACACCTCTTCGATGTCCATATTAAATGGGAAGCTCCTATGTTACCCCTACACCAGCAGTGTGATCTGCTGAAAATGCCTGGTTTGGCATTTTTCATAAACACAAACCACGCTCATGCACCCTGCGTTTCGTCTAGACCAGCCCTCCTGCTGTTACTATGAGGGCACCCTCACCCCCTCTGTTGATATCAAAGTGGGTGGAGGTTCCCCATTGCCTGACTAGTACTAATCGTGGTGTACCTGTTTCACTATTGCGTTGAGAGGCACAGCTGATAGCCTCATGATTCCGATGCGGCATGTCCCAGCTTCAGCCCGCGGCAACACACGCGCTCGATCGATCGAACGCAGACGGCGCCTGCGAGCAGTGGACTCTAGCCGGTCCTTGTAGAAGCATGCAAATGGCCCTGTCGCTAACGCTATCCTCACTGCATAGAAGCAGCTCCGAACTCCCTCTCCCGTTTTCCCGCACTGACCTCCCGTCGCTCCCGCATGTCCGCTTTGGGTAATTCCGGTATGGTTTCGGCGATGATCTTTACGGCACCTTCCCGGTTTCATGATCTCAGCGGCTTTTTCTGCCGTTTGCCTCCCGTCGTCACCTCTTTTTGCTTGCTTTCGATGGTCTGCGGGAGACGGGATAGACAGGCCGACTGCTATGGCCAATATCGATGTTGCAGCTACTCAGTTCCTAATCACGGGTGCCTTCGGTGACGGGTAAACTAATGTCCCTCACAGCCACCCGGTTCGACCAGTGACCGTCCGAGACACCTTTTCGCCGAGTCTCGGTCAGACTGATGTCCTACTCAGAACTCGTTGGTACCTGATCATCCCACAATCTTCCTCTCCCAGCTCCGAGTTGGCCCTCCCGCAACTGCTCCCTATGCTCGGCGCCAATCCGTCAACTCCTTCGCCGGTGTCACCACCACATCGCTCATAACGGTCATCTACTTCATTCATCCATCCCTATCATCCTCATCCGTGTCTCATCTTTGCGCCATCACTCCCTACACCTAACCCTGCACTTCCCTAGGTCCTATCCTCAGTCGCTGGTAGCCGACACCAACACCGCCCTCAGCCATCGGGAAGTGGGATTTCCTAGGTCCACCTCACCGCGGGATTCGAGACATCTTCATTGTGCCCGACCTATAATACGCTAGCGCTCTTCGCCCATCATGGTCGGCTCATCCTCTACCATCCTCTCCAACTCTGCATTCGCATCTCTCAACCTCTTCCCAGCGACACCGACCCACATCCCCTCTCGGTACACCCCTTCGCTTACTCCTACTCCCTCCTCCCGACCTAGCATCCGCGATCGGGCATCCTCAAGGTCCAGCAAACCTCCTCCCATCATCCCCATTCGCCACTCCTCGATCATTTCGGATTGGACTTCCCCCTCCACTCCCGATCTCAGCTACTACCTCGAGCCATCCCCATCATCCCTTCCCAGTCCAGCCTTTAGTGTGGAGTCCAACCAGCCTCTGACCCCCACCACTCCCACTTGCACATCCAAGCCCGACTCCCCCTCCTCCGCTCGTAGCCGTCGCTCGTTCCGCTCCTCCATCATGGCTCTTCGGTCCTTCAGCGTGGTCGACCTCGGCTCACCCGTCGTCATCTCCGGCGAGCATGATGCTGAAGCCAAGCCCGGAAGCGTGCACGTAGGCAAGGAGCGCTTGGTGAACTGGGCTCGACCGTTCCAGGGTAGCACTACGGAGATCAACAGTGAGTCTAGAGTATCAGCCCGGCTTGAGCTCAGCTGATCGTCAGTTCAAATCTTCGGACAATCTGCGCAGCGCGCTCGTCGGATGAAGAAGTCTCCCACTACCGACTCGTTCGACCTCGCTTATCCCTCCCCCACTCCTTCCTCCTCCGACGATGAGCCCCTCCCCACCACTCCCGCTGGGAATGACGTCGTGCCCAGCCGCTCTTGGTTGGCCTCGTCCGGTCTCACCGGTCTCGGTGTCAAGGGTATCAAGGACTTTGACGCCTACGAGGGGGACAATCTCGACTCCACCCTCCCCTCCATCACCGAGGACCTCTTGCAACAACTCCACCTCGGCGATGCCATCGGCGCGTCCTCATCTTCCAGCAATCAATCCTCCTCCAGCGCCACTCCCATTGAGCTCAATTCTCCGGTCTTTGAGTCCGCTTTCCCCCCGCCGACCATCGCCTACAGACGGCAAGGTGTCACTCCCACCCGCCTCCTCACATCATCTCAGTCCCTCGGCTCTCTCGCGTCCCCATCCAACCTCGCCGAGCTGCGCCAGCTCCAACAAGCTGCTGTCGACATGGAGTACGAGGCGCGTCGGCCGTTCAAGCTGAACCTGCCTCAGGAGCGCGAGAAGCGGATTAGGCGGAAGGCAGTACCCGTCGTCGTTGCGGCGGACATCTCCTCGCAGCAGCCGGTGGCTAGCTCCTCCCGGCTGTTTACGCTGGAGGTCGCCTCGGTCGAGATTTCCCGCTCCAACTCGGGCTCGTCCTCCTCATCTGGAAACCGGGCGGACGAGTCCGGCTCGGAGGCTGCAACCGTATCGGCATCACCGCGGGTGATGATCGTCAGCGAGCCGGTCACTCCTCTTCGGAGTCCCTCTACGCCCTCCACCGCGCGCGAAACTCCCATGCGCCGGTTCTACGGTAACGCCAAAGCCACCATGTCGATGATAGACGTCTCCCCTCGTCTCGCCTCCCTCCCCATCTTCGTCCCTCCTCGCTCGGCGTCCAAGTCGCCAGCACACCAGCGCTCCGCGTCCGACTCACCCGCTTCTTCGGTTTCCAGTGCTCGCAAGAACAGCAGCGATGCTTCGTCTGACTCTGGCGAGTCGTGGGACCAGCCCGTCACGCCCAGCTCGTTCAACTCTGCTCGTATCGGCGGGAACAGTTTTCAATTCGGTCCCTCGCCACCTATCAAGTCCAAGAAGGCGGGAGGGATCTACGGCAACAAGTCGGCGTTCCTTAGTCAGCTGGATCTGGGATTGAAGCGGGTGATGGACAGGAAGGGGGAGACAGATGAGGAGGGGAAGAAGCACAAGAGGGGTCTGAGCAGGTTCCTGGGGATGAAGGCTTGAGTGGTTCGGTTCGCATTGGGGAAGCCTTGTCATACATCTATAGTTTACGCTCTCTTGTACACGATCTTGTTCGTCCATCTTATACGTGTAGAGGAATGATATCTTCATACCATGCTCTGGCAGCTCGAACTGGATCCCTGTTGCATCTGGTCTACGACTGAAGAAATGTCCTGAATCCCAATCAGGTCGACACCAGGTCGCCTGCTACTTTCTACTTTTACTGCTATTACATCGCCAGTCCGACCTCCAGGGCCGACTCTGCCAGATATTCCTCTTCCCTGCACAACGCCGCCACTCCCCCCTGCACAGGCTTCAAGCATACTATGCTCGCCATGTATGGATCGTCATCGCTCGCTTCGCTCCCACACGAGATGCTACTCCGCATGCTATCCCTCCATCCCCCTACGTCCTTCACCAGCGCCGTTTGGGTCTCGTCAGACAGTAGCGAGCTCACACTGTCCGACCGGGGCGGTGAAGGAATGATGAATTCGGTGTGCGAGTGACTCGAGTGACTAGAGTTGGAGAATGTGCCCGAGGTGGACGAGTTGGGAGCCGCCCGAGCAGTGGTGTAGAATGCGACCCGGTGATTGATCCGTGCTGGTGCAGACTGCATGTCTGGCCCGGCCGACTCGCGGGTTGTATACGTGAGGTCCAGAGCTGGAGGTGGACCTTTTCGCCGAGGAGAGAGGGGAGCGGTGATGGATGCGGACGGAGGAAGCGAGAGGCCGAGTCCCAGACCCGGATTTGACTGCTTGCTCACCTTGTCCATGCGCGGCATGGACGAAGTGGGCGGCATAGAGGGATCAGAGAGGGACGCGAGCATCGAGCCGAGCGCCTCTTCGACATCCGAGTAGGAGGCGAGGGAGGAGGTAGATGCGGAAGACCGGAGGGAGGTCTGGGATGCCGAAGAGGGAAGGGACCGCTCCGAATCGAGCGAGGGGAGTGAGGGGTACGATTCGAAAGGCGGCGAAGGGAGTGGTTCTTGTGGTGGGATTTGAGGGTTGGAGAGGAGGGGTGCCGTGTAGCTAGCGGATTGGCGTTGGGCGTTCAGCGAGTAAGGAAGGGATGAGATGGAGCTGCCCGATTCCATGGACGGGAGCGAGACGTTCATGTCGAAGGGCGAGAACTCGAGGTCCGCGATGGCAGGCAACGAGTCGCTCCCTGTTATCCCTTCCTCAATAGTCTCCATTCCCCTCTGTATCATGGGCGCGGACGCCGACGTCTCCAGTGGGATATCCACCATATCGTCCAGTGGGAACGCCCTTTCCAGCGCCGGTCCCGACGCGCTCCGCCGCATAGGCCACTCATCCCCCATCGTCTGCGGCGTCGCTGGAATGATGTTGAACGTGGGCAGATGCTCATCGTCCTCCTCTTCCCCCGCGTACCCCTTTGGTGTCCTATCCCCTAGAGCCATGACATACCGCCCCGGCGCGCTCGGCGTCTCGAACAGACTCGAGATCCGCGGTGGACGAGCTGCGAGGTTCTCCGCGCCTCGGAACTCGCCTAGTGGACTGACGCGCCGTTCCGATGTAGGCCGGTAGGGGCTTGGTGGTGGTGCTGCACGAGCGTGCATGTTTGACACGTATGCCGCGGGAGGCGTCGTGACGTGCGCAGCGGCTGCGAGAGGAGGAGTAGAGAGGGGTCCGGATTGACGGAATGGGCCAGGTGGTATGCGCGCGCCGAAAGAGGTAGCGGACGGGGAGGTTGGACGGGACGATCGACGAGGTGCTTGGATCCTCTGGATCGCGGGGGAAGCAGTAGCGGTAGGGGGAGGAGTGGTCATCATGATCGTGTGAGGGCGCGCTGCGAGGTTCGACGGACCAGCGGTAGGAGACGGCCTGGTATATTGGGGACTCTGCTGCGGCTGGACTTGGGTGGACGCGGCACCCGCGAAGCGGATGCTGGGGCCGCCGCGCTGGTCCGAGGCGGCTTTGAGGATGGGCTGTGGGCGTGGGCTGTCCATGCTCACTCCCCGCGCAGGCAGAGTAGGCGACTGTGGCTCGACGGCCTTCTTTTTCCAGAACATGACGAGTGAGGTAGAGCTGCTGGTCAGCAAAGATCGCGTGGTAGACTGGACTAGACGTACAAATTATTGGTGGTTGTATACCCGTGTGGAGATAGGCACTGATAGATGGACCGGGGTTGAATTACGGTGAAGGTTTGCGAGCAGACAGGACGTGTAATGAGCGTGTATGAAAAAGAGTGTGTGGGTGCAAAGCGTTGTTGTTGACGAAGGAGGGATGCGCGAGGTGTGGAAAGACCCGTCAAGCCCGGTTGAATGGTATGGTACGGAGGGGACGGGGCTGGTAGAGAGGCAAGATGTCTGACTGCAGCGAGAAGGATCGGCGAGGGCCGTAAAGCTGAACAAACAAAGGTCGAGTAAGGGTCGGAGAGATGTCAGGAACGAGGCTTAGAGCCGAGGTGACAGCAGGAGGATCGGGATCTTGGCGGTGCCCGGTGGAGACGCGAAGATGTCAAGCCTCAAGGTGTGTTGCAGAGTTCGCCACGCGCTCTTCTCACAGGCTAGTCCGCACCCTGCGAAGCCCTGCTAGTTCCGCAGCAGCACCTGCCCGCATGGCGTCCGGCGAGCCAACAATCCAAGCATACCGCACCATCGCGACCACAACATCAGTCACGCGTTCACCTAGTCCCCCTCCTCTTGTGCAACAAATTAAAAGTCACTCGCGCAAAGATCCGGCACGAAAGAGTAACGCCGTCGTCACGCGTCTCGAGATCGCCGTTGGTGTTCCTGAAACACGCTCAGCCCTGGAAATGCCGGCACCGTCACATTCCGGGTGTAAACTATAATTCCTGTTCCTGGATGTGGCACTGTAATTCAGTTACTCTCACTCTGCTGTCGGGTAGGCCTTCTTCTTTCTTGGCTTCTGCTTGCCTTCTCGCTTGGCTACCTGTCTAGCCAGTCTTAGTCCGCACCTGAGTATCAGCATGTACACGCAAATGGATGTCTACAGAGAGACTCACGCATTGCACAGCTCCTTCGTCCCGCTCTCGCTCCGCCTCCACTCTGGACTCTCCCTCGTTCCGCAGGCGATACAGCACTCCACGTCCCCAGGCGGGCGAATGAGCGGCCGAGAGGGAGGCGGCGGGAGCGGTGGTTCTGACTCTCCTCCGCGATGATGGGATATATTGGGCGGTAGAGGTGGGAATTGATGTGCTGACGGGGGCGATATGAGGGGATGTTGCTGATGTATCGGATGTGAACTCGTGCTGGGGATTTGATAGGGTGAGTCAGAAAGGGAGTGAGGTGGTGGTGCGTGCGGTCCCGACTGTGACCGCGAATGTGGTGTTGGCTGGGCGTAGGGCGAGAATCGATGCGCGTGGTCAGGTGGGCTTTGAATGGGGCCCGGACCGGATGTCGCCCGATTTGGCATGGGTGGTGGATGAGGATAGAAGGACTGGGGGCGATAGCCGTTCTCGTCTCGTGGTGGCCATTCAGGCTGGCCGAGAGGACCGCGGGGAAGAGGAGGGTAGGTAGGCGAGGAACTATGTGTATGTGGTGGCGGCGGGGTAGGATACAGCGATGGACCTGATCCAGGTACAGTCTGATGTGCCAGCTGAGGTGTCACATACGCCGAAGGCGGTTGATGTTGCGGCGGTTGCCGTGGTTGTTGCTGTTGCTCCGCAAAGACGTCCGAGTCTGTCGCTGACGAGGCTGACGGTCCCGCTTCCATCGCCGTCCCCATCCCCATCCCGATTCCGGCGCCAGCGCCAGCGTCTGTGTCCCCCGCCGCCCAGTCCAGCTGGCCATACATCCGCTGCTGCAATGACGCAGCCGCTTGGTGCTCTTCCCGCTCCGGCAGCTCCATTATCCTTGTCGTCTGAAAGCAGGCGAAGATGACGTTCCCATAAGGTATGAATGTACTCGCGACGAGTCGATAGAAGCCCTCATTTGTCAAGCTGTGTTGAGCGCCGAAACGGGTCGTGCACGTCGTTCTGATATTGCCGGGGACGTCGGGGCGGACGATACTGTCCATGTCGACGCCGCGCATGAGCTCCGAGTAGTCCTCGGCGTTGTAGAGGCCGTCAAACCGGCCGAATGAGCCCGGTGGGCGAGCGGGCGGCCACGAGCAGAGGAGGGATCCGGGTGACTCGGGCGTTGATGGGGAGTGGAGTTGGAAGACTCGAGTAGGAGGGACGCGTGATGGGGGAGGAGGGCCGATGGTCTGATAGATGTCTTGACCGAGCGCGGCGACTTGCTGTAGTGTCAGTGTATCCTTCAGCTCATCCCTCGTCAACATGGCAGACTTACTTCATCATCGATATTTGCCGTCCCGCAGAAATTGGACCACCCTTCCGCTCGTCTACTGGGGTCGTTGTTCGCCACGGGATCCAGATCGATAATGGCGTGGAAGAAAGCTAGAAGCATCCCATCCGCCACCTGCTTAGTCAGCTCCTCGCTCCTTCTGCCAATCCGTAATATGACCCACCCAGTTCAACACCAAATCCAGCACCAGATACTCATCATCCACGACGAGCTTGCTCCATTCGAATTCAGGATACTCGATATCCTCGGGTGGACAGCCAAGGATCATCTTTAATCGAGATAGCCTAGCGAAACGGACCCTGGTCTGTCAGCTTGATAATCCCTCAGGTCCATGTTGCAGTGCCATCAACGCACCGAGTTACACTCCCCTGCAGATCATCCGCCGAGATGGCAGACATCAAGTCTTGCCTCGCCTCTACATGGTCAGCTCTAGTCTACGGTCCGGCAAAAGGGAAACAGATGGATAAACGCACGTTCCCGCTCATGTGGATGTATAAACTCAATAACACCCCTCCCCATCAGGCTCATCTTCTGCTTGGCGAGGTGTGCGCCCAGTACCGGGTCCGGATGGACAAAGACCAGTTCGAGCTTCGAGCCGGGTACGTCTGGCCGGGGGTACACCGGGCGGAGGACGGCCCAGTAACATCGTACACCGCCGACTCGCTAATATCGTCAGTAACCTTCCCAGCTTTGGGGGTTGCTTATCGATAAGATATAGATATGGGTAGGGGATAGTTTCGATCAAGGCACGACCGCCGGAGCAAGAGCAAGGACAAGGATGTGAAACAAGGTCCAAGCTATATAGCCCCTTGACTTGACTCACAGGCACAGCCGTAGCGCTACTCGCGGTACTTTCGACGCTAGCGCTAGTCGTGGACCGAGTCGATCCTCTCCGGTCCTCCGCCGTCTCTGCTGCCGCTGTCTCACCCTCAACAGCATTGGACTGTGCCATCCCCAGGAATGTGTGTTGAGATGTGATCGGGTTATGCGTATGTGATACTGAGACCCAAGCGCTAGCCTTATCGTAAGTTTGTGTCAAAAGAAGGACGATATAGAATGTCGATCAAGGAGTGATCGAAGACGATCGAACGAGACGCGCGCTTCGGTTTGGCTTTTCGCCGCTCGGGACCTGGATCCTGGACAGAGATCTCCGGTACCGGCAGAGGTCAGGACTGGACTGGGGTAGTCACTGCATATGCATGGCATACTGCATGGAGAACACAGGTCGAGAGGCTATGCATGCATAGCGACCTTGATTGACCCCTCGACCGCCCGGAAAACCTCCACCAAATCCCCCCCTTCCCCGACCTTCTCCAGCGCGGATGCCACCTCCGCCTCCACGCCCTCGGGAGCACCCTGCCCTAGTATCTCATGCGTCACCGAAAAGCGCTCTGGATCTTCAAGGCCGAGAGAGACGCGAAGACGTAGCGCCAGGCCCGGCTGATCAGTGTGTGGGAGTGGTGATTCCAGGATTATGCCGTCGGGTACTTGGGAGGCGGTGATGGGTATGGCGGTTGGCTCTGCGTCTGTCAGCTCCGCTCCATTATGGTGGGCTAGAGAGAGAGACTTGCCAGCGAGCAAGTCTTCCATATCTTCGCCCTCGTCGTCCCTAGCCATGCCCCCCTCGACCGGATCTAACACGGCCTGCGCGTTGAAGATACGCAAGAACATCCTGTTCAGCTGGATCTGTCGCCTCAGAGCCTTAGATATCAGCTTCATGCTCAACCATCCTCGAGCTCAGCAGCTAGCAGCTGGTGTGTACTCACATCAAATACACGCACCAGCTCCTCGTCGTTCGCAGACACACCCAGCCGGCCGACAAGGTACCCGTCCGGCCCTGGACCCGCTGAGGACCAATGCTGATCCAGCGCTCTTGTAGGATCGACGGTCTGAGGGTGAGGCTGATGTATGAATGTCGACTGGTATGGGAAGGGATTGACCGCCGATTGTGGCGAACCAGCGACCGAGACTGGCGTATACTGCCGATGTAAGCTATGGCCTCAAGTCTGAGTCTGAGGGGCACAAGCTAGCTAGCTCACGAGCAGATTCTCCACCTTGATAGCTCCGTTCCACGGATCACTCGTCCCCGCTGGTCCGCCGAGCCAGTTTTTCCTTACCACTACTCCGCTCGAAGCGGATCCAGGGAGAACCTCGAGCAACCATTTCGTAGCCGGACCTCCAGACGCCTCTTCGCCAGGCTGAATGACCTCGAATGGTATTGGGACGTCCTCGCTTGGCTGGGCGGGGCGGAAGCGGAGTATCGGATTCTGCGCAGGAGTGTCGGTTTTGCTCGGTGGGAATAGGCAAAACGAGGGGCAGATGGTCCGTTCCGGCGCAGAGTAAATGGGTCGTCTGCCGAGTCAGCTCTCTATTTTCCACCGAAAATCAGTGGTTGGATAAGACTCACTCCCCACTCTTCAGCCTCTCCACCCTCTTTGCCACCTCCTCTAGCCCCGCAAACCCTGCTTCTTCCCCCTCCACGCCCGATCCCTGCTCTCCAGATCCAGCTCCAGCCTCCACCTGCACACCGCCATCTAACGCCTTCATCTCCCCCAACAACCCCTCCATCCGCCTTACGCACCGCTCCAGCCTCTTCCCCCTCTCCCCCTTCTCCCTCAGGCCGTAGACCACACTGTTCCACTCTTCGAGGTACGCCTCGACCGCGCTGCGCAGGACGCCGGCGATATACTCGCTGGCCTCCATGCCCCTCGAGGGGGTCACGTAGCTTACGGCGATCTTGGAGAGCCGCACGCTGCCCGCTTCGCCTCCATCACCACCGCCACGGGTCGTGGTTGGGGTAGGTGTAGGAGCAGCGCTCGATCCAGCGCCTCCAGCCCCAGCCCCTCCATCATCCTCATCCGCCGCTCCGTCCGTCTCGAGGTCGATATCCACGACGAAGCAGTTCCCCGCTAGTGTAAGCGTAGCTTTAAGAAGGCCGAACTGCGAGTCCTCGTGGTATGTTTCTATCCCGAGTGATTCCGCCAGGCGAGGGAGGAGCTGCACGGGAGGAAGAGAGATCCGGGATGACGGGAGCTGAGCCAGGGTGGAAGTCGTCGGGCGGAGACATGCTGGATTGAGGGCGATGGACAAAGGTAAGAGTACACTCTGATGCGTAACTCTATATAGCGAGTCAGCCTCGTTCTCGCCTTGGAGTGAGAAGAGAAACGTACACCTCTTTCAGAGCTCTCGAGAGCTTGCCCCAGTCCCCTTCCCTAGCTACCAACCTCTCTTTCGCCTGCTCCACGCAGACACGCATTGCCCGAACAGCTTCCAATTGGCTCTCCACCGACTGCAAAGTGGAGGCTTTGCCTTTGCCCTTGTCTTTCCATCCTGCGGTGCCCCGATTCCCCGGGAGAGGGGCGTAAGGGTGCAGGTATGCCGGGGGGAGGGCGAGGGCGGGGTTGGTCAGGTATTGGAGGTGAGTCAGAAGTGTGGGTGGGGGCTGTCTGGAGGGGCCGGCGGTAGCCGTCGATTGAGCCATCGTAGTACAGCTCTGCGAAGCCTGTGGGGCCGACTTCGCCGGCTTGTGTATGATGGTAGAGGTGAAAGACAGTCAAGAGCTGATTCTGGCCAAAGATCTGAAGCTGAGCCGCTGAGTTCCTCGGCGGCATCCGTGCGCAGGTCAAGCTTCAAGCCTCGCCTAGCCAGGCCTAGCCCAGCCTCGCCGATCAGCGCTCAGAAGGGTCCACCCAGTACCTACAGCGCGCAGCGCTTGGAGGACCAGGGCATACGAAGGCATGGACTGTTACATGTGTTGAGCGCTACAAACCTTGTGTAAACTACCCGTCAACTAAAATATATCGCCCAAAAGTGTTCATGTCTACTTCCTGCCATCGCATCTCTCTGACACTCTGACACCCTGGTTCCCCGTCCTACTCAAAGTTCCCGCCCAGGCCATTCACCAGCCCCCCTACGAGACTCCTCTTGATACTCATCCCCTCCCTATACCTGCACAATATCCACTGTCCCTGCCCCCTACTATGCGCCGCCCGGATGACCAGCTCCGCCGCCATCCTCCCCGTATTGATCCTATTCTCTCCATCATTATCCGTGCCCGGATCCAGCTGATTCCGGAGTGCGCGCCAACTATCATCCAGGAGGAGATAGTCGCTGTCCGAGAGGGCGGTAAGGGAGTCGGGGTGGGCGCCGCCAAAGGAACAGGGGAAGGACTGGCATAGCCTCGTCGCGAAGATAAGGAGACCCGGGTCGTTGACGACGTGCGAGTCGGAGAGGTGGCAGCATTGTTTGAGACGCGTGAGGAGTTCTGGTTGCGCCGCGGTAGTGTGGGAAATGTGGGAATTGTGGGAAGTGTGAGAAGTAACGGGTGGGGAGAGGGGGGAGGAGTGAGAGGGACCGCCGAGCGGGTGAGAGTGCGAGTGCGAGTCGTGGTGGTGTAAATGGGTATCGTGAGAGTGTTGACGCGGCATAGGGGGTAATTGATGCGGGTGCGGCTGGGGTGGTTCCTCGTACAGATTGAACATATTGGAGAAGTTGGGGGTACCGCCAGCGGATGGTTTGAATATGGCCGATTCAAAGTCGTTGAATGGGTTGTCGGGGGATAAGGGACCGTCAAAGGGGAGAGGGAGTTGATAGTTGTATTGCCCGTCCGGTGGGTTCTGGAACAGCGGGAGAGGGAGACCCGGGTTTTGCGGGAGGGGCGGTAATGAGGGTACCCCGTTGTGCTTTGGCGAGATGGTAGATGTGTCCCTCGCTGTCCTCCTTGATCCGCCTCCTCCGCCACCCTCGTGCTCATCCCCTCCATCTCCGTCTAGATCGTGATCCGACGCCAGCTCCATATCCGCCTTATCATTGGGATCACTTGGCAGTCCCAATTCCTTATTCTGCTTTTCGCGCGCCCGCGCAGCCTCCCGCCTCGCCCTCACGCGCTCCGACATCGGCACCCCTCCTTCTCTCAACGACTTGCCACGCCCAGTGGGCCCAGTCCCGATCTTGGGTCGATCCGCCTCGGGGATATTGAGCAACCGTCGTAATTGACTATTCTCCGCTTCGAGCGCGTTGATCCGTTCTTCGAGTGAAGCGAGATGTTCTGCGCGACGAAGACGGAACGCGCGTTGAACTTCACGCGCGCGGGAGGGAGGGAGGTGATCGTTGGGTTTCCGACCGCGAGGCTCGTGCCGGTCCTACCTTGTCAGCGCGGTGCACGAGCGGGAGCGGGATTAGAAGGGGGGAAGAAGGGTGGGAGGGTGACATACCTTGTGAGGACCGGCCGGGGCGGAAGATGAACCGAGGGGCGTCGACATGCCCGAGTCTGACATGCTTTGGCTCTGTCTGGCCCTTGTCTGTCTGAGCTGTCTCTTGTGTCGATAGAAGGAGTGGGGATAGATAAGATAGTGGGTATTGACAATAGTGAGTGGTGGTGTGCAAGAGGTGAGCTGTGATTTGACCTGTGTTGCAAAAAAGCGGCTCTGCGACGGCGAGCTAACGGGACGGAACCTATTTTTGGATCATCTGTCCGGCACTCGCCGCTTTTACTTCCGGTGTTGACATGACCCCTTTACGGTACTTTCAAGGGGTAAATCTGAAACGCACTAAGAGAAACTGGGGTTGTCGTTTGGGATGAGCTCGGTCATCTCGAGCACTGGGAACAAGTTGTGGAGCAACAAAGTCATAGCAGCGACCATCAAGAAAGAGTCCAGACACAAAGGTCAATCTCACGTTGACACTACATACAACTCAGGCAGTCTCATCCTTGCTCAACGAACAGAGCTCAACCTTCTGCGCATCGCTCAACTTGCTTCACTCGTCGCGGAGCAACCTCCCTGCGTCGAAACAGGTCCGAGCGCCCCTATACCCCAGCTTTAGCGTCAAACCTTATCAACAACATCGACATCTCCACTCCACACTTTGGCGTCTTGCCTCCGCCGCCGAGGTCCCACTTCCATCACCTGACATCCTTCACCACTTCTCGCCCTTACCACGCAGCGTTTCACTCTCACTGGCTCGACTTCCTTTGATCCCCCATCTCCCGTTCACTCATCGTTGAATATCTCTCTCAACCTCCCATCACCCTCGGACCAATTCGCTTCTCTCCTTGAGCCAACCAAAACTGTCTCACTACTCGTAGACATACCACCCATCCCCGCCTCACTCGGGTCTTTTCCAAGACAAGAACCGGACTTCCAGGCCCATTCACAGCCCCGTCGAGGACTTCGCCGCTGGCCGGCCTAATCTCAACTCCGAGTCAAACAACCCCCAAACTCCTCCTTGGCTACTACGACAACCCGTCATCCACATTCCCAATCCATCCCATATCTACGCTCTCACTCTCTCGTCAACAGTATCATCAGCCAACATGCGTCCCGTCATTGTTCTATCGATGATCCTTCCGCTCGTACTGGCGCACACATCAGGGATGGACCGGCGCACCAGGCATCCGGATGCCAAGAGGCAGCTCCTAGGTGGCGGCGAGGAAGACCCAGATACAGCTGTAAGTTCACTTTATACCCTGCTAGTTTGTGGATCCGGGCCGACCATGCTAGCTCCCAGAACCAGTAGAGCCGGATCTGACACCTCAGTCGACATCATCCTTTGCGGTCGTTGCTCCTCCTCGGTCTACCACGCCTCCCGTTGTCGCCACGTCAACGCCGGTTGGGACGACGGCCCGCCCTACATCCTCCAGGAGTAGCGTGCTGCCAACTAGCGTAATCGGGACGAGTAGTGCGGTGTCGCCTACTGGGGCGGCGGTATCAGGGTCGGGGTCGTTGAGTGGGAGTGCGTCAGCGTCGAGCGTGTCTGGGTCGCTGAGCGGTATGTCCTCTTCTCCGCTGGAGTATGCAGCAGCTGACTATCAAGGCTCAATGTCTGCGAGTGCAAACGCAACATCATCCGCCTCGTCCTCCGCAGCTGCCGCTTCTTCATCCGCCTCATCATCCATGTCCGTGTCTCAGTACGTTCCCACTCCCCACCCTCGCTTCTCTGACCTTTGCTGATCACCAGAATCCTCCACACGTCGGTAGACGAAGGCGGCCGCGTCGTCATCGTCACGCAATATTACACTCCCTCCGCCTCCCCCGTCTCGTCCGCCGCAGCCGCAGCTTCCTCTTCCTCCCCACCCACGACCGACGCCCCCGCGCTGTCCATCCCCGCCATCATCGGTATCTCGGTCGCTGTCGGTGTGGTCATTCTCGGCCTGATCGGATGTGCTGTGTGGCGGATGAAGAGGCGCGGGAGCGATGAGGACGAGGCGATCCGATGGCCGGAACTCAATAGGCACGGCGATAGCGATACGCATCACGCCCTTCCTGCTCGCGCTACAGGCAAACACGGGATCGAGACCGATGCTCTCGTACGTCTACTGTTTCCGCTCCACGTCTCGAGCTGTACTGACCAACAGGAACGTTCCCTCTCCAACTCGTCCGATGTCTACATGTCCCAAACACACCACGCCCGACCCCCATCCATGCCCATGGCGCTCAACGGCTCCAACTTCGGCGCGACCTCTGCCCTCGACTACGACTACGCCGAGAAGGACCTCACGCCCAATCCGTCCCCGCCCGTCACTCACGCCGTGGGGTACGACTATGGCTACCCCGCATATCCGGTTCATCCCGCTGGCGTGCATGGTGTTGCGGATGGGTATGAGCACGAGGACTATGCGAACCTTCCACCTCCGATGGGGACGCAGTCAAACACTACTCCTGCGGGATTGTATGAGAGCGATTCGGAGGGAGATCATTTGGGTGCAGGGGGTGCGAAAGTAGGGGCCGGGGCGCCGCCGGTTTATAGGGGCTAGGCTAAGCTGGGTTAGCTCGACCTTTGTTAGATTGTGATTATTCTTCATGCGTCAGGATTCGGAGTGGACGATGTATAGATATATATTACCCTTGATGGGCTACAGCTGCGTGTTTAGACGTTCGAAAGAGACCCTTATAGCGCACCGGCCTGGCCAAGCAGGACAGCCCCGGCTTCCGACGGAACGCGACGCGCTTCACTTGCTCGCGTTCGCGCGCCGCCGACCTGACCGCAACTTCTTGCTCCTCTAACATACCTTCTTCTTCTTCCTTGTCACAGTACCTCTCGCCCTTCAGTCCAGCTCACGCACAATGACGACGGCGGGCTCGTCCTCCAGCGCCAAAGCCCGAGTGGCTATCGGCAAGAATATCAATGTGGAGACGTACGAGATGCCATGGTATGTCCCTGTCCATTACTCCATGTTCCACGGGGAAGAAGTGATCCTGCCTCCATGAGCTACATCACGGATATGAGACTGATGGGTCAGGGTGGAGAAGTATCGTCCGCTATTACTGGACGATATAGTCGGCAACTCGGATACAGTCGAGCGGTTAAAGGTGATCGCGGAGGATGGGAATATGCCTCATATTATCATATCGGTACGTCCAGCTCCTTGACTCCTTTCCACTTCTCAAGCGTGGACAGGCAGCGAGCTGATAAGCTAGGGCATGCCAGGTATCGGCAAGACGACGTCTATACATTGTCTAGCGCACGCTTTACTGGGGGATGCGTACAAGGAGGGTGTACTGGAGTTGAATGCGTCGGATGAGCGGTATGTCCAGCTTTCCCCCGACCTCTCTAGCCTCACGAGTCGAAGAGGCCGCAAGCTGACAATGTAGAGGTATCGATGTGGTACGGAATAAGATCAAGTCGTTTGCGCAGCGGAAAGTGACGCTGGCGGATGGGAGACATAAGATTATTATTCTGGACGAGGCGGACTCGTGAGTCCTTTTCTCCGCTCCTATTTGATCTTCCCTCATCTCGCGCCTGACTGATTGTCTGTCTCGTGGCTCACATCTCTCCTATCGTGCATACTGAGGGCGTGGACCCATGCTGACCACTCCTCAGGATGACATCCGGTGCGCAACAAGCCCTCCGCCGAACCATGGAGATCTACAGCAACACGACCCGATTCGCCCTCGCGTGCAATATGAGCAATAAGATCATCGAGCCGATCCAGTCCCGGTGTGCTATTCTGCGGTATGCCAAGTTGAAGGATGCGGAGGTGATGAAGCGGTTAAAGGAGATCTGCGAGTTTGAGGAGGTGAGTCGATGGAGAGTATCGGCTGGCGTGTGCATGGCGTTATGGGTGATGGGGACGGGCGATGGAAGATGGTAAGGGGGTTGCGGATGAAGGACGAAGGAGAAGGAGAACTGAGGGTCGAGAACAGGAGCTCGTCAGCGCGGAGTGGCGGGAATCGGAAGAAGGAGTGGTCTGCTGGTTGGAACTGGCTGTGCCATAGCTGACGCCCAGGTCAAATCCAACGATGAAGGTCTCCAAGCGCTCATTTTCACCGCCGAAGGCGATATGAGACAAGCCATCAACAACCTCCAATCCACTTGGTCAGGATTCGGATTCGTATCCGCCGATAACGTCTACAAGATCTGTGATCAACCACATCCGCACAAGATCCGTGCTATGATCAGGGTATGTCCCCATCCTCCTCCTTCCCGTTACCCAGACCAGTGCGCGCTCGGGCAGAAGCGCTCGAGAAGAAGGATTACAGATGTTGAATAAAGCGATAAACCCGGCTGACAGTCAGGAATGCCAAAAAGGCGATATTGACTCGGCGCTCGCAAGAGTAGGCGAGCTCTGGGATCAGGGGTACGCCGCGGTAGATATCGTGACGACCATTTTCAGAGTGACCAAGACGGTCGAGGAGTTGCCCGAGTATCTCAAGCTGGAGTTTATCAGGGTGGGTCCCTTTCTTCCTACTGCTAGCTTCCGCCGAGGTTGAAGAAATACGTGAGCGATGCCAGCGCTGACAAGGCAGGAGATCGGCTGGACACATATGCGGATATTGGAGGGCGTGGGAACACTGACTCAGCTCGGTGCGATGATTGCGAGGTTATGCAAGCTGAGCACGGCGCCGCATATGATGACCCTGTAAGAGGGGGAGGGGAAAGAGATATGGGCAAAAAACACCCGATATGGGTGAGAAGAGCAGCCACGTCCGACAGCATGCATCTGCTGCGGCTACCTATGATCCTTCTACAATCTCTACATGATTCGCCCTATTCATCTACCAACCTCCCCATTTCCTGTCCGACCTTGACCTTATCACCCGCATTGACCGTAAACTTCCAGTTCTTTGGCGCTTCAAACACCATCACGATCGTACTCCCCAGCTTGAACCCCCCCATTTCCTCCCCAGCCAACAACGGCTGGCCCTGCAGAATCTTTGACGCCGAGGTATACACCGCCTCTGTAAACGTATGCGCCGGGTGGCTGAGTTTCCTCGTATTCGTCCGTAAATTCTCATCAAAGTTGATCATGATGGACCCCACGTTGGTCGCTCCGACAGGCACCATCGAGTAGAATCCGTATTTCCACCTTCCCAGCAACGCCACCCGTTCATTCAGGACGAAGAGGTTAGAGAGGCGATTGGCGATATAGGGGGAGACCGAGAAGAGGTCGCCGGTGAAATGACGACGGCGCTCCACGACCCAGTTGGTGGGACTGTGGAAACGGTGATAGTCGCCCGGAGCGAGGTAGACGACCATAAAGTAGAGTTTGTTGGCCGGGTTGATGAGTTTTAGGTCGCGGCCACGTTCGGTGACGCTGGACAGGGCGGACGAGCCGAGGGAGATGGCGACCGAGGTGTCGTGCGTCACGTCCGAGGCGGAGGAGCGGTGAGAGGCATCGACCTCTTCCCCGTTGGCCTGGGTCTCGGAGGGGATCTCGGTGGTCCCCTCCTCGGACTCATCTGCCGCCATGGACGAGGTATTCCCTGATGACTTTCTCCGCCAGAACGCCCATCCCCTCCCCTTGCCTGCACCATCGCCGACCTCCTCTCCCGAAGAGACAGAAGCAGTATCCACCGTATCCCCCTTGGCCGCCTTGTCCCCCTTGGACCGCTTCCAGAACTTCCATCCCTCCCCTCCGATGCCCCACCGCACCCACTTCTTCCGCGTCACCCTCTCCTCCTTCGTCTCCCGCCCGCTCCCCATGAGTTTGTCGATCGAGTAGGGGATATCGTTGATCGTCGCGAAATTCTCATCGTCCACGAATTGGACGCCTGCATCGCCTCTCCGAACCACTTCCGACTTTTCACCCACCGCCTCGCCCTCCTGTCCTAGAAGGGCGCCAAGAGAGTAGGTTATTCCCTTGACTTGCTCGACGCGCTCGCCCGTTATTTCACCAAAGTGGAGGACACGGCCATCGGCTGGTGAGACCTGCCAAGTCAGCTTTGCCACCAAAAACGCTGTGCACAATGTAGCTCACCATGGCGGCGTCGGATATTGGACGAGCTCCTTCTCTGAGCTGACGGTAGAAGAAGTCTCCGAGACTCTCGTACGAGGCCAGATCTTGCGGTACCTCGGATAGATCGCACCCGAAAATATAGGAGTACAGCCGGAACCCGTACGGCCTGAACCAAACGGGCAGGACCAGGCCGTTCAGGTAGCCCCATAATTGGGATAACGACCGTAATGGCAACGCACCAAGCACTCGGACCTGTGGATCAGCTTGACTCAGTCCTAGCTGCAACCTCGAAGGGCAAAGAGAAGCTCACCTGCCATGGCCCATCCACATTCCTAGCTTTCAAGACCGCCCCCTGTTCCCCCTGACTAGTCACTTCAAACGTCTCCGATCCCGGCCCTCCCATCTGCTTCCGTAGCTGCACAGCAAGGATGACGATAGCCCCGAGAGCTATGGGTATAGGATACCATCTCGTCGGCGTTTTGGCGGCTTGCTTCATTTTGTCTGGGATCGTGAGCTCGGGCTGCCTTTAATTCCCATCGAAGGACATACCTCCATAGGAATCGTCATTTTTAGGTCCGCCATTTGAAGAAGCCGAGGATGAGGATGAAGATGAACTCGGCCGATCATGATGTGGTGGAAGAGGGGGTGGGAGCTGCGAGTTGAAGCGGACGAGGGGTCGGGAGGGGAGAGGTATTGGGCGGAAAGCCAGACGATGGGACGCTGCTGGACGTATCCGGAGCGATCCGAGCGGTAATATGGGTCTGAGACCCGGCATCTTTGCCGTTAGAGCCCTTGTAGATGGCGGTTAGCTGTAGGTTGTATATGTACCGTGGACATACAGATGAAGACTCTGCAGAGCTGCTTGTCTCTTCGGCACGACCAAGCGTCATCTCGGCTGGCGGCGATGACCGAAGAGCAGTGACGTAAAGGCACGTCCGCCAGGTCCACTGGACGCGCAAGGTATAACTTTTGACTGTAACCTTCCTTCACCCGCATCTTTGCCTACATACCAATCTCAGTATAGCTGCAGAAGAGGCGGGGCTAAGAGGAGCTCCTGAAAAGCTGGCTCTAGCGATATGATGGACACCAGTCGACTCCTGACGGCTCTGCAGCGGGAGTTCCCCGCTCCAAAGATTGATCCGGTCGGTCCTTCCCCCTTCGCTTGAGGGCCGTGCTGACTAGGTAGGCATGGGTTCAAGCCTGTGCGGATGCTCTCGCAGATGATGGGCAGGATCCATCGTTCGCGAATGTGGTGAGTTGTGCTATTGACTCCTCCTGCGAGAGTGACTACAGCTCATACCCAGCGCGAGCAATACCTCTTCTCCGACCTCGCCGCCTCGACCCTCCCCTCCTCGCTGATCCCCGCTGAACCGCACAACATCGTCCTCTTCCCCACTCCCACCCTCGTTCAACTGCTCAGTATCACGGAGATAGGCTACTCTGCTTTCCAGCTGCAGACGATCCAAGAACAGCGGAAAGATGTTCTGTCTGGCGTAACGAGGATCAGGCGGATGGGGGACGAGGAGGACGAGAATGGGGATCTGGAGGATGAGGGAAAACTGCCGGTGTATCCAAGAGGAATGTTGAAGATGGAAGTGACGGATGGGGAGCGGTGTTTGAAGGCGATGGAGTATAAGCGGCTGGATGGGATCAAGTTGGCGGAGACGCCGCTGGGGGCCAAGGTGAGCTCGCGAGTATTAGAGAATGCAGGATGCCAACAGCTGACGAGGTAGCTTGTGCTGCACAGAGTCAAGACTCTACGGGCTACTTGTACGTCCCCAGCTGAGATACTAGCTGATCTCAGTACTGCTCGATCCTGACAATACTCGTTTCCTCGGGTACGAAGTCAGCCATCTCGAAGCGGATCAACCTACCAAGTTTACCAACTCACTCCTCCGTCGAATGGGCAAGCCAGTCCCAGAAGATGACGAAGAGGGAGCTCCACCGCCAGACGAAGCCCCCCCGCCTGCGGCACGACGCCGGGCGGAGCCTGCACCTGCAGTAGCACCTCAGCGTCAGGCTGAGCGTCCAGCTCCGGCACGTGCAGCTGCCGCTGCAGCACCGGCTCGGCGCATCACTATCCCCCCTCCACCTGCTACGGCCGGCCCGAGTCGCCCTCGTTCTGCCGCGACATCGGTCGACGTTCCTTCCCCATACTTCCAATCCCGCACCCAAGCCACCGCGTCCTCGTCCCGTCCTGCTGCTCGTTCAACTACAGCAGCTACAGCGGCTTCTCCGCGCGTTGTCCAACCGGTGGAGGATGACGAAGAGGACGATATGATGGATTATGACGAGTCCTTCATGCGGCAGCTCGACGCGGCGGAGGCGAGAGCTACATCTGCCCGGCCACAACCTCAGGCGAAGCGGAATCAGGATCAGTCGAGCGATTATGGCCTGGATGATATCGATGAGGATATGCTGGGGCAATTGGAGGCGGTCGAGAGGGCACAGCAGGAGCGGCACCAGCAGCAGCAGCAATGGTCTACACGGCACTCAACGGCGGTACCGTCGAGGAACGCAGTGGCGGGAGGGAGAAGAGGAGGCGGTGGAGGGGCAGGGGAGGCACCGTGGATCATGGACGATGATGACGATGATGAGGTGGAGGAAGCGGTAGGATACTCCAGGTCGAGTAGTACGGTCCGGGCTGCGGCGGCAGGGCGGGTATCAGCGCCGAGCGGAGGGAGAGGGGCGGCGCCAAAGAAGAAGGCGAAGAAGGGGGTCAGAGAGGAGGAGAAGGAGAATTGGCCAGATGTAATCGAGATTTCGGACTCGGAGTGAGGTGGGGCCGAAGGAGGGGCGGCGGACGTGGGTAACTAGGCCTTATACGAGCTGCTGAGTGTTGTATAAACGCGCAATAGTGGCGCAATGTATCATATGGTGGGCTCTATAGCTCTTTCGGGTTTCGGTACTCGGTTACTCCCCCACCCGAACGCTTCGGCCGAATAGCCGGACCGACCGAGCCTTGTGCGCAGCTTGCTCTCGTCCTTGTCTTCCTCCATCATACCCATCTCGGCATCCCCAACAGCTGCTCAGCCTCAGAGATTCAAGACGTGTCCGTCCAGTACATCATATTACCGTATCTGAGCGGTCTTTGATCCGCCTGACCCGGACACGACTTCATGAAGCCACAGATCCGCTTCCTATCGCAGATCCGGTCCTGCTCTACAAGGCGGTCCATCTTTCGGACTTCAGCTCGACATCCTCGTACCCTTCTCGCTCACCCGTCCTCAGACGTAGAGCTGCCGTATAGGTCTATGTCGTCAGCGACGGCAGGGACTTCTCGGGGGGTGGACGTGGCAACCTATCATAGGCCGCACTTCCCGCCGGATAGCTCCAGCGAGGAGAGCAGCACTCGTGAGTTGCCTGACAGGCTTTGAAGGCATCAGACACAAAGTCGAAGCCATTTCATTGAGTTTTGGGCTGACTAGTCTTAGTCACTGCAGCGAAGACGGACAAATACCTCGAGTCCCGCCTCTCCCATATGGAATATGCTGCTGACCCGTCCCTCGCCCGAGGACAAGAACGGGCGAATGCAGCTGGGATGCCCAAGATCTCTGTCAGTCCGATGCAGGGGCAGTTCCTCAGTGTATTAGCGAGGGGAATGAGGGCGGAGAAGATCCTCGAAATAGGGACTTTGGCCGGGTATGTCACATCCTCGTCGAGCTCTCTGATATCTTCGTGACAGGAGCATCAAGCTGATACATCCAGCTACTCGACTACGTTCCTCGCCCGTTCTCTCCCTTCTCATGGCCGTATCGACACCCTCGAATTCTCACCCCTGCACGCCCGTATAGCCCAAGAGAATTTTATCGATTCCGACCTCTACCCGTTCCCTACCATCCACATCGGACCCGCACTGGATATCCTCCGAGATCCGAACGGCGCATTCGCGAGTCCGCCAGGGACGGAGGAGGGTCTACCGGTCGATGAAAGAGGGTACGATCTGTGCTTTATCGATGCTGATAAGGGGGGGTATTATGGGTATTGGTTGGAGTGTCTCAGATTGACGAGGAAGGGGGGGATGATTATTCTGGATAATGCGATACAGGATGGGAGGTACGTCCGGCAGGAAAAAGAAGAGGAGGGGGATGAGGGAGGAGAGCTGACGGGTAGGATCACGCTGGACAAGAATGTGGAGGGACAGCATGATGTGTCGGGGTTGCGGAAGGTGTATGACTGGGTCAAGGAGGATGGGGGCAAGACGGTATTGATGAGTGGGATACAGACTGTCGGGGGCAAGCATTGGGAGTGAGTCTGATCAGCTTCCTCCAGTGACAGTGTCGTGGGACAAGCTGACTGGGTAGCGGCTTTGCCATCGCTGTCAAGTTGTAATATACCGGGAGAAGGGTTCCTGAGACGGGATCTACATCTGTATGTATCTTCATTGATCTTCCTTTGAAGCTCACGGGTCTGGCGTCAGCGCATGTACTGCCATGGACTTGAGATCGAAGGGTCACTGATCGTCGCGCTAACCAGTGCGGATCGGACGGACCATCGTCGCGCCAAGCAGCTTAAGGGCATCCTCAGCGAAACCCACCTGATAAGACCCTTTGTTCTCATCTCCTTTGTTCGTTTGTCTATGTGAGCTTATGAGAAACGCTGTGTCTACGGAGGGACTCTCTTCGACCGTTTACTGGACCTTCTATCCAGAGACCCGCAATCCAATCATGGAGGCCATATACTCTCGCCACCTTCTGCCTGTAAACAGGGGGCTGCAGGGGGAGGGGGATACCTTGTCCACCACCCTGTGAGCCGGCCCTTCTGACCAGACAGCAGCGGCGCCATCACAGTATGTTCGGCCAACCTTCCCACCTGATGTGACTGGACGCGCCCCTGAGACGAGGTGTGAGTACTGACTTCTCCTGGACCCTATCTCATGCTCATATGCTCACATCGTATGACGAAGAGCGGCTGACCTTGGCCTATGCTGATACAGCTGCAGTGACCGCAGCAAGCACTGACAAGTACCTCGAAGCTCAGCTTAGTCATCCCGACTACGCGGCTGAGCCATCCATCGCCAGAGGGCTGAAGAGAGCCGTCGATGCTGGAATCGAGAACATGGCCGTTAGCGCGATGCAAGGTCAGTTTCTCAGCGTTCTTGCGAGGGGGATCAAGGCGGAGAAGGTCCTCGAAATTGGCACATTGGCAGGGTGAGTTGATATCGATTGCTACGTGACTCGGGCAGGACTGACGATCCCATAGCTACTCTACCACTTTCCTCGCTAGATCTCTCCCGTCTCATGGTCGGCTCGACACCATCCAGTCCGATCCTCTACATGCAGAGACGGCTCGAAGGAACTTTATCGACTCAGCCCTTATCCCTCTGCCGACTGTGCACGTCGGTAACGCCCTCGAGCTCCTCCGGGACCCCAAGGGTGCCTTTGCAAATCCCCCAGGAACCAGCGAGGGCCTGCCTGCAGACGAGCGGGGCTACGACTTGTGCTTCATTGATGCGGATAAAACCAACTATTTCGGGTACTGGATCGAGTATCTGAGGTTGACAAGGAAGGGGGGGCTGGTCGTTATTGACAACGCGATCCAAGATGGAAGGTGAGTCTTGTTAGAAATACGACTCCTCAGCGGGAGCTCGGTAGCGAGGCTACTCGGAAGCGAGCTCGGTACCGCGTAGGAACCCCTACACGGGACCGAGTAGGCGCACCTCCAGTATGGAGAGTGCGACGTATGAGTGCGACACCTGGTGCGAGATCCCATGCCGAACAGCTCAGGAGAGTGTGGCATGTCAGTGTGGCGGACCGAGTGTGGCGCCGACAGCACAGTAGGAGCTCCTATGCAGTATAGGAGCTCAGAGGGATTCGCAGGTCTGAAGAGAACTCCCTATAGCACATAGGGACTTGCTATAGTTAGTAGGGACTTCCTATAGCTTGTAGGGGATTGCGTAAGAACTTCCTATAGCTTGTAGGGACTTGCTATAGTTAGTAGGGACTTCCTATAGCTTGTAGGAACTTGCTATATACTGTAGGGACTTCCTACACTATGTAGGAAGTCGCCAGGCTGGAGTATATAAGAAGGTCATGTCGAGCCAGATGCATCCCCAGTCTGCTCTTGAAAACTTAACAAGTCTCTCGTCCCGGCGAGAAGCGGTAAGCGCTAATGGGGAAGGATCCAGCTCGAAGAGAACGTCGAAGGTCAGGACGACGTGATGGCTCCGGAAGGTGTACGACTGGGTCGAGGAGGATGCGGGGAAGACGGTGTTAATGAGTGCCATCCAGACCGTGGGGAGCAAGTACTGGGAGTGAGTGATCGATGCTGCTTGTGATGGGTCAGGCGTCAGCTGATCTGTCAGTGGCTTCGCCATCGCCGTGAAGCTATGAGAGTGCTTGGTGAAGCGACCTGTGAAAGACTACTTGTATTGATCTGCCCTATGTAGCTGATGTCTTAATGTCCTTACTCATGACCCTACTTCTTCTTCTTGTTCTTCTTCTTGCCACCCCCTCCGCCCCCGCCGCCGCCACCTCCCCCTGCATCGCCACCCGCGCCCGTACCCGCCTCCCCACCCTCTTCTCCCTCCTTCTCCCCATCCTCACCGTCCTCGCCTTCTTCCCCGCCCTCTCCACCCTCCCCTCCCTCCCCATCCTCCCCGCCTCCCCCTTTCCCCTTCTTCTTCTTGCCACCAGGTACGGGTGGAAGCACACCCTCCGGCATCGCAGCCCCGAACGTTTTCCCATCTTTATCAGGCAAGACCTCTCCGCCCCAGCCATACCCCGTCCACCCCTCCGTGCCCCACTGTGGACTCTTCCAGCCGATCGCCTCGGGTGTCTTGCCCGCCAGGTAGTCCTTGAACGCCGGCAGATCCGGGTAGTGCACGATGACGGGCCGGCCGGAGAGGGTGGAGTGTTCTTTCGCCTGCTGCTCTATGGGAGTGAGGGCGTTTTCGAAGGGAGAGACGAAGCGGTACCCTGCGCCGGCGGCGGAAGTGGCAGGAGAGGGCTTGGGGGCGCCGAAGATGTCGGATTCGGAGAAGGTGGGGAAGTACCGGTCGTGATGATGCCATGTGGGTTCAGCTTCGGCGATGTGAGGGACTGGTGTGGCCGCGGGTGCGGGATGTGAGGAGGGACTGTCGACGAGATCAGGATCAGGAAGGGGGAGTGGCCTGCTCTTCTTGCTCTTGAAGTCAAACCGGCTCATCCAGCCCGACTTCCCAGAGGGGGAGGCCGGAGGTTCCTCCTCATTCCCCGACTCACCACCCCTCTCTTTACTCCGCCATCCCGACTTGCTCTCCCCCTTCCCATCGTCCGGGCTACTCTGTGGCGTGGTCTCCGCAGCAGTATGGTCCGGTTTATCCGACGTAGTCGACTTGATTGAGTGAGCGAACGAGACCTTCTTTTTAAGTTTGCGGGGTGAGGTGTCGGTCACCAGGGGTTGAGGGGGAAAGGTGATCAGCGGCCCAGAGGAGGCGGGGCGGGGCTCGTCCCATGTGATGTTGAGGGGCATGGACGCTGGGGTATAGCGAACTATAGGTGATTCAGCGATTAGCAGGTGGGCCGATGAATCGGATAGCATCCGAGCTCAAGGTGCGACCCGGGATCGAGGGAGGAATCGCGTGTGTGCACACACACACATGTCAATCGTATCGATCTTGCCCCTGGCAAGAGAGCAGCTAGCAGAGCACCCAAAGTACGAAGCAGAGACTAGACGTATGCAGCCATGCCTAGGCAGGTGACCTTGTTCGCCCTAATGCCGCTGTGATGATGAGTAAAACCCAGAGTCAGGAACGACAGGACGTCTCTCTCGTCGCCGGGCCATATTATACGCCTGAATATAGCTAGTCAAGGTCACTATTGAAGATACCCTATGCTCAAGGGTGGTACGATGCTGGTACCATCAGAATGCATGGGAAACGAAGGAGGTCAGGGCTCCATCTAACGAGGAGGAAGCGTGAGTCCGGTCAATTCAACCTCACCAGGCCACCCGTGGGTGTCCACTGAAAGAGATCCGAGCCTGCCGGAACACTGACTCACACGGCCGCACCAACGAGCTGTTCGGAGAACTCGCTGTTGCGGTCAAAGGTCACGGTCACAGGCTATATGATCAGTCATGTTGTATGTGCATGTGAGGCAGGATTGGCGTCGGCCGGGCGCGGTGTAGAGCAGAAAGCACTCACCTTTTGCTGGTTGGCGTAGAAAGCGGTGACCGCTGATCTCACCTGTGCTTTGTATGTGCCCATGGGGATCTCCGTGACCGCGTAGTACTGGCCTGTAGTGGATCTCCCAGACCAGGTCGAATGCGTCAGGTTGCTCGACCAGGTGGTGGTGAACGGCTGAGGTTCCTCCGTGGGAAGCGACATGACAGATGTGGCTCAAGCAGGGTGACTGTGTAGTGTGTAATGTGGCGTGAGGCGTGGTAGTAGAGGGATGATGCGAGGTGTGAGAGCGATCAGGTTGACGGGAAGGTTCTTATATAGCTCTTCGGAGGGGCACAAGGTCTTCGAAGGGGCAGCACTAAAATGACGCCATACACAGCTCCACAGAATTGCGAAGCTGCCATACGAGAAGGAGGGCTCTTTGTTAAGTTTTTCAAGAGCAGACTGGGGATGCATCTGACTCGATATGACCTCCTTATGAGTTCCAGTCTTGAACTTCCTACAGAAGTTCCTACGAGATTCTACGAGTCCCTACGAGTCCCTACGAGTCCCTACAAGTCCCTACGAGTTCCTACAAGTTCCTACGAGTCCCTACAAGTCCCTACGAGTTCCTACGAGTTCCTACACGAGTCCCTACGAGTTCCTACGAGTTCCTACAATCCCTATTGTAGGACTTCCTATGTAGCAACTCCTATGTAGGACTTCCTACAGTTCCTACATAGCCTCCATGGTCCATTGGCACTGCCACACTTGGTCCGCCACATTGACCTGCCATACTGCCCCTGCAGTACGGCATGGGATCTCGCCACTCAGGCATCGCACTCTCTATACTGTAGGTGCGCCTACTCGGTCCCGTGTAGGAGTTCCTACGCGGTACCGAGCTCGCTTCCGAGTAGCCTCGCTACCGGTCTCGCAGGACCACCCCCACTCCACCAAAGGTTAGGTTCCGGATTTCCCGAAAATCCGGTTTGAAATCCCGATCCGAGGCTCCCTCAAATCCGGATTTGCACCTAACCTCGGATTCACGCACCAGCGAATGCACCTAAACCTTCAGATTTTTTCCGGCGCCTGCGGCGGGCTGGTCTACGCGCCTCTCTCTGGGAGGCCAGGTCCCCCCTCCTGATTTTTTTGCGCTACGCGCAAGTCGACCCTCCAAATTTTTTTGCGCTTCGCGCAATGTCCACCCATCACAAAGGTCCGGCCGACCTCCGGCCGGCCGGTTGAAATCCGGACGCGCACCTGACATCTATCCCGACCGGCTCTCAAATCCTGGGCGGAACCTGAGGTCCGGATTCCGGAGACCCTTTTCAAATCCCGATGGAACCTAACCTCCTTAGTAGTGGGGGTGGTCCTGGTCTCGCTCCCGCTGAGACGTCGCATTTCTAACACTCTTGGGGTCACCGCTTCGGGAAGGCCACATTTCGCGCCCCGCTGTCCGTGGCGGCCGGCCGGACGAGAAGCATGCGCCTCCTGAGTATAATGACGGACGCACTCCTTTCAAGCGTGACTCTCGCTGGGGCGCCACAGCGAGGTCAATGGGACGTCGATGCTGCGTCATTGGTCGAAGTCTGCTCTATGGCGTCAGAGGAAGTCCGCGATTGCGTGCTGATAGCAGTGAGGTCGTACACTACTGTTTGATGAGGCCGCCTGAGGGCCTGAGTACCTGGGAAGGCAGCAGTACGACCAATGCTGAGTCCTTGCCCGCCCGAAGGCGCGATCTAGGACGAGCATCAAGAAGGCGGTTCTCTCGGACCGTGCGAATCTGCGATGGCGTCAGTGTCAAGCCCAAGCAGGTACATCAAGCTCCATTCATACGTCATGATATCTAGCAATCGGAGAGCTCCTTTGTTGGCACATCTTCGACCAAAAGCCAAGACTATCAACTCCACGCTCTTCCAACCTCAGGACGTGTGCACGTTATGGGATCAAAGCCAATATTGAAGGCGCACAGACGTCAGTAGCAAGCCGCTGTGACGGATGCCGAACCCACACGAAGATGTACGAGCAGGTCAGTGCGAAGAGTCACAGTCTCATGTAGTGCGCGGGACTGCATCTTGCAGGTACAGTCAGCCTCAATGTCCTTTTTTTCGCGCCACTGCTGCGGCTCGATCCAATATCTGAAACGCCACGTACGTAAGGGGACGGTACATGAAACACGACAACGATCGCCTTTGGGCTTTGTTTGACCCTGAAATAGCTCACCGAGCCACAGTCAAAGTCACGCTCTCAGAGCTTGGCGCGTTGACGCATTGTCCTTTGCTCCACAGCTTTTCTGGCTATCATCCTTCTAGCACCTCTATCATCGCCCAAGTCACTCTTTCACAGCACGTAGAGTCGAGCAGGCCTCGATTATCCGCACCGGAATCACCTCAAACGCGTTTGAAACGCGTCTTCCCCTGCCTTGTCACGTAGCAACCGACTCCCTTTCAACATGTCGTACGGCTACAACCAACCTTACTCCCCCAATCGCGCGGGCGCAAATGGGTACAACAACAATTATCATGATCCCTCCGACCGTGGTCCCTCACCTCGAAACGACTTCTCCCAACCCACCGGGAACAGCTATCAGCAACCCGCCGATTCCTTTTATATGCAACAATCATCCAACGCCCAGCGCGCCCCATCCCCGCAGTACCCAGCATACTCTCCACCTCGGCACGGCAGCAGTGCGAACCTGCACCCGGCAGACACGTACCCTCCTACCTCATACACTCCCGCATATGGCAATTCGCCCGGTATGATCTCGCGCCCAAGCTTCTCGTCCCAGCACACGGACTATGCGGACGAGGGCAAGTCGTACTCGTCCACCACACATCTGGCGCAGAAGGAGTGGGGACCGGGCGATCTCGTACCGCCTGTCCCTCTCCTCCCGCACCAGCAGAACTCACTATACGGCTACCCACCCCAATCCGCCCGTTCACCAGCACCCTTCCAGAATGGTTACGGCCAGCAGCCTTACCAGCAACAACCGCCACCCTCGGCAACGGGATGGAACAACTGGGGCACGCAGCACTGGCAGCAGATGCGCAACAACCTGCTGGAGCGGCGCGTCGTCAAGCAGATCCCGCTGCACAATGGGAATCTGGTGATGGACGTACCGGTGCCAAAGGGGGTGGTGCCGAGCCAGAAGGGAATGGGAGAGGAGCCCGAGGAGATGGAGAAGCTGCGGTACACGGCGGCGACGTGTGATCCGGACGAGTTCATGCAGCGGAAGTTTACTCTGCGGCAGTTCCTGTACGGGCGGAAGACGGAGCTCTTCGTGAGTTGGATCGCCCTGGAGACTGTGGGATGAACTGACAGCCAGATTGTTATGACCATGTACAATGAAGACTCAGGCCTGCTGCTCCGAACCCTCAACGCCGTCATCAAGAACATCGCACACCTTACCACCCGAGACCGGTCCAAGACATGGGGACGTGACTCGTGGAAGAAGGTCGTCGTCTGTATCGTCGCGGACGGGCGCAAAGTCGTCGATCCACGGGTCTTGCGCGTCCTCCAGCTCATGGGCGTCTACGCCGAGGGAGTCGCCAAGGACACGGTCGCCGGCAAGGAAGTCCAAGCGCACATCTACGAATGCACCTCGCAGGTCGTCGTATCGGACAACGGGGACGTCGGATTCGGGACCGTCCCGATCCAGCTCCTCTTCTGTCTCAAGGAGAAGAATCAGAAGAAGCTCAACTCGCACCGCTGGTTCTTCAACGCTTTTGGACCGCTGCTCAAGCCCAACGTCTGCGTCCTGCTCGACGTCGGTACCAAGCCGTCCGGGACGAGCATTTACGAGCTATACAAGTGCTTTGAGAAGCATCCAAACGTAGGCGGGGCGTGTGGGGAGATCTTTGCGGATACCGGCAAGTTTGGGAAGTTGCTCTGGAACCCGATTGTCGCCGGGCAGAACTTTGAGTACAAGGTGAGCTGCCAGCAAATCCATCATTGTGACTGCTTCTAGCTGACACTGCAGATGTCCAACATCCTCGACAAGCCCTTCGAGTCTGTCTTTGGTCTCATCTCGGTCCTTCCCGGAGCCTTCTCCGCATACCGCTACGAAGCCGTCAAGAACCATCCCGACGGTACCGGCCCCCTCGCCAGCTACTTCCACGGCGAGATGATGAATCTCCCTGGAGCCACTGCGTCCATCTTTGACCGTAACAAGTTCTTGGCGGAGGATCGGATCCTGGCCTTTGAGATCGTCACCAAAAAGAACGCGCGGTGGAGATTGCAGTATGTCAAGAGTGCAAAGGCGGGGACGGACGTGCCGTCGACCGTACCGGAGTTTATCAGTCAGCGGAGGAGATGGCTGAACGGGTGAGTTGACCATTTCATCCTAGTGTGCGATGTACGACAGCTGACGGATAGATCAATCTTTGCTGCGACGTACGCTATGGTCTGTTTCTACCGGATCTGGACATCTGGGCACAGTATCTTCCGGAAGTTTGCGCTCATGATCTTGACCCTCTACAGTCAGCTACCACTTCCATCTCATTGGACTGGAACTGACAAACTGTAGACCTGGTCAACCTTATCTTCAACTGGCTGTCCATCTCGTCGTTCTACCTGGCCTTCTTCTTCCTCATCAGCTCGAGTATCAAGGGTGCTACCGACCCATTCGGCGGTGCCGGAGATGAGATCTTTCAGATCTTCAACAAGGTCTACATCGGCTTGCTGTGAGTGTCAGCTGGACGCACTGTGGTGTCCCACAAGCTGACAGATCAGCTTCGTCGTGGTGGTGTGTTCCCTCGGCAACCGACCGCAAGGCTCGAATGTCATGTACACTCTCTGGTCAGTTACAAGGCAGGAGGAATGAGCCCAGAGCTGACGATACAGCATGATCATGTTCGCCATCTGCCAAGGTCTCCTCCTGTACTGTGCCGGCTGGACAGTATACCAAACGGTACCCCACACCGCAGCAGGCTGGAGGGACTGGAAAGGTCTCATGGCCAACCGGACCTTTGTCGACCTTGCCGCTTCCCTTGTCGTACGTCAACAGCTCATCCCCGTGTATCACCGCTGACAACATAGGCCACATACGGTCTCTACCTCATCTCATCCCTCCTCTACTTTGAGCCCTGGCACATGCTCACCTCTTTCGTCCAATACCTTCTCCTCCTCCCTTCCTACGTCAACATCCTCCTCATCTACGCCTTTTGCAACCTGCACGATGTATCCTGGGGCACCAAGGGCGATAATGGCGCTGCTAAGGATCTGGGTCAGGCGAAGAAGGTGGAGAAGGATGGGAAAGAGATGGCCGAGGTGGCAATGCCGACGAGGCAGGAGGATGTGGATGCGCTGTGGGCGCAGGCGAGGCAGGAGCTTTGGGTGCCGGAGAAGGAAAAGAGGGAGAAGCGGTCGGCAGAGACAAAGAGGGCAGATCGTGAGTTGATAATTGTTCATGGATGGACATGTGACATAGCTGACATTGCGCAGAAGACAGAACATTCCGTATGTCGCTGAATCTTGCTCGTGCTACCGTGCTACCGTAGCTCGGGGCTCAGCTGATATGAGCAGGAACAAACATCGTCCTCCTCTTCCTCGGCTCCAACATGCTGGTTATCCTCCTCTTCACTTCCAGCGTGTTCACAGACTGGATCAACCGGAATTTCACAGTTGCAAGCTCATCAGGATTCAATCCTTATCTAGTGAGTTCGCACTTCCGTTGCCGACCGAGCTGTACGCTGGGAGCAAGAGCTGATCATCGCAGACGGTCATCTTTTACGCTGTCTTGGGCCTGTCAACATTGCGGTTTGTCGGATGCTGCTTGTATCTCATCTTTAGGTTGTGCGGTTATTAGTTGTCATGTCGGATCAAAGGAGGGGAGTGTAAGAAGGAAGTATCAAATGCATGCGCTGGTCGCAGCTACCACAACAACAATACATGACCGTCTAAATCCTGGAGATGTTGCTCATCCAGGAACACCCCTCGTCCCGAAGCGATACAAGTACAAGGCCGGTAGCCAAGATCCCCATTGATCATCTCACAACAAAGCATTTGTACTGGTCTCGTCAGCGTCGCCGCTCTGCGGAAGGAGCAGAACTTACAGTAGCCCAAGCACCGACTATAGCGAACGCGGCAAGACACGAGACAATACCCGCAAACCAGTACAGCTAATCTGATGAGCTTTTGTCCGAGCTAAGTCGGGATATGCAAGCTTACGCTGTCTTCGTCTTGTCCTGGTACATGTACGTTCATACCCCATAGACCAGTAACCAAGTTCATTGGACTATTTGATCAGCTCGCCACTGATTTAGTGTTTCAAGAAAGCTCACATGAGGACCGTACCCAGTGCAGTCAGTTTCGAGAGCACATCGTTGATCTGGTTGTTTGCGTCCGTCATTTCGATCGAGATTTGAGCGAGGTAATTGGAGTGCGAGCGCGACAGGATCTTTTCGTAGTGGTTCAAATTCTGGGTCATGGTGATCAGATGGTCTTGGATATCCGAGAGATACAGGCCCTAAGCATTGTCAGCTTATAAGACCCGAAGCCAGAATGATGACAGCTGATTTGAAACGTACGATATCAGACTTTGGCGCGATGAGCCACTGCTCGTTACATCGCTTCGCAAGCCCCTTGACAACGTCCGCCTTGTTGCCCATGAGTCGTAAAAGACCCATGACCTTCTTTCGGCATGTCCCGATCCTGCATAGTCAGCTCTGCCCGTCCTCCTACGAGATGCACTGAGCTTACCGTCTCAACATATCACTCTGCTCCGAGTCCTTCAAGATCAATACCAGCTCATCGATACTGTCAACCTCGTACTCGATGCTCTGGATGAGCGGGCCGAACGCGTCGGTGATATCGTCGATGAGGGCATAACTGATCCAGTCGGACGTGACCGAGATGTAGTCTTTGAGGTGTTTGATCCGGCGTCGCACATTCTGGGGGTGAGGGGTGCCGCGGAAGTGGAACTGCATAGTCAGCTAGGAGAGGATGCATCTTGGCAGAGTAACGTACTGATAGTGTACCCTCGCGGAAGACAATGATGTACATGTTGAGGGGCTCGAGGTATGTCTGGGAGTATGGGTCCTGGTCGAACGAACGGAAACAGACGAGGTAATAGTTGCGGAAGAGCTCGATCTTTTCCCGTGTCTCCTCGAGCAGAATGTCTTCTGTTGTCAAGGGGTGGATACCGAAGACCTGTTGATCAGCTGCCAGCTATAGTATACGATGAAGCTGGACGTACACCAGCGAGCATCCTCATCTCCTCGTCCGTTGGCGAGAGCACGTCCAGCCACCACGTCGACGCCTCGGGATCCTCGTCCTTCCCTCCGTCCGCTGGTGGTGGTGCCGTCCCGTTAGTGCCCGTCTTGGCCATCGCCGCGCCTGCCGCCCTAGCCAGCAGACTCTGCTTCCCTGTCTGCGGAATATCCCTCGCTGTAGGGGTGGTGTCTTCCCTAGGCGTGTCAATGCCGCTCTGCCATCGATCCGCCGACATGAGCGAGCCGATATCTGTTGGCTCGTACGGGTGCGGCGGATTGCCATTCGTGTGTCCATTCCCATTCTCCGCTGTCGCCCGACCCTTGAAGAGGTCCTCGAATGTCTGACCCTCTGCAGGGAGTTCCGCCAGTGTTCGGGCGTGAATAGTGACGGGTAGAGAGTTGGAGTAAAAGCTGAAGCGGTATGGGCGGTCGTGGCCTGGTGCGTTGTCCGAGTAGGGCATGATCCCGCCTCCGGTCGGACCGATGGGAAGGGCATTCTTGGGATGTCGAGCCGCCTTGAATGGCGCACCTCCCTCCTCGCCTTCCTGGTTCGTCCCGAATCCCTCGAAGAGCGCCAGTTTCCCGCCTCGCCTTCCGACCGGGTTCGACGCCGACAACTTGCGCTGTCGTCTCCGCGCAAATGCCTGTCCGCCCTCGCTCTCCTTTGGCGACGTGACGTGCTCCCCTTCGTCCCCAAACGCAGAGAAGGTGTTCGTCCGCTCCATCGCCGTCTCGTAGCTCCCGACCGGCGCCGCTCCATTCTCTCCGCCTTCCTGGTTATTCGAGTGTCCCCTCCTCTGCCTGAACACCGGCTCATTCGCAGGCGGCGCAGGGATCTTGGCAGCTTCATTCAACCCAAGCTTATCCCTCTCCGTCGCCGCAAATTCCTCCATCGCTCCAAAGTCGAACCGGTTCCCACCCCCAAACGGCGCCAGCCCGCCCTGCATCCCCGAGAACCGCTCCATATCCCGATCGTGTCTGCTCCGCTCGCGCCGGTGGTCACCCTCATCCGAATGCCGGCGCATCATCGACCCCAGACTGTCCCCGTGGTGGCTGTGCGAGCGGGAATGGTCGATGAGATCCTCCTCGTGGTCGTCGATCCGGTACCCCGCCGAGTGCTCCGAGTGGGCATCATGATCCCGGAACCCGCTCTGCCGCGCTCGGTCCATCTCCGCCTCTTCCATGTCTGAGAGCATAGGGAAGGTGTTCTCGTCGATAGGGGAGGAGGATTGGTAGTGCTGCATACTGGGCCGGAGGTTCGGTGAGGGGTCCGCCATCATTGATCCGGACCGAGCGCGAGCTGTATCGTCAATAACCTTCCTTCCCTCGGAAGTCTCAAGCACTTACACATGGATTTAGCACTATCGATATCCTGCAATCTCTGCCGCTCCCTCGCCTGCGCCTCATCCCATGCCCGCCCCGAGCTGTTCCCGCGCAGCATAGACGGGGCGACCTGCAGGCTCGAAGGACCAAGAGCTCGGCTGGGCGAGAGCGTACCCGGCGAGGCGATGCTTTGCCTGTGCGGGGGCATGGACTGATGCGGGTCGATCTGAATCGATATGTGCCGAGGCGAGGTAGGAGATGTGGGCGACATGATGGCTGATAGAATCTAGCGGGGGGGGGGGGGGAGGGGAAGGAGGGAAGGATCCGCAGACGAGCAGATAAAAGCGACCAAAATAGGTCGGGGGAAGGCGAGTCGAGCTGGATTGTCGGTGAGTAGTGGATGATCTACTTTCGAGTCTGCTTTTCTCTCTCGTTGGAAGAGCAGCTCGTGTGGCCTCGGACTGAGATATGTACAGAGGACGAGAGGCTGAGGAATAGCTATATAGCTGTAGAGGCAGAGGGAGAGGTGCAAAATAGCTCTCAGAAACGTTTGATCAGACGCCGATTACAAGGCCAAAATTAGATCCCGCTAATCAAGTGGAAGGTGATGGTGAAGAGGGCGGTGACGACGAGAGAGGGGGCAGCGACGTTGACAATGACAGAGGTGGATAGAGGTATACAATATATGGCGTTATACATGATCGAACGATATCGCCAAGCGAAAAGACCTAGTCTTACTATCCCTCGCCGACCCAAGTATCGATATCCTCCTTGACCACCTTTTTGATCTCGTCCGCTAACGACTCGTCACCGTTCAGCACGTCGATAGTACGGCCGAACATCCCTGGGTTGCTGATGCTGGCGACGAGAAGCTGAGCTACTAGTTCACGACTGAATGTGTCAGTAAGGTCCAAGAGCAGAGGGTTTCGCGGAGGAGGTGGCAGAGCCGGTGGGGAGGGGAGGCTCACCTGGTCGAGCCGACTCCGACCTTGCCTAGTGCTGCGCCAGAGGCATCTTCAATTGTCAGTCCCCCTGGACGGATGATGGTGTAATCGATGTGTTTGAGCTGGCGGAGGTGATGCTCGGCTTGATATTTGGCTTCCACGACTGTTGGCATCAGCTCGTTATCCTCGGATCTTGAGCGAGTTCCGGAACGTTCAGCTTACTCTTCGGTACGAAGCTTCGTATCCGTCCCACACTGCGCTCTGACGAGTCAGCTCTAGCCCCTACGAGAGCCATGAAGCAAAGACGACTTGCTAGCAGCCTCATCATACCACTCTGGCCAATCCGTCCCCTCCTTCCATATCCCGATACTCCCAACCACCATCACCCGCCTCACCCCCGCTTCCTCCATCGCGTCATAGACATTCACCTGCGCACCATAGTCTATCGTCTGGGCCAGCTCGTCCTCTGACGTCCCAGCGGCCCAGACGACCACCTCGGCCCGCCAGTGATGTAGGAGCTTGACGTATTCGTGTGGTGATGCTTTGGAGATATCGAATAGGGCTGTATGGATACCTGCGTCTTCAAAGTCTTTGGCTCTGGGGATCAGTATAGTGAGCTTGAGAAGAGTGGGGGATAGACGGAGGACGGACTGATCAGGATTCCGGATGACCGCGACGACGTAGTGTTGCTTCTTTTTGGCTATGCGGCAGATCTGACGGCCGGAGCGACCAGAGGCGCCAAAGACGAGGAAGCGCTTGATCTGCATGTCGAGTGGATTTGGGGGCTACAGACAAGAGGAGGAGGAGAGATGGTGGACTGATCGGGTTGGGCGATACCCGAGAATTGCGGTATGACGTCATCATCCCATCCTCACTTCACGAACTGCTAGGGCGAGCGACATGCAGCGGGTCAGTGTGCTATGTTGCCTCCTTTCAACGGCACGGGAGGGTGATGGATGGTGACAAGAGCCAGTGCGTCGTGCGCCATGATCATTATAACGGATATTGCATGACTGACAGTCCGATGAGGCCGAGATGTGTCCGTCGATCAATACCCTCCACCCGAGTATTTCTGCCGCTCGTTGTTCTGCCTTCTCTGCAGCTCTTCCACCTTCGGGCAGTTCGATATCCCATGTCCAAGACCTAGACTCATCAGAGGCGGCACCGGACCATTCATACTCGGAAGACATACCTCCACAGACCGGACACCCCTGAATTTGACCCCCAATAGCCAACCTCGGATCTTCAATCGACAACAAGAACTCTGGTATCCTACACCGATCAGCCCTGTCCCCTTATCCCCTCCTCGGCAATCGCAAACTCACTTCTGTTTCGCCTCGAGTAAAAGATACTTTAAATCCAACAAAGTCTGCTCTGGCGTATTCATATTGATGAATGTCGTTGCTATACCCGTCTTGCCGCTCCGACCCGTCCGGCCAATCTCGTGGACATAGTCCTCGATCTCCTTGGGCATCGTGTAGACAATGACGTGCTGGATCTCGTTGAAGTCGAGGCCTTTCGACGCGACGCCGCTGGCGACCATAATATCTTTGGCGCCGGTCTTGAAGGATCGGATGGCGTATTCGCGTTCTTCCTGGGCTGCCGGTGTCAGCTGGCAGCGCTTCTAAAACATCGTCAAGCACGATCAAGCTCACTTTTCGATCCGTGGATGGCTACCGCCTCGACACCCTTCAGGAGCAGATACTCCTGGATATCTGCTTGGTCAGCTGCACACTCCGTTTCAATCGGTTCTGAGAGACTCACCGTCCACTTCATTCTTGTTATCGCTAAAGATGATGACAGGCGGCGCAGTCTTCTGCAGACATTCCAGCAGGTACACCATCTTTGCCTCCTGCTTGACATATTCCACCTCCTGGACGACATCCATATTGGCCGCTCCGGCTCGACCGACGTTGACCAGGATGGGGTTGATGAGTGACTGAGCGGCAAAATCTTGGATCTTGCGCGGCATTGTCGCCGAGAAGAGGAGGGTTTGGCGTTGGTGCTGAGACATCAGCTTAAAAGGGTTTTTGGAGCTAGTGTGAGAGGCGTACCTTGAAATGTGACATGATGGTCCGGACGTCATCTTCGAATCCCATATCGATCATCCGATCCGCTTCGTCCATGCACAGGTACCTTTGAGTCAGTTCATAACCTGCACCCGAACGCAAGTCATTGAACTCACTTGCAGCTATCCGCATTGAGCTTCCCCTTCTCCAACATATCCATCAACCTTCCCGGGGTCGCAACCACCATATGTACCCCCTTACTCATCACCTCCTGCTGCTCCCCCATGTTGATACCCCCTATCGCCAACAGCGTCCGCAACTGCGGGTACTCGCCACCCTCCGCCAACGCCGTACAGATCGCCAGGCACCCCTCGTATGTCTGCCGCGCCAGCTCGCGTGAGGGACAGATGATGAGCCCGACGGGTCCTTCCCCGCGGACGAACGGTAGTCGCATTTCCGCTTCGAGGGCGAGCATGATGGCGGGTAAGCTGAAGGTGAGGGTTTTGCCAGATCCGGTAAACGCGATGCCTATCATGTCACGTCCTGTAAATCTAGATGTCAGCATTGACCTGTAGCCCGCCAGCGAGTGAGGTGGTCACTCACGCAGTGGGGAGACCGAGCATCTGGATAGGCGTGGGCTTCTTGATACCCTTGTCTTTGAGGTACTTCAGGATTGGCTTCGGGATCTTCATGTCCTGACTGTCAGCCTCATCCCTGGCATCCGAGCGCAGAGCTCACGTTGAAGTTTGTTATTGCAGGCGGTATATCCACTCCCTCCGCAATGATGTGATTCTTCTCCCTCAGCCTCTCCCTCTCCTCCTCCGTCTCGGCCCGTATGAACGCTGGCGCCCTCCAGCTCGTCTTCAGGCTTTCCGTCCATACTGTCCCCTCTGCGATATCCTTCGCGCCGGCCAGCTTCTTCTGTCCCCTCTCCATCTCGACTAACATCTTGGCATCCTCGACAGCGGCCAGCTCCGCCTTGGACTTGCCCTCCTCTTCGACCTGTTTCCGTTCCCTCATGTCTAGGGCCGCCTGGAGGAGGGTCCGTTCCCGCCTGGCGAGCTCGCGAGCCTGCTCATCCGCATCGAGCATAGACGCAGCGGTCGGCTCGGGTGATGGCTCATCCTCTGATGTCCTAATGCGTTTGGCTCCTCGGGTGCCGAGGGTCTTGAGGAGCTGAGCTCGACGCTTCGCCACTGGGACGTAGGGCTTGTAGTCTGCCGGGAGCTCATACTCCTCCTGCTCGATCGACGGTGGAGGCGATCTCAGCCGCCTGGTCGCGGCTGTCGTGCTCATGCTGCTTGCCTATCTATAAGGGTTGGAGTATATGCGCAAGGGTCGCTGTGGCTGCAAGGTTATTACGGGGGCGATGATCCTATTGCTGATGTAAGCAGGAATGGGACAAGAAGCTGGCGGCGATGACCGCTGTTTCACGTTGGCGAGCGCGCCTCGCTGCAGCTGATTGAGCCTTCCTTCAACTTGCTACTTACTCTTATCACTGCTTACTGCTACTGTACAATACACACCCAGCTAATCCACCTTAATAGGTGAAATTCATTTACTAATCGATCGCATCCACAAGGGCAGCGTAAAAGCAACCCAGGAAACGCATCGTCTGAATCGACTGTTGGACCGGTAAGTCGTCCCGGTCTTCTCGCCGTCGCCACCACGTTCCTGCCCTACGCCGAGCCGTTGCTGATGTCACAGCTCCGCGGACTATATCAGTCAATAGCGCAATCACAAGTATACTACCTAAGTGGAAAGCGGTGCTACTGAAATGGAAGTACGTTGGACCAGCTCACCTGAGAAAGGGTTGCGAAGGGGATGATCTCGGCTGACTGGATTTCAGGCCATTCTGGATTTCTCAAACGACCTGGATATCACGTGAGCTGACTGCATCCTCTGTGACCAGAGTCGACCAGCTGACGCCATTAGTCTCCTTGACCAGGTCGTCCAAGCTTTTGTTGGCGGCACCGGCGAGCAGGTATGAGGCATTTCTTCCTCGTCTCTGACTCCGAGCTCAGCGGCTGACAGAGGCAGCAACAAACAGCTCAACGAGTCTTGACCCAGTTCCAGGAGAACCCGGACGCATGGCAGCGTGTACCAGCGGTGCTCGAAACTTCGAGTAACCTGAACACCAAGGTGTGTATCGGCTTCCTTTCACCCTGGGGCGCCGGGGAGGCTTGTGCTGATTGAGCTAGTACATCGCGTTGCAGATCCTGGAGAAGCTGGTCCAGCAAAAATGGAAGGCCTTGCCTGCAGAACAACAACAGGGTATGTCTGCTTAGCTTGCGCAGAGAAGGAGCTGACAGGGCAGGTATCCGGAACTTTATTGTCCAGGTGACTGTTGACATCTCGTCCGATGAGCAGCGGATGCGGAGGGAGAAGGGATACCTGAACAAGCTCAACTTGGTCCTGGTACAGGTAAGCTGAATTGGTCTGGGGGGCGAGACACACAGCTGATACATCAGATCCTAAAACAGGCATGGCCCAAAGACTGGCCATCCTTCATTCCCGAAATCGTCGCCTCATCACGAACAAACCTCACCCTCTGCGAAAATAACATGATCATCCTCCGTCTCCTCTCCGAGGAAGTCTTTGACTTCTCCGCCGAGCAAATGACACAGGCCAAGACCAAGGCACTCAAGCAGTCGATGTGCAGCGAGTTCTCCGAGGTCTTCCAGCTGTGTAACGAGGTGTTGGAGAAGGCCAACAAGCCGAGTCTGATCAAGGCGACTTTGGAGACGCTACTGCGCTTCCTGAACTGGATTCCGCTCGGGTATATTTTTGAGACTCAGATCATTGATTTCCTGGTGTCAAGAGTAAGCTATCCGCCCCTCAGACAACGGAGGACGATAGCTGACCGTTAGTTCCTCGAGGTCCCAGAGTTCCGGAATGTCACCCTCAAATGTCTTTCGGAGATTGGTGGTCTCAACATCGGTCCCGAGTACAACGACAAATTTGTCACCCTCTTCAACGTTGTCATGACCTCCATCAACCGCATGGTACCCCCCAACACCGGTGAGCTCGATAAATCCGTCCTTTTGCGGTGCAAGCTGACATGTAGACCTTGCCGCTGCATACTCTACTTCGGATGACGAGGACCAGCAACTCATCAACAACCTCGCCCTTTTCCTTACCAACTTCCTGCACCCCCATCTCCGCCTGATCGAGAACCCCGAGAATATGGAACTGCTCGTCAATGCGCATCTGTACCTCATCAAGATCTCGACGGTGGATGATCGCGAGGTGTTCAAGATCTGCTTGGAGTACTGGGGCAAGGCAAGCTATCCTGCGCCGATCGGTGCGCGTACAAGCTGACAATCATAGTTGGTGGCCGAGCTGTATGAAGAGATCCAGTCCTTGCCCCTCAGCGACATCAACCCGCTCATGAACCTCAATCTCGGCGGACTGGGCAGCTCCTCCGGTCTCGGTCTGAACGGCGTGCCGCTCCGGAAGAACATCTACGCCGATATCCTTTCCAACCTGAGATTGGTCATGATTGAGAAGATGGTCAAGCCGGAAGAGGTGAGCTCAACGCTGCACTAGCCAGAGATCGTCAAGCTGATATGACAGGTCTTGATTGTTGAGAACGACGAGGGAGAGATTGTACGCGAGTTCATGAAGGAGAGCGACACGATTGTGCTCTACAAGTCGATGAGGGAGGTGTTGGTCTACTTGACCCATTTGGACGTATCCGACACGGAGCAGATCATGACGGATAAGCTGTCCAAGCAGGTCAGCTAATCCGTACCGAATTATTCGACCGAGAGCAAAGCTGATATAGCAGATTGACGGGTCGGAGTGGAGCTGGAACAACCTCAACACCCTGTGCTGGGCTATCGGGTCCATCTCGGGTGCAATGAGTAAGCTCGCTCGCTTGTTGAGAGGCATAGCTTAAGCTGACGTTATCAGACGAGGAGACCGAGAAACGCTTCCTCGTGACAGTCATCAAGGAGCTCCTCGGCCTGACCGAGATGAAGCGCGGCAAGGACAACAAGGCCGTTTGCGCCTCGGACATCATGTACATTGTCGGCCAGTACCCTCGATTCCTCAAGGCGCACTGGAAGTTCCTCAAGACGGTTGTCAATAAGCTCTTTGAGTTCATGCACGAGACACACGAGGGTGAGCTATTTTCCACTCTGTCTGGTCCGACAAGGAGTATAAGCTCACGATTCAGGTGTCCAAGATATGGCGTGCGACACGTTCATCAAGATTGCGCAGAAATGCAGGAGGCACTTTGTGATGCAGCAAGCGGGGGAGCATGAGCCGTTCATCGATGAGATATTGAGGACGCTGCATCGGATCACGGTCGATCTGGCTCCGCAGCAGGTGAGCTGCCGCGTGGCCCATTAATGACCGTGATAAGCCGAGCTGACCTGGCAGGTCCATACCTTCTACGAGGCTGTCGGGTACATGATCTCCGCCCAGCCCAATCGGCCACAACAGGAACGTCTGATCGACAAACTCATGGAATTGCCAAATAACGCTGTAAGCTGTCTGATTCCCCACCTTCCGGGAGCGAGAGCTGACAAAGCAGTGGGACAACCTCATGCAACAAGCAGCATCCAATGTCGACGTCCTCGGAAACGCCGACAATGTCAAGATCATGTCCAACATCCTCAAGACGAACGTGTCGGCGTGTACGAGTATCGGGTCGTTCTTCCTTCCTCAGCTTGGGCGGATCTGGCTCGATATGCTGGGTCTGTACAAGGCTGTCAGTGGGATCATTAGCGAGCAGGTCGCTACTCAGGGTAAGCTACCACTGTCGGACCGGCTTCGAGTCGTGGCATCAGCTGATATTTTAGGCCTGGTCGCTACCAAGACACCCAAAGTTCGATCTCTCCGGACGATCAAGAAGGAGATCCTGAAGCTGGTCGAGACGTACGTCAAGAAGGCGGAAGACCTGGACGGGGTCAACCAGAATCTCATCCCCGGCCTACTCGATGCTATTCTTGGCGACTACAACCGGAATGTGCCTGCTGCGAGGGATGCCGAGGTGTTGAATGTGGTGGCTACCATCGTGTCCAAGCTTGGCGTGAGTTGTGATAAGTGGACTGGTGGTGTCGCACACAAGCTGACAGATGTAGTCTCTGCTCGCTCCCCAGATTGGCCCTATCCTGGATGCGGTCTTCGAGCCCACACTCGGGATGATCAACCAGGACTTTGCAGAGTATCCGGAGCACCGAGGAGGCTTCTTCAAGCTTCTCCGGGCTATCAACTTGACTTGCTTCGCCTGTGAGTTGGCTCAGGTGGATTCGTCGAGTAGCATAGCTGACCTTCAGCTCTTCTGGAACTCCCACCTGCGCAGTTCAAGCTCGTCATGGACTCGATTGTCTGGGCGTTCAAGCATACCATGCGGGATATTGCCGATATGGGATTGAGCAGTGAGTTGATTCGTGCGGGTTCAGGTGCCTAAAGCTGACATTGCAGTCGCATACGAGATCGTCAACAACTTTGCGGCGTCCGAAGCTGGTATTGCGAACTCGTTCTACCAGCAGTACCTGCTCAGCATGCTGGGTGACGTGTTCTACGTCTTGACGGATGCGGACCACAAGTCTGGTCAGTTTTCTGATTCACAATATCTAGGTGATCCAAAGCTGACACTTCAGGCTTCCGGATGCAAGCAGTCCTCCTCGCCCGACTCATCTCCCTCGTCGAAACCAACGCAGTCTCTGCACCCCTATATGACCCCACCACCGTCCCCGACCCGACCATCTCCAACGCCGACTTCCTCAAGTCTTACATCTCCGACCTCCTCTGCAACGCCTTCACCAACGTCCAGCCCGCGCAAATAGCGCATTTCGTCAATCTCCTATTCAACCACTCGCCCGATCCCGTCAAGTTCAAATTCACACTGCGTGATTTCCTGATCAGTCTGAAGGAGTTTACAGGGGATCACGCCGAGTTGTATATTGAGGAGAAGGAGGCAGAGGCCGAGAAGAAGACGAAGGAGGAGAGGGAGATGGCGATGCGGGTACCGGGGATGATCAAGCCGAGTATGCTGGATGATGATGGGGATTTATAGGCGGCCGGCGACCAGCGTGATGGGGATTTATAGGCGGCCGGCGACCAGCGTGGTAGAGGGGGATCATTTTGTGTAGAAGGTAAACAACAAGAAGACGTATCAATCAGGTTTCTCATTGCTTTTCGTGTGATTTAGCTTTAGGCTGCGGTGGGTGGTGTCGATAGCAGTCCACCTCTGTCTTATTAGTTATGCATGACATCTCTCCGCTTATGAGGTCGACTGGCAGTACAAAAAATAGGTCAATGTCCTTGAGCTAGTAACTACAGATAAACCCATCTATCGTCCTACCCGCCATATCATCAGATCATGCCCCACCCAACAACAGCCAACACCCCTACGGACCCCAACACCGCCGCTGCCGTCCACCCTCCCGCGCCTCCCATCCTGGCCCCCGCCCCGCCCTTGCTCCCTGTCGAGCTCGTCGTCGTACTCGGTCCAGCGGCCGTACTCGCCCCACTCCCCGCAAAGAGCTGTATGTTCCGATAATAGCTGAACTGTTGGGTCGGGGACGCCCAGGTCGTATCGTCTCCGCCGAAGAAGGTGGAGAAGAAGAGTCCGGTGATGCCGGTTATGGAGGATGAGGTGCGGAGGGCTGATTGAGGGAATTGAAGGGCTTGGACGCCGTTGTACCATAGTCTAGAGATTAGCTCCTGGTCACGGACGTACCATCCCCCGACATGGGAATAGGGACATGGCGCAGGAAGGAACTTACTCAATGAGACCATTCGACTTGCCGACTTCGTTCAAGACTACCAAGAGCCAGATGGTCTGCCATTGTCCAGTGAGGAAGGAGAATTGGCCTCGACCGAGCGAGACACCATAGTCGGAATTACAGATGGTCTGGCCTTGCGAGCAGAGGGTCGTTGTTGAGGGGATATAAGCGTAGACTGGGAATCAGCGAGGATTATCCAGGACAGGGAGAGATGGCTCACCCTCTCCTGCACCGTTCTGACGCCACATGAGCCTAGTGCTAAAGCAGCCTGTCCCGTCCGTCTGATTCCCGCCTGAACAGCCGAACCTGTCTGGTCCGCCTCGCAGACCCGGCAGCTTTCCGCCGAGATTGAAGCTGAATGTTAGCGACTGCGACCCCAAGGATCTATCTGGCTTGACTCACTTGTATCCAGCGGGGAACCACACATCGTAGCTCAACAACATCTTCTCATACCCGCCAGCACTGCCGCCTGCCAACGTCGTCAAATTTGAGGTGAACTGCGTTCCGCCCGTCTTTTTCGAATAGGATCCCTGAGGGTATTCTACCCTCAGTACCGGAGGCTGGCCCGACAGGTTTGTGGATGATGGCGAGGTGGCTGAACCTGTCGCTGATTTCGAGGTGGACCGGGAAGTGGACGAGCTGGCTCTGATCGAGGCCGTCGAGGATGCGGCGGAGGTAGGGACCGTCACGCCCCCTTGGCGCCTGACGACGGTGGCCGAAGTACTTGCCGGGTCCGGAGAGAAGACACTGCGCTGTCAGCAAGGTTTCGAATACCAACTGTGAAAGATGGAATACGCACACGTCGTTTTCCCCAAAATCGAGCTTCCCGCCCGTTGCGTCCCACTTGCTGACGATCCACTGGGCCGCATCGTCGCTGTTGAGCGTGGTGGTGGGTACGGAAAAGTTGTACGAAGCGGCGGTGAGTGAGTAGGCGGAGATGACGGACTGGAGAGTGTCGGCTAGGACATGCCCTGGAAGGAAAGGTAAGGAAAGTAGGAGGATCGAGAGGGAGTGCATTTTTGCCGCTCGCTCGCTCGAGGTGGTTTCGATGGGTGGAAAGTACTTGAGCAGTACTGGCTTGTGAATCGGGCAGACGGCGCACAGTCCTCAAGATAAATGATACGAGGATATAGGGAGACCAAACGAAGATGAAGCTGAAGCTGAAGACAAAGAACTCAAAGCGGTGCGATCTGGACCATGTTGTTGCTCCGTCTATTTTCAGCGGGCAGAGACGCGCAGTCGCCGCCGACTACATTGAGACATCGTTATCTATCTGCATGTAATCGACGTGTATATCGCTGTGAGCAGTACTTGGCGGTCTTGGGGAACAGTCCGGAGAGAAGCCTTGTCAAAGTACGGATTGAGGACTGACGGTCGACCAAGACGCGAAGACAACAGCCCTTCTCGCGCTCTCCAACTTCAGCGATCTGGCCTTCCCACCTGCTCCCTCGCTGCAGTCAGTATAGGATAGCTCAGCACCCGCAACACACCCTGGATCTTGGAGCTGATTCTCTGCGCGTACAGTCTTGCTGGCATGCCTCACACCTCACACATCCTGACGCGTATCGACACACGTTGATGGACCCTCCAAGCTCCAAGTCGCGTCCTCCACCCTTACCCCACCCTGCACCCGGCCCTCGTCGCCGGCAATCTGGTCATCCATTGCTCGCTACATTGCGAGGGATCGAGCCTACCAGTCCACCATTAAATCTGACATGCAGAATCAATCAAATATCATATGAAGAGTCGTACTGCAAGCGCTACCGGCAATGCCAAATGCATGACCTAAGCTAATAGATCCACCGTTACTCATTCCATCATTCTCCTATATGTCATGCACTCTCGCCCGCTTCCCGCCAGCACTCACGAGAGCGATAGCGGGCAGAACTTGTACTTCGCTTGCACACATTGCAGATCTGGGGTGGGGCTTGCAGAGGCCGTATATAGCTGTAGATTAGACCTGATGTACCACTTCCGAAGGAGCTCGCGACCCTCGTCTACCGGACTGTATAATAAGCGGTCTGTCCACATGTGCACATGGATCTCCAGAAGAGTCGTACTCGATCCCCTTGCTGCGGCAGTGAAGTAGAGCGCGTACTTCGGTTGTGCAGATGCGAGCCATAGCCGCTCATACCGTCCCTCCCGAGTCTTCCCGGGGCCCCGGGAAACGTAACCGGCGCCGGACGCAGTACGATATCTGCCCGTCTCGCAGACTGGATCGACTGGAGGCGGCTGCAGGCCGTGATAGAGACAGCCTCCGCCCAGATCGGGCAAGTCAGAAGTAGCTCCGAGAACGCAGCGGGAGTGCTGCAGAGGTCCGAGCTTGGACCTGCTTGAACAGGAACGGGAGGGCTCGAGCGCGACGGCTAAGGAATGCTGGCCTTCGTCGCTGCGCTGATCGACGATCAGATGCCTGTCCCCTCAAAACGCGCTCAGCCATTTACTCCGCCCGGCCAAGATCTTGTCACGCCGATCCTTCACTCCATACCACATGCTCTAGCTCTCACGCTACCAGCTGAACTGTGAAGTAGCATTCTTCGGCCCAAACTTCAAGGTCCGATGAACTAGCTCTGATCAAAGATCGGCGCCGCTAGTCCGTTCCTGAGGATGTCACGCCACTTTCTTATCTTCCGGTGATATTACGGCATTGATGTCACGCTCCTCCCTTATCTTTGGCTGGGAAGATCAAGACGCGACAAGAGGCATATAGCTTGACGGATGGGACGGTGCGTCGTGTGCATACCGCGATGATGGAACCGGCGATTACATCACGATAATGGGAGCATGCGGATGGTTCGGAGGTGAATGTAACGCCGAGACGGACATGGCTGGAGCCGACGCCGAGACTTCTTGACGCGACCGAGCGCGTCGAGCATGTAGGAGCGGCTCAGTCAGCCGAGCTGCATGTATCTGAGACCAGGGGCAGATGATATCATGTCAGTGTCTCAGACCCGAGTAAACACCAGCCCGGTCCAGCATACCAGGCAGAGACAGAAGATGTCTCACGCGCCTGAAGGCAACACCGCGCTCATAAAGCCAACTCTGCGATATTTCGTTTGCCTATCGTCGCCCGACTTGTTCGCTCTACCATCAACCTTCTTACTCTTTCTCAGGCCCGGCGCCACTCCACACTCTTTCTTCAGTCACACACGGTAACCTCCGCTGGTCGGCATCAACTCAAAGTCAAACGCCACTGGAAATCGCGTGACACTTTTCTTTTGCCGCCTCTTACGCAATCGCCCCTTTGCACGTTCCGCGCCGGCAGCGTTACCGTTCTTGTTCCCTTTTGACCTTTGGTCGACGTGAGTGACGGACCTTGATCTTTCGGCGTGCCAAAAAGTATAGGAGGGAGAGGGCCGGGGCTAGGGGCCGATAAGGGAATGAGCGGAGTGCCGGAACGTCGGTTGTCACGAGCCAAAGTCTAACGGCTGGCGTCATCCGTTACACCCTCTTGATCTATTACTCACATTCACTTAGCGTATAGACTTACCCTTACCCCTGGCGGGCTCACATTCTTTCTACGCGACGATCACCACCTACCTCCGCTCCGAACGGCTCCTCACCGCGCAGCGCGCTCCACTCTCAAGTTCTTTATAACCTGTAGGTCTCTTCTTCTCATTCACGCACCATCCTCTCCTCCACATAATTTGTTTCACATTACATCCCGCCTCCTCTTATCTGCCACTTGCCACACTCCTCCTCCACCGCTCCACCGCATCTGAGACAGGTTCCAGATTACCGCTCCTAACACCAACCAGCCTCTCCGCTCATTCTACAAAACGCGCTTCCGCTCCTCTCGCTACTCCTTCTAGCAATGTCCGCCTTCGCCCAATCCATGTACCCTAAGGGGACCCCTCGGTTCGAGCCCGCCAGCCCAGAATTCGAGGACCGCATTCACCCCGCGTCTTTGTCTACCTGCGGCGTCCACAACCCGGCGCTCTTGGAGTTTATCAGGACGGATGTGTCTGAGGAGCTAGTTTGTGAGTAGCTCGCGTGCATCGGCATGGGCTTAGCTGATTTTATAGACTTCCTCTCGATGCGCACCACCGAGGTCATCGCTTGCTCCACGACAATCCCTTCCCTCCCCACTCCTCCTCAGACCCCCGTCAAGAAGGGCAGCTCCTCCACTTCCTCCTCATCAGCCGGTCTCCCCTCCCTCGAAACCTTCATCGGTCACGTCTGCGAGCAGTCCAACGTCCAGGTCTCCACCCTGCTCGCGACCCTCGTCTACCTCGAGCGGCTCCGTCACCGTCTCCCCAAGGTCGCCAAGGGCATGCCCTGCACCCGTCATCGCGTCTTCCTGGCCACCCTCATCGTCGCGGCCAAATACCTCAACGACTCGTCCCCCAAAAACAAGCACTGGTGCCGGTACGCGCAGATGTTTAGCCAGGCGGAGGTCAACCTGATGGAGAAGCAGCTCCTCTACCTGCTGGACTATGATCTCGGAATTACCGAGGGGGAGATTACCGGACATTTCCAACCCTTCCTCTCCCGGTACAGCTTTGACGACGAGCCCGTCCTCTCGTCTTCGTCGTCATCGCCCGAGATCTCCTCCCCGGTTAGCCCCATCACCCCCCCATCCTCCGGCCCCATCAGGCATCGTCGCACCGTCTCGCGCGATGGCAAGTCGTACGCCGCACCCCCACTCGACCGGTCCGGCTCGTCGTCATCCCTCGAGTCCAACGACATGCCCCTCACACCTACCCAATCCTCCTCCCCTTCCCCCCGCCGCCAGATCCACGCCTATGCCAACGCCAAGCGTTCCGCATCCGCCGCCATCCGTCCTCCACCCGCAGTCTACAACCCCGCTACCTCGGCAGCCGGCGCACTCCCTCGCTCAGTCACTAGCAACGCGCTCAGGCGGCTCGAGCTGGCCAATGCTGCCGTCTCGGTCCAGCCCACCAAAGCCCCATCACCCAAGGAGCAATCCTCCGTCTTTGCCCGTATACTCCGGATGGACCGCCGTCGCCGACCATCACGCGTCGAGCTGGACGAGGAGGAAGCGCCTACGATCGGCTGGCCGGCGCTCTAAGCCGGTCGTATGGGGAGGGGGATAGAACCTTTTTGGGCTTTTGGGTTTCGCAAACGACCTCGGTCACATCACTGTAGCATCACCATCACCATCATCATGACCACGCTCGGGTCAATCGGGACCCATCACACTCTCTAGACGATCAACACTCCTTGGCGGATATATCGGAATCATGTAAAACCCTCTTGTAGAGGCACGGCGCGGCAACGAACGGAAACCTAGATGGGGACGGAACGACAAGTAGCTTGTATTGTAGCGCATAATATAGCTCCTTATAGCCCTGCAGCGCAGGAGGTAGACGTAAATGTAGACAAGACTTGTCGATGGATACATGACACCTTACCTGCCGTCGTGACTCACCACTGAGCTTGATCTATCATTGACTCAGCTTGATCTATGCCAGCTCGACCTCGACCTCGCGCTGCAGCTCGTCAATCTAACATTATTCAGATGCACAGACAACAAGGTGAATTCTAAACTATGCACAACCACATTAAAGACAACCGAAATCTACCACCTCAAGATGGATGTCCGGGATGAACCGAACAATTTTGGTGACCCCACCTCCTCTCCTCCCAGACCCTCTTCTCTCCGCGCCTAATCCCTAAACCCGCCGGTCTTGGTCTTGCCATCATCCTTCTTCGGCCCTTGAATCCCCAACCTCTCAAACCGATCCGTCAACCAGTCCCTCGCGACCTTGCCGTCCCGCTCATACTCCTCCACACTGATGGGCTTCTCCGCGTGCGGGGTCACGCGCAGCCCGTGCCTCAGACTGGGGTACGCATCGAACGTCGCCGAGTGGTTGACGACCCGGTTATCCCAGATCGCCACGTCCCCAGCCTTCCACTGCCACTTGACCGTCGCGTCCGTCTGCTGCGCAAAGCAGTCTTTGAGGAAGGCAAGGGTGTTGTCGGACTCGGCCTTGGGGACACCGACGAGGCGGGTGACGAAGCCTGGGTTGACAAACACGGCTTTGAGGCCGGTGACTGGGTGCACGCGGACGACGGGGTGGACGGTTTCGATGGGCTCTCGGCGGGGGACGGTGTGGACCGCAGATCGCGAGGCGGCTTGGTTGTAGCCGGTGTGGAGGGCGGTGAGGGATTCGAGGTATTTCTGGTAGAAGGGAGAGAGGGAGGAGTAGACGGCATAGCTGAATGTTAGCTTGGGTACCGTGCTTGTGGAGATATGCAGACTCACCCAGAAGACCAGAGGGTGTCATTGCCGACGTCGGGGGTGACCAGCAGACGCAAAATAGTCGCTCCTGGCGGTTGCTGCTCGTATGTCACGTCCGAGTGGAACAGCTCGGCGCGGGAGAAGGCGAACATGTCTGGGCGGGAGTTGCGGTCAGAGTAGACGACTGCAGGGTCAGTGACGGCCTGCTTCACTTATCTACTCATACAGCCATCAGACATGAGACTTACCGACGACATCGTCCAGGTCTGCTCTGCGGGGAACCGCATAAGTCGCGTGCTTGTGCAGCGGTCCAAAGTGTGCTCCGAGGTCTCGTTGAGACTCAATCGTCATGTCTTGTTGTCCGCGGAAGAAGACTACGCCTTTCTGAGCGACAAGGAGCGCACTACTTGATCAGCAAGACTCTTCCATAGGGTCGCACGACCAACCCAGATTACGATTGCACCGGAGAAGATCAACTTACAGGTCATCCTTCTCATCGTCGTTCAGCTCTCCCAACTTGACGTTCTCTCCCTCAATGACAGTCCCGACGCAGATACCCAGCTCCCTGATCGTTCCTCCTCGGGATTCGACAAAGCGGCGAAGGCGGGCGCAGTTTGGGTCGGCAAAGTGACCTCGGTCCGTGATGTCAAACATGGGCAGGGCGGGGTCGGGGTGGGAACGCTTGGGGTTGTGTGCTGGCGAGTCAGCATGGGTCCAACAGGGTGATTGGGCACGTCGCGTGACCGCTTATGAGTGTTTGATGGGGGCTGATGGGGAGGGTAGAACTCACGGAGGAGGTCCTTGAATGGGTAGTCTGGGTCTACATCACCCATGACTTCGCCCTGCTATATCAGCATTGGACTTTGACGTCAATCCCGTGGAATGTGTGGTCACGCGACCGTTTGATGGGGACTCACGACGTAGTTGAAGGGGTCGACGAGCTTGGCGTCCTTCTCCTGCGCCTGGGCCGAGCCGTTGGCATGGCCATTGCCATTCGAGTGAGCGTGGCCGTTTCCATTGGCCTGCCCGTTGAGCTTGAGTTTGCCGACCGAAGCAGAGAGGGACTGTGCGGGGGTCGTCTCTGTGATGACTGCCATTGTCTGCTTATTGTCCGATAAGGTGGGGGCGTTGATGGGTTGTTTTGGCGCTGGACCTCGAGTGTTATTCCGCTGTCGATAGCTGCTTGTATAGATCTGTATGATATGTATGATGTCTATGTGTCTATGAGGGTGTATGTTGATGACGCCGAGAGAGGGGGAAGTGATTGCACCATCAGTACTTTTTCCAACCTCCGTGAGCATGGCTCAGTTTAGCTTCGGCATAACGTGATGCTCTCGGCATTCAGGCACCTTGAAACAGGGTCCAGACGTTGCCTCGACGGAAATGCCCCGGCGAGCCCCGCCGACGCCGCCACCGCCCGAACAGCGCCGAATACCTCAACTCTGAAACAGATTACGTAGGCAGCAATTCGCCACACTCTGCGAAGCTCGGCGACAACCGAAATCCCCGCTCAGCCAACAGAGTTCTCGCTGAGCCTGCAGCTCGCTTTCATACATATACTCGTCGATGCCTAGGCAATCTCGCTATACTCTGCAGTCAGACCGCCAGCGTCGGCAAGGAAGAGCAACATCTCTAGTGGATTATGCCCACGTATCTCCTGTTCGTTGGAATAATGGGCGGATGGGTCGAAGTTGGGCAGACATATAAGTCGGATGGTCACATGCATCATCATCACAGGACGGACTCAGTGTAGGGCAGCGGTTGACTGTGTCGTTGGCTCCCGGGAGAGAATTGCCCGTAAGCAGGAAGGCTGAGAACAAGCTGGGACGCATCGCTCGGACCTCTTTGCGGAATGAGGATTTCGGTGGCGGACGAATGTGGCACCCGCTCGCAGGTTGCTTATTGGCTCATCACGCCGTCCCGCTGGTCTCACCCTGCCCGTGTAGTGCGACGGTGATCTTCCTGGCCACGTCGTCAGCTGCTCACGCGTCCTCCAGCGCTCCACGCCCGAAGTGAGACATCCTCCGCCGCCACACAGCGCAGCGCCGTTCGGTGAGGATATTGCCGTTAGACGTGAGTGTGGCACCCACTGGTCCGTTTCAGCCTTGTCATTCATGTCATTCGCTCGAGCGTACATCTCCCTCCTTCACGCTCCAAGCCCTCAGTCCCATTCAGTCTGTGCTACTAGTCTCCGACGCCTTGCATAGTAAGCGATAAGTGGCGGGTCCGCTACGGTCGGAAGGAGGTCCCATACACGGCAAGTTCTCAAACGCCACACACACCTTTCGCCAGCCTTCCACTCCCTTCTCTTTCGCACTTCCCCTCATACATACATACCGCGACGATGGACCCCTCTCCCCTCGCTGGACCATCTAGCAGCCAGTCTCAGCTCCCCTCTGTCGCTGCACCACCCACGGCGAACGCTGAGACTGCCCCGACTCAAAGCGCACCCAGGAACGACCACTGCGATGAGGCACCAGCTCCTGCCGCCACGTTCATCGCTATCCCCAAATCCCACTCAGCCGACACCACCTCGGACGCTCAACTCGAGTCAGATGAGCGCTCCACTTCGGGGCCTTCCCCGCACCCGCTGCAGTCCGACACCGTCAACGGCGCAGGCGCTGGGAGCCAAAGGGCAGGTGCCACTTTCAGCTTCGATAGTAATCCCGTAATGGATCGTCGAGATCCAGCTGGCAATACACCTCCATCATTGGGTGCTGAGGCGGAACCCAGAAAGAACGGCGAGGGGAGCGGGCGGAGCCTCAGGTTGACTATCGGCGGTATGGATGCGCATGGCAGTAGGGCAGCTTCAGAGGCGAGAGCTGGCGAATTGAGGGCAGGAGAGTGAGTGTGGCACCTCCAAACCGCCTCTCTTTTATTCGCTTACTCCTCCCCTCGACCTGTTTAAAGGCGCAGCCACACACCTCCTCACCAGCCTCATTCCGATATATGCATAGCGCTGACATCACAGACCCGCACAATCGATCACCCCCACCCATTCCCCACCCCGCTTATTACCCAAGGCCAAACGTGTGGGACGTCCGCCCAAAGGCATCAACGGCGCAGACGACGGGAAGGCGAGCGGTCGCGACCCGGCAGCTGGGTCTAGCAGTCAAGCTCGCCGCCCCCAGCCTATCCAACCCCGTCCGGAACATGTCATCGCCAACGAGTTACCCCTCCACCCCTCCTTGCGGTCAAACAATGCCGAGGCGGGCCCTTCACACACGCACCACCCAGTCGAGAACGGCGTAGACATTGGAGGCGACACGATCATGCGGGATGTCGCCGAGGGGCTAGTGCAGGAGCAGCGGCGGAGTCTGCGGGGGAGAGCTGCGCGCTCAGGCCTGGCTACAGACCGAGCGGAGGCTGTTGCGGGCGGATCAGAAATGAGTATCATTGCTGGTGTCAACGCAAGTGGGAAGGGCGTCAAGATTGGGGGAGCGGGTAAGATCGGGACAGGACCTGGCGGGGTACAACGCAAAAAGAAGAAGGGAGATCTCGAAGCTGTAAGTCGGCATCAAGCAGGCTGGACCCTAGCTGATGTTCCAGCCCAACCAGGACTTCTGCTCAGTATGTCGCGGTGTCGGCCGATTCCTCTGCTGCGATGGTTGTCCACGTTCCTTCCACTTCATGTGCCTTGAGCCGCCTTTACGAGTGGACGAACTCCCGCAGGAAGAGACGTGGTACTGCAAGAAGTGCAAGGATGATTTTGTGAGTTCTTCTGCTATTTGACTTGCCCAACTCAGCTGAGCGTAGGCCAACGAGAACAAATCCTCTGGAGCGCTAACCGGTCCCTCTCCGTCGCCTGCACCTGGCGGACCCCCTGCAAAGCCTACACTACGGCCCATCCCGGCAACATTCAGGATGCTCGTCAAGCGCGTGGACGAGGAGAATCCGATGCAGTTCCGCCTGCCTCTCGAGGTCCGGATGTACTTTGCGGGTGTGGGGGAGACGGCGGCGGGAGGGTACTTTGAGGAGGTGGAGACTGGGCGGAAGTCTGAGTGAGTTTTCTCTATAGGCTACTTGGGTGGGCGGGGCGCAGGTGTGACAGCGCTCGGGCCGCCTAAGGGGTCTGGCATCTGGACATGGCAAATGCGGTGGCGCAGGACTTTCATTCTGCGATCTGCGAAATCAAAGTGATGAGCGCTGACTATTCTAGTCGCAAAGGCTTCGATGCTGAACGCGATCCTACCCGCCTCAAAGACTCCCGCTCTCGCCTCGTCGCGTGCTACGTCTGCGGCGGCACGTCCCTTCCCGACAAGACGCTCGCGACCGATCCCGAACCCGCCTGGCGCCTCATCGTCAGCTGCGACTATTGCGCCCTGCACTGGCACCTCGACTGCCTGAGCCCACCGCTCGCGACGGTCCCGAATCTGATCGGGAACAGGAAGTGGATGTGTCCTAATCACGCCGAGCAGGTCATGGTGAGCTTCAGGGACCTCACCTACGATCTAGACCTGAGCTGACCAGTAGCCTCGCCGCCGGACTGTTGCTGCTGGCGTTGAAACCGTGGATGTCAAACACCTCGCGACGCCCAATAATGGCAACATTGTCATTGTACCAGAAGCGCGTCGACCTCAGTTGTCGATCGAGGATATCATGGTGAATAGGCGGAAGTATAGGGTTCCGGAGCGGATCATCCAGCTGGACTTTTTCGATCGCGTCAAGGGGTGGGTTCTTGGTTGCTCAAGTGATGGTATACAGCTGATCTATAGGCGGAAGAGAACTCCTCCACCGGATGCTGAAAGAGGGAGGCGCTCGGGATCCGAGTCGAGCTCGGGCTTGACAAGTCTGGGAAGTGACAGTCCGCCGGTAAGTCTTCGTTTCTAGGAGGTAAGGTCTCATGTTGAACGAGCAGACCAATCGACACGACCTGGAAGCGGTCCGGCTGATTATGGGCTTATCCTCGGCCAAGCCCAATCCGGTCATCCAGCCGGCACGCGCAGACGTCCAGGCCCGTAACGGAGCCGGCCCCTCCCTCCCGACGCCTAGTGCTGCAGAGCCAATGGTCATCGATGACGATGACGAGGACGACCGGCTCTCCCCTCCTCCTCCAGCCCGCATTGCTCCCCGCGCTCCACCTCAATCACCAAAGATCCGCCTAGCGATCGGCCCGTTGGGGTCGCCCAAGGCAAAAGAGGCTGCCACAAAAACTCCAATCGTGAAACTCAAGCTTCGACAGCCGGTCATTACAGGCTGGCAACCTCCACCGGAAATCGCTCCCCCTCTCAGCTTTAAGCCGGGCTCTAGCGCTGCTGTACCTCTCTCCATGGCACCTCCGTCCCTCAATCGCTCGTCTGTCCGTCAGGCACCCCTCCCCGTCCGCCCTCCCGCTCAGGCGGACTCCTCCGGCGATCTTTCGCCTCCCCCTCCACTATTCAGTCTCCTCCCCGCGGACCGCAAAGGTAAAGGTCGAGCCGTACCTAGGACGAACCCATCGCAGACTACTCCGGCCACTGCGCATCATGCCCGAGATACCAGCGGGACCGACGCTACGGGCTCGGAAGTCGACCAGCTCGACTCGCGCGTCGCTTCTCCCAGGATATCCGCCCTTAATACCCGGCGCACGGCCTCCGCATCCAGCTCCTCACGCAAGCGCAATGCGGAAGTCGTCTCGGAGGGGGAGAGCGAGATGCCAACTCCGTCGGAAGCATCGCCTGTACCCACACCCGCCAAGCCTGCTCGGAAACGGACCAAGGCCAAGGCGCCGAACACCCCACTCCCGGGCTTGGGGGTAGCTGGGCCGAGTACAGCTTCCGGTTCCGGCTCAGGGCAAACTCCGGGGGGTCAGGCGGGTCCGTCCAGCGCACCACTGCCGCAGTACATCCCGCCCCAGATCACGGGGGCGATGGCGCTTGCGATGCTGGACGCGGTCAAGGCAAGTGGGGATGGGAGCATCCCGCTGAATGTGGCCAAGGCGCTGGCGGAGGCCACGAGGGCGGATATGCGGAGGCAGCGAGAGGAGGAGGGGCGGCGATAAAGGAGAAGGGGCGGTCCAGGCTCAGGGTGTCCCGGGGGGATCGGTGCCTGAGGTCAACGCAGAGAGGCGGGGGTAATGCAATGTCGATTGGATGGAGGTGGGTACTGCATGATGAAGAAGGACTCTGTCGTGCCGGGATTGGGGGAGACGAGGGGCGGCGAGTGGTTATAGCTGCGTGAGGCGGTTCTGGTGGATGTCGAAGTGGTGAAGGTGTTTGTGACTTTAGTCGGCGATGTCGGGTCCTGGGCTTGACGAGTGACGAGTAACGAGAGTATTGACGAATATCGGCTTGACGTAGACCAGAGTAGCAGCATGCATTTGCCTGCGTCCCGTTCTACCGGAGAAATCTACACTGTCATGATTCTATCTCATCTCTAGGATCTATCAATAACCCTCTCATTCCTTCCATTGGATCGTCACCAAAGCCGCTAGCTCTGAACTAGACCGCTTCAAGCCATGGCCCGCATGGCCAGTTCGAAGGCTACGAACGTGGCCCCGTTCGCGAACGGTGATCTAAAGAAGTCAGCTCTGTCCCAGCGCACCTCATGAACCGCGTACGCGCCGGCCAGTGGAATCATAGGAAACGCTCACCGTATAAGTGTCGGCGCAAGACCGCCCGTGAACCCCCTCCAGCCCTGCTTCCGGAACGTCTGGACCGCACAATCGACCATACCCTTGTACTGCCGCTTGGCAGGGTCAAGTGAGTCGGTCTGGAGCTTCGACTTGACGACGTCGATGGGGTAGACACTGACTGTAAGCTATATTCTATTCACCAGTGATGGCGGGAAGATCAGCTTACCTGGCCCAAAGAGCGTACCCCGCTGCAGCACCGAAAGTGACGGCCCATAATGGCGAGATATCTTCCCGCTTGACGCCGTTGACGCGGATATGCCGCTGAACGAGGTATTCGTACGCCATGAAGTATGATCTGAAGTTGTCAGCTTCGAGCCCGCCTTGGCGACACAGACTCTAGCTTACCCATATCCAATACCGTCTCTCCACATGGTAGCTACCTGTCCCTTGAAGATCCCGGCAATGCCATTTTGCCGATACAGCTTGACGGCGCAGTCGAGGGGTCCAGCGTACAGCTTGGGAGTGACTTCGGGCTGAGTCTGGAGTCCTGTCCCTCAGCTTGTCTCCTTCTCCGACAGCTATGGGGATGATACCGTACGTATCCTGATATGTTCAACAGGATTCGCAACCACCGTGTTCGCTACCCCTGCGAACGCTCCGGATGCCCATAATTGGCCAAGACCCAGCTCAGCTCCTACAGGATTCCGGCCGTTGAAGAACCGCTTGGCTCGCTCGAGGGCTGCGAATTGGATCGAAACGCAGGCGCCGATACCGAGTAAGGGAGTGAGTGTTCCCTGGGGAATCAGTACAGATCATCAGTCCGGCGGTCAGTACCTCAGCCACCTCTTCGTAGCGCCTACAAACCATGATGGCAAAAGGCAAAAGATGCTCACCTTGTAGAAGCCGCGAGCGCCATCAGCCTTCAAGAGCTTGGTAGCGCAATCGAGCGGACTGGAGAAGACGCCAGGAGCAGCGGTCTGCACTCGGACCTTGACGATATCAAACGGCTGCCTTGTCAGTTTCGCGTATCGTAACTTTCCGAGAAGTCTAGTAGGCGGTATAGCTCACCTGCCCGACCAAGACCTGCGCGATCCCACCTATACTGCCCCCAATCAGATCCTTCTGGGTTTGGGTCATACGGAGACCGGGGGTCGAGGGCGGAGGGGAGATAAGCTCAGACATCTCGCTCTACAGCTTGAAGTATTCCTGCGGTTACAGCCTTGAGGTCTGGCGGTGAGAGACAGTAGAGCCCCTGCCCTTTCTCGGTCTGGTGCGTAGATATGAGATAGAAGCAAGTAGGACATCCGAATTTTTGCTTCTCTGACCTCGCCTCCGTGCCTGACTCAAGTTTCAAGATCTGTATCAGATAACGAATCGTCATCCTCCTCTTGCTCATCACCTCAACAGCTTGTCTACTATCACTTCAACTTCAAGATGGACACACAGCCAGTACAGGGAGCTACAAATGGAGAGAACGACGAATCCGTGCTTTTGAACGAGGAGGGAGTGGCAGGAGGGTCGATAACGAAGCGGATAGAAGATAAAGTACGGGCGGGGTTGAAGGTCGAGCATTTCGTGCGTGACCTCTTCCCTTCCGATCTCATGCCTATTAGGCCAGAGGTACAGGCGAAGAGGAGAACCCAAGGCTGAACATGGTGTAGGAAATAGTAGATACATCCGGCAACTGCGGCTCCTCTTTCGCTATCATCGTCGTGTCTCCCGATTTCGCAAAGAAGCTGCCTCTGGCGAGACATAAGATGGGTAGGTAGCGATCATCTATGCAGAATACGAGTAAGCAGAGCTGATGGGCAGTGAACCAGCTCTTGACCGAGGAGATTGCCCAGTTACATGCCTTTTCTCAGGTCGGTAATTCCTACCGATCCCAATGAGCGATGCTGATCAAGCAGAGATCGTTGACACCCGAACAGTGGGCCAAGGAGAAGCGCTAGACAACAGACCGCCAGCAGGATGCAGATGTAGCAATAAATTCCTAAAGCTACGTGATGGCTGACGACAGCTCTACTCTACAACTGCCAGCTCGGACCCCATCTTCAAGCTCAGATCCCCCGCCAATATCCGCTTCGCCTCTGACGCGCTGCATCTCTTCCGCAACATCCCTCTCAGCCCAATACGGACGTCTCCATTCCCCAACGACATCTCCCACAGGCCCTCCCTGACCTCCTCGCTCAAATCAACACCAGACAGCCACTCCTCCGCCCTCTCCCGATCCTTGATCAGCAAGAAAGAATGCACCATTGCCAGCGCTTCTCGCACGCTGATGTCCCCCCTCCTCGCGTGATGCGCCAGCAAACGAGCCTCGTACACCCGTACAATGGCCGAACAGCGGGCCCGGTCTGCCCTGAGTACTCTGACGAGATCGACGAGCTGGGCGCCGCCGAGGTTAACCATGGTGCCGGACCAGTGTTGAAGGAGGATATTGAGCAAGCCGCGCTGCTCCGACAGGGGCATGTCGCGCTTGGCGATGAGGGTGATCATGGGGATGGCGATGGGGAGGGTGGTGGAGGGGTCGAGATGCGGTAGTTTCTGAAAGAGGCCGAGGAGGATTTCCGAGGATACGTCGGGGGATTGGGCAAGACGAAGGATGTTGGTAGCCGAGATGGACGGGCGGCGATGAGGTGGGAGCGATTTCCAGATGTCCAAAGGAGTACTGTCTTGCTGAGCCGCTCCTGGCTGACGAGGCAAGGAGAAGCGAGTGTCGAGCCAGGCGTCGAACAGAGGACCTGGAATGGGAGGACAGCTGTCCGCCCTCGCCATTCTCAGAAAAACCTCCATACACCATTCCAGCCCCCGAACGTCCTTGCCCGCCTCCGCTCCCTTGCACACCTCCAACACCAACTCAATCGCCTCCCTGGCAGCATGTATCCCGCTGCCTTCCAGTGCCATTTCAAGCAGTTCCTCTGCGTGTTTCCTCGACCTTGCTTCCATGCCCCAGCTCATGCAGCACTTGACCACCGCCCCCAGCACAAGCATGTGCCGCCTTTTTGGATGGGGTCCGAGATTGCGGAGCAGAATGTTCCGGGGCAAAGCCTCATCCCGCACAAGCGAGTGCAGCATGCTGAAAGCCGCCACCGGGTCCTTGCGTGCGATACGGGTGACGAATGTCAAGAGGAGGTATCCGGTGTCTGGCTGGTTGGACTGCGTGGGTGCGGCGATGCGCATGCCGTGCCACGCCTGCACGGTGGCCGAGGTATCCTCGAGCGTCTCCATCGCCCTGCAAATCAGGTGATGGGTCCGAAAGCTGAGTTGCCATTTAGGTCCGCCTCGCCGTACCTGCCAGCCGATGATAGAGTTGATGGACGCGATGAGGGAGGGGCGAAGGAGGTCATCGTCGGAGGGGGGTGATTTTGTGGTGTGAGCCTCCAGTTCGAGAAGATCGCGGAGGAGCCGAGGATCGGGATACCGTAAAAGGAGGTCCGACACGAGCAGCTCGCTCTCGCCAGCCTGCTTGAGCCTTGGATAGACCGTACCGAGGCACGAGTGGACGCACTGCAGGAACGCAGTATACGTCGGTCTCGATCGCAGCGCGAGGAACGCCGCACTCGGATCGAAGAGTACCCCACTATCCCCCTGTTTTGCCTTTGCCTTTGCCCTTCCCTTTCCGCGCGACCCAGGATCGGGGAGGAGCAGTGCCTGGAACAGCTCCTCATCCGTCGCGAACTGTAACGCCGCGACCGCTGGGTCGGGTTTGTCAAACCAGAATGGATGATCGAGGGTGTACCGCGAGGACGTGGCGATAGGCATGGGGGTTTGTACGGCTTGGGATCGGGGTGGGATCGAGGGGTTGGAGATGGATTGGGAAGTGGAAGGGATGGAGGAGAGGCCCGTGGCGAAGGATCGGTGGGGCTGGTGTGTGGGGACCGAGGTGCGCAGGAGCGAGAGTGTCTTTCTGCATCTAAGGAGAGTTAGCTGTGGCGACCGATAAGAAGTCATCGATCTGCTCACCTTGACATGGCTGTCGTCCTTCGAATTCGCCTCTTTCCAAGCCTGTGCTCCTTACTCAGATGATTGCTATCTTTGACCTCTGCTAGTAGACCTGATACCGGTCTATGCGTGTGATGAACGATGAAGATGAAGAGCAAAATCAAAAAGTCTGTGCGAAGCCGAGATGTCATCGGCTCCGTCCGATTTGGCCGAACAGCTTGCGCGCCAAAATTTGCCTTTCTACCATACATCTCCGCTTCTTGTCGCTACAACACATCATGGTAAGCTCCAGCCCAACAACCGAGCTCACAGGGGCCTGGCTGATAGTACAGCCCAAAGCCTTCCGAACCAAGCTAAGGCAACATGCGCCAGCAGCGGCGTTGCCATCCAAGCGGTCTTTTGCGGTTGATGAAGCTAAAGAGGTGATCCTCCCTGGGTCGGCTCTGCCTGTAGAGGTGCGTCTTTACTGACATGGCGCAATAATGCTGCCTCTTCAGACCGAAATGGTGTGATTTGGACTGACTCGATACAGGCCAGCTCGAACCCTTTTGCCAGCGCTGTAGCCGGCCCATCCAGGAAGAAGGGTCTTGTGATCCCTCAGTCAGGTACGTGCAGTCAGGCTGATCCCCTAGGAATGAGTAGTGCAAAGAAACTGACCCTACAGCCATCCCACCTCCCCTCGCAGCTCACCCATACTCCCGCTCCCATACTCGCCGCGAAAAGCGCAAGCAGAAGCAAAACCTGCACGGCGGTACCCTCGATGTCGTCGCCGATGCTCTTCTACAGGCTGTAGACGAGTCCGAAGAGGATGAGCCCTTGGTAGACGAGCCCAGAATGGGTAGGGGAGCCAAAAAGGCAGAAGCCAAGGAGAAGGCCAAGCGGAAAGAGAAGGACGGCGAGGGGTTGATCGGCGAGGGGAAGGGTCGGACGATGCGGGAGAAGGCTAGGAGGAAGCAAATGTGAGCCTTCTCCTAAAGGTGCTGGCTATGGGAGATGCTGACAATTTTGTAGCAAGATCGAGGGGATGAGAATCCCGGCTATCATGACTCACCCCGAGTACAAGAAGGATCCTTGGGCCATCATCCGTCTGCACGCTAGTAATACTCTGGAGTCCGCTCCTACCGTTGGCAAGCCGGCTCGCGCTATCGGCAATATCAAAGTCAACGGGATGACCGGAGACGGGATGGAGGGGATCGACCAATGTGAGTTTCATGGACATCACAAGTATGGATGTCGAGCTGACAGCGGGCAGAGAATTGTCAGCTCTGGAAGCCAACTTGATTGGTGCTACATCTGTGTAGCTGCGGCAACGGGACTGAACGATAGCGGGACATCAATGCCAACCATTCGAGCAGTATTGGCCTGGATAGCTGTGTCGGCGCCCCCACACCACCGTCCGACCAATGCTGGCTTCAGACGCTGAAACTTCGCTCCTCGGTATACCAGCTTAGGCTCGCGATTCTGCACAGACCTTCAATTCATGGGGACCGAATCCTCGGCATGCATGTCCTGCTCCGCACACTGCCAGCTGCCATGGACCACCATCCATTGACTGTGCAGAGTTCTGTGCAGCAAGAACCCTCGCTGAGCTCAGCCGGATAAATTAGCCGGAATATCTCTTTTTCCCGGATTCGAATTCAATTTGGGACATGTGCCGGTTCCCCGGATGATATAAGCTTACCCCGCCGATGCATGCTGAACGTCGCTTGGAGCCTCTTTCGTACATTGCACAACTACCTTACGAGGCAACCTACATAGCTGTCAGCTGCGAGCGTTTCTGCTCAGACGGCGGCGGGAGCAGGCCATCTCCCAGTATCCGACAAATCCGAGGCAGCGACGACCTTTGCTCGGACCGCAGTTGCAATTCCCTCCTCGTCCCGACATCCAGCTCCGGAAGGACGGGTCGTCGCCCGTACTCGGTTTATATTGGTAAACAGACCCCATTGAACGAGTCCCTCGACCGCCGTGCTGGACGCCTCATTGACCAGCTCCCAGGCCAAGAGAACTGCTTCGCACATCGTCAAGCTGCAGAGCCCTTCACAATGTCGTCCGAAGAAGGATTCGACACGTCGACGCTACCCAAGGCATTCCTCGAGGTGAGTTGAGGCGGGAATACCGAAAGACTAGCCAAGCTGACGGTATAGGCCTATCCCTATCCAGCTTTCTGCCTTATATCCCCCATTCCTCCCACTACAACCCTCGGAAGCGACGACGACCTCCTCGTTCCCCCTCAGGACCACCGGCTCCCCTTTACCCGGATATCCAATGCGTCCACCTCATCTTTTGTACCCATATGGGCGAACGAGAAATGGCGGAATCTCACACAGGGCAACCAAATGCTGGACTGTGTGAGTATTGAGAGCGCGAGGCGGCTGGGAGACTGGATTTCCGGGGCGAGGGCGGCCAAGCAGGAGTCAGTGCTCGCGTCAGCGGGTCAAGGAGGACGGCGGGTGGAAAGGGTGACGGGCGCTGCGCCGCGCGACCGGGCGCTGGAGCGGCGAATCAAGGCGGAAATGTCAGGGCAGGCGTCAAGTCCAGAGGATGAGCTCGACCTCGACGACGTCACGCCAACTCTAGCTCGGTCCGGCGCCATCGCACCCGCCGGATTTTGGGAACCGGAGGTACCGTACGAGGAGCACGCATCGACATCCGGGCAGTCGGCGTCAACGGGCGCGACAGGTCTCGAGGGAGTCGATGAGCTCCATCAAGGGCGATTCTCGCTCACTCTGGACTTGGTCGACCCCGGCAAGGTCACGCTCGAAATGACCAAAACGTCGCTGCCCATCTATCGGATCGGCAGGTCGGGCGAGCGGACCATGGTCGAGACGGACTCGTACATTATCGTCACCACCGTCCCCAAGTCGGGCTACGTCGTGAAGGATACACAGCCGTCGCGCGTCCCGACGCCCAATAGCTTGACGGAATTATCGCCGGCTACGGAGAAAGCCTCGGACGAGATAATGCTTGACGTCCCGCCAGCCACCAACTCCGCACCGTCCCGGCCGCCCCAGTCCCGTTTGACGGTCCTTCCCAGTCCCAAGGCGGCCCCGCGGGGGTTGACTTTACCTTCTCTGCATGGGACAAGCGCACCCACCGCCGGTAATCAGCTCACTCCGACGGACGAGATCATGGCGCTAGATCTCGTGGAGTCGTCGGATGGGCAGGCGTCACGACCCCTGTACTTCAGCAGCGACGGAACGGTCAGCCGGCCGAGAGGTCCGCTGCTGAATGGAGTGGACGAAAGAGGGAAGCCGCTGGATGTGCATGTGCTGCTGGAGACGACGGATTGGTCAAAGACCGGCTTGGGACCAAGGGAGAACTGGCCACAGAGCTTGAAGACAGTCGGTGAGTGTGCAGGTACCTTGCTGTGGTTTGCCTGCTAACTGTGCAGTATCCCTCATCATGCAGTATCCACACCAGTGCTGCTTGTGGTGGGGCAAGGATCTAACCTTGATCTACAACGCTCGGTATGCCGAAACGATCCACAAACATCCCGACCTCTTTGGGATGTCTGGGCCTATCGCATGGCAGGGTGAGTGATCTTTCGTATCGCCTCGTGACCGGACTCATACTGTCAGAAATCTGGAAATCCATCGGTCCCCTCTCCGAGCTCGTCCTCTCCGGTACCCCAGTCTCGAAAGAGGACGACTTTCTGCTTTTCAAGCAACTCCCGCACCAAGGCAACGGGACGTTCGAGGCGTATCACAGCTGGCTTTGGGTACCGGTCATACAAGAGGATGGGACTTTTGGCGGGTTATGGAATGCCACGATCAATACGACGAAGAAGGTCTTGGCGGAAAGGCGAATGGCGTCGGTCAGAGAGATGGGCGAGCGTACTTGTAAGCGTCCCAACCGTAGACACGAGTGGCCATTGACGACCAGCAATCGCGCGGACAATGAAAGAGTTCGACTCGGCCGTCATCGAGATTTTGGCTGCCAATGCGCGAGACATGCCGTTTGCTGCTCTGTACCACGTCGAAGAGGCATCCAGTAAGTTCATGTGACGCTTTCCCGTATCGCGGCTGACTCGCTGCAGACTCGAAACGGGTACCCAACGGCCAGATGCAAAGCAATACTCGGGCCGACACCTCCCACACTGTTAAGTGCCAACTCAAGCTCGCTGGATCAATCGGCGTACCTGAAGGTCATCGGTCGGCACCCGCATCCCTCCGTCTCTCCGTCAGCACCCGCGACAAGGACGCTCGTAGCATGAGCCATATGGCCAACTCGCCCACCATGTCGGCCATCTCCTCCCTCTCCGGCCCGCAATCCCGGCGGGGCACCGAGCCGAGCCCGTTGATCATGTCCTCGGCGCAAATGGATGACGAAATGGTCGGCACGCCATCTGCGACTGGCGCAGATGTCGAGTCGTGGCCGTTCGCGGAGGCACTGCAGACCAGGCGGATCGTGCTCGTCGAGGACTGCTCATCGCTCATTGCCGGATATCCTATCCGGGTATGGGACGAGCTTCCGACCGCGGCAGTGGTGATTCCGGTAGCCAGTGATTCAGACGAAGGAGTGCCAAGCGCAGTCATCGTCATCGGGCTCAGTATCCGGCGGCCATTTGACGAGGACTACGAGTCGTTCTTGGTAAGTGTTCTCTTTCGATTGCGAGAATATTCTGACTCCTCAGCATGTGCTGCGTCTACAGCTTGCCTCGGGGATAGCGGCGGTACGGTCGTACGAAGCGGAACGGCAGCGTATCGATGAGCTGGCTGCGCTGGACCGAGCCAAGAGCATGCTCTTCTCCAACGTGTCGCACGAGCTTAGGTGAGATCACCCCCGCTTTGATCTTTAAATCTCAGCTGATTGTAGAACACCGCTCACACTCGTGTCTGGCCCGCTGGATGACCTCCTACTCGAGACAAAGGAGGGACCCAAAAAGGAGATGCTCCTCATGGCCCGACGCAACGTGTAAGCCAGTCCCTACATTCCAGGAGCACATGCTGACAAGATCAGTCGTCGTCTGACTCGGCTCGTATCAACCTTGATGGACGTCTCGAGGCTCGAAGCTGGCCGTTTGAAGGGGTCATTCCAGCTCGTCAATCTTGGTGTGGTCACGCGAGATTTAGCGGTGAGTTTAGATCGTTGGCTCTGGAGAACAAGCTGATCGCCAAGGCCCTATTCCGCGGCGCCATCGAGCGGGGTAAACTCAGGTATACTGTCGAATGTGACCTTACTCCCCGGAACGTCTATGTCGATCCTGACCACTGGGAGAAGATCATGTTCAATCTGATCGGTAAGCTGCGCAGCTCAGCGCTACGGGCCAAGGCTGACCGTCAGGAAATGCGCTCAAGTATACTATGACTGGGTAGGTTCCGCGCTTCATCCGGAATAAGCAACGACTGATCGCCAGATATGTCCTCGTCAAACTGTCGTACGGACCGACCGAGGCTTTCCTCACGGTCAAGGATTCAGGTGTCGGCATTCCAGCTTCGGATATCGACCTCATTGGAGACCGTTTCCACCGAGTGGAATCTATCAGCAGATCGCATGAAGGAACGGGTATTGGAATATCATTGATCAAGGTGAGCTCAGTCGACGGTGGTCATAGCAGGAGGCTGACACTCCAGGAATTGATCAAGCTGCATGGAGGCGTGTTGGAAATCGAAAGTCTGACGGCTGCGGAAAGTATCGATGGTTCTCGTGAGCACCCTCTTACTATCCAGGTGCGAGTGAAGCTGATCAAGCAGACGGGTCTTCCTTCCGTGTACGCATACCGTGAGCATCTTCATCTGAGATAATCTACACCGTGCAGATAGCTGACCAACGCAGACTGGGGTCGGATCACCTGCCTCGCGACGCTATCGATGCCAACAGCGACAACCTGACCACTGCCCAGCTCACGTACGCTCATGGCATCGTCGACGAAGCGATGCAGTGGAATCGAGATCGCGAGGCCGGGAGTAGCCTTGACTCGTCGTCTGATTCCGGCAAACTCAGCGCTGCAGAGTCTTCGGCCCAGAGTAGTCGAGGCCTGGATCCAAGTACGCTGTACTTTAAGAAGGAGGACGTGATTATGCTTGTTGACGGTGAGTTACATAGATACTTGCAAGGCGTTGCGGCGGTAGCTGACCTCGCAGACTCGTTCGATACTCGGCGATATATGAAATCAATCTTTGCGCCATTCTGCGCCATCGTCGAGGCACGAGATGGTCAGGAAGCCCTGGAGATGTGCAAAAAGTCCTTGCCGCATGTCGTCATTACGGATGTCATGATGCCTAATGTGAGTAGTCTTCTCAGGGGCTTAAGCGTTTCAGGCAGACCACAGCTAATGATCAGCTGGACGGATTTGGCCTGCTAGCGGCGCTCAAAGAAGATCCCAAGCTCTCGATGGTTCCCGTCATCATGCTGTAAGATACCTCGAGCCAAAGAGTCGGAAAGGAGCTAACAGTACATAGCACCGCTCGAGGTGGTGAAGAGGCCAAAGTCGACGGCCTGCTCGCTGGAGCCGATGGTGTGCTTGATGATCTGCTGCCCAAAGACTTCAGCTGACCTGCGCAGACTACATTGCAAAGCCATTCAACGCAAGGGAGCTGATTGCTCGCGCACATATGCAGATCCAGCTTGGAAAACGTCGTCGCGAGCTTGAGAAGGCTTTCGAAGAACGGACGGCTGAGCTGCGGACAGTCTCTGAATGTGGGCTTCTCAATCTCGGCTCATCGAGATGGACGCGGAACTGACGAGATAGACTCACCAGGTGGGATCTTCAGATGTGACGGGGACGGCGAGGTTGTCTACGCCAATTCGGCTTGGTAGGTCTAGTTGTGCGATGTCAGCGCGAACCGTCAGACTGACTGGATAGGTTTGAAATATCCGGCTTCTCCAGTAATCAACCAGATATCGCGTCATGGTTCACTGGGATCATTCCGGAACACCGCACTCGAGTCCAGGATGTCTGGCAGCAGATGTTCGAAACGGACTTGCCGACTCAAACGATGGAGTGGCAATTCGCGAATGGCCGATGGGGTGAGCTTGACTATTGTGGATGCGGTGAGCCATCGAGCTGATACAGCAGTCCTCTGTCGGTTGATTCGCCTTGACGACTTTGCTCCTGGTCTCAAGGGCATCCTGGGAAGCGTGACGGACATTACCGAGCGGAAATTCAACGAGGAGATCCAGCGTTTACGTGTCGTGGAAGCAGAACAGCGGAGAGTAGAAGCCGAAGAGGCCAAGCACCAGCAAGAGCTGTTGATCGATATCACTTCGTGAGCCGGAAGAATCCCGACCATGACGGGGCGACTCAGCTGACAACCCCAGGCATGAAATTCGCAACCCCATCAGCTCGCTTATGCAGTGTTCCTCGCTCGTCAAGACCAACCTATTGTCCCTTCAAGAGCAATTCGAGATGTCCATCAAGGATGCGACCCCGTTCAAGCCGACCAATCAGCTCATGACGACCATCAACGAGGATCTCGAGGCATTGGAGAGTATCTATCAGTGCGGTTTGGCGCAGGAGCGGATCTCGAATGATGTGCTCTCGCTGGGCAGAATACAGCTTGGTACGTTTTGTCTTGTGTCGAGACCGACTTTGGAGTCAAGCTGACTTTGGCAGATATGTTCCGTACGTCATACATTTTGGATCTCAGAGGTGGCTGACGTCCCGCAGAAATGTTCGACGTGGAGACCGACATTCTCGGAGAAGCTCAAAAGGTCGTTTCAATCTTCCAAAATGAGGCCCGGATGAAGCGGATATCCCTTTCGTATAAAATCGGAGAGTCGGTCGAAAGACTGGGTGTACACGCCATCAAAACGGATCCGGTCCGCATGGGACAAGTGTAAGTACTGCGTCCATCGCAGACACCTCTTGCTGATGCACAGCGTCACCAACCTCCTATCGAACGGTATCCGCTTCACATCCACCTCAAGCATCCGCAAGATTCAGCTCCGCTACGACATCTCCTTCGACCCGCCTGCGGACGGATCATGTCAAATGCCGGGTCTGCCAGACCCGCCTGCTCCGGGACAGCTCAAGGACGACATGACGGCGTACTTGTACGTGGCGGTGACGGACACAGGACCCGGCTTGACACCCAAAGAGCTGGACATGCTCTTCCAGCGGTTCTCGCAGGTTTCGCGTAAGTTTTGAACTTGACATAGCCTGTGCATCTGGCTGACCTGACAGCAAAAACACATACCATCTTCGGTGGCTCTGGTTTAGGCTTGTTTGTCTGTCGAAGTGAGCTACCTGGTGTCTGGGGAGGATACAGCTAATTGTCAGAAATCACCGAGATCATGGGAGGCCGCATCGAGGTCGTTTCGACACACGGCAAAGGCTCGACCTTCCGGTTCTTCATTCGCGTTCGGACTTGTCAGACTGCTACCAAGCGTCCCGCGCCATCTTCAGGCTCTTCCGAATCAGGCGGTGGACGGCGTGAAGGCATGAAGCGCCCAGCCCTAAAGAAGCGGCACACAGGTCCGAGAATCGGTGGCGGAATAGGGCCCAAGCCGCACGTCTTGATCGTGGAGGACAACTTGATCAATCAGACTGTGTTGGCTAGGCAGCTGAAGCATGTGGGACTGACATGCGAGGGTGAGTACCTGGCTGTTTGGTAGCAGTCAGAAGCTGATCTGTCAGTGGCCAACAATGGTCTAGAGGCGCTAGAAAAGATTCGTAAGGTCTCCTCCCTTGTCCAGTCACGAGTCGGTCAGCCGTTCGATTGCGTCCTGATGGACTTGGAAATGCCTGGTGAGTCGCTAGGCCCTTTCTTCGCACCTGCCGGGATGACGCTCACACCGGGCAGTGATGGATGGGTTGACATCGCTGAGGCATATTCGAGAAGAAGAAGCGGCTGGGACTTTGGCCCTGAATCTGGTGATCGCGCTGAGTGAGTCTACCTTGGCATCTACGTCGAGGGGATCCTGACCGTACAGCTGGCAATGCACGGCAAGGACAGATAGATGAAGCAAAAGCAGCAGGGATGGACGAGGGTATGTGCCTCCTTATTCGACCGCTGGGAACACAGCTGACTTGGTCAGTGGTCATCAAGCCATATCGACTCGACGACCTGTTGCAAAAGATTGAGGATATGATGAAGCTTCGAGCGGCAAATCCGTCGACTGTTTCAGCCCCTGCTCAGCCCGCAACGGCCGACGTGATGGCCGTTGATGTATCGGCGTAGAATGAAGCAGGGGGTAGTGGTGTAGAGGGTAGGGATCTCAAACGGTTACGACCGGTGTAGCTATATTGTATAGATTGGCAGATCAGCTTGTTCAAGTGCATATCACTCTGGAATGAATCTACCTTCCGCAGTACGAAAGCGGGCAAAGACGGATACCGCGGGGCTGCATAGTTGCCAATGTCACAACACCTCTGCCCAACCGAGTTTGATCCACTGCTCGACCAGGTTATATTTCAGCAGATGCGTTGAGCCTTTCCCTAATGCCGCTGGTTCGCCGCTGAAAGATCAGCTCTATCCCCAGACGTGCTACATCGGCAATTGGGGATAGTATGACAACACTTACTCTGGTAATGTGATTTCGCCGCAATCTCGACGACAGTAGATCAAGACGGGAATGTTCTTATTAGGTTTTGGTACTGCAGGTCAGTCAGCTTGCGGTTCGTGTTTCATTCGACAGATGTAGCTGGCTTACTCATGCTGAGCCCATCACTAGAGGTCTCGTCCATCTTTCGCAACCACTCGGGTAACGAGTCGAGGACAGAGTGCTGAAAATGGGTATGTAAAAGCTCGGTATAGCTGCCAGAGGTCAGCTCGAGCACAGACACGCTGATCTAGGGTGAGGACGACATACCGTCGAGCATGGCTCAGCTCGGCTCCAGATAGTGATGGGTGGACTTCAGGTGTGATGACAATGTACTGCGAGAACTTCTCGATCTGCCCGTCAGCGACTTCTTCGGTCAGGCAAAGTTACACGCGCACCTTCCATAATCTGGTCCGGACGTATGACCTGACCAGATATTTCACTCGCTCCATCTCCGTCATTACCAGCATGAGCTTGAAGTGTTCCTCCTCACTCGTGTCCGGATCTGAGCGGAGGGTATCAACCATTTTTTGCTGGTAGAGTCAGCAGTATCCGCCGCCGCAACGTCACAGGCCACTCACCTGCTGATCCAACTTATCAAAGATAGAATCTATCAGATCCCCTTCCCAGCTCATGATCTCCCCCGTTCCCCTTTCCCGCACCCAGACCACCCCCAGCCTGCGCACGTCATCCATATCCCCTTCAAGAGTCTCGTCCTCATCTCCCCCATCCCCTCCTCCACCGCCCTCTCCAAACATGCCCATATCCAGCCCTCTATCTCGCCGCCCATACCCGCCCATACTGGACCGGTCATCCTCAGTGTCCATCATGGCCGAGTCTGAGACCCGGTCGGACCGAGGAGACATTGTGGACTCCATCCGGGACCCGTTTGAGCGAGTGCGGGCAGTGATGGCGGGCCGCCGGGATGGCTCGCCGCGAGATGACTCTGAGACACCAGAGACCGAGTCTTGCCGGTCGTATGGGCCTCGCCGGGCAGGATTGGCAGGGGGTCGCATAACTGAACGAGGGCGGGGAAAGAGCTCATCCTCGTCGGAATCGTCTGCAACGAATCGGTCCATTCTGCGCTTCGGCTTGGCTTTAAATTTTGGTATTCGGAAGCACCTGCTGGGTCTTGTTTGGGAAGGCTTGGAGCCGAGCGCGTGGATTTGGATTAAGGTGGGAGGAAGAGCGTTAAGAGCTATCGTCGCATCTGCAAATTATGGTTGCACCGGGACGCGAAGAGACGCGTCGAAGTCCGTGCGTCTGAAACGCCTATATATATGGAGAGGCTTGTAAGTCGAGCTATGATGTCCGATCCATGGATGGAGGGAGGGCCCTATCAGCTCCCCGAGATACAGAGTTGCATGAAGGTGTTTACATTTGATGATGATATACTATGAACAACACTTCAAACCGAGGAAGCCCACGCCTGGTGAACCGTTGACCAGCCTCTTCTCTCCTTCCTGTCTTTTTTGATCTATACAAATGCCACCCTCCGTCTTTTCCTCTGCGGCTGCGCCTCATCCACGCCTGTAGAGGCCTGACCCACTACATTTTCCGCTGCCATATGATGGACGGGTGTTCTGACTTCAGGCGATATTGGTGACTGATCGCTGCTCGGCTCTGCTGGTGTGGATTTCCTGTCCGCCCTTTGAAGTGCTGGCACGAGGTCGACCGTGAAGCGCTCGGACGGCAGTGACTCGGCGTAGGCGAAGCGTGGTTTCTGAGAAACGTCAACAAGGTCTGATCGAAGAGATCGCGTATTCCGCCACATACCTCGAGCATCGCCCTCGAGTACAGCTTCTCTTCTGCCTCGGTCCGCAGAGTTGCCGCCCTGTTGGCGATGTCCTCCTCGATCGTATCCTTGACAATGAGAGTCTGGACGAGCGTCGGACGAGTCTGACCGAGCCGATGGCATCGCTTGACTGCCTGTTCGAGGGTATCAAGGCTCCAGACTGGACTGAGGAAGATCATGCGATTGGCGAGAACAAGGTTACTGGATATCAGCTTGTCTCATCATTTCCGGAAGTGAGCGTTAGGACGACTTACAGACCACGAGCAGCCAAGCGTAGATCCAGCAAGCAGACCCTGACTTCGCTCCGCTGGAAGTCCATGAGAGCTTGGTCGCGCTGGCCCTTCCCACTGCCGTATCCCGCAAAACACCTGACTTGTCAGCCTTACGATCAATATCCGGCTTTTGGAAGCAGCCAGAACAACAATACTCACGACTTGACCTCAAACAAGTCTAACGCTTCCGTCAGGTGACCCAACTCGGACGGATCGCCGAAGATGACAAACTTGTCTGATCGATCTGCCTCCAAGATGGCGCGGATGACAAAGTTGACCTTGGCGGATCTGGACACCGTCTCTATGGTATGTGGGAGCGGTCGAGGCCCGTCAGGAACCTGGGCGACCATGGCGTTCCGCTCTGCTTCGGCGAGTCGACCGTCGACGTCGTCGTCTGGGCGTGCTCGCTTGGTCCGGCGAGTCGGCGACTTGTGAGAGACGACTTTGGCCTGTTTCGCCGCGGACATGGTCTCCTCCGTAGGCAGATTCCCTTCCGCCTTCTTGCCCACCCCCTTCGACTCGCCATCTGCCAACTCGGCCTCCTTGGCCACTCGACGAGCGAGACCCTGGTTGACGAGGTCGTCCTCCGGTACCTGGCCGCGGTTCGCTTCGCGCAGCACGAGCAGAGAGTGGGTGTCGATCGTGTCGGGGTTGAATGGGCTGGGAGACCACGCGCCGAGTATCGCCTCGGATAAATCGCCGCCCTCAAAGGGCACAGAACCGCCGTTCTGCATGCATTCCTCCCATCCCGGCCAATCCAGCGCGGACTGAAGCAATCGTGTAGCCTCGAGCAGCTGGACTCGGGCTTCCGGACCGATAACGAATGGCTTGCTCCCTGGGGCAGGAGGCAATGCACGCTCCTCAGGGGCTTTGAGAAATTCGGCGGTCCGGCGGATGCAGGCAGCGATGCCCATGTCGATGGCGCTGTACCAAAAGCAGGCGAGTCGAAGGTTTTTGATAACCTGGTTGGCAAATTTGGCGTTATTGGGGTGAAGGAAACAGCCTGGGTCATCCTTCTCGCCTGTCCGGTCAGCTTCGCACCGTGAAAACATAAGCTGCACGTACTGGTGTATACGTTCGAAGCTGCCAACCCTGCCAGCGCATTATATGTCACCCGCTGCATGGGGTGGAACTCCAGCAGAACCGGCGAGCGGGTACATGGCGGCAATGTGATCTCCCTATCCACCTCATTTGGTCTAATTGTCAGCTGTGTATCGTGGTAGCACGAGAAGGACTCACCTGTGTTTCACCATGAGGGCGGACATAAGGTGTTTCAGCCGCCGCACAGCGCCCATACTTGGGCCATCTGCTCGAACGAGATGTTTACTGATGCGCTCTTGAAAGCCGGCGTCCGACTTGAACGGCTCAGCTTGGAGGAAGACGCTAATGATCACCTATCCAATCAGCTCGATTCGCAGCAAGCCCTCTCTGCAGACCTACTCCGATACGGTTGAGATCGTCTTTTTCTAGGTTGGACCAAGCTCGGGGGTGGATCTGCACCTCCACCTGAGTCTTCACCACCTTCTTCCCTTTGCCGACCTTGCTGATCTTGGTGACAGTCTTGGAGAGCCCTGTCGGACGAGGGGCTTGACTGACGGGCTCGGCCTCAGTGCCTTGTCGAAGGTTCTTCGTTGGCGCTAATCGTCAGCTATGCACCGCCTACGCGCGAGAGGATGAAGACCCACTCCCGCTGACGGCCCATCGTCGCTCTACGCTCAGCCGCTGCGCGAGACGCATGGAGTTGGTCACTTTTGATCCGGCGATATGACCCTCATCTGGCGAATCAGCCTCACATCCGAGCGAGAACGTGCAGATAGCTTACCGAGGATCAACCTCTTCCATCTAGCCTGAGTCAAGACGGACGGCTCCCCATTTGCCTCTGGTCCATGCAATCTCTCCTCCCTCGCGAAGCGCTGCACACTCATGATCACCACCTATAATCAGCTCGTGTTCCTTGGCTGTTTTCCCGGGGAAGTGGGCCCACTCACATCGTACTGCATGAGCGTCTCGATAGGGGGTATCTGCTCCGAGGCCACCTCCAGCACCTTCAAGCTTCCATCTTTCAGATGATCCCTGATCTCCTTCAACCACTGCTTGACGAGGATAGCAGGACAGACCAGTAGCGTGGTATTGGCGAGGTATATCCGCTGTACAGCCTCGCTCTTGGGCTTGGCCTTGGCTCCTCGCCCGCACTTGTGCTGGTCATCCGGCAGGGGCATATCGTAGTATAGCGTTCGGCGGCCCTCGATAGCTGATCGAAGGTGTAGCGAAAGCTCGGCTGATTGAGCGGAGGCGGGTTCATGGACCGCGAGAATGTCCACGCAGATGTCGGCAAGGGAGGGGAAGGATAGACTAGTGTGATAAGAAGGGATGGACGCGATCCGGCGCAGCTTCTCGTCTGTGTCGAAAGGGTATGTCTGCTCTCGATGGGTCGTAGTGACCCGCGACGGGTTGACGGCGTTCGGAGGGGGTAGACAAGGTTGGTTGAGAGTTGCGAGGATGAGGGAGAGGCAGATGAGGGATTTCCCGACTCCCATTTGCTCGTTACTGCCTCGTCAGCTGGAGCTGCTTTGGGTTTTCCGACCGAAAGACAGACGTACAGGATACCCCCTCGGGGCAGGTCATACCAATTCGGCATCCGCTGGACGTCCCCCGCATCCAGGTTGATATAGTACGTCCCAGGCCGCCCGACTTCCTGCATGGCCGTCCAGCGAGGGTCGACATATTTCTCAGGCTGCGTCTCCATCCGGTACATCTTGGCAATCGAGCGCTACTCCATAAGCTTAGTCCCCAAGCAGCCCATGCGAGCAGAAAGGAACGCACATGTTGATATTGATACAGCGTGGTCGTGACCCCTTCTGGCTCCTCGTATCGGTCCATCCGGCGATGTACCTCGTCGTCGTACTCTTCGCTAAACGACGTCGAGCTCGGTTCGGAAGGGGATGGTACAGCAGCATATAGCTGCGTCATGGTTTGATCGTCTTCCAGCTAGTCGAGTCAGCCACTTCTAACCCGAACGAAACGGTTACGTCGGCTTACACCCAGAGACAGTAGCAGCTCCCCATCACCGTCATCCCATGATGTCCTCAAGTGATTGAAGAGGATCCGAAGCGGAAAGCTGTTTTGCATACCTTTCCGATCCCGCCAGCTCGTCTGAGCGACATCGGATGGCGTAAGCCAACACCGGACCACAAGCTTTCCGTTCTGGAGCTTGGATTCGCCATCGAAGTCTGATCTGTAGCCACAGTGGAGCGAGTCTATCGCATATGCAGCATCATTGGAGATGTGGGGCCGAGGGAAGAGCGAGTACTGCGTTCGTAAAGGTGTCGAAGGGGAGAGCGGCGTCCAGCCGTCTGCGACGCCGTCCGCGGGATGGGCCGGATCGAGGTCAAGCACGACTGTCCCAAGCTGGACCGCCTGTGACGACGGTCTCGGAGGAGCAGGGGACATGGCAAGGGGCCGCCAAGATGTAGATGCTTTGAGGAAGGTCAAGAATGACAATGAGAAGATCTTTTGGCCTGCTGAACTTTATTATTGCTCGGCGGCCTCGGCCGTTCCCCCACTCTGCCCCACTCTATTGCAGCTTGACTCAGCTTGAACTCTGAGCACAGGGCCATCTGACCTGCGCTCTGGCCGCTCAACATTGCCAGCCTTGTCACCTGCTATTCATATAGCAAACATAACCTTCGCCCCCGCTTTCCGATCAATCTTCGCCACCCTCTTCCCCACCACATGATAGATACACTTGGTCACCATCCCCCCTGCCCCCGCTACGCCCGCCCCGCCCGCTCCCGCTGGCTCCCACCCTCGAGCCCGTACCAGCGCGCCCAGATCATCTTTGAGGTCCGACATGGACACGGCTGCGTCAGGGGCACGTAGGAGCGCAAGAAGGAGGTGAGCGGTGAGGATCGTTTGCGGGGTGATGGGTGGGATGGGCGGGCCGGGGATTACGGAGCCGGCGGAGGAGAGGGTGGAGGTGGAATGGGACGAAGGACTGAGGGGCGTGGATGGGTCAGAGCGAGATAGGCGGGCTAGATGAGATCTGAGGCTGTTAGCGATGGCGAAAAGACGATCTGGATTCGTGGATGGGAAAGACGCACATTGTGCCTTCGACAGTCTCGGGCGCTTCTGATCCAGCGGCGGAACCCTGCCTGAGCATCTCGGATAGCCCTTCTCTTATCTTGGCCTAGGCTGTCAGCTTCTGAGCGTATGTAAGGACCCCAAAGCAAACTCACGACAGCTTGCTCGATCACCGGAAGCCTGTATTGGACACCCTCCAGTACCCCCTCTGGCTCTTGCTGCTTCGCCATCTCTGGCTTCTCTTCTGCCCACTTTACCTCTGCTACAGGGCCTTGTCCCAGGCCTTCCTCCTCCGCGGCTTGAGCGGCCGCGGAAGTAGGCGCAAAGCGTATCGTCTGATCTTCTTCTCCTCCGACATCCTCTCCTTCCCCTCCTTCCCCTGCCACTGATCCGCTACTCGACCCCGACCTCCCTCGCACAGTCGCCGTACTCTCTCCCAGGCCATTTACCCCGCCCGCCGGCCCCGCTCCTCCAGCCGTCACCCGCCTCCCAAAGATCCCCCTCCCCATTACTTCTTCCTCCCCATTCGCTCCTCTCGCGCCCGGACTCCCCATAACCTCCCTCAACGCACTCCTCGTGCTCGCACTCGCCTTTCCTCTCGCCCGCGGTGTCCCCAAGAACTTGAGCGGGGAGAATCGATCAAACTCGAAGCCTTCCGTCAGGACTTCGACGGGGCCGGGTGTGGCGCGGGCGCGACGGGGTGTGGTACCGTTCACGAGGGAGTTTGTGATCTTTTGAGCGGCGGGTGTGCGGGTGCGAGTGGAGGCGGAGAAAGACTTCGCTTGGGGCTGGGAGGCCGGAGGGGAGGTAGGAAGGATGGAAGATGCGGTGAATGCGGATCGATGCTCCACATTTTCTGCCGGGGCGGTGGAGGATGAGGCGGCGGCAGCTTGGGCAGCACGAAGGGGGACGAGCTGGGCCTCCATAGCCCGCAAAGCGACCTCTTCGGCCTTGACGGCGTCTTCGAAAGTCATCTTCGCTGCTGCGCTTGACTCCGGCGGACCCTTGCGTGCGGACGGCGCAGCAATTCCGGACGTGGCGCTGGATATGGGAGGTGGAGCAGGTGCGGCAGGGGTCTTGGCAGCTTCTTCAATCTGCAGCTCCAGCTCGGCGACCCGCTCCAGCTGGGTATGGTGCGTTTCCAAAAGATTGGCGATTGTGGCTCGAGCACGAGGCATAGGTCGGCTGATGATATCAGCTGTGAGCTCTGCATCCACCTGTGCAGATAGGCCAGGTGACAGGGGGTCCCAATCCTTGAGATCACTCACTAATCATCCACCAGCCTCAGCGCCGTCTTGAGCATAATCTCCACCTCATCCCTCTCTTTCCTCTCCCCCTCTCCCGCCTTACCTGCAGATTCCGACCCCCCACCTCGTCCCTCATCCCGCTTTTCCACCCGCTTCACCCTGCCTACACCGACCACCTCCGTCTCCCCTACAAATCGAAATAATTTCTTCTCATTCTCGTCGGCATCCCTAATGAGGGACGTCACTGATCCGCCATCAGGTCTGCTATGACTTGGCCGGGAATGAGAGCGTGAGCTTGGCCGGGCTCGCGTGGAGGGACCGGGGACGGGGACGGGGTTGGGATAGAGCGAGTTGAGATAGGCGGTGGTGTATCGCCCTGAGGGGGCTTGATTTGCTGCTGCGAGGGTGTGGATCTGGTGCGAATAGTCTGCGAGCGCTGCGAGGCTGTCGGTCAGGGATGGCATGGCTCGCAAGGACGTCGCAGTGGTGAAATAGAGCGAGCTTGGTGGGTCGCAAGATTTGTTGACAACGCGTCGGTGGACGCGCCGGAACTGAGGAATGCTGTGCACGTGATCCCTACACAAGCTTGCATCTATTCTTTCTTGGGTCCTATATCTAGTTGGAACAGTATACACAGCCCCTCTACTTCTTCTCCGAGAGCTCAGCGACACCCGGGAGGGTCTAGAATATCAGCTATCGCTCTCCCATTCATCGTGCATACTAGCTGAACCCAAACTCACCTTGCCCTCGAGCAATTCCAAACTGGCACCACCGCCGGTCGAGACATGGCTGAGCTCATCCTCCTTGCCCGCGTTGGCCACGAGCGTCGCAGTGTCACCACCACCGACAATGACGGTCGCCCCGCCCTTGGCAGCCTTGATGCACGCCTCGAGGAGCGCGTCGGAGCCCTTGGCGAACGCCGGGAACTCGAATACACCGGCGGGACCGTTCCACAGGATAGTCTTGGACTGGGCGACGGCCTCGGCGAAGAGCTTCTGCGACTTGGGTCCGGCGTCGAGACCCATCAGGCCGGATTCGATACCTGATTCGTCGGTCGCGGCGCCAACCTGCAAGTCAGCTTGAGATCCGGCGTATTCTACGTTGGGTCCGGAACAGCTCACCTTGGCGTCCTTGTCAAATTTGTCGGCCGTGACGTAGTCGACGGGGAAGACGAGCTTGACGTTGTTCTTCTTGGCCTTCTCGACGAGATCCTTGACCTTCTTGGAACCATCCTCGTCAAAGAGGGACTGGCCAATCTGAACGATGAGCTATTAGTTCGTGAATTGGAAGAACGCGATAACTCACCTCAACGTTCTCGAGGGTCTTCTTGAAGGTGAAGCTCATACCACCGCAGATGATCAGGGTGTTGACCTGAAGAACGTCAGCTTGGCTCTGCCCGGGCTGTGTATAAGCTAGCTGACCTGGTCCAGCATGTTCTCGATCAACTGGATCTTGTCGGCAACCTTGGCACCACCAAGAATGGCCAAGAAGGGCCTCTCGGGGCTCTCGAGGACCTTGGCAAAGTACTCGAGCTCCTTCTTCATCAAGAACCCGGCGGCGCGCTGGGGCAGCTGAATGCCGACCATGGAAGAGTGGGCGCGGTGGGCGGTACCGAAGCTATATGATCAGCTCGAGGTCAATCCGGGACCTCCGAGTAGATACGTACGCATCGTTGATGTACACCGTACCGAGGGAGGTGAGGTCCTCGCGGAACTTCTTGACGGCCTCCTTGTCGGCTGCAGAGTGAGCTCGGCGCTTATAGCCATAACCGTGCCCGTCGCTGCCCAGCTCACCTTTGATCTTCTCGCCGTCCTTGACGCCCTTGCCCTCCTCCTCGACGTGGAACCGAAGGTTCTCAAGGAGGAAGACCTGTCCGTCCTTGCCCTCGCTGACGGCCTTCTTCACGTCCTCCCCTATTTTGTCAGCGCTTTTACCAATGAGACAGCCGAGAGTCACGCACCGACACAGTCATCCAGGAACTTGACGTCCCTGGAGAGGAGCTCGGAAAGCTTGGCCGCGACGGGCTTGAGCGAGTACTTGGGGTTGGGAGATCCGTCTGGGCGACCCAAATGGGACATGAGAATGACAGACTTGGCGCCTGTATGTCAGCTGTTGCTCGAAAGTGACGGAGCAGGCAGCTCACCATTGTCAATCGCGTACTTGATGGTCGGGAGGGCAGCGACGATACGCTTATAGGTCAGCTCTCAATTCTGGAAGCTCAGTTCCCCAAGCGGCATCCAGACAGCTTACAGCAGGGTTGGTGATGTTCTGCTGCTTGTCCTGGCTAGTCTCATCAGCTTGAATCATCCCAACGTCTACGGAGGTCTTCAGCTCACGGAACATTGAAGTCCACCCGGATGAGCACCTTCTCGCCCTTGAGCTGGACGTCGGTAATGGAAAGCTTGGATGAAAGAGACATTGTGAGTCTGTTAATGGAAGACGCGTTCCGAGTGAGGTATGGGACAGCCGGCGAGAGGAAGGAGTAGAGTGCGAAGGCGAATATAGCGGGAAGGAGGTAGTTGACCAATTGTCGGGAGCGGAAGGACATGCAAATCAGGTGAGAAAGGCCTCGGTCAGCTATCACTCTGTCAGGGATAATCTCCGCTCGAAAGGGGGTGCACGTACGGTTGCGACTGATTTGTCTTTTGAAAGTAAATTGGAGGTATAGTTAACGAGGTCAGTCTTTGCCCCAGTGAACTTTAAAGAGCCGCGGTCCATGTCTCTTATTTACGTCATGGCGGCTGCCCATTCCTCACCTCCAAAACAGCCACCCAGATCCGCCTCGGCTGCAAATTCCCGAAAATCCCAAATCGCCGAGTGGAGGCACGCGTGCCTGGTCTGGTCACCGCGCTCAACCATATCATAGCGCCCAAATCCCCCTCCCTTCCATCCTTTGCCTTCCTACCTTCTCACACTCTTAGCTACAGCATTCAGCTCAAGCTACTGTAGCCTTTCCCCTTAGCTCTCTGTATTCTCTGTATATGGAGAGTACCCGAACCACTTGTGCAGAAACCTCCCCAAAAGTAGCTACCACTTCTTTACGCCCAAACGCCCCTCACTTCAACCCCCATCAACCTCTTCCAACCCAAGCCCAATCCTTCTCGTCCGACTCACCCGATTGGAAAGGTCATTCCAGCCTTCGCTTCACTGACGGTCTGGTGTTTGCTGACGGCTCTGTAACCGCGCAGCTCCTGAACGCCGCATTCCATTCCACCCGCACACAGTTTCTTGGAGATCACTCTGATCACCCCGAACAGCGAAGCACCTTTTCAAACCTCGTCAAGCGCGTAAGTTTCTCCTCTCCTTGCTTACCGCAGGTCGGGCATCCTTCGCCCCATCACACCCCTCCTTCCCTCGTGCACATTCCCCCTTTCCTCGTCCCCATCAACTCTGGTATTGGGGATCCCCCCATCCTTTGGCTTCACCCATCCTTTGGCACCTAAAATCTTCAACACTCTATGGGGAAGCTCAGTTGACACCTCAGAACCGCCCCTCCGATTCTGAGCTTGACGCCCGGATCGTTGCCGCACGCATCAGATCAGAAGACCTCAAGCGCAAGTTCGAGGTATGCATCATGCTTCATCATTCAACTTGACGTGGAAACGTGCTGACCGCGATCTTCCTTCTCTACGTCTTACTTCCCACCTCAAACTTCGTTACTCCCTCATTTGTTTGGCTCCATCCTTCATCAATCATCGCCCTCATGACTACCTATATCTCTCATCGACTGATCTTCGCCTTACAGCAAGCCGAACACGATCGGATTGCGTTTGAAGAGCAAGTCAAGCGAGAAGAACTTCACGCCAAGCTCCTTCTTCTGCAACAAGAATTGAACGAGTACGAGGACAACATGTCCAGTTACGGTATGTCTGAAGACCTCAGAGGAGAGAATAGGGCTGACTCGCCCAGGTCAAAACGGCAATGGCGGTGCCAAGCACGCTAGGTAGGTCTCGCTCTTTTTGTCTGCGGTCTGTGCACATCCCCTTAGCGAATGCTTCTTCCCGCTCCTTCCCGCTTCCCCTCGCTCGGGCCCTCTCCCAGCCCCAAACACCCTAAGCCTTGCTTCATCGCCCGTGCGCACCTCCTCGATCCTGCTTCTCCTCCCTCTTTCTTCACTTCCCTTCTGTACATATCGCTGACTTTGCAGTCAATACAACGCCGATTCCGACTCCGACGAAGACTACGAGGAGCAGATCAGGGTCCTCAAGGAAAAGATCGCGCGCGCCGAGGCAGACAAGGCTTCGGAGGCCAAGCGAGCAAGGAAGGCTCAGCAAAAGGCCGAGCTCGCAAAATTACAAGCGCACTTTGAAGGCATATCCACCGCCTCAAGCGCTGCTTCCGAGACAGTGAGTCTTCTTCGCTTGTTTTGGGACTCGTGCGTCGGGTCTGGACTCTGGACTGGATTGATTGGGAAGGAGTCAATGTCGGGGTATCAAGATCAAGCAGAAGAGCTTCGGGAAATCAAGACTGCGATTCAAAACTTCGAGCGGCGAAGAGGAGGCGAAATGGACTACTCGCCGGGATATGGCTCGGACAGGCATGCTGCTGTAAGACGTGTTCTGACTTGACTCCTTTTGCGATTGCCTTCCCTCTCTCCGAACTTCCAGCTGATTTAGCAGCGCACCCACAAGGTCCTTCCGCCAGAGGAGGAACGAGTGACCCAGACTGGTTCCACCCACCGAGTCTACCCCGCCCCTGCTCCCGCCGCCGCGCCGCTCAACGTTGACCAAGGCTGGGACGAAGGAGCGACCACTGCCAACAACTCGTACAACTCCAACAACGGCTACAATGCGTCGCAGCAGCCAATCAAGACGGAGCGAAACGACAGGCAACCTCCTCCCCACCTCTCGAACGCGTCCGAGGCGCCTTCCTCCCCGGCCTTGGCCACCCCTGCTACTCCCGCCAGCGAGACCGCTGCGCCCAAGGGAGGGTACACCTATGTGCCATGGGAGCCAGTGAAGTGAGTCACTCCATTGCGTCGAGTAGGAGCAAGCAGCTGATGAGGCAGGTACACCAACCCCGAGCTCAACGTCAAGAAGGAGGTCTCCCGCGAGGAAATCCTCGGTGACTTTGGCACCAACAGGGAAGAGCGAACTCGGGATGGCGACGGTGGTGCCGGCGCTGGCAGAGACAACGGCTACGGGAACCGTGCTCCCAAGCCCAGCGCCGACGAGAACGGCGGAGACAGCTGGGGCGCGCCTGCTGCTTCCGGCGGTGGCGAGGTCGCTGAGGGCTGGGGCAATGCTACCGGTGGCGATGGCGGCTATGGCACCGGCGACGGTGGTTATGGCTCATACGGCGGTGGCGGTGGCGGTGGTGGTGGCGATAGCGAAGGCTGCAAGATCTGCCGCGCGACAGACCACTTTGTGAGTCATCTTTTAAACTATGTATGGGCAGTAGCTGATCTATTAGGCTCGGGAATGCCCCAAGCAGAACCAGTGCCTGAACTGCGGTGAAGAAGGGCACAAGGTAAGCTTCTTTCTGCCAAGGCTATTGTGAGTATGCTAAGTAGACCAGAGAAACGAGTGCGACAAAGGCGTCAAGTGCCGCCGATGCGAGGGCTTTGGCCACATGGTATGTTGACGACATTCTTCGAATCCGTTGTGAGAGTGGGGCTGACGCTACAGTCGTACGAATGCACCGAGCCCCGTCAGGGCGGTGGCGGTGGTGGTGGCGGCGGGTTCGTCAGCACTTCGACCTGCTACAACTGTGGCGAGACTGGTCACTTCGTAAGTTTTTCTTTTCCGCTGGCTGGAGTTCTGAGCTGACAGAATTAGTCGCGCGAATGCCCGAACCCCCAGGCTGAGCGCCGAGCTGGCGGTGGTGGTGGCGGTGGCGGAGCCTGCTACAATTGTGGCGAGAGTGGACACTTGGTAAGCTTGATGCCGGGCTCGCTTCGCCGGAAGTAGAAGCTGACGATATAGTCCCGAGACTGCGAAGCTCCCCGCGACCCGTCCAAGTTTACCGGCACCTGCGATACCTGCGGAGAACGCGGACACAGGGTGAGCATACTTCACGCCAATTGACGAGGGGAACTTTACTGACGACTTCAGCGTCGAGACTGCCCGACCGGCGACGGTGGTGGCGTAGGTGGAGGCGGTGGCGGAGGCTACGGCGGTGGATATGGTGGCGGAGGCGGTGGTGGTGGCGGCGGGGGTGGATATGGCCAATCGTTCGACCGTACTGCCGACAGCGGGTACGGAGCTCGCAAGACCGGCGGCAGCGCCCAGCCCTCCAACTCGGGCGGCAGCAACTGGGGCGAGCCGGCTGGCGGAGACGACAAGGCCAGCAGCAATGGCAACGGCTGGACCGAGTCTGCTCCCGGTAAGTCTGGACTCCTTCACCTGTCTGAAGGTCAGAGCTGATCATCAGAACCCGCAAAGTCCTCGTCCAGCAACTCCGGAAACTGGGACGCTCCCGCACCGGCGGCACCTGCACCGGCACCGGTTGAGCTTGCCGCGCCCGTTGAGCCCGCCGCTGCCGACGGAGAGGATGACGGAGGTTGGGGAGCCGACTACAGCAAGCCGTCCAGGTCGGCTCGTTCGGTCTCGTCCCGCGCCTCTGCGCCTCAGGAGGACCGCCCGGTCCCGAGGCCCGCGCCCCCACCCCAAACCGGTATGGGCGGATGGGGAACCACCGGTATGTCTCCTCCTACACTTCTCAAGCCAGAATATCAGCTGATCCAAATAGACGACTCCCGAAGCAAGACACCCACCCCCGGAGACTACTCCACCCCGGCTCCGGCCCCGGCTCCGGCCCCGGCTGCGTCCTCGGCCAAGCCCTTCATCCACCCCTCGAGGCAGGTCCACGTTCCCGCCAACCTCACCGAGGTTCGTCGTCCTTCCGGCGTGCAGCAGCAGCGCGAGCCCGACAACGTTGTCGCTTCCAACTACGATCGCCAGAACAGCGGCGGTGGTGGAAGGTACGCTGAGCAGAGCGAGAAGAGCTACAGCCGATCGGTATCTCAAGTGAGCTATCCGTCGTCTTTCCCTTCTGGAAAGGGTAGTAAGCTGACCCAGAAGGTCTCTGAACCTGTCCGTGCGCCCAGCCCGCCTCCTGCCCCTGCGCCAGTCAAGAAGGCGTCCGCTCCAGAAGTGAGCTACTTGTTCCTATGGTGGTTGAATTTGAGCTAATCAGAATAGCCTGCGCCTGCGGCTGACGAGGACGACGAGTTCGGAGGCTGGTAGAGAAGTCATACGAAGTGTAAGCTGACTGTTCCGTCGCGTCGATGGGATGTAAGCTGATTGGACAGGCTAATCTCGCCGGCACCATCGATTCTTCTCATCTTCCTTGGCATCTTGTATCCGGCCCATTTATTCTCAACGTCATTCCCGAACCACTACATTCGCACTTCTCTCCTCTCGCCCTTCCCCATCATCATCCGGACACCCCACCTACCTCTTACCTCACCGACCTATCTTAACGAGCTCCACCATTTCCAGACTCCAATTCCATATTATGCGGTTTACGTTGAAGTAGTAGAGAGAGTCACCAGTTATCGAGTATTGAGTAGGTAGAAGAGCAGCAGTAGCAGTAGCAGCAGAAGAAGGGGGAGGAAGGAGGAGAGAAAAAAAGAGGAGAAGGAAGAAAGTAGAAGTCGTTCATTATATCATCATCATGCATCGCGTTCAAAGACTTCGTTTCCAGCTGGCTGAGCTCCAGTAGTCGCAAGTGCGCCTATCCATGCGGAGAAGACTGGAGTTGACCAACTTCGCGGATGGACAAACAGGGCAGATTTGGTACAACTAACATCAAGATCACCGCCGAACCCGACTTGCTATGTGACATCTACGTCTATCCGACCCCGACGGCCGACGGCGGACCGTCAAGTCCTATCTTTCGTCTTCATCAATCCACCTCCATCCCCACTATCACCTCCTCCTTCGCCACCTTCGTCCCTGCTTCCGCTTGCTCCGCCTCCGCCTCAGCTGCCGCATTGGCCCTCGCCTCCCGCTCCATCCGGTGTCGTATCCCATGCGGGATCTGCCCTGGAAAGAGGGACTGCATAATCCGTTCGGGCGCTCTACACGTTGCGACCCCGTATGCCCCCTCGACATTGATATCCCGATTGAACTTATTGAGCTGGACTCAATAAGCTTCTTTCTAGGCCAGGAATCGAGGTAGGCGAACAGCTTACCGAATCGAGCTTGTATGTGTCTCGTCCAAAGTTCAGGTTGAGACCGTTCTTCTACCCCTATCAGCTGATAGTCGGAATTGAACGGGAAAGATGAAACGTACAGCCACTGCAAGCCTTGCCGCAGTCTCCGCAGCGCGCTGTACAGCCGAAGCCGCGTACTGAGCCTCTTCGTCTGCTCTGTGTATCATGAGCCACCGCGACCAGTACACATCTGAGGTGTAGAAGAGGACTTACGTGGGTACATAGGTAGATCGGCGGGGTTTCAGCTTGATATCAGGTAGATCCTTCTTCCCCTATTAATATATCAGCTTCATCTTCATAGTCCAGATCATCGAACAAATGAAACATACCTTGGCACTGCTATCAGTCTTCGACGTCGCCTCAGCAGACTTGGCAGCAGTCGCATTTGCAGCAGCTGCCCTGCTCATTGCCTGAGCGAGAAGACTCGGCGCAGCAGCAGGCTGAGAGATGGCGGCGATAGCTGCAGCCTTGCCGGTCGGGACAGCGCCAGCGGCGATAGGTGTCGACGTCGAAGTGGACGTGCCGGTCTTTTTCCCGGAACCGCTTTCAAGGAGAGGTTTGCCTTTCGTCGTGGGTGTATTTGTAGCCGGAAGCACCGATTTGCCCGTGGCGCTTCCACTCGCCTTAGCAGCCTTGCCGCTACCGCTGCCGCTGGCGCCTGATGCGCGAGGCTCGGGCGTCCCGCTCGGTGTACCGGCCTTGGACGATACACTCGGTGTACCTCGCTTGTTGGGCGTATCGGACGTCCCGGTCTCGCCCCGCTCTTTTCGCTTCAGAGTTTCGACGTTACTCTTCCGCGGCTTGCCGTCCTTTCGGGTCTTTACTTCCTTCTCCTCTGGTTCCGGTGCCACCTCCTCCTCTATCTTCTCCGGCTCTGCCGACTTGCCTGCTTTACCCGCCTTCTCCCTCTTCGGCCTCTTGTCGGACACGATCTCCGCCTTTGCTGGTCGCGTACCCTTCTTCTCCGGCTTATCTTGGGCCTTACCGGACTCCATCACCGGTTCCTCCGATTCGATGCGCCTCCTGTTGATCTTGAGCACTAACTTTTGCGACTTTGCGGCAGGTACGATCGGGGGCGACTCGCTGGCGGGCAAAGCGGCCGGGGAAGGGGCTTTTACCGCAGGCGAAGGGGATGCCGCAGGAGCTGGGGCAGCAGTCTCAGGAGGGACGGGAGGTGACGCTGGAGGAGAGGACGCCTGGGGGGCGGTCTCGACGGGTGCAGTGTAGGCGGTGTGCGGTGGAGTAAGAGCTACCGCGGTTGGCGGGGTGGGATCTTGGTGCGGAACAGGCGGAGGAGTTGGTTGCCGAGCAGTTGGTGGATCAACGTCCATGGCGTCTTCGGAAGGTACCGCTGCGGCTTGCGAGTCCGGCTGAGGACTTGTGGACTGCATTGTCTCCGCGACTGCTGCCTCTGCTCCTGCTGAGAGAACTGGGACGGCGTCGCTGGTTTTGGTCGGCGGATAGATTGGAGGAGGCGTGAAGAGAACCGTACGTCGAGGAGGGGACGCTTGTTGAGTGATGGGTGGAGTGGGATCACGATGGGGCACGGGCAGTGGCGTGGGTGGCTGATCGACATCGGTGGGTCCGGGCGCCCGTGCCGGAAGTAGTGGTGTCTCGGGCACAGTAGAAGCAGCCGCGGCTGCCGGAAACGCAGATGCCTCCGGAGCTGCCAATATGGCTTCTCCGGCCGCCTCTGCGCCTGCCGATGGTACCATGTCTGGTTCTGGCGACTCCGAGGGTGATATGATGACCCGCCGCTTAGTCTTGGATGGCGTACCGCGGAAGGTGCTGGTCGACGGAGAAGTGATACGAGGTGGAGTATGGGCGGCGGTGACGGGAGGGGTGGGGTCTTGGTGTGGGACGGGTGGAGGAGTGGGCTGGCGGACCGGGAAGAGTTCAACCTCCGGTGTTGCGGGGGGAGGAGTCGCAGCTGCCACTACTATGGGAATAGTAGCGGTAGCAGGTTCTGACACCGGTGCTGGTGATGGTGGAGGTGAGGAGGATACGAACTGTGCGAAGCGGGCAGGCGCAGCTGATGGCGGTGCTCGGGCGGCGCCAAAGGTGGAGGAGTCAGAGACAGCTTCCGCTGGTGGTAAAGATACCGATGTGGGTGCAAGAAGAGGGGAGGTGACTCGAGTAGGCGATACTCCCGGAGATAGTACCGCCCGAGGAGCCGACGCCACTGGTGGAGTGAGTGATCCGGACAGTACTCGCAAAGATGGCGTCAGTGCCGCCGCGTGCGAGAAGAAAGGATGGTCCGGAGGGAGAGGGGGTGTTTCGATAGGTGGCGAAGATTCTCGTGGGGTAGGAGAGGACGGAGCTGCAGCTGGTGGGTATTGTGGGAGTTGTTCGCGGCTTGGTGGAGCTTTGGCTGCTTTGCTAGGTTGTAGAGGTGTAGGGGCAGGTGAAAGGGATGGTGATGAGTCTGCTCGGTTGGGTGTAGAAGGGCCGGTGTTCGCCGACGCTGAAGCTGAAGGACCCGCTTGAGCAGCTGTTCCAGGGCCAGATGGGCGGGAAGGGGATTGTGCGCGCGAAGCGGGCTTGGATCGGTCTTTGCTATTTGACGGATCAGGCTGCAGGCCGTCAGCTATGAGGTCTAGATCATAAAGCAGAGCCAGATGGCTGCTCACAGAACTATTGTGGCTGCTGGGTTCCGGCTGCGATGTCAGCGATGGTCTACTTTACCGGCTCTAAGGCATGTGAAGATTTACAGATACGACACGACCCTTCACAACTTTGGGTCTGGAGCTCCTACGAGGTGGAGCAGGCGGTGCAGACTTTGCTGCAGCTTTTGCTGCAGTCTTTTTAGGCGCCATGATTATCAAAGTTTGCGGCGGGTTAGGAAGCTAAGGAGCGACGGCGACCAGGCACGGAGTGTGTGTTTTGGAAGGTCTCAGTTGCGAGGAGACGGGTTTCGAGCGCCCGAGCGGGCGAGAACTGGTCGGACTAGATTTGGCCAGCGTATTTGAGGATATGGCCGTTCTGCGATTCGAGATATGGCGAGCAGGCCGATGCAGAAGTCTACTCAAGCAGTGCAAGCAGTGCTGACACGGTAGAGAAAGAAGGTGGTCGCGCACGAACTGATCCAGCTGGATCTTATGTGAAGGGCTCGATTACGTATTACTCCCAGCGCCTGGTCTTGGGCGCCGCAGTCGCCTTCACTCTAAGCCTTAGCCTCACGCACATGTGGGAGCTCTTTGTCGGTGATTCTGGGAGAGAACTCTTGTCAGTTCGATGTCCCTGTAGTGAGTCCGCGTCCTGGATATACCCTACAGGCCCCCAGCCGCCAAAGCGCTCTGGATATTTCAGGCACCACGTGCACGGTGACCAGTCGCGTATGCTCTCCTAGTTACCTGTCTAGAATGCTTCAATTGCTTGATACCGGCTTGCAGAAGCAATGCTGATGTGGACGGGCGGCCAGGCGCCATGTTGCCTCGACGCTGAACTTGCACACGAACGGGTGTTGTAACGTGACGTTTCAGCTGGTCCGCCAGGTACGAGCTGAAACACATTCCTCGCTTTCCTGGCACGGTATGCACGGATGCAACCTAAAACTCAGCTATCGCTGTTGCTTCTTCGCTCACGGCTAGCGTCAGCCTTCTCATCTGCAAGGACCCCTTCACGTCACCAATCAAAAGCATCTCAGACGAGTCACCGCAGATTTGAACATGGCATGCCATTGGTTCAGCTCGCCAGACATCGATGCAGGTACGACGCTCGAGCAAGCCAGGGCCCGTGTTGAAGTGCTCGAAACTCTCAACACCGACGTGAGCTGCGCCCGGCCGGGAGATCGCGCTAGGCTGGACGAAGCCGTCGACAGCCTCGAGGAAGCCACAAACTCGACCGAGTGGAGGGAGTGGAACACCAATTCCGTCTCCGTGCCGTTCGACGTCACTCGGCTCAAGTACCCTATCCGGAAAGCATGGTCCGACAGCCCCAGCGAGCCTAATGCGCTTGACGGCATGTCTATCACCATGCTACGCGTGGCAAATCAGCGCGGAGTGACGGCGGCGGATATTGCGGCGCAGGGGAAGCAGGATCGGGAGGCGAGAGCTTTGGCGCTGGCGGATGAGCGGTCGAGGCAGTTGGCCAAGCGCAGGCAGGCGGTAGCGTCCGGAGGACGGAAGGACGATGATGCCTCGCTGGCGGATGATCTACCTCGATCGGCCCCTGGGGGCGTCCGGCCTCTGCCGGACTCGATCCAGGTCACGGCCAGATCCTCTAAGGTCGATTTTGTGCTGCACGAGATCCTCAAGTCGGACCCGGCCGATAAATTCATCATTTTCGCCGAGGGAAATGACTATGGGCACTTAAGCGAGGCTCTGCTCTTGATGGAGATCCGCACGTGAGTCAACCAGATGACCGTAGGGATTGCTGAGTCGTGCTGACTTGCCAGGTGCTATCTCGTCGCTGAAGTCTCGGACAAAGAGCGCGACCAAGCGTTGATCGACTTTAAGCTGCCTGAAGTGCGTGTTTGTGTCATGGGTCTAGGATTGGGTGCTCGTGGGCTGTAAGTACTTACTGACATACTGCACAAAATTCAGTCTGACTGACTTCTGTAGCAATCTTACTGAGGCCAACCGAGTGATCTTCCTTCGACCGCTTTGGAGTTCACACGTCTTTAGCCAAGCCATCGCACGATGTCATCGACTCGGCCAGACTCGTTCCAGTGTAGTCCAGATCCTTGTCGCCGAGGACACGATCAAGGAGGGAGCTGCGACTCGCCACGAGGGCAAGCTGTCTGAGATGGATCAAGCGGCTTGGAATCGAGCTCTGATCGAGGTACCTCATCCCTGCTTAGCGAGATCGAGTAGGAGCTGATACCACCAGAACCCTTGATATGTGGACGAACAGCCCAATCCTATCAAGCCCCTCACTATCAGTCTCATCCCCATCGACGAGCGCCCTCCGCCCGGATTCCCTGCACCCTGGACCGCCCCCGCAGCACCCTCTGTTCCCTTAACTCCGGCTACACCAGCCCGGCGAGCTGCAGCGGGCAGTCCAGCCCATGTTGATGAGGCGCTACGGGTCAAGCATGAGATCGATGAGGATGGGTTTGAAATCCTGGACGGGCCTCGTAAGCGGGTCAAGTTTGATGAGGGCGCTGCAGGACCTTCGGCGTAGGTGGGGAGGGGGATCTATCGGCATGGCATGTTTTATGTATATCTGCTTATATAATCTTTGTGCGCATTTGGCTAGCAGCTGAATACGATTACGACCTTATGCGCAAGCAAGTGTATGGGGACTAAGGAGTTCGTCTACTGCTTTAGCGCTGAGCTGGCCAGCGAGAAGCACCTGAAACACAACCTGAAACACGCGCACTCGTACGGTATGTCGAGCACGGAGTAGGCTTCTATCTCCGCTCGCTCATCCCACCCCCGGCCGCTCGGTAGCTCTTTCGCCCGGTGCCTTTGCTCTCCTGCTCTCATCCACACCCATACATCCCATAAACCCTACTCTTGCCATCCAGCGAGACATCACACGCCATGGTCAACTCAGCCAATGCCCTCCAATCTCCCGCCCAGGCTCTCACGCTCGGGACCCTGCGCCTACAGCTCAGTCCAACTCAGGCGACACACATCCTCGAAGGACTTGGCCAGAGGCCGCTGATCGAAGCGTACCTCGAAACATCGGAATTCGCGGAGGATTCAAAAAAGCTACGAGGAATCCTGACCCGCCTTCTGGACGACGGCGATCTCGGCTTCGGCGGACGCTGGCAAGTGACAGGATCGCAGATGGAGGTAACCTGCTGGATAGTTCCAATGGACGCAGACGGCAGCACATGGGTCGATGCGGGGAGCAACGGAAGGCAGTCTGATCTGAGGGAGATGCATGAGAGTCTGTTTGGAGAGGATGGCGAGCTCGTGCTCGCATTGAAAGTGAGTAATATTTGTGTATGCTGCTCTGCGCAAACTAACGCTGGTCAGCCTGAAGATCACGGATCAATCCCCCAGGTGTTTCACTCGATACCTTCCCCGTCAAAACCAGACCTACGTCAACGTCCGCTCTACCTTGACGAAACCATGTATCAGACGTTGAAGCAATTCATGGATCGGGGTCAACCATCATATCCTTTAAAGACTCGCTTGCGCCTATATCAATCTGTTCGTGATTTGCTTGCCTTGCCCTCGTCTGCATGATTTTGTTCCGTGCTGATATGCTCTCAGTACTCTGTATGGGAGATAGTGACACGCGAAGAGGATCCAAGGCAGATGTTGGACCCAAGATATACGCCGGTGGAGGGAGCGGCGGGAGCGGGACGCTATTTCCTGAATCCGCAGACGGGGCAGGTTCGCCGGCGAGGCGAGTATCATCAATTACCTCGAGGAGGCATCGTGTGAGTAGCTTCTAATCGGCTTTTGTCGTCCATTCAAGGGGCGAAAAGCTGACCCTCGAAGGGGCGAGCAGATGGGATCAGGCAAATCGTTCGAGATATTAGCCCTAATCCTCCTGACCTTACATCTACAATGTCAGCCCCCGCGACCGACGCCTCAAGTGGAGATCTCGGCGGTCTCGATCGACGAACGGACAGGCCGCCGATCCTACATGGAACGCCCGATCAATGAGAATCGGAGAGCGTCTGCGTCTAATTTCCAACCGGCGAAGGAATATACCCTCGTGGATGCTACTCTGTTGATCGTTCCTAAAGGGCTCGCGGCGACGTGGATAGCAGAGATCGCTAAGCACTTCGAAGAAGGGACTTTCAAGGTGTGGGCCGATGGGAAGCGCTTGCCTACTCCCAAGGAGATTGCCTTGTCCAATGTAAGTCGTCACTGGCTCCTCAGCCTGTCTGCCGGCGCGGGGTCCTCCGGATCTGTCCGGATCTATGACGCTGACAAGCAGATCATAGTGATGGCGACCGAACGCTTCTCGAGAGCGCCGCACGACTCGAGTCTGCTCAATTATAGGTTCAAGCGAATAGTAGTGGGTGAGTGATTTGAAGGACGGCCGCGTCAACAAGAAGCTGACCATACAGATGAAGGGCATCAGGCGGCCCAGGAGAACCCTACGAGCGCTATCGACTTTGTCGAGAAACTCAACGCCGAGCGCAGATGGTTGGTGAGCGGAAGTGAGTGCTGTTGATGCCGCCAGCAGAGAACCAGCTGATCTGGCCTAGCTCCTACGGCAGGTCTCCACCAAGGAGGTACGAGCAGTGAAAATCGCCTCGCCGCCGTTCACGCCGCACAGCCTGGCGATGCTGCCGATTTGGCGCAGAATGTGTCACATCCTGGAGATGAGGATGGGGGTCAGCTGGCAGTGAGTCCGCTTCTCTCGCATTGCGTCCATCAACGAGAGAAGCTAAGATGTAGAGAATCATCGTGCTCTTCTTGAAGGCGGACTTCTTCGGCTCAAGAAGAGCCTTCAGGAATCTGATTCTAGGTCCATTAGGCGCGGCGGGTGCCTCACCAGCATTTGGCGCGGTCAAACGGTTCCGATTCCTCATGAACGCCCTTATCGTCAAGAACGCGTACGTCTGTATAGTCAATGGACCCCTTTATTGTTCGCTGACGCAGCAGACCCGAGGTAGTAGACGCTGAACTACAACTGCCTCCGCAGACCATATCCATAGTCAGGCTAGCGTTGCATCCGGTGCAACGCTTGACTTACAACTTTTTACTGGCGCAGGTACTTCTAAACGCGATCACCAGTCCGTTCAACCTATTTCGCACCTAGCGAGTCATATGTGACGTCTGCTGACGTCAACAGGCAAACGTACAGATATCGACTATTTCCTCCATCCACGCAATACTGGCCCGACTCTCATTAGACAGCCTGGAATAGGGGTGTAATCAAGGTGCGCGATCAACTGGGCCAAGTGAGAATACAGCTGAAGATCGTAGAACCCTGAATTCCTAGACGAGCAGATAAACCCTACAAAGCCTCTGCCTGTCAGCCTCATCCCCGTCGGCGACCGCGCAGCTCCTGCGATCACAAATGCAAGCAACAGCCGAGCCGGGCCGTCCCGCCCCATCGCCAACAACCCGCGCCTTCCTGGCGTTTGTCCCGCTTCCAGCAGCAACGGAGCGGGTCCGTCCCGGCTCGCCGCCGTTGACCAGCGCACCCCTCGCGCCTCCCCCGCGTCCAGCAGCGATCAGGGCGGTCCCTCCGTCCCGGTCACCCCTACCACATCGGCAATACGCTGTCAGGCGGGCGCTTCACAGGGGCCTAGACACATACAGCGCGCGTTGGACGATGATGACGACATTAGGGTGCTAGATGGGCCGCCCGGGGATAGGAAAGGGAAAGGAAGGGAGACACCCGTGGCCAAGCGGGCTAAAAGATGATACTGGCGCGACACAGAGGCGTAGTTGTAATAGTATACCTTCATCTTCAGGCTTATCGTTGTATATGTATTCAAAGCTGGACCACCCTCATGTTGGTCGGGAGACTCGATGCGAGCCACGTCGAAAGAGCTTTAGACCCTGCCTGCGCGGGCCCGTAAGATACTGGATAGCCTTCGACGTGCACACCGTGCATATCGGATCATGCTATATACACAACAACATTGCTACATACGAAGCCAATCATCAAAATTGACTCGCTGTCCCCATGTCCTATGCCTCTCCACCCATGACTAATCGACATCCAACATCCGTTCCTAACCTGGACGCCCATCTCCAAATCCTAGACCGGCTAGACCTTGTCCGCATAAACCGGCCGTTCCGCCGCCATCGCCGCCACCCTCCCCGACCTCGACTCTGGGTCCATCCGCCTCGCTCCCCAGCCCGTATGTCTCCGCCCTCTGCGTTCCCTGTGCGCCTTGAGATCCGCCGAAATGGGATTGACGCTCCGGGCGATAGTGGTCCCGTTACTCCGACGGCGGCGACAGGTACGTACTTTCGAGGTCTGGGCTGCGGCAGCCACGGTGGAGGTAGAGGTGGAAGCGACGGGCGCGGGAGCAACCGCGCCAGGTGCTTTGACGTCCGCGGAGGACGAGGCGGGTCGGACCGAGGTGGACGTGGACGTAGATGAAGCCGGAGCAGAAGCGGCTGCTGCGCTCGGAGAGGGTGTAGGGCTAGCCGCGAGGTTTTTGGCGTCCGAAACCGCATTTCCTCCGCCACCGCCGCCGCTACCGCCGCCGCTACCGCCCTTGGTCCCCGCACCGTCCGCACCTCCAGGGTGCACACAGTTGGAACCAGTCACGCCGCGACCGCTAGCGGGAGTCGTGCCCCGGTAGTCTCCGGAGTATTTGACAGTCGCGCCTGGATTGGGAAAGACGACGTCCTGCCCCTCGACGGTGCTGCAGGTATTGACGGAGCCGGCGTTGGCGACGAAGGGAGCGGGGAAGTCTCGGCTGTTGAGTCCGGATCCGCCGTTGGTGATGGTGACGATAGCGCAGTTCTGGACGTCAGCCAAGGTCAAACCAAAGGGTCCGATGTTCCACCAACAGCTCCGCTTGACGGCGTCTTCACATCAGGCAAGAAGGGCGGCTCACCTGGTACATCTCCCTGTTCCCGAGCCTGTTGAACCAAGTCCAGCTGAACACCGCCTCCCCACTCGGCGCCGCCTTGGGAATGACAAAGCTATTTGTCAAGTCCTCTGCCATGCACCCGCCAATGTAGCTGAAAATGACGTTCCACGTCTTGCCCATATCGTACGACAGCGACAGCTGACATGATCCGCCACCATGTACCGCGCCGGGCGGGGCGATGGTGAAGGATTGGGTCGTGCCTGCCGGCCATGACTTTTGGGGTGTGAGTAGGGAAGGAGCGGCGCCGAGGTAGCCCTAAAGAATCAGCTATTGGTTCTGGGAGGCGCGAAGGCGACTGACCTTGCAGGGATATGGAAGACCGTTAGCTACCAAAGGAGCGGTATAGCTGTAGTCTGGGGATCAGCCTTTTGGCCATCACAGACGTCATCAAACCTCCACCCACCTTTATCGTCGTTGGAAACTGCCGGGTTCTGCTGGCTCTTGATGGGGTATGGGTTCTGCATTTGGAGGTGCGCCAGCGCAACCCCAGCGAACGCGAATAGCGAAAGGACAGTAGAGCTCTTCATTATGATCGTAAAGTCGTTGAAAAAAACGGGTAATTCGTAAGGTTGAGTGAAGTTGAAAAAGAGTGTGATCGTCGACGCGGTCGAACGAGTTGGACGTTGAAAGGCGTAGATGTGCTACGCTGCGGAAGTGGTTGGGGAAGTGATGTTTGATAGAAGCGATGCTGAGTCTATAAAGAGATCAGTGCCCGCCTTCGGATGTAGATCCTATTTCCAAGGATGGGACAGCGTCGCGTCGAGAAGGAAAGGAGGAACTTACGCGTCAAGTCGAGTGAGCGAGCGCCTGGCCCTTTGACGGATGAGAAGCTGTACGAAAAGAGAGGCGAAGGATCAGCAAGGCGGGAGATGGGATGAAGGGAGAAGGATGAAAAGAGAAGAGAAGAGAAGAGAAGGATCACTGCATGACTCTGGTACTGTCTACCACTCAAAGGACAACAGGGTGAAAAGGTTCAAATCACTTTCAAACTCTCCCTTGCGTCACCGTGCACACACGGGGTAACAGGGAAGCGCGTTTCGTGTTTCAGTGGCGTACAGTGGCGCGTCTCACTGACCGTCTATTGTTCGTTGACCTTGACGACCAGCAGCATGCACCTCGCCCAGACTCCGTGTCACATCCTATGCCAAAGCCTGCCATTCCGACACCATGCATCCAGATCACTTCCATACTAGAACACTTGTATGGAACTCTCCCGCCCAGGTCCAACACCAATGTACTGGATCTTGACGCCCAAGAAGTCCTCAACGAACTTGCAGTACTTTTGGCACGTTTCGGGAAGCTCAGCAAAGGTCTGGCACTTGGTAATGTCGGATTTCCAGCCGGGGAGGGTGACGTAGGTGACTTCGACCTTGGCGAGGCGGTCGAGGTCGGCTATCTGATCAGCTGAGTCCAGAGCTCGAGACCAGATGGGCTTACCAGGGAACCCGTCAATCTCGACACCGTCCACCACGTAGCCTGTCGCAATCTTGATCTCCTCAAACCCGTCCAGAACATCGAGCTTGGTCAAGTTCAAGCTGGTGTACCCGTTGATCATGGTAGAGTAACGCATGACCACCAGGTCCAACCAGCCACACCGCCTTCGCCGACCAGTGACGGTACCGTATTCAGCTCCGACCTCTTGCAGGGTCTCGCCGATGGTGCCGAACTGCTCGGTCGGGAAGGGTCCACCACCGACACGGGTGGTATAGGCCTTTACGACACCGACGACCCGCTTGATAGCGAAGGTGGGGAGACCGAGACCGGTGCAGACACCGCCGATAGCGGTCGACGAGGAAGTGACGAAGGGGTAGGTTCCGTAGTCGAGATCCAACATGAGCGCGTTGGCGCCTTCGACGAGGATCCGCTTGTTTTGCTTAATGGCGTTGTGGAGGAAAGTAGGGCCATCGACAATGTGCGGGCGGAGACGCTCCGCAAAAGCCTGAATGTCAGCTTTGGACCTTGTCTTGTGCCTGTTAACTCACGAGGTACATCTCAATCTCGCCTTCGGTGTCAAACTCAAAGTGTCCATACCGCTTGAACCGCCCCTCAACCAAGTTCCGGAACTTGGCCGGGAAAGACGGGTCGTACAGGTGGTGCACCCGAAGTCCGGACCGGCTGGCCTTGGACGAGTAAGCGGGTCCGATACCCTTGCGGGTGGTGCCGATAGATGAACCACCGAGTTCAATCTCCTTGAGTCCATCGACGATCTGGTGGAAGCCGAGAACGAGGTGGGCGCGGTCAGAGACGAACAACCGGTCGGCGCAGCTCAGGCCTGATAATCAGCTTGGTCTCCGTCAACGACATAATCGCACAGCTCACCTTTGCGTTCCAGAGTGTCGAGCTCATTGAACAGCGAGGGAATGTGGACGACCACGCCGGACCCGATGAAGGCAGTGCACTTTTGGTTGATCAAGCCTGCAGGTCAGCTGATGATATCGCCTAGAGTTCACCGTCTCCGCCTGCCACCGGCTGTAACATGCCGTCTACGCCTTCTCTGACCAGACAATCGAGACGTACCACTCGGGAGCAGGTTGAACGCATAGGTCGTCTTGACGCCCTTCGGGTCCTTGACCACGATGGTGTGTCCGGCATTGTTTCCTCCGGCACACCGAGCGCAGATGTCCGCTTCGGCGGCAAGGATATCGACGAGCTTGCCCTTGCCTTCATCGCCCCACTGGGCACCGAGCCTAAGTATGGTCAGTACGCAATACGGCTTAGCCGACCGGCCGCGAAGCGGAGGTAGACGTACACAACGGTGACCCCGGCGGGCGTTGCCTCTGATCCTGCCGCTGTCAGCTTTCAGCCCCAGACCGAGCGGAGCAATCAGCTGACCTTGACTCATGATTTGTATCTATTGAGCTGTATAGCGCCCTCCTTGAGGAAGAGGGAGATGTACAACAGGCAAATCAATCACCACCTTGACTCGTTTCGGTCTTTTCGGACCAACCAGCCAAGCCAGTTCTGGGGTGAGTGACGTGGCACCATCCTTGTTGACATTCACTGATAAGCCGCGCGGTTGATTTCTTTCCTTTCCGGCCCGGTGTGTCAGATCTGACTTGACCCATCCGACAGACTCAAGCCATGTCTTCAACGGTGACGATGGGGTTCACAGCGAAGAGCTCGATGTGGCCGAGGACAACACGTGGAGATGGGAGGGCAGCGGGGCGACGAGAGAGGGAGCAACAGCAACGACGAGGAGGATGTCTCTCTTTGCCTGTTTGCTCGACCTCGACCAAGCGGCGACAACTTTGGGATGGGGATCGCCCCTCGACATACTCGCCTTCACATCGGCTGATCAGCCGGATCATCACTCCACCTCTCGACACACCTCAGCGGAGCAACCCATACCGGCAAGATGACCCCCCGACCCCCACTCAGCTCGCGCACCACCGCCTTCTCCGAGGCCTCACACGCAACCTCCCTGTTCTCGTCGCACCGCTCCGGTCAGACCACAGCCATGACCTCGCCGGACCTCGATCTCTCCACACCCAAGAAGGGCTGGTTACACGGCTCCGGCGTGGGCAAGATGGACAACATGTTGACCGTGATGGAGACGGACGAGCGGTCATCCCGGCGGACCACTATGGCGGTGGAGAACTACTCTGGGGCGTCGAACGACGGGAGCAGGCGGCCGAGTGCGAGTATAGGGAGAGGACCTAGCGTCAAGGATCGGGCGAACGCTTGGGAAAATACCTCTCAAGCTGGCCCAGGTCCATCGTCTACGTCATCCAAATCTACCTCGCCCGTCCGCGCAAAACGAGCTCTACCGGACCCCAACTTCCAGCCGTCGCCCGCCGGGTCCAGCCGAAGCGGCACTGCGCCTCTGCGCGTCGCCAAACGCCCCTCTCCCGCTCCATCCACCCTCACGCCCACATCGGTATCCCCCAATCCACCTCGTCGGATCCCTATCCCCGCTACGGCACCCCAGCAGCGCACCGGCGTCTTCTACAGCGAGCCAGATACCATGACTACCCTGTCAGTCCCGCGCTCCGCCGAGCTCAAGAGAGGGACAGGATCAGCCAAGAGAATGATCCAGCAATGGGAGAATCTTCCGCCTGATGGTTCACCCACGCGGCGCCGACTACCATCGACCGGTCTCGCCCTTCAGCCCAGCAAAAGGGTGTACAGCCGGGACTATCTCGACGCAAAACCCCTCCCGGTCCCCTCTGCCACTCCTCTCCCTTCGTCCAACTACTATTCGGCCGCGAAAACGTACACTCCGCAACAGATGACTACGCCGACCAGGCTCCACCGTCCTTCCCCACTACAGCACCTCCAAACTCCCTCTCAAACAGCTTATCGGTCTACATCGCCCACCTCGCCGAGCCAATACTCCCTCTCCACCAGTCCGTCCAGCGGGAAGGGCAGGGGTAAGTCTCCGCTGAAGGATATGCTCAACAAGTTTGGTGGCGGTGTGCGGGACGTAGGTCGCAAGATGGCAGGGAAGAGCAAGGAGAAGTTTGGGAAGAGTAAGGAGTCTCTAGGCGGGAGTAGCAGGGAGGATCTGCATTTCTGGGAGGAGGCGAGGAACGAGCGGCTGGGAACGAACGGGCTTCCTGGCGGGATCGTCTTCAACGACCGGATGGGCGACCAGGAAATGAGCGCGAGAAAGGATGACGTTCAGGTGAGCTGCCGCTGCTTATGGGTCTGAGGTGAAGCTGACATCTCCAGGTCATTCGCTCCAGCTCGGTCGTCTACCTCGTCCCCACCCCCTGCTCCTCCCTGTCGCCATGGGGATCCTGGCTCACATCCTTCGCCACCCTCTCCAGCGACCACCTTCGAATCACCTATTGCCCCGTCTTCCCCTCAAACCAATCCGGTCGGTCCACTCCGCGTAGAGTGATCTCCGGCGCACATCCATCCGCCCCGGCATTCCCTTCTGTCCCCTTCAATGCCATTCCTCTTCCTGCAGCAGGCCAAGAACCCGACGTCGAGATGAACATGAAGGACTGTGTGGAAGTCCGGAGTCTGCGCAGGGAGGAGATCAAGGGGAGGGGGATCCCGCCTGCCCCGGAAGGAATAGGGACAGAGGTATTGGAGATGGTCTGGAATGACGGGGGGAGGCGGTACATCGGGGTAGAGGGGGTTAGTGGGCGACTGGGCTGGGTCAGCGCTATCTGGTGAGTAAAGTCCACTTTGACAAAGAGGGTAAGCTGACCATCAGGGACGTACTATTAGCTTGCCAATCCTCCAACCCCTCGAATCTTCCTCCACCGTCCCCCACCGCCTCTTCTATGAAGATCACCACCGCCCGCAAACCTCCCCTATCCATCTCACCACACGGATCCTTCGCTTATCCACCGCACGAGCCCCCTCCCGAGCTCCTTGCTTTCCGAAACCGCATTGCCTCGGCGGAGAAACAGGCGTACTCTCCCGACCCGCCCAAAACTACCGCTCCGCCCGTTCAGAAGGTTGGGGATGCCTGGGTCGCAGCGAGCGTCATTGCGCCCCGGGATGAATCGGTGGATATGGATCGCGCCCCGAGCGCCGAGAACCTCCGGGACAGCGTGCAGCGGATGTTTGGCCAGCCACCGCCCGACCTACCTATCAATCCCCCAACCCATCCGGTCGATCCGGGGCTGCCGAGCGGAAGGGAAGAAGAGGCGGACCCCATGGAGCGCGTCAAGCAATGGCAGCAGCCGGAACCTACAACGCAGCACCTCTCCATCTTCCGCCTAGCGGGGGGCACCATCCCAGCTACGGAAATCGGCGAGCCGGCGCGCAAAACCGATACGCTGCTCAGCTTTGATCCGAACGACCTCAACCCGTCTCGCTCGGCTTCGCAGGTCCGGCGGCAGACCACCATCGGCGGCGGAGTCGAGGGCCTGCGGAGGCGATACGAGCCCCAGCTGGGCTTGGCGGGGATAGAGGAGGGGTCGGACTCGCAAGCGACTGGCGCGACCAAGCCGCCTACGCATATCAGTCATGTCACTTTCCCGAAGCCTGCGATGGGCGGTCTACGGATCGGCGCGTACCAGCCCCTCTCTCCACATCCCGAGGGGACAGAAGGGGGAAGTGCGCTTGACGATTCGCGACGCTCCACGACATCCGGAACGGACTCGGCCACCCTCCGGACACCCCACACCATCCAGGAGAGCATCACTACCGTCCAGTCAAGCGTAGACCAGACGGTCCTCGCTAAGCTGGACGACCACTCCACCGAGCATACTCAGCTCGGACAGCAACTCAGCGGCGTCCAAGACGACCTTCAAAAGGTTATCGGGACCCTCACTTCCCTCGTCGCGGGTGCGGGTCTCGAGAGGGACTCGGCCAAAGGCATGGAGGGGAAACTCGATACAGTCGCTTTGGACGTCAAAGCCATCGAGAATGCACTCAACCTCAACTCGCTCTCGATGCGCTTGCCGCCGAGTTTGACGGCGGGTCAGGACGAGGAGCAGACGATGGATGGTAAGATGCCGGAGATGCATCGGAAGCTGGATGCTATTGCCAAGCTGTGCGAGGATCTGCTCGCTAGGCCAGGAGTGGGAGGAGGGGCTGTACTTGCTGTCGCTGGGAGCGGAGGGGATCTGGCGAAGAGCGCAGAGAGGATGACACCGCCGCCGGCGGCTTCGGTGGCTATGGGCAGGAAGGGGAGTCTGGGCATCACCGTTGACGCCAACGAAGAGAAGGAGGCCGGAGAGGAGGTTGCTGCTATCATGACCGACTTGGTGAGTTGCTCGCACATGCTCATCATTCTGGGTCAAGCTGACACCGCAGACCGGCAACTCATCGAAAGCTTCACCTCGAGTCGGCGGTATCCAGGTCCTGCACAGCGTCTCGAAACCGCCAAGTCCCACCGGGATGGCTGTCGACGCTAACAAAGAGCCCGAGCTCCCCGAAGATACGCGAAAGCAGGTTGGCGAGGTGCTCACGCTCGTCCGGGATCTCAAGGACGCTCGAGCGCTCCAGACTCAGCAGACGACCGATATTGCCCGATGTAAGCTTTGCTGAACCCTCCATTCCGACGTGATAAGCTGACACCTCAGACCTATCCGAGCTCAACGCATGGCTCGAAAAGTTCGTCGTCAATTCGACCAAAGAGCTCACTGGCCTCAACACCCGCCTCACCTCCCTCGTCGGTCCTGATGCGCCCCAAGGAACCGATGACTCGGGCGCTCCCCATCCGCCTATCGGCCTACCGGACCTTGTGGCCGATATGCATGCGATGGTATCGGAGCAGAAACGCCGTGCTGAGTCGGAAGGGATGGTAGGCCAGAGGTTGGATGCGTTGTTGCAGATGATGGGGGAGGAGAAGGATCGGCATGCGGGTCAGCAGAACAGTGAGTACTTCGACGATGAAGGAGAGGGATGGAGCTGATGGAAATAGCGGTCGAGCAGGTGATTGGGCTCCTCGACCGTCAAAGGCAGGATAATGAGATCCTCCTCCGTGCGCTAGCGACGGACCTGACTAGCGAGATCAGAGGGGAGCGGATCCGATTCGTTGAGGCCATGCAACAGGCAACTTCGGTCAACGTCAACTGTGAGTATCAATGTTCTCCCTAGCATGGTGGGAGCGTAGCTGATCTCGCAGTACACGTCGAGGAGTTCAAGAAGCTGCTGGGTACAGAGGTCGCCAAGTCCATGCAGGAGCTCGGCCAGATGCGAGAGGAGAAGAAGGCGCTTGAGCAGAATATTTCGGATCTGTTTGCGCTCAAGGCCAAGCATGGGATTATGAACACTCGGAGCAACGTGAGTATCTGTTACCCGTGACAGTATCCATTGGACAGTGTTGGGAGGCAGCAAGAGGATCGAGCTGATATCTTCAGAGCAAGAAGGGAGGCGGACCGCCTACGCCCGCGTCGCCGGGGAGTGCGCTGGGGAGGGGGTTGCCGGCTCCGCCTGCTGGGAGACCGCGATAAGGACAATTCTCGATATCTGTACTTTCACTATTTTGGGAATATGGAACACTATATTTCGAGGAGATCGGCCTGCTCCATCCCGGCTCATGGCTGGCGGTATCCAGAAACGGGTATGGCTTGCACGATTAGCTTGGCGCTACCAGCTAGGTTGACTGAATGACCTACCAGATCACGCTCAAGACTGAGCGGGTGACCCGTCTTCCTCTCCCGCCTCTTTCGCTGAGCCCTCCGATCCTGAATCCCCACATCCTACCCTTGATCAGCTAACATTGCGAGGATAATTCAGAGTCAATGCTCACCAAAAGCAAGATCCATAAACTTGTCGTCCTCCTTCCACATCGTTTGAACCATCTCTGATCGCTCCCTGTTCCCTCCCAGATAATCTGCCGCCTCCCGTATCTCGACGATCATCCGCCTGAATGGTTCAGGGACTTTCGGGAAGTCCTCCATGGTCGATTTTGCCACTGTCTAGGCGATGCGGCGACGCGACGGGGTCTCGATGTCCCTAATCGGGTAAAACGGGTAGGAGCTTATGTCAAAGCACCGCAGATGCGGACAGGTCTCGAGGATAGCGACGATGCCATCCTCGAGGCAGTCGCTATACTGCCAGACCTCACAGGTGATAAGGCTTGGCCAAGGCGACCAGGGGACCGACGGTGGGGATAGCGCCTCAAGGGTCGGATGGGCGCCTCGCGACTGCACGTGCACCGTGAGGCGTACGACGTTGGGTGCCACCCGCTGGAGAGGCACCATGTACTCGTACCAGTCCCGCTGGACCTGCACTTGGAGTGTGCGGACGGCGGGAAGGACCGGGAAGTCGGCGAATGACTGGGCGAGCTTTGGCTGTTGCAGCGGGCCTGACTCTAGGAGGATGTGACGCACGTATTCCCGGTCGTCACGCTGATCATTTCTGTCATACTCGACGTATGGTTTAGTGTCGGACGTACGGATGCCATCACCGTCCGGATAGCCTACAGCGCTGTAGAGTTCCGCCCGCCATGCGAAGAACCGGTCTCCGCTCCAGGGGAACGCCCTATCGCAGGAGATGTCGATTTCTCGTACAAAGGAGCACCGCTTTGGACGCCGGATGAGCATGGGGCCCAGATAGTCCAGTGCCGCTTGTAAATCATCCCACCATTGCTCGACGCAATGGAATCCCCCCTCCTTGACGAGCAGGGACTCAGACGCGCTCCGCAGATCGGGATTGGCCCCGCACAAGTTGTCGTCAAAATTGAGGTGGAGCTTTTGCCATATTTGAGACTCGCCAGCATCTTGTAGCTGGCTGCAAGTCCGAGCGAGGGATTTGGCGTCGCAGAGGGGAAGGTAGGAGGCGATCTCGAAGTGGAGGTGGGTGCCGAGGCTGAGGAGGTCGGGCATGACGACGAGCTCTGCTCTGCTGTATCAGTAGACTTCACCTTATTCAAGGGTGTACAGGCTGCTCACTTCTGCCACAGCCGGTATATGTAGAGATGAGAGCAAGTGCGAAGCCTCGAGTGAAGCTGTCCGGACCGGACTGATCTGGACGCGCAGGACGTACGTGACGCGTGACGCGTTGACGCACGGGCCTGAGGCCTGAGGCCTGCGGATGAGCTCGACCGAGCTCACAGCTGAGCGCTCCTCCTCTACAACGTTCGTCCTGGTCCACCTTCCACCCATACCTGATTCCCAGCACTACGCTACGACAAGCAGAGATACTCAATTAAAGACTGGAATCGACCGGGCCAGCATCTAACAGTATTCTGACCCTCCTACTGACATCTAACTTCAAAAGCGTCTCTCTCATCTCCGCCGGTATAGCCAAGTCTCCAAGCCCCTCAAGCCTGCCCAGCGCCCTCATCAAGCCCTCCTGGAGCCTCTGATCCCCCTTGACCTGGCCCTGCCAATTCCAAGACCCTAAGGCCACCGCCTTCAGGTTGGGGTTCGCCTCGAGGTGCCGGGTGGCGAATTCAGCCATGCACCGCCCGAACGTCTCGAATCGCAGCGATTGGAGACCCGTCCAGGGTATAGAAGCCCGCGTAGGAAGAGGAAGGCACTCGATAGTGGGGTAGCAATGGAGCTTGATGGAGAGGTGTTTGACATTGGGAGTGATAGTGCGCCAAGCCGTAGTGTACTCGTCCCACGACTCGAAGAGGTCGAGATGGAGGTGCTGGACCGCGGGGAGGCTGGGGATATTGGCGAATGTACGAGCGAGGGATGGATGGGATATGGGACCGCTCCGCTGCCGATCGTCATGGGTCTTCAACCACTGCGCCACCCGCTGATTCTCGACGTCCTCCCAGCTCCCTTCGCCCGTGTCGCCCGGATGTACCACCGCCTCTCCGACCTGTTCCTTGCCGTCCCAGGGGTACCGCTGACAAGCGATATCCAGACGCCTGACATGTAGCAGCCGTCTGGGATGGGCGGCAAAGAGGCTAGTCAGGTACTCCATCGCGCCCTGCAGGAGGTCCGTCTTCCCCGCAGGCAACTCTCGCACTGCTTCAGGTACAAAGTGCTCTTTCGCTTTGCCGGTCAGAAGTGGCGAGGGGGGTCGGCTTGTGGAGTCCAAGCGAAGGCTGATGTCTCGCCATACCCGCGACTCGCCGATGTCTCGGAGGGCTGATGAGATGCTCGCGAGATTGATGGCGTCGGATGTGGACAGGTAAGCGGCTGTTTGGAGGAGGATAGGGAAGGGGAGGCTGGGAAGGGGCGGCATGCTGGACGACCATTGATGGTAGGGACAAGCACAATCAAGGGCCTACCTCATGAGCCTGCAGGACTCTGCGATAGCTGCAGTACAATGGAGCATAGACAAAGGACGTACTCATGCGCCAAAGTGAAGCCATCAAAGTGGGTAGTATGCATAGAAAATGAATCTTCCGGCGGATTTGAACAGCTTGCCGGGACAGGCTGGCGCTGATCTAGGCGCGGGGACCCCGGCAATTCAAAGTGATATCCTTTGAGTTCAACACCAACCCCTTGTACACCGCCAAATTCTGCCCGGCCTTGAGCGTCGGGCACTTTTTGATGCTGTTCGAGTATTCGATCTGGATCTGGGGCTTGCCAGCCTTGGTGAAGCCCGAGTAGGCGTCGCACTCATTGTACTGGTGCTGCCATGATCAGCGAGGCTCTGCAAGAGCGCGGGTAAGGGAATAGGAAGAGGACTACGCACGCAAGACTCGATCACGCTGAAGTCGAAGGCGGAGATGAGGGATGCGGCTGACTTGCTCTGCAAGAGGTCGGCCGAGTTCTTGAGGTCGACGATCATACCCGCGGCGCGGACGGTCTTGGCGAGCCACCTGGCTGTCAGCTGGGCGCCTATGCGAGACTGCACAAGGTCAAGTAGAGGCTCACAGAAGGTACTCGACCTGGTCGGCCTGGGTGTTGCCATACGGAGCTCCGTTCGCATACTGGCCAGTCAGCTACGATCCCAAGCTGCGCCGTTTGGAACAACTTACGCTGTCCACGTTGTCCGGGTCCATCCCATCACACCCCTTGGCTTTGGCATCCTTGATACGCTGAGTCATGACGCTCTGGACATTGGTCTTGCAGGTAGCCGAGTGAATGTCAAGCCAGTACTCGTCCCAGTCGTCCATCTTGGTCTTGCCAGAGCCGCCGACGCAGTGCTTGTTAGAGTCAAGCTTGCCGCCGGGCCCGCAAGCGCAGACCGGGTTGAACTTGGTCGCATCCGCCCTAGATGGTCAGCCATGTTACATGAATATGACAGGCATCTACGAACTTACCTGAATGGCTCCAGGGTACCAGCACTGAAGTAGCAGACGACAGTCTTGCCCGCCGCTGAGGAGTCAGTTACGGCCTCATTCTTGGATCTCAACTTCAAGCGGTAAACTCACCTTTGTACGCTGCGATCTGGGCGGCACTATGGCCCGCCATATCAACAATGTAGATATCGGACGTGACCTTGACGCCAGACTTGCTCGTAACAGTCGGCGCAGCGATACCGATGTTGTCAAGATCGTAAATGAGCGTCGAGGTCAAGCTCATGGCTTTCGGGGCGATAGAGGCTGACGTCTTGTTGGTTGCAGCTGACTGCAATATCAGCGGATGGCATTTGGTACAGCTCCAGAGAGGATAAGGCGAGTCCACTCACAGCAGCAGGAGCAGCAACAGCTGACCCGAGGAAGGCGAGGAGGCCGAAGAAGGGGAGAAGCAGTGAACCAGTCATTGCTGCGAGGGCTATTATCAAGAGACTGGATAGCAACGAGTGTGATGTAAAAGAGTGTGATTCGCGGAAGGTAGCGAGATGGAGCACGAGGTAGATATCATGTTGACCTTGTAGCTGTTGAATAGGGGACTCGGAGCAAACGTTCACAGCAGATTTCCCCGCCGACGGACGCATGGGGAACTTTACGGCATGATACCAGGGTCGAAAGTTTGAAACAACCTGAAACGAGGCTTTTCATAGCGTCCGGTACCTCGTGCCTTATGGGCCATGTGATGCCTCCTCTGAGCACGGCATACCCTCCCTGCCATGCTTGACTACGCCAGGGTAGTGGCCCATATTCGATACGGGTCTTGTGCATGGCGGGACGCAAGCTGAGCGCCTGAGGAATAAGCGGTACTCGTAGCCGGGTAGCGGGAATTTCCATTTGGACCAGCCAAGATGCATCACGCTTGTATGAGATCGATCATCACTCTATATACAGTCTCGATGGCTTAGGCACTAGGCCCAGGGCAGTTCAGGGTGATCTTCTTCGAGTCAAGGGTCTCTCCGCGGTATACAGCGAGGTTCTGACCCGGCTTGAGGGCAGGGCAGGACTTGATGCTGCTGCCGTACTCGATCTGGATCTGGGGCTTGCCGGCCGCGAGGAAGGGGTCGTATATGTCGCACTCGTTGTATACGGCCTGTCTTGTCAGCTTGGGAGCTAGCCACTGGAAATAGTCAGAATGCGACTCACGCATGACTCGATAACGCTAAAGTCGAAAGCATCGACCAGCTGAGCACCCGTGTCTCCTTGCAGCAAGCCACCGGAGTTCTTGAGGTCGACGATCATGCCAGCGTCATGGATGGTCTTGGACAGCCACCTACAGAGTCAGCCAGACCCAAGGGAAGGAGAAAGAAAGGTAAGGCTCACAGAAGGTAGTCAACCTGGTCCTGTTTGGTGTTACCATGCGGCGAGCCGTTCGAGTACTGTCTCGATCAGCCAAAGCTCAGGTCTCCAAGCCAAGAGCATCACTCACACTGTCCACGTTGTCCGGATCCATCCCGTCACACCCCTTCTCCTTCGCCGCCTGTATGCGCTTCGTCATCACATCTTGGACATTGGTCTTGCAGGTCGGAGAGTGGATGTCCAGCCAGAACTCGTTCCAGTCGTCCATCTTGGAGTCGCCCGAGCCGCCGACACACTCGTTGGCACTGTTGAGAGTCCCGCCGGGGCCGCATGCGCAGGTGGGGTCGAAGCTCTTGACGTCGTCCCTGGTTTGTCAGCTTAATCTACTAACAAGATTTCAGCTGCAACGACAACCGACCTGAACGGTTCGAGAGTCCCCGCGCTGAAGTAGCATACAACGGTCTTGCCCGCCTCTACTTGGTCAGCCTGATCCCTTAGTGCAGTCTAGAGAGTGTTTGACTCACCTTTGTACGCCGCAATCTGCTCGGCGCTATTGCCCGACATGTCGACGATATAGACGTTCGCATCAATCTTGACCCCAGACCCGCTGGTGATCGTCGGAGCGTTGATACCGGTATTGTCGAGGTCGTATATGAGGGTCGAAGCGAGCGAGAGACCTTGAGCGGGGGTCGTAGGCGTGTCTGGGGCGGTGTTGTTGCCCGAAGCAGGAGGAGAAGGGACAGGCTGAGTCTCGCCGATGGGGCTGGGTAAGGGGACCGCATCGCTAGCCGTGCCGGACGGGACAGGCTGGATGGACATGCCGGCGCCGGAACCGAGGGGTCCGCCAGCGGATGCGGTACCTTGCGGTCGAGCTGGACGCCGGGTGTAAGAAGAACCCTGATGGGTCTTGTCACACTGGATAAGTCAGCCATACTCGCCCCCAGCTACCGGAGCTGTCGGATACATTACTCACAGCTGGGGCGGCAGCGGTGGCTCCGAGAAACACGAGAAGGCCGAAAAGCGAGAGTTTCAATGTACCAGCCATTTTTGTCGGAATGAGAGGGGTGGGTGATAAGGTTTGAGACTGAAAGAACGTGTGCGTAAAAGGAGTGCGGTGTTGGTCTGGCGGTCGAGGTGAACGTGTGGGGCAGGACGGTCGAGAGCTGGGTATATGTACGAGTCAGTGACGAGCTACCAATGGGGGGAAGAGCCAAGACTGCCCTTGAAGACCCTTGATGGCCGGTCTCCAAGGAGGCTCCGACTCCAAGGGCCACCCAGAATCTAGGGTGCAAAGCAAGGTTCAAGGGAAGGACCTACACATTCCTCGGTTTCAGGGTGTTTCACTGTGTTTCAGGGGATCCCTTGCCTGCTCAGATCAACATCCCCGTGGCTCCCATGCTTGGGATGACTGCCCCACTATGATCGGAGGGTCCCAGGTGTCACATGGGCATGCAGGCATTTTGTAGGAGCGGAGTGGAGTGGGGTGCCGAACGGAAGGGCGTGATGATGGTACCGCGTGTTAATGGCAATATAGCAACTCCTGGGGCGCATAGCAGAGCCTAGACGGTAGGCAGGATCACCGACGCCGCCGTTAGCCGTGGAGGTCATAGAACATGACTCGGGAGGTGTTGTGGCCTTTTGCTCAAGCCGCGGACTGGGTCAGGCCGTATATGATGTCCGTCCCCACCACATGGATTGTCTGTGGGATCCTGCGTGTAAGCTGCCTTGCCTTCTCCATCTGTCCTTCTCTTCCCCTGCTCTCCTCGCAGGCTCGAGCAAATCGCTCTGATGATAGTGAGATCTCTACATGCCGACACATACGAACAGTTTCTCTAGGTCTACATCAAGGTCTACGTGTTTCTCCATACCTGTAACTTCAGCTTGCGAACCGCTATTGCAAACGATTTCCTTTGAACTCACAAATCTCCCCTATCTCACCGTCACATCACTCAGATCCCCAAGGGCCTCGCATCGCCCGCCCCGCCCACCTTAGCCTCCTCGGCAGCCTCGTCTGCGCATCTTCCCGCTCCATTCGCCTGCGCACCACCCTTCTGCTTATCCGCCCCACCATTGACCAGCGGGCTCAGCAGCCGGACCACCTCCGACCCGTCACCCCTGGAGCGCACCCACTCCTCATAGTCCGCCCACCACCAGCTGTGGGTCTCTCCGTCATTCCCCAAATACCCTCCCTTCCCCTCTGGCGTATTCCGCTTCGCCCACGGCTTGTCCACGATATAATGGAGAACGACCACCTCGTCATCCCGCCAAATATTCTCATGCCAGTACCGCATGGTCTTGAGGGCATTATACTGCCACCCCATGGGGAGCCAGCGATCCCGGAAGAACTCGGCGAGAAAGTCCTGATCCGGGAACATCATGTCCGAGAGGAGAGGGGTGGTATTGAAGAAGTCGAGCATATCTGCCCATAGCTTGGGTGAGGGGCGGAAGAGGAACATGCCGCCATTGAGGAGCTGGTGCGTGGGGATAGAGGACGAAGAGGAGGTGGTAGGATGGGTAAGGGCCGAAGGGTGGGAAAGAGGGGTGTACGCGCAGTTCTCCTTGGTCCAGTCCGCGGGAGCCCAGGAGTCGCCGTCGAGATTACAGACGCAGACGTGGTTGGAGGCGATCCAGTCTGGTCCAGGGAGTGGGTGGTCCGTGAAGATCTGATCGATAGGTTTCCGAACCGTCATGTCCGCATCGAGATAGCAGATCGTGTCGAATTGCGGGAACGCCTCGTGCAGCTGGAACACCCGGAGCTTGGTCCACGTATCGGCGAACCGCTCGGCGATGAGAAGGAGTTTGAGGTCTTTGCGGGGGAGGAGGATGTCGGTGCGGTGGAGGAGGAGGTTGGAGCGGGAGGCTTCGAGCTCGAGAGCCCGGACAGCATCGGCAGAGAGGGAGGGGGTGTACAGGACGATGAGGGGGTGTTTGGAGCCGCGCTTCCGGAGGGTGTGGGCGAGGATGATGACACCCGCGAGGTACGAGGCGCGGGTGATGAGGGTACAGTAGGCGTATTGCTTGTCGGACATGGTGAGAATGAATGACAGAGTCAAAAGAGAACGATGATCGCTGATATCAGAACCCCAACTTTTGCGCTGCCGTAAGGGGGCTGGGCATTGGTGCCTGACCCAAGGACCGTGGCAGCGGCCGTGTGGCATGCTGCTTTGGTCGAGCAGAAGACGATCCAGATACCCAGCGTAGCATATACATGATCTAGGACGTCTATATAACGGGGCCTTACTATAGCGGGAATGCCATCATCACCGGAAATTCAGCTTGATAAGGAAGAGAAGAATTGACATGGAGCAGTGTACCGATGCCCACCCTACGATATCAGCTCAAGCGCTCGGCATGCTACATAGCTGAGAAACGTACCGCAGGCAGGTACAAGTTCTGGATATTCCCGCATCTCGTCTAGCCCGATCTGGGAGACATCCACCTTGAAGGCGAGGTTCATAATCAGGCGAGCTAGGAGAGAGCTGAGAAGCTCAGACCCCTGCGCTAGTCAGCTCCTGTCGAAGCCCTCTACGGCGAGAGGTTTCGGACTAGCTCACCCAGATAGCACAACTAGCGAGGAACGTGAGCTGGAAGGTATATGGGTCGTCTGGTGAAGGGGTGAATCGGAAGAAAGGGTAGACATCTGCCATGTCAGCTTCAGCCCAGACTTCTGGAGGTGCAGCTCACGTTGATTAGGACCAAAGTGGAGTATAGTGAGCCATCCTGGGAGATCAGCGCCAGCACCCCACTTCAAGCCCATGAGTGCTCAGCTCTCACCTAAGAAGCCGACCATCGTCACATTCTGCGCCAAACCCCGAACGTAAAAGCTCGTCGCCACGTTGTCTGCATGATCCTCCCACGGCTGCGGATACCCCACGACGATCTGCAGTAAGCGATGCCATGATCTGCTCATTTGCAGCGGGAAGATGATGACGACCGATATCGACGAGAGGAGCTGGACGGTGGCGAACTGCGAGGGAGAGCGGAGGCGTGCGAACTGTGGTGCGTAAGCTGAAGCTCCGCCGAGGACAAGGCTGTATAAACTTACCAGGTTCCGGTAGAAGATGTGGTATACTAGCTGAAAGAATAGCTTGTACAGGAAGAGGAGGGCTCGAGAGCGGACTTTGGCGCCGAGGATGAAGAAAGAGACCTGGGCAAGCAGCTGGACCGCTGTGATGTCAGCTTAGGCACCTACGAGCAGGGGTGTAGTCAGCTCACTGATGACCCATGAGTACACCCAAGTCCCGGCGTCCAACGAAGTATGGGGCAGGGTTGAAAGGTAGAGACTGGCGTACGCTTTAAGGTCAGCTAGCTGCCGACTACCGGAGGATTCAAGCTCACCTTGTCCCGCGATCAAAGAGAAGCAGGCGATACCGAGACAGGTCATGAACCACAGAAAGCGCAACCAGGACGCCGGGATCCGCTTCGACTGGCTCGTGAACCTGACATTTAGCCTCCGCGCCCGTCCTGTACTCACGTTCTGCTGACTGTCGACTCGGAGTGCCTGTACTTGTGCCGCTTGTCTCGCTTGAGCTTGGAGAAGCAGGCCAGCGCGGGCATGAGCATGGCCATAAAGCTGAGTCCGACCCAGAAGGCTACGTGGTCAGCTGGATCTCTCACAACAGAGGGAGAAAGGTAGCTCACTCTTGCGCTCCCAGTCCACGTCATTTGCAGGATCTCTGCTCTGCCATCTCCGGCGAAGATGGAAGGCGTCGAGATGGTGTGCTGCGAGCCCAGCCACGAGAGTGAGGGACCATGCAAAGAAGTAGCTCGTCTTTCCGCCTAGTTTCGATGGCCACCAGTCTAGCTTGTAAGCTTCCTCCAGGCTTGGTGATCGAGGGATCATTATCGTTGGATTTCAAACTTACTAAGTCGATACAGCGAGAAGAGGTTGGTGATGAAGGAGAGAGCTACGGCGAGATACATTCTACACATCGTCAGCTGGGCACAGTAAATTCCTGTTAGCGCCAAACTGACCCAAAATACCTGGATTGTCAGCTATAGCTCAAGCGCTTCCAGCCCCGACGACTCACCATACAAGGAAGAAGTAGAAGTTCACATCGATGGGAAGGGCAACTTCGCTTCCATCGTTAGGATCGCCCTCAGTTTCTCCAGGTATCGTCCCGTTCTTCGGCGGTCGAGGCCAGGATGGGATATCGGGGAATGGGGTGTCCTTGTACGGGTCCGATACCGGAAAGGGCATAGCCACCCAGATCCACGCCTAAGGGTCAGCTGCGAGCTCAGCCATCCAGAGGCTTAGTCCAGCTCACCACAAGACACGGTAGACCGATGAGAACAAAGTGCCGCTTCCACCACGTGCTTAGCCAGCCATCAACCCTCTTCCTTCCTGGCTATCTTGTCAGCCTTTCTCTTCCCTAGCCACAGCTTGACATACCCTGAACAGCCACCTCGTCCACACATCTTTACTATCATCCACCTCCGCCAGGCTATGCCTCCTATGATGCCTTGCCGCCCTTGCTGCCGAGATAGGCTGTATCTCTGTTCTCTGGACGACCGAAGGGACCCCGTGCCCGAGCGCTGCTGTAGTCGTTGCAGTAGCTTTCTGCGGCGTGACTTGGAGCGAGGCGCGCACTTTTGGTCTTCGGGGAGATTTGGTCTGATCTGACTGAATCAGCTCGGCCAGGTATAGCGAGGTGACAGGATACGGACCCCAGAGATTGTCCTGCGCTCGCTCGGACCCCTTGGAGAGCGGAGTGAACATTGCGAGAGCCCTGGCGTGCACCTGTATTCCTGGAAGACGCTACTCTATGGTTGAAGTTGGCATCTTAGGGCAGTGCGGACAGCCATGGCGCTATACGGCCACTGTATATCACTGTAAGCGAGGAAGGCGAAGCGCGATAGAGTCGCGCGCATCGTTCAGCTCAAGCCATTCGGGTGCCGTAAACAGACGCGAATATGAAACGCGCGCACGGATTACGGCGCAATCTAATTGTGCCGAGATTGCTCCGTTGCTTTTGGACCCATTTGTTTTCGCATTTTCTCCCATCCCGAACGGGGGTCGTGGTGCGCCGAAGCTCCTCACCGGAAACTGAACCTTCCTTTAGAGCCCTTCTAATTAGCCTGTGTTGTGGCTCCCACCTTCTCTCATCTACCTGTACAGTTCACCCCTCGCATAGAAGGACGCAGCCCTAGCCCAGTGGTCCTATACGCGACCTGGTCCCAAGATAATCCGAATCCCACCGGTTTCAGCTCTCCCGCCACCCAACTTTCATCCATTCCGCCATGGCTATTTGCAGCCTCGGAGAATAACACGAACTCTACCGCCTTCGCCATAGGAGGCAAACTCCTCCATACAACTGCAACTGCTATCATCCACTCGATAGATCCGTCATCTCCGCGCCGTCCGGGCGAACCGGCCAACCATGGTGTTGATCAATGAGAAGAAGTTCGCCTGCGCGACGTGCATCAAAGGACATCGCGTCTCGGGATGTACGCATACCGACCGTCCCCTCTTTGAGATCAAGAAGAAGGGGCGGCCGTCGACGCAGTGCAAGTGTTGCAAGGATAAGAGGAAGAGTAATTCGGTGCACAATGCTGTAAGTCCATTTTCGAACGGCAGAAGAGGGCGAAATTGACGTGTAGTGCGTTTGTGGCGACAGCGCGCCCGTAGCTCCGCCTCCAGATCACCACGCCGAGTCCTCGCGCGCGAGCGGGTCGACTACGCCCATAGAGGCGATGGAATCTTTTGAGACGAGAAAGGGACAGCCGGGAAGCTCAGCGACGTTCCCGAACGGGCTGAAGGATGTGCACGAGATGAATGCCGCGGTGGAGGCTTTGACGGGCTTCGCGGAGGATCCAATGCGTTCTGCTGAGCGGAGTGGTAAGTTTACCCGGCGCTGCACACCCGTTACCTCAGCTGACGAAGTAGTCGCCCATCTCTTGAATCCCTGCACCTGCAAGCATACGGGAATCTGCAAATGCTGCGAGCCCAAACGACCTGCTCGGAAGAGTCTCCACTCCCACACTTCATCCTCTCATTCTCACTCGTCGGGTCGGCGCACCCCTGATGGGAACAACCACACGGAACAGCTCGTCGAGATGTACAAGGCGCGAGCTCCTTCTCTCCACCGGTCCGGCTCGGCCACCCCTTCCAACCCCAGCCCCATCAGCTCGAATGGCCACTCAGTCTCAGCGGTCCCGCGCCATCAGTCTTTCCAGCACCTCCCCGTACCGGACATGTCACCTAGCAACCCACACCATCCGGCCCACACATCCAAGCATGTCCACAAGACCAAGCTCTACTCCCCATATGTCCACTCGGCGGCGGCTCGTCATACCCACACCAAGCGAGAGTCTCTGTCGCGTCAGGGCGCAACATCGCCTCGGCCTCTCCCGCTCAAGCCGCTAGGAGATATGCCAACCTTCCTGGGCGCGCTGTTTCAGCCGGACGGGACTGTCTCGACCGAGATCTCCCGCCACGCGTTGGGCCTCCCTGGGATCCATACCTTTGATGCCCTGGCGGCGGAGGCGGCCAAGTCGGAGCCGATGGATTGGGAGGAAACGATAGCCAAGGCGGCAGCGCACACGTCAGAAGATGTGGATATGCCTCTCGCGTTCCCCACGGTAGAGGATGCCCAGATTGGCGCCTGCACGTGTGGCGAGGACTGTCGCTGCCCCGGCTGCATCACGCACCCCAACGCCAGTGGAGACGTTGGCCAGGGCGGAAGTTGCGCAGATGCGGGCTGCAAATCCAGTTTTGACTGTTCGGACCATCTCCACATTCCCGCTGGAATGACGTCCATCGAGCATCTCCTCGCTACGGCCGCAGCAAACGTGCCTGCTCCCTCTCGGAAACGGACGATCGGTCTAAGCCCGCTCGATACCTCCATCGCTCCGCCTTCGGCCGGATTCAGCCCCGACGCAGCCGCCAACTCGGGGTATGTCCAGCTCAAACCCCTCGAGTGCTGCAATGGGCGGTGCCAGTGCAGACCGGGGGAATGTGTCTGCGAGAAGGACTGTTGTGGTTGCTGCGTACGGTGCGCGTGCGGGGAGGACGCGCCGACGCCCACGGCAGATACGTACTCGGGTCGCGAGACGCCAGCGGGCGGGTGTTGCAGCGCGAGCAATCCCGTTGCGCCGGTGGTGGAGAAAGGGAGCTGCTGCGAGACGGGTAGATCTGGTCCTCGCCTATCGCTTTCGAGGGGGTCGAATACTCTCGCTCCGCCAGGCATCTCGCCAAATGGATCGGGCTTCACCCCGCCTCGGCTATCCCCATCTTCGGCTGGCGGCTTCACCTTCAACCCCTCCCCATACCATTCGCCCCTACTCGGACCGTCCTCGTCGAGCGGCGGATCAAATCATCACTCGCCGATGCTCTCGCAGTACCCTGTCCCCAACTACCCTTCCTCCCACTCATCACCGGTCATGCCCGCCGAGAACTTTGCGGCGTCCTTCAACATGGACAGCTTCCAGCTCCCATCGCCTGGCTTCAACCTCAGCAATGACTACTCGCAAATGCAGCCTACTGCGTCGGACGGGCAGATGCAGCAGCCGGCTGGATCGATGAATGGCGATGCGCCCCTACTTCGCCGTGCGGCGTCCATCTCCAACGGGCATGCCTATACCCAAAGCACCTCATCTCTTGCGGCCCGTCGGGCAACCGTCACGGCTGGCACAGCAGGCGGCGCCTCGATCCATCGCTCCGCATCTACCGGAAAGCAAGCGAGCAAAGCTCTGGCGCTGCATCATGCTCCAAACCACCCGCACGTCCGCCCGATCGCGCCCAGACCTACCATCAGCTCCCTTGCTCCGCCCAAGTCAGGCGCCTCCTCATCCCGCGGGATCTCCCCATCCGGACGTCGGCGCTCCGGCTCGTCCGCCCACAATTCGCGAGCGCCGTCTCCAGGCCCCTCCGATCCTCACGCCAACCTCGGCTCGGCGCACCGTACACACGGTTCAGTCGACCACGCGGATCCCTCGTCGGCGTTCATGCCTATTCAGGGTCTACCCATTGTCACCACTTCGGCGCCGGACGAGACGAGCCAGCAGGTCAGCTTTGATCCGGCGTTCTCCCTCCCTGGACTGGACGACCCGGACATGGCGGCGCTGCTCAGTCAGCTCATGGGGGACGATACGTTCGGGCAGGGCGGCAGTAGTCAGGGCGGAGGTGGGAGGGGAGCGGATGACGGAGCATTCTCTGGGACTTTCGACTTTCTGCAACACCCGCAGCACCAGCAACAATCGTCACAATCACATATTGACCTTTCGGGTCAGGCGGGCCAGGCGGGGCAGGAGGAGCTGTACAATATGCTTCTTCAGGCGGGCTTGGGATCGGAGGAGTACTTGAGCTCGGTCAAGAATGGGTTGGGCCCGGGCGCGAATGAGTTTGGAGGTGGTGATCAGGGGCAGTCCGGAGCTGAGCCGACATCGGATATCCCACTGTTCCCTGGATTCTTCGCTACCGACCTTCCGACCTACCTCCCTTCCTACTCCTCCAGCGAGAGCTCGATGCAAGGTCAGCATTCGGGCGGTCAGAGCCAGTCATCCGCCCCTGCTTCTTCGTCCACCCAGGCGAACGGTACGGGAACAGATGCGGCCGGTAATCCCAACATCATCGACCTCTCTAAACCTCTCAACGCGGAGCATCTCGACCGGATCATCAAGGCGCTTCAGATGCAGCAGCAACAGCAGCAGCAGCAGGGTCAATCAGGCGATAACAACTCGGCTCCAAACCCACTCGGTAATGGTCAAATCCCTCCTCCTCGGTCCATGCCCCCTCCGCCCGTTCCTCCTATCCAGCGCCACACTTCCGACAAAACCCAGCAACCCGCCATCGTCCCCTCTCAGCTCCCCGCTCCAGACACTTCAAACCCCTTTGACCCGTCCATCCTCAACACCAACGACAACTACAAACGTCATCAACCCTCCTTCTCCATGTCCTCTTTCGACTCGTTTCTCGCCCCGCCCCCCTCAGACTCGTCAGGATCAGGCTCGGGCCACTCGACGTTGATGTCTGGCGATGGAGCGGGGATGTACGCGTCGGAAGGGGAAGACGTGTTTGAAAAGTATATCCTGGATAATCCGGGCGAGGGGCTCGATTTGAGTCTGTTGGATCTGGGTGAAGGTGGGGGTTTAGATATGGGGGAAGGAGGGAGTAAAGGGACGGGAGGAGGAGCAGATGGGGTGTATGGAGGTGGGGTGGATGATTGGTTATGGACGAACAATGAGGGGAGTGGGCAGTAGAGCTCCAGAGTTTGGTGGGAGGTATGTAGGGCTGAGATAGAGTATGTGTATAGATCTTTGTAGACGTTGTATCAGTATAGATAGGGTTCCATGCAGGGCTTGTCGGTCGTACTCTCTCCACCTCGCGCATGCAGAGGACCATATCCAGAGGGTCTATGCTGGAGAGATGCATGACGTGGCATTCTTCCACGTTATCGACCCTGTTTGACCTGCATCGAGAGATTTCGGATCTCGCTCTAGCCTTGAGTTCACCTTTTACTTCACCCACCCAAGTCAGCCGCAGGATGAGCATCGCCTCCTCCTCCTCGTCGCTACAGGCGCTCCGAGGGTCTCTTCGACCCTCAGCGACCTGTCGCAGAGCCCTCAACATTGAGTTCAAGCCGTTCCGGCCCGTCGACGACGCCGCTCTCGAGCCTCGTCCACCCCGCCCCTCCACCCCTACCTTCTTCACCGGCCGGCCCGCCTATCACACCGCCATCTCCGAACTCGAGACTGCTCTTCTCTCCGCTCAACAATCTCTGCGCTCGGCCCATATCTATCCCCTTCCCTCCACCCTCCCCACCCCGCAGCCTCCAAGGGCCGCGTGGCATCCCGCCCCGGTTCTCTCCAACCTGCTCGGCACGCAGCTCAAGACGAACGCCCATCGTCGGATCCTCGACCTTCTCAATGAATTGCACGCCCTCCGGCATGTGGCGGCGCTGAGTGAGCAGGCGGGGGTGGAGAATGTGCTGGATGGCGTGTTGGCGCGATATGAGAGGGAAGAGCGGGGCGGGGTTGAGGGCGGGAAGAAGGCGGCGGAGGTGGATGAGTGGGGGAGGGCGTATGGGATGGGAAGGAGAAAAGAGTCGAGTGCGAGGGTGTGGATCGTTCCTTCGCCTTCGGGGCGGCGGTTGCTCGATGCGCACTCGGAGGGGGAGGCGGTAGCTACGGTAGAGGAAGGAGAAGGGGAGGTGCAGGCGGAAATACTGGTGAACCACGTCCCGATCGCCATTCATTTCCCAAAGATCACGGATAGGGAGACGGTGCTTCGTCCTTTGCGCCTCTCGGGGCTTATCGGCGCGTTCAATGTGTTTGCGCTAGCGAGGGGAGGGGGGACGAGTGGGCAGGCGGGGGCCGTGGGTCTGGCGCTGGCGAGGGCATTGGTGGTCATGCGGAGCGAGACGGAGGAGGTGCTGCAACGAGGTGGGCTCTTCTTTCGCTACGTTGTTACAGACGATGCTGACAGAGCAGATGGTGCGCTTATGCGGGATACGAGGATGGTGGAGAGGAAAAAGACGGGCAGTGCAAAGGCGAGGAAGAAGGTCAGTTCTCGCATTCGGACCTTTGATGTGGACTGGAGAGCTGACAGGCACAGTACGCCTGGGTCAAGCGATAGTCTGCGCGATCTACATTTGGTGTTGCATATGCAGGTCGTATTTGCTCTCACTTTGGAGGCTTTTATTCACACAGCACCGCCAGCCGAGTTCCGCTGATATTGAGGACGATCTGACATCAAGGAGCTGCATTCATATACAAGTATGGACTACACAGCAAAAAGCGAGCAAAATCGAAAAACAGGGAAGCGAGAGAGTCGCAGGGCGGAAGGGTGTCTAGGGGGCGAGGACGTGGAGAACTGGGTGGCAGGGCCGAAAGTCGCAATCAGGCTACTGGTGAAAGTAAGCGGGCTGGAGGGTGTATCCTGGCGGGGCGACGACTCGCTGTCCGGGCCTCAACCAGATCAGGTAGGACTGAGTGGGCTGCATCGTAGGCTGGGATGTCGGAGGCGGATTACCCGAGTGAGCGAAGTGAGGGATCGGTACTCTACATTATCAGCTCGGAGCCTTTGGATCAAAGTCCTGATGATATACTGACTTGGCGATATGCCCCCACGCCCAGTCTCCCCAAACGGCCGCATCCGCTTCCCCATTGACCCACCTCCCCATCCTCGCGATCCACTCGAGCCAGACGTTCCACTCGTCTGCCCCGATATTGGGCTGCGCGGAGAGCGCATCGAGCGGGACGCCGAAGAACGGGTCGTGCGCGGGGTCTGTGCATGGCGCAGGGTAGGGCTGGCGCGAGGCGAGGGCGAGGGTGAGTGAGGTGAAGGAGTGATAGGCGCAGGTGTAGGAGACGTGCTGGGAGGGGACGGCGTCTAGCTGCGCGGCGGTGTAGGGGAGGAGGCTGAGTGCCTACGAGTCAGCGCCGGTCAGCCGAGGCTGGCACTGTAGAGGAGGAGGGCAGGACGGGAAGGAGGGAGACTTACCGCCGCGGTATGATGGAAACCCTGGAGGAGGCGATATCGCAGCGCCCTACGAGTCCATAGATGACCGCATGGACCGCTGTTCGATCAGCTTGTGGGTCGCGCATCTAGACGGAGCAGCTTACAATCTACCGCCCATCACATCCTTCACTGCTCGCAAAGCAGAAGCCCACTCCAGGTCCCATCGAGGAAGGTGAGACGTAGCCGCAGCGATGAGGCGCTGATGATCAGTCATGAACACAGAGCATAGAACAGATGAAGGTGGTCGGACTCGCCTTGTATACCCAAACAGCCATAGGCTGAGTGCACCATTGACACTGAGAGGATTCGCAGGGGGCGTGTGCACATGTACACCGGTACGGGCACGAGCAGGCGGGGGTGACGGTTGTGTAGGTGAGGCTGGATGTCAGGCATGGTTCTGGCCGTGCACGCGAGCGAGATGGCTACGAGGAGGGAAGGAAGGCTAGTATGAAGAGGAGGGACCTACTACACCATCTTGAACGCAGGGGAGCTCGAGTCGGCCTGAGAGAGGGGAGTGGAGGCTTAGCGAAAGTTGTAAACTGATGGAGAGGTGAGTGGTAGAACAACGCAAGATGATTGGAGTGGTTGCGCCGCAGGAAGTTGGCCGGATCGTTACTGCTCGAGGATCTGGATCTGAAACATTCCGGCCGGCTCAGGGGCAAGATCGGAATGGGGAGGTCTGTGCGCCGCTCAGCCAGTGAACCTTGTCACGGTCCGTGCATACTGCTCCTACAATACCTAATGTGACATATACTGGCTCATACTTGGTCTATCAGCATCTATCGCTACAAACTTCTCCTTGCCGATACGAAACTCACTCCTTCTTCCCTTCTGCCTGCTTCTTCTCTAATCTAGCCTCAAACTTTGCAAACTCGTCCAGCGCAATGATCTCCTCATCATCTAGCACCTGGATCGTCAGCTTTCAGGCTGCAATGTTGGATAAGGGAAAACTCACCTGCTCCACTGCCTGCACTTCCGGCACATAGTGCATCAACATCCGCTCAATCCCATTTTTCAGCGTCACGCTGCTCGAGCTGCACCCCCTGCAACTCCCCTTCAGTTTCAACTGCACCATCCCCGTATCCTCGATGAATCCCTTATACTCGATATCACCCCCATCCTCCTGAATCGCCGGCCTGACCCGCGTCTCCAGCAACTCCTTGATCATCCCCACCACCTCCGAATCCGTATCCAGCACTCTTGTATCTTCCGCCCCTCCCTCTCCCTGTCCATCCTTGAAGAGCGGCTGACCCGAGGAGAAGTGCTCCATCAGGACAGCAAAGATCTCGGGTTTGAGGATGGACCAAGCGAGCGATTCGTCCTTTGAGCAAGTGACAAAGTCTGGGCCGAAAAAGACCTCGGTGAGGCCGTCGATGGTCAGGAGGCGGGTGGCGAGTGGGGATGGGAGAGCAGAGCGGAGGTCGAGGAACTCGTGCGTAGAGCCGCCAGTGACTGGGGTACCGGGGATGAACTTTAGGGAGGCTTCGTTGGGGGTAGTCTCGGTCTGGATGAACATGGTGCGTCCTGCTTGGTCAGCAGGGATATCGCAGCCGATCGAAGTGTGAACTTACGTTCATTCCGACCGGAAGCTGGACGTGCACGCAGTACTGGAGCCCGACCGAGCGCCGCTATAGGCCGACTGGTATGTATCGATCGAGCGAGTGGCAAAGCGGGACTTCGTACCACCACTTTCGCCGGACGGCTACTGAGCAGTATCGAGCGGGAGGACGACGCGATTACTGAGCGCATGATAGATGAGGGAGCTGATGCCATGATCTGCGATGATAGGATCAGTCTAGCAGGTGTGGCAATGTCAAAGTCAAGGGTCGTATTATCTAGCTACTTGTACTTGCGCGTACTGGCTGATAGAGAGGTGGAGGTGGTGGATATCGTCACGTCGGCTGATGAAATTAGAGGTTGAAAGGCCGAGAAAGCCCGACTGGGCAGCCGCGAGTTGCGATTTGCGGTTTGCGAGTCGCGATTTGCTACTTTTGCGACCTTTTGAGTCGGACATATGCGGTGATATCGGAGGAGGCTCTATTCACCTATTTCGGAAGTATATACAGAAGCAGCTGCCCGCTTATATCGACCCTTCTATTAGCCGCGCTCCCTGCAGCTCCAGCCAGGCGGCCTGCGCCTGACGCCTTGGAGTTGACATCGCTCAGCGGACGTCAGTCATCCTACTGACCTCGTATTGACCTGATCAACCTCTGGCAGACCATATCCGTTCCAGCTATTCAACGAAATGTCGAAATGTATCTCGCAGCAAGTGCAAAAAGCACAGGCGGCTCTGCCCCGCCTCGCCAAACTCACCGGCTCCCTTCCGGGTCTTGACGCGTCTCTCATGGTCGTCCAGTACTCGTCACCAGCGGTCATTGCGGTCCTCATGGGTCTTGCATCGCTGAAGGACAAGTACCCGGCGCTTAGACTGAGCCTGCGACGCTCAGGAGAGAAGGGATTGGTGGGCGGTGCGGGCTTGAGGCTGTTGGCTGTGGCGTGGGGGAGAGTGGGGTTGAGCATTGGAGATGCGAGAGTGATCATGCGCGCTTTCGGTACGTCTCATCATCCTGAGACTTATTCACGGAGCTGACGTAGCAGGTCTCCTACCAGTACTGATCCCCGCGATCAAGATGTTCTACCCCGACCCCATCAAATCTCTCACCTTCGCCCCCATCCCGTCTCTCCAGGTTTTGTCGCTCCTCCTCTACTACCCGCTCGAGCACATTGCCTGGCTCGCTTCCAAGGGCGTAGTGACCATGACTCCTGAAGCTATCGGGAGGACCTCTATCTGGAGTGTCAGGTTCTGGGCGTAAGTTTTGATGGTCAAGCTATAGAGCTTGTGAGCTGATGTCACAGCCTCTACGTTGTGCTCGAGCTGGTCAAGATTCGTCAGCGACACATCAGCCTCCAGCAGCGCACTCGGGCCATGCGCAATGCCAAGCCCGCCGTCTCGCAAAAGGAAGCGGAGGGGTACGAGCTGCAGTCAGGCACCCCGCTCGGCGCAGTCGCTACGCCTGCCGTGGACGCTGAGGCAGCGAAGAAGGTCACAGCTCTGAGGGGTGACTGGGCGGATCTTAAGAACTCCATCATTACCAATGCGTACGTCCCTTAGTCTGGCTCCGTGTGGCCGCGCATGTGCTGACTTTATCAGTGGGTACGCGCCGCTCACCATCCACTGGTCCGCCGGCGGACTTTGGGCCAACCCGCTATACACTTCGCTCTTCGGCACGATGGCGGCCATTGGCCAATTCCGGAAGCAGTGGCAGCTGGCGGGCATGTAGAGGTAGTGTCCTACCAAGCGGTCATGCTATGAAGGGGGGAGGGCACAAGATGGGGTACAAGCTGCCTGAGGATCTGGAGCTAATTTGTATGATATCTAGGTGTTTACGTCTCATCATCGCCGTCATCGGTTGGGATGCCTTTTCTGACAGCGCCTTCCCATCGTGTTGACAGCATGTGTGCCGTCGGATCAGCCTAGACGCGCGGCGGTCCCTGAATACTCACACAGCTTATTCCAAGGGGGGCGGACAAAGGGAACCACACTTTGCGATCCGAGCCATCCTGACGGGTTTCAAAGTGAGGCCTCCTTTGTGCCCCCATCAGCCTCAATCCTTCGGGAACAATGGATCGCCCGCTGATACGCGTTTGAGCTTCTCGTCGAGGGAACTTGAAGCAGCTCATGCTGGCAGCGCTCGCGCGAAGGATGTAAGGAGGACGAAAATGGACGCAGGACTACTTGTAGCCCGACGGAGTTGTTTTTCCAACCTCATCCTCCGCTCCCTCTTCACTTCAACACAGTCTTACTCCCATCCTCGCTCCGTCTCATACTCACCACACAATGACCAACGCTCAAATCGCTGACAATCCCTTCAGTCCCCCCATCACCCCTGAGAAAGTGACGCCAGCGTCAACACGTCCCGAATCTCCTGCTGCCGCGCACGGGACTAGCCTACAGCTGTCTTCCCAACACCCAGTCCCGACTTGCCAAGACGGTGTCCCGCTCGAGGCGACTCAGTCCACGGCCGCGGTGGCTGCTCTCGACCATGACACTGCTTCCTTTTGTGCGCACTCTCTCCTCACGAACCAAGCCTCCTAGCTGATGTGCAGACATCCCGCTCGGCTCGAAAGGCATGATCAAGCTGTACTGTATCTGGTGCCCTGTTTTCATGGCGACTTTTATGGGAGGGTACGATACTTCATCTCCCGTGCTCTGATCGGCGTGGCTAACTCCAGCAGTTACGCTTTCGCAGCGATGACAAGCATCAACACTCTTCCCTCGTACCAGGAGTACTGTAAGTCCTGCTGGGCTGCGTGACGCCATACCGAAGTCGCTGACTCTGCAGTCAACTTGTCCGGTGTTGGAGTCAGTCCATGAATGAAGTCTTGTACGGTCCCGAGCTGATCTAAACTTCTGCAGGTCTCCACAGGCGTAAGTAATGAACATCACTACGTTCGACCCACTTCATCAAGTCGTGCTGACTCCGCCAGCTCATCTTCGCTCTCTGGCCCATTGCTGCCTGCGGCACCTTCTGGCTCGGACCCACCATCGTTCGTCCCTCTCAATGCCCTCCTTTGCCCCTGCTGACTCCCGTTCAGTCAGACAGGTTTGGTCGAGTCCGCGCCATGCGCTTCTGTGAGTCCAGCCCATCAGCTCATGCGGAATGCAGCTCATCTCGCCAGGCGCCTGTATCTTTCTCGCCGGTACCGCACTTATCGCCTTTGCTCAGAACATAGCCATGCTCCTCGTCGGTCGCGCGCTCTGCGGATCTGGGATGTGCATGATCCAGGCTGCAAGTCCGGCCTACGTGCTCGAGACGTGCCCGCCATTGAAGCGGGGGCTATTTTCTGGACTATACAGTACTGTCTTCGGTAAATCGGTTGACAGATCCTCTCGAAGTCAGCTGACAAAGATAGTGGTCGCTTTCTGCATTGCTCTCGCTATTGGTATCGCAGCAACGAAGGTAAGCCGGCTGCATACCGAGCAGATGGGGTTAGAAGCTGACCTGTGTAGATACCGGGTGAATGGGGATGGCGATTCGTCATCATCATGTCAGTGACTCTGATTTAGCCCTATGTCTGTGAATGCAGCTGATAGCGCACAGTCAAATGATCTTTCCGTGAACTCAGAACCCTCGAAAGCCTATAAGCACACCTCGCTGATCAAGTCAGCACCATACTGGCCGTCTCGACGTTCTTCATACCCGAGACTCCGCGATGGTGAGCAGGATAGTCCAACCGTCTTTTGCTTATCACTGACAGCTCATCAGGCTGTACAACAATGATCAGACTGAAGAAGCACTCGCTGTACTCCAGAAATACCACGGCTCTGGCATCATTACACCTGTCGTATTAATGGAGTATCATCAAATCGAAAAGTCGCTTCTGGCAGCTAGAGAGAAGGGTTTAAAGCGTTGGGACTTCCGCAATCTGGCGAACACCAAGGGGAACAGGTATCGGCTCATGCTAGGTAAGCTCTTTGCCGCCCTGGTGAAGTACCGGCACAGCTGCTGACAGAAATCAGCGCTTGTTATGGGCGTTTTCGGTCAGCTATCCGGGATCTCCTTGGCGAATTTCGTACGTATATGCTTCGACGACTGTCGATCAATGCTGACGCCTCAGTTCCCCCAAATCCTCGTACAAAGTATGTCTCATCCGCCTCATCGTAATGGAGTCTATATCGTACGTGATCAGAATGCTGACACTTCCAGTCGGATATGCGTCCCCCGCCAGCCGCCTCAGTATGACGTATGTCACCGCCCGACCCAAGGCTGGGCATTCAGCTGACGTAGCTAGCTTGATCGCCTATGTCGTCTGTGTTCTCGCTTCCACGACCGGCTTTCTCATCCTGGACCGTGTAGGTCGCCGAAGGCTCCTCATTGTGGGATCATTCGCCTGCTCCATCTGCCTCATGGGTTGTATGGTCTCCGCCTCGCAATCCGGTGTCCCGCTCGGAGCCTCCGCGCCGTCTACCAACCTCGCTGCTGCCTCTCGTGCCAGTATCGCTTGCTTTGTTTTCTTTATGGTCAGCTACGGGATCAGCTATCAGCCGCTGCTGCCGACCTATCCAGGAGAAGTGCTCTCCACAGACCAACGTAGTACAGGCATGGGCTTGACAGCGTTGACCTCGCAGCTTGCTAGTAAGCTTCTTGTTCAATCCCGTTCAAGTCCAAGTTGGGAATGAGCTCAGCGTGCAGTATTCATCTCGTTCTTCGCAATTCCTGTCGCTTTGGAGAGGATCGGATGGTGTAAGTCACCAGCGCGCAGCTGTCGGACCCGGGCGGATGTGGGAATCTGCTGATCCATAGGGGTCTACCTCCCATTCGTCATCTGGACATTGTTCGAAGGTGTCACCTGGTACTTCATTGCAGTCGAGACCAAGGGCCGATCTCGTGAGTTTTGAAGCCAAATTCTGTGTCATAGGCTGTGTTGGCCCAAGCTGACTAGTGCAGTGGAAGAGCTCGATGCTGTACGCTTTCTCTCTTGATCGGTGAGGACGAAAGCTGACCCTCCAGATCTTTGACTCAAAGCACCCTGTGCGAGCATCGCTGGTCCGGACCTCTCGACTGACCGGCAATGAGAAGGCCGCCTGACAGCCGCAAGGAGCCCGTCCCGCATCGATCTCCTCATCGCTCTGACGAATAATTGTACTGATTACCGCTTGACTAGATCCCGAGCATTCTTACATGTATGTCCCAGTATGTCTCTTGTGCCAGTCCGTCGGGCGGCCGCGTGTTCTTATAGAGGCTTGAGCTGCGCTGAGTCGGCCGGGTCGACCGGCCATTCGAGGACATGTCACGCACTACTATACATGCTAATTCTACTGATACTCTTTCTGATTTACTTTATATTTCACCGCATCGACACTGCTTAGAGCTTCCGTCTTCGCCACCCGTCCGCCCGGTATGCCTTTCCACGGAGTCTTGGGCTCTAGCTCTCAAGCGGCGAGGCTCTGTGTCTCCAAGCGGTCGACAGTGGTCTGGGAGCAGGTATCAGCGACTGTCCATTGCCAGACCTGGTACAAGTACAGCCATCCACCCGCTGGTTTGACTCACCTTCAGCGACGAGATCTCGTGCTTCAAGGACTCCACCTGGCTCTCATAGTGCTCTACCCCGGGACCGTCCAGAGCTCTCTTGGCGAGTACCGCGGCGATCTTCTCCTTTGAGTCTTCTCCACCGGTATGGTCCATCTGGTAGAAGCACTAAAGTTCAGCCAGTGTGCAGACGAGGGGAAGACTAACCTCGTAAATGAAGCTGATCCAAGGTTTCGCCCTGCCGACCTTGTATGGGGTTCTTGGGCCGTATGTGGTCTTCCTGTCAACGTTGCGGCATGGCTGTGCGGGACTCGCACTGTTAATGTCAGGATCATCTCCTAGAGGAACAGACAGGCGATTCGACGGACCTGATGCAACAGGGGCCCTGTGGGTCAGCACTGCAGTGAATGTGATCGGCAACAAGGCAGCGATGCCCAGCAGGGACTTACGGAGACGAGCTCATGGGCGGGGACAGTGATCTTTGGCAGCGTCGCGGGGGCGATCGGTCTAGCTGATCCCTTGTCAAGCGGCGCAACGTAGACGTCGATCCGGATCTCGCTGGCTTCGGTCGGAAGCTGCTGCATAGTAGGTGAAGTACTTGCCTCCTAGCGGGTCAGCAGATGCTCCGAAAGAAGATCTTACGCCTGCTGATGGAGTCACTTACGATGCGGCTGGCATGGAAGGGGACTTTGTGGACATACCCTCCAATCTCGCTGAAGAAGTGACTAATCCTCCTCGTGCCGTGGTTGCCGTGCTTGACGAAGAAGGTGTAGACCAGGCGGCCGTCGAAGGAGATCTCGAACGCCAGATCGTGAGGCATAGTCTTGTTCCTTACTGCGATGTGGATACTAAGATCCTGTGCTGTCAGCAACATGATAGGAGCACATTTCCCCGTCGGCATCCCTAATAACAGAAGACTCACCACGCCGAGGGGAACAAAAAGGGGGTTCCGATTCTCCTTCTTGGCGGGGTCAAACCTGCTCTCTTTCTCGTCTACTCCCTTCAGCTCATACAGGCGGGACGGAGGAAGGAAGACACTCACCGAGCTTCTCGCTACCCGCCTGGACCCAGATCTTTTGAGCGTTAGCGGCGACTCCGAATCGAGAGGAGCCCAGTGGCAAAGTGCACTCACTTCTATGCCATTGTAACCAGCAATCCCTTCCTCCTTTGCTGAGTTTGGCATAGCTGATCCTTGTGGACGAGTCTGCAGTATGAAGTACGAACGAGGAAGGAAGAAGGAAGCGTACTTGGGACTCAAGACATAGCGGAAATCGGCCGCGCACCGGACATACGCACGGGCCTCCGTGTTTCAGGTGCCAAAGTGCGCGCAGTACATACTAAAGCTCGTTAGGAGAGGACCTCGTAGGTGTAAGCCGAACGACCAATCCTGGACAGCCTTGCGCTCAGCTAGCGCCTGTACGTGACCACACGATCAGTCATCCATTTCATGGTAGACTTTCATGCTTCTCTATGGACTTTCTGTTCGCTGTAGGATGCACGCGCACTATAAATGCTGCCCTTCGCTACCAGTACAGGTCTCCTTCCCCATGATCCGACATCTCCGTCTTCATGCGACGTCTGGACCGCGCTTCGTCCTCGTCGATCCCGCTCAGTGGGCTCGCCTCGCGCGACACGGATCCTTCGTTCGACTCGTTGCCGAAGTGGGTGAAGTCGGTCATTCCGCGGTCTGTGCCGTTGTCTCGCCCTCTCTTGGCGCCGTTGACGTTGCCGTTCCTAGACTGCAGCGCTTCAGCTGTCTGCAATACGTGCTGCTGCACATCGGATACTCTAGAAATGCTCACCTGTATGCGCTCCTCGACCACCTCGATGATTGTGTCCTTGATGAAGGTCTTGAGGTCCTCCGGCTGCAAGACTCCGCCGGCGAGATTGATGCCGCCATTGCGATTCTCGGGAAGCGCAGCGTCTACACGTCTGCGGTACTACGGCTCAGCTTGACCCTGACTAGCCTGGGATCGCAAAATGTCTCACCTGGTAGACGATCGTGATCAAGCGATCTGACTCTTTCGTCTTGTACGGTACGCTCGGCATCCAATTTGCCCCTCTGTCCTGAGAGGTTGCAATTTCTGCGGGACCCGTGCTATGACAATCAGCGACCAGTCGGCAGGAGAAGTCTTCCAGGCAGCGGGGAAACTCACCGAATGCAGTAAGGTTTCTGCAGGTCAGCTGATCGCCCTAGCGCATTGAAGTATAGCGACGAGGAAGGACACTCACGCTCTTCACATCGGCATCAAACGCCGATGTAATGCATCGCAGACTGGACTTCGACTTGTACTTGGAAGCCCCTGTACTCTTTTTCAGGTTTGCAGGGAAGACATCGATCTTCAGTGTTCCCACTTCCTCCGAGAGCTCGGGGGTCAGTGGGTCCCCGCTGGGTGTCTGCGTTGATCAGCTCGCGCGGAAATGTATAATTATATGCCCCGTGACGACTCACAATGGCTGCGATGTAGAGCGAGAACTTCGTTTCCTCACCATTCTCCCCGTTGCCGAAGATATGAGATAGTTCCACTGTCTCATGGTTCCTGTACTTGATGAAGACGGGGTGGATCGCCTGGCCATCGAGAGAAGTTTCCAGAGCCAAGCCGTTGTCGTCATTCTTCGTTATGGGTTTGTTTCCCCCGATGCGGAAGTTGATGCTGAAATCCTATACTGTAAGCCGATCCTGATACCTACCAGCTGGTACGATGCACGCGCCCAGGGAAGGAAGTCGTCCGCACCTTGTCAGGGGGAAGGTCCAGCGTGTTCACGTGCCGCCTGGTGTGCTTATCATAGCTGGCCTTTGTCTCGTCTGAGGGAGTCAGCTATGAGACGGACGATGTATTCTATAGGGAGGAGCTCACACTGTCGCTGTCCATCGACCGTCACGCATGTCTGACCATCAGCGAAATTCACGCACGAGGTGATAGCTTAGCTGGGACCATCTGAGCGGCCTTGAGCTCACCTCGAGCTTGTTGATGCTGAACAGCTGCGGGTCCAACCTTGGATCAGGCATGACTGATAGTAGTATTTAGAGTACGGATGGAGAAGAATACGTACGGAAGGCAGAAGGATACACACAAGGCCGCGAAAGTTGTCCTTCGCGGTGGCGCATTGACTCCGCCACATTCCTAGCGTTTCACCATGTCGCAGCTAATTTGCATCCGACCACGGCCAGCGCAGTCAGTGCGAGTCCAGCGCCTTCTCCGCATTGCTAACGTCACGATGAAGTGCTGAACAGCTTAGTCAAGACACCGCGACCATATCGAACAGCATGACGCCCGGCGACAGACGGGCTGCAGCTCTTCGTTGTGCCTCACAGTGACCAGCACCTCACGCCCGGACGTACCATGGGTCGCGAGCAGGTTATGAAGTTGTCCCCAACACATCCCGGCTCGGTTTCACACTGCTCACATATGCTTACATTGACCGAGAGGCTCCGTCAAGGTCCATCCGACCTCACAATCAAGTCGGCTCCCTCTTGGTACCCTCTCTCCGCCCTCTCCGCCTCGGCCTTCCATCATCCCCGTCTATCGCGCTCAGCGGACCCCCTCCGCCTAGCTCTGGCGTGTGCGTCGAGTGGCGCGACTCGAGATCATCGACGTCGACTACCTCGTCGTCGCTGTACAGCCGAGGGTCCAGGCCTCGTAGTCGCTTCCGGCCTCTCTTGTCGCCCTTGGCTAGCCCCTTCAGGACACCCTGCGCCCAATCAGCTATGTCCCTTGACTCCATAGCTAAGAGATTAGGTGTATCATCAGACTTACGTGCATCTCCTTCATCTCCTGCCTGAGCTCGCCCACTTCTGTCCTCAACTCCTGCACTACCCCCTCTTCTCCGCGTCGAACTCGCTTCCCCAGCGCTTCGGTGATGCCTGCTTTGGTGTCTGCGCCCCCAGCATCGTCCATACGCTCATGGTACTGCCTGTCAGGTCGGGATCCATATTCTTCATCGAGAAAGGCGCTCACCTCGTAAACGAACGAGATCAAGGGCTTGGCATCGTCCGCCTTGTACGGCTCGCTCGGCCGGTATATGCTCTTCATCTCGTCGTTGGTGCAGGGCTCAGCGGGACTTGCTCTATCTTGTCAGCTTTACGCCAGCGTCTGGATAACCTCAGGAAGGACCGACCGGATGCAGCAAGAGGTCTACCTATCAGCTGGGCGTCTCGTGAACTAGGTGGCAAAGCGGATAAAAAGGCTGACTCACGCCACCTAGCTCGGTCACATGCGCCGTAATAGCCGGCAATGAAGTCCTCTCGCTCGACTTTGTACCCCTGTTGCTCTTCACCAGCGACGCTTTGTAGACGTCGATCTTGATTTCCCCTACTTCCTCTGATAGAGGAGGGAGCATGGCGTTGTTGCTCGCTGCCTGAACGTCAGCTTAGCGCCAGTATGTACTGCCAAATGGAGGTAGAGGGCCTCAGACGGATGCTCACGATGCTGCCTATGTGGAAGGGGAACTTTGAGGTGTCCCCATTCTCGAGGTTGAAGAAGTGGGAGATCTGGAGCACATGATGATTCCCCCTCTTAATGTAGATAGATAGGGTGGATCGGGCGGCCGTCGAATGAGACCTCGACGGCCAGGTCGCTCTTGACTGGACCTTTGGACCGTACAGCGAGATATATGTTCAGGTCCTGTCCCCTCAGCTTGACCAACGCCGGGCAGCACGATCAGAGAGGAAGTAAGAAGGTGGAAACGAGGGTTGACTCACCACGTCTAGAGGAGCGTACAGGCAGTTCCGGTGGATCCTAGTACGCTTATCAAAGCTAATCACATGCTCCGCTGAGTATCTGTCAGCTGGAGTCTCTCCTCGACTTGCGCATGTCCACTCACTCAAGCGCTTTCCTTCGGCCTCCATCCAAAGCTGGGGAATCAGCGGGTGTCGCTTCCACCTCGTACCAGAGGATCACACCCACCTCGATACTGTTGTACGCCTTGAGATCATTCTCCTTCGCTGGGTCAGGCATAGTGAGGGCTCTCACGGATGACAGAGGTGATACAGAGATAAGGTACACATCACCTCGAATGTCCCTTCGCTCAGCTCGTTCACATTCCTCAGATCCAGACTGGACCGTGCGCAGAATTTGACGTCACATTCCTCCTGTTTCACCGTGACTTTGGGACGGGGCTTGCTTGCGGGTGACTGGACGATCACCACCGCAGCTGACAGGATGGACTTCGGTCCTTATCCACGCGCAAAGCCAGACCTGTGAAGAGCTCATTGTGTGGAGGCATTCCCCCGCTTAAGCAGGAGAGACCGGCCGCCCTCACTTTGGGAGTATCAGCTGCATTGCCCCTACAAGTCGATGCCCTCCGATACCACTACTCTCACGCCCAGCCCCTTCCCTTCCATCACCGTCGCCAGATATGCACATACCCTCTCGGCTTCCAGATAGCTCATGCCCCGCTTTGACCCCGCCTCCACGCCCTCCTGGCTCGCAAGTGACGCGCAATCTCCGATCTGCTGGCAAGCCTCAACCGAAGCTGCGTAGAGCTTGGCGTACGTCTCAGCCGATACCGTTGCATTCCTCGGGTCCTTCTTGTCAGGGCCATCCGCCGTTGTCTCCGAGGTCAGAGACGCGAGAAGCTCGAATACCGACTGTCCCGTGGGTATCGCAGATTGTAGTTTCGCCGAGTCTGAGTCGTTGTCGGCGTCAGGGGTGATGAGGCCGAGGTAGAGGAGGAGAGGTGGTGATAAGGGAAGAGGCGAAAGATTGGACACTGGGTCCAGATTTGGACTGGAGAGATCGAGTTCAGGCAGTAACGGAAGGAGAGCCGCTAGATCTTGGAGGAGCCGCAGCGGTGCGGATGGAAGGTCTGTTGAATCAGCACCACCTCTCACAGACATGGATGGATGGAAGCTCACGTGTATCTCCAGGCGAAGAGGCGTAGCCGTCTGCCATTACGGGCTCGAAAGCCACTACCTGTCACCATCAGCCCACCATGCAGCTTTCAAATCTAGACCCTAACTCACCTGGTCGCAGAAAGCTCGGGATGAAGCGGCTGTCCACCTATCTCCCTCCCCATCGTTCTCTCCCTCTCTAGACGTTCCTAGAGCAGCCAATACCGCCTCCCCTACACATCGCATAGCCATCCCCTCCCCTAACCGCATGAACAGCGCCACCAGATCCCCCGCTATCTCCGCGCCCGGTCCCCACCTCTCCCCTATCTTCACAGGCAAGGTCGGATGGTTCTTCTCCCGCATGATATCCAAGCTGAAGAACTCCCCAACCTTCGCCTCGCTCATAGCCCCCTGTTTCCATGCTTTCGCCGAGAGCAAGTTCTGCGCACCCCACGTTTCGTCCGAGCCGAGGTATAGTCCAAAGACGCCTCGAATGGCGATATCGTATGCATCAGATCGGGTCTCGGCGAGATAGAGAGTATGCCGAGGCTGGCTGAGAGTGGCGTGAACGAGGTGGAGGACAGTGAGGAGGTTGACATGGTGTAGTGGAGAAGGGAAGGCGAGCGGGAGCTGGATGGGGAAGTGGGTTTTGGGGGCGCGCTCAAGGACCGAGCGGGGGAGCTGGTCGACAAATTCCGATATGCGCTCTGTGTCGAGTACGAACGGCATGATGTGCAGCTCTTACACTGTGTTTGATTTGCCGAGATGGAACTGAGATGTGATGCATGTGATGATACGCAAAATCCTGGCAATTTTGGTCACGTGCGCAGGTGAGACGTGTGTGCGTCATTGCGCGCGGTCGATTCAAGGGTGGCAAGTCAAATTGACGACCTTACCGAAGAAGCTTCAACACTACATCAAAGATCCTATAGATACTACAGACATGAATCAACTATAAACAGATTCGGTAAGATTCCCTCGCAACAGATTCCCTAACCCCGATCCGCCCAGAGGTTCCCGCCGGGTGCGCCCACACCCGACTTTTCGCACATCTCCCTGAACGCTCCTCCCGCATGATACAGATTCTCAGGCGTGTCAAACTCCTGTTATAGTCAGCTCTGTATCCCTGTACGCTTGGCAGGGGAATTTATAACTCACCTCTACACAACCATCCGACATGACCAAGATCCGGTCATAGCTCAGAATCGTCTTGAGCCGATGCGCGATCGTCAACAATGTCCGATCCCCAAACTCCCTCCTAATTGTCTCCTGGATCTTACTATCCGTCTCTACATCCACCGACGCCGTCGCCTCATCCAGCACCAACACCTTGGTATTCCTCACGAGGGCTCGCGCGAGTGAGACGAGCGACCGCTCTCCGACCGAAAGATTTCCGCCTTCCTCCTCGACGACGGTGTCGAGGGTGAAGCGCCCTGGAGTGACTGCCGCGCCGGAGGTGGCGGGGTCCTCGCCGGCAGCGAGGGGAGTAGAGGAGGTGACGAGGTGAGACCGCTTGAGGGTATCGTACAGCTCCAGATCCGTCTTGGTTTGGAAAGGGTCGATGTTGGACCGAATGGTTCCGGAGAACAGGAGCGGGTCCTGGGGGATGATGGAGATACCGGACCGAAGGTCGTTAAGGCCGATCTTGGAAATATCCACCCCGTCAATGGTGATACTGCCTCCTGACAGCTCCGACATCCTGAACAAAGCCATCATGATGGATGACTTGCCCGCTCCCGTCCGTCCCACCACCCCAATCTTCTCCGCCGCGCCTACCGACATGGTCAAGCCCTTGAGGACGTCCGGCAGTTCCTCGCGGTACCGCATTCGGACGTCCTTGAACTCAATCCGTCCCTCGGCGGGCCAAGACGCCGCCGGCTTGGTAGCTTCGATCTGGTGTGGCTGCTCCTGCTCTAGCTGGTTGGCATAGTGCATGATCCGCTCGGCGCCCACCATGTCGTTCTCGACCTCTGCGAGCTGACGGATCAGCCACGAGAAGGATTGCTGGATCATGATGAGGGTGGAGAGAGCCAGACCGCCGCCCGCCGCCGAGACGTTGGATTGGAGGATGACGATGAAAGACACGCAGAGCGCCAAAAGGGCACCGAGCGAGTCGAGACGGAGACCCAACCACCGCTGATTGATCGTGGTGAGGTAGTACGCCCGGTTCTCAATATCAATCCGCTTGATGTTGTCCGCAAAGAACCGGTTGAGCTCGCCGTACGACCGAATAGTGGCGATACCCGAGAGCGACTCCGAGAAGTGCGAGTAGAGGGACGACCGGAGGATAGCGTCGATCCGCTTGAACTCGCGCGATGACCGCCGATAAAACATGGCGTTATGGGCGTAGAGGAGGGTGACCGCGAACATGACGATGAGGAAGTAGGGGGCAATGATAGCGAGAAGGATAGTAGCTCCGATGATCTGAGCGAGAGTGCTCAGCGCCATTCGCATAGCGTCAGCGAGGGTATTGTCGATCGTGTCGATATCCTTGGCGAACCGGTTCATGATCCGACCGAGGGGAGTGGTGTCAAAGAAGGATTGGGGAGCAAACATGACGCGGGTGATTGCGTCTTTGTGTAGCCGAGCCGAGGCAAAGTAGTTGAGCACAGCGAGGGCGAATCCCTGGAGGAACATGGAGATGGCCGATCCGATACCGAGGGCGGCGTAGATACCCATGTAGAACCCGTTGGGCCGGTCCCATTTGTACTCCTGCCACCATACCAGCCAGAAGGAGGTGATGATGTAGAAGGCCATCTGGACGGCGATAGCGATGAGGAGGAGGGGGATAGTGATAGCGCCCCGACCGGCCTTAAAGTAGTTGAGGAATGTTCCGCCCTTCATCGCTCCCACATTCCTCTCCTCGTCCTGCATGAGCGACTTGACCGTGCCCTTGGCGGACATATTGGCTCGGTCATGATGCACCATCTTGATGCCCTCCACAGCCTCCTCTTCCTGTGTGACCACATCCTCCGATCCGAACTGCTTAATGAGACGGTCAAAGGCCCGTCCGTTCGCGCGAAGCTCGGTGTAGGTACCTTGCTCGGTGATCCGGCCGTCTTCCATACAAATGATGTTGTCGACGTAGGGGAGGAAGTGGAGAGCGTGGGTGACGAGGATACGTGTCTTGTCGGAAAGAGCACCGACGATGGCGTTGAAGAAGACTGCCTTTCCTACACCAGCGTCCAGAGCGGAAAGGGGGTCGTCCAGGGCGATAATGTCGGCATTGAAGTACATTGCACCTGGAAATCAGCACGGAGAACCACACGAGCAGTGGGAAACGGGTACGAACGGCAAATGTTAACTCTCTGTTTCTGCCCGCCTGAGAGGTTGATTCCCTTCTCCCCGATCTCAGTACCATCTCCGTCTTCGAGGAGCTCAAGGTCAGGCTCGAGACACGAGTCTCGGACGCAACTCCAGTACCGTTCCTCGTCCCACGGCTGTCCGAACAAGATATTCTGCAGATCAGCGCAGTCCGTATGCCCTCGTGGCATCATGACTTACCTCTCGTACAGTAGCGTTCTGGATCCATGGGGTCTGGGCACAAAGGGAGGTCGAACCCGAAAAAGTGACCTTCCCCTCCGTTCGCCTCATTTCCCCCATCAAACCCTGAAGCAAACTCGACTTGCCGGATCCGATAGTCCCGACAATGGCGGTAAGACTACCACGGGGGATGTTGAGCTCAATATCCTTAAGCTTGAAGATCTTCTCCTCGGCGTCATGTGAGACCTTGCCCTCGGCAACGACCGCGCCAGGGTGTTCCGGCGCACCGCCCTTGGCGATATCCGCCTCTCCGACGCCTTGCCCGCCCGCTCCACCTCCAGCCGTCTCTGCCTCGGCCTCAGTCGCGAGATCAACCTTGCTCTTCTTCTTTGCAATCTTGGCGGCCAACTTCTTCTGCTCCTTGCTCACTTCCGCACCCTGCACCACGCCCATCCGCTTCGCCTGCTTGGCGTTGAGCTTCTTCATCTCCTTGTCGTCTGTAGCAACAGGCGCAGCATCCCACGTGAACGCGGCATGCTCCACCCGGACTGCATCTTCCATGGAGGGGTCGACTGCCTTTTCTTCCGTGACCACCTCCGCTTCGAACACCTTTTGGAGACGCCCGATGGCGTTGTAGGCGTCCGCGGTGGTCGAGAGGGACATGGGCCAGATCATGAGTGGGAGCCGCATGAGCTGGAAGAGGGTGATGACCGAGAAGATGGTGGCGGCCTCGAGCTCGTGCGAGGTGAGACTGTAGGTGATGAAGGAGAGGATGGCGGCGAGGATAGGGAGTGACATGGCGAATGCCATGAGACCTGACCGGGCCCAGAGGAGGGATCGGACGTATCGGATCTCGAGACTCCGGATGGTCTTGAGCCGCTCGAGGAAGGAGTTTTCCCACGCCATAAATTTGACGATCCGCATCCCGCCGAGGATCTCCTGGAGGAGTTTGGCGCGCTTGTCGGTCCAGATCATAGACTTCTTTCGGTAGCCAAAGAGCTTCTTCATGAAGAGGGTCTAAGGTATAAGCCTGAGTCTGAGCGAAGAGGACAGGTAAACCTACCTGGACGGGCATCATCAATGCGAGGAAACCGATACCGGGAAGGGCAGAGTAACCGAGCTGGACGATGAGGATAATAGTGATCACGATGAATTGCTAGAATGTCAGCGAGCCCCATGATGCTTGAGGAAGAAAGACATACCAAAGGGGAAGTCCATGTCATGTGGAAGAAACCAGCCGAAAAGTCGATACGACTCGTATCCGTCGAGATGTGGTTGACGAGCTTTCCATTGGGGATCTCACCCCGGCTCTTCTGCGTAAAGCGGAGAGCCCGGTTGAAGACCGAAGAGATGATACCCGCCCGAGCCATGACTCCCGTACCGAGACCGCGGACGAAGAAGTGGTGGATAGAGATCGAGGTGATGACGAGCAGTGCGAACAGCACGAAAGCCATTCCAATGGGGTACCCGACATCTGGCTCGGGAAGACCCAGACGCTTCGCGGCGTCCCGTCGAGCGATCCAGGCGATGATCTGCCTCATCACCAAAGGGGTGACGGCGGAACTTGTATCTCCGACGACCTTGATGAGACCGCCCGCCCAGAAGTAGAGACCGAACGTGTCGCTTAGCGCCCATGCGAGCGAGGGTGTCTTTTTGCCAAACTTGGTCCGGTACATGTGTTCCCGCTTTTCGCGATTGGCAAGGACGGCGTAGAGGATGCGCCGGGAGCGAGGGAGGGGTGTGGAGCGGTCGAGGAGTCTGGCATTGTATTCCTCCGCTTTGCGCTGACGGACGGTGAATGCGTCGACGAGACGGCGGGATACGCGCTCCGCTGAACGCGCATCATCCATCTTCCACATGTCAGTGGGTTGAAGGGGACGGGCGGAACCCAGCGCCATCATGGGCGAAATCCAGTTGAAAAAGAGGAACGAGAACCAGCTCGCGCTGACCTCTGGCGTGATCTGGGCATCGTCGAGCGAGAGGGGCGCTGGAGGTGGGCCGTACTTTGGATTGATGAAGGGGAGAGAGTGACGCCTATTTGTCAGCTTTGACCGACGGAAAGGGGAATGTGACTTACCATCGTGGAATCGTATATGGCCCAGTCCCGATCTCCTTAACAAGCTCCTTCCCCGTCCGCTTCTCTAGCACGACCTTGACCCGCTTCTTCTTTCCCTCATCATCCACCTCATGCTCTCCTCGATCCTCATACCCCGAATCCTCCGAGCCCGAAACAGATGGCTGCCGCTTTTCGTCGAATTGTTTGTTTTTGGAGTTTCCGACCTTCTCGGCGGGACTTGAGCCGCTCTGAGAGCCGCCATCAGATGATGTTGGATGCAGGGTCGATGCGGACGGTGACGAGCCGGTACGAGGTGCGTCGAGAGCTGCCATATTGGTGGAAAGGAAGCGCTTGCGCGGCGTAACCAGGTGGCGATCTGTTTATAGGTTTCGAGCGAAAATTGCACCTTTGTCTCCGACGACTTTTGACCAATTGCTGTAGATCTCGATAGGGATGCAGCAAGAGCACTCTACTCGCAATCTCTGCTTATATAGCGACCAGGCCGAAGAGGAGGACAAAGTGAAAGGGGGAAGAGCGAATGCTGCCAGCTAAATTGAGCAGCCTTACAGGGATCGAGCGACCCACACGCGGAAATACAGCCCTTCGGATATGGCCGAGTCTGAATCAGCCTCGGGGAAATCTTCTTTTTCAGTTTCAACGTCATGCCCGAGCTCGGCCATCACACATTCCGCACCGGGCCGGACCCGCGCCGGTGAGGTTTGCTGGAATCCGATCACGAGGGACTGGTTGAGGATCGCCTAGGATCGCCCGAGTTAGTACCCAGGTTCAACGTTTCAAGCTGCGAGACCAGCAGGTCTGAGGTGAGACTTGTGAGGGTGTGCATCCTTCAGATCAGGTCGCAGAGAATTGTAGGAGCTTGGACCCGGCTGACGTCACCTCATATTGGCCAAGACCTAGAGGAGTCGTGAAGTATAGGATTTCGCCCACTCCTTGACCCTCCCTCATCTGAAGCCTGATGGCTGGAGCGATGCTGATTCCATCATGCGATATCTTGTCGGACTGAGCCCGCCTGAAGGCCGCCCATAACCACGCCAGAGAGCTCCCCGCAGTCTGCTGCACGACGGCGGACGCATCTTCATGACACCGTTGATCGCAGAACGGTAGATGTGTCCGGGCTCCTATGGAGAGTGGGAAGGCTTCTCCCTGGCGAGAACCGAGAAGGAGAACCATGACTCGTTCCTGGCGAGAACAGGCCAATAAGACGGGATTAACGGCGTTTTCCTGCGACGCGTCCCGCCACCTCCGTCTCCACGCACGGATCAACATCTGAAACCGGGGTGAACACGCGGCTACTCCTTGAACTTTCCCTCTTGATCTTATCAACCAACTTGATCGGATGTTGACGTTCGGCGTGTTGGTGGCGTGTGTGGAAGCACACAGATCGCCCCTTTACCACTGGGGTAGGACCCAAGCAGCGTTACTGGGCGTGACAGGGTGGCGTGTGGAAGGTTGAGGTATCTTCTACCGCCCCGTCGCGTGGGTGATCCACTGAGCGCCTTCACCTTCCTTTCCTTCTACTCACTCTGTTCTGTTCTCTCTCTTCCTCCCCGTTTTGCTCTCTCGTCTCTCCTCTCACGACTGTAACGACAAGGCCGCATCTAACGATTCACGACTCTACGATAACGACCGCTCGCTCGCTCATGTCTATCAGCTCGCTAACGATCCCAAATATCCCTACGAAGCTACCCCCTTCCATCACCCCTCCTTACCTTTGAAGACACACATCCCTTCCACATCTCCCAGCCTTCATCTGTCGCCTGCTCCCAGGCGTGCACACGCAGCTCCACGATCCTGAAACGACCCAACAACGCCGAACGAAAGGATAGGGAGACATCAGACGTGGAAGGCGAGAGGTAGAGGATCAGTCAACTTTGCAGGAGGGAGCACCGGTAGAGGAGCTGTGAGTCGCCACTCTCTCTATCTTCATTCGTCTCTACGACCAGCTAGCTGAATCTCCTAGCCTATAACGACCTCGTATGCATCGATAAACCAACTTTCTCGCCTTTTACGACCCCTAACGACCTGAACGATAACTACGATTCCAATCCGTCACGACTCCTCGAACGCACACATCCCCATCAGCCAACATCAAGTCCTACCCTGACTCGTCTCCCTATATAAACCCATCCAATCAGTCAACATGGGCTTTCACTCTCCCCTCCGCAAATCCCACCTCCAACCTTCTACCACCGCGGCACCTCCCTCCTCCTACTCTCGTCAAACCGGCTCGACCTTCCGGGACTCACTCAGGCGTATTCCATCCTCCATCTTCACCCGCGGCGATACCAAGAAGGAGATGGAGCGGAAGAAGAGCGTGGATAAGCTTAACATGGAGCCTATCCCGGCTAAGATGGCGGTACGAGCACCTATAGTGGAAGCCGGGATGATCAAGGAGAAGGAGAAGAAGGTCAAGACCAAGACTCGCAAGGCGCTCGGAGAGCTCTTTGGTTGGGGAAACTCGGCTTCATCCGCCCCTACCCACCCCGTCATATCTCCTCCGTCCCCACTTCGCTGCGCACTCCCGACTCTGCCCAGTAAAGCTCCCACTCCGCCAATCAAGGATCACACCATCCTCCGGAAAGCTCCTCCCTCTGCTATCCCCCGCAAGCCATCCTTTGGCTCCATCGTCTCTCGGCCCACCGTCACCGCCCTCCGCGCGCCCTCTCCCCTCAACTACGGTCGACCCAGTATCGGAGACGACCCATTCGGGCGGGATGACAACGGAGCGGAAGTCGTCACCCATGCGCCGAAGCGGGACACCCAGACCCCTTCGATCAAGAGCGACTTTTCGGCGGAAAGGAGGAGGGACAGCTGTCACAGCGGAAAGGCGCTATCGACCAAGACGGTAGCAAGTGATGAGGTCAGCGTTCATGGAGTAGCTATGCGGTAGGTCTTGTCTTAAGCTGGATGAGAGCTTTAGCTGACATTGCAGAGCTCGTATGTCCAGTCCGCGCCGGGTCACCATGGCCTCCGTCATCGAGGAGAAGAAGCGCATGTCCAACTCTCCCCCGCGTCCCAACTCTCACTCGGCACCTACTCTTAATCCCCTCATCGCTCCTCCACCCCGGTCCGACTCACTCAATCGTGACCTCTTCCCCGCGCCTCGCCAGGCAGCACCCCACCCTCGCGTCCGGGTCACCAATGCGCCGATGTACGCTTCTGCTCCGGCTCCACCTCCCACTCCGGCGCCCGCGCTCGTCCCTGCGCCGCCCAGCGCGTCCACCAAGAAGCCCTCGATGGCTGGTCTCAAGAAGGAGAAGACAAGGAGCAGGGTCTGGGGGTTCTTGGGAAAGAAGAGTGGGAAGGCGAAGGAGGATAAGGAGAATGAGCAGCCAGAATTGGTCGAGACTAGTGAGTTGACTGACCGGTAATAGGAGTCCAGAGCTGACCATTCAGTCAACTCGAGACCATTTGTGCTCGGCAGCAACGTCCAGGTCCTCCACCACGGCATCTCCCGCCCTAACATCTCCGCGTCTCACGTCTCCCCTCCCTTCAGACCCGCCGTCCCGGTTTTCCACGTCTCGCATCCCTCGGTCGACACCAGCTCCGCCACCTGCGCCGACAGCCCATGCCCCATTCGCAAGGACCTCCAACCCGAATATGGCTGGAACAACACCCTTATCGTCGATGCGCCCAATAAGCGGGACTCAGGATCTACCATCGCGTCCTTCTCCGACTTCAAGGCGGCTATCGAAGAGGCGAACAATGGCGGACACGGTACCAGTACAACCGGAGCCGAGCACTGCGCCCAGCTTCTCGCCGGCCCGAAAGCCCTTCCCAAGCGCAAGAGTCTCAGCGGTCTCTTCGGCCTCGACATCAAGGGGAGCTCGTCTGACCTTCAGGCGCCGCTGGTCTCTGCCAGGTCGTTCGCTAGCGACCACTCCGGCTTTGACTGGTCTCCACCCAAGCTTCGCCCTCTTTCGGAGGAGATGAATGAGATGACTTTCGGTTCGTTCAGCGGGAATGATCTAGGCAATCCTACGTTGCAGAAGCCGGACCGTGAGTTGATCATCTGTCTTTGACAGATCGCGGCTGATCCTTCAGCGAGTCTGCGGCGAGTCGCCTCCGCCACCGACAAGCTGGTCAGCCTAGTCTCCAACTTTGACTTTAGCCCGGCTCCATCGCCCGCCAATCCCCGTATCGCCCCTGTCGCATCCTTCACATCCCTCCGACACCGGATCTCCAACTCCCCCACCCCGATCCGCAAGGTCAAATCCGCCATGCTCTTCCACAAGTCCAACATCCCTCCGGTCAAGGCTTCCGCCATCAGTCCGCTCAAGTACGTCCTCCACCGCGCGCACGTGCGCAAGATGGACGGCGTGGGAATCTGCGCCGAGAAGCCCGATACCGACTCTCCGCCGCCCAGCAGTCTCGTCAAGCGGGGTATGCGGAACCCTTTCGCTCCTCCGTCCCCGGACCGCGGGTCAGGCGGATCTACTACTCCAGCGGTCGTCGCTGGCTCGCCTCTAGCCAAGCGGGCTCGCGATCCCATTGCTTTCGGTCCAGCGATGGGCTTGGCGGGCTTTATGGATGAGCAGACGAGCGGGGATGTCGGGGATGTACCGGCGGACCTGCAGGCGATGTTTATGGGTCTACAAGGCGAGGATGCGGACCTCGGCGCATTAGGTCTGCCCGTTCCCCCGATGGATCGGGTCGCACCTCGTCGTCCCGCCAGAGCCGCGCCCAAGATCTCCCTCCCTCCCGTCCCTCCTCCCGCTCGGCCATCGACAACTTCCACGCCTCTCTCGGTCAACATCAAGACTGTCATCGACCAGGACCAAGACTTTGCGGTCGACCAGTATACCACCCCGATCGACAATCGGAAGTCGTTCGACTTCGTCAACAACAGTAGCGGAAACCGGGACTCGTTTGACTTTACAAGCGAGTACGAGGAGCTCGATAGAGGGACGCACCGGGCGTCCTTCGTCGAGGCTCTTCATCGGATCGGGAGCTCAGACATGCTCAAGGCCAAGATGGCGGATCTTCCTGCTCTTCCTCCCCTCCCCGCCGGCCCACTCTGGACCATCGAGCAGTCCCCCGACTCGGTCCGGACCCTCAAGATGGGCGATACCCACGCGGATAGATTTGCGGACGCTCCCGAGCCTACGGTCACCCGCTACGTCTCCCCCGCTCGACCCCGGAAGGCTCCCTTCCAGGGTACATTTGCGTTCCAGCAGCAAATCATCGGCAAGACCAGCCCGAATCTTCCACCTCCGGTCCCACCTCTTCCTGCCCACTTGGCTCCAGAGTCCATCTGGACCAAGAGCCACTCGCGCGGCGAGTCCGGGTTGAGTATCGCTACTCTATCAAGCGTCGGGAGCGTCATCGACACGGCGGAGACTGCTCGGGAGTACACCAACTACTTTGAGGTCAACTTTACGCAGCACCTCGCCAAGCAGACCAGCGCGACACAGGCGCACAGCCGTGGCACCAGCATCGACTCGCTTTACCTCGACACCTCGGACCCACGGGCGCCTACTCGGCGGGCACACCATCGTCGGAACTCGTCCATCATCTCGGTCGAGTCTATCGGCGTGCCCGGGCAGGTGCTCTCTACCGGTCTTCCCCCGAACAGCCTATACAATAATGTCCGCCGGTCCGGCTATATCTCGAAGCATCGGCGAGACGGGTCGACCGACTCGGCGTTTGGTCGATCGGACTGGGCAAGCCATCGTCGGTCCATGTCTACCGAGAGCACCACGTCTGTCACGTCCGTCTCGCGCATCGTGCGCCCGGGACTCGGGGACCGGATGTTCAAGCTGGACGGAGGGGTCCAACTGTCATCCATCACGGGCTCGCCGGCCGATGCGCTTACGCACAACCGGGGTCGGAGCGGGAGCTGGGCAAGCTCGGATCGGGAGGAGGTATCGTATGACACCATCCTTGATGGCTCGCCCAAGGATGCTATCTTTGACTCGCTCTTCGATGGTCGGGGCGTGGCGTCCGGGTCGGAGACGGAGGCGGAAGCCGAGGCTGAGCGGCACTCGCTCTCGTCGAGCTCAACGGAGAAGCGGTTCTCTGGCTTATCAGAGTCAGTCTTTGGCGCAGATACCGAGGAGGCGGTGATCAAGCAGGGGTTCTTCCTCAAGGGGATGAGGCCCGTCTCTGCCATTAGCTCGGGTTTGAGCTCGGAGAACGGGGAGGACACCTTCTTGGATATTAAGCGGTACATCAAGCGGGCGAAGGAGGAGTGCTTTGAGAGTCCCGGGGAGGAGCATATGAGTGAGTCTGCTCCGATCGCATCATGATCGGGACTGAGCTGATGTGCAGCGCCGATCCAGGAGACACTCAGAAGAAGCACAGGTACCTCTTCCCTCTCCGGCTCGTTCCCCCGTCCCGCTAAGCCCAACTCGGCACGCCGTCGTCGTCCCGCCCACCTCGTATTCGGTATGGCGGACCCCAGCACCCCTGGCCTCACCTCCCCCTCCACCTCGGAGACCTCATCCCGCCTCTCTCTCGAGACCCGCTTCTCCTCGGAGCGGAGCATGGGCCACTTCCGCCAGAAATCATCCGCCAACATCCACACCCAAGCGACCATCAAGGAGGAGATCTCTCTCGCTACTCTCCGCCCACCAAAGTCATCCTCCAGTCCCAGGGTCCGCATTGTCCTTTCCCGAGAGAACCTGCGTCGGCAGGATACCCTGGCGGCGTACGAGTCGGACGAGGACAAGGACGACGACTCGACCGAGTCCATCACTGCCTGGCTGCGGTTCCAGCGGGAAGCGGACGAGGTGTGTCGCCGTACCAAGTCGGACTTCCGGGACTCGGCCGAGAGCCGCGCGGCTGTAGCGGAGTTCCAAGGTCAGACACGGTTCTCCCCGCAGAGCGTTGCGGACTTTCTCGCTCAATCTGCGGCGGTCTACAAGCCGCTCGAGAAGGCCATCCCGACCCAACGGCCTAGGGATCAGGCGCATCGTCGTAAAGTGTCCCTCGCGGATGCTCGGGCCCTTACTTCGCCGTACGGTCTCCCCCTCCCCAAGCCGGCCACGGTCAACAAGCCCCGCGGGAGCTTGACGACCAAGTTTGAACGGAGCAACTCGGCTGCCTCGTACATTTCCAGCGAAGACGGCGCGGGCGCGGGCGGCGACGGTACTCCCAAATCCGGAATCTTTGATCATCTCATGTCGGATCTCGTACCCTCGCCCCGCCGGTCTCCTCCACGGTCTGCACCACCACCCAGCACCGGCGTGTTTGCGGGGTTCCTGCATCAGCGTCAATCGCCATCAGGGGACGTGTTCAATCTCGCGAGCCACGCCGCGGGCGGGCAGCAGAAGAGGGGCAAGGCGTCGGATCCACCCGCGCGGACTCAACCGCTCGTTTCGCTCTCAAAGGAGAACCAGGCTGTCGGACCGGCGGATAACCGGGCGCGGGTCGACTCGGGAACAAGGCGCAAGGCGCTCGGATGGGGGAGGCGGCGGAATTCGGATGGACCGGCGCAGGTCGTGCAGAGCAAAGTCGTTCCTCTGGGAGTGGGGTTGGGACCGAGAATGGCAAGAGCGGCGGTGATGAAGGATAAAGAGAATGCTGTGGTTCCACCAGTGTTAGTCTCTCCTCTCGGGCTAGTGTGGATCTGGTTGTGAGCTGATATCACAGGCCGGCGATTAAGATGAAGAGTATCCCTCGACCTCGCTACCCGAGCGGTGCGCGTCCTGCTCAGCGAGCTGCTGGACCCATTGGCGGGCGAGCGATGCGTGCTTGAAAGAGGATGAGGCAGGGCGAGGAGGGGACAATTATACGACAGACTCGGCTTGCTTCTCCTTTTGCTTTTACTTCTACTTTTTGGTCGACTGGTTCCTATCTTACACCTTCCGGCCGCCCCCTTCGGTATCCTCCGTTTCTTGTCCTTATATATAGTTTCTCACCTGATATCATACAGCCGTGCTCTTGCTTTACTCTATACATGCTATGCAGGTCATTCTACGTATCCACAGACAATCAACAAAGGTATACTACAGATCTACTGATACAAATTTAGAGGCACACGTTATGCCACTCTTGCCGCAACTCCCAGCATCTCAACACGTTCCACGATACCGCCGGCAACACCCCTTCCCTCGATAAAGTCTCGCGCCCCATCTTCACCCCTCCAGCCCAACACATCGCCGCCAATACGGACACGGGCAAAGTGGACCCATCTTCCCTCATGGCCCCCTCCTGCCAATTCCCTGTTCCGTCATCGTACGGTTCCGCCCATCCCTCCGGTCTACGCATTAAGGGATACTCAGTCGTAATCTTGGACCGGTAGTGCGTGACGCTGGGCCCGCTATCCGACGGATCCGAATAGGTCTGGACGACCATGCCTGTGAATGCCGGACCGTGTGGGTCGGGCGCGGGCGGGCAGATCTCGTCCGCTCGCGAGTGGTAGTCGAGGTGAGGGGGCAGGTAGACCGTTGTGAGTTTGGGACAGGAGTGGAGGGTCCGGCTAGCGCGTGTGAGGATGTCGGAAGCGATAGAGCTGAGGACGAGCATGTGGCGGTGGAGGTCCATATCGGATGAAGAGGTGTAGAGGGAGATGTCGAGCTGATACTGCTGGAGATTCGGCAGTGCGGGGATGATGGGCTCCTACACTATTAGCTTCGACTATCCAGGAAGAGGGGAAAGGGTGAACGCACTGTCTTGGTGGGCCCGAAAGCTAGGTTTGTGCTCCATAGCATGGACAATGACTCTAGATTCTCGAAAGCGCCAGGAGCGAGGAAGAAGGGAAAGCAGGAGTAGGTACACTCCAATCTCCTCAAAGTCTCCTTCTCCGCCAACGCCGTAAGGAGGGGACATTCCGGCGTAGGTTTCCATCGATGTGCGTGATCCCGCAGCGCTACAGCTTCGAGGCGGAGCGCTGCTTGTATCAACGGCGTCAGGGTAGGAACGAAGCTCTGCTCCATCTCGTCGACGATAAGCTCGCGCAACCGCGGCAGTGTACCCCAAGGGATGAGCTTTGATCGGATCGGAGGTACTCCGCCCGATATCCGCCGTGGATGCGAGAGGATATGGAGTACCTCGAGATTGGGAACCTTCTCGACGATCTCGACGAGTGTTTCATTCCACCGATACCGGACCTCCAGGCGAAGATGGAGCAGCGAAGGGAGTGGAGAGGGGAGTGACCGGAAGAGGTCGAGCGTTGCCGTCAGGGCGTAGGGCGCGACGGTAAATGACGGACCCGGCGAACGTAGCTCGAGGTGCTCTAGTCCAGTACAGAGGGTGAGGACGTCGAGGATGGAGGCGGGGAGCTCATGTCGCAGATCCAAGATGAGGGTGCGGAGCTGAGTAGCGCGCCAAGGCTGGGCGGAGAGGTAGGTAAGGAGAGTGTCGATGAGCGCGTGTGAAGCAGAGGGGCTCGGTAATGTGAAAACTCCCCTAGGAGGCGCGGAGAGGATAGAAGAGGGGATATAGGCCTGGGCGAGCGTTGGAGAGGGAGCCGATGGGAAGCGAGGCGGGGTTGCGCGGTCGGTGACGAATAGGTGATGCCAGATGACGCTCTCGGCGGCTTCCCGGAGCTGGCGGCAAGTGAGAGCGAGAGCGACGGCGGAGGATTGGGAGAGATGGCCGGTGATGGAGCGGATGAGCTCTATAGGGAAGTCGAGCAGGGAGAGGGGGCCGGGTGTGGGTGGGACGGAAGTGGTCATGGTGTCGCGCGGGGGTATGAGGTATGTCGATAGTCGGCCCTTCGCGTCTGCAGGGCTTGTGCAGATGGACACCAGGTGGTCATATATCCCTGCGCATCCTACCCTCATTCGCCTCCTTTGTATACCAACAACAAAGGAGGCAGGCCGAGTCATCGCCCCCTCCCCTCTTCTCGCCTCCCTTGACGCCGATCCCTCCCCTGCCGCATTTCCTTTGTTCCAACATCCCAAAGCAGCACTGGCGCGCCAGCAGTCTCACGACGAGCATGCACCAGTGAAGGTCCGATCGAACGAAGGTGTAGGGATGGAGAGTGGGTCGATGGTGAGATCCTGAGACGTCAGCTGAAGCATGGGGCTGGCGAAACGGAAAAGGATTTCAAGGGGACGTACCGTCTTAATTGGACCCAAAGCTAAGTTTGCGCCCCATAGCATCGACAGTGACAGAATGGGTAGCCAGCGTATGTGCAGTCGAGTCGCTTCAGCGATGCCTTGTCCGCCAGAGCGATGAGGAGCGTGCACTCCGGGCCAGGCTGCCACCGACGGTCGTGGTCTCGCAGTGCGACGGCTTCGAGGCATGACGACCCGTCAATGAGGGGCGTCAGGATAGGGACGAAGCTATCCTCCATGTCTTCCACTATGAGCTCCCGGAGCCGGGGAAGCGTCCCCTTGGTTAGGTGCGTTGAGCCGAACGGAGGTACCCCGCCCTTTATCCTACGCGGGTGGCTAAGGAGGTGAAGGACCTCTAGATTCGGCCGTGTGGACGATGCCGTTGACGGTGTCGGTCCAACGGTTTCGGACGTCTACGCGCAGATGACGCAGCGAGAGAAGGGGTATGGGGAGAGAGCGGAAGATATCGAGGTTTGCGAAGGAGGAGTGAGGAGGGACGGTCGGTAAATGACGGGCCGGAGGAGCGGAGTTCTGGATGTTCTAGCCCGGTGCAGAGGGTGAGGGCGTCTAGGATGGGCAAGGAAAGCTCGTGCCGGGGGTCCAAGATGAGGGTACGGAGCTGGGTAGCGCGCCATGGGCGAGCGGAGAGGTGATTGAGGAGAGTCTGGACGAGCGCAGTTGAAGCAGAGGCGGTGGAAACTACCGGACCGGGACCCGGATTGGAGGACAGTTAAGCCTGGCTGGCCGGTGTAGACGGAGTGGATTCGGTCGCGCGGTCGGTGATGATGAGGTGATTCCAGAGGACGCTCTCCGCCGGTGCTTGGAGTTGTCGGCATGTGAGAGCGAGGGAGGCGGCGGAGGACGGGGAGAGACGGGCGGTGATGGAGCGCAGGAGCTCGACGGGAAGGTCCAGAATGCCGAGGGGGGTAGGGCGTTTAGACTTCGGCGTGACCATGATATTCGGTGGAAAGATCCGAGAGTGGTGTATGCCGTCCGAATAGGCAGACCTGTAGGGATTGGTTCAACCCTGCAGACCTGCCCCGACTTGCCTCCTGTGTCGTCCGACCACAAAGGAAGCAAGAACAACCATCTCCATTTCCCTCTCGAGCCCGCGTCTCGCCTCCCTTGACCTCGACCCCTCCTTTTGCTTCTACCGCCGCGCCTTTATCCCCCAACCCCAAGCCATCTACACCAGCTCCATCACCGCTACCGCCCCGAGACTGGACCGAGCGAGCAGCTCAGACCAGTTTCTTCCATTTGCCGACAACCTTGGCTGCCAGGCGTCCCATCATGGGTTTAAACGCCTTCACGTCCTCTTTGAGCTTTGCCTTCCTCCGCCTTTTCTCCTCCGCCTCCTGTAATATAGCATCCTCTGCGAGCCTCCTGGCTTCCTTGCGCTTGACCGCAGCGTACCACTTCCTGAGCTCCGTCCACACAATATCCGGCAGCTCCAGGTTCCGTCCCGGCCGCACCCAGGCCGAAGTCTCTCCCGCCTGGGTATAAATCCACGAGAGGTAATTTGCCGGGACGGAGTAGCCTCGATAGTCAACCTCCTCCGTCCACGTACTGTCGGAGCGGTACGTGTAGTGCTCGGTAGGGTGCAGGCGATATGACGTGTATTGGCGACAGTGGATGAAAGTCTCCTCCGGGTCGTCCGGATGGGGGATACGCGGGCGGTACGTGCGAATGAGCAACCCCTCGTCCGAGGCCGAGAAGCACGCTGGGGAGCCCCAATACTCCCAATTGTGGGTGGTGAACTCGCCATTGTTCGCAGTGGGATATTGGATGAGCTCCAGCGCGGGCATGTCGAGAATCGCGCGGAGGAAGAAGCTATTGATGCCGAATATGGGCTGGGGGAGCGATAGCCATTGCCCGCCATACAAGCTGACGGGGATGAGGTCGTGACCGTGGGTGGGACGATGGCAGAAGATTCTCTGTATGGACGGAAAGGTGGGGAAGGAGGGGTAGGTGGGGAACTGTTGAGTCAGCTTACAGGCGCCGAGGGGTATCAGATGCAGAGGTGGTGACTTACTTCAGAGCCCACGGCGGTCTCGATCGAGAGCTGACGAAGATTGCTAAATCCCCCTTTCTGTATTCCCGCCAAGCACGCCTCGGGTACGGCGAGATACTCCAGACGACGAAGATGGCATAAACGGTCCACCAGCTCATCATCCTCTGCCGGGTGCCATGCTTCCTCCGGATCCCTGATCGCCAGATACCTCATGACATCCTCCGCGCCCTTGACCAGGCTGAGCACCATGGGTATGAGCGCCGGCCCCACCTGCTCGATCTCGAGCCGTTGGAGATTCGGAGCCGCAGGCCACGTGGTCGGCTTCGACGCCGGGGTGAAGACCGAGACATCCCCCCAGCCACCGCTCCAAGGGGTATTGGGGGTAAGGATGAGGCTGCGGAGATTTGGGGCGAGAGCGAGCATACGCCGCACTCGGAGCTCCCATGCGTGGCCGATGGGGAATTGGACGTGATGAAGTCTGGGGAAGGGTTTGTGGATGCGGGCGATGGCATCTTCGAGATGGAAGTACTTCTCCGGGTCGTCCAGGTCGTTGTATGTGAAGGGGCAATCCGGCCCGACCAGCTCGATGCTCCGTACGAAGGGACTGACGTGGTTGAGTAAATTGATAAATTCCCGAGGGATCACGCGGTCTAGGTTGTACTGAATGGACCGGATCGTCCGCTGTCGCCAGCCGCGGTCCCTCAGGATCAACTTGACCAGATTCTCCAGGTAGATCCCAGTCAAGTGAGTTTCGAGGAGGGATCGCCCCTCGACTGGCAAGTCCGGTCGAACGTCGGGGGCAAGCCGTGTCAAGCGCAGTATCCACGCCCGGCTGGCGCTGGTGCTGTTGGGCTGGTAGGTATTGGCGTATGGTCTCTGTTGGAGTGACATATTCAAGTCCGTCCATGCAGACCGTAAAGCGATATCCCGAAGCGCCGAGCATGTCCTAGCGAAGTCGACCGCCGAAGAATAGGGAAGATCGAGGGCGATTTTGACCAGAAGCTCCGTGGGGAGGTCGAGAAGGTGGACGCGGCGGACGAGAGTGCGACGGAGGAGAGCAGAGGTTTGCGTAAGGGAGACGAAGGAGCGGTGGGAGAGGTGATGGACGATCCGGAAGAGGACTTTGAGTGGAAGGGAGGGGAGTTTGGCAGACATTTTGCGTAGATTCTGTCAGTAGCGAAGAGATGTGAAAAGAGTGAGAAGAGGCGAGAAGGACAGCTTTTATATGACGTTGATGTGGCTGGTCGCTCACGTACAGGATTGACTCAGAGCTCGGCTCCGCAGATACATACAACAAAGGAGTCATTGCGATGCTGAAAGCAAGCCGAATCCGGGACCGGCAGTTGTCGGTGGGATCGGAAGGCATCCCTGCCAACACAAGGTGCGCAGCAGAAGCGCCGCACAGCGGAGTGATGCGCCTTACCATGTCCTCTGATGCACCTGATGGTTCGCTTGTTTACTGAGATATGAGGTCAATGTCAATATGTCAACAGGTTTTGCGTGGCGAGTCGCTCAGGCATGGCACCTGATCTGGGCGGTGGGGGCCCCGCTCGTCGACGCACGGACTGCTTTGGAGCTAGCGGCGATCGCCGAAGCTGGCCTGTGAACGCGTCTCTGCTCGCGCCTCCTTGAGGAACGATACACCTTGTCTTGTATACATACATCATATCTGCATATAATATCATCTACCATAGGGCTCAGAGGGATACATAGAGCTCATCGACAGCGGCAATCAGCCATACATCTCGAAACAGGGGCAACGATCCCTTGATCCGGTCAAGAGATACAAATTGCCGAAATCCCACATCCTCCGAATCAGCTGGCGGACATCCGCCCTGTAGCCGCTGGACCAGATCACAGAGGTCTTGCGAATCTCGTGACTCAGCTGTGTTAGCAGAGAATGTCAACTTCGTCAGATGCTCTGGAGCCGAGGGAGCTGGGAACCTTGATTGTCGTGGTGGGCAAAGCGGTGCGTTCAGCTTGGCATATGCTACTTTGCGTTCTTTCCAGCTGATCATGACAGAGGAATCTCCCCAACAAGTCGAGGTTCGGAAAGCAAGATCCGTTCTGTGCCGTCAGGCTTCAGTCGGATAAGCAGCGCACAAAGGCTATCAAGCGGTGAGCTGCCTTTACCGGCGGCATTTAGGACACAGCTGATGTGCAAGTGGCGGGCAGCATCCGGAATGGGACGAAGAGCTCCGCTTTACGGTCAAAGAAGACATGGACGAGGTGCTAGCTCGCTCAGACTCCTCGGCCGATACGTCGCTATCCTCCTCAACATCCCAGCCTGCCTTACCGGCGAAGGATGGCTCGATATCTGGCGTAACAACCGCTGCGGCGCTGGCGAATAAGAGCAGGAAAGGACCCGTCAAGAAGCATGTGGGGAAGAAGCTGAATGTGGCGTGCTATGCGGATGATGCAAAGGAGCCGGAGTTGATTGGGGAATGTGCGGTTTTGATAGACGATGTCTTGAAGAAGGGGGAGGTCGATGGTGAGTTGCACCATTTCGAAGGAGTATTGAGCTCATGGTCAGAATGGTATGAGTTCACGTACAAGGACAAATACAGCGGAGAAGTATACCTTGAATTGACCTTCTACTCCAATGTGCGGATTCGTGCGCCTGATCTCGATCAAGCTGACCTAGCAGGAAGCACCGCCCGTCAAGCGGAATCCACATATCCAGCGGTACGGCCAAGCTAGTATAGCCGGTGCCGGATCTTCAGCCTCGCTCTCTAGTGCCAGCCGACCTTCTATGGCGAGTCTATCGACATCAAGCAGCGTATCCGGGATGAACCTATACATCCCACCCTACGCCCAGCCCCCTAGAGAACCCTCGCCGGCGCCAACAGTCACTTCGAGCACATACGGAGTGGCTCCATCCACTAGCTTTGCCAAGCTCGGCCTCCCTCCCAGTCAGAGTCATCACCGGAATCAAAGTCTACCTGTACGTCTCTATACTGCTAGCTCTGGATCTTGGCTGACCCTCAGTCTCTACAGGGATATCCACCCCCATCATTATCATCTATGGCGTCGATATCGACCCTGCCGACTATCCCATCTGCCGAGCCCCTCGATGCCCTGATACGGCCCATGTCGTCCATGTCGGTCTCCAATTCCTTCTCCCAACGGCCATTACCTTCTACCACACCCGCACCCCCACATCCACATCATCAGCATTCGGATCCCTCTTATTCGTCAGGTCACCGACACTCTCTCGGCGAAGCTCCTTGGTCCAGCTTATTACCACAAGCAGGGCCTCCAGCGGCCTTGACGCCGCAGCCTCGGCCGCTGTCCACCAGCGATACCACGTCTATGAACCAGTATCAATGGGATCAGATACGGCAAAGCGCCATGACACCCCTCGCACGCCCTCCTTCCACTACCCATCCCCCTCAACCCCCACATAGCTCAGGCTCGTACTCGGCTGTCGATCCGCGCGCACCATCACCGGTCCCTCCGACGCTTATGCCCGGCGGTGGTCAAGCCCCACATCGCCACGCCCAGAGCTTTTCGGGTCTATCCGGCCAGCCACATCCGTCGACATACCTCTCAAATCTCGCTCCAATACCTACCCCTCCCCCACCCTCCCACTCTGCCCCGCCAGCTGGCCAGTATCCCGTCCCATCCTCCTCCTTCTCCAACCTCCAGCAACCGATGGACTACCGGTCGGAAACGCCCATGAACCCCTACAGAGCAACGACGCCCCAGCCGGATACATACGGCGGACCCCAAACGCCTCGGCCGCAGGAGTATGGGAACGCGCAGGGGAACTACCAGAGTCCAGCTGCTCAGGTCTTGGACGTTTCCGGCTACCCCACGCATCCCTCGGGCCACTTCCCCACCTCGTCATCGTCACAGTGGAATGGACCCGTCCCACCCCGTAGGCAGTCTGCGTCGTCCGCGTATAGCCAACAACCCCCACCTCAGCCCAACGCGAGCGGCTATGTCCCATGGCATCAGCAGACCCAGCCATCGCAGAGTAACGGGTATCAACATCAGCCCACCCCTCCACCGGTACCGGACTACAATCGCCCGGCACCCGCTCCCCCTGCCCCTCCTCGGTCAGCGGCGGGCTACTACCCTTCGGATGAGCTATACGCGCAACAGCGAGTGACTTCGCCTGCTCCTGCGCCATGGCAACAGCAACAGCAGCAGCAGCAGTATCAGCAGCCTGAACCTCACCGCCAGGCATCGCCATTACCGCCTGCCAACCCTGCTCCGCAGAGCTCCTACCAGCAGCAGCAGTATGGGCAGTATCAGCAGCAGCAATCGTACGCTCCGCCGGAATCGTCACATCCTGGCGCCCCTCCTGGATGGCAGTCCACCATGCCGCAATCCTCCTATTCGGCCACACCTCCCCCTCAACAACCATACCAATCATCCTATCAGCCGCAACCACCTCCCCCACATCCCCGCTCCCCCTCTCCCGCACCGCCACAAGCACCAAACGGGTGGCAATCACAGCACTATCAGCAGACTGCTCCCCCTCCTCCCGGTCGGACACCCTCGCCAGCCCCTCCGCAGCCGCCGCCAAACGGGTGGCAGTCCCAGCCCTACCAGCAGCAAGCACCGCCACCGCCTGGTCGTACGCCCTCGCCGGCACCCCCTCCTGCTCCGGGGATCAAGCATGACTGGCGGTCGTATATGCAGAGTTTGAACGCTGCGGGTGGGCGCACGCCGTCGCCACAGCCTCCTCCCCCGCAGCAGGGGCAGCAGGGGCAGCAGGACTGGTATACCCCTCCACCCAGCTTACCGACGAGTATAAGACCGCCGGATGGGTGGAATGCGGGCACGCATGTGTCGCAGGATGGGCATCAGTGGCGGGGATGAGAGTGAAATTGTCGGTTAGGTCAGATTACTGCGTGGGGAAGAGGTGTTGTAGGGTGCATCTCATCTTGGTTGTAGGTGGTAGGCATATATAGATGGGTAGGTAAATCTGGGACGAAAGAAGGATGTGCGGGACCTGCCTGACTGGACTATCACTGAAGCTGGAAACCAACGCGCTCCAGGAAGATCCGTTTTTACCGCTGACGGAGCCGTGACGATCGGCCATGCGCGATTGATGCGCCGAGTTCAACACGGCCTCCCGGCCCTCGCACTCTCTCTACGGCTCTCTGCCCAAGGATGTCCCATGCAGTTGCTGCCCAGCGAGATGTTGGCTCAACGGAGCAGATCTCCGAGATTATCGTGCCCTCGTAGCTGTAAATCCGGCGCTGTAGGATCTCTCCGTGCGATACCAAGATCAGATTCATGTTCAGCTCTAGGGACTCATCAACGTCTACCAATATTTGGCCAGGTCCAGCATCCCCTGCCGGCTGCCCCCACCCTCGTGGCAGCTCTTGTCGCAGAGCTGCCTGAGTTCCGCCATACCCGCCGCCAGCTCCTTCCCCAGGTCTCCCTTCATCTGTGTCCAAAGCTCCACAAGCTCCGCCTTGATGGCCTCTTCCGTACCGATGAGCTCTGTGCCGTCGTAAAGCACCTTGGGCTTTTCGCCTTGGCCGAAGAAGCATTTAGCTTGCTTGATGTCGACTCCGGCCTTGTATTTCTTCACTGCCAAAGTCAGCTTCATACATCGACCTTATCCTCTGGAAAGAGGGCCACGAAGACTTACGGATCTCGATACACTCTCCCTGGTCGGCCGCGAAGGGAATACCTGCAATAGGAATTCCCGCGAGAATAGCCTCCGCGGTGGAATTGGCTCCGCAGTGAGAGACGAAAGCGAGGCAAGCGGGATGATTGAGGACCTGGACCTGAGGGGCGATCTGGACGGCCATCCCGAACTCGGAGCTTGAAACTTTGGCGATCATGTCCGCCGAGACGGGGAAAAGCTCGGTGGCGTAGGCGAAAAGGAAGGGGGTAGAGGTGGAAATAAGGGTGTCGACGAGGTAGTGGACGATCTCGGGTCTGGCGAATGGGAACCAAGCGGATCCGAAGCTGATACTGTCAGCGTTGTCGATTCCTCCGCCTGCAGTGATATACACGTACCTGACGTAGACCAGCGACTTGGGGCCGTGACTCTTGAGTGTCTTGTCCATGAAAGCCATCACTTTGAGCCCATCGGCATCGTCTGCAGCCGTTTCCGGAATCTCGCCCCTTCAGAAGTTCTCGGGGTATTGGATGCTAGCATATCAGCTTCTGTCTCTCCTATGTGCCTTTCCAGGTGTATGTGAACCTACCCAACAAAGAGCCACGGCTTCCCGAGATGCTGCTCGAAGAACAGCTTGGCCTCCGTCTCCATCTCCTCGACCGCGGTACCGATCGTGCCGGTGAGATAAGGAGACCAGAATGTCTGGAACATGGCGAACATCGCCAGGACAGGCGCCTTGCCCAGGATCTGCGCTTATCAGCTCGGTACTGTTTCGCTCGGATCGAGATACGCACGGAGCTCATAATCGGTCATTTTGGGCAAGCCTGGCAAGCTCTTCATCCTACCATGATCTCCGAGACCCATCTGGTCGTGATCAGTATATATACTTCTCCCCCAGATGACAAAGTCGACTCACAGCAGCAATCATGGGCATAGGGTCTTGTCCCTCGGCGACTGCCTCTTCGACCTTGCGAGATATAGGTCCGATGAAGCCACCGTACTCCTCCTTGGCCAAGTGACTATGAGGTCAGCGTGGTCCACTTCGATACGAGCTGCTACGATACTACCTAAGGCTACGACCAGACTTACTGGATCATAGAAGTAGGGCCAGACGGTACGAATGCAAAGACCGGGATCTTGCCAATCTTGCCTCCAGACTGCTCCGACAGTTGATGGACGACAGCGAGAACGAAAGACTGGAACATCTGCAAGGATCAGCACAGACCATCGCCTGGAACAATCAAGAGGCTTCAGGACTTACGTCGAAGATGACCATGTTCGGCTTGATGTCCTTGAACTTGTCTCCCAGGATGGGCGCCCCCGGAGCGCCTTCGCCGAACAGAGCAGCAAGATACCCAGAGATAGCTTCCGCATAGGCGATGGCGTCGGCAGCCATGTCAGCGACGAGGTCCTTCGGCTTTCCGGGCTCGTTGGTGCCCGCATCCTTGACTTGCACTTCGACAAGCTGCACTCGGCCGAGAGCGGACGCGCCGTCGGTGGTGTTGCGTGTGTGAGAGAGGTTGGCCGAAGCGAGCTCCTTGTGGACCCGCGGGGCAACCGTCGGGCAGAGAAGGATAGTAGCCTTGAGCTGGGGGTGGAGTGTGACGAGCTGGACGACAAGGTGGAGGAGAGGTCGGACGTGGCCCCTGCAATGGATGAGCGCGAGACTCGGATGGGGTCTCGAAGGGCAAAGGGGACATACCAGGCGGCAAAAGGTACAAATACTGCGTGGCTCATAGCGGTGCGGGTATAGTTGATTGGAATAGAGAGGTGAGGTGAAGGTCTCCTATCGGTCGCTGCGGGTTAAGTATGAATTCTCCCTGCCTTTGCGTAGTGAAGCTAGCTTGAACCCACGCGGAGCAAGTCAGCAAGCGGATCTTTTGTTCTCCTCCCCTTGGCAAACCTATCCTCCTCATGCCTTTGTTGCCCACACAACCCCGCGCTTTGAGTTGGCCTCGGAGGCAGATTCTGAAGACGCGACTCGCGCGTTGTTGGCTGATAGGAATCGGCACAATACTGTGATCTCTGAGATCTCTAGGCAGGCTGATGAATCGGCGACGCATCGCGACTACTTTTGAGTGCTGGTCAGGTGTCTGATCGTGTGGTACCATGATTTGATCGCGCGGCTGATGATCATGAGGTTTCGGATATAGATGCACGTCCACGTGCACATGCGGTGATGGGCGGCCGCGTGCTACACATTCCTCATCACGTCATAGATAGCAGTTGGTGGGACATTGGAGTGGCACTGGATTGATACGATTACCTAGATCTCTCAGACATGCATGCCTACAGCCGAGTTCTCTTTGATCTACCAATACTCGGCCAGATCCAGCATAGCCTGCCGGCTCGCCCCGCCTTCGTGACAACTTTTGTAGCAAAGCTCCCTCAACGCCGCCATGCCCTGATACAGTCCCTTCCCCAGATCCCCCTTCAACGCCGCCCACATCTCGACCATCTCTTCCTTCATAGCCTCCTCAGTCCCTAGGAACTCGGTACCGTCATATAAGACCTTGGGGGGCGTTCCGGGTCCGTCAAAGCATTTGACTTGTTTCAGGTCAATACCCGCATTGTACTTCTTCACTGACCTCCATCAGCTCATTAGACTACTGCCTGTGCAGAGAGGAGGCAAGACTTACAAATTGCGGCATGTTCCCCCTGATCAGCAGCAAAGCCGATAGTCACCAATGGTACCCCCGCCAGCACGCTCTCGGCAAGACTGTTGGCTCCGGCGTGCGAGACGAAGAAACCGACAGCAGGGTGGTTCAGGACCTGGACCTGAGGAGCGATCTTGACGGCCAAGCCGAATTCGGCGTCCTTGACCTTATCGATCAAGTCTTGCGGGACGTCGAATAGCTCAGTCGCGTAGGCAAAGACGAATGGGGTCGAGGTGGAGAGGAGGGTGTCGAGGAGGTTGTGGACAATATCGGGTCGGGCGACGGGGAACCAGGTAGATCCAAAGCTGTCATCATCAGCGAGTATCTGTGCATGAGTGAGCTCGTCATCGTGCCTCAGCTTGGACCTTGTTGTCGCCCCTCTCTCACTCTTTCCTCCCATGTTGAACTCACCTGACAAAAATAACTGATCTCTCCCCTCTCCGCTCCAACATTATATCCAAAAATGCCATCGTCGCCACCCCATCCGCATCGCCCTCCGCCGGAGGCGCGATCTCCCCATTCCAGATCTCCTCGGAATACTGAAACCTGCCCAAATCAGTCCAAGCTAACAACCGCGCGTGCGCTAGTCAGGCTGGACACAACTCACCCAAGGGAGATGAATGGCCGACCCATGTACTCTTCCAATACCTCCTTCGCCTCCAGCTCCATCTCACATACATTGGTAGCAAGGATACCCGTCTGGTTCGGCGCCCAAGCGGCATTATGCGTTTTGGCTATGCCGATAGCGAGTTCGGGTGGACATGGGCTCGCTCCGGCGCCGGGATGCAACTCAAAGTCGGTCATTTCTGGTAACCCTGGAAGTTTTTTCAAGATCCCACGATCCCCTAGAGGCGTCTGTTCAAAATCAGCATTGATCCCCAGCGGTAGGGTCCCCGGGGTGGGCGGAACGTACCGGCGCAATAATCGGTATTGGATCTTCTCCCTTCTCCTCTGCCTCGGTGATGGTCTGATTCAACTTGTCTAGGAACCCCCCATCTTCATCTCGCGCGAAGTGGCTGCAGTATCAGCTGTGCGTCCGTAAACGTGTATACGGGCCAACGTACTGGTATGTCGCTGTAGGCCCGCAAGGGAAGTAGCCAAACAGCGCAAGGTCACCCATCTTCCCGTTCAGCTGCGCAGCTGTCTCGCGCACCACCTCTGGCACAAATGACTGGAACATCTGCCCTGATCAGCTGCGGGCTCGCGTGATGTAGCACCGAGAGGAGGAAGATCAGCGGCGGACTCACATCGTAGATGATACAGGTCGGCCGTATCTCCCTAAATTTGTTCTCCAGCCCCACCCCTTCCCCCAACCTGTCCCCATACAGAGCGACCATATACCCAGCCAGTGCTCCCCCGTAAGCAGCCGCCTTCCCTCCCATGTCCTGCGCGATGTTCCCGCCCTCTGCCCCTGCATTGTCCTTCGCATCATTTGTCTTCACCTGAATCTGCTGCAGGCGGTCCAGTATCGTGCCCTTCGCCGTCCTCGTATGGGCATGAGCAGACGAGGCGAGCTCTTTCGAGACTCGTGGCGCGACGGAAGGGGAGAGGAGGAGTGAGACGTGGAGGTTTGGATGCAAGGTGAGGAGCTGGATCGTGAGGTGTAAGAGAGGTCGGACATGGCCCCTGCTGTATCAGCTTGGCAGTCATCAGAGGGATATCGAGAATAGCACTCACCAGGCTTCGTACGGTATCACAAGGATATGAGCGGGCTGCGTGCGCCTCGTAGGGGACCGAGTCAGTGTCATGATATGGACGAGCAGGTGTCAGATCGATGAGGGAGGAAGAGTGAGTGTTCCCAGGTCAACGACGAGCCCATCCAACAGTGATCACCCTACCCCGCACTCCTCAGTGCTCCAGGCATACACATCCATCCCTGATGGATAGTACTTCACCGACTTCGTATACAAGCTAGAGTAGACTGGAATTTGGTCAGAAACTTGACTTTGGTGATTTTGACGTCACGCCCGCGTGTCTCACCAACATCGGCAAACGGTCTTCGATCGCTCTCAGGGCTCACCGTAGTGCTGGAATCGAGCTAGTCAAAGATTACACAAGTCCAGGAGCCAGCACGACCAACCATGGATGTTGAGATAGGAACGCCTTTACATGATCCTGTAAAGTGCATAAAGATACAACATGACCCGTCTTCGGTCTCACCAAGATCCAAGATCCCCCTCCCCCACTTTTCCCACTCTCGCTCTTTCCCCACTTTTCCGTATGTACATTACGAGGCCGCCAGATCCGCGTTCAACGGCTTACTAGCTAAGCGCAATACCTCGGCCGACACCTTCTCATTCGTACTCCGTATCGTCATCCTGCACAGCTTGGCGTCTTTGTTCGGTTCGAGTCGACCGAGAATACCGACCTTTCCGGCAGTAGACGAATGGAGGACACCTGCCATTACCAGCTAAAAGCTATCAGTTTGGCCCAGTGTCATCCTCGGAGATCGAACTCACGTTATTTGGGTTAGGATCTATGCCTGATAGTAGCGATAACCTGTTCCCGCCCACGACCTTTATATTTCTTGCCAGATCCAGGTCACCGGTAGGGGTGAGTTTGATCGGGAAGACGAGCTGCGCTTCTCTTGGTGCACCTAACCATCAGCCCCATCCCGCCTCCAGGGCGAAACACTAGAAAGACTCACCACCAATAATCTTCCACCTCTCAAAGAACGGCGCCTGCTCTAACGTCACCCCCTCCACGAACCGACTAACCACCACCGGCAGCCTGAGCACCAGCGTCGTAAAGCTTCCCGCAAGGTATGTCACCCTCAACACCGGCGGATCCGTAAACACATCCTTACACTCGACGTGTATCAATTCCTGCACCTGACTTTGCGGCTGGATCTCGCTGACGGGTGCGTCGTGGAACGTGAGGCCCAGTGCCTCGCCGGCGGGATTGTCGATAGAGCATCGGAAAGCGGTGAAGGGGTGACTGAGCTTGTTGCCGATAAAGACGGCAAGTCGGCCTTGGTGCCCGTGATATTCCGATTTGAGACCGATTTGGACTTGCTTGTCTTCGTACAAGACGCCTTCGTTGGCATAGGTAAGACGTTCGAACCACTGGATATCAGCGCAATCTCGGTCAGACTCACCTTTTCGATATTCGGCGCTACCGTCAGAGGAGCGACCAGGACAGGATCCACCCCACCCAGCGTCGCAGTAAGTGGCGTAAACTCCCCGTCTGGCCCTCTCTCCTCCATCGGACTCTGCACCATCCCCCCTCCATTCCCGCTCAAAAGCGGCTCCTCCTGCGCGGCCGTCGTAGCCCCCAGATCCAGATCCGCCAAGCTCGACATGATATCCGACTCGGACCGCCCATTCGCCGCCGGTCCCATCATATCATCCACCAGCGTCTCCTTCCTCTCCGGCTCTCTCCTCTCGACCGGCGCCGGCGCTGCTGCGGCCGCACTAGGTCCCGCTGGCTGGGCGCGAGAAACCACCGGCGCCGCAGCTTCGCCACTAGACCCATTCGAGTCCTGCGTGCCTTGACGGAACGCCTTGAATCGCTGACCCTGCCGTTCCTGGTTCTCATCCCGACCGCCAATGACCCATGTCCGCTTGTCCTGCGATTTAGAGCCTTTGGCGTGGAGGCGATGGACGAGGGTGGATTCGCGCTCGGGGAAGACAGGCATCTCGTCGCAGATGGAAGCGAGGAGATCGTCCGTGTCCGGCCTCCGGGCAAGGGCGAGGTATTCGCACGCGCGCTGTTGAAGCTCTGCGTCGAGGACGTGCGTGTACCGCTCAAAGATGTTGATGAGGTGGTCTTTGATCTCCGGGAAGAGGTTCACCCACTGAAAGGTCAGCTTAGTTCTCTCCGTATCAGGGCAGACGCAAGCTCACCTTGATATAAGTGGTCAGGAGCAAAGCCCGAGTTGGCGCTGTACACAAGTTGACTTTGGAATGCAGCGCCTGGAACTGCTCGATCGGACTACACCCCTGCTCGTTCGCAATGAGATGTCCAAACTCCCCGAGCACGTATCCGCCGACCTTGATCATCGTCTCGTGCACCTGTGCCGCTTGAAGGTGCTGGAAAACGGCGGAAGCGGCGTAGGGTTGGAGATCCTCGTTATTGGTGACAAGCTGGACGACGCGGTACCAAACTTCGGCGCCGACGTGGTCGCCAGCGGCCGAGATGAGCTGAAGGATGGTATCGACATACCACTCGTACTATCTTATCAGCTATTGCCCGATCGCATCGACTCGTCTAGCTCACCTCGGTCGCGAATCGCTCCGTCAAGATAGCAATTTTCAACACCATCTCCTCCCGCAGATTGTAGTCCGCCACCTGGAGATACCGCACCAGCTCGCCGACGATGACTTTGGAATTCGTCAGATCGCACATCGAGTACAGCAGGTCCAGCGCGCGGCGCCGGACCGAGATGTCCCGGTCTTTCAGGCTGAGGATGATGGTGTCCTGGTGCTTCTTCACCGGCTCGAGCGAGGTGGAGCACGCCGCCAAGTGCGCCATGGCGTCCAGGCCGAGATATCGGACATTGGTCTCTTTGGCGAGAATGAACCGCCCGAGGAGGACGCCAGCGTTGTGGACGACGACCGAATCAGGGTCGACGTGGATGGCGAGGTTGATGGCTTCGAAGAGAACGGCGTTCTGAGCGTTGTTGTGTTGCACGTTTCGCGGCGTTTCTTGCGAGATGTCGAGGATGCCTTGGAGGACTGAGCCGATCATCTCGACCACACGTTGGGATTCTATCAGTCAGCTATGATCTGAAAGCGGGCAGCCCATCTAAGCTCACCTGGTGGCGGATAGTATTGCAGCAATCGTAGAAGCTTGACTTGAAGCCATGGGTTCGGCACCTGAGAATCAGTCCTACTCCCTTGGCCTTAAAACGCAACTCACCTTGTAATAGACGTATTCAGCTGGGTAATCCCCATCAAACACGATCCTATCCAGCTTCTTCACCGCCTTCTCATAACATCCCTCAAACGCTTCCATCTCGTCTTGACACATTGCAGTCACCAGACTTGTCGCTGTCAACGATACCCCCGGGTCATGGTCATCCATCATCGAGACTATTCGCTCGGCCCAGTCTTTTGCAGGGAGGACGGTGGGGTGTTTGCGGTATAGCCGGAGCAGAGTGAGGGCGGCCTTCTTCTTGACGAATGTGGTAGATGTTCTGGAGGTCAGCTTGATCTACACAGGACGATGGGGTAGCTCACGCGCTGATCAATGCCCGATACACCCCCTCTCCAAGCGCCTCAGCCATCTCTTTCCCCCCTAATGTTGCGATCGCATGTAACGCCAAACAATTGTTGATCTCGTTGTTATCCTCCAGATCCTTCCGTACAGAGTTGATGACGAGCCGAACGAGGTCCGAGTTCTCGTGCATGAGCAGTGTCAATGCGAGGTATCCCTGATCGTCAGCTCCGACCCCTTCCACACCGAGGGGCAGGGACGTACAATTTGCTTCTCGCTGTACTTCGTACTGCTGATGAGATTCACAGCCTCCATATGCCCTACATCCACCTTATACCCCAGTATATAGGTAAAGACGACCTTGGCGAGGTACTTCTTCTTCTGGTACCCGTCCAATTGGCCCTCCTTGAACTTTTGGCGGATATGCGCCATCTCCCGGTTGATGCGCTTTTCTTCGAGCTCGCGGACTCGGCAGGCGCGGATGTCGGAGATGTACTGTGGGTCAGTGAGGGTCTAGCGAGCTGTAGGCTGGACGTACTTGGGTCAGACCCCTCATGTTGGTCGCCATCTTGCCGGAGATAGCGTTGTCGGTAGGAGACCAGGGGAAACGGGCTTCGTATCCGGAACGAGAAACTTCCTGCGGCTCGACTCTGAGTCTGCTCTGGGCTGGCCTCAGTATGGTAGCTGTTGCTTGCTGTATATAGTATGGGAGCTTAGGGTGAGGTATTGTGAACTGCAAGTGAACTGTAGGCTTGTGCGCGTCCGAGGTCGGTGCCCGGTCAACGTCAGTGGTGCGATCGTGGGAAAGTCAACTCCTCCGCCGGATCCGTAATTCCAACTCGTCACAGTTGAAGGCAGCGATCACAGCCAACCACTCGACCATCACTTTGACCCTAATACAGCTTCCCACATCTCACAGTCCACCCAAAATGTCCCGCAGAAAGGCCTTCGACACAGCTCTGACCTCGGCACCCGGCCAAGCAGCCCCAAAACCTCAGGCTCGGCAGCAGCAGCAGCAGCAGCAGCAACAGCCTAGACCCCGTCAGCCTTCCATCACCACTTCTGACCTTCCGCCCAAGGTCACCCCTCCCAACCCCGCCGTCGGGTCCGCCACGGTCCCTACGGAGACTAAAGAGGAGAAGGAGGAAGAGGCGGCTGGGAAGCCAATACCCGAGGACGAGGTCGAGGATGATGGGATTTGTTTTATCTGTGCGGAGCCGATCACGTTTTGGAGTGTCGGGGTGTGCGGGCATCGGACATGCCAGTGAGTTACACCTCCCGCCAAACTCCGAGGCAGGATAAGCTGACAGATCAGTGTTTGCGCTATTCGATTGAGGACCTTCTACAAGTACGTCCCTCGTAGCAGACCAGGATCTATGGCTGACGATGGCAGAAAAACAGAATGCACGTTCTGTAAAACCCCAACACCCTCCGTCCTCTTCTCTCGGACACCCAACACCCCCTTCCCGACCGAACACCATATCACCCCTAGTCCACCCGCTGTCATCGCCGCCGCTCAGGCCGGGGCGGATAAGCTCGAGAAGGGCCAGCGGTGGGATCGGGGGCTGACGTTACCTGGAAAGTTGGACATGACTGCTTTTCCGCATACGGATGAAAAGCTCGGCGTGGTGTTTGAGGATGAAGATATGGTGAGCTGGCTCTAAGACGATCATGTCAGTCAGCTGACATCTCAGATGGAGGCTACGCTCCTCTTACTCCGGTTCAACTGCCCTTACCCCGACTGCGCGCACATGGGGACAAGCTGGGACACCCTCGAACGGCACACCGTGGCGATGCACGGCCTCACCCTATGTACACTCTGCAGAAGCCAGCTCTCCCGATTCGCGCATGAGCAGGTGCTCTACCCGCCGCATCTGCTCGCGCTGCACAATCCCGCGGTGCTGAAGCGGGGCCAGCGGGGGCCGAGACCGAGAGGTGAAGAAGAGATTGAGATGGTCAAGAATTGGGAGGCCCCGCATCCGATGTGCGAGGTGAGCTGAGTCGTTCCTGTCCTCCGCGACAGAGCTGACATGTACAGTTTTGCCACGTGGCCTTCTTTGGCCCGGATGAGCTGTTCAAGCATATGCGGGAAAGGCACGAGGAGTGTTTTGTCTGCCGTCAGCTGGGAGAGAAGGACGTCTAGTGAGCTTTGCGAGACCTCCATCTCGGGATGAATGGGACACGTGAGCTGATATCACCAGCTTTCAGGATTACACTAGCCTGGAGCAGCACTTCAAGTAATTTCATCTTCGCTCGATTCCGTGAAGAGTGAGCTGACGTTCCAGCTCTTTCCACCATCCATGCAACCAGCCCAGCTGCCTCGAAAAGAAGTTCGTCGTTTTCCCATCCGAGATGGACCTCCGCGCGCACACCATGCAAGAAGTAAGTTCACCTGCCCTTCTCCTTCGCACCCGCTGACCCCTGCTTAGCACGGGGATCAAATGTCCTCCCGAGACCGCGCCAATGCCCGCCACATCCCCGTCGACTTCTCCACCACGTCCAACACCGGTCGATCCGCTCGACGCGCCGCCCCGCCCCATCAGGCACAGCAGCAGGGCCGCGGATTCTCGCTCGCGCGTGATCAGGGTGTTCAACAACAACAGATCTCGCAGCCTCCGCCGATGGCGCCCGAGCAGGCTGCGCAGGCTCGGCGAGGTCAGCAAGTGGACAGACAAGAAGAGGGCAGGAGGAGGCGGGCGTTCGAGACGGGTCTGACCGGGAGTGCCGCGCCTGCGCATTTGCATGAGGATAGAGGTGGGAGTGGGCATGTGACGCCGAGGGATGATGTGGATGATGCCACACTGGAGTAAGCTGCCCTTTTGCACGAAGCGTCGTCGAGCGAGTCAGCTGACATGATAGCCGACACGCTGCGCTCATGTCCCGCGTGTCTATGCTCGTCAATGATAGCCAAAACAAGCTCAGCTCGTTCCGTTCGGCCGTGAGGCAGTTTATGGTGAACGAGTCGAGCGGGAAGGATCTCATCGATACGGTCTTCAACGTCCTAGATCAGGACCGGGAAGCGACCGTTGGGGTGTTGAGGGACGTTGTGGGGTTGTTGGATGGACCGAGTGAGGCTGAGAAGGGACGGAATCTGCTCGAGGCGCTCAATGGGTTCAGGATTCAGGTGAGCTATGATTTCCTGTTATATGGTATGACTGGACATAGCTGACCTATAGCAACGCGACCAGTTCCCCGCTCTCGCGACCCCCGGTGGTCTCGGATCAAACTACGCAGGCATCACCTCCGGCGCTATCCTCAATGCCAAGCGCTCGACCCACACTCAGCGCCGCGGTGCGGGCTCCCAGTCCGTCTGGGAACGCGTCGAAGCCGCTGCGGCGTCCCAGCCTTCCTACCGCCCCTCCGCCACGATGGGCGCCAATGGCCGACACGTCCCCGGCGCATCCGGGCCCGCAGCCAGCGCATTCCCCAACCTGGGCGCCGCTGGACCTAGCCGCGGATCCGCCCACTCCACGCCTTGGTCCACTGGCGGCGGCGGAGGTTCCTCTTCTCGCGCCCCACCGGCACTCGCCGCTCCGGTCATCCGATCTGTCAACCTCTCAACTGGACCCCCCAAGAAACATAATATCTCCACTTCGGCGTTCCCGTCGCTCCCGCCTGCGCAGAGCCAGAGTGCCGCGGAGAGACGAGCGCTTTTCACGAAGCCCAATGCTAGAGAGGAGAGTATACGGCGGATAAAGGGGACGGGACCTGCGCCGGTGCCTCACACGGCTGGAGGGAGTATGTGGGGCGCGGGTGGGGGCGGAGGGGGGTTGGAGAGCGGGATGGAGGGGCTGGAGGTGGGTGCGAATGGGGATGGAGGGGGTGCTGGTGGAGGGGGCGGGAAGAAGAAGGGGAAGGGCAAGCAATTGCTCTTCTCGGTCTCGGCGAGGCCTTCTTGAAGGTCATAGGTGGCCAGTACAGTCAGTCAAGCACGGATAGGGAGGAGATACGGAAGAGCAACGGGCCAGAGATCGGTAAATACAGGCGGATAGACGACAATAGATCAGATCTAGACATCTATGCATCGACATATATTGAGCGACGAGGGTGATTATACGTCGTTCCCGGCTTCACGAAGGACCTCCTTATACGGCTTGCCCTCGATGACCTCCTTGACGCGCTTAGTGACGTCGGTGCTAATGGTCAGCTGGGCTCATCGCGCGAATACGGTGAATATCTGGGAAGCAACTCACAAGTCGTTGAACGGCACATGCGCAATCTTCTCCCGCTTACAAAACCGCATCAAGTCCGAATCCCCATTCGCCATCTCCTTGGCAAACAGCACGTCCGCATGTGCCGCAGCGCTCAGGTCCGACACGCCATCACCACAAAAGAAGATGACCCGCTCGCCTGGCAAGTCACGGTAGGGGAGGATAGCCTTGGACTTGTCGTGCCCGTGGTGCGAGTGGGGGTGGCGGTAGATGATTTCCCAGTGCGAGGCGGGGTCGTCAGGGTTGGAGAATTTGACTTCGTTGGCGATGATTTCGATGGAGTCGGCGTCGTCTGGTAAGACAGAGGAGAGGACGGCGCGGATGATGGGTGTCATTCCGCTGTTATGTCAGCTGGGCCTCGACAAGAGAGGAGAGAGGCAGCTGACCTGGAGACTAGGACGACGGGGATGTCTTTTGACCGACAGAAATCGTAGAATTCTTTGAAACCGGGGTCCAGTCCGATGTCTGCGATGTCAGCTTGATAGACCTCTACGGGCAAAGAGTAGCTCACTCTCCCGCAGTATCCGCTTGCACTCGTCATATGGGAGCGTAACAGACTCGAGCATCTGGTGGAACGAGTCCCGGTATGATACTTCACCAGTGAGAACTTTGTTGTTCAAAGCTCGGCTACACGGTCAGCTCATGGTCGGCTTGGAGGTAGACATTGCAACTGACCGTGCTTCGTAACCCATGCCTTTGAAAGTCAGCTTTTAGCCTGCCAAGCGCCTTGAAGCTGTACCAAACATACCATAGTTGTCAGTCAAGTAGTCATTGGTGTCCTTATCCGTGATCGTTCCGTCCTATACCAGTCAGTATTGATCAGTAGGCCCTGAATTCACGACTTCCTCGCTATGACAGCTTTGAGGTCAGAAAAGAACGGAGCTCACCCAGTCAGTCAAGACGACATACTTCGCCTTTTCGTGCAGCGCCGGGTAAGGCAGCTCGGAGTCATAATCGAAAGGCTTAGGTGTGGAGGACGCCATCGTGATAGCTGAATAATGTATGAGGTTGTGCAGAGGATAGAGAGACAGCAGCAACGTTTCGACTTTTCCTTTGCACCGGCCGCGGCGGAGCAGTTCCGGGGGGATGACGCAACATTCCGCCGGAACCCTTGCGCAATCGTGGGAAAGCCAGGCGCGTCCACCTAACGCGTCCTTCGACCAGCCAAAATCTCTGGACCACACCATACCCACTCGAGCCATCGACCAATACAATCTGATACTCAGGCGGAGATGCGGATACACCTCTCCCTCGAGCCATCGCATTTCGGGAAACAGGCTGTCGCTGGACCTTCATCCGGGCCTCTCGCTCAACTAGGTGGGGAGCTCGTTCTCATCGAGCTGCAAGGGGAGCTGGGATGGGAAGGGAACAAGGAGGGCGGTGTGGTGGGCGTGGTAGGCCTAGATCGACCCGTAAGCTATGAGGAAAGGCCAAGTCGTGTATCTAGCTGACACTTCAGGATAAGCCCACCCTACACCTCGGCGAGCATCATCTTCTGCACGGCAAATTTGCTACACTAGCAAAACCGCTCGCCGTCATCCGGCGCGCAGTCGCTGCCGTGTCAGAGGTGGAAGGGGTGGATGGAGCGGTAGAGGGCGATGCAGACGAGGAAGAAGAGATAGATGAGGAGACGCAGGAAGCTTCGGGAGGTCGACCGAGCGCAAAGAGGCGGAAAAGCGGGGCAGCCGCGGATGAGGAAGAAGAGGACGAAGGACCGCTCTTCCCTCCTGAATCCAAGGGGGTGCATACGCCTCCCAGACGTCGGCCACAGGACTCGTCCTCGCCCTTTCAGTACCAGCCTTCGTCGAGCGTCAAGGACTACTCGTCCGAGCTGGACTTTTCGTCCCCGCCCAACGGGATGGACATGGAGGATGAGGACGATGAGGATGAGGACGAGGAGGATGTAGAGGCGGGGAGGAGTGGTAACGGGAAGGGAAAGGGAAAGAAGAGGGCGAGGGAGGAAAAGGTTGTGAAGCGGAAAAGTACCAAGCCGGAGCGGACGAGGGTGTATGAGGTGGTTGGGGTCGTGAGAAAGAAAGTGGTGTTTGCGCTCCGGTGAGTCGTTGCCTCTTGACAAGAGGTAGGACTATGCTGATGGCGACTTAGGCCAGAACCTATCGTCACAGCTACAGTGCTGCCGGAATGAGATCTCCTAATTTGTCGACCACGCGACACTTCTCGCAACCCCACTTTGGAAGCGTCCTCCGACTTCACCTCATCAACGGGGAGCACGATCTTCGAGCGGTCGGGTCGCCGCATCCCGGCATACTAGGGGGACGGCAGCATCCGGCGCAGTGGACCTCATCAGCCGGATATCAGCGAGCGCTGTATCAGCGCAACCTTTACCTCGAGCAAGAACTACGCGTACAATGCATATTTTGTCGCTCTCATCTATATCTATTCACACACCTCACCACAGCCCAGATCCTCCGGTGCCGCTCAGCGAAGACTGGCAATAGGTCCGCCGAGGATCTTCTGACGAGCCCGCGCCGAGCTGGGCGATGGCGGGTTCGGCTGGCTGTTTTGTACCGAGATGGGGTGGAGGGCGGTGCTTTGAGCCATGTAGCTTTTAGCGGCTGCTTCGGTAGAGAACTTGAGGTACTTGGCGCTGCGCTGTCAGCTCATTCTTGGCCGACTTCCATGACGGATCGGAGAAACTAGTACTCACCCGAGAAACCCCCTCATCTGCACCTCGGCTTCTGCCCATGTGGAGTAGATGCCCGGGACACGACCGATCGGGACCGCGTAGTATTCTGATTTCGTCCTGCCCATCAGTGACCAATCTCAGTCTAGAGCACATCAAGCGTGGACTTACATGGTGGACATCTTCCAAGCTCACGCTCTTTCGAGAAGGGGTGTGGAGTTGGAGATCCAGCCGACCAGGGCCAGCTGGAGACGAGCTAGAGAAATTTGAAGTGGCGATATCTGACTGAGAAGGGCCATATCCCTCTGATGAAGGCTCTGCATCAGCCGCTTATAAAGATCAGAACGCCCCTTGGAAGGCTGGTCGTGGCGCACGAGAAGTCGAAAAGGGGTGGCTTTACATACCGGCGGTACACACCCCCGTGTGTTTCAGGTGATCAAAGTTTCAGATTGGCTTCTACCCATCACACACGTTTGATTGCTCACGCACGAGGGACCTTTGGAGCTTCCAGTACAGCTCTACATTTAATGAAGAGAGCGAGATTGAGCGTTGATGACCGCATCCTCGACGCTGACATATGGGTTCGTCAAGGGCCGATTCCCTGCTGACAGGTTCAGCGAGACCTCCGGCCAGGCAGGTGTCAGAATCACATAGAGACAGCACCGGCCGATTCAGACTGCTGATGTGCACATGGTGTACTCATTTAGATCCTGCTGCGCTCGTGACGCAGGTGCATCACGCACAAGCTGAGAAGCAAAGGTCAGACAGTCACTCGCAGAGTTGCTGCTCTCCGCCCGCTGGAGCGCGGACAAACCTCGGCTAAACTCCCGTAGTACGTCATCGGCCCGATCTGACTGGCCGAGCAGCGAGATGGCTCTTGCGCTCTCTCCTTCTCTTATCGTCGCGCATATCTCAGCATATGCTCACCTTGACAAAGGCTCTGAGACTATTCACTCTCAGACATCTATCCTCTGCCTCCCGTCCTGCCTCGAAAACCCTCGCGAATCAGCGATCCTTCTTGAAACCCTTCACCGGTATCTCCTCGAGAAGCCGGACCAGTCTAGCCTACATGGGTGATAACGTCGTAAAGTTAGTCCACAACCTCCCTGCGCGATAGTGACCTGGGAAACTAACGAGGGTAGCTTCTACTCGGGTCAGCCCCCGCTGAACAGATTGTCATTCCAGCGACAATCGCCCGAAAAGCTCAATGCGCATTTGAACGCGCCGAACGCGCGTTTCATCCTGTTCAGGTCAGCTGCTTTGCGGTCGTGGCTTCGGTGGTCGAGGACGAATTGACAGAGACAGAGACCTGAAGCCTCTGGTCAAGAAGGATAGTCCGAGCGAATGGCTCTTCCTCAGCAAGTCGGATATCGAGTCACACGTCGGACCGGACTTTAGCGGGCCGTAGGTCTCTTCCCCTTGCCTTCTATCGCCAGCTAGCTAACATTCCAGCTCATCCGAGGATGCAGCCTCCAAGGAACGTTCCAGGCTTTTCGAGGCAGCCCGCCTTCCCGCCTATCTCCCACCCATCGTCTTCCTCGGGATCGATGACCGCGCCGATGCCTCGACCGACTCCAAGCCGATGTCGGAGGACCCACTGAACCCAAGGGGCGTACCGTACTTTGCCATGGACGCGCCCAAGGGGGACTGGGTACCCGAGGGCGGAGAGTTTGGGGATGCGCGAAGTGTAGGGAGCGGGATGGGCGGGTGGGAGGCGGGGGTGTTTGCACAGGGGAGGGCGCTGGTAGATTGGAACTCGAGGAACAAGGTGAGTAGAGCAGCTGCGTCAATCATCGCCTCTTGGTGTATAGCTGAGGTATACAGTTCTGTGCCGGCTGTGGGTCGCCCACTTACTCGCTCTGGGGCGGATGGAAGCGCAGCTGTACGAGCGCGCTTGAACCGGAAGAGGGCAAGGAGGCCTGCTTCTCCACAAAGGGGCTCCATAACTTTGCATACCCCCGGACCGACTCTGTAAGCTATCAGTAGGCCTTTCTCGTCGATACGTGAGCTGACAACCCAGGTGGTCATCATGGGCATCCTGAATGAGGCTGGAGACAAGATGCTCCTCGGAAGGCAAAAGTCATGGCCCAAGGGTGAGTGGCACTTCAACCAGCTAGAGTCGTCCTATCAGAACCTGATCGAAATAGGCATGTACTCGTGTCTCGCTGGCTTCATTGAGCCTGGAGAGTCCTTCGAAGATGCTGTTCGGCGCGAGGTGCTCGAAGAAGCGGGCATAGTAGTTGGGCCTGTCAGATAGTAAGTTTGCCCCTGACCTTCGCTTCCAATGTCGGGCAGTGAAGCTGACATCTTCAGTTCGTCCAGTCAGCCCTGGCCGTACCCCGCGAACATCATGGTCGGCTGCTTCGGACGTGCCTCAGACGACCAGACCATCCGCTTTGACCTCGACAATGAGCTCGAAGACGCCCAATGGTTCTCCCGCTCCGTCCTCGCCGGGCTCGTGGGCAGTAAAGAGGGCTCCTATCTATCGAAGGACGACCTCAAGAAGCTGGATGACACTTCGACTGGGAAGGCCAAGATGGAGGATGACAGGGTCACTGCCAATGCGCTGGCGCCGTCAGAGGATCAGGGCAAGAAGGACGTGGATGCTGAGGGCAAGAAGGGCAGGCAGGGAATGGAGTTGACGAGGGTGCCGCCCGACACGGCGATTGCGGGTATGTTGATCCGGACTTGGGTCAATGGAGGTGTGGAGCTGGCGTCGACATCGAAGTTGTAGAGGTAGATCTTGAGTAGTGATATGAGTCTGCTTGATGGATGTGTAAAAGGGTTTGCTACATTCTGGTATATACAGCTATCTGACAAGGGCCGAAGACTAGTCTGCTATGGCTTCCATACCTGTCCGACAAAGTCCATCACGTCCTTCCAGAGCACGTCGGGTACCTCAAGCGCTGCAAAGTGCCCGCCCTGTAGAGTCAGCCATTTCGTCCATGGCCACAAGATACACGACTTACCTTATCGTGCCGCCGATGCCAGACTAGATCCACCTTCTCCTTGACCCAAACAGCCGGACTAGGGAAAAGCTCCTTCGGGAATTGGCTGTAGCCTACAGGTACTTCCCGCAGCTCCGTCATCAGATCATCCGGATTACGGTCCTCTTCCCGCCCGTACGAAGCCCGATAATGCCACATCGCCGTGGAAAAGCACTGGGTGAACCAGTATAGCGATACATCGGCTAGAATAGTGGGGATCGGGAGATCGTCGTCTGTCCAGATGAGGAACTTCTCGCCGATCCTTGTACAGTCAGCTCGGTATTGCGGACCCAGAGCTGGGACTTGGACTCACCATGCTAGAAGAGCTATCGGGTCGGAATCGCAAGCAAAGCCAATCGTAGCGGGCTTGAGCGCGTGCTCGTCCCGATACGACATGTTCACCCGCTCGGTCTCCTCTTGTCGCTTGACGAGCGCTTGATCCGTCTCGTCCAGAGTGGAGTCGTGGAAACCTTCCGGTCGGTCGGAGGGGCAGAAGTTGAGATGGACAGCTGCGATGTCAGCTAGATCCCCTTGCACGCGAGGCTCCTCGACCCACCTTTACACCCCTTACCCACATTGCCCATCTTGAAAGTCACGAATCCGCCAATGTCCCCTCCTTGAGCCACATACTTGTCGAACCCCAGGCCGCGCATCAGCTGATCCTGCAATAGCGCCTGGTCAACGTTGCCATATGTTGCGTCGAGCGGGGGCGGGCCAGAGAAGCCATAGCCGATCAGCGAGGGCACGATGATGTGCGCTGGGAGCGTCGAGGGGGTGTAGGTGCTCTGTAAGTGTCGCAGGAGAGGAAGGAACTCGATGATGCTTCCTGTCGGATCAGCCACCATTAGAGTGAAATGAGGCAGTAGGGTCCACCTGGCCAGCCATGGGTCATGATGATAGGCACCGCATCACTGCGCTCCGAGCAGAACGCGATGAAGTGGAGCTGGTACTTGTGGCCCTTGTGTTCCAGGTCGGCAATATAGTTGGAGTGAGAGTTGATCTCCTTCTCTGTATCACGCCTGAGAGTCAGCTCGTATCTTCATCTTCGAGAAGGAAACTTACCAGCTGTACTCGTCCTTCCAGATCCGGAGCGCCTCCTCCATCCACCCTAGATTGACACCGTGGTACTCATCCTTGCGCGAGTTCTCAAATGTCCGCTTGAACGGCCGGGTACTGCGTAGCCGAGACTGGAGATCGTCCACCTCCGCTTGGGGGATGGAGACTTTGATTGGGCGGAGGGCGATGGTGGGCTCATGTGGAAGCTTGTCGAAGGGCATGCTGCTGGAGGTGCGGCTGGTTCAGCTCGACGTCAAGACTGGTCTATCAGGGATGGAGGGGTGAGCTACAGGTCAGTCTGCAACCCTCCTGAGGCAGCCTCAGGCTGACAGCTTGAAGTCTTGAGGTGGAGGTTACCGTGGTATGATGTCACCGGTCGCGCATGCTGAACGGCACGGCTGCGTGCATCAGTCGTGCAGCCTTCTGCCTCTGCGACCCTCTAGAGAAATAGACAAGACATGCCACCGCCCATCGCTCATCTACCATTCGCGCAGACCGCTCTTCGTGTCTATCATCTTCACCCGCAGACGCAGCTCGGTCAATAACTGGACAGGCGGATGATATTGACGGACCATCCGGCTGCACTGCTGACGCCGGAACTGATGGTTGCAGCTGATCTTCCCGAAGCCAAGAGACACCAAGCCGAGCTGACTTGCCGATCGACACCGAGCCCAAGTGGATAATGAGTGGATAGCAGTTGACAAGGGACTCCGCGGGGAACGGGAGTCACTAGCGCGATTCTCCACGGGGCAATTTCGGGGAAGATCTCTGGCGACTCACGATCTGCCTCCGATATATAGCTCGACGAGCTTCAAGCATCTCTCAACGACTCTTTCAAGCAGACGCAGACAAGATGGCAGAACGCAGCGTCACTTCACAGCTCGACCAGCTCCTCCAAGGGCGCAACACGACATGGTACAAGGGAAGGCTGGGCCTGCTCAATCTCATCGTGGTGAGTCTCGGATCCGAAACGGCGCGGTGGCAAATTAGCTTACGGCATGCAGGCATTCCTCTGTCTCACGCAGGCGAACAACGGGTTTGATGGCTCGATGATGAACACCTTGCAGTGAGTACTTTGTTGCTCACATTCGATATGGAGTACTCGGTCTGAGTATTGTATCTACTCGTTCTGACAGACAGAACGGTTCCAGCATGGCGCGACTACTTTGGCAGCCCGGCAGGGGCCACACTCGGCCTCTTCAACGCTATCCAGACGATCGGCGGTATCCCCGGTCTTCTCCTCTCGCCCTACCTCGCAGACTGGCAGGGGCGTCGACGGTGCCTCTTCTTCGGTCTCTGCATCATGCAGGCTGGAGCGATCCTGCAGACTGCTTCCCAGTCGGTAGGCATGTTTATCGCCGCTCGTGGTCTCCTCGGCTTTGGTCTCTCGTTCGCCGGTCTCGCCTCGCCTTTGCTCATCGGTGAGATCGCCTACCCTTCTCACCGAGGGACATGTACCGCCTTCTTTGGGGTCAACTACAGTCTTGGTAGGTCTCTCACAGCGTCTAGGTCCAGCCTTATCCATGCGGGACTCCTATGTTCATGGCTGACTCTCCAGGCGCCATCATCGCAGCATGGGTCACCGTGAGTACGGGTCTGGTTCTCGGCTCGGACTGCTTTGCTCACTTTTTTAGTTTGGCACATTCCGCATAGAGAGCACCTGGAGCTGGCGCATCCCGTCCCTCCTGCAAGGTCTACCCGCCCTTATCCAGATGTGCTTCATCTTCTTCTGCCCCGAGTCGCCTCGATGGCTGTGCAACAAGGGGCGCGACGAGGAGGCGATCCGCATCCTCGCTAAATGGCACGCCGACGGGGACGTCGACGACCCGCTCGTCACCTACGAGTACCAGGAGATCAAGTATGCACTCCAGATCGAGCGGGAGGCCAAGGACTCGACATCGTACCGCTCGATCTTGGCGACCAAGGGGAATCGGAAGCGGCTGTTTGTCGTCATCGCTATCGGCTTCTTCTCTCAATGGTCTGGAAACGGTCTCGTGTAGGTCTTCCCCTACTCTTCGATAGGTATAAGCTGATATCGTCAGATCCTACTATCTCAACCTGGTCCTGAACGGTGTAGGCATCCGTGACCCCTTCTCGCAAACCCTCTTCAACGGCATCCTTACCATCGTCAACTACTTTTGGGCTATCCTTGGTGCCTTCATGGTGGATCGTGCGGGGAGGCGGACATTGTTCCGTAAGTGCAGCCTTATGTCAGTGCTTGTGGAGTCCGCTGACCCTGCAGTCGTGTCCACGGGCGGAATGTGCCTCTCCTACGTCTTCTGGACAATCTGCAGCGCCATCTACTCGCAATCCGCAACCAACCTCGACGCGGCGGGCAACCCGATCGGCGCAAACGACGCGGCCGGCCGAGGTGTTCTCGCCTTCATCTTCGTCTACTATGCGTTCTACAATATCGCCTTTGCCCCTCTTCTCGCGCTGTACACGATCGAGATCACGCCATTTCGCACGCGGGCAAAGTACATCACCATCGGATCTCTTTCCATCAACTGCGCACTGGTCTTTGTGAGTCTGCCCCTGCTTTTAGAGGGGTCTTTGAATGCGCTAACGACACAGAACCAGTACGTTAACAGCATCGCCATCGGCGTTTTGGGCTGGAGATACTACATCGTCTACTGCTGCTGGCTGGCGTTTGAGTTCGTGGTGCTCTACTTCTCGATCATCGAGACTGTGGGCAAGAACGGGCCGCTTCCGCTCGAAGTCACCAACTTCCTCTTTGACGGCGACGACAAGGCGGCCCGCCTGGAACAGCACGGTCGAGATGCGGCGCTCGCGGGCGGGACTGTGCCCGATGGGGACAGCAAGGACGAGGAGGCGTTGGGGATGCCAAACAAGGTTGGGGCGGAGGATCAGCATGTGGAGCATGTGCCTGCGGCGGGCAAGTAGGTCGGCATTGCGTGTGGAGGCGTTGGTCAAATGGAGAGCTTTGTATTCGGTGGTATGGTATGCACAGACCGTTGACCGTTGTGATCAGAGCGCACTCGCGAAGATTGACGTTCCTACACCAGGAGCAGACGGGAGCACGCTTGCGGCATACGAGTGGACAGGGCGCGAATGCCCCACTTGTCCATCTCCCCACTCCGCGCCATCTGCGTTTATCCCTCGATCTATCTCGATCCCATGCCTCGACATCCGACCAGATTAATACAGCTCATGCAGCAGCTCAGATAGCTCAGTCCTACTCTGCTGCGGCTTGTGGAGTCACGAGCTAGAGGAACTAGTGCCTCGGTGGATTCTCGCGGCGATCATGATCCTCCGCCGGGCCCATACTCCAAACCCCCGCTAATCAAACCATATCTCCCGGTCAGGACCATCGCCAAGATGTCAGCGCGGATCGCGGAGGCTCGCTTAGCAACTTCAGCTTCAGCATCTCTGCAAGTAACTGCGCTCACAGTTCACAACTCACTCGACCTTCAACGTACATTGACCACAGAGGGCCTCAAGAAGGCATAACGCGTAAAGACCCATCTCGCACCCACGCTCTGCCCGGTCATCCTTCGTCCACCATGTCGATGTTCAATCCCCACATGTCCGTCCTCGAGGCGTCTATGCAGGTCGGCGAGGGCTCCTGGCCCAAAGCTTCCTCCCACCCACCGACCCTCCGCCCGGCGCACATCCTCCTCTCCTCCTCCAATCTCATACATCCCAACGCTGAGCCGGTCGACCCAAAGATCTACGGCGGGTTCCTAGAGCATCTCGGACGATGTATATACGGCGGGTTGGTCGATGATCCCAAGGACCCGAGCCCGGCTGGGGTATTGGAGGATAAGAAGGAGGCGGGCGTCTTGGGAGAGGGAGAATTGGCGTTCAGGAAGGACGTGATGGCTGTGTTGGGGAAGGAGGGGGAGTTGGAGATCCCTCTGCTGCGGTGGCCTGGAGGTGAGTCCTCTTGTTCAGAATTGAGGTGGGATACGCCGCGTACTGATAGGCAGGCAACTTCGTCTCCAATTATCACTGGCAGGACGGAGTCGGACCTTTCGCTGATCGGCCCAAACGAGTCGAGCTGGCCTGGCATGGGGTTGAGTCCAACCTGTATGTCCCTTAATCAAAGCTATATACTGGAGGAAGCTCATGAGCCAGCTTCGGCACAGACGAGTTCATCCGATACTGTCGCGAGACGGGCTGCGAGCCGTACATCTGCCTTAACAGTATGTTGGCCGTAACGACGGAGCTGATGGACAGTGGGCACGGGCTCGTACGAGGAAGCGCTGGCTTGGCTAGAGTACTGCAACGGGACGGAGGACACAACGTGAGCTCTTCTTACCCCTCTCAGGCGGCTGAGCTGATGAGCAGTTGGGCCAACCTCAGACGAAAGCATACCGGTGTCGATGAGCCGCACAATGTCAAGTATTGGGGTCTGGGCAATGAGAGTGAGTGCTATACGCGAGGCCGTCGGGCTCGGGAGCTGACCTAAAGTGTTTGGGCCGTGGCAAATCGGCTACCTCAACCCGACGGCCTACAGCGTCAAAGCGAAGATGTGGGCTCACGGGCTGAAGCTGCTCGATCCGACGATTCTGCTTGTCTCTTGTGGGTGTACCGTGAGTCTAACTGGCTGTACCTGCTGATTTGTAGGGCGCGACAGACTGGGATCGAGAGGTCTTGGCTACCCTTCTACCTTTCGTTGATATGCACTCGATCCACAACTAGTGAGCTTGGGCTTCCCACTCCGCCGCCCACCATTTGAAGCTGATCGCCAGTACCATGTTCGGGCATAATCCCGATATAGCGTACGAATCCAACGTGTTCAGTCCTGCCGTACGCCCTCGCCGAGCTCTTCGCCCCGTACCGAAGCTGACGTCGTAGGGCTCGGAGCGGCAAATAGAGATTTGTAAAGCCCTGATCGACCTGACGAACCATGATCGCAGCCAGCAGAAGGTGCCCGCACGGAATGTCAAGATCGCATTCGACGAGTGGAACGTGTGAGTCGCTCTCGCTTCCATCGGTTCAACGCTGAAGGTGTCAGATGGGATGAGAAGAAAGCCACATCCAAAAACGGCTTGACGCAAGTATACGACTATGCCGATGCACTGGGATTCATCGCCTGGCTGAACGTCTTGGTCCGCCAACACAAGGATCTGGGACTTGCTTGTCTTGCGCAGTCTGTCAATGTGGTGAGTTTGCGGTATACTCCGCTCCCACTGTCGATAGACTGATAGCCCAGCTCTCGCCGTTGCTCACCACCGCCGATAAGGTGCTCCGGCAAACAACATTCTACCCCCTCCAATTATTCAGCAAGTACATGAAAGGCGGCCAGCTTCTCCAGCTACCGAGCTTCCCTGATAGATAGTAAGCCGTCTTATGCCTCCACGTCGATCTGACGGCTGATGAGGCGATAGCATCGGCCCAACATCGCCTGTTTGGATCCAGCAGAACGAGCTGCAGCCGGCTTATATTGATGCGGTGGCGATGATAATAGACGATAGTAGTATCCGGATCAGTATACTCAATCGGCATCCCTCGGCGGACTGGAAGGCAAAGTTCAGCTTCGCCGACTTCGGTGAGTACAGTCGCGACAGGTTGTCGAGGGGCATCCGCTGATCGATCGCAGAGGTCTCCAAGCTTGATATTCATGAGCTGTACTCTGACAATATGGGAGCCGCGGTCAGTAACATACCCTGATCTGACACTGAGCAAGACTGATGAGACAGAACACCTTCGAAAAGCCAGACTTGGTGGTTCCGAGCGTCAAATCCCATGACGCTGCTGCCTGGTCGAAAATGGCGGAAGAAGGTATCGTAGTCCGTAAACATTCGTGGATATTGATGATGTTCCAAGGCAAAGAGAGGGGCCAGTAAAGCGAGGTTCGGCGGTGCTACACGTGTCAACATGCAAGCATGAGGTTCGGATCTTATGGCACCGCGCGTGGGGTCATAGACAGGGCAGCGGGTCGGAATTGAGGATCCAGACAAGACGATGCATTATATCTGCACCTTTTGCCTCCACCCTAATCAGCCAGATTCTTCTAGTACATCATGGAAGACATGTCTGCTGCGTCAGCTCGAGCGTATCATGATGAAAGAGCTGGCAACTCACCGGCCCGAATACGGTTGTAGTCCAACAGACCCTCGACTCGGCCCAAAGCAGCAAGCGCGAACTATCAAGTCAGCTAAGATCCACATATCCAGATTGCTCATCGGATTGTCTCAACTCACGTCCTTGTCCCAAAGGTACTTCTGTGCTACCCGCTTGATGTCGTCCGGGGTGACGGCGTCAACATATCGCTCAATCTCCTTTGGTGTGTATCGCTTTCCGGTGGTGACCATCTGACGGCCGATCTGAAGTGTAAGCTCTTGCCTTGGAAAACGCTACTCCTGACTTACATCCTCTGCAATGGCGGTGGTGCCGTCAAGGCCCAACAGCAGCGACGCCTTCAATTGTGACTTGGCGCGCTCAACCTCGCCTGATGATGGCGAGATCGACATCCGGGTCCATTCGCGCAATGTGAAGTGTACCATGTCGTCAATGTTTGTAAGGCTGAACATCAGCTTGGACCCTGTTCTGCAGCGCGGATCACTCACTTCTCGGTGACCATGTAGATACCCCAGAGTCCGGTGTCCGAGTACGATGTCGAGAATGACATGTACGAGTTGGCGAGGTTGTTTGTCGAGATGATGTGGCTGAGCTTGGAGCTGAGGAGGGGGCTAGCACCGAGCGATCGGTCCCAGTTTCCAAAGATGGACTGCATGACGAGCATCGGCCAGTAGTCCGGGCTCCTCCATCCGCATCCCTCCACGGCGATCGCAATGTTCATGGTCGACATGGTGTCGTCCCTGATCCGCACTTCGGCGCCGGAGAACTGAGTGGGCTGGTGGGCGGCCTGGCCGAGGGGGATGGGGTTTTTCGAGACGGGGAGCGAGGCAAAGTTCTTCTCGGCGAGCTTGACGAGCGCGTCGTGCTCGATCGAGCCGGCACCGACGAGGACCATACGGTCGGCCGTGTAGTTTTTGGAAATGTAGGAGGAGAGGTCGGTTTTGCGGATGGATTTGATGTGAGCCTCGGGGCCGAGGATGGTGTTTCCAAGGGGTTGGCCTAGGAGTCAGCATTGATCTGTTTGCCAAGAGCGTGTACTCACCCTGGAAGGCAACAGCGTGTAGGTGGTCAAACACAACCTCCTCCAACTGCTTGTCCACCTCCTCCTGTTCCCTCAGGATCACATCCCTTTCCCGCTCAATCGCCGACTCGTCCAGCTTCGAGTTTTGCAGAATGTCGCTCAGGATATCAACAGCCTGGGGGACGTCCTTATCAAAGCACTTGGCGTAGTATACGGTCTGCTCTCGCGAGGTGTAGGCATTAAGGTGGGCGCCGACGTTCTCGACTTCGAGCTCGAGCGCGGTCTGGTTGCGGGTCTTGGTGCCCTTGAAGGCGAGGTGCTAAAAGTTAGTATCGACCCATCATTTGCTCTAATTCCCCCTCGCGTCCTGTATACACCATCTGGCCAATCCGAACCACAGATCTAACTCACCTCCAAGAAGTGTGCCGTTCCGCTCGCGCCGTTCGCATCCGCCCTCGATCCAGCATCAATCCACAATCCCACCGTACTCGTCGACGCCCCCGGAATCGTCTCGGTCGACACGCTCAGACCATTCGACAACGTCGACGTCTTGGTCACCGGGTCCTGGTACCGGGTGCTAACGGGCGTAGCGAGCGACCGCGAGAGGAGCTATTAGCATCAGCATGGGAACAGGTCGACAATTCAGCCAATCCCGGCACGGGAATTAGAAAGCGCCGTGTTTGCCAGCTTGCGATAATTCGACATACGGGTTGTCTCGCTGCGATGGGCTGACGCAGTGCGCGTGTGATGAAGCGTGAGGCGGACATGGTCGTGCTTGTATGCCCCTTATGGATGGTGTCTATAGGAGATAGGGTGTATAGCTCGGTCAATAGCAGCCAGCTTGAGTGCGCAAGGGGAGCGGAAGGAAATCTAAGGGGGTCGGAATTTCCCGGAATGTGGCGGTTTTACTCTGCACATACACCAGAAGGGTATGATGCCTCTCGAGGCCTCGCATGCATACAGTATGTGCCAACACTACCACACAGCTGCTACGTACACCCCGGCTAGTACGGCTACAAGTTACTCCGATTTGATGCGATCCGATCCCTGGCTTCCTCAATCTCCTGCACTAACAAACGTACCATCTCCCCCGCGCCCATCTCCCTCGCCGCCGGTGCCCCTTGGCCCGCCCAGTGCGCTCCATACCCCTCCTCCCCTTTCGCTTTCGCGGCAGCATGCAACGCCTTGCCTGCATCATATGCCATGGGGTACGCAGGCTGTACCCTCCCTTCCAGCTTGGTCGCCAGGTCCGTCCATTTATTCTGGAGACACCGCGCCGGCCGACCCGAGATGAGAGGTGTCAGCCGGGTATGTTCCGCCCCCGGTCCCTTGAGAGCTGCTCGGAAGCCCGCATCCGCGCCCGACTCGGGAGTAAGGATGAATGCCGTTCCCATTTGGACGAAGGGGCAACCGAGGGTGAGATAGCCGAGGATACCGGCCCCGTCCATGATTCCCCCGGCGGGAATGATGGGGAGTTTCGACGATTTGAGGAGGAGTGTGGTGAGTGCAAATGTCGATAGCTCGTCGTCTGGGATAGTAGGGTCAAACATCCCACGATGACCCCCCGCCTCTGCGCCCTGCGCAATGATCATGTCCAACCCCGACGCCTCTATCCGCCGTGCCTCCTCCAGGTTCGTTGCGGACCCCAACAACACCGCCCCGTTCTCTCTTAGCCGCCGAATGATTGCCTCTGCCGGAAGACCAAAGTGGAAGCTGACCACCGCGGGCTTGGTGTCCAGCAACACCTCCAGCATCTCCTCGTCCTCCTTGAACGTCTTGTAGATCTCCTGAACGCCTTCTGGGGGCTGGGCGCCATACTCCGCGAATACAGGCCGGAGGAAGGAGAGCCATTCCGCCTCGTTGGTAGCGTTGGCGACGCCCTTTTCATGCACGAAGAGATTGACATTGAAGGGCTTGTCGGTGAGGCGCTTGGTCTCCTCGATAGCCTTGCGTGCGGCTGCGGGCGTGCTGGCGCCCATTCCAAGGGATCCGAGGCCGCCCGCATTGGATACCGCAGCGGCGAGTGCGGGGGTGGAAGTACCTGCCATAGGCGCCTGGATGATGGGGTACCGTACGCCGAGGCGGAAGAGGGGGGACGAGGGGAAGGCGGGACCGAACATCGTGATTTGGCTGTGGGGGGCCAGGTATCTCGCTGGTCAAGATTCCTCAGGGCGTGAGCGTTATACAGTGAGCTGCGAGCTGGGTGTCAGGTGTGCGGGTGTTGTCATAGCCGCTGATGGCCTGATGTCGGCAAGTTCCGTCTGTACCAAAAGTCTCCACGACGCGCAGCATTCCTCGCCCACCTCATTCATCCCTATATCGAGCATCATCACCACCTGCTAGTACTATAGGCACATCCCCAGCAGCCAGACAAGAAGCACCGACACACGACCCAACTCTCATCGCCGAACGCGAAATCACTCGTCAGAATGGCGCACTTCCAATCCTATCCCTCAACTCAGCCATACGCACCCCCCTCCGAGCCGCTCGCATTCTTCGGCTCCACCGCCGGACAGACCAGCGGCGTCCCTTCCTCCTCCTCCTCGCCTTATTATGCAGGATCGCGCTCATCCCTCGAGGGCAATATGGGCGGTGCGGCGTACCCTGGCGGCAGTATGAGCGGGGCACGGGGAGGTGGAGTCGGCGGCGTGGGCGGGTTCATGGTACAGGAGGGGAGGTGGTGGCAGGCTTTTGGGACCGGGGGGTTTGATGGCGAACCGGGGCTGATAGAAGGTGAGTCTGGGTCTGCGGGCGTCTGCCACTGGGGAAGAGGGGACGGACGGGGCGAGCTTGAAGATGTGTTCAGGCCTGGGTTTGCTGGACCAGTATCAGCTGGACGAAGAGCACGGGAGGCGTTATGGCCATAACTGACATTATAGAACTCGGGATCAACCCCTCACATATCCTGCAAAAGAGCTTGACAGTCCTGAACCCCTTGTCTAGGGTAGACGAGCGAATCATGGACGACGCGGACCTAGCTGGACCCTTCGTCTTTTGCTTTGCGTTTGCTTTCGTTCTCCTCCTCGTGAGTTCTGTATACACCGTAGCCGCACGTCAAGCTATACTCCATGTTATCCTGTCACTCTGTTCTTCATTCCATCATACCCTCTTTGAGCTGCCCGCTGACCCCAAGTCCGGCAAACCCCAATTCTCCTACATCTACGGCGTCGGCCTCCTCGGCACCACGGCCATCTACCTCCTCCTCAACCTCATGTCCCCATCCGGGATAGACGCCTACCGTACCGCCTCTGTCCTGGGCTACTGCCTCCTCCCCATGGTCGGACTCGGCAGCGTTGGGATTGCGGTCGGGACGGACCACGTCGTGGGGTACGTCCTGGCCGCACTGTCTATAGTCTGGTGCACCCACTCGGCGTCCGGCATATTCACGGCGGTGTTGAGGATGGACAGGCAGAGACTGTTGGTCGCGTACCCGGTGGGCCTGTTTTATGCTTGCTTTTCGCTTTTGAGTATATTCAAGGCGAGTGGGAGTGTGTAGAGAGGGATAGAAGGGGGTGGGGCGGAGCTCGGATAGATCCTGGTATGATGCATTGATCCCCTCTACTCTACCTATATACCGACGTGAGAAGAAACCTAGACAGACCCCAGACATCCACCAAACCCAGATTCTCTGGACCTAGAACAACCCCGCCCACTCGTCTGTCTTCCCCGCTCCCTTCCCCTCCATGGCCGCCAATTCCCCAGCGCCCGGAATACCCACGCGCGGTTGTGCCGGAGGCAGCAAGGACGAATATGGGGAGAGGATCTCATCAAACGAGTCATGGGAAAGGGGGAGAGAGGAGTGAGCTGCAGAGATCAGCTCAGTCTCCTTGATTCGCACTGAAGCGATCGGTTAGGAAGAGATTAGCTCACAGTGATCAATGAGTGGTGTGGAGGGCTGAGTGGCTTTGGACATCCCGGCGAGGATGAGCCGGCGAAGGGCGGGGCCATCAAGGGGATCCTCCTTGACTGGTTTGCTAGCTGGTGCGGTAGCCTTGGACTGAGGTGTCAGCTGACTGCTATCGTCTCGGTTCAGCAGGACCAGGAAGCCATAAGAGCAGGCCGTCTCGACATGAATCATGCAAGTTCTGAGCGTGACCTACCTCGCTCGCACGCTTCCCACTCGGCCCCATAGCGTCCGTCGACATCTTCTCGGCGCTTCCGTACGGGTTGCTGATCTTTCCCATGGCAGTGAGGACGTCGCCCTTCGTAAGCATCCCATGGCGGCCGGTTCCTTTCAGCTTTGCGATCTGTGCTGAAGTAAGGGAGGAGTCGAGTAGTCTACGGGTGTCAGCCATACTCCTCCTTCTTGACACGAAGCCCTCATGGAAGCTTACAATCTCATCACGGAAGGGAAGAGCGGTTTCGAATGCTTGACCACTTTATGTCCATCATGATCCTTCTTTGGCGCTTCCGTCTTTGCCGGCGGTGGTGTGGAAGAAGAAGCCTCGGCCTTCTTTGGCACTTCCGCCTTCTTCTCCGCGCTCGCGCCCGCCTTGGGAGGGGGTGCTTCCGCACCCGGCGGGGAGAGATCCGAGGGTACTTCGATAGATGCCAGGTCGTCCCCTTCTTCCGCGAGAAGAGCGATTACTTGTCCGACTGGGACTTTTTGGGCGCCTGCTTGGACCTAGGAAGGATCAGCTATGCTGCCGCGCTCAGTTCCAGTCACGGCCCAGCCAGTTGAGGGTAACAAGACTTACGAGGATCTTGCCCATTATCCCATCATCTTGCGCCTCGACGTCAATGGTCGCCTTGTCCGTCTCCTGTCCGATCAGCACGACTCTCCCAACACCTCCCGCATCGTTCCGACCCCGCCAACCCGCCGACCTGCCAACCCGCCCACCAAGCTCGACCAAGCAAACGCACCATCTCCAACAACACATCCCCAGCCGCAAAGCTCTCCCCCTCCTGCTTCTTCCATCCCGCGATACCACCCTCCGTCATGGTAGGCGACATGGCGGGCATGCGCATCGAGGTGGTCGCGTATCGGACATGCCGGATGGACGGGCCTAGCAAGTCAGCTCGGCGGTCTCAGCTGTTGTGAGTATGCAGGAGCTGACCTGAGCGGGCTGAGCGCCTGCTTATCAGGCTTAGAGCTCTTGGGGCTGACATTCTATCTAGGTTGATGTACAGTTGAAGTGAAGAAAGTGCACAGGAGCTTGGCTTGGGGCGGCTCGGAACGGGTCAACACTTTTTACTCCCGCACCACACGGGTCTACTCCGCATTCCTCAAAACTGGCGCTGGGCGCTGGGCGATGGGAGGGCTGCACGATGCATGCATATGAGAGACTGCTGCCTACAGGAAGAGAGGACGTCTTGATAGCAACAAATGAGGTGTGCATAGTACCCAGCCAACAGATGCGACAATCAGGCTTCCCTATCCCGATAAAAGAGCAGTAATCCCTCATATACCGTCCAAGCTATCGCGCTCGACGCCGCTTTGCGCGAGACTCTTAAGGACGAGCCAGAGAAGAAACCGGCGAGTCCCCGGTCCTGCATTGATCAGCTCCTGTACTCTGAAACCTCTCTGCCGAGCGAAGGCTGTGGACAGTCTCGGCCCTAGCCTCAGGCTGGTAGAAGGACTCACGGCGTAGATCTTGCTGATGGCGATTCGTATTGTCGGGTGATTCGTGAAGTTCACCTGCATTCTTGTCTGCAGTCTCAGCTCTAGCACTGTACCTCGACAGGAGATAGAGGTGGACGAGCTCAGTAAGATAGTGAAGGGACCTACTTTGACTACGTCGGCTGGTGAGGTGATAGTCGTCGCTAGTATAGCTGCCAGAGCTCCTTGATCAGATCAGCTATGCGTTCCGCATGCACTTATCGGGTCAGGAGGAGGCGTACCCGAGACAGAGTGCTGAGCAGCATACGGTATCCCCCATTCCGGCTTGACGAGTCGTCCTGTCAATCAGCTCACTCCCTTATGCCCCGACGACCCAAGAATCAGGTGACCTACCAGCCAGATCCTTCCCCTTCTCATAGAAGACGAGGTACATTCCCGCATACGGTGCATCTCGCGCTGCCGTCGCTGTGAACCCCTGAAACAGCCCCCGGACGCCGTTTTGCCGTAGCAGCGACTTGAAAGCAGAGAAGAGCGATTTGTATTCCTTGTACTGGCCACTCTGCCTCATGAGCGCCGCACTCCACTTTCCAGAAGGCTGAAAGAACCGCTCACCTCGAACCTCGCCTTCAGGACCGTCACTGGATTCAGTATGAAACCGACCCCTGTCCGCCCTATCGCACCAGCAATAAGATTGCCCTGGGGTGATAGCTTGACCAGGGCTGTGTTTGATGCGGGCGATATCGGCGCTGCGGCCGGGACAGAGGAGGCGGGAAGAGCAGCCACTGCCGTTGGCGGCTGACCTGTAGGCTGTGTGAGGGGGATAGCGAAGAATGGGATGGTGGTCAGGTATCCCCGGATAGCGGAGAGTGAGTAGAAGTACATGGCTACGCCGGGGACGTTTCTTGCCCGTCAACACGACGGCTGGACCGGTTGAGAATGAGAGAGCTCACCGAACAACAGTGGGTGTGGTACCCCGCCATAAGCCTTGTATTCCATCATCTCGCAATACACCACTGACTACCTGGCTCAGCTTTCTCCTGCTTGATCAGCTTGGCCTTGGTCCCCCACGCTTGTGGGACAGGAGCGCACCGCTTGGCCCCCTTCGCTTCGGTCGCATAAGCCTGCTGTAGACGAGTCTTGAGCAGATCCAGGGGCTGCAGGGTTATAGCGGACGCAAGACCCGACGCGCCGCCCGAGGAGAGATGGTGCGCCGCCTTGAGATCTTTGGTGGTTCGAATCGGTGGAGGTGGGAGGGCCACGGCTGTGGACATTTTAGACTAATCGAGCGTGATGATTGTGCTTGTGCTTCGCTGGGCAAGTGAGGGATGTGGCTGGACCTCTCGATAGCTTAAGGACACAGCATAGATGATTGTTATAGCCGAGGTCGGTCGGGAAATGCATCGGCGACGACGATCTCAACCTTTTTGAACCGTGCCTGAATATGACTCGTACACCAGCTCGGATGCAAACCTCCTACAACTTCGTCCACTGTACTTCATCTTTGGCGTACACACGAAAGCTCAGGATGGACAGGAACCAGGACAATGAACTTTCAAGTAAGTCCTGAAGCCAGTACTCACCCCATGGTAATGATACTGGGCCAAGCAGCTGAGACATCTATCAGGATAACGAGAAGAACAGTATCCAGTCTCTTCTGGCCGTCCTTCGCTCGACGCAAGATGCGCCCACAGCCGCCTCCTCAGGTCTGCAGCTCGCAGAGTCCCCAGGCAAGGTATTACCATCGCCATCTCGTGCGCTATCTCGCGGTCATTCTGGCTCGATAGCCACATCGTCGTCAACGGGCACAGCGGCACTACCTTCGACGCAACAGCTCAATGATCTACTTCGGTCCGTCAATGGCGGTCGGCATCCGCCCGGCGGATCGGCGGGTACGCCTTCGTCCGGGTCTGGCAGCCAGGTATCGCGAAACCTCATTGAGCCTTTCGGGCCAGTGAAGGACTGGCTCGCCCCGTCTCCCGTCCGGAATGGGAGCGGATCCCAGAGCCGTATGCCACCATCAGAGAACACAGCTGTCACCGCAGCGGCGGAAGAGGGAGGTGCCGAAGTGAAGACGGGGGATATAAGCACGATGCCATTTGCCAAGGCTTTACCGAAGCTTGGGGAGATGATAGGCGATGAGCGCTTCATGTCGGAGCTTCGCAAGGTGAGCTTCCTAAGCCGGCTCTCAGCGAAGCGGTTCAGAGCGGCAAGCTGATATGTGCAGATGAAAGCAGACCAGGATGCCCTTGAGAGACGTATGTGGGCCAAGCAAGAGAAGATTAAGGCGGACCATGAGCGGTCTATTCTGGCCGAACGGGAGATGTGAGCTTTGAATCGCGTGCACGCTCGGGCAGATACAAGCTGATATTCAGCTCCCGGATAGCCCGGAAACCCATCTCTGCGGAGAAAAGAGCAGTACGTTCACCTCAGCTGGAGCATCGAGCTGAGCTTGCTGACACCTGCAGCAATGGGATACGACCCTCGACCTGAGTCTACGAGACTTCCAGCGCCAGACCTGCCTGCCGTTTCTAGATGCCCTATCGGTGCGACAGCGGGAAAGGCTGAAAGAGCTGGGCGTGCCGGGTCTAGGAGGTGATCCGGCCGATGAGGGCACGATAGGAAGGTGGAGGCGGATCATGGGGATGCTCCAGGCGGGGCTGGAGGAGTAGGTCCAGTAGCGTTCAGAAGCTAGAGTAGTGGGCGTGTGAGGGGTCGTTGTGTGCAGTGTATTCATATTGTATCGATTATATCATACTGTATCATATACCTTTCCTTGTCCTCGCTGTCGTCATGGTCGTAATTATCGTGTCGGTGGTCTGGAGGAGGGCTCCCTCTTCAGCAAAACATGGTCTTATCCCTGCTGTGTCAGCTGAAGACTACTTTTGGGGCAACGGAAGCTAACCTCTCTCCACTCATGAGAGCAGTTCTCGCATTTACTGTGATATGAGCTTGGGTCTTGCAGCGGATAAGAACTCTTTAGCTCACTAGAAAGTCGTCATCGGCTCATCTGCAGATCTGATCTGTAGTTGTCGATAGTACGCCTGAGTATGGTCGCACTTCCCGCAAGTGACTGAGATTGTCAGCTTTGATGTCCGACATCCGAGCATTGGGCAGCTGGGTCATGCCGCGCAAGCCTTAAGGAGGACTTACTAGTCGTCTTGTCGACATTCTCCCATGCCTTCTGCCCCCCGAGGACATCATCCACCTCTTTCAGCTTCAAATGGGTTCGCATTGATATCTGACAGGTATCAGCTGTGCAGTGTAAGAAGTGACCGTCTGCCTTCCAGCTGCTCAGAGTCTGTTTTGATGCCTCACTTGCTTCTTGATGAGCCACTTATACGGACATGTCGGGCAGACCCTGCCTCGTCAGCTCGAGCTCACCTGGCTCCCCGTGGGAATATTGGGATGGTGCAAGCTTACCAAGCCTGCTCTGACGTGTCTTCCGCATCACCTATAGTCAGGTTATTAGCGCAGTAAGGGCAGAACAGCATAGTGTCAGTAGTCTAGAGTGAAAGGCAGAAGTGGAGGTTGGCTGGCCGAAATCTTGGTGGAAAGGGTCAGTTCCGTTGGAAAGAAGCGGACCTGGCCGAACTTCCGCCAGGCACGAGCTATAACGCCGCATATTTCCGTGTTGCCGACCCCATTAATCGCCTCGGGGAATCCCCGTTCCACCTTGTGGGCAATAAATCGATTAAATACCCTTCGTCATTACATCTCAGTCATGGCAGCTACAGACCTCAAGCTCCGCCCAGTCAACGATGGAGCCAGTGGGAGTCGGCCTCTACCGTCTGCTTCGATACTCAGACCCTGGATATTCGACTATGCGCCCTCGCCAGATGGGAAGGACGTGAATCTGCTCATCATGTTACATGGACTAGGTGGGTTGCCCAGCGCCGCAGCTCGAACAAATCGTAGTCTGAGAGGTAGTAGCTGACCCAGCAAGGATAGGCGATAACAAAGCCCCTTTTGCTCAGCTTGGAAAGAGCCTCAATCTGCCATGTACGGCTGTACTGTCATTGCAGGGACCGCTAGTGTGAGCTTCCGGGATACCACCGTGGCCGGACCAAGCTGACATACAGGGTGCCACTCATGGAGTCCCCCACCTACTTCTCATGGTACAATACCTTTGACCCACTCTTCAATCCGCTCCCCTCTCCGGACCCCTCCCCGACCCTCAAACCCCTCCGACAGCTTCTCGAAACCCTCACGTCCGCCGAGATCGGGTGGGACCTGGCCCAGATCCATCTCTTCGGATGGGGTCAAGGAGGCAGTATGGCCCTCGAGCTAGCTCTTTCGGTCGGAAAAGACGGTATTCCCTCTCCAGCGGGGGTGGGGGACAAGCGGAAACGTCTCGGATCAGTCACGTCTGTTTGCGGACCGCTCCTCTCGTTCCCGGCCTCGACGCTGGGGATAGCTACGCCCATAGCGTACTTTACGCGGCAGAGTGCCAGCTCGGCGGCCGGCCAGAAAGTGCGCAAGGCGATCGAGAGGGCGTTCAAGGAGGTGGAGATTGTGCAGGGGCAGCAGGGCGGAGGGGAGGCGATGCCGAGAGGAAGGGAAGAGTGGAAGGGGATCATGATGTTTTGGGGCGAGATGTTGGGGAGGGATGAGGGGTGGAAGGGGAGTGGTGAGGTGTTTGAGGTGGTCAGATGAAAGGAGGTATAGTCCTGCTGCTTCATATACTGTCTGACACATTACGCAGATCCTGCACGATGGAAGGCGTTTTCGTTGATCGCTCTGTATGCGCTCACCTTCACTACCAGAGTTGCCTTTTACGCACCTGCCGATTCAGATCCCTTGGATTTCGTTCAATGTTGCTGCTTGCTTGAGCTCAAGAAGTATCACATCCAGATCCCGCAGACGCGATACATTGCGCATCGTTCCCCTCTGAAACGTAGGCGAGGAAAGTGCAAGGAAGGAAAGCAACGATTTGCTTGCTGCGCACAGATCCGCATTCCTCATCGGAAACTTTCTGCTTGTCGTTGCTCGTTGGCTTATGCCCAGAGCTCGTGTTCCTGTCCCTCCACCTGTCAACTCGAGCATTGATTTCGCCAGCACTAATGCCTAAAGCAAAAGCACCAAAGAAGGGTGAAAGACTTGGAGTGGCCAAGAGGGGAAGGAAGACACTGAGCGCCGCAGCGAAGGATGCCGAATTAGTGAGCCCTTCTTACTAGCAATCGTTCAACTTCACACCCCCTTGCTAGTGTCCTCCCTGACCGCCACCTACGAGCGTGACCGATGGCCGGTCTTGCCTCGTGTAGCGAATGCAGGCTATTGGATGCCTTGCTGACTCTGATAGAACGAGCAGCCGACCTCACCCGCGCCCTCCTCATCAGCCCCGCTCGACATCCAATCATACCCACTCATCCTCTCCCTCGTCTTCCTTCACTCTTCCAAATCCACGCTCGCCACCCTCCTCCGCTGCAACAAGCATATCTACCAGATCGCTACCCCATACCTATACCGGGACCTCACTCTTACCGTCGAGCAATACAACGGTATGATCCAGCAGGCGAGCGCGTACACCTCGGGCGGACGCGGTCGGTCGTTCTCGCCATACATGATTGAGAACCTACGGCACGTCCGAGCACTTGGATTGGACGCGTATGGCTTCCATGACAAAATCCCAAGCCTCCCTCGGGGTAGTATGGAGGATCTGCCGCTGGTCGTTGTTGGATCCAGAGACGACTGGCTCCGTCCGGGAACGGGCTGGCAGGCGCCCGAGGCCCTGCGGTGTCTAAAAGCGGACGAACTCGTCATACGGATGTCCGCCAACTGCATGGCGATGCTCGACCCAAATCTCGAGCTCGCGCTCGGGCTGCTCGACCGAAAAGTTCAAGGCGTCACCTTGCTTGTACCGCGGTGGTGGGAGTTACTCTTCACCCCGTGGTGCGAGTTCGCCGACTCGGATCTCAATACCGGCAAGCGGATGACCATTGTCATTTTACCTTCGCGACAGCTACCGTCAGAAATGCAATCGAAGCTCTCCATCACTCGCGTATGGTACAATTTCCCCTATGCGTATGTCGTCGACCGTATCGGCATTCCCGTCTACCATCCGCTTCGAGTCGTCGGGCTGGAGTACTGGGGGAAGGTTGTGCGGGACTTTCCAGCCCTTCTCCACTCGGCCAGGGAGGATCTCGAAATCGTGGCACCCACGGACGAGGAGGAGCACATCACAGCGGTGTCTTTCCTCGATTGGCTGGACGAGCACCAGCCGGGCGGAATCTTTACGGCGGAAGAGGAGGCGGAGCTGCGGGATGCGGAGGAGTGGATCAGGTCTCTCCGTGCGGCGGGAACAAGTGAGTCTGCATCTTATGCCTTTGTGTGTATACTGACTCGGCAGGCAGCTTTTGGTGTGCCTAGGTCTAGCTGCGTTTAGTACTGTAAGATCCCAAGAGAGCAGTCTGGGGGAAGGCAGGAGGAAGCGTGAGAGGGTTCCCGGCGGATTATCGGGCAGAACCTCAGCAGATCAGTAGGGTGGAAGCGGGGAAGGGGTGTTTGCACTACGCGTACGGGTCAGGTGCATCTTTGTTGGTTCGTCGCCAGCTGCAGATCACTCCTACTTTGTCGCACGAGAAGCCCAATTCGGCAGTCCCTTCGCTGGAGTCGGACAAATCTGAACGCCAACAGATCCCGCGAGAGGGCTGCATGGATGACCTGTCGCCGAGAATTCGAACTCCACATTCCTCGACCCTCCATCTAATTGTCATGTTTACCCTTGTACCATCCTAGGCATCTAATCCATTGAGCACCGAGACCGATGCCGCGCGCAAACGAACGATGCAGCTTAGCTTGGCTGCATATTTCGAAGAGAGGAAAGCTGAGCGGGCGGCGCGACTGACTAGCGCCAGCGTTGAAGGAAGTTCAAACGTACGTCGCGTTACCGCCTCGGCGTTCGTACCCCTCTGGGGGTTCTTCTGGGGCTGCTATGCCCGGCCTCGTTGCCTCCCACCTATCCTCCGCGAGTGTGCTTGGCTGACTCTTTCAGAGCCCTGCCGAGGCCGATACATCGTCCCTCATCGTGCGGCAAACCCCCTTCAGCCTCGATGCCTATCCCCACATCATCTCCACCATACTCGACTATCTACCCCTCTCGACCCTCACTACCATGCTGCGATGCAGCAAGTCAATGCAGACGATGGCTGAGCGCAAGAGCCACCGTCATTTACGTCGACTGCACGTCACACGGGGGGTCGCGGCTATGATCGCGAAACCCAGCAAGAACAGGAAAATACCTCGCAAGCTGGTAGAACTCTGCCAATCGGTGCGCATTTCGGAGCAACACGACTCTCGGGCTCTTCGGACTTTCATACGAGAGCAGCTCTCGGTCCGAGACATCGTCTTGTATCCAGAGCCGAAGGGGAGCCAGAGCCGCCTCCACACGCCGGTCTCGCCAAACCTCGTCGATCTCAAGGCAAGACGGCTCGTCATCCGGTACCCGGACACGTACACCTCGGAAGGTCGGGACGACTACGTGGATCTCAGTCACGTTGACGAGTCTGTCCGCAACGTCACCCTGTTGGTCCCCCCCGCGTGGCGCTCGAACGGCACCTGGTATAGCTGCGTCAGCAACCCAGCGTCAATGTGGGACCCGGCATCTAGCTCGGTCGACATCACTGTCGTTCTTCTTCCCTCCCTTGCTGTGCCCGCATCATGGTCCCTTCCCCTCATCAAGCAACACTACTTCCCAGGCGATCTCGCCGACCACGCCCCCGGCTGCCCCCTACGTATTGTCGGCGCGGAATGTATCGGTCTGACTTCCGAAGTCTTCGACACCCTCGTCGAGCGTACTCGGATTAGCGGCGGCGAGTACGAGCAAGAGGTGGCAGCTCGCCTCTCGGTGATGTCGTTCATCGACTGGATGGACCAGCAGGAGCCCGGAGCGGTCATGACGGGGGAAGAGGAGGACATGTATCGGAAAGCTAGCAGGCTAATCCTGGCTGGATTTGGTCAGATAAGCTGCAGAGTACGATGCGTCTCTCATCTCCGTGGATGTTGCTGACCACCAGACAACTTCCGAGTAGCTCCGGCGCTGAGGCTCGAATCTCGTCGCCGGGGGTGAGAGATTGTATGGACGTGTCGGGCGGGAGTGGGCATGGGCGGTGGAGCAGGCAGTATGCTAGGTGATTAGCCGTTGTCAATCAAGAGATCATGTATGTAACTGTCTACTGTAGACCAGCTCAGCGGTATTGCACCAGCTCCGCCGACTCATCGTGAGCAGCAAAGGGGAGACCAAACACTGTAGTGCACTTGACGACAAGCGCACGACAAGGGTGGCATTCCTCATTATCTACGTCTATGTCTATGTCTATGTCTATGTCTATGTCTATGTCTAAGTCTAAGTCTGTTATACAATATCTGACCCGCCGACAGATGCGGATTGATTCGCGTTACGGAAATACAGGAATCGTATAATCGAAAGAAAGGCCCTCTCCCCCTGAAATGGTGCTGCTTGGAAGCTGATCCTTGGCGGCGGCCGATTCTGAGCCTTGACACATCAGCTTTTTCATCTGACGGCCTGGGCATCACAGCACTTACGAGCAAGCAGCACTAGCTGTTTCCAGGACTCCTCTGCTGCTACAGCCGTCAAACAGCCGGCCTTCAGCCTCTCCAACAGGTCGCCCGTCATCTCGGCCATCGACTCAAACTCCTTCCTCCCCAGCTCGCCCGATAGATAGCACAGCAGCAGCACCTGACCGGCCGTACTGATCCGCCGAGTCTCGAACCATGTCGGGCGAAAGACAGTGAGGCTGCGGAGCTGATCGTACATCTTGAGTATGGCGGTGGCGGCTTGACAGCAGATAGTTTGAGATGGAGGGCTGTGGGTCTCATGATAGAAGAGCGGATATCTCAGCATGATTCGGAGCCTAGCTATCAGCGATACACTTGGGGTATGACGATGTATGCACTCACCAGTGATAGCGGATAATGGCGTAGTACGACATGGCATTCGTCAATCCCCCTCGCTCCTCCGCCCAGAACCCGACACGCCATTGCTGCAGGCCCAGCTCATACTGTTGAAGCATGTTCTGAGTGTCGACAGATTCCGCCCCTGAGACCTGCTTCCATAGCATGATGTGATTTTCGAGCAGCGTGAGGCGGACAAACATGTCGGAGGTAGAGTAGTTTGGGACGAAGGTCTTGAATATTGATTCGGGTAAATGCTCGAGACGGAATGGCAGGAAAGGATTGCCGCCATATAGGGTGGAGAAGCAACTTCAAGATCAGCAGTGACAGCCTGCGGGAGGATGTGACCACTCACGTATCGCGATACCGTGTCTGATGCGATAAAAAGTTCAGCACTTCTGTTTGCGCAGCAGGACGCCGCGACTCCAGACGAAACAGCTGGTCGACCATTCGACTGACGCTCGAGCGATTCTCAACGGGTCCTCCGCTTTGTATAGCTGAAAAGTTGAGGATGAGTAGTGCGACTGGCACATCAGCCAAGAGCAGATAGACAGATGTTGGGGAGCTCACCAAGCGCCAGCTCCGAGCACATATCCGGATGACGATCCGCCACGTCCAGGCACAAACGATATACAGCCAGGTCCCCCATATCGTCACTATCTCCCAGCTGCTTCTCGACCTTCAGACCCAGCCCGATCGCCGCCAGAACCGTCATCTCCTCGTCGGGGTTCGGCGGGGCCACCATGCCTGTCTCCCAAAAGTCTTCACACCGCATCCACATGAACCGGAGATCAGAGCGAGTGACGATGGGCTCGAAGAGGGCGAGACTCGTATCGCAAAAGGTGTCGATGGCGGATTCGCGCGTCCGCCTCGTACCCGGTAGGGGAGGAGATGGGCCGAAGAGAAAAGGTGCAAGTACAGATTGAGGAGGTAGTCGGACGGACGAATGAGAGCCTGACTGTCAGATCAATGGGTCTGTACGAGATGAGAATGTCCGCACTGACCCATCTGCTGAACCCACGAAGTCACCCTGTCCTCGATCTCGTCGCAGAAATAGTTGGCCGTCCCCCGAGGATCCGCTTCCCCGACAGGCACCTGCCAGCTGCTCGACGCCTGAGCCTGTATCGACGGAAGCGACAGTCTTTACGTGTCAGTTGTCCTCCTCGTTAAGGAATCTTGACTCTGTGAGCTCACGGTCGAGTGTTTGAGGTCGAAGCTTGTGGGTCATGGCTGGACGACGACGGAGCATCGCTCGCTGAGCCACGCAGGGCCACAGGTAGTGTCCTTGCAGATCAGCTGGCTTCGAAGACTGCTACACCATTTGTAGCATACCTCGTCGGTCTTGACTTGGCTCGGAAGACGCATCCACTACCTGCCCCTAATCGGCGGCATGTCGAGCATGGCTGATCACCGTCGCACCGTCTTCTGCGCACTCGACAAGCTTCACAAGCTTTGCTCGCCCGTGTGGCTGAGGGTATGTCTGACATGTGACCGATGGCGACTTCTTCGGCGGGCGGGCAAGCGGGTGGATATAGAGCTGAATCAAGCAAGGCAAGGTTAAAACGAGGATGGAATTGGTGCATATGGCTGACTGGTTGAAGGTGGATATAGCCCGGTCAAGCCGGTCAGGCACGTCGGAGGATCGGCCCCGTCTATTTCCCAACCGGTTCCCCGCGTTGCCCCACTTTCCCCCCCAACTGCTACTAGTGGCATCATTACTGGATCAGAAGACCCCTTGTGCTTCTCCCGTCCTCTATACATAGCCTACAATAGGCTCTGCCATATCCGGGATGTACCCACATCGGTCCGGATACCGATTTCAAGCAGCTTCCTATATCAGATACGCCTTCTCCGCGATGGATGATCTCCTCCACTCCCCTCCTCCATTACCATCATGTTCGCTCCCCTCGTCTACCTGCTCTTGGCCATCCCCAACGCCTCAGCTGCCATTCTCGGGACCACCTATCTCACACTTCCCCCATACCAACCACTCTACGCTCGCTCCATCTCCCCGGACTTCTTCGGTTTCTCCCTTGAGTTCTCGGAATTCCCCTACTGGGCCGGCCAGGCCGTCGGGCAGCCCAATACCTTCGTCAACCAGCTCTTGGCCAATCTCAAGAAGCGCACCGGTATAACCCCGCCTATCCGAGTCGGCGGATCCTCCGAGGACTTTGGGCGACTCAATCCCAATGTCCAGATCGGCAATGCGTCCTATCCCAACGCTACGGCATCTACCCCTTACCCCCAGGCTTCCGCCGTGACCATAGGTAGGGACTGGTATGCGCTCTCAGGGAATTTCCCCTCCGACACCAAGTTGTACGTTTCTCCTCTTAGTCCTTCTTGAGCTCGCGCTGACACGCAGTGTGTGGGGTGTAGCGATCCGACCCCCTACCTCTCGGAACGAGACGATCGCTCAGATCAAGGAGCTTGTCCGTGTCTTCCAGGGAGACCGGAAGAACGTCCTCAGCGGCCAGACTCTCGAGTACCTCCAGCTCGGCAACGAGCCCAACGGGTGGACGGCCGACTGGGCAGCTACCTTCGGGGCCGGCTGGTCTCCCCAGAACTACACCAAGTACTGGCTCGACACCGCTGCCGCCGTCCTCCCCTACGTCAAGCTCTCCACCAACGGCGGTACTACCCTCCTCCCTTCCGGCTTCTCTGGAAGCCTGAACCAGCCTCCCTTCACCAACCAGTACCTCCTGGGATCGGGTCTGCTTGATGACTCGCGCGTATCGGGCAACATCACCGCCGTCAACTTCCACAAGTACTCGGGCTTCCGGTCCAGTGCGGTTACCCTCGCTCCCCCGGGAACGCTGCAGAGCAAGAACAACGTGTTCCAGAACTGGACAAGCTACTCGGTGGATGCGAACTACGTACACACGTATGGGAAGAAGGTGGTGTTTGGCGAGACCAACAGCTATGCCAAGTGAGTTTTGAGCTTCGCTCGCACATCGTCACTGAATGCTGACCGTCAGCCACGGTCTGCCCAACCTCTCCAACACTGCCGAAGCTGCTGTCTGGGGCGTGTCTTACCTCCTCGGTGGTGCCGCACTCGGGGTCGACCGTCTCCACTTCCACAACGGCTACGGATACGTCTACAATGCCCTTGCTCCGGGTACAAATGTCTCGGACGGACTCAACTACACCCGCCAGCACATCGGTCCCCTGTACTACTCCACCGTCGTGGTCGCCGAGGCCATCGGATCTTCGGGCAACACCTACGTCGCCGAGCTTACCTCCACCAACAACACCATCTCGGCTTACGGGATCTGGGAGGGCAAGAGGCTCGCCCGGATGGTTCTCACCAACCACGACACTTTCAACGTGAACGGGACCAACTCGACCGAGGAGAGGACCAGTCAGCTCGTCAACCTCAAGAGCTTTGGCTTGGTTGATGTCAACGTGGGGACAGCTACCATCAAGTCCCTAAAGATCCCCTACACCAATGCTCAGCGCAACATGTGAGTAATCTATATCTTGTCATCTGGCTCTGTGCTGATGATCCTCAGCACCTGGGCCGGCCAGACCTTCGACACCGCTTCCGGCTCGCCCGAAGGTACCGTCACCGAGCCCTACCTCAGCGGCAACGTCATCAACGTCGAGGCGAACAGTGTGCACTTGATCTGCTTCAAGTAGGGGAGGCTTGCAACAAGGTCCTGGGGAGAAGAAGTAAAACAAAAGCGTCGGAAGATCTTATAATTGGGATATTGCAGCACTATCAGGGGAAATGATATGTATTTTGGTCATCAGTAAGCCGTGTCGCACGCTATAGGAGGCTGTCACACCTAGCCTCGTGGTCTCTAGCGTCGGCGTAGCAGTATGCAATGGGTCATTCAGCGCTCAGCAGCCTCAGCCTCCTCAGCCATCTCGACCGCGTATCGCGACATTCCTCATGCCGTAAGCAAGTTGCTGCTGCGTGACCGCGACCGTGCGTTTCATGTCCATCACCTCTTCCTCTCATCGCTCATCTCCCAATCTACAGTCCAACCTCACGCCCTTGGATATGTCAGCGAAGCAATATAAAGCCGTCGGAGTGGGCCAGCCTTTTTCAGTCGGGGAATGACTCTCGCTGACCATTGCAGGAGGACGGCTGGAAGCGGACCGACAAGGTCGTGAGTCTTCGCCAGCTCCTGGTACAGGTCAGAGCTGACCAGTCAGAATGCCGAGCTCTTCACCTTGACATACGGAGCACTCGTAGTGCAGCTCATCAAGGTATATATCGGGCCCCTCCGTGGTGAGATGTATCTGATCCAAGCAGGATTACGAGGACTATGCGGAGGTGAACAAGCAGTTGGATAAGATGTGAGTCGTCTTCCTGCTCATTCACCAGCATTGAGCGATGCCAGCTTCAGGTGATTACCTGAAATAATGTGAGCTGACATGACGAAGGGGCTACAACATCGGAACGCGTCTCATAGAAGACTTCCTGGCGAGAACAGGAATGGGCCGCTGTCAAACCTTTGCGGAGACAGCAGAAGTAATATCAAAGGTCTGTCCTGTTCTTTGTTTCAAGCGCTCTGGGCAGCGCGTCTTGCATGATATCACCTCCTGACATAACCTTGACCCAGAGCTGACTCCTCAGGTCGCCTTCAAGACCTTCCTCAACATCACACCAACCGTCACCTTCCCACCGCCCAACGCTCAGCCGTCCAACCCATCATTACCCCAACCCTCCGAGTTCAGCCTGATATTCGAGGAGAACCCACTAGCGGACTTTGCGGAGCTGCCGAGGGACGCAAGAGAGGGCGGACTGTGGTTCAGCAACGTCTACTGCGGGGTGATAAGGGGTGCTTTGGAAATGGTGAGCCCGATCTGATGGTCCATCCTCGCCGGAAGTCTTGCTGATAACCAGATCCAAATGCAGGTAGAAACACGCTTCGTGTCGGACATGCTGAGAGGGGACGACTGCACCGAGATGCACGTCCGTCTGGTCCGGTTGATGGAGGAAGAACAGCCAGAGAATGACGAATAAACCAATCTGTACAGATGATGCAACGAAATACAACGCTAGCTCTCTCTATGCTACATCTACACTCTCTGACCGCGCCGAGTATCAGCCGCCACGGGCGTCGCCTCGCTCTCCTGCGAGTCGGCTCGCTGTACCGCCCGCCTCCCATAATCCGCTTGCGGAGTCCGTTGATTTTCCGTATATGTGCCCTCCCGCCACGTTCCCGCCGTCAGCGTCGAGGCGGCGGACGGCGCTCCCGATACCGTGGCTGTTGAGCCGTAGCCGTAGCTCTCCTGTCGCGAGGGAGCGAAGCTCTGGCCGGGCGTATGGTCATCCTCATCCTCCTCGTCCACCTTCGGCCGACCCCACCGCGCTTCGGGCTGGAAAAAGTCTGAATTCTGCCGTGAGGGATGCACGCCGTCTGTCGAAGTGGGGAGCGGTGGCTGTCCGAGGGCATCGCTCGCTCTCCACCCTGGCCGACGATGACGTCCTCCTTGAGTAAGGGACGAGACCCGCTGTAGACTGCCCCGCTTTGGCATACCGCCAGGCGACGATTTTGCGGTAGGGAGGCCGTCCGCTTCTGGAGGCAAAGACAGCACGCCTATCCGCCAGCGTACCGCCTTCCCCAAGGCCTGCACGCTGTCTTTGACCTCATCGTCGATCCGCTCATTCTCCTCTTCCGACTGAAAGGGAAAGAAGCTGCTATATCTCGATTGGGTACCGAGGACGAGGATCATTTGCAGGATCTGCTGCATGTCCGGGATAGTAGGTTGGGCGTCAGGCGGCAGGTCTTCGGGATCGGAGATGAGCACGGAGAGTCGAGGGATGAGGGGGAGGAGGATGTTGAGGAGAAATCCGGACAGCAGGACGTGTCGCACTGGGATAGGACGGGAGGGCTCGGACGAGGTTGATGAGGAGGGGAGATCGCGCATTTGGGAGAAGGGCAGAAATACGCCTTCGAGGTACTGAGAGTCAGCTTCTTGCAAGATCTTCAAGCATGTATGAACTCACAGAGAGAATGCGAGTCCAGAAGAACTTCCAGCACTCGGCTATTCGAGCGAGCAGGACCGTATCATCCGCCGTCTCGAGCCTTGACTTCAGGGTGAGCATACCGGATGATACAAGGTCCCTCAAGTCCGAGGAGAGCACGGCGATCAGTCGAGATGGCGCAGTCCGCTGCGAGGTAGCGATGATGTGCGAGTGACAGAGGTGACTGGAGGTCAGCTTGTACGCCTTATCTGTGTGTGTTATAGCTCACTTCAGGTCCTCGATAGGTAGCTTCAGCGCGCTCCCCGCAAAGATTGGCAGAACATTGATGGTGACCTGGCTCCAAGGACTGCTCGGGCTCGAGTGCGCCATAGTCTCCTTCATGCTGCGCCCGTCGGCTCTTGGTATGTCCTCGGACGGCAGGGTCGACAGGGGTGTCCCATCGGGAAGCACCACGCCCACGGACGATGCCATAGCTGACATGGCTGGGCGATTAACCGAGCTCGCCAGAGACGCATACGACGTCTTGTGGTTCATATTTGGCGCAGAGACAGCGAGGTTGCCTGCATGCGAGATCTGACCAGAGTTTCCGGTAGGTGTAGGCGAGAGAGGGGGAAGGGGCGGTAGATGTGACAGTGTGCTCGCTACCTGTGTCCAGTCAGCTGTGAACCCTTTCTTCGCTGGCCAAAAGGTAGACGTACCAGCTTGTTATCGTACATCCCTGCGCCCTGACCATACGTCTCGTCGCCTCTTGGCTTCCGTGGACTTCTAGGCAGGTGCAGCTGCAACCCCGCGAACGGCAGTCCAGGGAGCCGCTTGTCATCCTTTCTCGGGACGGGCGGGGCCTGCCCATGTGCGTCGAAGCTTCCTTTGCGTGACCGCGGATCATTGGCCGAGAGACCGGATAGGTTCGAGTGACTCGAGTAGGTAGGTGAAGGTGGGAGTGGGGCTTTGCGGGGCGAGCTGATTTGAGGGATCGTTTGGTTGATGGGAGTGGTTATTCTCGGTGGGTGAAGTCCGGGAGAAGGGGGCTGGATGGTGAGATTACTGGGCTGCCGCCCCGAGTTGCCGCGGGAGGAAGAGCGCATGGCGGAGTATGGGATGATGTGGTCATGCTTTGCGCATTGTACGAAGTCGAAAAGGTGAGCTCGAGCGAGAAGGTATTTTGAAGTGGAGGCATGTTGATCCTGACCTGACGATGTGTCCCAGTTGGCGGCACATCTCCTTATGGGACGCCTACCCGAGTCTACATATACTCTATACACAGCTTCTAAGTATCTGATATCGATGCCTAACCAAGATCTGAACCTATCTACACCAACGGTCCTACAGCACCACCTCCTATCTACCTTACGTGTACAACTGGAACGCCCCACCCCCTGCCATCTGCACCCACTCCTCCGCCTCCGGCATCTTGACGCTCTTGTGCTCCTTCCCACACCCCTTCGCCGGACAATTCCACGTATACTCCCTCGGCTGCTCCTTCTTTGACTTCGCCTTGCTCCTCCGCTTATCCGCCTTCTTTTCTGCTCCCAGAACCGGCAGCACACTGATGGGCGGCTGGACCGAGTCGAGCTCCTTCTCCGTGACCGGTGTGGAGATTTTGCGGAGACACCGCTGATCGACGAGGTGGCCGCACCGTAATGACCAGATCCGATCGTCCTCGTTGGTCGTCGACATCCGGAGCCGCGCGTGGCAGATGAAGCAAGAGAGGAAGGGTCTCTTCTTGCTCTTGACGATATCGCCGCTATCGTCAATCTCGATAGGTTTCGCCGATTCCAGGTCAAACATGTTGGTGAAGCCGTATAAGGGGGAGGGGAAGACAGGTTTCTCGCTCTCGACTTGCGCGAGGATGGCTTGGACATCGATAGGGGGTGGCCCGGCTTGACCGGCGTGGTGTGGTCCACCGTGGTGCCGGTGAGCATGGGGATCGTCAAAGTTGGGTGGGACGCCCCAGAAGAGCCCGCCAGCGCCTACTCCTTCCACCGCCGCTGCTCCCCGCTCGAATAGAGCTTCCAGACCCCCTCGTGCGGCGTCGAGGAACCAACGCCGATTCGCCCTTCCCGCGGCCCTCGCATCTGCTTGCAGCGCCTCGCCGCCCCGCGCAGCTTCATCGGCCTGGGGCACAATTTGAAGCCTGCGATTCCCCTGTTGCAAGACTGCACCGCCGAGACGGATAGGACCGGGCGGAGCGGCCCCTTCCTGGACAACGGGCAGATCTTCAAATCGATCCCTATCCGCGCGAGCAAGATCGCGCAGCTGCTGAGCTTGCGCCCTTCGCCTTTCCAGCACAGCTTCCAGCTCTACAGGCATTAGCACAACTACCATGCCTAACCTGTCCATTTGGCACTCACCCGCTAGATCCTGCTGTACTGCTACCCTTCTCGCCGCCGCCTGTCGCTCCCGAGCCGCCGCGTGCGGTGCTACGTGGGCATTACCACCCCGTTGTGGTGCTGGAGCGGCCCGGGGTGCCGCTGCATTTCCGGCAACAAAGACGACTTCCTCGTCACTGCTATCCCCCGTGAGATCCACGACCGCCTCCTCCTGGAACCGGACTTGCGGTCGAGCCGCTGACGGCTCAGCGGCGGCTTGCCTGCGAGGTACTGGGACCGGACGAATGGCTGATGAGCCGGCTGCGGCTGGTCGCCGCGCTTCTCCGAGGCCGGCGCCGACAGGTCTCGGGCGCACAGGGAGCTCCAGGTTCAAATTGTCCGAACCGTCCAGCTCGCCGCGTGCTTCTATCAGGGCTCGCAGCCGCTCGCGCCGATCCGCCACGGCAGACCTCCGCCGAGCCGCTGCCTCCGCTGCCGGTCCCGGTCCTGCTGCTTGAGGATGGGCAGGGAGACCGGGTGCCTCCCGCTGAGGGCCGTCGTCGTTGTCTCCCGTGAGTCGACGACGGACCCGATCCCGAATTGAGAAGAATTCCGACGAGTCCGGAGAGGAGGACGCTATCCGAACCCGCCGGCGATTGGCTCGTTCGGCACACACAAAAGGAACTTCTGGTCGTGGAGCTGCATTGTCCAAGAGCCGCCCGAGCCGCGCTTCCGCCAGCTGTTGATGCTCCGCTCGGCGGGACGATCCGTACATGGCTTCCGCAGTGACTGGCCTAAAGAATTCGGCTAGCCCGCTCGCACCGCTCCCCCTTTGTCTTGCCAGCAATGCCGCTTCCGCATCTCCCGCCCGTGCCGCTGTAATAGCACCTCTCCGGCGAGGCGTGAGGACGTTCACGCTCGATGGTCCCGCAGCCGCCTCCGCTGCCTGCGCAGTATCCGCCGTACGCCTGCTGCGCGCCGCATGATCCGCCTGTCCGCTTTCAGCAGGTCGAACACCGAAAGCAGCCAGCTGCTGATCACGTGGTATGCGGTTCCAAGGAGGAGGAGGAGAAGGAGAAGGAACCAAGCGCAGAGGGTCCTCTCCGTCGTCGTCGGAATCCGGGCTGAAGTGGTCCCGCAGATCGTGTCTCCCGAGTTGACGTCCGCGGCGTATGGGAACAGCGATGTCCACCCGGCCCTGAGATACCGGGAGATCGAAGGAATCAGCAGAGGATTCTGACATGGTGAAGTTGATAGGGGTAGTTGATTGGGATGGGAAGGAAGGGAGGGAGGGGATGAGTCAGCCGAAGGGAGCTGATGGCGAGTTGAACGTTGATGGCGGATGATAATTTGTAATTTCGGGGTTGTTCGGGCTTGGCTTAATAGATTTTGTTTGGACAGGGAGATAGTCTGGGCTACACCACAGGATACTGAGGGTAAACTGCAGTAGTGGATACTTCTAGTATGAAGTATGGAGTCGAGACAAAAGGGGAGCATGCTGAGCTCGGGTTGCGAGCGAGATATGGTCCGTGCGTAGGTTTTTGGTCGCTCCGGACGTGGACGTCGGGCGTGCAAGCAGATCCAGAAACTTGCCCAGCATATCTGCTGCCTGCCAGTGAGCCTACTGAACGTGGGAATACAGCTACATATTGTGATTATAATTGTGTCCTATGATACAGTCTTCTTCCCCTCCCGAGCATCTCCCACCCACCACGCCGTTCCGCCTAGTCCCCGCGTGAAGGCGAGTACTTGCTCCGCTTCCTCAACGTCGCACCATACTTCATCAATACCAACGGGATCGGTCTATACACGTAAGCTCTATCCCTGATACCAGACGATGTCAAGAGGGCAACTTACGCCATGAGCAACGCCAGGAAACCAAGCAAAGAGGACGCCCATTGCGTCCCGAGCCTCGTATACATCTGTCCCGCGAACAGCGGGAAGCCCGCGCCGAAGACGGATCGACAGACTGTAGCCGCCGCGAGCGCTGAGGCAGCGGACCAAAGGTAGACATCGATGATGTAGTTGAAGCTATACCATCAGCTGTGCCCTGTTGTGTCGACTAGACCCCAGACGGAAAAGGCCAGCTCACAGTGTGACGAACATCCCGAGAATCCCAATGCCGAGGAGCCCGGCAGCGAGGACGGGACTGATCCAGTGGATACTCTCATATGCGCCCGTCCAGCCAAACCAGAACATGGCGATGACGAGACACCAGGCTGTGATGACTGAGAGTTCGAGCCGTTTTTCAGGGAGGGGTGGCAGGGGTGCGCGCTTGGCTACGTGTCGCTGGTATCGAGGCTCAACGAGGAAGATGTAGCTAACATCATCAGCACGTTGATCCGTGAAAGAAGGGAAACTCGGACTCACATGAAGACGCAAATCACTCCACCGCATAGCAGTCCGAGGAAGGCGAGGCCGTTTTCACCTGCGTTGAAGCCGTGAACCTGTCGCCGTCAGCTTCTGATCATCCTCGGCCTCATTCGAGAAGCGGGGGACATACGTTGACGAAAACGAAGGGGAAGGCTTCGAACAGCAGATACACTACACCATACACGAAAGACATGTACAGCGTGATCGCGAGCAGCATCGGCTCGCGGACGAGCATGATGAATGGTTTGGCGAGGATATTGTGGAGGGTCTGCTTGAAGCTCCGGTCGGCTCTTTCGACTGATACGTCAGTTTCCCGCCATTCTCAAGCATCGTGCAAGGGGTTTTAGGCAACTTACGAGGAGCATAATACCGATCATCACCAGTCTCTTTACGCATCCGGACGGCTTTGGCGGTGAGGATCGCGGGAGCGTAGGTCTCGGGGACGACAAAGATGATGACGAGCAAACAGGCCCCGGCGAAGAGTGTCAATATCCAGAAGACCCATCTCCAGGACTGCAGGGTCAGCTACTTGGACACATCCAGGTCAAGATTGACTCACAGTCTCGGTGACCTGGATGTAGCCAGAAATGATCGGCCCCAGACTTGGCCCCGCGAACGGCGCGATACTAAACAGCGACATGGCCTGTCCTCGGTGGTCCGTGTCCCAGATATCCGCAATCAACGCGCCAGAATTCGTCAATGGCGCAGACGCAAACGTTCCGCCGAGGAAGCGGAAAACCAGGATACTGGCTGTATTTGGGCTAAGGGCGCATCCGACCTGAAATCCCGTATAGAAGACGAAGGAGATGATGAAGATGGGCCGACGACCGTATGCCTCGGATAGCGGACCCCAGAGGAGCGGGCCGAGGCAGTATCCGGCGACAAAGAGGGAGATTGTGAGAACCGCAATCTCCTCGGAGAATTGGAATTGCTCGATCAGGGGCTGGACGATACCGGATGGTGCGGACGACGCAAAGGTCGAGTTGAGGACGAGAAGGCCGGCGATAGCTGTCAACATCCACCGGTAGCCTACACCCCAGTTCTGCTTAGTTAGCACCGCTGTTCCCGAGCAAACAGGCCATGAGACTCACCTTGGGGTTTGCCGCCTCTCCCGGCTCAAATCTGACAGCGAACGGATCAGGCCCTTTCCTCTCCCTCTCACTCTCCCGCTGCAGCTCCTCCTCTAGACTCCGCACAGCCATCAAGCCCAACTCTGCGTCTTCCCCACTTGGCGCACTACCCCCGAACGGCCCCACGCCAGGCGGCAAGCTGACTTGCTTCCGGATCGGCTGCATCCCGTACCCAAAGGGCATCTCCCCGCCTGAAGAAGTCTCGACCTTGCGGTTGATACGCGAGAGCGTGCCCGACCGCTCGGTCCGGCGAGTAGGAGCGAGCGGGCTCACTTGGTCAGACGACTCTTTCTCGTTCATCCCGCCCATCCCGCCTCTGTTGGGGTCCTTCTCGTCGGTACCGACCCCGAGATCCTGCGCTTCTTCTGCGGCGTAATCGGGGGTGCATCGGCCGTGCTTGTATACCGGATGACTCCCGTCCGAGGGGGAGTTGGCGATTGTCGTACCAGAGGATTGGGAGGCTAGCTCGTCATTTGAGCGGGTAGTGCCGTCCCCGGATTGGGATGACGGTACGGCCGGTGCTTCCGATATGACCGGCTCATTGATTGAGGGAAGATGTGATGTAGAAGATGGCTGTACCTCCGAGTGAGGGAGGGTCGAGGTCGATCCATATGGCGTCCCGAGGACGAGCGGATCACGGGCCAGCCCCGACATTTTGTTGTTTACAGGATAGCTTAGCTATTGTACACAGCAGCTGTCTGATTTTGATGGGTCCGTCGGATGATATACAGGTGTGATGCGATGCGCGGTGATGATCAAGCTGTGGACGAAGAGATATGAATGTTTCAAGAGGAAAAGCTGATGGTGTGAGCCTGTGGGGTCTCGATTTATTTATGGCCGCATTTGGATGACGTCGCCACCAACAGCCACATTCCTCGCCGCGTCGGGTCCACAGTGCTGACGGCCGACGGGAGCTAGTTCCCAGTAGACCTCCCCATCAGATCAGTAGCTGACAAAGCTCTACCACAGCGGGGTAAAGACATGCACACAACGATCGGACCAAATCACACCTTCTCCACCGCGACCTTATCATAAGCCCTCCCCTTGCCCTTCCGCCACACACCGACCCTCTTCCTGCCCCCACCATAAAAGTACCACCCCAGCCCAGCAGGCACCGCCACAAAGCCCGCGAGGAGCACAAAGTAGTTGAGGGGGTTCGACAGCGTGCTGTACTCGTCGTTTTCACCGTCCAGGATCGGCAAGAGCGCGTCAGTACCCGAGGCGGCGGAAGAAGCGAGGTCGTCGTCGCCTTGGTAGTCTGGCTATTTTTGCATGCTTCAGAATACTGCTCTTCGGGTGTACGGACAGTGTTTTGGTATGGCTTGCGTATGCCTTCAACAGGGTGCGGAGGTGGGGTGGGGGATTTAGAGCTCAAGACGGAGAGGTACCTGGTTGCCCTCATCGTCAATCTCGTGATCCATTTCAAGCTACAACATCAGCTTCGATCATCACAATGGCGACATATCAATAGCTCACCTCGCCAGACGCAGTGATCTTGACGTCCTCGACCGGTTTGTCAGACCTGGCCTTGGCATTCTCCACAGCGTGGACAATGTCCATACCCTCAAGAACGTGACCGAAGACCACCTGTAATTGTCAGCTTGAGCTTGTTGAACGAGATCGAGGTAGCTGACGTGTCGGCCATCCAACCAGGAAGTCTTGACAGTGCTGAATATGTCAGCGCAACTCTAACTCCTTTACCAGGCCGCAGCGGCAGCTTTGCGGAATGCGAGGACCAAAAGCGACCGGTGAAAAGGGTCGAGGTGCGATCCGCGGAAATGCAAACCTGGTCCAGCCAACTCACCAGATGAAGAACTGAGACCCATTGGTGTCCTTTCCGGCGTTGGCCATTGCTATACTGTCAGCTTAGAATAGGCAGCGGGGAAAGGCAGGACATACAAAGCGTTCCGGGACCGGTGTGCTTGAGCTTGAAGTTCTCATCCGCGAACTGTTGATTCAGCTGTATTCATACATGTACTGGTGGTTCCAGCTGAGCGAATAAGTTGCAAGACATCCGCGGACGCGCAGTCGCAAAGGAGGTGCAGATAGGATGTCAACCCACCTTGTTGCCGTAGATGGACTTTCCGCCGGTTCCGTCGCCCTTGGTGAAGTCACCACCCTGAATCCTGACTGATCAGCTCCTCGCCTGATGCACCCGGCCATGTGGCGATGCTCAGACACGTATGAGCAGACTCACATGAACTGCTTGATGACCCGGTGGAACCCGCTCCCTTGGTATCCAAAGCCCAACTCCGTCCCGTCCTCCCTCTTCCCAGTGCAGAGAGCGCGGAAGTTCTCTACCGTCTTGGGAACAGTCCTGTCCGTCAGCGTTCACGTGTGCATCCACTCCGCACACGATGGCTCACTTTCCGTACAGACCCATGACGACCCGGCCGAGCGGCTTGCCTCCATGTTCAATATCAAAGTAGACCTTGTTGGTAATGACCGGCCCCTTTGACGCTTCTGCCACCGGGGAGAAGACGAAGAGGAGGGCCAGGAGGGCTGCGAAGAGTGATACGAGGGATAAGCGGAACATGATGGCTATGGTGTAGATGCAAGAGGGCAAAGGAGGACAGAAGGAGATGGATGGACGTGAACGTGGAGCTGCCAAAGTGGGGGGCAGACTTACACCGTCTTGTGGGCGGCACGTGATCAATCAAACGTCATGCATCATGTTGATTTCGCGCGCGACGCGTCCAAAAGCTCCAGCCAAAAGAAGGCCATTTTGTATCGAATCTATATGTACCAGCTAGTATTTACCTCTCTAGATAATCTGATCATCACACAGAATGGACGACCACCCGGACCCCATCCTCAACTTCTACTCAGAGAAAGAAGCGGAAGAGCCAGACGCGCTCTATATCGCTCTGACCATCGCCCGCACCGCGACACCAGAGGATGTACGCAAAGCCTACCGCAAGCTTGCGCTCAAGTATCATCCTGACAAGCATGGATCGAAAGGAGAGGACGATAAGGAGAGGATGGGGAAGGAGTTCCAGAAGATTGGGTTTGCGTATGCTGTGTTGAGCGATGAGGGGAGAAGGAAGCGGTGAGTCGTCGATCCTTGTCAGGGTGCACCGCAAGGATAGCCTACGCCTGGGACCAATGACTGCTGTCCGAGGCACATGCGAAGCTTCTCGGTCCTTGCTCTATGCCATTCGGCATCAATAGCTGATCCTCTACAGGTACGACGCGAATGGAAAGACGGCCGAGAATGCCTTCACCGACGCCGAGGAAATGGGCTGGGATGCGTACTTCGAGAGCCTGTTCCAACGGGTAGATCGGAAGATGCTGGATGACCATAAGGAGAAGTATCAGGGTGAGCTAGTAGATCCGCGATCGTGGCTGGACACTGGCTGATAGCCTAGATTCTCAAGATGAGCTCGACGATCTCGAGGAGGCATACAATAAATCCGAGGGGTCCCTCCCGTCCATCCTCCAGGGCATCCCCCACGCCACTCACGAGGACGAGTCCCGCCTCATCGGTCTCGTGGAAGATCTCATCTCATCCGGAAAGCTTGAGCGGACCAAGGCGTGGACGAAGTCATCAAAGGACCAGACGGCTGCCAAGGCTCGAGGAAAGAAGGCATCCAAGGAGGCCAAGGAGGCGGAGCAGGCTGCGAAGGAACTGGGGGTATGGGATGAGTTCTATGGGAATGGGGAGAAGGGGAAGCGGAATGGGAATGGAGGGACAGAGGAGGCAGGGAAGGGGAAGGGGAAAGGAAAAGCAAAGGGGAAGGAGGCGGGCGGAGGGGAGGATGCGCTCGCTGCGTTGATCCTGAAGCGGCAGAGGGATAGAGACGGGGGTCTGGACGCGATGGCGGCGAAGTACGCAAGGATGGAGGAGGATGCGAGGGAGAAGAAGAGGGCGAAGAAGGGTGGGAAGGCGACCAAGGAGCAGGAGCAGGAGAATGAAGAGCCGCCAGTGAGTAGCTACCGCCGTTTCGAACTCTTTCAACGAGTCGATCGAGAGCTGACCTTGCAGGAAATCAGCGATGCGGACTTTGAGGCGCTGCAAGCGAAGATGTTCGGCGGGAAGGGCGGAGCAGCAGGGTCCAAGGGGAAGAAGGGTAGGGCGTAGGGGGGAGTCGGTCGAAGTTCAGGCGACAAGAACCCTTCATACATTTCCATCTATTTCGTGTATATCAACTTCGATTTCGTTCATGCATTCTGCTTTGCTTACCCATCGCCCAGCGCTTTCCTCGCCTCCGCTGTCACTGTCGCTGCTGTTGCTCTTATCGGCCGCCATAATCGCAGCTGCTTCGGAATCGGGTGACGCCGATGACGTTGACGCTGTGCCTGAATTTGGCTCATCCTCTTCTCTGCCTCACTTTTCGCGCATCGACCATTCCTCCTTCTTCTCAGCTCACGACAAAAGTATCCAGGTATAATCAGGTCGTTCAAGAGGCCTCGCAGAGCCGTATCCTACAGCTATCCGCCCCTCCCGACTGGATTACCAGCCATGATCCGCCCAACATCATCGACACTCGCGACGTTCCGTCAACCTCTCGCTTCCCGCGCCCTCCTCCGCTCACGCCTCGTACATACCAAACCCTCCACTCCCACCCCTTCATCACAGCCCAAATCCCTCCCCTCGGTCCAGAAACGTACCTACATCTCCTTTCCCTCGCACCGCTTCTCGTCAAAATACCCCATCTTATCGCTCATCGCCCGACTCGGTGCGTCGGTCGTCATCGGTTCCGGTCTCCTCCTGGGGACAATCTTTGTCCATGATGCCTTTACATATCGGGAGAGGCATGTGGAGCGGGTGCCTGTAAATGCTTTAGCGATCAGCCCAAGGAAGGGCGGGAAGAAGGATCTGCCGATCCTTGAGGTGGATCTGGATGAGGAGGACGAGGCCAAGGTCAAGATGCACAAGAAGCCGAGATTGGTCATTCTCGGTGGTGGATGGGGTGTGAGTCTGGACCTCCTATGGGTGGTTGAGAGGCTGACTGTCTAGGCTGTAGCGGTCATTCAGTCCCTCCCGGTCGATACCTATAACGTGACGGTCATCTCCCCTCAGACGTACTTCACCTTCACTCCCCTCCTCCCTTCCGCTTGCGTCGGCACTGTCGAGTCCAGATCACTGGTCGAGCCACTCCGGAAGATCGTGGCCAGGGTGAGGGGTCACTTCCTGCTCGGATCGGCGGTGGATATCGATATGGGCGAGAGGTTGCTGGAGGTGGAGGTGCCGCATGATCAGGGAGAGGGGACCACACGGTGTTACGTGCCATGTAAATTGAACGGCCCTTAGATGGAGAGATTCACAGCTGACACACTTAGATGATAAGCTCGTGATTGCTGTCGGTTCGACCAGTAACGACCATGGCGTGCCAGGTCTGGAGCACTGTTTCCAGCTCAAAACAGTCCCGGACGCCCAGGGGATCAGGCGGAGAGTTATGAGTGAGTCCCGCTGCGATGCAACCTCGGATGGTACGGAGCTGACTTGCAGCCAACCTGGAACTTGCATCTTTACCAACGACCACGCCCGAGGAACGGAAAAGACTGCTCTCGTTTGTCGTCTGCGGTGGTGGACCCACAGGAGTTGAGTTCGCGGCTGAGCTCGTTGATATGATGGCTGAGGAAGTGTTGTCATACGTACGTAGCTAACTTTGGCATGATGGAGCGAGAACTTAGCTGATATCCTCAGTTCCCCAAGATCCTCAACAACGATATCCGTGTACACGTCATCCAGTCCCGAGACCACATCCTCAATACCTACTCCGAAAAGATTTCAGAGTACGCAGAGGCGCGGTTCGCCAGGAACGATGTCAACCTTGTTACCAACGCTCGGTAAGCTTTACTCCTATCTTGCTCCTTGCTGGGTCGGGTGTGTAAGCTTACCAGGCAGTGTAAAGGAGGTCACAGCCGACAAGGTCGTCATTACCCGCAAAGACCCCAAGGACAAGGATGCCAAGCCGATCACGGAGGAGATCAGCGCTGGTTTCGTTCTCTGGTCGACTGGTATTGGTACGTCCAAGCGCCGCTCACTGATAGGTCCACCAGAGATGAGCTAACCGATAGCGATGAACCCCTTCACCAAGCGCCTAGTCGAGATTCTGCCAAACCAGTTCCACTCCAAAGCGGTCATCACGGACTCGTTCCTCCGCGTGCAGGGCGCACCGAAGGGGACTGTATACGCTATTGGGGACGCTGCGACTATCAGCACGGATCTCACTGGGGATCTGCTTGAGCTCTGGGACAAATTCGATACCAACAAGGACGCCAAGCTGTGAGCTTCCCGAAACCCAACACACTTGAGTAGGAGACGGTAGCTGACATCATGACAGGGATTATGCGGAGTGGGAAGCAATGGCGAAGTTCATCAAGAAGCGGCACCCAATGGCGCAGCAGGCGATCGACAAGGTGTAAGTCTCGTTCTGCGGGCAGGGATGAGAGAGAGAGAGCTGACGGGGTCAGCCGGAACTTGTTCGACGAGTACGATACCGACAAGGACGAGGAACTGCGCCTGAACGAAGTGGCCGAGATGTTCCAGAAGCTCGAGAAGAAGATCACGTCGTACCCAGCTGTACGTCATCTGAAAAGAGCCCTGCAAAGAAGGAATCTTCAGCTGACAAATGTAGACTGCACAGGTGGCAGCTCAACAGGGCAAATACCTCGGAGCGATGTTTGGCAAGCTCGCCAAATCGCACAAGGCCCTCGAGCTGAACGAGATGCCCGACATGGATGATGAGGCGTACTATTCCCCTTTCGCGTACAGACATCTCGGCAACTTGGCTTACATTGGGAACTCGTAAGCTGGCTCTGTCGCATCCAGATGAGTATGAGCGTCAGCTAATGTGATAGCGCTGCATTCGACTATAATGGGTACAGCTTCGCTGGTGGTTTGTTGGCGATGTACGCATGGCGGTCGTAAGCTGAATATCTCCTTCCAAGGTAAGGATACAGTGAGCTGACGGGACAGGATCTACTGGTCTGAGCAGACTTCGATGCGAACGCGAACGTTGTTGATGTTTGACTGGATCAAGCGTGGAATCTTCGGTCGGGATCTTTCCAAGGTGAGCTTGGTCCATGCGGGTCGTCATACACAGGTGTATGTGAGCTGACAGAGGTCTCAGTTCTAGATAAGAAGAAGGGAACGGTTCTGACGGCGGATCTGACCTGAGCCGAGGGGTACAGGCGGGTGGCGATGCACTTTGCGTGTGTTCTAGAGGCTCTCCTGAGGCGGGCACTGAATGCACGTGTGTTTAGAGGAAAAGCTGGGGGCGGGCCAGCCTAGATGTCTCGGTAATATAGATATGCGAGACTTTGGAGGACAAGGCAGGACAAGGAAGGACGAGGAGGACAAGACAACAACACCCCGAGCCCGCTGCAGTGTCTGCTGACACACAGCGGCGGGGCACGGAGTGCGGATGCCCGGGTGCCTTGTCTCCGTCCCGGTCGAGGAATGCTTGGCCTCTGACGAGAGCACTCTGCAGAGCTCCGTACGGCCTATCATCGTGCCGATCTCCAGCGAGCTGCCTATCGTTTAACTGAAACCATCCGAGTCTCAACAGGCCGCATATGGGAATTTTGCGCGGCTGATTTTACTTTTGCCACCCAACCCTTAGGCGCGGCGTCCAAGGCGTGGTCTTTATCTGAGACATTGACGGGCTAAAGCTTATACTCCGGGTGACGGAGGGGTGAATAGCTGCCCACTTGGCGCCTATGCATACAGGCTGCTAATCAAGTCTTGGATTAGCTCCGCGGATTGCAGTGCGATTTAGCGGCGGCGGTCTCTGTCGGTATGGCTTCAGCGCGGAGACCTCTGCTTATCAGAGCGCAAGCTTTTCTCTCGGAACCTTGTTCGATCAACTATCGCTAGCCCTTTACTCAGACAAGCGCCATCCCGAAGCATAACTAAGATCTAGGCCTCAGAGGGACGGGTTCCTAGGCAGAAAATTGCGTCAGGCCGTAGCCGTAGCCGATGCCGATGCCGTTCCGGTCCAGGTGCTCCTCTCCTGCTTGCTCCGCAATGAATGAGCGGTGGGTCTATCAGTGAAGTCTTTACTCCCCCTTCAAAGGTATCTCGATACCTCATCCCTACCTTTGCCCATATACAACAGCAACGACACATCCGCATCCTCGCTCTCACTTGAAGAAAGGACGAAAACGCACACAACGACACCGGTGAACGGAGACCTCGTCTAGCCAAAGCGAGTGTCCAGTTCATATAGCCCTCGTTGTATCATATTCGACATCGGCCCAAGATCGACAGGAGGCACCTACTCTTCACCTCTCATCCCTCCCGCCTCTCATCTTCACCTCCCACCTCTTCCCCCACTCCAGCACTCTCTCCCCACCTGTACGACCACTCCCCATTCCTCGCCTCGTCATCGGACATCCCCGCCCTTCATCTCATCTCATCTCTCCGTCTTATCCTCCGTTATCGCCCAACGCCACTCCCCATCCATCGTCGCATCTCACCGGGCTCGACGCAAGGCGATCACCCGATAACGCTGAGCGCGCACGGAAAGGTGGAACGGCAGAGGAAGAACCGGAACCGACTGTCCCGTCGGTTGGGCGATATCAACAACAACATCTCGTCATTCGTCTGCTGGACAGACCGTCGGCGCAAAGCAAGAGCTTGACGCTCGCTGCCTAATGGAATAAAGCTCTATCGCCTTGACAATCAAGCTCGGGCCTAATAGCCTAATCACCATTACAAACGCACGCTCGGCCAGTGACTATCCTCTTGATCGATCTGCGGGACAGAGATCATCGTGAGTTAGATTTGCCGCATCTCTTCGTCTTCTACCTCTACCTCTCTCCGCCACCTCCATCCTCCTTATATACATCCTCGGGCAGAGCCTGACACAACAGCAAGCCTGGCGCTACAAGGCAATAAACAAACAAACAACCTATAATCCAATACAAACAGCCAGCCTGTTCCACCCAATCCATTAATACCGAGACATCCCCCGGGCTTGTTGACAAGCTCGCCAAATCTCAACCCCACCCATCCTCCAGCCCGGTCGTCTACCTGAGTCGCCGCCGATCAGTCAGCGTCGCATCCGCATCTAGGCCCGCGCTCGCCTCAAACCTCCCCAGCCACCGTCACAACCATGGAATCACTCTTCGAGCCGTCCTCATACCTCGATCCGTCTCCATATGACCCTTCCTCCTTCCTCACCTTCTCCTCTTTTGCCGATCTCACCGCATCACCACCCAGCATCAGTGATACGTGGGACGACATCTTCTACTCCCCTTCTTCTTCTTCTTCATTTTCGTCTTCTTCTTCTTTTTCCCCTTGTTCATTATCATCCAAACATCCCGCAAACATCTACAACGCTGCCGCCGGACTTCCCACCCGCTCAGCCTATTCAACGTCAAGCGATTGTTCCTCGCCTGACCTCGCATTCGACCCCTTCGAGATCGCCTCGTCCGCTTTCGAAGCGTCATCCCCAGGTATCTTCCATCTCCCCTCCCACGCCGGTCCGAGCAAGCTCAGCGCTGCCGACGCTGCTCCCGGCCTCACCCACCGCGTTACCTCGTCCACGGACAGCACCTGGGACAGTCCCCTCATCACTCCCGCGCTGAACAGCAACGCTCCCGGCTTCGTCTCGCCCCAACAGGTCAGCAAAGCCGCCTTCTCGTGGGAAGACGCACCCTCCACTCTCGCCTCATCCTCCTCCTACACCCCTCCTACCACCGCCGTCTCCCCCGTCCCCCTCCGTGTCGCCTCCAACCCCTCTCTCGGCGCACACAAGAACCCGCGAGCCATCCGTCCCGTCAACTCGATGCCGGCGCTCAAGGAAGAAGTGGACACGTTCCAGTGGTTCGACGGAACCAGCCTGGACGGGACGGACCCGGTCATTGACGAGGCGTTGGTGGATAACTTTGATTGGGTGTTTGGGGACTATGGATTAGGGGAGAATCTGCAGGGAACCATCTTCGCCGCATTCAAGGAGAATGAGCCAGCCGAGCCTGCGCATAACACCCCTCTCACTTCCGCCTCAACCTCCGGTCTCCTCCCTCACGAGCCGGTCTTCTCTACAACCCACAACTCGACTTCCCCCATCGAGACCACGGACAATTTCAGCATAAACAACAACGACCTATCATCATGGTACGCTCAAAACGCCGAGATGACGCAGGCCGTCAACCCCTCGGCGCAGATGCAGACGTACGAGTTCCCCTCGTCGTTCGGCATCGACCCTACCGTCTTGGGCGGGGGATCGGACGGGTCAAGGCCGGCGAGTGCGCCTGGAGGCGATGTAGAGGGACTGGGGATGTTGAGCGCACCAGTATCTGGGCAGATGTCGCGGAGGTGAGTAGTCCCATCTGAATTGCTATGGGACATGACTGACAATCAGCTTGACGGCTCCCGGCTACGTACCTAATCGGAGTGCTCCAGCCTCGGACCTCTTTGCATTCGACCCTCACTCCATGCAACCCACACATTACGCTCCTCAGCAGCAGTCGACCTACCCCCCGACTCAGCAGCTTCCCATCCGCCCCCTTCCTCAGCGGAGAGCATCGCATGGGCTGAGCATCTCGATCCAACCCTCGGCCTACTCTACCTTCTCGATGCCGACCGACCTGCCGACCCCTCCCCACTCGGCACCGTTCAGCTCATCGAGCATGGTCCACGCCCAAGCGCACGCTCAGTCCGGGTATGCGCCCCAGGTGTACTCGCACCTCCAGGCACCCGCGCAGATGGCTCGGGCTGGAACGCAGCCCCTGCCCTCGACCAGGCGGAACAGCGCGACCTCTACCACCGGCGCGTCCACCCCGACTATGCCGGCCCACCTGGTCCGCGCACAGGCGATCGTGCAGATGCAGGAGGCCAAGGAGGAGCAGCAGAGGCAGGAGATGCGCCGCAAGGCCGCGTCTCGCAAGATCGGGATGGCGGAGGCTAGCGTCATGCAGCCTCTCACTTCGTCCGCTCCCATCCAGCCGCCCCCGCACCACGCTCCCCCTCAACCGCGTCATCAGCCCTCCATCGTCGGTTGGGCCGGCCCGTCCTCGCTTCCCTCGCAGTCGCACATGCCATCCGGTATGAGCGGGAATTTGGGACCGGTCCTCACCACTCAACCCCTCATCGTCCACCCCCCTCCTCAACAGTACTACTCTACTGCCCCCGCACACACCTACCACCCCTCGCACCTCGCCCACCCCCAGCAACACCCCCAGCCCCAGCCGCACCGCGTCCACCCACCTCCTCACCCCGGTATGGGCGCCGGTGTCGGACTCGGTATGGGTATTCCCCGTCCCATGGCTCGTCTCCCTTCATCACCTACCAAGGGCTCTCGCAAAGTCACCTCGCCGACCAAGCGCTCGCCTTCCGGCGCAACCAAGCGGCGGCCAGTCATGCAGCCGGGCGGATTCTCGTGGGGCGAAGCGACCTTCATCAACTTCACCCCTGACGACGCAGAGAAGCTCTTGACGGGTGTCGCGCCAAGTGGGTCTCAGGCCAAGCGGAAGCGCGAGGAGGATGCGGCGCGGGGAAGCGGGGCGATGACCATGAGCATGGGCATGGCGGGTGGTATGATGGCGGGAGAATATCTTGCGGTGGATATGGACAGAGAGGGGTCGAAGCGGTCGAGGGGAGAGTAGGAGGTAGTTTGGTGATGTGCGACCTGGACGAGTAGGATCTATCTGTTTGTATATTGTATGCTATCTGTACGTATAATAGCTTTAGCATACATAGACTTGACGCAGATGCAGCATGATGATAGATACCTCGACTGGCTGGCTGGGTGCGCAGAAAGACACTGGTCAATCGTGCATGAGGAAGAAGGCCGAGAACGACTTGGAGACAAAGGCTGGTACACTGGCGACTATATACAAGTGAGGCTTACAAAGGTCCTACAAGGAGGGTGGTACATTGCCCGAGGCCGAATGCGCTACAAGCCGTGGCTGATCTCATAGACCACATGAGGGGGAAGGTCGTCGATCGGGTCATTGTCGGGGAAGCGGTACCTGCCGATGATCAGCTTGGGTCCCGGGTCCATTGGCAGGCCAGGAGGACGGAGACTTACTTGCTGAGGATGTGCGGGATACCGGCAAAGAGTGGGCCGTATCGCGCAGCATTGTCGTACAGCTCGTACACCGGGATAGCGTGCAGCTTCATGTTCGCCGGGACAGCGAAAATCTCTGCTCGCGTCAGCTTATGGCCATGCTAACAGACGACCAGACGAATCAGCTTACTCTTGGGAGGGAGCTCAACCATGAAGACCTTCTTGATCTCCTTCGGATGGGTGTGCTGAGGAGGGAGATAGGGGTACTGCCAGTCATCAGCTCTCGTCCTGAGCTCGCGGCAATCCTACAGCTGACTCACGAAGAATGTGTCAAAATTGGGCCTGTACCACATACTAACGCACTCTCTGACCTTCCAGTCGCCCGCCTCCTTGTTGCGCGCGAGGAGCCAGTTGGGCGCGGTCGACTCGGGGACGCCAAGTTGCTCATTGAGGCGGGTGATGAGGCCGTCCTCGAATGACTCGGAAGGGTCGAGATAGCCGCCGGGACTGTAGAATCAGCTCATCATCCCCTGCTTTGCCCAACGCATATTCCTCGAGCGGAAACGTCACACTTACAGCTTGTAGAACGCGTTGGCCACCTGGACGACCAGGACGTGCGGGAAGCCTCGGTGCTGGATTGATCAGCTATGACCCTTCTGAGACACAGAAATGTCGACCTGATAGCTCACGGTGACTACGATGAGGGCTTCAGCCGAGCGCCTCATACCGCTCTCTGAATACTGCAGCTTCAGGCGCTCGAGGCGGTCGGAGACGGAGTTGTCCTCCTCTTGCTGGCTCTCTCGCTCACTGCTTGGTCAGCTCGAGGCGCAGGACTCCAATTGACCCGACTAGCCACTTGAAGCTCACATCATCATGTAGTCCTGGAGGGGGCAGCTGTTCAATCAGCTTTGACCGGTAAGAAGGTGGGGTGGGGGAGGAACGATCTGGGTGAAGGGCGGGGCTCACATGGGGAAATCAGTCCTCATATCTGCGACCATCTTGCTGACTATCTCAAGGGTGGATCTTTGGGTACTCAAGAGGTGGGTCGTGGTAGATGCAGGGGGAGTGAATGTAAAGAAGAGAGTACGAGGCAAGGGAGGAAGAGTTGGGAAGGCGGCGGAATGTTGGATCCTGGCTGTGTGTTTCAGAGCGTGCCTGAAACGCGTCATTTCCTAATAGAATTAGGTACTCTGATTAGAAAATTCCATTAGGAAATGCAGTTGAGTCAGCTCACTGACGTCACCCCAGCCAAAAAGTCTGAGGAAGGTGCTGAATCGACCATCATCTTCCTCCTTTAGCTTTATCACTCAGCCAAGTCTCGCCTTCACAGTCAGACTGATGCTGGTATTCCCCTTGTATGATCTGTACCTCACCATCATGTCCTTCCTCTCCCCGCTAATCTCCGCCACCTTCCCCTCACCCCGCCCAGGACCGCACAAGAACCTTGGATACGCCTTCCTCTCCACCCCGGCTCTGGCGCCCTGGTCTCTGAAGTCCCCTACCTTCATCAGCAACGGGAAGCCGGCATTGAACCTATTGGATATAGGGTATGCGGTGTACTATCCATCCGCTCCGCCAAAACGGGGATGGCTCGGAGGCGGGGAGGGTACGGTCCATTGGTTGAGTGATCCAAAGAAGGAGGTAGTACGGGGGTATGAGCGCTTTCTAGGAAAGAGGACATACTGGCTGCTGGGTGAGCTTAGCAGCTTCTGGGCGGAAGGCGCAGAGCTGACATGATCAGTGAAAGCAATGAGCTTCTTTGTGCCTCGCATGAGAGTGAGCAGATTCCACCGCTGGATGGAGAGGGAACCTAATCTTGCAGTTCCGTGCCAATCGCAACGCTCCACTACTACCCCCTTCCTCATCTTCGCAGTATCCGATCGTTGTATTCTCACACGGTCTCGCGGGTACAAGAACGACCTATTCACAATACTGCTCCGCGCTCGCATCGGAGGGATTCGTGGTGCTGTCGATCGAGCACAAGGACGGGTCTGGACCGCTGGTCACAGTCTCACGAGGGGAAGGAGACGGGGAGAAGGATGGTTTGCTGCACTATATACGGGGGACAGATCTACTGTGAGCTTAGGCGTATAGCTTTCCTGGCCGAAAGCTAACGATACAGCTGGGCTGTCGATGAAGATTCCTCACTCTCGCACTTCCGGACGCTCCAGCTTCAAATGCGCCTTCGCGAGGTGTACGAGACGTACCACTCATTCCGACGAGTACTGGCAGGCGAGGTGGAGCCTGTATTTGAGGGGATGAAGGGAGATCAGCCGCTGGAATGGCTTGCATCGCTACGGGATAAGGTCGATCCCGAGCAGGTCTACTACACCGGGCACTCTTTCGGAGGAGCGACAGTCGTACGTTCAGCTCCACTTCCTGCATGAGAGTTTCTGGCTGAACGATAGATCAACACCCTACAAACACCTCCACCAGACTCAGCCTATTCCCGACTTCCTGTCGTCAAAGCGATAGCCCTGGACCCGTGGCTGGAACCCCTCGCAGCTCCTGCTCCATCACAGCATGGCGGGCCAGTCTCGCCGCCGCTCCTTGTGCTCAACTCTCCAGGCTTCACGATATGGAGAACCCACTTCCAGCGGCTGGTCAAGCTCGTGAAGGAGGCAAAGGGCAGTCTGATCACTATTATGAAGGGTACCCGTGAGTAACGTCTGTCATCTCAATCGAGCCAATTAGCATAGCTGATCAACAGACCAAAGCTTCTCCGACTTCCCCCTCCTTCTCCCACCATCTAGCGGTTCCCTCCGCTTCCTCGCCGCCTCGCATGAGCTCAGTATCAACTTCATCCGCGGTCACCTTGGTACTTCCCCGATACTCAAGGACTTGCAAGCCGATGGTGGAGAGGTAGAGAAGGACGAGAAGGGGAAGATGACTGCCACATCGGCGGTAGCTGTCCACCTCATCGGAAAGGATTGACCTGATAGATTTTAGACTTCGGCATGTTGTGTGTTTTCCTCTGCATCACCCATAGATTGACCATGCATTCCATCCTACGGGAATGTAGCGTTCCTCGTACACAGCTGGTAGATCACTGTTCCCTCCTCCGTCACTTCGAGGGCGCCTCGAAGCCAACAATCTCTGATCCCTTCCCTAGATCTGCGTTCCGATCAGCTTCCACCTTGTCGTATTCAGGTTCTCGCAGCATTGCTCACGGTATATTGGGCGCGCCACGAAGGACATGATCAAGGCGATATTGACCTCCGGCGCCGATCTGACCAGCCATGGTGGCGAAGAGCCGTTCCTCTTCCGTCATCAGTTGACGGAGATGACGGTTCAGACGGTATATGATGTCTTTGATTGTTACTCCATCACTGTCACATCGTCAGCGTCAGAAGCATATACCCACACTGGCATCAGAAGGTTACTCACTGATTGGCAACATTCATGCCGAAGAGCGAGTCGATTGTCACCATCATCTCCGCGACCTGTTCTTTGAGCTTTGGCCTCATCGAGGGGAGTTACTATACCACATACAGGAGGATTAGTTCTGCTCAGTCAGCCCGATCTACCGCTGATGCGGACCCGAAACAGACGTAGACTCACGCAAATGCCCTTGCGAGGAGAGGGTGCTCCTCCACCTCTTCCGTGTTCGGGTCCCTCCTCTCTCCGCTCTCGTCCGCCTTTTCCCAGTCCATCCCTGCGTGCGTCGAGGTCAACGCATCACCAAGCGTCAACTTGATGGGGTACAGCGCCATCTCGCCCTCCAAGAACCGCTGGAACTCCACCGAGCCAGTCTCCGCCAGGAACGGGTGGAGGAGCGGTGAATGAGGGACATGCGCGCGGTTCTTCCAGCTGAGAGGGAGGAGCCGAGGGTTGCGTGGTGTGCGCGAACGGTCGGCAGGCTTGTCCGAAGCTGGTGTGGGGCCGCCGACGTACGGTTGAAAGAATGCGCTCATCGCCTCGCCGAGAATGTTGGAGAATGACGCAGCTGGAGCCGTCGGAGCAGGAGCGGGAGGCGGTGGGACGGTGGAATGGGTCGGAGGAAGGCCGGAGCCAGGAGGAGGCGGCGGTAGGCCGAGAAAGCTGAAGAATTCGCCCATAGTTTCGTCGTCGAACGCCTCCGAGTCATCGTCGGTCCCCTCATAGTCCTCTTCATCGCTTCCCTCCTCTTCTGAGTCGTCTTGCTCATCCTCGCTATCATCTTCGCTATCGTCCTGGGGATGCTTTCCGCCGCATGTGCAAGGCTCCAGCTTCCGGAAGTATGCACGGTGCTCGATCACCTTGGCGGGGTAGGGTAATACATCACCGACCGCTTTCATAGCTACGCACGTCAGCTCGGCCCGGTCGCCACAGACTCTTCTGGAGGGACTCACGAGGCACGCCGAACTGGTAGCACTGCGGCGCCCGACACCTCGCTCTGTGCGACACCGACTCGATGAAGACCTTCCTCCAACTCAGAGATCTTTCCAGGTATCCTCGCCCGATCCCTATGGAGCGGCACAGCTCCTCCCATATTTCTTCGCCGCTGTAGAGAGACCTGGAAGCTTGGCTAATCTGACTGAGCGTGATGTGCTGGGTGGAATGAACGATGTAAGCGCTGATGGATATCCTGCTGGCTTAGCTCTTTCCCTAGCACGCGACTGAACAACGCGGCAAATAACGCGGACTCGGCGATCAGCTATGAATCAAAGCTTACCATATGTCCAGGGGGATCGCAATGCCTTCCGGCATGTCGATAAGGAGCTGCTTGCTGAGCGTGACTGCGCGAGATGAGGGACAGAACGTATGAAGGAGTGCGACCGGCGTGCAAGGCTCGAGCGGTAGTGGAGGCGAGGTAAGCAACGCGAGGAATGAGGTGTAACTTTCGCTGGACGCCTGCAGGCAGCAGCGACGCGTGCACTTTGACGGGCAGCAATGGCGGACTAGAAGGGCAATGGTGCAGTGGTTTGGGGAGACGCCTCTCATATAGGTACCTCCATACAGTAGGAACCCGCGCATCGACAAGTTTAAATGGTGGTCCGCATGATATATCTCGTACAGAACTTGCGCGCCACTCTACCATGCCACCAAAAAGTACTCGATCATTCCGCCCATGCGAAAGTGAATTGTGCCGCCGTACAGAGTGCATGACCCGGGATTATGATCCCAGGAAGTCGACGAACTGGGTATCAGCAACTATCGGCAAGCTATTACTGAAAGTCTGGGATGTCTTACGCCTCGCCATTATAGTGCGGAATCTTATTGTGTAGGAGAAAGTCCAGCCGAGTGGACAGCTCAGATATATCGCAGCGGTAGTGTTGCTTGCTTTTTCGGATTGCGACTCTCTCCGCTACTGTTAGTCGTCCGTAGAAGTAGTGTTGGCAATTGTAGACCACGTCCCTGACTGTGACACGGGCACTTGACCGAAGTCAGCTTGTCTCTCTGGCAGATGGAGTAAGTGCGCCATGCTCACCGATTGCTTACAATCGTCTCCAGTATGTTGCAATACCCGTACCGGACGACAATATATCGGTCACCTGCAGATGTCAGTATCACACACTCAATCCGACTTCGGCGGATCATTTTGCCGTACAGGAGGATTGGTCCTGCACTATCAGCGGTGGCCGATGGGACATGTCTGTGCAAGAATTAAAAACCTACGCGAAGGCTCGAGCTATTAGAGGATGCTTCCATATGACCTGAAACCGCCTATTCACCCGTTTCCGTGCAGGGTTGTCATCCCAGTCGATCCCGTACTCATTCTCCGTCTCCGGCAGGTAGTATGTCTGCATCTCGCCTCTGAGAAACCAGTTAAACGTCATACCGCCTAGACGCAAGAGATGATCGTGGCAATTGGGCCGATTCGGAACGTATTTCCGATTCCTCCAGCTCAGCGGTGCGAGCTGCAAAGCCGCTAAACGTGCTGCATGAGGGGTACATGCCGGCTCGATCCGGCGGAAAGCGCAAGGATCGACCCAGTCTGGGTCAGACTCCTCGTCTGATCCCAATCCTGGCTCCGATTCCGAGTCCGACGTGACTGATGCCGACGAGGGGGGAGCAGAGTGTGATGGACCGCTGTCAAAGGGTGGAGAGGCGATTGTAGTCGGCTCGACCATGGGGTATGTCCTAGCGATGGAGCGAAAGAGGGTCCCGACTGCGCATGCGACATCCGGGGGTTTGGCAATGGGCGCAGCAGTGAGGAGATCCATATCTTCCAGTCCGCCGGTAGACGAGCCCGAATCCGAGCCTGTATCCGGTAGGGGAGTGGGATCCGATGGGGGCAGGGCCACACATGCGGCACGCAGTAGGTCAAGTGACGGAAGAGTCCGAGCTTTCGCCGCTCGACGCCGGTATTTCTCGCTGATGAAGAGGAAAAAGTCTCCGACTGCTTCATCCACATCCACGGGGGCCACGCCAGGCAAAGGAGGGACTCGACCGTCGAATGACTCGTCGCTGTGGTCTCGGCCGCATGTTTCGGGATGACGGCAGGTCGAGAGAGGATGGGGATACTCGAAGTAGCTGTAATGGTCCGCGATCGCCTGAGGGGACGTGAGGAGATCGCCTATCTCCCTGAGTGCTTCCGGTCAGCCAGAATGCGTCCCAGATACTCACAGGGAAGGCCAAAATTGCAGCACTGCGACACCGTGCACTTTGCCCTGTGCGAAACCACCTCGATAAAGATCTTCCGCCACGGTTGTCGCTGTTCCCGATTCCCGCGTCCGAACCCGGTAGCACGACATAGCAGCTTCCAGGTCTCGTCGTCATCGTAGATCGCGCGAGATGAGACGCAGACCTGGCTGAGCGTGATATGGCAGCCTGGGTGGAAGAAGTAGGAGCGAATGTTCAGCCTAAGAGAGGGTCAGTGAGATCGATTCCGCATGATCGTATCGCAGAACTTGGGCACGATGTCGATCGTTTCACTTACCAGATCTCTCTGGGGATGTCATTGGAGCGCATTGTCAAGCTGAGTATTTTGGGGTCAGGTTGTGAATAAAGATGAAAGAAGGAAGGAGAAGAGAAGAGGAGAGAACGTCCCGGGCAGATATAGGAGGCGAGTCGACCAAACGTCGTTCAGCCCCGTCTTAGCTCGGAGCCGAACTCTGCAGCGGATCCGCCATCGTCGACTCGATCTGCTAGCGCGAGGGAAAGTGGGAAGTGTATTCCGGGGTGAGACAGCGAGAGACACGGAAAGCAGTGCTGTCTTCGTCGAGGTCTGGCCCATCCAGGCTCCCACTAGGGAGTCGCGCAAGGGCGCGGAGTCGAGACCCTGCTACCGCTGACTATCGGGCAATTGTGTAAAGCGTCATGTCATTCATGCATGCGGAGGATCTGCTTAGCTGAGGTCCTTCCTCTCTAAGCGGTGTAGTGCTTGAGCGAAGCGGTACCGGCGTAGTAGATGGAGCCGAAGAGCAAGCCTAATAGATCAGCCATGTACAGGTGAGAGAGCTGGATGTGGCAGACGTACTGAGCAGACCGGGGTACTGGATCAAAGCAAAGCCCTTGGTCTGGCAAACAGTCAGCTGGTGGTCTTCTCAAAGCTGGGACCCTGTAGATGGGCATATATGAAAAGTAACCTACCCTCTTAGCCGGGTCACCGCTAGAGTACTGGACCTGGAGAGGTATCAGCTTGGTTTCATTTGCTGCTCGTTCGGACAGCTCACCGTGTAGAAGATCCTGCCGAGCACGACGGCGGAGACGGCACCGACCGAGAGGACGGGGTTGTAGATACCTGTCTCTATCAGCCTCATAGAGAGCTTTATATTCAGGGTCTACTCACCGAGGAAAGCGGAGAGAGAGAGGACGAAAGGCATCATCTCGAGGGTGTTACCGTGGGCCCGCTGGACACAGTTGTAGATGTGCTTCTTCTTGTCTGCCTTGGCCTCGGCCTCGGTGACCAGCATGGTGGGGTAGTTGACGCCCGCCATCTTGCGGGCGGCACCGACACGGCTGCTCTGCCACAACTACAGGTCGTCAGAATAGTCCTAATGAGAAGGGTAAGGTGGAGCTCACGTTCAGGATGAACAGGGCGCTCACGCCGAGCCCGACGAGCGGGTAGTTGGCGGGCAGGGCGAGAGGGATGTTGCTGGCGATCTTGGACTGCATTTTGACTGACTGGACTGATTGGGCTATAGACAAGAAGAGTGGGAGGGATTGGAAGGGGTGTTATAAGTAAGCGTCAAGTTTCCAGATGATTCCGACCCTGCCCGCAGATCGGGCCGTTAAAAGCGGCTGTGGACGTGGAATATGGAATGCCGAGATGATCGTCATAGCCGAGTAGCTGGTCGGGCGAGCAGAAGCATATACAGGCATGCCTGAGCTCCAGCATGTCAAGGCGTCATGCATTGTATCCGCATCTACTGGTACAAGTCTACAAGGTGATCTACCACCCGCGCATCTCTTCCGCCTGAAGCAACGCCGCGCCAAAATCGCCGAGCAAGCTCTCGTCGAAGGGCAGCCCTTCCCCTCCGGGCTGGAACGAGGCGTCCCACTTTGCCGACTGGGGATAGGTCGGGAGGGTAGGACCGCCATTCTGGACCTGGCCATGGCGTAGATGACGCTGGTGAGGCTGGGGCTCGCCGTACGCGCTAGGGTGGTACATCGCGCCCGAGGGGTACTGCTGGTGCTGGTGAGGCGGCGCACCGTTTGGAGCTGGTGCAGCGAAAGGCTGGTTGAACTGGTGGGCGGTGGGTGAGAAGGGAAGCGCTTGGTCGTAGTTGAAGAAAGGGTCCATCTGTGCCGGTTGCTGATACGCAAAGTCTGACATTTGCATCACTGTACGATCAGCTTATGCTCCCGCCACAATGTGGCAACTGTACTCACTACCGCCGTGGCCTTGGTCAGGATACGCCCACGTCTGCTGCTGCACCGGCGGCGCCCAGCCCTGGAGTGGCCCTCCGACACCGTAAGCCGGCAGACCGCCCATATCGATCCCGCCTGGGGCCATGCCGAACTGATACCCGTCCTGAGCCAATTGACTGGGCTGGAAGCCGAATTGAGACGGGTTGTACTTGCCGTCCAGGCCAATAGCGAGATCGGAGGCGATGCTGCCACGCCTGCTGGAGAAGTCGTGGGCGTTTGATTCGGTCTCGGCGGACCCAGCGCGAGAGCTGACGGACTGCGAGCGGGACGGGCTGTCCGAGTTCTCGGCTGCCTGTTGTCGGGCCTGTGCACGGAGTGCGCGGATAGCGCCCTTGGATAGCTCGTTCGCTGCGGCCACTTTGCGCGGTCTGGCAGGTCAGGATTGTCCATGAGATGTACGATGAAAAGCTCACTTGGACCCCTTGCCCGTTGGCTGCTGCATCTTTTCCTTGATCTCCTCCTCGAGCTTCTCGCCCGAAGTCCCCTGAAGCAGCAACGCAGCTACATTTTTACACTTTTCCTCCTCCGCCTCATCCTTCCTTACTCGACGGCGAATGACATTAGTCCTTCTGTAGACCGGCTGGTACCTGTATCCGGGGTACCTGCAAAGATCAACACCACCCTTATAAGTCCAAGGGCTGGACTTACTTGATAAGATGCTCCTCCTTCTCCACCTTGGCTAGCTCATTGAAGCGCTCCTTTTGCTCCAAAGGGGCATCCGCCCACATCTTGGCGACGATGACGCTAACGTTCTGGTGCCTGATCTCGACGGACGCAGGGATGAGCTTGGCGTCCACAACGTGCTTTCGGAAGAGAATAAAGGCGTTTCGGGGCCGGGGGATATGGTCGGCGTTCAGCTGATCCGGAATCAGCTACGAGCCAAAGTCAAATACAATCGAGACGAGGACGCACCTTTCTAGCATGGCTGACCTTCTTGGGCTTGGGACTCGCCTTGCCCCTGGCTGCCTTCTTGGTCGGCTTCGCAGTTGGCATTTCCTCATCGCCATCTCCAGACGCCTTACTCGGCCTGGCGGTCGATGACCCGGCCGCTCCGCTCCCACCCGCGTGCTTGGGCCGGATGAGATTGGGGTCGATACTCAGTGCAGTCGCCTTGCCCGCGATACGCCTAGACGAGATCCTTCCCGCTCCGAGTCCTGCTCCAACCCCCACTCCGAGTCCAGTCGACCCCCCAAAGCCCATCCGACCCAACGTCGCGCCAAGCCCATCAGAGTCGGACGCGCTCGTATCGCTCTCCCCGTGGATACTGCCGCCGCCGACGGTGGACCAGGCGTCATTGATGGACCCGCCGGACGCGTTCGAGCTGACAGAAGAGACAGAGGAGCGATGCGTGCGCCAGGAGGCGAATGAGGGTGCGGGGTGCAGGTGTGGGGTGCAGATGGGTCGAGCGGCCGCGCGGGGGTCGACCATCGGCTGAGTTGGGGCGTGGGCAGGCTGGTACGTGGATGTGTGCCGCATGGTCTGCTGGGTCGATTTGGAGGGAGTGGGAGGAACGACCTGGAAGAAGCCTAAGGATACATCAGCGTCTCTTCTGCGAGGTGACCACGGGTCGGGTGAAGACACAATGTACTGTTCTGCTGGGACTGAGAAGCGTTACCGAGTAGATCGTTAGACCAGGTGTTCATGGTGAGAGGATGTGTAATGAGGGAAGAGATAAGATAGCAGCCAGCGAGCAGAGTGCACCTTTACAGGAAGTACCGAGTTGAGGAGAATGGAGAGGGACACAAAGGTAAAGGGCAAGGGGAGGATGGTGTACCTATACCGCCTCCCCCTTATATCCCTTGCTATGCCCCTGCGGGGCCATTTCCCCCTTACTCCTGCGATATCGAAGATCAGGCAAAGGCTCCCGTTGCATTAGCCGAATCAGGGGAAGAAGGGGCATAGGGGTTCATCGCGAGAAGGCTTGGTTTCTCTCGGTGGCGCCCGTCTCAGTAGGGCTCCTTCGGGTCGCACGAGGGGAAACGGGGCTGTATTGGGGTATGAAAGGAGTGATGGGAAGGCTGTATCGGCCGCATATCAGCGTACCCGGGTGACTGAATGAATAGCTCAGCATTGCGTACGGAAGCGATTCCTCAAAGTGGGTCCTTTGTGGCCGGAAGACGACGGATGACCGGCCCAGCCGATTGTCCAAAGGAGGTCCCTGAAGTGAGGTGTCCGCGTGTGTCGTGAAATCTGCTGCGGGAGATCGCGCCATACAGCTTCTTACTTGCGTTATGTGGTCAGCAGTATGAGTAGTCCGTCTGTCAATCATGCACTGTGATGTATACAACGTCTGCTCCCCTTAACCTCGGGCACTCCTTTCCGACAAGTCTCAACGGTACCCATACCCACCTTGCCCATACTGATTAGGCTGTTGCTGCGGCGGCGGACTAGCGTATCCGCTATACCCTGCGTGCGGAGGCGGCGGACCTGACGGATACCCCTGCGGAACTGGAGCAGGGGGAGGATACGCCGAGTAGCTAGGCTGGCCCGGTGGCGGATGCGACGGATAGCTGTGCTGCTGTTGCTGAGGCGGAGGGGCGTACGACTGGTGTGCGGGCGGTGGAGTCGGGTAGTATGATGATGAAGTCTGTCGGGCGGGTTGAGAGGGCGGGGCGGGATAAGCCGGAGCAGAGGTGTATGAGGGGTATGATGGTTGTGGTGGTGGGGGTGGATGATTTGGGGCCGGCGACTGATAGCCGTACGATGGCTGCGCTGATGAGGAGCCGTACGAGTCGTACGAGTGTTGCGAGGGACGAGGGGGCGGAGCGGGGTACGAAGCGGACGATGGTGGAGGAGGAGTGTAGGCCGGGTATGCGGGTCGAGCTTGAGAAGGAGGAGGCGGTGGATTCGGCAACGAAGAGTTCATCGAGCCGTAGGACGAGACCGGCTTTGGTGGCGGGGGGACATATGGACCCGACGGCGAGTTGGGGTACGCGGATGATCCTGAGCCCGAAGCCGAGCCGTACCCCCCTGATCCGCCTAACGACATCCCCGCCAGCTGACTCTCGATCCCCCTGGAGCTCGAGCTCGGGAGAGGCGGTGGAGACCCACCACCGGAGATCCTCTGCCTCATTTCAATCTCGCTCACCATCCGCCCTCGTTCGCCCTCCCTCGTGCTCACAAACCCCTTGACCTCCCTCTTGAGCTCCTCAATCACGCCCCCGAGACTTTCGTAGAAGCCCAGACCCTTCCCAAGACCCGCTCTGACCTCGCTGTACTGCTCGCCAACAGACTCGAGGCTCCTCTCCCAGTCCCTGAGCCGGCGCGTGCGGTCTCGAGTTGAGCGTGACCGTTCCTTCATCCCCTTGCCCTTCTCCACTTGGTGTACGAGCATCTCTAGCTCCTGCAAGACGCTTTGGCACGCCGCGACGGCAGACGCGATCCGGGATTGGTACGGCCGGAACTTTTCGAGCTCGGTGGCGAAGAGCTGGGGCTCGACATTCTGAGCTCTTCTGTTCAGGAGGAGTAGATTGGACACATCGTCGCTTTGCAGCTATAGCGTCAGCTCATGGATAGACGATGTACAAGAACCTATTTTAGACAACTCACCTTCTCTTTGAGATCCTTCAATACCTCATCCCTCTCCCGCCTGATCTTGCTCAACCGGTCCAGCCGGTCTGACGCATCACTGATAGCCCTCCCCAGCTCCTCCATCTCCCTTGGGTCTACACCGCCCGACGGCGCCGAGATATCCTCCTGGAGATCGAGCAGACTCGGGCCGTTACTGGCTGCCTTCATCTGCTTGCCCGCGGCGACTTCCTCGGCCACGCGGGAAAGGGCAGATGGCCCGCCAGACAGTGCGCCGACTTGGTCTCGGATATCCCTCCACAGAGACTGGACGTTCGAGTCTGATGAGGCCGCGGCTTGGAGGGAGCCGAGGTTGGAGCTTATGTTGTTGCGGAAGTGGGCGGTGTGGGGGCCTGAGGGAGATTGAGTGAATTGAGGGTTGAATTTCGCCTGATGTGTGAGCTGCAGTTATCCGTTCCCTCGCGGGATCGCGCCAACTCACGCGCATCCGCTCACAATCTCTGCTCTCGTTATCCAGCATGGCCGTCAGCTCTCTTAGCTCTCTCTCTGCCTTCTCCCTCTCCCCATCAAGTTCCCTCAGCATCGGCTCGATAGCTCCGCCCCGCTGCACCTCCTCAGCCAGTCTCCTGACCGCGCTGCTGAGCTCCACCTCCCCTTCTTCCCCTTCATCACTGTCCAATATCCGCCTCCACTGGCTGACAAGTCCTGGCAGACCCAGATGCTCCAGCCCAGCCCTGATCTCCCCTTCAGACATATCCACCCGCTCCACTTCGGACCGGACCAGCTTGGCCTTTTCTTCCGAGTATACCGAGGCCGACTCGTGCACCGCGAGCGGGATAAGCCGGCCAAAGATGTCCGGCCCGATGAGTTTCGATACGTCCGGGTTGGCGTAGATCTCTTGGATCGTCACCGCCGGTGCGGTCGGCAGCTTCTCGATGGCCGGTAGACTCGCCTCGGACGGTAGGATGTCATGGTAGATGAGGTCGTTGTTCCGTGACGCCTGGTCCTTCGCCTCCTTGCACAACGTCGCGTGCGCCTTGGTGATCTCCTGCAGACTTGTCGAGGCGTCGGACGGCAAGGTGGGCGTAGAAGCAGCGACGAACGAGTAAAAGAACCCGGTCGCTTGTCGCTGCGCCTCCAGTGCCGCCGTATCCGCCATCTTCATGCGTACGAGCGCTGCCCCATGTTTCCCCGCCGCTGCATCCGCCGTAGACCGGTAGTACTGCGCCAGCGACGCAAAGAGCTTCGCCTTGATTTGGACAATGAACATCCAGTTTCGGTCCATGATCCCCTTCCCCTGAAAGTCCTTCATCTCCTCGACGAGCGCCGCGTACATCCCCGCCGTCTGGTTTGCTGACCGAGCCACCAGTCCCGGTGCCTTCTTCTCGTCCACCAGCTTCTCCGTAAAGATCTCCGCCGCCTGTGCCATGGTCACGCCACAGCAAAAGTGGACGACCTCGCGGCTGAGATCAGTCGAAGGGGCGTGGAGGAAGTTCTCGTTGATGTAAGTGAGCATTCCCGCTGCGGCTCGCGAATTGTAGTAGGCCCGCTTGAGGCCTTCGGGGTCCGCACGGGAGGATGACGAGGCGAGGGCGGAGAGGACCGAGGAGAGGAGGTGGATGATGCTGGCTTTTTCGAAAGCGAGGGAGGTTTGGGTAGTGAGCTTTTCAGTGAAGGCGTCGTTCCACGGGAAGGTGACTTTGATCTCGGCGAAGCGAAGCTCGAGGAGCTCGAGCTGGCCAAAGTACTTGTAGATCAGGTCTCGAGCTGCTTTCGTCAGCTTGGCAGAACAAAGGATAAGATCTGATAGCCTACCGGTGGTATCGCTTCCTGCGCCTCGAACTGCATCCTGCCTACACCTCTGTAATACCGCACACTCCTCAGTGTAGTTCTTGGGGTCCTCGCCGTAGGACTGGGCGATGATGGACCGGATAGGGCCCGTCCAATCGACATCGGTAGTTGTCTTCTTGGGAATGGAGATGAGGGGCGATTGGAACGCCATTCTGGCTGATTGATCCTCGTCTGAGCAGTCTGTCCCGGCAGCTCTACCGGGGTTAGGCTCCTTATGATGAAGGGTATAGAACAAAGACGCAACCTATAGCTTGGTGATCCTCCTCGGCGCAGCATGGCCGAGCGGTGCCTAAGCTTCGGCGATGGCCGCTGTCAGGCACGCATCCAAAGGCAAAAGCAATAGCGGGATCAAATTTGGGTGGTGGTTGTAGAGTAAACAAGCCTCCCGTGCGCGTCTTGGTCGCCTCACTCGCCTTTACAACTTCTCTCATCTCATACACTACAAGGCGAAGTCTTGCGCGTCACAAGACGCTGCCTAGAGCACACAACAGGAACAACCCGACAGACGCAGCTTGGTGGTGCGAAGGGCTCGCAAGGAACGGTCTACCAAACGGTCCATGCCGGATCTGACCGTGTCGTGCTTTTCATCGAACTCAGGCGGACCATATCTACCGCCCGCAGAGGGCCTAGACTATAAAGAGAGGGGAATAGGATGGATGCCCAGGTGCTTAAGCGACCAGGAGAAGATAGATTGGGCGGCGAAGGAAAGCGCAGGAGATCAGTGAGTCATCTCTTCGCGGATTCCAGGTGCCTTTGGGTTGCATAAGCTGACCATGCAGGTGAAGAAGCAACGTAGGCCGCCCCTTCGCCGTTGGAACAGTCTCTCAGAAGCTGACACCACAGCTTCGAGTAAAGCAATACCAATACCTCAACCAAATTCCTCAGATACACCGCCAGACGATGATCCGTACCCATCTGAATCGCTCGACATTCCTCCCCCTCCCCCCTCGGAGCGGAAGATTGCACGTCGAAGACCATCTGTACGAGCAGCCGCTCGCGCTTTTACGCCAGATGCGGAATCTCCGTCGACTGTCAAGCGGCGGAAACTCGGTCCGGGCGGTCCAGCCGCTGATCCCTCATCCTCACGGCATCCTTCGGACGACCGACCTGTCGCACCATCCTCCTATCCCGCTGCGTCATCTTCATCGAGCTCATCGCGGCGTCCAGAGTATCTCGGCGCTTCGACATCTCTATCGACTCGCGTCGATATACCCCGTCCACTATCACCCCCAACCGCATTAGGCGCCTCGACGTCACGGCGAAAGTCGAGTATGGGCCCTCCCTCTGAGCCTTTTGTGCGCAAAACGCGGAAGAGCATGTCGAGACTGGGATTGATACCGGCGGATCTGGGTGGGGATACCGAGGTGCCATTACCGGAGAGCGAGACGCCGATGATACGGAAGAATAGGCAGTTGAGGGATGATCAGTCAAGGCGGAGTAGCCTGGGGATGAGGGGACAAAGAGCGAGTAGCAGTTTAGGAAGAGGAGAAATCAGTGAGTTTTTTGCTCACCCTGGCTGGCTCGGAGCTAATGGTCAGGCATACCACATCCTACCGTCGACTCATCCCATTTCCACAAACACATCTCGCCCGTGCTGCCCGAACCTATCCGGTGTCGACACCTCCTCGTCTTTTGTGCTAAACGCGCAGCGGACGAGCATCTGGTGGAAGCCAAGTCGAAAGGCAAAAGCAGGGATAAGGGGAAGAGCCGGTATCAGGGGGAAAGAACAGAAGAGGGGGATAAGCTGGTCAAGGAGATCATGGATACCTTCCTGTCGGGGTTGGGGAAGGGGGACGTAGAGACCAACGTATTTGGGACAGGAGTGAGCTATTCTGCTGATATAGCCTGGTCACCAAAAGCTGACAGTACCAGGGTGCCACTGTATCTGGTCTATCGCTCAGACCACATCCGCAAAATGTCATTAATCGGGAAGAACAAGCCAAGGCAGAATTCACGATCAAACGGTATGTCATACCCATCGATCGGTGCTCTTTCCAAAGCTGACAGACTTAGGTGTCAGGCTGAAAAAGCGAACTGGAAAGCTATCAAAGCTCAAGCGAGGAAACGGCAGGAAGATGTGGTTGCTTCGCTGAGAGCCAAGTCGGCACAGATACAAGCAGACGACAGGCCAGATCTGAGCGGGATGGAGGATTGGATGACGGGGGCGCTGGAGTTGGCAGATGGGATCTTAGCGGAGGGCGAAGGGGCATTGGAAGGGAGGGGTGACTTTGCGGACGTCGAGTTCAAGGTGAGCTTAGAGCCATGAACCCGTCGGTGCAGAGCAAGAGCTGACACTCAGGTCGACATGCTGCATCAGTCCACTCATAGCGCCCTGCAATACTCCCTCCAAGCCACACGCTTCCTCGACGGCATTTTTTCCACCCTCGCTTCGGACCTCCGTACTCGAGATCCCGCGCGGCCCGGCCGATCCTCCGAGGCAGACGGACCAGATACAGCCTCCCTCCTCGCCGCCGCCACTACCTCCACCCTCGCTTCCGCTTCTGCGTCCTCCTCATTCGCCCCACGACCCCGCGCGGACCCTATCAATATGCTTCGCGCCCTCGCTGCCGCCGAGCAGAAACAGCAAGACGGGGAGGGTCTGGCAGCTGCCAAGCGAGTCCAGCCTGTCTCTGCTGCGTCGCTCGGATTGGGGATGTCTACCTCGACTGCGCCGCCTTCTTCGGGGATGCCCTCTGCGCAGACGCCAAGAAGGGCCGCTCCGACCCCGAGGCGAGCAGGGGCAATGGGGGGGAGTACAGCCAACCCTGGTCCGCCAGGCACGGGAGGGGGAAGGGGGAGGATCTACGGGAAAGGAGCACACACGGCAGCGGAGTAGAGGGACGCGCGGGATGTCTGGGTGTATGATCTGAGAGGAGCAGGGGTTGTACAAGTGGGGCGGAGAAGGGCGAGGTATGGGAGTAGGGTGGTGGATCTTGGTTCTTTTAGGGTCGCATTTTGTTTTGAAGGGCTGTTAGACGCTCTGTTTTCCCCCTTTATCAATAATGAATTTCTCAACTTCGGACGTTTGGCACCGCTGTGGCATTCAGCCGCAGCTATGCCTCCCCCTGTCGGACCTCTCGGTGAGGACTGGTCAGAGCAACGACAGGCAACGACCGAAGTTCGAACTCCATTAAGCCTCCGAAAGACCACATGACGTCATCCCGAGGCCCAACAGGCACCGGTCCCGCCGGAAAGTCTAGAGCCGGATTTCCTCATGCAGCTGTCCAACTCAGACATTTGAGGGGGGCTTCGCTTCTACTGTGGAGATCAGCAGGCTAAGTTACACTACTAGCTAAGCTCTTGGCATTGTACTTCCATCTTCTATCGAGACTCCCCCCTTGCAGCACTGACAACAACCTGACTTTCAGCGCAAGATGAGGTTCACCGCCGGCCTGCTCGTCCTCCTCCCTCTCGTCCTCGGACAGAACAACACCCAGGCGTCTTCAGCGTCATTCTCGCCTACACCCGTCACTACCGCTGTCCCCTCGGCTACTGCCTCGTTGAACCAGACTGTACCTGGTCAAGGGGTGTATCCTCCGCTGCAGCGTAAGCCCTCCAAAATGATCTGCTCGATGATCGTATGGCCCTGGTTGACAAGACGCAGCTTGGTGCAACGCTGGTGGGAACGATACTTTCTGCCCAGGAGTAGTACGTGGCCATCTCTCAGACAGCTTGGGAGTTTCTGACCCTGCAGATCCTGCAAGATGTACAGCTCTCGGGACTCTTCCCGGACTCTAAAACCTTCGTGGACAAGCCGACAAACGGGACGCTCAATGCCACCCTCCAGGCATTCTCGCAGCTCGGGAACAATATCACTCTTGGACAGCTCGCTCAATTTGTTAAGAGCAGCTTCGTACGTATCGCTCGTTCAGTCCAAGGGGTGTCTCTCTGGCTGATTATTCCAGAAAGGAGAAGGTCTGGAGCTCAACCAGGTCCCCATCAACGGGTTCGTCGCTTCTCCTCGGGCAGTACAGAAAGTCTCCAACCCGCTCTACAAGGGATGGGTCAGCATCGTCAACTCCTACTGGTCGCTCCTCATCCGGTGGGTCCCATTCTCTGCCCTTTGGGGTCCTTGAGGAAAGCTAACGAGGCAGTGAGACCAACCAGTCTGCGGTCTGTACGACACAGTGCGAGTCCTCCCTCATCCCGCTGAACCACACCATTGTCGTCCCCGGTGGTCGATACAGGGAGATCTACTACTGGGATACATTCTGGATCCTGGAGGGTTTGCTCAAGTCTGAGCTGTACACTTATGCTACGGACGTGATCCTAAACTTTATGGACTTTATCGACGTGAGTCTTGCTATGATTGCTACAGATATGCGGATCATGGCTGATCTTCCAGACGTACGGCTTCATCCCGAATGGTGGGCGCAAGTACTACCTCAACCGGTCCCAGCCGCCTGTCTTTATCCAGGTGAGCTAGAATATGCTTTGTCGGTGACTTCGTCTACTTGCATGAGCTGAAACAGGTAGATGCTCGATGCGTATGTCAAGTCAACGGGGAACACGACCATCCTCGAGCGGGCCTTGCCTCTGGCCTCAGTCAGTTCACATTCCTTCTCCAAAGAACTCCCGCTGACGATCATCAGGAAGAGATGCGATGGTGGATCGCCAACCGGACCACCCAAATCACCTCCCCATACACAGGCATCACCCGCCGTGTCTACCTCTACAACGTCACCAACTCGGCTCCTCGGCCCGAGGTAAGCTTCCACCCGTCTCTCTAATACTCGATGAAGCTTATATCATAGGGCTACGTCGAGGACTATGAGACAGCCTTCGGCGCCCAACCCGCTCTGAACGAAGCGCAACGCGGTGATCTCTACGCCGAGCTCGCGAGTGGTGCGGAGAGCGGATACGATTATGCGGGCCGATGGTGTCGCGTCCCGGTCATCAATGTGACTGATAATGCGCCCGCGCTGAGGACGTTGAATGTGCGGGGTATCATCCCTGTTGATCTCAATTCGCTGCAGGCTGGTAACCATGCTTTGGTGAGTTTAATAATGGCTCCGGTAAGCTCGGATTAGTGCTGATGTGCAGCTCGCCAGACTATACCAGCTGTACCTCAACACCACAGCCACCACCAACTCGAGCAGCAACAGCACCGCCTCGCAGTTCCGGACAAACGCTACCGCCGAGATCGCGCTACATCAATCGCTCGCCAAGGACTACTCGGACGCCGTGCTCGACCTCCACTGGGATCCCGTCAAAGCTTGGTTCTATGTAAGTCCTACTTGCGGCTGGTCATCAGGACGGTGAGCTGAGTAGCAGGACTTCAACCTCTCCTCTAACGCCCGAGACTCGCTCTACACCCCTGCCGGGACGTTCCCGCTGTGGCAGAATATCACCCCAACCGGCTTGGAGGGCAACAATACCGCCGCACTGCGGATCGCTAGTGGTGCTAGGTACCTCCTGGGGCGGTATGGCGGCATTCAAGGGATTAGCTCTTTGCTCTATACCGGACTGAACTGGGTGAGCTACAGGTCTTCTGTCGACGGCTGAGCGGAACAATGAGCTAAATGAATCAGGACTTCCCGAACAGTTGGCCTCCCCACACATGTCAGTTTCTTTCCGCTCATTCACTCGCGATGCGGATTCCAGACTGACCCAGTAGATACCTCGATTAAGGCCTTCCAGACGCTCGGCCGGGTCGTAGGTAATGCCTCGATCGTCAGCAACGCCACCATCCCCTTCTCAGACGTCGTCTCTGGTCAATTGGGGCTGAATGAGACGCAGCTCCCAGCGCAGGATGCTTCGCTACAGGGTAGCGCCAATCTGACTGTTCCCAGCGCAAGGAATGTCAGTTGGCCGCTCGCGCTTGAGATTGAGTATGCGAACAGGTGAGCCGAGTCTTAGGCTAGACGCACCAAAGAGCCGCAGCTGACGACGGCAGATACATGCAGGGCGCGTTCTGCTCTTGGTACAGCACCGGCGGAAGCATCAATGGCTTGCTCACCCAGCTACCGCTCAGTCAGCTGAACGCTACCGGGTCATACTCGAACGGCAGTACGGGCGTGATGTTCGAGAAGGTAAGCTGGAGATCGTCCCATCCTGGCGGGCTCGAGCTGACGCAACAGTTCAACGCGACCGATATCGACGCAGCTGGAGGTGGAGGCGAGTATACCGTCCAGGTCGGATTCGGATGGACAAACGGTGTTGGTCAGTTACCCTCTCTAGATCCTCCTTGCAAGGAAGAAAACGGCGGAGACAAAGCTGACGTGTCAGTACTCTGGATAGCCGAGAACTTTGGGCAATACCTCCCTCAGCCATCCTGCCCACTCGTTGTCCTCTCCACTACCAACTCTACCACGTCTAGTAATTCGACCTCCCCGTCAACCGGGAATAGCACGATGAACGGTACGGCCGCTTCGAGGCCAGCGAACGCGACGAGCATGCTGGTCGTTTCGGAGTTGGCGGGTGAGGGGGTCATGTACGAGGGACAGAGGGTATCGAGGGATTAGGAGGGGTACTCTCGAGACACGCTGTATATTATCGGGGGTGAGAAACAACAAGTATAGTACTGTAGCATGACATCAGTTCCGCCTCCAGATCAGTCCGATCGCGAAGGACGAGAATGATCTTCTCCTACTTCGTCGGACCAGGCAAACCACAACCAGCGAGATATTGATACATTTTTCGCCGCCTCAATGCTGCCAACACGGGGTATGTCCGCCATGAGATCAAATCTAGGTATCTCCAAATCGTGCCCGGTCCCGCAAGACGACTAGACGAGACCGTCATAGAGCGACAGAGCCTATGCGATATTAGCTCTTCATGCTCCCAAGACCCATAGGCACGACTCAGCTCACCTGAACGATAGTCGGGTCGAGCTTGGACCCCTCCTTGAACTCATCGAATGTGAGCTTGGCGTCCTTGTTGAGGTCCATGTTGCGGAAGATCTTGTCCACGCGCTATGGATATCAGCTACGGCTCTTTGATCCGGGTGTCGAGCCTGAAGCTGACCTTCTCGGGCGTATCCTCATCCTCTGGCAGCCGTACCATCTGACCCGTCATCTTGTAGATACTCCGTACGATCGCGAGCATTTCGTCGTAGGTGATGAAACCGTCCTGGTTGATGTCGTACAGCTGGAACGCCCCTGTTCTGTCAGCTCGTCCGGCTACTAACAGTGCCTAACCGCAGAGCTCACACTTCAGCTTCTCGTCGAGTCTTCCTCGGCTGGTCACTGATAAGGCGCAAATGAATTCCTACAAACGATCAGCTGACCGTTAAACAAGCCACCAGACGTAACAGCTGCCGGTCGGAGCATCGGCTCACCTTGAACTCTATAGTCCCCGACTTGTCCTCGTCGAACACGTTAAACACGTAGTCGGCGAATTGAGACGGATCACCGAAGGGGAAGAATTGGCGGTAGATCTTCTTGAACTCTGAGGACAGTCAGCACTCATCCGAGCCACGACGAGAAGTTGACTGACCCTCTTTGTTCAATTGACCGCCTGGGCAGTCCTTGAGGAAGCCTTTGTACTGGGTCGATCAGCTTCGTTCGCTACTTCGCGTGGGAGGCTAGGCGAGAAGAAGCGGACATACCCATTGCTGCAACTCCTACAGCCCGGCGTTAGCTTAGCTCCTATGCCCTCGAACCTCATGCACCTGAAGAGAGACGGACCTTCTTGTCAACTGCAAATATCAGCTACCATTCTCTCCTGGCAAAGGTAGAGCTCCCGCAACCCAGATCAGCTGACAGAATCGGCAGCACCCCTAAGGACTGCCCTTATCTTTTGCTCCTCCGTCTTGGATCAACTTGGGCCTGTCCGCCTCTACTTCCCACTCACACCCCCTCGCTGAACTGACTGCTGGTGGACACTGAAGTACCCAGCGACTCGCTTTGCGATACAGCCTCGTGGACCAGGGGAACAACGAACTCACAGTATGTGTTCTTCTGCAGTTCTGCCAGCTCCTCTGACGAAAGCTTAGATTGTGCCTTCCCCATTATGTTGATCTACGCGATGTAGAGGTGATAGGTAGTTCACGTGTGATAGGCGGAATGTCGTAAGGTGGATGAAAGGCGGTGTATCTGCACAAAGGATCAGCTAATAGTTCAAGCTACCAGCCACCTTATCGAACGGGGCGGGACGCGGACAAGCGGAGCTTGCCGATGGGTCCCCACACAACGGAGCCCACTAGTCGAGAGGTCTGATTGGAGCTCTTTGCAAAGCTCGCTATCCCTCCGAGCGCTCGCAGCGTCCTGGTCCGAACTGGTGGAGCTGAAGTCGGCTTCACGTACCGGTTTCGCCCTGTCCTTCTAATTCGTTTTGGGGAACTTCTCTCAGCTGTATGCCGGGTCGCAGTCCTATATCTGCTGTGTAGACGATATCTGGTAGGTCGGAAACAATGTATAACACCAGCTCGCCACCTATCTCTTCTTCTTGGTCGTCGTCACAGCTTCGCTCGCCAACACGCCCCCCCTCCCCCCGCGTAATGCCAAGCAAGGTGCGGGAATTTAAATGCTTCCGGCGGAGACTCCTGGTTGCGGTGATGGGCTGCCAGATGAAGATCGATCAAGTCAAGCCTTGTATCTCTGCATATGCTCTTCTTATTCCTATGCTAAGCATCGTCCGCGCTCCGCAAGCCTCCGACAAGCTCTGTACAAGAAACTTTCGCTCTGTCTTAGCCGTCCTACAGCTCCATCTCCATCGCCATCCCATATTCCTCATCTTTCCGCCGTTCCTCCACTTCTTCGCTTGAGCTCTTCCCGTTCTTCCCCGCCTGATGCCCGTTTGCCTGACCATAGCCCGCCGAATGACCATGACCATGTCCGTTGACTCTGCGCCCATAGGTCATATCCTCCTCTTCATCCTCATCTTCCAGAACATCTTCCACCCCGCTCCGGATCGAGCTGGACGGCCGAGCCGTGTGCAGCGAGCCCGTGCCGAACATCCCTCCACCGATCATACCAGTACGTACACCGAGCGGCATACGCGGGTCAGGCGAGAACCCGCCCTTCGGCGGTGTCCCGTTCGAGAGGAAAGAGTGGCCTCCATTTGGTGTCCCCAAAACTCCGGCGTTGGAACCTGCACCGTAGCCGAAGCGCATCTCGGCGAGTTGGCGGGGCAGGGACGATGAGAATGATCCAGACCGGCCGGCAGAAGCAAGCGGCTTGTTGAAAGATGAAGGAGAAGCAGCGGAGATGGGTGCTTGGGGAATGACAGGCTCGCTGGCGCCCATGGATGACGTGGTGGAGTCGCTCCCGGGAGAGGACTTGCGATCTTTGCCTGGACGGTCGGACATGGCGCCGCCGAGGGACGAGGGTTCGCGCAAGGATCCAGGGGTGAGAGGGGCGATGGTAGATGAGGGGGGTGACCGAAGCGTGGAGTGCGATTGGGAGGCTCGGCGAATAGGAGCGGGCTGATCGCCTGGAGACAGGATAGCTGGCCAGAGGGACTTATCACTCGGCAGGGCCTTTCCTCCGGTGGGGTGCAGATGAGCAAGGATTGCGGCAGCCTGGAAGTCAGCGACATCCTCGATTTCTTCAGAGGTCACCTAGCTTACCTCGAGCATTTGCACCTGCTGGTGCTTGCTCATGCTGAGCTGAGTAGGCTCTTTCCAATGCGGCGAATGCTCCCAGCGGTGCTTGACCAAGCACGATGGATGCCGGTATTCCTGATTCATCAGCTGTGAACAGGGAACGATCCGCACCACTCGGACAACTGACCTTGGAGCAATGCTCGCACTTGAAAACCATCCCCTTTCTCCTTCCCTTGACTCCGCCTGACCCACTCCCAAGTGCCAATTTCTTCCAATCCCCCTCTTCTCCATCTTCAACCTCGGCTGACCCGCTTCGCCCACTCTCTCCTTCTTCCTCCTCGTCATCCCCAAACTCCATATCCAGCTCCATATCGTCCGCTGTTGGCGGTGCAGGTGCTGGTCGGGCATGCCCATGCAGAATACTTCGATTTGGAAGTGAACCTGGAACCACGACGGAGCTGGATGCTGAGCGACCGTTCTGGGTGGTAGGGCGGGCAGCTGAGGGTCGACGGTCGGTCTTGGCAAAGTCGAATAGCTGAGGAGTGGGGGATGAGCCTAATGTTGGACGACGGTTGGGGATGGGGTTGATGCCGTTGTAGGAAGGATGCGAGGGGATTGAGGGACGGCTAATATGTCAGCTGTATGTTCCTGCCCGGTCTCCTGCTTGGGCACCACCCAAGGTCCGACAGTACTCACCTCTCCTTTCCTGTACTCGCTTCTCCGGTAGCTCCCAGCTTTCCTCTCCCCAACGCACCAGTGGTAGAGCTGCTCATTCTCCTCGTCTTTGGCACAGACCCCGACGACACGCCATTTCCTCCTCCATTGCCGTTCGGTATTGCTGGCGCAGCGACCGGGCGTGACGCGGAGAGGTAAGACGTAGGGTGCGCCGGGACTGACGCGGGTACAGCCATGGATGTCTGGGCATGGGGCAGATTGGGACGTTGGGCGGCTTGCTTTGTCTCGGATGAGAAAGATAAGAGGTCTACGAAGGGGTTAGCTTCCGTCTCCTCGCGTGACAGCAGAGCTTCGAATGACTACTCACCGAAAGCGTGAGCGTGCATATCACCACCACTATGCTCGCACGGCGCGAGAAAGCTCGGATGCAGCAGATCGTTCTTCCCACCAATGACCGCCTGGGGAGCCTGACCAGCGTGAATATTGGCGTGTTGGTGCATTGGCGAGCTCTGGGGAAGGGACGACGGCTGCTCAGGGAGAATTTCGAACGTCGAGAGTCGGCATAGACCGCAATGGGGGTACAAAGGAGGTCAGAAGGAGGGGTGGTGAAAGAGACATTCGGAAAAAAAGTCGGTGCGAAGGAGGGGAGGGGAAGTGAGACAAGTCAGGATATCCGAAATTTCAATGAGACGTGTTTTTCGGCGGGTCGCGTGGAGAAGAGTAGGTGGGGTCGGGGGAGAGTAGAAGAGAAGATATGTGATCAGCTTGTAGCTCTTCGCATAGTCCCCCTCGGCCACCTCGGCCGAGCTCGCTGATTCAGCTGGAAGCGGACATACCTCTATCAAAGGTGTGCTCTGAGCTGGTGGGGACCGCCATTGGTCGAAGCCTGAGCCATTGCCGTTCGCAAGGCTCGACATCCTGCCTGATGGGCGGAGGCGGGAGGTGCTGTGGAGGGGTCGAGCGCTGGCGAAAGGGATAAAGTCGGAGCTCGGGAGACAAGGTTCGCGACTGGCCGAGGGGTGGACCTGGCTCAGCTGACTGACGGGGAGCAGCCAGCGGTCGCGGGGCTCGAGCAGGGGTGAGCGGATGGACAGGAGGAGACTATCTATGCTGTAAGGGCTGTAGGGCTATGTGTGAGTATGGTGTCGAGGCGACGAGGTATGAGCGATAGATGAGCTCCACTCAGGCAGGGCACAGCTCGGAAACTCGGAAATTCGAAATCAGGAACAGCTTCCTATCCATCTCAGGGTCCAAACAAAAGGTGGCGCAGACAGACGCGTCGGACATTGCCGCTTCTGGACGATCTTCTCGGCCCGGCGCGGCAGACCTCTTGGGGTCTCCGGGATTTGCATCACTGAGTACCGCAGTCCCTATTGCTCTATATGCATGTTGCCCCGGTCCGGTCCGCTGCTCAGCTGCTCAGCTGAGATCATCAGGCGGGACAGTGGCGATGGCAGTGGCAGAGATACTGGGAGAAGAAGACTGGAGCAGCCAGAATTGAAGTCGTTCATGTCGTTATCTAAGTGTCCTCTCACCACCCAAAACTCTCAGCGTGAAACCCAACCTTCACTCCCCCTCGATACACCTCGCCCACCCTCATCTCATCCCTCGTCGCCTTCTTGACCGCCCCCAACAGACTCGCCGGGCCGCACACCATCACCTCCATCCTCCCCCTCTCCAGCAGATCCTTCATCTGCCTGATAATCGCCGCAGGGTCCGCCCGACCCTCGTGCCACCGCACAAAGTACTCCAGACCCGGTGAGAGCCGGATGGGATCGTCTTGGAGCTTTTGTTCCCGCTGGAGGGGATGTCGGAAGTCCATGGGAAGCGGAGGTAAGGGTGTGGAGGGAGTGACGAGGCCGGACGGGAGGGGGAGGAGGGAGAAGTGGGAGGCGACAGATTCGGCCGTTGATGAGCGCGACATTTGGGCGGCCATGGGTGGGATCTGGAGGGTGGAGGGGAGGGGCCGAGAGAAGTTGAGCGGGCCCGATTGGCCCAGCGAGACGTTCAGCTCGGTAGGTGATGTTGGCGAGGTGGGTAGGAAAGGGATGTCCAGTATTTTCTCCGAGAAGGCGTCGTCATTGAACGGGTACGTCGAGGTGATCACGAGGGATGACTTCTTCCTTGCCGGACTGGTCAAAGGGGATGCCTTGTGCCCGAACGAGCTCTCGCTGCTCGCGGCCGAGACCCTCCTCTCCGTAAGCACACCCTGGTCCGCCGAGAACCGTGCCCGCTGCGGTGATAATCCGGTGTCGGCGAAACTGACGCGCCGAGTACGGGAGGGCGTACGGGTATACGAGGACTCCTCGTCGTAATTGGAAGGATCAAAGCTGGTGGGTTGCCGCCTGGGACTGATGGGTGATGATGATGAAGGAGATGAAGGCCCCGCCGCATCGTACAGCGATGACCGCGCAGGATTGAGGGGGCTGAACGGTCCGCTCGCTTTCCGGTGTGCGGCGAAGCCACCGTACGCGGCCGGTAAGGTAGGCATGGTCGGCAATTTCGAGCCGGCGTATCCTTCCGACCAGGTGAAAGTGGGAAGAACGATCCCCGGCGCCAGGCCGGCGGATGTCTCGTATCCCGCCCCGAAGCCCTTGGGTGATTCCTCGTCCCCACCCTCCGACTTGCGCCCGTAGTACAGCCCAGGACCGAGCTTGGCGCTTCCAGCCGAATGGATCGAGTCGGACCGCCTCTCTTCTCGCGGTATTGATCCCGACCGCCTCGCCGCTGTCGTCGCCTCGCTCCCCCGCCTAGTTCCCGCGCCGGTACCCGTTGTGCTCAGCCCCCCGCCCTCGCCGAATGTCGCCCAACTCATTGTGCTCATCATCCTGCTCCGCTGGCGAGGTCGCGCAGCGCGTTCTTCGAGATACGTCTGCCAGTCCCCGTCGGTCGTCGATGGATCGGTAGGGAGAGCGGACTGTGTAGATAGCGAGGGCGCAGCGCGTTTGGTGACATGGACATGGAGGGTGATGGTAAGGGACGAAGGCAGGTCTTGTAGTGTCGATAGGAGAAGAGGTTGGATCCAGTTGAGATGGACTGAGAATGTCAGCAGGGTCTCTTCGCTCAGTCGGAGAAAGCAGAAGCTAACTCACGCTTGGACTTGACCATCCATATCACGTTGGCATGCCGACAAGCTGTCTTCCCAGCCTTCGCGTCCGCAGCGATCTGGAGCAAGTGCGCAACAGCGAACGAGATACCTGAGCCGCCTATAAAGTCAGCTTAGCACAAGATTCACTTCGGGTGCGTTGGAAACTTACCAGCAAAGATGACCACCCCGTCCACACCCCTCAAGCACCCCGACCCGCCATAAGGACCCTCCACCCTCCCCTGCACACTCCCCGTGTTCCCCTCCTTGACCGCCGCCTTCATCCGCCCCGTCATCCCGTCCCTCACCCGGATCACAAAGCTGACCTCCCCATCCCCTGGTATACCCGCAGCGGTGAACGGGTGGGTCTCCCAAGGCAGTCGAGACAGGGTAGGGAGGAGGACATAGAAGTGTTGTCCTGCCTTCCAGGTTGTTCGGGTGGGGAGGGTGAGCTTGATGGTGGAAGGGGTGAGGAGGGTGATTGTTCCGGTAGAAGCGAGTGGGGTCGAGGCGGAGAAGAGGGAGAGGGTGGGGAGGAAGAGACGCGCGATGCGGAGAAGGCGATCTGCAGCCCATAGTGCAATTCCAGGCTGAAAAGTCAGCTGGACCGCGACGTAGAGTGGACTCCGCGCGAGAGACTTACATAGATCCAGATATCGACAGCGGACCAGTGCATGATCACACCTGCCAGAAAGAGCGCGGCAAAGCAAATATGCGCAACAAGGAAGAATTCGTAGATCCGCCGGCGGACCCATCTCATCGACACGATGTACATGAGCGACAGCGCGAGGATACTGGTCATTCCCTGTTTGGTCAGCTTGGTTCAATGCCACAGGGGGACTGAGGAGGGAAGCTTACCCAGGTGGTCAGACTCGTCTTAAACTGTACGAGCGATACACCGCCGAGGAGAAACAGATATCCCACGACATGGAGCCAGGAGCAGAGCAGGCAGACCCGTCCAGCGGCTCGATGGAGAAAGTTGAGTTTTTCGTATGAGAGACCGGTGAGCACTGGAGTGTCAGCTAGACCGCCCAAGGGCGTCAAGTGGAGAGCTTACAAGAGATGAAGTTGTTCTTGCCAGCAAGAGCGATGATGAGAGGTATTTGCGCAATGGCCATCCATCCCGTTTGGATCGACAGGGCTTCGGTATCCCACTCAGCTAATATCGTCAGCTTCGTCCAATAGCTGCGATAGTGGGCAGACTCACTGCCATGCAGGGAGAGTACCAGCACTCCGACAGTATATGCTATCGACCACCCAACGTCCGTCGTAGCTATTGTCCTCGCCTTCCTCTTGACCAGTTTGATCCCAGGAACAGGCAGGTCAGCGAGGACGACGTGTTTCGTCCACACTGTTCCCGTCGCCCGTATTAGTCTCCATCCCCGCCCACTCGCTCGCTCTGAATCTCCGCCTCCTTCAAGTATCGAGAGATCCTTCTCCACATCGTGATCCGTATCGTCCGTCGACCCCGTCGAGACTCGCCGAGCACTGGGAGCTAGCGGATTTGATGGCGATGATGGTCGTGGGAGGGGAACACGACGTGTTGCGAGCCGGGCGAGGAGAACTGAGGCGATGTTGAGGATAGTGAGAAGACCGAGGATGGTCGAGGTGGTGTACCAGTACAGCAGACCTGCTGCTATTGGTCCTGACATGTCGGTGCTGGTGTGCGCGGAGGGGGAGAGAGAGAGGGAGAGAAAAGCTTCGTGAGAGCCAGCTCAGCCAGCGTCGTAAGTAGTTCGTCAAATATAGTAAGAGATAATAAACACGAACAATAGCTCCACTTCAACACTTCAATCTCATCATCATCATCCACTTCGCACTTTGCCCGAGCCCCGAGGCTTTCGTCCAAAAACGCCAGTGACGGCCTGGGTCGATCAATCCAGGGCATGTTCAGCAGTCTATATTTTCCGAAAAGCAAGGAATGGACCGAAACCAACGCCATGTCGACGTGGTGTGGAAGCATACCTCTTCCTTGCGGTGTGAAGCATGTTGAGGACGGACGAACACGGTAAGAACGACCCGAGCGCGCGCAACAACGAACGGTCAGTTGCTTCTTCCGGCGGAGCCGAGACATGCCGCGCCGTGCCGATCGAGAAAGTTTATTTTGGCGCGCCTATCATCCCGAGGTTCGGTCGGATTAGGCGTGTGTCTTTCGCGTGCTAAAGGTGCGCCGGTCCCCTGCCGGCATAGGCACAGCTTGGTTAAGGAGGATCAGCCGCGGACGCGCAGGCTGAGAGCAAGCTGAGAGGAAGGTGCAGCGAGAGCCCATCGTAGCATCGTCCATCACAGCTACCGTGCACAACACAGATCAGCCGGACAAGGGCTGTCCCTACCGCAGCGGTCAGAGCTTGCGACCAGATAGAACCGCGTCTTCGGCTTCTGCACGACAACAGCCAGCATCGCTACGACGCGACCGACGACGACGTTTACGACCTCTTCACGCAGTCCGTCGTCACCAGTGGCCGTGACAACTGCGTTCAACTTTCCTTCTCCCTATCCAACTCAACCAACATCTACAACATCTATAACGCACCTTTTCACGCCAAACGGAGCTCGGACGACCCCCGGACCCAATACGACCACTTTAAGCAATCTGAAACGCTTCTCCCCCTCGACACCACGGCCACGACCCCCGCCTCCCCCTCATTTCCAGGTGCATGTTTCGGTGTCTGGCAATCTCGGTGTGATGATGGCCAACATCTCCTCCGAGCCTTCTTCTGAACATCGCGGTCCAAATCTCGGATTCGGCGGTAATACAGGCGGATCGCTATCGACCTCTCGACCACTGGCCGATCGACCGCCTATCCTCTCGTTCCCCACCCTCCACCTCGGATCGTTTACTGCACTTTCGCCGGACTCGTTTCCCTCCCCACCTCCGTCGGCGCGTCCGTCGAATACGAGCACGCTTACTAGTCCGGAACGGCCAGGCGAGGCCTGGCCCCGTTCGCCAGAAGGGTACCAGGGATCGGCGGCTCCGACACGGCAAGGGTCAAGAGACGGGTCAGGCGGGTTGAAGTTGCCTGTGGCGCAGAGAAGGGACTCGAAGGAATCGGATACGACTCCGCCACCATCGGCGTCGTTGTATCCTGCGAGGAGCAGGGAGTCATCCAAGGGGTCAATAAGGAGCAGAGGTCATCTTCCACCTCCCTTACCTCCACCAACGACCAGTCTTCCCCCTCTACCGTCTATCTCGCCCATCTCACCCCTCGGCTCCAATTTCGCGTCGTCCACTGCCCCATTGCATATACAGCGACCGGCTTCGCCCATGTCGGCCACTGCCCAGCCTGTGGCATTCTCGGCAGGTTCACCTCGGGGTCTCGCACCGACTATCGCTTCGAGCAGACCCGTCGGTGCACCATTGGCCATCAATATCCCCTCTCCTTCGCAATTTGTGGACCCGGAAAAATCTAGCGGAGCGGTCCTGAAGAGCTCGCCGGGGATACCGAGGCGGCGGACACTGGTCGAGGGAAAGAAAGAACAGGGATCAGAGGCGCGGATGTCAGGTGTACTGGGAGCAGTGGAGACGTCGTCGAGGGATCAGGGGTCGCCTGAGCCCCGGCTGTCCGAACTGCGGGCTAGCGATAGCCATGCTCCGTCCTCGCCCACCACGCACAAGCTGGAGAAGAAAGCGTCCACCAATAATCTCCGGGAATCGCCTGCTTCTCCTTCGGCCAAGCGCACCCTGCCTCGGCCGCCCGTATCGGACCGGCCGTCCTTCGATACCTCGGCTCGTGCGGGTCCGTCCGCTCCTCCCCAACCACCCGCGATCACCCCTCGGTCCGTATCGAAGCAATCCCTCTCCCAAACTCCGCTATCCAACTTCCAGCAACAACCACAACCCTCTCATCCCCAGCACCAGCAACAGCCGCAACAACAAAATCTCCAAGCACAGCAGCACCGTCCCACCAACTCTGCCTCTGCCCTCCCGATCATCGCCGGTCTGGCCGATGCGGGACCGTACCCCTCCTCCCGCCCCAACTCTATCAAGGGTCAACAAGGCACGCTTGGTCGCGGATCCATACCCCGTCCGCCGCCGCAAGAGGAAATCTGCCTCGAGTGCATGATGCGCGATAGGGACCTGGCGGATGTCACTGTCATAGGTGACGATGCGTGGGAACGGGCGAGCAATGACGCGTGGGAGGACGCGAAGCGGAGGGAAGGCGAGCTGTTGCGCACCCTGGGGTCTGTCGAGGGTGCGTCAGAGGAGGATGGAGGCGAGCCATCTCCGCCCTCTACGGCTACGTATTCTGCGGAGGACCGGGAACAGGAGCAAGCAACTACGGAAGTGCGTAAGCGGCGCGAGGCGCGCTGGAAGAGAGGGCAGGAGATGGATCAGAAGGTCCTCAGGGAGATCGGGTGGAGGGGGTTCAAGTGGGAAGAGGGGTCTTCTGGAGAGGGGATGCCCAGAAACTTTAGGGGGACCAAGGGTGGGAGATTGACTGAAGAGGGTATCAAGGCCGTCATGACCAAGGTGAGCTATTCCTTTCCCTGACGACTGGACGAAGCTGATCCCAGTTCCCCTCGGCTTCGGCACATCGGTACAACTGGCTCCAGGGCTATCTCCGAAATCAGTACATGCTCACGGTGGACATTGCGGCGGAGGCGAAACGGCTGGGATTCTTCCCTACACCGGTCGAAGTCGTCTACTCGTCCTCTACGTCTCACGAGGCGTTCATGCCCGGCCTGAAAGCGACCGGATCCCGCACATCCTCGCTCGCATGGGACGGCACTCAACCGATCAGGCAATCGATGGAACAATCGCAGCCGCCGATGCGAAACCCCAGCTTCCCCTCTTCTCCCGCTACTATGCCTCCCTCCCTCGTCCGTCCCAGTCCCTCATCACCTGCCGACCTCGCCATGGCCGCTCGCGCACCTCGCACGATTCCCGTCGTCCGACCCACTACCCATTTCATACCCGACCGCGAACCCAATCCCAACTCCGCTGCTGCAGCCGCCGCATCCGCGCGTCAAAAGCTCAATATCCAGACCAGCAACAATGGATCGCTCATGCCTTCTCCTGTACCGGGGATGGGAATGGGCATGGGGCCGAGAGATCGATACGGTAATTCGCCGGACTTGGACGATGGGCAATGGCCGCCTATCTCGCCTGCCGAGAGCGGGATGCGGCCATTCTCGTTTGCTGTACGCGCAGGGGCGGTGGATCGGGGGAGTGATGGAGGACATGGAGGAAGGAGGAGTATTTTCGGGAGATGGGGTGGGAGCGTGACGAGTTTCTTCGGTGGAAGTCAGGGTGGAAGTGGGAGTATGATGGATATGCAGTAAGTCCTTTTCTCCGGACTTGGAAATGAAGCTGATGGTCTAGCCTCGGACTGGACAGCGATCGCCGAAACCAAGCATCGAGCCAATACGTCCACGCCCAGCCTCGGGCGGTATCGCTCGCGAGCCCTACCCGGCCTGCCTTCTTCGGCCGGGACTCGCGGAGTTCTTCTACCGATAATCGCGTCCCTCAAGCGGAGCAGCGAGGCGGACGCTCCACGTCGACATCGCGCCTCTCGCAGGTATTGCGGACGGAGGATGAGCCTGCGCAAGCTCGACAAGAGACGCCGAAGAAGGATAAGGGGCTGAGGGGGTTGTTGAAGAAGATGAAGCCAAAGTCGAGGAAGAGCCTCAATGGGTCTGGAGCAGGCGGTAGGGATATGGCTGCCTCGTCGATGCCTTATCGGCCGCAGCAGCAGTACTCGGAGTACCAGTCACAGCCCCAGCAGCAGCAACAGCAGCAATACAGGCAAGCGGAACACCCATCTTCACAACTCCAACCACCTCCCTCCCTCAACTACCTCGTCGGCGGCGGCGATCGGCAGCACAATCGCAACCGGTCCGGATCCAGCTCATCCATGGTCGACTCACAAGATCCGGCTGGTCGGCCAAACTCTACCGTCCTCCCTGGCCCTGGCGTTGGTAATGGTGGGATGCGATCCGTCTCTGCTCCTTTCGCGGGAAGCAGCTCGGGCGGAAGTCCAAACAACAGCCCCACCAGCTCCCGCTTCGATAAATACGGGAACCCCACCAATGGCTCAGGCGGGGTCCGGAGAAGCTCTTACGCGAGCCTCTCGAATCGCCCGGGAAGCGGATATGAGGCGGAGCTGGCGCGAGAGTCTATCGTTGAGGTGCTTTCTGGGCAGGGGCAGCGGGAGATGGGCGGGAACGGGAGCTACGCTCCTTCGTCCCGCCTCAGCGAGGGGTATGATCGTCCCCCTTCAGCTGGACCCAATGGGTACGCCCAATCTGGATATCGGCCTACCAACAAGACAAACTCCTCCCTCTCTGCTTCGTCAGTCGTCGTGACACCGCCTCCCCCATCGCAGCAGCAGCAGCAGCTGTATGTCAATACCGGCCCCTCGGGAGCTTACTTTGCGCAACAGCAGCACGGGCGGGCAAATCACGCTAAAACGCCGTCGGACCAGCTCAGTCCAGACCGGTTCAAAAATCTTCCGCCTCTTCCTCCTCCGGGCGGCGACGACGCCCCTCCCAACCACCAGCAACAGCAGCAGCAGCAATACTCTGGTCTTCCTACGCCCCGTCAGCAATCTCGGCCAGGGGATCAACAGCATGTCCCTCGCGCATCATTCGATCCCGCCCCGTCCAGCCAGAGGGGTTACGACCACCATCCCTCCCCTCGGCTCGCACAGAGCATGTACGCCCAGCCTACCGGTGCGGCCTCTGTAGGGAGCCTCGGGAGCTTTGCGAGGGGTTACGCCCCGGCCAGTCAGTATTCCCAGGGCGAGGCGTATGGGGGCATGCAGCAGGGCGGTCGGTACGAGCAGCACAATGGCGGAGGGCAGAAGGGGCAGCAGTGGGGATATGGGCAGCAGGGGGAATGGGACGGGAATGAGAATGTGGTGGATCTGGGTGGGAATGAGGGTCAGGGGAAGGGGACGATGGGAAGACGGGGGTTGAAGGGGTTGTTTGGGAAAGCGGGGAGGTTGGCTTAGGTGCTTTTTATATAGCTCGTAGTCAGTAGCAAGGGTGTAGGTGCTTGACGTACGTAGGTAGAAGATGTTCTAGACGGACTCTGAGAGCGGCATCGCTGGTAAGCTGGTACCGATATGACCAATTCCAAGACTGATTGTGCATGCCGTCGCGAATACACCTGAAGTGACACCGACACCGATCCCCTATGCTCTCCCTTCCTGCCCCTTCCCTTCTCTCATCTCCTTCCCCACAACTCATCTCTAGGCCTTGCCCGCATCCTGCATCGCCTTCAACATCAACGCACCAATCTGCGCCGGGCTCTGCGCAATCACCGCACCCGCCTTCTCGAGCGCGCGGACCTTGTCGCTCGCCGCGCCCTTGCCTCCGCTGATGATGGCACCCGCGTGGCCCATCCGCCTGCCCGGAGGCGCCGTCCGGCCCGCAATGAACGCGACGACGGGCTTCTTGTTGGGCCCGACATTGTACTGCTCGAGATACTCGGCGGCGTCTTCCTCCATCGATCCACCTATTTCGCCGATGAGGACGATACCCTCGGTGCGCGGGTCGGCGAGGAGGACCTTGACGACGTCAATGTGCTGCGTTCCGGGGAAGGGGTCACCTCCGATTCCGACGGTGAGGGACTGGCCGAGGCCGACGAGGGTGGTTTGGCTATAGCATGAGCTTAGATCCTCATGCAGGAAGATTAGAAAGCTCACTTGACAGCCTCATATGTCAGGGTTCCTGACCTAGAAACGACACCTACAACGTCAGCATGCCACCCCCGTACTCTCCCGTTCACATCCCCACTCACCGATCTTGCCCTGCTTGAAGATGTGTCCCGGCATGATGCCCATCTTGCACCCCTCGCTGATGATCCCCGGACAGTTGCCGCCAATCATCCGACTCTTGCTCTGGCTCTTGAGCGCATTCATCACCCTGATCTGGTCCCGCTGCGGGATCCCCTCCGTGATGGTCACAATGAGCTTGATCTCCGCCTCGATAGCCTCAATGATGGCGTCCGCGGCACCTGCGGGAGGCACGTAGATGACGGATGCGTCAGGCTGGGCTTCGCGCACGGCGTCGCGGACGGTACCGAAGACGGGGAGGCCGAGGTGGGATTGGCCGGCTTTCTGCGGGTATGAGCGAGAGCTCATGTAAGAAGGCAAGCAAGGCATACCTTTGGGTTGGTACCTCCGATCATGCGGGTTCCGTAGTCAATAGCCTGTTGTGCGTGGAAGGTTCCCTTGAGGTGTTAGCAGCGGTTCCAAGGAGGGGAGGTATGGGCGAACGAACAGTCTTTCCGGTGAAACCCTGAACGAGCACTTTTGTGTCCTTGTCTAAGGAATGTCAGCTTCTGGAGCACGGGATCGTCTGCTCGGTACGACTGACTGATGAGGATGTTTTTGATGCTGTCTTCATAGCCGGCCCGCACTGTGGTGGAAGTCGCGAACCCCCGAGCCTGGGTCGAGCGGGCAGCGGAACGGAGCGAGTTGGAGAACACTGGAGAAGTCAGCTTTTCACCAACGCATTTCGGCTCATCTCAGCTCACTAGTAGCTGCTGTAGAGGTAGATTGGTGTGTAGGCGAGGTATGTATAGGTCGAAAAGGGAGGTAGCTTGCTTGCTTTGACGGAGAGAGGAGAGAGAGCGGCCGTGAGCGGGTTTCTTCGGTCGTACCGGACATCGCCGCCAACAGCTACCAACTGCTGCAACCGGTCCACGTGGCTGCAGCCAGAGGGAGCCCCGCGTTGACATTTGGCTCGACGCGCTGGACGCGTTCAACGACGACGACGAGCGAGAGGTCATACAACGACATCAAGCTTCAAAATCACTGATCAGGGCTGCTATACTCAAACTCACGCGCAGGAAAGCCATAACAACGTGAGCCAGAACGTTCAATGTCCATGTCAAAGAGAGTGGAAGCTGACATCGGCCAGATCCTCTCTGATCTTCACTCTCTCCTCCCCTGATCCTGTGACCCGGCGCTCAGTGCAATGTACGGCGACCTCGCTCTCCAGCTCGTAACAGCCTCCCATCGCTCCACACTCTCCACCACCCCTCAACTTCCATTACCCAAATACGCCCTCCCCCTCATCCTCTCCATCTGCCTCGAATGTCGTCAGCTCGGCACCTCCATCCAGACCGCCGCAGAAGCCCACGGCCCCGTCTCGCTCTCGCAGGACCGGTCCCTCGTATGCAACCTCACAGTTCAGCATCTATCGGCCCGGCGGAATAAGCGGTGTCTCCTCGCATACCTTCAAACGCGAGTAGGGGGTATCAAAGAACGGTGGTGGGATGCCGGCGGGGGATTGGCGTACCTCCTCACTGCGCCAGCTACGACGGCGGCGGGGAATGGGACGGGGGAGGGAACGGCGAGCGGGATGGAGACGGAGGTGCCGGATCTGAGGTCGGCGTTGTCGCCACAGGAGATGGACTTTCTGAAGGGGTACAACAATCTTTTGTTGGACTACAAGCAGGAGTTTCTGGACGTGCTGGATCTCACGGCGGGGATCGATCGGCCGCCGGGAGAGTTGATGGTGGATGTGAGGGTGGTGAGGGATGCGGGGGAGGTGGTATTGGAGGGAGGGGAAAGGGTGGACTTTAGGAAGGGGGAGAGGTTTAGGCTTGAACGGAGTGGGGTGGAGAGGTTGATCGTGCAGGGGTTCTTGGAGGAGGTGTAGACGGGTCGGGAACAGAGGCATATCTGAGGACAATGATATTACCTAGGCTAGGAGACTCTCGGGTGCATGTATATAGTCATCCAGAAGCTGGATTTTGGGGTCCGTCCTTCTTCCATCCTGTCCGTGATCCTCACCGGAGATCATCCCTGCCTCATGCAGACCTTATTCCAACTCCCCGCCTCCATCCACAGACCGTGCTCTTGGTTTTGGCTCCGCTAGGCTCATCACGGCCTGCACCAGATTCCCCTTTGATGCCTTCAACGCCTCCTCCGCTGTTTGCTTCGTACAGCTCATTTGCGAGATCTGCCAGTCAGCTATCGGCTCCATAACCCGCTATAAATCAAGAACATTGATGGCTATGCACAACCACTAGTGGTAGTACAGGCGGGCAAGATATACTGACAAGATAGTCCACATCTGACGACTTTACCTCTGCTCCGTTCGGTTTCGACACCTCTAGCGACTCCAATGCTTTTTGCGCCTTGATCCCTTCTTCCCGCTGTATCCTCCGCTTCTCAATTTCCATCACTGCGTTCTCCATCTTGTCTGCGTATGGTCAGCTACTTCTGCTCCTCTTCGAAGACACAGGACTCTCAAGCTAACTTTTGATGTAGGTTCCTCCGTCCCCGAACTACCACTCATCAGCTTTTCGTCCCAATGCAGACGACGCTGAACTCACCTCTACTACGACTTCGCCTTGCGGTATTCTTCCTGTTGAGCTTGATGCCATTTCGATTGTGATAAGTATAACAACAACACCAACCTTGCTCCCTTTCGCTATCGCTGTGAAGCTGTAGGCAGTAGAGCTTAGAGTGCGGGGTAGGGAATGCGGGGTAACGTTCAAGCTGGTGTTTCTGGTCTTTATCCGAGCCTCCCTCCACCTTGGCCATCACCACCACAGCGACAGACAGCAACAGCGAGCTTCTCACACTGGACTCTCTATAGCAGCTTCGAGCATACCCAAGGAGGCGCACACCCATCATGCCCGGCCTTAACTTGGCCGCCCTTATCCTGCTCGTCGTCACACTCACGCAAATCGTGTCGTGGGTCGGCAAGTCCGTCCTGCAAGAGCTGGTAAGTCCACCTCTATCACCTGGTCCGAATAGTCCGGTGTCTTGTAAATACAGCCAGAGCTGACTATTCTCTAGGCGTTCTCGGCCTACTCTCGGGTCTTGTTATCCTCCCCGGCATCGAAGCAGCGCACGCTGCGGAAACAGGTACTGGCGGACAAAGCAGCCCTGTCCAAGACGTCGAGCCAGGATGAGTTTGCCAAATGGGCCAAATTGAGGCGGAAGCTGGACAAGGGATTAGCGGATCTTGAGGCTGTCAGTGAGTGCCAATCTCACGTACTATCGCAGGACGTGTAAGCTGACGGTCCAGATACCCAGATCACATCTGCCAAATCATCCTTTTCGCTCCGCTTCAACTCGCTCTTATGGTTCATCACGACCGGGTCCCAGCTGTTTCTGGTATGGTGGTATCGCCGTCAACCGGTCTTCTATCTCCCTTCTGGCTGGGCACCTGGGATTGTTGGCTGGATGTTGAGCTTCCCGAGCGCACCGAAAGGTCAGCTGGCGCGTTCACCGATACTGACGTATGATGAGCTGACGGTGTCAGGCTCGGTCAGTTCTGCGGCATGGGCAGCGGTATGTAAGCGCGTACTTCTGACCGCGGAGGAGGTGGTGAAGGATCTTTTGATACCAGGTCCTGCAGCACCAGGTGAGCTACAATCTTCACAAGCGTTGCAATCGATGCGTAAGCTGACAGCATAGCTATGGTTCCACCATTTGCTGCCCAGCCAGGAGGAGCACCCGCCGAGAAGGCAAGACCATCCGCAACGATACATACCATAGAGTCTGAGAATCTAGACTGATAGGGCATCATGCAGAGATGAGCGGATACCAACGTGTTTCGATTCAGCAGAACGACCGAAGAGCAAGATATACATCCAGATCAATATGGCCTGAATCGCTTTGCCCGCTTCATCTCCTCGACCTTCTTCTTGTCCTCCTCGAATTTGGATCTGAGATCGACCAGTTCTGAGCATCAGCTCTGAGTCTTGCCTCGGACGCTTCCCCTGCAGCTCAGAAGAGGCACTTACCCTGCTTCTTCCTGTCCATCTTTTGGAACTTGTAAAAGTCCTGTAACTCTGCCGTTCCCAGCCCACCACTCTTCTTCCCCGCCTTGCCTGCAAACCCAGCCTTCCCAAATCCTTTGCCTGCGATCCCCACACTTCCCACGTTCCGTCCCATCCTATCTGCGATCCCACCCGTCCTCGAGTGGTTCCCGCTCCGCACGACCACCGTGAACCCGTCTTCATCCAACAAGGCGCCCGCACCGGCCTGTTTCGCGCGCGACGAGAGGAGCAGGGAATGGAGGTGGTCGAAGCGCGCCATGGAGGAGTCGGAGAATGCCTTGACCGCCGAGAGAGCTGGACGGAGGGCCGAGTGGCGCGCGAGGTAGTAGGGGAGACCTGAGGGATTGGCAGTCGACTCGGAAGAAGGGGAGAAGGGGATTGAGGAGCCAGAGTAGGACATGACGCGCGAGACGCAGATGGGTTCGAGGTAGATGATGTGAGCGGTCCGGAGACCGGAGGGACCGTATGTGTCCGACCTGGGGTTGAGGGGAGGCAGGGCAGTCACTTCCGGTACAGACTTGGGAAGCTTGTTCAGCCGTCTCCGTTTGCGAGATGGGAGTGTCGGGTCACCGAGAAACTTTGGGTCCGAGCTGGGTACGACCTCGCCGTCCGCCCCTACCGTTTCCCATCCACCGCCATCTCCCTCTCCCTCTGCGCTAGCTTCATCATCCGAATCTTCCACGTCCATCCCCCGTAGTGCCCTCTCCAGGACATCCCCCTCGCTCTGCCCGCCCATCACTACCCGCTCTACGACGCCCCACTTGCCAAACACACCCCTGAGTCTGCGCTCCGACATGTCCACCGGAAGATTTGCGACGAATACCGTCCGGTCGCTGGGGAAATCGCCCTCCGCATCTTCACTCGATGACGATGGCTTGGAGGTGTGCGGTCGAGCGTAGATGTGGTGCGTTATGGTGGTGACTGGCTTGGAGGAGGATGAGGGGATGGGGAGGGGGCAAGGGATCGATAGTGGGATAGGGAGGAAGGACGAGTACAGCTTGACGCTGCTCGAGGGACCTGCCACAGGGGTCTGAGAAGCTTTCGATGGGCGTGCTGGCTTCTCAGCAAGCTTTGCGCTTGACTTCGCCTGCTTGGGCATGCTGTATGCTCGTGTGGTACCTTGAGATGAAGTATGCGATATCGTGTCCACCGAGCGTTACAAAGCTGCGCGGACTGCAAAAGTTTAATTGGAGCGCAGATCAAAGTCACGTGCCCATCTGATACGTTGACGCCGTCACGAGATCCAGCCGCGCGGCGCCCTGCCGTACCCACCCTAACTACTGATACAGTGTACGTTGTACGATCGCTCCCGAATCTGGCCGAGATCTGAAAGTCCGCTGCCAGCCTGCTGCCGGACACGAGTCGCTGACGAAAGGGCCCGGCACAGCGAATCCACTTCAAAGCCGGGGTCTCTTCTGCCAGCAATCCCTCTCCCTGGGTTCTCATCTACTCGACGATTACTCGCTGCGTCCCCCATACAACGCTACCAATCACCATCTCACCGCTCGCAGTCGCAATTTCAGCTCGCTCCTACAATCTCTCGCACAGCGCGATCGAAGCCCTTGATGATGATAGATTTCACCTCGAGACGAGATTGGATCCAGGCCCTGATCATTGGCGCGCCAATGATCGCTGCTGTGGGCATCTTCTGGCCAATCCAGGGCGCGGTGACTAGGTTGCAGGCGGACTTCGCACCGAGAACGACAACTGACTGCTTGTGAGTATAGCTCTTCGGCTTCGTCGGATCAGCCAACTGAGCCTTCCCACAAAGTCGAGGATTGGAGCGGAGGCAAACAGCCTTGCTCGCAGCTTAGTATGGATGCCGTGTCTACAGACAGCCTCCTCACAGACGGTAAGGCTGATCTTCAGGAATTCACGTTCTTCCGGGGTGTGGAACATGCTGAAGAGAGTCCGACGAGTTGAGGGCTGGAGCGGACTATTCAAGGGTACGTCCAGAGTAGATTGTCCCAAAAGTGTCTCATGCTGATGATGATATCAGGCGCCTATGTCACCCTCGCCGTTATAGGTGCCACCGTAATCTCTCCTCGCTTGGACACGACCAAAGAGCTATGGGCGCCCGGTGTCTTTCAGTGCGTGCTTGCTTTTGATCATCGATCGTCATGACAAGCCTGATCACTGACATTTATAGGATAGCCAAACAGGCCGCATGCACCACTTTCCTACTCACGCTTCTCTATCTGCCTTCGAACATCATACTAGTCCGGTGAGGTCTTCTCCCCATGCACCATGACGCTGGAATCGTCAGATCCACTGACATCGCCTCAGGTCCATCATCACGCCATTCCGTTTACCTTACAATCCGGTGCGCGCTCTACGGATCTTACTTTCGGACCGGGAGTTCACTGCGCCTTACACGCTATACTGTACTCCGAGCGTTCTCATGGTCAACATCCTGCAGAATATCCCCTTCGCGTTCATCGCCCGGTCCTCTGGCATACCGGTCGGCCTCGACATCATGAGCCAGCCCCGGGACATGGACGCGCGCCGCATCGCCATCTGTCTTCTATTGCAGGTCGGAATCGCGATCATTCTGACGCCACTTGATGTTCTCGGAGTGAGGCTGTCAGCACAACCGAATGCGCACGGAACAGACAAGGCACACTCCAGAGACCGCGGGACGAAAGATTCTCATCTCTCTCCCGCAGGAGACGTCCTGCCCGACAATAGCGGCGAAGGCATTCTCGCGCAGAGGCCACGGGGCGAGCCGTACATGGGAATGGTGGATTGTGCCCGCAAGATGATTAGAGAGGAAGGGATAGGTAGCCTATACAAAGGCTGGTGGTGGGTATTGATGGGTGGCGTGGTCAAGATGATGTAGGGTCTGCAATTGCACACCGCGGCGAATGCACAGTCATCACTCTCAACCTTGACGACCCATCGCGGACAGACGCCGTACACAGCAACATCAAATCTGGAGTATATCGCTGGAGGTAGCCTGCTGAAAGCGAGAGAACGATCAATATGGCGTTGGCCGACCATCTAATGGTTTCCCCTTGTTCTTCTTGAGCTTGTCCAGCTCCTTGGCTTTTCGTGCCGAGACGTTCGATGTCGCAATCCCGCCATACTTGTCGTCTTTGACTTTCATTAGGCGAATTGGCCTTTGCCCGACGTATTTGCCTATATTGTCAGCTTGAGCCGTATAGATCGAGTTTGGACAGGTATGGTGATGTGTACGAAACATACCGTCCATCTCCTTCCACGCTCTCAGGAAATCTTCTGGGTCTTTGAAGGCGATAAAGGCATATTTGGCCTATGATGTCAGCTCATCACCTTCAAATGAACAAGCCCTGGCTGTCATAATCTGAGGGAGCTCACTTTGAGACTCAGCCTATCTCTGATGACCTTGCTCTTGCAATATGTCGGATAGGCGTTGAAGGCATTATCCAGCGTCCGCTCATTCACGTCATTCGAGACATCGCCCACAAACAGCCTGTACCACTCTATCGCGTCAGCTGTAGTCCCTCTGCCAGGTGTCGCATTCCCATCAGCCAAGGAGAGGAATTATCACTCACTTGGATCCCAATCCACCAGCGTCGTATCCTCCCAGACCTTCCCACCTCCTTTCCGAATAACAGTCTCCCTCTTCCCACTGGCCACCTTCTTGGGCTTGGGCGCAGTCCCGCTGCCCTCCGCACCCAGCGCGCTCGGATCGTACATCCCTGCTTGGGTCATATCCAATCCCGCGACCGCGGCGGGGTCATACCCCGACCCAGAAGCCGTAGGGGCGGGCGTGCCGTGAAACTTGCCGGTGTTGGGGTCGAATCCAGTGACGGCGAGGACTTGGTCGGTTGTGTAGCCCTGTTGGGCGTAGTAGGTTGCCCACTGATAAGATTAGCTATCGTTCTGGGGTGCGATTGAGAGGGACGGGCTTACGGCTTTGGCATGCTCCTCGGCTGAGTATTCGGCGGACATGGCGGATGGAGAATGGGGACGGCGGTATAGGGCTGTGTTGTGCTGTTTCTGGTCGCTACAAGTGATTCTTTTCAGTGCGATATTTCGGCGACGCTGGCTGTCCTGCTCTTTTTCCAGACAGGACTGGGCGTGTATAATATATAGAAGGTGTAATGAGGAAAGCAAAGGAGCAGAGGTTTGGTGCTTTGGTGGCGAGATCAACCACCACCCAAAAGTAGCTGACGTAAGGTTCAGGCACGGTGTTGATGATCTCGCCTGAGATCCTTAGAGCAGCCAAAGATGTCTCTATCGTCCTTTACTTTACCCACCTCGTACATACAGAACCCTGTAGGGCACCCAGGATCGGCACTGATATGGTCCTGAATCGGACGCGGTGAAAAGGAAGCTGCGAATCTCGTCTAGCGCCCCGCCGCGGAGCCGCCGCCGCCATGTCGGCCGTCTTCCAGGATGACCCGTACCTGCAATATCAGCCGTCATTCGCCTATACCTTACCTATCCAGCTCTTCGTCAATGGCATAACGATCACTTTACTATGTGTCCTCTTTATCCACCTCATGTGTATGTTCCCAACCCCAAACCCAAGACGAGCAAAGCTAATAGTAGTTACGGCGCAATACCACTACCCCCTCGCTCCCCTCAACTACATTCTCCAATTCTCATCCGTCCTCGTCTGCCTCATCAGCGTGATCATCAAGGTCGTCGTCGTCCTCTCCAGCGCGTCGGATAATGGGGATACATGGCCATACTCGCTTATATACGTCGCGGTGCCCATTCCGCCTTCGTGGTGGAATACCGCACAGGATTCGTTCTGGTTTCTCCTTCAGGCGCTTTGCGTCGGCTTGTCCAACGTGAGCTCATCAGTCAATATTGTGAGAACGCACGAGCTGACTTTCAGATCACCCACATCCACTTCCTCACCCTCCTCTATCCCTCCCGCACCGAAGCCCGCCTCATCATCTTCCTCCTCGGGCCCCTTGCTATCGCCTCTTCCGGCCTGGTCTTTGTCGCTTTGTCAAACAATCAGACCGCACTCGATATCGGGGATGCCATCCGCAATACCCTCAACTCGACGTTACTGCTCATCTTCACCATCGCCCTCCTGATGTGGGGCCTGGTCGTCAATCGTCGGAGGGCATGGCGGAACGACGGCGGAACAGCCATCTTTGGAATAGGAAGTTTATCGCTCGCGATCATATCGACGACATTCAACTTTGTCGCTATCGCGGAGGATGGGATAGACTGGCTGCAGCACCTGTTGTTTGCGGCGGTGCTGTGGCAGATCTGGTTGGGATGGTGGTGGTGGGTCGGAAGCGGGATGGGTATCGGCGAGGTCGAAGTGAGTTGTCATCTACAAAGGTAATACCTCTTGGCTGATCAACAGGATATCATGCAGAAGGCCGAGCGGAAGAAGCGGAAAGCAGCCAAAAGAGCCGCCCGACTTCGCGCCACTAGCGGGCTCGGCAAACGCACCAAATCCATCCAATCCAGCGCGGTCGACATCCCATCTGCGGCTGCTAATGCGGTTTCGGGCCTCACATCCTCGGTCACTGGTATTCTCCGGAATCGGTCCATGCGCTCCAACTCTGGTCTCCGAAGACGGCGGAGCGAGACGGCGAATACCGGATCCCTTGTCGGCGATGTCGAAGAGGGCATCGAGATGGGCACGATCGGCAGCGGTTCCAGGGCCGGTACTGGGCGTGTGACGCCCACTATCCCGCCTGCGGCGCCGCAACGGGTCGGATTCACGCCTGATACGGACGCCTCGCGCTTGCAGCCATCGACTAATTCTGAGACGTCATCCACGTCCAGGACCCCCTCGCTCCATCCTCCACGTACCGTCCGCCAATTCTTCTCCTTCCCTACGACCTGGCTCCAGGTGTACATACGCCAGCTCCGGCATGCACACGAAGACGCTACGAAGCGGCAAGTCATGCAGCGTGCAGAAGTCCGACAGCGCGTCTTTGCGCGTGATGGGGCGGGGGAGGAGTCGGCTTCGAGGAGCTCGGGCCCAAGAAGGGGGTCAGCGACGAGATTGGATAATGTCGGAGAGGAAGAGGCGGAGGTTGGGCTGGGGGCGGAGACTTCTGGGGAGGCAGGAACCGCGGGAAGGGCAGAGTTGGGGGAGCCTGTACCGCTGGCGCTTCCGCTGCAGGTGGAAGAGGGGGTAGGGTGGGGATTGGGGAGTTTTGGGATCAAGGAGCACGAGGCGAGTGCGAGGCGGCTCAGGGAGGCCGGGGATCTGCTTCGAGAGGGTAGACTGCTAGGGGATGAGGAGAGAAGAGCTCTGGCGGAGGATGCAGCGGGGAGGGAGGGGGGCGCGGATGGGCAATCTGGTCCGAGCCGGCCCGTCAGGCGCTCGATTGTGCGCGCAGAGGAAGGCAGCGAAGCGCAGGATGGCCGGGCGCCTCCTGATCCTGCGGCGAATTTCGATACCGCAGCTGTGCCAGAAGCCGGTGCTTCAGCTTCCGGTGGCCCCGGAGCATCGGCCCCGGTCGCTGCTATCAGAGGAAAGGCGGCGAGACGTCGGTCGGAAGAATGGGAAGATATCGATAGCGACTCTTCCTCTGGCGATTTGACGGACGAAGAGGGAAGCGGCGGTAGGCGGACAGGAAAGGGATGGAGCTGGTGGGGTCCACTCAAGAATTGGCGGCGGACAGATCGTTCTGATTTCTAGGCATATCGACCATCTATCACTCTAGGGACATGTTGTACATTATATCCGATACGTGTAGCTCGTATCAGATCAGGTCATGCATTGTTGTAGAGCCGTATGTATACAACACCAGTACTATACAAGAGGGCGCTTTCAGCCACCATATTGGCTGCGCCTAGCGAGTCCACGGCCAGATCTTCCTTGGCTTGCACGCCTTCTTCAGCCAGTCTCTCGCCTCCTTGTCCTGGTCGCCCTGATCCAGGAGCGGCATGAGCGCGTTCTCAACATCGGTATGATGTGCGTTGAGCCATTTGATCTGGTCCTTGCTCATGATGGACCAGTCGACGAGGGATGTCTGGATAGGCACCTGGGAGAAGTCAGCTCCCTCTCTCCACTACACATGAGTATCAGGTCTTGGTTTTGAACGAACCTGGGACATTCGCTCCCATTCGTACCACTTCTTCTCGGTCGACTTTGGCTTGGACTCGTCATCCCCAGTCTGTGTATATAAGCTCAAAGCTACCCGAAGAGGCTGCAGCGAGCTCACGTCTTTGTCTTTGCACAAATATAGGTTCTCGATACGAATCCCAAACTCTCCTTCCTTATAGTAGCCCGGCTCAACAGTCGTGACGTGTCCAGGCTGGAATGAGAAGCCATGGGGGAACGATACAGGATCTACATGGTCAGCTATACCCCAGGTCCAACTCGTTGGACATGTTGGAAACAGGGATAACTTACATTCATGTACGCCAAGGTATGAACCCACACCGTGCCCCAGCCCATGTCCAAACTCGAGGCCGTCCCTAGCGAATCAGCCATGATACTTGTGCGAGGACGTAATGTAACTCACTCGAACAATGGTGCTCTAGCGAGCATGTTCATCCAGCTCGCATCCATTCCTTCTGGGAAAGAAAACTGCGCAACGGCCATGTGACCCTGCAGAACCCGTGTGTAGGCCCGCTTGATCTCGTCCGAGGGCTTGTTGCCGAAATAAATGGTTCGGGTCGTATCTATCGTTCCATCTGCAAGCCGTCAGCTAATTGCAGTGGTGGTGGCATGCGATGCTGCTAGCTGACCTAGATACTGCGCTCCGGAATCACTGTTCGAGTCAGCTACAATCTGCGACAATACCAGGACGAAGCCAGCTCACACGACATATGGCGCGTCCACGCCGACTGGCATATCTTGCCCTCGCTTCGCATGGTAATGCGCCAGTGCTAACTGTCAGCGCGGTCCAAAGTGACACGAAAGGAGAAGCGCACCTCCGTTGGGTCCAGATGCGGAGATATCCTCATATGCCAATCCGCTGACACAGTCAGCTTACTTCTCGGCCGCGGAAGGAAACGGGACCGATCTGAAAAACTCACGCGAAATGGTCCTCTTGTCTCCGATATCTAGTCAGAGTCTGCACCGCCGCCCATTCCCCCACCTCCCGCTTCTCCTTCAGAAGCAGACCTTCCAGCCAAGCAATCCACCGGACCTGGACCGTCAGCTCCGCGGTCACGTCTGCGCTGCCCTATGAGACTTCACCATTGCTCGTCCGTCCCGAAGGTACGCCTGCCGGAAGCCCTCCTGCTCAGTAGCATTCTTGACGGCCATGGTGATTGTGACGGGACAAGGGATAATCTCCGCCTGGAACTGTCAGCTGATTCGGGCGAAAAAAATCGCTCATGCGAATCCAACAGCTGAATACTCACCGACTCGCACACGTTCTTCAACGCCCAGCTGGCACTTGCCGATGTCCACACCTTCATCCCCGACTTCTTCTCATCCGCTTTCACCTTCTTCTCTATATCCTTGAGCGCCTTCCCGACCTCCTCGATCCCATACTTCCGCACTTCCACTCCGGCCTCCTTCCAATCCTTCTTCAGCTCCTCATCTACCACCTTCGCTTCATCCACGAACACCAGGCACTTCTCCCTCGTCAGAACGACATACGCGAAGCCGACGGGACAGAATGGCACGTCGCCCTCGCACCTCATATTGAGGAGCCAAGCGATAGGCGGTAGTGCTGGGAGCACATACGCCCATTCTCGGCCAGAGACGACCTTGTCTGAGAGGATGGTACGGAGTCGGTAGAGCTTGGAGAGGGTGGTCTCGCCTGAGAAGGAGACAGGGTGATGTTTGAGTGCGTTGATCTGCTGGGGAGGGAGGGTTCTGACCCGGTCGACGAGGTTGCAGGTGATCGGGACGAGACGAGATGCGGTGTCTTCGAGGCGGGCCAGAAGAGAATCGGCGGACGCTGCGGGTGAGCTGGGCTGGAGCATCGGGCACACCACGTTTAGCTCACCTGACGAGATCAGTCTGGGATCAATTCCTATTCTGCTACCATCCTCGGCATCCTTGACTGTCAGCTGTGGACTGCAACTCTTGACCAGCAGTAGGAAGCTAACCTTCACAGCCCAATCTGTCCATCCGGACAATACACTCGCCGGTCCACTCCCTGCGACAGAGCCGACCCTGACCACTGTCCACTCCTCCTTGTTGATCTGCTGTTCGGCCTGGAGCCAGTACCGTGAGTCAACAAAGAGCAGGGCCTTGCTCGAGGTGGATCGAGGGATAATGGCCGTCCCCGCAGAGCCGTCAAATCTGTTGTGGTCAGCTTGAATCGCCCAGGTCCTGGGATTCCGTAGCTGCGCATACCTGGAGATCCATTCCCTCCGCTTGTCCTTGATGGCTACCTCCTCAGACTGGAGTCGTCAATATCAAGCCGTCATCGTTGAGGGTAGGACAAGGGGACGAACCTGGTGCTCATCCTCGCTGGGTACCACACTAGCGATCAGCCCCCTCCCAGAGCAGATGATGATTGCCGTGGTACCACGTCCCCTATCAAGACTTACTAACAGTCCACTTTGGCATCCTCAAGCTCCCGTCTGAGATCGCTCAACCGCTTGGACATCTCTTCATCGCTCGGGCCGGCAGGGAGGAAGCTCTGCTTCTCCGCAGAGCCCGAGCTTTCAAGCGAATGCTCGGAGTCAGCATGAATGTTGGAGCTGGATCTCATGAGTCCACAGAGCATTGTTGTGGGGGGGGGGGGGGGTCTTGCGGGTAGAACGATCTGAGTGTATAGGTGTATGAAGAGAAGCAGGTGGCCAAATGAAGTGCATTGAATGTGTGTGGAGACTCCGCGTCACGCCGCGTCACAGTACTGATAGCTGTACTGATGATTGTCACGCTCCGAACGGCGACCTCCGCCTCCGCTCCGCTCCGTGATTCGCCACCCGCCGTGCCTGAAAGTCTCTCCCGGCCGACGCCATCTTGTCAGCTTCTCGCTTGCATCCTGTCATCCTCGATGCGTGCACGCTATTGTCGTCGTCGCCTCTAGGCTGCTGACGACTGCCGCAGAGAGCCCCGTCGTCGCCGCCACAGTCTCTGCCTTTGCCGCATCGTTCGGGTTCCAGCTTGTTCTATTCAGGAGCTAACCACATTCCAGGGAAGGTTCGAGTGACGGCGATGACGCAATGACGTATCTTTTTGCACCACTCCCGGCCGGTCGCGGCTCTCGGCCTCGGGATGAGGGAAGATTTTGCCCTTTTTTACCTCATGAAGACTGCCTGACGACGTCAGTGAAAGGCTAGGGCGATGCAGGTGCTGCGACTCGAGATGTATATAAAGACTGGTAGAGACTTGACTTTGTCCCTCAACCGTACTCATACCTCACTTATCGCTTTTGCCACCTAAATCCTCTAAAACAGCCATCACAATGCGCGCTACCTCCGCTGTCCTCGCTCTCGCCGCCGCTACTGGTGCGCTCGCCCAGATCCCCGCTGGCGTGACTTCTGCCCTTGGCAAGTGAGTGGAAGCACCTAGGAAATTGGGGAAGGACTTGGGCTGACATTCCAGGCTCTCTCCCAGCTGCCAGCAGACCGTCCTGTCAATGGCCCTCGGCTCCGAGCTCTCTCAATGTCTCCACGTCAATGAGCTTGTTCCTGGTGAGTAAACCCTCCATTTCTCGGGCGACCCATTCTGACCATCAGTCATCATGTCGGCCATCTCCCCCAATGCCTCCTTCCTCCCCGTCATGGACAAGATCACCTCGATCGAGTGCGGCCAGTCTGGTTGCTCCAACGCAACCCTCATCTCGGCTGCCCAGCAGATTGGTGTAGGATGCGCCACCGACCTCCAGCAGTACAACATCACCAACGGTACCCTCCGGACCATCATGGCTCAGTACCCCCTCGCCCGCGAGGTTGTCTGCCTGCAGACCCGCACACCGTTCAACGGCACCAACGCCCCCATCCCCCTCACCAACCCCCCTTACAACATCACCAACGGTACCGCCTACTGCACCACCTCCCTCCTCACCCAGCTCTCCGCCAAGGTTGGTCAGAACATCTCCGTCCCCCTCTTCATGGACCTCTACTCGTCGTACCAGAACGGAACCCTCGGTAACTACGCCAAGCTCTTCAACGCCACCGACCTCTGCAACGACTGCATCTTTGGCGCCGCGGACCTCATCGGCGTAGCGTACCCCGGTGTCGGAAACGTCACCCTCTCGTCGGTCGGCCTGAAGAACGTCACCCTCAACTCGGTTTCTGTTTCCAACGTCACCATCGCTCAGGCGCTCAACACCACCTGCGCCGGTCAGGGCTACGCCTGGACCTACAACGGTACCCTCCCCTCTACCATCCGCCTCGGTGCCTACAACTCTACCACCTCGTTCAACATCACCGCCGGTGCCATCACCACTGTCGGCAAGAACTCCTCTACCCCCATCCGCCGCAATGTTGCCAACATCAAGGCTCGGTGGATCGGCGAGCAGTAAGCGAGAGTTGAGAGGGAGTAAGGGAAAGGGATGAGAAGCACTATAGACCCGTCGTGGCACACACGACGACTTTAGATGAGAAGTAATTAGAGTACCATTTATAACCACCTATATTAGCTGTAGCCGTAGCGCATGAATCAATGTACACGCTCAATCAACCTGTATCCACATCGGCAATCCAGGTGAATTCTTTGATCGTCCTTTGCAGCTAGCACATGCGACCAGTTAGAGGTGCATGCCCTCCTCTACTTCAGCGCCTCCAGTAGCTGCCCGATCTGGCTGGTGCGCTGTGTTCGCCGTCCCTCCCAGCTCCTCCTCGCCCACCTCCAGCCCCATATGCCTCACTCCGCCCTCCCCCACCTTATTGAGCAGCGCAATCTTGACGAGCGTGACGCGTTCGCTCTGGCTCTCGCTGTTTCATCAGCTACAGGCACCACTCAGCGAGAAGACCGCAGACGTACATCACCTCATCATTCTCCTCCATCGCCTTAGCCAACTCGCCATCTGCATCTCCTTCTGGATCTTCCTTCAAGAACGAGGCTAGCTCCGCCTGGGTCTCTCGAAGGTGTGTCAGGGAGTTCTCAAGCCTGCCGACTTCTGAAAGACGTCAGTAGATGACGCGTCGTCCACGGGGAAAGCGTTGTGATGGGGAGCATGGGAAGACTGACCGGCAACGAGCATGTCCACTTCTAATTGCATCGCTTGTTCCAGGGTGAACGGCTGGGAATGACGAGGAACGAAAGAGATGGGGGGCGACATCGCGATGGGTCAGGCTATCGATTGTGCGATCAAAGGAAAATATTGGAGGACGGGAGACGATGTACGATAGTTGGGCGTTGAGATCGTCGAGATTGAGAGGAGACGTGAAGTGGAGGTCGACTTTACAAAGTTCTTGTTGTCTATGCGTGCGACGGTATCAATGCTTTCGAAACATTGGGTTGCTCCCCAACAAGGACTGCTGGCGTTCCCTGGCAATGTCAAGTCCCGATGCCATGGATGCTCAGAACAAGATCGCATGTCAAGTACAACCGATTTCCTTCAGATCAACCAGAGATTCCCGTGCTCAGTGCAGAAGGGTCGACTACTTCTTGACCTCCCCGGTATAGCCATAGCCCGTCTTGGCGTTGAAGCCAGCAACAGGAACCCCAGCACCCTCTGCAACGGGTCAGCATATCGTCTCATGGAACAGGGACAGACAAGCAAGAGCAGTCACTCACGCAAGACCCCGTCGATGTAGCCCGACAACCCGCCAGCCTGCTTGGCGATCCGGTCGTAGCCGAGCTCGCGGGTATACTTGCGCTGATACTCTCCTCGATACCCTGAGTCGTCAGCCTCTATCGCATCGTGTACAGGAGCGGAGGGACTGAGTGGACTGACCATAGGCATACTCGACACCAGAGGCAGCCTTGCGGTCGAATGAGGCGGTAGGCGCGGGATAGGCGAATGGGTCTGCTGCGTACTTTTGCTCTGCAAGGGGATCAGCATCAATCTACAGCCAGACCAACATCGGAGAAGACGTACTGATACCAAGGACGGTGATATCGCCACTCATGAGCGCTTCCATGCGCTTGGCAAAGTTCTCCTCGGCGTCCTATTGAGTCAGCTGCTGCAGATGACCTTTCACAAGAGGTAATCACCTTGATAGCCCGCTTCTCTTCGGCAGAGGGTCCCTCCCCACCGATAGCTTTCCCGAGCTTGCTGAGCCAGCCCCCCTCCTTCGGCGCACCGGAGGTCGAAGTGGCCTGCTCATCCGCCGCCTTCTGCTTCAATGCCTGAGCGGCGGATGACCTAGGACTGGCAGGATGGTCCGCCGGTAGAGAAGCGAGGTAGGTGGAAGAGTCGTAAGGGTGTGTCCAGGTACTGTCGTCTTTGCCCGACGCGTTCGAGGGGGCGTAGAAGTGGTGGCCAGACCTGGGGTATCAGCTCAGCTTGTGCCTCGAGGAACTGCGCGGAAGTGCATTCAGCTTACTTCCTATCGAAAGCTCTGACCCAGCCCTCGGGCACGTCTCGTCGCTCGTCGTCCAGCTCAGCCTTCATGTCAACCGCTGCATCCCCATTGAGTGTCACCTCATCTGCGGCACGGCTGTTCAGGTTATCAAGCGAAGTTGTCATCGTGGTGTTTGGAGATTGGGGGTGTTGAGTTTATGCACAAGGAGAGAAAAGTGGATAAGAAGGGCTGATGAAGGAGAAGAAGGCAGTCCGAGCTCCCTCTTTATATGGACTCGCTGGATGGACGAGCGGATGATCTGCGTGCTTGGCAAGTCGGCCGTGCGGCAAGAGCTAGCGGGGCGCCACCGACGCATCGGCATCGCCTCGGTGCCGCATGCCGAGAGCATTCCGCTTTCCGCACTTTGCGCGATTTATAGGATTGGGCAAGATGGCTGGGAGTCGGAGCACAACTTGCATGGAGCGGGCGCCGATCCGAGCTTGCGGTAACCTCAACTGACATGGTGGCTGCATGCATGACGCTCACGATTGGACGCTGGACTGAGACAAGTGATGAGACAAGTGAATGAAGGAGTTGCTTGATACTGTCATTTGTCCAAATGCCACGTCATCATAGCTTTGGTGTGCACCAGCAGTAACGCGTCGAATTTCTATGGTTCACCTCTCATTTAGCTCGACACTTTCAGCAAGCCAGACATACTACGACCATCATGTCCGACTCACAGACGCTCGATGTGCCGAGTCTCAAGGTGGTGGAGCTGCGAGAAGAGCTCGCAAAGCGCGGCCTCGACACAAAGGGGCTGAAGAAAGACGTGAGTTATGACTCTCAGCACTCTGAAGTCATAGTGGCCAAGAGCTGACATTACAGCTTGCGGATCGGCTGAAAGCTGCACTGGACCTAGATATCTCGGGCGGATCGACAACGGCGCCTCCCAATGATGAGATGAAGGAGATGGCGCAGCCGCTGGGCAAAAAGTCGGCCGTATTCACCGAGGAGGAGGGCAAGGATGGCAAGGATGAGCAGACGGTGGGCGACAGCAAGGTCGGAGCGGAGGAGAGTGCAGCAGCCGACGCTGCAAAGGATGAGGGAGAAGCAAAGGAAGGAGCAAAAGAGCCGGAAGTGACGGTAGGCCACGGGATGGTAAAAGGGGCAGACGAGCGCGCCGAAGAAATCGACACTCAAGCCGGAAAGGCCGTCTCGGACTCGGACATTGAGCTCGAGCCTGCCTGTCTCGACTCAGAGCTCGCTGCCGTCATTGCAAAGGAGGAAGCGAAAGCCGGTCTGCCGCCCACACCGCCCAAGGTCCGGTCAATATCGCCCATGTCGGTCTCTCGAGCCGCCTCCGCCGAGCTGGAAAACAAGAGAGCACCAGCTGAGAATAGCGCATCTGCTCCCAGTCAGAAGCGCGCTCGCACGGCTACACCACCGACCTCACCACGGCAGAAGCAGAAACGGCGGACCGACTACCTACCCCTACCCTCATCGCTCTCCCACCTCGTCCACCCCCCAACATGCACGCTGTACATCACCAATCTCCGCCGCCCGCTCGTCCACTCTTCACTGCACGAGCACCTATTCACCTCTTCCACTCCTCCCGGCCCCTCATCACGCCTCCCTCCGCCCCGCGCGCCTTTCGCTGGAGAGTCCGCCCCCGCCCTCTGGCTCAGCGGCGTCAAGGATCACGCGTACGCTACCTACCCTTCCGAGCAGGACGCGCTCGAAGCGGCCGAGCGGATAGAAGGTGGGAAGTGGCCAGAAGATACCGGCGCAGACTTGCACGTCGAGTTTGTGCAGGATGACCTGGTCAAGGGGCTGGTGGAAGAGGAAGAACAAGCGTGGTTTAACGGTCGGCAGAAGCTGGCGCTGAAGGTCGAGAAAGACAGTCAGGCGGAGTCGGGATACAGGTTCGAATTGACAGGAGGAAGCGGAGCGAGGGGAGGTATGCCGATGGGTCGGCCTGGACCTGGCGGACCGGCGAATATGGCGCCGGCAAGGGGACGGCCAGTGGCGGTACCATTGTCTGGAACGGGTCCAAATGCTGTCCGTCCCGGAGCCCCTGTCGCAGGGAATGGCGTTGGTCCGGAAAGGCAACCTCCAGTCAACGCTCCCACCGGTCCATCCAGACTCAATGCCGGAGGAGGATACGGAAACGACCGACCTGGACCAGGCGGACGCGGAGGGCCAGAAGGGCTGATGAGCATCCGAGGAAGGGGCGGACCGGGGTACGGGGCACCACCCCATCTGGCGCGTCCTCCGGTGGATAATGGGTATGGCAATCGTGCTGCCCGAGTAGGGTGGGGCGAGAGGGACGGAAATGGACCGATCAGGCGGACGAGGGAGAGGCCGATTCTGACGTGGAGGGAGGGACCGGGGGCGAAAGCTGCCAGAGCGGGGTGAGCGGTGGGAGTGCTTGAGAATAGAGTACCTTCTATCTTCGACGTAGATTGCTGAGTGTCGATCGTTGCTTCCAGATCAGTAGGCCGGATGGGTACACCTGTCAGCTCGGTATTACAACCTGTTACTCCGCAAGTTCCAGTCAAGTTCCGAAACCCAAAATCGTCGAATCTCTCTTTGTACTTCTACATCTCAGGCAATGCCTACTCGGAAACCACGTCGTGCTCGTCGTATCAGAAAGGTAGGCGACAGTATCCCTACCGATGTCTGGCAAGTCCATACTGGGTGGAGCGTCCGAGAAATGGGACTCTCAAAAAGCTGACAGCTAGGCGGGTAATTTCCCTCCACATCATCAAGCCCAAAGACCATATCGCCCTCAGTCAAGTGCGCCAGTCCTCCCGCGCAGCGTACAAGGGCGAATCGACATGGAAGCAGCTCTGCTTGTCTATCGGTCTGGGGCGCGCGGTATTGGACAAGACACCATGGCGGGAGGTCTTTGTAAAGGCTGTTTTGCACCGGAAGGGGTGTAAGCTACCGCAATGTTGGTTATCAGGTGTACCTCGTAAGTGCCCGCCGACCCAGACGATCTATGGAGCTTCATAAATGCTCGATTGAGGGACTAAGAGCTGACATTTTCAGCGTCGACGACCCTTGGCGACGTCCTACCCTCGGCCGAAGCGGTTATGGAGCACAGGCAGTACTTTAGGAGGCAAGTCGGATACCACAAGTGCAATTGCGGTGACGACTACTGCGGCTACGCTATTCAGACAACAACAACGTGGAGGCGGTGCCGGAGGACGATGATGAGGACGAGGATGAGGAGGAGTACTCGGACGAGGAGGATTATTCCGAGGAGGAGGACGATATAACCCGCGAGGAGTGGGATGAGTACAATAACACCCCGGCCGCAGTGACCTTCCCCCTTGCCCCGTCGTTGGAACTCGCCGAATTCTTCAAACGCCAATATATGGACATGATGGGACCACGTCCTCCTTCGCCGGTCCAGCATACCGCAGCTGGACCATCTACGGTCATCGCCCAGCAACGCGCTCCCAAGCCGGTATCCAAGCCAGAACCCCCCAAACCCCTGCCCATTGGCCGCCTCCTCCCTCTCAGTCTGAGGAACCGAGACAGGGTCCCGCATCATCCGGTCCTTCATCCGTTACTCACGAAACTCCACTCGATCCCCTTCGTCAACTTCCTCTCGCGTTATTTCGCAATCAGCACTGGGCAAGCTCTCGGCGGTCTTGGCCGCAAGGCTAGCTTGTGGCCGACACTCGTGGACTGGGACGAGCCGGCAGTCTCTTCGTTAGGAAACATCAAAGATCCGTCTCACGCGGACATCAGGGACCACCCTGTACTGCTGTACGCATTTGCGTGAGTCCTGTCATTATCGCTTGTGGTCACGGCTGACCCGCAGTACAAGTCCTCCTGTAAGCAATCTGAAGGGTCTTCTGGCAACGGGCTCATTTAGCTGATAAACCCAGGTAGCGCACATGCGGCTGAAGATCGATATACTGTCTACCTTCGTCGTCAATCCGTACGTCAGCAGACCTCCCCACTCAGCCGCGCTAAGAAATTGTCGCTGACATGGCTTCAGTGATGGAGTGACGGTCGGAGACGTGCTGGAAGGCATCCGTGACTACGTCCTGGCACCGTTCTCCCCAGTGGATCGGCAGACCATCGACATGCCTCCGCACTACCGTCGAACATACCTCCAATCGGACAGGCCAAGGCTGGATTACGTGGTCCGTGACTGCTCTCTGCTTGAAGCCAGCGAACCGAACTCAGCGTAAGTTCTGACATCATGCTACAAGGGGGTCAATCGCTGATGCAGTCACAGGGGTGTAGCATTTGGCATCGCGGACCTCTTTCTCGCCGGACAGCTGAACATGGCAAAGGGCGTGGTGACTTGCAATTTCACTTCCGACAAATCGCCGTATTGACGGATAAATGATGCACACGATATCGCCAAGGCTGCAGATGCTCGCGAGTTCCCATTGGTAGTTCGTAGATGATCTCTGCCCGGTGTCACAGCAGGAACTGCAGGAACTGCCCTCGAACAATCTGCGAGCCTGGACCTGCACTCTGAAACATGCCGTAAGCACGCGCCCCGCTCCGACCGCGGCCGAGCGCTCCATGCGATGCGCCGCAGCTGAGCGTTGCTCGACTCCTCCTTCGTCCATCTCCGCGTACAACACCTATCAAAGCGTCAAGGCAATCATGAATGGAGACGAGGTACCATCCGACGTCTGGTGAGTTGGCCATCAAGAATGGCAGGAGATGGAGATGGCGATGCGCAGACGAGCCGGTATCCGGGAGCATCCCTTTCACACTTGCCTTCAGCTGACCTTTCAGGACGGTCGTCAGCTCACACCTCGTCCTGCCGAAGCATCACATCGCACTCAGTCAAACATGCCAGTCTTCGCGAGCGGTCTATTTGCTCGAGGAGAAGTGGAAGCAGATCTGCCGGTCCATGGGGGTTGGGCGGGCGAGCGGAGAGGCGAACATCAAGTGGAAGACGGTATTCTGGCAGGTGTATAGGCATAGGCACCGGTGCCGGATCCCGCTGTGCTACCAGTATGGAGCTCCTGGTGAGTCCCCTGCTGTATCTTGGCGGAAGGAGGATGGACTGAAGGGGAAGAGCTAACTGGATAGCTATGAAATCCGTCGGCGACCTCCTTCCTTCCGCCCAAGCCGTCCTCGAGCACTTCCAGTACTTCAAGGAGAATCATGTCTGCAACTGCGGCGGCTGTCATCATGAGGACGACGATGAAGAGGATGATGAAGATACCGAGGGGGAGTCCAACTCGGATGATGATGATGACGACTCGGAGGAGGGATCAGATGAGGACGAGGAGGATGACGACGATTGGGAGGATGACACTGCTCCCAACCCGATGGGCCTCTTCCCCGGCGCTTCAAACGATCCCATGGCGGCAATGATGTCCAACATGATGGCCAGCATGCTGGGTATGGGAGGTGGACCTGTGCCGCCTCTCCCGCCCATGTTCATGGGGGGTGGGGGTGGCCCCATGCCCCCTTTCCCGCCTTTCCCGCCCATGTACCAAAACCCCGCAACGGCGGCCGCCAACCTCGATACGCTCGCCACCCTCCCATTCCAGCCTCCCGCGGTCAAGCCGAAATCAAAGAAGAAGGCGAAATCGACCTCCACAGCTCCCAAGCCCAGAGCCCACCTCCTCCCTCTTAGCTGGAAAAACCGAGCGGACGTCCCGAATCGACCCATTCTCCACCCTTTCCTCGTCGAGACCGGCTCGGTCCAGTTCCAGCGTTTCTTGATGGGCAAGATGGCGCTGCAGGCTCAGGTATCGCTCGGTCCGCCTGGTCCGCTCCCGTTCCTCCCGGTCGGTATCGACTGGGAGGAGGCGGTTGACCCGAAGGGATTGAGGCGGAACCCAGATCTGGTGGATGTCCAGCTGCATCCGCTCCTCTCGCGAGCTTATGCGTAAGTGATCTTCAATAAGACGATTTGTAGTTTCCTGCTGACCATACAGGACCAACCCTCCGGTAAGCTGCTTCGGGATGACTCTGGCGCAGCTAGGCTGATTGGCAGGTCACCGATATACGCTTCGAGCTGGACACTTTCTCCACCCACGTCACCAACCCGTAAGCTCGCAATTTATCCTCCCGAGGTAGTGCGTATAGCTCAATCAGCAGGGACGGCGTCACCATCCGAGACTGCATCACCCAGCTCGGCCGTTACTTTGCCTCTCCCATGACGCTCGGGGATCGCGCAGCACTCTGCAGCGATCCTACTCCGCACGTATGCGATGTCACCAGTTGCAAGACTCGCATTCAATTCATTACTAGGACCGGGGCCAAGGTTCAGCAGGCACCCGGGTTCCCGTGAGTCCGCTTCACAGTAAAGGTCTTAAAGGATGAGCTGTAGCTGACTTTTCAGGAAGACTGGCATCAAGGAGTGCTGGTTCAGAGGTATCTCGAGGCTCGATGGAGGGCAGGTCGTCTGCGAGTTGATCCCGAACTAGGCGGACATGAGAGGCGAGCGTCGAGCGGGCTTGACGCTCAAGTCGGATATACATTGGGGGGTCGTGCAAGTTGGATGATGCAGGGATATAAGGTAGTGATTATGCTGTATATATTTATGCCGATGATCCTCTTACGCTTCCTTGATGGGTGAGGGTGGTGCAAGGGCTCTGATTATATCAGGAAGCGCTCCGGCGGCGGACATTCCTCGACGTGCCGTTCACCCTGTCTGTACCTGCAGCTATCGGTCACTCATCTACCTTCCGTACATGTCACTCGTCTCGCTTCTTATCCGCTCATGTAGAGTCGTAGAAGCTGGGACGATTCTGACGCCCGTTAAAGGTTGACAATAGACGATGCCAGAGAATTCCCTCGCTACCCCACGCCCAAGCGCGCCGACACACACACACACAACAGACAATAGACACGAGGCCCTTTGCTAACTCAATCATCCCTCAACGTGCTTCTCGTCTTTGCTCACCTTTGTACTTATACTTCCCGATAACCAAGCGCCCTTTCGACAACGACGACAAGCTCAGACTTAGCTTCACCCAAGTATAGAGCAGCAGTATGCCTACCGCTCACATTCCGGCGGACGTTTGGTATGTTTGCTATCCCTTCACGAGCGCACCGATCTTCTTTCCGGGCTCTAGCTGATCCCTCAGGACCATCATCAGTGACAAGGTCGTCCATCCCAAGCTCCATATCGCGCTCAGCCAGATATGCGCCTCTTCTCGGTCGATATACGAGGATGAGGACAAGTGGAAACTCCTCTGTCGATCCATCGGCGTCGGGCGGGGGTCGATCGAGAAGTCGGAGAGCTGGAAGAAGGTCTTTATCGAAGTGGTGATGCATCAGGAGCGGTGCAAGCTGCCTCAGTGTTACCAGTTTGGTGTACCTCGTGAGTTGATCTTATCCATGAGCGAGTGGGCGCCAGAAGCGGATTGACAGCTGATGCAGCAGCCATGAACGCGATCGGCGACCTGCTTCCGTCCTCCGAGGCGACACTCCAGCATATCGAGTACTTCAAGCAGCCACAGAAGTGCAGCTGTGGCAAGGCAAACGGTCACCAAGAGGCCCACCAAGCGAGCGAGGACGGTACCGCGGCCGGCGGCGCAGACCCCGCTGGTCCGGCCGCTCAGACTATCAACAGCCCGGCTATTACTGGTCTCCTCAATTCGATATTCGGTCAGATCGGCGCCAACATCCCTGGCATGCCTCAGACGGCGCCTACTCAAGTCCAAATCTTGGGCTTGGGCGGAGGTGCTGCTACCTTTCCGCTCGGGACTGCTCCTCCGGCGACAGCAGCTCCGACCGGCCCGTCAGCTCCCACGAACCCGGGCACACAACCCCCACCAGTCCAGTACCAGTACATTCCCTTGTCCCTCTCATTTGCCCCTGCACCTGCCCCACCGGGAGCGGCCCCGCCGAATCCGGTCGCTCCGACCAACTCAGCTACACAACCGCAACCCCAGGCAGCTCAGTTCCCCCTGTTCGGTCTTGGGAACACTTCGGTCTTTGGACCCGCCCCGGTCTTCACAGCGCCTGCTCCTCCTGCTACTGCCGCTACAGCTCCCGCTGCCCCGTCCGGTCCCATCATCCAGCCCAACCTTCTCCCCCTCAGCTACCGGAACCGCGACCGAGTGCCCAAGAAGCCGATCCTCCACCCGTTCATCGCCGAGACCGGCTCCATCGAGTTCGGCCGCTTCCTCGCGGGGGAGACCGCGCTGTTGCCGATGCAGGCTTGCTCGGTCGCCACTTTGGAGTCGCAGGGGCTGGATTGGAGTGTCGAGGATGCAGCTAGCGCGGAGTGGAAGGAGCGGAACTATAGGCGGATCGAGGAGCATCCGTTGCTGACTCGGGCATTTGCGTGAGTCTGACCTCGTGGATATGGGCGGACGTATGCTGACGATACAGAACCAACCCTCCAGTATGTCAATCCAGAAAGGAACACAGCAGAAGACGGGGAAGGAACTGATATGTCAGGTGGCCGAGATGAAGATCATGATCCAGGGCTTCAAAGTGACACTCATCAACCGGTAAGTCTCGGACGCTTCCCTTACAAAGTGTGAGCTGATTGAAGCAGAGATGGAGTCACCGTCAAGGACGTCATCTACAACTTGAATCGCTATCTCGAGAAGCCCCTCTCGAAGGAGGATCACGATCGGTTTTGCCGCGCCGGCCAGGATCTGGATAATGCGGAAGAATGTCTGATTGAGGATTGTGCCAACCGCTTTGCATACCTCGCTAAGAAGCAGCTGGGCATAGTCCCATCGATCAGGTGAGCACTTTCTGACTGTTCTGAGACGAAATGAGCCTAGCTTATCGGCCCAGCGATCCGGCGAAGAATGGGCAGTGCTGGTTTCGCGCAGCAGCGACTGTCATACAGGGAGGCGATACTGTCTGCGTGATGACTCCGGGATAGGCGGGTGTCCATAGGCTGGGTGAGGCTGGCGTGGCCGCAGCAACCTTAGTATCATTTGGGATGAGGCGATGAGCAGGTATGCGTTTATAGGCGTAGGGTTTTCGGTCTTTGTATATAATCGAATATGAAAAGAGACACATCACATGCATTCACTGTCTAGACCGCTTGCCCTCATGAGCTAGCGACATCACATCTGTCGCGCAATGAGTCGGATCAGCTGCTCACACAGCCAACTTGCAAGCTCGACGACCTCTCACAAATTGCCACGTATCTCCTACCGCTCGCCTCAGCTCTTTCACTCTATCACTCCTGTCTGACCTTCTTACTCTGACTGTTACATGACGTAGCACTCATCACCGACGACCATGTATTGCTGATAGTGACTGAGGAGCGTCTGACTAGCCGACAGCGTCCAGAACATTCCTCCCTCGAGGACACACACGCACACAAGGGGTCCGAGCGGGTTGCTCGGCGCTCCACATCCTTGCTTCTTTTCTGATACAACATCATACTCACCCTTGTCCAGACCTGTCGAAGACACTCATATTCACCACAATCATCATGAGCAGTGGTCATATCCCAGCTGATGTCTGGTAAGTCAGGATCTGACCGGTCTCTCCAGCTCAACCCTCACCACGGCCCGTGATACACGGCTGACAGATCAGGACCGCCATTAGCGATCACGTCGTCCATCCCAAGCTTCACATCACTCTCAGCCAGATATGCACGTCGTCTCGCTCGATCTACGAGGATGAAGACAAGTGGAAGTTGCTCTGCCGGTCCATAGGCGTTGGGCGGGGCACTGTGGAGAAGAAGGACACCGGTTGGAAGCAGAAGTTTGTGGAGGTGGTGATGCACAGGGAGAGGTGCAAGCTGCCTCAGTGCTATCAGTTTGGTCTTCCTCGTGAGTTGTACGAGTACCCGCCATGAGGGCAAGCAAAAGTGGATGGAGGCTGGAGCTGATATCAACAGCGCTGAGTACCGTTGGAGACCTGCTTCCTTCCCCCGAGGCGACCCAACAGCACCAAGAGTACCTCAAGACCTCCCGCCCTTGCAAATGCGGCAAGCCTTTCGGTCACTCGGACGCACACAATCCGCCTGAGGGGACCGACGTACTTCCGGACGAGGACCCACATGCGCCAGGCGTCCAGGTTGACGCGATGACCGCACTTTTCGGTCAATTGCTGGGTGCGGCGCCTCTCTCAGCCTCTCAGTATCAGCAGATCTTCAACGTCCCCCTGCCCGCCCTGGGCGCGCCGATCATCCCCGCCGCACCGCCTGCTCCTCAGACAGGCGATGAGACAGCCGAGACCGCTCCCCAGTTCCCTCCGGACGACGTCCTGCCCCAGACTGCAGCCATCACGCCTCACCTTCTTCCCCTCAGTTACAAAAACCGGAAGAATGTCCCTCGACAACCCGTCCTCCACCCCTTCCTCGCCGAGACAGGTGGCGTCCAGTTCCAGCGATGGCTTGCCGGCCAGACCGTCCTCCTGCCCATACAGCCATACTCCGCCGCCGATGAGCTGTCAGGCAAGCTGGAAGGCGTGGATTGGGACGTCGAAGATGAACGGAGCACAGAGTGGACGGGGCGGAACTTCGTCCCTCTTGATGGGCATCACATGCTGTTGAGGGCATTCGCGTGAGTTCTGCTCAAGATCATGTCCCTGGAAGAGAGCTGACGAGACAGTACGAATCCGCCGGTAAGTACATTCTGCTGTCTTCTACGCGTCGAGCTGACACAGCAGGTGGCCGAGATGACTGTCAGCCTGCAAGAACTCGAAGTCAGGCTGGTCAACCGGTAATTTCGTCATGATTCTGGACCTGGCGTCATAGCTGACCAGCGTAGGGACGGTATCACCATCAAGGACGTCATATACCACCTCAATCGATACCTCAATAAGCCCTTGTCACCGCAGGACCTCGATAAGATTTGCGGCAGAGCCGGACGAACGCCCGATGAGCTGGATGAGATCTACAGCTGCGATACAAGACTTGCCTACCTGGCAAGGGGTATGCCGAAATCCAGGCCGGAACTTGGGTGAGTCTGGTCCTCTATATAACCGGTGTAAGATATACGGGCGAGCGCTGATCGTGTCCAGCGATATCGGAGAGAAAGCAATGTGGTTGCGTGGGCAAATATGCCTCTGCACGACGGGAGAGTCAATCTTGCTACTCTTCCCGTGATACTATCCTTCTGGACGTAGGATATTTGGGTGGATCAGGACATGATGCAGGCGGTGGGGCGAGCTCGTGGCGGCGAAGTGGGCGGAGGCGGTACAATACTGAGCTTAACATCAAGTTGTGAATGCACCTATATCATCTCTGGACAGTATACAAGATGGTCTTGCTCGGCTGGATCGCTCTACCCGTCGCACCCGTCACAGTCCGCAGGATACAAATCGCAGAGTCTTTGTACAGTATCAGATTTTATCGTGCCTCCAATCTTCAGCTCTTGCTTCAAGCTTCAGCTCCACATTCCTTACATTGTTGACCTTTGCCAAATCTCGGCGAGGTGACTGAAACAGACCTTGAAGTCACCATATCACTCTGTCACTGCAACCAGTCTCGCTGAAGCTGTTGAAGCAGCAAGGAAACTCATCAGCATATACATCATGGACTCCTTAGACATACCTCCCGATATCTGGTCAGTCCCGGCTGGATCAGAGACCCTCTCGGTCGGCGCTGATCTCGTAGGACCGCCATCAGCTCATACTTTGTCCATCCAAAACTTCACATCCTCCTCAGCCAGGTCTGCTCGAGCTCCAGAGCCTACTATGGGGGCGAGAAGCGGTGGATGCTGCTTTGCCGCGCCATTGGCGTTGGTCGAGCCGTAGACGACCAGGAGACGAGCTGGAAGAGGGTGTACATCGAGGTGGTGGCGCACAGGGATAGGTGCAGGATACCACAGTGCTACCAGTTCGGACTACCATGTAAGTCTCTCCTCCGTCATATCGCCCACCGACCACACTGGGGAAAAGCTGATCTGTCTAGCGACCAAACGTACAGGCGATCTCCTCACGTCGGATACCGATGTCCTCGCCCACCACCAGTACTTCAAAGACAGACAGATGTGCGAGTGCTGTGATCATCCTGGACGTCCAAAGCTGCCTTATCATATCGCGCCGTCCGAGGCCGAAGTGCCTGCCGTCCCCCACCTCCTGCCGCTCAGCTACAAGAATCGTCTCGGGGTTCCTTCCCCACATGCCTGACATACACGATTTCATCCGTGACGCCGGGGACGTCTCATTTATGCGCATGGTCCAGGGCTATATGGCTGTCAGGTCTGCTCAATGGGATGATTGGGAGGCTCCCGACGGGCTAAACAGTATCACCTGAGATGATTTCGACGCGACAGGTTTGCGTGGGCCGGACCCTCGCTACGCGTGGCTACGAGATCATCCCCTCCTGGGCCGAGCTTTCGCGTGAGTGCTTCCTTATATAGTCGAGGCAGATGATTCAAACGATATAACCCCTGTCCGCCCGTCTGACACCCGGCTAGGCTGACTGGACAGGACAAATCCACCGGTAGGTTATCAGAGCCATACCATGGAATCCATCGTCTGCACTACACCGACCTTCACTGACTCCTGCTTAGATGACCAAGCTCCGGTGCGAATTTGACTACTATCACGATATCGCCTTATCCAACGAGTGAGCTAGGACCACCTCTGAGTGGCCTGCACTCATCTCATGCTATCTCGCGTCGATCGGTATCTATATGGCGAGGCTCTTTGCTGATTGCCTAGAAATGGGATCACCATTGGCGACGTCATCCGCGAGCTGAAGGCCTATCTCCTCAGGCGTATGACCGACCAGGACAGGGACAGGCTATGTCATCAGTATACTCACCCCGACCCCGGGTGCCACCTCCGGTCTTGCTCACATATCATGCTGTACGTCTGTCGAATCGGCGATCAAAGAACGCCTATCTCATGGTGAGTGGCCAGCCTGCAGAGACGATCGTTGGCTGATGTTCAACGCAGGTCCACCGCGGAGCAGGTCAGATATGCGGCCTGTCTTTCCGGGTGCGGAGACGGTGGTACTGCTTTCTGATTTCGATCTCCTGGCCCCGGCTTCGCATGATGATGTTGGCACTGGGACCCCGCCCTACGCATGGACACTGTTTGCAGTGATTGTATTGTGTTCAGTGCACTCTTCGCTTGACGTAGCTGGCGTCGCCACATATAGCATCTAGCAGCTGCTTGCGGGGGAGATGTCCCCCACTTTCCCCACTTCGGCGAATCCCGTCCTCGTCCGCGCGCACATGCCTCCTTGCATGCCTCGCATGACTTGGAGGCTTCTGTTTGCTATAACTTCTCGTCTATGACTCGATACTGGTATCGCTGGACTCATATGCTACCTGCTGAAGATGCTGCCACACAAAGCGTCGAGTTTCGTCCATCCCTTCTTGACAGAGTTCTCGGTGCACGACCACCTTCCCGCTCGCCTACCTTTGGCCGAAAGATGGCCCATACTCGCCCTCGGTCTCTCTGCAATCTTCACTATCGCCTACCTGGTCCATATCCCTTCTCCGCCAGGGTATAGCGAGGATCAAAAGCATCCGACGGCGCAGCTGGCGTGTAATGCCCTGCTACCGCTCGCGGTCTGTGCGCCTATTTGGTGCTGGCTGACGGTGAACTTGTCTGGAGGTGAGTCTTCGAAGCTCTTTGCCCGTGCCGGAGGACGTAGCTGATACTGAACAGAGACCACTCAGTGGGCTGCAGTAAGTGCCTGCTCATCATATGCAGCTTTACAAAGGGCTGACGTTCAAAAGCGCGGGAACACGATCTTCGTTGTTGTACGTAGTAGTTTGCTAATTTACCTGACCTTATGGACCCGGCTGCTGACGATGATAGATGTGCTGACTATCTCAGATGTGCTCATCCATACGCTGGACCTTCTCACCCACTCGACCGAGCTATCACCCCCTCACCCGACCGCCCTTCTTCAACTTCATCCGCCAAACCCGGATGTTCAAAGCGCTCAACCTCCCGCTGATGGAGTACCGCCTGCACGGTCTCACTCAGTACTCTCCTCCCTACACTGGCAACGCTCCTCGATACTTCCCTTCGGTGCTCAATCACCTCGGCCACTTCCTGCTCCGCCTCTTTCTCTTCGACGCGCTCACGCTTGGTATGCACCTGCTCGACCCGTCCAACCTTGGCGCCATGGATGCCGCTGTAAGCCCACAAGACTGGGACGCCGGTATGGCAACTATGGCGCACAACACGGGGTTGCCGCGCTGGATCGTGCCGGTACTGATGACGGCTGTATCGACGATAATCACCTATGCGGGCGTCGGGGTGGGATGGGACCAGCATGCGCTGATGGCGGTTGGGAGCGGACTGTGGGCGCCAGAGGAGTGGCCCCCGGTCATGCGGGCGCCATGGAAGAGTCAGAGCCTGAATGAGCTTTGGGGAGGGCGGTATCATACTGTACGTCCATCATTACTGGTCGAAGGGTCTGCATGCTGACTCAACAGTATCTACGAGTAAGCCCGTCCTTCCCACTAAATGGTTCGCGCTGACTCCCAGAACGTCTTCCATATCTGTACCCTCCCCCTCGCTTGGCTGCCCCACGCATTCCACATCCCGCGCATCTTCCTCGGCTCGGCTATCCACCACAGCCTCCTCCTCTACCCTTTCACCGGTTCCTTCTCCTTCCGCGCCAATCTCCTGCAGTACATGATCCCCGCGCTCGGCTGCTCTCTCGAGCGATTGTATAGGAAGTGGACCGGGCGGAAGGTGGGGGGGAAATGGGGCGCGGTGTGGACGTGGACGATATTCCTTTGGAGCTGTTATTACGGGACGAAGGAGTGGTATTCGGTCGGATGGGCGGAGAGGTATCGCTGTGATCTGGAGGAGGTCAGTCCGGTGGTGGCCGTCATGAGAGCGCTGGGCTGGGATGTCATGAGGAAGGCGAAGGCTGAATAGAATCTGGATTGAGCTTATATGTAGACATGCCTGTTTGTCGAAGAGTCAGTTCTGCGTCACACTCGGCACCATCAGATGTCCAGTAGATGCTCCTCAACCCCGACATATCATCTCCACTGTCCTTGCATGCAGCACAGCAGTCCCCTTGCTCTCGTAGTGTCCGCCCTAAGCGAAGCTCCCCGTCCGTGGGAATACCGGCCTAAGGGGGCATTATAACAGGCGCTTTATCTCGATCTCCTCGGACGCCATTGAGACGCCTCGTGTGGGCTACGTATAAACGAGCGACATTTGGTATAGTCAGAGTACATGTGTAAGGACGAAAGAGAGATGCCCGCTGTCCAATTTGTGTGCTGCAGGAGGGGCGGGTGGCGGAGGAATGTTGACACGTCATGCCACAAGCTGTTTTGATAAGGCGGATGAGTTTCGCCACACTCGGGATCTTTACGGCGTTTCCCGCTTAGCACTGCGCGCGGATTTTGCGCTCACACCAGGTCCTATTGCTATTTCCCGACCTTCAACATCGACCACCTCGACAAACAACCTGTGAGGATACATCCCTGCTGCTGCACAGCATCGTACAGGGAGGACTGCGCTGATCTAGACCCCTTTTTCCGCTCGCTCCTACCTCAAATCCACGCATTACACCTATACCGAAACTCTGCTCGAATTCGAAATCTGCCCTCGATATACAATCGTCGCTCCATACCCACTGGATACATTCAACAGATCATCACAATGGCGGACGTCGAAATGTCATCGGGCAAGGCCCCTCGCTCCAGTGAGTTGGAGGAAGATAGGGGTGTATGGAGGGATAAGGGGGAAATTGGGCAGCATAGAGGATGTGATGGACGGAATGTCTGGAGCAACGGCACCGGCGGAGGAGATGATGTGACTGCTGGAGTGCATGTGGACATGTGGTGGCGCCGGTCGTGGAGGGAGGAGGTGCTGCGTGTGCGGCCGGGAGGAATTGCTGGGCAAACTGTGTTCACTGGATATGTGCTGATCGTTAGACCTCCGTTTCGGTCTTAACCGCGGACGCCCCACCACCGTTATCCCCAAAGCCGTCCGCCCCTCGCACAAGAAGGGTGTCAAGACGTGAGCTTCATCGCACCTTTCATCACCATTGGGACACAGCTGACATACTTTAGCGAGAAGAAGACCTTCATCAAGTCGGTCATCCGCGAGGTTGCCGGTTTCTCCCCATACGAGAAGCGAGTGATGGAGCTGTTGAGGAACTCGAAGGACAAGAAGGCGAGGAAGCTCACCAAGAAGAGGGTGAGTCTGGCGCGATGATGGTGATGATGAAGGGGTTATGCTGACTGTTCAGCTCGGTACGCTTCTCCGCTCCAAGCGGAAGATTGAGGAGCTCGCGAACGTTATCCAGGAGCAGCGTCGTCAAGCCGGCCACTAGGCGGCTGGGGTGTATGTTTGATTCTGGATGCACGGTGTGAGAGGAATGCTGGTCCTGGGATCGGGGGCGACGGACGGATGGTTATGCTGCTGACGCTTACTGACCACCTCCACATTTACTCGGACAACGAGGTTGCTGCAAATTCGCCCTTCGACGTCGGTACGGGACAGCGAAGGCAGAAGAGCGAGGGGACGGCGAGGTTCGCACGGAAGACGTCGGTTTACGAGTGGGCAGTGGGATTTGGAGGGGAGTCAAGGGAATAACAGCTACATCTCTGCTATTATGCCCGCATCCAGACGTCCTCCTTCCTCCGGTTATTCTCTGCATTTGCAGCCCGCTCGACACTCCCCGCATCGCTGTGTTCGTCTGCTGCTCCATCGTGGCCTTCTGCCGCCCTTTGTCTCATACCCTCAAAGTATCCTCCCCTGAACCAGTTCCCGCGATGTCTCCAGCCAAACTAAGGTGTCAGTGATGGTTCTCAGTCACACAGTCCGCTATGGAGCGCTTCGGTGCGGCATAGCGCTGTCACTTGGGGTGTGTAAAGCCAGAGAGACATACCTTGCCTACAGCAGTCAAGACACCTATTCCCATCCCGCCCAGCAGTCCTGGTGCAGCAAAGAACGCTACCCCGCTTCCAAGTGTACCAAGCACCGACCCGCCTATTAGAGCCGCTACAGCTCCCACTGCAGCGTACTTGGCGTATCGGATCAGTCTGCGGATGGCATACCGAAGGACATATCTGCTGGGTCAGCCATTGCACGCACTGCTATTCCTTCAAGACGGTCTGATAGATGTGTAGGGATGCTGAACGTGGTACGTACCTCGTGGTGGTGAGGAAAGAGCGGGTCGCGAGCGAGCTGGGCGCGACGCTAGCTGCCGATCCAAGAGCAAGGTACGATAGGTTGACTTTGGCCTTTTGAAGCGTGCTCGAGCTTGCCGGTGCCGCTGGTGGCTCTTTAGTCGCTGTCGCTGATGCCATGCTGACGTCTGCGGGTGCTGTTTGTGTTCTCGTGTGAGGGGTAGAAGGCAAGATGAGATGGCTCTCATGTACTCTATGGCGACCAAAAGTCTCAGACGAGATCCCACGATGACGTACTTTGGAAAAAGCACATTAAGGGAGGATCGCCAAACTGGTTCACAGCTCGGCCATAAATACTCCTTCCTACTGCTCTCATATCTCCCAGCAATACTCTAACAGCCATGCCTCCTAAAGCGCCTTCGACCCAATTCCGAATCTTCGCCCTCCCCCTCGTCCGTCTTCCCCGACCCGCATCCAAAACCCTTCCAGCGGGAACACAAGCGAAACTCCCCAACCCTTTACTCCTCTTCCACGTCTCGCAGCCACCACCGCCCGTCCCCACGCCTGTAGATACTACCAATACCTCTCCCGCTGCCACCAAGCCCATAACGCCTCCCGTCGAGGCCACGCCATTACATCAGCGTGCGCTCAACAAGGCGACAGAGCAGTGGTTGAAGCTTGGAGATAAACCGAAGGATGGGTGGATGTACTGGTTCTATGCGAAGGGGGAGGGTTTGATGGATAAGATTGAGTATGAGGAGTGGGCGTTGAAGGGAATACAGGAGGGGCTGGGGGTGAAGGTCGCGAAGGAGGGAGAGGTGCAGGAGAAGGCCGAGGTGAGTCTCAGTCACATCGTGCGCGGGACACGACGAACGTGCTGGGAGGATCCGCTCGGGTCCGGCGTAGCGCTGTCCAGCGGTCGATGACGCCCTGATGGTCTAAGGCTGATTCAAAGATCCCCCTGCTTTACCCAGCACTCAAAGACCAACCTCTCCCCGCCTTAATACCGAAACTCCACCGCCTCCTCGCCCACCGCGCACCCTACCACAGAAAGATGATGACCCGGTCTCTCATTCTGTAAGCTACCCTCTCCCTTCTATCATCCTGTACTCTTACTGATCCCCAGTGTACCCTTCACCTGGCCATTCGCCATCATCCCCGTCCTCCCCAACTTCCCCATGTTCTACGTCCTCTGGCGCGCATGGTCCCACTACAAAGCCTACCGCGGCGCGACGTACCTGGAACAGCTGCTCAAACTGGGCTTCATCGTCGAGACGCCCAGTAAAGACCTCGACGCTATCTATGCTAGCGTCGCGTCTGGTAGTGGTGGAGGAAAGGAGAACCATGCGCCGGACGAGACGACCTCAGAGGGCGTCAAGACGGGCGCGGTCTCCCAAGGCGTACCAGCGCCGAGGATAAAGGGCGCCGAGGCGGACCTTCCGAAGCAGGCAAAGGGAGAAAGCAAGACTGCGCCGGACGGGACGGCCACTCCGGCGTCTATGGTCTACTCGGGCTCGTCCTCTAGCTCGGGAACGGCAGTCACGTCAACACCGCCCACGTCGACACATCACACCGGTCTGCTTCTCACGCTGGATCAGGTGCCGGAGATGGCGAGGGTGTTTGGACTGAGGCAGACGGAGATCATGGATGTGAACAGGGCAGTGGAGCAGGCGGCGAAGCGGATAAGGCAGGCAGTGGCGGCGGAAGTATCTGGGGCGACGAAGTAATGTGGGGCAAAGTAGAGCTCCTTGGATATACCAAGGTAGATAGTAGATGATCCATAATCTTGGGCATTGTTTACATGCAAAGGACAACTCCCGCTCATCTCTGTATTGACCACAGCGCTGCTATCAAGCGGGCCCTGTTCCGCCTCACCTGTCGCTGTACCCGCCGACGCAGGACCCAGTGACTCGTACGCCCGGCGTACTGGCGGTGCACGCAACCCGCTATCATCGGCGAGTCCCACGAGGACGGGACTTGAGCAGAGCGTCACGTTCGCTCTCCGTCGCCCATTCGGCGTGCTCGATAGCCGCCCCATAGTCTCACCGCGGACGTGAGTGGTCTTTCCGCCCGAAAGCGGATGACGGAGGCCGGGAGGGACCGCTGGCGGAGATCCGAGGCTTTGGTGACTTGGAAAAGAAGGTCTGTTCCGCTAAGAACTTCATCCCCTTCAGAACATCCCGCTCGACCTCCTCCCGAGGGGCATAGCAGATCTTGCCATCCAGCACTGCAAGATACGCTTTGGCTACGATATCAGCGGATTGTCCTCGTCAGGTGTAACAGCCCAAGACTCACCAGGCGTGACCAGCTTAGCACCCTCTTGAGTCGCCATGATGTCCGCTATGATCCCCTTGAACCGCGACCGGGCCTTATTCCTCTCGACAGCGTAGATGGAGATGGCCTTTTTGGAAGTGACGACTCCGAAGCGGATGACTGTCTTTGTAGCGCCCGCAGCAGCTACTGCGCCGACTGGGAAGGGATGTGGCGTGGTTGGGACCTTATCCGCCGCTACGGCTCGGAGGGAGAGGAAAGGGGAGCGATAGATGGGAGTCCGGGTCTTTCGGACAGCCGTGATCCCGGTCTCATAGTCGAGGCGCACGAAGTGGATCTTGGCCTGTCTCTTCAGCTATATCCCCAGTCATTGAGAAGGGCGTCAGACATACCGGGCGAAGTGGGGGTGCCCAAGATGCGGGATGCGATGGGCGCTGCACGGTCGGCTGGCTCGGGGCATGCTGAGGTAGAGCGGATACCTTGCCCGCCGCACGATGGAGGAGCCGCGGGGCTCCCGACATGCTACACTGCGACCTCTGTGCCTATGCGGCGAGCGGATGGAGACCTGAAGTGATGGATGCTGGAAGTAGAGCAGCGTGCAGGGAAGTCAAGAGGGAAGTCCGAAGTCGAGCTCCATGCCGGCTGTTCGCGCCCATATTCAGCTGCAGGCACGAGGAATGTTCTGCACGTGGCCTGCAAGCTTAAGCCTCAGGCCCGTCATGAGCGCTTGAGCCGTCATGACATCCTGTGCTTCTCTACTTGATCCATCTCCTGCCTGCTTGTGGAGACGCTCACTCTGTCAACACCTTCCAGAGCATCGCAGCGTGAGTTGCATCTGCTTGTACAGCCAGCTTATGAATCACCTCCACTCCCCCACATGCAAATTTGTCGATCGCACTAAAATCGGGGTGACTAATCTTCCGCATTCCCCGCCTCCACTTCGGTCATTGACGTGCTTTGAAAGCTTTTGGGGCTTTTGGCCCTCGGAAGTTACTCAGCAGGCGCTCTTGCAGCCTCGTGCTTGATCAGAATGTTGTTCATGATCTGATTCAGCTTGCTTGGACTGCAGTCTACCTGACAAAGCCTTGATCAGCAAGTGGAGACAGACGGCAAGCTGCAGCGCGGTATATAACGCGGACTGGGAACAAGGAGAGCCGTCTCCACACTCACACTTCGATCCCACAACTACCACTCGCCAATTCTACCCTCAAGATCCTCCGCTTCTCCGCTATCCCTACAAGCAAGAACCCCTCTCTCCCCTCTTCCTCTATGTCGACCTCGGCCATCCCTCGGACCGACACCATGACGTCCACCGCTCCCACATCCTCTTCGACCCCAAACGTTCTCTCTCCCACCCCAACTATCAACGGAGATGTCGACAACACCTACGACAAGGTCGAGCCTTCCCCCACTACGGATGGCGCAAGAGACCCAGCCCAGAAGGTCATCATGAGCCAGAAGAAGAAGTGGTTCCTCTTGGGCGTCTTCTCTTTGGCCTTCTTCATTGATATCTGGTCATACAGTGCCTTCTTCATCTTCACAGGTGCGTCTCCTCTACCTTTGTATCGTTCAGAGTCTGGTAGCTGACAGGTCCAGGCCCAATATCCAACGACCTGTCCGTCGACTTTGCGCAGCAGTCCTGGGTAATCACCTCCTACGCCGTCACCTTCAGCGCCTTCCTCCTCCTCTGGGGACGCGTATCGGACCTCTTCTCGGCCAAGCCCGTATTTGCGTTCGGCTTCATCGCCCTCGGTGTCCTCAACCTCGTCATATCCTTCCTGCCCGACAAGTACTCCTTCTTCGTCCTGCGGGCCGTCAGCGGTATCGCCGGTGCTGCGCTCATCCCGGCCGCTTTCCGGCTCATCGTGGCGGTCTTTGAGCCCCATGAGCTCGGTAAGGCCTTCACCATCTACGGCATGTCCGGCGCGGTCGCCAATACTACGGGTATCATCGTCGCCGGGTTTGTCGAGTACATTCCAAACAAGGGGCAGATGGTAGCGTGGCGGTGGTTCTTCAGGATCCTGGCAGCTGTCATTGTGAGTCAGATCTGAGATTTCCTGCTTGTACTTTGCTTATACATCAGCTCCCCTTCGCTCTCGGCTCCTTGTACTGGATTCCAGCTCCCGCACCTCGCACAACCCCCCTCAACAATGTATGGAAACGTCTCGACCTCGTCGGATCCCTCTCCATGCTCTTCGGTATCATCCTCCTCATCCTCGGTCTGACCCTCGGCGCATCGGACGGCTGGCGGACTCCCGGCTTCCTCGTACCCTTCCTGCTCTCTTTCGTCCTCTTCCCCTTCTTCTTCATCTGGGAGAGCCGCATCCCCGCCGAGTACGCCCTCCTCCCACCGGCCACATGGCGCATCCCCAACTTTGCCATCCTCATCGCGTTCGCGCTCTACATTTACGCATGGTGGTCCCTCAACTTCCTGCCCTTCATCGAGACCTTTGTCCGCGTACACGGCGATATCGCCATCATCGCCGCCGTCCGCATGTTGCCTCAAGGTATTGCCGCTGGGGCCATCACCATCTTCCTCACCCTCTACCCGCAATACGTCGCCCGCCCCCGCTGGCCCATCGTCATCGGTATGGTCGCCGGTCTGGTCGGCTACGTCCTCTTCATCTTCTCGGAAGGGATGGTAGGAGATCACTACTGGAAGTTCATCTTCACCGGCTCCGTCATCGGCTCGGCTGGAACCATGCTCGTCTTTACGGCTACCAATGTCGGTGTCATGACTTCGGTCCCGCCCGAGATGGCCGGCGTGGCGGGCGCGGTGCTTCAGGTGGCATTGCAGGTCGGATCGGCGGTGGCGCTGAGTATCCAGGCGGGATTGCTCACCATCGAACCGGGAAACCTGACCAACTGGGTCAATGTCCGGATCTCGTACATCTTTGTGCTGGGCTGGGGAGTGATCTGGTTGGTGGGGTTCCTGGTTTTCTACAAGCCGGGGAGGAAGCTCAGTAAGGAGGAGCAGGCGGAGCAGGGCGAGAGGGTCGTGGCCCACATGTAGCTATAGCAGATCAATAACATAGATAATTAGACAGATAAAGGATCGCAGAGATGTAACAACGTGTAGCCATAATTTCTCAGCTTCTCCTATCTAGCTGGCTCGGTCCTCCAGCCGCCTTTCTCCTTGTTCATCCGCCCCGCCTCCTCCTCTGCTCGCGCTACCAGCTCCCTCAGGTCGGCCACCTCCCCTTCCGCCTCAGCCCCTTGGTCCAGCGAGACTGTTTCTCTCCCATACGCCTTGGAGAACCGTCCCATGATATCCCTCGCTGCATCCTCAACCGAGGGCTTCGCGCTCTTCTGCTGTCGCTGTAACAGGTCTTGCACAGATACCGCGCGCATATCGGCAAGACCGCAAGCGGTGACGAGGTCGAACCATGCTTTTGGTTCGGGCGTGATATTGATGGCGAAGCCGTGGGATGTTATGCGGTGGCGAAGGTGAATACCTATTGAGGCTACCTGTCAGGATCAGCCTTGGCAAGGACGTCTGGGACAAGGTAAGTTAGACACACCTTCTCCCCATCTCCAGCAAAGACCCCAACATGCCCGTCCTTATGTGGCGCCTCGATCCCCGTCAGGCCGAGCCCTTCTCTGCAGTACTCGCCCAGCAATCGCTGCATGTACTCGACATAACACCTGGTTGACAGCTGTATGAAGCTTCAGCGTGGCCTTCTATTTCTGCCGGGCAGGGAAGCGGCTCACCTCCATAGCGTTCAAGTCAAAAATGGGATATCCGACCAGCTGGCCTGGACCATGATACGTCACCTGCCCACCTCGCTTGGTGATGAAGAAATCAGCCCCAACGTTCTGGACCTTCTTTTCTTCGGGATGAAGCGTGTCGGGGTTTGGCGAGTTGTCTCGCCTGCCGGTAGTATATGTAGGCACGTGCTCTACTATAGTCAGTCGTCGCCCGATACTCCCTCGTGGAGAGCAGTCCGGGAACAGCGATTAGAAGGCGCAAAGGATAGCTTACCCAGAAGAAGCAACACATCCTGAGCCCCCGCTTTCCCCTTCCCCTTCTCCGAATCCCTTAGCGCAAGCCTCCGATCTATAATGTCCGCCTGCAATTTCAAGCCTACGGGATAGGGCAGCGGTTCTCGGAAGATGTGATAGCGAACTGGGGGGAGGTCGTGGACTTTGGGCGAGGGGACGCCATACGAGGGGGACGCACACGTAGCTGATGGTGATGTAGCTCGATTGAGCCGAGCCGCACTTCTACAAAGAGCGCGGGGAAGTGAAGGCCTCATACTACTGGTTTTGTCGCTGTATTTTATCTGATCGTCGTGGTGGAAAGGCAGAACCAAATATCAGTCCGGCCGCGGAAATCCGTTGACGCTGCAGCTGTTCCGCATTCCTCAGACCGAGGCCTCTCTTCGGGATCTACAGAATTCGGCAGTGGGTATAGAGTTGCGATCTAGGAAGACCAGGCGCCGATATCCCCAGCTCCCACTAGACGACCACACTCAATGAATGCACATCGTATAATACTTCTCATGTTTTGTTTCTAGACAACTACACAACTTGACTTGGCGTCTCCTCCCAAGAGACTATACAACCCTCTCTCACCCACATGCGGACAACGACGACATCCCCCACCTCTCCTCCCTTTCGCCTAAGTGAGGCTACGAGAACATCATCTCGCTCTCCTCCCTCCTCCTCGCTTCCCCCACCGCGTCTTCTGCGCCAGCCAGTGTCGCCTCCTGCCCGTGCCCCTGCTGTCCTGCAAGTCCCGAACTGACCGCGCCCGTCCCGCTCCCTTCCGCCTGATCCAACTGCTGCAGCAGACCCGGCATCGCCGCTGGGTTCGCAACCGGTATCGATCCCGGCGCGAGCGTCGAGAGGAAGTACTCGTTCCGCGGCGTCTGAATATCCGGGATTGCGACGGTCGCCATAGGGTCGGCACCGCTCCCGCTGTTTCGGCGGCTGGACTCGGCGATGGCCCGACGGCGCCGCTCCGCACCAGAGCTGTACGCCGCCGCCGCGCTGCCGGCGTCGGACCGGTCACTGGCGGGCGCAGAGACTTCTCGGGAAGGGGGGCCCATCTCGATATCCCCCGATGGATCTGCGCCTAGGGTTTCCTGGCGAGTATCGTCCTCTGTCCGGCCGCCTTCCTCGCTTGCGGATCCGCTTTCCCCCACCGGCTCATCAATGAGTTGAGCTTCCAGGTTGAATTGGTCTGCGCCGGTAGGAGGGACGGGGGCGTGAGCGACGGTGGGGGAGAGTGGATCGAGACCGCCGCGGGATGGGGCTGCGGAAGGTCGTCGAGAGACGCTGGAAGTGCGGCGCGAGGCAATCTCTGGTGGGTCGTCGACCTCGACGTCTTCTTCTAAGTTGGCGAAGGTTCGCTGGTAGAGTCAGCTCCGGTGCTGATCATGGAACTCCCTCCCATTCAAGACCAACTCACGCATAGAGGACAGGAGAAACCGGGATGATGCTGCTGCAGAAGCGGTCGAATACACTTGTAGTGGAAGACATGCGAACAAGGCCTGCATGTCAGCTGTGATCCTGGGCAGCTGATGTAGGATTTCTTCAACTCACGCGATGAACAGTGACTGGCAGACCGTGACCGAGAACAGACAGATACAACAGTCCGTTACGCTCGCCTTTGACTTTTTGCTGATACTGCTGGCTCCGTCTCCTTTCGTCTTGTTGTCTGGCGTCGAGGGAGCGGCTCCACCAAGCGCCTTGAGCTGTCTGAGAGCGTTCGTGCTACAGTGTTAGCTTACATGCACCATACTAAACCCTCAAAGTGCAACACGTAACTTACTTGAACTCGTTCGCCGCTCGCTGCCACTCCCTGCCCAGCTCCACTCGCATCTTGACACATCTAAACTGATCCTCGTGTCCGCCCTGATAGTCCACGCCGAGCTGAAGTACATCGCCATCGTTCAGCGGAGTTGGACGGGAGTCGGTATTGGGCGATGAAAGGCGGATGTGGTTGAGGAATGTACCCGACGACGAAGCGGTATCTCGAATGTAGAACTGAAGTATCAGCTGCCGGCTCTCTATATCCAAAGTGACTGCACGATCGAGCTGACCTTCCCTCCAGCCTCACACCATATCTCTGCATGCGTCCGACTGACGACCTTGCTCTTGAAAGCAATCTTCCCACTCGTGACCTCTCCACCTCCGCCCGCAATCGCAATCGTCGGCCCTCCAATACCGGTAGCGGGCCGATCCGGATCCCCCGCTGGCGTCTTGTCGGTGAATCTTCCGATCTTCAGAACAAGCACGGGTGGCTTGCCCGCTACAAGCGGTCCGATGGGTGGGACGAGGACAGCAGCGCCAGAAGGGGTCTGACCGGGGCCGACGGAGATGGGGTAGGCTTCCCGCACGACGGGGTCGAAAGCGAGCGAGCGGGAGTTTTCGAGATGCGGCACGAGGCGGATACGGTGGGTCTTGCCTTTGGGGTCGATAGCGGGAGCGGCTGCAGAGGCGGTGACAGCTGTGACTAAGGCTGTCAGCTATTTGTCAAGTGGGAAGATTCCTTAGCATGAGCTCACCTGAGTCTCCTGCCAATGCGCCTCCTGAAGGCGTGCTGACACTCCTCGTGACCACCCCAGCATCTCGCGTGACTGTGCTGGCCCCATTAACAGAGGGAGCTGCAGGCGCAGCAGCGGGAGCTGCCGCCGCAGCATTAAGCGGATCCGCCTGCTCAGCGCGAGGACTGGCCCTTCCTGTGATGGTCGCCGCCCGAGACCGATTGCGCATAAAGCTAGGCAAGAACGATGATCGTGGCGAGGTCGGACTGGCCAGCGGTGCCGGGGCGGCTGAAGCGGATGCATCCGATGTTCTTGGGTACTGTACCGTTGGCAGCGCAATATGCGTGGGACGCTGGGATGAGCCGGGCCGCGCCATACTTCTCGGTTCCGCCGCTGCGGCTTCGGACTCGGTGACGGGGTCGAGGAGGGCGTAAGCGCGTCGTCCGGAAGACGAGGCGAGGGTACGTGTGCGCCGGACCGAGGCTGAGCCTGAGGGCGAGGAAGAAGCGGAAGGGCGGAGGTGAGCCGGTGTGTGGGAGAGAGCGAGGTTGAGGTCGCCGAGGATATCCGAATCGAATTGGTATCTATACATGCGGTTAGGTTTGGGCTCTCTGGTTGACATGATACGAGTAGGCAAGTGGGTCAGGGAGAATGTGAAGGGAGTGAAAAGACGGAAAGAGGCCTGGGAGGGATGATTCCTGTGATCAAGCGATCTGAGGCACCGCCCTCATATAGGAAGACCTCTCCCGACTACCGCGAATACGCTAAAGCGCCTGAAACGCCGCAACGCCACCATTACGCCCTCGACACACAACAGCATCAAGGCACGAATAGTGTGTTGATGGCAAAAGCGTTGAGAAGCACGAGGATGAGACGGCAGGGGAACGAGGAACGAGGGGGCTTGGGTCTGCCGATAAAAGCCGGGAAGCCGGAGGCCAAAGGGGTAGGGTGGTCAGGAGTTGTGCGGATGTGACTCACGATTATGCTGGGTGTATGACCGAGGTATAGACCAAGATGTCCAAACAATATGGAAGAGTGTGACAAGCAGTGAGAGAGAGAGAGAAGAGGGATGAAGAGACGGTCAAGTAATCTTTGAATCGAAGGAAGCTAAGATGTTTCAGGAGGTCCGAGCGATATCGCCCCTTTCCTCGGTGCCGCTGTTTCCAAAGGATGTGTGGAAATCTGTGAGTGGAGGCTAGCAATCTCCGTTGGCGTGCGATGAGGTGGGTATTAACAGATGGAGGCCCGGGATGATGCGGTGATGCAGTTCTGAGCTGGGCGCTGCTGGGGTGGGGTCTTCCGTCGGAACTGAAGCGGGAGGGCATTCAAGCGGAAGAGCCAAGAGCTTGGCTGCCCCGGATAGACATGGTCCATCGTGCTTGCACCTCACGCGTTCTCACCTCGTCTATGAGGTACAAGTACCTATGTGGATTAAGCCTGAGAGCGAGCCACATCCGGCTGACGACTTCGGCAGAAGAGAGCTCGACATCTGTGGAAGATTGCATGGTGAGTCGCCCTCCCTCGACCCGCCATCTCACCCGCCCCCTGCCAGAAGAAGCTGATCTGTAGCATCCGACTTGTACTTCTGAACAGCGTATTCATCTCGCTTTATACTTCTATTTCCACTCTTATCTAACCTAAATTTCAGCCCCGGGAGAATGGAACAGAGGCTAGCTATCTACAACTAAACAGAGAGAGGTATCGCGGAATATCGAGACTGTCTACTGAAGGGTATCACCGAAAGATAGGAGGGGGTATGCTTGTCCTGGTCCGGAAGGCGAGCCGATGATGCGTGGATATGGCGTTTTGGTGTTGGTTGATGGAAATGATATGGGGATGATGATAGATGGGTGTATGGGGTATCTCTCCAGGTGCTCTACCGGGGTCCGCCGCCCGATCCGAGTCGAGCCTATGGTACATTTTGGTCGGTCACTCCCTCTTCGTCTCGCCTAAGCCGCGACCCGCTTCCTCGCCGCTGGCTTCCTCGCCGATCCCTTCTTGCCCTTCTTGCCCGCCTTCTTCTTTCGCCCGCCCAGCACAAACTCCTCGTCCGACCCATCATCAATTTCATCATCCAGCTCGTCCAACTCCTCCTCGCCTTCCTCTTCGGCGAGAACTAGGCGGCGATCCTCCTTCTCCCCGAGGTTGACATTGGCGATCCCGAGCCCGACGGCCGAAACGGTCCGACTTGCTGTGGGTCGGATAGGCTGAGGAGGGGTCGTGAGCGTGATGGTGTGCTCGTCGGTGAAGATGGGAGCGGTCGGCTGGTACGGCTGGTACTGGTACGAGTAAGGGAGGGGCTGACCGGTCCGGACGAGGTTGACGGGGGAGCCGAGGGTCTGCCGGCTTTGGGGTTGCCAGCGGACCGAGGTATGTGGGGTGTTGTACGACGAAGTCGACGTGGCCTGGGATGAGGCGTGGCTGAGAGGTGCGCAGGTCAGCGGGCCGAACTGCCCGTACATGGCCGGAGCGCTCGTGACCGACTGGACCAGGGTGGACGCCGTAGACGAGTTGGACGCGTGTGACGAGTAAGGCCGAGGTGGCGGCTGCGAATGCGACATAGGCTGACCCCAGTACGAGCCAGCCTGAGGGGTAAAGACCGCCGAGCCGGGAGCTGATTTTTGCCCGCCGCTCTGGTCGTGCGATATCAGAGTAGGCGTTGGCGAGCGACCATCGACCATCTGATCCCACTGGACGTCGCCGAGGCTCCGTGAGCTGACCATGGGCTGGATAGGAGGTGGCGCGGCGGTCATGGCGTATTGAGGTTGCTGGTACGTCATCCACCCGTTCGAGTTGTATCCCTGCATGGTGGGAACCGCCGGGGAAGAGTGGAACCGCTGGAGCATGGGCGGAGCCGATTGGAGCCGATTGTCCTGCGGTGGCATCATGACGTATTGGGGACCGGTGGGGTTGAGCGCGGTGAAGGTGGGCACCTCGACCGATGGGAAGCTGGGGACCGAGGGCGGACCCATGGGCGTCTGGAAGGAGTAATGGGGTACCGTGTTGATGTCGACGAGGTCCGGCTCGGGACTATCGGCTTGATGCTGGGGTACGGGCGAGGGAGCGTGACTCTGCTGAGCAGAGTGGATGGGCGTACCGCTCATCGAGCCATAGTACGAGGGACCGAGCTGAGCGTGATGACTAGCAGGTATCGACAGCTGCGCCGCCGAGAAACCGCCACCGACCCATGGAGTGGACGACGTGTACGGCGGAACCCGGATGTTGAGCGGGTCCGAGACCGCCCGACCGCTCTGGACATCCGACGGACGATAGAACATCAGACCGCCCGTGCTGCTCGAGCGCGCGCCCGAGTGATGCGAGAGCTGCTGTTGGCCCCCGTCGGGATTTGGGGTGGGGTAGGCGCCGAAGCTCCCGTTGGAGCTGTGGGCGGATGAGAGTCCAGGCGAAATTCGGAAGCTATGGCTAATGCCATGAGGTTGGATCTGGAGCTGGTTGGAAGCGAATGAGGTGGTGGACGAGGTGGTGAGAGCGGTGAGAGGTGTGGTGGGGGATGGCGCTGACGTCGCGTACGCCCCGTAGGCGGTGAGCGGGGTGGACGCGGTGGAGGTTGAGACTCGGCGGCTGGTTCTCTTCCCTTGCCCTTGCCGCTGGACTTTGGTTTGCGTAAAGTAAGCCGGGTTTGGGATGGTGACCGGCTGGAGTGTGCTGCCCCCTCCTCCTCCGCTGACCTTAGCTCCTCCTGATCCTGTTCCTGATCCTGCTCCGCCACTGACACTCGCCGCACCCCCTGGCGGGTGGGAGGCGGCGATCCCGTGGGGGACGCTCGACGACGAGGGGGTGCGAACCCAATACGACGGTGCGCCGTCCGGTCCGGGTGGGCCCGGCTGCATCGTCGAAGTGCTCGAGCTCCCGCTGCTCATGCTGAGGCTGGTGCTGGGGACGGGAAGGTGGAGGGTGTTCTTGCCGGCGGCGGTGGAAGGAGCCGGAATGGCGGGGTGCTGCTTTTTGTGATGCTTGAGGTAGGTGTTGCGCCGAGCGAAGGGCCGACCGCAGCCGGCGATCTTGCAGACATATGGGCGCTTGCCGGTACTGTGAGTCAGCTACGTCCAATTGGGCTATTTCCAACCGGGGGGAGCTTACTGGATGCGACGATGTCTGGCCAGGGATGATGAGTCTGCAAAGGCCTTTGTGCAGGTCTCGCAGTGATGGGGTTTCTCGCCGGTACTGACTATCAGCTCTGCCCACATTTCGGATTCTGATTACTCACTGTGTGCGGAAATGGACGGTCAAAGCAGAGCGCTGGATGAAGGACTTTCCGCATCGAGGATGAGGGCACCGGAATGGACTGCTCATCAGCTCGGTCCATACTGACAGACTCAAGAAGACTTACCGCTCATTGGTGTGGATACGGAAGTGCCTTGCCAAGTCTGACTTGCGAGCAAAGGACTTGTCACACCCGCTGAACTTGCAGATAAAGGGTCTCGCCGTCGGGTCGTGTTCTGGTCCCACGCGGTTGTGGTCGTTGACGAGCTGTTGATCCGAATCCGATAGAGCGAGCGCAGGATCATCGGCATGGTCGAGCGTGGCGGCGAGCAGGGCATCATGGGCGGAGGCGAGCAGGAGGACGTCGTTGAGGCCAGCCGAGGGGGAGAGTGGGACGGGCGGAGCAGGCGAGAGAGACGGAGATATGGCGTCAGGTACGCGGAGGGCGGGGTCGATATCCAGGTCGTTGAGCGTATAGTCAGGGGCATAGTCGGGCAGGGCGTACGGATCGACGTAGTCGGGCAGAGCGGGAGAAGGAAGGTGCCATGATGCGAAAGAGGGGGAGGCGGGGGTTTCGGATATGGAGGATAAGGTGGAGGGATTGGCGGAAGGGAAGAAGCGGGGTGTAGTGTTCGTGCCGGTTGATGAGGAAGGAGTGGAGGAGTGACCGGGAGCAGCGACGGTAATGGAGCGAGGGCGTTTGATACGAGAGGCAGGCATAATGGGTAGAGGAAGGTAAGAAGGAGGAAGCTCGTCAGCGGTTGTTCTCTGCGGATGATGGCTGGGGCAGAGGATCAGGGTATCGCTCGAACGAGCGAAGGGTGTGAAGGAGGTAATACAGGATGAGAGGTAAGAAGCAGAAGAGGGAGTAGAGCAGCTGACGTGAAAGTGAAACCGCCTCCACTTGTCATCCCGCCACGCCCGGCAGTTGGGACAAAGAAAAAGAAGTCGGGAGGGAGGGTAGGGGGAAAACGTGGCAAGTCCAAGTCCGAGCCAGAGATTGCAACTCACGTCTAGGACATCCATCGTAGCTGTTGTTGCTGATGCAAGAAAAGACGAGCAAGAACAACTAAATACCCAGAGCAAATGATGCAAAGAATTAAGGCACTCGACGAGGTCCTTTCGTTGCGCCCTTCAGATCCCGTGGTGCGGACGCGCGTGGGTAGAAAAGGGTTGTCGGTTGGTGAGTCCCTCAAACGGTGTGGCGGTGTAGGGTGTGATCTACGAGGGGTAGATAGTGAAGGCTGAGAGATGGGGTAGTGAAGGTGGCGTCACCCTCGTTTTGGTCGTCAAGGAAGAGCGAGGGGTTGGCGGATGATGTGGTGGGTGAGTGAAGTTGGATGGTGAGAGGTGGGGGTAAGGCTAGGCGATAGCGTATATACCCGAGGTTGGACTGTTCGCGTTGGATGATAATTTGGCATGATTGAGATGGGCCGCCGCGGAGAGATCGGAGATGGTGTAAGGTTGGATGATCAAGATCAGGAAATACGGGTCCGGGATGACAGCATGGTAAGAGCGAGAGAGTGGGGGAGTAACGATAAGGCGCAGGGCAGAGGGCGACAAGGGCGAAAGGGAGGACGGGGGCGGGGTGTAGTAAGGTACAGCGTTGGAGTGAATGATGGCCGCCGGAAGGTTCGGAACGGAGGTGGCGGAGGAGACGAGGAGCGGGACGGCCCAAAGGGAGGGTAGTAGTCGAGTGTGGGTGGGGGAGGGTTGTACGAATCGGGACGGCGTAAGGTGATGGGAAAGCGAGAAGGAGAGAGATGGTGATCAGCGTGACATCCTTAGTAGCTTTTACGGGGCCTATATCACGCCAAAGCCGTAGATTGTCCGCTTGCACACAAGCCCAGCCGAGACTACGCCACTCAAACCGCCCAACCCAAAGTAGCTCCTCAAACCTCGATCTCAAATTGCATAGATGGAAGGACTCACGGCTACGCGATAGATCTAGAACGGGATTGGGGTGCAGTCTCCGCGAGGCCAAGTCGGCGGGGAGATGAAACGGAGGGATGGGGAGGGGTTGGATCTGGATAGTAAGCTGCATGTCAGCTCGGGTCGGGGGAGCTGCTGCGGATAGGCACGGTGCCCGAAAAGATGATGAGAAGAGCGAGTCAGGGAACTCACGAGATGGCGGCCACACAACTAGTCTATCGATTGTGTGTGTGCGTGTGTTTGGCGTGACGGGTCCAGAGCTAATCTTGTCGGACCTGATCCCGTCAGTGATTGGAACGGTGAAGGGGATAACCCATGTGAGTATCCTGCCATCTCATGCCCACCAGAAAGGCTCAGAACAGCGGGAGGTCACTCACAATGATAGCGAAGGAGGGATGAGGCTGCAATAGTGTCGTGATGCCGATAAGATGGCGTGGACGGTGGAGATGCGGTGGACCGAGGGGAAAGCTGTCGATTTTCGTCTAAAGTGAGTATGTACAAATGTCAGAAAGCTCGTCAAGGGAAGGGGGGGAAGAACCCTCCTTATCAGCCACTCATCGCAGCTTATAACCTTCCTGTCCTCTAGACCCCTCACTCAGAGCTCGCTGATCGCGCTCATGACATGGTAAAAGTCGAAAATGCACCGGCCCCGAAAGGTTTCCTTTCGAAATCCAGGCACCGCGTTTCAGATTGGCACCTCCGAAGGATCCCACCCGTCCGCGCATCATAGCCTAGCTTTATCCACCCTTTACTGTCGTCGTCAGCCTAGCAAGATTGAGCGGGAGAAGCCCCGTTGAAAGCGCTCTTTGCCCAGGGCTCCCGCTGTCCGGGGGGACGAAACGCATGTCGCCTTTTAATTAACGAAAAGTTTACGACATGGTCCGTCCGAGGTATGCCTTTTTGAAACGCTTCATTGCGGCCCGATCGTATGGCGTGTGGGGAAGGCATGAAAGAGCGGTACGCGGTACCGAGTAGTACCTTTGAGCGGATGTCTCGGCATTCGGCGCCAATTCCTGCAGAGACGCTGACAGAGCTAAGCAGAGCGCAAGATTGATGCTGGACCGGCGCCGAGAGGGCCGTAGCGTCGGTTCGTTATCGTCAGAAAGTCACCGAATGGCCATGTGACGTGCGCCGAGTCCGGCTCCGCTTGCCCAGCACCAAATTCCAGACTCAATGTTCTTCGTGACACCCTTGTATCCGGCCGTTCGGAGCCGTCAGCATACCTATGGTACTACCTCGGTGACAACCCCCGACTGGTATATTAACCCCCTAGCGTGTACCCGGAGGCAGATGTGGCTGCAGGTTTTCTGCGGGCGTAGAGCCTGGACTCGCCACGGGCAGCTGATCGACAAATGAAACGCTAGGAGAGGGCAGGGTAACGGAAAAAGTCTCGGCCAGGCCGGGAGTGCCGTCATCCGGATAAGTCTCGGAAAGATCGCGTTTCAGCTCGTTTCAAGTCCCGGCGTTGTTCCCCCACACCGGGGTACCGCTCCACAAGACGACTATGCTGTGCTTGTGCCGCTGACGCGTCATGTAAGACGTAGATCTGGAGAGGTAGTCACTGTCAGAGCGATCGGCGGTGATCGTCAAGCAGAGGATGAAACCTGTGGAGCGGTAGATCTGGATCCCGTGAAACACATGATCGGCAACAGCAGGGAGATTTGAGCTCGATAAGACGATGATCGGCGACAAGGGGAAGTGCAGTGGAGCCGATCTGAACATCTATCTTGACATCATATTAACATGTACAGATACCGTCCGATTATGCCAATCTACGAGTTACACCTAAGCATGCGGGTCGCCCTTCTTGCCAAGGAGAACGCAGTGCTGTCCTCCGGCCGAAGCGTACAGAGCCGTGTACGGGCGTAACGACTTGAGAAATCAGCTTCGATCCTTTAACAGAGAAAGAGGTGTGTAGTAGAGCTCACTTTAGACCGTACCAGCGTCGGTACCTCTGCACTCTCCTGGTTCCCAAGTCCGAGCTGTGCGCCCACTAGATCTGTCAGCTGTGTTCTCGATGGAATGTGGGAGCAAACGACTCACTGCCTAGACCCCAAGAGTAGACGTGTCCCGACTTGGACACGGCGAGGATATGCCGGGTGCCCGACGAGATGTGGGCGATAGGGTTGTCGACCTGTTGAATCTCCTCGTATGATGGGAACTCGGGAACAATTTCGTAGCTTTCTGGTACGGGCGGGAAGTAGATCTACGTCATCGTCAGCTCATGAAGCCCCAAAGGCAAAAGATGAGAACAACTCACTCGGACAGGCTCCGGCACATACTCATCCATCGCCGCCGCCAGACTCGCCTGCGCGCCCTGCAATTCCTTCTCCGCATCCTCTACCTCCTCCTCGCCCTTCTGCGCCTCCTTGACAGCGTCCAGCTTCTTTTGCGCAGCATCCACCTTGTCCTGCTTCTCCGTCTTGATCTCCTCCCTCCTCTCCTCCAGCCCCTTCTGCGCCGGGTGATCCTTCCCTATGCCGATCTGGTTCGCGTCTGCCCGCCCACACCCCCATACCTCGCCATTATCAAACAGGAAGATGGTGTGGTGTTCCCCGCCCTCAATCTGGATGACGCGCGCCCCGTCGTGCTGACTAGGATGAAGCGAATCGACCGGCGTAGGCGTAATGATCATCTCCTCGTTGCCGCCGCGGTCCGGACTGATTCCGGTCTGATGGAACGTGTTGAGGCCCCAAGCGTAGACTTTGCCCTCCACGTCGACCGCGAAAGAGTGGTACGTCCCCGTGCTGGCAAGGACGATGTTCCGCAGCCCAAGACGTTCAGGCTCGAGCCCATTCTTCTTCCGCCGTTCGATGATTCGGCGACCGAGTTGGTTCTGCTGGCCGTTGCCCCAGACCCAGACATAGCCGGTGGTGGTAAGAGCGAGGACGTGGTCGGCGCCGCACGAAACCGAGACGAACTTGAGTTTTTCGAGGGATGGGATCGCCATGGGCTCGTACTGGAAAGGCGAGCTGTTGGGCTTGCCGTCAAAGCCGAGAATACCGTCATTTGACTGAGAGGTCAGCTCTGTACCACACAGATTCAGCGTGGGTCACAGCTTACCCTGAAACTACCCCATGCTCGCAAGGCACCCTTATCACTCAACGCCACCGAGATACTATCCCCAGCATCCACCTGTACCGCTCTGAACTGCTCCTTCTGTAGACTCTCCACGACGTAAGGGTAACTCTCCAGCTCGTCATTCGGGATAGTAGCTTCCGGGTTGTTGGGGTCTTTGACGTTGTTTGTTTGCCGACCGAGCGCGGCGTTGTCGTTGATGCCCCATGACCGGACCTATCAATCAGCTCGAGTCCACTCTCGTTGCAAGGAGGCGCATCTGAGCTCACCTGACCAGCCTCATCTATTGCGAGTGTGTGCATCCCTCCACATGCAACAGCTTCGAGACCTCCAGAGCCAGCCTGACCATCCCGGCTGAGTTTTCCATCTTCGATCTGCTCCTCAAACCTTCATCATCAGCTCATACTCTGACTTGGAAACGATGGGGCAACATACCAACTGTGTAGCTTCGGTCGACCAATCTCCTCCAGCTCATCCGGGCCAAGGCCAAACTGTCCCATATCTCCGGTCCCGAAGACGAACAGCGCGCGGTGAGGATCTGAGGATGCTTATAGAGTCAGCTGCTGCTCGTGATTGCGAAGTAGAGTTTGTGGAAGCTTACCCGGGAGCTGGGGAATCGCATTCGCTTGCGCCATACCGACGCTTGACCTCCTGCGCTTTGCAGCTGGCTCATCAGCGGCCAATTGCGCCACTCTCCCCTTCTTCGCCTTGGCCGGAGCTGCCGTTTTCCCTGGCGCATGCAGCTCCTTCTGCTCTGCCTCTGTGTCCACCTTGGGCGCGTCCCCGTTGGTCTTGGGCGCCTCCGCCATGTCCTCGTCCTCCGCCACCGGCGCTGGGGTCGCAGCTGAGGGCGTACCGGCTCCTCGACGAGACGCGGGGGCACGAGTCGACGCAGGCTTCGCAGCTGCACTCGAGGAGGCAGACTTCCCAGATGCTGCTGCCTTGGACGCGGGGGCCTTGGCCTTCGACGCGGGCGCCGCCTTGGACGAAGGAGCTGCCTTGGAGGCGGGCTTTGCAGCTCGGGATGCTGGCTTGGGGGGCATTTTCGACGAGCTTACGGAGTGATGTGATATCTCTTGGCCGATTCGAAGGGGAAGGGGTAGCTCAGGATACTTGTACAAGCTGTCAAGGTGAAAGGTATAGAAGGTATGAGTTGAGTGAATGCTCTGGCTGGCTTGCCTGCCAGCCATGTTTGGGTGCAGTAATTTTGGTCCCGCCACTCGCCACGTGAAATAAAGATGTGTTACGGCATGACGTCAGGTGGCGACTGGTTTGTTTGTGCTCACTTTCAGGCACGAGCCAAAAGTACACCTCAGCCACCCAGCGCTACAGCATGGTGGAGGGGTACAGCACAGTCATCCTAATCATACTTCTCTTCATAATCTGTAACTGCTTCTCTCCTTCCCTTCTCGCAGTTCTCTTCCCTCTTCATATTTAGTCTGCTACCTTCGTGCACCAATCTCGTAGTGACCCTTCTGGCCAGACCCAACTTCCACCTCTCGATCTCCGACCCGCTGTATCGATCGACCACACATCAACATGCCCTCCGCACTCGTCCCCTCTGCCAGCGCCCCTCCATCCTCGCTATGCCGTCCCAGAGTCACCTCAGCATCCACCTTGGCCGCGCCACCCTCGCCCAAGCGGCCCCGGCAGACACCGTCACCTTCTGCGCGGTCCCCCTCCTCCCGCCCCTCCAGCTCGACCCTACTCCCCTCTTCCTCCTCTCAACCCCTCTACAATCGCTCACGGCCTCGTCCAGCTCGTCCGTCACTCAGCGACAAGCGCGCAATAACATTTGACAGACACGTGATGACTAGTCCGTACCGGTCCGGGCCCGACTCTGAAAATTCCAATGTGGACTGCAGGCTGGCGAGGAGGCGGGAACTCTCGGTCCCTCTTGTAAGCGCGCCTCTTTCTGCGTCATGCCATGTCTCGGAAGAGATCTACGTATGAGACACTCCGAAAGGCACGGGTCATGCTGACTGCATAGTTGTCACAATCCTTATCACACTTCTCGCTTTCGCATACATCTCCACCTACACCTCAGCGCCAAAAAGGAGCATCCATCAAGATGATGTCTGAGCTCTATACTCTACCTCACGACCAGACCAAAACGCCACGGAACCTTTCGCGTCGGCCTGACTGGACGGAAGGTCCACCACTCCCGGCCGAGCTCTCTTATCCCTCCACAGCACCACTCCCTCACGCCGCTTCCTTCCTCGGCTCACCCTTCTCTTCCAAGACCGCCGGTGGTCAATACCGCTATATGAGCTCGGACGAGTCCCCCTCACGCGGCTACGGCAGGGCCACGACGGAACGGCTATCGCAAGGCGCGTTTGGGAAGGAGCTGGACTGGATGCATGGGAGCGAGTGGATGGCAGAGATGGAAGAGGGAGAGAAGGAAGAAATGAGCCCGGTACGCGCCATGTCCCGCTCGTCACGGACGCGGCGTGACACATCCGGCTCGTCCTCTTCCACGGCGTCGATGGATGAGTTCAGCTGTAGCGGGACCAGCTCGGCCTCGCTCATCTCTCTCGGTCGGAGCTCGGATGAGCACAAAGTCCGGCCAGGCGTGACCATCTGGGGCGAGCATCATATCGAGGAGGAGGCGCACCCCGGAACGCCTCGACACCAGCTCTTCGTCGCCACTTCGGGGAGTGAGGACTCTCTGCATATCGCCTCCAAGGGGAAGAAGGCTACTCCTTCTCCTATCCGGGCATCAGCAAAGGGCAAGCTCCCCCAGATCTCTCCCCTCCAACACCTCATGAACCGCTCGGCGTCCAAGTCGGTCACTCCCACCGACAACAACCCTCCCTCCAAACCTCGCAAGTCCCCCTTCGCCAACTTTATGCCTCGACTCATGTCTGTCCGTCGTCCTACGTTGTCGCGGAAAGACAGTCTCTCGGTCGGTCGGAATGACGAGGACGAAGATACGGACACTGAGGACGTCAGCTCCCCTTGTAACCGCCCCCTCATCGCCTCCTCGTCAACCGTGTGCGACTCTAAAACCGCGCGCATCGCCGCCCAGCCTACTCTCGTCGGACTCGGTATCTCCTCCTCAGCGGACAAGGCCAACTCGTCCTTCTCGTCCGAATCGAGCATCGAGGCTCCCTCCCCTTCCAAGCCGCCACCAAGCGCCCACCTCTCCAACTATATCCTCAGTCCCGGACCACTCCCCCGCGCGACGTCCGCCAGGCGCAAGACTTTCGTCACCGCCGATGCACCGCCCAAGCCCGCAACAGCCGCTACGACTACGACGCTGGAGCGAGCCAAACCACTCCGCCCGCTCCTTCGTCGAGGCGTCACCGAGCCTCGCGCCCAGGTCGGTCTCGTCGGGAAGCTGCTCGGTCCTGAATCGGCCCACACTCCTCCTCCGGCCCTCTTTGACGACATCAAGCCTTCTCCCGCGGCATTTGCGTCAACCGGGCTCGTCAAGAAGAAGTCGGCTCTACCTATTCTTCAGATCCCAAAGTTTGGGCTCAAATCTTCCCCTGCTTCGACCGCCAGCACTATCGATTCGTCCCGCTCCTCTCGGACTGTCGCAAGCGTGGACAGCTGTCCCCCGCCGAAGACCACCGCGACTATCGGGAACCCAGTCCCTACTGCGTTGCAGAACGCGCAGCGGACGAGGGGGCTGAGGCGGAAGGGTAGTACGATGTTCACGGCGAGTGGGAGCTGTGGGAGTATTGGAGAAAGCAAGGGGTTCAGCCCGGTCACGCCAACCAAGCCGGCTTTGTATGGTGAGCTCCACACTTTGACATCCAGAGTCACAGCTGACAGCCTAGTCCCTACATTCGGCCATGGCGTTCACACACCCTCTCCGGCCACACCGACCAGCTACTACCCCTTCGTCTCCTCTTCTTCCATCCTCAGTATCTCTACCCCAACCTCCGCATGCACGCCACCCAGCTTTACCCCTGTCGACCTCCCGCCCTCGGTGCAAGCCATCCCTGCTCGGATGAGGGAGCACCAAGGCCCGGTCGCCCGAGCGAGCAACCCGATGCTCTCTGCGGCGTACAAGGCGGGGGACAAGGCGCTACCTGAGCAAGAAATGACCAAGCAGAACAGGCTGGATAGGGACTTTGTGCTTGTCCAGAGCTTGGGCGCGGGGGCTTTCAGCCAGGTCTGGAAGGTCAGGGATAAGAAGGAGGGGAAGTTGTGGGCTGTCAAGGCGGGCAAGCCATATACTGGTGTCAAGAATCGGTGAGCTCTTGACTTCCCACAAGTCGCATGGGACGCACAGCTCATACTTCAGTCTCCGCCAGCTTGAAGAAGTCTCCATCCTCCACTCGCTATCCCTCGACTCCAACCCGCACCTTATCCACTTTGTCGATTCCTGGGAACACCGGAACCGTCTCTATCTCCGAACCGAGCTCGCGGAATGCGGCGACCTCTCGCGCTTCCTCGATGCTTTGGGGGACACGGGCGGCCTAGGCGAAACGCGGTGCTGGAAGCTTCTCTCCGAGCTATCCCTCGCGCTCAAGTACGTCCACGCGCACAACATCCTCCACCTGGACGTCAAGCCCTCCAACGTGCTCATCACCCGGTCCGGCTCACTCAAACTCGCCGACTTTGGCATGTCGACCATCTCGGACCTTGCTGGCCGAGCGGCGGATCTGAGCCCCGCGCTCCCCCTGCTCGGCTCGGACGGCGGCTTCGTGTGGTCCGAGATCGACTCGGACAAGCCGGAGGAGCGATCAATCATCACTGTTCCCAGTCCCATCGTTGACCGCGAGGTCGAAGGGGATCGAGAATACCTTTGTCCCGAAGCCCTCGGAGACGGAGCGGTCGGGCGCGAAGCCGATATCTTCAGCCTGGGCATCCTCGTCCTTGAGGCGGCACTCAATGTCGTCTTGCCTTCCAACGGCGACGGGTGGGTCAAGCTACGCAACGACGACTTCTCGGACCTCGCGGAGCACTATGTGCCGCGAGAGAAGGGGGACCATAGGCAGGTCACCGAGGCGGGGCTGCCGGTGGTCAGTGAGAAGCTGCTGGAGGTGGTGAGGGGGATGATGGGGGCCGAGAGGGATGATCGGTGGACGTTGGACGATGTCATGGGGCTGGAGGAGATGAAGCGGGTGCGGGAGGCGATGGAGGACAAACGATTGGGAGCGGCGTGTGTAGAAGAGGCGGATGAGGCTTTGACGATGATTCTGGCGTAAAAGGAAGAAGTAACAGTAGAAGATGACAAGCAGAATAGATGATACACAATACAGGTAGATAATAAAAGTCATTGTAGCTATATCACCAACCCAACACCCAAAAATGCATCTGCACATAGATAGGACCTTATACTTCACCCCAGCTTCTTACTGGCCCACTCAACCATCTTCCACCTAACTTGCCCTCTCCCAGATCTGTGACCACGAAGCAATCTTCCAATCTCACGCCCACGCCCTCCCCCTCCCCCTCCCCCTCCCCGTCCACTCGGGGCAGATATACCCCCGGCTCCAGACTGAAGACGTGGCCCGGCTGGACCGCCCCGGACCCTAATGGACCCTGTACGACGTATGGCGACTCGTGCCCTTCCAGGCCGATCCCGTGTCCCAGTCGATGGGTGAAGACAGAGTAGTCTGGCTCGAACGGCTCTGCGGGGGAAGCGGTGGGGTACGCGTGCGAGATGACTGCCCGAGCGGCGATATCGAGGTCGGAGAAGAGGGTGGAGGTATTGGTACTGGCGTGATGAGAGGGATAGAGGAGACGATCGTGCGCTGCGAGTTGGGCACGGCGGACAGTCTCCCAGATCCGGAGATGGTGGTTTGAGATTTGGGATTTGGGGAGGGCGAAGGTCTGTATATCGTCAGTCTGGTGAAGCGTGGGACAGGCTCTTAAGTGCAGACTCACCCTCGTGATATCCGCTACGTAGCCTCCCCACTTGCCTCCCGCATCAATGAGGATCATATCCATCTTGGTAAGTTTCCGGTCCGTCCCGGACCCATGAGGCAGCGCTGCATTCTCTGCGGGAGAGTCAGCTTCATTTCAGATCTCCTAAGCCCGGAAAAGGCAGCTGGAATGGCAGCTCACCTCCGAAAAGCACGAGCCCATCTCCGCCTGACAGACCGACAGCTCGCATTTCCGCCCGGAGGATCTCGCCAGTGCGCGACTCGGTGATCCCGAACCGCATCCTGGACCGTGTCTTTCGGATAGCATGTAGAGTCATCTGATCATGTCAGCTCCTACTCCCTCGTGCGACTCCGCGACGATTATTGTTGAATCACAAGCCGCTCGTTGGCTCTTTCGGCGAGAAAGCGTTCTGGAGCTTGATTCTCCCTTGGGTAATGATACTGTATAGAGCGGCTCGAGATTCGAAACTACGACGACTTGTGTCAACATGTGAGAGGGGACATACCTGATTCGCACACCTTAACAGCCCAATCTCCCGCTCGTCCTTCCTCTCCCTCAACACCTGGACATCCCCCTTCATGCCCTCTCCCGCTCGAACGACCTCATACCCGAAAGCACTCCGCACTCCCGCGCCCACAAACTCCCGCACCCGTCCATCTAGTATGATAGCCGTCTGATGCCCTAGCGCCCGCTCAAGGACGAGATAGGGCGATTCGTGTTCTCTCCAGCTGACCCATCTGACTCTGGCTTGTACTTCTTGAGGAAGCGGAAGAAGCTGAGCACGGAGTTTTTCGAACTCAGGCGTGAGGAAGAGGATGTCCGCTGAGGAGGAGGAGTTGGTGGAGGGGGAGATGGCGATGAGGAAGGGGCGCTCGGAGAGAAACCAGTCCGAGCTGGAAAAGGCACCGGTATAGTAGAAGGCAGATGCACCGGGCTCAGCGAGCCATACTGCCTTCGCATCCGTGTCTGTGGAAGAGGAGGAAAGGACCGCCGAAAGAGCTTCGAGCCGGGAAGTATGGGTGTCCGCTCGGGGCTTGAGCAAGCTGTGACATTCGGCCAAGAAGCGCGGATGGAGGGATGTGACCCGTTCAGCTGGAGGAGCGAAGACGTCATGATGCACCATAAGGCATGTCGAGGTGAAAAGGAGGAAGAGGATGGCGAGGAAGCGGATAGCTAGGCGAGTGTCTCTTGGTCGAGGGGTCGTGTGACCGCCAGACATGGAGTGGACGGGGAGGCCGTCCGCCCCTTTTGCCCGCCTGGGAGTCGAGAATTCGGCTCCACTCGCCAGAAGGGAGACCTTCTCGTTCAGTCGTGCTGGGGACAGAGCGGTGGTCATAGCTGTGGACTAGATGATATGCAACGTCAAGAAGACAGCTTGATCCTTGTCGGCCTTGCGCTTGTCGAGGAATGCTGTCTCGGCTTCGCCCGATCAAGCTCAAACTGCACCATGCAAGGCCAAATCTTCTAAGCTCTACACCTTCACTTCGTACATGCTCAGGACTGTTCAAAGGTTGCTGGAGGCCCAGATCCCATCTCTGGTCATGCCTTAACCGATAGAACCCACAATCAAGGTTAGACGGCTGCGAATCCGAGCAGAACACGGCGTGGAGTTTTGAATCGTCAAGGTCCGGTCAATCGACCTCCTTCCCGCGCTAATGATACTATCTTGATGGAGACCACCTTGAGGTTGACCAGCAGCTCACAGCGCTTGGCCGACCGTGAGGTGCGCGTTAGTTAAGCCGCCGCTTGGACCGAGACCTCATCGGCTCTCTCTCATGTTCTCATCTGCGCAGATCAATCCCTCCTCATTCCTCGTTTTAGCGGCATACAACAACAACACTCCCCGCTTCTTCAACTTCAAGCCTCTCAACTTCCGACCCCTTCACTCAAGTACTCCAAAACAGAAGATCCACTGACCCCTGTGTCTCAGCTATAGCCCGACCACTGACGAGCGATGATGGTACGCTTTCCCCCTTCTTCTCCTTCCCTTGCCTTTACACCCACTCCTACCAGACAGACCATCGCTGACATGCCCAAAGCCTCGCCTGAAACACTCAACGCCGATCCGCGAATCGCTCGCGCCATCCTGTCCGCACCATACCCCCTCGCTTCCATCCGGACCAGATCGTATATCGTCTTCCGGCCCGTACATGCTCCGGGCGACAATGGCGGGACAGGACATGGCGGTCAACAGCTTATGCGGCCTGTCGGCTTCGTCTCGAATGTGCCGTATCCTGGTTCTAGTCCTTTGCCACTCAGTGGACAAGGGATCCATAGCGGTCCGGTACCCCCGCTTGGGGGATGGCGAATCCCAATCGCTGTTCCGAGACAACAGCCGCAGCTCCCACCTCAGACGGACGCACAGCGGGCGGCGGCACAGCAGCTCCAGGAAGCTCTTCGTCCTCCGCCTCCAGCATTCGGCTCGGATGCCCCGCCTCGAGGTGGCGAAGCGGCCGAAGGAGCACTTCACGTCGCGCACGAGATCGGCAAGATCCTTCCTCGGAACAGCGCCTCAAGTGGACCAAAGGTGAGCTGGAGTTTCCTATGCAACTCTGCTATGCACGTCAGCTGACTTCCAGGGGCCACCTCAGGGTCTCAACCTCCTCATATCAACATTCCAGACCATACTCCCCCGCTCTCTACTCGAGTTCCGGCAGATGCACGAGGCGCTCATCACCCCTCCGAAACTCACCTCGTCTACCACTTTCTACACTGGCGTCACTGCGGGCGGAGGTGAGACCGCTCGGCCTAGTCCGACTACGCCTATCGCTCCGACTAGGCCTAGCACGGCAGTATCTGCGAAGGTAGGCGGGAGGCGGTATGGCCAGAAAGGCCGGGAAAGCGATAGTGAGGAGAGCAACAGTGGGTGGAGCAGCGATGCTACCATCACGAAGCGAAAGTATCGGTCGCCTTTGGTAAGCTGCCGACCTTATATCGCCAACTATAAGCTGACATCCAGACGCCTCGCCTCGAGACCCCATCCACCCCCAAACCCCTGCCGAGCCGAACGTCTCATCTACAAGACCATCAACACCCCATCCCACCTCACCATCTGTCCAAAGGCAAATCCAGAGCCACGAACCCCGCGCATCCCTCACCACAGCTGTTCCTGGGCCAAACCAACCGCTCCCCTTTCACATACGACCTCTCCCGCCGGCGCCGTCGCTCCGGCTCCGACTCGACCATGTCCATGCTCGGCTTCGAGAGCGACGGGGACATGACGGGTACGACGGTTGTACGTGTCCCGAGAAGCTTTGCGAAGCGGCGGCACGGCTCTGGCGGGACGTTCTTCCGGGATGTCCAGGGGACAGGAAAAGGGAAAGGAAGAATGGGGCGGGTGGAGGAGGAACAGTTCGAGAGGGCTCGCCAGCTCCAACAGCAGCGGCGGTCTCTTGCTCCTGCTCCGGAGGCACCCACATTCATTGCACCGCCATCCCACTCTGCAACGCCGTACCAGCCAATGCCCGCGCATCATCCGCCTCCACCACAAGCTTATCATCCCTTCCAACGCCAAGTATCGCCGGAACGCTCTTACTCCCCCCAGCCCATCTCTATCGACCCGCAGTCCGCTGCCTTACCCATCCCCTCATCAGGCTGGCCCCATGCCCCTCAGCCGGCCGCGGCCGTACCGTCACCAGGCCATATCGGGCTCCTCGAGGCCACCAACCTACCATGGCAGCCACAACACCCGGTACCTCATCATCGGTCTCGGCCTCCGTTCACCAAGGCGTGCCACAACTTCTTGTACGCCAAACATCGGCAGACCGCGCGCAGGCGGAAGTTGTTGCTGGATTATCATAGGCGGGCGAGAGATGAGGCGGAGGCGGAACATGACGATGAGGCGATGCAGGTGGATACGCCGGCGGTGCCCTCATTCGCGGATCATCGGCCGGTCTCCATGGCTCCGCGGCAACACGTGGGCTACGCCGGCACAGCTCAGCAGTACCAACTTCCCGCCGGGTCTCAGGCTGCTCAGGCGTACCAGTATCTCCCATCCCAGACGGCCCAGGCGAACCTATCGGCGGCCGAGCCGCACCAGGTCTCCATACGCAGTGTGGCCAGTATCGCTCGGGTCCGGTCGGATGATGATCAGAAACCAGCTCGGAAGCGGCGAAGGGAGATGTCCCCGGAATCGGTCTATCAGCCTTTCGTCTCGCAGTACGTCAGCCCTAGCTACTGCGCCCCTGGGCCGCAGCTACAGCAACAACTTCCGACGATCCCGCCGACCTACACCAACTCTCCGGTAGTCTGCAATCCGCCAACTGCACAATCTAATTTCCCTACCGGAGTACGCTCCCACTCCCTTCCCTCCCAGCCTCTAGCTGGACCAAGCGGCTCCGGACCAGCCACCTCTACCTCCCTTCTCCCGTCTATCGAGATCCGCACTCCTTCCCCCGCCCACCAGCCTCCTCGCCATCGGCACAATCGCCATCATCGCGCCTCCGCCGAGATCAGCAGTACTGGGATAGTCCGGATCCCGGCGGGCGCGTACGGGCACTTTGAGTTTGAGCGGGGGAGGGCAGAGGAGATGGATCGGAGGTTGATGGAAGGGGTGAAGGTCGCTAGGAGGGATGCTTGGTTGGACGAGGTGGGCAGGGGAGACGGGAGGGGGAAGGATGGGAGGCACTTTCTTTTGAGGAGATCATCGTGGAAAGCTGAACCTTAGATGAAGATAGAGGTCTTCTCGCGCTGAACCGGAACTTGTGTCTCGAGTACTCCGAGATGTCATTAATGCATTGATAATACTATATAACAAATAGATCCAAAAGCCCAGATAACCCCCTCAGCCTTGCCCGCCTAGTGATCGATGTTCACAAACGTCCTCGACAACTCCTGCAACTCTCTCCACACCATATTGTCCCCAATCAGCTCCTCCATACTGATCATCTCCACGCCCTGCCCATCTCCCCAGGACCCCTCCACGCCCATCGTCCCATCGGGCCCCTTGAGCGTGATGCCGAAACACTGGCCCGTCCACTCATAGTACGTCCGTACTAAGCGCGGATCGGTAATGCCATCCAAGCGCGGTTTTCGGACGTGCGTGAAGAGCTTTTCGGGCTGGAGGTGGTATCGGTGCTTGGCGAGGATGGTGTGCAGGAAAGCGGGCTTCGGGGAATACGCCGGGTTGTGCGCTTCGGAGGAGGGTGTGAGGGCCCAGTGGAGCATGGTGTGTCCGCAGAACTCGTGGCTGTCCTCGCCGTTCTCGGTTTGGTAGCCGCCGGCGGAGGCGAAGATCCGGGGCGCCATCTGATAGTCTAGTCCGAGGGCGTAGAAGGAGAAGCGCTGAATATCAGCTACTGCCTCTGCTGCTGTGATGAGACAGGGCTGGGACTTACGAAAGTATCCTTGTCACCGTAGCTCAGGAACCCGTACATCTTGTCCTCCTCCATCATGTGGTTGGTAAGATGTAGCACAGCGAGGTTGAGACCGTTATTGGCCCTCTTGTCGAAAACGAGCTGACCCGCTTCTCCTGGCCAGTGGTCGTCCGTACAATCTCGGCCCATGACTCGGAAGATGGCATTATCGGCTGGAGATGTCAGCTGGGAGGTTCGTAGAAGAACGGCTCCTGTAGCTGGACTCACGGTGATCCTTGTTCAGGTCGGACCAGAAGACGCTGCCGGACTGCTTGTACTCGGCACCTTCGAACAGCTCCATCGGGTCAATCAGGGGGATATTGTCCTGCATTGTCAGCTCCGGGCTGGTACGAGCGTCCAAGCTCCTGAACTCACGCTATCAAGGTACACGAACTCGGTGAACTGAGTGTGGAGGAAAGCGATGTTCTTGATGTCTGACGAGTCAGTGACATTCTCAACGGGGCTTGTCGGTCTCAGATGCCCAAAACTCACTCCAGCTCTTCCCGTCCTGTCTCCTTCCTCCGACCTCGATGAATTTGATATCGTAGTCCGCTTCAAAGCCGTCTTTGAGTCCTGGCTCTTCCAGCTCGCCCTTGAAGTGGTAGACGTGCACGAGGATCTTGGAGCCGATGACTTTTCGGAGCATGTGCAGACACAGTCGGAGCCGGTTGAGCGCGGGCTATAGAATCAGTTGTGCCACTATTTGGAGAAAGCTGAAGCAGCAACTCACGCCATCTCCAGCAGTGTATATCAGACCCCTCCTCTCCGCTGCGGGAACATGCGCATCCATTCCATCCTCCCAGACCAGCTTGCCGCCCTCCCGTTCTACGCCCCGCATGTACTCGACAATCTTGTTCCTATACCGCTTGACATCCGTCGGTGTCACCTGCTCCCATTGCTCCGGCTTGCCTTCGTGGAAGAAGTATGTATTCCGGTTATATGTGTAGAAGGGGCAGCCGTGCCGGCTGGGCAGCTCCGCTTCCCACTGCCATAACGCGGGCCGGGAGAGCAGGTACGCTAGCCTCGCTTCCAGTGTCATCGGTATTCCGAGGTGAGCTGGGAGACCGCCCGTCGCTGGCTGAACGTTGGAGGTGAGGGCTGTTGAAGGATTGAGGGTGGAGGTGGAGGAAGAGAGGTAGTCGGCGATGTATGATCGGGGGGTGGGATGTATAAATGAGCCAGAGAGAATGGCGAGCACCATAAAGGCGAGTATGAGCGGGATGGGGCGTAACCGCATGCCCCGCGGTATTGGTGAGGCGAGCAGACCACCCCGGGAGGCAGGATCAGAGTATCGCCGCCGTGATGATGATGAGGGAGGGGAGGACGAGGTGGTGGAACAGGGAGTGGCGGCATCGCCAACAGAGACGGAAGGGGTGGTGGGTACCGGCTGGTACTGCGGGGCGGAGGGCGCCATAGTGGCGGTGTTCGCTGAGCCTAGTACGTGTTAGGGCTCGTCGAAGAAGAGGAAGGTGGACGGTATCGACAACAGACGGTGATGGTGATGGTGAATACAAAAGTCCAAAGGAAGTGGAGGTCAAAGTTCAAAGTTCGGCTCAAGCTCGGGCTCGGAGTGGCGGTTCTGGGTTATATGGCGGCCGGGCCTCTGGTGGACAGAGTCGGCCTTGCTGAAGCAAAATGATCCGGTGTTCGCTGAGGTCTGAGTATTGGATCACCCTGCTGCGGTCCCCACTGACTCGGTCTTTGTGCGCTTGCCTTGCCTTGCCTTGCCTTGCCTTGCCTGCTGCTCGACTTCGGCTGTCGACTCTCAGTGATCCTTGTCCGAAAAAGGGCGTTACCTATTACGGCAGTCACGCTGAGTGATACTCGCCGCATTCGGTAATTCTGACACCAATGAAACGTCCATGCCGTTATGCGGGAAGGCAAGGGCAGCCTCATGAAACATCCGAGTTGCAGAGCATACTTAGAGGAGGGTTGCGGGTAAGAGAGTCTACGGACAATAGGGAGACCTTGTTCTTCGGAGTTTTGAGTACGGGAACAAGGATCCGAGGTTGGCCGAATGCCTGAAGTGTAAAATGAAACACGCTGATCAGCTGGTCGACAAAGATGAAACATCCTGCCACAAATCCGATGGGAAACTTGAATGGGATCTTCGAGATCTCTTCTCTTATCGATACCGATCGGAATTGAGTCTGAATGGGAGGTGAGACGCCAAACGATCGACTCTTGGTATGCGGGGCCTGGTAAGTTCTCGGAAGCTGTAGAAGGACAGATGGACGCCATGTCCTGCCAGATGAGCTGAAACCGTGCGCCTCTGCAATTCGCAGCCAGCCACTGCTATCTTTGCGATATCATCGTATGCCTGTCAAGCCTTCCTCGTCATCCATTTGCCTCGCCCGGCGGATTTGGCATCCTGCCAGGGAGTCGCTGATCAGCGTCGCACTTCCCTCACTGCTGACGGTGACGGTGAGACAGCCGAGGAAAGGGCGTCGACTCTGTGCCGGCATTTCTTCTCAGGCACTTGCGCCGCCCGTTTCGGAAAAAAGGGTTTCTGATCACTCCTTGCGTCTCACGCCTTCCTTGTCTCTGCACTCTACCCGAGATCTACACCTGCCAGCCAAAGAGTACAAGGCTTCCCGCGGCTCCTCTTGTCTTGTTCGGTCATGCAAGCAGCCTTGTGCGGCGGCTCCTAGCGTTTCATCTTGCTCTTCCTTGTTCTCATCGCTCATTGTCCTGGTCGGCAAAGTCTTGTCTTGAAACGCAAGGAGGTCGCAGGCCTCTCGACGATCTGTGATCTACAACTATAACCTTGCCCAGCGCTCGGACCTCTCTCATCGTCATCATCCAACGCTGGCCGACCTCTCTCCCCTATCATCTACTCTTCCGCGAAAGCTGCTCTACAGCCAGCCTTTCACATCTATCAGCCTGGTCAGTGTGCCCCCCGCAGCCGAGAATTTTCGCTTGCCTTCGCTGACCCGCTCAGACCCCTCCTTTGGCTTTTCCTGTTGCCCGGCGCAACCACAGCCTCCCCTTCCACCATGTCACCATCTCAACAACGCAGGATGCATATGACACCCCGCCTCAAGTTCATCCTCGGCCTCATCCTCGCCCCCGCGGCCATCTATCTCCTCGGTCATGCGACCTCCACTTCCTTCGAGACTCCCATCACTCTCCAGTCCCCAGCGCGGTCACACGGCGAGAAGCCAAACTTCCACCCGTACCTCGAAGAGACGGAGGATGGGTATGGCCTGCACATGATTGATGAGCAGCTGGACTTCGGACACACATCAGATCGGTGGAGCTTGGACAAAATTGGGCTGGGGCGGTTGACGGGGAAGAAGAGACCATCGATCCTCATCACAGGCGGTGCTGGGCAGCTAGGTAGGCTTTCTCCTTCCTCATAGCCAGGGCAGGACTGGCAGCTGACTTTGCCAGGTCAAGCATTAATACCTCGGCTCACCCAGGACTATACCGTTTATATCCTGGACATCGTTCCTGTCCCCTCTTACCTACCCTCCGAAAATGTCGTCTATCACCGCGGTTCCGTACTCCCCTCATCACCCTCTCTCCGCACCCTCCTCTCCTCTCACTCATTCGAAGGCATCCTCCACCTCGCAGCCATCTCTCTAGACGCATGGTGCGCACCAAAAGAGGCAGACTGCCTCGCAGTCAATGAAGGCGGCGTCAAGACCGTCATGAAACAGGTGGAAGGGATCGCTAGCCGTGCCGCTAAGAGCTGGCGGAGTACGCAAGTCCCTTGGGTCGTCCTGGGCAGCTCGATGGAGGTGTACGGGGACGGCGAGGGGATCGTCGACGAGGTCACTGAGCGCAAAGCGGGCAGCGCGCTTGGTCGGACCAAGGCGAAGGGTGAAGAGGCGTTTGAGGCGGTCTTGTCAAAGCAGACGGGCAAGAGTGGGGTCAGGGGGATGATTTTGCGCTTCTCGGACGTCTATGGCTACTCGCACGAGTCCAGTATCCCCGAATCGTTCGTCCCCCACCTCGTTGGAAACGCCATCACCTCCATGCCAATTCAGTACGACTCGGATACCGCCCCGATCGACCTCCTGCACGTCGACGACGCGGTCGACGGGGTCCTCAAGGCCATTCAGCACCTCAAGGCGGGCGGATCAGCCGGATCTACATCCGTCAACCTGGTCTCTGGCAAGACGTGGGGGATTGAGCAGGTGGTAGAGCGGGCTAGGGAGTTGACGAACGCCATGTCGCCTATCATGGATATCGGGGACCACCAGACTTCGGTCGCCACTTCGCAATACCACAATGCAGTCGCCAACTCCCTCCTCGGCTGGTCACCTACCATCACCCTCCCCGAGGGCTTCACTCGGACATTCCAGGAACTCACCTCGGCCATGCACTCCTACTCCCTCAACTACCTCCACGGCAACTGCGCTCCTTCCGCCGAGTTCCCCGCGCCTGACTCCCACCCTCGGTCTCACCCCGCCGACGAGCGCAACAAGCACCTTCAGAAGCTCGAGGGATGCCTCGTGCAGGTCGCTTTTGCGCACGACGAGTATCTGCACCACATGAAGTGCTCAGACGGGAAGCACTGCAAGGCGGATGGCGAGTACGTTGCGGGATATAATTGGAACGGGACATTCTGGATCATGCACGCTGCTGGGAAGGGCGAGAGGAAGGCCCGGGTCAGCTTTGAGGAGGAGAAGGGGATGGGATGGTTGGGCGCGCCGAGGGGTCTCAACGGGCATGCTGAGGTGGGCTGGGAGCTTGTCGATGAGGATGACATGAGATTCGAGACGGACTTTGACATGGAGGTGAGCTCTTCGCCTTCGCATGGAGAGGAACGTGCTGACTCGTATAGGTCGCTCGTGAATCCAGTGCTCTTCGCCTAACTTTGCCTGCTGCCAACAAGCAAGTCCACTCGGTCGCCAACGTCTCGAGCTCCACCACTTGGTTCGCCCTGGAGGACGCCAACCATCTCGGAGGGGACCGGTTTGACATGCGCATCAATGTGGTCTGCTGCCCTACTGAGGGGAACTGGCCTTTGGTTCTCGATGATTGTAAGCTGAATCAAGCACGGTACCTGCTGGCCGAGCTGACAGTACAGACGAGTCAGCGGACGTCCACTTTGGCCATACCGGCCAGATCCCCGCCAATTCGTCACACCGGGCTCACACCTGTCAGCGCGCCACCGAGTCTGCTCGTCACACCATCAAGCAGCTCCAGTCATTCGCCGAGGCCAAGTCGGCTCCCTCCTCCTTCAGTAGCGTATCGGGTAACACCCTATCGCTCGTCGATCGTCCTCACGACTGGGCAGTCCGCGACTTGCCTGCATGCTGGAACGACTGCTCCGCGCCCGTCATCTGCGTCCAGACCGGGTCTTGCCGCTGCGTCCGGGCCGAATGTCCTTCCCGGCGCGAGAACCCCCTCTTGGCTCTGAAACACGTCGAGAAGCCCAAGGTCTCGTCCCCGTCCAAGCTCGGCGCACTCCAGGCCTACTCGCCCAAACTCGTCGATAGCGTCAAGAAGCTGTCCTTCGAGGATATGCTCCTCCCCGCTGCTCGGTCGTACCTCGCCAAACACCCCGAGTTCATCAAGATCCACGTTCTTGACGGGTACGAAGGCCAGGAGGCGGTCGAGGCGGCGGAGTGCCACAAGCTGGGGGACAAGCACTGCTTCTCGGCCGATAACGTCCTCTACAAGGCGATGCGGTCGATGCAGGTCTCGGCGGAAGAGGCGGATCTGATTATGCTGCCCGTGTATCAGCAGTGTAAGGGGCAGCCGTTCATGCTGCACGACCTGGTCGGGGAGGCGAAGAGGCGGGTGCCGGGTGTCGAGGAGAGGACAAAGAAGATGGGGATGGTACTCACCCACGACTGGGGAATTTGCGGCTCGTTTGCCTGGTAAGTTTTGTGGCTATCAGCACTTGTTTCAGGACAGAGCTGACATACCAGGGAGGTCTGGTCGGCTCGTCAGAACGAACTCAAACCGGACTGGCCGCTCAACGACGCGATCGTCATGGCCGTCATGGGCGATTACGACTCGCCCTGCTACCGGCCACACCAGGACGTCGTCATCCCTGCTCGGTCCTGCCGATCCAACGCCCTGCGCGAGACATTTGGCGGACTCGAAAATGTTCGGCCGGCGCATGAACGGACAAAGCTCCTCACATGGGCCGGAACCGCATGGGGAACGGGCAAGAGCGATCGGATGCGCTTGACGTGCAGCCGAGGTGGTGCGGGAGAGAAGGAGCTCGTTAAAGGGGCAGGACCCCAGAGCGTCTTTTACAGTTGGGACTATATGAACGAGCTGGCGCATGCTCGTTTCTGCCCCCAACCGCGTGGAATTGCTGGTGAGCTTTCTTCTTCTTATGATTAGCGGGGACTAAGCTGACATTCAGGCTGGTCCCCACGTACCAACGACGCAATCTACGCCGGCTGTATCCCCGTCATTATCGCCGAAGGCACCCATTTCCCCTTTTCAAACTTTCTCGACTGGACGAAATTCTCAGTCCAAGTCCACCCGACCGATCTGGACCATATCGAGCAGATCCTCGGTGCGATCCCGCTCGAGCGTGTCGAGGAGCTCCAGGCGAACCTCGCGATGGTGCGCGAGGGATTCCTCTATTCGACGGATGAGGAGCCAGAGGCGGAGACGAGACGAAAGGGACCGATGTGGTTTGCGATGCACGAGGTGGGGATGAGGATGAGGACAAAGTACCCGGCGGTTGAGGTGCAGGCGGAGGTGGTGGTTTAGAGGGTGGATATAGTGGAAAGGGTAACGATAATAGTTGTAGTAGTATCATCCCACATATATATGAATCGATCATGAGGACATGAGGCTGAATAGATGCGGACCTGGGCCTGACCTTATAACCTTATTAGCTACATGCTGACGCTACTACGTTGCCGGCAGAATCGCCCGGGTCTCCGTTCCGCTCCGCCACCTAGACAGCCATCAGCGCAGAGCAGCCGTCGACGGATAGTTCGTACCTGCATGAGAGCCTGAGCTCGAGGCTCAGGATCGGCCCGACCCACACGCTTCACAAATCGGCGTCTCCGCATAGCTCCTCCAACTCACAACATCGTACTTCCCCTCATACTTCTCGAGCTCATCTGTGAGGACCGTGCCCAGGGCGTCCGCCAGCTGTCGCTCCTGCTCCTGGGTCAAGAGGAATCTTTGCTCATCGTTATCCTCGGTCTCGGCGGGCACGAGACCGAGCCGAGCGACGAGCTCATCGCTCAGCTTTCCCTGCGGCAGGTAATTCGACCAGATTGGAGAGAATGAGAAGATCTCAAGACAGATCGCGGTCTTCTCTCCGCCATCCATGCTTTGCCCCATCCGGTTCAAAGCGATCGTGCCGGTCATTTATTGCACGCAATTCGCCAAGCTCGCAAAGTCTTCCTTTGCCCCCAGTTCCGACGTCCACCTCACACGCCCGCCGAGGACCAGGGGAAGCTCCTCGATCTCGGACGTGAAGTACATGCCGTCTGGGCCGTGGGGTCCCGGTCCAGAGTGAGGTAGCCCGTAGGGGGAGCCGAAATGATAGGTCGCCGAGGGCATAGTGTGATAAGGAGTTACGGTGGCGATCTTGGAGATGCTGAGAGGTCCGCTGATGTCCCGAATGCATTGGGCGGTGACACAAGAGCACGCCAGAACGTCTTGGAAGAGTTCGGCACAGGATTCCGTCCTGATCTCCTTTTCATCCCCATGGCGTCTGTGTTGCTTGTAGAGCTGCCAGTCTGCGCTCTCTTTGCCCCAGATCGAGGCTACCGCAACGGTCCGTAGCCGAGGCATCACCTCGTCCAGTCCCACCGCATGTACTCGCTGCAGGGCAGCCGTCAACCGCCTGACCTCCGCCATGCTGTTTGCCATCCTCAATCCATGCTCTTCGACGGGATTGAGGGTTCCGCAGCCCGCCCAGGGGAAGTCACCCATAAGACCGAGGTACGAGGGTGGTGTAGACTTGTCGCTGTACTCGATGTAAAGGCGTTTAGTGAAGCGAAGAGGAGAGGTAGGGGATGGGAAGTCGACGCCGCCGATAAGGGAAGGGAAATCGTCCGTCACGATGACGCGGAACATGAGTGGTGTAGCAATCATACAGAACATCTACTCGATCAGCATGGAAGTGTATGTCAGGGGAAGCTATGCTGACCCTGCAGACGCCCCGGGCATGTGAAAGGTCGAGCTGGCGCAGAGTGGAGCGGTCTCGAGGACGTGAGAGGGCTTCGGGGACTGGGCGGCGCAGGAAGAGTAGGATGCGGGCCCATACATCTTGAGGTACGCGGGAGGCGTCTATGGGACCTGGATGAAGCATTGAACTTCTAAACGGTGGAGAGAGGTGGTTGATTGGTTGAGTGAAGTCGAAGGGGAAGGGTTATTCGCTGCCCCACCCGGAGCCGCTCCACATTCCTCGTCTGCATCCCATTTTGGTTTCAACCACGCCGATCCCTCCTCATGCTGCTCCCTGATCGCCTCGGATCTGCTCAGCAGTCTTGCGGAGGAATATAGCCATCAACAAGCGTTCTGGATCGTTTGGCGACGGTTCAGGAAACAGTGGACGATGATCCTGCAACCAAGTCAGCAGATGCCTTCCAAATGCGCTTAGAGCTTGGAGGACTCACTCTAAATTGTACATAGCCCCGAGACTTGTACCAAGCTTGAGATCTTCCAGGTTTGGTAGGATCTTCCACACAATAGGTGTTGGTCTCGTCCATGACAACCAGGTAGGCGACAGTATCTAGTGTGACGATTTTTGCTCCGAAATCGACGACCGCACCGCGTTCCAGGAGGTCCATGGCGGCCGTTCCGAACTTTCGTCCTTGAAATTCGTGTCGTATGAACAGAGAAGCTGGATGCATCAGCTCGATGTCACAGTAAAGTCGATCAGTAATAATGATGTGGACGAAAAGAGCCGACGAGCTCACCCAAATGTATCACACCCGTATCCCGACATGCCAACTCCAGGTCATCCGGCTGATGCAGATACCAGCATCCCATTCCCACATCTGTGGTCTCCCCGTCGATGTTCGCGGTGAGCACACAGTACACCCGGTCTGGGTCGGTCCAGGCAGCGAGGAGGGCATCTTTGCCCCACCCGCACTCTTCGCGATAAGAGACGAGAAGTGGGAGATCCGCGTCTGTCGCTATGCGGTAGCTGACATCAGATGCTGGTGTGGCCATACTGTTGAGGAACTTGCAGGAATAGCAAGTCTGACGAAGCGCGGAGTGGGATTATGGAGCAAACGAAAAACGCGAAGAGGAAAGTTGCAGCTCCTCCCCGCTATGTGATTCGCTTATCGATCGGTCGGCGCCGAGCGCCGAACTCCGAACAGGCGGTGGATACGACCCAAAAAGGTGTGATTCATCAATCAGGCGGTCTCAAAGAGGGAGGCATATATTGCCAAACACAGCCTAGCTGATGCCCCTCTTCTGATCCTCTTCATGCTGCTGTACAATGCCAGCGGGGCTAATGAGGCGGTCCTATCTTCCCCACTTCAGGGTGGGGGAGTTGACTCAAGCCTCGTTCCGACGGAAGTCACGCCGGGGATCGCCGAAATCCGAAATTTATGGGTGAAAGCAACGTTTTGGACCGTTTTGCTGCTAAAAGGACTCTCTCTCTCGTCTATCCCTCTCTTATCATACAAAAGATCACATACGGCTCTTATCGACATGCCCGCAGCTCTCTCTCACCCCGCTATCAAGGGTGAGTCACGCTTCCTCTCGGGTCTGGGATGGGGCTTTCCGGAAGGCTCGGATGAAAAGCCTTGGGTTCAAGCAGGTCGGAAGGAGGGGTTCGAAGTAGAGCTCTCTGAACCGGTTCAGTCAAGCACATGGCTACGCAGGATCCTCTAGGGCATCATGACGCCGATGTAGGCGTTTGCTGACGATTTAGACGGATGGTTCCGCGAAATCAACTCGCAATGGCCTGGTATGTTCCATGCTTTCAATTCCTTTGTTCTGCGGTGCTGATGGTATGCAGGCCAGGCTATGACCCTCAAGTAGGTATCGCTAGTATGACCGCTGAGGCACGAGCTGATGTCTAGGGTCAAGCAGATCCTACATGTCGAGAAGTCGCTGTTCCAGGTGAATTCATTTATGTTGAGTCCGTCTGGGGCGAAGCTGATTGCCGAAGGATGTCCTTGTCTTCCAGTCCGAGACGTACGGGAACGTCCTTGTCCTCGACAGCGTCATCCAGTGCACTGAGCGGGACGAATTCTCGTGAGCTGTCCCAATCGTTCCCATGACAGGCTGAAGCTGACTGGGCAGGTACCAGGAGATGATTGCCCACCTTCCCCTCGCTTCCCACCCCAACCCCAAGAACGTCCTCGTCATCGGCGGTGGAGACGGAGGTGTCATCCGTGAGGTGCTCAAGCACAAGTCGGTCGAGAAGGTCACCCTCTGTGACATTGACGAAGTGAGCTCACCGCACCATGTTCATTGGGTAGAGCTGACTACGCAGGCCGTCATCCGCGTTTCCAAGATCTACCTTCCCAACATGTCCGCCTGCTACGCCGACAAGCGTGTCGAGGTTTTCATCGGTGACGGCTTCAAGTTCCTCCCCGAGCACAAGGACGAGTACGATGTCATCATCACCGACTCGTCTGACCCGGTCGGTCCTGCCGAGGCGCTCTTCAAGAAGCCCTACTACGAGCTTCTCAAGGAGTCGCTGAAGGAGGGTGGACACGTTTCGACCCAGGCCGAGAGTGTCTGGCTCCACATGAGCTTGATCAAGGAGTTCATGGGGACTTGCAAGAAGCTCTTCCCGGTCGCTGAGTACGCGACTATCAGTATCCCCACCTGTAAGCTTCAGCTCAAGGTAGCCTTGTGAGCTACAGCTGACAACGACAGACCCTGCCGGCCAGATGGGTATCATGGTCTGCTCCAAGGACTCCCAGCGGGACGTCAAGCTCCCCCTCCGCCCCGTTCCCGACTGCAAGTACTATTCTGCAGACGTACACCGCGGAGCGTTCCTCTCGGTCCCCGAGTTCGCCCGCGCCATGCTCAACGAGAACACCAACATCCTCCCCAAGTTCTCCGGCGCCGGTACCAGTTCCAAGGAGACCACCAAGAAGAAGGTCCTTCTCCTCGGTTCCGGTCTTGTCGCTGAGCCCGCTGCCAAGTACATCACCGACCTCAATCACGAGCTCACTATTGCTTGCCGGACATACGAGAGCGCCGAGAAGCTCGCTAGCGGTCTCAAGAACGCCACACCCGTCAGCGTGGACGTTTCGAGCCAGGACGCGCTCCGCCAGGCCATCAAGGGACACGATGTCGTCGTTTCCCTCGTTCCCTACACCCACCACGCTGCGGTCATGAAGGCTGCTCTGGCCGAGAAGGTCCACGTGGTGACCACTTCATACGTCAACCCTCAGATGCGCGCTTTGGACCAGGAGTTCAAGGACGCTGGTTTGATCTGCTTCAACGAGATCGGTGTTGGTGAGTTGGAGGATCTGAGATCGAATGACCAAGACTGACACCACAGACCCCGGAGTGGACCACTTGTGGGCCATCAAGACCATCGACGAGGTGCACCAGGCCGGCGGCAAGGTGAGTTGGACTTAGCTCCCGCTTCTATGATAGTTGCGGAGAGCTGACATTCTAGATCAAGAGCTTCTACTCGTACTGCGGTGGTCTCCCGGAGCCCGCTGCATCCGACAACGCTCTCGGCTACAAGTTCTCCTGGTCCCCCGCTGGTGTGCTGATGGCGCTCAACAACGACGGCAAGTACCTCAAGGACGGCCAGATCGCCGAGGTCTCCGGCGACAAGCTCATGTAAGCTGCCCAAATTTGTGATGAGTCCAGGAGCTGACCATACAGGTCATCCGCCAAGCCATACTACTTCTCCCCCGCTTACAACCTTGTCTGCTACCCCAACCGTGACTCGTCCACTTTCAGAGAGTTCTACAACATGCCCGAAGTCCAGAACTTGGTCCGCGGGACAATGAGGTAAGCTTCCGACCACACCACCTTGATGGTATAAGCTGATTCGCTAGGTACGGTGGCTTCTGCGAGGTCGTCGAGGCATGGAAGGAGCTCGGCTTCCTCAGCGACGCCAACGTCGACTACCTCGCCAAGGACGCGAAGCCCATGAAGTGGGTCGAGTTGACCGCCAAGCTGGTCGGTACCGACGCCAACGAGGAGTGAGTTATTCGAGACAGAATTCTGTCCTAGCGGAACTAACGACTCAGCGCCATCATCTCCAAGCTCAAGACCCTCAAATCCTTCCCCGCCGACCAGCAGCGCATCCTCCTCTCCAAGTTCCGCCAGCTCGGCCTCTTCTCCGAGGAGCCCATCAAGCCCCGCGGGTCCGTCATGCGCACCCTCTCGGCCCGCCTCGAGGACACCTGCCAGTTCCAGGAGGGCGAGGTCGACATTGTGCTCTTGCAGCACACGTTCGAGATTATCCGCGCCGACGGCAAGGAGGAGACCATTACTTCTACTCTCGAGGCGTACGGAGACAGGAACGGCGGTCAGCAGGCGATGGCCAAGCTCGTCGGTGTGCCGTGCGGTATGGCCGTGGCGTTCATCCTTGAGGGTGTATTGACCAAGCCGGGTGTGCACGCTCCTTACGATGAAGAGGTGAGTTATCTCCTGACCGAAGATCCTCCTTTACGGACTCAGCTGACTTTTCAGACCTGCAAGCTGTTCCGTGACCGCTTGGAGAAGGAGGAGGGTATTACCATGGTTGAGCGGACCGTTTAAACTGGGGACTATGGAGTCGGAAGGATGTTGTTAGATCTGCTTGAATAGAAAAGATATGCGATGACGGACCTATCGGACCAGCACGCCCGCGACAGTAAAGTACAACAAGTGCATATGAAGTAGCATCTGTGAAAGCAACAATGAGTGTGTATGGATCCCTCCCTGAAGAGCAATGATGCGAAGAAAGCTACAGTACAGTTCCCAAAACAAGCTACAGAATCCCAGCAAAGGCTTATCGCCGCCCAAAGAAACCTCTAAAGAAACCGCCAATAGCACCCACGACCGAGCCCTCCCTCTCCCTCTCCCCTTCGAACCCGCCCGTCAACTCATCAATCAAGTCCGCATCCGCTCCCTCTTCCATCTCCAATGCGGCGTCAAAGCGGTTCCTCCGTCCCTCATCCTGACCCCAGCCGTCCCCGATGGAACTGGGGAAAGCGCCGACAACCCGCTGTTCGCTCGCTGCCGAGACAGCTACACCCGCCACAGCATTCTCATCCTCGTCATCATCGTCCTCTCCGATAAACATGGGCAGGATGAGGGTCTGACGATCCGTCTCGGCATTGTACGGAGGAGGGGGGCTAGGCGAGCGACGTGAGTACCGGTTGGTAGCGTAGCTAGGAAGCCGGTGGACAGGTGTGGGAGGCAGCCGGGGCCGGACGTGCGGAGGGCAGGGGATGTGGCGGGGGTAGGTAGCAGAGTCGTATGCTGGGGGGTCGGACACGGTGGAGCCGGACTCCGACTCGGTGTCTGTCGCCTCGTCCTCCTCTGGCTCCGCGACATTGATTTCGACCTCAACGGGCGCAGAGGGTCGGGATGCTTGAAGCCACGCCGGATTTAGCTCCGAGACGTGGCGGACCGCAGCGATGGGCGCGGCATCGAGGGGTGCGGTGGTCCGACCGAGGCGCCGTCGCTGTGCCGCAGCGCGGTCGGAAGATAGAGCCCATGCTGCCTCTTGTACACGCCTGGCGCTGGTCCGGCTGGCGGTACGATCGCGGTGGGCGTCCACCTCGGCGCTGACGGCATCCTCGTCCCGATTGGCAGCCGAAGAGGTAGGGATCACCGATCCGGCGGCGATGGTGGAGGTGGTGACCGAGACGCGTAGCTGTGCAGCTTCTGCACGTCGTGCCCGCTCGCGCTCCTCCGGCGTGGCAAGACGAGCCCGTTGGCGAGAGCGGACAGCCGGAGCTTGCTCGACGGGAGAATCCGAGCGCTGGCGACGACGACTGGGCGCAGCGGCTGTGACGGCTTCTCGGACGGGCGAAGGTGGTGCGACCGAGGTGACGAGAGCGTCAACGACCGCGGCGTCCCCCTCGCTCTCCACGGCGACACCTCCGACAAGGCAGTCCACCTGGACCTCCTCTACCACCTGAGCCACATCCCTCTGGGCCGGAGCTGGCCACCACCAGCATCCCTGCCCAATGTCCGCCAAGAGATTCTTCCATGCATCGACCCTCTCAAAGTGCTCGAAGCACCGCGCACGCATAGCTGCCAGCGCAGTGAAGTTCACTAGGGCGTTCTGGCGGGAGACAGCGTGCCGCCGCTTGGTCCGTGCATCCTTGAGCAGGTGGAAATAGGTGATGACGTGCTGTCCAACCAGGGCATTCGGGCCGCAGAGAGGGAGGGGCCGGCGGGATTGGGGGGCTGGGCGCGAGCGGTGAAGACGCCCCTTGTGGTGCCGAGAGGGGACGAGCGACGTGGGTGATCGGCGCTGCAGGTTTTTATTCGGCCGTGTGCGCTGGCCAGGGAGGATCTCAACCGATATCCGGGATCGAATAGGAGAGCGAGGTGGCTCAGACACCAGCCGGATAGGCGACGACAAGGGACCGTAAGCCCAATTTGACGACTGCTCGGTGGCTTCCACCTCCTCCGAGGGAATGGGGAGGTTGAAGTGCTCGAAAGACCGCAGGATTGACATGCTATCCGCCAGGAACGGATCCGGCGCGTACGGCTTCTGACGATCTCTGCGCTGTTGCTTTTCCGCCGATTCCGCCGAAACGACGGGAGCGATCCGGTGTGACTTCTTCTTTCCGCCTGGGATGCGGCGAGAATGATCGCGGAGTTGACGAACAGTGCTGGGTCGCGTCAAGATGCGCTTCTTGGATGGACCAGGACTGGGGGAGGAGGGAATGAGGGAGTCAAAGACCGCCGCGTGCTCGTCCTCGTCGTCGTCAAAGAGGCTGGTGCTGGTGGGGTAGGCTTGTAGCGTAAAGGACGGGTGGTCGGGCGATATTTGCATCTCGCGAGAGTAAGGTGTGAGACCGTTGAAACCGTCGGTGATGCGCTGAATGGAGGGGGTGGGCGCTACCTTCCTAGTCGAGTGCTTTTCCGAAAGACCAGGTCCCTGATTGTAAGCTATAGTCCGGGTACCCAAGCTGGTTGCTACTCACCTTTCGGTTCTTGGTCATCTTCTGCTTTTGCTTCGGCGTGGCAATGACGCTCTCCGTCTCCTCCATCTCGTCATCCGCCTCTGCATCCTCCTCCTCGTCCGAGATCCGCCTTCGCTTGACATCACCCATATCCTGAACCTCTTCCACCTGCTTCCCCTTCCCCTTCTCATCGCCCCAAAGACGGCGTGGTGGGCTCCACAGCATCTTCTCCTCAGCCCAGTATCGCCCGACCTGCGGGGGACTAGGGCTGCTAGACATGCGAGCGTCGCCGAGGTTCTCGTCCACCTCGTCCGACTCTCGCTCCGGGCTGCTGAGTAGCATCTCGGCATCACTCGCGTCCTTCTCCGAGCTCTTGGACTCGGGGATGGCCGACTCGACCTCGGAGAGAGCCGTGCCGAGCTCAGTGTCGGAGGACGAGACCTCGGTGTCGCTCCCGCTGGAGAAGGAGGCGTCTTTGCCCCGATGTTGCTGCAGACCGGGAGCAATGACGGCTACGAGGTGGGAGGTAGCCGTACGCGCCACCTTGCGTACCCGACGGTTGGGGAGTGGGCATCTGGGCCGGGGAGCCGCCCATGCGCAAGCGGACTCGGATGAAGAGGAGCCGGACGCATATCGACGCTTGAGAGCGGCGACCATTGTATTCGAAGAAGACGGGGGAGGGGGGGCCGAGTGATAAGTGAGAGGGGGCTGGTCGAGGTGGAGAGGGATCACGAGGCGTCTAGGATAGTCCAGCTATTCCTAGGTATTCGTTCCGCCGTAGATGAGGGGTTGCCGAGCCGTGAGGGACGAGGTGATGAAAGTTGTCCAGTTGTCGTGCCGGTTGTCGAGGGTAGTTAGATGAAAAAGATAGATGGAGAGACGGTCAATCAGAAAGCTGTTTGGTCAGTCCAGTATTCCTATACCCCGTGATGCAGCACGGGGGCACATGCTACCCAAACGGGGAGGGAAAGAGCGGCGTGTGAATGGCCGAAATTTGAAAGGCGAGGCAGATCTTTCGGGTTCCAGCTGGATTGACACGTACCTCGCTTTTCCCACAAGACACCTCTACGAACCTCATATGCACTTGTCGAGCTGCGAATGCGATGGATGGGGTCGCTATTCGAGCTGAATGTCGAGCTTGGGACCGGGGGAGAAGGGACAAAGAGCGAACAATGTGAGAGATGGAACTGCTTGATTGGGCCAAGTTTGAAACGCGTCGGCCAGATGAGGCAAAACGCGTGATGACGGCAGGGTCAACGGGAGATGGGCGGGTAAGGTGACTAGTGAAGAGGTGAAGGATGTGGCGGAGTAGTGGGTGGGGTTTGCCTCTTATGGGGATGTTAGGCGGATTGGCTGACACTGACTGAGGATGGCGGGGATAGCTCTGCGGTGGGGAAGAGAGTAGCGGCCAGGCTTGTCAGCTCTACTTATATGCGGGGTGGCGGCATCGAGGCATGTCGACCTCTCCTCTGACTTCTCTGACCGCTCTGACATGGCTGCGCAACAATGTGATTGATGATTTGAAGTCTGAAGGAGGACAACTACCCTTCGCGATGGGAATGAGTGCGAAGGCGAAGGCGCAGATCACTCAAAGGGGGTTGACGCAGCTGCGTGTCGAGGAGTGATCTGCGCAAGCCGGCGGCTCCGCCCGGGAGTATCAGGACGTGCCAGGGACTACTCATCGGTCCTTCAGTCTCGGACTTGATTCGTGAAGGCATTCACGTTGTGTATTGACATCTACAAGCGGTACCACCCGGCTCAGAAGGCGTGGTCCATCATGAGCTGTATATACAGGCGAAACAGGACGCTGCGGCTTTTGCCTCTGTAATCTAACATTCCCAATCGATTGACATCTCGGCTATCTTCATCTCCCCTCGGTTGTTTGGTGATCATCAAGGACCGCTGCGGGATCACTACTGTTGATAAGTGAATACCCCTGCCCGTCCATCTAGCAGCATCGTCAGAGTCGATCTGGAGCCTTCACGCGCTGACTCACCTCGACGCGTTTCCTTTCCTTCTCTCGCTCCTCAGCGCCCTCAGTAGATCAGCGCTACATCCAGCTGGGCTCTAATAGCAGCAATCGAAGACTCACCACTGCCCATGCGCCCGATGTCAGAATGGCGGTCATGCCCAGGAGCGAGAGCGCATTCGGAGGTCGACCAAGTACGTACGCCTGCACCAAGGCGGACAAGGGGATCTGCCTCGTCAGTCAATAGTATCTGTGTCTGGATACCACTGCGGACGAGGCTTACTTGTGAGAATGCTATCACTCCGACCGTTCCGGCAGTCTCTCTTTGCATGGCCATGAACAAGCAGATCTGCGCGAACAACCCTGAGGCCTGTTCAGGTGTCAGTCTCGACTTGATTGACTGGTTGAGGAAGCACTTACCGCTAAGAGGACCAGCTCCAGGCCAAGCCTGGGACTTGAGACCCCACCTATAGGCTCACTAGTGAATAGCACGAAGCTGTCAGGAATCAGTGGTTGATTGTCCACGATATCCTGGTGAGACTGACCAAGGGGCGACAATTATGGCGGTTATGGGATATGCTACCGTCTCGGCCATGACATCTGCGTCGATGCCAATCGCCCGGAGCACAGCCCCTAAACGGATGAGCATGCGACCCTAGACAGCGCATGGTGATCGGGCGCTGTAAATGCGAACTCACAGTCTGAAGCATCCAGTACGAGAGCAGCCAGGCAATATGAGAAACCGATGAGCCTCTTGCGTGAGTCAATGGCAGAGCGTGGATTGAACAGGAACGGCGGTTGCACGATCAGCGTGACAGCTACGATGGAGATATCTGGACTGATTAGCAGTCTCCTAGGTTGACAGCTCAGCCCCACCTGTTGCCAACTGCAATCGCCACCCGAAAGCCTCCCTCAACACAACCCAGCAGACCAAGCCTATGAGAAAAGTCTTGAAAGCGTATATCGAGGTCATCTCAGCGAGCGCGATATAGCTTAGCGAGGCATATATGCAGCAGATCCCCAAGCTGGCCAATATGGATCGAGCCCATATCAGGCACGCGGTATAAGTTGAGCTCCGCTGCGCGTCCAGCACCCCAGCTTCTTCGGAAGGCGCCTAGAAATCCGCGGAGGAACGTGTACGGATATCGAGCTGCTTGAAGCTGGATGGTTGACGCGTCGAGATATAGCCGAGGAGAAGAAGCGTTGTGACGGCCTTCAAGCTCGGTCAGCGTCGGGACATCAGGGCGACTTTCTTGTGGGAAGGTTGAAGCATTGATGGACTTCGAGATGGTTCCAAAGCAGCTCACCATGCGGTAGAATCGAACACGACCTGGAACGGGCCTGAACCAAGTCTGATACAGCTTTGAGCTGTCGTGTCCATGACCGTGAAACCGATGTTGGCGACCAAGCTGAGTGCTATGCCGCCGAAGCGACTTATCAGGCTCGACATCGCCCGCAGTATTATCAGTGTCTCGAGAGTGAACATGAGTGTGAGGATAGCATAGACTGCGCGCCGCGGGCTGCCAGAAGTAGTCTAGCGTTCGAGAAGCTAAAGTTCAAGCCGCTCCTGCCGAATCATCGACCGTGATGCGATGAGGTCAGTGTGTGTGAGTGAGTGTGTGTGAGGTGCCTGTCGCAATCAGGGCCGCAAGCTCCTCTGCCTCGCCGTCGCCTTAGCATGTACCTTTCTGCCATCACAGGTAAGGCGGCGAGATATGCGGCTCACCCGGCGGAGATGCTGCGTCTACTCACCGCTCATCTGGCCCCACTCAGCTCAAGAGTTCAACCTTCAAGCTTCAAGGGGGTGGGCATATGACTTTCGCATGCAGAGGCGCCACTTTGTCCTAGACCCCTGCCGTAATACCCCTGTGCAAAACGCGCAAAACGTTTGCAAAACGTCAGTACCACGGCCCTCACGGAGAATTGCGGCGTTACGATCCCAGAGAATTTCGGAGATCCGCCACGATGCCCGAGGGTTGTTTCAACATTTCAGCGGCAGGCAGTCGAGTCGCACAGTGAAAGGAGTAAACCTAGCTCTCTCACTCGCCATATAATCAGCTACATCGCATCCCAAAAGCTCTCGCTAGCAAGACATAGACGAGCAGTATCTCACCGTCTGACACTCCACTGTCAAATCGCTCAAAACGTTCGCCAGGACGCTGAGACCCCTCCGCCCTCTCGCCAGCCTCGTACAGCCACGCCTACCTGCCTTCAGGCCCGCGCAACCTCGCAGCCAGTCCCTGTCCTACCGCTCTCTCAGGATGGCTTCAACAGTACCGCCAATTGCGAGCGGGTCTTCCGAGATCCCGGCGCGATATGCTCTGCCAGAGTTCCCGGCGGTCGCTTCCGCCAACCCCGATAGGGAACCCATGGATGCGTTCCGCTTGGCAGTAGCCAAGCTGATCTCGGATGCATGGCAGGAGCCGCTGGAGAAGATCTTCAATGGTGTCGACACTGGTGCGTCAGCTGTTCGGTTGAGATGAGCGAGCGGTATAGCTGATGGGCATTAGGGAAGAAAGGCGTTGATCTGGCTCTTGCTGTTGTTCGGTTCAAGAAGGGAGACCTGGAGAGCTATGCTCGTCAAGTCACAGACTCTGTAAGTCACGGCTACCACGAACATCCTCCGCACAGTACAGTCGTAGCTGACATATCAGTTCCAACCCAATGCGGCGATATCCGCGGTCGTCTGGCAGAAGCCCTTCCTCAACTTTACCCTTAAGTGCGCTTTCCTGCCGCCTGAATCGTAACCTGGTGAGGCCCGTACCTGACATACGCAGTAAGGAGTCTTTCGCATACCATGTTCTTCGCCAAATCTCCTCCTCCGCCCTCGCCGCCCGTCAGAACCCGTCATCGTTCACCGAGGCCTACGGTACCGCCAACCTCTACCCCGGCAAGCACATGCTCGTCGACTTCTCCTCGCCAAATATCGCCAAGCCTTTCCATGCTGGACATCTCCGGTCGACCATCATTGGCGCGGTCATTGCCAATCTGCACGAAGCGATGGGGTGGAAGGTCACTCGCTTGAACTACCTGGGAGACTGGGGAACCCAGTATGGGTTGCTGAGTCTCGGATTCGATCAGTTTGGAGATGAAGAGAAGTTGAAGGAGAACCCTATCATGCACCTCTTTAACGTGAGTTTATCCTGCTGGATGGATAGGAAGACCGAGCTGATTCTCAGGTCTACGTCAAGATCAACCAGGCGAACACCGAGGAGAAGGCAAAGTTCAACGCTGGCGAGATCACCGATGAAGCATCAACTATACACGCGCGGGCAAAGCAGGTCTTCAAGGACATGGAGGACGGTGAGCTTACCGAAAGAAATATACCACTTCTCCGGGGATATAGCTCACCTACCAGGCGAACCAAAAGCTCTGGCACAGTGGAGCCGATTCCGCGATCTGTCCATCAAGAAGCTCGAGGAGGTCTACCGCAAACTCAACATCCACTTTGATGTCTACTGGGGAGAAAGTCAGGTCAACAAGGAGAGCATGGAGCGGGCGGTCAGGATTTGTAAGGAGAAGGGGTTGACCTGCACGGATCGCGGAGCGCTGTTGGTGGATTTGACAGAGTACAAGCTGGAGCGGGCTATCATCACCAAGGGCGGTAAGTTGGATCGCATCGAGAGAAGCGGAAATCATACCGATATAGCAGACGGTACATCAATCTATCTGACTCGAGATCTCGGAGGGGCGTTCGACAAGTGGAACAAGTACAAGTTCGACAAGCACATCTATGTCGTGCAGGCGGCTCAATCATTACACTTCAAGCAGCTGTATAAGACGCTGGAGTTGATGGGCGAGGAGTATGCCGGGCGATTCGAGCATATCTCTTTCGGTGAGCTACATATTTCTGCTCGGGCAGTAGACTCCAGCTTACCTGGCAGGTCTCGTCAACGGCATGTCGACCCGACGAGGAACAGTCAAGTTCCTCGACGATATCTTGGACGAAGCGACCGATGTCATGCACGAGCAGATGCGGAGCAACGAGGTCAAATACGCTCAGGTCGAGAACCCGGAACTCACCAGCGAGATCATCGGGTCTACTGCGGTCAAGATCCAGGACATGTCTGGTAAACGGTGAGTTATGCTTGTCGGTGCTGCGATACGCACCCTTGGTCTCGCAAAGCTGACTTCTCCAGTATCAACGACTACAACTTTGACATCCGCCGATGTACCTCCTTCGAAGGCGATTTCGGACCCTTCATCCAGTACTCGCACGTCCGTCTCTCCTCTATCGAGCGCAAAAACCCCAACGTCCCCATCGCTGCATCAGTGGACGAGATCGACCTGTCCATCCTGAACGACCCCAAGGTCAACGATATCATGTACCACCTCGCCCTGTACCCCACCGCCGTCCGGAACGCGTACACATACTCGGAACCGAGCACGCTCGTCAACTGGTGTTTCCGGATCTCGCATCTGGTTGGGTCGGCATGGGAGAGCGTCAAGGTATCGGGTGCGAGCGAGGAGGAGCAGCGGGCGCGTCTCTTCTTCTATGTCCAGATCAGGGAGGTGTTGGCGAGCGCCATGAAGTTGTTGAGTTTGACGCCGATCGAGCGGATGTAGAGCTTAGCGACCGAGTACATAGATCTACATGCACACCGTGTCCCTTACGGACGCTGCAGCTTATAATCCTTTTGCATCGCAGTATCAGATATAGAGGTCCGATACAGGATGTTATTGTACTCGTACTCTTCCTGCATTACTTCTTTCCGGAATCCGCGAAGTCCTCAGTCGACATCCCGCTCCAATGAGTTCTCCCTCCTCCCCACACTCTCCCTCAATGGCAACCCGTTCCGCTTCTCCCCACCATCAAACACCTGCGAAGTCCGCAATCCCGCCTGACCGTTCACTGGCGGGACCACCGACGCCCGGTTGTTGTTGAAGAAGAGGTTCTTATAGTCGGCCAGCTGTGCGTCTGGTGGTGCGGATCGGTCGACCGCAACTGAGGACGGACGAGGTGCTATAGACCGTCTAGCGAACGGCCGGCTCTGGGATTGGTCTGACTCGCGGCGGGATGGCGGGGAACGGGATGGTGAAGTAGGGTCTGGACCTGATCCTTGTGGTCTTGATGGGGCTGACGGTGTCAGCTGTGCCTCTCGTGTCTGGGCGGGCGAGCTTACAAGGATGGTCCTGCGATTTCCGCTGCTCCAGCATCCGTCTGACATAGGTCTGTACAGGTCCGGACGAAATCATCGAGATGGCCTGCTGTACTTCCTGCTCATGCGCACTATCGGTCCGCATGTAGAAGTACAGCGCGTCGAGTTGCTGCTTCATCAGCATCACCTCTGTTCATGGACAACCAATACTCACTTCAGGATGATTCCCATTCCGTATCAACTCCCGCATCAGCCTGGCCGCCTCGGTCTCTCCCTCACGCCTTGCCGGTGGACTGGACTCGGTACTACGTGCCGGTATCGTTGGGGTGGTAGCGGGCTGCGAAGCAGAATCGGCAGTGTGATGACTGCTCGATACGGATTTGGGACGTGATACGCGTGTGGGCGCAGCCGAGCCAGCGCGCCCTCCCTCCTCGGTCGCAGTGCCGTTCTCGCCGCCGTTCTCCTCGGTCTGGCCGGACAGGCGGAAGATGTACGAATAGACGATGGTGTTGGCCGCGTCGTCTGCAAATTCGTCCATGAGGACATCGTAGACCTCCTCTCCAGTAGCTTTGCAGTTGCCTGCTGATCAGCTCTATCACTTGCAAAGAAGACCGGAAGCAAGCTCACCAATGACCTTCTGGATGACAGTCTTGACTGATCTCAGCGGCAAGTCACCCAGCGCGATCCCCGCGGCCTGCCGTCGCCTCCATACACTCGGCCCGATCCCCGCCACAAACTCCTCCACCACCCTCAACATCGGTCCCATCGGCAAAAGCCCCGACGCGAAATCCTCCGGGAGCACCTTGGACCGTTTCCACAGGCACTTCATGACCAGATCCGCCTGTGCCTGCTCGTCCGTATGAGGCTTGACATTGCGGGTCTCAAAGTCGGCGCAGAGGGTGTAGAGGAGCCGGAACATGGTTTTGAAGATGATGAACCGGTCGGTTTGGGAAAGGATATGGATAAGGATGAGGTTGATGAACTTGGATAATTCCCGAAAGTGGCCGCCCATCAGGTCGGATTGTACGAGGTGGAGGGTAAGACAGTCGAACAGGGCGTACATGTCGTCGTATGCCAGCATTTTGAGAAGAATCTCAACTTGCGTGACGGACGACATGGTCTGCACGAGGTGCTTGACGAGCCGGAAGTAGTTGCCGTCCTGGAGATTCTCGATGGGCGAGTAGGCCCGCTCCATCTCGCCCACCAGTGTGTCGATCAGGGAGGGGACGACGTTGATGAGCGTCTCGGGCGACTCGATGATAAGGTCCTGGATCTCCTTCAATGCGTTGACGGCAAGATCGAGATCGTCTTGTCGTATATCGCTGATGAGACGGAGGAGGTTGTTGGATGATCGCCCATTTGTCGGCCGAGCCAAGGGCTGCATGGAGGGTTTGGGAATGGTGGATTCCCGCTGGACCGGTCGCGGTAAGGCCGGCATGGCTGTGGATACCGGTCGCGGGATGCCGCCGAGGGTACGAGGAGCGGGAGATGACGTCGAGGCTTTTGGTAGCCGACTTGGCGAGTCGGGCGCCCGAGCGATAGTCCGAGCCGCCGGAGAAGAGGTCTGGACCGGTGCTTCCCTTGCTAGGCGAGCGGAAGCAGCGGGACTGTCGAGCTTGGCCGCCGGTTTCCGTAGTCGAGGGGAGGCAGCGGGGATGCTGCTTTCCACGACTTTGGCTACTGCCGGTACTGGTGCACCCTTGGTCGTCGCCATGGTCGCCCGACGATTCGCTAGCATGTCTTTCGACGCATTCGGTAACGAGTCGATGACCGCATCCAAACTCTTCGATCCGCCTTGGAGCTGCAGCAGCCTACAATGTCAGCTATCGTTCCCGTCCACTGAATCGGGACATGGCAACTCACGCCATCACAGACAAAGCGGCATTCCGCGTTCCACTGTCATTCACGCACTTCGCCAGCGACTCGTAGAACCCTCTATCATCCCGCACCTTCAAGATACTCCCCCGCTTCCTATATGCCTTCTCGATCAACGCCAGTGACTCATTCTTGACCGTCTTTCCCGCCGACTTGTCTTCCAGCCCGTACTGGACTAGCAGCTGGATGATCTGCGAGCCCGCGATGATCTTGTCGAGGTTCTCGAAGATCGGCATGAGCTTTGGACTGAACTTGTTGTCGCTTAGCTAAACGGTCAGCCACGTATTTAGTAGAGGAAAAATTGTCGGCCAAGCTTACTTTGTATACCAAAGCCGGACCGAACAGCTTCGCCTCGAGATCCGAGAACCGCTCATTCAGCCGCATAAGCGTCGAAATGACGTTCCCAATCACCTCCAAACATCGATTCGCCAACTGCGTGTTATTCGACAACAGCTTGAGCGCCGCGTATTTGACCGCCAAATCGACATTGGCCATCTGCACGGCTTGCAGTACCTCCTCTGCCAGCCCGAACGACTTGGCGACCTCCGCATCGTAGAATTCCGCCATGAGTGCCAGACCCGCCATATAGTCTTCCTCCGCCCGATGATCCTTGCTGTATAGCGATTGGAGCATCTCGGGGCTTGTATGTGGTTCCATCTGAATATGGAGGTATTCGACGATATCGGCCTTGGGGGATGCCTCGAGGACCCAGCGAGTAGCATCTCGCTTGAGCCGGGAGGCGCGGGCTACGGGGTCGGAGGTGATGAAGGGGATGATGCGGGAGTTGGAGGGCCCCGCGGAGGGTGGGGGCTGGACGGACTGCGGCCTGGATACGCCGCCGGCGACCTTTGGACGAGGAATACCGGTAGGTCGCTCGTCGCTCATTGCAGACGGCGGGCGAGCGCTGGGGACGTTCGACAATGCTTTCATGGCTAGCGACCGACCGGGGGCAGGGATGGCCGAGGCTTTGGACGCGACCTTGGATGGCACAGGGCTGGAGGGACCGGCGCGACCGGCTCCGGCTCGAGGAGCAGCTGAAGACTGGGACGCCGCCGTTTTGGTCGGTGCAGCTGCTGGAGGAGGTGCTGACGAAGATGATGGTCCGCTCGCCCGAGCGTTATTGATGAGCGGAACGATAGTGGCTTTTGAAGCAGGCTTGAGCCTGCTCGTTTGCTCCATGACGAAGTCGTACCCCGCGCTCGAGACGACGAAGGGCAAGATAGCCCCAGCACCCTTCCTGACATCGCCGTTCCGGTCTTCTAGGCAGGAGATAATCGGTCCGGCGATAGACGTCAAGTCAGAAGATGGACTGGGCGGTTCCGCGACGATCCGCTCAGCAAGCCAGCCGAGGACGGACGCCCGTAGAGCCGGATTGGGTGACTCGAGCGCCATCCCGAGGCCGGCGTACATGGGGTCGAGTCCGCCCGCAGCATCCGCCATCGCGGTCAGGGTGGAGAGCGCGACGGCTCGAGTGGTGGTCTTCTGGTCTGCGCAGACGCTGGCGACCGGGGCGGTGAGCAGTCGAGCGTGCTTATCGAATGGTTGTCCCATACCCGTAGCGATCTTGCTGATAATGCCGAGCGCGAGCATCTTGACGGCAAGATTGGTATCCGCCATTGCCTTCTTGAGAACTCCGCCGATCTCGCCTGCAGTGTCAGCTCTGCTTCTATCACCGACGCCGGGGACATGCTCACCCATATTCCCCTTCAGCCTGGAATTGCTCTTGACCTCCAACAACGCATTCAATGCCTCGAACGCCTCTTTCCGAGTCTTCCACGCATCCGACCGAGAGTCCACGACCACCGTCGTCTGGTTGACCAGCTTGTCCAGGTCCACTCTCGGGATGAGGTCATCCAGCGGATCAGCACCTGCTGCGGCCTTGCCAGCTTTCCCAGCGCCACCCGTCGCCTCCTGCAGATCCGCCTGTGTCCGGGTCGGTTCCGGAGCCGTTTGCGACGCAGCCTTATCGAACTCGGAATTGATGGTGGTCAGGAGTTGAGGGTTGAGATCTTCGATGAAGCCTGATATATCTGCTTGTGTCAGCCGATCCCCGCGCGAGCTATCAAGCTGGACCCACCACCGCCGACGAATACCTTGACGGTGACCATCACCTGAGTCGCGCTCGCTCGGACAAGCGCATTCGGTGATCCCAGTGCGGTTTTGACGAAAGCGATAAGGTCGCGAAGTGGGATACCGGCGATACCGAATTCGACCAATTGCTGCTTGATCCAAGTCAACGAGTCGGCCTGAGCTTTTGGCGCTTTTTGCTTCGTCATAGACTCGTATGCTGTCGACATGTCAGCTCTGCAATGTCTACTCGCGGTGAACAACTCAGAGCTCACACTGAGCAAGCACGAAGGCCAAAGAGGTTCTCTCGGCAAAAGCAGTCATAGCCTCCCCCGCCGACTTCTTGAGCTTGAGATCGCCCAGCTTGTCCGACAATGGCCCGACAGCTAGAGCGGCGGATGTCCGGCCAAAGGTGGGGCTCTTTTCGGCCATAAGCCGCATGACATCGTAGAGCTTAGCAGAGACCTGTATGTCAGTTATCTGCTATACCACGGATGCGCAACCCATGACTCACCTGGAAATTCTTCTCTCCCCAACCCGGCGTCTTGCTCAAGAACCGGAACAACACCTCGCTGTCCACCTGATCCCCTCCTCCTTCCTCCACCCACTTGACCATCTCCTCGGCAGCTTCCAGCCGTACCTTCCACGCACCATCCGCTAATTTCGTATGATACTCGGCAGGAATCATGTCGGCTGCTTTGGCAGCTGCATCTTCGGGGGTGTAGCGGAACTTGACCGGTTCAGAAGGGGATATAGCGAGGGTTTTGGACGAGCCCGAACCACCGGCTTTAGCGGGCGCCTTCGAGGCTGCAGCGGGCGCGGCTTTGGGAGCTGCTGCTGGCGGGGCGGCTTTCCGAGGTGGAGCGGATGGAGCGGGCTTGTCCTCTGATGGAGCATGTGCAGCAGTTTTAGGTCCCTAAAGGTCAGTCTGGCCTTGGCGACTACATGGCGCAGGACTTACTCCTAGCTTTGCCATAAGTCGGGCTGGTGGGGCGCGCGCAGGTGCAGACGGTGCAAATTCGTTTAGCTCGTCCATGTTGAACTTGCCGGAGGACTTGATGGGGGGAGATGATGAGCGTGGAGCAGGAACCGCTGATACTGGCTATGATACATCAGCTGAGAACTCTTTTATCTCTCGGGGAGGTCGCCTCACCTTCTTGACAGCTGGTGCAGCCGCTTTGGGCGCAGCGGCCTTGGCTCCGCCTGCCCGGTATTTGATCTCCGCCTTCCCAAACGCCTCCTTGACTTTCCCCATCTGCAGCTCGTTCACCCCTTCAACGTATGGGTTGAACGCCCGCTCCCCCAGGATCTTCATCATCGTGCCCAGACAGTCCGCTGCGCTGGCTCGTACCGGCTCCACCGAGTCTCCTAGCAGCCCCACCAGTGCTTCTGCGATCGGCTTGACTTGCTCCTTACCTGGGGCTTCGGTGGTACTGGATAGTGATCGATGGAGGAATTTGAGCGTGCCTTCCTTGACTTGAGGGTTCTTGGATTTGAGCGAGGTGAGAACGTCTTCGACCATGTCGAACAGGGTAACCTGCCTGTCAGTCCTGATCACCCCACAGCACTCACAGTCTCGAAGACAGCATCTAACGCCTTTCCGAGCGCCTCAACAACAGTCGCCTTCCGCTCCTTCAGCCTGTCCAGCATTCCGCTCATAACGACGCCCCTGAACCGGCCAAATGGCTTGCCGAGCCCCTTGGCCAATCCCTCAATCACCTTCGCCGCCTCAATGACCACATTGACGTTCGCATCGCTCTTACACTTCGTCCCCAGTGTTTGCGCCAGAGAGCTGTACGAGTCGATATGGCCGTCCGATATCCGGGCATTTTGAGGAGCTCCCAGTACCTTGTTGACCTCCTCGAGCACCTCCAGCCGATCCTTCCATTTCGTGGACGATAGCCGTTCGTCCAGATCCGCGGGAAAGAGCTTGGAAACGTCGACCGGATCTAGCAGATCTCGTGCGTCGATAGGAGCAGCTATTTCCTCCGCCATATCCTCTCCACCTTCGTCCGCTTGTCCCGCCGCGGCCTCCCGCTCCCGTTGCGCTTTCCGGGTAAACCTCGTCGGCCGCCCAGTCCCCGCTCCCTTCCCTTCTGCATCCAGCGCGTCAAAGCTCTTTTGCAGCTCCGAGACCTGGACAGGTTTAAGTTCCGCCAATGATGGCTGGAGGGCGGCGCCGAGGTAGGTGTAGAGGGCGATGACGAGGGCGGATCCTTCCGCTCGGACAGTCTTGTCGGAGTGACCGAAGACTTTGGGAATGACTTTGAGGAGGGGTTTGATGTTGCCGATGGCGGACGTTCCGAAAGATCTACAAGGTCAGCCAAAGGATAATATACAGATCAGTCTACCCACTCTACCAGTTCCTTCAGACAACCGATACATCCAGCGACGATCTTCGGCTGCTTGGCGTCGATTCCAGGTAGTAGATCACCCTACGTGTCAGCTATAGATTCCCACTACACAGGCCTTTTAGCTCACCAGAACCCCTTCACCGGTGTTCTCCACCTCGACGAACATCCCGCATAGCTCAGTCGCCTTCTTCCTCGTTCCAGCTCGAGGCGCACCGAGAGCCTTTTCGACAAGAGCAGGCACAACATCTCCGCGGCATCTATGAGTCAGCTCCAAGGTCTCGCAGGCGACAAAGAACAGCACAGAACTTACTTCGAACTGCTCTCTCCGCTGTATTGCGCGATGGCCAGAACCGCCTCAATCCCCTTTTCTTGCGCTACAGCATTCGCATCGGTGACCCACTTCTTTCTGAGCTATCAGTACTGGTCAGAGCTGAGGCCGCAGCGAACTGACAGTAATGGTCCATCGGATGTGTATGCGCGAAAGAAGGGGTCGGCATCTGAAGCTGTCTTTGCAGATTTGGCGATGACATCGGTATACGCTGATAATCTGGCTTTCCAATTCTGATGGATCAGCTGTTACTCGCCCAAAGCCGTGTCTGGATGCTACAGCCTACCTTGTGTTGACTCCGATCTACCAAGGGGATCTGAGAGAAGTCTTCTTCCTGAGGTGGCTCGCCGTCCATTATCTCCCAAAACGGAGCCTTATCCCCTAGTATTCGGGAGCAACTCCACAAGCGAGAAGGCTCGGCTAGTGATGTGGCGAGGTAGTGTCACACTACCGACTGGGCAAAGCACTTTATAGCGAGGAATGTGTGAAAGGTAGGTATATGGTTATTGTTGACACGCCTGTCAGCCAACCTTTTTGCGCGTGCCTCCACCCGCGCCGCTTGGACGCGCCGCGCGCACGGGAAAATTAGGTTCCGTCATCTGAAACCATCGGAGATTACCGCTTTGGCTCGGGTCAACCTTATCCTGCGCGAACTTGGCTCTGGCCAGCTCTGCTTATGTCCCATATCTACCTTGTGCACTATGTCCCTCCTATTAGCGCCCGTCGGAGCGGACGAAGAGATAAAGCACTCCGAAAATGCGCCGGGACCATCGAAGCCTCGCGCTCCGGGAAGGGCTCCTGCGGGCTCGACAAGGGGTACCAACATGGTCATGGCCAGTCATGGGCGGTCGCCGTGGTACGACCCGGATGGGAAGAATGTGGATGCCTATGTCATCGGTATAGCAGGAGGGTCTGCTTCGGGAAAGGTTAGCTATCTGACCGTCAGGCCAGCTTCGCACAGGCTCACACTGTAGACATCCGTGGCTCGAGCAATCCTCTCGGCCCTGAACTTTATCCCTACCGTCCTTATCCTCTCCCAAGATGCCTTTTACAAGCACCATACGCAAGAGGAGATAGATCTTGCATTCAAGAGTGACCTAGATCTGGGTATGTCTGCTGCTCGGACCATCACCTCATGAATTTAGGCTAAAGTCTTCAGACCATCCGGATGCGATAGACGTACCGCTGTTCGAAAAGGTACAGCTTGGTCTACGCCAGACTATGGAAGATTCTTGCTTACCAGCTAGTGTCTTCGAGATCTGAGACTCGGCAAAGCGACTGAAGTATGTGTTACCTGAGGCCTCATGACAGAGCTCAGACCTAAGCTGACGGGCAGATACCGGTATACTCTTTCGTACATCACCGTGAGGCATACCCCTCGCGTCGACTGCCGTCACTCATATGCTGATAGTCAGAGCGTATGCCAGAGAAGAAGCACCTGTACGGAGCAAGTGTCATCATCGTCGAGGGTATCATGGCGTTGCAATCCCCCGAGATGCGGGCGCTGTATGACCTGAAGGTCTTCGTCGTAAGTCTGTGGGTGATATCACCATGCGTGCGTGTCGCTAACGAGCAAGAACTGTGATTCAGATCTCATGCTTGCTCGACGGATCAAGCGGGATATCAAGGAAAGAGGGCGAGATGTCGATGGCGTGCTCGATCAATATCTCCGCTTTGTCAAGAACAGCTACGACAACTTTGTCCAGCCGTCGTCTCGGCATGCTGATATCGTGAGTTATGCTCGCGACCATTCTGAGCTGTACAAGCTGACAAACTTTAGATTGTACCTGGATCGTCCAATCACCTCGCTATCGAATTACTAGTCACCCACGTAAAGCGGCAGCTCGATTCCCGCTCATTGCGGTTCCGAAAACTTCTGGCGAATATGGAAGAACACGATGTCAACGGGAAAAGCGTGACGGGTCAGCGTACACCATCGGCAGACGATCACACTCTGATACTTCTGGAGCAAACCAACCAGCTCAGGGTGGGTCAATGCCTTATCTGGTTGCCGTCGGGCAAGCTGACACACTAGGGTATCATCACCATCCTTCGCGACCGAAACACGGAACGAGGCGACTTTATCTTTTACGCCGACCGTCTATCTACCCTCATCGTCGAAAAGGCTTTGACATTGATACCATACCAGCCTAAAACTGTCAATACCCCCTTGAACCTGAAATATGAAGGAGTAGAGGTGAAGGAAAAGGTAAGTCCTGTGTCTTACCTACGATGATACAGATGGCTGATCGCTCTAGAATCTTATCGGAGTATCGATCTTGCGGTCTGGCGGTCCATTCGTCCACGGTCTCCGTCGAGTCATCCGGGACGTTCCTGTTGGCGCCATGCTTATCCAATCTGATCCGAAAACTGGCGAACCGCTTCTTCTTCGCGTGGATTTACCGCAAAGCGTCAAGTCGGCGGAGACCAGCAAAGACGCCAGAGTCCTTCTCCTTGATAGTCAAATGGGTACCGGGGCTGCAGCAAGTGAGCCTCTAACCCACCAGAATCTCGGCAGAGCTGACAAGCAGTGATGGCCATCAAGGTCCTCCTCGACCACGGCGTCCCACAAGACAACATCATCTTCCTCACATTCCTCATCTCCCGTCGCGGCCGATATGCCGTACATCACGCCTTCCCCCAAGTCCGAATAATCACTGCAGCAATCGACGACGGTCTGCGGGAAATGCACCTCCCGCTCACGTCGGTCGTCATGGGCGAAGCGGCCGGCGATGCCGATTTCGCCGTGCGGCTCGTGGATGACACGGAGGATATTGAGGATGATGGACTGGCTGAGAACGGCAGGGAGGACTGGCGGGAGGGTGTGGAGGGATTGAAGACTGATGGGAAGGGAGCGGGTGACGGGTTCAAGATGCCTGAAAGGAGGACCGAGGAGTTGAGGTTCTCGAGGTCGAAGAAGGGCGAGGAGCGGAAGGAGAAGCGTGCTTGGGTGGTCACTCCTGGCTTTGGGCATATTGGGTACGTCAGACTTGTCTATGTTCAGTCTGAGAAAGCTGAACCCTGCAGCGATCGATACTACACATCCTGATGGTCTTACGGCATGCGTTTCAGAAGGTTTCAAATTATCTGTGGCCTCTTTCTTTGTCGAGACAGCCCAGTGCGAGGGGTTGTTAGCAGCTGTACCTAGAGATAGAGCATACTAGTGTTGCAGTAGTGTCATTCCCACCCCACCCATGTCGATTTTGTCTTCGTTCACATGGATTTCATTGTCGAGTACATCTCCTGTGCCAAGCCAGGCGCGTCACAGGTGAGATCTAGACGCGTTCAATTTTGGCTGTGCGTCCGACCTGCTATCTTGCTGCACAAGGGCCATTACATTCAGTCGATCCCAAAGGACCGCTGCCTTCGCTGGCCGACCGTAACCTCCTGTAAGGCGGTGCCTGTAGTGGGCCTCGCGGCCCGCGGACCATGCATCCAGGATTATCCAGGGCGAGTTCAGACAGGGTGGCCACGAAAGTCTCGTAATCCGCCAGCTCCTTCGCGTGCCCAAAATCTCCTTCGACAGTTGCGCCCGACGTTTGGCATCTCTCTCTATCCTCGGCGTCTTCGGAGCTTGGGCCTCCTGTCGATCATCTTCCCCCTCTGCTTGGCTCCCCTTTGGTCGTGATCGACCACCTTCTCATAGACTTTGCGCGTCGTCAAAGCCCCAAAATTGCGAGGAGGTAAGTCGCGTTTCAGGTTCAAAGAGGGCCTTTCCGCATGCGCATGGATTTGCCGCCCTGGCTCCACGGACCACATCCCTTGTCATGCGCTCCCTCGGCCGTATCTCATATCTCATACATGTAGGAGCTGCTGACGACTCTAGTGTAGCCCTAGTCCCGTTCCCCAATTGTCCCTCTCCCTCTTTCACCTTGACGACCAACTGGATACACACGCTCATTTACCCCGCGCCCTGTAACGCTATTCGACCTCGGCAGACTTCGGCAACGTTGAACGTTCATCGTTCGGAAGCACACATCGAACTTGGACCCTCCCTTTGTGCATGGTGCATCGACTGGGTCGATCACCACAACACTACACACTCTTTACATATCGCCACTCCTCTCAGACGGCGCCATGCCGGTCATGGTAGACCCCGATACGGGCCGCCTGCTCGTCCAGGCCGGTACCGCTTTGCCCCTCGCCACTGACGCTGTGCACTTGGCAGTGGGCAGTCCCTTGTCCACAATCAGCTCCAGCATGAACTCGACTACGATATCCGACACGATATCCGAGGACCAAGTTCAGCTCAGCCGTGAGTTATTGTTCGTGCTGGCATATATACGGCGCAAAGCTGACTTGGACAGGAGCCACCTCTGGCTTCTTCGTCCTCGCTCTCGGCGGTCTACTATTCGTCGTGATGATTCTCGCATACAATCGCTTCATGGCGCGCCTTCTCGCCTCGACGCAGAAGTTTGCTCCGTCACAAGCGCGAGCAAAGAAGTTGGGACTGAGCGGGCAGGGAAGGGTTCTGGGCGGAGGAGACCTGTTGAGCGGCTGGATATTGCGGAAAGGAACGCCGCCACCAGTGCACGCTCCTCAAGACCCCTTTGCCGACATTCCGCTCGGTGCCCCTACTCCAGCTGCGCCGGTCCTCTTCCCTCCGCCACACCTAGTCCCCCTCATTCACCACCTCCCCTTCGCGCAAACTTTCCAATACGCTCCCTTCAGCCGCTTCCCGATCTACCTACGGTCATCTATCACTGTCGCCCGTCTATACCCGGTGTTTTGCTACCTCGCGCTCGTCGGCGTCGCGCTCTGCTGGCACTCGGATCTCGGACCCGTCAGGTCGGCCGATGGGGTCGGGCGGGACTTTGCAAGGACAGGGAATATGGCGGCAGCGCAGATCCCGGTCGTGATCGCTTTGGGCGTCAAAGGCAACATGGTTGGACTGGCGATGGGTGTGGGGTATGAGAAGCTGCAAATACTGCACAAGCTGGCGGGAAGGTTGATCTTCATCTGCTCAACGATCCATGTTGGGTACTTCAGTGAGTCTTGACTCTTTATGGTGAGACCTGGGCTGATTGGCAGTGTATACTTGGTCAAAGGAGGGAACGCTCAGACAAGAGCTAGGGGAGACAGATATGCTGCTGGGATCATTGGGCTATTGGGCCCTAGTGTTGCTGGTAGCAAGCTCGGTCCCCGTCGTGAGACGCCTGGCGCATGGGCTCTTCAAGGTGAGTACTCAACAATCGCGATGCGACATGAAGCTGACCCGGCAGATCTGCCATATCGTCGGCATTATAGGTTTCTTAGCGGGCACAGCCATGCATGCTCCCCCTTGTTTGCCATATTGGTGAGTCGTGCTGCATTCCACATGGGGTAGTATCTGATCAACAGTATCGCCGCCATCATCATTTACGCTATCTCCATGATTCAGACCGCTACCAAGACACGGATAGCGCACGCCGAACTCCTTACTGTGCCCTCGTCCGGAATGACAGGCATCTTCATCCCCACCCTTCGCACCGGCTGGCGTCCGGGTCAACACGTCCGGATCCGCATCCCAGCTATCGGGATCAGGCAGGGCTGGGAGTCACATCCCTTTACCGTCTCGTCTGCTCCGGATGGAGAAGGCTTGGTCCTGCTTTGCAAGAAGCTAGGGGATTGGACCACCGCGCTATACGACCTGGCAGCTGGGGGTGTCCTCTCGCCCGATGGAGAGGGTCACCAGCGGGAAGTCTCGGTCATCATTGACGGTCCATACGGCGGTATCGGAAACACCATGCTCGCTTCCTTCTCCTCAGTCCTGCTCACCGCTGGCGGAGCCGGTATCTCGCACGCCCTCTCGGTCGCCCATGACCTCATGAAGAAGGCGCCATCGGGTTGTGTCCGAGCTAGGACGATCGATCTAGTATGGATCGTCCGAAGCGAGGAGACCGCACGAGGGGTCCTTCCCACCCTCCTTGACCTCGTCAATGACGCCAAGGCCCACGAGACCTTCTGCATAGAAGGTCAGCGGAAGGGCCGTATCGTCCCCCAGCCCACCGGTCTCCGCATCCACATCTTTGTCTCCCGCTGTCCGATCAGCTCTCCCCTCACCCTCCTCTCCAACCCCTTTGCGGATCCCTCAATCTCGCCCCAATACTCGGTGCCCATCTTCGACAATGCCGATCTCGCCAAAGATCCCAAATCGCGATCGCGGCCCGGCTTGGCCCGTCAACCTACGGAATCGGAGAAAATCATGCAGACCTACGTTCTCCGGTCTGCATCATCCGCATCTACCGCGACATGCTCCACCCTCGGCTCCATCGCATCCATCAGGCGCACTAGCCCGGTCTCGTGCATCAACGCCAATCCCGGTCGGCCAAATTGGGAAGTCCTGCTGGATGGTCTGGCGGAGGAGACGATAAGGAGAGCGATGAAGGCCAAGCACGAGGCGAGTGGGATCTGCGTGACGAGTTGCGGGCCGCATGGGCTGGTCGATGGCGTGAGGGACGCAGTAAGAGGGATGAAGGGGTGGAAGAGGAGACAGGTCGGAGGAGTGGAATTTGAGGAGGAGCACTTTGCTTTCTGAGGGAACTGCTTGATGCAGCTCCTACATACTATAGATCACCGTTGTACCCATATAATGTCTATATCATGCCAGTACCATCATGCCAGTACCATCATGCCGCTGTGTCCTGTCCCGCCTAGAGATATCTACCGCTCTTCCACCTCCTCTATTGGTTCTTCCTCCTCATCGGTCTCTGCATTGTACATATCCTCCTCGTTCATGGCCTCCTCCGCCTCTACACTGTCCGGAACAACGTCCCGCTTCTCTGCCTTCTCCAGCGCTGCTCGAGCCGCACGTCGCTTTTTGTTCGGCCGTGCTCGACCTTCCCCCTTCTTCGACTGTTTCGGTTGTACCGCGGGAGTGGTCGGCTCGAGCGATGGCTTGGGCCCGATGTAGATGTCTATCTTCATAGACGACTGTGTCGCATTAGCTGGAGCTCACTGTGCGACTACCGTCTGGAGGACTCAGGGAGGTGGACTCACTGTCAACCGGACCTTCCTGATGGGTGCAGCAGCCTCTACAGACCCTATACCCGCCAACCAAGACGGGATATCCGCACCCTCAGCTTCCTCATCCTCTACAGTCTCTACTGCTTCGGCAGTACTAGGGACCGATGCTCCGACCATGGAAACATCCTCCCCTTCTTTGCCCTCCGCAGCCTTCTTTGCCTTCTTCACACCCCGCTGGGGCAGCTTGGCGATGGGCCTCGCAGGATCTTCCGGCTCGATATGATCTACGCACTCCTCGGTACCAGTGTGGATCTCATACCACAGCCCTCGGGGGCCGCGAGGGTATGGCAGAGTGTCGAGGACCGCATGGAGGAGGAGGAGACAGTGGGGGATGGCGGCGCCCAGGGAGTGCAAAGTGAGGTGTGTATACCTAGATCATCAGCTAGGGGCTCCGAACCACATTCGTTTCATATACAGCGACCTGTTTGCACAGTCGATGCCGGGACTAACCCTTCATCAACGACCAAGCTCCGACATCTGCCCATCAAAGCCCCCAGCCCCGTCTTGCGCGTCACAAAGATGACCTCCTTCCCGAAACCCCGCTTCGTCGAGTCTGTCCGTCTTGCAGCAGCACCCTGAAGTACCTTGATGGGTAGATGTGGGTGTGTGGTCGTGGTGCCGCCGGGTCGAGAGGGATGAGCGGGGGCAGGAGGGAGTGGAGGTGGTCGGGTGATTTTGGGATGTCGAGGGTGATCTGGGTGTGCCGAGCGGGGTTTACGCGTTGGCTTGGGCTGGAGAGGGGCTACAGGGCGCTTGGGAAGGTGCGAGGGGCCTGCTATTGCCTGATTATTGGCGTCCATGGCGGGAAAGTGACCAAGAAGATGAAAGATGCAGGTGAAAGTGGATTTCGAAATATTTGGCAGGTTGACTTGACTGGACCGGTTGACGACTGACAATCTGGTCAGACCCCTCCTGTTTGCCTGTCTGGGCCTGCATGCTACTACAACTTGGACAGGTGAAAATGACTAGAGGTACGATGACTGCGAAGCAGATTACTCAGTCTGCATTGCCTCCGCTTGCGCTACAGCTGGGACAGCTGGGGGTTCCGCTCCTTCTTCGTCTTTCACTCCCTTCGCCTCGTTTCCCCAGATATACCTTCGCTCCGTGAGTATCACCTCCTTCTCCTCTATTACCGTCTTGTCCCCCACAAGCCCGTACTGGCGCTTCATCGTCTGCCGGAATGTCTCCGTGGTGATATGTACGGGCTCGACTTCTCCAGGAGTGCCATCTTGAGCAGGACGAGGTGCGAAGCTATGGACTTCCCCAGTCTCCACCGGGTAGGAGGTAGCGGGATCCCACGGTCTGTTTGGTCAGCACTGATAATTCACCCTCGTGGAAGGCTTACCTCGATCTAAATCCAGTCGTTCGAGCAGCCCGAGCCGTCGTCTTATCCTCCATCGTCCGCCTCTTCGTTGGCACTTTGACCTCCTTGACTTCCACCTGTACCTCCTTCTTCACAGGAACAGTACGTTCACCCTCCGGTACCTCCCTTTCGACTCGCCACTTTAGCTCCCTCGCCAGACCCGGCGCGTCCCGCACCACATCCCCCGGAATTCGCTCGTGTACCAACTTCTTCTTCTTGTCCTCCGCCTCGCCATCATCCAGGATGTCGATTTGACTTTGCAGGAAGTCGGCCAGGACGACTAGTCCCCGCAGAACGACAATATGCGGTGGGGAGAGAGGGTTTGCGGGAGGTTTCGCTCTGTATGCCCGGAGCTGGCGGAGATCCGCACAGTACCGCTCGGCGACGTACCATACCATCTTGTCGAGGAAGGGGAACCGGAAGCGCTGCGGGACCTTGGTGTCGATTTCGATCTGACGCAGGCGCAGCTGGGTGGGGATGCTGTAGGAGTGTAGGAAGTTGCCGCCAAATACGATAGTATTGACCGGTGTGTACTGCTTGTCAGCTTTGTCAGGGTGGAAGATGGAGCTTCTCACGACAGCGTGGATGTAGCCTGCAGGAATGATCATAGTATCCCCAGCCACCAGTGTGCACTTCTCAACACCGCCCTCGCACAGATCGCCGAGCCATTTCGTCTGCTGCATGTCGGCGTCGCCAGACCCTGAAGGTCAGCTCCCCCCAGACGCGCCACTCACACTGCGCATACATCTTCAGATTGTGTTCTGTCGGCTTGATGAAGTAGAACACCTTGGAGCCGGTGTGGATCGAATAATAGACCGAGCTGGCGGCAAAGTCGACATGCCAATCCTGTCATCAGCCCAGCCATGGCTATTACTCACAGTCCACGATCCCTTGATCCCCATAAGGCAGTAGAGCTGGACCTTTGGCCACTTTGCGCCCGCCTTTGCCTTGTCCTGCACCCATCCATCCCCATCTTGGGTAAGAAGTGATCCGTCCTTCTCCGGCCCACCCTCCTTTTGCGCAGCAGCGATCGCCTTCTTCCTCCCGCCTTCAAAGTGCCAGTAGTTGTCCACCCAGTCGATCTCTCGTACGATTCGAGGGGGCGTGACCTTCTTCGCCAGCGGTGTACCCGTGATCTCGAGGGAGATGATATTGTACACCTTGCCGTTCCAGTCGGCTTCCGAGGACGCCTTGAAGTATTCCGCCCATTTGCCGAGGTTCCACTGTGACGAAGTTTGAGATGCAACATCTGCTGTCAGCTCAGCGGCAGCTCATGACATACCAATGACATCGACGGTGTGATTCCGACCCAGCTGCTCCGCCACATCGCTGACGGTCAGATTTGCGTCTGGCAGCTTCCCTCCCATCCCCTCTATCCCGCCCTGCTCCGGCCGCACGATCATCGGCCGCCTATCTGGTCCATAGAAGGTCATAGGAGAGACTGCGCCAACTGCGTCCGACTCCAGCCAATCCTTGGACATTAACTCCCCCGAGACCTGAGGAAAGTCCCCAATTCGTATATCCGCCCCGTACTTCTCCGGCTCTTGGATGAGCTTGAGCCAATTTCCCGTTGGTGTAGGTATACCATGGTTCCACGCGTGGTAGTCCGGCGCATTCTCCGCCGCCTTCCGCTTCGGCCGGGCATTCTCATCGCCCGGCTGGCTCGAGGATAGCCGAGGCCGCTTGGATGGGGCCGGACTCTGGCTTGCGTGGGGAGAGCGACCCTTGGCCTTCTTCACCGAGGGAGCGCCAGGCTTGGGGGGACAGCCCGACTTGACGGTAGCCTTGAAGGGATGACGAGGTGGACGTGGGTTCTCCGGCGAGACCGAAAAGTCTAGGCAGGTCCGGCAATACCACTTGTCGATCCAGGCGGTCCAATTTGTCCATGCCCCCTGATGATCGCCCAGAGATGCCATGACCACATCCGGGATAGTGGATCGATGGGTCTCCGAGCCTTGGACCAGGCAGGTCGAGTGGTACCAGGTCTCGCATTTGGAGCACGCGATCCAGTAGAGCTCGTCGTTGTTGTCGTCGAGAGGAGCGCCGTCGCCGACGGGCTTGTTCCGAGTCGGTGGACCGCTGGCGGGGCATATTGGGCAGCGCTCTGCGTCTGTCTGTGTCTCGGCCATGATGGTGTTATTGTGGGTTGTGCAGGATGGATCGCAGGACCGATGTTGTTGTGGATTTCCGGCTTATCGGCTTCAGCCAAGATAATGGTGCCCCACACCGGCCCTTGGTAAATAATACCACGTCACCCACATTCGTAAAGTGGGGAGGGTGGGGGTGCTCTGAAGCGCGTACGTTCAGTCAATCGGAGATAGTACTGTACCTCGCAGGTTGCCCTGTATAGTGCATGTTCTACTTGGTATCGCATTGGTGGGGATATGCCAAGAACAGCCTGAACCCGCCTCAAATCGCCTCTATTCGCCACCCTCGAGGGTCCTATTGCGCCGGGCGTATGACCTGTTCCTCGGCGTCCAGGCTCGGTAGAGGCATGTATACGTCCTCTTGCGCAGCCTGACGACATAAGCTGTCAGCTCGTGCGAGCTTCCAGATGAGGAGAACTTACACCTTGTTTTGCCAGCTCTCGCTCGTCCGATTCCGCAATCTAGGCTCGCTCAGAGACAGCACAAGATGGAGCTGCTATTTGGTCTCTTTACTCACGATTGCCCACACACCGAAGCTGACGATGATCGCCATCCCTAGTACCTGGAGCATACCAGGTCCTTCACCAACGAGCAAGGATTGGACAAGGACTGTGAATGGGATCTGCGGGGATCAGCCATACAGTCGGGCTACCAAGCCTACCTGAGCATAAAGGGCGACCGAAACCGTCTCGCCTGTCTCCTTCTGCATGGCGGTCACCATATACATTTGAGCGAACAGCCCCGGCGCCTACGCATTCAGCTTGGACGTCACCGGCGATCCGGGCAGCAGACTCACGGCCAGAACAAGGAGGTCGATGTAGATTTTCCGCCCATCGACGGCTCCCCTGGTCTCGCCACCGAGAAATATGAACCTGCTCTTCAACAGCGCACATGTACAATGGTCGGCCCGACTCACCACGGGCTCACAAAGAGACAAGCAATAGAATAGGCAAGCGTCATGATGAGGGGATCGGGCCCGGATCCCAAAAATCGGATCAGCACCACTGACGTGTCAGTCGTGCGCGCTCATCTGAGGATGAAATCAGGACTTACTCTAGTCGAGGGTATCCACCAGTAGGCATGCCAGACAGAAGAGGAATCCTGCGGCTCTAGTAGCCGGCACCTCCGATACGCCTGCACCAAATATGAAAGGTGATTGCACTACCCGGATGACAGCGAGACTAGACGTCACTTCTCGTCAGCGCTGCACGGGCAATTGGGGGGTAAAGGGAGTACGCGCCCTGATGCCACTCGCATCCTCCAGCCAAACGTCTCCCTCAGAAGTATCCAGCAGAAGAAGCCGATTAGATATGCCCGGGGGCTATACACCGTGATGAATTCGGAGATAGCGATACGCTGCATGGAAGCAAAGGAGAAGCATAGGCCGATGCTGGTCAATATCGATCGCAGCCAAATCAGGCAGGCGGCGAGGGCTGGATTGCGGTCGATAATAGTAGCGGCTGAGTCGAGTGCATTCGAAGCTCCATCCTGAGCTGCGTGCTTTCGCGGGTCGAGCTGTTTGAAGTAGGAAGGTGGCCAATTAAGGTAGATGTACATTAGGTATACCGTGACCAACGGCACAGTAATAAGCTAGAGTCGTCAGCTTTGAGTGAGGCCTACAGCGGAGTTGTAAGCCATCTTACCATTCGACCGAAAGCCACCTGTCCCGGACTGACTCCATGTCGCATACACGTCTGAGCCTGGGCGTTCATGAGTGAGAAAATCAGACTCGCGAGCAACGCGAGAAGCGCCCCAGCGTACCGCTGGATTAGACTTGCCATGTCAGAGGTAGCAGGACGGAGGATAACGTGAGCGTAGTCGGACAGGATGCGAGAAGCACCGTCTGTCTGCATGATCCGATAAGGTCCGAGAGAGTCAGGGTGGTCCGGAGGATAGAAGACGACTTTGTGTGTGTGTAGGAAGAGCGAACCGGTACGCCGGGAGCGGTACTCCGACGCTTAAAATCCTGCGAGGGCTTTGTGTAAGTAAGAAGCCGCAAGGCGAACGATACTGACTGATGAATCCAATGGAAGTACTTCTAGTAGAGACGATGAGCAGATACGGCTGGCTTCTGTGCAAGCTGGAGATCAGAGGTCACCCAACACACAGAGAAAGGGGGACGAGCGAAGGGATTCCTGTTGAAACCGCGGGGCTAGTTCAGTATTCACGAACATGAACCCGTGTCGAACCTGCCCAGCCTGCCCGGCAGGGGACAGCTGAGATGATCACTGTGGTACACGAGTATATACAGTATAGACACCTTGAGAAAAGTTTTGACGATCAGACTTGACTTCATGAGTACTGCGCAGCAGACGGGAAGTAACGCGGAAAATGTAAGGTGCAAGAGGCGCCCTCAGGCTTATTTCGCCTCTCCTTCACCGTGAACGCCGATCGGTGCCTCGCTTTCCGTTGGCAGTAACGCGTAGCCCTCCTCCTCGCCAGTCTGCTCATATCAGCTAATGAGCGAATGATAGCTAAAAGTCCAAAGTATGATTCACCGCTTCCTTCGCTTGCTCGCGCTCGTTGGATTCGGCGACCTGCCAAGTCAGCTGAATCATCAGAAGATGAGACTCATGCGGGGTACTCACGGTTGCCCACACGCCGAAGCTGACAATGATCGCCATTCCAAAGATCTGGAGGACACCAGGTGCTTCGCCGATGAGGAAAGATTGGACGATCACTGCAAATGGTATCTGCGGGGGTCAGCGCCGCTCGGGCGGAGATGCGTACCTGAGCGTAGAGGACGACCGAGACGGTTCCGCCTGTCTCCTTCTGCATTGCTATGACAACGCACATTTGAGCGAGCAAGCCCAGTGCCTGTGATGTTAGCGTGCGCGCTAGCTGCGTACATGACTGGCACTTACGGCCAAAGCAAATAGCCTGAAACAAGTTTGCCATCCGTCGATATCTCCCATCTCCTCGCCAACGAGAAGCATGAAGCTGCTGTGTCAGCAGAGTGCAGAACGTGATCTCGAACGCCCAGCTCACCAGGGACTGACGAAGACACAAGCAACAGAGTAAGACAGAGTTATAACGAGGGGATCAGGTCCGGCACCCAGATACCGCAGCAAGACCACTGATGTGTAAGCTACTTCTGACTACGCGAGAGAGTCTGACCTACTCTCCAAAGTGTCCACAAGTAAGCAAGCTAAGCAGAAGAAGAACCCTGCAGCTCTGCTAGCGGGATTCCCATATACGCTGGCGCCAAAGAGCAACGGCGGTTGGACGACGAGTACTACAGCGATGCTAGACGCGACTACTCTTCAGCACAGGTATATCAGCGTTGAGGAAGGCACGTACCTGCTGCAAGCCGCAATCTCCAGCCAAATGCCTCCTTCAATACCGCCCAACACAAGAAGCCGATAAGGTAGGCACGGGGACTGTACACCGTGATGAACTCGGAGATAGCGATACGCTGCATCGAAGCAAAGGCGAGGCATACGCCAATGCTGGTCAGTATCGACCGTAGCCAAATGAGGCGGGCGGCGAGGGCTGGTTTGCGGAGGAAGAGGGTGTCATCCGAGTCCAAAGAGCTTATATCATCCTGCCTTGTGTGCTTTCGGGGGTCGAGCTGGTGAAAGCAGGAGGGCTGTCGAAGGTAGATGTACAGGGTGACAAGCGGCGCTGTGATCGACTGGGATCATCAGCATGATATTCGAAGGAGCGAATATGGCAGCTTACCATTCTACCGAAAGCCACCTGGCCCGGACTTAGCCCATGTCGCATACAGTTCTGAGCCAAAGCGTCCATAAGTGTGAAAGCAAAAGCGGCGATCAGAGCGAGCAGCGCGCCGGTGTAGCGCTGTATCAGGGTCGACATGTCAGCGTTCACAAGGTATGCTCAGCCGAGTAAAATGCAAGAAGCATGGCTGTGAGTGAACGCAAGATCCGATATCACCGGAAAGGGTCAGGGCGGGTGGGAATGAGGAGGACGTCTGTGTGTCCTACTGCAATCGAAGGCGATTCCACATCCCTTTGGCTTGCTGAACCTCTGCGAGCATGTTGCGAAATCGAACAGTCGGATTGGGGGCGACAGAAAGGTGCAGGGATGAAGGGCAAACCCGTACAAGCTGGAAGTCGGAGGATGAGAAAGGTTGGAGGAATGTAGCTACTGCAGAGCGACGGATTTCCACCGGAGCAGATTCCAAGATGCCGTATTGGCCTTGCACGCTTGCACGCCAGAGGGATCCTGGACCGGTCTATGCAGTCCGCGAGAATCCACATACTGGAAACCCTCTTGGCCATCAGATCTGACCTCGGTGATACAGCGCATGGGACGTAAAGTAACGCTGAAGCAAGTAGAAGTCCCCAGCCCTATTTCGCCACTCTTGATCCACTGCAAGTGACGATCGCATCCTCGCTTCCCGGTGGCAGTAGTGCATAGCCCCCCTCCTCCTCGGCGGACTGTCCGTTTCAGCTCCTGAGCGCATAGCAGCAGAACTCCAGATGATGCTTACCGCTTCTTTCGCTTGCTCGCGCTCGTTGGATTCGGCGACCTGCCCAGTCAGCTCAGGTGACAGGCGTTAGTCGCTGAGGGGTACTCACGATTGCCCATACGCCGAAACCGACGATAGTAGCCATTCCTAAAATCTGCAGGATCCCAGGTGGTTCGCCGATGAAGATGGATTGGATGAGGACTGCAAGTGGTACCTTGTATCAGCAGCAGCCGATAACCGCCACATACCTGGGCGTACATGGCCACAGATACTGTCGCTCCGGTTCCTTGCTGTGTTGCCAGTACCACGCTCATTTGGCCAATCAGACCTAGAACCTGTGTGATCAGACTTGACCCCGTAAGTGATATACTGACCGGCACGTACAGCCAGAATGACGATGTCGAGGCATATTTGCCAATCAAGGATACTTCCTAGCTGCTCGCCAGTCGAAAGAATGAAGCTAAGTCATGAGCATGCGCTTATCCTCCTGAGCAAAGAACTTACCAAGGGCTGACGAGGAGGCAAGTGATCAAGTACGCCAGCGTCATGATGAGAGGGTCCGGCCCTGGTCCCAGATATCGTAGTACCACCACTGGATGATCAGCTGTTGACCTAATCCAACTCCGATTGCCACACTGACCCTCCACGGTAGTCACCCCAAGAAAGGCGAGACTGAAAAGAAAGCCAGTAGTCCGGCTAGCTTGATCCTCGGATACGCCGTTGCCGAAAATGAAAGGCGGCTGGACGACGAGAATGACAGCAAAGCCGCACGTGACTATGGCCGTCAGTCCGACTCGGCTCACTCATGAAATACTTACCTGCCGCTACCCGAAGCCTCCACCCGAATACCTCCTTGAGAAATATCCAGCATAGTATGCCGATCAAGTAAGCCCTTGAGCTGAAAACAGTGATCAACTCGGTGATGGCGATTCGGTCCATTGAGGCAAAGGCGAGGCAGAGGCCGACGCTGGTGAGTACGGACCGGACCCATATCAGACGAGCAGCGAGGGCTGGTCTGCGTTGCAGAAGGGTACCGTCATTCGATTCGTCATCCGATGTCACGCGAGTCCGGGGATCCAGCTGAGCGAAGGTTGAAGGCTGACGCATGTGAACGTGGAGGGTCAACAGGGGTACGGTGCCCAACTGCATATTTAGCGGTGGAGACTGGATAGAATACACGTACCGCTCGGCAGAAAATGACTTGTCCAGGGCTCAATCCGCGTCGCATACAGTTCTGAGCAACAGCGTCCATGATCGTGAACGTAAGACTCGCCATTAGCGCCAGCAGCGCTCCAGAGTATCGCTGAATAAGGCTCGACATGAGAGGTACTCGTAAGGCCGACGATGAACGGTGAGCAGGTCAGTGATATATGGATGAAAGAAGTTAGAGATGGCGTGACTAGCGTGGAATGGGAGATCCGATACCACCGGAGCGAGGGCGGGTGTGTGCGAGAAGGACGCCTATATGACGTACGCGGACGCGGCACGGGCGCTCTGTTCACCGGACTCGCAGACGCGTACAGGCCGGTTGGTCGTCATGACAGAGATGACTGAAAGGAGAGCATCAAAGGATCGTATCGATTTGGGCAACCGTATAAGGCGATCATCCGAGCGCGGGGAGTAGTGCTTTTTGTCTGCTTCCCCAGACTTGATCTTTATATATTCCTGCAAAAAGCTCAATTTTTATGGAACACAAATTCATGGCTCTTTGACCGAGTGGTTAAGGTGAATCCTTGCTATAAGCAGAAGAGGATTTCTCGAAAGAGGCGTGAGTTCGAATCTCACAGGAGTCGTTCTATTCAATTCTCTTTTGCCGGCCGGGTCGTGGGAGCAGGCCTTTTGGTCCCTTTGATCGCATTTTGGTTCATGTGCTCTGTCGGGACGGAGGACAACTCACAACATGTGCAGTACAACATCTGACTAGCTGTGATCCCCTGTAAAGCCAACAGGTCGAGCGCAAACTTGTTCCCTTGAGCGGTGGGATGGCCCGGTGAGCTGATAGCATCGGTGGATCGAGTGATACGGGCTGTTCGATAGGCTGCATACATGCAGCGGCTAGATGTACTATATCCATAATCCCCCTCTACCCTCGGTTACGGATCATCTGCACAGTCTGCACCTTCTCCCGTACCTATAGAGATCAGCTTTGTCCCCAAGAGGTCCTCTGGTCTACTATATCCCCATCGACATGTCCCCGCTCGTGTGACCTCCCCAAAAGATGTAGACTCTGTGACTCACCATCTCCTGGAACCTCCTCCTATGTCTCTCCGTTCCTAACCTCCTCTTCCTCTCACTCGGCTTTTCGTAAAACTCCGACCTCCTCACATACTTCTTCACGCCCGTCCTCGCCAACAACCCGCTCAACCGCCTTATCGGAAGCATCACATCGTTCGAGTACACCTTGATCGAGCGACCAGAGTACTGATTCCCCACATGCGCCTCTTTGGGCCCCGAGACCGACTGGGCAGCCCACCAGCCGTCATTGCTGAGGTCCTCGGCGGTGTCGGTAGGGGATCGAGGGCGGGCGATGCGTGCTGCTGCTCCCCGGGGAAGACGGATGGGTGAGGGGAGAGGATTGGGCTTGGAGGACTCCATGGTGTATGGGCTTGGAGGGTAGATGGAGGTGGGGGATGCATGGGTGGGGGTCGAGGGAACGGAGGGGGTGGAGGGGGTTTCTTGGAATGTGGGGAGTGAGGGGGCGGTGAACGCGCGGGCGAAGAGGGCGGTAGGTCGGGATGGACCGGCGCGGACGATGGTGCGGAAGAAGCTCGCCATGGTGCGTGGGTCTAGAGGTGATCTGGTAGGAAGAAGGATGGTGAAAGTATGGGTGAAAGAGAGTTGGACCTTGCATCTGCGGCGAGATTTCGCTTGACGGCCGGAAGCAAATTTCATGCTCCTTCAAGTCCCAGCCAAAAGATCATATGATCATCTCGAGAGCGGTCGTTACTGGAGAGGCTAGTGCACCTCGTAGGCCAGGCTCTACGGGCCGATAGCGACTCAATGCGCAATTTCAATGGCGGTCCCCGCATAGATCTAGCCAAATAGCAGGTCTACTCGCCCCTCATCTCCGCCCGCCTGACCACCTCCAACACCTCCTCCCTCTCCTTCCTCTCCGCCTCCTCCAACTTCCGCACCGCCTCCAGCGCTTCCGCTTCACCATCGCTCTCCACTCCCCCCTCTTCATCCTCGTCATCCATCGGACCTCCCCCTGCTCCATACCCCACTCCCCTTGCCGATCCCGATCCGATCCCGCTGCCAGACGCATTTGCCTCTTCCATCGAAAGCATCATCGCGTACTGCACAGCGTCGTCCGGGTCCTCCAGCCCCATATTCTCCAACATATTATTCTGCCTCGTCTGGAGCCGGTTCGGCGTGGGCGTGACATCATGCCGGAGGGCCAGGTGATCCTCTTCGGCATCTTGGTGTGCAGAGCGCATATCTTCGAATCAGCTCAGCCCTATTATCAACAAAAGAGGACATACCGACTGCTCTCCCACCTCCACCAGTCGTCCCCCCACCCCTTCCTCTCCCTTTACTCCCTGCCTCTCTCTTCTTTCCCGATCCGGCGCGCCAGTAGAAGACCTTCCGGCCGATACTAGCCACGACGAGGTCGTGCTCCAGGATGATCTGGTTCGGGGTATAATACAGCGCTTCGAATTGCGTCGAGCCGGCTATAGCGCGGTCGGCGACAGAGAGGTGGTTGGCGTGGAATGAGCGAAGAGGGGTGGGGTCGGGAGATAGGGGATCGTAGATGTTGATGTAGCCTGCGCAGCTGAAGTATCAGCTTCGTTCGAGCTAGCGCAGCTGGAATAAACGTACCTGCCTATAGCTACCAAAGAGGAGCTAGCATCGATAGCGGTGATCTTGTGATTCGCAGCCTCCCAAGACCGGATCGGCCGGATGGTCTCCAGGTCGCCAACAGTGTCCCAGCCGAAGATGGAAACGATACCGTTCTCGTCTCCGGTGATGACGTACCGGCCGAATTGGTGCTTATTGAGGTCTATGGGGGGCGGCGTAGCAGTAGGGGAGAGCAGCGGTATATCGTCAGTACCGACAGTGTTGGGCGGGGACGGGGTTGCGATCGGCGCAGAAGGATGCAGGGCGACATGCAGGGCGGTGATGGCTGCCCCACTAGCAAAGTCCGTCCGCTTGACCGTACCGTCGATGCAGACGTCCCAGCGAGATACGACGTCTGAGAGGTGATGGTGCACCAGCAGCGCCGCGTTCCGCTGATCAAGCATGTCCAGCTCCAAGCGCTTGACGGGACCATCTTCCGAGGAGCCGACATCCACCCTGACCTCGGTCATTGCCTCCTCCACCCCAAACCAGACCCGCAAATCCCCATCCTCCGTGACCCCGCACACCGTCCCCGTAGCGGCGTGACACCGAGCGAGCACGACCGGGTCAGGCCGCTGCGTCGTCCGCAGCTTAGTAGCGTCCGAGCGATTCTCGAGGGGTCCGATAGGCGGGCGGGAAGTAAAGACACACTCCATGCTTCCCGCCGTCTCCCCGCTCACCGCCTTCTTTCCCGGTCCAGTCCTTGGCTGAGCAGCCGTCACACGCCAAAACTTGACGCGCCCGTCTTCCCCACTCGTGACCCAATGCGCATCCTCCCCTTCTTCCGCCCACACACATCGGATCTCGCCCTCGTGCGCATCGTCCACCGCCGAAAAGACGTTGGTCGAGCTCGCCCGCCCGCCTTGAGACGCATGGGACTTCATGCCCATCGTCGTATGGACGACCGTGCCCGTCAACAGGCCCCATAAGACCGCCGTCTGACGCCGAGCAGGTAGATGGACCGCGGTCGGAGGTGACAATTGGTCGAGATGGGGCCGGAGGTGGAAGTTGGCATCCCGGCCTGGGCCCCAGTATCCCTTGGTGACCTTTCCGTTGAGCGGGTCACTCCGTACTACTCCGCCAGCAGCTAGACCAGCAGAGAGCACATAGGGCGCCGGTCGGGTCGTAGCCGCGAGTAGCGCTTCGTACTTCTGCCGATGGGTCAATTTGGGCGTTCCTGGTGAGTCGTCCGAGGGTGTGGGCGCTGGACTAGACTTGGTTGGAGTCTGGTTCTTCCCGACGACCAACTTGGACGTGGAAGGTACATGCGGGGGGTACGAGAGCGACAGGGCATGTATAAGACCGACGGGTGGATGGTGCATGCACGAATTCGCTTTCGAGGCGGTCCAGCGACTACAGTCAGCACAAGGCTCAGGACCAGACTTACTCCAACATCATCTCCCTTGCCAAAGATTCTTTGCGCCATCCACGGCCTTCATCTCCACTTGGTTGGACCAGCACCTGGACCTCTCCAGGATTGGCGGATCCGAGGAACCGATGGACGTAGCTCCTGCGCCATATCGACTCGTCCTCCAGGTCGCCCCTGAGCGCCTTGCAGGTCTGGGACAAGATTGACAGGGATCTAGGCGGAAGTCTCGCCAGAAGTTCCTGCAGCAGATCGACTGGGAGCTTCAAGAGGTGGCTGCTTCTTCAGCTCGGTTCCCCACGGCCTGCGGATGGACCTACCATTCTCCCTCGGCGATTTCCCTCGACCGGACCTTCTTCTTCCCTAATTTCTTTCCACCGCCACCACCGACAGCTGAGAGCCGAGGTGAGCGCTTCCCTGCCCGCTCATTCCCGCGGGAAGAGGGCAGCGAGATGTCGAGGTCGAGGAAATCATCTTGTAGCTGATCAATCGTTTCTTGGGCGGTAAGATAGGGGCTTGTTTTGGTAATGTGAGGACTGAGAGTTGGCGAGAGTGGCATGTACGTTTTTTGTGGGGTAATTGTACGAGCTAGGGGGCTGTTTGGCCAGGATGTATGTGAGCTAGATGGGTTGTAGATGTAGATGGGTAGATGGTGAAGGCAAAGCATACGTTTGGTGCACGTTTGCTGTGGTCGAGCCGTGCCCAGCTGAGTTATGTCTTCCCCCCACTTTAAGGTCATACTGTACCTCGGCCATCTGGTGCAGCGCTGAAATCGCTCGTCTGACCATCTATATCTATATCTTCGCCCTGAGCAGACCAACAGTACAGCAAAAGACTATACGGACACGGGATAGCAGTGCTTTTACCGATCGGGCTCTCTGGAGAAAAGATCCAACGCTCTTAGCTGGACTGGCCATCTTCCAAAGCGAATTCTGGGCTCATTTCCGCATCATTCCTCGGGCATACTCCAGGCTCGGCGGATGATGTGCTATGGTACAAGTATACCGCAAGACGCATGAGTAGTGAGTCTATCCACCTTCCTGTCGGTCTTGATGTGCGCGCAAGCTTACACGCAGCTCCGACCCACCAGCGACCTCCATCCTAGCCTTCTTCCTTCGCTACCCAAACCCCTTCGCGCGGCACGTCCTTTCGGTCGACGTACTGTCGCGCTACGTCCACCCCGAGACCGGGCGGCTGCATACACAGCGGCTCATTCTGAAGCGGGGCATATTGCCGAAATGGGCTACGAGCTGGTTGCCGATCTCTGGTGCCGCCGGGGGTCTGGACGCCTGGGTGCTGGAAGATAGCGTGGTGGATCCGCCAGGATGGGACGGACGGGATGGGGAACCCAAGCTTGAGTCCCACCAGGGAAATCTGAATCACAAAAAGTTCATGCACGTCATGGAAGGAGGGCAATTGGAAGCTGGTCCAAGAGGGTGAGTCGTGTGACCGAACGCATTCCGAGCCCTGGCTGATAGGCAGGAACACCATACATCGCACCACCGCCGAGGTCCGCTCGGAGCTCGGAGGCCGCTGGTCATCTATGCTTCGGACCAAGATCGAATCGTACGGAGTCGGCAAATTCGAGGTCAACTCGGAGACTGCTCGGAAAGGCATGTCGCTCGTCCTCTCCCTCCTGAGAGATAGGCAGCCACTACCAGATACGATGGAGTTCTATCCGCCTCCACCACCTGGCTTCGGAGAAAGCTGGGAGAGACCAGCGGAGGGTCAAGGGGAAGTAGGCGCGGTTACGGGGAGCAGGAGAGCGTCAAGTTTCTTCTTGTCTCCGGGGAGCTTGGCGTGGTTGAGGAGAGGGAGACCAAAAGAGGGCGAGGGAGAAGGCAGTCCGGTATCATAGTGTATAGTAGCTAGCAGATCACATCTCAGTATGTATGTAAGCATATAGAGCATCGCCATACTCGCCTAGCGCTGGCCTGGACAGGAGCGAGACGATCGGCGGTCTCAGATATCCAGATTCCAGAAATTTCAGGTCCACTTGTCCACTTGTCATCTCCTGCATCTCTTCCATCTCACTCGTGCACAATGGTCCGCCCCACCTCCCGCCTACTAAAGACCCTCCATCCACCTCCTCTCTCACATGCACCCTCTCCTTCGCCCCTCCTCTACTCCCTCGGCCTCTCTTACGCCTCCAAATCCTCTCCGCCGTTCGTCCCGCCCAAATCTGCCTATCCAACCTCAGGCTTCGCACGTCAGCCCTCAGCACTCGGGAGATGGGTAGATGAGATGCTGCGCCTGCGAGCGGGAAGAGGGGAGCTAGTCGGGGGCGTAGAAGGCGGATGGACGGAGGAGATGCAGGAGGAAGTGGGAAGGTGGGGGGCCGGAGAGGATTTCTTTGGGCTGGTAGACGGGGGAGGGTATGTGCGTATATCCAACCATCTCATCTCCTCGTCTCCTCATCACGAAGAGCATAGAAGGACCCATAGGGCACGGCATTCCCAGCAGTCTACTGAGATGACACTAAGAGTCTCCGTCGAGCGTTCGCTGACTTTCAGACCCATCTCTGCCTCTCGGACGGCGTAGGCGGCTGGGCCCCTCAAGCCGATCCAGCCCTCTTCGCCCAGTCTTTAATGTATCACTATGCTCGCTCGGCCATACATAGCCCAAGTACAGCACCATGGGACCTGCTCAAGAAGGGGTTCGAGGGCGTATTGGCGGATGAGAATGTGGCGATGGGGAGCGGGACGGGCGTTGGGGTCGGTCTCGGTGAGACGGGGGAGCTGAGGGGTGTGAAGTGAGCAGCTCTTGCGCAATTGTCAATGGTATCTTACGTGGTCTAAGCTGATCATCACTAGTCTAGGTGACTCGGGAGTGACTATCCTGAGAAGAGATGAGGAGGTGTATACTACGCCTGTTCAGACACATTACTTCAACTGCCCAGTATGTCCAACCTTTGCTCTGCCTATGCCCCGACCCTCCTCTACGTGGCGTAGCTGACCCTGCAGCTGCAACTCACTAAAGCGCCCCTCGGTCAGTCAGACGGTCTCGCGCAAGATAGACCAGAAGATGGCTTCCGATTCCGGTATGACCTCGAACCAGGAGACGTCGTGATCATCTACGTACGCCTTTCAACCACACCCTCCCCATCATAACTTAGGCTGACGTCTAGACTGATGGCCTCTCCGACAATCTACCCGCACCACACCTCTCCGCCCTCTCATCCCGCATCTCCGCCCTCCTCGCGCACCCTAGCAACACCCACCTCTCCCCTTCCGACCGCGCGGCCGAGAGGGCCCGACTCCTCGCTGATGCGCTGGTAGGGTATGGCCGGATGGCGATGCAGCGTACGGGCGAGGAGATGGTCGTGGGTAAAGATGGGAAGAAGGAGAGGGGATGGAGGACGCCGTTTGAGGTGGAGGCGGAGAAGGAGGGATTGAGGTTTCTGGGTGGGAAGGTTGATGAGTGAGTGTTCAAGCTCGGAGCTGTGTGAGGGTCTGGGGCTAATGATGTAGCATAACGGTCATGACGGCGGTAGTATCTGAGCGGATATGATCCCCGTTTAGTCCGACAGATCCCGATCTGCGAGGCGACAGAAGATTATACTAGACAACTTACCTGATTGACCACCTGACATCTGAGCTCGCCCTTCGAGCAGATGATGGCAGCGCAATGCGGAAGGGATGATCTTGCGGACAGAACGAGGCGGCCTAGCGAAGAGAGCTTCTACCGCTGTGCCCTCCTATTTTGCGTTCACCACAATTCTTGTCAAGGCGATCCTCGTCTGCTTCTAGTACCCATAACCCAATGCCCCGGGCTGTGCCTTAGGGACCTTTAGTCACCCCCGTCCGCCACATTCGACTCTCACGTACGCTGCCTACTGCTCCGCGCGGCGCTCCGTGGAATGCCATGGAGCTTCCCTTGTCTGATATGACCCGAGGATCTGGGGTTCTCCTTTGACCCGAATCTCGCCAGAGTGGGCCACGCGCAATCTGCTGATACATCTCGATATAGCTCGGACAGGCTAGATTGCGGTCTTACAAAGGAGAGTCTGGTCTGGCCTGTTTGGCCGAGGCCAAAAGGAGGTGGAAACCTCCCCTCGAATCTTGACATTGCTCATCATCCTCCGCACAGACATTACATCAGTCTTTTGACCCTCCATACACATCACTCGCATACATCATCAGAATGGCTCACACGAAAGACACGCAGGAGAGTCTTGTGGAGACTACACGGCAGTTGACTGGACTCTGGCCTTGTGGTACTGTGACGCGCATGGACAAGGTGCCCCTCGAAACGACGAAGAAGGAGGCAACGGAGGTCGGCAATAAGGTGATGTGGGCGCACCTCTGCGTAAGTCCGCCAGAGCAGGTCGTAGTATCGCTTCATGGCTTCGCGGCTCGAAGCGGCGTCCTCCTCGTTAGACTATTGCTGATGGTCCTATAGACGAACGCAGAGGACGGCTGCGGTGTCCTGACCGAGACAGTCTTGCACCTGGCGGGCAGGCCGCCTAAGGATTGGCACACCCCGTCGAACTTGTAGAATTGGCCGATCAATACGGTCGAGGAGACGAGTTGATGATTGCCCGCTGACGCCATGTGGCTGGCCATGCCTAATGCCAAGTCCGAGACGAACTGTTATCATGCATGACTTCTAAGCTGCGAAGTATCTGCTTATTTCGGGTACGCGATGAGTCGAGCGCGCATTGGTCGGCTTGAGTGCTGGAAATCTGAGTTTTTCGTTGCTCGGAGCTGGGTGGCGAATCCACATTCCTCAAAACGAACGGGTGGCGAGTGGCACCATTAACGGCGTTATTAACGATCAACGGCCGGTGACGGCCAACAGATCCTGGCCTGTATAAGTAGGAGCAGTTCCAGTCAGATACATCCTCACACTAGTTACTGCATTGTACACCTATCTTCCCAAGTCTAATACACCGTCCGATATGACCCAGGGTTCTGATGATATCCTTCCACACCGATCTCGCCAGAATATGCTACGCAGGCTCAGGGTACATTGACGACACGTTCGAGTACGATAAGCGTTTTGATTGAGCCCAACTGATCGAGATCACGTTGATGCAAGGTACCAAGCGACACACGGGAAGAGTCATAGAGTTGAAAGGGAGGATTCTTTCTCGATAGGGGATGCATACTTTATCGCTTGACGTACGCTGCTCGAGCTGTTTGCCAGATATTCGCCGACCTGTACGAGCGGCACGTCCACTTCCCCCGTGAATTCCACGTCCAGCTTCTGCCCTCATCACGCCGGCCTAGATCCGACCTTGGTGCAGTATGATCGTCTTAATCGAAGCCGACTTGAACGCATCGGACGCAGCTGCAAAGTTGATATCTCCATTCCCATTCTTGAAGTCCCAGATCTGCAATATCAGCTCTGACCCTGTCCGACACCAATCGCCCTTGGGATCCAGTGATGCGGAAGGGAAGGAGAGAGCTTACCCGCTTGTACAAGATCCCTCCTGCTGCAGCTTGCAAAACCCATCCTACACTAGCCAGCGCACCGAAGATACCCGTTACGATCGATCCGCGCGCAAAGGAGGCGATGGTGTTGATGAGCCCGGCCGAGCCCGTGGCTATATCATGTCAGCACGGCGCCTCAGTCCAAGGGGGGAGCAAGCGTACATGGGATACCGACGGCCATGTAGATTGAGAATAATAGGTGGAAACCGGCAAATAAGAAGTAGATATCTGATGCGTCAGCTAGCCGCGCGACGCAGGATATCCGTTCGCTCTCGGCAGCTGACTCAATACTCACAGAAGAAGAACGCCATAGCTTTACCCTCCGTCCGCGATAGACCCAGATATATAGGTCTGTACCACGTGACGAACGATAGTACGCCAATGACAGGGACGTACATCACGCTCGCGCCCATATCGGCTCTGCATTGTCAGCTTGCCTGTCTCGGAACAAAAAGCACTCCAGACACAGCTTACCCTCCTTCTGCTGCGCCTGATATGAGGAGCAAGATACATCCGACGAGATTCAGGATGAGTGTTACGGCGAGGGCGAGCCATTGGGTGTAGAGGAATTTCCCGACGGTCTTGTGTTCCGAGGGGAGGAGGGTGAGGTCGTGGTGTATGAACGGGAAGACTGCCGGTCAGTAGAAGGTCAGAAGGTAGGACCGAGGCCGAGATCAAGGAGGGGCGGACAGCAACAGCCTCCTTTCTTCCCCTCTCATGCCCACCGCACCACTGTACTTGCCCCAGACCTTGCTGAATTGAGACTCACAAGGCGGCCAATTGTTCTCCTTAGCACCCACAGCCGCCTCTCTCTGCCTCAACGTATCCTCCCGTTCCCTCAGCTCCCTCTCCCTCCTCTCCAGCTCAATCTCCTTCTGACTTCTCCCGCCCGTCCCGCTCTCCGCCTGCGACGCGCCCGTACTAAACCCGTATCCGCCATACGCGTTCCCCGCACCTCCCGCCGGCTTTGATCCGCCAGGCGCGCGCTCTGTATCTGCCGATTCGAGGGAGAAGGCCGAGTCGTTGGCGTGTTGGAAGGGGTTGGCGGATGCGCCGGAGCGGGAGGGGTCGGAGAAGGGGTTGGAATCGAGCGGTTGGGGCGGGTCGAACGGGTTTTGGTGTGACATTTTTGCTGGAGAGATCGATCTCTTTGGGTACGCGCGTGTCAGTACGGGTAGTAGATCTGTTCAGAGCTGCTGATATGCGTGGAAGACGAAAAGAAGCAGCAGCTTGACCTGCCTGACCGGATGCGGCGGCTGCTGCTGTGCATTCCCCAACGCACGGACAAGCGATCACAGATGATCCCCCCCTATTAGCCTCTTTGGGCGACACGTCATGGATGAAACGCCTAGATCTGTTTCGGAATTCGGACCTTGGTCACCTCGGCCAAAATTCAAAACGGAGGTATGAGGAGCTCGCAGCTTTGTACCTTGTCCCATTCACCTCATCCGACATACATAACCCGACAGCCTAAAAACAATGGCATCCTCAGCTCGTCAGACGATTTCGCAGGCCCTTCGAGGCTCAGGCAGCAAGCTGCGCCAGTCCAGCACCAGCACGCTAGCTGTCCCCGAAACGGGTGTCAAGAGGCCTTCGTATCGATACAAATACCTTTCCGAACCACATACCGCTGCAGTAAGCTCGAGGTCACCGTGGCGCCACATCATAGGGAAGGCATCAAGCTGACGAGGTCTACAGATCATCCCATGTCCATTCAAGTAAGCTTCCTCCCGGCTCATTCGCTACATCTCTCGGCGTCATCCCACCATCCTTTGCGCTTCTCGCTGACTAGCAGTGGCGGTCAAGGCCGCAAAGGCGTCGAGCTCGGTCCTAATCGTCTCATCCAAGCTGGACTCCCTTCCCAGCTCACTTCCCTCGGCTGGAGCGTCTCATACGACCCTTCCGAAGACCCCCGTGAGGCAGTCGCCCCGCCGCTACCCGAGGGAGATGCGCCCATCGGAAGGATGAAGAACCCGAGGCTGGTCAGTGAGGTGAACAGGAAGCTGATGGGACGGGTGGGGGATGCGGTGGGGAAGGGGTGGCTGCCTGTCACGTTGGGAGGGGATCATAGTCTGGTCAGTTATTCCGTTTGGAGTGACGTACTGCTCTGGACGAAGCTGACTGTGCAGGGTATGGGAACAGTAGCGGGTACCAAGTCGGTCCACCCCGATGCTGCGCTGATATGGGTGAGCTTACTTGACTGCGACGCCTCCAATTGTTGCAAGTCGTACAAGCTGATCGTACAGGTGGACGCACACGCCGACATCAATACCCCCGAAACCACTCCCTCTGGAAATCTACACGGCCTGCCCGTCTCCTTCCTCCTCGGTCTGTCAGGGACGGACGTCGCGCCCTTCAACTCATGGATGAAGCCTTGTCTCAGACCGACCGATATGTACGCCTCATACAATCCGCTCTCACGCGTTTCCGTCAAAGCACAAGCTGATCGCTCTTAGCGTGTACATTGGTCTCCGCGACGTCGACGAGGGCGAGAAACGCCTGCTCCGCGAGAACGGCATCCGCTGCTTTACGATGCACGAGGTCGACAAGTACGGAATCGGCAGGGTGATGGAGATGGCGCTAGACCATGTGATGGGTGGGAGGGAGATGCCACTGCATCTGAGCTTTGATGTGGATGCGCTGGACCCGACTGTTGCGCCCAGTAAGCTTCTCTTCGCGTGTTATTCTTTGATGATAGTGTCAGGAGCTGATGACATAGGTACTGGTACACCTGTCAGAGGCGGTCTGACGTTCCGAGAGGGACACTACATCACCGAGGCGGTAGCAGAGACAGGCTGCTTGGTGGCTTTGGACATTATGGTGAGCTAGCAGGCGCCGAATCTCGATTGCCGAGCACCAGCTCACATAGCGTCAGGAGGTCAACCCATCCTTGAAGGACTCGATGTCAGCGGACGAGACGGTAGCGGTAGGGTGCAGTCTTGCGCGCGCGGCTTTGGGTGAGACCTTGCTGTAAGCCGTGGGGACGTGTCTGCCCTTAGCGTGACAGGCCCGGGGTAGCCCTACTGCAGAAGGGGATAGAGCTCTCTGATATGCATGGACCACACACTGCGTTATACCTAGGCATGCCCACCGTAGGGGGTTTCTAGAGTTCTAGATTTTAGTGTTCTCTACTGTACAGTTCTACAAATCTCGGAGTGAACAGTCGGTCTTATGCGGCGTTATAGATTTCGGTGCCGGCAATTTCGCCGAGCCTTGCACCAAGAAGACCAAGGACAAAATCTCACGCGTAACGCGCTATATCCCAGCTCTGCTGCCCAGCAACCGTGCCCAAGGGCACCCCCGCTGCTTTGCATGACAGCTGATACGCACTCCGCACGCTCCGAAACGCGTTTCACCTCGACCTTTGTTCTGCCTCTTTGAGCGCACGCTGACTGACTGACGGTGGACCCTCCTTTGAGTGGCGATGACGAGCTTCTTTGTCCTCCCCGACACACACACGCATCGCTTTCGCCCGCGTGACCCATACACACAGCCGTGTGTACTTCATCCTCTCGCTTACCCTGACCCTGACCCTATTGATCTCATTCCGCACCACACCGCCGACTCCCGAGGAAGCTTTTGTCCCCCGCCAAGCATCCTCTGCTTATATGCTGACTCGGACATCCATCTACACCTGTCTCACACCTACCTCTTATCACTCCACCTGAGACGTACACGCCACTCAGCCAATATCGCAAATCGACTCCATCGGGTCCAAGCGCCACCTCGACTCTACAGTGGCACTAGCATTGCCGACCCCGTTTCATCCCGCCACTTCCCCACCCCTTGCCGCTCACTCTCGCCCTGAGCGCTCTGTACCTCTCTCGCCCTCACAACCAGGGAGCAGCCACCTCTTCGACGTCATACATTGCTCCGAATCGAGCAATCTCTACGATCAAATTCCCTCACTCCCACAAAGACTAACTGAGACACGATGGTGAGCCATTTCCGTACCCCATTTCAGCTCGAAAAGGACTGTGCTGACTGATCTCTCCTCCTCTCATCCCATCTGCTCCTCACTTCCACCATGTCCAAAACCAAAATCCACACCCACACCAAACACAAATCCTCCTCTCACTCCCACCTACCCCTTCCCGCCCCCGCTGGCCCCGTGACCCATCCACTTCCCCATCCCGCCCCTCTCCCACCTCCTGCGGCCATCACCTACCCCCACGACAAACACTGGCGGGACTACTACCCCCCTTCTCCCCTCCCTACCTCGGCCGTCCTCCCCAAACCCCCCTCTGGCGTCCGCCTCTACTCTACCAAATGGAAAAACGACAATCCAAATCCTAAATCTGCGGCGGGTCGACAACAGGCAATGTACGGTATGCCAGGTATGATGGGCGGAATGGGCGGCATGGGGATGGGCGGGATGGGGTACCCCGGCATGATGGGTGGAGGGTACGGAATGGGAGGGATGGGGATGGGCGGGTACGGAATGGGCGGGTATGGGATGGGTGGGATGGGCATGGGCGGGATGTACCCTGGTGCGATGGGTATGGGGGGTATGGGCATGGGCGGGATGGGTGGATACGGAGTGAGTCAGCCAGACTAGGGGGCGGAGAGAGGCGCTAGGCTGACCATCAGATGCCTCGATACGGCGGCGGCATGTACGGCGGCGGAATGTATGGCGGAGGGTGAGTCTTCTCCTCCCCACCTCTTCTTGGAGCATCACGTCGGCAGACCAGCTGCTAGGTACTAATACTGACTCCCATCTAGTGGATATGGGTAAGTTGTCCGAGTCCCACACACAGGGGGCTGAGAGCTGACATTGCAGAATGGACCCTTACTATGGTGTACGTTCCCCTCATCCTCTCTCCTCCCGCCATGGCCACAGCTGACACCCAGATGCCTCCCGCTGCAATGTTCACCGACGACTTCCCTGATGCTCACCGGTAAGCCTTTCTCTCCGCTAACACCTTTGTAGGTGGACCTTTCCCCAGGAATCAAGGCTCAATGCAAGATACTCCTTTCCACAATCGATACCACCACCCTCACGAACCTTTTCATGATGCCCGCTACGACTACCACTATCGCCAAAACCCCTCCTTCCCTCCCCATGGCCATTCATACCATCCCAACCAATACCCCTCTCACCCATCCTACGCCTACTCCCGATTCCGCCGCTCCCGCTCCGCCGATAACCTCTTCGACTCGACCCGACAATACGACACCAACGGCGCCTACGACCCCTCGGCACACCACCACCTCCTCGGCGCCATGTCTATGGGCTACGACCCCACCTCTGACCGTCACAATGAACGCGGTGCCCAAATCCAACTTATGCCCGGTGATGATCCCAATGACGTCGACCTTGACGACCCCCTCCACCGTGACCGGCGCATGTTACTGCGACGTTGAACGAGGTAGGATTGAACACGCTTACCGACAGTCTGCGCCAGATAGCTACGGAATGGGCATGAGCGGTATGGCTGGCGGAATGGGGATTGGGAATTACCCCGGAAGCCAGATGTTGCTTTACGGTAGGGGAATGGGCGGGGGAGGGTACGGAGTGAGTCTAGCTTTTATATCAGGGCTGGAATGAAGGTGGCGGGCGACGGTGGAAATAGATTGGAGCTGACTTTCGCAGGGCTGGTACGCTTAGGCGGCTGTCCTTTCCGGATCGCGGAAATAGCACTCGACCGGCTTCTTGAGGGACCGAGCTGGGTTGGAGACTTGAAAGCGAGGACTGCGTGGGAGGGATGGGACAAGGTGGAATAGCGAGTCTTGGACGTCGAGCGAGTGTAGATCAGGTTGGAGGATATGTACAGCTGTATTGACCACACCTCTGCAGCTGAACGGCTTTGAGGCGTAATGGAGAAGCTGGACAGTAACGGATAAGCCATAGGAGCACAAAGAGAGGTCGTTCATGACATGACTATAATGAAGAAACGGGTACAATCTAGCTCGAAGAAGAGAGTCGACATCGGGAAGAGGGAAGGGGGGAGAAGCTAGTGGTGCCGGACTTGAACTGTACCGTCAGCGACTGGTCGCAGCATAGCTGGGCAGGCGGGAATTTCGGCTCACGCTCATCAAGCCATCAATGGCCCACATGTCACGCAGCAGGACTTTCACCTCCTGGCGGACGAGACCGCCTCAATGACGCTCATACGATCCTCGACCTCGGCGATCCGCCTATCGCGCGTTGCCAGCTTGGACTCCAAGTCCCAGTCTCGTTTTTCCTGTGATCTTAGCAGCATTCCCTGTGGGTCTCGGCACTGATTCGAGACAGAAGACGCCGTCGACATACCTCGTCTGCCTTCTTGCTGTCCTGCTCCAGTCAGCACTGTCCTTGTCCTCCGTCAATAGCATGACTGGAACCGCCACGGTACCTACCTTGTGTATCCCCCAGAACGTCTGGGCCAGCAGGACCCCGCCAGCTCCGATTATACCAGCATAGACGAGCGCTTCGTTCATTTGTCCCTCGGAGTACTTTGTGCCAATGGGCGCCGGGGCCGGGGCCGAGGCCGGCGCCGGGGCGACCTGGGTCCGGATGATGATAGGCCGCGGTCGGGCGGTCTTGACGGTGGCGCCGGCAGCGGAGGCGGCGGAGACGGTACCGGTGGTATAGACACGGCGGACGATACGGGACATCATGGTGCTGTGCTTAGTGTAGAGTTTGGGTTGATATGTGCTGGGTGGTGTAGTTGGATGACATGTCTGCAGCACTCAGTCGGCGAGATCTTACGGGGTTCTTATAGGCGAGACTCACCATGAGCGAGGCTTGAGTGTCGGGGGAGAGTTTGATGACGTCGTGCCGGGTATGATAGAGGATGATGCAAGCGGTAAACAGTCAAGGTGAGGTGCCGAAGCGACGCGCGCACGCCGAAGCGCGTGCCTGGGGGCTGAATGAGACATGTCTCATTTTACCGGGTGCGTTAAGGTGGGTGGCGAACAACACCCTTGGAAAGATACTTGTGCAGATGGCCGTGCGTCTCTGTGTCATTCAAGCTCAAGGAATGGAGTATAATTCGGCATTCGCTGGGTGAGCATTTCAGAGTCTGAGGGCTGGCGTCATTCTGCTCAAAACGACCTGGATGACGGAGAGAACAGCAGAACCTGATGAAATGAAGCAGACAACCTTCTCATACATCTCAGGAAGTACAAAAACACCCAAGCCCCCGGCGTTCTCGCTGCACATAAGGTATAGTCTTGCACTGTGCTGAAACTGTCAGCTGTAGATCGCGACGCCAGTATGGAGTGAGGAGACTCACGTAGGTCATGCAACTGGTCTCAGTCTTGCCTAATCTCTTCCGCCATAGTCCTATGATAGCGAGCCCGCTCCTCCATCAAAGCGATCATCTCCATCGTCTTGTCGTCTATTGCTGCCCGTTTCGCGGCGCGTGTGCTTCCATGTAAGGTCGCGACTCCGCGCGAATTCGAATCGACCGTCCCATCCTTCGCGTCCTTGCTCCATTGGGTCATCTGCAAGCTTCGTCAGCTTACCTTTTGCATCAGCATCCAAGTCAGGGTCCGGCGGAAACTCACTTGAGCGGCCTGCCGCTTCTTGCGCTCTTCCGCCAGGAAGACGGCACCGGAGTAGCAGACATAGAAGAACACGGATTGCTTGAGAGTCGTGCGTAGGCCGGAGCGGATTTGCGGTCTCGAAAGCTGGGAGAAGGAGGTGTAGGCCCGGCGTCCGAGGTGTGAGAGGGACATAGCGGGGGAGTGTGCAGGAGTAGTAGTGTAGGAGCGAGGGGAGGGCGGGAGGTGTTGATATGATATGTGTAGTGTGGGTGATTAGATTGTGCAATGTCAGTGCCGATGGTGGTAGATGCCGAGCGGAGGCGGACCCTCGGCAAGCTGCCGAGGACATGGCTGGTCAGTGAGTGGCTGGTCGATGCGGGATGTCAATAGACGGGTGGCAAAAGTGGCACTTGAATGTGGCGAGTGGCATAACGTCATCTGACGAGGAATGAGGCGCAATGCGTGCCTCGGCGGTCAACATGCCAGTCGGCTCAGTCATCGGTCAGAGCTGGCCCGCCCATCATGAGCCATGAGATATGCTCCTACATAGCCTATTCATTCTCAGGCTGGGTATGCCGTTCGATCTAAGTATTCTACACTGCGTCTTTATCGCGTGAACTGCTTTGTCAGCTGTGTCATCAACGGATAGTTGCGGGAAACCCCAGCTCACCTGGATATCGTCGATCCGCAAAATCAACGCCACCGTCTCAGTCGCCAATTCCAATGCTGATGTCGAGACCAACAAAGGCTGAACGACATTTTCTTCCAGGATGTTCGAGATGATACCCTGTTCATTAGCTATGCCCGTCCCGCTCCGACCGATAAACCCACCTTCTTCACGTTGATCCCCGCAGTCCGCTCGCCCAAGCTATGGCGATTCCTCAATTCCGTGACGATCTGAATCGGGTTCAACCCCGCATTCTCCGCCAGTGTTGTCGGGATGATTTCGAGCGCCTCTGCGAAGGCCTGGAAACAGTATGATTCCTTGCCTTTGAGGGTCTGGGCGTGTTGTGTGAGGAGACGGGAGAGGTGGATCTCGGGTGCTCCGCCACCGGCGATAAGAGCACTATGAAATCAGCTTCTTTCTCCCCCGATCGATGCGGAGCATTTCCTAACTGTAGTCAAAACCTGACTTACCGCTTCTTGACGATACACCTGACCACACACAGCGCATCGTGCAAACTCCGTTCGCTCTCCTCCAATACCAGCTGGTTCGCCCCAGTACACACGATCGACACTGTCTTTCCCGGATTCTTCACCCCCGTCACCTTGACGACCTTCATCCCATTCTGGCTGAACTCCTCCACAAGTTCCGCCGACCCCAGCTTGTCCTCCGTAAACGCCTCGATATCCGCTACGGGCTTGCATCCCGTCGACTTGGCGATAAAGTCAATCTCGTCCCGCTCGACATCCTTGATGACCATGATTTTGAGCTTGGCGAGGAAGTGGAGCGAAAGGTCCGTGACCGCGTCCCGGAGAATCGACTTTTGGATGAGGAGAACATTGCATCCGGTCTTCTTGATCCGTTTGCAGAGGTTGAGGAGGTACTGGCGTTCCTCCTTGAGAATCCGGTCCATCTGGCGGTAGTCGTTCACGACGATCTGGTTGTCCATGTCGGGTTTGGGGGAGCTGAGTTGGAATTGGATGAGGCCGATTCGGGCCTTGTCTATCCGGGTTGGGCCGCCGGCGGAGGAGATGACGACCTGGTTGAGCGCAACGCCCTCGACAAGCTCAGTGTCCTCGATGGTACCGCCGACCTTCTTGACGATACGGATATCGCGCAGGTCAACGTTGGACGAGACGGGGCTGAGGAGGCGGGTGACGGCGGTGACGGCGATAGGGGCGAGGATGGAGGAGTATTGCGATACGATCTACATGTCAGCTTCTGGAGACGAACACGTTCACCGTCGAGCTGACCTTGGAGTTGAGCGATGTGGCAGCAGCACGCATCAATGACTCCCTGTCATTCATGTCCACCGGTATCGAAATGTCGTTAAGCAGTTCTACCGCCTTGGTAGCGGCCTTTTGGAAGGAGTGGGCGATAGTGGTGGGGTGGATGCCTGTTTGATCAGCTCTACCCAATCTGAGAGGGGTGGGCAGCTCACCCTGCGAGAGGAGTTTCTCGGCAGCTCCGAGCAGACTTCCAGCGAGGACAACAACACTGGTGGTACCATCTCCTGCTTCGATATCCTGTGCTTGTGACAACTCGACAAGCTTATAGGTCAGCTCAGCTTGCAGCAACATAGCGCAACGTCAGACTGACCATCCGTGCGGCAGGGTGCAAGACCGCCATGTGCTTCAGAATCGTGGCTCCGTCGTTGGTGATGACTACCTCGCCGGTACTGGTCTGGATCTGCGATATGTCAGCTTATGTACTAGGGGAAGCTCTCCCCTCCGACATTTAGCTAACGCACCATCTTGTCCATCCCCTTCGGTCCCAGACTGGTCCGTACAGCATCAGACACAGCTGCTCCTGTCAGCTTCGGCAGACGCATCTAGCAGCGAAGCTGCAAACGGAGCGCGGTAGCTCACCCTTTGCTGCGTTCATATTTGACAGCCGAACCTCGGTCGGCTTCCCCTGGGATATCAGCAACCTCCTCGTCTCGCTTCGCTTCGTCATAGCTCAATTCGTCCTGTCCTATCACCCACCTTGTCCGAGAACTGCCCATCTGAGATCCCCTTGCCACCTCCCATAGGCCCCATCAATGCTGGTCCGAGTGTTGATGTCATCCTGTCTGTAGAAGCTATAGCTAGGCGTCGTAGAAGGTAAGAGAAGGTATGAGCCTTCTAGGTGAGCTTTGGCCGGTGGAGAGCCAAAAGTCCACACCGCTGAGCGCGACGCGAGGGGAAGGAGAAAATCAAATAACTCTCTCTGGAAATAATAGTCAAGTTGAGGTATGTGGAGGCGCGTCCATGACCACCGACCTCGACCTTCACCTTCTATAACTACCCCGTCTTATAGCTATGACCAGTACACGATGACCCGGCTCATATACTTGCTCGGTCTACTGGCGCCATGGGTAGCTGCCAGCTTGTCAGCGGACGAGTTCCACGAGGCTCTCACCCTCCATCCCTTGCCGGACGGGAAGCTGTCGGTGCTGTTTGAGTTCACGACCTACTTCTCCGGCTCGACAGGGCACGGCCGGACGCGTGAGCTCGTTGTCGCTCGGCAGAGAAGGGACATAAGCTGATACAATAGCCGAATCACATCACTCGCTGACCTCCCCATCCCTCTTGCTGCCATTACAGCAGAATAATGTGTCCGAGCTCTCAATCTCGTTCGTTTCGGGACAATGGGACCAGCACCGCTCAGGCCAGGCTGGGCCACTGTCGTATGGCTCCGGAGGTGGAGGTGGGGAGACACGAGGCTGGCTACGGAATAGCAAGGGAGCTAGTCCGGGCAAGGTGAATGAGAATTGGGTGGCGGTGACGAACGCGCTGGGAGGGCTGTTTTGCGCCACGCTGGCGCCTGCGAAGGAGGGCGAGGTCGTCAAGACTTTCGGGGACATCTATCCGCCAAGTCGGGAAACAAAACAGAGTGAGCTCAGGGACTTTGACCGGCCGCACCGTACCTAAAGCTCACCATACAGACCTCACCCACTTCCACGTCCCGCATCCCGAGCAACTCCTTTGCGCCGAGAATCTCACCCCCTTCCTCGCCCTTCTACCATCTAAAGGCGTCTCAGGCCTCTCTCACCTCCTCGCTCAACCAGGCGTCGTCCTTTCCTGGGGCTTCAAAGCCGAGGGCATCGAGGTCATCATGCCTGACCCCAGTACTGCCACCGGCGGACTGTGGAAAGGATGGTGGGAGGGCGTGGTGGACCTCGTGCCGGTCACTGGCGGATCTCGAGCTTCTAGCATCGAGAAGTTGTTCCGAAGAAGTATACCGAGGGTCTTCCCAGAGGCATCGAGCAGCGTGATCAGGTTGATTACGCCCGAGCAGGACAACTTCAGGATGGAGCCGCAAGCTGGTAGCAGGGAGGAGCAGTGGTTGGACGGAAGGAAGCGCGAGGTGATGGTGTGGGATCTCATGGATGGGGGACTGGTAGGCCAGGATCTGAGGTTCTGGTGGGAAAATGAAGGGGACTTCGGGCATCGTACGTCACACTTCGAGCAGATTCGAGTGCAAGCTGACGACTAGCTCTCAAGCTAGAATCGTCTCCAATCAGCATCTCTCGGCGGATGGCAGCCCCATATGCCTCGGACGGGACTTTCGTCATTCGCATCACCAACAATGGCGACGATCAGAGGGATGCGGTCTACTCGGAAGTCTGGCCGTGGTGGGTCAAGGGGTGGATGAGCGAGGTCAGCGCTGCAGTGGAGTCTGGCGAGACAGAAGGATGTGAGCGGCCCTCTGGAAGAGAGCCTCTGCGCTCGCAAGGGGCTTCAGCTGACCATGTAGCTTCATCTGAACTGCTCAGACACCTCGCATACCACCCCTCTTATCCTCCTCACCCCTCGACCACCTCGCTGCATTTCTCGCTCACCCTCCCGGCCCACGCCACACTGATTCTCACCATCCCCTACTCCAAGCTCACCATCAAATACACCGAGCATCGACCAGACGCCGAACGCGGCGTCGAGCTCCCTTCCGGCGTATTGACGCTTCTCGACCTGGAAGGGGAAAGCGACTTCCCCAATTCGACTGTCATCCAGAGTCGCCGCAGCGGCCGGACCCACATCTACACGACCCGACTCCTGCTCGATCTCCCTACGCCGGACTTCTCGATGCCTTACAACGTCATCATCATGAGCTGTACCGTCATGGCGGTGTTTTTCGGGATGATGCAGGGGGCGCTGAGTAGACAGTGGGGGTATGTGGATACAGCGGTGGGTGGGGGCGCGTCCACCCCGCTTGGGAAGCTCAGGCTGGTGCTGCTGAGTAAGATGGAGAGGTTAAGGGGGAGAGGAAAGGTCACAGAAGGGGCGAGGCGTGGGGCAGAGATGGGTCCAGAGGGGGAGGGGGACACGGAGAAAATTTCTTAGACCTGGTCGACATGTCCGAGCGACTTCTTGGGCCATGCATGTCTGACCGAGGCCGTCCTGGACCGGTCTATATCGCTGAGTCTCTGCCTCTGAAGCGCGAGTACAGTGCAGACCGCTGTACTGGGGCCCTGCGGGGTATACCCCTCTGCCACGCGTCGGATAAAGCGGGGAAGATCGTATCAGAATTTCGCCCTTACCCCACTCGCTGGGCGCCGTCGAATTTCCAACAACTTTGAAACCACCCGGTAACTTAGCTTCCCCTTTTGCCCCGGCGCTGCTCCCCTTATCTCTCTCCCTTCCATCTCTTTCCTCCCTATCCCATGCGCATAGCCCGACAACTACGGTCGAGCTATAGAGTAGCAACACTCCAGAGATCTCGTCCCGTAGTTTCTGCACTTTCCCTCTCACCTTCCCTTTCACTTTCGGGCTCTCGACCTCAGCTTCACGCAAAGTCTCCCTTATCACCTCCATACTCAGTCAACGGTCAGAGATACATCATGTCTGGCGCAGCTGTAGATGCTGGGGCTAGTGGGTCTGCGGGTCAGGCGGGCGGATCAAAGATCATTGATGGGACTGCGATTGCCAAGTGCGTGTCTTGCCTCATCACCGATGATCGACGAGGGCCGAGCTGATCTTAGGTCTATCCGCTCGGACATCTCCCATGCGATCAACGAGCTCCAAAAGAAAGAGGCGACCTTCCACTCCCCTCACCTCGTCATCCTCCAGCTCGGCTCGAGCTCCGCATCCGCCACCTACATCCGGATGAAGCTCAAGGCGGCTGAAGAGAGCGGCATGACGGTCAAGCACATCCAGATCCCCTCTGATGCCGAGTCGGGCGATGCCAAGGGCACTGGCGTCCGCAAGGTGCTCGACCAGGTCCGCAAGGTCAACTCGGACGACAAGGTGTCGGGTATCCTGGTGCAGCTTCCACTGGAGGGCGCAGGGAAGGAGGATGAAAAGATGGTGGTGGACTCGGTGGACGTCAAGAAGGACGTTGATGGGTTCCACCCGGAGAACATCGGTCTTCTCTCCAGCCGGATCGGGACACCGTACTTTGTCCCTTGCACCCCAGCCGGCGTGCTCCGTCTCATCGAGAGCACCGGTTTCAATCTCGCCGGATCCAACGTCGTCGTCCTCGGTCGATCGGATATCGTCGGTACGCCCGTGTGCGCCCTTCTGCGCAAGAAGGACGCGACCGTCACGCAGTGCCACTCGCGCACCAAGGACCTCCAGGCGATCGTCAAGAAGGCGGATGTCGTCGTCGCTGCCATCGGGCAGGCCGAGTTCGTCAAGGGCGATTGGCTCAAGGAGGGAGCTATCGTCATTGACGTCGGGACCAACTATATCCCCGACGACACCAAAAAGTCGGGTCAGCGTCTTGTCGGAGACGTTGACTTTGCCTCGGCCTCCCCAGTCGCTTCCCACATCACCCCCGTCCCTGGAGGTGTCGGACCCATGACCGTCGCGATGCTCATGCACAACACGTTCGAGGCTGCCAAGCGCCAATGGAGCGTCGGTCGGGACCGCAAACTCGTCCCCCTCCCGCTCAAGATGCTCGAGAAGGTCCCGTCGGATATCGAGATTGCGGTCGCGCAGACCCCCAAGCCGGTCGCGGACATTGCGTACGAGATCGGGGTGCAGGCGGACGAGGTGGAGAGTTACGGGAAATACAAGGCCAAGATTGAGCTTAGCGTCCTGGAGCGGCTCTCGCACAGGCAGGACGGCAAGTACATTGTCGTCGCTGGGATCACGCCCACTCCTCTCGGCGAGGGCAAGTCCACTACCACCATCGGTCTCGCCCAAGCGCTCGGCGCGCACCTCGGCAAGGTCGCCATTGCATGCGTCCGTCAGCCGTCCCAGGGCCCTACTTTCGGTGTCAAGGGCGGAGCCGCCGGTGGAGGGTACGCTCAGGTCATCCCCATGACCGAGTTCAACCTCCATCTTACCGGTGACATCCACGCCGTCACAGCGGCCAACAACCTGCTCGCGGCCGCGATCGACGCGCGGATGTTCCACGAGTACACCCAAAAGGACAAGGCTCTGTACGACCGTCTCGTCCCCAAGAAGAAGGGCGTCCGGACCTTTGCCCGGCCCATGCTTGCTCGGCTCAAGAAGCTGGGTATTCAAAAGACCAACCCGGACGACCTGACGGAGGAGGAGGCGTCCAAGTTCGCTCGGCTCGATATCGACCCGGCGACCATCACGTGGAACCGCGTTCTCGACGTCAACGACCGGTACCTCCGAAAAATCACGGTTGGGCAGGCGGCGACCGAGAAGGGATTCTCTAGGGATACCGCGTTTGACATTGCTGTCGCGTCAGAAGTCATGGCTGTGCTAGCACTGTCCAAGGACCTCGCCGACATGCGGGCCCGGCTCGGACGGATGGTCATCGGTTCCTCCAAGGCCGGGGACCCTATCACCGCCGAGGATATCGGGTGCGCCGGCGCCATGGCTGTCCTCATGAAGGACGCCATCAAGCCTACCCTCATGCAGACCCTGGAGGGTACCCCCGTCTTTGTCCACGCCGGACCTTTCGCCAACATCGCCCACGGAAACTCGTCCATCATCGCCGACAGGATCGCCCTCAAGCTCGCCGGTATCGAGAAGGGAGACAACCCCGAGCGGAACGGCTACGTCATTACCGAAGCTGGGTTCGGTGCGGATATCGGGATGGAGAAGTTCTGCAACATCAAGACCAGGGTGTCGGGTCTCAACCCAAACGCCGTTGTGCTCGTCGCGACGGTGCGGGCGTTGAAGATGCACGGAGGCGGACCGGCGGTGACTCCCGGGAAGGTGCTGGATCAGGTGTACTCGACCGAGAACCTCGAGTTGCTCGAGAAGGGATGTGCCAACTTGGGCAAGCACATTGAGAATGCCAAGAAGTTTGGGTTGAAGGTTGTGGTCGCTGTCAACCAGTTCTCGTGAGTCGGCTCTGTATTGGAAGAGGGGGCGTTGCTCATCGCCAGAAACGACACACCCGCCGAGCTCGAGCTTGTCCAAAAGTACGCCCTCCAGGCCGGCGCCGACTACGCCGTCCCCGCGAACCACTGGGCCAAGGGCGGTGAGGGCGCCAAGGACCTTGCGGAGGCCGTCATTCAGGCGTGCGAGGACCCCTCCGAGGGCTTCAAATTCCTCTACGACCTGAACCAGCCCCTGGTGAAGAAGATCGAAATCATCGCCAAGGAAATGTACGGCGCGGACGGTATCAAGCTGTCGGCCGAGGCGGAGGCGGAGGTGGAGCGGTACGAGAAGCAAGGGTACGGCGGCCTGCCGATCTGTATGGCCAAGACGGCGCTCAGTCTTTCGGACGACCCGAGCAAAAAGGGTGTCCCGACCGGCTTTACGCTGCCCATTACGAACGTGCGGCTGTCGGCGGGAGCGAGCTTTGTGTATCCGCTGGTTGGGGACATGAGCACAATGCCGGGGTTGACGACGAGGCCGGGGTACTATGATGTTGATCTCAACCCGGAGACGGGGGAGATTGAGGGGTTGTTCTAGGCGCCTAACGTAGAGAGGGAAGGGGAGGGAAGAGGTGTATAAAAAGGGCGATCTGATCGAGATCTGGGGCTTCTTCAACAAGGCTTACTTAGATAGCATAGATGATGCTTGGGAGCTGTACGCTACCTGACTGTACACACAAATAATATAGGATGTTCCACCATGCATCATTCATAGACAGGTATGTTTATACAACTAGCTCGACAAGCTTCCTGAGGGTATCAGGCAGAGCACTTGAAGACTTCAATATTCCCCAGACGCTACGACCGACAAGTCACTATGCTACCTCCCCTCCGGGTCGAATAGTAAGCGGCCTCAGTTCTTCTCGTTTGGACCAGGCACCTCCGTTCGCGCCGCGTCCTTCTCCCCTCCTGCCGCTCCCAGTCCAAACATCCCTTCTCCCCTTTCTCCCGCAACACTGCTCTCCTCCGACCCAGGCGCAATGTCGTACTCCCTGACATCATGTACTGCCTCAACGACCTGTGCCTCTCGAGCCGGCAAGAATCGGTTGAGCGCATAGTAGATGATAAGGGCGATGGCGTCGCCGCATAGGTTGGAGAGCATGTAGATGTACCGGATATCGCCAATTTGTACCTTATCGTCAGCTGAGACTCTCTTGTCACAGCGGACCAGACGAGAGGAGCAAGCTCACCCTAGGCTCGATAGCGTTGATCATCCCGGGCAAATTGGGCACAACGGCCACGAGCAGCGCGATATACGCGCGCCAGTTCCAGCCTTCTGAGAATCGATAGATTCCGTGCGGCTTGTACAGCTCGTAGATGTTAATCTTGCCGCGCTTGATGATGAAGAAGTCGAAGGCCATTAGGGCGGCTATAGGAGCCAGAACGATCGAGTAGGAGGCCATGAAGGTGAGCTGACGGTCAGCTGTGACCTTTCAGCCAGACGATCGGTCCGGCTCCCGAGAAAACACCTGAAGCCGAAGAAAGTTGACGTACGAAGTTGGACGCAGAGTTGAGAACCTTCCAAGGTGCAAAGCCCCAGACGCCGACTGTTACAGCTATCATCTGGCCCCGTCTGATATCGATATACTTGGGCGCAAGACTCGTCAGGTCATTCGCGGCAGAGATGGAATTAGCGGTGCTGCGTTGTCAGCTGACTTCATCCCAGGGAATCCTTTGGTGAAAAGTAACTAGCTCACATGTTGGTCGTGACGTTGCTCAGAGCCCAGATCAGGCTCCCGAGGAACATGGCAGCCCGTCCACCCGCGCTCGTTCCCCATTTCGCGCAGATCTCGTAGGGCTGGTACAGCGCCTCGCCGTAGACGACATAGCAGCAGGCAGCAGAGATGGAGGCGAAGATACCCATCAAGGCGTAGATTGTCGGCATGGCGATGAGTTGAATATAGGCTGCTTGGGGCCGGCGACAGTATCGGCTGAAGTCACCAATGTTGACGCCTGATTATGAGCATGAGCCTTTGCGGCGAGCGGAACCAGAACGACGTACTGAGAGTCGCCCAGGTACCTTGAGCAGCGGTGACAGCATAGCAGAACGCGATGAACCGGGGCGCACCAGGAGCTGCGCGATTCGAGAGCTGGCTGAGTGCGGTAGAGGTCTCTGAGCCGGCAATCTTGACGGCCTGAAGAGTCAGCTGGGGTTGGCTTCTTGGGTCTCGGTGACATAATTGACATACCCAGATCAGAGTACCGAAGCAGACGATCGGTACCAGCAGTGCTTTCGCGTTGAATAGCCAGGCCAGCTTGGAGGGGTGGATGAAGATGAAAGGAAGCTGCATGAGCCTATGGAGATCAGCATTTCTCGCAGACAACAGAGAGAGACTAGATGCTCACCAGAAGAGGAAGAAGCTGAGGAAATCTCGGGTAGTAGCACCCTGTCCTACCGGAATGGTATTCGGTAGATTGGCATACTGTGGCCATATAGCCTGGATCATGAGGGAGACGAAGATACCTCCCCTGCCGAAATCAGCTGGATACCGATGAAAAGAATTGTCCTTGACTCACGACCACGAGTTGATCGAAAGCCAAAAGCAGGCAATGATCATTCTGCTGAATACGACGAATTTGCTGCCCCAGTATCCGAATGTCGAGCGGGAGGTGACTGCGAACGGAGTGTGGACCGTAGCGCCGACGATACCGTTCGCTATTTCAGTCAGCCTCGATCTCGAAACCAAGCTCGGCCCCCATTCCATGGCGCTTGCAGCTCGGAGGTGCGCTCCTTCCAGGACTATATCTGTCAAATGCTTACCAGTGATGACCACAGCCACCAAGACTCCGCCCAGGAAGATCGCAAGACAACTCTCCCACCACGTCAATCCGAGCGTGACGAAACTAGCGACCGTCGCCCATGTTGCCGGATAAACGATATCCGCGGCCCAGTATACGCAGAATGTAGCTGATGTCCATGTGCGATGATCAGGTGGGGAGGGGTCCATGTCTGATGCCCCATCAGCTCGGTCCACCTGGAAAACGAGGAGGAGGTCAAGTCACCCTTGTTGGACCACACGCCTTCTGGGGCGATACAGCTCTCTTGCTTCGGCAAGACCCAGGTGCTCTTGTCGGTCATCCGCCGGCAGAAGGACTGGGCTGCGGTCATCTTTTGCTATACGACTAGTGTCTATACACAGTGTGAGGTCAGATGGAAGATTGAGAGTGTTCTCGTCCACTCGCCCGCTGATGTTCGGGGAAATTTCGCCCTGTGGAGTCTCCACACGGATTATCTTCGGATCACTGAGACTGCCAGCATTCCTCTGCACAACTCACGCCGCCGCCGTGCTCAAGATGAGAGTCTTTGTGGACCTGGCGGGTGGTCTACCTCGTCTCTTCGGCCCAGGTTTGCCTGAGGAGTCTGGCATGATGCATAACAGGAACAGGTGAATATTGCGAGGAGGTCAAAAGCGCGACTGGCGAGGAATGTGGAGCAGTCATCATTCTTGGTTCCGGGGGCGATATCGTAACTTAACTCACATCTCAGCAATTTCAGAGGCGAGGCAGCTTGCCGCGTTTGCCAGCGTTACAACTCATACATGTTCTGCCCAACACACACCTGTCGCACTTGCTTGAAGCGCCTGAGGCCCCTTCACGGGACGCCGACCGCTGCGCCAGCTCGAAGTACTCCTCAAAACCGGTCGTACGCCAATGGCTCGGGCTCGGCCCCTTCAGGATCGACCTCATCGGCGTCCAAGTCAAATGACTGGCAGACAGTCATCGGACTTGAGATCCACGCTCAACTCAGAACGGGTCGCAAGCTTTTCAGCAGTACGTCTGCTGTTTGAATTTCCCGACGGAACGAGCAGAGAGCTGATGCATAAGAATCGCCAATATCGCATAATGCAGCCTCGAATACCTTGATAGACATTCACGATGCTGCCTTTCCAGGTACATTGCCTGTGCTGGACAAGGAGGCCGTGCGGCTTTCGCTTCTCACCTCACTAGCGCTCAACTGTACCATCGTGAGTCCGGTCGTCATAGCGTCAATCGCAGGGGACCATCCGCTGAACAAGCTCGCAGAACCCTCGATCTACGTTTGACAGGAAGCATTACTTCTACCATGATATACCGGCTTCGTATCAGATCACACAGAGCTACAGTAAGCGAAAAGTACTGCTTCAGATTGGGGCGTAAACTGACGCTTGCAGATCCCCTGGCTGCGGATGGCTACCTCACCTTACCCCCCACGCCGTCTCCATCGACAAGCTCATCGTCGCCCTCGCCGTTTTCATCTCCAGCTTCATCCTCGACTGCCAAGCGCGTTCGCATAAAACAGCTCCAGATCGAGCAAGATACCGCCAAGTCTCAGACAGTCGGCGGAGACGTCCTCGTTGACCTGAATCGAGCAGGGACAGGTCTGATGGAGATTGTCACGGAGCCGGATATGAGCAGCGCGGAGGAGGCTGGGGCGTTTGTCAGGCGGCTTCAGGGACTGCTGAGGAGGATAGGAAGTGGGGACGGAGATATGGAGAAGGTGCGTTCCTATCGTCTGGGCCGATAGGGCTTTACATGTTGAGCTGACCACATAGGGAAATCTCCGCATCGACGCCAACATCTCCGTCCACCGACCCAATACCCCCTTCGGCGTCCGCAGCGAGATCAAAAACCTCAACTCGGTCCGCTTCCTCCAGACCGCCATAGCATATGAGATACAACGCCATATAGCTCACTACGAGTCCACCTCCGCCCCTCTCCCTCAAGAGACCCGGCAAGTCAATGAATTGACGGGCGAGACATACGCCCTGCGCACCAAGGAAGAGGCGATGGACTATCGATATATGCCGGATGCGAACCTCCCTGCTCTTATCTATCGGCCGGGCACGATCGAGGATCTGAGGGCAAAGTTGCCGGAGATGCCATGGGTCACGGTGGAGCGGTTGACGGGGATCTATCATGGTCTGGAGGCTCGGGACGTGGAGACGATGATCCAGCTGGATGAGTATCAAGGGAGGGGAGTGGCGTACTTTGAGGAGATGATGCGTGGACTGGATGCGAAGAAGGGGAAGAAGGCGGCGAATTGGATGACGCATGAGGTGCTCGGTCAGCTAGGCAAGGCGGGCAGGGAATGGGACGAAAGGGTCGTATCTGCGAAGATGCTAGGGGAGGTGGTTGACAAGGTGGAAGGCGGGGAGATGAGCGGTACGACCGGCAAGGCCGTCGTTAGGCATCTCATCAACACTCCAGGTGCAGCGGAAGGGTCGGATCTCGACGCCTTATTGGACCAGCTGGGGCTCAAGCCAGCACCGGCTGGCGATCTGAAGGAGCTATGCGAGAAGGCGATCACAAAATGCAAGAAGGAGGCGGAGATGGTACGCAAGGGGAATGAGAAGGTCGCCATGCGCCTGGTTGGGGAGGTGATGAAGCTGAGTCAGGGGCGGGCGGACCCGAAGAAAGCAAGGGAGATCATACTGCAGATACTACAAGGTGTATAGTGAAGTAATGTATGGAAGACGCTGGAAGTAAGCAGTGATGGTGAAGTATACAAAGTTGGAACAGAGGGAAAACGCCAGATCCCCCCTTCAAGAACGCGCAGCCGAAGCCATAGCGCTCCAATGCGCCTTGTGGTCCGCTTCCGGTCCCGCAGTGCTCCATTGGCTAGAGAGGGCGCGCATGACGTCCCCATGAGGCGAGCCCGGCATGGACGACTTGGCCGTGGAAAGGTTCTGACGCAGGTAAGCTAGTATGTCAGCTTGGTCTTCGAAAGACAGCTCTCGAACGCGCGGGCTCACCCTGGAAAGCCGTCTCCTTCTTTGTCTCGAACAAAGGCGCGAGCTTGCCGCGACATCGTCCGCAGGCCTGCTTCTCGATATCGATCGCTAGCGGTCAGCTCTTCCAGATCCCATCATGATACAGCTTAGAATAATACTCACACTTCGAGTGCCGCTTGTATCTGACTCGTCAGCTTGAGACCTCTCAGACTGGCAGGAGGTAGCGGTCAAGCTCACATCTTGTCACAGCCCGCCTCTGTACACTGCCATTGATACTTGTACTCGATCTGGTAATCATGCTTGGTCTTCTTGCTCAGCCATTGGCCTCCTTCGTCCCGACACCACCACTCACCGTGACCTCGATATCTGGTCGGGCCTTCATCACCTTGCGACCCCTACAGTATCAGCAAATAGGTCATATGTGGCCTGGGATGTGGCCTGGGAATGGGGGGCATCGCTCACCAAGTCTTGAATACCTTGCCGTGCGGGTTCTTCCGCTCGTCACTTATGAGCCAGCTGGCGACTGCTCACATCAGCTGAGGTCTCGGCAGGGGTGGTCAGGATTGACGCTAAAAGCGGGCATGACAGACCATGGCACATCTCATGAGCGACTGTACTGAGTATCTGCTCTGCGAAGTCAGCTCGAACTAACTATCAACAACATCTTGAGCAAGATGACTCACCCTCGCCTGTCAACACCTTCTCTGACAGTATGATCTTGACTTCCTCGGTCCTGCTTCCGTCTGGCTTTCGTATCCTACGAGATCAGCAAGCCACTTCGTATTTTCAACAAGCGGATTGTACATACCGCTTAGAATGAGCCTGACCAGCCGTAGTCAACAACCGATTGTTCCACTCCAGCTTCGTCCCCGCCCCCTTTGGGCCCAGCTTCGACTCGAAGACTTTGCGATCCAGCTCATCAAAGATCTTCTGGGCGATCCTAGCCCTATCAATACCCCACTGCTTCTTCCCGCCGGGTGTCTTCGGGGTTGGCGGAACAGGCAATCGCGCAGATTTCGGTCGAGGCGGAGTTGCTGGTCTTTCGGGCTCCGAGTCAGAGTCGACGGTATGTATGGCGAGCTTGGAGAGGTCTGGAAGGGTGAGGAGACGATTGGGCGGAGGGGAGTAGTGTAGGAGCGCTTCAATGTCTGAACTTTCCTGGGAGGTGTGCTCAGCGTCGGAGTGAACGACGCTGGAGTCCGAGTCGACGATCTCGTTCACTTCGTTCGTCCGGATAATGGGTCTTGATGTAGACGGCGCCTCCTTCTTGACCGCTACCGTCGGTGCTTGCTTCTCCTTCTTGACCTCCTTTCCCGCCGCCCGTTTCCCCTTATCCACCGTTCTAGCCCTCCGCCTTGGGACCTCCTCCTCTGAAGCCGACTCTTCGCTCTCCGAGTCTTCCACTTCAGAGACGTAGTCATCATCGACGATAAAGTCCCTCAAACTTCCCAGAGACTCATCATAGTACTTCTTGATCCACTTCTTCTCCTTTTCCTCATCCTCGCTTTCGGAATCGCTCCTCCCTCCGCTTCCTCGCGCTTCGAGGTCAAGGAAGCGGTTGACACCGTATATAGCCTTCTTTGATGGTCCGGCTCGTGGTACACGTGTGGGCGCCGGAGGAGATGAGGAAGAGACGGATGTTGGCGATTGTGGCTCAGGATGGGTATGGGTAGCGCGTTTAGTGACGGCAGCCGGCTGAGGGGGACCATCGTCGTCCGAGTCAGAGTCGGGATCTCGGATGACTCGACGTTTCGGTTTGCCGTTCTTTGCAGGTGCGGGCGCCCAGTCGGAATCTCCCTCGGAGGGAGAATCGTCAGGGAGGAACAGGGGAGTTTGAGACGATCCATTGGCCGCTTTGGCCTGTGCGGCTCCGGGAGCCGGTGTAGGGAATGGCGAGTTGTAGGATCTATGATCAAGTCAGCTTATTCGTCGATTTTCCATTGTCGTTCAATCTTACAGATCGATGAGCCCTTTCCTGCCGCCATTGAGTAGTTTCTTGGCGGGTGTTGCTGGTGCATCCGCTCGCTCCGCCTTGACCTTCCGTTCAGCACTATTAAGCGATATACCTCCGCTATGTCGAAGTCAGCAAGGCCACAAACTGGGGTCCTCTGTATGACTTACAGGACGGCTACGATGTCATCGAGACCCTCCTCCCGCTTGACTCCGATCTTCTCCTGCTTCACAATATGTCTGGAAGATTGCTTGTTGACAGGAGGAGCCGTGTTTTCGTCCGAGTCGTCCAGGATTTCAATGACTTGCTGGGATCTCGATGGACCCCTCGAAGTGGTCCGAGCTGACCTCGCTGGCCCTGCCTTGCCTGCTGCAGCTTTTGACGATGCTGCGGGCATGTTTGTTGATGGTTGGACGAGAAATCAAATCAGTCGCGATCAAGCAAAGTAAACACTAGCTTCCGGCGGAAGCGATCTTCCCGCATTACGTCACCCATCGGCACCGCTTCCTTTCACGCAGCCCCTCCTCCTGCAGTAGCTATCTTCTCCCTCTTCCATACATCGCCTTGGCAGCATACACAACAGCTACTGCGACTAGTACAGACACCGAAGCAGCTGCATCGCCACCCATAGCGATATAAGAACAGCTCGCAGCGCCCTCGCAACTCAACAAACAGCTCGTCAACCAACGCAGCCTCATATGTATAATGCGAGCAGCATCAGGCGGCAAATTCTCGCTCGGTTCTGCCTTTGGTAGGCGAACCGACAAGCACGACCGTCAGCCGTCCTATACCGGCTCGACCGACTTCGGGGCGTCGAACAATGCCGATCAAGGAACTACATCCCGCATCAACGGTGCGGCGTACAACGATCAGCCCGACTCGCCCAATGCGCGGCTCAGCGGCGGGGAAGGCGGGAGTGGGGGTGGAGGCGTGCAGCTCAAGAAGCTCGGCAAGACGTTTGCGCACAATAATCTGCTTCCTGGGCTGGGGAACAAGGATCTGAAGGCATTGCAAGAGTGAGCTAGGTAGCGTTCCGGCAGCGCAAGCGCCAAAGCTTATCTGGCAGTGTGATCTCAGCCGAAAAGGGCGTATTGTCCAACACGGAGAAGCTGGCCATAGGTAGGCCGCTATCTCTTTTCGACTTGGTACACCAGCTGATCAAGCAGAATCTCAGAAGGCCGCTTCGGTCCTCCCCAATTACGGCCTACAAGAAGGTCCCGACCTCCAGGACATCCTCACCCAATCCTCCCATCTCATGAACTATTTTTCTGCCGCCCTCAACGTCTATGCCGAGCGCCAAGTCTCGCTCCGAGGGTCATACAAGAAGATTCGGGATCGGGAGGAGGAGCTCATGGAGCTGCGGAGCCAGCGGCGGTCCACCGGCTCCAAGGCGGAATCAGCAGAGCGGAAGCTATCCAAGATGGGTCCGGAGAACAAGGGGTTGGTCGGCCAGACAGAGCTGCTCGAGAGGTTGAGGCAGGAGATGCGCAGTATGGATACGGATATCGTCAAGGAGGAGACGGCATTGGGCGATTTCAAGAGGCAGTAAGTCCCCCGCGGCTGACGAGAGACGTCCAGAGCTGACTGACAGAATCGTCAAGGAAGCGATGATGTACAAGTTCTGTGGGCTGGAAGAGCTCGGCGAGAAGTTGTGTATCATTGGCGAGATGGGAAAGCTGGTCATTGATGAAATACCCCTCGAGGAGACGCCGGTCGGATACGGTCGGGCGCCATACGGGGGATTTACCAAAACGGAATCTGCTGTAGATGAAGCCGGGCGATGTGTGAGCTATATCGAGTGCCGTGGTTTGGTATGAGATCAAGCTGACGATTTAGCTCGGCCAAGTCAAGTTCACCGCTGTAGAGACCGCTCTCAAACCATCCCATCTCCCGCACGCCCAACATCTCCGCAGCGCGAGCTCCAACCTTCCCCGGCAGGAGTCTATTGCCGCAGCCGAGGAGTTTGCACACTTCCCGGGCGGTATGGCCTCGCCCGAGACTCCCGGTCGAGCAGCATACGGGAGCTCCGTACCACCACCCGGCGGCAGCTACGGGCTGGACGAGAACCCCTACGGCGGGATTGCGGACCGGACTACGCACTATGGCGAGTACGGAGGCGTGCGAGGCGGGGAAGAAGGGGATGCTCGTCGGCAGACATTGTGGCAGGGTCCGACGGAGGACGCTTTGCGTCAGCAAAACCGCACGTCGGACGGGATCGAGTATGCCCAAGCTCGGATCGCGTCAATGTACGGTCACCCGAACGGGACTGCCGGAAGGCCGTCTCCTCCTATCCGGGGTCAGTCGGCTGGGCCCCAGATCGCAGAGGAGGGTCCGGACTACGAGCACCAGCAGCAGGCGGAGATGGACAAGCAGAATGAGCAGGAGCAGGCGCCGTGGAGGGAACAGTCGGACCAGACGCCTGTCGTCGCTACTCAGCATGAGGAGCTGCCGAACCCGCACGACCCGGAGAGCGCCACTCAGCTCGGACAAGACCGCGATCACCCGATCATTGGCGGAGTGGCACTTGGGGCTGCGCTGTCGCCACCATGGCAACCGCTCAACGTAAAGCGGGGAGGAGGTACGCCTGAGCCTCACAGCTTGCACGATGCGCCCGTTCCTCCGACCACCAGCGAGCCCGCCCACGCAATTCCACCGGCGGCAGACTACACGCAATCCGACTACCACTCGGAAGCGCACTCGGACCTCATTCCCCCTCCCTCCATGGCGCAACTGCACAATCGCGCACCTACGCCGGGTACCGAGGGCTTCCGCACCCCGGCCGAATCGCCCAATCTCGAGCTAGGCTCATTCCAGCACTCAGCACCAACTATACCGGACTTTGGCGGGATGTCTACCGTACCCGAAGCGACCTCCGCATCTCCCCTTCCTATCCCTGTACCAACATTCGCCCGAGCCGAGTCATACGGACCAGCACGTCCCGCCTCGCCCTCCATCGTCAGCCCCACCTCCGGCGGTAAAATGTCGGCGGGCGCGTTCCGGAAGGCAGCGCCTAGGCGGAGCGAGACGACGGGCACGACAGCCGGGGAGGAGGAGGGAACGGGGAGTGATGTTAGCAGGGGCGCGAGACGCTTGCCTGCTCCTCCTGGAGGATATACATCTGGGGTGGCGGGTCCGAGTGGAGCGCCGGCAGGTGCGCCAGCGGGCACGGGGGTCTGGACGGATGAGAAGCGGGCTTTGGCGCAGAAGGAGGCGTTTGAGGATGCTGCAGGGGATGAGAGGGGGGCGCCGCCGTCATATGGCGCAGCACCGAGCCATGATGAGAGTCTGAGATAAATCAAGCCGGGGGTTGCGTGATCTACCGGGGAATCGGTATAATGCAGGATATTGGCTAGCGCGCTTGCTCCCGGCTGCGCGACTACTGACCAACTAATACGATCATCCTCTAGCTTGAAGGGCCTGGTCACCGAATCTTCTTCAGCCTTTGCTTGCTCGACCGGGTTTCACCGTCTTTTTTTTTTGTCAATGACAGCGTTGTCAGCCTCCTCTACAAGCAGACCCTACAGCCTGAGAGACGGGGTAAAAGTCGATCGGCGGTCGGCTAAGAGCATGAACGAAAATCCATAGTACAGTGAAAGGAGCAGCACGCGAGATAACGAGTCTATAGATGGTAGGCACAGAACAATGGGCGAGGGTCGACTGCTTCCGCGCTGAATGAAATGTACCGTTTCGCCGGACGAGCGAGCCGGGTGAGGGATAAGAAGTATATGATATTTCGATTTGATATGTGGATGGGGAGGTTCAGTCATCGGTATGTTTCCACCTGTCTCGTCAGCCCAATCCCCTACATCTCTGTCATTGGGCGATGCCGGTCCGAGCGCGTAGACCGCAAGGGATACTGACTTCAGGTGCCCCTCGTAGAATTTCAGGATCTGTCGGTATCAGCGGATAGACCTCAACCTCAATCCTCAACCGAGCGCAGGTGACTTACCCGCTGTGGACACTTCAGGTACGCCACGTCGTTTACCACCCGGATGTGCTCTCCCGTGAGCCTGCACAAGTCAACCGCAAGTCCGCCAACCACATCGAGGCAGACACTCACATCGTCATGAAGACGCACAGGTCCCCGCTGTCCGCCCTCTCGATCGTGTCGATCTGCTCTACGAGCTTCTCCCAATTCTCCACGTCGTCATACCTCTCGGACGAGTCGACGTGGGTGTCCGCGTACCTTGGCGCATCGGAGACCGATCCGCCATCACCATCATCGCTGACGGCTTGCCCTGCCTTGCGCATTTTACCTCCATTGGCTGTCGGTCCCGCTCTCCCACCGCGACCCTTCTTTCCCCGTCCGCGAGTGGCCATATTCCGCGATGCAGCCGCGGGTGTGCTGGTCGAGCTGGCCGGGGCGCTTGGCCGGGGTTTCTTTGCGGGTGGGGCAGAGGTGGGGGTTACCGATTCGGCTTTAGGGCCGGCCCGCACGCTCAATCCTTTGCTTGGGTCCACCTTCTTCCAGTAGGCGTTGACGAAGGCTTTGGCATTGGTACTGTATGGGTATCAGTACAACTGTTACGGAGCGACTATCTCTACAGCCTACGAAGGCACGTCGGACTCACATATTCTCCTCGGGCTCCCATGTATTCTCTTCTGGAGCGTACCCCTTCCACTTGACATAAACTACATTCACTCAGTATGCAGCTCGACCTTATCAGGCCTCAAGCTGGACTCACATTCATATCCTCCCTATCAACGAGTCAGTGATATCTCTATATTATATGACAAACAACTCACATCGACGCTCCTATGCTTCTCAATCTTCTCCACTTCGTACTCCTCGTCCTCCGATTCGGACTCATCCTTGACATTTTTGGAGACCGCCATCTCGATAGGAGTCAGACTTTCTCGCTTCGGTTTCGCCATCGAAGGTCTCGCCATGAAACCTTCTTCCTGCTCCTGCTCGATGACCTCCGCCTTGAACTGATCCGCTTGATCAATCTGATCTGTACGATCACCCTCCAGGCCGAGTGTATCGACGACGGTGTCTAGAGCAACCTCAACCTTGGCGACGACCTCCTTGACCGCTTCTGATGCTGCTTGGGCGACGGAAGCGAGAGGTGGGCCGGCGTGAACAGTACTAGCAGATGATGGAGCTGCAGCTGACGGGATGACGGTGTTAGGAGCGGGACCTGATGCGGGGTTGCTAGATGATAGTCCGACGAAACGGGAGAGGCGGCCGAATATACTACAGTTGTCGGGCGGCGGCTGAGACGACAGCTTGACGTGTCTAGGGAGGGAGGGAGGTGTGAGGGGGAGTCTGCTACCGGATAGACGCGATGGCGGCTGAGTGAGAGAGAGAGGAGACAGAGGCAAGCAGGGTAACGTAAATTCCCCGAACTGCTAGCGGGCGCGTCGGCGCGTCGAAGGTGGCGTAAACAAGAAGGCGGACATCGCCGCGGTGCCTCTCCCTATGGTCCTGAAGGTGCTCTCACATCGTAAAGGAAAGACTCTACTTCTTCATCGCGACATTGACTCTACTGATACACTGAGAGCCCATACTGATACAACAGTCTGCCCCATGCTCCTCATACCCATTTAATACCCGCCACCACCGCCTCCCCCCCTCCTCCTCGACCCCCACCCCTGATCCCGGTCCATCCCCTGAAACCTCTCTTTGCCCTTCTCACCACCTCCTCCACCTCCCGCTGAACCTCCCCCTCGTCCGCCATATCCTCCTGACCCTCTCTCATCCCATCTTTGACCGCCCTGGCCCTGACCCTGCAGCGGACCATAGCCGCCCACTGACGGCCCGCCCTGCTGATACCCCTGACCTGGACCGGGTGGTCCGCCCCATCCCTGTCCGTGGCTTGGACTACCCGGCCCACCTTGTGTGGGATAGTAAGGTGGTTGCGAGCCATACTCGTACCCTCCTCTCGGCAGTCCCGGCGGTCCCTGCGGCCCAGATGTCCAGCCAGAGTACCCCTGTACCGGCATCCCCATCGGCATCTGTGCCTGCATCCCCTGCATCATCGTATTAGGCGGTGGGTAGGATGGGTATGGAGTCGCGTTTCCGGCGTGTACCGCGGGCGAGTACCCTACGCCGGCATGCGGATGAGGTGGGGTCGGCATAGCGCCCGGACCGGTTGGAGGAATAGGAAGCGTTCCGATGGTTCGCATGAGCGCTTCGAGATTTTGCGCCTTGAGCAGTTCCGCTGCGGATTGGGGTGTGGCGCCGGCATGATTGGCCTGAGGGGGCGGGTACGATGGGTATTGGGAGTTTTGAACCATCGGCGCCGGGGGAGGTATGAGTGGCGCAGGAGGAAGTTCCTCGCGCGCAATGACGATCACGAGGATCCACATCCGTTCGGTCCGCTCTCTGGGGATCTTGAGACCGTCGAGGAGTTCAAGGAAGTCGGGATAAGGGTCGGAAGGACGGAGAGGAATGGCGTACACGTCTTTGGCGGCCCGAGGGGGTGGTGTGGGGCCATAAGGCAGGCAAACGGCATATCGGCTGTAAAGTCAGCTTGAGACATAGCTAACGCTCGGATGGTACTCACTCTCTATTGATATAATCATCCATCAATGTCGTATAACACGCCCTGACCTCCTCCGTCTGACCCTCGGCCATCGTCATCCCCATCGCAAAGACATCCCATTTCGGACTCAGCCTCATTTGGCTCAAAAACTCCTTGCCTGCTTTGCTGGGCACTCGGCCTGCCCATTCGAGGGTCTCGCCAGGGAGGAGGAAGCGCCATTCCTCTTCGACCGTGAAGCGCCGTTGGGGAGCGGTCGATACGGCCCGAGCTTGGAGAAGGGGAGTCGGGGCGGTGCGGTTGTTTGGGTCGACGAGCTGATGGTCAGCCACGTTTCAAAATAGAGTGCTTGAGGGCAAAGCCGGGAGAAAGGAGAACTTACCCCTCGAGAGAACACGACCGGTCTCTGAAGATACGCATCCTTCTCGCTGACGCTCCCTCCTTGCTCCTGCTTGTCGCCAGAATCGACGTGGTACTCGCCCGATCCCATCGGGTCATCCTCCACCTGATCGCCGACCTGCATGAAATCGCTCAGGTCCAGCGTGGACTGGTCGATCCCGAGATCCACATCGACCGTATCGGGCGTAGCTCGCGATGGCTCGGCCGTCTCCCCGCCTCCGCCCCAGGCGGACGTGAGGCTGAACGCCCGCTTGCTCGGTGATGGCGCCATAGGGCTCGGAGGGACTTTACTGCTGTCCCGACGAACGTGCGGCGAGGCTGCAGCTGAAGCTGGCACTGACGGGGCAGCGTGACCAGTACCGGGCCCAGACGAAGCTGCTGAGGCTGCTCCTGCTCCGGCGGAAGTAGGCATGACCCCAGGCTGCAGATCAACAGGTACAGCTGAATCTGACGTCTGAGTCGCAGGCGCAGGCGCAGGCGAGTTCATCTGCTGCTGAGCCTCTGCGGGCGCCGCTGCGTCACTTTCCCGCCGAACAAGCGCTTCCCTCTCCTTCGCCACTCGCGCCCTGACTTCCTGCCGACGAACCTCCTCCTGATGCCTCTCCTCGGCTCGGTCGGCGCCAACCGTCTCCACCCCGTCACGCCCGACTTGGACTGCACCCGTATAGTCCTCTTTCTGACGGATAGTCTGCTGTAGGCTGTCCTTTCTCGCTTTATCTCGCTCGTCCGCCCGAGCCTGAGAAGCCAGATCGGCCGACGATAGGACGGCAACCTGCGCCGGCGTCAGGGAGCGCGAGAGTATGGCCGTCCGGGTCGATTCTTGCAGATGAGGCTGAAGCGACGAGATGAGGATGGTGTATTGACCCCTGGGCATCAGCTGTTTGTTCTTCCGCCGACTCCTCAAGCTCACTTGTATCTAGCCCCAGCAGTCTCCTTCCCACCTACCACGTCCCTGAAGCCAGCAAACAGCCCCGCCTCCAGCTCAGTCGCGTACTCGTCCACCTCATCCCCTTTCATCGCCTCACCAAAGAACTTCCGGACCACCTCGGTCAGCTTGTACAGCACATGCTGCCGCGCAGGAGGCAAAGTAGGGATCTTGCCCGCTGGCATGTCATTCCGATTCTTTGCTTTCGGACCCCCATTAGCCGTCTTCGTCAAAGACGGCCTGGTCTTCAGAGGCAGACGAGCCGGAGCTGGCGGGGCAACAGCGGACTTGACAGCGGAGGGGGATCGTCGAGATGGTCCAGCCGATCGAGATGGCCGAGGCTTTTTCGCGGGCCGAGCACGGTTTGTGGAGTGGACAGAGGAGTCCGAGTCGGATCCAGACGTGGAGGTGTGGTCTCCTGAGGAGGAAGAGTCGTCCCCTGATCCGGAACCGGAATCGTGCTCGGCGGGGTCATCGTCCTCGCTTGCGGCGGCGGCATCAGGGGCGCCTTGACCGGGTCGAGGTTTCCCTGATGATGGGGCAGGGCGTTTGCGCTGAATGGTCAGCGAGAGTGCAACACAAGATGGTAAGGCGAAAGTGGGACTTACGGGTATGGTCTTCTTGGGGAGCGATGGAGCGGGGATGAGGCCGGCTGGGGGACTCGGGGAGCGGAAGGTCGAGATGTCGAATAGGCCTGATAAGTTAGCGCTTGTACTCCAATGATATGAGGATCTGATAGCATGGGGAAGATGAAGAGGGGGCAGGGGCAAGTAGGGGTCGAAGGGGAGGGAAGGCCGAAGGAGCTGGGATGGCCCTGGCTGTGCCCGAGCTGAAGGAGGCAAAGGAGGCGTATGGGATACTGGAGACATCCCACAGTCTACCACCATAGACGATGTGCTGCCCAAGTACGCTATAGGCGACACGCTATGAGCCATGGCAAGATGCACAGTACGCTCATAGGATATTGCTTGCTACGACTAGACTACTTTCGCTTCGAGGGACAAAGAGCCAAAAGGGGCGAGATAGGAGGTCGAACCGGTCAAAGAAGTCAGTACACTTACGGATCGTCTGCTCGCCTGTGGCATCCTCGCAGGAGGGGCACACATACTTGTCTGATATCATCAACATCATGTCCTGTGATTGGGGAAGAAGGAAAGAGGAGGAACGTACGGATTCTCTCAGCGGTGGGTTGGTCCAGGTCGATACAGGCGAAATGGAACCTGAAAGGAGTGTCAGCGGGGGTTCAAGAAGGGAGTGTTTCGGGCAGCCATGGCGAAGAGGAGACAGGCGATATGATACGCATAGAAGAGGAAGACGACATACCAGTCATTGCAGTTCCCGCACTCAACCATCGGTCCAGACCCATCTGCACTTTTGCAGAGACACCAAACCGCCCTCGCCCCTTTCCCTTTCTTTGCTTTTCCAGCCGCCTTGCTCGCTGAGCCCACTGTAGGCTTTCCGGCCATCGCAGAAGCCTCGGTGCTCGCTGAAGCGCTCCTCGTCATGCGAACACTGCCAGCGCCAGCCTCGGCAGCTAGACATGCCTTTTCTTTTGCGCGGTTGATAAGCTTGTTGGTATCTTCCGCTTCGACCGCTCTTTGAGATTTGCTCTTGACTCTGCTAGAAACCCGACCTTTGGACGGTCCCGCTGTGGGCATGGCTACGTCTGTAGTAGTCATGATGCGGTGCGAGACGGAAACGAGTGCTATGAGTAAAGGCAAGAGTGCAGTTGTTGGTTGTGCGAGCGGAAGAGCGCAAACCGGTGGCGGGGAGGCGATGCCGTTAGGCTTATCACCGGCGATCGCCGCCATGCACCCTTATTGACCCCCGCTGGTCTCTCTAACTTCCTTCTTTGGCTTCCCCCTTACTCAGAACCCGTAGAGTCACCCTAAGCTCGGCGCTCTTCTCATCATGGTGGAGCAAGCTATGGCCACGGCCCGCACTCTCTTGGTGTCGGCTAATGACGCTGGTCCACAGTCAGAAGAGGTACCTTCCTCCCCTTGCCGTCCGAAAACTCTTCCGTCACTGATCATGTAGCGCCGGTCTTTTGTAAAGCATCTCATAACACTTCCGTCCTATCGCAACCAGCAGGCGACGCAATTCTTTAGCAACTTCGTCAAGAGATATTTCTCGGAATTTGAAGATCTGCAGGATGGGGCGGTGGACGCTGTATTAGATCTGTGCGAAGATGAGGATGAAGAGGTGAGTTTCCGTTCCAGCTAGAAGCCACAAGCTGATTTACAGACCCGAATACTGGGTATCCAGGGGCTGGGATCAACGGCGAAGGCGGACCCGAGGTGGGTCAGGGGAAATGCAGGAGTGCTTCTTCAGCTTCTTGAGTGCCGTATGTCCTTCCTCGCTATTCCTCGCTACCCATCTCTGGCATGGGCTGACGGAACAGCCGAACGGGAGCTCAAAGAGGTCAAGAAGGTCCTGATTCATATGCTTCAGAACTCGCCCATCCCAGTCTTTGGCGTCATGGCGGACGACTGCAAAGGCAGCGAGGAGGAAACCGGCGCTTCCCGTCACAATATCATCGACTACCTCTACCGGGAATGCGGTACCGAGCGTCGAAACTTCCTCGAGTCGGGCCGGAATACAGCGGCGGAGGAGATCTTTCGGACGGGCTTCATGGAGGTTCTCAAAACAGCCACCAAGGACGAGGCCAAGATGGTCCTGGAAATGCTGGTCCCCCTCTCGACCATATCCGGTCCGACCGCCAAACCCGAAACAACCAATGCCTTCGCCCGCAGGTTGACCGACTCGATATCGAGTCAATCAAAGTCGCGGGAGAAGCATGACTACGTCAGGATGTTCGCCAAGCTGGCTGAGCGGGCTCCAGCCGTGGGCGGCCGGGCGGGGTTATACTTTCTTAGCAAGCACGGCGAGGCGGTAGTGGTGGCCATCCTGGACAAGAAGGACAAGGCGGTGGCTGGGCTAATGAAGCCACTCAGAGGATGGGTGGATGAGCTCCTGAAGCTGTGGGATCGGGGAGGTCAGGAGCAAGCGGAGGGGGACCTGGTCAGGGACTGCTGCGAGCCGATGTTGGAAGAAGTCTTTGTGAGTACCCTCGTTAATCGTGGTGGATTGTAGCTGACCATCAGTCATGGCTCATCGATCGAAATACGATATATGACGACCTTGCCAGCAACGGGGCAGTCATTGAGGAGATTTTGTACCCAGTCTACAAGCTTATTCGCTTCGTGAGTCTTCTCGCTCGACCATGAAGAGTTTGGCTGATAATATAGCGCGATCGCAGGCGGGAAATTGTGCACTCGCTCAGAGTCCGAGATCTGTCGGATATTATCGCTGGAGCCGAAAAAGTCAGGACGAAATATCCCGCCCACTCTGTCATGAGCAGGTGTATCAGTAACATCGGAAAGATAACGAAGGTGAGCATGCCGGGGTGGCTGTATATCACCGAGCTGACAGGTCAGATCCTCTCTGTGGTTACGGAACGCTTCGAGGACATTTCACCATCCTGGGTCGTCGCACCTCCCACGCCCCCTCAGAGACTGGCCCCCGCTCCTGCTAGACCCCCCGTGATCGCAGCCTACCAGCCCAGAGCTCCTGCCGGCGCAAGAGCAACGGCCGCTACTACACCTCCACTTCCTCTCTCATCCCGCTTCCCCGCACCTGCCGCTCCGAGGGTACCTCCGACCGCCCCATCGGGACCTCGCGGATCTTTACCTCTCGCAGCGGCCAGGATACCCCCATCTGGACCAAGTTCCACAGGACCCCGAGTCCCATCCAACCCATCCATACCATCCGGACCGAGAGCTGCAACCTTCCCTACCCCGGCGGCCAAAGCCGCCTCAGCGGCGTCGATCGCCACAGCCATCGACTTGACGGCAGACGATATCGAGATGAAGGAAGAGCCGTCAAGCGGACCGTCCTCCAATCAGGCTCAGCCTCTGAGTGCCGTTCGTCCTACCCTTTCATCACCCAATACACAACGCCTCAACAATATCCACATCACATCTCAGTCCGGACCTGGCCCCATAATACCCAAACCGCCGACCTTCCAACCTACTATATCCCCATCTGCACCTGTACCAGCAGCCTCAACGTCGGGCCTAGCGTCGCGTATGGGCCCGGTCAAGCGTCAACGGGAAGGATACTCGCCTGAGCCGCAATCGTCCGCGCAGCCTCAGCCGAGACCGTCGATGAGCACCTCTCTATCCTCTCGGATAGGGAACGTGGTGAAGACTGAGGAGCCGGAGATGAAGCGGAGTCGGGCGGCGGAAGACGTCAAGCTGACCTTGTCGGACCGGCTGAGGAAGGGAAATGGCGCCGGCTCTCCTTCGTCCTCGTTCTTGCCACCTTTCCCTACCTTCCCCACCTCGGAATCCGACATCAAACCATCCATCTCTATAAAATCCTCCACCTCCCCACCGACCCCATCATACAACCGATTCGGGTCCGACGCGAATGGCGATCCCTCCTCATCCTCCACCGCGGCCACTTCCGTCCCAATCACCAAGCCCACCGGTACATTTTCCATCCTCGGACGGTCCGCTGTCGATGCCTCACCGGCGCCAAAAGTCGAGGAGATCGAGTACAACAAAAAGGGGCGTGGACTCCCGGAGAACAAGCCTAAGGAGGAGGCTGGGTTTGTCCCGCCGCCTAGCAGGCCGATTCCGGCGCTAGTGGCGCCAGAGCACGCCAGGCCTTGGCGCCCGTCCCGGTTAGTGCGACACACCGGTGGGCGACACGACGGAGTCTTCGGCGTCGCCATCCAAGATCTGGCCATGTCGCCTGGCGGCGTCCCGGGGCTTAGGCCCCCCTCCCATCCACGAGGTGTTCAGTTGACCGGCGGAGGGCAGGCCTTATTGGCCAGGATGGGGGTAAATACGGGCAGGTGAAGGCGGCTGGTCGATCTGGAGAGGGCGCGAGGAGGCTTGACTGGGGACATGGTCAATCAAATAGCATCTAGAAGTGTACGATCATGTATATCCTAGTATGATATGGGCCAGACGTATACCTATGCGCACGTCCCGAGATATGATAGCGAGAAAATGTCTAATGTCCATGATGAATCCAAGCTATGATGAAGATGGGAGGGTCTCCTCGTCCAACTCTCCCCGTGCCTTGCCTCTTGTCGCCCTCCATCGCCCACATCATCTCCGTTCAGACTCCGCTTCCTCTCCGCATCTAAGCCTTGTTGTCATTCAGCCTGATAACTCGCGCCTTCTCTACCTTCGCCGCGTTGATCTTGGCAATGGCGTACACGATACCAGCGACACCTCCGACGGCGATAGCGGAGACATTGCCCAAGTTGGCGGGGTCGCCGAAGAAGAGAATACCTGAGGCAGCTACAGGGAGCCTGATTGAATCAGCACTTTCGCCCAAGACCGCTTCGATCATTTATCAAGGGTACTGGTACTCACTTGTTGAGAGCACCGACCATCGAGTAGGTAGTAGACCCGCAGACACGGACACACCATGCAGTCGAGTAAGAGATGAAGACTGCAGCTGCGCCGGAAAAGGCAATAGCGGATAGCAGGAATCCACGGCCTTCAGCGGGGCTGACAAGTCAGCATAATTCGTGCAGTGCGTGAGGTACTGCTTACAAGTTCCTGATCAAGCTGCCGGTGCTCCAGTCCTCGAGCAGCACAGAGCAGACCAAGAGGACCGGGATAGAGAGGAGGTTGTTGTAGAACATCGAGTCCCAGTCCTTGAAACCGGTGACCTTGATACGTTTACGCATGAACAGCACCTATCCGGTCAACCCCTGTTCTGCAGGGCGGAACTAGAGAGAGAAACTCACGTATCCGGCCGAAGCAAAGCAGTTGATGGCCATCCAGACGTATCCAGCATTCAACGACCCCAGCATCCCCTTGGGCGCGAGCGGCACGTCCGCCCCGGATGTAGGATCAAGGAGGACCAGACCGGTCGACATGCGCGCGAGGGAGCTGGAGATGTCTGACCATGCGGCAATGACGGACGAGCCAACCATGAGGAAGAAAGAGGCGAGGGTGAGGCCGGTGACAGACCCGCCGAACCAGAGGACCTCTCCGTATGCGGTGAGGATGATACTGAGGTTTTTGAAGATGCTACGAGGGTCAGCTGGCGCTAATGGGCGAGAACAGGGGCCCGTGGACTCGCGTGTAGACTGGGATAGAGAGGTATTGCTGAGTGGTCAGCTGATGCGTTGTGGATGGACGGTATCATGTGGTTCCGAGCAACACTACCACGACTCCCGATACGATGCCCTTATGGTATTCTCTTGGACGGGAATGCTGCCACTAGCCATCGGGCTGGTTGTACTAGTCCCAAGTATTCTGGTAGCCTTTGAAGCTCACTAGTGATTTTGATCCGGTATAGATGACAGCCACGAGCAAAGCGGACACCGGGAACCAAGCCTTTGCATCTCCATTATCCCAATCTCGGACTGAACGTCAGCGAGTCCTGACCTTTGTACATACAGTTGATCATCCCAAGCTTCTTTGCTGCAAATACCACTCCAGCACAGACTCCCGATTGACACGTCAAGACTGCCATCATCAGCTCGTGTCCAGTTTGACTCGCTGGGTGATGTTGAGCTCACGCAGAAATGTCATGGTGAACTGGCTCCCGGAGACCACAAACTTGTTGATGACCGTCATTAATATAGACGCGAGGCAGTACGATATGATCGGCAGTGCTGCTCGTAAGATCAGCTCCATATACTCATCACCCCTTATCTCACGCGCCAGCTCGATATCTCGGTGATAACGCGATAAAAGCACTCACATGGAGAACCAGCTGGCATCGCTTCTGCCTTTTTCGCCTCCTCTGCTTTCCCATGCTTCAACAGCGTCTCTTTGATCTCTGATTCGGCTCGAAAACGCGCCTTTTCATCCCGCAACAAGGGCGATCCAGGCTCGGCGGCTTCCGTGACATTGACGAAAGAGCCTCGGGGTGAGAGACCGATGGGAGTCCCGCGGTGCGGGGTGGCTGGGTGCGACATGCGGACTGGGTAGGGGAGGAGCGTGGGGACGGGGTGAGGGAAGGAGGATGGACGAAGGGACGATAATAGGAAAGTTTGATGGGGGTCAAGGTATGAGCAAAATCAAGGCAAAACAAGAGCTAATTAAGGTTTTGGCGCGTAAATAAACGTTCTCGTAATGAGGAACGGAGGTGTCTCACATGCTTGTGGCAACTCGGCAAGTGGCGGAGTGGCGTGTGAGCGGTGCTTGATAGAAGCTATGACTTCGCAGTCGTTGAGCTTGGGTTGCGGATAACATCATTTCATCGCGACAAAGAAAAATGCATCGGCGCGGTCACAAGCCCAAGATGTCAGAATATGGGGGCCTAGATTTTCGGGATCCTCAACCGCTGGATGTGCGCATCCCCAAGTGCCGGCGCGCCGAGGCGTCTGAACAAGGCCTCTTGAAGATCGTCGGGAATGAACCTGCCCTGAGAATACAGCGCACTGGCCGGGTTTGAGGACCGAGGGGCGACTAATCGACAGCCATCCCTCACCAAGTCCAACAGGCATTTTCCGGTCTCGACTCCCGTGGATACGATCGAAGCCACCTGTGTCGGCTGGCCCACGAAGTAGATGGGTCCGACAGGTTCTCCCGAATCCAGGTGAATAGTGATCTGACTCCCAGGAGCCGAAACGCGGCCGGGCAACGAGATGCTGCCGTCGAGTTTGGTGGCATCATGACTACCATGGCTATCGCAAGGGTGCGTCGTGCGGAGGGGGGGACCAAAGGGAACGAAGTCGAAGACCTCGTCGCAAAGCCGGAAGACTCGCTCAGTGTGGGTCCAGCCTTGGGGGGGTATCGAGCGAAGCCAGCATTTGGTGCCATTGGACAGTATCCTGGCCATGTGGAAGCCGACGGTGGACTCCTCATCACCGAGCATCCACAGGTTCCGTACCGTAATTGGTATCGACGGATCGGATAGCGTGCAGCAGTCCACAACGACTCTTGCAATGCTGCACGCCACTCCGCCGACTGACACGCTACCTTCGCGCACCCAGATACTGTGGAACACATTAGCCGACCTCGGATCCCTGCAAGGAACCGACGATTTGTGCATGGGAACGCCGAGGTCTGGTGAGTATGTGGTCCAGTCAATCGATGAGACTAACTCCGCTTGCAGCTGCGACGCTGACGTATGTGAGTTGATGAGGCCGAGGAAGGGATCATTGGCTGTGTGATCAGCAGGGGATTGAGCTCCCACGTCGTACTCTTCTGGTCCAGGCTCCATGATTCAGTGATAAAGCGGTGTCTCTTGAGGAAAGGACTGACAGGTAGGGACGAGTGGCGAATAGTAGGTGATCCTTGCCGTTGGTGGCGAATGTGCTCCTCTCGCTGCATTTCCGCTTTTTAGGCAGGGTGCGAGAGTAAAAGGATGTGCAGTTTAGGCTCCCACCCATGTCTCACTTTCCTGTAGCCCGCACGCCGATGGCCGTTTGCGTACTGTGCCACACACCGTGACTACGTACGGTGGACCAGATCGCTGTCTCCAGGTGAGCAGGGCGATTGAGCTGGCACCCACCTCCCAAATGGGCAACTTGTGGTCAGAATACAAATGCATCATCTCGTCTACAGGTCCAGCACGGTGTGATTGGGCCGGAATCCTGGAATCCTCATGTGCTGGATGAATCTGGTCTCAGGCTCCCCCGCGCCATTTTCCAGCAGCCAGCGCTCGAGCCTTGAGGCGAAGATCAACCTCGCTCGCGTACAGCTCTTGTCAAGAGGATTGATGGGAACGATCAGGGGGTTGCTGACATGGTTCCGTATCCTGGAAAGGTAGCATCCCGACGGCACCAAGCTTTCAACCAAGTGACCAACTTGGTCAGGATGGCCGAGGACGTGGAGTGGACCCAGCGAGACACCTTCACGGAAAGTCACGTTGACCAGGCTTCCGGCGAATGAGCCCCGACCGGGCAACGAAAATCTACCAGGACGCCTGCTGATCACTTCATAGCCGTGTGAGGGGCATCGATGCAGCATGCTTTGCAGTGGCAAACGCTCGTCGGGAGCGAAGTCAAAGGCTTCTTGGAATCGCCAGACCTGATCGTCCAGTGTCAGTGCGCATACAGCACATCCAGCATCTCTGATCGTCATGTAGAGCGTCTGAAAATTTGCGGATGGTGTTGGTACCCAGGACCTCCGTGTCTCCCAGAACCCAGATGTTCCGGTTATGGTCCACCGGCATACCGTCGAGGGAAGGCGAGTACGTCGCGATCGTCACCTTTGCTGCGTCGGCTGTGGTCCCGTCTCCCAGTTGGGCACTGCCTTGCTCGATCGAGAAGGTGTGAGAGACCACGTACGTATTGTCGTCGTAGACACGGCAACAAGTGAGAGTATGGTGAAGCGGGGCAAGAGCGAGTGGCGGGCTGAACGACGAGATCACGGGAAAGCGAGCTGCGGCGGGGGCAGCTGCGCTGCGAGTCTTTCGTCAATGACAGTGTGAAGGTATTGCAAGTATGAAGGAGCGCTTGAGGAGAAACCACCACCCGGACTGTTGGGGTAGTAGTCGACCGGTTGGGGGTTCAGGTCATCCATGATTGTGAGTGCTGTGAGTTGTAGAGACGGAGGGTCTGTACAGCCAGCGGGTCGGGGATAAGTGGGATAAGTGGCGAATGACGAAACCTGCTAGCGGCGAGCAGGGGGAACGACCCCTCCCACCTCTTCCTCGGGGGTCGTTCAACTCCGCTCGCAGTACCCTCTGAGCCTCAGCAGCCAGGAAGTCAAAGGATGTGCGATCAGCCAGTCAGTCCGGGCAAGCCCGTTTCAGTGAGACCCTACGATGACGACGTTGCACCTGGGCGCCCCGCCGTGGCACTCTCACGCGGACCAGCAGACCCAACGCAGCTCAGAATAATCTGGACCAAGCATATGTGCAAGGCCAGCTGGTACTGCTGGTAATATTTTCGGTACCTGGTAGGCTGGTATACCAGTAGTATTCCGCGCCCGTCACGGAGATATGCGGCATTATAGGTAGATTCCTGACGGCCACGCGCTACATCGACCAGCGCACACATCTTTCCCTCTTATCCCGTTGTTTCATACACGCGTATATGCTGGCTGATCGCCCATGATCCACTTCCCTCGGCCGGGCGTCGACACCGACTTCAAGTTCTTGGAGCTGCTTGACTTTCTCGAGCGCCATTGCTCACTCCGCGGGCGGCTGAGATCTGATCTACACACTCGAGCACACAGCTGTGTGGACGAGCCACCCCTCATTCCGGAGGAGGAACCCCAAGCAGCGGCAAAGAGCTTCCTTTCTATCCTCTATCGTACAGCATAGGCACTAATCAGTCCTTGCTCTACACGTACACTCACTCGCTCTGACATGCTCGACTCGATCCAACGTTATGCCGGACCGCTCATTGCCGTCCTAGCCAATCTCGGCTTCACTTTGATGGATGCCGCGGCGCAGAGCTGCACCCAGCACGGTCTCGCACCTGGTCAGGTGGCTTTCAGTCGTATGGTGAGTTCTTGAACGTCATTATCGAAAAGGCTGCAGCTGAAGACCAGCTCCTTACTCTCCCCTTCATTGCGATATACATCATCTTTCGCCAGCCCGCTCTCTTGGATCAGCTCGATCCGCGGTCTCGCCCATTCCAGCACAAGGAAGCGATAGCAGCCGAGCCGGAGACCCTCTTAGTACGAAACCCAGCTCTAGCAGCTCGCCTGATCTGGCTGCGGTCTTTCTTGACCAGTGTGGAGCTTTGCCTGATGTACGCCGCGCTCAGTCGGATCCCGCTCTCTGAGTTCGTCAGCGTCTTCATGACTCGGGCGTTTCTTATCGGATTCTTGTGCTGGATCTTGCTGAAGGAGGCATTCGGATGGCGATTGCAGCTCGCAGCAGGTGTGTCCTTCCGAGCTCCCCGCTGGTGTCCCGAACTGATCGCAGGCATATCCACTATCGCTGTAGCCCTCATTGTCCAACCTCCCTTCCTATTCGGGGACCCAGTCTCGGGCGATGCGGGGACCAGGGTCTCTGGCTTCCTCCTCTGTCTAGCATGTTTCATTGTCGATACGCTCGAGAGTGAGTAGATTGCCTCAATGCTGAGGGTCCAGCTGATTCACTTCAGTGGTCGTCTTGCGCGCTATAGGTGCCGGTCCCAATCCCTCGATCATGATGCTGGGGTATGCGACCACCTGTGTCCTGGTTGGTCCATGGTTGGTTCTTGAGCTTCCCAAGTAGCGCATCCCTGGCTGATTCTCAGCTTCATGTTGGTCGCAGGCGAAAGCTTCACATGGCCGACGACCTCATTGGTGTATTTTGAGCTTGCGGTAGTAGCTGTAAGTCATGCTAGCGATTTGAGGACCTCAAACATATGCTGATCGCTAGGGCATAGGGCTAGTTGCACAATTAGCGTTCGTCAAGGCGATGCAGATGGAGACAGGCGGGATCATGTCGGTCATATCGTACGCCCAGGTACGTCGCAGGGCAGGACACCCCTCGGACACGTCGATTGACTCGCAGATCCCGATGTCTCTGCTCGTCCAGTGTCTCGCAGTTGGGACGATACCGAATGTACTGCAGGTTTTGGGCATGGGCGCTATCCTGATCTCCGGAGTATGGGCGGTCGTGAGTCATACCCTTGAGCTTGATGATCGGCAGCCGCTCATGGCCCAGATCTCCGAAAAAAGGAAGGAGGAAGAAGGAGAGATAGATGTACGTATATCTACTTTCCCTCAGCTGAGCTCGACTGACGTGATCAGGGAAGTCGGACGGACAGCTACACCCTTCTCCCTGTGCAGGCTGATCCTGAGGGTCAATCGACCAAGTAGACATGTCGTCTCAGACATGTTGCGGTATCGAATGACAGCCCTACCTGGCGTGCATCGGGTCCAAATGCTGACATCCTACTGACGGTCGAGGGAGCGGCTGATCACTGATGAGGTCGCGATTGCAACAATATGCAACGACTATCGACGCATCGACGAGCGCCGCGTCTTTCGTCCTACCCCGATGTCCGTTCACATGAAGCCACAATTCACGGCGCCTTCGACGGCCCCTCACGATGCTCATCTCAACGAGATATGCTTCCAAATGTCACTCATCTTCCAGCTGGGCGGTCTATATAAACCGAGTTTACCCGCCACTGCAATCCAATCTCGGTCTTCCACCTCACGCAAAGGCCGGGGTCGGCATACTCCAGTAGATTGACGCTGCCTCTGTGGGTACCCAGGCATCCTGGTGCGGTCCCCAGATGACGACGTACCTCCCTTCGCTGCCTGATCTGAGATCATCGACGGTGCTCACGCATCGATCAAGCGGGCAGACGGTGTGTCCCCTGTGGCAGTTGGTAGTGTCGGGCAAGGAGGAATGCCAAAGACCAAGCGAGACCTCATCGCGTTTCATGTTGCGGGCAATCGGTTCGGCAGTATTGGCACCTGAGTCCGGGGAGGCTGACTCGCTGTCTGGCTGGCAGAAATCTCGGTAGACAAGTGGGAATTGGGCAAGGTGCTCCACAATGCAGGTACCAGGGTCCAGCCTCATGATGGTCTCATCGAAGACGGTGACTTCGTCAAGATCGCCCGGCAGTCGGCTCAGGACGAGGGTAGTGATCACCTTGCAGACGCCCTGTCGCCAATTCAGGGACACCAGTTTCCCGGTTGTCATTGTGGCAGCGGGAACGGGCGGGAGATGGTTGTTCAAACGGTACGATCCTCTTCGCCAGAAAAGGTGGTGGTCGACGCCGTGAGTGTTGCATGGATTGATGGTAGATCTGAGCTCTGCGCCTGGAGCTGGTTGGAAACTCTCCAGCTGCGACCGAAGATCCCAACGGTAGGTACCGCAGTCGAGGGAGCAGAGGAGGCATCCCTCTTCTCTGAAACCGGTCTGTTGATCCGCGTTCAGCATGGCTTGGAGGCCTGAGGCTGTGCTTCCGGGGACGCCAGTGACCCACGCTGTCAGGTTCATGGGATGTTTCCCCTCGTCGTCGATCTTGTAGAACGTGCATATGTCGGCCAGGACGTCCGCGTCCATAGCAGGCTGGTCGACGTCGAAAACGTGGACAGCAGAGACATTGTCGAGGCATGGTAGTCGGAATTCGGACATTGTGTGTTGTGTGCTGGGATACGAGGGGGAAAGCAGAAGGACGGCGAGCCTGGCTGTGCTTAGATATGTCATATATGACGTGCTCCACAGCCTGCGCCTTCCTAGTCACCCTCTATTCAGTCGCAGACGGCGAGTGGCGAGTCAATGAGCAGGATGACATACGTGCTTGCCTTCGACGAAGGCCGGCCGGGTCAAGACGGAGCTGAATTGACGTGCTTGCCTTCTTCCGAAGGCGCCTGCTAGCCAGAACTGCGCTTGAGTCAAATAAGAGATAACAAAGGATAGCTCGCGCCCCAGGGAGACGAGGGTACCTGTGCGATCGCGTAAACTCCGCTTGGCGCTTGTGACCCCAGCTGGTCCCCCCAAATCGTCTTCGTTCAAGAGGCTACACAAAGGGGAAGTCCTTGTATTGAGTCTGCGCACGTCAGCATACTCCCCCTTTATGCCGCGAGAGCTGCCCGAGAAGAGGAGTCCAGCCCGGCAAACGACAGGGCGCGAACGGGACCGGGGAACGAGGTATGACCAAGAGTCTATCAGCCGATGTCACAGTCGGCAGCTCCCCAGACACATCAGCGGATGTTCATCAGTGACTAATGGATATGTGCTCAAGGGTACTTCAATAGTCAGGATGAGCTTTTCGCTACCACTTTACAGGTCTGCCACAGTCACCAGATCTGCCACAGTCAGAGTCTCCAGACTCGCCACCCAAATATCGCCGTACGTCCCCGGGCCTTTGCCGCCCGCGAGCAGATCCTTGAAAGTACTGTCCTGGTAACGGGGCGAGCAGAGTCCATCCCGGCGGCCGAGTGAGCTGGGAAGGGCGAGCGTCTGCAGACTCTGTCTCACCTTCCCTCGATCTGCCATCACCACATTTGCCTTTGACTCGGTAGAGCTGGGCGATGATGTCGACCCATTACGTGACGGGGTGGCCGACTCGAGGCTCGTCCTTGGCTTGTAGATGTCGCGATACGCCACTGGGTACCTGTGGAGCAGATCGACGATGCAGCTTGTGGTTGCGGATGGAAGGTCGTTGATGGAGCCCTCAAAGAGCGCCTCCCACCCGTCATCTTCGTCTCGGGTGAGTAGAAGGGAAGATACGAAGGTGTCGAACGGCTGACCTCCAGTCTTCTTCGGTCTGATAGCGGTGATCTTGTAAGCCGAGACGGGTGGCAGAGGGTCGGCAATCTTGAAATTGCCCGACTTGATTTCTAGACGATGACCGTCCGCGTGAGTGCCGCAATCGCAGTCGAGGATCGCACTGGGAGCATCACCTGCCCGGAAACAATCCGATGAAGGGGTTCGTAGGTTCCAGCGGAGCGTCAGGCTTCCCTGTCCCATGCTCCCATCTGCGATTGCACAGACGATGCACGCATCGCCAAACTTGGTCTGCTGATCTCGCAGCATGGTATCGAGGCTTGAAGAGGTGTTGCCAATAGCACCGGTCACCCAAGCCTCCAGGCCCATGGGGAGAGTACTTCCGGTGCCGTCGATGTAGTGAAATGTGCAGTGTGCAGCCCGTATGTCGCCGGTGTCCTTCGCGACTTCGTTGACGCTGACGTGGTGGGTGTGAGGCAATTCGAGCGCGCTTAAGATGGACATGATAGATTAAAGATATGAGGCAGATATAGAGATCAGCGAGAGATAAAGGTGTAGTGCAGTGTTGTAAGCTGATCGAGAATATATGTGGTGAACCAGGCGGTCTCTGGAACCGCCACCACCCTTTGTCCAGCGGCAAATGGCGGGCGCGAGTGAAGGTGAAACTGCATGATGCCAACGCCTTCCAGGAGCGTAGACCTGTACACGTCAGATAGTGCTGTGGCTGTGCTATGTCAAAGGATGCAATCGTCAAGCTCCACAAATTGACATGAGGTATCAGCACGTCATCGTCATCAGTACTAGGCCAAGTCTCACTTGCGCTCCGGACTCGAGGCTGCGAATGAAGCGGCAGAAATGTGAGGACTATGTAAGGTGGATTTATCGCCACTTCCTTAATACCTGACGTCAAGGGCTGAGGTAGACCTGACTCAAAGCCAAATTAGCGTACGTGAGCACTATCAGCTACGATGTACTCAGGAGTGCGCATGCAGCCTCATATCTCTGACGACGTGAGGGAGGGGGCGTCAATGCTGGCAATCAGTAAGCCTACAGACCATTTTCTATCGGATCGCAGTAGCTACACTATACAAAAGGCTAGGTCCCAAAAACAGATCATCCCCTGATTTCCCTTACTCCCCCCTTCCCTTCCCAACCCATCACCTACACCGCAATCTCCCCAATCCCAAGAGCACGACCACTCCCACGAGGCCGCCGCCTACAGCTCATCCTGCGCCCCAGGTACATTAAACACCTTCTCCACCGCCCTATCCGCACCCTCACCCACAATCTTGTACCCATTCGCCCTAAACAGCCTTCCCTTGATGAACGGCCCCACATCGTAAATCTCCAGCTCTTTTGCGCGCGCCTCGAGCTGGCTGACCCGGACTTGGACGGAATCGGGGTTGACGCCTCGGCCGTGCCGATACAGTTGAGACTTGTCCTTGACGAGTTGGCCGAGGAGGAAAGCGAGGAGTTCTTCGTTATCTTTGGCTTGGTGTACGTACTTCCGGAAGCCCTGATGCTGTCAGCTCACAATCCTCATTCCCACACCCCCGGAAGCCTGATCCCTGACCGCGACTGCTTCTTCACATCGCTGGCCACATCCATCTCTTCTTCCCTCATCCGCTTGTGTAAATCCCCATTAGCATTACAAGTACCTCAGTACTATCGCCGCGCAGTCACTCCTCATCCTCGTCGCCTCTTCCTGTGACACCGGAGAAAGAGATAGAGAAGCACTCACCCTCTCCAAAGTCTTCTTGACGCTGATCTTCTGCGCCCCGACAAAGCTCCCCACCGTCACTTGAATCGCCAGATCGATATCATCCGCCCGCACATACTCCCTCAGATTCATCTTGGCCGACGCCTCCGACATTCTGATCATACTCTCAAGATGACGGACCGTGATGGGGAACGAGCCCGTCGCGAGTGATTCGCGCCGAAGGTCCGAGTACAGCCGAGCGAGCTTGTCCTGGTCGAGCTGGTGCAGCTTGGGCCGGATGTGCTCTTTCGAGTACATGATGTACTTGCGGAGGAGGTCTTGCGGGATGATCTGGCCATCAGCTTGACCCGAGAAAGCAAAGACAACAGACTTACATCGGCATCGACAGTAGTAGACACGCTGACCTCGTCCTCCTCCGGATTGAAGTTGGGATGACTCCGGAGGTGACTGCCCACCACGAAACGCGCGAGCATTTCATCCTGTACCGGATCGACCGCGTCCTTGACGACGCAGAGCACGTCGAACCGGGACAAGATGGGCTCGGTGAGCTCGACGTTCTGCTGGAAGGGGATAGTGGGGTTGTACCGCCCTCGAATAGGGTTGGCGGCGGCGATGATGGCACACCGGGCCTGAAGGGAGGTGACGATACCGGCCTTGGAGATGGAGATGGACTGCTGCTCCATCGCCTCGTGGATGGATGTCCGGTCCGCGTCGTTCATCTTGTCAAACTCGTCGATAAGGCAGTGGCCCTTATCCGCGAGAACGAGGGCACCACCCTCGAGCGTCCATTCACGGGTCATGGGGTCTTTCCGAACCGAGGCGGTGAGACCGACCGCGGACGCTCCTTGACCGGTAGTGAAGACGGCCCGATTGGCGGTCTTCTCGACGTATTTGAGGAATTGGGATTTGGCTGTACCCGGATCTCCGAGCAAGAGGACGTTGATATCCCCTCGAATCCGATGTTTCCGGTTGATATCCTTGGCGACACCGCCGAAAAGACTCAGCGCCAGCGCTGTCTTGATATCGTCGTGCCCGTAGATACTGGGCGCGATCGACTTGATGATCCGCTTGGTGATCCGATCATCCTTGGCCATGGTCCGGATGATCTTCTCATCCTCCTCTGTGAGCCGCACAGCGGCGAAGAGGTCCTCCTTCTTGGTAATGTGGTTGGCCTCGAGGACGGTAGAGAAGACTGGGAAGCCATTCTTGGTGTTGAGCGAGGCATCAAAGTTGTTGCGGTAAATACCGGTAACCTCGATCTCCTCTCCGGGCTTGGCGACGTCGATGAGGTCCCAGAGGAGGATGACTTCCCGATGACGAGGGAGACGACCGGCAGGAACCGACCCGGGCGACTCTTGCAGAGTCATCTTTTGGTAGTTCCGGTACACCGTCTGCTCCGAGTTGACGGTGAAGGGCCCGCGGCCCTCGCAATTGGAGCAGAACGAGATCCGGAGTTCCTTGTTGGTGTCCTGGAAGAAGGGACCGAGGGTATGACCGCACTTGCCACAGTCAAACTTGACGTATTTGAGCTGAGGGAAGACGCCGGACCGACGAGTGACGACGCCAGTGACGCGGACGAGGCAGTTGAGGTTGTTTTGACGGAGGTCACGCAGGGAGAGGGAGGTGGGGAGTTCGGTGATACGGACGTGGATCTCCGAGTGGATCGTTTCGTATGAGGGGTAGTAAAGGAGAATCGCCTCCAGGGCGACCTCATCGAAGAGCGCGAGCATGGGTTGAGGGGAGTTGGCGAGGAAGTAGGCAAGAATAGGTCGGGAGGTACCGAGGTGCAGGAAGGAAACTTCGAGGGATTCCGAGTTGACTGGATATCAGCTCCGCTTCATTTGCCAAAGCTTGACACTCACTCTCTCCGAGATGCTTGATCCGCTGCCCATATACCGACTGCCCACTGGCATCGACATAGGTCATCAAGAAACTCCTGAAATGCTTCTGGACCGCCCGCCTGACCGCCTCGATCGAGACCCACTCAGCGATACTCGCCGCCTTGACATCGCCAAGATGTTCAAGCGACATTTCCTGCTGATCAGCACGGACTCTTCAACTTCTGATGGTCACTCACATCCTCTTCGACATCGTCCTCTTCCATCCGCTCGTCATACTGCCTCCGCCTCCGCCTGACGTTGACCCCGTCCAACAAGCCATCCCCGCCCGTCTCGGGCGCATCGTCTGACGCGAGGAAGGCCGGCATGTTCTCCCTCCGCCTCGCTCGACCGCTGGGACGTCCAGCATCCCGTCTTCGCATCGCCTCTTCGGCCTGTCGACGCTGGGCGACCGTCAGCCCGCCAACGTCCTCGTCATCATTGATGTCCGCCTGGGAGTAGGTGTCAAGCGCAGCGTTCGAATCGTAGTCCCTGTACAATCAGCACGGGGTCCGTCACCCCAGCATCCTACTCACCCGAACATCTCATCTCCGAACAGATCCTCTCCATCGTCATCCCCATCATCGTCCGCCTGGTCTCTTCTCCGCCCGCGCTCTCGCATTTCCCGCTCCTCATCATCGCCCACATCCTCCTCATCTCCAAAATCGTCGAAGCCTCGGACTGTCTCTGGTGGTGACGAAGGGGGAGGCGACGACCCCAGAGGCGATCGAGCGTTGGAGGGGCCTGCCCCGTTGGGTGAGGAACCAGCCGGTGGTGCCTCGGACGACTGAGAATGACGCCGCTTGGACCGGGGCTGGGAAGAAGGGGGAAGGGGCATTCCTGGTGAAGACTGGCTGATCAGCTAAGCGAACCGCAAAATGCCTTGTGGAGGCTCACCATGGCAGTATGAGTATCAGGTGAGTGTCAGTCAGTTGAGGTTGAGGATGAAGCGATGAAGGAAAGTGGGGAAGAGATTTCGCGTCTGGACGCGTCTCGACGCGTTCAAAGACCCCTGATTATCTGATTCCGAAATTACCTTGAGCTATAACGCCGAGAATAACCGACTGGGTCAAGGGTCGTTCTTGTGACCTGAAAAGTTGGTCGACCTGTCTTCAAGTCAGGAGCAAGACAGGACATCCCTCCACCTTTGCCTATACAACACCATGGCAGACCTAAGCATACCCGTACCGCTACCCATCACAGCCCTCGCCTCATCCTCCTCGCCCTCGCCGCTGCTCGTAGCAGCCTCGGGCCCCTCCCTACTCATTCACACCGGCTCATCAACGCACAATCTCGCCTCCACATCCACCGCTGGCGTATCTCACAATGCAGGGGACCAGCTCATCCCCCTCGTCCGGCACATCGCCATCTCCCCTCTCGGAGACTATATCGCCACTGTGTCAGATGACAAGCTGTTGCGCGTCTACTCGGTCGCTACGGGCGGAGCACCCACCCTCCTGTCTTCACGGCCAGTGAGCAAGAAGTGCTCCGACCTGTCCTTCTCCCTCTCTTCGGCTGGAGCCGAGCCGGACATCGTCCTCAGCGACAAAGTGGGAGATGTGTATCTCTACCCGCTCACTCCTCGGCCAGTCAGCGGGGACCGTCCTGCTCCGCTCGCACTCAACTCCGATCCCACCCTCAATCCCGATGCGGATCTCCTCCTCGGCCACGTATCGGTCCTCACCGCCGCCGTCCTCTCATGTGACGGCAATAGTATCATCACGTCGGACAGGGATGAGCATATCCGCGTCTCCCGCTTCCCCAAATCATACATAATCGAGCGGTACCTCTTCGGAACGGACGGATTCATTTCGGCCTTGCACGTACCCGAGGGATCACCGTCGACGCTGATCTCGGCGGGCGGAGAGCAGTGGATGCGGATATGGAATTGGGAGACGGGAGAGGCGTTGGGCAAGGTGGATATCTACCCGGCGGTATTGCCACATCGGAGAGCGAGGAGTAATCTTCGCAGAGTCAAGCGGAAGAGGAACGCGGCACAGGCGGAGGCGGAAGCTGGGGGCGAGCCGGGATCGAGCGGACAGGCGGAGGCACCAGAGTCCGATCTGGCGGCGGGATCATTCTATGCTGCTCCCGAGGGGTACGCCCTGCCATCCGGTCAAGGCGTGTGTATCAAGAAGATCCGGACGGTCAATGTCGGAGAGCAAACCTTGGTCCTGTTCTTTTCCGAGGGGTAAGTCCAGCTTTTTGTTGAGCAAAAGGATCTGTCCATTGTGACCTGCTTCGAGCCAGCTATGAGAGCTGACATCACAGCGCCGCCGCTATTCACTCCTTCGCACTACCCCTCGACCCCACCTCACCCCCACCCACAATATCCACCCTCCCCCTCGACTTCCCTTTACTCGACTTCACCATCCTCCCTTCCACCTCTTCTTCCAACACCCAAGTCGTCATCTCCCTCGATTCAACCTGGGGCATTCTCAAACAAAACCCTCCCGCCGGATCCCAATCCTCCGCCTTCGTCCCGCCTTCCATCACATCGGAGTGTCAAGCAAAGATGGCCACTGTACTTGTCATCGCCGAGATATCAGCCGAGGGTTTGACGCTCGTTCCTGAGCATCCGGTCCTCACTTCCTTCCAGTCCGAGTACGCCTCGGCCCCGGCGTCGGAGGTATCAAAGCTTCAGCTGTATCCGCTTCTACCGCTCCTGCCACGCTGGGCGGGGATGGAGGAGGATGATGAACTTGCTGGACCGTCTACGGAGCCTGTGGACGGTGGGAAGGGCAAGAAGGGGCAAGGGAAGGGCAAGGGGAAGGGAAAGCAGGTGGAGGCGGAAGATGCCGAAGCCGAGGACGAGATAGAGGTTGATGAGAAGAAGGTGTACACCCGGGAAGAATTGGAGGGCATGAGTAACAAAATGTTGGGGAGATTGAAGAGCCAAGGTGTGGATGTGGAGGAGTGGTTCAAGAGGAGGCAGAGGAGACCGAAGGGTGGTGCAGGAGTGAAGAAGCGGAAGGTGGGCGCTGAAGCTTTGGGGGATGCGGGAGAGGGGGAGCAGGAGGTGGAGGGAGAGGACGAGGACATCGAGGCGCAGATGAATCAAGCATAAGGGTATCTAAGGAGCACCATAAGGCATGCAGTTGGGCTTGATGAGGTGTCATATCACATACGGGATCTCGGTTTCGCTTGCGTAGCTCTGCCTGGTACCTATTCGCGGTCTCTTCTTCTCCCCTACAGATGCTTCTACTCTTCTACGGTGACCCTCAAGCCTAGGCCTGACGGCCGTACTTTTCGACCTTTCAGGCGTTCGTCTTCTCCCCGTTTGCCTCGGCGGCAGTACCCGCCGTCAATCCCCTCAACGTCAGATCGTACACCACATCCTCACACCGCTTCAAGTCGTACTTGAGCGAATCGAACCGCCGTCGGAGCTGGTCGTTCCGGAGGTTGAGCTACACAATCTCAGCTACTGATTGGGGAGACAATGGAGCGGCAGTAGCTGAAAGGGGAAGAGCGAAGGCAGCAGTCTGCACTCACCAGAGAGTATGACTGGAACACGTCGTTGACGAACGCGGCGATCTTGACGGGCAGAGCAAAATTCTGGGCAGTGACGGCGTTGATAGACAAACGAGGCTGGGTGGGTCAGCTGATGCGGCGGATGGATAAGACTGCCTGGAGTAACTGACCAGCTCATTCACCATCCCGATGACACCCTGGAGGTAATCGTCCGCTGTCAACTGTAGCTCTCCAGTATCGTCTCCTCCCACTATCGCTCGGTCAGCTCCTCCTCATCATCATATAACGAAAAATGGCAGCTCACGTCCCATGAGGTTGGCGGCAGTAAACGCAGGCACGAGCTCATCGTGCAGAATGAACCGCGCGAACGCTATCGAGGTGACAAAAGACCGGCACAGCGGGCCAATGGCGAACGAGTAGCTGGCGTGTAAGCTTCTCTTGCTATCTGCAGGCTCAACCATTTGAAAACGTACCGGTAGAACTCGCCCTTGGGGATCAACTTGCTCACGTCCGCCCAGAGGGGTTGGGCCTTGGCGACTGTTGCGAGGCATCGTTCGCAGATCGCTGCTTCTGCAACTCGTCAGTTTACTGCAGGCCAGATGACATCTATGGTAGTCTTGAAGGCGCTCGAAAACTTACGATCCGAGGCTGGAGCAGAGTGAAGCTTGTTGAGCTCGGTCAGAGCGGATCGGGAGAATTCTTCGATGGGCTCGAGGGATTCGCGGATGGCCTGCGGAGGTATCAGCTATGCCCGTTCGGCAGGACTTCGCGAACTAGCTGATGTGCCTCTGAGCGATGATGCCGCGAGAACCGTCATCTTCTGACTCGACCCTGGTCTTCACCACTTCGCGTGGAGGAGGCAGAAGAAGAAGCTCGGAACGGACTGACCTTCTTCACATTCGCTTCCGTCTCGAGCTGGCCAATGACGCTAGTCAATGTAGCGTCGACATTGGCGATCCGACCCTTGTTGTCAGTGGCAGCGCTCATCTTTGACTATTGATTCAGTATGTAAAGGTCGGGAAGAGGATGAGAGTCAACGATGCGAAGCTGAGGCCAGGCGTTAACGGAAATTCCTCGTCCGGCTGAGGTGTGTGGAGCCCCATGTCAACCAGGCCCGTGCGTCCCTTCGGCGGGTGCGTAGAGTCTTTAGCTGGCATGCATGTAGAGAGCTCAGTGAAGTCGTGAAGCGCACGTAAGAAGGAGGGCGATGGCACCGGCGATCTGTGAGCGGTGTAGAGCGGCACAAAGCATGGTGCAAACAAGGTGGTGGGTGGATGAGCATACGAAACGTCATCTCCGGGGCCAGACCAAGCCGAGGCCGAAGCGGCCAAAGCGATGACACACGACCATCAACCCATCGTCCTTGTTCCTTGAGCTTCCTTCTGCGCATCACTCTAGTCCATATCACTTGCTTCCAGCCCTATTACAGATTGAGAGCATCAGTCATCCTTTATAATCGGGATCCGAGAAATACAGCTCTGGCCCTTCCCGCAGCTATCGCCACCAACCTTGACCATGGGCGGCACCCAATCAACTCCATCACGTCCGTCCTCCCCTTCCTTCGGCGACACTCCTACCCGTCCACCCCCCACTCGCCGCCTGTCCTCCTTCAGCCGCTCATCCCGACCCTTCACCAGGCGCAAGATCAGCCATATCGTCTCACCACCATCAACGATCGCTCCTACTCCCCGGACCGATGTCTCTACGCCCACAGCGGTGGAGACACCAAGCGAGGAGCGGGACGAGGACGAAGTCATGCAGGTCTTGAAGAAGACGGAAGGGCCGATGCCAGACGTGGGGAGCTGGACGACCCCAAGTGTGGCTACTACCCCTGGTCCACCGGTCGGACTTACTCAGCCACAACCTCATCCGTCGACCTCGAGGCATTCGTCCTACTTTCCTTCCCGGCCTCAGCTCACACCCTCGGCTTCAACAAGCCCCTTCGCTCCTACACCCTTCCCCACATCTGTCGCTGGTCCATCGATACCACCAGTACCGATAGCACCGTCTGCATCAGCGGCGGCCGGTCCGTCAAATGCGTCCGAAGCGGCCGCACCCACCCCCTTCCGGCCGGCGCACTATCGGTACATGTCCCTCCCCAATCCCGCATCCGCCGCAGATCGGACCATGTCCGGTACACTCACCGCTATGCTCGGTATCTCGGGCACGGCGGATCCTGCGGATGACCCCTCAGACCCTCTGCCGAGGGCGTCACCATCTCTACCTACCGGCGCGGACGCACCACCCAGTCCTACAGTATCCGACCTGCTCAGAGCTGCTGCTACTATAATAGATGCGGAAGAAGAAGCGGGGACGGAGGAGAGGGACGGGGAAGTCGACGATATTTGGGAGTCAGCCACAGCAGGAACGGCAGGGACGGATGAAGAAGCCGTAGCTGCCCGAAGTGCCGCGCGCCGGGCTGAGCTGGACCAGCTCCGAGCGCGGCTAGACGATGCGCGGGAAGACCTCGAGCGGAGTCGGGCGGAACTGGATGAGTTGAGGGAGAGGAGGAGGGTACAGCAAGAGGCGAGGAGTAGGGTGCCTGTGGGCGCTATGCTGGTCATCCAGGGATTGGCGCAGACGCGGATCACGTCTTCGACCCTGGGGGAGGTACAGGCTGGAGGAAGTGCGGCACCGGGAGGAGCAGCTGGAGCGTCGATACCGGAAGCTGGACAGGGCATATCATCGGCGCCAGCGGGGAGTCCGGCCGCAGCGGGGCCAGCACCGAGGCGGCCCAATATGGGACGGCGGATATCCGATGGGAGTCTCTTCATGCGGAGACGAGAGATCGAGCGGGAACAGGGCGCGTCGCTGGATCAGCAGGCGAGGATGATCAGCGGGCTTCTCACGTGAGCTGCATCGCACCTAGTCGCGGGTGTATAAAGCTCATACATCAGCGTCGCAGCCGCAGCTACCGCCAACACCCTCCTCGCCGTCCCCGAGCCCACACCCGAACCCGCCTCAGCGCCACGTACAGGTCTCACCGGCGCCATCCATAGTCTGTTGAATCGCCTCCGACCCGCCCGGGCACCGCAGCACGGTATCGAGCAAGCTCTGGGCCAGTATCTCCGGAACGCGGTGCGCGAGCGACGACCTACCGCTCCTGCCGTTCCGGGCGCGACTGCACCTGAGGCGGAGACGAATGGTCTGTCGAGATTGGCACTTCCGCCGGTGACGGTTCCAGAGTCACAGGGGGGAGCGGCGGCGGGATCGGAGTTCCAGGCGTTCTTGAGGGGCCTGGAGGGGGATCTTGTCGGTGCCGTTCGAGCGTATGCCGGCTCGATGCGGTCAGATGATGGGGTGGCGGAATTGAGGGAGATGAGGGCGGCGGATACGGTGCAGGAGGAGACACCGGCTGAGGCGGCTGGGGATCCTGTTCCGGACCCGGTGACGTCCCAGGGCGCTGCTCCGGAACAGGAAGAGCAGGAGGTTGAATCGGGCGAAACGACGGGAGAGGACGACGGGGACTCGACCTGGTCTTCGGACTCCGAGGTGGAGGTGGAGGCAGAGTCAGACTCGGATTCCACCACCGAGCCAACCACATCCGCAATTCCCGTCTTCCACGCTCAGCTGGGTCAGAACACACCAGGCGGTCAGGCAGATCGGTATGGCGTCTCAGGAGGAACGGATGGGCAGCCTCGACAACTCAACTTCTTCCGTGCCCATTTGTTCCCGCCAATCAGCTTTGGGCCTGCGGTCGCTTCGCCCGCCGTCGGTTCGTCGGGGACCTCCACGAATGCAGAAGCGGGACCCAGCGGTACGAGGGGATCATCAGCTACCGCCACGGCACCCACTCCAGATCCGAACGCGATCGTACCCTGCATCTTTGTAGGGGTGCGGAGTATCCAGCGGGATGAATCTGGCGGGCCGGAAGATATCTTCAATCAGCCTGGCCTGTTTGAGGGACAAGGCGAAGAGGGTGCGGGAGCTGCGCCTGGCTCTCCGTCCACCTCTGCACCTGCACCCACTGCACCCTCAGTACCGGCCGACTCCAATCGCCCCTCCCTCCCCCGCGTCGTCTCCTCGCCGGCACCCGACCCCTCTCCGCCCCGATCCTTCCGAGACCGTTTCCTCTCGCGCCTATCTCGCCGACCCGCCCTCGCCCCTGTCCACCCAATCAACACCTACCTCGTCTACGTCATCGGAGGCAACTACCCCGCGAACCATCCTGTACTGCGTATCCCCGCGCTCCTCTCTGGCGCTCCATTATCCGACGAGGACATGGCGCTCATCTCGGAGCTCATAGGCCCCGCCAAGGCGCCCACTGCATCGAAAGAGGACATTGAGCGCGCCGGGCTCAAGATTGTCGATGGGGCCCAAATGGCCGAGTTGGGGGAGAAGGGAGAGGTGTTGGATAATTGTACGGAGCGGTGTTTGATCTGTCTGGGGGACTATGAGGAGGGAGAGGAGTGTAGGGTGCTGGTGTGTCGGCATGGGTACCATAAGGCGTGTGTGGACCAGTGGTTGGAGAAGGGGAGTAATTCTTGTCCTGCTTGCAGGTCCGAGGGTGAGCTAGCTTTTTGGGCTTGGCGGTGCCGCAAAGAAGCCATAGCTGATCTGTTCAGCTGTTAATACCAAGTCGGCACCAACGATGGATGCGGCAGCAGCAGGAGGGGGAGCAGACGAGACGCTCCCGCCCCTCTCGCCGCCTATCCCAGTCATGTCTGTTCCAGCCGGCGGACGAGACTCTCGGTCAACGAGATTACCGTATACCGAGGAAGACTTGGACTGATATCCGGGGGACAGGTCAGCAGCAGAGGGGAAGTAATCAAGGGCAGACGGCGGACGGCTGAAGGCGATCCAATGGTATCATACCAACATGTAGCATGACTCTGTTCAGTAAGCATGTAATATCTATAGCATCAATAGGGAAAGTGCGTCTTGACGGTCAGCCTGATTGTCAGGCATCTTCGGCACTTTGACCGTACCCCCCTAAAGGTGGTCCGAGACCCATCAGCAAATGAGTAAGGACCGACGGCGAAGCTGCAATTTTACATTATTCACCAGAGCTCAGAAAAGGCGGGTAGGCTGACCACCTGGAGGCCGGCAGGTGTCGAGGGGTAATGATGCTAAGGTAGAGTAGGTCGGAGTTACGGAGCGACGAGGAGGATCTATGATGATTGTTGAGATGTTTCCGATGTGTATTTAGAGTTATCGACGCCGTGCTGGTTGTGGTTGACCAAGTTGAACCTGAAGTGTCAGCTCCGCGTACCGATGCCTCTGCGACCGTATAGCCCCCTTGACCCCCACCCCTCCGCCCGAATCTGCAGCGATCTCGAGCTCCACTATGACTCACCAAGGCATAGCGTGCAGCTTGAGCTGACTCCACGTAGAGTTCCTAGCCGCAACACCCTGCAGATAGTCGCTCATGTCCGTCTCGCCATAAAGCGGTTTGCCCGCCTTGGCCAAGGCCGACATCTCCACCTTGTCCCGCGCTACTTCTGCTTGGTTCTCCTTCAGACCCCAGAGTCTGACTGTACGATGTCAGTAATGTGTTCTGAGGAAACAGCGGGGAAAGATGCGGCCCCAGGAGAGTGGGCGGACAAAGACTCACACGAAGATTGCTGATATGCGAGCATGAAACCTGCGGCGAAACCAAGGAAGGTGGTGAGGCGGAGGGCTGGGTTGATACCATGGCGGTACTTTGATGGGTCTACCTTTTCTATCACGGTATCAGCGTCGATCCTTCATTTCAGTCGCTACAGCGGCTCCGGTCGCCCTTCGGCTTCCGCAAGGCATTCCCGCGTTTCTTTCCCTCCCTACAGATCCATCTCATTCTCCGCATCCTCATTTCGCCATCCATCTTTCCATCATATGCTCCGTCCCCGTGCTTCCTCCCGCCTGTCCTAGGGGGGATCTCACCATAAAGATACAGCAGTCCCGGTCCGGCAGCGGTCGCGCCCGCCCACACCCCATAATCGCTGCTCCGCATGTACCGGATCACCCGTCCCGCGTGTGGGTCCGAGTCGATCAGAGGGTACGGTCGTGGTACGTCTTGTGCGGGCATCGTGATATAGCGGTGAGGTAGATATAGAGATGTGATAGGGAGGCAGGAGGACCATAGTACGTATCGCTGCAAAGAGCTCAGCAAGAGGGAGAGGGACAAGGCGGCGATATCCGGTATTTGGCCATGTGGCGGGGATCGGCCAGCATTCCTCGACGCTAAGAGCGAGGACTTGAGGCAGGCTAAGACGCTCGTCCAGTGGCCGTCCTACCCCGGGAACATCATACACCCCGCTACCGTCCAGTAAAGCCTTTAAGGATATGACCAACATGATTGTATATCGTACAACCCTCCGCAGATCCGCCAGAGTCCGGTCCGATCACCACACCTCTACCGTCTGTTCCGCCCCGCACCCATGACACCGCTGCAGCGCCTTGGTCTCCCCATCTTCCTCTTGCACCTCCTCGACATCCTCAAACTCATGTACATGTACCGCTTCTTGTCTCCGTTGGAAGACGTTGTTTCGTGTCCGTTTCCGCAGACTGCTAATCAGCTCATAGCCCACTTCCTGCGGATGCCATGCAGCCGAGACTCACTCTTTCAAGCCCTGCTCAAACTTCTCCTCCTTCTTCTTCTTCTTGAACTCCTCTCTCCTCTTCCACTCATTATCCAGCCCCTCCTCCCCGCCCCACTTGTCCCACGCGACCTTCTCGACCTGTTCTCGCAGGAATAGCATCATGTTGGAATAGGTGGAGGCGTGGGGGTTTGGACGCAGAAGATGGGGTAGGAGGTCTTCGTCTCGAAGTTCTGGGTCGGTGAGGAGGTAGTCCTGTAATGTCAGCTTGGTCCAGACAGTCCAAGACGGCTAAGACAAGCTGACCTCTTTACACTCCGTCTTGGTCAAGAGCGAGTACTTCTCCGGTATCTTCTCTTTGCACGTCTTACAGACTCGCACGTCGAACATCTGCCATGGTCAGCTTGGTCTGATGTATCCGTGCGAAGATCGGCGTATTTTCAAGAATTGATAATCAATTTCCAGCGAGTTGCACTCATTACATCGAGGACTCGTATCGATAGATATACCTGAAGAGGTCAGCCAAAGCACCCGAGCAGTCCACGCTTGAATCACGTCTCGAAGCAGTAGCAACTCACTAGGTTCTTCGCCTTCTCTTGCTAATCGTCGCTCCCTCTCCTTCTCTCTGGCCAATTCGACGACCGATTTGACCCGCTCCCCTCCCAGATCATCTTCCGTCAAGAACCCTCCTCTTGAGTTATGCAACTTCGAAAGATCGTATTCAAAGTATTTGCCCTGGAACGGTGTCAGCAGAGGCTGCTCCTCGTCGGCCACGAAGAGCTGGAGCTGGGTGCGCTCACCAAGCCCGGATCTCGCCTCAAAGGCGCAGGTTCCCCCTTTTGCCCCTCTACCGCGTTCCTGCTTGTCGCCGGGCCCGCCGCTGGCTTATGTACAAGATTGTCTCCCCTCCCTTGACCCCCTTGTCTGGAAGAGCCCGCGCCGGATGTCGAGTCTGCTACTCGCGAGAGGCGCTCTTTGGCCTTTGCACGGTTGAGCGCCGCTTGGCGCGCTTGAGCCGGAGTGAGGGCTGAGGCTGCTGTGCTAGGACCAGCTGTGGCATTGTTGCCGGACATATCTCGATATCCCTCTCACGACGGACTGGACGGGTATCAGTGAGTTAGTAGATGGGGTCCGTGAAGAATATGATATAGCAGAGTGAGGATGCAGAAGTCAAAAGGCTTGATCTTTCTGTTGATGAGTCATCGGTCGGCGGTGACGGCATCTCAAGTGGCGCCAGGTGGGTGGCAAAACTGGAAGATCAGCGGCCTCATGTACATCTGACGCATTTCTCTCCAGTGGTTTCTCACTACTGGGCTCCAAAGCATCCGCAATCCATTCAGGGACTGACGAAACGGTGCATATACTAGACTGACTATACTCGAAATACAAAACTTCTTACTTGCTCATTCATTGTCCATGATACGATCCACTTGCTCCACCCTACACCTCGTCCCCGTTCGACCCGCCACCACGATGTCCAACCGGCAAGTCTCAGTCTCAGTACCCCTCCCATCCCCCATCCATATCCCATGGTGATTACGACCCATTCTGCTCCTCCGGCCTGAAACCACCGTCCTGTCCCTCCTGCTCATCCTGCATCACCATCAACCCCAGACCCCTCTCGTTCTTCTCCTGCTGCATCACGGATGCGACCGACGGTGACTCCAGCGGTAGACCGAGCTGCTGCCTGTAGTCGTCGATTTCCATCCGTTGAGAGCGGACTTGTTGCCGGAGTGTGGACAGCTCTTCCCCTTGTTGGCGTACGGATGCTTCGAGGGTGGCGACATAATCTGACCGTCAGCGTTAAACTCGGAATGAGTCAGTAAACCGAGCTCGATACTGACCCTTCCGCCTTGCCCTGAAACGCTTTGCGCCGACCCTGGATGATCAGTGATGACGTTGAGGGACTCAACTCTGAAACCTGTCCAGCCACGTAAGTGGGGAAAGTGGGGAAGGGGTTGAGAACTCACCTGTTCCTTACTTGCTTCTTGTCCTTAGGCGCCAGAGCGAGATACTCCTCCTGTGGCATACCCCAGGGCTGGCTCCCGCCTTCTCCCCGGTCGTCAATGTCCAGCTCGCCCGACCAGCTCTGCATGCTCTCGGTAGGCGAGATATCTGCCCTCCTCGCCCCGCCACCGCCTCCGTATGCCGTGTTGTCGCTCAGACTCGAGCGTTCCTTCTTGACCTGGTATGGGACACCGGTGATGATGGGAGGAGGACGTGGAATGGGCGCGGAGGGAGCCGAGGATGAAGAGAAAGCGGGGTATGTGGCAGCGTGAGCGGGCTGATGGAGGGAGGAGGAGGATGGGTGGTAAGACGATGGCGAGGTCGAGTAGGCGTGACCGGCGAGGCTTCCGCTATAGGTAGGCGCGCTCGACATGCGCCCAGTCTGAGCTAGCATACGAGGCGGCGCCTCGTAATAATATTGCGATGACGGACGATGAGGGGCCGGCGCAGGGAGAAGCGGGGGAGCAGCCATGATAGGGGTGGCGGCCTGCGAGGGGAAGCCACCGTAGCTTGAGGCGGGTGGAGAGTGGTCTGGATACCCATGTGCCGTGTGAGGAGGCCCAGGATGGAGTGGTGAGGGCTGCTGCATGCCGTTGACCGTGGAGTGCGGTGTATAGTACTGAAGTGGAGGGGGCTGGTGATGCACCTGTTGGAACGTATGCGAAAAGGAGGGTAGAGCGACATTATTCGGACCCGGACCCAATGACACCAGCGACGAACCGAAGCCATTCGAGTCCGGAGCGATGGGTGGGATGGGCAGAGGGGGAGGGAAAAGACCGGGGTCGGGAGCGTATCGGCGGGGATTGCTACTGGCGCCAGGGCTGTAGTCGGATGGACCCAATTCCAGGGCACGACTGTACTGGGGATCGGATAGGGTGGGGGAGACAGGTGTATCTGTGCGTCCATGGGCCTGCTGACCGCTGGCGTAGTAAGGGTAGTACCCTGGCTGATGTGGCTCCTGGTCGTCAGCTATCTATAACAGTAGCAGCAGTCATCACCCACCCATGAATGTGGCTCCGACATTTTTACAGTTGTGCAGCCTTTTGGGCGATGATGGCGATACTCAGGACCTGGACTGGTCAGAAATGTGAGAGCTCCAGGTTATATAGAAATTTCGGTGCAGGGGATCTATGACTCACTGCAGAGATTGTGCCTGAGGCACTACACGTGAGCGGGATATAGCAGCAGGTACGAGGTATGCGGTAAAATCGGCGGGCTGCGGGCTCGTCGAGCGGGTCAAGCTGGGTGTTGTCGTACAAATATTCTGTAAGCAGCCGGCGGCGAACCGATGAGCTGGAAGAGTCGCAAGTCTGACTTGGCCGAGCGTCGCACTCCTTATCGAGTAGCCCTGTTCCTGCCACTCCCCTGATATCCCGTGTTGAGACGAGATGAAAAGTGCTGTGATGCTCTGGGTAAGAAGACTGGGCGTTTACACAAAGAGCAGCGGGTAGAGTGGGAATGCAGATGCTATCCATGGCTACTATATGTAGGGAAATTATCAAGGAGCAGCTGTGCGGTAAGGCATGTTCTCTGTGCCTGTCTATCGCGCCGAGGCACCACATCCCAGGCACACGGAGATCGGATGCTGTAAGAGTTATGGAAGATAGGCTTCAGCGGCCGCTTTCGCAGCGCGGTACCGGCGGGAAGGCAGGAATATCCGAGCAAGGCCGCAGAAAGACACCGAAACACAGGACAGGATGCAGGTTCGAGTACGCCTCATCGGCCGAAGGTGGAGCAGGCCTGAACATTTGCCTGTATGCGCGCTGCTGAAGCGACCGAGACACAAGGGGTGTAGATGAGCGTCTAGGAGACCCAAATGACGTTGCTCGCGGCTGCAGCGTCCTGCTCCACTGCAATCACTTCTGATCACTCGCCCAAAGCTAGCCCGATTGTGGATAGTACATCCTGCCATCGGATCTATGTGCGTTGTGCCTACTACAGCCGTCTTGGACGATCCTATCATCCTACTCTAGGCATCTGTAGGCATGTAATACTTGGTCTATTACGAACGCTTGGCTCAGCTGGTCTGACATCACCATAGATCTAGCAGAATCCGACGGATCTCGTGCGTAATCACCCCGATAGACCGAAAGCGACGTCCAGAGGGTCTACTCGGCACCTGCAGGTATGGCAGCGTTACAATGCGCGAAGCACTGTGCAGCAGCTCTGGCTCTTGCCCCGGCCCCCGGCAGAGCCCGGCAAGCCATAAAAGGCATAATATCGGAAATACACTCCATAGTTGCGCCACATACCGCGCCACATAATTCTGCTATTCGCTTCCAGCCATTTTCATGCACAGTAACTACATCAGTGGCGTTTCTCACGTGAGCGCGAGGGGTCCCGAAGATCGGCATGCACACCGCAGCGTACAACCGCATTCCGATGAGTTCGGTGTCCATGACTATTTATTGACCTGGATGCAGTTTGCTGGTGGGCAATGAACAACCGAAACGGTGAGAGCGGCGAGCGCATCGGCGTGTCCTTTCGGGGCGTGCGGGTCCATGCAAGCTTCGACCTGCCTGACTAGCTGCCTGACTCAGTGGACATGGAGGGAGGCCGATCATGATGTCACCCTTGAGAATCGAATGGTCGTGCCTGAGTCGTAAAAATGCCGAGAGCGTAGATCTACTTTCAGAATGCATATGCTAGTGAACAGGCTAGTGAGGCTGCTGTGGCAGTGTGGCGGCTTCTAGTGGCAGAACAGTCAGAATACCTTGGCTGGAGGTACCTGAAAGCTCGCAGCGATTTTATCAGTCACAGCTCGATAGTTGTGCCAGAGATGACGCAAGACGTAGAGCAGAACATAGCAAACGCCCGCGCTGCAGGGAGCCTCAACCTTGCGCCGACCGCATCAAGTCAGAGTTTCGAGCGTTTTGCTGCGTCAGATCACCTGCGCATTCCGGCCCGTAATGGTATCCACCTTTCCAATCTATGTATGTGCGATGCTGGCGCTCTACCCACTCAAAGCTCCACCCGTCCCCCAACCACACCCCGCACCTGCTCCACCGCCTCCTTGACCTTCTTCCCTGCCTCTCCCTGGCCGACAGCCACCTGACTCTGCAGCGCTGCAAGGATGGATGATCCCGAGCTGAGCGCCTCATTACCGACCGATACACCCGCTGACGAGAGGGACGCGAGGTATGCGGATGCGCTGGACGCTACGGGTGTAGGGATAGGGGTCGCCTGATAGCCTAATGCCGACTGGATTGACGAGGCGAGCAGAGCTGCCTGGCTGACGGCGTTATCACCTGCCGAGGCGGCGGCGTCGTACACCGACGAAGCAGACGCTGAGGCTGCCGCCGCGACAGACTCGAGCGTTTCTCGGGGTGATTCGGGGGATGGAGTCGCGCCAGCGGCCTTAACGATCGCCCTCGTTCCAGAGTGTACAGCCGATTCCGCTGCGCCAGCGACCGACCCCACGGAGCCCTTCACCTCCTCCATCAACTTCCCGAGCTTCTCAGCCGCTACCGCCGCGTACGCCTCATAGTGCTCTTGCACGCCCTCCGGGCTGGGTGTGGAACCCGCCGCTCGGATAGCAGAGCGAGTAGCGTCGTGCACCGCGCTCTGAACGGCGGATCGGACGGAGTCGGCAGACGCACCGGCGCCCGAGCCGAGTGATACAGCAGACGCGGACGCAGCGCTAGCGATAGACGAGGCGGACGCCGAGATGACGCTAGCAAGGGATTCAGCGGTCTTGCTGATCTCCCCCGCGTACGACTGGGCGTACTCGGCCGGGTTCTCCGGTGAAGGGGTCGCGCCTGCCGCAGAGATGACGGACCGAGTCGCCTGATGAACATTCTCCTCGACGATACCGTATACTGACGCAGCGCCAGCCGCAACGTCATTGGCGATAGAAGCGAGGTATTCGTTGACGGTGGGGAGGGGACCGGTGGATTTGATAGACTCCGTGGCGATATGCAAGTTGTTGAGGGCAGCCTTGATAGCTTCCGTCGCCTCGTGTGCGCTGTCTCCAGCAACGCTGACAACGGAGGAGGCAGACTGGCTGGCCACGCTGACGACGGAGGAGGCTGATTGACTGGCCACGCTGTAGACCGACTCGGCCGTCTCTTGGAGGTTCTCAGCCGAGGGCGCGATGCCCACGGCAGACATGGCGGACCGTGTGGCGTGGTGCACCGCCGAGCTGGCAGCCGAAGCAGCGGACTGGGCCGACCGAGCAGCTGCGTCCCGGATAGACTGAGCGTGTTCGACCGGGGACACCGGGGATGGGGTCGCGCCGACAGAACGGACGGCTGAGCGGGTAGCATCGTGGATGACTGATGCAGCTGCATCGTACGCTGAACCGGCGACTTGGCTGACCTGTCCGACGACCGACTCGACGTGTTCGTTGACCGACTCTGGGGTGGGTACCGCACCGACCGCACGACTGGCGGACCGAGTGGCATCGTGGACGGATGATGCAGCAGCGTCGTAGACTGAGGAAGCCGAAGCGACGACCTGCTCCGCGACACCCGACGAAGAAGCCTCCCCCTTCATGGCCGACGAAGCTTGCGACAGCGCCTGCATGACCTGCTCCTTGCCCTTGCCAATCACGCCGTCGACCGGTGCGTCCGCGGCGACCGCGCCTGGGATGATGGGGAGGATGGTTGCCCGCTCGCCGTTCGCGGTATGAGCCGATGACTTGGCAGCAGACGCAGCGACCTGCGATCCGCGGATCATCTCCCTCGCCGCAATCTTGTCCACTGCGGACTTTTGCAAGATCTTGACGCGCTCTTTGTATCCAGCGTAAAGGTCGTCCAGCTCAGTGGCGAGTTCTTTGATGGAAGCAGAGAGCTTGGACTCGGCGGCCGAGAGGGTCTTGTCGTGGACCTTTCCGTCGTGCAGATTGGACAACCGAGACTTGTAGTCGTCGGCGGTCTTGCGGAGGTCGTTGAACTTTTGTCGGTCCTTGGCGGTGATACCGTCGATCCAGGCAATCTACCCATTAGGTCCCTCCTCATCACTAGCAGTCGGGCAGCTCACCTTCATGGCCAGATCAGTCCACTCCTTGCCCAAAACAGCATCCACAGCATCCATCTCCCGCCTCATCGCCGGCTTCCCCTGATCCTTCGTGACCCGCGCCACCTCGCCACCCCTCCCCTTGATAGTCGCCAGCTTGGTCGATAGCCTCTGCTCCGCCATGATCCCCGATTGCTTCACCTGTTCCCTCGTCAAGGCGCCAGACTCCGAGTACAGCTTGTCCAGCCCGCTCAGGATGTAGTCGACCTCTTTGGTAAGTTCCTTCTTGTTGGTATCGGCCATCTTGGGGTAGGTGTCGGCAAGGAATTTGGTTTGGACGCCAGTCAACTGATCGATCAGCTTTCGTGGCAGTGGACGATGACAGAAAACTAACCTCCTGCTTGAGCTTTTCGATGCTGGCCTTGCCCTGCGCCTCCAAACGAGCCGCAATGCCGTCCCGAGCCGTGTCAAACTCCGCCTTGGTCATCTTGCCCTTCTCGCCCACCGATGCGCTGGCCGATCGAGACGCCGACGAGACGGAGGCCGAGGCCGAGGCGGTCGCAGACTTGGCAGCAGAGGTGACCTCCTCCACGACCTGCTTCCCAGCAGAGGACGCAGACGACGCCTGGCTCTTCGCAGCCGCAGACACGCTCGACGCACTGCGTGAAGCGACCGAAGCAGCGCTCGAGGCAGACTTGGCCGCTACAGCCGACGCACTAGACGCCTTCTCCTTGGCCGCCGCAGACACCTTGGCCGCAGACTCCCTCGCCACCTTGGACTTGTCCCGTACGTCCGACTTGACACCCGTAGCCGCCTGACGGACCTTCTCGGTCATGCTCCCCTTACGCTGGGCCGCGTGGGATCCGGGTGAAGGTAGGAAGTCGGAGATCATGGTCCAGAATGACTTGGGTGGCTCGGGAGCAAGCAGAGCGGCGGGTACGAGGTAGTTGACGTATTGACGCAGATAGGGCTTGTAGATCTTTTGGTTGAAGGCGGTTGTGTAGGGAGAGAGTGCAGCGGAGGCTTTGGAGGTGTATGGGTGGAGATGAGGGTCGAGATGAATCTTGTACTGCTGAGCGACTTGACTGCAGGTCAGCTTTGTCACATTTCAGACGCACGCTTTGACAACGTAGAACCCCTCCTCCAGATGATCCACCACGAACTTCAACGCCGCCGTGACCCTCGGTATGACCTGCTCCCTTGTGACCTTCTCCGCCTGCTTGACCAGCCGTATCGCGTGGGGACGAGACCAGACGTAGGCGTCTCCTCCCTTCTTCAGGCCCAGAGCGTAGGTAGTCTGCGCGTACCGCCGGGAGAGATGGGTCAATGGGTGCGCCGCAGCGTATCGGTAGCTCGAGGCCGCATTCCCACCGGCCAGAGAGGCGTACTTCCTGGCTGTAGAGAGATGAGGGGCGAGATACTGCTGGTGTGCGGCGGAGATGCGGTCCGAGAAGGGCGCGGTGAGAGTGTACCACTTTGTCCGTGCCCACGGCAGGTGAGGTTGAACCTGGGTGAGGTAAACTCTCCGTCCACCGCGCTCTAATCGCCTGACGACGGGGCTGATGAAGGTGTTGTAGAATTTTGTTCCGCGGTCGCGCGAGAAGGTGTATCCGGGCTGGATGAATTCGGTGTAGGGGTAAGTAGCCTCGACTCGGGTCCGAGCGTTCTCGAGCGCAGGGTAGACATAGGGTTGGAGGATTTGCTGGTGGTATCGGTTTGCGGGGTAGCAGAGGGTCTGACGAAGCTCTGAGGGGCCATCGTACATGCCCAGCCGGGACTGGACGAAGCGCGATAGTCCAGAGGGCTGGGTATCGGGCGCGGGGCAAAGGACGGTGGAGAAGAGGGATATGGTGAGGAGGAAGGGTAGGGTGGTGAGGATGGAGAGGATAGACCAGGGGTGACGCTTTGCTACGCGCACAGCCTTTCTGGACTTTGACTGTAACAGTCAGCAATCAGTCATGACAGACCTCAACGCCAATCTAAGATGGGTTGACGGACCTTGGCGACCTCCACTGTTCTCCCAGCGATATCTTTCGCCTGTGCCTTGGCCTCGACAGCAGACTTGGGCACAGTAGGACCGTCCTGATCGTCAGTACTTTGCCTTCAACAAGATCCTCCTCGAAGGCGATCAACGCACATAGAACTTAGATGAAGACCTTGCGCCTGTCGGACCACTGCTTGCTTTTCGCGAATTTGGTGGAGGGTTGCTCGGCAGTCGCGCGGGCTCCGACGCTCGGGGCTTCGACCCCGCTGGTTTGGACATCTTGGCTACGTTCCGCTAGCCCGCCTCGACCCAGGAAGTATAGCTGCAGAAGGGTAAAGAAGGAGAGCAAGGTATAAGCAAAAGCGCTCAGTATCATAGACGCGTGGATCGCGAAGGAGGAATTTGACCTGACAAGCTAATTACGTCACCTCTAATGGCGTCTCCATGTTGCTGCTGCAGCAGCAGCTGACGGGATGCCTGCTATGAAGCGAGGGCTTCGCTCGGATGCGTAGTGGTCACAGCTCTTTCCTGATCTACCTTACGTGGAGAAGATGCTGCGACAGCTAGGAAGGTAGATGACACCCAGCAGCTCATAGAGCGATGGGCTCGGTCTATGGCGTCGACCCCACCTTGGCACAGCGTCACTCTGCCGGATCCAAATACGCTCCAGGGGCCACACTCAGACGTCTCGTCGCATTCCTCCACATCCGCCTCCTGCACGTCCATGTCCCGGAGGTTGGAGGCACTGTGAGGTCATGCGTCAGAGGTCGTGGAGAGACACATCTAGATGATGACCTGTGATCAGTATCACTTTTGTGAGGATTGGGTCGCAAGACTGTCAGTCCGTTTGATAGCCCGTTTGAGGAAGACCAGAAGTGACTGCAAGTTATCACGCGTTCATCTCGCCATCTTCCACACAACTGAGGCACTGATTATACAGCTTAGATCAACAGCTTCTCAATCTCGTTCTGTGTTTATCAGCTTCACTCTTGTTCTAGGATGGTCTCTGAGCTCACCTTAACAGCCAAGATCTGAGCGTTAAGCTCCCTCGCCTCGTTGGTGGTCACGCTGGCAGCGATGACCGGGCGGGACACACCGCAGGCACGGCCCAGGGCTGTCTTGGACGGAAGGAAGACGTATGGGACGTTCTTGTCCTCGCAGAGGAGCGGGAGATGGAGGACAATCTCGATAGGCTCAACATCTGCGGTCATGACGATGAACTCGCAGATGCCTCTGTTGAGGGTCTTGGTCGCCTCGTTGGCACTGAAGATTAGCCTGAGTTCAGATTGATGAGTCAGGGTGAGGCTTACCCCTTCTTCAGCTGCTTGTAGTGCGAAGCCTGCTGGATGAGGTCCAGGATCTGTATAGTCAGCACATATCCTCGCATTGGATAGCCTGCCGGGCACAGCTCTGCTTGCCGAGCCGCCCTTGCCGTCCACATGCCGACTCACCTGGTTGGTCAACTGGGCGTTAGCCAAGGGGAAAGCCTTCGGGTTGGGAGTGGACATGAAGGGCGATATGTGTTTTTTTCGGTGATTTCTTTCGGACTGTTGTACGTATGTGACCTCACTTGGTGAAAGATCCCTGGTCTGGTATATAGAAGCACAAGATAGGAGGAAGGTAGATCATCTGGCTGGAGTGAGTTGCGCACAAACAGGTGGCGAGGCCGAAAAATAGGCGGATGGGCGGTGATCGCCGCTTGAGGGTGGTCGGATGTCCGGGAGAAAAAGGATTAAACTAATTTACTGGTGGTTCCGGGGCCACTCTTCGCTTTGCGTAAACAAAGGCTCGCGCTTGACTTCTTTCGCGCACCGACCCACCCACCCATCACTTTCTCTACTCACTTCTAGCTGATCGCTGAGCTACAAGGCACCCACCTGCGCGCCCAGTATGTCCGCCTCAGGCTCCTCAACTACCGCATCACCACCTGTACCGGCAGTAGCGGCCCGGCTCAAGGCAAAGAAGCGGATGATGACCCTCGTCAATCCAGCTGGTCAGTCAACCTCAACGTCGGAAGGGCTTTTGAGCTAAGCTGACAATCACAGACCCAGAGGACTTCTCCACCGACTCGATGGTACCTTATTCATCACCTGAGAAGCATGAGCGTGGGAGCAGGGAGACCACCCCAGCTGTCTCTGTACCGGTCATACAACATACTCCGCTGGCGGTTCCCGATTTCGGTGTCAAGGGGATCCTCCGGCCGGCTGGGACTCCAGGATCCGGCAATGGAGGTGAGCTGCCGATGTACCCTTCCTTGTTCGAGAACGGGACGGGAAGCTAACGATCTAGTCCGCTTCTTTCCCAAGAACCGGTTCCGCGTCATCACGCCTCGCGAGGAACTCGGCGGACCGTCAACCCCTCAGAAGAAGCCCGTCGCCCCACCACCTCCCGCCTCGCCATCTTTCTTCTCTCAACTCCTCTCTGTCGTACCCGCCATGTCCCCTCGCCGAGCTCCGCCAGTCGAGCTCGCACCGCCTCCAGAAGCGGACGAAAGCTGGGAACGACCGGGAGAGGAGGGGGAGATCTCCCTCGTCGCGAGCTCGGTTGTCTCTGCGGAACACTCCACTGTCCTCGGCGACGAAGAGGAAGGGGATGACGGTGCGAGTCTGGAAGTCCCCTGGACTGGTCCCGCCGAGGTCCACTCGTCGCCCCTCTTCATACCTATTGAAGGGTGCTCGAAGGATATTTCGATCCAGGATATCCACCCGCCCGAGATCAGTATGGACCGCTGGAAGGCGCGGATGCAGGGGCAGGAGGACGTCTCCAACCTTCTCTCAACGAGTCTGCCGGGATGTAGCGAGACGTCCTTCTCCATCGGGAGCATGGCGGGACCGTCGTTTCTTCCTCCTCGGCCGGCCTGCGCTAGTCCGCTACCTGCTACAGCGGCAGCGGAAGATATCAGCAGTGTATCGTGGATGAAGGCGGAGCAGTCGAGTATGCTCAGCGTACAAGAAGAAGAGGACAACCCGACTATCCGGCGGCGGCTCTCACCCATACCTTCTCCGGGTCAACAACCGACCTCCAAATCCCCCTCGCCGACCAAGCCCGGACTCGGTCTGGTGGTCGATCGACAACGCTCACCGCCCCATATCGCCTCCCCGCGGCCCACTCGACAAGCCAAGGCATTCACATCCATCTTTGCCGATATGTCAGCGGAGCAAGCCGAGCTGTCCTGGCCCCTCTCCCGATCCACTTCCGGGGGGTCCAAGCTGGCCGGACTAGTCCTTCAGGCAGACGAGACTACCTTCCACTCCTTCCTACCCTCTTCTCCAGCTCCAGCAACTGTACCTCTCCCCTCCACATCACCCACTTCCGAACCTCCGCGCCGAGTCCTGCCTGGTCTCACCCCCAAATCGGCCCAGACACCCGGAAACGACACCGAGTTCTTTGATGCCGCATCCTCCTTCTTTGCCGGGACTCCCTGCCCCATCAAACCTCTTTCCTCCGCCTCCACCTCTTTACCCTCCGGCACACTCACCTCACTTCGCCCCTCGGCATACACCGGCGGCTCTCTCGGCCGACACGCACATGTCTCCCTTGGCGTGCTCGCGAATCCAACGAAAAACCTCTTTGAGGCTCAGCGGACACATACGGCGGCTCTCAGCTCCGAGCTGGACATGTATCGCAATCTTACGCACAAGCTCGGAAAGGAGGTGGAGGAGCGTGACAAGGCGTTGGCGGAGATGAATCTCCGACTCGTCGAAAGTGAGATGCGGACCGCCGAGGCGGGTCAGTCGTCCATTGAGGTACTCAGAAGCTCCAGGGCGGCAATCGGGAAGAGGAAGTCATTGAGTCCTTCACCAACGCCTTCGCCGCTGGCTGCGAAGTCTGTGCAGGCTGCGGCTGGGCGAGAGGCGCAGGCGGCGAGGGCAGAAGTAGAGGGAGAGGTCAGAGATCTGGAGATCAGGTTGCAGAAGGCCTTGGCGGAGAGTAGGGAGATGAGGGAGGAGGCGGAACGGTCTCGTCGACAAGCGGAGGCATGGGAGGGGGAGAAGGTGGAGATGCTCCAGCTCGTTTCGGGAATGGAGGATCGAGAGCGGGATATGGAGGTGGCTATGAGTCGACAGGATGCGGAGCTCCGCGCGGAGCTGGAGGAGACGCAGAGGGACCTGGAAGCTACCAGGGAGGGGGCGGAGGCTGTGCATGCTGAGCTGGAGTCGCTTAGGCGGGAACGAGAAGCGGATGGGAAGGAAATCGAGCGGTTGGGTCAGTCAGTGGAGAAAGCGAGGGAGGGACGTAGGAGGGAAGATGGGCTGAGAGATGAGCTCGAGCAGGCCAAGAGGGAGATGGAGGAGCTGCAGGGAGAACGGGTGGAGATGGAGCGGGAGCTGGATGGGGAGAGGCGGGCGAATGGGGATATGGAGGTTATGGTACATGAGGTGAGCGGATAGCAGTCCACTATCGCTCGAGGACGAAGCTGATTCCTGTAGTTGAAGATCGCGCTGCATCAAGCTCAATCCGCCCTCGTCGAGGTATCCACCACCGCACAGCGCGACCTCGACACCCTGGAGAAGGAGGCTTCCCGGCTCCGTGCAGAATCATCCAGTAAAGATCTAGAACTCATGATCCTCCAACGGCGGAAGAATGAGCTGAAGGAGGACCGGGAGATGCTCAATGTCGCTCTGGACAGTAAACAGCAAGAGGTAGAGCTGGTGAGTGATTCAGCTTGTCTTTTACCCGTTGTGGTTTGGTTGAGGAAGCAGCTGAACCAGTTAGCTGAAACGCAAATTGGCTCGGTTCAGTCAAGCTACCCCCCTCGGCGTCTCTCAACGTCCAAACCTCGATATCGGCGCCGGCAAGCACCACGCGGGCGTCCAGACACCCATGCCCTCCACTCAGCACTTCAAGTTGCATCCCACCACCGCCGCGCCAGCGACCGAGTACAACACCAAGCGGCGCTCCTCGGCTTCATACGCTACTCCGCTTGCAGGCAATGGGCGGGCTATGCGTTCAGGAGCAATGATGCTCATGGAGGATCAGCGGACGAGTACGGTCGTCAAGGAGAGGGTGATGCGGCGTGTGGCTAGCGGTAGCCATGGACAGGGGGAGAATGTGCCGGTAGCGCGAGAGACGCATGAGAGGGAGAGGAGGAATTCGAGGAGGGAAAGCGTGCTGGCGTGAAATTTGGGAGTGGGGATCCATCAGGAAGTATCAGGGCTCACGCGAATCAGAACGACCATTCAGTATCTTGTATATCGCAGACATCTTGATTGTACCTTGCCTGCATATAATGCATCGCAAGATCTGCACTTATCCGTTGATTTTCGACTTTCGCCTCGCGGTCTACGCACCGGCAGCGGTCTTGCCTGTGACGGTCGGGACCGAGCTTGGCGGAATGAAGCCGATCTGTCGAGTCAGCTTGACCTGTTGAACGCGGTAGCCGACAAGCTCACCTCCGTACACAGCGCCGTGATATACTCCGCTGGCGTCAAATCATAGGTCAACGCCAGCCTCGTCAGATTCGCTCCTCCCCCTTCCTTCCCGTCACCGGCCTTCACAATCCCCTCCGTCCCCCGATCCTCATCCATCCAGTTCACATCCACCTCATTCATCCCCAATCCGTCCAGCCGGACGCCGCCTGTAAACTTGTATGTTTCCACAGCGACCACCACGGGGACCCTATACTCTTTCGCGAGCATAGCGACGAGGGCTGTTCCTGCTCGAGCATGGAGGGAGCCGTTCGCGTATAATGCCGAGGCGCCGAGGAGGACGAGGGAGGTTCGTGAGAGCAGAGGCGAGAGGGAGGTGAGGAGAGTGTAGGTCGTGGGTATACCTTGTGCGCTAAGGGCTTCGAGCAGATTCCGGCCTGGGACATCAGCTCGACATACCACCTCCGAGAAGAATAGCTCACCTTCGTGTAATGGCGCAGAGTCCACTACGATCACTTCAAATGTCGCTTCAGGATCTGCCTCCCGCATCTTCGTCCAGGCATAGATCAGACAACGCTCCACAACCGATGATCTTTACCTCAGTCAGCGAGAAATTTAACTGGTGAAGCTCCAGCTCACCTGGCATAGACCATAATGACATCTCCTGCCCGGATCTTCCGCTGGGCCTCAAAGGCGATCTGCTGGCCTGCGTATTCGATCCGGTCTCGGATATAGTACGCGATGGAAAGTATGAGGTGCTGCTTTTGCTACAGCAGATAAGCGACTTGCCCTTACATCCAGCCACCTCCGCATCCCATAATCCTTGGGAAGGCACTTCAACTCACCGCGTCTTCCGTCCGGTCCTCCTCTTCCTCTCCCAGCTTATTGATCTCCCCCTTTAACCACCTAATAGCATTCCCCCCTCCTGCTCCCTTGGGCCGACAACCCTCCAGCCAAGCGATCATGGGACTCAGGTGGCCCGGCAGATCTTTCCACAGTACAGCATTCTCCGGGCTCTCATAATCCCTTATCACCTCCTTGAACGCCAATAACATGCCCGTCGTGCGGGCATTGGAACCTCGGAGGGCGCCAGAGGCCATGAGGCATCCCAGGCGGATGACGAGCGGATGGATCTTCCCGGATTGAATGGCGGTAGCGGTGGCTGGTGGAGTGAGGATGGGGAGGTGTGAGAAGAAGAGAGAATGCGATGGGGTCGGGGGAAGGATATAGGATACGTCCGACAGAAGAGGAGCGGGACGTCGAGCGGCGTTGTTGCCGCCGCCAGTACCGGCGCCACCTGGCTGGGACGATGTGGATTGGCCGAGAGAGGGGTTTGCGTTCGAATTGGAATTTGCGTTCGAGCCGCTGGGTCCAGCTCCTGCAGCGGCTGCGGCCGCCCGAGGGTCCTCCCCTCCGCCTCTAGCAGCAACAGCTGCAGCCCGCTTTTCCTTCTTGATGTCCTTGGCGGACTTCTCGCCTGCTTTGGCTCCAGCGCCATCGGTGGGGGCTTTGGCAGCTTTGGGCTGTTTCGCTGGTTTGGACGTGGGGGCAGTCCCAGAGCCAGAGCCGGATGCTTCGGGCTTTTCGTCTGACATGCTGTTATCAGAGTGTCGGAGGGGTAGCAAGGATATGGGGCAGCCGAGCGGGTGCACGATAGGGAGATGCAAAGTAGAGAAGACGAGAGGGGCAAAGCGAAAGTTGACGGAGGAATTTGAGTCGACGCGCTCAGTGCCAACTTTCCGTTGATCTGGAACCTCTGACGAGGCTGGTCTATGTAGACTGGTTGCTCTTGAGGACCACTGGTCAGCATTGTCACTGTCGATGGATCTAGTGGGGGCTCCTATATTACGACGATGCATATGGCGCAATGCCACTACCTTCCTTCCCCGAAGTCCGCTTGAAATCGTGATCCCTCCCTTCCAAGATGATTTGAAGATACCCCGCCCTTCCTCTTTTCCGTGACCGCGCCTTGCTCTACTGGTACTTGGACATGAAGTCCTTGTGGAATTGCTCGATCTTGCCAATGTACTCCTCTGTACCGGGGCAGAGAGCGGTCACCCGGATATGGTACGAGTCCGGCGCCTGGCCGAAGCCTGACCCAGCGACGGCGCAAATACCCGTAGCGTCTGCCGGTGTCAGCTTGTTTCCCTTTGCCCTCCTCGTCGTACACCGCAATGGCGTATCGGGTACTCACCAAGCAGGTCCAAGGTGTACATTACGTCCGGCTGCTTCCCCCTCTTCTTGGCCTCGTCCAGTGCCCGCTGCGGCATCTCGATCTGCGGGAAGAGGTACATGGCCCCGTCGGCCGGCTGGCACGACATGCCCGGCAGAGCGTTGAAGCGGTCCGACATGAGCTGCGAGCGTGACTTGAGGTTGGCGAGGGTAGTAGATGTCTCGGTGTGCCAGAGTTCGTATGATGGGTCGCCCTTCTTAGGGGGAGCGACAAGGAGGTCCACGCCGACCTAGAGATCAGCACCGCTCTGACATGGTCGAGTGAGATAAACCTACCTGACCGGTCACTGGCGGGCACAGCATGATAGAAGCCATCTTGTAGATCTGCTCAACCACCTCCTCCCTCATGTTCGTCAACTCAAAGTATCCTCCTCTTCTCCCGCACTCGCCGGACGTCCCCTTCGAAATCGAGTGGAACGACACCAGCTGCGTTCCCTCGGCCACCTCCTTGCTCATACTCCTCACGACCTTCTTGAAGGAAACGAATGGCTTCGATTCCGGTTCAAAGATGTTGGCCTGGTACACCTCATCCGCCATGAGCAGGATGCCCTCGTCGTAGCAGAGTTGTACGACGTCCCGCATAGAGTCCTCGGCAAGACATCCGCCAGTAGGGTTTCCGGGGTTGATGATGACGAGTGCCTTGGTTGGCGTGTTGCTCCCGCGGGCGTCCGAGATGGTCTTTTTGAGCGAGTCGAGCGACATGGACCATCCGCCCGATTCGTCCAGGTAGTAAGGGAGGGGTGTGGCGGAAAGGTAGGCGAGTGTGGCGGTGTAGAGGGGGTACTGGGGGATGGGAATCATGACACCGTCACCCTTCTGCAGGGCTACGCCCATGAGGAGGGACACACCGGCCGAGGCGCCGGCGGTGAGGAAGATGGATTCGGGATCTGCGGCGTAGCCATCGCGTTCTGGCTATCAGCCGAGTACAACGGGACACATGGGCCTCTCGCAGAGAATCAAGACTCACCCTCGATGTACTTGGCGATCCGCTTCCTGATCCCCAATATACCCTTCGAATGGGTGTACGCGCCCACCGACCCGATCTCTTCGTGCAGACTCTTCGCCCTCGCGATCGCATCCTCTGGGTACATCTTCTTCGCCAGCTCGATGTGCTCCTCCATCAACGCCGGGTACTCCAGCAGACTGATCACCTGCCGCCAGAAGGTGATTGGACGCTGGTCCAGACCCTTCTGCTGCGGGTTCCCGATGTTGGCCGTAACGACCCGGTCGAACGGAAGGTCTGAGCCTTCCCCATCCGCGAGCTGATGCGCATACTTGTCGGCCTTGAGCGCGAGCTCTCCGCGGACGGCATACGACACCTCGAGGACGGCGGGGTTGATGTTATCCTTGGTGAGGCCCTTGGGCGCGCTGCTGCCGTTGGACTGGGAGGAGGACATGGTGGTATGGAGGGATCGGAAGATCGGAAGGGATGCCGTTGAGGTAGAGCTGCTGGAGCTGGAGTGAAGGGATGTCCGGGCGGTACGTGCGGTTCGTGCGCTGAGTGTGTATGCGCGAGACCCAAATCTTCCAGCAACGCTCATTGATATGAGGTGAGATGCGGAAGGGACAACCATGGTGTCGTCGTGGTCTCTGCCTGCCTGTGCTGCTGCCTCGCTGCTTGGCTGCTGCCTCGCTCGTTATCGGCCCGGTCGGTCGGATGACTTTTGCTAAGGAACAGAACGGAGTCACCGCCGATTGTCTCGGTCTAATGCGATAAGATGGATTGGGCAATTTTAGTTTCGACTCGACACGTGGGGTAGGCGAGTGGGGGAGGGCGGGGGCGGGGGTGGGGTAATGATAAGGGCGGGACTGGGCGAGGGTGCGCAGGGGGTGTAGGCGACGGTGGGGCGGTAGAAAGTCAGGAATATGATCAGGAATGAGTACAACAGGAAGGTTGTTGACTCAACGAGGGGGCTAGCTTCCCCACCAAGGGTCAATGTTAAGGTTCGCTTCACCCACACAGGCATACACACAAGTGGCGGCAGATGTGGCACTTGCATAGCTGAGGGGCACGTCGGCCGGAGTGATCTCTGAGACGGGTGATGAGGCGACGTTCTCCATGCTCCTATTAAGTACCAAGGCCTGTCCTGACTGAGGAAGAATCGCGACCTGCACAATCGTCATCCGAAGGGGACAAACGCTCGAAAACCTTGCGAATCTGCTGGCGTGCGAGATGGGCGTGGAACCCGCAGAGAGCGTCTAGCGAATGCACTAGACACATCGATGATCCTGACTCTGGCGACGTCTGGCGTATACATGAAAGGATGGGCTCGCTGGACAAAAGGCTCGTCCTTTGTCAAGCCCGCTTCAGTCTGTGATGTCGTGGGTGCGAAATGATGCGCCTTTGCGTCCCCCCTTGGGCTATAAATGGCCGTCCGCTCGGCTTTATTTCGCCCTGACCTTCTACTCCTCCTTATTCTCCCTCTACTCGCCACTGAATACCTGGTCTCACGAGCAATACACATCATGACCTGCAGGACTACGACGTCCAACACCGCGTCCATGGCCTGCGAAACCGATTATAGGAATCCCACAGCTGCGTCGTCAACATCCCCACACGGTCATCTGGTGAGTGCCTTGTACCGGGCACAAGGGGACCCCACGTCTCAGTCCTCTCAAGGGACTCAAGGGACGAGTCAGTGCGGGAGCGGGCGCTTGTCAGAGGCCACCCGCAGCGTGGTCGATGGTACCGGTGGGGTGCGCGCTTTCCTCATCGAGCGTCAGCGGGGCACTGAGGACTTTAGGAGGGCTTGAAGTCGTCCGACCCAGAATGTACGGAAGGGGCGTGTCTCGGCCGGAAGGTGCGATGCGTATGGGGTCTCAAGGTATCGATAGGCGGTATATGCATGGCTTGAATGCACGGTTAGCCTGTGACGAAGCGCAGCGCTATAGCTGAGCTATATCGATGTGAAAAGGCACTGAGACTGGTGAGTACACCGGATGCCGAGTACTCAGTGATCTCCACTCTTACCAGCCGTATAGACGATACTCGTGTCATGTCACGCAATATCGCTTCGGGGGCGTAAAGAAAGGATATCCTCATGCTCTTCTCTCCTTGGGCGCCTGAGCGAGCCGACTCTGCGAGCGGTGAGAGGTCCCCGACCATACTCAGCTTTGTTACTGTACTAACAACTGGGAACTACCCTCTATCAGACAATCCATCAATCCAAATCCCTCACACTGCGCCAGCCAAACCATGAGCCGCAACACTTCCGCGCCCTGTTCGACCGCGTCAGAGACCCATACCTCCTCGCTAGGCACGTTGCCATCGCTCCGGTCAACCACTGGAGGCGCCAGTGCCGCGTCCGCGCCGTCGGCGTCGAGAGATGGACAGTCAGCTGGTGGCGGTACTACGGGCTCTGTGAAGTATATAGCTGCCAGCTCTGTGCTCGGAGCTCGGGCCGCAGCTCGAGAGGACGCAGGGAACTACTTTGTCATGTCATAACTTGGAGACCAAGGGTCAACAGTGACTGATCATCTCGACGTTTCCTATACGAGCTCTTCTGCGCTTCTGCTTCATACAAAGTCTACCCAATCCTTTCACTTGTAAAGACTTGCATCAGATGGATTGCACCATTCGCCTGCCAGATGTGTATACTTGGTGGCGAAAAAGCTCAAAAGTCAAATCGAGTAGCAAGAAGAATGCCCCTAAGGGCTTGCTTGCTTGTCTCGATCTTCTCCTTGTCTCGCGGTTACCTCTCACCACACTCTGGGAACCCTCCCCCCGAAGGAGCCTCAGCCATGGGCGGCTTTCGCCGGGCCATGTACTCAGACTCCCCGGGCCCCGGGGGGAAGGAGAGTGGGGTGTAGGTGACATTCTTCCCGGACGGCGCCGTGCGCATCCTAACGCTGGCAAATGCAAGCGAAGGCGACCCCGTCCTGTTACTGGTGGGTGCTGGCCGCTCGACTTCCCGTTCTCCGCCCTCGCGACTTGCGGCGTGTGGAAATGCCGAAGATGTGGCGACCCGCCCCGTCCTGGATGAGGTGTTGACATGCGCATATGCTGAGGTCAGCAGAGTCGGGTGGCAAAGTGGCAGTTTGAGCAATTACGAATCGATCGCTCTTGATACATCGATACAGGGCTCCGTGTACGTCCGATCCCACAGGGTTATCATCGTCATGGACTAGGTCATGGACGCTCGAGGACCAAGAAGTGAGCTTGTAAGTTGAACAGAAAATACAGTATACCGGAAGGGAGAAACAACGGTCAAAAAGGCGAAGCCTCTCATATTCCCTTTCACGCTCATCATTCGAGCGAGTATGCAGCACAGATCGCCACGAGTACCACTGACAGTCCTGATAGCCGTAAACTGAGGGGTCCGAGGGGTTGGCGTCGGTATATACATACTACATGGCTGAAGGGAAGGTGAAACAAGTTGGTGTTTCATGCGCACGGGCTTGACACTCCCACAGGCTCTGTCTCCGAGATCTAAGATAGTCCGACAGTCCCGCAACTCCCTTCGTGACCATAGCAGACCCTAGTAGCGGTGCAGAATAGTAGTTAGATACATATTTGACATCCACATCGATTTCGAGTGAACAGCCACGACAAGCAATCCCCTCTCACTCTCGCTCCCCCGCCGCAAAATCGAGAATCAAGCAATATTGGCACAGATTTCGCTCCAATCCGCAAGCTGATAAACCTCCTCGCACTCCTGTCGTCGACTCGTTATCCATCATGATGCGTATCTGATCGTCAGCCGAGTCCCACTTCTCATGCCAATACAGGCACTCACGGATTGCACGCGTAGATCATCATGACCGGCGGACTCTTGGTCATATCCGCCATTACCACCACCGGGATCGTCATCAACTCCCTCACGTCCTGTATCCTGTGCGCTGAGTTGCCGGTCGACCGCAGACCCTGGAAGGCCGGTGTTGGGCGGCTCGCGGATAGGGCGTACTGCTTCGACTTGGCGGCGGGTCCGGTTGTGGTCTGAGGAGAGGTGGAGCGAGACATGGTGAGTGCCTGGCGGGAGATGGAGACGATGGAGGGATCGTCAGACGTGGCGATGAGGAAGGAGAGGATACCCTCGGTTGTCCAGTACATCCTGTATGATGAGCTTGGTCCTCACAACGCCACGAGGATGCTACTCACGACAAGACATCCTTGTGCTCGTCATAGACGGCATTCTCAAGCGGCATCTTGTCCGCATGAACCCGCTTCTCTATCCCAAACTCAGGCTGAAATGTCAGCTGTAGTCCCGAACACATATCGCGTATGAATCAACTCACAACAATCACGTCAAACGCATTGTCCATCACACCCGTCACTTTACCCTCCCTGACAACCGGCCCATACTTCATCGTCAAGTCGTGGATCAGCATGCACAAGTGCAAGTGGATGGACTGTTCCTCGGCCAACAGAGCGCCGGCTGGCGATTGTCAGCTTGCGTCCCAAAATCATCAGAAAAAAACAGCTCACCTTTCTTGACATTACACTGCTGCGAGATCTTGGCAACTTGGTCTCGGTCCATCAGGAATTTGACGTCGTCCCGATTGGCTGATACTGTCAGCTGCTGAGCAATCTTTTACTCCTCAAGCAGCGGACATACGAGATGTGATGCAAGCTTCGAGCATACGGTGGACGATGACATCGGCGTACCTGCGGATAGGAGACTACCATTGTCAGCTTTATCTCCAAAACCATGCAAGCGAGAAAACTAGCAGTGAAGTGGGTGTAAAGCGGCGCATTGAGAGCCCAATGCCCATACTTGGCAATATCCAGCATGCCCGAGCAGAAGTATCTCGCACTGATACCATCAGCTCCTTTGCCACATGCCGATGGCATCTCGAACTCACGAAGTCATAGCCTTCTTCTTGAGCAACTCCAGACAAAGCGCCGCCTCTGTATCCGAGATATCCTCGAACGACTTTTGCAGCGCGCCAGCAGACGACCCGTCCATCTTGTACCCGAGCTTCTCTGCGCGCTTGACAAAGTTCTCAATCCGGCGTTCGACGGGCGGTTCGTGGCGCCGCAGGAGAGCTTGTTCGGGGAGACTGCTAGCGATAAGGTGGGCAACGCTGGTATTGGCGAGCAACATAAACTTGGGTGATCAGCTAGCGTCTGAAGTTCTTGATGGGACAAGCTTACCTCTTCGACGAGTATGTTGGCTTCGGTTCGCTGATAGTCGCTGACATCGACCGGATCGGACTTGTCGTCGAGGATAAACGAGACCTTGATCTTGCGATCGGAAGTCATTGCGCCGGACTCTAATCGCCTTGCTCGTAGCTTGGTTGCAAGTTCCTGTCGAGATCAGCTTCTGCCTGATTTACTTGTAAGTCCGGGAAAAGCCTACATGAAGGGCTTTGATGTCACTTCCCACAGCTTTGCCATCTCCGTGAATCTTTGACGCTGGTAGATCTCCCGAGTTGATACCCTCCGAAGCTTCCGCATACGTCATTTTACCGCAGGACCTAGCGAGAGTCAGCTACGGTCCCGGTTGCAGATCCTCTAGCTGAGGGAACGTACTTGATGATCGTCCTCGCATAGCTCTTATCCACCACCCGCCCCTCCTTGTCGATCTGGAAGAACGCCGAGAACGCCAGCCTGTCCACTCCGGGCTGAAGGGAACAGAACTCTTCCGATAGTGTGGGCGGGAGCATAGGTACTGCGCGCTGAACGAGATAGACTGATGTTCCGCGCTTGCGGGCTTCGCGATCCAGAGCAGTGTTCAGTTTGACTAAAGGATAAGCTACGTGCCTTTGGTCGCAAAGCAGAGACAGGCAGCTCACCGAAGTAGGAGACATCTGCAATATGCACGCCGACCGTACTGGTCCCATCATCGTTCTTCTTGATCGACAGCGCGTCATCCAGGTCCGAAGCGCTAGTTGGGTCGATTGTAAAGACACGGTCTTCTCGGAGGTCCTGGCGAACTTCAAACTCCCTATCGGGGATACTGCAGAGTCAGCTCGGCTGGCTCAGACGTGAGTATAGCAAGACTCACGTCCACGGTGTCGGGGGCAAGCACTTGAGCGCCTGGTCCGGGAACTCTTCCGTGGGGAAGTTGCAATCCTTGAGCAGGGCGCTCGTTTCGACTTCGGGGTCCCCGATGGGTCCGAGCTCCTCGACGAGCGTTCCGAACGGGTGCAGACTGGTACTGACAGGTCAGCTCTTGTTTCCATCACATGAAACCGCGAGCTGAGGATACGTACATCGGCCATCGCTTGATAGTAGCCACAAACAGCCTGTCCCCATACTTGTCGGACTTCTCGATAAAGTCTTCCGGCGCCTGCTCCGTCGGGATCGCAATGAGCGGTACGCGCTTGTCGGTGGGCTTGAACCAGACAATCTTGGGCCGGGATTCGGGCTCGTCTCGCCTCCGATCGTCTCCGCGTTCTTTCCGCTCGAGGTCTTGCTTTTCCTTGGTGGCCGCGCTGGACGGACGAAGGACGCCAAGTTGACCAGAGAAGAGTTGCCCGGGCATGCGTTCGACCTGATGGTCAGCTCAATCCATAAAGACCGTGCGCCTTCGGCTAGCTCACCACAGCGACGACGTGACCCGCAAACTGAGGCTTGGTGACATCATCCACCAATTCTTCCTCCGCCAACAACAATCCCTGCCCCTCAACCTCCACGTCGTCCTTCTTCTTCTCGACCCTCTTCCGATCCGCAGGCTTGAGATCCCAAATGCTATTCTCCTCCTTCCGCTTCTTCTTCTCCTCCTTGTCCTTCTTGGTATTCCACACCTCATCCACATCCAGCAACTCGATCGCCACAATATCGCCCTCAAGGGCACGGTTCCGGTCCTTGGACCCGCAGATGTAGATGTCCGCCTCGAGGACGTCGGTAGCGACGTATGCGTCAGACCGGTTCTTCTTGTTGACTCGGAGGATTCCGACGACGAGCTTGCCCGCCTGGAGAAGGGGCGGGAGGGACGCTTGAGGAAGGTATGGCGCGAAAAGGGACTTCCGCTGGGGTCCCGAGGCGTTCTGTTGGAGTTGTAGCTGGAAAGCCTGTTGTTGCTGCCAGAGGTTGGTACCGCCGGGACTGGAAAGGGTGGTTGCAGCGAGCAAGTTCGGAAGCATGTTTGGCAGAGCGAACGAGGCCATCCGGTTGTGCCCCCCGCCAGCAGCGGCTCGGAATTGCGCGAGCGACTGAAGCTGGGCCTGGGCCGAAGCCAGATCGGTGACCTGTCCCTGGCCCTGGTTCTGGCCATTCTGGCCGACCTGGCTGATGGATCGCCAGTTCCCAGACTCAAAGCCGCTGCCGCCCCGACTGCCGGACCGGTGATGTCCACCACCAATAGGCATATTCCCATCCTCCGGAATATCCTCGACGGCGCCAAAGCCGGAGCCGGCGCCGGCGCCCTTGGCGAAGACGTTCACGCTGTGTCGCCGACTGTGGCTGGTAGGGACGGGCGGAGGCGGCATGTCGTTGAGAGTACGCGAGGTAGGACGCATCGCCTCCAGGAGAGCGGCTTCGTCGTATGAGGTAAAGGCGTCACCAGCGGCAGACGACATTGCGCTAGACTGGACTCGACGATGACCCCGAAGCTGGGCGGAGGGCTTGACGAATTGGTCCATCTGGCTGAAGGAGGATCCGCCGTTTCGCTTGGCCGCTGCTTCTTCTTGCTGGAGCGCCTTCTGCTTCGCCTGGAGCGCTTCAATCTGGCTTTGCAGCTCGAGCTACAGCTTCAGCTTTGATGTATGCATGGATACGTTTCATCCAACTCACCTGCTGCTGCATGGCCGGGGTCAACTCGCTCCCAGTGCGCCTGTGAGCGCGAGCTGCGAGCCCCGCCAGACCAGTCGCTTCGGCTCCACCGATTCCCTGGCTCCGATCCACCCGAATAGCACTGTGTGTCTGAGCAGGTCCGCGATCGCCGATAGATTCCCGGCGCTTGGCGCCAAAGCTGAAAGACGAGTTCATCTGCTCCCTTCCACCGCCGTGCGACAGCCCGTCCATCCTGAAGCCACCGACACGGTCGGGCTCATCATCCTCCTCAAACACAGGAGGAGGGTTGCGGAGCGTCGCCTGCGCCGCCCGCTGCCTGGCATCCTCGACCGCCAGCAGAGCCTGCTGCTGCATGTCGTACACCTGCTGGGCCTGGGTCAGAGCAGCGACTTGCTGCTGGGTGACATGGGCTTGCCGCTGCTCCGCCAACGCTCGGAAGCGGGGAGCAAGACCCATCTGGTACTGCTGCGCCTGGGCTTGCTGCTGAGCGAGTTGGTTGGCCGAGATCTGTGCCTGGAGCAGCTGGATCTGCTGGTACTGGATTCGCTGAGCGGCGAGGAGCTGCTGATACTGGTCGCCGTAGCCCTCGGGGTGGTACTCTTCGGTCTCGGTCAGACCCCCGAGCGAGCCGTATGGCCCCGAAGCCGCAGGAACAAGTGGGAAGTGTGGGAGTGCGGCGGGGAATGCCGCTTGCGGAGATGGGTTGAAAGCAAGGGGGTTGAGGGGGGCGATACCGTGGAAGGATGAGGTGGACGTCCGGCGGTTCCGCTCGCTGCTCATCGACATGGAGCGGTGCTGCCCGGACGGTGCGCGAGGGAGATTTGGCTGCTCGATGGGCGAGATGCCCATCGGCGACCGGGTGGGTTTGGCGGAGGGAGTGAAGGTAGGTGCGTCCGCCTTGAGCTTGTTATTGCTCATGGGGCCAGACAGGGGAGAGTTGGACGGAGGAGGGGATTTCGACGTGTCCTTGGCGTCTCGGCCACTGACAGACCGGGACCCATTGTTGGAAGTCCCAGTGGATCCGGTGGTCGGTGCGGGGGTAGTCCCTGGAGGCAGCGTCTTCAGATCCGAGATCATCTTCTGAAGACTGCTGAGGGCATCTCCGCCCATTTTCTGCTTGACGGCATCGCGCGCAGCATCGATGGCTGCTTTGGGTGGGGACATGACGGCGGTGAGCGAACGCGGACCAGACGCGGACTGCGAATCCTGATCGCCTTTAGCCTTCTCGGATGATTGAGATGCTGTCCGGCCCGGGGAGGAGGCACCGGGAATGGCGATAGGGGCTGGACGACCGCCTTTGCCAGATTTCCCCTTCTTCTCGTCCTTCGGCGCGTCCTCTCGAGGGGTAGTAGCTCCGCTCTTTCCACCACCCTTCTTGTTCCGCCCCTTCTTGCCCTCCTCTGACTTGACACCTAGGCTGGTACCGCCCGACAAAGGCTTCGAGCCTCCGTTGCGGCTACCATTCTCGCTCGGACCTCTCGACGAGTGAGAGCCTGACCGTGACATGTTGGAATTGTTGGACGAGCCATTTTTCGATCGACCGCGCCGAGAGGAAGAGGACCGGTTGGAGCCCGCAGAGGATGGCCGAGAGGGGTCTACAGGAGGAGCGAGGGTAGAGGAAGCGGGAGTGAGAGTTGGTTGGGGAGAGACGACCGCGTCGGACATGCTGAGGAGATGGGGCGAGGGCGAGACGTAGATATAAGTATGGCCTATGACTTTAGCGCGAGTCATAGTGAGGGTGTAGAGGTGAAGAAGGTGAGGAGTAATGGTGCACCCTAGACAGAGGTGTTGGGTACATACCTTGTCTTGGCCGTGTCGATGCTTGACGACGTGGGTGCTCGTCGAGGCGGTCGAGCGTCGAATGGGGAGGCGACGGCCAGTGAAGCCTTGAATAGGTTGTGGCTGTCTTGACGACTATCTACTGAGCTATACAAGGTACTTGAGCAAGGAATGAGAAGGATAGGGACCCTAAGTGAATGCCTGAGCGGGGATCCTTGTCTTGTCTTAGCTTGCTACAGGGGAGCGAGTGAGCGGCAAAGGGAGCTAGGAGGGGCTCGAGCTTCGCGTGGCGATGCTGCCCGGCCGGCCCCTGGACGCGTTATGGAGTGAGAGGAGAACTCCGTGTCTAGTACGTCATTTGGCTGCTTACGTATGCTGGGAGATCTGACGCACGGGCTTCCGAACGCACGTGCTGGTCCGTCGCCGCCTCCACTTCTCCTCCTCATGAGAAACGAAAACAAATCTCTCCTTCCTATGTCCACCTCGCTATGTGTATAGTCAACACCCGCATCTGCATATGACAGCCAACGCAGAGCCCGACAGATCATATCTTAGAAGACTTCTCTCCGGGACGTCGCCTACCGCTTGAACTGCGCCACCGCAATGAAGTTCGGAAAGGAGTTCCAGCAGATCCTCTCGGACTCGCACTTTCCCGAAGAATGGAGATCTTCTGCCATAGAATATGGACAAGTGAGATGCCATTGTCCGAGATGCATATTACTGGCTGGAGCCTAGCTAACAATGTAGCTCAAAAAGATCATCAAGGATGTCGTATCCGAGCTGTCCGGAATGGGATTGTCGCCGGATGTCCTCAACAAACTGCTCGTGACCGAGGAGGCACGAGTCACGCCGGCTCATTCTCCCCAAGGCAGAGCCGAAGTATCCTCGGCATTTCAGTCCACTACACCACCCGCGGTTGAAGGCGACATCCTCGAGTTCGAGTTTGACTCGGACGAGGCGTCTCCGCCCTCCCTGTACCCTACGCCCATGTCCGCACCGCGGCAGCCCAAGCAGACCCTCGTCGACCCTATGCTCGATACGAGCGGCTACTCAGACCTCCATCCACCCGCTACCTCGCGGTCTATGGAGGCCGGACCCTCGTCACTTCACCCCTCCCACAACCAGCGGAAATTCCGGGTCCGGCTGCTCTCGGAGTCCAGGCCGGAAACGCCAGCGGCGAGCAGAGACCCTTCGCCCGGCGGCGAAGCGAGGGCGCGCCCAATGAGCGTCTCGGGAATGTTCAAGGACACAGGCGCGGGAGAGCTGGGAGATGGGGATCAATTGAGTGGGTCATGGGGACGGGAGAGTGTGCTGGACGGGGCCGGGGGAGTGAGGGGCCGGAAAGTGATCAGGCGGAGCATGAACGAGGGAACTAGGGTGAAGGCGGAGTATGTTCTTGGTGGTAAGTCTGAGCTTTTGATCGACGTGGTTGTAGCCTCGGCAGTCTAGGCATAGAAACAACAAGCTAATATCCAGGGGATGCTCAGCACCCACAACCGCAATTAGTCCTTCATCTCCCCGCGGCAACACCCCCTCTATCGCGAGATACGTCTTCTACACCCTCCATGTCGAACGGTGTCTCATCTGAGGATGACACAGAGGATGAGGACGAGACGTTGTCTCGCGTAGCGGTACCCATCCGGAAATCCACTCTCCTGCTTCAATCCGCCGCCAACTCGCCAAATACCATCCGCGCTGCCCGGTCTCCACTCGAGCCGCCCGAGATAGACATTGTCCCGCCAAGTCCAAGTCTCCAGCGAGTACGGACGGCACTGTCACCCATCTTTGCCCTTGCCAGCGGGGCTATCGATAATGACCTAGGCGATCTGTCTTTAGGGGATTCGGCAATAGAGGATGAGCCCCTCGAGCTGCCCACTCCCCCTCCTCTCGGTCGCCCCGGCCCCTCTCCGCCCAACGGCGAGCGAGATAGGGATATCATCATCCCACTCGCCTCGGACCAGGCATTCTTCAACCTCCTCACAGCCGCTCTCACCTCCCTATCCGCCTTCCACGCAGAACAGCAGGAACAATTCCGCCTATCTGTCTCCCGTCTCTGCTCTATGGTATCCACCTCGATCCAACCCTCCTCCTCCTCTTCTGGCTCCGGCGCTAGCATCTCCCCTCTCACGTCCAACGGCACCCGACCATTCGGCGTCGCCCCCTCACTCGCCAGACCCAACAAGAAGGACCTATACGCATGGCGCGAGATCTTCACGCTGTGGATCGAAGCGGAGATCTTTGAGAGCTCTGCTGAGCGGACAAGAGGGGAACGGACGGTCGAGCAGGCGGAAGTGCGGCTGCAGAAGTTTGCGGACGAGGTGATCAAGCGTGGTTTAGGGGATCGGCGTACACTGAGGGGAAAGAAGGCAAGAGGGGCATGGGAGGAGTTCCTGCGGCTGAATGTGCTGTTGCTGGATCTGAAGCGGTTCCAGATGGCCAACATCAATGCGGCGAGAAAGTGAGTCACTACTGGTCGGCCTGATGTACCGCATGAGGGATGAGCTCATTCTACAGGATTCTGAAGAAGCACGACAAGCGGACTGCTCTGACCGCTTCGACTGGATTCCAATCCTTCGTCCGCTCTACGTTATCAGCAGTCGGTACGGACGGCAACATCACCACCTGGACCTTCTACAATACCTCACTCCCACATGTCCTGCTCGCCAGCCTGACTGATACCCTGCTACCGTATGTACCCCTGCTTTTACTGAGCTAGTTTCTGCTGACAGGACAGGATCTTGCCAAGTCTGGACGACTACGCCTGCCTCATCTGCACCTCAATAGCCTTCAAGCCCATCCGCCTGTCGTGCAAGCATCTCTTCTGCGTACGGTGCTTGGTGAAGATGCAACGGGCGGGCAAGGCAGAGTGTCCGCTCTGCCGGTCGAGGGTGGTATTGCTAGCAGACAAGGGTGAGCTCCTCCTCTCATAGTATGTCGGGGGCGCGCTGACGAATGGTAGACTCGTTAGATGTGCAAGTCATGAGGTAAGCCAAGGACTCATCACTGTAAGAAAATACGGAGCAAAGCTGACTCGTCTAGCTATATGAAGGAGTGGTTCCCGAAGGAAGTCAAGATGAAGCAGAAGGAGAATGACGAGGAGATCAATCGGGAGCTCATGTCGTACACGCAAGGTGGGGCAGGCGGGGGATCGGGAGGGAAGGAGTGTGTCATCATGTAGAGTACAAGTATAATTGGGTATCTCACTGTGGGTAATGCTATATGTTGGGCCTGTGCTCGTTAGGCTCCGGCATGGTCGACCAGACGATGCGGACTCGCTCGAGTACCAGCAAAAAATGAGGCGGTCCGACGTGGTCTCATGTACCGATAGGTCCAATTCGCGATGGCGCCCATGACATCCACAAACCTGTGTCGAACTGAATCCTGTATTCCTCTAAAGCAGAGCTTAGGAATCAACTCGACTGCTGCTGGACAAAGTCTAGCAGCCCCCTTCGGTCTCAAGGTGGCGAAGTGGCTGGTTGGGTGGCAAAACGCCACTTTTTCCGGATGGAGGAATGTGGAGTTGGCCATCCGCACGATGACGCACGCAGCAAGCAGTAACGCCGGCGGCAGTAACGCCGGTCGCCGTCGTGGTCTCTTGGCAGCGCCGGTCAGCTGATCGTCCCGAACTCCCTCATATTGTAGAACTCCCTTCTCTGAGTCTCCTCTGGCTCTCATGATATCATCATCGATTATGTCAACAAGTGCGACGTGGTCCACACATTAATGCCTCGAAGCATTATCCCCACATCGGACATATCCAGCCTCCGCCGGAGCCCCCGCACAGCTCACCGGATCTTGGCACTGCGTTGGTAAACGCCACAGCAATTGAGTGAGCGATTATATACAGCCCCTGAGCTCCACTCTCTCCCGCAACGTCCTCCACCTCGCTTTTCCATCGTAGCAACCCATACCGGAGACGTATACTATCGTCAGGCATCGCATTGGCGCTGAACGCAGCGTCACGGAACCCGTCTCTCATCCTTGGCACGATATGTCGCCTGTCTACACCGGTGCGCATGCGGGATTTCCTGACTTGGGTATGCGACACTGTCAAGGTATAAGGGCAACCCCCACTTCTGATTGTCTCCTCACATCCCCACTGCCCTTCTCAAACCCTCTACTGATCTATCACTCCTGATCTACCGCTACAATGCTCGTCAAACTTGCCATCCTCTTCCCCTTGCTCGCCTCTGTTATCGCTGCTCCTGTGCTCTCCGCCCGCCAGGACCAAGAAGAGGACGACAACGAGAACCGCAACACAATCGCCAATGACGACGACGGGGTCATCTTCTCGCCCCGCAACGGGTCCAGCATCGCTCGAGGGTCCACCTTTAACTTCACCTATTCGGTCGATGACGAGGACACCACCCGGGCCGACATCGCTCTTATTCGTTACGTTCGAGTGAGTCCATCTCTTCTATCTTTGGCTTCTGTGCTGACATGTCTCCAGGTAGGAGGTGATATCGCTGCTAGCGGAGCCGACGGCTCAAGGTCGGTCAACACCCAGTTGACCCTCCCCGCTGGTATCGCTAGCGGACGCTACTGTAAGTCATTCCCCTGAGAAGTCGTATCAAGCTTACAGAGCAGTGCTTGCGGTGGACGAGGTCGAGGGCGATGGTGATGATGAGGACGAGGAGACTTCTGTCGGCAATGACTGGTCAGAGTATGACCTTGTCACTGCTACCAACAGTGAGCTCTCTCTCATACAGCTCACGTGCCAAGCTGATCACTTCCAGATGGTGTCAAGTCCCCTTACTGGATCAACGTCGCCAGACCATCCACCAGGCGGTCTTTGGTCGCTCGCCAGCAGGAGGAGGACGGGGGCGGAGAGGAGGAAGAGGAAGGTGACTCGGAGAACGAGCAGGAGGCTCAGACTGCCAATGAGAATGATCGGGACAATGACAGGGAGGATCTCGACGACGACTCGAACGACGAGAATGGCGACGGCGACTCTTCCAACCTCCTCTCTCCCTCAAACGGTACTGCCATTGCCTCCGGTGCCACCTTCAACTTCAACTACGCTTGCGATGGTGATTGCCAGGCTGTCAGGCTTGCTCTTGTCCGCTTCTACCGAGTAAGCTGCTATCTCTTTGGTTCCATGGATCAAGCTGACGCTCAGGTCCTTAACAACACCGCCGTCTCTAGTCGTGATGACCAGAAGTACATCCGTACTACCATCACCCTCCCCGCCACCCTCCCTGCCGCCAACTATGGTATGTCATATCTGTCTTCAATATCGTACTCATGCTGATGTCTCAGTCTTGGCAGTTCGTGAGCGAGATGGGTTAGAGGATGAGGACGAGGAGGAGAATGACCGCTCCACCAATGCCGGCCAGTACTTCGACCGCTACTTTGATTACGACATCAACTTCAAGAGCTTCACGGAGGGGAATGTCGCCAACTCCGATGATGGCCGGTTCGTGATCAGAGTTGTCAATGGTACTACCACAGCTTAGACATCTTGTCATGGTCGTCACAAATAACAAATCTATAATAACTCAAGTGTAGCGATAGCTTAGGTATACATGTCCTTTAGCGATGCATAGTCTGATGCTCTTACACTTGTTGTCTCAAAAGCCGGCCTTCTCTAGGACATTCCCTGCGAGTCCGACTCTTCTACCCTTGCCGGACATGAGAGAACTTCCGAGTCGTCCCTCACTGAGACATGCCCATACCAGCTACTACATAGCCTCGATGTGAAAGCCCCCGACCATTGCATCATTCTCCTATCACTACATGGGAGGGATTCGGATGTTCAGCTACTGGATTTAGAAACTATAAGCTGGCTGTATTCATCTAGCGCCTAATACGGACTGTTACTCTCCCTGATATACCTTATAAAGTCCCTCGCCCCGTGCAAAGTTTCCCCAAAGCAACGGTCCGCCTGATCGAGACAATCATCACAACCTAGACCGTATGCGCCCAAGTCGGAATCCTCGTCGCCCAGCCCCAGCTCCCTCAACGTCCCCTGCTCCAAGAGCCACTTGCAGACTCCGTCCATCGTCTTCTTCAGATTATGTCCCTCCTCGCACTGGCCATCAGATGGCCCGGGTCGATACAGCGCCCCATCTTGCAACACCTTGCGCGTGAATAGGTCGACGACGATCGACCGCCGCAGGTGAAAGTCCTGGAGCTGTAGCCAGTGGCGAGGAGCATGACTCGTACAGACCGCGACGATGTATGGGTCCGTCATCGCGATGTGTGGGGCGTGGGGTTGCGTGGTGTTGATGGCAGCATCTTCCAATCTGTGACGGACGTCGCAGATGGCCCAGACCGCGAACTCCAGGTAATAGTCGCGGTCGGGCCCAAAGAAGACCCTGACGTTTTTGAGGGTATCGACCAGTACACGGGGGACCAGCGGAGCGTCGTACAGCCGAGCGACACAGGCGGCGTCGAGGACGGCCCTGTTTCGTCCTTCAGCCGGTATGGCGAGGTCTTCCGATAGATTTGTGGACTTCAGGACGAGCAGAAAGAGGTGCAGGCCCGCGCTGGTAGTATTGTGAAGGGGGACGAGTGGATAGCCGTTCACCATATCGGCGGGTGATGGGGAGGGGAGTGTGGCGAAGAAGCTCGACAGAGCGGACAGGAGTGAGTGGGGGAAATAGAAGCATAGTGCTATTCTGTCGCCAGCTTGCAGGAGGAGGTCGCCTGGACGCGCTTTGCCGAAATCTGCGTGGAATTTGAGTGGAGCCTCTCCAGCTGGGCTAGCTGACGGTCAGCTTTGCCAACCTCGGCGATCACAAGACGTACCCGATGCCTGAGAGGCCGCTTCTTCGTCCATTGCTTTCGCCTACAGCCTGTGAGACTGATGATGAGACACAAACAAGAGCGCGGGTCAAGCCAACCGAGCTGGGACCCTCGAAACGAGGAATGCGGTGCGTACCGGCCGCGGATGTGTCCAAAAAGTTTCGTCACGTTGGCTTGTCAGCTTTGTCCGCCTGCTTTGTGTTTTGTCGCTTGTTTTGTCCATAGCTCCTGCAATTTTGAGGTCCAGGCACTCATTTTTGGCTCTGAAGGCTTTCCGTGGACCGCTTCACCTGCATAGGAGGGTTCCAGCGCTCTACGAGGCCACTTGTGAAAGCATATCACCCACATTCCTCACTGCCGATGTGGAATCCGATGCCGGCATAGCGTAAAATTTGAGTTTCAGAAGGAGCAGCCTGTGGTCGCGCCTCGAGCAATTTTGCCGACCAAGTTGACCACAGCCGACAAGCGCGCTGGATTATGGATACCGCCGTTCGGTAGCGGAGAGCTGAGATCACGATATACAATCACTATCCATGGCGGAAGAGCGCAATATATAGGGCATCGTGGGGTGTGCGGATAGAGGCCTCAGGTTATCCAGAACACGGATAAGCCTGGACGTGCGCCAGCGCGGCTACCTCTGCTTGATACACATCCACGCATGAATCTGCCTGGTCTGTCTGACCGAGCCAGACGTATCCTCTCAATCAACGTGTCCCGCCCGCGGGCCCATTGAGATGTGACCTGCATCGGGTTGATGGGTTCAACCTGACTTCCGGCGGAAAGGAAGGTATAGGTCATGGACTATCAATTGCTGCCGCTCGACTCTGGCTTCGGTGCAGAGTGTCTATGCATCCCAGCGCATCCCTCTGAGACCCTCTGACTGTGGCCGCTGTATGAGAAGGTCATTCTGCGCGAGGAAGATATGGTCAACCGACGGGACAGGGTGACTGAGCAGACAGACAAGGCTAACGGACGGCGGAGGCAATTTTGAACACTTGGCGCCCCATAGGTGCGGACAAGGCGGGTGTGGCAGTCTCTGCATAACGCCGAGGCCTTGCAAATGTCTACTGTACCGCGCCAAAGTACAGTCCGACGACGGCGGTCGCAGTCCGCGCCTGCATGCACAGGCCAGTGATTCCAGCCATAAACGAGACTACTGTTCCAAGATCAAAACCCTCTAATCCTTCTTTACCCTGATATACCTCAGAAAGTCCTCCAGCCATCCCGACACCTCAGCGAAGGTGTTTTCCACCTCGTCCGCGCAGGTCTCGCAGCCGATCTCATAGCTGGCCCTGTTGATCGCAGTCTCAAGCTCCCCAAATGACCCATACCCGCATATGGCCCGACTAGCGCTCTCCATCATTTCCACCTTATCGTGCAAGCAGTCGAGGAGAGGGTCGCCCCTAACCTCGGGCTCTTCTCCGTAAGCGGTTGATATTTGCTGGACCTTGTATCCAAAGCGTCCTACAACGACCGAATACCGAAGTTGAAGATCCTGCAATTGGAGCCAGTGCAGGGGAGCATGGCTCCTGCTCGCCTCGACGATGGCGCTATCGACATCCGCGATGTATCTGCCTGGCCTGCCTGTCTTGTAGGCAGCGTACTCCAGCCGGTGCTGTACGTCACAGATCGCCCAGATCGCGAATTCCAGGAAGTAGTCGCGATCGGGGGCGTCCTCGCTGTTTTTGAGAGTATCGATCAGCAGGCGCGGGACGACCGGCGCGTCAAGAAGCCGTGCGATGTAGGCGGCATCGACAACGGAGCCGGGATAGCCAGCCGACGGTATGCTGATGTGGTCCGAGGTGAGAGTTGTCCTGAGTGCGAGCAGGAAGATGTGGAGACCTGCGCTGGTAGTGTTATGGAGAGGGATGAGAGGAAGACCGTGGGTAGTGTCGCTGGCGGAAGGGGGAGGGAGGGTGGTGAAGAAGCTGACGAGAGCAGAGAGTAGGGTTAGGGGGAAATGGAAGCAGAGAGCTTCAGCGTCGCCTGCTTGAAGGATAACCTCGCCGGGGCTCGCCTTGGCAAAGTCCTTGTGGTATTTGAGAGGAGCCGGGTCTCCTTCATTGGATCAGCTCTTGATCTTGAGGTCCAGCATCAGGCTGGACTAAGACTCACCAGGCGCCGGAGAACCACTGGGCTGCTCCATCTCCGATACAATTACGCTTGCCCTGTGATATGTACAGGTGAGGGCGAAGGACAAATGTTGGCTGGGCCCGCCGACGTGGTCAGCACTAGTCAGCTTGAGGAATGTGGAGTTTGGCTCGCTTTAGGTTATCGATCCACTGGCCCATGGTACGCAGAGTTGCGATCTATCTGCTAAACGCAATGGCTGGCTATTACGGGTAGTCCGGCAGCAGCTCAGGCGCGGTAGATCGGGAATATAGCAGAACTCTCTCGAGCTCGTGCCCGCCATCATTTATCATATAGCCTGATATACCGGATATAATCCTCTAGCCACTCTTTCGTTCCCACCAGGGTCGCCCACACTTCTTCGAAGCAATCGTGGCAGTCCAGGTCAAAAGTCCCGCTTTCTACTCTCGCCACCTCCTCGAATGTCATAAGATCACACAAGACATCGCCAGCCGTGTCCATCACTTCAAGCTTGACCTATCCACAAGCGCAGAACGGCGCGTTCCTTGTCCTTGCTGAGAAACTGTACCGGGCAGCCGCGCCCTTGACCTTGGTACGAAAATTCCGCATGGCGACCGAGCGGCGGAGGTGAAGATCCTGCAACTGGGACCAGTGCTGAGGAGCTCGGTTCCGACATGCTTTGACGATACACGGCGGTACGTCCGTGATATGTCTCTGGCTCAGCAAGGTGGTCTCGACTGCGGCGTCTTCGAGCCTGTGTTGAGCGTCGAAGATAGCCCAGATCGCGAAGATGAGGTACCGGTCGTCCGCGGCTTGGAGGTGACCGTGACGGAGGGTATCGACCAACAGAAGCGGTACGAGCGGAGCGTCGTAAACTCGGGCAAGATACGCGGCGTCGAGTACGCCGTCCTCCCAGTCTGACTGTAGTGGTGGGAAGGGGATGAAGCCTGAGGTCTTCGAAGACCGCATCGCAGAAGCGAACATGTGAAGACCGGCGCTGGTAGAGTTGTGTAGGGGTACGAGGGGATAGCCTAGGACCAGGTCGGCGGCGGAAGGGGGAGGGAGGGTAGCGAAGAAGCTCGCCAGAGCGGCGAGTAGGGATAGGGAGAAATAGAAGCATTGTGCTTGTTCGTCGCCTGCTTGGAGGATGATGTCGCCGGGAACACCAGTCGCGAAGTCTGGGTGGAAGACGAGCTTCGGGGCAGTCACACCTGGATGTATCAGCTCGGCTCCTGATATCCTTGGAAGTGAGATGGCTGACCTGCGCTCTGACCAGCTGATGGTATTGACATTGTCACGCCTGGCACCTCTTGATCATGAATGAGGTGCAAGAGCAAGGTCAGCCTTACACCGGTAGTTATCTTGGCGCGCAGGAAGGCGCAGGATGTCTCGCGTGATGCCCCGCGAGGTCCGCTTAGCTTATCTCGATGCGCAGCGCGCCATCATGCCATCACTCGCTCAATTGGACAGAGCTTCCCCATCGATACCGAACCCACGAACGATCTACTGGCACTATGCCCGCCGCCTCTCCAGCCCGGACGCGCAGTGAGTCATAGCTCCACTCACCAGATGATGATATCGAGCTCATTCCAGGTTCTGCTCGCATCAGTCGCACGCCCGAGAATCCCGAGCTCATCTTCCACGAAGATTTTCAAGCCCACCATCCTGGCGACATCATCCTCCAGGCTGGCGATAGCGAAGCTCTCTGCTATCGCTTCTCCAGATCCCTGCTCGTCGCTATCTCCCCATTCTTTGCCAATCTCCCTGTCGCGGGGCCCGACGACCTTCATCAAGGGGTCCCGCTCATTCCCCTCCATGACACGACGACCGCGGGTCTCCACGTCTTTCTCACAGCCGTCAAGGCCATCACTACCTCGGAGACTTTCCCCCGTATTGAGTATGGCGAGGACCACGTCGTACCGTACCTTGAGGCCGCACTCATCGGCCGCGTATATGATGCCCCGGCGATCTACCGCATCCTCATCGAAAACCTCCAGGACCCGGAAACCCTCACCTCGCGAGACTACTACCTAGAGTTCGCCATCTGGGCCATCGGAGGCATAACTGCTAAGCTCCCCAAGGCGGCCGCCAATACCCTCTTGGCTGACGCGGACGATAACACGGACGTCGACGGTGATATCGTCGACGTCTGCGAGTCCCACGTGCCGCAGCACTGGCTTCGGCTACAGGACTATCACCTGCGCTGCTCCAGGGCCCTCAGCGCTTCAGGGAGCGCGTGGATCCCATATCCTCGCTTCAAAAGCCTTTTTCGGCCCATGAGGCCGACCCTAGCCTGGCGAGGTGCAAGGATGTCAAGAAGGATGCGAAGGATATTGCTGCGCAGGTTCGGGCACGCATCGCTGAGGCAAAGACGACGACAGAGCTGCTGGCGTTGAAGAAACGGCGGTACGATGTGGCGTGCAGGGCTTGTAGGAGGGAGGCGGAGGACCGGTATCGCCCTCATATGCGGTGGCTTGCAGACTACACGGAGTATATACGAGGATCTCGGTAAAGTGGGGAGCGCGCAGGTGGGCTGGACACTCAGTAATGTATATAGCTTGCTGCTCAGACGTATGGCATGAACAGGCAGAGTTCGGATGCTGGGTTAATTCATAACATCATACACTATTATAAGACTCCTGCAAGCTTTGACATCCGTCAAAGATCCCGGCTCTATCCTCTACTACGTATACCCTCTGCTACCTCGCCCCGCAGCTTGCGTGTCTGCTGTGACCGGCGGGAGCGGCGCCGACTTCCTTTCCCCCTCTGCTCAGATTCCTCGTTCTCGCTATCTGCGCGCCCGCCGAGGCACGTTCATCCCGGCCTCCCCCAGTGGTGGCAGCGTCACCTTCTCCTCCCCATTCGCCATCCCCCTCGCTATCCCCTTCCCCGTGATAGACGCGCCTAACCCAGATGGTAACTTCCGAACGGCCGGTCTAATCTGAGGCAGCGGCGGAGCGATAACGGAAGCGAGGGTGGGTATCCTAGCGGGGAGAGGCGGTTCAACCGCGCTTGCTAGTGGCGGTGAGACTGACCGGATCGTGTCGAGCGACTCGCTGTCATTCGACTGTAGACTTTCCGTCGAAGCGACGCTCCGGACGGTCCCCGCTTCACTCCCCTCTGCCTTCTCTGCCCCTTCTCCCCCGACTATATCCTCTTGATCCTCGCTCTCCAGATCCACCACCTCCCCCGCGGCCTTTCTTCTCCGGTACGCCTCAATAAGCACGTCCCTCGGCTGCGTCCGCTCCCAACTCGTCTGGACTGCCCAATTTTTCTTCTTCGGCGTAGTGCCGGTAGGTATATCTTCGGAGATGCCGGACGTGAGGAAGGTGGCGGTGGAGGAGAGGATAGCAACGAGCCTGGAGGTGGTGGCGGTATGATGTTTGGCATAGGACTTAGATGAGGATGCGTGCTGAAGGCATCAGTACAGCTCCATCAAGTAGGAGAGGAGACCTACTGCAGATATGAGTGACTCCGAGAAAGCCGAGACTCCTTCCGAGTCCTTAGCTATCCGGGCGCGGCTGGACTCGTGAGTAGCTCTGATTGACCGGGACATAGCGCCGAGCTTGTCGGCCTGGTCGACCGCTCGAGCATCAGCACGTCGAGCAGCTATTCTGATCAGCTGAACGTCTCCCTGGGCTCAGAAGGTAACTCACCGTCTGCCGAAGTCTCTCCCAGCCGCCCACAAAACCCATCCACCACCTCCACTTGCCGTTCCATCTCCCCTCTCGTCCGCTCCCCATACTCTTCAAGCCGGACCCTCATTCCCTCCTCTACTTCTCTCACCGCCTTCCTGCCCGCTTCCCGCTGACCCATCCCTGCCCTCTGACTCTGCTCCAGCTCGCCACTGAACGCCCTGGCTCGCCTAGACCCCTCCGCATGACTCTCCTCCATCGCCCCGCTGAATGCGCCCATCTGCCGTACACCCTCCTCATTCTCCGCCTGTACTTTCGCCATCACGCCAGACCACGAGGCATCCTGCGCGTCCGTAAAGCCCACAATGAGGTTGGTGAGGTTGCTAACGAGCTCGGTACGGAGATGAGCCGTCTTGGCCTTTTCGTCGGTGAGGAGTTTGGCGAGGAGGACGTTCTGGGCTCGGAGGCGGGATATTTCGGTAGAGGCGGCTTGATCCGCTAGTCGCTTGGTATGCGCAGCAGCAGCAACTTCGGAAGCGAGGTGGGTCTGGGCAGCAGAGATGACATTGTCGATGAGGTCGGCCGTGGTGTCGAGCACACCAGTGACCTGTCTTATTAGCACTGACACCTGGTAGGCCGAAGGTGTACTCACCATAGTCAGATGTTGATGTTGATGTTCCAGCAAGTCCCGCACCATCCCCTCGCTCCTCTCTCCCACGCCCTTCGCCCAAGCTCGAACGGAGGCCTGTACTTCCTCCTTGACCCCTTGGAGAGCTCGACCAGTTTCCGCCGCGTCGAGCTTGCCAGCTTCGATTGATTCAGTGAGCTTGGAGGATAAGCCATCAAGGGCAGAGAAGGACGCGTCAAGGTTGGTGATGTCTCGCTTGGAGTGCTACTCGATCAGCTTGGTCTGTCGAGCACAGGAGAGGTGGACGTACTTTTTGAGCGTGCTTTGCATAAGCCTCTAAGCCCTTCTGCATCTCCTCCCCGAAGCGTCCTTGTACCGAGTTGAGCTTATCCAGTCCACCTCGGAGGTCGGTCGACAGCGAGGACATGTCTGTACCGAATCTGGTTGCGGTATCGACATTGTCGCCTAGTACTTTGGCTTTCCGGGCTGAACGGTCAGCTATACCGCTGCAACTACTACATCGCGAGCAACTCACCGAGCTTCTCAAACAGCCCTCCGACATCACTGACACTCTCCACCGCCACCCCCATTAGATTCTCCGCAACCCCCTCCAATCGCCTCTCCCCACTGATGTAGGCCTGCCCCACATACCGCTCCTCCTCCAGCCTCAACCTCGTAGACTCCAACTCCCCCTTCATCTCCTCAATCATCCTGCCCAGCGCCCTCTCCGCCTCCCTCGTCTGCTCCAGCTCATCCGTAGTGAGCAAGAACTGGCTCGTCAACTGCTCAAACTCCTTCCGCCTCGTCGTCAACTCGACCGTTGCCGCGCTCGCCCGCAATACCGCCTCGTCAAAATCCGACTTCATCTTCGTCTGCTGCTCGTGCATCTCCTTCCACTGATCCTCGGGGATATAGATCCCATTTTTGTCCCGAGCAGCCATAACTTCCGCCTTGAGCCGCTCGATATCGCCCAGGTACTCCTTGAGAACGCCCGATTTAGTGAGGTGCGCATTGATCTCGGGACGATTCCGGATACTCTTGGCTTGGAGGGCATAGTCGAGCGTGGAGAGCGTTTCTTCCATGTTGGACCGAGTGGGCGAGACCGTTGCGACGATGCAGGTCTTGGTCCGGCCACCGAGCGAGTCCTGGAGCAGTCGAGTGAGTTTGGACTCGCGGTACGGGATGTGCGATTCCTTGTCGACGATGGACCGGATGACTCGGCCGAGAGTAAGGAGAGACTGGTTGATCATCCCTGCTTCTCGAGCCCGCTTGTCTGTCGCACCGGATCGACCGATAGCTTCGGACCCAGCAAGATCGACCAGGTTGAACCGACCGATCCGAAGAAGGTCCTCGCCTCCGGCTGTGAGGGTGGTCTCCTTGACGTGGACGGTGATGGTGAGGATCGTATGAGATCGGCTGCTGATTCAGTTTAGGCCGTGAGAGTACAGCCATGAGACTCACGATGACTCGGTGTTCATCTTCGTTTCCGCCACCTGCCTCCTCTGACATCCCTTGTTTACCAGATTCAGCGCCTCCTTCAGGTTCCGCACCCCGACATCCTCAAGCCCCTGTATCATCACCCCCTTTTTCCCATCCTCGTACAGCTTCAGTCCTCCTACAGTCTGCCCGTTACCGCCTTGACCCATCGCGATCGGTTGCCTGTCCCCCGCTGCGCCAGGCTGATAGTCGGGCGAAAGGAGATCCCGGAGTTCCTCGTTGTACAGCTCGACATAGCTGCACCGGACCGTGTACTCGGTATTCTCGGCGGACTCGAGGAGGTGAAAGAGCCGATGCAGTACTCGGGGAACGATACCGGCTTCCGTCTTTGGCGCAGATAGAGGCGAGAGTTCGAGATCACCTTGCATGGTGAATCTGCACACATCAGTTCGGCCCTCTTGAGCGTCCCGGCTCACTCACGTCTTTCCAGTCCCCGTTTGACCGTACGCAAAGATGGTGCAATTGTACCCTGCCAGCACCTCATCCAGCATACCCTCCGCCACCTCTTGGAAGACCATCGTCTGATCCGCTGCCGGCCCAAATACCCGATCAAAGTTGTACGTCTTGGTTGATGGGGCGTTGACCCCGCCGTAGCTGCTAGCTGTGGTGAACGAGCTCATCAGAGCGGTCGACGGGGTGGTCTCGATGGTGATAGCTTTGGAGAGCGCTCCGGCTGTGGTTGTAATCATGGGGCTTGTCTGGGCTATCTCCTGGGTGGATCTACCGCTAAGTTGCATCAGCTCACGGGTTCCGTCGACCCGCTGGCTAAAGCAGATAGACTTACCGACACCGCACTACAACCTGGATATTGATCTCCTTCTCAGCACCGTCACCTCGCCCGCCAACCGCTACTCCCATGGGTTTCCTATAGCTGCTCTTCCTGGGGCTGATTTGCCGCTCCCCATCCAACCCATTACTCGTGATCGACGAGGACATGACCGAAGGCGCGCGCGCCGGTATCCTGCCTGGAGGCGGCATAGCCATGTTTACGCTTGACGAGGCGCGCGATAAGCCCGCTCGGCCAGCTGTTGATGGCTTGCGCGACATGGTCGCTCGGTGTAGATGGTAGCTTGTATGCTGCTCAGTGTGAGGGTAAGGTGAGAAAGAAATCAAGCAGGTCGCGCTTTGTTTACACCGAGCCCCATCCTTTGACCCGGAAGCAAATTTCGGCTACTTCGCCGGCGATTGCCGCCATTCCTCACCTTCTTTGCCGGCCTCCGCGTTTCGGCTTTACCCCGCACTTTTGTCCGCCCGGTAAGGTCTTATAAAAAGCACTTGCATCTGTCCTTCTTACATCAACTACGACAGCTATGATGGTGGGCAGCAGTGTCGCTTCAGGCTCGCGTACAGCTGCTCGCGTAGCCCGGCCACTTTTCAGAGCGAGAATTGCTCCAGTAGCGGTTCCGCTGCTGCCGAGATTACCGGGCTACGTCCCTCGACTCCTGCACACCTCGCCTCTGCGTCGGGATGCTGCGACCAGCACAGGCACAGCCCCATTGAGCGGAGCACTGGCAGCGAACGATAAGGGCTCCTTCAAGGGTGAGTGCAATTGACTTGATGTGATCAAGTCTCGCGCTGACAGTACAGATCCCGTCACACGATATGAGCATTTGGTATCTACCGGTATCTTGAAAGCGGACGACCATCAACGGTCCATCATACAACATCTTCAAAAACTACACTCGAGACTCTTGACATATGATCCCGGACCAATGCCTCCTCAGCCCACAGAAGTTACCCCTTCCTTCGTAAGTCCAATCAAGCAGGACACATACACAACCTGACGCGCAGTTCGGCAAATTCTTCTCGCGTCAACCCGTTGTGCCGGACCCGACGATACACATCGACTCCGTACCTAATGGTCTATACCTCCACGGAAGCGTCGGAACGGGAAAAACTATGCTCATGGACCTCTTCCACTCGACGCTACCGCCACATTTCCGCGGGAAAGGTACTGGCGAAACAGGGGAATACGGCTCGACCCGGATACACTTCCACAGCTTCATGATGGATGTCCTGCAGCGGCAGCACACGGTAAAGAGCAGGTATGAGGCTGCGGGGATGGGTCAGAGGGATGCGATGCCCGAGGTGGCGAGAAGTCTGGCTGCCGAGGGGAGAGTGCTTTGCTTTGACGAGTTCCAGGTGAGCTTACTAGAGGCCACCCTCTACATTGACACGTAGCTGATGCCTGAAGGTGACGGATATCGTGACAGCTATGATCCTCCGCCAACTGCTGGAGCGCCTGATGGGCTTCGGCGTAGTCTGCATCATGACCTCAAAGTCCGCTTCTGTTGGCCCTCCTCTCGCTCAACTTAGCTGACAGGCCAGTCGGCATCCCGACGAGCTCTATATTAACGGTATCCAGCGACAATCTTTCATCCCAGCTATAGAACTTATAAAACACCGCTTCGGTGTAGTGGACCTCAACTCTCCGACCGGTCAGCTAGGTGGTGCAAACGGGTTGCTGTTTCGGGCTGACATGCAGACTATCGGAAGATCCCCCGCGCACTGTCTAAGGTCTACTTCGACCCCCTCACGCCCGGCGTTGACGCCGAACTCTCCAAGCTATTCGACGCCCTCACGAAATCCGACCCAATATCCACCAACGTCGTCTCGAACCGGAAACTACCAATCTGGGGTCGGACCCTGACGGTCCCGGAGTCGAGCGGCTCAGTCGCCCGATTCAAGTTCTCGGATCTTTGCGATGCGCCTCTGAGCGCTGCGGACTATCTGCAGGTGGCGGGGACGTTCCCAACCATCTTTGTGCAGGATGTGCCGAGGTTAGGCTTGGGGGAAAGAGATCAGGCTAGGCGGTTTATCACCTTCATTGACGGTATGTCCGCTAGTTTCTGGCAGAGGAAGCCCCACGCTGACCTATGTTAGCATGCTATGAGAATAAGACGAAGCTTTTCATCTCGTCCGAAGTACCAATTCATCAGGTCTTCTCGGATGACAAATCAAAAAACGCGGGAGATGATGCTCATATGCGAGCAAGTGAGTGTCGGTCTGCAGCTCGTTCGTGGATAAGCTGACTGTTCAGTCATGGACGATCTTGGACTATCAGCCGAGACTGTCGGCGCATCGTCGTTGTTCTCAGGGGACGAAGAGATGTTTGCTTTCGCTCGTTGCGTCAGTCGCTTATCGCAAATGGGGTATGTGTTTCTCTCAGAAATGGGGGTACAGGATCAGCTGCTGATGCTTGACAGTACAAAAGAATGGGCAGAGGGGATGCAGTGACGCAGATGAATTACAATCGAGCGCTGCTGAGATGAGCGGTCTACCTTGCTGCTATCCTGCCGGTGTTGTGAGTCCGACAATCCATATGCGAACTTGGGCGTAGTGATATGACTGATAGTCAGCGGTGACAGCTCCATAGTTCGATATCGACTAAGCAGCTTCGCAAACCAGAGGGAACGAGGCTGACGAGGCTGTCCGGGCTTTCGCTATCCCCACTGATTCGAGATCTGCAGTCGCGTCATGCATCTTATTCAGATCTTGCATGGGGGAGGTTCAGAGAGCTCAGACTGTCATTTCGTAAAATACTTGTTGTCGACGTCTTGCTCTTTGCACTTCCAGGCCGAGCAGCAAGTGCATTTGCAGCAGATCTATGGTGGTATAGACAGTAATCTACAACTCTGGCGAGGCCGCGCCGGCGATGCACGACTCGAATGCTCCTCCGCCATCCTACCGAGATATGAGGGGAGTGACGCCTTCCATTCCCAGTAGCCTGTTACGAGGCTGAATCGTCTCGCCTATCTATCGATATCCCCTTCGTAGTGCCCGGCTAGCCGCTCCATGGGTCGAGTATCAATCCACGTTCCAGCGGCGTCGACGATTGTCCAAAGCAGTCCGTGTGTGAGCATCGAGCGGATCATTGATACCCCAAGCCTGGAGCTGTCAGCCGACCACCACGTCTGACCACAGGGCGGAGATATACCCTCTGTATAGACGAGCGATACCTGCCAATATGGGCTTAGGGTTAGCCGTATCCACCCCTCTTACTAGACGCTTGATTTGGACAAGGGGCGTGCGGGGTTCAAGACCCGATAAAGCACGTTGTTGCGCCTTGGTCTTGATAGCCTACGGGGGTCAGCTTGACTACCTCAGCCACACCAGTCGACTTACATCGACAGGATAGATGAGCGCCCAGCTTGTCACCCCCGCTACACTTCCACATAGGAACGGCACCAGTCCCTTCGGCAACCATCCCTTCGCCCAATCCGGCAGATCTCCTTGCTCCCCTTCTCCCTTCCTTCCTTGGCCTTTACTATCCCCGCCCGTCTTTCTCCCCAGCAAGAACCGGAGCACATCGTACTCTGCAAAGTAGAGCGCAGTTCCCAAGCTGTCCCGCACGAAGTGGAGGCGGAAGCCAGTATATAGCCCGCCGGGACCGGACTTCTGGACTATGAGACGGACGGCTTCGAGCGTTGTGGGTGGGCGGAAAGGTGGAGGGCGGGGGCCAGCAGAGGATGAGGTCGAGGAAGCGATAGATGCGGGGAGAGGAGGAGCGTGGTTTTGCGGTATGGAGGCGGATGTGCCGGCTGGATGTTGCGGGAGGGAGTGGTTCGGAGGTGGATGGAGAGAAGAGTTTGGCGGGGTCGGGGCATAGAATTGAGGGTGGGTGTCTCGGTAGATCTGGTATTCCAGCTGACGCCGAACCTGACATGTCAGCTATGTCCCGCAGCTTCGGCCCATCGCGTCGGCGGAAGTGATAGCTCACCTTGACCAACTCAAACGGAGCGCTTCCCAAGCAGACCACCGCCCCGCTAGCACCTCCAGCAATCAAGCTAGTGATGGCCACATCGCGAGCCGTGTCCTGATGAAACAGACCAAGCTGGACATCGATCCACCGTCGCCGCTTGTTCTCGGCCTGCCTCCTATCTCCAGCTACATCCGCGACTTCTCCCGCTGATAGTGGGGGTCCCGTAGTTTCCGGGGAAGCATTGAGTATCCGCTTGGTAGACGTGTAGATAGTGAATGAGATGGTCCGGACAATCGAGATGGTGATGAGCGGTAAAGGAAAGCCTCGCCAGAGTCCGCCCACTCCTTCCTCTCTGATGACGCCAGCGGCGAGACGGAATAGGGATGAAGACTCGCGTGAGGATTGCAGGCGGGATTTGAGCGAGTCGAGCTGCGCTGTCAGCTGTTGCTGGAAAGCGAGACCTCATGCAGCGATACCGCGGGACCTACGGGGAAGCCGGCAAACGTCGATAGCAGGGATGCTGTCGTTGCCGAAGCGACCTAAGCGTTAGCTGTTGGACGAGCCGTCATGGCTAAGCGCTCATTCGACACGTACCACCTTGTTCCCTGTTCAGATCAGCTTTGGCAATACCTTGGCGGGGAGAAATGACATACGGCCCAACCACTCATCTGCGGCGATAGCTCGCTGAGTCCATGGTCCCTTGTATGGCGTCTGACGGCTATCAAATGTCAGCTGAGATGCACAAGGCATGTATGTCATTACAGACAAAGCGGGACTGACCTCGCCGTCATGCCATGCTCGAGCTACCTCTGAAGCGGGTGAGGTATGAAGCGAAGCGCTCGGGACCGGGCCAGACGATGAGCGCAAGCGAGGTGCTATTGGAGTTCCTATCTGGGCTAGCTATATTACCGAGAGTGGAGGACACAAAGGAGAGAGGTTGATGTACAGTATTGATGCTACTAAACTTGGTGCCCCCCAGCTGCGTCATACCGACTCATCGATCATCCCGCTAAGGTTCCGGGGGCGATGAAACTTGTACTGTATCTTTGCTTCTGGAGGTGGCTGTGAACGCGCGCTTGGATGCCTGGAGGCCTGGCGTGTGCGCCACTGCATAGGAGCACGTTATCGACCAGCTTAGTTTATTTGATTGCAGCACTCAATTCATCCTGTATCGAGCTCACTATGTGCTACATGTTAGAGAAATAGCCAAGTTTCTCGCCTGTTCTATGTTACCATAAGACCCACTTCATTACTGCCATACCGCCTAGACATTGGTAGCGCCCGCGTACCGGCTGCAGCAGCCCGTCATCTGGTTGACCTGCTCCTTGGTGTAGAAGGCGGCGCAGGTGTACAGTGTCTGACCGCATGCCTGGCTGGAGGTCGCGGAGAGCGCGCCGGATTGAGGGGTGATGTTGCACTGTCCGCGAGCGTCGATGATGGCGTTGTTGCAGGCTACAAGGTTGCACTTGCAAGCGGGGTTGAGCTCGGGTACGATCGCCTGGAAGGGGTCAGCTTGGCTCCGCGCTGAGATGGTGCAGCTCGGAGGGCGCGAGGAGGGCAGTGTGACTCACAGCGACAGACTTGAGGGTGAAGACGGTCCCTTGGGTCAAGCCCTGGACAGCACCGGCGAAAGCGTTTTTGCCAATGGTAGAGACGGGATCGTCCGAGACCAGGAGCCTGTTGATCTCGGCGAGGGTGCTGTCATGTCAGCCGAGGACGAGAATGCGCGGACGCGAGAAGGCAGACTCACTTCCTCGAGAAACCACCGATGCTGTCACTCTGGAAGCCAAGGAAGCCAGAGAGGGCCTGCACAGCGGGGCACGACAGGTTGTCGAGGTAGTTCTGGTTATCGGCCGAGCACTGAGCACGAGCGTTCAGGGTGGGGGCAGCGAAGGCGCCTGTGTGTGAGCTATGATCCGGGGGCGCGGCTAGGGGTCAGGAGCAGAGTGTATATGAGGTGAAGGGAGCTCAAGGGAGGGAGGGTGGGAAGCAAACGTACCGACGGCCGAGACAAGGGCGATGATGGAAGCGAATCGCATTGTAGAGGATGTGTGTATGGGAGTTGCGCAGGTAGTAAGTATGAAGTGAAGAGGCGGTTTCGAGGTTGAGTGCGGATAGTAAGAGATCAGAGAGGGATATGGCGGACCTTTATACCTCTTCTCCAGAATCCAGCTTCGTGCTCCCCCTCGCTCGGAAAGGATAAGGGCCGCAGTGATGTCATTGAGTAGCAACTAGAAGTAGATTGATCAGGGAGTTATTCGTCTTGGGTCAATGGGCTAAGACTGTTTTTCATAATTGTGGTTCGGAGCCGATGGTAGGTAGTCAGGAAGGGTCAATAGCTCGTCGATCGTCAGTCAGCAAGCGCGAGTGCATAGCAGTCCCTAATGGCAGCTTGCGAGTAGAGCATGAGAGGGCATGCCAGCACATTGAGCGTGCCAAGATGTTACTTGTGACATGTGTAATCGGTGTCGCAGGAGTGTGACGCAAAAAGTCTCAGAACATTATTCCGGCGCTATCATAGGCTATCATGCTGGAGTACAGCCAGTACAGCAGGGACAGCTGCAGGATCACGGCAGGATAAGCTTGCCCTTGCGACTAGGTGCGATCGTTGTCGGTCAGGGACCCTATATAGGCGGATTCCAGCAATTAGATCATGCCATAAGTTTCGGCGATACTGCTGGTCTCGCCTGCACCCCCGCGCGTCCGGGCCGGCCGAGCTGCGACAGGACGGAGTGGCTTGAGAGCCGATGGAACGATCAGCACGTCGCAGCCGAAGTCTTAACAGGTGTGCCGGAGGGGTGCCGGTGTGGAGTGATTAGTATTGAATGAGGTGATGCGATCGAGGGGGTGGGGCTAGCTATAGTAGCGGATTAATTTAGGGTTCTGCGGAATGAGGATCTTCTTGCACGTTCGCGACGTGATGATGTCATCGACGCGTGGCGCCTCACGCGAGCGTCTTTCGACAGGGGAATCGAGCAAGTCCTCCACCGTGGCAGGTTCAGTCAGGGACGGGAGTCTTGGTCAAGTATACGCAGCAGTACCAGCTCCTGCTTCAAGGCCGTTCACGACTTCCATGGACGCTCCATCCACCTGTTGACAAGCTATAATGATCGCGCTACATATTTGCTTACTCCGCGGCCCCGCATGAGCAATTGCCGAGAAGTCATGGACATTGGCGGTCTCAGAACTCGAGTTCAGAGTCACCTTACTCTTCTGGAATCCATACTTATACACGCCAGCTGCCATTCCGAATAGATCTACCGCGTTCTCGACAGTGTAGCCATCCAGCATGTCGTTCGGCAGCGCAGAACCCAAAGGGTGGACTCACCACCTCGTCGCGCCCACTCCAGATTCCGAAGTCAAGATCCACTATGTCGACTGCCCACCCACCACCTCTTCCCCTTCTTCAACACCCAAAACCATTCTCCTCATCCACGGCTTCCCTCAGACATGGTACGAGTTCCGGCACATCATCCCCGCGCTCACCGAGATGGGTCTGCGTGTCGTTGCGGTGGACTATAGGGGTGCGGGGGCCTCCACCCGCCCGGTCGGGGGATACGACAAGATGACGATGGGTAAAGATCTGGGTGATCTGGTGGTGAATGTGCTGGGGCTCAAGAAGGTGTTGGTATTGGGACATGATATCGGGTCGATGGTGGCTGTGGGGATGACGTTGCAGTTTAGGGATGTGGTGGAGGGGTTGATGATCATGGGTGAGTCTGGCGCGGCCGCAGTATCGCTTTCCTTGTCTCGCTATGAGGATGGGGTCTGACTGCACAGAGGGCCCCAGTCCGGGTACAAAAGCATATGACACCATCACCCGGGACGACAAGTTCACCTACGGCCCGCTGTACCACTGGTTCTTCCACGCTCAGCCTGACGTCCCGGAGCTTCTGGCGCACGGCAAGGAAAGGCAGTACATCTCGCACTTCTTCACTCGGCTAGTCAGTGGGTACCTTCCTGAATCGCAAGTAAGCTCATTACACAGTGCTACAATCCCGGTTTCATGCCCAAGGAGGATCTGGATGTTTGTGAGTTCATTGGCTCGACGTCCGAAGCAGGTACTCGGCTGACTCTTCAGATGCCAATGCGTATGAGCAGTTCGGAGCCATGCGAGCAGGTTTCGACACATACCGCGCTTTCCGCCAAGACAGGAAAGACTTCCAGGCGCACATGGCGAAGAACCCAAAGCTCAGCATGCCAGTCTTGGCTGCTGCTGGTGATGCCTGCTTTTTCGCAGACGTGAGCTAGTTCTTTGTTCCTCGACAGGAGATCTAGCTGACGGCTGCAGTACTACGAGGACATGGCCAAGGAGTTTGCAGACAATGTGAGCTTCAAGGTCGTCGCTCGATCTGGACACTGGATGCCGGAGGAGAACTCGGAGGGGTTCATCAATATGATCAAGGAGTTCTTGAACGAGCAGAAGCTGCTGTAAGCGCATTATTCAATGTTGTATACCATCGATGTCCCTAGAATCAGACCTAGACTGCCCCTGTGCATCCATAGCTCATGCGCCCCTTCTCCTTGGCTTGAAGTCACTCCCACCCGTCACTCCCTGTACTCCATCCGAGGCCGACCCTGCTGGCTCCGCTTGCGCTGGCGGTGTTTTGCGCTCGCTCTCCCTGATCCGCCGCTTCGTATCTTCCTCGGACAATTTACGCAGCTCCTCAGGTGAAGAGTGTGCCGAGGGGTCGACAGTACGTGAAGGCGGAGCGACGCCAGGTGTTTCGGGCGTCGGGACCGGGTAGGGAGCGCTCGAGGATTGTCCTTGGGCCTGAGACGACGAAGACGCCTCCGCCGATGATCCCTGCCTTTCTGCTCCCAGCGCACCCCGAGCCTCGCCGACCGTCTGCACCACCCCCTGCTGCTTTGGACTCTTTCCCCTCTCCCCCGCTTGAAGACCCCTCACGAACGACGGCGCGGTATTCACCCTCGCCTGTGCGTTCCCTGATCGTTGCTCCGCGCCCTGACCAAATCGAAGCCCGGAATGTCTCGCTGTTGAGGGTCCAGCGATTTGGCCGACGGACTGGCCGTCTTCCCCGGACCCGGGAGCTGGGAGGTATCCCTGCCGTATCCGCTCTTCCCGCTCGCGTTCTTCGATGGCGGCGATCATGGGTCCAAGGCGGGTCTGGCGGGATCGGTCAGCGAGCAGCTCGGCCTCGGTTGGGGGATCGGAGCGGGTATGTGAAAGCCCTATGATCAGCTCTGAGCCTAGCTAAGCGGAGGAATTGCCTCACAGGTCGTCCATTGTACTGACAAGTCAGCTTGGAATCCGGATACCATGGGGTGAAAGTCGTAGCTCACCGGGTAGCCTCTGCGCGCCCGAAGTGTAGTCGGCAATGTCTCTCGTCACCTTGTACTCGACGACCCGCTTCATGTTTCCACCTGCCAGGTATCAGCTGATTGGCACTACAGCGTGTCAATTATAGCTCACCGTTAGCAGCTGGTAGCTCGTAGAACTTGTTCCCATCGAGATCCCGACCGACCAGTCTCTGCCTTATCAGCTCACCCGCACTGTCAAGGTTAAACAGGTGTAGGGAAGCTCACCTTGGTCGAGCCCAGCGTGACATACTTGACTATGCGGTTGAAGAAGCTGCTCATGACGATGTTCCTGGCTGCGTGTGCTGTATGGTAGGTACTAGGCGATCAATATAGGTTTGTTGAAGCTGGACGATGCTGGTGGAGGCTCTGAGAGGTCATCCTGAAATCGTCTCTATGTGGGAATCCGATAACGCCGTTAAACTCCGTTTTGGGTCGTTGGTTTTAACCATCTGAAACCGACGGAGCTCCTCGTGACGTGGCTCCATACCTCGCCCTCCAAGCTGCCTCATTGTGGACGCGCCTGCATCGTTCAAGCTTCCCTATCATACATCACACTCAAAGACCCGCCCATACGACCTCGCTCAAGCTCTGCATCTGCCAGACCGCTTCAAGCCAGCCCAATATGGCTCCCACGAAGAAACGCTCCGCTAGCGGTATCGCCATCCCGGACCCACTGGCTTCAGCCAGCTCCTCGCATGCGCTGGACGCGATGGCTACTGATCCTTTACCTATCGTCAAAGTCAACACTGCCAACCTGACCGAGATCAAAGCCGCTCTGGATGATCTCGTCAAGCAGGTACGTCAGCGCGCGATCCGCAGCTGGAGCATGGAGTTCGGGTCAAGGAAGGAAAGGGGATCCGTGCGCTGCATTCAGAAGTGCTGCAAGCGCGATAGCGATAGCTCCTACCTACCATGATGCTGCTCAGTACACGTAGCTGACGCTATAGTACCTCGCCGACCAGTCCTTCACTCCCTCCAACCTCAATCCCTCCATCCACCTCGCGCTCGGCTACTCCTCTGTCCTCCTTTCGGTCGGAGGGATGCTCTACTCCCTTCGCGTCTCGTTCGAAGAGTCCAAGCCTGTGCTCTGGATCTCGGTCATCGGGTACTTTGTACTCCAGACGGCACTGTGGGCGTGGAAGCGGTGGGTCGAGGGCGGGGAGGTGTTCCGAGGGAAGCGGAGACGGGTGATCAAGCGGGTGAGCTCGCTGGCTCGTAGTAGCGAGGCATGAGCTGATGGCGTAGATTGAAACAGACCATCTTCGCGCCGTCACCTCTACCTCGCTGGACGCACCTACCCCTCCTCAAATAACCTTCTCGCCTCATAATCGCCCCACCACACCTTCGAATCCCAGCTCACCCCGCTCCATATCCTCCATCGAGCTCTCTCCCTCCACTTCCTCCGACGCTATCCCCGCTCTTCCGTCCAACCTCCCCGGTCTTCCCGCGGCAACCTCGACAGCATCACTGGGCGAAGCACCGACCTACCTCCTCCATCTCGAGCTGTCGACAACGAGCAACAATGGGAAGTCGCTCATACATAAATCGCGAGTCGTGAGCGGTAGAGGTGTAGGGTCCTTTGTGGATGCGGATGGAGGGGTCGAGGAGGGAGAAGTGAGGAGATGGGTCGCGGGCGTGTTGAGTGATGCGGGGTTGGTAGGGGCGGAAGAGGAGGGATTGAAAGCGGATTAGCGCATACGATCTCCATTGTGAGTATAACGCAGGAAAGCTTTGCAAGAGTGATGCTGATGCGCAGTCTGTGTATCTTGTCTGCGTCCTTGGTCTGTACCCTCGTTATGTCTAGTCATGCTATGCAAGTATAATATCGACAATGTGCCTGCCGCCCGCTCACCTCGATAGCGAACCCGACATTTGGCTGGACCAGCGGTGTCTGACCCTTATTCAGTGGACAAGATCCACACCGCTCAACTCTTTGATACCAGCTGATGGTGACACGCCAGGATGAAAGAGGCTTGAGCAACAAGAAGCTTAAAGGGGAGGCTATGTCATGATTGCATTATACTTTGAAAGAATACGTTTACACGGCGCCAAGGCACTACACTAATGTCCCTGTCTACCCTCTATATACGAAAGCGAGTACCCTAAAAAGCCCAAGAGAGAAGTCCGAACCCTACTGCCCGCTCACTTCTTCTCACACCGCCCCTTGTTCAACTTCCACCCGGCCTTGCACGAGTAGACCTCGCACTTGCCCACCCTGCACCCCATCCACCTCGCCCCTGGGATCGCCGTGCAGTCCTCGCCTGTCCCCATGCTCGCGCACCCACCACAGCTCTGGAGGTCCGACTGCGAGTCGAGACACTCGTACTGGAACTCGCCACGCCCCTCGATCGGGCACGCCGCGAGACCAGCAGGGCATAGCTTGCCCTCGCTGTTGCTCTCGAGACCGTAGTACGCCTTGACCGCCGGGCCCTTGGTGAGTTGGATCTGGGCGCCGTGCTCGGGGATAGACCGCCGCTTGGGGTTGGAGACGATTCCGGTAGGGGAGACGCAGTTGCCCTTGACGACGGTGGATCCCTCGGTACAGCAGACACCGGTGCTGCCGATCTCGACGTAGGGGGCGGTACAGCACTTGGTGTTGCAGGCGGTCTCCTTGTCCCGGCAGCAGAAGCCGGTCCCGAGCCATCCCTTCTTGTAGTAGAAGCCGTCCGCGCAGATGGTCTCGCACTGCTTGGTGGACGAGTTGTACTTTTCGCCGTTCTTGCACGAGGGCGCGCACGAGTTGCCCGAGTCCGATTCGCCGGCGTTGGGGCAGACGCATTGACCGTTCTTCTCGACGAGGTGGTCCTTGCAGCACTTGGTGTCCCGGAAGGTGTAGCCCCAGTTGCACGAGGGAGCGCACTTGGATTCGTCCGCCGAGAGGGTGTAGCCGAGCCAGAGCTTCTTGCACAAGCAGGTAGAGCCCCACTGGTACGAGTCGGTGGGGCAGCACCGGGAGCCGGCAAAGTATTGACCGTCCGGGCAGATGTCGACGCACTTGCCGTCGACGAGCTTCTGGTTGTCGTCGTCGCAGTCGCACTTGTCCCCCTTCTGCCTCGAGCCGGGAGGGCAGCAGAGAGAGGTCCAGTACTTCCAGTCGGCGGGCTTGTCGGCGCAGCGGTCCGTGCAGGTGGCGGAGGGGCCGGTACCGGTGATTTGCTTGGAGGGAGAGTCACACTGAGGATCAGCCACTGTTCACCCCCGATACCAAGAAGAGACTCACCTTGCAGACACCGTAGCAGTCCTCGGTAGACCCAGGAGGGCAGCACTGCTTCCCGATACCACCCCAGCTCCAGCCGGCGGTCTTGCACCGGTCGACGCACTGGCGAGACCCGTCTTTGCCCTCGATGACCTTGGTGTTGTCGTTGCAGGCGCAGACACCGTCGACCTCCTGCGAGTTGGGCGGGCAGCACGAGTTCTGCTTGGGAGCGAAGACCCAGCCGGCGGTGGGGCACTTGTTGGAGCAGGTCTGCGAGGGGCCGGTACCGGTGATCTTCTGGGTGGGGTCGTTGCAGACACAAGTGTTGCTAGAGGGGCCGGAGCCGGGCTTGGAGCCAGGAGGGCAGCAGTTGCCGTCGCCGGGGATGTTGGGACCGAAGACCCAGCCGTTCTTGCACTTGTCGACGCAGACGCCGCCTTCGAGTTTCTGGGAGGTACTGGGGCACTGGGATGTCAGCTGAGCTCAAGACTAGTAAAGTTGAGCAGGACTCACGCCACATTGACCGTTCACGACGCTAGAGCCAGCAGCGCAGCAAGTCTTGGTGGTAGGGTTATAGACCTGGCCGCCGGTACACTTATCGACACACTGGCCATCGACGATCTTCTTGCGGTCGTCCGTGCACTGCTAGTCAGCACGAGCCAAAGTAAAAGGACGAGAGAAGCTCACCATGCAGACACCAGAGTCGTTCTCGGTGGAGCCGGAGGGGCAGCAGGTGCGCTGCTTGGGAGCCCAGACGCCGCCGCCGGTGCATGTGCTGACACACTTGCCAGCGTCGCCGGTACCGGAGTAGGACTCGGAGGAAGAGGTACACTATTGGTCAGCTCAAGTTATGAGGTGAGAGCAGGTCAAACTTACCACACACTTGCCGCCGACCTCCTTGGAGTTGCCGTTGCAGCAGATGGAGCTGCCGAAGCTACCGTTGGGGCACCGGTCGACGCAGGCGGTACCGGCACCGTTGAGGATGGTCTGGGGGTTCGAGCAGACACAGACACCCTTGTCGTTCTCGTCCGAGCCCTTGGGACAGCACTTCTTGTTGCTGGGGATCAGCCAAAGCCAGATGATATAAGAGAAGGGATAAGACTCACCACCACTTCCAGCCGTTGGCCGTGTCACACTGGTCGATACACTTGGTGCTGTCGGCGTTAAGCGACTTGCCGGTGGGACAGATGCAGGCACCGTTCTTCTCCGTTGCGTCGTTGGGGCAGCTGCCTATTAGCCAAGTCCAAGTGAAAGAGAAAACAAAAGACTCACCACTTGGTAGCACCCCACTTGCAGTCGGTAGGGCAGCCGGCGATACACTTGTTGGCGTCCCTGGGGTCCTCCTTTTGGCCGGCGGGACAGATACAGTCGGAGCCGTCCTTCGACTCGATCTGGCCTGGAGGGCAGCACCGGGTCTTCTGGCCGATCCAGCCCGAGGTACCGGCGGGGCAGCAGATGTTGCTGTTGGCCGAGGTGTAGGTTGAGCAGGTGAGGATGGGTGTGCAGACTTGGCCGTTCCGGTCGCATCCGTTCGAGGCGCAGCACTTGCCGTTCTGGTATGTCTGGCCACGGGGACAGCAGCTGCCGTTGGAGAAGCACTGGTCGGATGGGCAGGGTTGGTTGTCTTGGTTACCGCATTGACCGTTGGAGAGCTTGGAGAGGGAGCCGCAATCGTAGCCGCCGTGACCGTCGCATACGGGCTGGGCGTTGGAGGGGTAGTAGAAGGTGTTGCCGTTGTTGCTAATCTGGAACGTCAGCCTAGTCGATCAAAATGAGCCAGAGGAGACTCACGTAATTGGAGATGATGTTCTTGAAGTAGCCGTTGAGGTTGTTGTTGTCGCAGAAGTCGTCGAGGTCATCCATGCAGAGACAGCCAAAGTTGAACTTGGCGCCGTAGGCTGTGCCGGACACCTTGGCACATGTTGCCCAGACCGAGGAGGAGGAGGTGGTGCGGAGGGTGAAGTTGGAGGACGAGGCGGAGGCGGAAGGGAGGAGGGTGGCAGCGACGAGGGCGATGACGGAGAGGGTGGAGGAGAACATGATGGAGAGGGTGGAGTAGAAGGTGTGGAGTAGAAGTGGTCTCGAGGAGTCGAGCAGTGGATAGAGGCCGAAGGAGTTGGCCTTGCTGAGTGAGAGACAAGTGAGGATGAGTTGAGAATGTGTAAGTTGTAAGAAGAGGGGGGCTTTCGTGGCTTGAGGTCAAGCTTATGAGCGCCTCACCCGTCCTCCCGGAGGACCATACCTTGGTCAAAGCTGAGGACCCTCTTTGCAGAGCGGGAAGCATTAGCCCAGTCATCCCTCTTCGGCTCAGCAAGGAGTCGGGGGTCGGACCCGACAAGTTTACTCATTTCGCCCCTCGATCAGGGTGGTGCAGCGTTCATACCTTAGACAAGCCTGGATTATACGCCCTCTGAGCTTTGACTGAGCGGGAACGACTCAAACGCATGAAACGACAGATGAATAGCGTGCGGGAAGGTAGGTAGAGTAGAGATGAGGGAGCAAGAGGAGGAAAAACGGGATGGGACGGGAAATCAGTTTCGGCTTCCCGAGGCCCTGGATCTTACGGCATATGTTTCACTTCGGTCCAGGCACCGCGTCGTCAATCTGTTTCTTACCTCCTTTTTTCGGGTCTGTCTTACCTTGCAACGGGTACGGAGAGCATGACTCGGCGTATACGGCGCCGACACACCGTAAGGTGCTTATTCGGCGCCCTTGGGATCGTCTCGGGGTTCCAGACTTCCAGAACCTGGGAATGGATCATGAGTCAGCACGGGACGCCGAGAGTCAGACAGCTCCTTTTCGGAGGGAATTCGGGGTGTACGTTTCTGCTTTTCGGGTGACATGCGCTTGGACTCTACTCAGACACGCACAGCCTCCCGAGGAGAGACAGGGGGCAATCTCAGTGAGACGAAGAGCGCATAGCCATTGGCGACATGTGCAGCAAGCACCGCAATCAATCGGCACGTCGCGGGCCGGGTATCCATGGCAGGTACGACAGCTCTTGGCCAGCGGGAGTGGGTGTACGTGCATTCGGCTCCCGGCTCGGAGTATCTCCTGCCGAGCTTCAGTCTGCTGATGCACGAGCGGAGCGGGACCGCCGTAAGCCGCGGAGCAAGCTGGGCAACGGAGATGCAGAGATTAGATTGCAGAGCGAGAAAGCAGGGTGGCTTCCGTCGGAAGGACCTCACATGGCCTCACCCTTCGCTGAAGCTGAAGGCAGCCTTGCTGCTGTCGAAGATGGTCGGCATGACATCAGACCGCATTTCGCAAGCTGAAATAGCCGTCCCTCAGTACCGCTACAGTCATGACCGCCGTATCCTCCAGCTCCGGCTCCAAGGTAGCGATGTACGCAGAGCGGATCCAGACTTCGCTCGTCCCTGCTCGACAGGTCGTCGAGAAACGGCTCGCCGAAGTGGAGTATGAGCGAGCGGAATAGTGCGTCTATCTCCCTACTGCAGCACAGAGAGTTCCTCTGGGAGCTGATCAGGCAGTGAAGACCTAGCTGGTCGACTGAAGACGCTGGAGAAGAATGGAGGTGGACCAGAAACGACATTGACGGAGCTTGGAGCTGGCGTTTGGGTGGATGCGGTGATGTGAATTTCTTCCTCGCTAGCCTGTCTACTCGCCTGAGCAACGATAAGGATAAGGACACGAGGCTGATATAGTAGACCAAAGACAGACCAGATTCTGCTCGACCTCGGCTTCGATATCCACCTCGAGCTGCCTTTGCACCAAGCGGCAGCTTACGCCGAGAACCGAGCGAAGATGCTGGAGAAGTGGGTCCATTGTTCACGTCCACAGAGATCGAGCTAATCATGACAGGAGGCGCGTGTTGGCCGAGCAGAAATGGGCCCAGATCACCTGGCAGATCCAGCAGGCGAGTTGCGGTCTCGGGCTCAACGCCCCGGCTTCTGTGTGAGAGCGTTAGCTGATGATACTAGTTCGAGGGCGCGATCCTGGAGGCCAGCTCGAAGCCTAGCGTCTCGCGATAGGTGGGGGATATAGCCACAACCCAGGAGTATAAGCGGCCGCGGCCTCGACTGGCCCCGCCGCTCCGAGATCCTGTTGCTATCTCAAACACAGCAGCGACATACCGATGGGCAAATCGACATAGACCTGGCGTAGCTGCGTCTGGCTAATCCTGCTGCATGGGGACGAAGCCGGTTGGCCCTATGGGTAACCGGATACGTAGAGACTTTAAGACAATGCAGGGTTCATGCAGCTGCAGGTAATTCGGCACATCTACATGCAAGGTGCTTCGTATACAAGGGCCCCGGCGTCCGCTATCCATGTGGGGAGTGCAGCTCGAGCAGCACTTAAGATCCGAGTATCTCTAACTAGCGAGCTACACAGCAAGAGACTTCTGACGCTTTGCATTGTTCACCCATTTACTACTTGCTACCTATACCATACGCCCTGGAAACTCGTCGTATTCGTTACACAGCATCAGTGCCATCTCTTCCCGAGGAGTCAATCTAGGCCGAGGCCTTGAACTTGTGCTCAGCACCGTCCTTCAGCTATCATGGTCAGCTTGTCGTCTCAAGCGTGCGGTTCAAGCTGCGCGACGTCCACGGACAACTGGGCTCACCTTGATAGTCTCCGTGGAGAGGGTGGGGAGCGAGTCCTCGTAGTGTCCCGCTCTGGTCTTGTGGCGGTACTTGAACTCTGCGACTTTGCTAGGGTGGGTGTCGAGCTTGTTCGTCTCGTCCCAGGGAGTGACCAAGCCGTGCATCTGAAGTGCGCGGCTGGCATCGTCGGCGCCGGTGGCCTTGGTAGCGCTGGCGGGTCAGCTCAATCCTAGTCACTGCTTGACTGAGCGCAGATAGAGGAAGCTTACAAGAAGTATCCTGCGCATCCGAGAGCAAGAGCGACAATGACGCTCAAGGGGTAGAGGGACGGGTCACGCTTGGCGAATGAGTTGACGCGACCGGTCGCGTGGGCGACATTGGCAGCCTGGGACATGTTGTGACGGTCGACCTGCATCGTCAGTACGTTCCACCTTCCGGAGAGGGGTGCGAGGGACTTGCGTCGGGACCCTTCTTGGCCTGGGAGGAACCGTTGCCGGTCAAGGGAACCTTGGTGGACCCGTCAGAGTAAGGGCGGACGCTGCGGAGTACCCGAGGCTGGACGCGGACGGACGCGCGCACAGCGGACTGGAGGGCGGTAGTGTTGCGGAGGGAGTTCTGGGAGTCAGCTCGATGTACAGGATCTGCAAACGGAGTGGACAGCCTGGCGGAGGCTTGCCGGGAGATGCCCAGGGCGAGACAGGCGTCTCCGGTAGCTGGACGGAGGGGCGAGGCAGGGGGGAGCTGGACTTACCATGATGGTGAGAGTGGGTGCTTTTGGATGTGTGAGTAGTTGTAGTGTAGTGTGGATGAGCTGGGGTGATGGGGGAGAGATCGACGAGATCTAGATGGCTACTTATAAGATGGTTGCTGAACAAGGGATCATGATCATGGGTCCAGGCTCGGGCATGGTGACTTGGGCCATCATCGCCCACAGAGAGGGGCCACGATATGACGTCAAAGCGATCGTACCGGCGATCGCCGAGATCTGGCTGTCAGGACCACGTGGTTGGGGATGAAGCGGGATTATAATGAGGTACGATGTGGCATTCTTGTCCGGCGCGTGGACCTCGAGCGTGGCAGCCGCCAACAGCAACAGCCAAGGTCCAACATACCTCAACTTCTCACTATCTATAGACGGCTCATACAGCTCAAGAGCTTTGTTCATCGCAGCTGCACAGACATCCCACCGGCATAGCGATCCTCGAACTAGTCAGGACGCTCCCGGATAAGCGTAGTCTTGCCAAATTTCGAGCTCCGCAGCTCTGAACGTTCCGCTCGCCGACGCGCTTCCGCCAACCGTGATCAGCCAAGATGCAGATGCTCACTAAGGTCAGTCGTGCTTCTGGGAGCGATTCGAGAGCTGCCTCGGTCGGGATGGTGGGCTGGTAGACGCGTGGGCGTGTCGCATGTCATCAATGAGCTGACTCTTGCAGTTTGAGAGCAAGAGCCCAAGGGTCAAGGGCATTGCGTTCCGTACGTTACTCTCCAACCATGCCCATGATGGCTTCAAAGCGAGGACCGAAGGCTGATCCTTAAGACCCGAAGACACCACTGCTCGCTGCCTCGCTGCACAATGGTACCATCCAGCTGTGGAACTACCAGATGGGCACCCTCGTTGACCGGTATGACGAGCACGACGGTGAGTCTCTTCGTCTTGGCTATAGTGAGGTCAAGCTGATGTTTAGGACCTGTTCGTGGTATCTGCTTCCACCCTACTCAGCCTATCTTCTGCTCGGGAGGCGACGACTACAAGATCAAGGTGTGGAATTACAAGCAGCGAAAGTGCCTGTTCACCTTGACCGGACGTGAGTTGTAGAGTTGTATTCAAAGAATACAGCTGTAGCTGACCAAAAGATCTCGATTATGTCCGCACCGTCTTCTTCCACCGCGAGTACCCGTGGATCATCTCCGCGTCGGACGATCAGACTATCCGGATTTGGAACTGGCAATCAAGGACGTGTATCGCCATTCTCACTGGACACAATCACTACATCATGTATGTCCGGCTTCCCCTACACTCGATCCTAGCTGACCTCCAGGTGCGCTCAGTTCCACCCCTGGGATGACCTCGTCGTTTCCGCCTCGATGGATCTCACCGTCCGAGTCTGGGACATCTCCGGCCTTCGCAAGAAGAACCAGGCACACCAGGCGCCCATGTCCTTCGAGGAACAAGCGGCACGGGCGAACCAGGGTCAAGCCGACCTCTTTGGCAACGCCGACTGCACCGTCAAGTTCCTCTTGGAGGGACACGACCGCGGAGTCAACTGGGCGTCGTTCCACCCTACTCTCCCCCTCATCGTCTCGTGTGGCGACGACCGGCAAATCAAGCTCTGGCGCATGTCCGAGACCAAGGCGTGGGAGGTCGACAGCTGTCGTGGACATTTCAACAATGTCTCGATGACGATGTTCCACCCCAGGCATGAGCTCATCCTGTCGGCGAGCGAGGACAAGACAATTCGGGTCTGGGATATGACCAAGCGGACGGCGGTGCAGACGTTCAGGCGGGAACATGATCGCTTCTGGGTGTTGACTGCGCATCCTGAGTTGAACTTGTTTGCTGCAGGTGAGCTCCTCGATGACCATCCGGATGGCAAATGAAGCTGACGCTTAGGCCACGACAATGGTCTAATCGTCTTCAAGCTCGAGCGTGAACGACCAGCCTTCTCGCTTTCCGGCAACCAGCTCTTCTACGTCAAGGACAAGGTCATCCGCATGGCTGACCTCACCACTGGTACCAACCAGGGTATCTGCAGCGTCAGGAAGCTTGGAAGCCAATGGGTCCAGCCACGGACATTGAGCTACAACCCAGCCGAGCGCGCCGTCTTGGTCACTACCGTACGAGCTGCTTCCTAGCTGGGGTAGGATCTCATCAGCTGATTCAGCAGCAAGCGACCGAAAATGGACAGTACGAGCTGGTAACTCTGCCCAAGACCGAGGGTCCCGCTGCCGGCGATGGCAAGGATGTCCCCAGCGAGGGCAAGAAGGGGACCGGCGCGTCTGCCATCTTTGTGGCGAGAAACAGACTCGCCGCTCTTGACAAGACGGCTCAGGTAAGCTTATGAGCTCCCTCGGACCGGCCAATAGAGCTGATCATGCAGTCAATCGAGATCCGGGACCTGTCCAACAACCTCACCAAGTCGGTCAAGTGCCCCGTGCAGACCACCGACATATTTTACGGCGGGACCGCCTCGCTCCTGCTCGCCACTGCCAACTCGGTCGTTCTGTTTGACATCCAGCAGCAAAAGACCTTGGCGGAAGTCACCACTCCGGCGGTCAAGTATGTGGTGTGGAGCGCGGACGGCAATATGGTCGCTTTGCTCAGCAAGCACAGTGAGCTTAGCAGAACACAGTGGAGTGCCGCAGTAGCTGATCTCCAGCCATCACTATCGCCAACAAATCGCTTGGCCAGAGCGCGCTCATCCATGAGACCATCCGGATCAAGTCTGCGGCATGGGACGATAGTGGGATCCTCATCTACACTACTTTGAACCACATCAAATACGCCCTTCCTCAAGGGTGAGCTTACCCCTTCGAAGAACTGCTGGACCAAGCTGACCCGCAGTGACAACGGTATCATCAAGACCCTCGAGCAGCCCGTCTACCTCACCCGCGTCAAGGGCCAGATCGTGCACTGCCTCGACCGAACCGGAACCCCGCGGACCATCACCATCGACCCGACCGAGTACCGCTTCAAGCTCGCGCTCGCCCGCAAAAACTACGATGAGGTCCTCCAGATCATCCGGAACTCGAACCTCGTCGGTCAGAGCATTATCGCCTACCTTCAAAAGAAGGGGTATCCCGAGATTGCGCTCCACTTTGTCCAGGACCAGCAGACCCGATTCGATCTTGCGATCGAGTGTGGGAATTTGCAGGTCGCGCTGGAGATGGCGAGGGCGGTGGATCGGGAGGATGTGTGGAACCGGCTTGGCGCGGCGGCTTTGAAGCAGGGTAACCACTCGGTGAGCTGGCTGTACTGTACTCAGTGTTCGGGCACAACAAGCTGATCATGCAGATCGTCGAGACGGCATACCAGAAGGCCAAGAACTTTGACAAGCTGTCGTTCCTGTACCTCACCACTGGCAACACCCAGCGATTGGGAATGATGCAGAGCATCGCTGTCAAGCGAGGGGACAATATGTCGAGGTTCCAGAACTCGCTGTACCTCGGTGATGTGCCATCTCGGGTCGCTGTTCTGCGCGAGACTGGGCAGTGTAAGTCTATCAATACCTGGGCAAGAGCGAAGCTGATAATCAGACCCCCTTGCATACTACACTGCCAAGACCAACGGTCTGGAGGACTTGGCGCTCGACATCCTCGAAGAAGCCGGTATGACCGAAGACGACCTCCCTCCTCCCCCTCAAAACTCGGGTCACAGGGCCCTTGCTCCCCCTCCTATCGTCTTCTCGCAAGCGGAATCCAACTGGCCCATCAAGGACCTCGGCGTCAGCTTCTTTGACCGCGCCCTCGCGAACGGCGGTATGGACGCCGAGTCCAGCACCGCGAACGGCACAGGCGAGCAGCTTGATGCCTGGGCGGTCAATGGCGGAGACGTCGATGGAGGGGATGCGGGAGAGGAGGATGTGGCGGAGGATGAAGGATGGGATCTGGACGCCGAGGTTATTGCCCCGCCGGAAGAAGAGGAGGTGGATGATGTGCTGGCACAAGGGGAGAGCTCGGATCTGAGTGAAGGCGTCAGTCAAGGGGTCAGCGAGAATGAAATGTGGGCGAGGAATAGTCCACTAGCGGCAGATCATGCTGCAGCGGGAGCATTCGAATCAGCCATGCAGGTGAGCTGGATATTGAACATTCGAGGTATATCAGCTAACGTCTCAGCTACTAAATCGCCAAGTCGCCGCTGTTCAATTCGCACCCCTCAAACCCCTCTTCCTCCAGGCATACCAACTCGCTCACGTCCACGTCCCCGCCAACGCCTCCCTCCCATCTCTCGAGTTCAACGTCCGCCGGAACCCCGAAGTCACCGAGCTTCGCGAGGTCCTCCCTGCGATCGCGTTCAACTTGGACGATATCAAAACTGGCGAAGTGGCCGAGGCGAACCGATTCTTTGCTCGCGCCAAGTTTGCGGAGAGTCTCGCGCTGTTCAGGGGGATCTTGCAGAAGTTGTTGATGGTGGTTGCTACGAAGCAGTCGGACGCGGACGAGGTGAGTTCTTGGATTGAAATGTGTAAGGGTTGAGCTGATCATCCAGATCAAAGAACTGGTCATCACGTGCCGGGAATACATTGTCGGCCTGACGCTCGAAGTCGAGCGGAGACGACTCGTCACGGAACAACCCGAAAACATCTCGCGGAACCTCGAGCTCGCCGCGTACTTTACGCACTGCAAGCTCGGGGCGACGCACGTCCAGCTCGCCCTCCGGTCAGCCATGTCGGTCTTCTCCAAAGCGGGCAATCACGCCACAGCCGCGGTCTTTGCGCGCCGGCTCATCGACGCCAACCCCGGAGACGCCAAGGTCATCACCCAGGCTCGGGCCGTTCTCGCCCAGGGCGACCGAAACCCCCGTGATGCGCACGAAATCACCTATGACCACTTTACGGCGTTCGATATCTGCCCGGCGAGCCTCACGCCTATATACCAGGGCTCACCGGCCGTCGTGGCTGCGTACACGGGCGCCAAGTACTTGCCCGAGTACAAGAATACGGTGTGTGTAGTGGATGGGATCACGCAGGTTGGGCTGCCGGCGAGCGGGATGAGGAGTATTGTGTAGAAAGGAGGGAGTGTATTAGATGTTTTTGGTCAGAATCTAGGTTATGAAAAATGATTGTGCTATGATTCAGGAGCTACAGGCTCTTCGTACCTCAGTTACTGTCTGTTTAGATGACCTCGGTCTGGCTCTTTGAGTTTTGAGGCCTCCGCATCGAGCATAGGCCAGGGCCTGGGTGATGTTTCAGATAAGGTTCGCGCTATCTCCCGGTGGTTCCGGGGGCGATCAGTGAGCGCGACTTGGGTTTTTGACGGAACAACGGAGTATGACTCTTTTCACACTTTGCAAGCTATACAAGCCCAAGATATCCTCGCCGCGACAAGGCTTTCGCCAAAGATCCCTCGTATATCCATCGTGCCTCGAAAGAGCCCGCGACGAGCTGAATTCGTCGAGCCTGTCCACCGCGCGCAGTTGAAGAACTGACCGCCCACCGCTGCTCGTCCCGCGCGCAGTCTATTCACATCCGACCCGTCGTCGATAGCTGTACTCCGCGGACATGGCTGGCGGAGCGTTCTTCGTATCTGGCGCAGGTGGCGATGAGGAGTACGAGGGCACAGGTGCAGGCGGCTCGTCCGGCGAAGGAGCGCATGCTGTCCAGTGGGTCGGCAAGGCGGGTGTGAGGGGACCGAGGTGGGCGCGGATGCCGCTCTTGACGGCTGGCATGCTGGGGATCCAGTGTGTATGGTCAATCGAGATGGGCTATGGTGAGCTTGCATCACGCTTCTGACGTCTGCAGCAAAGACAAAGCACGGTGCCGACCAGCTGACATCCGCAGCATCCCCATACCTCCTCGACCTCGGACTCTCCAAATCCCACATGTCCCTCGTCTTCATGGCAGGACCCTTATCCGGCCTCATCGTCCAGCCACTCATTGGTGTCTTCACCGACCGCTGCCGCTCCCGCTGGGGCCGCCGACGGCCCTTCATGATCGCCGGTATCCTCATCTGCGCAGTCGCAATGATGCTTCTCGGCTGGGCGCGTGAGCTATCGGCGCTTCTCCATGGCGGCTCGGCCCTGTCGATCGGCTTTGCGGTGCTCGCCATCTACTTGATCGACTTCTCGATCAATGCGGTCATGTCGACAGATAGGGCGTTGGTGGTGGATACGCTGCCGCCGGCGCAGCAGGAGGAGGGAAGTGCGTGGGCGGGAAGGATGTTTGGAATGGGCAGTGTGATTGGCTTCTTTGTGTGAGTTGAGGCTCTTTTACAGCTGTAGAATGCGTACGTTTCATTCGAATGCAGTAAGCTGACCAGTCAGAGGCGGTTTAGACCTCACACCGGTCCTTCCTTTCCTCGGCAGCACCCAGATCCAGATTCTGTCGTTTCTGACTAGCGCGACGTTGCTCTTCACACATGTCTTCACAGCTTGGGCAGTGTCAGAGCGTGTTCTGCTACGGGACGAGTGAGCTGTGTCACCGTCGGTCACAGAGACGGTCAGCTGACGATCAAGCCGCGCACACTCTCAATCAAACCTATGGGCCAATATCCGCGCCATCTGGGACAACATCTTCGCCTTACCACCCGGTATCCAAACTGTCTGCTTTATCCAATTTTTCAACTTGTACGTAGTTCTGCTTCTTCCTCTTCGTTCTCCTCTGTACTTCTGAGACGAAGCTGAGACCCCTCCAGCCTCGCCTGGTTCCCAACTCTCTTCTTCACCTCCGTCTGGGTATCCGAGATATACATCTCATCAGTCCCATCTGCGGGGATCGACCCAAAGGCATTCGCAGCGGATGCTGTGCGCGCCGGGAATCGAGCGCTCTTTCTGCAGGCGATCGTTACTGTCGTCGTGTCCATCGGCGCGCCGTTCCTTGTCTCCGAGTCAGGCGTACAAGTGGGTCTGCAGCAGAACGAGTATCAGTCATTAGGTGCGGAAGGCGAAATGGCAGGTACTAGGAGAAGAGAAGCAGGCTCGGCGCGAGGTGCAAGTGGGGCGGGTGTGATGGGATACGTCAGAGACATGGCGGGGTCGTTGGTGGACAGGGTCAAGAGTGGGAGGTTGTTGGAAGTACCCATCAAGGGGTTGACGCTGGTCAAGCTCTGGAGCGCTGCGATGTTCACCTTCTCCTTCGCTATGGGCATGACTTGGTGAGTTGAGATCTTCCCTCTGAAGTCATAGGAGAGACATCATAGCTGACGTTCAGGTTTGTTAGCTCGGTCGGACAAGCGTACATCGTCATTGCTATCTGTGGCGCTTCATGGAGTCTCACAAACTGTAAGTAGGCCAAGAGTCAGGATAGCGAAGTGGACGCTGACAATCACAGGGGCACCGTTCTCTCTGGTACGTTCCGGCTTCCGCGTGCCCACACTTGGGATATGTGCTGACTTCCAGATTGGCGAACTCATCCTGATCGATGGGCAAATAGATCGGACGGGTGGCGGCATGGCCCTCGCCCCTATCGACCGCCCATCCCTGGACGAGACCCACCGCTCACCTGTCCCACCCCTCCCACCTCCATACTCCCGCACCGTCTCCATCTCCGCCGCCGAGCACGCCGCGCCCATCCTCTCCCGGCATAATAGCGCCCGGTCATCTATCGAGCACAAGCTCCAACGATCCCCGCCTACCAACCGACCAGGCGGTATGTCCCGCTCGTTATCACGGCAGAACCCTCCGACCCCTTTGAGGGTACATCAGTTGGAGCAATCCGGAAAGCTGGACGACCTGGAAGATGACGACGCGTCCAATGAAAACTCGCTCGTCCTCCATCATTCAGACGACGAAGAAACGGACCTCCCGCCCCGATCACCTCTTTCCCCTTCCTCCCCTCGCGCTGCTCAGGGCAAGTCTACGGCAGACAAGGCTGGCGTCATCCTCGGAATACACAATGTCTTTGTCGTCCTACCGCAATTCTTGGTGACAGGCTTATCATCTGTCATCTTCTCTATCATGGAGCCGGACAAGGGGATACCGGCCACACATCCGAATGCGGGTCCGCCTATCGGCAATGCGACGGCGGGTGTTGATCTGGGATTGGGGGCGGATGTGACGAGGATGGCAGTTAGGGCGCTGGCGAGACGAGCGGAAACGGCGGTGGAGGGTGCCTCGTCAGATGCTGTGGGGCTGATATTCAGGTAAGTGTGATGTCGGATGAGAGGGGTGAGGGCTTGGCTGACTTTTGCAGAATAGGGGGAATCAGCGCGGCCGTGGGAGGGGTGATCTGCTGGCGCTTATCTAGACGGTGGGCGAGAGGGGAAGGGATCTGAGTGTAGATGCTTGGAGGTGCGGACAAGCATTCGTGCGTTGTACTGAGTCGGAGGTCGCATGATACTGATCTACTAATTGTACATCGCCCTGGCAGACAGGAACGATGGTTGTCGTGACGGATGATCCACCATGAGGCGCCGTCACGCCCAACATACTTGTAGCCAGAGCGCTTTTGTCAAGCAAAGGGGAAGCGGGCCTGCCTGAGCTCATGGGAGCTGCTAATCTTGGAACAAACGCGGAGGGGGAGAATGCTGGCAGGCGGTCAAGACCGCCTCCTGCACATCAGCTGCCACCAGTATTGTGTGACTTGTGTCAAGGGGGCCAGAATGAAGGGATCGATGGGACCACTGGAAGGCGTCCGACTGGCCGCGGGGTCGGATCAGGCAGACACAGGCTGATTCTCTTTGTCGTCGAACCTCTTCCTCGTTCGCGCAAATCCCATCCGCTGTGCGAGTGCTTAACCCTGCTCACATCTATACTCAGTATACCGACCACGACGTCCCGGCCACTATAGGCAGCTCCTTACTCAAAGCACCCTACTATGAGCCTACACGGTGCAGACAGAACCCTGTGTCGCGTTGAGACCAGAATCGCGAAGGGACCAGGTACAGAAGAGGAGCAGACGCTGGATGCACGACAAGAGCAAGGTCCGGAGACTCCGACGAGTCACGCCTACATCATTGCGAGTTGTGTGTGCTGTGAGCCTTCGACTGACGTCTTTGAGCTGGACATCACCGACGACGAGCGCGCCGCGATTCGAATCACCGATGACGATGAGGGAACAGATGAGAATTTCCCTTTGGGACTGCTACCGTTCTTCCTCTCTCGGTCGGACGTTCCTGATGAGCTGAAGATCCGCCTTGCGCGCAAGATTGTTGAGCAGCGGGGGACTGACGAGGAGAAGAGCCAGGTGCGAGAGTCCTACGGCGATGCTGCGACGGTCGCTACTCACATCACCGACGATGGTGAACCTGTACAATCAGACGCCGCTCCGGCTCCCTCGTAGTAGACCGAACCAGGCTTCTTTCTCCAACTCAGTACTCAGCGGCGCTTACTCCTGTCTTCCATGCATGAACATACCCCAATCAATAGTGCCGCATAGATCCCACAGTCGCCCAGCGTGATCGCATACCGCAGCTGCGCAGACCGGTGGGAAATGTGCAATGCTCTCTAGGCGCCACATCGTTGAACTCATGGTCACCGGTGAGCCACAGAACATGCTGGAGGCGATGCTCATTGTGGTAACCGACGTCCTTTATAGCGCTGCAAAGCCCCTCATCTGATAAGGGACCCGAATGAAAGGACGGCGAATGGCGATGGCGTTTGGGTTCAAAAGGTACGGCCACGACAGTCTATGTATAACAGGCAAGACCACGGCCCGGCCACTCTTCCACATGCCACTGACCACCATCCACAATCTACGCTACCTCGGGACCACTACTCAATCCACCGACAACGCTCGCCCACACGTCCAGAATGTCTTCCGAAGGCCTTTGGAGGCTCCGATACGACGTTGCGTGTACTGACCCGGAAAAGCAGACTACTGCCAAAGGAGGTGGTGGACCTCATCGTCTGTGCTGGTCTCCTAAAGCAGGACACGACAGTACGGATATCGGTCAACGACCGCAGCGCGCTTTATGCGGGCAGCGGCGACCAGCTCCTTACATGGGCGCCCAAGGTCTGAGAGGATTTTCTACTCAGGTACTTCCGCCGAGATTCTGCCCACACTACCGGACGACGTGCGTGTGCGCATCGCAGAGGCGATTCTCAAGGAGATTGGGAAGGACAAGGGGGGCGAGAGCGGGCTTACGGAGGCTGACAAGCTCATGCTGACGAAGGCGGCATCCGAGGTCACCACTGTCATCGAGGGGTCTCACGGGCCGACTTCGGGCTACACGCCATTGGCGGGTTAGTCTCTGAGCAAGGAGGGAGCGCAGTTGATCAGACACCAGTATGCATGAGAGCAACATGCTCAAGGTGTCTAAGAACATGAGTGTCCACTGCTAAAGGACATTGTCAATGTCACGGTGAAGTGGGTCGAGAGCGATCTGCACCGTGAGCTCTTCCGTTAGCGACCATCCCCTCCGTACGTTAGTATTACAGACAGTCGATACATCTCTGCTTCACTACAATACAAGCAAGAAGTATGACTACGCGCCAAATGACCAAGCTACCAAAGATACAACTCGTCTCTCACCGTCTTCTCTTCTCTTCTCGCCCGCCTACTCCTCCTCCCTGATCTTGACCGCCCTTTCCCTCTCCCTCTCTTCCCCCCTCGCTGCCGTCCTCCTCTTCTTGTCCTCCTCGTACGCCCGGAACGTCTCCTCTTCCCCCTCTTCCACCTTGTAACCCTCCGTAGGCAGCCCTTCCCTCTTCATCGCCTCGAGCCAAAGCGGGAGTGTGGGCTCCCATAGCGGATGTACGTTGGTCGGATCCACCGGACACGCCCAGACGCCTCGATCGACCGAGGCGGGCGTAGGAAGTGTCCAGCCGGACTTGGCGTCGATCTCGTGCATCTGGGGCGAGATGTCAATAAAGGAGAGGACGTCGGGATGTTGGGCGCAAAAGGCCGAGATGAGGGAGTTGTAGGTATTGGTCATGGATATACGGACGGGGAGAGTGCATAGTGGTGGGTCATGCAAGAGGAGGGATTCGATAGTCGTCTTTTTGGACTGTGGGGCGGACGAGGGGCTCGAGACCGACGAGCACGAAGATGCGAGAGATGGAGCCGAGGTAGTTTGATCGAATATGTCGGTACCCTGGGATGACTGTGACCGACCCGAGATGGGAGTGACCGGACGATCCGTCATCCCCATTGTCGACACCCCAGCTTCTATCCCCTCTGTACTCGAATCCCGCTTCATCTGATAATCCCGCCATTCCCGCGTTCCCGTCGAATCAAGTAACTTTTGCGCCTTTTGGTGATCCTCCTCTAGCCGCTCGACGTACTTCTCCGGTATCCGCGGCAGTATACCATCTTCCACCAGAGGAGGTAGAGCAGCAGCGACGAGCATCTTGCCCGGTGGAGGTATCTTGCCCGTAGCTTCTCCTGCCTGGATGGCGCGACGACGTGCGGCAGACTCGCGAAGCCGTTCCCCGATCGGCCCATTGACGATCTCGCGCTCGAGGAAAGAGATGTACGCCTTCGCGACCGCCTTGACAAACAGCTCTGGACCGAGCGCCGGACCAGTCAAGGAAGTCTCGGTGGCGCGGGCGAGGACCGTGCGGGACAGTCCGGGCGTTTGGTCTTCTTCGTCCGTCTCGGTTTCGCTTTGTGATGTGGAAGCGGATGTGGGAGTTTCGAAGGAGAGGTGAGAGAGAGGTTTATTCTGAAGCTGCCAGAGATAGTTGATCTGAAGGTCCACCTGGTGGGTCAGTCTAGCCCAGCCAGCAGGAAAGAAAGGCTTACATTGCCGAATATGAGCAGTGCCCAGCGACCGCCGGATGGCATATACCGATATGGGGGCGGAGCGAGGAGGTCCTCCAGCGCGGGTAGTAGCTGCTTGGAGACTTGCTTGGCAGACTTTGGATTGTTGAGCCCCTGCATCCTTAGCTCACTTCATGCAGGCAAGTCACGGATTAACTCACTTTGGCCGAAGCTCCTTTGTATGTCGTCTTTCTCGCGCAATCATTGCTGAGCAGCTTCATAGGTCCGACGAAGCTGTCCCCGAAGACGAATAAGCTTGGGCTGCTACTTGTCGGTGGCGCAGTCGCGCGAGCTCGCCCTGGACCAGAAGAAGACCGGCTGACGCTGGGTCCGCCACCCGCGGACCCTGTTCGCGACATGGGCTGAGCGTCGTATGTGGGCCATGGTGCAGCCGATGCTGCTTCCCGAGATGAAGAGGCTGGTGTTGTACGCGACCATGGAGTGCGGGACTGGGAGGGCCCGCCCGCTGAGCGGTCGGAGCTGGCTGGGCGAGGGCGGGAGGACTGGCCGCCGGAGGAAGCCGAGTTGGATGACGAGGCACAAGCGGTCGATGAAGCAGGACTGCGATTGCGCAAGTGGGGAGGCACGTAGGCTCCAGGCATGCTGGGGGATGGGAGGTATGTATAGTCAAAGGGATAGAAGCTAGAGAGGCAAAGCTGGGCTTCTATATGTAGGCTGTGTGGAGATGGCCGCGCTGGACAGACACAAACTTGGGGGATCATTTAATTACGTCATGAGGCTGCACGTGACCTTTTTGCCTGTACTGGGCCGGTATCAAAACTTTGACAATAGAAGATGATCGCCACCTACAGCAAGATCTGATACTATACCCCCTTAGCCGCCTTCAATACTATATAGACTGACGCCTCCACACCGCAAGCAGCTCATCACTAGTCCCCGAATCCATCACAGATCACACACGCCTCGAAGCTACCCTGAAAATGCCAGCCCAAACTGCCGGGCGGATCGCCCTCCTCACTACCGGTCTCATCGCTACCGGTTGCCTCGGCTATGCCGTCTACTTTGACTACATGAGGCGCCACTCGGCAGACTTCAGACGAAGCATCAGTACGTAGCTTTGCCGTTCAGCTCTGCAGAGTCGATAGCTGACAGTCCTCAGAGAAGCAGCACGATGCCATTGCCGCTGCCGCTGAAGAGAAGAACAAGACCGAGAGGGAGCGGAATGCCCGGGTAGGTCCTCTCAGCGTAGCGGCGAGAACGTCAGACTGACAACTAGGCACTCCTTGCAGTACTGGACGACATCCAGACCGAGGCCCCACCTATCTCGCCAGAACAGCAGGAGGTTTACTTCCAGGAGCAAGTAGCTCAGGGTGAACAGCTGGCAGTGATGGGTAAGTCTCGGTTTCTGCTGTTCTGCCATTAGAGCTATGCTGACAATGCAGGTCCTGAACACCACGTTGAAGCCGCTTCCCGATTCTATCGCGCCCTCCGGGTCTACCCCGCCCCCATCGAGCTCATTCAGAGTGCGTAGCTGAATGTCCCCTCAGCGGCCGTAAGCACAGCTGACCGTCGCAGTCTACAAGAAGGTCGTCCCTCCTCCCGTCTTCAACATGGTCATTGAACTCACCATGATATCCGAGGCCCGCAGCGCTGCTGGCGGCGACTTTGCCATGCCCCCTCAGGCCGCACCCAGCATCGAGGACCTGGACGACTCGAGCCCGCCCTCCTCGTCGAGCCCAAAGGCGGACTCGGCGACTAGCGGTACGAGCTGGGAGAAGTTGGACGCTGCGTAAGCTGGGATGATGATAAGGACGGAAGGGGACGGGGAGGAGGAGCGGTAGTCAAGGGAGCGATTAAAGGCAGGAATGTGCGCGGGAGTAGATGACGAGGGCGAGGGGCATGAGCTTGGTGTCGACATCAACGGGATAGATCGGTTACGCGAGGGGAGCTGCTAGGCTATAGCATTTGGAGCAGGAGGCTGCATCTGTATCCACTAGGGTAGAGATTGGAGTTCGGACGAAGTGAAGAATATCATGCACATCTCATTTTGCTGATCCTGCTAACGCCTATCCCTCGAGTCCGGCTGCCATTCTTGCACATCCGCTGATGACCCGTCAAACGTCTCATATCTGGATATCAGCGTGGGCAGCAGTGGCACAAGATCGACTGAGCTCACTGTTGTACGTGGCCATGCTATTGGTGGTGGCTGTCCTCTGCGAGATAATGTTGCCGGCTGTACCCTCAGCTCCTGTACGCGATACCTCCTTGCGAGACGAACGTACTGATCATCCTGTCCATAGTGATACCCGCCGCCGCGATGCTCTAGCCCGCGATGGCGATGAGTGCTACACGCTGTCAGCTCGGACCACAAGTCGGAACCAGGTCGCCTGAATCGTGAAGGTCACACGCACAGTTCTGCGTGAGGCGTCTGGGCTGATCCTCTATGCCACTGACGCTCCTCTTCATATCTCAGTCGAGCGGCATACTCGCTACATCATCAGCACGGGACCAGCCAAAGGCACAAAAGCAAGCTTACGCTTCTCGTCGGCGCCACTCTCTTTCCCTCCTGACCGCCTCTCGCTCTTCCCAAAATCGATATCGCATCACACACTCCTCCCGATCCCCGATCTCCCTCGCGCACTCGTCATACCACTCGGGCGGATCCATCTCCCTGACTACGTCAGCTTTTGGCGATCGCGATACCACGAGGACCTACGGCCTGAACTCAATCACAGAGTCACTGAAGCCCTTCATCGCCTTGATAGACTTGTACACTGTCCACGCGAAGACCGTATGCTTCCCTCCTAGCTGTGAGAGCGAGTGTCTGATCCGACGGAGAGTAGGGGCTTTGATAGTAATCGGATCGTTGTGCCAACCGTTTGGCTCAGGGGAGATGGAGAGCGACCGGAGGTTCCGCACGCCGAAAAGCGGGGACGAGTGATTCTCGGCAACGCACTCATCGTCGTAGTTTATATAGTCGAAGACGATCCCGAGCTTGGCGAGCTTGGGCAGGTACTCATCAAAGATATCCATGGCGAGCTTGGGGAGGTACTCGTCAAAGATATCCATGGCGATCTCGAGGTCGTCATAGTCCCGGACGAATGGCTCGGTGATTCTGAGCTCGCGAAGATCTGGTCCGAGGGCTATAGCGAGCTCCTGGACACTCTCCGCGGAGATCTCCTTATCCTCCTCCGGCTCCAGCTCGAAGCTCTTCATAGGCTCGCAGCCCCCTGCTTGGCGCTGCTGGAGATGCACCAGCGCCTCGTTGAGTGACGGCCGGAGCCGGCACTTGTACACGCCGTACGAGATCCGCGTGACGCGCCGATCCAGATCAGGATTCCGGAAGAGCCAGGTCCTCCACTCTTCGATCCGCCCCTCAGACTCCGCATATGACCCGTGGTGTGACCTATACGTGCGCTCTACAAGCTCGATCGCGAGGGTGTGCCGGCCCAGCTCGATGCCCGTACCGGGCCACGATGGCGTCTCCATGAGCGACTTGCCCGCCGATGGCGCGTCTCGCTTGGGAAGGCGTCGGCCGAACATGACGAGCTCGACATGGCTCTCGAGATCGACGATGATCTTCCCGTCGGGCCGAAGATGGACGATATACGAGTCGTCGTGCTCCCTAGCTGGGTACTCGTATAGGACTTTCCGGAGGTGCGGGAACTTCTTCCGCCAAGGAGCGAGTCCTTGAGGAGAGTCTTGGGGTCGAAGCGGGGAGTAGACTCGACCTTGGCGTCCCACTTGATGCGGGGCTCGCGGTCTGGGTCGGTGATACTCGGGCGCGGGCTGCGGTCTAGGACGAGGACCGAGTCGCAGTAGATGACGCGGCGGGGCTGCTCTTTAGCTCTGCACCATCTCCGTTGACATAGCGAGTAGGAAAGAAAGGTCCCAAGTATCCTTAAAGAGAAACAGTGCAGGAACTCACTCCGTCACGTCGGCTCATCTTGGAAACCAAAGACACGTGAATCTCCCTATACAGCTCCGCCGCCACGCTCGCCGTTGCCGCCTTCTCCAGCCTCAGCATCCCCGCCAGTGTCGCCTTACTATCGATATACCCAAACACCCTCGCTCGCAGCTCCGGTGTGAGATACACCTCGCGCGCCGCCCGCCCACCCGCCACGATATCCCTTGGGCAAGCACCGTGATGCAGCGCTTGAGGCGGGGCAGTGGGTGACGCGTGACATTGGTCTTTGTGCGCAAAGTGATGTCGCCAGCCCCAGCGACTGCTGGCCGGGAGACGGTCTTCGGTGAAGTGACGCGGTCCAAAGGTCGGTACCTCGGGTGGCTGTCGGTCCCGCCTTTCGAGCTCCCTCGCTAGTTGTTCCGAGATGCTCGGCCGGGGCATGGTTGTAGGCGTGCTGGAGACCAAGCTGAAGCCCGAGTCTTAGTGCTCAGTATGTATAGTGAGAATTGGGAGCGGAGGAGCAGAGAGATGGAAACAAGCGACTTGAAAAAGCATAACAGCTCATTCGTCGCCGCAGCGTCGACGGTGGATTTGACGGATCGTCGCCGCCGTTTCGACGACGCCTCGGGAGGCAGCAGGCCTGTCTCGGCGTAGTCCTTCGGCCGATGTATAGACAGGATGCATGCTGGAAGACTGATGCTACCTTGAATCAATTGATATATTGAAGGCCTGTTCCTGGTCCTCGGACGCGTCTTTGCGACATGTTGCATTCCTCATATGAGCGATCTGTGTTAGCGTCGCGCGCCGCACTTCAGTCACTCGAGTAGACTGGTCGGATGAAGAGCCAGATACGCTCCTTCCATTACTCCGACAAGGGCTACATAGCAGATAGACCTAGATATACACAAGCAGTCTGATTTCTTTCAATTCACGCCTCTACAGCAGCACCTAGTACCAGGCGCCCCTTCCCCTCCATCCCGGGTTCCACCCATTTGACGGCTTGTCCGCGGCGCGACACGCCTGAGTAAGATCCTTACGCGAGGAAGGCTTTCTGCAAGGCTCATTCATGCTCCGGCCTGGTACTTACGACTTGAGCTCCCTAATGACCTTGTTGAACTCGGGTTGTTGATACTTGAGTTTGAAGTTCCCATTTTGGAACACGCACTCCCGGCAGCCTAAACGGTAGACCGAGAGAGCCACCTCGGCGTGATGATACGCGTCCGAGTCGTTATCACCGCTTTCCCCGCCGATGGGCATGAACGAGAAGAAGCGGAGCTTCTTTAGTGCCGACGGTAGAGGAGTGGACGTGCGGTCGAAGCTGAGGTGTGGCCCTTTGGGGTACATGAAGGGGTCATAGGTGATCTTCAGGCTCTGAAGCTTGGGGGTCGTCTCATCGAGGATACTGACAACCCCCGCAAAGTCTCCGAGGCCCTCGAGGAGGCGGTCCGCGAGTTCGAGCCTCCGAGCGCCGGGACCGAGAGCAGTGACTACCTCCCGAATTTGGTCCAGCGTGAGCCCGCCCGAATGCGTCCGTTCACGCAGGGCGAGAGCCACCATCGGCTCGCATCCGCCGTCCTTGCGCATATTGAGGAACCGGATGAGTGTGTCGAGCGGGGCGGCCAGCCAGCCGTCTTCCGGGGTGATGATGCTGGTAACCCTCTTGTCCAGCTCCGGATTGTCAAACAACCAGCTCCGCCAGACCTCTTTCGCCTCCTCGCCCACCGGGCAGCCATGCGCATGGATCGCGATCGTATGCTTCCCCACCGTCATGCCGGGGAATGTAGGTTCATTCGGAAGGACGCCTTTACCGACAGGAGAGGTCGGTGGGGGGTAGTTCATGCTGAGCTGGAAGGGGGTCTCGATATCGATAGTGACGTGGCCGTCATTGAGGTGGGCGATGTACGAGTCCTCAAGCGGATTGATGGGGCGCTCGTACATGAGGGTTGTGAGGTTTGGGCACTTTTTGAGGGCATTGTCGATCCGCTCGAGGAGCTTCTCCGGCTGAAGCGCTCGCCGTTGGGGAGCTTGGGGCGTCACCGTATTGGATTTGTGCTCAAGCTTTTGGGCAAAAACGTCCATGGGGGCCCGAGGACTGAGATCCAGAGTCCGAACAGCGTCGCAGTATGCAGCGCGTCGTTCCTATCCCGTCAGACCATCCCCAATGGCAAGGCAAGAAAGCCGGAGCCAAGAACTCAGATTCATCCTGCTCATCATTTTAAGTCTCCCTAGATCCACCGTCTCATATAGAATCTCCGCGACAGGTGCAGAAACTGCCTTCTCCGTCCGCAGAATTTTGGCAAGCGACCGCTTAGTACAAAGCTGGAAGATGCGTCTCCTCAGCTCCGGGGTAGAGTACACCTCCCCGGCCGCCGTCTTCTTGGTAGGCTCATCACTGTCACTGATGACGATAGGCTCAGCGATGGTGCTCGCCTCGGCCGTGTCCGCGATAAGGACTGGCGCCGCGACCGTTCCGAGCGGGTCGACGCGCTGACGTTTCGCGTCGGGAGTGGATGAGAGGATGGGGAGGGAGGTAAGGGTGTTGGTATCTCGGTCTTGCAGAGACCTATATCTCAGCTTGGGTGTCTTATACGAGAGTGGGATCTACCGACATCTTGAGACTGTCTTGTGCGAGATGAGAGGCGATGGAGGGAGCGTGACGAGGAGGCTGGCCTTTGTTTACACGCTTCCACATTCCTCATGACGCACGGACTGGATTTACGGCATCGGTCACGCCCGGCCGGACCCGGCTTGGCGCCTCGCCCACAGCCAGCTGCAGCACAGCCATCTCGCAGCTTTCACATCACATCTACCTCTTCCATCACAGCTCCATCATACTCTGATCAGCGCACCCGCTGTCCAGGCCTCTACGTCGATCACAAAGAACCGAAGCACACGAATCTCACCAAAAGTGTACGGCAACCTCGCGAAATGGGCAACTGTTTCTCGGACCCCTCCAGCCACCCTTCGAAGTCAAAGGCCCAATTTACAGGCGGCGGACAACGCCTAGGGTCCGGTCCTGCACCTGCAGCAGCCGCTGTGGCGCCACCGAAACCTCAGCCTCGATATACCGATCCACCGAGGACTCTGGGCGGGGCGGTGGGCGGATCGCCGCCAGGGGCCGGTGCGGGCTCCGGAGGCGTAGGGGACGAGGAGCAGAGAGAGCGGATGAGACAAGCTGCAGAGATACGAGCCAAGAGTGTGAGTCGCCCTTATAGGTCTATCTTCGGGTGAAGGAGGTGCAGCTGATAGACCAGGCCTCGTCAAAGGGCGTCACAGCCTCAAATCCCAAGGCAGGGCAACTATCGGCAAAGCTCGCGGCGGAACGGAAAGCTGGGATGACTTCCCCTAGACAGAATGATGAGAGGCTGATGGTGAGTGTCTATCAGTCCTTGCGCTCGGAGAAGCTGACAAGTTCAGGACAAAGGAGAGTGGAATTAGACTGAGAGATGGGTGTTTAAAGGTCATGGTCATCTGCTGGAATTGATCTGCGGATGGTGTCAAGCAAGGTCTCGATCACCCGATTACCTTTGCCGATGGCACGATCAGGAAACAAGGTTGTAAATGTACTTAGTTGTCTTGTGTGTGGAGTCGGGGCGATGTGCCAGTATAACCCGCGACCTGACCGCTTATAGTGCACTAATCACCGCTCTCAATCATCTCCTATAGCTACAAACCCGAGATAGTCCATCTACAAAGTCACCCCTCCCTACGACGCACTCGGCCAATCACTCCCCCACACCGATACGGAACGAGGGCGACGCCCAGCTGTCATAGTCCGACTGCAGAGCCGGGTTCCCATTAACCCGCAAGACCCTCAGCAGGACTGAACTGATCAGCTTCATCCTTTCCATCTGCCTGGCGATCTGACTCACACTTGTAGTTTCCGTTCGGTATCCTGCTCCCATCGTTGTACTGAGGCGCGATGAGGCGGACGTAGGTATAGGACTTTGACAAGTCGGAGCCATCGATATTGTTTGTGCTGACTCATCAGTCACAGCTCTTACACATCCAAGACGACACTCACTTTCTTGATACATCTGACCAAGTGAAGATGTTGCCCTTGATAGGGACCTGCTTGAACGTATTGGTGTTCGCAGCGGGCTTGGCGGTACATCCCCTCCCTTGGAAGTTGGTATACTGACACCAAAGCTTGAGAGCGGCCCGCAGCTTCTCCTGGGTGTTGGCGGATGCGCGAGCAGAGTGACGGGATCGGCGAGCTGATCTGCGAGCGAGGTCGTTGTGCGGAGTAAGGAGAAGATCCGAGGACGAGCCGGCCATGTCGGAACCGATTTCGATGAACGGCGATGTTACCAAGTCATCCTCTAGCGATTCCTCTTCCTCCTCCGCCTCAGCCGTCTGCTCCTCCCCTTCCTCGGCGTCCCGCTTCGTGAACGTCGGCTGGAATCCCAGATTGGCATCCGCCGCCACCAGATCCATCACCATCGCCCTCGTCCCCGTCAAGAGATTGAACATGATGGACGGGAAATCCCGCGTGTTGCTCGTCGCCGAGAATTTGAACACTTGGCCTTCTCGAGCCGGACTGGCGTAGACACCCTGGAGCAGGGCGGGCGAGGCGGTGTTGAAGGCGGTAGGGCGATTGGAGATCATCTTGAGATCCCGCATCTTGGTCGCGGCGCCCATATAGGTGATTTTGAGCGGGACGGGACCGCCAGTAATGCTGATCTGGCCCGAGAAGACGGGGAGGCGGGAGTCGTCGACACCGGTGGGAGGCGCGAAGGAGAGGAGGAGGATGGTAGCTTGACCGGGAGGGAGGGTGAACGAGGACCGAGAGAATTTGACAGTGGCGGCGCCAGAGGGGGAGGCGTCGTGCTCGAGCCCGGGGTAGTCTGCCATCTTGTTCCTGGTCTGACTGATTAGCACTGATCTCGACATCCAGAGTGAGGAAACTCACGCTGTCCAGGCCATACATCAAAACCGAGGGCTGATGGGACAGCTCGTACGTGTTGGTAGTGGAACCGGTGTTGCTGATGACGACATACTTTGTCCCCTGGAAATGCTCCGTGTCGTTCAAAGTGATCATCGAAGGGGTCACCTTCGTTCCCGCATTAATCGCGTTGTTGACCTGCAGCATCCCCGCTCCGACTCCCGCTGCCGACTCATTCTTCCCTTCCGAGCCATACGGGACCGCCGAGGCCGTCGCGAATAGCGCGTCCCGCATGGCCTGCAGATCCCGCTTCTCTCCCCTGTCCGCCTGCGCTTTGAGGAAGAGAGCGACCGAGCCGGCGGTCAGAGGGGAAGAGAAAGAGGTACCGCTCGTCACCGTCCACCGATTGTCTGGGTACGGCGCGAGGACATTGTAGCCGGGAGCAGTGAGCTTGGTGGTGTAGTACATGTCGTACGTCGGACCGGTCGCCGAGAAGTCCGTGAGGCGCCCCGCCGATGGTCGAGGCACATATGCGAGCTCCTGGGGGAAAGTAGCGGTATAGGAGATCCCGCTGGCCGTTCCGTCTTCAAGGCGCTTCCCGTCCGAATGACTGATGGCGCCGTACGGGAGATCGTTGACGCCCGATGGCTGATTGAGCCCATCAACATTATTGACAAAGAAGATCGCTGCGGCGCCGGCAGCGGTAGCTGTGGCTGACTTGACCGAGAAGGCGCAGGTCCCGCGAGGGCAAACGACGATGTAGTCGTGGAGATTGGAGGGTGCGTCTGCCGGAAGGCCGGAGCAGAGAGGATCCGTGGTGAAGTAGACGCTGTTAGGGCCGAGGGATGAAGGGAAGGGGAAGAAGCGGCTAGTGGTGACCCGGAAGGACGAGCCGTCTGAGGTTGAGAGGGACATCTGGGCGAGATGGTCGCCCGCGCTGTCGACCGAGCCGGCGGAGAGTACCGAAGGGTCCGTACCGTCACTATCGGCGTAGAACATGCCGTTGAGACCAGCATTGCCACTTGCCCATACTGAGAGTCAGCTGAAGCCCCTCAGCTCAAATTCCAAATCCAGCACTCACCACACTGAATACCCTTCTTTGCCAGCTTGGCCGCCGCTACCCCCAATGCCGAGCCCGACCATCCCGGGTCCGAGCTGATACTGAAGTTGATCACATCCGCCCCATCCTGCTCCGCCCTCAACATCGCCGCCAGCTCAATATCGGTATACGTCGACCCCGGTACACCCCGAACACCGATAAGGCATGATGTCGCGCCCCGGTTGCAACTCCTGGCGCGTCAAATACATTGTCCAGCCCGGCCAGCAGACCACGCCACACGCCCACACCCCTCGTGGGTGGGGGGCGGGCCACGTGTCGCAAGATTCGACCAGGCAGTAGAGTTACGGGGTACTCGTCCGTCCGGCACGGCGGTGTGCTGCCCGTTAAAGGCGCCACCACATCA